TGTAAGGGTCTCCAGTTGCATCATCATTATCTCCACCAGGAACGCTCAAAGAAGTTGTGCTGCCTTGGTCTAGAGAGCTCTGTGATAGATAATAATCAGGGCCAACTCCAGAGCTTCCGTCGGATACGCCAAAGCCGTCATCGACTTGTACAGAATTGGCATAGAGATCGAGTGAGAGGCTGGATGTATCACAGGTTCCTGGAGTAAAGAAACATCCGCCTGGTGGTAGCGATGGTGTAGGTGATGCTGTCGTCGTAGATGCATCTGCTGTGGTTGTTGGTTCTGAAGTCGTAGTAGGTTCTATCGATGTCGTGGTGGGTTCTTCCGACGTAGATGCAGATCTCGTTATTGACGTAGCTTCCGTTGTGGTAGTTGTAGGCTCCTGTGTCGAGGATGTCTCTGTTGTCGCAGACGGCTCCCCCGTGGACGGAAATCCGTCTGTAGTGGTAGAGGGAGCCTCTGATGAACTGGTCGAGGGACGGACAAACACCGATGTTGTACAGGGGCGAGTGCAATCACTGGGAGGTGGTACCGTGACCACAGGCTCACAGGTTCCGGTACTGGGGCATGGCCCAGTGATAGTGGTGATGACGTCAGGAGGAGGCGTAGTTGTGAGAGACTCTGAAGGAGAAGGGCGGACAAACACCGACGTTGTGCAGGGGCGAGTGCAATCACTTGGAGGTGGTACAGTAACCACAGGCTCGCACGTTCCAGTACTAGGACATGGCTCCGTGATTGTGGTGATGACATCAGGAGGTGTAGTCGTGACGGGCGCTGAGGTAGAAGGACGGACTTTAACTGTGGTTGTACAGGGGTGAGTGCAATCACTGGGGGGTGGCACAGTAACCACTGGCTCGCACGTACCAGTACTCGTGCAGGGCTCCGTAATAGTGGTGATGACATCAGGAGGTGTAGTCGTGGGCGATGGTGTGTTGGGAGGGTAGGTAATGACCGTTGTTGTACAAGGACGAACACAATGAGCTGGAGGCACAATGGTCACGGGCTCGCAAGAGCTAGTGCTGGTGCAAGACTCTGTGATTGTCGTGATAACATCAGGTGGCGGTGTCGTGAGAGATGGTGTGTTGGGAGGGTAGGTGATGACCGTCGTCGTGCAAGGACGCACACAGTCGAACCGAGGTGTAATTGTGATGGGCTCGCAGGAGGTTGTAGCCGTGCAGACCTCAGTCAATGTGATGGCAGTGTTGGGTGGCGTTGTGGGGACAGTCGTGACCACCACAGTTTCCACACATGAGGTCTCACAGTTCGAAGCTGGGGGGATAGTAATGGTTCCAGGGGTGGTTCCTGGGACAGTGGTCGTGATAAATCTTGTGTTTGGAGGATCCAAAGGGGGAGTCGTTGTGGTTCGAGTACTGAGACTGGGGAAAGGTCCCGGGACAGTTACCACGATAGTCTCAATACAATCAGAGCCCGAGCAGCCAAGAGCTGGCGGAACGGTCGTGGTTCCAGGAGTTGGGCCCGGCACGAAGGACGTGGTAGTTCCAGGGACTGGGGGAGGGAATACGTATTTAGTGATGGTCCGAAAACCTCCTCTCGGTGGAGGGACACCCTCAGTCTTCAGCGGGGGAGGTATGCCAGTAATGGTGATGGTGACAATACCAGGGGTAGATCCTGGCTCCTGGGGATTTTCAGGATTGCCAGGAACAATGGGTTGACCTGGTACCTGAGGTTGCCCGGGGGGGTTCGGCTGAACAGGCGGGTTGGGGTTCGCTGGAGTTGCGGGTTGACCTGGGATCTGAGGCTTTCCAGGACCATCGGGCGGTCCAGGAGTGCCATTCTGATCAGGAGGATTGGTACCCAGAGGCTCGAATGGAACGGTATAAGTCCTAGAGATATGTTAACTTCTTCCTGGTTTAGCATTGGTACTTGGACAAGTTACCTGGTGCGAGTGGAAGCCGAGGTGGTTCCATCACAAATGACCTTATAAGGCTGAAGCTCAACAACCTGGAACCCGGTAGGGCAGTCAGGTGCGTTAGCTGTAGAGAGACCTGTACTCGAAAGGAGCAAGGCTGCGCTGCCCCAGACAAAGGTTTGGAGACGCATGGTGCCAGTCTGAACCGACCAGTTCTCTACCTTGATGAGAGGATGTCTTGGCTAGTAACTTGAAGATGTAAGGGAGTAAAGAGATGTGATGAGAGCGAAGGAGCAACTTACTGAAGATCTCAGAGGGTTATATTACTTCTGAGTGACCTGCTAGCACAGAGTCTTGGCACCTTTCTCAACCTACGGCACCACCTTGACAAGCCCGGATGAAGAAATCCCCTACCTACCTATTCCGGTCACTGCTTTCAGCTCCTAAGCGAGTCTGAAAGCACAAGGTTTGCATAGCCTACTAGCTCTGTTGAATCCTGCACATTCCTTCAAGATGTCTTGCATAGGTAGGACCCTTGCGTGACATGGTAGGTCGGGCCGAGACATTCAGATCAGAATCCTTCAGACTATCAGTAAAGTATCCCCACTTAGAGGAGAAGCCAAAGATGACTAGTTGATCACTTAGTCCCCTTTGACAAGAAGCGTTTGTTGGTGCCAACAGAGCGGCCGAGATGGCATTCGTGGGGATTTGGTCACAAATCATGTGAGCATTCAGCTCAACTCCATACCACCTCGTATCGACCTTCGGCATCAGGATGGAGCTAGCCCGCTAAAGTTATCGCCTTGAATTTGGGTTTCAAGAATGAAGGATCACATCTCTTTCTTCCTGATTCGGAGTTCTCTCGTGCTCCTTAGCCTCTCCTAGATCGGTACTTCTTCGGTCGCGTGCCCGTAACGACCTTTTGTAGTCTCTCGTGAACGATCCCTAAAGCGTCGACCATGAGACTGTTTCTGTTCATCTTCATGTTGAAGTTTCTTGTCGGTCTAGGGAATGGATCTGCTCAGCATCAAGATTTGGAGACCTGCCAGTCGCCCGAGTGGCCTGTCTCCCTCTTCACCCCATACGAGTGACGGACTTGGTAAGAGACAAGAGGTCTCGCAGCTGTTAGAAATACCATTCTTGCCCCTCGCACTATGAGAATCGACTGTCAGTAAATCTTCTCTTTCAACACACCCGACATCGTTTTTTCTTGCACAATTTTCTCTCCCTCAAACATCTCCCTCAAACATGAAATCATTATCCACCCTCGCGCTTCTCGCTCTTCTCACCAGCGCTCTAGCTGGTGCATCTACAGAGCTTCCAAGTTGCGTTACAACCAAGACGCTTCCCCCCATCACCATATACTCTTGTCCTGGGGACAGTGAGCCAACAAAGGTTGTCTTCGCACCTGTACAATCTTCGAACTCTGTCCCCAAGCCCGGGGCCCCCGGCTCTTCTGGTGCTCCCAATGTTCCCGGTGTCCTTGGTGCTCCTGGTGCTCCAGGACAACACGATGGCCCTGAAGAACCCAACACCACCCAGAACAATGGCAACATCCCCAATCCTCAGCAGCCCAGCGCCCCTGAGAGTGCTGGCTCTGGTCCCAGCCTCGGTTCTGAGTCTGGCTCTAGCCCTAACTCGAACCCTGGCCAACCTGTCGGCACTGCCGAGCCCAGCACCACTGGGTCTGGCGTTGTGCCCAGCAGCCCCGAGACACCAAGTGTCATCGCTGTTGCCGGCGCGCCCACCGTTCAGCTCGATATTCTCCTATTCAGCGCTGCCGCACTTGCCGCCTTCGCAATGGTTTGGGTCTAAGGATATAAGGTTGGAACCAACTGGTGATGAACGGTAGCTGGTGTTGGTAGCTCGAATTATCACTCACACTTTTTCTTGAATCTTGTTTGGTGGACGAAACTAGTTCGTATGTCGCTTAGATAGGTTTAATGCAGTGTTTCTTATCGTCCTCAGGACAAGTGGGCGGAGCCAACAGTAAATGGCGGATCTTTGATGTCAGTCAAGCCGCAAGTTTGTACTGAGCTGTAAAAGAAGAACGAGATGAGAAAAGAGCGTACAGAAGTTGTAGTAAGCATAAAGAGGCGTTTTTGCGGCGGTTGCTTACAGCGTTTAAGGCTTAACGTTATCGGCCACGCTTTGTGTCGTTACAATCAAACACGCGGCAGTTAAAACGAACCCATTCCAACATTCGGCGCCACAACGGCATATCGTAGATCCTCACCTTATGCGGCCCATCATCAGACTCAGATAGTCGACCATACCCATTTCAAAGGCCCACATGTCTTGGCCAACCGCTTAATTGTCATTTATCACTATTTTACCTTGCATGTGTTACAGTATGTCTCTCGAAACAGAGAGTGTCGTGTTTTCCGTACCCATCAGTACTGGGCCTGAACATTTTCAGGTATCCGGCTCTCAGAGGCTATAAGAGAGAGATGATGGCGACCATTGGACACCGCTGTGGGGGTGCAAAGACCCCAGGGAGCTCAAAGGTCCTAGCGTCGATCTGCGTGTCTCGGTCGTATTGGGTATGAAAGACACGGAGCCCAGGGACGAGAGGACTGGCATTGGTGGAGGCTATGGTCAGGTTCAGGTTTCCGAGAGGTATAGTTTATGACAAAATCAGTGCTGGCTGCCTTTCGGGCTAGGGCCAGCAGGTATGTTTGAGTGAGCCTACAGTATGTCTTGAAATATAGAATACTGTCTTTCTGTGCCTATCTGTCTCTTACTTTGGCATCTTTAGGAACCGGGCTCCCAGAGGCTAGGAAACCACAGAATCTAAACTAAGCATCTCTACATTCCCAACTGTTCTCGTCCTTGGTATCCCCCTCTCTCTTGTAGACATTGCGCCTAGGCCACCGACAATGCCAACGCTTATAGTCCACACCGGCTTCCTTGGTCCCGTTGACATAGGCTGTACCAAGAATTGCATCTGGGGCTTCACTTTGCTCGACCCCATTGACAATAGCCATGAGAACATTCTCCTTGACATCCAAACTGGCCATGCTTTTAGCCTGCGCGAGGAGTGCGTTGAGCTCCGATAATGACTTCACAAGGATGTGCTCGCGGAAGTTGACCGTTGCCTTCGTCGTGGAGCCAGGCGAGGAAGACAAAGAGGCGCGGCAGATGCGCTTTGCCAGGGCAGAGGACCAAAAGACGAAGAGCTCGCGATTAGCGGCAAGCTCTTACAGCTTAGTGGCCAGCGCGTCGTGTTGCCAAAATCTGAACGCGAAAATCCATGTTGAGCTCGGGGGCCTGGGTTCCTTTGCTTGCATGGTCTTGAAGGGCTGCCTCTAAAGATGTGACAGCCTCCTCCGCCTCATCTTTAAGTCGTTTCTATGTCCGGTCCAGATTTTCGAGCCGTCGTTCATTATATTCTATCGTCCGGGTCAAACCTTCTAGCTTGCCCTCCACCTTGTTTATATCGGTGTCGATGTCCTTAAGCAGCAGTCTCAACACCTGCCCGCACTGATCTAACATCGAATAATACTATACTTAAAATATAAATATATAATCCAGAATACTAAATTCCCTCTTATATATACCTTATATTCCTTTTCTTAGTAAATATACTATAAGACTACTAGCAAGCCTCCAGCTTAATAGCAGTTAGAATACCAAATAGAAAGTATAAATAGCAGTCTTTACTTATAGAAATAATAGAGGTCAGAGATTAATACAGTCACCACCCTATTACTACCTTTTCGCTGCTATCTAGTAGCAAGTCTGCCCTCTTTACTCCCTGTTATACATTTAGTCCCTGACAATCTATATGCGCACATTCCAATGCTAACACACACTCTAATTCCCTCTAGCCTTCTAAAAGCACCTACCAGATATCCTCCTAACTACGGTATTAGTAAATAATTTGCTTCTTGAGAGAGGGAGTGCTGCAATGGCAACCTCGGAGTTCGTTCTTGGCCACCTACCTGGTACCGACTAGAGGCCCGCATGTCCTTCAAGATATCCTTGCTTTTAGACTCGTGGATGCCCCTCTCATCAGTAAGGATTTCCACAAAGGAGCTTTGCACATCCCGAGCCATATACTTTGCGTCACCGCATACGTAAATGTGACCATCGGTTTCCAACAGCTCATTGACAACCTTTGCATGGGCTTTCAATAGATTCTGGACATAGACCTTCTTTGGGCCCTGTCTTGAGAAGGCAACCGTCATATCGAAACGGTCACCGAGGACTTCCTTGTATTCCTATTAGGGGGGGATCTGTTAGCACAGGCCCTGACATCTGGTAAAATCTTGGTGTGCTTACCTTCCATTCCGACTCGTAAATAAAATCCTGCTCAGAATGTCGACACCCAAAAAAGAGTAGCGTGCGGCCAACGCTCTTCCCTTGTTTGACAAGGTGCGCCCTCTCTTGGACGAAGGCCCGGAACGGAGCAACACCAGTGCCGGGTCCAATGAGGATGACGGGTGTCTGTGAATCAGATGGGAGTCTGAAGCTTGATTGCCGAACATGGATGGGAACTTGACATTGTCCATATTGTCCTCTGGGGCCGTTGATGTTATAGGTTGGCGTCGATTGAGAGACGGAATCGCCGTTCTGTTTTTGCTTCAGAGCAAGGAGATAGTTTGTAGCAACGCCCTTCAATGGTTCAGGTCTTCCAGAAACCTCGTACGACTCTACCACTGCGCTGATCGAGATGCTCCTTGGTTGCACAAGAGAAGAAGATGAGATTGAATAGTAGCGCGGTTGCAACTTGTTGAGACCTTCAACCACAGCCGAAAACGGAAGCCCCGTCCAGTGGGACCCGCCGCCAATTGACCTAAGAACCTGAGCAACAGTTAATTTGCTCTTCGCAATTTTCTCCTGGAAGTAGTCCTTGTCGGCACCGATCTTGGTTATTTCCGCCTTGGCTGAGGCATCTGGTGAGAATGTTGCAATGGATGCCATGAACTGGCGTGAGACGGGGGCGCAAATTTCCAAGTATGACCGCAGAACCGTTTGGTAGGTTGTCGGGGTCGGGATTGGAACCTTTGAGGTCTTTTCCAGAGCCCTGATGTCAATAACGGTGTTCTTGACCTCTGAAAGCCCAAGAATCTCCAAAAGACTCTCGACTTCGTTGTCGGGATTGGTTGGCCAGATTGCGACGTGGTCGCCGGTACTGTAGGACAACGAAGAATCCCCAAGGCCAAGCTCTATATGAAGGCAGTTCCTATCGCCACCCTTGAAGAGCTCATTTGACTCGGTGATTGATGCGATGTATGGGTTGCTGGCACCGAACGATTGCTTACTCGCGGTGCCCTTGAGATGCGCCAAGTTTGGCTCTCCGAGGAAGACATCCTTCGAGCTTTCGGTTAAGTCTTGTCGTGGTGTGATAGAAAATGTCGGTTCGTAAAACGTTTCCTGCTCGTCCAGTCCCATCTTCTCAGCCAAGGCGGCCCACATAGGGTCTTTCCAAGCAAGAAAGTCCTCTTCTGTTGACCCAGTACCATCATCACCCTCTCCAGCGGCACCGATTCTTTCTGCACCAAAGTCGTCCAGGGCCCGGCTTACGTTGCGAACCATTGAGTTGTAGTGCTCATATGTGCTGTTTCCTAGACCAAACGCAACATAATTGATGTTTTGGAGGCCATTGGAAAAGTTGTTGTCTTCGCCAGTTACAAAGCTGTAAAAGTCGCGGGCGTTTTCCGTGGGATCTCCTTCGCCTGCAGTGGCAAGGACAAAGATGAGAATCTTGCTGCTGGGGATTGATTCCAGATTGTCATAATCGTAATCTTCGAGGTCGAGGACAATCGTGTCCAAGCCGAATCTCGATTTGCCCTCCTTTGCTAGTCTCTTGGCATAGTTCTCGGCAGTGCCCGTTTCTGAACCGTAGAATACTGCACAATTCTTCCTGGACTTTTCCAGCATAGCCGCGATGCTTCTAGATGAGGCAGCGGAAATACCAGCTTCTGAAACAGGGGATGAGTTGTCTGCCAATTTGCCTTGCGCGGACCTTCCCTTGGTGTAGTACAGCACAGCCAGCAAGACTATACTGAGGATGCAGAGGTCGAAGACATCCATGTCGCGCAAGACTGTGGGTGCAATCAAAAGCCCGTCCAGCGAAGTTGAGTGTTGCATCTTGTTGAATTGGTTAATAGAAAGATGTGTTTTCTTGCTACATAATTTGACTGCTCTAATGCGATTTATCTACTCCATCAACAGCCGGCTATAGTGAAGCCTTCGTGTAGTTGGAAACATTTCCAGTCGGATTCGCGGAACCGTCACTTCCGAGTTCCGAGGCTGGCGAGATACCGAAATCTGGAGCCTGAACCTTGAGTCCGGCAATCCCCTCGGCAACATATGCCGAGACTGCAGGCGATCGATGTGATGGTGAATCGTCGTGGAATCAATTCCCATGATATTAGGTGGTTTTTGAATTGCCCATCGCAAAGAGGTCGATTTTCTTTTCTCAGTCGGCGCTCGCAAACACCTAGACGCCCTCTTAATAACGCCTCGACAATTGACCTCCAGAGGGCACGACACAGCACTAACCAGGGATAGCGTCCCATTGAGGTTATCAGTCATCAAATGAACCAATTATCCGCATCTTATCGCGGGGAAGCTAATCGGTGGACCTTACCCAGAACAGTTCATGAATTGCATATGGAGTCCTGCTGCATGGGCTACTGATTGATTGCTGGTCGCATCGTGTATCGCAAAGCCTATTACTAAAGCTTGGTTCCGAATCTCAGTTCCGAAGATTCTCTCCCCCTCATTCCGCATCACCCAAGTGACCCACATGGCAACCGTCACCCTTGGACCGCAGCCAGCTTTCAATGCCTATAGAGTGTCAAATCCCCCCCGAACGTTCCTCCATCAGATGATTTCTCTCTATCCGGTCGAGTACTGAACGAATAGCAATCGTCCCCTACACCGTCGGCACAATGGCTGCTGCAATCCCCCACCCCCTCTCCGCTCTATCGCTCAGCGAGACCAACCAGGCTCGCGACATTGTTCTTGCCCTCCACCCGGGAACCATTGTCAATTTCCGCACAGTCTACCTCACTGAGCCTCCCAAGGCTGAGGTCGTCCCTTTTCTTGCCCTTGAGCATGCCGGAAAGGTCAATGAACTCACCCCAAGACCTGCTCGCCTGGCTGAGGCCCGTTACGATGTCGTCCGCAACGGCCAAAACCGCCCAGAGTATCACGAGTCCGTTGTTGACCTTCGGACTTCGCAACGCGTGAAGCACCAGATTGTTGGATCTGAGCACCATGCCAGCTTGACTATGTAAGTGAACTGCAGCGTCTCAGCACCAAGAGTCCAAGACTAACTTCAAACCAAGGTTCGAGTTTGATAAGCTCGTGGAATGCATTAAAAACTCCCCTCTCTTCAAGGAGAAGATTAAGAAGATTAAACTTCCCGAGGGATTCGAGCTTGTTGTGGAGCCATGGCCATACGGTGGCCCTGATGAGGTTGATGGCGATACCCGCTTCTTCCAGGGTCTTTGCTTCGGCCGAGATACTCGCAGTGGCAACCCCGACTCCAACTTCTACGCGTTCCCCATTCCCATCATCCCCATCATGGATGCGAACAAGAACGAGGTTGTGCGCATCGATGAGCCTGCCACTGGTGGAGGTGGCGATTCTCTGATTGGATCCGCCGTCAGCGGTGGCATCATTGACCACTGCAAGGGCGCCGAGTACGTTCCTGAGCTGTTGCCTCTGGGAACTCGAAAGGACCTCAAGCCCTTGACGGTTCAACAGCCCGACGGCCCCAGCTTTACCATCACAGATAACCTCATTGAGTGGCAAAAGTGGCGAATGAGAGTCTCTTTCAACCCGCGTGAGGGAGCTGTTCTGCACGATATTAGATACGATGGACGTGAGATTATGTACCGTCTCAGCATTAGTGATATGGTATGTTCTCGGACAATCCTTCACTCCAAGAGGATCTCTTACTAATTAAATCTCACAGACTGTCCCTTATGCTGATCCCCGAGCGCCCTTCCACCGAAAGCAAGCATTTGATTTCGGTGATGGTGGTCTTGGCCATGCCGTGAACAACCTGACTCTTGGATGTGACTGCCTCGGTGTTATTAAGGTAATAAATAGAACATCCGATCCACCGTCAATTACAGTTTGCTAACGAATCCTTCAGTACTTCGATGGTGTTTTGACCAAGTCAGATGGCTCCGCTGAGGTGACCAAGAATGTCATCTGCCTGCACGAGCAGGATGACGGCATCGCCTGGAAGCACACCAACTGGCGAACTGGCCGCGCCGTCGTCACTCGACGCCGTGAACTCGTTGTCCAGTTTATCATCACTCTGGCCAACTACGAGTACATCTTCGCCTACAAGTTCGACCAAGCGGCTGGTATCGAGGTCGAGGCCCGAGCTACCGGTATCGTGTCCGTCGTCAACATCGACGAGGGCAAGACTGCCCCCTGGGGCAACGTGGTCAGCCCTGGTGCCCTGGCACAAAACCATCAGCACGTTTTCTGTGTCCGTATGGATCCCGCCATTGACGGCCACTCCAATACTGTGGTGCAAGAGGAGAGCCTGCCGGTGCGCAGAGATAAGCGGACGAACCCCAACGGAAACTTCTACGAAGTGCGTCAGACTCCCATCACCACGTCAACCGGCGTTGATGTCGCTCCGTTCAACAACCGCACCTTCAAGGTCCAGAACTTGGCTAAGAAGAACCCCGTCAGTGGAAAGCCCGTCGGCTACAAGATCGGCGTGCCGGCCACGCAGCTCCTGCTTGCCGACCCCCACAGCATCCAGGCCGAGCGTGCTTTGTTTGCCCAACACCATCTCTGGGTCACCAAGTACAAGGATGATGAGCTGTACGCTGGAGGCCGATATACTCTGCAGAGTCGCCGAGAAATCGGCGGTGTCGCTGATGCAGCAGCACGTAACGAGGATGTCCTCAACGAAGATATCGTCGTCTGGGCCGTTTTCGGCCTCACCCACAACCCCCGAGTCGAGGACTGGCCTGTCATGTGAGCAAACCCCCCTTCCCCGAAGCCGAGTGTGTTAGACAGCCACTGACCCGCGTTCCCTTTCTAGGCCTGTTGAGAAGCTTCAGGTCCATTTCCAGCCGTCGGACTTCTTTAAGGAGAACCCTGCTCTGGATGTGCCTTCAAATGCCGATATTGGCTCCAAGCTGACGGAGGGATGCTGCAGTGGAGCAAAGGGCCCGAAGATGGAGAAGGGCAAGTTGTAGATTAGTAGCGAACTGCTTTAGCCGAGCCGATTCCGGACTTGGATGATTAGATAGAAGGCCCGAATTAGACGGGACTGTATAAAATTGATACACTATTGTTTAAAGACGTCGATTGTCAAAGTGATGATATGAGCTAATGCAATGATCCATCTGACATAAACCCTGCTTGCGTGTTGTGGTATTTAGTGTGGTGACTAGGCTTTCGCCGAACCTATTATCTCACTAGCTCTCTTGTATCTCCGCATTAACCCATGCATAGCTCCCTGCGGCGTAACGCTAAATGTTTACAGGGGTGTCACGCTTTCTCACTTTCTTCTCCAGTTTTGGCCAGATTCAAAGATAGGCGATCTAGCACGTTGCTTTTGCCGTCCTGCGCCGTATCAGCAATGTCTTAGCGCCGTGGGGCGTTGGCCGAGAATCTACGATACCGCTAATGACAGTTGAAAATTGTTGATTCGAGGCCGAGCCGAGGACGGTTTGGCTAGTTCGGAATCGAAATGTCACTTCGGAACGCGATATTGCAGCGATAAACAAGGTGCCAACGCTGACTTGGCCTTCAGTCCGGCTGCTTCGGCACCCAAGTCCCCCCAACTAGCTCCACGTCATCCACTGATAGCAACGGGTACGTTAGCTGCAGGAACAGTTAGCCGCTCTCTCCAATCTTTCCCTCCCTCATACATGCCAGCCCGGGATAACAGAAAAGCCCTCGCCGTCGCGGAATCTCGGTATGCAAGCGGATTCATGATGTGACGCAACGTGTGATGTACGAAGCCACGTTCGACTCAGGTGGTGCTTCATGTTTCCTAAACCACATGTCGAGTCAGGCATCCCCGGTCTACGAACTCCTTGTCTATCTCACATCTTACATGGCATTCATTATGCGACTTCGATAGACCAGCATCATATCCACTTCCCCGCACGCCACCCCCGCAATACCACGCGGAATCGGGTTCCGAGTTCCACAGCAAGATCTGTGTCTAGGGGAGGGCCACGGGAAAGCCAAGGGTGTGATAACTGTTAGCTGCTTACAAAAAGCCGGCGTTAATAGGCGAACGAGGTAATCAAACCCATACAGCCCGACCCTTCACCCTTTAAAGCTAACACGCCCGTCCCTCCAAAGACATCTGTCGCCTGGTTGTTTCCTGTCCCATCAACCAAACAACCGACAAGACATATTTCTGCAACCATGGACGAGAACAGGTCGCCCAGCGAGGTTGACCTCAAAAAGGGGAGCCCCGACCTCGAGCACGCCGTTTCGCGCCCCCTGAAGAACCTCAGCGATGAGGAACGCCTTGCTCAGCTGGGCCATCAGCAGGAACTCAACCGATCATTCTCCCTCCCAGCCCTCGGCGCACTCTGTCTTTGTTTGATGGCCACATGGGAAGCCCTGTCCACAGTTATTGCGGCCGCGCTGGTTAGCGGTGGACCACCTTGTCTATTTTATAACTAGTATGTTCCATCTGGCAACCTTGCATTCATAACCAGTGTGCTGACTTAATATGAAGCGTTCTTTCGTTCCTTTGCACAATGTGCATTGTCGTCTCCTTGGGAGAAATCGCGTCCATCTATCCCACCGCAGGCGGTACGACCTCTCGATCTCGAATTACAACAGACGTGCAGACACTGACGCGTGTTACATAGGACAATACCACTGGGTGGCGGCACTTTGCCCTGAGTCGACCAAGTCTGCCGCTTCATGGGCGACGGGCTGGATCTCCGTTGGCGGGCAGATCGTTCTCACAGCATCGGCTGCGTTTGCCGCGGGCCTCCAAGCCCAGTCCTTGATTAACATTAATAATGACGACTACGTTGGCAAACGATGGCAGGGTATGCTCTTCTACTGGGCCATTCTAGCATACGCTGCATTCTTCAACATTTGGGGCATGAAAGCCATGCCTCACATCAACTTGATTTCCGGTCAGTAAACAACTTTACCCGACATAGAACCCCATATTAACTTCGTTCCAGGAGTTATCCATGTTGCTGCCTTTGTCGCAATCGTCATCACGCTTGGAGTCATGGCACCGAAGAATACTTCTACCTTTGTCTTCACCGAATTCGTGAATAGTAGCGGTTGGAAGAGCGACGGCATCTCCTGGCTCGTCGGTATGCAGAGCGCAGTGTACCCGTTCCTTGGGTAAGTAGCCATTTTCTTGTGACCTATTAGGACAACGCTGACAGACATTGACTAGATACGATGCTGCATGCCATCTCGCAGAGGAGTTACCCCATGCGGCCCGCAACGTTCCCTTGGCCATGGTTGGAAGTGTTATTGTCAATGGCGTGATCGGCTTCATCTACTGCATCGTCCTCCTTTACTGCGCCAGCTCCCTCGAATCGTTGTTGGGAACCTCCACGGGATTCCCCTTTATGCAAATCTTCCTCGATGCCACGCAATCCAGGGCAGGAGCAACCGTCATGTCCCTCATGCCGGTTCTTATTGCGACTGCTGCGACTGCGGCGGGACTTGCATCTACGTCGCGCACCCTTTGGGCGTTCGCTCGCGACAAGGCAACCCCCTATGACGAATACTTCAGTGTCGTGAACCCAAAGCTCCAAGTGCCTGTCAGGGCTGTGGTGGTTGTTCTCGCGTTCCAGGTTCTCCTTGGTCTCATTTACCTCGGAAATGCTACTGCTTTCAACGCCATTCTTTCCATGGCCATCATTGGCTTGTATCTGTCTTACTTGCTGCCCATCGTGTACATGCTCTTCTACGGGCGCCGTACACTGGAGAGGAGCGACTATGGACCGTTCGTTCTACCTCAAATTGTTGGCATTGCCATGAATGCCATCAGCATTGTGTGGATGATCGTCGTTATCATTTTCAGCACATTCCCGTTGACATACCCAGTGACAGCGCAAAACATGAACTACTCCGTCGTTGTTTTGGCTGGCTGGGCTGCTTTTGGCGCTATTTATTACTATGGGTTTGGTAAGAAGAAGTACGAAGTTCCACTGACGGACTTGGCTGTTATGGACGCAAGGACGGAAGTGGCCGAGAAGTGACGAGATTGATATTGCGACTTGTAACAACACGCCATTAACCACCTATATAAATTGGAAACTGTGATGGAATTTTATTAAATCCCCCATTTAAACAACCGTTGTCCCTTTGTACATGACCACATTAGACCGTTATGACTATCCAGAACTTGTCCTGGAGAACTCGCAGACTGAATACATTTCTGCAACGGACACTGCTTCCGTTTGCGAGCATGATTTAACTGTATATTCCTATCACTGACATAACTTCAAATATGTTTAAACATGACGCCAACCACAGGTACGTCAATCATTGCGTGCGATGACGAGGGTGCCTTGTATAACTTGTGGGTAATCGTAGGCATCGGGAACCCTTGTCACTATCGTAAGATCATCACATTTGGCAAAAGCGCTAAAATTGGAAACCTGCAGAGCATGCTTTCTTTCTTTTGACATTCTCGATGACGAAATACCGGGATAACACGGTCTCCATCCTAAGCATGCCTCTTCGACGGGCCGAATACCATCCGAGAAATTTATTCCGGCCTCTTGAAGTGCGGTTTCAAGTCTGACCAACTCTCTTCGTTGTACTCTGGCTGGATCTTTTGGCAGGTCTTGAGTCCCCATTCAGTCACTCCCAAAAACAGACAGCTCTCAAACATGAACGCCATGTTTCCATCCACAACCTTGACAGGTTTCAGCTCCGCATTGCTAGCCTTCTCGAAAGTGGCAGCGTCGGGACCATGAGACGTCATGACGTTGTGCAAACTGGCTCCGGCTGCTTGGAATCCCTTGCCAGCCTTTGCGTCATACTCTCCACAAACCAGGCCCATGAATTCAGACATGGTGTTGCGGTGGTACCACGGCGGTCTGAACGTGTCTTCTTGGACAAGCCACCTGGGCGGGAAGATGACGAAGTCGGCGATAGCCGTGCCTGGGTGGTCGGAGGGTCCAGTCAAAACTGTGTAGATGGAGGGGTCTGGGTGGTCGAACGAAATGCTTCCAATGACGGAGAAGCGACCAAGGTCGTACTTATAGGGGTAGTCTGCAATTTGTGTTAGAACTATAAGTGAATTGTGCCTACTTGCCCAAGTACAAGTGGATGGGGATTCGATCAGCACAGGCCGTGTGTTCTGTGCCTTTCGGGATGATTAAAAACTCACACCTGTGATTGTCAGCATGGTTTATGCACGTATTAGATGGAAGCAGACGACTTATCACTTACTTTCCATGCCAGCCTACCACATCAAAGGGGGTGTGGTTCTGCTTAGCGATAAACAGCTCGTTATTGTACTTGTTGACGATGGACCACGTAGTGGAGGTATCCTCGTCAAATCTGGCCTGGGGAACTTGGAAATCTCTTGGATTCGCGAGGCAGTTGGATCCGATGGGGCCAAGCTCTGGCAGGATAAAGTTGCCCTGGTACAGCTCAAGGATATAGCCTCGGACGGGGCCTGCCGGCAACGTCACGCGATATTTGATTCCACGAGGGAGGACTGCGATCTCGTTGGGTCGGACCAGAAGATTTCCAAGCTCGGTTTGGATGTCCAGGACGCCGTGCTGACCGACAATCAGCATCTCGCCGTCGGAGGAGGACATGGCCATGTTCGCATCCATGTCGCGGCCAGCGGCGTAAATGTATATTCCCAGGCCGGACTTCATGGCCGGATCACCAGCACCTGCCGCCAGCTTCAAACCGCGAATCCAGTCGACCTCCTTGTCGATGTCGAAGGGGTCCCATCGCAGCTGGTTGGGGATGTGGTTCAGCTTCGCGCCAAAGTTGCCGGTGGTGACCTCGGTGAAGGGTTCAAAGGAGGAGTGAGCAGCGGAGGGGAGGACACGGTAGAGCCATGATTGAAGATTCTCATTTCTCGGCGCTGTGAAAGCCGTGCCAGACAACTTCTCTGCATAAAGGCCAAATGGTGCCTTCTGAGGCGAGTTGGCGCCGATGGGGAGCGCCCCCTCTATGGCTTCCGATCTGTGCACCTTGTTCAACGGCTATCCTTCAATGCCAGGAGGATCGACATACTCATGGAATGAACCGAATCCATTGAGATACTTGTATTTCTCAGGTGTTTCAAACTTTGTTACAGGCATCTTGTCAGATTGTGTTGACGCTGGTGAAATAAGAGTATCGTCAGTGCGGGGACTGAGTGGCGGGGATATCACAACACCAATGCTTGGATCAGTCCGGAGCGGGCATATTTCCATTCCTTATCTACAGTCTTTATTCCCCCGAGAACGCTTACCAACAGCTGCCGTTCTTTACAGCCGTCGACAGAATGATCCGACGGAAATGCATTCCGGGGCGTCGCACATGACGGCTCGAAACGGTGGAAATTCGGAATGCGGAATTTTTGCCTACTGGTCGGAATAAATGCCGGCGATTCGGCAGTTAACGCGGAGGAGTTGGCTGGCCTGGAATAAACCATGGCTATTTCAGCAGCCTGTTTCGGGCAATTATTCCATGGATTTGTGTATTAAACGCTCAGCCTACAAGTTGCCCACCATCTCGATCGCTACGGTAAATAGCCTCATGATCTTGGTTACGCATCATCACACATACTAGACGTTTCCGCTTTCGCAACCAGATCCCAAGATGAAGTCGTGGCTTCCCATCCCGCCGGGGTCTCATTTCTCCCTGGCCAACATCCCATTCGGTATTATCTCCACGGCGGCCATCTCCGCACGCCGGCCGGCCATCGCCATCGGCACCCATGTGCTTGACATCTCCGCCTTCGCCAAGGAAGGTGGCTTCACAAAGCTGAAGGACTTCCCCGGCGACAAGCTTGGAGTCTTTTCTGAGCCGACCCTTAACTCATTTGCCGCCCTCGGGCGGCCCGTCCACCGGCTTGTTCGCGAGTATATCCGTGACATCTTCCGGGACGACACCCCCTACCCTGAGGCTTTGAAGACCAACGAGGCTCTGAAGAAGTCGGCGTTGCTACCACTGTCCGAGGTTGAGACTCATCTCCCTCTGTCGATTGGAGACTATACCGATTTCTTCGCTGGCCGCAACCATGCTCACAACGTTGGAACCCTGTTCCGGGGTGCTGCCAACGCTCTGCAGCCCAATTACAACCATCTGCCCGTGGCTTATCACGGCCGTGCCAGCTCGGTAGTAGTCTCCGGCACGCCGCTCCACCGTCCGGTTGGCCAGGTTCTACCTGCTCCGGGAGCCCAGACCCCCGTCTTTAAGGCCTCTGGCAGGATAGACATTGAGCTTGAGATTGGCACATTTATCTGCAAGGGCAACGCCCTCGGCCACCCTATCCCGCTTAACCAGGCAGAGGATTACATCTTTGGCTATGTGCTCATGAACGACTGGAGTGCCCGAGATATTCAACAGTGGGAGTATGTTCCTCTGGGGCCCTTTAATGCTAAGAACTTTGGCACCACCATCAGCGCCTGGGTTGTGCTTGCGGACGCCCTTGAGCCGTTCAGGACCCAGGGCCTACCAAACGACACCGAGTTGCAAAGTTATCTCCGCGAAGAGAGGAAGGATAATGTGCTAGACATCAAGCTGGAGGTTACTCTCAGCAGTAAGTGCACCGTCTTGAGCCAATGACAACCAGCGGAAAAACTAACCTCATGACTTAGCCGCCAAGGGTAATTCGCGCACTATTACACGAACCTCTTCTAAGAACCTTCTCTGGTCCTGGCCCCAGATGATTGCCCACCACACCATTTCCGGTTGCAACCTGCGAACTGGTGACCTTCTCGGCAGTGGTACTGTCTCTGGGTTCGAGGAGGGTACCCACGGTAGCATTTTAGAACAGACCAAGGCTGGAAAATTCCCCGTTGAGATTGGTGGTGGGGAAGTGCGCAACTTCCTTGCTGATGGCGATACTGTTGTCATTAAGGGATGGTCTGGTGCCAATGAAGATGAGTTGGTCGGATTCGGAGAATGCTCTGGCCAGATTCTGGCGGCTGTGACTCAGGTATAACTCAAATAGATATGGTATAGAAGGAAAAGAGCACCAGTACAAGCATGCAGCGGCTTCATGCCACGAAATTTGCGGGATTCCTCGTCGTAATCCATAGCAAGACTATGTGCCAAGGGTTTGCAGTTTACATGGCGGGGCAGCCCCATGAGCGGATAAAGCCAATGGGCGATCTTCCTCCGACAAACGGTGGTTGTACACAAAAACAACCCAAAAAGCTGTTAAGATATTCATCTCGTATATATATGGCATGATACACGAGTGATAAGGGAGTTGCAGTTGATTTTCGAGACGCGATGGGATTAGGTGAACAAAATCCGAAGTGATATGTAACTTTTTTTTAATTGTGCTATGCTTCTGGATCTACCACCATGGAATTTCTCGACTACAGTCGATCACGTTAGCTACATAATGATCCCTTACTCCCCTCCCCAATTCATATCCCGTCGCTCTCTTCCGCCATATTTTGGTTACTCGGTCACATCCAAAGCCTTCTTCAAGCTCTTGAGATCTCGGGGCACAAACTTGGCCCTGTAACGCTTGGGCAATGCCACCAGACTAGTCGGATCGGCATTGCCGTCAACCGGGTGAACGTTGACATTGTCGTGCTTCTCGACGCGGAAGCTGTTCAGTAGCCTCATGTAGATGAGGTACAGCTCTCGGTTTGCCAACAAGGATCCAGCACACATGCGGTAGCCGACGCCGTAGGTGAACAGCGGGGCATCGGGCTGCTCAAACCAGCGCTCGGGGCGGAAGTTCTCGGGGTCCGACCAAACAGCAGGGTCTTTCTAAGTGTTAGCATTGTCAAGTAATGGAACTGTATTGATTACTGACCCATGTTACAGGCCCAGGCGTTCAAAAATACAACACTGCCCTTGGGAATAGTGATGCCCTCGTGGACGACGTCCTTAATGGAAGCGCGGGGCAGAGCAAGTCGGAGCACAGTGAAGTATCGCAGGGACTCCTTCACCAAAGCGACAATGTATTGGCACTTCTGGTCATCATCGACATCGCACATAGGCTGGGTAACATCATAAAACTTGCGAATCTCAGTCTCGGCCTTGTCCTGGATCTCGGGGTGTTGAGAGAGGTAGGCAATGAACCAGGCAACTTGGGTAGTAACGGTGTCAAGACCGCCAGACAACATAGTCAGACTGATAGATGTGAGTTCGTCCTTGTTCAGTTTGGCCTCCTTGTCCATAATGACATTTGCCTGGATACAAGGGCTATAAGTGCCATTTGCGATGCGCTCATCGAGACCGTCGTTGAGGGAGGTGAGATACTTGTCGCGTCTGCCTCGCATTTCACGAGCCTTGGAGGAATGGAAGTTGATAGGGTTGATTCGGAGAAGGGGAATGTAATCCTGGAGGTTGCCGGTAGTGGATCGGAACTTGCTAATTTCCTCCTCGACGTGGGTGATTTCCTCAAAGAGGTTGTCCTTCTGACTCTTCAAGCGAGTGCCCCAGTTGAGAGTGAGAGCTAGCGACAAAGAGAGGCGCTGGATCATGGGCATGGGGTCAACAGGGACGCGGCCACCATCGCCGTAGGTGTAGAGCTCCTTGACGAAATCCCTAGTCTCGACCTCAAGGTGGGGAACATAGGTAGCCACAGATGGCCTGTTGAGGGCCGAGGCAGCACCCTTGCGGCGGCGCTTCAGCGAGTCACTGTAGGGAGACGTGCCGATAGTTGTTCCAGCAGTGTCGGAGAGAATCTAGTCGACGGATTAACACGCGAGTGATTGGGATGAGCACAACGAGAAGCATACCTTGTGGAATGTATAGAACTCGGGCCTTGAGCTAAAGGCCTGGGCATGCTTGCCGAAGATATCTCGTGCAGCGCCAGCAGAGTTGATGACGACGACGGGGACATTACCCAGCTGGATCTGGTAGACCTCGCCAAACTTCTTAGACCACTCTCGGTACTTGTCGGCGGCGTTGACGCGGATGTCCCAAAGATTACCAATGACAGGCAGGCCAGAGGGACCCTTCATGTTGCTGATTCGAGCATTGTTGCGGACGATCTCATTGATGAAGAGGTAGATGATGGGGGCGAGCACTATCGAAACCAGGATCGATTCGCCCGGGCTTTGGCGAACGTAGTCGTTCAGCGACAGCAGAAGGCTTGCGATGGTCATGGCTGCGACACGGGAATGAGCAAGGCTTAGAGCGAGCGAGTCGTGGTCCTCTTGGATGCCGGGAATGATGGAACAGCGTCGTCTACGCTCTTAAGAGGTGAATTTAAGAGGAAGCCGGAGACCAGATTCCCGCTGATATCCCGCTGGTATCCTTCAGAGCTCCACGTGCCAGTCGGAAAATATGCCATTTCAGCGCTCTTCGGCAAATGCCTTGGGACTCGACGTCTCTCCGCGATATAGCGAGAGCAATACCCGATGCCAAACGGGTTAGCGCGTGGCGATCGCTTCAAAATCTCCCCCAAGCGTGGAGGTGGATTTGCGGGGAAGTCGGAATCTGCGGAAACTACCGCTCGGAAACTCGGCGCAATACCGAGACAACCCATTACTAACTCCTCGCCCTGACTGGCACCGCGTCTTAAACCTAGGCGGAACCCCTGCGCGCTGCCCTCTGCTCCTCGGAAGCTCGTTTTCGTCTCTGAGACTGCAATTCCGTCAGCCAAGTTACTTACAGCCATGGACGACAACTCGTCCACCGCCGAGCAGCCCAGAGAGACCACTCCCAGCAGTGTGGCCACTCGAAAACGCCCTGGCCCGGACGGCTTCCGCAGAGGGAAGCGTGGCAAGTACACCTCCGTCGCATGGTACGATGACGGCCGCCTCCCCCCGCGTCAGGCCAAGATGCTCACATATCATACAGCGATGAATGCAAGAAGCGGAAGCTGAAGTGCATCCCCGTCGACGATTCAAGCTGCCAGCGTTGCATCGACGGGGGGTTGATCTGTGTCTATGCCCACGGTTCGTCGCACGCCAAGGAGAAGAACGAAAGGTAACATAGACATCGCTCTCTTCTTGTTTTATTTTATTCAATGATGCTGACGCGTCTCCGAGAACTGGTAGTCAGCAACTTCAAGTCTTGAGTGATGAAGTCATCCAGCTTCGCCAACAGGTATCTGACCTGGCTGGAGCCATGACCTTTGTAAGGGAATTGAAGGACCGCCCACGCAGCACTCGCCTTGATCCCTCGCCCGCCCAGGATGCCAGCACTATTGTGCCGTCGCCGGCCAGTTCTTCTCAAAGAGAAGGTATCCCGAAGGAGCCTCAGTTTGTTGGGCCGACAAGGTCCGCCTTTGGCTTCATGATCGGTGAGCGGTCGTTGACCCGTATGGGCATCCCGACTTATGAGACTCTACCTGCCAGTGGCGCCCAGTCGCCGGCGAATCTACCTCGAGAGTTAGACGCGGACCCTCGTGACTATTGGCATCATTGCACCGCCCAGGAGATCGTCAGGCTCCTTACTGTCTTCCAGGAGGAAGTCGAGTCTGTTTACCCGTTTATCAACATTGGGGACCAAGCCTCCCGAGCAGATGACATCCTGCGGGCCATACGAAGCACCGAACCAGGAGGTCAGAGAATATACGACATTTCAGACCTGGAAGTGTCCTCAAAAGATATCGATATTGTCAAGGTTGCCATGGCCACTGCCATTGTCCTTGAGACTCATGGCAAGAAGGAGACGAGCACCATGATAGTGCAGTCTGTTGAAAACAACGTTTCTATGATATCGCGCCCCGAGGTTGATATAAAAGAAGTCCAACTCATTACAATGCTGGTAACTAACCTCCATACACCAATTTCTTCTCTGGGATGGCTTGCTAATATCTTCTCAAGAGTATTTATTACTTTCACTGCGACGAAGAACTTCTCGCCTGGCGCACCATCGGCGTTGCCGCACGAGAAGCTCTTGAGATGGGTCTCCATCGGAAGAAAAGTCTATTCGATAATTTCAAGGATCTTGAATCACGTCGCCTTGCTACGAGGGTCTTTTGGTGTGTTTACGTACTCGATCGCCGTTGGAGCTTTGGCACCAGTCTCTCTTTCGCACTAGTAGATCGCGATATTGACCCTGAACTACCAGAACCAGTCAGTCACTAGCAGTTCTATCAGATTTTACAATAGCTAACCAGATTGTGTCTAGGATGAGCAGTTTGCCTATCTCAAATGCATGGTTGGCTACGGCCGCGTCTGTTCCAAACTCTGGGACGCCATTCCGCCTTTTGGGTCACATTCGCAGTTAATCCCTGAAGATACCGTCATCTCTCTGGATCTAAGTACTCAAGCCTGGTTGCAGTCAATCCCTCCGGACCTCCAGTTACGCCATCCTCGCCTTGGACTCGCACCACGCTCTCAACCACGTATCATGCACCGGCTACGCGCTCTCCTATACCTACGTGGAAACCATACTAGAATTTTCATTTACCGACATCACCTTCTCAGCGCTGCCAGTATTGCCGCAAACCTGCGCAGTGCTTGGTTGGTCGTCGACATTGCCCAGGATAGCATACAGGTTTTGGTGCACCTCAACTCAACCACCGACATTTACTCTCGCCAACAAAACGTATTCAATTACTTCCTCCTCAGTGCCTTGGCCATCATCTTTTTAGCCGTGTGTCACGCGCCAGATGTCTTCACTGGGCCTTGCAGGAAAAGCTTCCTCGACGCTGTGGAGCTCGTCCGGGGCTTCTCGCGAAATAGCATTGTCAGCCGAAGATTATGGAATAGCATTCGTGGTCTGCTTCCGCGGTTAAAGAATCTCGGTCTCCAGGGTTCTGAAGAGAGAGATCAGGCCGACATGCCGGTAGAGGGCGACAGCCCAGCCGTCACAATCAACTCGCCTCGAATGGGAGGTTTGGGTAGCAGAGAGCTGCGTGAACACACACATCATTTAGACGGGCACGATGACCTTGACGTGAGTGACATTCACACAGATAGCGGCATCGTTCCCGACTTGGACCTCAGTGGCTCGATTCCGGACATGTATCAAATGAGGAATGATCTCCTGTCTTTGTTTGATGCATTTGGGAACGGACAGATTCTCCCAGAAGGATTTGGCGCTCAGTTTTACGGACCAGATGACGGAGACTCGATGAACGGGATGGGGGGAGAAATTTCAAGACGATTCCAGGGACTCATTTAGATAGATTAGCCATCAACTTGTATCATTATTATAGATACCCAGGACTTGATTGAATTCTATTGCAGAGATACACAAGTATTGTGTTGCTTTTTGGTTGTCTATTTTTTAATCTATCTGAAATCAAACGAGCTCGTTCTCAAAGAAGACCATCATGGCTCCCTGGTGGACACTCTTGGCGAAAGCCTTGAGCTCCCCGTGCGCAGCACACTCGTTATCATAGTAAACCATGTCATCCCCTGACTTGAAGACAGAAATAACAGCAATGGTGAATCCTTGCGCTCGCTGGTCGGGCTTTGCTACGCCAGCAGTGACAGAGACGATATAAGGCTTGCCATCCTGAAGTCGAATAATTAGTCATGACTCTGATTTGCAATATCTATTTAGGAGTCATCTCGAAGACGAACCTTGACGGCCTTTGAAGGCATGCCCTTGTAAATATCGAGCAACTTTTGTTGATCCTCCACGCCGGGGATCTTGAACAAGGTAACGCGGTTGATTTGCTTAGACATGGTGTAGGGTTTATCGAAAGAGGTGAGAGATAAGACAAGGATCTTAGATGAGAATCGAGATATCAGAGACAAGGTAGTATAAATGCGTCACTTAAAAGAGGACGAGGGGGGGTGACGACTGTACTAGATCTAAATAGATCAGTTCTTCGGAAGCGTGGGGTCAAAATTCCGACCCGTCGGAATCTACCCCCGGACTCCGGATAAGAGGTCCACCCGAACTGCCGCTGACCAATGTCCAACAGAATATTGAGGTACGAATTGACTCTTGCGTGTTCCTCGGGTTTAGGTATCCCACAGATCGGCGGGGTTTTCTAATTAAGTCTTCCGATTGGGAGTGGCGTGTGGGCAGAAGTCCGTGTGCGAATATTCCGGCCTTTCGACAAGCGTTGTCACAACCATCAAAAGTCTTCTCCAAGGAATAATTTCAGAGGCTCATCAACGATATCATTACCAACAACGGTCAGAGAATGGCTTTGAGATCTCTAGCTACTCTATGCGCACTCAAAGTCTTCGACTTTCAGACCCTGTGGTTGAATCTAACTGGTTGACAATGTCGGTTTCTGTTGCAAAGTTGAAAGGAGGTCTCTGGTCGCCATCGATGAACTGAATGGCCTTAGGACATTAGTTACAGTAGCCAATAGCACTATACAATCTCTTTAGCTATTTATGGCTAAATTGGTGGAAAGAGAGACTATATGGGCGCGGTGGTCGCGTACTGTTTAGAGCCCATCCCAGATCAGAGCAGCTCGCCATTTATTATCATTTCATTATAAATTCATCAAGACTCATGATCTAAGCCGAGCCTTCCGAATCAAATTCCAGAATGAAGCTGATTACGAACCTATTTCTTAGTCCGTACGGAAATTTCAAGGCTTTCGGGAATTCGGGAAACAAACGAACGGCCCCTCTCTTGCCGAGTCCGAACCCGTCCCCGAGGTTGACCGTGCGATGCGTGAACGCGGCATTCTTTTTGCGTTAAAAAGCAAGATGCCCCATCAATTGTCGGCAGGTTATGCGACCCAATTAGACCTAGGTCTGATCTTGCAGCGGCAGATAGGTCGGCTCTTCCCTATCGTTCGTCTTATCCTCGGAACTCGGGGCCCCCGTGGATACCCGAATGGGTGGCATGCGTGCATATCCACACGTCTTGTAGGCGCACTTTGGAACAGCGGGAACAAGGTTCCAGGAAGATTGTGCTTCCTTTTGATGCCCCGGTCATGCTCCAAGGCTTTGCAATCTCAACATACAGGAGAAGACAAAATAATTACGGCTCGGGCCGAGGTTCTAAGTTCGTCATATGCGTAACATTTTCAACATCCCAAGGGAAAGCCTTCGGGAAGTTATCCGCCAGTATCTAGAAAGCACTCACAGCTCATTAATAGGAATATTCTTGACTCTTTGGCACTCTGCACCCTCTAGTCTACGATCATACGCTCCCCTTTGCCAGAATCTCTTCTCGTAGTCAACCATGTCCCCAGAGCCGGAACAAGCGATGTAAATTTCGAAAATGTGTGGCAGAAGCGAGTAGATCGGTTAAACTGCCAGTTCCATGAAACGGTTGGGCCCTTACCCACTGACATCACTTCAAGTTTCGCTTGATCACCATCTCGATCTTATTATACGGTATGACCAGTCATGGCCTCTCATCGCTGCCAGCCTGCCAATATATGATGAAAGCTGCGGAGTTGCAGAGGCCCAGTTCCGGCCCAGGATATTTCGTCCTTTTAATGCATAGTAAATTAGCACGCTTAAGACAAAGAAAGCCAGTAGAGTCGCAGGCTTCACCGGACATTCCACACTATGCTTTTGCGCCATCCCTACCAGCCTTGTATACAAACATGTCATAATTATACCTTCATTACCTTTCACACGAAATCGTCCTCTACTATGAAGGGCCGTTGACCTTTTTAGAGACGGCATGATTCTAGAATGTATCCACTTATTTTATTTCCTTCCTTCTATATATTCTAGCGGGCTTCTTGATACATATTTCTCCCATCTAGGACTGTTCGTTGCTTCTTCAGATTTCGCCATTAAGCCTTCAATCACACTCAGCACTGTTGTAATCCACGCGTTACTAATTACTGTACATGGATTTGGATTAATCTCAGAAACTGCTCTACTTCTCTTCTTGAAAAATTACAGCTAACTCACCACTTCATTGAGATAGACCTGGTACGAGTTGTCCCACTTGCTTATATATCACTATCGCTTTCCATATATAGACCAGTGCCTGACCACGTTTGAGAAAGACTCCTTCCACTCATAATGACTAAAAAATAATTGCTACAATTTACCGAGAGTTGCAATCAATAGGGTTCGCTTATTTTCTCCAAGACTTGACATGTGTCCAAACCCGAAAACCCAGGGTTGGATATCTCGATTTGCAACGCACCCATCAGAAGTAGGGTCGATGAAAATCTTAGGATTTCTGCCGCCTTCGTGTTATCCAACTGCTAAGCAGTCATTGAAAGGGGCAAAATAATTCGCATGGCAAGAGTCGCCTACGCGGAGTCCTGTGCAACTCCGCTGAGGGCCTCGGAGTAGCAACCTGCCCTCCTCGACCAGGTATTTGCCAGGCAGAGGATGTCAATCGACGCCGCTCAGAACATGCGCTTACATTGCATGTTCCCATCAACATATCCAAAAGCGCAGTCGCGGAATGAAATGGCTCCCGCAGCTCGCCACGGCCTCACCGGCAGACGATCTGCGAACTCCGCTCCGCAAAATCCACCTCCGCCTTTTAGCAACTTAATTCCGAATCCAACGTCCGCCCTCTGGAGCTGTCGAACAGGTATATCATCACCGCTCTGCCAACGTACCAGTAGACATATTATCAAAACATTCACTCACCAACCAAAACCAGAACCAGAACCAAAGCAACACTCACAATGAAGGTTGCTATCGTAGGCGCTACCGGCGAGACCAACCAGTCCATCATTGCGGCCCTGCTTCAGCGCCCAGAGGACTTCGTAAGCCCTATAATCCCCCCTGTCGCTAGTTGGCGGGGACTAACAACAGCCCGATAGGAAATCACCGCCTATGTTCGGCCGGCCTCAATCAATAAGCCAGAGGTTCAAAGCGCCAAAGACCAGGGCGTTGCAATCGTCCCTTTCGACCTTGAATCGCCACAGGAGGAGCTGGTTAAAGCACTCACGGGGCAGGATGTTCTCATCTCCTGCGTCATTCCCTTCACGCCCGATGCGCAAATGGCTCTCGCCGACGCGGCCAAGGTCGCGGGTGTGAAGCGGTTCGTGCCCAGCGCCTTTGGGCCCAGCAGTCCACCAAAGGGTACCATGGCGCTTCGAGATGTCGTAGGCTCCCCCTGCTAGCCCTGAAATGTTGGTTGCGGGTGTTGACACTCTACAGAAAGAAGATGTTCTCAATCACATCAAGAAAATCTACCTACCCTACACCGTCATCGACGTCGGATGGTGGTACCAGAGCACCCTCCCGCGGCTCCCATCCGGCAAGATCGACTACGCGCTTACGTTCCCCATGGCCAACATGTACGGCGACGGTAACTTCCCATCGGCGCTCACCGACTTGAGGGATGTGGGCAAGTACGTGGCTCGCATCATCGCCGACCCACGCACGCTCAACAAGTCTGTCTTCGTGTACAACGAGGTATGGACGCAGGAGCAGATCTTCACGCTACTCGAAAAGGCCAGCGGCGAGAAGATCCCACGCGAGTACCTGTCCAAAGAAGAGATCGAGGCCACGATCGCGGCCGCGAGCAAGAAGTTCTACAACGAGGAGTGGTCACTCCCCAACCTCCTGGGCCTGGTAGTGGTGCAGTATGCCAACTCAGTTTGGCTGCGGGGGGACAACGTTCCCGAGAGCGCCGAGTATCTTGGATACCTGAGCGGCAAGGAACTGTACCCCGATGTCGAGACCATCAAGTTCGAGCAGTATGTTGCAGAGGTTTTGGCCGGCAATGGCAAGGCGACGTACGCCAACCGCACTTTTGACTTCGCGACCAAGGACGGCGAGGACAAGAAGTGAGCAGTAGTCAGTGACCGAGCGAGGGGGTTGGCACCGCTTTCGCCGTTCGTGACTTTGCCGCCGGTCTCGATCAGGTTCTACCGTCTTGGAGTAGATATGATGGCGGCCGATGATATCTCATTGTCCGGTAGAATTTGAGAATCCAGGAGCTAGTAATCTGCTACGAGTAATATTCATTTCCATTAGAGTTAGAGTCATGACTCAAGCACAAAGCAGAACGTGGCATGCAATAAATAGGTCCTAGATAGTCCCTGATAATTGACACATGAGATTCGCCGATTTTACCGCTGATCCCTTAATTCGGTGTACACAAGACCCAATATCCAACCGAACCCTAACGAGGGTGAGAGAAGCAAGAAATAGACACGCCTTACCATCAAATACACTCAGGTTAGAATACCTGAGATGCCCGTCGGCATCAAATATGGAATCAACGCCGAAGAAAGAATACTTGCAATATTCCGTGCCATGTCTGACTTCTTCCCCAAGCAGTAGAGGGCTTTGGTACAGTCCTCACACCGCCTGGCCAAAATCATTATCGTAGGACTTTCCAACGAGGATGGGTCGTGTCGGACTGACTCCTCCACCTCAGTCAGATGAAGGATGGCTGCCTTGGTGAATGCCCGAATTAGGATCATGGTCCAAGGCTCTGTCAAGATCGAACCCTCAACAACGGCAAAGTGGAGATCAGATACATGGGTGCCAGGAATATCACCAGCTCGGGGGCACGTTGAAACCCGGGCGAGGTCGGAGAGGATCGCGGCGCTGTCCTGTCGTAGGTACCTGACCACGTCGACTCTAAGGCGGACCTGTGTAGAGTATTCCATGCCGAGGTTGTTTTCGTCCACCAACTCAATCAGATCGGCAAGGAGGAGAGCGGCGCAGTGGAAATGCGCGACGACGCATACGAACCAGCTCTGGATATGTGTTGGAACTGAGTCGTACTGATGAACGAGATCTCGGAAGAATGCTCCGTAGGTCACATTCCAGTGTTTGTAGACGGCCATGGAATTCGAGATGACCTTCTCAACGGCCTCGCCTCGGTATTTGCTCCGTACCGTATTCTGTAAATACGAGACGTGCCTGAACAATATCACCTTGACTGGTGCTGCTGCCACAACGCCCTTGGTAGCCGTTTCCGTCGAACACGGCCAGCGCAGTACTCCTTCCACATCCTCTCTGACGAAAAGCTCAGCCCACCATCTGGCATCATGGGGGCTATATTCGATGTTAAAGGCGTCATGCTCCGGGCGGTCTGGATACGATGGATATGTCGGATCGTGATGACACTCCTCATCAGAAACGACGACAGGACGGCCGTTCATTGAAGATGAGACAGTATCGAACATGACAGTCATCCAGTAGACGAGGCCAATAGTGCCTCTTTCTTCGTCGCTGAGGGACTCGGCGCTAGTGGCCCTTTCTAGTCCAAGGGAGCTCTTCGACGAGTCAAGCACTCCCGTCTCGCGGGCCTCGTATTGGAACTTGAGAGCATGCATCTTCCGAGCTGCCCGTTCCATAAACACTGGCGGCCCTTCGGCAGCGATAATGTCGCTAATTTGCGATGCAATGGAGCCTTCTCCACCTACGATGGGGCTGTCACCACCGAAACCATTGGGTGGCATGCTGTCCCTTCTGTCAAAGGCGAGATCTTCGTCATCCATTGGCTTCTGGGCCAGTCCCATGATCAAATCCGCACACACCACCCTGAAGCATTCCATATCTGAGCAATCCTGGAGAGCGCGTTTCGCCTGTGCCCAAAATGACTTCTGGAGTGTGCGGTCGAAGTCGGCATTCATATCGTCGGCGAAATCTGTGCTGTCAAGGGATGCTAGACTTTGGGGAAACCTCTCACGTTCGCGCTGGCTACCCTGGGCCCATTGTGTGGCGAAGGCCATGATAGCCAGATGGAGGGCTTTTGACGCGGCCTTGTCCTCCGATCTCGTGAGCTTAATCAACTTGGTTGACTGGGCGACTTTATCGAGCTTGACCACACGGCGGTATATCCTATTGTCTTGCTGCTTCGGTTCGTAATGGTCGAGAACATTCAGTTTCTCAAAGTTGGACGCCAACCAGCTGACCCCATTCGAGGATGGTCGGACGACAGAGTTGGGCCGGTACGGGCATGTCTCTTCGGACAGCCAGCACGACAAGGCGTGTTCCAGAACATCGTGGTAGATGCGCATGAGATTGTCCGAAATCAAACCTTTGTTGGTATTCGTGGCCATGAGGTGGGCTGCGGAGAAGGGCGAAATCGAAGTGCCATAACTTCGGGCCACACTGTCTGAGTAGTGGCGGGCGCTGAGCGACCGGGAGGAGATGTCGCTTTCATACGAGTTGGAGGCTGAGGGAGACGGCTGGAAAGGAAGATCGGGCGCGGAGCGGGTCTGGGTCAATGGCCACCCGTTCTCACCATTATCTTCTTCAGTTGTAGATTGGTGTCGAGTCTGGTGCAGGCCATGCGTAGGCAGATCGGGAGCTGGGGAGAGGTCTAACGGGTGGGGGTGTGACGGGGTTGAATTCGGGTCGAGAGGGCCGAGTATGTTCGGGTGCAGGCCGGTGTCGAAAGCGGAGGTGTTGAAGACACCATTCATGGGCATCGGGTCGAAGGCGGAGTTGGGGAAGCCCGAGAAGTTGGCAAAGCCAGTTTCCATTGGACCCCAGCTTGTCAAGTCGTGAGTCGAGGGCGGCGCCTGAAGCATGTCGAGCAGCGCAGTGGCATTGACGTCGAGGCCGGTGATCGGGAGAGCCGTCTGGGTGGGCGAGGGGCCAGGTTGAGGGCGCGGACGCTGGCGCTTGGCCTTTGCCCGCGCAGGATCGGGGACGCGACGAGCATTGGTGCCGGCTTGAGTTGAAACGTCACCGGGAGGGCCGGTCTGTAGCTGGGCGCGAACCCAATGGAAGGTGCATTGTTTTCTGGTTCGGAGGCAGTAGGAGCATCGTAGGGCGCGGGAGTCTATCTCATCTGCGAGGTTTTTCGGAACCCCGGTTAGTGTCGCTTCCCGGAGCGGCGCGCAGGCAAGGGAACGGCAGGACCCGACATCAGGACAACTCACCGAGATGTTCTTCGGCGAGGGAAACGCCAGATGAAGCGTCAGTGCCGGTGCGGAGCCTTTCCGAGTTGCGCTGGATGTCCCACAGGGAGGGCGCGTCGCATGCCCGCTTGGCCTTGCGGCACTGGTCGCAGGAGCGGTTTTGGCGCCTCATCCTGGCGAAGAGCGATTCGACAGGAGCCTAGCGACTTGCGCAGAGTAGCACAGCAGACTATAGAAGAGAGCAGCAGCAGACAACAACGACCCTTATTAGGTGGGTTGGAGGGGGGAAGACGGCTGTATTTCCCTGTCGGGGAGCGCAGCAGAAGGTGGATAGGCAGAAAGTGGAGGTGGTGACGCGATGGGGAATGAATGAACGGGGATGAGGTGGATGGGATGGGATGGGATGGGGATGGGAAGGGAGATGAGCGAAGATGAGATTTGCGGCCCCTCTCTTTGCGGGTGACAGGGTCGCGACTGGCTTCCTCTTGGACTGGGCTTCTGGGGTTAAGATTCTCCGCTTTTCCGAGGGGGTCTCAGTTCCCCGCACCCCGCTAATCTATTCATGTGCTAGGCCTGTTCAGAAGCATTGCCCCCGGCTGCAGCATGACTCTCGAATTGGGCCATGACACGGCGACCCGGCCCAACAGCGTCAGGGTGTTGAGATGGCCAGCGAGCCAACGACGACGGTTGATCGAGACTGATTCGAGGCGGGTTCCAGACCTCGAAGGGGCTGGACGCCATGTTTCCTGCCTGGAGGATCTGCAGCGCCGGCCGCAATGCGATGCCTGCTGGCGCTGTGGTGGTGCAGGGCGCTGTGGTGGCGATTTGCGGCCGGGGTTGATCGAGGGGGCGGATTCCGGCTCTCAGGATGGCCGCGCCCCTCCTCAACATGCCAGACATGCTTTTCACAGTCAGCACCCAGAGCTACTCCTGGAGTACCTAGCTCAGCTACCTATGTTTGCTCGGATCTGTAGCTGCCGTGTGGGTGGGTTTCTTTGAGCTTGCGTGGTGGGTGTAAGAGGCACACACAAACGGGGAAGCACGGAGCGGAGCGGAGGGGGACATAGGAGGGGCTCCCAACAGGGCTGGAAGTTCCCGGCGAGGGCCGTCACTTTGTTTTTCGAGTCTAACCAAGCCACCGCGGGGCCTCTGGAAAATGGGTGGAACAACCTACGGCAGGCAGAAGAAAAAGGGGCAAGGCGGCATTCTCAGCATGCGTCTTGGTAGCGCTGATGTGTGGCCCCAGCGGCGACTATGGAAACTAGCAGCGGGTTATTGCAAAACACAGCACAGACGCATTTTCGAGACAGCAGCATTTCAGAGCGAGGGAGCTCCTCTCTGTGTGATGTATGTGAGAGAGTGTGTGTGCGCGTACGGATCCAGCGGACTTGAGTTGCAGCACTGCGGGCGGAGTGGAACACGCGACTCACGACAGACACGGAAAAAAGGGGCTAAAACACTTGGAGTACGGGGTATGCACGCCCAGATCATCCTGATGGCTCGATGCGATTCCCTCTTCTGGTTCTTCATCCCACCTGACCGAGTAACCCTGCCTTGCCTTTTTGTGCGCTGCGTTCGCTGCAACCCCTCGCTGCCGGTCCCCAAGAAACGGGGGCTGGGGATGCGTCTCCCTGCTTCCGCGCCCAATCACACAGCGCCAAATGCCACTATCAACCCCTACCCACAGCAGCCCACTGGAGTCCACTGGAACCCACCGTGGCCCGCAGCAAGCCCCTAGAAATGATTGCCCTAGCACCCACCTCCCTTGTGCCAACCGTGTACGCACAGCACAAGCCTGCAAAGGCCGCAACCTCTAGGACCCGACCGTAGTGGACCATGCTGCATGAGCCGCTATTTTCATCTCCTCCATTGTTGCTCAGATCTGAGATGCAACTCTTATCACGCCGACAAGCAGCCTATCTGCGGGCCCAGCTCCCGTTCATGAACTCGGTTTCTAGCCAATTCCAGGATCCATAATTCCAACTGCGAGATCTGATCGATGAACGGCACCTCTAGACCCACGTGTTCACGCTCGCCCTGTCGCATCGCATCGTCGCAGCCCTGCGCTTTCTGCTTTTTGACAGCTCCGTCGTGACCCCTCGCCTATCGCCAATCGACAAGGGTGTTCCGGAGATGATCTCAACCACGTCGAATTTTGCCGTGCTTGTATCGCCATTGTGAATCTCTGCTGTATCTTATAGATTCTCAGAAAGAACTCCTTCGCCATGCTCATGTCTGAGTCCATAACTGCTGGAAGTCTGTGCTGCTACATTGTGGACATGTCTGCGGCGTCCAACCACAGCAAATCTTGACCTGCTCCAACACTCACCGTCTGAGCACCCCCTCATTAAGGGCGCAACTGACACCTGCCTGGGGAAGGATACCCTTGTATTAGCAGCAACATCGTGTGTTGCACAGCGGAGTTCCATGCTAACCCTAGCCCAGGAACCGACCTCTAGCACCGGCCAAGCCCTGCTATTAGCTGCGGCTTCAGTGGGGACCAGCTCTTTTGATAGATCTAAATTAAGAGATGCTAAGTTTTAGGAAACTTATATTGGTCTCGGCAGCCTTCCTTGCCTTTGGAGAGTTGTGGTCACATTAGCTCTCCATATTTCTCGAGGAAGAAGGGATGAACGGAAAGCCAGGACAATATAGACATGGCTCATTGCGTCCCTGAAACGAATGACAACTCCGAGGCTTAACAATTATCTGTTATTTTAAACATTTGCATTGACTGTGTCAAGATAAGCTTCAAAAATGTCTTGGTGGATAGCCTCTCGGACGAACGGCAACTACACAGCGACGCTCCGGCCTCAAGCCTAACATTTTGTGGCCCAGCCCATGTACCCCGGAGATTCACACAAAATATGTTACAAAAAGAACTTCTAATTCTCTCAATTGTATAGAGATCATCGGTGAATGAGGCAAAATGCTGCGTTGTTACCAGCCGTGGAGCAACAGGTGTTGTCGTCGTGGGATCCACCCCCCACCATGAGTACGGATGCGGGGAAACTCCGGGGTGCAGGTGTTGCATTCCATGATCTGACATGTCCATAATAGTTTATGAAGATGTGACATATCTTGGGACGTATTTCATGAGTGTTGACTCTGGGATACACGAGCGTGTCTAATCCCACGTCGTGTGCTTCAAAGACAGCAACCTCGACTTGTTACTTTGCGCTTTTTCTTATTTTAGCTATATATTAAGTAATAGGTAAGTTGAACTGTCTTTCCTCGTCTAAGTATAATAACTCAGAAGTTTCTGGATGACGCCAAAGTTTCGGGGTTTAAAGTGCCCATCGATTAAGCGTCAACATTGTGACTCAAGAAGAATAGAAAGACTGTATTCAAGAACCAAGGGATTGGTCAGGCAATCAGGGCAGAAGAAGTGGTTCAGTAATAACAACAAGGTAGATTGTGCATATATGTGGGCCAGCATCCAGAACAATCCATGTGCATGCGTGGCCGTCTCCCAACAGAACTGCCCACACCGCAACCTCATCGCCGATGAGACCTGCGGTGATCTACGTACTCCATCGGCGTCCCGAGCGCCATTGTGACAGAAACAGAATCGTAGCATTCTGAAAACTCGTAGAAGCTACAGTTCATTACGCCCGCTACACCTGACCTCACACTCCCTTCCTATCCCGTCAGCTTCCGAGACTTCAAGGCGTCACCATAGCTAAGCGAGGGCCGGCACTTGCTCAAAAGGGAACTTAATGTTACAAAAAGCAAAGAAAGTCCAGCTGCGCAATGTGGTTGTAGCTCTCTAGCCTCGCCGATCCTGTGGCTATGTTGACGCTCAGTCCCAGTCAAGGCTGCGGGGAAGTGAAGTCCCAGATCCCAGTTACCGAAGACCAGTCCGTGAATTGCACTGTGAAGTGCATGTACCGTTTGTACGAGACGGTTCGTACTAGCTGCACACATAGGTAGTGTCTTCGGACCTCTCGGCCTCTGATACAGCCTAAAGTCGAATGTAGTCTTTCGTGATCCGCCAGTAGCGCTGGGCGATTTCCTCTTTGGTCTGGGTGCTTTCGCATCTCGTTCGCCCTGCCGTGGAGCTTCATTCCATGATCGACAGTTTTGCTGACGTGGAAAACGCGGGGGTAGCATCTGGCCAGATTCTGTTTCTCAACCCCGGACAGCCACCGGGTTGTTCCTGGTACGCAGAAGTTGCAGGCTAGTTGAGGCGGGGTGAGACCGAAACATTCGAAGAAGCAAAGTGTTGCTGGGGAGGGTGGGACGCCATGTAGCATTCTGCCCAATTCTCTCCACTGGCTACCGCAGTGTACTCACAGCACTACCCCGGATGCAGCCACATTGGTGATGCCTCATCCGGATTCGTCCACTGGCGTTTGCGTGGTGTGATGGATCATCTTGGCGTCGGAATTTCCAGCCCCAAAGTCCATACACCATTCCGTGCAGCGGGCCAAAAGAAACTTATGATGTAGTCTCATTATTGCATGACATTTCCCACTCGCCTTTTGGGATCTGGCATGCTCAACGCGGGATGGCCATGCCGCGGCACCAGACTAGAAATGGCCCGAGGCATTCTGACTCGGAGGCATCAAGCCTCTTGCAAAAGAAAGGAAGATGAACAGGCGGACCGAAAAGGCCTTCATTTTTGGGGGACTGAAACATGTTGGAATCCACAAGCAGTCGATGACCATGCCGCACTTGGAGGAACTTATGAAGCCCATGGTTGTGTCTGCCTACTGAGACCACCGTGACCTAGCAAGAAATAAAAACACACAGGGGGCAACCTGGGATACTCAGTTTACGATGTGTTGAACAAAGGTAGCCCATACTTAGAAGTGACACATTACGAATGAATTGCTTGACGGTCGGGCTGTGGAAGTACATATCACGGGCAAGTAGCTCTTAGACACACTCCGTAGAGCTATGTACTGGCCTTTGAAGGAGTCTTCACTGTTGAGAATGCACTCAATGAGGAGCTGGCTATATCACGCTCTTTGTCAGTGTGATGTTCCAAACCGAGCCTAAGGTTGCTACCACATCCTGGCCTCCCTCATCTTCCATCCACTACCCAAGCGTATATATACCAAGTGGATCTACGAGTTGGATGGCGAAAAGAAAACGCACTAGTCCGACCGTCCGTTATTTGACGGACTTCAGAATATCCTCTAGGGATATGGACCTGCTTGATATAGTTGGAAGCTCAGGTCGTCGCCTACAGCGAAGAAGTGAAACATTGAGGCCACGGATGCATGTCATAATTGTTTGGATAGCCATTCACGACACCATACGTCTACCTGGAGCGGCCGCGAACGGTCCAAAATTGGGGTTGGGCATCTAGTGAGGAAGCATGAGCTGGCGAACCTGGTGTTGCAATGAACCGCTACCCTCCACCAACACTGCATTGACTGACTTCATGGTAACGTTTGCAGAGACATCAGTAGATCAGAGAAATTAAAACGCGTGGAAATAGATGGAAGTCTTCTTTGCGCAAAGATGCCCACTTGGAGGGGGTACGGAACCGCCGACTGAGCTGCAGTCCTGTACTACCCAGCTGTCTCCGGCAACGACGACCTTGTGCTAAACATGTTTGTTTGAGGTGTCCCAGCAGCGCCTCCTGCGCCGCAATAAGCCAATTGGCTTGATATTCCTTCCATGATCTAAAGCTCTTGTCCTTTTGGGCCGTTACGCCTCGCCCTCCCAGATTCCAATGCCCCCTCAGCCCGACAAACTCTGGATCAACGACACGTTGTCACCCTTCAACAGAATCTGGCCTACTCGAGAGATTAGAGGTGTGAAGGCAGCTTGGGGTTTCCATGTCATACCTAATGATCGTCGAGTCTCCTTGTCGTTGGTCTTGGTCACTTGTCGGACCTCGACGGCGTCATCGATGACGAGGTTCATGAACTCGTCGAAACCCTGTTTCTATCAGTAGCTGCACCGCTCAACGGAATAAAGACGAACTAACCCTGATAGTTCCCTCGATGCGGATGGAAAGCTGCTCGTACAGCCACACGCTCACTTTCGCATGCTACAGCCAGTTAGATACCAGAACAGAAACAAAGCCAATAAGTTTTGATGTATCGTGGGTCTTGAGGAACACAATGGCGGCCCGCCCCAATGTCGCATGAACGAGTATGATCATGCAATATCGCTGCTTGTCCTTGGCCACAGGGTGGGGATCCTGATGCCTCCCAGTCCAGCAGTCTAGGCAGGCCAGTATCATCCCCTGGTGCAAGCAAGCTGCACCAGGTTGCACATCAACAGCCCAAACCCAAGGATGTCATGCGCAGCGATCTGTAAAGCTCGAGACGTGTCTATTCGACGGTCGATCGTATGCTTGTAGAACCTCGCGACCGGTGTGTGTTCCTCAAACCCGCCGGATATCGAAAGTGCTGGCGCGCTACTGGCGCATGTGGGATTGGGGCTCGGTCAAACTCACTGATTGAAGAAGCTTGAAGATGAAGTTACTAGAGACTGTCAGCATCTGTATCCAGGCTGGTGAAGAGCAAGCCCTCGCAGCGCGACTGGGCGGTGGGGAGCTAGATCCTTACATGGGAGGGAGGAGAACTCGGCGACCGCCGCCACCGCCACGACCAGTCATTTTTGTTTGGGGAGCGCGAAACGGATGGGAATCTTGGGAGGAGGAGTCGAGACGGGCGCAGGGCGTTCGGATCGGGAGAGGTCGAGTTGAATGAGCGATCACCGCGATTCTGTTGTCGCGAGATCAAAGTGGGAGCTCCTCTGCCTGACCGAAAACTTAGCGGGGGCGGGGAAATTATTTTCCGACGCACCGCGGGCGGAGCCACCACTGTGATGCACCAGTGTCCGAATATTCACATCTCACTTGGTGGGACTTTTGGATCAGGACTCTAGGTTGAAATGCTCTTTCAATCTCCAAAAATTAATAAAATATTGACGTCAAGGTACTTGTTTTACGTAGTGTTGAGAAAGTTAGGTTGTGAAGACTTGAACTCTTAAGTCGGCCCTCCATGTGACCCTTCAGAGACGAGACACAACCCGCCGCGCCGCCACGACTTATCTATGCTGTCAGCACTGAATAACACGGGAGTGTTGATTTTGAACTTTTTGAAGGGGTGTTGACGGTATTTTATTAACAATTAAGTGATTTTTTGTGCAGAGTGTCATGCAACCAGGTTGCCAACCTCTTCCTCCGGCTGCCCTACTATCTTCCATCCTCTTGTTGAACCACGAGTGACCTCGCGTGAGGTGGCCACTTCGGTTCAACTATCAAGAAAAGGATATATTTTAAAGGTATCTTTACATCCTGCCAACCACTCATCTGATAACCGCTGGGCTCGTAATTCCCGAGATCCTGCAATGATAAGCCATTTTCACTAAATGATTGCAGTACCTATGTTGAACATTACTGCTCCCACGTCAAAGGTACAGGGCAAAGAAGAGAGAAACTGTTAATAAGCAAAAGGTCGTAAAGCTCGGTGATGGAGTCAAGACACTCCATTCACAATTGGGATTGAGATTCAATGGTCGGGGTGCTGGACCAACGGACGCACTGCATCAACTTCGTACAGTCCTTATTAGCGCTTAGGGGGTCTTATTAAAGTGTGTTTAGTGTTTTATGGTAGTCAGGGGATTTAGCTACTACACCTAGGGAATTTCCACCCGCGGTCGCTCGGGGTGGCGCGACTGCGACCTCCAACCACCCGCCCGCAACGCAGCCAACACATCATCAACACCATCACATCAATAGCTTCAACCAACAGCAAAAAGATGTCGAGCGAACGCCCGATTACGACCACGTCAGGAGTCGAACCTGAAATCTCTAGAGTATTTGAATTCGGTGAGCCGAAATCTAGCGCCTTAGCCATTAGGCCACGCGGCCGATGGGAAATGTCGAGAGTATCACCAACTATGGATGTGTGGATTGCGGAGTTGTGCGCCAGAGTGGAGACCAACACAACCAACCAGGGCCGCTGTATTTTGCCATGACGTCTTCAGTGTACAAAACAACTAAATGGATTTCCTGAATTGTGCGCCCCGTCAATTGTGAGGTGAGGGCGTAGCTGGATGCCGTGACCTTATAACTTATGCGTTGTTGCACAGAGAGTGGTACCAACTCACCCACCCATCCTGGCTCTTGAGACAACTGCCGAGAATGCCACATTGAATCCCGAGAAATGAATCTGTGTGGAAAGATAGTGTAGACGGCTACACAAGTTGATGATCATGCATTGCGGTAATGCGCTTAGCTTACAGGCCAAGAGCAGTGTCCGGCCAAATGAAGGTGCTTATGCGAAGGGTTGTAGTAAATTACGTAGCTTCAGCCTTGTCTCAGTCTAGACTTCAATCCAACGTCAGCCCCCTCTCCAGCTTTGAAGTCCTCCATCGTGGGCAACACACACCCTGGGAAACGCAATTAACGGTCGAGATGAGCGCCCCAACCCTACTAGCTCTCATTGTAGGACTTGTCACTCTTCCGGTCTACTACATCTGGTGCATCGTCTGCAATTACTCAATTGCGAAACGTATCGGTTTGCGCACCGTCATCGTCCCGGGGAATCTGACGAGTCCAGTTTGGCTGCTTCTGGGACCACGGCTAGCCGCTCTCGAGCGATGGCTAACCGGGGGACAAAATAGACTGTTGCGATATGGATGGCTCGGTTTTGACTTCGAGGAAAAGGCCCGTGTACACCTTGAACTGGGGGATGCCTTCGTCATCGTCACACCTGGGAAGAATTATGTCTATCTTGCCGATTCCGTCGCCATCAGCCATGTCTTTCAGACCGAGCGCCGTGGGGACTTTGTGCAACCGCACGAGGCAGTCGACATGTTGTCTATTTTCGGACCCAGCATTTCAACGGCAAGCTCCAACAATCCAGAGACCCGCAAACGTTGCTAACACTGATGAACAGGCCGAGGGTATCGACTGGCAGCGTCATCGTCGCGCTACGGCTGGGAGCTTCAACGAGCTTACCAACAACATGGTCTGGACTGAATCTCTCCGCCAGTCTCATCAGATCTTGGAGAATTGTCTGGCTTGTGGAGACAGCGGCACGAACGCGATTGCGGACATTGCTCGGCAGTTCGCGTTGAATGTCCTGATGCGGGCAAGTTTTGGCAAAGCATACGACTTTCAGTTTCCACCAGAGTCTCAGGACGCTATAGAAACTGCTCCATCTGCCATTTTCTCGTCTTCGAAGAGGGGCGAAATCATGGACTACCGCGAATCACTGCAGCTCATCCTCAAGAACTGCATCTTGATCGTCGCCCTTGGACCACGATTCCTAGAGAAATGGGGTGATATCAATAGCAAACTCTTGCTTCTCGGCCGGGCAACAAGATCATTTCGCCATCATTTAGATGCCATGTACGAGGAGAGTAGACTGCATGGCAAGGAGCAGGAGCTGCAAGCTAATTTGATGGCGTACCTTGTGAGGTCGTCAACTGACGACAAGCTACTGACCCAAGAAGAAGTCAGGGGTAACATGTTTATATATGCATTCGCAGGGCATGATACAATGGCTCACGGCCTAGCTTTCACCTTGGTCTTGATGGCCGCACACCCGGAAGTACAGGACTGGATTCGCGAAGAATTGCAAGCACTGTTGTCCGTTGAACGTTCTGAATGGAGCTACGAGAGCTTCGGTAGGCTGAAAAGAACTCTGTCTGTGCAGGTAAGGAGTCATTTCCTTTGGAACAGGCATAGCGAATTATCTTCATACTGACAGCCGGTTTCGCTAACATTTTCTGACGCAGTATGAGACTATGCGGCTCTTCAATCCAATTGCAGGCCTGATGAAGGGCACCCCGAAGACGAGACCGGCACAGCTTCCCCTCAGTGATGGCCGCACCGTAACTCTTCCGGCCGACACGCCGCTTTGCCTCAACATAAATGGTCTCCACGCGCATCCGAAGTACTGGGGCTCTGATGCCGAGCAATGGCGTCCATCCAGATGGATCACCACCGACGAGAAAGGTGAAGAGCAGTTAATCGTGCCGGAAAAGGGAACCTTCATCGCGTGGTCGGACGGCATGCGAGGATGCCCGGGAAAGAAGTTTGCCCACGTTGAGCACGTGGCGGCCATGGCGGCATTGTTCAGGGACCACAGAGTCTCGCCGGTTCTAGAAGAGGGTGAGACGGCGGAGGCAGCGAATACGAGGGTTGAGAATGTTGCCAGGGACGCAGCAGCTGTGCTGAATGTACAGATGAAGCATCCTGAACGGGCGAGGGTTGTTTGGAACAGAGTGTAGCATGGTTCTCATGCTCAGAATCAGTGGAGCGAGAAACTTTTAGTTTGTGTTAGCGAGTGATGATTGGATATAACTTCAAGGCACTTGGTCAGATTCGAATTCTTATGCTTTGGCTCTTCGTATTCATGCATAGACGTAACTGAAATCGACTCACAAAGGAGTTCCTGTTGCAGCTGAACGTGAAGGTATATCTTAAAGTTTGGAACTCAGCGGGCGAGGGTCACTTGGCGACCATGCAAACTAATTCCCCGTGCTGAAAGAATCCTATCTACAATACAATCACAAAAAGTGCATGAGTCTGACCCGAGCTGTCTCCATCCAGCGACAGATTACTACGCCAGGTTGGCGAAGAAGGCAGCGCTACTGAGAAGAAATTAGAATAAAGTAGTATTGCTTCTGGAAGCGGATCTTCGCAATGAATGAATGCTTGTAGCTGTGATAGAAGTCTATGTGAATAATTAAGTGAGTACTGGATTGTGTATCGATACCAGTCCAGATAGCTGCACTCTGTCACTCAGCTCTAGTTACCCTTGTGATAGGCAAACGCTTCGAATGTCATTCCTGTAGCCAAGTACACGAACTCAAATAACAGAGACCCCAAGATGGTGAGTACGTGTAACGATAGTGGTTGGGCGGTCACTTACACTATCTATTGTGATTGTAGGGTAAGTCATGAAGTTCATTCTCTTGTTAGTGGTATCGATATAAACCAGGAAATACAATCAATGCCCGGTTGATTCATAAACCCATGTCCAGCATGTGGCATCCCAATCAGATCCCATGCAAACCACACCTAAACTCCCAGCGTCTGATCCCTCATACCCAGAATAACACACATCCCAGCACCATCAGTAGCATAACACCAACCCTTGGCTTATAGACGGCGCCCTCGCTCTCTTGTGCCTGGACCTCCTCCTTGAACGCCCCGATGACATTCCCTCGCGGCCAGTACTCGCACACGAGATACCAGCCGCTCTCGCCGCACAGCCGCCGGCCGCACCCCACGTCGGTCGTGTCCTTCCACACGAGCTGCGTGAAGTGCCCCGTGGCGTGGCTGAACTTGGCGCGCCTGAAGTTGTACTCGTCGCGCTCGTCGCCCCACGCCTCGACGCTGGCCGTCGCGTTGGGGTACCCGATGGCGAGGTTCTCGCCGTACGGCCCGCCCGAGTGCTCGAACGCGCAGTCGTTGCCGTCGAGGTAGTCGGCCGCGAAGTCCTCCAGCGTCTCGTTCCACGTCAGCGCCGTGGCGTTGTGCTCGCTGCGGTAGAAGTTGGTGCTGTTGAGGATGGCCGAGGTGAATGTCTTGTCTTGCTTCCACTCGGGGACGTTGGAGGGGATGGCGGCGGGGACGGTGACGGTGACTACCTCCGCGACACCGAGGCCCGCGAGGGTGAGGACGAGACACAGACAAGGTGATCTCATGGTGGGTTCGTGATACATCGACAAGCGTCCGACTGGGTTGTTACACAGATGACACTTCTCGCGTTGCGCAGGCGTTTAGAACAAGACCCAAGATTTGCAATTTGCTTTCTACACTCGGTTGCCCTCAGCTTGATGAAATCAATATCAGCTCGAGGGCAACCGAAAAGCGCAGATCAACGAAACAAATACAGCGCGTAGAAATGTTTCAAACAAGCTTCCACGGTTTTTTGGCGCTGGGCCTGGACGAATGACGTAGGCCGCTGACCTGGGGATGGAGGGGCACATGGCCGCCAACTGGGCGGCCCCGTGGTCGACTGGCGGGCGTCAAAACCGGGCAGGGCAATGATTATCTGGGCGCTGCGTCTACGAGCGATTGTCTCTACGAATCCCTTGCTCAACACTTCTTCAAAGCATCACACACTTCTTTGTTGTTGCGACGCCGACATCCACGCCCTAGTGCCCTGGAGCTTAGTCGGAGCTTGGAAACTGGCGGGGTCGCACCGCGGGGCACGGCGACCTCCACAACCCACAGCGCCGAGTGCGGTGCCTGACTTTGGATGCAAGTCAGGGCGTTTCACCTTTAGCTTCAATGGATTCCGGGACGGCGCAGAGTAAATTTGGTGGGTGGTATTTGCAGCATTGCCCTTCTCCTGCGAATGCACGGCTGGGCGTGCCAATGGATGGATGCTGGCGGTCATCATGGCTGAATATCTCCGTCAGTCCAAAGCCTCAGATCGCACAGTAAAGCATAGACTCCAGACAATTAATCACTCCTGGCACGGTGCAGAACGGTGCAGGACGGTGAAGAGAAATGTGAGTCACCTACCTCTCCTGGTTCTAGAAGCCCTCTCGTCCCACGGCTCCACCGGCGACTGCACAGCGCTGGACCTCCCTCCAGGCCTGCTTCAGTATGGCTGCTTCCATATGCACGCCCTCTGCCACTAAAGCGCGGCATCAAGCCATACGCTCACCCCGAGGCCGCTTTCACGCCGCCAAGTTCTAGAATTGCCAGCCACGTATCGCCCAATTCCAAGTTTCAGGGTCTCGCGGTGCGGATCATTGCTCTACGCATCAAGTGCCGCATGCGGCATGTTTGTCGCCTGTTGATCACGGTCGGTTAACCTGCATTTTGCCCCCCGAAAGGCCCGGTTCGGATGCTGTAGGCAACCCCCAAAATGGCTATCCCACCCTGGAACGAAATCTCTGGATATTCAATGATATTTGCCGACCCGACAATCGACCGCAGGTACGTCAGTTGTGTCGCCGATCCTCCCCCGACCGAGCGAGATGGCAAAAGCCAACAACTCAATTCTGCATTCGGCGGCATTTGACGGCAAACCCGCATTGCCGCCCTGGCATCTTTCCAAGCTGTGTTGTATCACTCCCCAGCACCCATTAGTCGCCACCAACCACAGCCGTCGCAATAATACGAGATTCCCACTCTAGGGAACCAAGTGGTCTTACGCCTTCTGTTGACACCCAAAACTGTTCCGACCCTGATCGTCCCACGCTTGATCCTGTGTCGGTTCCTGCTAAACTACAGTACGCACACGGAGCCAGGATGAACCTCCGAAACCTGGTTTCTAGGCTATTTGCGCCGCCACCTCGCCACCAACAATCCAATCGATTGGACTGGGCCGGCTGTCACTCTGACGTCTGGTGGAGCCCGACGACTTTCTGTTACTCAACAATGGCCGACGGCCTCATGCAATGAACTGGAGACTCAATCTCAAACCATTGCCCGTTTGCCGGGGCTTAGCCGTGCAACTCAAGGACCAGTCAACCAAATACGAACTCACTCGAACCTCGTTCCTGTGCTGAATAATACTCGAGTTTCGTCGTCACATCGGGACGGTTCAGAAACAATCGCCGGCACTAGCCTGTACGGAACCTCTTCCGCCCCGGAAACTCCACCTGCGCCCGAGGCTGTCCCGGATAACCCGCCCAGGCCAAATGACACACCAAGGGCGACACCAAACATCGTCGTGGCGTCAAGACCCCCATCCTTCGCCTCCATTCGAGCTAGGAACCCACGGGCCGAGGCCTCAGTGATCAAATGAACGTGTTTGTTGCGGCTCGAATAGTGCGCCACAGGGCCCGCCGTTCATTGCGCAAGTCAGTCGAGGCGTGCGCCTGCAGAAGTCCCACGACATCGAGCGATATCGCATGTTGTCTCTCATGACTGACATGTCTCACTTAATTCGCTCGTCTCGAATCAGTCGATATCCGCGTTTAATGCGCAGAGAAGTATCGTCAACCTCGCCTTTATGACTTATTCAGTCCTTGCCGATGCATTTCGCGCATTGGCCGATCTTGTTTTGTCCCGTCGTATGATCGAGGCGATGGGAGTGACGCTCTGGGCGATACCGTTCCAATTTAGCACTTTGTAAATGCTCATGCCCAGGACAGATTTCTTGCATCTATCCACCTCCAAAGCAGCCTGGGATTGACTCGCGCCCGAAGCTTGTCGGTGACTGAGGCTGTTGTTGCGACAAGACCAGCCACCACATTGTCGGTGCGTAGGCCCGGTTCGGCCAACTGCTAGTCCAGGGAACATGACTCCAGCGGTGGCCTAGGGCGGCTGATGGCGTTGGAACCCGGAGACTTCTGGAGCCGCATTTGGTTTCTACTACGTAGTAAGCTCTGATTAATGGCATAGCCGATCCTTACACGACTGCCGGCCACGCTCTGGCAGAACCCGTGATCAACCGGGGACGTCACCGTAGAAAGGATTGGACTTGGCTGCCAATGGGAGGCTGCAACGACAGGACATTGAGATTACGCTTTGTGGCCGCGAAGCTTGTTGCGGCCGTCAGGGGAGCTCTCGGGCCTAAGCAAACACTGTGATGACCAAAACCCGACCACGCGGTCACCTTGGTCGAGCCCAGCTGAGTCGACATCGCTTTGGCCCCATCCCGATGCAAGGATGATCCATTGATGGCAATCTTATTCACTTAACCAAGAAGCTGACGCTCCGGTCAGCCCGGGCACTATCCATCCCGTCTCGAAATTCCTGCCTCCGTGGCGCCGCCGAAGACAGAAAAATCTGGGGAAGCCAGGGATGAAGCTGGATGGTGTGTGCGCCGTCACCCCCAGGGCCAGGGGCCTGCCGAACGCAAAGACTTCCCCAGACCAGGGTCTCAGATTGCTGCGTCGATGGAGAAATGGAGTCTGGGGGAATTTCAGGCTTGACTGGGGCTCCGCTAGACAGAATTGGGTAGCCGAGAAGCACGGTGACTCTGGGGATGGCCCGAGACCGCCGAAATATACTGTGCGAAGAGGACGACTTTACCCCAAGCCAATGGGAGATTCTGTAGCTTGTGGGATGGAAAAGACAGCAAGTGGCTGCAGGAGCTAGACGGCGCAGAAGTCGCAGGGAGGGAGGGAAAACGTGGAAGGGCAGGGCTTGCTTTAGTCTCGGATTCGCTGGGAGAATCCTAGCTGGTCTCACACGCATAAGCGCAAGTGTCGTCCTTGAAGATCAACCGGTAGAAAACGCATGGAAATAGAGACACCGGGGAAGACTGAGTTGTTCCGTCGCAGCGCAGGCTGCAGATATCAGGCACCCAAGACCACTGGCTCGTACCATGCGAACGACGCGTTGTAGAACTGCGACCGCAAACAATGGCTCCGTCATGGTGACCCAACGCTCGTCGAAAAGGCTCCGGTAATAACAAGCGTCGCTCAGTTTTGTTGCATGCCATGAGCGAATGGAAGACCCTAAAACTGACTAGCATCCCGAGGTGGCTGCAGGATATTGTGACCGGGCCTTTCTAGCACATGGTGGACCTTGGGCACCTGACCTGTTCCAATACTGGGATTCGTGGGCATATGCCTCGTTTTGTCACTAGGATTCTGGTGCAACTGTACGAACCAGGGGTGGTCTGTGATCCCCTGTGAGCTGTGAGGTGACGAAAGACACTATGTCAACAGAGGTCTAGAGCTGATCTCCAACGTTCAACTAGGGACCTTGCCAGGGCCAACACCAAAGAGGAAATGAGAGGCCGCTGCAATTTTGGAGAAGGTTGGAGAAATGTTCGGGGAAGCTGTTTTGTCTGGGGTGACACTGTACGGTGGCTGGGCTCTCTTTAGCACGCACCCAGTTGGAAAGTCTTGGCCAGTACCCCAGATGTGAAGACGCACCGTGTCTCATAGCCCGCATTGTTAGTTGTCTTGCTTGCGTTCTTCAGCGTTGTGATGCAAGGGAGTGGAGCAGAACCCACTCAGACATCAGGTTATTGAGAAACGACATTGAGGCTCGAACTTGACACTCTTGGCCCACAGAAGACCCAGTCACCATGGACGTGAAATTGGATATCAAGAACCATCACTTATCTCTTGCCGAGAGACGTCGCCCATCATGGCGTGTGCCCGAGCGCGAATCGGTCGGAGTCGAAGTGGGACTGGCGACAGTATGGATCCACCGTGACGGAAGTATCGAAGCATCAGGCTGCATCGGTGCAGGTATAGGGATCCAGGATCATGGCCCACCGTGATGCTAGCTGCATCTTGGGGGGCTGTGCAGCGGATAGACTTGGGCTATGGACAAGGGTTTTGGGCCCAACTGCGATGACGAGGAATGCCAGCTTGATGAAGCATGGGCGGACTGAAGCTCCAGTCACGATTTCTGACAGCGATAGCGCGGATAACGCCTAATTAATTCCCATCATGAGGCACCCCGAGATGTTTTGTTTGTGCGACGGACGTAAGTAAGATGCGCCCTGAGGGTAGAGCGCGCGCACATATTGAGTTGAGTTTTCTGTGCGAGCCGGGGCAATATCGGAACCTAGAGCGACTCGTCGTATTGACCGGCTGCGTCTCCAATCGGAGAGCTATGGCACGGTGCCGAGGCGTCATGTTGAAAGCTCGGATTCGAGCACCCGGGATTCAGACAGTAGGATGCTTATCTGCGGCGTCGCGGACATGCATCTCCCCAGGCTGGGTTGGGTGCAACATGATTGATTGTCCGGGTCAGCGGTGTTCCTGGATCTTCGGTGAGGTAGCCGGTCAAGTCAGCAGGGCGTCGGCTCAGCGCCATGCAGTCCAGGGATGCAATTCATCTGACATTGGGGGGGCGGCCCCTTTGGCGCCGTGTCAGTGGGAGGCCGAAAGTGCAACAAAGAGCCCGGAGGCTCCATCCTTTGGCCGGCGTAGCGACGAGGTCCTGTGACTGCAGTAGCGACAAGTCTCATGGTGTGTTGGACAGGGATTAGGTTTATGCCGTTGAAACCCCATTCGTGCTCGCCTGAACGCCATGCTAGCCCAGCCGTCTCAGGACAGGACAACGGAGCGCTGGCAGTTTCTCGGTCGCGGCTCAACCGCCATTCTTTTCCAATCTGGCGGTGAGCGACACCAGCTGGTGATAGGAGATGGCGACTGACCAATCTGGGGCTCGAGTCAAGTTTCAGTCGAACGAGATCGGGGCGACTGAATAGTTAACTCGCAAGCGGCGTGTTCGGGCGACTTGGGAGTAGCGCTAGCCAAGATCGAGGGAAACTGGGTCAACTGGAGAGTAGCCTCGCCCCAGGACGGTTGCAGGACCCAGCGAGAGCGACGCTACAAGTTGGATGCGACACCCCAGCCGCGAGATGCGATTCGTCAGTTGACTTGGACGAGCCAAGGCTCAGTTTAGGTGGATGAGAGGTGGATCAGGGCGTTTTACCCGTGGCGGCGTCGTGCTCCATTTTCCTGACAGTCGATGTCCCTAGCCCGGCGTCGTGAACGAGTGTGAAAATGTGTAATGTGTGTGACGCAGATGTCCCACGGCCCAATGCCCTAATGAGGCACGTACACACCATGTACAGTGGGACCTCGACGAGCGCACGGTCCTATGCCCAACATCACCACCGTGGTTGGACGGCTGGAACTGGGGCATGGCATCGCCAGTGTCCAGCTAACCGGCGTGGCTCCTGATATTATTAATAGAGAGCATGTCAAGGCCCGGTGAGGCTTTTGAAACTGACGCAGCGGGCCTCCTCGGGGTGAGCATCGCCCCGTACGGCACCGTCTCGGCGTAGACACGATTTGTTACTGTGCACTCCGTCGAGCTACGCACACGGCCGTGCTATTGGATAGGCGGCGGGCCGATGATGTGGGCAACATCCCGACACGACGTGAGGCTCGAGTGGCATCTGGCTGTACGCAGGCGTGCGGCATAACCCGTCCTCTGCGGCGTGATCCGAGATTGGTAGACGGAGAGAGGAAACAATAATTGTGAGGCAGTGTTCTGGTTTCCAGTGCCTACCTAGTATGCACATCAGTCGCTGGGTGTGCGAGGGTCGGATCTTACCCATCCACACTCTACGCCGCACGGGGTCGATCTCCTGCTCGATGAGACGGGTGCAAATTAGAGATGATGCCGCATGGGCACTTGGTTGATGCCTGTAAATTGCTCTCCGAGGTCTGCCTCATGTACGGATTGACAAAGGTGGGCATATCATTGATGCAGGGACAGCTTCGTCATGATGGCATGGAGCTCTCACTTGCAACGCACCGTGAGCGACGCCGCAACTCGCACATTGTGAGGCCCTGAGTCACGAGAGATGCAGGCGCTAAGGTAAAAGAGGCAGACCCGCCCATCAGCTCGAGCAATCAGATGCGAGCCTCAACCCAGCCCCTGCGAGCAACATCGGCCGCAACAGATTGATCGACTGATTACACCGAAATACCTGACGCTGTTTCGTCGCGAACCAGCCGGAGACTACTTGGGTTGCAGTTGGAAGCATCCAATGCTCACAGAGTTGGGTAGGGATTTGTTTCAATGGGGAGCGAGCGACGCCCGCATGAGCCGGTGTAGTCTGGACTGTGGCCTGTGCTTGCGGCCGTCTTGGTCGCAGGCTGGCGGGCAGATATCGTCAAATAGACGGGACCAACCCAAGAGCCTAGCCGAGAGGTCGTGGGCAATCAATCACCTGCTGTTTGCTTGTCTGTCTGTTGGTCTGGATTCACCACGGAGTCCGCCTGGTGTCAGTCCCAATCAAGGTGGGATCCTCCTGGCGCCTTCCATTCACCCAACGAGGCTGGCGGCTACATCGCATAATTAATTGCCTCAGTCCTCGGCCAAACCAAACTACGGCTCTCAACAACAAAACACTGGAGCCAACTCCATTATTATTATCATCATCGCAACCTCACTTATCGCCACGCGGCGACATCGAGTTACAGGAAACGAATAATAATAGTTGCCCAGACTCGATATGGTCAACACCGGTGTGTGGGAACTAAATGCCAATGCCATCTGACGTTGGTTACTCGCCCCCGGGGTCGTCGTCGCTGTGCGAGTTCCGAATCGGGAGCTCTGCAGCCCGCCATGGACCTAGCCGGTTGGCCCAATCCTACTTCACGTCTGCAAGCCCCAGCCCAGCGTGTTCCAGCGAGATTAAGCGCCCAGGATACGGTCGTTGGAGGTGAAGCACCACCGGAAACAACGCGCGCCGTGGTCGCCGCAATCCAGCCTGGCCCGGAACAGGCAGCACGCCGTCGAGGCATTGGGAGGGATGGGTTGCGTGGATTGGGTGCGTGTGCGTCTGTCTGGAGACGGACCCCAAGCGAGCAACAGAGCCCAGCACAGGAGCAGCCCATGACCTACTCAATCGCACCCACGGGGCTCTTTGTTTGTTAGTCTCGCCGCGGTGCTGGAGGCGTGCCGTTTCTGCATCCGGGCTGCAGGATTTGCTTTGATTCACTGCCTGCTCTGCAGCAAAGAGGCGTGCCGACTGCATTGGAAGTGCAGGTGCCGCGCCGTACAGTGCACCATAGTGCAGCGGCTGCAGCGCAAATCCTCCAGTGCAGAGTGGCCGCCGTGGCAAAGGGTTGCGCGGCGGGCTCCAACAGCGCTCACAGCACGCGTCACAGGGGGCAGTAATACGGCACTTGGGGTCTTGGGGCTGTGTGAGCACTGAGCACCTCCTGTAAGCCGTACGCATGCGTCCCTCGGTCCCCGGGGCTCTCGCAACCCCGTCCAGCGCCCAGAGGCCAGTGGGAGAGCTCCGGACAGGGTGCAAGCTCCCCCTGTCACCCACACACACAGCAGGCTCCAGCGCAGGTAAGGTGCTGCAGGTATAGAATCCCCAGGCTATGTATGACCTGCCTGTACATGAGAGATACCTGCCGCACCATGGAAGCTACACCCTCCCGCTGCACGACCAACAGCAGGACTGGCGTTTGCGCTGTCGTGGCCCTGTCAACTCTACCTATAGAAGCCCAGACCCAGAACCCGGCAGCGCCTGGCTGGCAACCAGCCCGAGCCCGCCACTACGACACGCAGCAGCGCACGAGGGTGGGCGAGGCCAAGGGGCGTAGCTCCGAGTGCGATGTAGGGGAGGCCTGGGTGCAGCGTCACCTCAGGTAAGGTACCTCGGTGGGTACGACGTCCAGGTACCTTTGTACCTCTGACGACGGGACTGGCCACGGCCGGCGCCAACGACAGGGGAGGCAAGTGCAGGGCCAGAGTAGGGCCAGTGCAGGGCAGCAGGAGGACAGGGAAGGGACTGGAGCCCCCGGCGGCCGCGCACTGTGATGCACTGTGTATCTGCCTTTTCGCCATCCTCTCTTTCGGCGCCAACCTTTCTCCTTCCTCTGTCCCCAAGCAACTCCCGCTGCTTCGCTGGCGTGTTCTCGACGACGACTTGAATTGCTTCACTTCACTCTGCTGCTGTGTGCGCACTGAAGAGCATGCTCTTGTCGGCTACGAGACACGCCTCTTCCCTCTTATCCTAACCCTCGCATTCCCGCTCTCTCTCAGTGTCTCTCTCTATTCCCCTCCCCCCACTACGACCAGGCCCTCGCTCGCACCCAACGCCCGCGCCCGCGTCCTCCCCGCCAAACTCGCTCCTCGTCGCTCAATCTCCCGCCCCACGACGACGACTCGCCCGCCCAAACGCCGTTACCCTCCCGCGAACCCGCGAAATTTGTCATGGTGATTAACGATTCTGGTGTCAGAGTCTCCCGCTCCTCCATCGCTATGTCCAATCCCACCACGTCCAACGCAGCCGTCGGCAGCGCACCATCCACCGCCGACGACTCTGGTGAGCCCTCCCGCCGTGGCCGGCACTGCCCCTCATGTTCCTCAGCCTGACCCGCACCGCCCGCCGATTCTGCCCCGACACTGCATGCTGACCCTGCCAGCGTCCACCATCACAGTAAACACGAAGGCTCCCGCCAATTTTCCTCCCCCCAAGACGGATAAGCCTCGACCGCACGTCTGTGGCACCTGCCAGCGCTCCTTTGCCCGATTGGAACATCTTAAGCGCCACGAGCGCTCCCACACAAAGGAGAAACCCTTTGAGTGCCCCGAGTGCTCGCGATGCTTCGCCCGCCGCGACCTGCTGCTTCGTCACCAGCAGAAGCTGCACCAGACCTCGACCCCGTCCTCCCGCCCTCGCAACCGCCGCGAGTCAACCACCGGCGTCGCCCCGGGTGGAAGCCGTGCTCGCAAGAACAGCGTCGCTGGCCCTCCCGCCGCCAACAATGCTGCGTCCAACTCGGTGCGCCCCCGTGCCAACACCATCAGCCATGTTGACGGCAATGCTATGCAGATGATGGCCGCCAATGCCGCCGTTGCACGGGGCATGCCTCCGACTCACACTCACAGCCGGCACCCAAGTCTTGCCGGCTTGCCTATGCATAACTTTGACCACATTTTCGGTGGTATGTCGGCTGCCATGGGCCAGCGAGGGGTTCAGCCGGGTCTGCCCAAGCTGGAGACTGGCACCCTCGGCAACATTGACTTCACCAGCGGCCTTCGCACCGCGCCGCCAATGGCTGCTTTTAACACGGAATTCGATTTTGAGGGTCTTCTCTTTGGGCCGGGCTCCACGATCAATCCCAACGCCCTTCATTACAATGATTCGCCGCAGTCGATGGCCTTGGAACAGACCTCGCCGTTTGCGCAATCCCTTAATGAGATGCCTACGAGCCAAACTCTCGACGATAATTTTGACTGGTTGACTGGATTCGAGCATCAGATGTCTTTTAACACGAACGAAAACGTTGTGGACGGGTCGAGCCCGTCCGCCATCAGTACGACGAGCCAGAGTGGGATTAGTGATGTTATGTTGGATGGGTCAAATCACCCCGCGCCGGCCGGGACGAGTACCATGTGGCAACCCTCCGTGATGGGCCCTCCACAGATGCCGAACCCGTTTGCGATGGATCTGAATGGTTCCGTCTTTCCAGATCTCCTGAATGGGGCCCCGTTATCACCGCAGCCAGCTTCTCAAAAGATCAATGACCCTTACTTCTCTACGCCTCCACCTTCGCTGAGCTCGCTGAGCCCGTCCGTCGTATCTGGGCTGGGCGCACAGAACATTAACCATACCCTTGGCTTCAACGCCGGCCCGGAAACGCCCTCATCTCTCCAGGGTGGAAACCACGGGGCCTCGCCCGTAACCACCATCACAGATGCCACCCGGAGTGCCATTGTGAACACCCTGTCCCAGTGCCTACCCTTTGGCGGTCGTAAATACTCTTTTACTTCTCAGGGCTCACCTCAAGCGTCTCACATCCAGTCTGCCGGCGCCAACGCCTCCCCCCAGGCCGCCAGCTTGCCCAGTACGCCGGATCTTCAACGATACGTTGGTGCTTACCTTGCCTATTTCCACCCACATCTTCCTTTCTTGCATATTCCCACTTTGTCCTTCGATTTGCCCCCTCCCACAAATAATCGGCCCGGTGTAGGTGGTAGTGGCTGTCTGATTCTTTCTATGGCCGCCATCGGCGCACTTTATGAGATGGAGCATGCCCAGTCGCGCGAGCTCTTTGAGATGGCCAAGAAGATGATTTTCTTCTATCTCGAGGAGCGGCGCAAAGCCGACGTCCGAAAAGCGGATATCCGACGCAGCACCCCTGTCGGCGACCAGAACCCACGTTTCAGCGAAAGCGCCGTGCACACCCCCGTCTGGCTCGTCCAGGCTATGCTCCTCAACGTTGTCTATGGCCACAATTGCGGCGACAAAACCGCTAGTGACATTGCGTCCACCCACTGTGCTGCCCTGGTCAGCTTGGCCCAGGCGGCTGACCTCCTTCGACCCGACCGTGCCAGTACCGCCGAGAGGCAAGATACTCACATGACAGATGATGGGAATTGGAACGCCAAGGCTGAATCTGACCATGTGGAGTGGCTGCGTTGGAAGTCGGTCGAGGAGCGGAAGCGCACTCTTTACGCTGTCTTTATCCTCTCCAGCCTTCTGGTCTCCGCTTACAACCACACACCAGCTTTGACAAATTCGGAAATTTTCTTGGATCTGCCTTGTGACGAGGAATTCTTCTCTGCCGACTCTGGTGCTGCCTTTGCTTCCAGAGGAGGAGCCGATGCTGCTAACCATAACCGTATGACGTTCCATGATGCCCTGGGAGATCTCCTCCGCACGAATGAGAGACAGCAGCAGCAGCAACTCGCTCTTAATGGTCAGCAGGGGTTTGAAACTTCGCCTGATGGAAAAGACACGCCCAAGACCGATCTCAAGCCCAGCACGTTTGGTTGCCTGGTTCTCATCAACGCCCTCCACAATTACATCTGGGAGACGCGGCAACGGCACCACAACAAGGTCTGGACAAATGAAGAGACGGAGAAAATGCATCGGCATATTGAGCCTGCTCTCAAGGCATGGCAGGCCGCCTGGGCCAGCAACCCACACCATAGCCTGGAGCGACCAAACCCGTTTGGCATGGGCCCACTCTCCGCCGACGCAATCCCGCTCCTTGATCTTGCGTACATTCGACTATTTGTCAATTTGTCTCGGTCAAAGGAGAAGTTCTGGCAACGCGATTGGGATGGAATGGCCAGAGAGCTGTCCCGCGGCAACGAGATAATTCAACACGCAGAGCACTCTCCAGGATCCAACTCCGAATCCGTCGGGACCGAAATGTCGGATCCCTCCGTGCACAGCTCCGTCTTTGTGGATTCTCCCGGGACCCCTCCAGCAGAATTTCCTGGAGCGAAGTTCCCCGGTGCGAACACAGGAACGACCACATCTGGCATGACGAACCGCTCCATTTCTCGACGGGAGAAGCACTTGCGAAAAGCGGCGTTTTATGCCGCAGACTCCCTGGCCATGTCAGATAAGCTCGGAGTTACGTTTGCTGACTTTACGAGCCGAGAGCTACCCCTCCAATCAGCGCTCTGTGCGTTTGATTGCGCCCAAGTGCTAGCTGAATGGATCGCAACTCTGCAGGATCGTGTCGGTCGGTACCTGGGGATCCTCGGCCAAGACCAAGTGGATCTGTCACAAGTCCCAGCCATTATGCTTCTAGAAGAAGAGGACGTGAAGCTGCTCGACAAGATCCAGGAGGTTTTGGGCTCCGCAGAGATGAAGATGAGCATGGAGCTTGTCAACGGTGGCATTGAGCCCAGCATCAACATGGATGGGCATAGCGGGTATGCCGCGAAGCTCCTCCGTATCACCGCATTCATGTTGGACAAGGAGGCAGTCTGGCCAGTGACTCGCCTCAAGGCCCGCTGTCTAGAGTCTCATGCGAACCACATGCGGGCCCGAGCGGAAAAGTCCATCATGACCACTGAGTGAAACCCGCTGCGTCTCAGCCGCTTATCAACCCATCAAATGAAACGACAGCATTCGCCCTAAATCGTCGGCTGGTATCGCTCTCGGTATCATGAGTCATCTGTATCGGTCCAGAGGGAAATAGTGCGATTTCGAGGGTCCCCTGTTATCACATCATTTGCCCCGATGCGACGAACCGGAGCGCGGCTTATCTATTGCACCATCACATCTTGAATTGCGGCGAAGATAAGGATTTGGCCCACCCGACCACGCCGGAACCGACTCCGATATCGTCGGCCCCTCCAACGTATCGGAGACCCAAAAGTTACGTTTCGCCATTGTTTGCGTGAAATTTTGTACAGCAGCGTTGAAGTCAATGAAGAACCATTGTATGCTTGGCGCTGGGTGTTGGATGCAGTTCAATGATTTATGAAGACTTGGAACTACAACGTCAGCACATAGGCAGCAAGCGTTGCCAGCTGGTTCTGAGCAGGATTTCTTGAACACTCTAGGTCTGAGGAACCGGGGCAGGACAAGTATTCCAACCTCAACGATCCAGACCTCAAGGAGTGGCCCTTCCCGATGCAAAGCACAATTGCGAAATTACAGTCTTTTCATGGCCTGGCCCTGGCAGCCTCGCTGAGAGTTCGTCTCGCCGACCCCCTACAACCTAAGACGAACGTGATCACGTCTTCATTGTCAGGATCTAACGACAATCACTATTTACAAGAGTACAAAGATCGCGGTCTTGTGGGCACGGTCACTCAAGAAGAGACTCTCAGTTGAGAGTTGCAAGAAAACGAGGAGCAAGAAACACGTGTGGTCCAAAAAAGGGGTGGTCTGCACCCCGAGGAGCAGTCATTGGCTTCGTGCGATGTGCGCGTGTTGCATTATCTGTTCTTGGATGTATAAACAACAGTTGTTCATTCTGTGTATTTACTATAGTGCCTTTCATCTTGGTGCTTTTAGGTTTAGAGAATCTGAGCAAAAAGTTGTGGGAGGTACTCATTCGTTCCACATTGTAGATACACACATATACTTCGCATTGATAATTACAATGTCACAGTTTGGCCACCTTAAGAGAACCTTGTTTTAAAGACCATCAATATGAAATCTTGGACGTGTTCATCTCAACATCCTTTAGTAACCAGGCTCAGGGCTTAATAATTTTAGTATTGAGGTTTCGAGCCTCCATTACATTGGCTCTTATCATGTTTTCTTGAGCTGAGAAGAAGTCCATCAACGACACTAAACTAACACCACCAAACCCCTGGATAAAGCCTCAATTTGACACCGTGATGACGACCTTGCCCTTTGACTTTCCACCCTCCACCCGGTCGAACGCCTCGGCAAACTTCTCCAACGGGAACACGCTGTCGACAAGGGGCTTGCACTCGCCAGCATCCACCAGCTGCGCAATCTCAGCCAAGTCGCTGCCGCGGCACTGGACCAGGAACCATTCGCCCTTGGCAACCGTCTTGGTCTCCCCCTCGGGCTTCGACGCATCCGGCTGACCCGCAACGCTGAGGAACGTCCCGCCGTTCTTGATCGCCGTCCAGCAGCTGCTCGTCGTGGCCCCGCCGACGCAGTCGAGAATGAGGTCGACCTCGCGGGCCGCAGCGTCTTCGGCCGCCCACTTGTCGATGGACTGCTGTGTGTAGTCGATGAACTCGGTGGCCCCGAACCCGCGCACGTCGGAGGCCTTGGATGGGCCTGCTACGGCGACGATGGCTCCCGCCCCGGCCGCCGAGGCGAATTGCACGGCCCAGCTGCCAACACCGCCGCCTCCTCCGGTAATGAGGACTCGGGCTTTGGCGTTCTTCTCCCGGGCGGCTGTGTCCCCGTGGATGGCTGCCTTATCCAGCGTGCCGTGCTCGAAGAGGCCCTGCCACGCGGTGAGGGCGCTCAAAGGGGTAGCGGCAGCGTCAGTCCAGTTGAGCGTCTTCGGCTTGAGCGCCATCTGGGGGGCACGAGCAACGGCGTATTCTCGCAGGGTGCCGGTGTTCCAGGCGTCGTTGCGGTAGAAGACCTCGTCGCCAGGCTTAAAGGGTCCGTCTGCGGGTCCGTCGACGATGACACCGGCACACTCGGTGCAGGGGACTCGCTCGCGGTCCGGGGGGTAGAGCTGGGGGAAGTTGAGCTCCCATGTCAGCTCGTTGAGGCAGGGCGCCACGGCCTTGACTTTGATAAGGTAGTCCTGGGGATCCGAGAGCTTGGGGAGCGGCGTGGTGGTGAGGATGAGGTGGGTGGACTTGGGGTCTGGTTGGTAGACGGCCTTCATGGAGGTGGGAAGAGATGTAGCGGCCATTGTGATCGTTGCGGTTGTTTCTAAGGTATTGAGTATTAGTGATTGTGAGTTCTTTATGGCGGCTGAGGCCAGACGGCGATGTGATGATGTGGTGATGTGGTGTGGTGGCGTCAAGAGGTATTGAAGAGTCGGTGCTTATTGATGACGACAGGGTTTAGAGTTAAGTGATGGTTGCTTGTGTACGTACAGGTGGAGTCGGGTATGTGGTTGAAGTGTGAAAGTTGCTGGATTGATGGATGCTTGTCTTGATTGTAAAGAAAGATGTGATGGGTGCATCTTCCATCCTTTCGACATGCTCGTCGTTCCTTATATACCTGAGAGGTATGTCTGGTCAGTCACACCCCCATGCCAACTTAATGCCACCCACGAAAAAGACTCGCTCACATTTGTCAAGTTGCCACCACGAAGCCTCTCGCGACCCGAGGCATGCCAGCCCTAGTGTAAGCGTTACATCACACGCAGGCGTAGTCCAGGACGAAGAATTCCCCGATTAGGAAAATGGTTGGCCTTGGCGCGAGTCCATCTCCACGGAGAGGACGTGCAAGTCGGCGCAACCTTCAACCGGCACCTATTCAATTTAGGAATTTGAAAATTTAGCAATTTCAAAGGTTCCCAAAGTGTCACTGTGGTCCATCTCCGCGGAGACTCTAATTTGTAGTTTGTTGGAGTGGTTGGCTGTTGTGCGGCGAGAGGGCGAGGGGGCGTTCGGCGAATGCAACAGTAGAAGACCCGTGACCTGAAAGCCTCGGTCGAATAATGCGGAAAGGGATTTGCTAGCAACGTCTACGAATTCTTCATGAAGAAATCGTTTTCAAGTTTCCACTCTCTGCAAGTCACGATACAGTCATTCCGGGCAGTCGCCAAAACGCGAGATGCCTCAGCAAACAAGAGCATTTCCAGCCATCTGTCTGATCAGGCCGCACGGTTTGGCTTATAATAAACAAACACTTTCTCGTCAAAACTCGCGTGTAACCGCCTAGTATGCCCCGTTGTCCCCATTTGCAAACAGTAGTATGCATGTGACGCTTCTTGTGCTTTCCGTTTCAAACATATTCCTCTATAATAGTAGAACACGCCTCCAGCAATCGTTTTCGCCCATGGTTTGGCCTGGATTGCTTCGTTCTCCCTTGTCGTTGCTTTGTCCTCTTGCCTATGCATGTTGCCCCCCAGCCAAAACAGAGAGTGTTTGTTCAGACGCGCCTCAGAATATTGTGACTGGTCCTCAACTCCTCAACACGTCCGCCTATAAAAAACGCGCTGAGCACCAGCAAAGCTCAGCCCCTTTCCCCCTTTACATCAAAACCTCCAAGGGTCCCCACCGACGCGGTATAATCCTTCTTCAGGTGCATTGCTTGCCCTTGGTCTTCTACCATGTCGTGGAACGGCTTACCTCCCGAGCTGCGACGCCCGATCTTGCAAATCTTTGCAGCCAACAATAGCTCCATCGCGGGCTACGCAACCATCAACAAGGAGTGGCAAAGCGCCATTGAAGCTGAGACATTCCGATCTTTGACCATCACGCTCGATTCGATATTCGAGTTCACGGAGCACTTCTCAGGACAGGTCCATCGACAATGCTCCCTCAAGCATCTTCGCTTGTCCATTGGAATTCCGCCGTTTGATCCACTCGATTCTGACTGGATCGTTACTTCTCAGCCAGTCGGGACCACAGGGGAATTTTCCAAGGCTGTTTCCCTCCTGTTTGCCTTTCTCGAAGAATGGGATGCCCCGGCACTCTTGGAGAAGCCCGATGGAGGCGTTCGCTTGGAGATATGTCTTCCGTTTGGTCCCTCTGACTCAATGGATGTCCAAGAAATACAGCTGCCATCTGGCTTTACTTACTTCTCGGGCACCAAGGACGGGGGTCGGATGAGTCGTGGGGGGCTTCCAGTGGTGAAGGTCATCACTGAGTTCATTTTTTTCGACTCAAACAGGTGCACTATTGCTCCGAACACGATGTTCGACATCATCGTGAGCCTACCCAACTTGGCCCGGGTTTACTTTGAGCGCCCATACAGGACGAGTGCGACGGATAACCTTATCGACCAAGACAACCAGAGTGGTAAGTGGTTTTTTTGGAAAGCCAACCGCAAGCCAAGCATGGGCATCTCGACGAGGCTAACCACTGAATAGAGCTCGCGCGTCTCCTCCCGATGTGGCCCGATTCTATCAAAAAAATCGCGATTGTTCAAAGGGATATTGGCCCTCGATTGAATGATCCGGATCGCCCAGAATGTGCACGCTTCGCGGCCATCGTAGCGAGTCACAGCTTCAAGCTTGAGGAACTAGCAGTTTGCCATTACATCGATGCCAGCGATTTCTTCGAGGAAACCCAGCGCCTTCAAGCTCTCCAGCCACAACCCTGGAACAACCTGCTCTCCCTCGCCTTGACATTTGACCGCGTTTCAGCGCATATACGGCCCCCCTGGATCGTTGGGGGGAATCCTCAAGGCCCGGACAGATTTCTCAATTCTCTCTTCCACAAAGCCGGCGAGGCTGCCAAACTTATGCCCGTGCTACGAACGATGAATTTGCTGAACTGCAACCATATTCTCAACGGTGACTTCAAATACGAAGCCTCAAATGGAAATGCCACAGTTCGTTGGGCCGGCACCTGGCCGATTCAACTCTCGGACCGCGTCAGGCAGGTTTGGGGGGAGGTCGCGCAACAGAGAAATTTTCAGCTCCAGATTCTGTCGGAGAGTATTGATGATTGGAAACCGTGTGATTCGGTCTTCTATTCCCTCTCGAACCAAGATTGACGAGTTAAAAGCCCACTCTGGAACCCCTTCTTTTTGCAGCCTGCAGGCGATTTGGGACCAGTGAATCTCACGCTACTGCAAGATTCAACCTGAAGTATTGGAGATACTTTCATTTGGTGTTCGAGGTGGAAAGGATTCGGTGGACGACATGGACTGAGGAAGATATTCGTTCCGCTCTCGAGGACCGGCATAAGCCATAAGTCCCTGGGCTTGATGTATAAGATAGCGCCTCCTACTAAAAGTTTTTCGCAATTCATACCCGACTTGTTCTTGTGAGTCGTGATGGAATAAGTTTGCCGGTTTATTTCTGTATTGCTAAACGCCGATGCGACAAACGAAGCATGGATCTCAGACGTTGAGTGGCGCCGCGTCAGCCTAATTCGATGACACTAATGCACCATCTCAATTCTCCAGTTCGGCGACCGACCCACATCCAACGGCCAAGAGTCATCGGTTGTGAGTACATAATCCTTTTAAAACTGAGGACATCTTCGCCGCCTTGCAGTCCCAACCGAAGACTCCATCATTCTGTTCACGACCATCATGGCGACTTCAAACCCCTCAAACCCCGATTCTCTCCGACAGCCCAAAATCGCCGTCGTTGGCTGCGTGAGTTCAGGTGCTTTCGCATCAATATCCTGGATCGACTAACCATAGCAGGGTCATGGAGCGCTGGATACTATTTATTCTACTCTCGAGACGCAATGTGCACAAAAGGGATGGGCTCTGTCAGACCTTGACTTGCTCATCATCTGTGGAGATTTCGAGGTACGACACCAACCATAGATGCAACCAACTTCAGCGACTGACAACAGCATAGGCTATTCGAAACCAGGCCGATCTCAACTGCATGGCCGTCCCGCGCAAGTACCGCAAGTTGGGCGACTTCCACAAATATTACAGCGGTGAAGCAAAGGCCCCAGTTCTGACCCTTGTCATCGGCGGCAACCACGAAGCCTCCAACTACCTCTTTGAGCTGTATCACGGAGGCTGGCTGGCACCAAACATCTACTATCTCGGTGCTGCTGGTGTCATTCGTTACGGGCCTTGGCGCATCGCCGGTCTCTCCGGCATCTACAACCCGTCAAACTACCACAAGCCCCATCATGAACGGCTACCGTACGAAAACAATCACATCCGGTCCATATACCACGTCCGCGAGTATAACATCCAGAGGCTTTTACAAATCCGCTCCCAAGTCGACATTGGGTTGAGCCACGACTGGCCTGCGTGGGTTGAGCTCTTCGGCGACCACGCCACTTTGTACGCCGCAAAGCCACCCTGGCTTGCAAGCGCAAAGATTGACAACCTTGGAAGCAAGCCTGCAGCAGAAGTCATGAACCATCTTCGGCCGTCGTATTGGTTCTCGGGGCACATGCACATGAGGTTCACGACCGACGTGGAATACAAAGACAGCCTGTCCTTCGAGGACTGTGTCAAGGCTCTGCCTGTGCCAGACGCACTAAAAGCCATGCTACCGATTTTTAAGAGCCAGGGCAAGTCTTCTCCAGCTAGGCCGTCGCCAAAGCCTGCGGGTTCGCACTCGAAGACTGAGTTCCTCGGCCTACACAAGGCTGGGTCCGATGCGCGTCTCTTCATGGAGCTGAGAGAGCTTGAGCTTCCTCCCCGTCCCGACACAGACAACACGCAATTCTCAACTCCAAACGACGACGGGAAATTCTCCCTGTACTACGATGAGGAATGGCTCGCCATCACAAGAGCCTATGCCAACGCCTTGAGAGTAGCGGATCCTGAGACCCTTGTGGTTCCACCAACGAAGCCCCAGAAGAACCCTTCAGCTTCGCTTCCTCAACACAGGGCCTGGGTCGAAGAAAACATTGTGCAAAAGGACCTCCTCAAGGTCCCAGACGGCTTCACGACGCATGCTCCAGTCCAAACCACCAATGCTACCGAGACCTTCGAGCAGCCTCCGGAGTATCCAAACCAGCAAACGGCACGTTTTACGGAATTGCTTCAGATTCCCAATAAGTTCAAGTCAGCGTGATGTTTATCTATTGTACTCCAGTGCCATTCTGGACAGTCAAGGGGTTTTCTCTGCACTCAGGAAGAGACAAGGGGCGAATGGATCGACACCATACCCGCAGGCTGGATTTACCTTCGCCACAGCCAGATTTGCAGCTGCCGGTGCAGGCGCAGTCCGCAGCAGTGCGATTCTCCCCTCTTCTATGACTTGATTGCGGCTGAGTTCGCCTCGGACCTTGTGATGGGATAGAAATTTAGGTTGGCGTTTGGTCTAGGGAGTCAATTCTGGTTCATATTGTATAATTCATTTTCCACCACCGCCCATGTGTGTCTTCTCTTGTTGTGGCCAAGTAGCGAGCGCCCTGTGACAGCTTGCAACTAATTGTACCTAAAGAGAAGCGGCGGTATTAAGCTGAGCCACCAAGAAAATTCGCCTTCCAGCTTCCAGAGACCAAATTAAAACCGGTAAGAGTGCCATATTCCAAGTCACCCGATCAAGCAGGGACGAGACCTAGTCACACCATGGCCAATGACACAAATTGGCTTGTCCTATTGGCTGGAACAATTCTAATGCGATTCTTACCAAACCTTCGAGAGTATTTCCAGTTTGGCGTCGCTGTTGCCTATTTTGTGCGCCTAGAATGTGGCTGTGATGGATGCGATGACTGTTAATTAGCGTAGTTAGACTTGAGCCTCCACAGTGTCTGGACAATCGTGCATCAACCAAATCTTCAAATATTCCCTCATCATTCTAAGAACATCACTCAAAACAAATCAGATTCACAATGGCAGAAGCACCACCAACCGTTCAATCTGCGCCGCAGTTCAACTTCACCTTTGATGATTCGGTCTCTGAGTGGAACATTCGCGGCCCTCAGTGGCTGAAGGACAACGAAAAGACATGGGATGGTGTCGCCTCGGGCGCTCTCGTCTTCGACGACCAGGACCGCATCCTCCTCCTCCAGCGCGCCCCCGACGATAGCATGCCTAACCGCTGGGAGATCCCCGGCGGCGCCGTTGACGACGACGATCCCAGCGTCCTCTACGGCTGTGCGCGCGAGTTGCGGGAGGAGGCTGGGCTGGTTCTACGACACATTAAGCACGTCATCCCCGACGGCGCAAACGGCAAGCCCGGTGCCGTGTTCACAAACCGTACCGGGAAGCGCTTTTTCTGCAAGTTCTCCTTCGAGGTCGACGTGGCCGATACGGGATCGGTGAAGCTGGATCCCAACGAGCACCAGGACTTTGTCTGGGCGACGGAAGAAGAGGTGACGAACCAGGCAATCGGCGAGCGCAAGATTCCTCTGACCAACTCGATAATGGTGAGACTATTGCGCGAAGGGTTCAGGATGCGACGGGCAGGCAAGGAGAAGACCGCGGGGACTGTGGCGGGGGAGTCATAGACAGCATTTTATCGACCTGAGAGACTCGAAAGTCGAGATACAGGGGGACCGTCAGTGAGGAGGTTCAAAACTGGGAGATAACTTAATTATTGAAACCTCAACCTTCCATTACCTGCGTTTTAAGTCACTGCGGAGACCGAGGTCTTTATTCAACATGAACCTCCATGAGCGAGGAAGTCGGTGAAGGCAGTCAGTTTGCCCGGATAACCTTGAAGCGGCTGGGTAGAGGCAAAGGAACGCAGAGTCACAGTCCGTTCTACCAACATGAGATCAGTGAGATATTATATTTCTTCTTTTCTTATCCAAGCGATCTTCTCTCGACTCCCGTTTTCCAGCGATCAAGCCTCTTGTCATTACAAGTTCCATAACCATCAATTGCTCAAATCGCATCACATTCCGTCTGCCATATCAATTTCTCCCATTTTTGCATCCCAGTTCCAAACAGAGGGGAGAAGCCAATTCCATATAATCCAATACTCTTTCTCCTTTCGCTATGCCATCCGATTTCGCCAAGCATGATCCTGACCTTTTGAATTCAACAACTCCGGCTTTCAAATTCAGAAACACATGTTCCACCATCATTGAGCCCCTCAAAGACTTCCAATCATGATTAGTCATTAATAAATCTTTACTCCAAAATCCACTCTCTGGAAATGCTGAACGAGACCGAGGTTTAGATTATAGTCTTTGGAGACAGCCATTTTCCAATGAGAAGTGCCCGTGCTGCAAACATGCAGACCGCTCCAACGAAGAGAATCGCGATGTAGAGGCCGGCCAAGGGCTGCGCACCCATGTTGTCGAGCATAATACCGCTCAGAGGAAGGGAAATGAGGAGCGAAAATGCGACCACGAAGTTCATAGTTCCTAGTGATGATCAGCGGGCGGCAATCTTTCGTAGTTCACGCTGGAAGTTACCGTAATATGTGCCATATTCCTTCGGCTCGCATGTTTTCCCAAGACAAACTACTGTTGTTAGAATCGCTCGACAACATCACTAGACAATGATGGAATACTTACCTGGTGTGACTGATAAGAAAGACCCTGACCCAATGCCCCACAAGGCCGAGAAGGCGTACAAAACCGGCGCCGAGGTTGTTCCAAAGGGTACGAATAGTGTTCCCATGAACACGATCGTGACGGCCATCATTGCGAGGATGACATTGAAGTGGCCCACACGATCGCCAATAATACCAGGCACAACTCGGCCAATTGTGGAAGTGCCACCGATAATCGCGAGCAAGAGGAATCCATTCTCGGGTGTGAATCCCGCTCCAGTGGCAATGGTGGGCAGCAGGGCACCTATTCCAAAAATGACGAATTCCAGCATAAACATGCCCGCTGTGACAAGGTTGAATGCCGGGTTGCTAAAGGCTCCGAGGTTCAAGGCAGAGCCTTTGGACACTTGCTGGCTGCTGGCCGGGATGAGTCGCTGGTACGGTAGAAAGCAGAGCACGGCCGGGAGCATCAGGCCAGCAGCAAAGAAACCCGTTATTCTCATAGACCATCTCCACCCGAGGTTTGGAAAGGTAGAGCGCAGCATGATGGGGAAAATGATGGAGCCGATGGACGAGCCAGCAAGAGCAATGCCCATAGCGAAGCCCCGGCGGCGGACGAAGAGTTTTCCCACGGTGGACACAGCGACAACCATGGTCATGGCAGCACCAAAGGCTCCGAAAATACCAAGACACAGCATAAATTGCCAGTATTCCTTGCACTCTGCCATGAGCAAGTAGGTGGCAATGACGAGGACGGCGCCGAGTGGGCCAAGGATGCGAGGGCCGTGGGCATCGAAAATCGGACCGACGCGGAGGCCGAGGACCAGCGACAAGAACAAGTACACGCTGCTAATCCATCCAACTTCGCCCGTTGAATAGTCGCTGAGTTGGTTGAGGCTGAGGTACGATTGGATTGTTCCGAGAGATTGCATGAAGCCTAGAAAACAGCGTCAGAACGGAACGGGGCGGTGGGAACGGCATAGAACGGACTCACCAAACGAGGGCACCAGGAACATAAACGACCCCAAAACACACAACCAAGCACTCCAGGTCGACTCGATGTCTAGCGGTATCGATTCCAATGGCTGCTCGGGGTCATGTTGCTGACCGGCTTCGGAATCGGCATCGGGCTGCGATCCCGACATTTGCACGGGCGTAGGAACTCGCTCCTCGCCAGACGGGCGAGCTGAGTGGGGAGGATCCAAGAGGGTCATGAATTCGTATTTCGTCTCTTCCTTCGTAAAATACACAGTACTGTCGAAACAAATCCTGTCTTGAGCTTGCAAACTTCGAAGAGTTCGTCGTCCCCCGGTCAAGTATTATACACCCCCGGAAAGGTGGGTCGGCTCCGCACCCGGAGTCGATAAAGCCTTTTTTCCTACCACATGGCAGAGAACCCGGACGAACTAGTCGTCATTTGGAAGTTCGCGTGAGAGCACCGGGGGTTGAATTCCACCGCGTGAACCACTTGTGACTGGCTCCCCGCACGCCTTTCCGGTGTCATTTTGCAACAACAGGTGCTGCCGAGACCTGCCGCCAATGTTGACAAGGTAGGTTTGGCGGTCAAGCAATCTCCATGGCAAAGGAGTGTGATAGGTCCGATAGATTCGGTGTTCTGGAAGGGGCATAAGCTCATGTGGTATTCAACCCTCCTCGATGCTGCCGCTGTGCATGCTACTGTAAACTGTCGCCGATTGGTCCTTTGTACGCTATAGTTTAAGTAAGCTATTCAACATCTGATACCCATGGTTTCTTTTCTCTCTAGCGTCGCGTTTCGGTACCGGCAAATGAGTCACGGTTCATGGCTAGAATTATGTAGACACCGGGAGCGGTCCCGGGATCTATCTCCACCGCCATAAGATCCGTAGCTTCTTCAACCAACCACATCTTGACATTGAACCGTCTAAAACAAATTAAACAATATGAATCGGAAGTTCCTTGCATGGCAAATTCCAGTAACTCTATCGGCCTTCCTCTTCTAGACGTCGCAACTATGGCAACACCATGTCTGATCAGATGTCTTTGGCCCTAGCTGTTGTAAGCCAGCCATGCTTCTCATCATTAACTTGGCATCTCTGCAAATTTTAGTGTCCAATAGTTTACATTAACAAATATGCTTTATCTTTCAGCATTAATTGACTGTCGGGCATTGAACTAGCACAGTTACGAGTTTTTTATTTCAGCGACGAGGCCTCGTGCTACCCTGGAGACTAATCGCAACATCAAATTGCGTGCTGCACAACGTCAAAACTCTGAATAAAAATGCTATTGTGACCCCTAGCTTAAACCATGTCCTGATCGGTTATTGAGCGAAACTTTTAATTCACTAATTACGAACACAGTGTTTCACACCTTGTCCCAAAGCTTAAGCCTCGTGAACACATCTCGAAGTTCCGCAAGGGCAATCGTATTCTCAGTGCCATCTGGGGAATGAGCATACAAATGAGTGACTCACGAACAATTTTCCCTATATATAACCTATGTTTTCAAATCTCAGAATATCAGTACTTCCTCCTGTCTCCCAAGTTCCAATATCGTTCCCAATTACCAAAAGCCATGTTTCGACCGACACAACAACACCCCGATGACATCCACACTCTTGTGGACAAATGCCTAGGATCATTTAATGGACTCATAGATGATATCAAGAAGCACGGAAATCCTCAAGCCCCCTCTGGGAATGAGAATTTGCAATCTAAGCGAGACCAGCTCAGGAAATGGGCAGCCGACTTTAGAGCTGACTTACACTGCTCGTCTAAACAATCACTTGACTATAAGTTCAAACAGCATGAGTCTCCTCGAGGCACGACGATCACAGAGCTCAAAAAACTGCTCGAGGATCTTAACAGCTGTAATATTTAACCCTACTTGCTTTATCACTTGCACTAACGTGGGTATTTCAGTCACGAAACATGTCACACACCCACGGACAAGGGGAGCCGCGGCTGCCAATAGGCCTGGGGGGAATTCGGCAGCAGATCAGACCAGGATGTATATGGAAAATATTTCGCAATCACTAGACAGGACATTCAGTCGCGATCGGTTCTTGGCACTTCTGCCCAAGGGGGACTGGCTAGATCCCTCAAAGTCTTCAAAAGCTAAGCCGGAGGCGGGATCGAGTAAGTTTCCCTGGCTATGAATAGACCTACCGACGAGGAGATATTAGATTGTCTTAGCATAGTGCTACATGCGGGCGGATATGGTCTTGACGCCGGCGTCCTCTCTTGTAACGTCTCGTAGTATGGGATTGTGAGCTGGATGTAGCTCTAGGCTAAAATCCAAGTTCTCAATACCCTATAACAATCGCAATGGCATTTTATTACACATATACAACAGCTCACGCAATCTTGCAATGTGATTGCCCAGCCACGCGGCTTCTCAAGAGAAACTCGTAACTGCAGGAACTAGGAAGAGACCAGCACCAGAGTACCAACTTTTTCAGCCGCACATGGAGAAGTCCCTCATTACGAGGCTATGTTAGCCAGGCGTGCCTGGGCCAACGAAATCCTTCACGAAAGAAGAAAAAAGCGGCTGAGATGTGGACATGTGCATGGGTGGAATGGCCCCATCCTTGCCTCACGAATTTTGGCAAAGTGCGGTGAGTTGTGAGCAGTACAGTACAGGACGGAGAAAACCCGCACCGGGTTGCCAATTGGACTAACGAGATAAAAAATAAAGAGGTCGAACAGAAGCCTACACGTACGGCTGGTCTAGTCAATCACTGGAGTGAGAAAAAAGGCCGCGCCGAGAAATGGCTCGCTCGGCATCCACCCGGCGAGGATCCCGGGAGTGACTCCGGCCTAGGCTAATCAGATGCCGGTGGTAGGAGCGGGCGAACACCGATATTTGCCCTTTAGAGAGGGATCTTGGTCGGCATTCGGGTAGATCATATGATGGGCTGGGATTTTTCTTTCCTTTCTTTTTGTGCGCGTAGCAATTGTGGCTACCTAGTTTTAGCTCCGCTGACGGACACGCATCGAGCTGACAAGACATTCCGAATCGTACGTAACATGCAGGGCCGAGGTCGGGACTGCACAGAACTCGGCGAATGTGACGCTGTGGGTGGTAATGACGACGATCTGATACGCGGATCTGCCGGCTGCGGTTTTTCGCAACAGATTGACAGGGCCAGGGGCCTTTTTGAGCGCATCACGATGATTAACGTCCGGTTAAGTTCTCAGTTACTAATTAGTTGTGTCGTGTACTCTGTACTGAACCGAATTGTGTGGTCGAAACTTGGAGTAGCACGGCATTCCAATTCACGTGGGCGCCGGTTTCCGGGCGGGTTGGCGACAATCCAATGCACAGGATTATTCAAAGTGCCGAACCGGGAAATAGGCGAGAACTGTAACGTGGGAATATTTTCTAGAGGCGTTTCTTGACTCGTCTGAGATGAGGAATGTGATGACTCTGGCTGAGCCAACGGCCCATCCAGACCATGATGGAAATTCCATCCCCCACAGCTGAATCCGATGTGGGGGGATGGGAAAACACACATTCCTCGTTACCGGTGCACATGGGACAGTCACGAGCTGCTCTGCGTGCCATTATTTTTGTGAGACACTTTTCCCCAGATGACTGGTTCAAGGCTCATGTGGACCCCATCACGGACAACTCTCATCATGTTGCGATATCACAATGTCGAAGCCACCAACCACGGGGTCGACAAAGGTCACCCGCAGATGAGAGATAGGGCACAGCACCAAAATGTTCTCGAAGGAAAAGCACCGTCGCATTTCACGGAGCAGAATGACCTCATTGGCGTCGATCCCTGCGAGGCGACGCTGGGGACCCCGGGGACCCCGGTCTAGACCGTCGCCCCAGCCGCTCATGGTCCTTCGCAAACGGTCATCACCGAAACGAAGGCGGCGAATGTTTCGAGGTCGGCTAGAAGGTTTCTTTCAAGCTTCCCTTGATTAAATGACTGACTGAGATGCTGTGGGGCGTGGCGGAATGGAACTCTCAATACCGTGCGCACTGGCGGTGTTATTCTTGGACGGCCGATGCTGATTGTGCTGATGTTGTTGCTGGAGCCATGGTGCATTACTTTTGATGCTTCGCGCGATTGTGAGGCGGGCGGCGCACTGGCCCAAGTCGCGCCAGCAACAGGACGCGATCTGCGACCAGATTGCATTTTGACAGGTCAATTATGCACAGGGTATGCCCGCGAAGAAGGACGAACGCCGTATCGCTGCTGGGAGACGAGGCGAGGCGTTGTTTTGTTGTCGTTGACTTACGGTGAGGAGATGCCTGTCGTCTTGCACAAGATCCAAGGCAACTCGCAAGACGATCGGCGAGTTGAATGAGCTGGCACCCCAAGGGCCAAGCTCCCCAGTGGACCGGAGCATCGCCCTGCCGGCGCCAGCGCGATTTCCCCTTCGTCCTTGGAACTGCCGTCGAGAGTGGGCGGTTACAGCGGTCTTGCACTGTCGCATTATCGATGCGAAAACGTCCTAGCCTGTGATTTTGCTGTTTATTTGGCCGCCCGACAAAGTGCGCCAACGCCAATGCTTCACCATACCCCCGCCCGCCAGGGATCCCTGAAGGGCTCTAAAACGAGCGCAGTTGATGATACTGGCAGACGACTCTGAAACATGGGCATCCTGCTTTATTCCGCCTGGTTCAAGCAGGCACGACAGGAACCACCCCTGGTTTGCTGGTCGGGTAGGTCAGCTCAGAATGCCCGTGATATGGCATCAGAAGCCACATCGTCGCTGCTGCATGTGGCGTGTCTCGTCCGACCGGGCGGGCCAGTCGCAGTATGCGCCGTCGGCGTTTGCAGCGCTGTCGAAACACCGTGAAGGGGCATGATCATGCGCCGGCATCGAGGTCCCGCACCCGGAATACCCGGCAGTTACTTTTTATTCTTCTTTTATGTGTGCTCGTGTGTGAACGGCACTGCACGGTGGGCAATTGGACGCAGGTTCCCGGACGGATGCGGGAAGGTAGAGTTAAGCTCAGATTCGCTGACAAGGGAACGGAACGCTCGGAGTTTGTCAATTAGAAATTGAGACAAAACCGACCAAGACATTGGTAAGAAGGGTAAGGCGGCAAGACAAACCCTGGGTGCATGTGAGACCCGGCAGCACGGCTATGCAACTGGAGCCGCTGGAGGCTCAAGAAAGAGGCTCAACCTTCTCCAGCGGCAGTGCCGTGGGCGTTGGGATGGCGTTGGACAGACACGTTCCCCTTTCCCGGATCGCAGTTGAATCCTCCTCATCCCCGCGGGAACCCTTCATCGATCTGCGGCGCGTCTTGCAGGCTTGATCCTTGAAGACGGACAAATATCAGTCATGTGCTGTGATGCGAGAATCGTTATGTCGGTCGTCAGGCGGAGGAGGGCATCCGCCAACCCCTCATGCAAAGCATTGGATGCACAATATCCGCATTGTGTCCGTGGAGCCAACCAAACAGTGTGGCCCCTCGCGCATCATCCATTGATTCCATCGCCCAGCGGGAAGTGCCTTTCTTCCGGGCGCCCAGACAAGATACGGAGTCAGATTGGACGCCAGCTGGCACTTCCGTCGTCATCAATCCATCAATCATCAACACACTAGCGGCCACAGCTTTTCATGCACCTACTTTTTCCTTTCCCCCCCGCACGGCGGGCGTTCGGCATCTTCCAGGGTAGGAAAGACAAGAGAGCCAACAAGAACCAAGGAAATTGTATTTGCATCGGCGATTCGGCAAACAGGCGTGTTCGCCACCGTGCTGTCGGTATCACGCTGGCCGCCGTTCTGCCCAGGGAGTGAGTGAGTGAGGTGAGGCTCGCATGGGACGTCCGGCACCGACACCGGCTGGGCCACAGCAGCGCCGCAGCAATTACGTAGCGCCAGAGGCTTTCATGGGGAACGCTCGGCGCCGCGTCAGCGGGGTGGCGGCGCAGAAAGGCCGTGTCTCTGTGGGAGCCTGTGCTCTTGGTAGGGCCTTGATTCCAATTGAACCCAATGGCACGGCGTCCCGTTGCGTGCAGGCAACGGGACCCGGCCGTTTACACGGCACCAGCAGAGTTAATTCAGCGGCTGTGTGCTGTCTGTCTTGTCGAATGGGTTCCCCGGCTTCCCTGGCTTTGGCTGAGCTGGGCCTAGGGCCGCATCTCGCTGGCTCCGTCGGCGAGGATGGACGAGGAGGGTGAAAACGAATAATAATTCGCCGTCTCTCTCTCTCGTCTCCATGGCCGTCATCCTCAATTCCCACCACCCTTCTCTCCCGGTCACCACCGCCCAGCAAACCACCACCCTGGGACTCCTGCACAAAGAACAAAAAGCGCCCCAACCTCCATCCCATTTCCCCGGCTTCCCATCCGTCCTTTGCGTCCTGTCTCTCGCGGAGCACAGGCCCGTGTTGCCATTCCATCGACCGGCTTCTAGACGTCTTCGCTGAGAACACGCGTGCACGCCCCCCACAAACCGCACCCCGTTTCGCGCCATCCTACCGCCGCTCCGTCGCTTTCGCCCTCGCCGGTCTCAGATCTCAGCCCAGAGCCAAAGCCAGAGCAACGGTCTCTCGCCCAGTGCCTGTGCACCGTACTTTTTTTTTTCGGTCTCTTTGCGCCGCTGAGACATTGACTCTTGTTCCTGGCTCGACTGGCTTGCCCGGTCGGACTTCAGCCTATTCCTGGTCTCACCACCAGCCACAACGAAGGTCCTCGTTTTCGCGGATTTCCCTGTTTGGAAGCGTACATAACACCACCCCGGACTTTGTCTGTCAGCAATCTGCCACCGCCCTCTGTGGTTACGCGCCGCCTAAGCTATTCTCGCGGAGACTCGATCCGAAGCTGAGTCGAGACTGTCGAGCTCGCGCGGCTAAACCGCCCCGTCACATCTAATCACAGCTTCGCCGCTCTCGTTTGGGCTGAGTGTGCAACCCGAGTCGCGCGCCAAGAACTCGACTCAAGGCAAACAAGACAGGCCCCCCCTTGTTCCCTTGTTGGTTCAAGCGCAAGCTTTTTGCGGGTGATTTCAGCTTCATCGCCGTCGCCGCTCATCAGAGCCCAGAGCCCGGCGGATAAGCTCCACCCGGCCCGGCCTCAAAACACGCCCTGGCCTGAGAGTCCATTGAATCTGTTTCGGATTCCCTGTTCAAGGTACGTGCTTCCTTGGTTTGAGCCTGGGAATTGTTGTTCAATCCGCCTTTCTTTTGCGTCTGGCTGGTCATTTTCGTCATGCGCTTCAATCCATGCACACCCTCCCCAGCCCTTTGTACCCCGGTCTGGGCCGTCATGATGGCATTCATGTTGCCCGTTTCGGCCATTTCCTTGTTTCCACTACCAATTGCTGCTGGCCATTCCCCATCTTTGTCTGGCTGTTTATTGTGCATTTGCACTTGCATTCACCTTCACATCCCCAATCGCAATCTTCTCAAATCAACACGAGACGGAGAAAAAAACAAGTAATTCATTCTCCGCTCCGTTCTCCTTCACCTCCACAACAAGCATCATCCTTCTCCACACCATACGCCGCTACTTCACATCGTCCTCCTCACCTCTTCTCATTGAATCCCTGTCTCCCCTCCCTCTCGCCCTGCTCGCAACCCTAGCTCGTCTGCCCGCAAAATCTCCACCCCGCCAACGCCGCCAGCAAAACGTCGGCACTAAGCCCAGCCGATCTGTCACCCTCACTCTGGGCCCTTGCCCTCGTCATCGCTGCTCAGACTCTGGCCGTCTTGACCAATCCGCTTAGCGCTTTGGTCTCCCCGTCCTTGTCGGTGTCGGTTGTATGGATACCCTCGCCCTCACCCTCTTGTGCCAGCGCATATAGAATCCCTTAGCCGGGTGCTTTGGTTGTCCAGTGCTCCCTCCCGGCCCCATCTCTACTACACACCGTCTCTCCCCGCCCCCTCACCCTTCAATACAATGCAGACTTAGCTCAATGGTCCAATGCTCAGGCCCCGCTGTGTTCTGCTGTGCATCACCTGGCGGTTATAAGTCCAAGCACCCTCCCTTGCACGCAGCCTGCTTCCATTTGCCCTTACATTGGCCTCTCTGTTAGATTTCTATAACATCACTCGAGAACCCAAGCCTTCCTCCTCCTCGTTGTTCACACTTCTTTACGCTAGCTTCCTGTTTTGTGAAAGCTCACCGGCTGGGCACACATCATCGCTGCTTGGCTGGAGCCGCCCGTTAACCACCATGACAGCAAACGCCGAGAAGCAACGCCGTTCCAACTGGATCACCGCCCACGAAAACATTTACTACCGCCCGCGCCTCAGCAAGAAGAAGTCGGCCTCGCTGAACGTTGCCCGCTTTCCAACTCCCCTGATTGGACCTCGGAGAGCTCGTCCGCAAGCCATCCACATTGTCAGCTACCCCTCAGGCTATATCCCCAGAGAATTGCGTCCCGAAAACCAGCCGCCAAGTCCCCCGCCCCCGCGTCAAACGCCATCTCTGCAGCCCGGGAACTATCGCGACAACCAGAAGCGCAAAGCGGCCAAGGTCAGAGCCCGTCGACGAGCCGAATCCACTGAGAGCGGTTCTGTGACATTTCGGCCGCTGGGGAAACTGCTTGGATCATTTTCCAGCTCCACGACCAACCTCGCATCCTCCTCATCCTCATCTGCTGTGACCAGCACTGTTACCGCTGCTCGTATTAGTGCAGCGCCCGCTACTGCTGCACGATCCGACGCGCCCCCGCCCGCATTTGGTCGCACGACCTGGGCACCTGCCACTACCGGATCAACTGGGGAAAGCGCAGCCGGACCCCCGCCTGCCTATGACGACACTCCACCCGAGTCTCCGACACATGATTTAACTTTGACGACCACAGCCACATCCTCAACGCCTTTCATCTCAACCAATTCAGACTCCGAAATGGCGTCTCGAGTTGTTAATCCGCCCCTGCCGGGCGGCTTCATGATGGCCAGTCCCCAAAGCCTCATCGGCCGCACCAGTGCGTCAAAATCTGCCGTCACATCGTTCGTCGCCGAGGTCCCCAAGCCCGTCGCATCCGGGAGCGGTGTATCTTGCTCCATCCTCCTCGCCGAACAGAACATTTTCCTCTCTGGCTTCGACCATGATGGCAATCGCCACCGCGACGGCCACGCCGGCACTGCTCTGCTGCGAGGCAAGCTTCAGCTGCGCATTACCAAGAATGTCAAGATCAAGGCTGTCCAGCTCAAGCTGCTTGGCCGTGCCCGCACCGAGTGGCCTGAGGGCATCCCTCCCTTGAAGCAGGTTGACTACCAGGAGGAGAGTCTGCGCACCCAGGTCCTGACCTTCTTCAACGCCATGAACGATGGCTGGGAGACCGATTACGGGAACCAATGCACCTACCAACTCAAGGGTGCCTCGAACGATAATCCCAACAGCAGCTCCACCAGCATCGCTACCCGCGCGAACAACTCTAACTCTATCCAGACGTCGCATCGCAACCACATCACTCCGAGGGAAATGAAGCGCTTGTCGCTTCAGAATGCCCAGTCGCGTAGCTTCCAGAAGGATGAGAGCCCGATCGCCACGGCTACCCAGGCCAAGGGCTACAAGGTCTTCTACCCTGGCGTCTACGACTACTCCTTCGAACTCCCCATCGACCACCATCAGCTCGAGACCACCAAGTTGCAGTTCGGATCCGTGACCTGGGAGCTCCTCGCCACTGTCGATCGCGCTGGCGCCTTCCGGCCCAACCTGCACGGCAGCAAGGAGTTGTCCATCGTCCGAGTTCCTGACCAACTCTCGCTCGAAATGTCGGAGCCCATCTCCATTAGCCGACAGTGGGAAGATCAACTACACTACGATATTGTCATCTCGGGAAAGAGTTTCCCGATTGGTAGCAAGATCCCCATTGCCTTTAAGCTGACGCCCCTGGCCAAGGTCCAGGTGCACAAGCTCAAGGTCTTCGTTACCGAGTCCATTGAGTACTGGACAAACGACAAGCGTGTCACTAGAAAGGACCCTGGTCGCAAGATCCTGCTCCTCGAGAAGACGGCTGGCAAGCCCCTCGACGAGGCATGGGAAGACTCCGACCTGCGCTTCCTCCAAGGTGGAGAGTTGACCCCTGAGCAACGACGCGAAGCCCGCGAGGCTGCGGCCCGGAGACGAGCCTCTGAGGCAGCAAGACGCCACCAAACCGCCCAGCCACTGCCCGATCCCAGCGAGAACATGTTGGGAGATTTGGATTTGGGACTGGAGCACTTTTGGGGCGCAACCGAGATCGAAGCCAACGTGCAAATCCCGACATGCGAAATGATGGCCAAGAACAAGGATTTGAGGCTTCATCCTGACTGCAGCTGGAAGAATGTCAACGTCTACCACTGGATCAAGGTATGCAACTTGGGACTATTTTTCTATCAAGCACAAGCTAACTCTAAACAGGTTGTGATGCGAATCAGCCGTATTGATCCTGAGGACCCCAGCGGCACCAAGCGCAAGCACTTTGAGATCAGCATCGATTCGCCCTTTACTGTTCTCAACTGCCGAGCTACTCAAGCCAACACTAACCTTCCCGCATACTCGGGTGCCATGGGTCCTACGACTGCTTGCCAATCCAGCTGTGGATGCCCCGATGCTATGAGCATCCCTACCAACATCTCGCCTAGCTCTTCTACTGGCACACTTTCTCATGTGAACCCTGGCAGTGATGTCCTCCCTGCACCGCCTCAGGTTGCCCACCTGGCCCATAACGCCACGAACGAGCCGCGACCCATGCATTTGTTGAGGGTCCCGAGTTTCAACCCGCCAGCCTTTGAAGACGATATCGCGCCACCCGCTCACGAGAATGACCAGAGTGCTCTCCGTGAGGGGGTCATGACGCCACCTCCGTGCTACGACCTTGTGGTGGGCACACCGAGTGTAGACGGTCTTGCCGACTACTTTGCCCGCCTGGCGGACTACGACGGCGCCGACTCTGATTCAGCATCCGACTCAGACGAGACACCTCCAAGGATTCTTGAGAGGACTGGACGGGTCAATGTGGCCCATCCTAGTACACCAGGCGGCAGGATGCCCAGCAGGAGTATGGAGATCTCCCGCCCGCCCATCACTCTCGATATGGGAGCCATCACCCGACGCGCCGCAAGGGTCGGGTGAAGCGCTGGCCGCCTGTGTGGAGTGATGACGAATCACTGTGTTGAGACATGTGGAGCGTGTCTCGAGAACCAGGATCATACAAACATACTCGATGGGGTTTTCTTACGAAATTTCCATTTCCTATAATATTTCCTTCTTGTCAAACATCTACGAAAGCAAGCATCGCGCTGCATGGGACGGAATATGGTGGATACGGGAGGTCGGTACCAATGCAAGGAACATTGGCGGCGTTGGTTTGTCGGTTTTCTATCTGTCCCATGAGACCTGGCGTTTTTGCAAATAAAAAGGGAGAAGGGCAGCGCATAGGTCATTATCACATCTTGGATATGGGGGCTGTTTCAGGAACATATGGACATGGCTGCATCCGGGAGAGGCATACTCACTTTTTCTGATACCACATTACGCATAGTCTCTTATTATCTATTTTATGAAGTCTACATATCTTGATCCTTGTGCTATGTTTTGGTGCATCCATTGATTCTCTTTTCTATGTACCGCGACAAGCGAGAGGCCAGTTGGTTCAGGCGGCTCCGTTTCAACATCAGCTGGTGCATGGAGCGATCCTCAAGGGTTGAACCATGGGGATGTTTCGCCGTGGAGCTTCTGGGGTATGTCTAGAGTACCACGTGGGGCTAGCGTCATTGTTAGCAGTATGTCCTCGTGAGGTGTAGATAGCTCATGGTAGGTCGGTTAGAGATACCAACTTTTCCCTGTCTTATGAGGCCAAGCGTTGAAAACAGGTTGGAATGGGCCAAGACAATGCCGACAATGCCGAATGAATTTGCGGTGACGATCTTGATTGTGTAGGAGAGCAAAGAGACTGGGGTTGTAGGGCTGATGCGTGTTGTATGATGTCACCACTTTTGATCCTACGGCGTTGAAGAGCCGTTTTAGCTAGTGCCGTTCCGGAACCTGGCCTGTTGATCAAGTTACCGCTTTCAACCACAACGTCCGAGATCGAGATCCAGGGACACGACTTGGAACAAATATGGATTGCGTGGTTCCAATCAGAGCAATTCGTTGACTTGATTGGCATGACCTGTTCGGGCTCAGGGGCCATCTCGCAGGGGCAGCTCTCTAACAGCCAGCGGATAGGCCTACCTCCGATATCTCCGGAGTCAGCACGATATTCTGACCTCATCTCAAGGCACTCAGAAACTGAACCACTCGACTGTCCGCCGTGGCCGATCCTTACTTTCGATATGGCCGCTGCAGAAGACAATACGAAAACGGTCGTGGTCCGCCAGCGGAAACCCCATCGCAAGTCCCGGCTGGGATGTGGTAACTGCAAACTCCGTAGTGTCAAGGTCAGTCTTCTTCATCTTCGTCTATCTCATCCCATGCTCGCCTGCTATTGCATTCTCTACCTAGCCGAGCAGTATCTCCTAATAGAACCCATTCATCTGACTCATCTCCAGTGCGACGAATCCAAGCCAACATGTAAGCGCTGCGCGTCCTCGGGCTTCCTGTGCAACTACGCGCGCTCCACGCCCGCGCTGCAGCTCGCGAGCAGCATAGGCGGCGCCGGCACGCTGAAGCTGACGCTGGACACCCCGGTGCGGCTGCCGGCGCCAAGCCTGAGCCGCGGCCTCCCGCCCCCGGGTCCCGGGCTGCGGATCCCCGTGGCGGGGCCGGTGGCCGGCGGGCCTGAGGGCAGCTATGAGATGCGTCCCGCCGACTACGCGGCGCTGGACCGGTTTCGTACCAGGACGGTTTTCACTGTGGGGAATGCGGCCACGAGGCACTTGTACCGGGACGGGGCGTTTGAGCTGGGGGTTTCGGTATGTTTCTCTTCTCTTCATCCTGGTGTCTCCATCTCATGCCACGTCCCCTTATTTGATCTCAGCTCAACCACGGCATATGAGATCCATAGCTAACCACTATGACCTAGAACCCTTTCCTCCTCCACGTCTTCCTCGCCTTTGCTCTCCTACACGACTCCCACCTCGCCTCATACACAACCTCCGCCGCCCACCGCTCCCAGCTAGCCTTCCACTGGTACCACGGCACGGCGCTCTTCCATCGCAACCTCTCGACCGCCTCAAAGTCTTCTCCAGGGGCCCTCGCTAGCACCCACCGCGATGCCCTCTGGGCCTCGGCTGCCATCCTCGGGTCCGCCTCCTTCGCCTTCATCCACTCCGTGGAACCCGCCGAGGCCTGGCCGCTCAAGGCACCCAGCCCGACAGACCTGAACTGGCTCAAGATGAGCGACGGGAAGCGCGTCGTCTGGGACATTGCTGATCCCACACGGCCCGAGAGTATCTTTCATCCTCTCCTCGCCGACCACGCAAAATTCGTCGCGCCAGATGGCTTCGCTCCCATCCCGCCCAACGCTCTGCCCGCGTCATTCTACCCTCTCTGCAACCTGACATCCTCCACGCCATCTGAAAACCCATATCACGTCGCTGCATCGCTCCTCGCACAGCTCCTCCCTCACGAAATCAACGACAAAAACATGATCCAGTTCCTCGCGTTCCTATCCCAGCTCGACCAGCGGTACCGCCGACTCCTCGAGGAGAAGGACCCCCGGGCCATGCTACTGTTGGTATACTGGCACTCGAAACTCGCGAAGTTCGAGGCATGGTGGCTGAAGCAACGGGCTCTGGTTGAGGGAAAAGCCATCTGTATCTACTTGGGGAGAGAGTGTGCGGATGACCCAATGATTATGGAGTTGGTGGAGTTCCCGAAGAGGATACTATTCCAGGAGACTGGTACAACTATCATGAAGATGGGTAACGTGTTGGACGTGACAGATGGGAACACTGTGAGAAATTCGGCGGAAGTGCGGTAAAGAACACGAAGTGTGATTGAAAGCTGTGCTGAGTAGACCTAAGGAGAGACTATGCTTCTGAAAAGAAAATACCAAAACAAAATGACTGGATCCTAAACGCCGCTATCCTTCAACCCTATTCATGGTATCGTCAACCGTGCTGTTAATTCCAACCCAATTCCCTTTGCGCCCAAGCCTGACCTGACGACTCAACTCATGCCCCAACTTGAACTTCCTGCGGCGCCTTCTGCTCGTCCTTGTCCGCCGTCTTGGGCATTAGCGGATGCTGCGGGTCGTAGCCTACTGACTTTACAATGCCGAGGCCCTTGGTGCGGCCTTCTCGGAAGAGCAAGCGGTCTCCGGGAGTCAGGTACTCCGGGCGCTGGACGAAGCGGAAGGCTACGGTGGCGCGGTCGCCGGTGCGGATAAGTTCGCGGTCAATGTCGATGATGGCGCAGGTCTGGGAGACAGGGCCGACGTGCAGCATGGCCTGGTACTTGGTCTTGATAGTTGTAGCGTGCGACAAGATCAGGACTAGGGAAAGTCAGTCATGCTGCATTATAAAGGGGGACATGTCATGTTGAGCGACTCACCCTCAGCAATAAATTCTCGGTGAACCTTGGGAACGGGCTGCCCTTCTATCTTGGGCAATACTACCATGCCCTTCCTGACATCCTTGCGCTTAACCTTCTTCAAAGCGAACGAGGCTGACTGCCCCGCCGATGCGGCCGGTACTCGTATCCTCTTGCGCTCAATGGAACGAATTGCTGTTGGCGTAAATTGTCCCAAGGAATCCGGGCCCACAAGAACACTGTCCCCTTCGTGAATGACTCCAGACTTGACGATGCCCGAGACTACAGTTCCGGTGAAGGGGACAGAGAATGTGTCATTAACATGAAATTCGAAGGGAGCATCAGTGTTGTATCGTCCGTGGTGAGGGAGGATGTTTAAGAAGGTACGGACGAGATCGAGGTTCTCACCCGTAACGTTCGACACCAGGAAGACAGGGCAGATGCGCTGGCTAACAAACTGCGTCGCCGTATTGATGCACTCTTCGCGGTTCTTGATAAAGGTAGGGATCTTGCGCGCACCCGGGCTCTTCATGATCTTGGTGATCTGCGTGATGGTCTCCTCGAGAATATTGGGCGGGCAGATGTCGATCTTGGTCACAACGACCATAACGGGGACATTCAGAGCTAGGGCGATGCCGAGATGCTCCTTGCTCATTCCAATGAGGCCGTTATTGGCTGCAACCATGAGCAGGCAGTAATTAGGGCTGCTAGACAGCAGTCCAAAGACGGTCGTTCGCAAGTACTTTTCATGACCAGCCAAATCGGTGAAGGTGATGACCTTTGCGCTTCGCTTGCCGATTTCCTCCCATGAGAGTTTGCCTATCATTCAACAGTGAGATGAGCCCGAATCTTGGATGAGCCAGCTGAGACTTACGCCCGGGGATGTCAGAGGTAATGACATGTCCCAATGTATCAAAACCCATAATCTCCATACCGACCGAGCTAGTTCGTCCGGTTTCAATCTCATGCTTATGACGGAACAAATTGACTCGAGCCTTTCCACGGCCATCATCAAGATCTCCCTTGACTAAAACGCCCAGCATGGAACTCTTTCCCGCGTCGACTGCCAGTTGTTAACGCCCATCATAACGGCAAACCTCGCGCATGCTTACCATTGCCCACCACCGCTATGCGGGTCTCAATAACATCTTCTATATTCGCGGGGCGCTGGCGGATGAGGATCTTTCCGCTGCAGCTCTTGTCCTTGGAGATTTTTTCGCTCGCACTGTCGCCCTCCTTGTCACCGCCCACATTCTTGGTCAACAGGAGGTCGCAATCGGCGCGTATCCGCCTAGCTGCGGCTTCAAGAGTCTTGTATGCACGGTTCCACTCGTCCAAACTCAACTGCATTGAGTCACCATTGTTCTCAAACCCAATCTCGAATACGGCCTCGCCAAAGCCCTCCTCTACGCGCCCGGCGATGACATCCTCCAGCTGCTTCAGCGACGCCTCGTCGGACCCCCCCAGAAGCAGTTCCTTGAGGGGGACTCGGGGTTCTGAGTCGGCGAGGTCGAGGTTGTCGAACAATTCGTCAAGTTCGGCATGGTGCTGGTCGTTGGGATCGGTCGTGGTGGAGGCAGCCGTGGTGGCGGTTCTTGAGGTTGGGTAACGGAGGTTCTGCTGCTGTTCAACGTACTCGGCAAAGTCGTTCAGAGCCTAGTCAACTGTTAGATTTTGCATTACACAACAGCAGACGTGGACTTGCCGACTCTCCCTTGCGCTTTTCATGCGCCATCGCCTTCGTCGGGTGGCTCGACATTATGAGCGTAACAGTAACGGTGAGGTCATGCGGATCGGCATTCGAGTGACCATTGAAGTTGGCAGGAGCAATGACAACTGTCTGACGGGGTCTCTTCCAGCTAAATAGTGATGACTGAATAAGAGCGAATGCCTCAGGGTTGCTGCGCCTCTCTCTCGCCGGCTGACTGGAGATGTTGTGACAAGAAGAGTCATAGATGAAGTCGGAAGACAGCAGGGTCGGGTCACTGGATGGCGCTGTCTGGCCGTACCGGGAGCGCGGGGTGTTACTCACTAATTCCAGTCTGGTGTTATCGATAAGAGCTACCCACCCACGAAGCGCACTGGCCAATGGAATCGGTCGTTGGTCAAGAGCGGCACGGGGCTGTTATACGGCATATAGGAATACGCCCAAGACCAAGCCACATCCCCCCTTCTCAAAGTCTAGCCGACCAATGAGACTGAGCGTAGGGGATGGGGGATGGAGGAAGGAGGAAGGCAGATACGTCACAGACACATCAGGCATAATCCAATAGGTACCTAGGTATCCAATAGAGCTGGCCTTGCAGTCGTGGTTTTTTGACTATGTATGCGCGGAGAAACTTCCCGAAGATATCAACTGGGAGATCACATGCGCGTCGTCCAACCATCTCCACCTTCTAGCTGCATCCCATGACGCTCTTAGGCGTGGATAGGATATGAATGATGAGTCCTTCACCTGACGAGCTGAATCCAACTCGTTCTTATGAACTCGGTCAGTGACTCTCATGCCCGTCGGCATATGTGCTGGCAGAGAGCCCCGCACCTGGGTCATGCAATACACTCAGTCCAGGGACCGCCTCGCGGGGGAAATTCGACGTATGATGCCGTGGTATCATTTCTCTGATACTCTAAAAGGGAACCTGAGGGGAAATGAGAACAACGCTATCGCCTGTGACAAGGTGTCAGTAAACGCAAACCGAGCTCAGGGGGACCACACTCACCTCTCACAAACAACATCTCAGATTTCCGGCTAATGGTCTACGGACACTGTCAGAATTTCATGATCCCAGCCAACATTCAAGATTTTCAACTCACCTTGACCTCTTCATCCTCGTCGTCCTCATCCACAGTGTAGATAGTCTCCTCAACCTCGCCCAGCACCAGGTTGCAATGGCTGTCATAGGCCTGTCATGAGCGTCAGCACCGGCACTATCACAACCCAACTCTCACAGGAGAAAGAAAACTCACGTGCAGCTTGCCCTTGAGCTCGCGATCTCCTCGCAGCTTGACAAACACCACCTCGTTGAGCAGGAGCCTCACGAGATCGAGGGGCTCCGACACGTGGTGGGTCTCCTCAGCAGCGTCAGCCATGGTGGGAATTACAAAGACCTCTCGGTGAATCGTCTTTGTGTGCTTGATGTGTCCCTGAAGGTTGAGCCTTCGCAGCGGGGGTGAGGGTCAGGGGGGTGGCGGCTTGAGGTTGTCGACAGGGCCCTTCGTGGATTCGGTGCAAAAGGCGATTCTGGCGACGGATGGAAAATCTTCGGCTGCACAGCTGTGCGCAGCTCGGGTATGCATCCATCGGGGTATATGGCAGTATGCATTTATGCAGGTGTTTTACCCCATACTTGTATCCTTGTATCCCTCCCCCTCACGGAAATGCTTTTGTCTGAGTTGGGTTACACGGCAGCAAAGTTACATTGCTTCTCCAACCGCGGCCCCATTCGCATGTTGTCTTCTCTCCTCATTTTACGCGTCGCTCGTCGACGTCTTTTCCGTCCATGACGACCGCCATTGAGCCATGCCTCAGAGCCGATTCCTCTGGCGAGGGCCTCGTCTCCCCTGCCTCTCCCCTTCTCCACCCTCGACCGCGCTACCGCTCCAGCTCCCGATCCTCGACCCACCGATAAGGCATCGACCCGCTGTGGGTCAGCGACGATGTTTGGCATCCCATGCCACGACACAGTTCACGACAGCTTCGTCGAGTTCTCCTTCGTCGGGCTTACAATCGGGATCATTGTCCATTTCTCATCTATTCCCGAGATTCCCCGACTCGCAACTCTTTGAAGGCGAAACCAAACCGCCGGATAGATTCACAGACCTCGATCTTCTCCTCCGGGCCATCCAATGTCGCGATGTGCCCCAAATCGGTCCTGCGTTCCTCGCATGGACCCAGCGTCTGAGCAATAACGATGGAAGTGTCTCCCACGCCGCCCAAATTGAGCTTCAAAATCTGCCAATCGCGACATTCTCCGAGATCCTGCGTTGGATAGACCCGGTCGCCAACCCCGCTCACGATGTTGCTCACGGCCTCAATATCTCCCTTGGCCAGACCCAATTCACCGACGCTACCCGCCTCGTCGACGATTTTGGTGTCCGCGTCCAGCACCGCGAAGTGCTCGAGGCCGTCAAGATCCTCATGGAGGCACGCCGTGCATCCGGTGTCCGAATGCTCATCCCAGACTACGAGGTCTTCATCCGGTGCGCAGCCGCTGCCTCCGACTCCCCTGCTGCCGTTGAGTTCTTCGGCGCCATAAACAAGCACGGCCTGGGGTCTCAGCGCAACACCTCCACCTGGACCGAGTTCACCAAGGCGCTCTTCGTGACTGAACCGCTGTACTATCAATTTGACCGGTCTCGAGTTGCCGTGCTCCCGCGTCAGACATACAGTAACCGGCAGCCCATGGCCCCCGACAGACTCTGGAAGTTGGAGCGCATGAGACACAGCATCAATGCCATGCGCCATCTACCTTTCAACCGAAACCCAGCGCGCCCCGCCCAGGATCTTCGCATGTTGACTCGCCAGAAAAGCAGGGTTCGACAGCACTGGATCCGCTCAAAGCTATACGGCGTGCTCCTAAACGAGGAGTTACTCTGCGCCACCATGATCTCGTTCGCAAGGTCAAGCTCTCTTACTTCGATCAAGGGTGTTATCCTTCAGCGAGGATTCCGCATCAGCTTGAAAGAGGACCAGGATACTGGCGAGTCCGTCGTCACCAAAGGCAAGATGTTCCGTGACGGCAACCCTCGAGAACCAACCGAACGCCTCCTCAGCGCCATCGTAGAGACCTTTGGCTCCATCTCCCGCGTCAGAGCGGCTCTTGATCTCCTTGTTTACATATCTCAACGATATCATATCAGCATTCCTCACGAAACGTGGTCCAACCTTCTCAACTGGGCTTATGTCTGCGCTTCCAAACCGTTCCAGCGCATGCGTGGCCACCAAGGACCTTACCCGGTCAACGACGTCAAAGCCAAGGACGTCATCGAGATATGGAGAATTATGACGTCGGAGCCGTTTAATGTCAAGCCCACATTCGACGACTACAGTGTCTACATCAAGGCCCTCATCGTGCAGCGCAGCTTCCGCCTCGCCGTTGATGTCATTCGCAACGAGGCCGTGCCTTACTACCGCCAACTGGAAGAGGAACATTATAATATCGCGGTCGACGAAATCCTCAAGGATGAAAGCTTCCGGAGCCACCGCCGCCTCCAGATAGAGACGCACAAGGAGTATGTCTGGTACCACATCAGCTCGTGGTTCGCGGCCCTCCTCCAGAGCGCCTCTGCTGGAAGGAACCAGCGCGAAGGGCGTTTCATGCAAGTCGTGGTCCCAGACCTCATCGAAGAGTTTAGCGACTTCTTCCATGACCAGATCTCCTATCGCTCCGCCCAAGGCCGCGTCCGTCTGACGCGCTCGACGGAAAACCGCCGCTTCGACTACCAGCTGAAAATCCGCACCACCCTACCTCAGGACCTGGGCGGGATGGAAGTCAAGGCGCTCCAAAACCGCGGGGAGGTTGACATTGAAGCGCCAGACTTCGACTGGCCACAGGCTGTGCAGATGGAAATCCTCGATTGGAAGCGCAAGCCGCGATCTAGACGGATGCATAATCTACCAGCCCCGCAGTCTACCAGTGTTTCTGCAAAGCGATGGTGGAAGAATATAGAACAAGACTTGAGGATATAGCACCATATCTTGTTAGATTTGCCCACATCTGGGCCGTTGTATATCAAAATGATTTCATTTGAGATACTACAAAGTTACGTCTCAAGGTTTCCAAGCCAATAAGATCCTCTTCCAATTTATAACCGCCGGGTATCTATCATCCATATTTCGTACACAAGGACCACCGCCGACCGCCCAGACATAAGCCTTCGTAAATTCATCATGATGGTACAAAGAAAATCCTACACGAAAGCGTACAACAAGTAGTAGCCGCCCGATTTTCTACGCGTTGCATGTCCTGTAATCCAAAAGCAAACACGTCTGTACCTCTGTGGTAAAAGTCATAGCGACAGGTATTCCATAAGAAAAGAAAGAAATAAGTCAAGGAAAGACAACAAAAGAAAAGGTAGTGTTAAGATATGGAGCTGTTTGAAGAGCCAGTCAACATACAGCGTGTGGTAGTGCCATCGATATGGTCTACACGACGGACGCAGCCTCAGCGAGCACACTTATAAGGCTCACAGCCGCGCCGCCAATGCCGACGGCCCCAAGCGTCTCGCCCCAGGCCTTCTTCTTGGACGAGCGGTCATCTCGCCTCGATCCACGGCGGTCGCTTCGGTGGTGCCGTTTGCTGCTGCCGTAGTAATCGCCGTGTCTGTCGCGGTGCCGCTCTCCGTCCGAGTACCGCCGCGAGCTCTCCCGCGGGTGTCGGCGGGACGATCTGTCGCTGCGGCGGTCACGGTCGTGGTCGCGGTCGTCTCTGAGGGAGTGGGGGCTGCGGGAGTCCACCTCATGAGGCTCAGGATCGAACCGAACGTGGTTCTCGTTCTTGTTCTTGAGGATGGGCTTAGGGAGGACGGTGCTTGCGGGTGATGTCTTGTTCCGCGTTGGAGGGTTGACGATGACAGGGTAGCTTTTTGTTCCCTTTTCATCACGTCTGGCCTCGTCTTCAGAGCCATCGGTGCTGTCACTATAATCATACACTGCGCTTTCGTCGTCGTCTCGACTGCTCCTGGAGTCGGCTCGATGTCCATGTCCATCTCGTCGACGACGGTCAGAACGACGGCGTGAATGGCCCCCGGCGAAACGGGCAGCACGAGCATCAGCACTTTGGCGAGCATACTCGCTAATCTGCTCCCGAGAGAGCCGACCTAGAACGGCGACGTAATCAGGACGTGCCTCATACCTCACACCAGCCCTCTCGAGAATCTCAGGGCTGACGAGGGTACGTCTGATCTTTGTCCATTGAGCATCAGGGAGAATGTCCATCCCATAGCGGTCAGGAGCCAGGCGGGACATACCCCGTGGACTGCTCCCGTATGCGGGTGGAGCACCGCCGTTCACATAGGGGGGCAGCGGAGGGACAGATCGGGGTGACGCCCCGAGATTTGAGGTTGGCGAAGAGGACAGCTCATGGCCAGAGTAGGAGCCGGTGTTGTTGGCGTTGAGGTACCTTTGGTCCGATGGTGAGCGACTGTAATGCTGCTGGGTTGGCGACTGCACAATCAGACCAGCCATGTCAGTGGTGAGACTATCCATGGCCATGAGATCCTTTGTGGAGATGAGAGCCATGCTCGATTCGCCAGACAGCTCCTGGGGCGAGGATGAGAAGGACTGAGTAGCCGGAGCGACCTCAGGCATTCTTCGCTCATCCTTCATACCAACGAAGAACTTTTCGTTGCTGTCGTAAGCTGGAAGCTCCTTGGGCGAGGTTGGCTGGGACTTGGCCTCGCGCTCAAGGAGGCCACGGACGGTGGGACAAGTGCCACCAGAGACGTAACCGACAGATTCGAGTTCACGGATATAAGCTCGGAGGATGTCCTGGGGTGTGACAATATCAGTATCATGAAGTAGGTGACGGGGGTTAGTTGGGTGGGACGGCACGAACCTTGTGTTTGCGTAGGACTTGGGGAGCAAATCCTTCCTTTTCGAGCTCGGCCTTGAACTCGAGCCATAAGCTGTCCTCGTCCTCGGTGAAAGAGTTGCAGTCGCGCTTTTGGAACAGTCTGTTGGCGATCTGGTCGACCTTGTCCTTGATATCCTCAAGGCCGGGTTGGCGATCGTCAACTACCTGGTGCGGCTTGTTGGCGGGGTTCTGCAGCTGGACGGTGTCGAGAAACATGTCCACGTTCGTCTTGTCATTCATAAGCCTCGACCGAATCACGCCAAGTCTATCGTCGCGGACACGCTCATCGCCAGACGGATGGCCATCGCCATACCTGTCCAGCACGGACTCGAGCTGGGCGAGGGTGAAGTCGCAGTCCTCGACCATGGGCTGCAGCCGGCGCGAGTACACGGGCGACGAGCCGTGGGAGCGGTTGTTCACGAGCGAGTCCGGGTCGGCGGCCTCGACGCGCAGGTGTCGCAGGGCCAGATGGAGCTGGCGCACGGCGGCGGCTACATCGGCGAAGGGCTGGCCGGCGTGGTTGGCGCGCAGGTAGAGGGTGCGGGCGAAGGCATCGACGGCGTCGATGTGCTCGACGGTGGAGCCGCCACTCATGGTGGGAGCGGTGCCAAGAGCCAGGCGGTTGGGCCGAGGTTGTCGTGAGAAATTGGGTGGTGGTTGTGGTGATGTCGCGGGATATGGCGAGTGGTGGATGGTGTAAGTCGGCTCAGCAGAGGCAGACTGGGGTGCGGGATGAAGGAGGAGCCAAGGTGCAGATTCACAGGTGCAGATTCAGATTCACAAGGGTTGAGGAAGGGCGTGAGATGTGGTTTTCGATCGGGGGCCAGTCGGGCTTTGAAATGGAAACGGAGAGGAGAGAGACAACAGTGATGATGGATGGATGGGTGGACTGTCTTGGGCCGGCACGAAGAGTGTGGTGTGTACACGCTGCGGCAGGGCGTTCAGTGGGAGTGTAACGTCAGTGGGCGAGTTTCCAGTGGGTGTGACAGCCCGCCCACTGTAGCCAGCGGCCAGCTGCCCGCCAGCCCTCGATACAAGCCCCCCAGGCCAAGCCCGAGCCCACCCTCAGCAGCCAAACCACCAACAAGCTCCCTAGGCCAAAACACCACTTCAACCTCCAGCCAGCCAGGCACCCAGCAATCTTTGTCGCTGATGGCGCCCCGTGCGTGGCATGCAGCTGCAGTCCCAAGTCCCATTCCCAATGCGCCCACGTTCGCGAGACGTCTCCACGGCGCTCTCGCATTGGGACCCTCCCGGGGGAACCATCCCGTCCCCTCCAAGCCCCCCCCGCCAGACCGGGCAGTGACGTAATTCAGCGACCTGCTGCAGCCCCGCCCTATAGCATCATCGCCCCGAACGCCCTCTCGCGCAAACAACACAGGGCTGGCCAACCATCTGCGTTCGCGGGCACACCCCAACGCGCATGCCCTCGGGTAGACAGGCCAGCATGGCACGGAGTAGCGTTCTCCGTCTTCGGGGCGGCCCTGGAACCTGGATTTCGTCCGCTCCGCAAGCGAGCTTGAACCAGACATTGGGTTTGCGGGAAACGTTCCATCTGCGCCACCCGCCCTGCAACGGGGGCGTTTTGATAGCCCGAACCGTATTCCCAGAGCGTCCATGCTGCTCGTCGATCCAGGTCCGGCAGGATTATCAGGGAATTTCAGTCTCGCCATCCAATTGTCGTCGCCCCTGGCTCGCTGTGCTTTTCTTAGAACAGCCCGGCCAACCCAGAGGGACCGATCAACAGTTTCACGTTCGTGTTTGGAGTACAACTACTGTCATATCACATCATACATGCCTACGCGACGCGGACAATCCGGTCTTGGTTGCCGGTCTGCGTGTCTACGTGTCAACTAGTTTACCTGTATGTCACCCCTTTCAAGCCTGCTCTTTTCAAGTCTGCCCCTTTTCAAACTCTCTTAGACTGGGCAGCAGCAGCAAAGTCGACAAAGAAAACAGGCTGTGCTGGGCTGGAATACGACCCAAGAGGCAAAGTTCCAAACTCCACTGGCTCCTCACATCATCAACCCAACGCTATCAAACCTCCCATCGGCCGAGTCCGACAAGAGCCTCCAAGTCAGCTCCATTTGTCATCTTTCTAGAACATCGCCCGTCGGTGTCATCCGCGAGGCTGACTGTGGAGCTCATCCCCGATCCCTACCAAGAACTCCTCCCCTCCATCCCTCAATCCTCAATCCCGCAGTAGCGCTAAAGTTGTCCTCGTGAGGACGGAGCACACGAGAGCACTCCAGCACTACCAACCAACCAGCCAACCAGCTGCGTCTCTCGACTTGCTTGCAGCCGTTCCCGAGCCTCACCTCGCGACACGGGGACGAATGCGCTCCACCCACACGGTCGGCTTCACTCCACTCGCTCCGCTCACAGATGAGATGAGGCAGGCTGTGCGATCAGACGTGGATGGCTGCGGGTAATAGTCCGCGCCCGGGGGACAATGCTTTCCCAGGCAGCCATCCACATGTAATCGCAGTGACTCCCGTCGGTATATGAATCACCAAATTCTTTCACCGAGGGCCATCTCCTTCGGCATATCGCTGCGTCTTCGCTGCCGGGTCGGTCATTCACCCCGCTGCCTTATGCAAGTCGAAAAGAACTTGCACAATCCAGGAGCTGCAGCCTTGGCTCTGCAAGATTCAGAATTGCACAAAGCACTTGCTCGCCACCCAAAACTGGCTTTGCGTGATGCACGTCATCGTACCAGGCAGACCAAAAGGCAGATCCATTCGCCACGCTACGTCTTCCAGCCAATGGGTCAGTTCTAGGGTATCACCACCGCAGTGCGGCTCTACACAACCACTGTAACTCTGCAACGTGCAATCCAGTGATTCAGCAGCGTGTATGACACGAAACTCTTTTAGCATGCATGGAGCCCTATCTGCAGCCCCGTAAGGATCGCACTTTGGCGTTTTAGTATCGCCACAATCTGGGCGAAAGTGTGTTGATACTTTCGATTCTTAATAACATGTGAATACTCCAATGCCACCACTTTGTTCGACAGGCTACTTACTCATCACGATTCAAACATTACTACACTAATCAATTGTGCATGCGTTTACAGATCACCCTCCATTGCATGTTAATGTGCGTCGTGCAACTCCACCCGATGTCATACCCCAGATGCCTCTTTCGGTGAAGTCGGGCTCATGGACGTTGTGCAACTTCACTTGGTGTCATACACCGAATGACTCTTTCGGCCAAGCAGGTCGCACACCAATGCCACATGTAAAAGATTACCCCATTTATTTGATACTTTCGCACAGCCGTCAACGCCTAGTTTGCATGGCTTGATGCTATAGCGGTTTAGTAGACAAGCATACTCCTGGCAACTATCCTATCTCAAGAGTTAGTTATCGTTGGAATACATTCCGCACCTCCACCTTCATCTCCCGCCCTGCGCCGTGTATAGCCGGCCTTTGTTCGCCGCGCCACCATCTAAACTTTCGCGATCCAACCCTTCAAGGCGCGCCAGTCTTCCAAATTGACCCCGGTGTCGGCCTTGTTGGGACCTCGCCCTGTCCCTCATCTGCTGACCATATGCCTTTCAATGCCAAGCCAAGCCATGTGCCGAATCCCTGGTGTCGTTCTCCATTTTCAGCCGCATCACATGTGTCGGCACACCATTTTGCAACATCTGCCCTATCTCCGCGGTCCAGATCTCTGTTGCCTGAACCTTCAGTCCTCAACCTTTGTCCAAGTGAAGGATGCGGCTCAAATCGCCAGCTTCTCTAGCGAGTATGCCTCTACCTTCTGACTGATCAGGTGGCCCCGTTCTCGCAAGCTCCTCTCCACAACTTCACCTCCAGACACCACCTTGTCCTTGGTAGGCAATTGCTTAGTTTTGAGACCCAGCGGCAGGAGTCGAGACTCTCGACCCTCCAGTTGCATCGGGATCGGCTTGTTTGTGTTCCATGTCTGTCGTGTAGCCCCTCCCTTCTGCGCCGCCAACCCAAATTGGACTGCCTCGCCCACAATGCCATTGAGGTACACAGCCTCCTCCAAACCTTCCAACGCCGCAGTTACTTCAAGCTTCAACGCCGTCAAAAAGTCGCCGGCCTCGGCCTTGTCGGTTGATGAGATAGAGTCGTTGAAGAGCCAGCCTCCGGCTCCTACGGCATCCAAGCACCGCCCCAAAAGGTCCGAGATGAGGGTGATGACTCCATCAGGTGGAGGGTCATTGCCTTCTGAATCAAAACTAGTGGGATCAATGTACAGCGACGTCCATGCGCCTCTGACGAGCTCCACGCGAAGTGTGTAGATGAGTGACAATATCTCCTCGGTCTTAAGCGTCGCCCGGAGAGCCTTGACCGTGGTGATGGCGGGCAGTCGCCAGAGTTTCGCCAAGGCCAGGGTCAAGCCACGTGAACGGCTGCTGCTGTCATCTCCGAGGTAGAACTCAGTGATGGCGATATCTCGCTCCAGGTCGTCCAAGTCCATATCGTAGTTCTCATCTCCCTCGTGTGCCTCATTCTTGAGGAGTTTGGTGTTGGCGGACTTCTTCTGCTCGGAAATTAGGTCCAGGTTGAGCATGAGTGCTCGAATGGCCAGCAGAAGCTCTAGTTCACCAAGTTGAGTGGCCTGGAGGTAGTTGAGTAGTAGAGTCATCGATGGGTCAGAATCGGTCAGGCATGAAAGGAGGTCGTTAGCCAGGTTCTTGCTGTCAAGTGCCTCGGCGTCAAACTCATCCCGGAATGCGGACTTTAGATTCGACAATGTAAGATGACCAGCCACAACGAGGTAGGAGGTGACGTTACTGTCGGGCATGATCAGTTGGAGCATTGGCCGCGGTACCTCACCCTCAGTCACGGAGATGGAGAAAACTCGGCTGATTGCATATGAAACCCAACGACGGTCCACCGCGGTATAGGATGACTGGCCTGGAAGCCATTCCCACTCCGGTAGGTCTTGGGAATCCGGCTCTGCCTTTCCATCCGTCCCCTCAGCAGCGCCGCGAACAGCCATGCGGAATCGCTTGCGTAGTAGCGACTCCCACTGAGCCAAGTCGCCAGTGCCGAGGAACCCATCTGCCGACTCCAACTCGCTGCGGACCTTAGCGAGATATTCCTCGGTCATGGTACCAGGGACTTGTCGCGAGAATTCAAGTGACGCCTTCTCCGACTTTGACTTCTTGGCCGGGACCTCAACCGCGGTTCCTCGACCAATAGAGTCGATCAGGAGACCCTGCTTTCGTCGTTTGCCGTGGCTCTTAGGGGGCTCGACTTGGATTGAGACAAGAACATTGTCAACCAGGGCAACAACGAGATCCTGGCTTCGGAGATAACTAATCAACTGGCAAGACTTGGGTTTTTGGCATTCGGCAGGCAACTCGGACAAGTCCAATGGGGCATTGGCATGGATCGAACGATACTGGTAGTTGTACAGGCCGATCGAGTCGAGTGAACATCCCAGGACGAAGGGTCGAGAAAGACGAGAGAATGACACGGTGTTGTCCATATGCACCACAGACTTAAGCTTGGGGACTGAGGTAGTGAGATCGTAGACGCTCAGGGATCCCTGCTGTAATTGCAATAATACACCTGCCTGGATGTCCACCTGGTATGAAGGCGCATTGGCCTTCTCACCCGAGGGAGCGGGAATGGGAACGATTTCTAAGGGAGAAAGCTTCTGAATCTCAGCTGTGGAAGACGCCCCCGAGGCTGCTGCGAGAACAACCGCGTGGCGGCTCTCCTGACCCTGGCTGACGCATTTCGATACCAGGACCAAGAGTTCGGGTTCGGAGTTCGGGGTCTTGGGAAGGGCGCTGAAAACCTCGGGTCGTTGCTTGAAAATGCCCTCGCTAAACTCTGCCATTGTGCCCGAAGTCACGTAGTCCACCTCGAACTCGTCAATGTGGGTTGCGACACTGTCCTGGACCGTAGATTTTGAAGAGGTAGTCCACTGGACTGAGAGGGTCTCGCCCGAGAGGGAAACAAACTCGCCGTTCTTACAAACTGTGACAATGTCGCCCACAGTAGCGGTTTCGGAAGGGCTGGAGGAACAGGTGATGTATTGGATAGGCGAGGTCTGGAGGATCTGGGATGACGTCGTCGTCGAGGTCGTCTTACCGTCGCGATGCACGACGTCTTTGAAAAGAGTGATCTTCTGGCCGGCCGAGTCTCTCGTAGCAATGTAGGTGTATCGCGAGACATCGGCGTTGCCAGCACGTCGGATTCTAACCGAGTACGGGGGGCAAGTGAAGGACTCTTGGGGAGGAATCGGGTAAGAAGTGATCAGTCTCGATGCCGGAACCTGCCAGCGATTAGCATTAAGACGGAGAGATTCGTGTGAACCAAGGAACTCACATCGTAGATACTTGCAGTCTCTCCATCAACACCAACAGCCAACTCGGTCCTCTTCCTCTTCTTCTGGTCATCGCGCTGGCCGTAGACTTCCCGGGCAACGATGCGGCCTTCGGTGTGGTCGAGGGGCCGGGGAAGTGTCGCCAGCACGGACGGCTTGTGAATTCTGTATTCGGAAGCCATGGCGATCACTATATCGGTGCGCCGAGGGAATATCTCTGGTGGTGCAAGTCGCAATTGTTTGTCGAGATCCAGCCCGTCCGCCTGGGCTTTCCTGTGATGAGCGACTGTGAAGCTCACAAAAAAAAAATATCTGGGCCGGGCCGACACAAAAATCCGGTAGTGGGGCCCTCGACTTTGCCCATCCAACTTGGTGGGGTCTGCATGCACGGTCCACCGAAAGATCCCTGACGTAGAAGGAAGGTACGTGCCACTCGTACTCTTCTCGCGGCGCGTGTCTGAACGCGTCCATTCTTAGCACTTAAACGCGACCCTTGGCCATTGACTTCTCGGCCCAGACTCGAGACTCGGTGCTCCTTCAACCCACTCTCAACCCACCTTCAAGAAAGTCAAGTCGCCTGAGTTGACAGCGATCTCCTTTTCTTTAACCCCTCTCTTATTAATTTGTCCCTTTTTTTTTTTTCGTCGCCTCTGCATCCACTCTTCGAAAGCAATGCTCGCTTGATGCTGACTTTGAGGTTGGTCAATCATCTTCTACCGCCACGCCTTCGACGTACCTTGGCTGACACAGCTGTCCTGCAGACCTGCGCGAATCGATGGGATCAGTTTTGGTAGCCGCAATGGTCCAGGAGGGTGTTGGTGAGGCTCAAGAGAAGAAATTACATCCATTCTTCACCAAGGCACCTCCAGCTACGCATTCCGACAAGCCCATTGAAGACACTTCTCAGTCAGACACCTCCCAACCTGGCTCCGAGTCAACCCAGAACCAGAGAAAACGCCGAAATACGGATTCTCCCGTTCCTCAGGATGGCCGTGATGAGAAAAAGGCCCGTCGAAACCGAAGTACCCAGGGATTCCCGATCTTGGCCACCCTCGCCACCCGCAACCACGAAGTGAAGGTCTCTGATGATCCTCCCGCTGAGCACGTTGTTGGTGACTTCCCGACTCCTCCCTTGAGCGACATCTCCATCCGACCCGCAGACACAACTCCCCAGCCCGCGGCAAACCTACCGCACCCCGATGTGCAGGCCCATCCCGAACCGACAGCCTCCCTCACCCCCCCGAAAGCCAAAAAGGTGTTGAAGTGGAATCCCAAAACGGGAACTCTCGGTTCGCCCCCAAAGCCGAAGCCAAAGAATACGCCAACTCGTCTCGTGCACATTAAGTATGGCCGCGATGAAACCACTCGAAAGGAGATGGGTGATAAGATCTCCCAAATTCTGGACGGAAAGATGCTGTTTCCTCCGACCCCAACCAAACCTCGAGCACCCCGTGCTTCCAAGAAGTCCAAGGATTCTGCTACCAAGCAAGCGACTGGGTCAAAAACTACACATCCCTTTTTCGGAGGAAAAGCCAAGAAATTGGAGCCACCGACTGTCAACGCTGTCACAGAAAAACCACGATCGTCCAAGAACTCTGTCTTCATGTCGAGCCCCTTTTCCCCGAAGAAACCTCGACCTACATTTAATCCGGACAAGATCCCCCAGTTCGGAATCAAATCGGGCGGTACCAAAGAAGCAGGCGCTGCACACCCTCTCTGGCCAGCCAAGGACATGTCCCACATCCGCGGTCTTGACTCCCCCATCCGTTGCGCGGACAGCTTGAACTACGACGAGGCCCCGAAGAAGTCAAAAGGACATGTCGTCACAATTTCGGCCAAGGAGTCTGTTCTAGATCGTCACTGCGAAAGTCTAGATCTCAACACCCTGCGAAAAGCGCTCCCAAGGAACAACGACAACTTCGAACCAATCCCTGAAGAATTGCGAATTCCGAAACGGCACTTTGAAAGTGGACGAAAACTCCAAAGACGAGTGCGATCAGAGCTACGGACATACAGGTCACCAACCATAGAAGATATTGAACGAGGCCGGGACGAATTAGACAACACGGCCAAGAGAACACACCCAGCGATATCCCAGTTTTACGACGCTTTAGAAACGGGACTTTCCGCCTATGACAGATCAACGTGCGAGACTCAGGCTTGGGCACAAAAGTACGCCCCCGCCACCGCTTCACAAGTCCTACAAGCTGGAAAAGAAGCGTTTCTGCTCAAAGAGTGGTTGCAAACTCTTCGAGTCCAGTCGGTTGACACAGGAGGTACCGACGGAAACGGCAAGGGAAAGTCAAAATCAGAGGCAGCCCCCAGAAAAAAGAGAAAGAAGGACAAGCTAGATGGATTCATTGTCGACAGTGAGGAAGAAGCGAATGCCATGGACGAAGTCTCTGAGAACGAGGATGACTGGGCTCCTGCGGGATCAGGTGTTGTCAAGAAAACGGTTATTCGCAGCGGGGACGCGGCGGCGAAGGGTTCCAAAGATCAGGGGCGACTGACAAATGCCGTTGTGATAAGCGGACCCCATGGAAGTGGCAAGACAGCAGCTGTGTATGCAGTAGCAAAGGAGCTAGGATTCGAGATCTTCGAGATCAACTCTAGCAGCCGACGGAGCGGAAAGGACCTTTTGGAGAGGGTTGGCGATATGACGCGCAACCACTTGGTCCAACACCACACCGATCCGGCCGATGAGGATGACGATGAGGACGAAGTTTCCAGGGACCTCAAGTCTGGAAAACAGGGTATGATGACGGCATTTTTCAAGGTCAAACCAACAACAGTCGCCAAGAAACCTACGACAAAACGTGCAGAGAGAAACTCCGACCCTAGCAAGCAGAGCTCTGCCAGGAACCAGAAACAATCTCTCATTCTGCTCGAGGAGGTGGATGTTCTGTATGAGGAAGACAAGCAATTCTGGGCGACATTAATGGGGATGATCTCGCAGTCGAAGCGGCCATTTATCATGACTTGCAACGATGAGAGCTTGGTTCCATTACAAAGCCTGAGTCTGCACGGAATTTTCCGATTCTCTCCTCCTCCCACCAGCCTTGCTGTGGATCTTTGCATCCTCGTTGCCGCAAACGAGGGCCATCTCCTCAGCCGACCGACGGTGGAGGCATTGTACAGGTGTCGCAACAATGATATCAGGGCGACATTGACCGACCTGAACTACTGGTGTCAGATTGGTGTTGGTGATCGCAGGGGAGGGTTTGACTGGTTCGTCCTCCGATGGCCAAAGGGATCTGACCTTGACGAGAACGGAGACGTGATTCGAGTCATTAGCGAAGACACGTATTGCAAGGGCATGGGCTGGATTGGCCGTGATCTTGTTGCCATGTGCTCCAACCCACTGGAGTCGGAGGAGGAAGCCATGCGGCAGTCTTGGGATTCGTGGAAGCTGGACATGGGCGACTGGAACAGTTCAACGGATCTGCACTCATGGGCGCAAAGTGTGTCTGAGGCTGCTCCAGACCCGAGTCGAAAATTCGACACCCTAGCTGCGTATGATGACTTCTGCGATGCCATGAGTAGAGCCGACATTCTATCCAGCGGGGGGTTTGGAATCAATTTCCAAGAAACACTTGATTCGACACTACCCGAAATTCCGGCAAAGAACAAAGACGACTTCATAATCGGACGGCGACTCCTCGAAGCAGATCCCAAGACGACTCCGTGCTCACCGCATGTCACCCTCTCAATGTCCCTTAAGTCCCTGGCCAAGAACAATCTGCTTCGATCGACATCTCCAATCGGCCAAACTGGATCAGGCTCGGTTCTCAAGCCCGTGGACGAGAATAGGGCAGTTTCCATGTTGGACACCTCTTTCTGTCACACTCCAACTCAGCTCACGCGGTTGGATTTTGCCTATGCCTTCGATCCCATCGCAGTTTCAGAAAAGGCGACAGCATCCACCCACCTAGACCCGTCTGTATTTGACCGCACTCTAAATCTCATTGTCCTTGACATCGCCCCGTGGGTGAGAGGTATCGTGGAATTTGACCACCACCTCATGCTGGAACGAGTCAAGCTTAGCAATCTTCTCAGTGAAGGGGGTAAGAGGAAGCGGATGCGAACCACGCGGAGCGCTTACTCGGCCTTGGAGGGCGGGGAGAGAAGGGCGACACGCCGGGAACGGTACTTTGGAGATTGTCTCAACACTGAGTTTGTGAGACGTACTGCGAGAGAGGAGTGGAGGCTGGCGGCCGAGGCTGTGACGGCGGCCATGGCGCCCAAGGAGATGGCTGAAAGTATTCCAAGCAGCCCTCCCTACTCGGGAGAGGAAGAATCGGGAAGTATATAACGAACCCACATGTGCCAAGAACCGTTCATACACAATGGACTTGGCAACTATAACGAAGATCTGGGGTGGTTTGGGAAATAAGCTGGAATCGAATTCTCGGAGTCATGGATCAGGTACAGGCAGCATAGCATAGAGAAGTGAAACTCGAGTATACACACAGATCTATTTGAACGGTGAACTATTAACATGTATGTATATCCAGTCTACCTAGTCATCGATTCGTGTCCACATTATCCAGATCTTGCAACAATAAGGAGAGGGGCTAGCCCAACCAGCCATAACATTAAATCATTATCCAAAGACAGTTCGGTCTCGTTCACGTCGTCAGTCTACTAGTTTCATTTTCGTTCATAATTGCCAGTCTCGCTCAACGAAAGGCAGGGATAGGCTCCGGAACAGGAGCCCTCATTCGCACTGGTTCGTAAAACTTCTCGTTGGGATACGGCGTCTCGGGATACGGGAGCCCAGCGGGCCGACCTCTTGGAGAATGAGCATCCCACAGTGTCCTCTCATCCTCTGCCCTCCCTGGTCTCTCCAAGGCTCTTTGGCCCAGTGACATCCTCCTGCTGTCGCCCCTCCTGAAGGGACCTGCTTCCTCGACGTACATGACATCGCCGCGGGGGTGCGCGCTCCTCGCACGGTCGACCATGCGGTCGGCATCTGAGGTGCGACGGTGGTGGCGCTCTGATGAGTGGTGGTGATGATGGTGGTGCTTCAACTTGGGGCGGGACTCCCACTCCTCGTCGTCGCCATGGAGGACTCCCTTCGGCCAGACCTTGTGGGCTAGGACGGTAGCCAGCCCGATGCCAGCGATCAAACTAGCAGAAGTCTTGAAAAGGCCGTGATGGTGTTCGTGCTGGGGTTGGCTGTGCTGGTGATGTTGGTGGTGATGTTGATGGCGGCGGCGGCTGGGAGAGCGGGAGCTGGACTCGGAGCTGGACCTTGAGCGGGAGTTGGGATGCGAGGATGTGTTGCGCGACTCTGGACGGCCGCGAGATGGCATTCTGGTTCTGGTGGTGTTGGCCGCTTTGGGCGATGGGGATCTCGGTTTGCCGTTGGTAGGGCGCGGCCGCGAGAAGGAGCGGGACCGGTCCATTTGCTGAGCGGAAGAAGAGGTTGTAAGTGGATGGTTTTGCGTAGTTTTGTTTAGTATAAGTTTTGATGTATTGTGTTTATTTGCTGTTCTTCTTGTGCTGCTGTGTAAAATGTTGTAGCGTTTGGCTGTGTGGAGTTGTAGGCGTCGAGTCTGAGTTGCTGTTGAACCGCACGTCGACAGAAATACTTTATCGCTGAGAATGCTCCAAAAACCGCTTCAAGTGACGGACCTTGGTTCTAAATAGGCAAACGATCGGCGACCGACCGGCGCGCAACAAGACAAAAAAGCAGTCACAGCGCAGCGCGAGTCTGGCACAAGTCGGAATTCGGCGTCGTCGACCCACGACGCAGCAGCGCAATCGGGCTCTGAGCAATCACACGCCCGCCTGGTCTGCTGGTCTGCTGGTACGACGCTTCAGGGGCAACGGCTCCAGTCGCTTTGCTGCGCTCCAGGTGTCGCGTGCCGGAGTTCTACGGGGATATCCTGGCTTTGCGGGCTTGCGGCGATGACGTACAGGAGAGGACCCCGATTTATTAGTCCTGGTTGCTATCTCCGGATACGCCGCGACTCGGGATGTTTTTCGCGTCTCGTAAACGAGGGGCTCAGCAGCGGGGAAGACGAGAGAAAATGGGGATAGGCGAATATGGGAGGCTTAAGCTTAAGGCTTGGTTGGATGCTTGTGTGTTCTGTGTTGGCGACTGAAGCCAGGGGAAGAGTCGACATGGGCGGCATCGAGCTCTTCTTAAAGACATCGTCACATGCGCCAAACCACGAATTAATCAGCCCGTCGCCCGTAGCCCGTACACCTTACATATTACACTTGCACATTTCAAAGCACACGCGCGTACACAGTACACACACATATCAGTCATAGCCCTGGCACACTTTCTCCTCTGCTGCCCTGCGATATCGCACTTTCTCAGCTGGGGCGGACTTGCTCAGGCGCACGCCACAGGAGCACCGAGTCACCTGTCGCAAAGTGCAGAGTTGAAGGCATTCACCGTCTCCCACTCAGAACAAGGCAACGCCGAGACGCCGAGTAGAATGTGAAACTCGCATAAAACCTCCGCAATTATTGTTTTTGTGTTGACATCTCATTTGCCAGACTGTCGGGCAAGGAGCGTGCTCGCCGGTTGGAGGCACCCAACCTGCAGGGCGTGTAAGGATGGGGCGATGCCCACCAGCACGCCCCTCAAGCATGGCGGCAAGGCCACCAATAGATGCGAAACGACCCATGGGATTGGGATTTATTGATCCGTTTTCCTTTCCCGTGATGACAAAATCGGGGATGAAACAACAAAAACATCGTCACAGGGCTGCTGCGGGATGGGGCGGAGATGCCTTGAACCCGGCGATTGAGGCGCTGGACTCGCGCGGGTACACTAGAGTCAACTTGAGGCGAGTGGTTTTGCTTTTGAAAAAGGTATTTCCACGAATGAGTCAATGAAAGTTGCCCTAGAAAGGGATAGGTCGGTATAAGTCGGAATCGTGTCTGACTGAGAGCCACCGCGCAACTGCGGAATTGTATCATGGCCGTTCGGTCTTGGACCGCAGAAACGCTGGTCGATATTTTCAAGGCCAAATCAGCCAAACGAATTCCCTGGAGATAATTTAGTAGATCTCCCTTTAAGAAAGACGGTGTTAATTTGCTTTTACTCTTTTTGCATACCTGATACAGAGGGAATGGTCCCCTCTATAGAAATCCCCTATTGAAGCTATTCTATAACCTTTGATAGAGCTATACTATATTATAATTTGATTGACCCTACTTGGAGTAATGATATTAATAACGAAATCCTGCGGCTGCTTGGCGCTTGGCCAAATAGGCTGAAGCCCAACCCGAACCCGCAGGTCTCATACCAGGCCCAACAAACCGCCAGGTTATGAGCCGTCTTCTGAGTCTATCTTCGGCTCCATCAGCTGGAGCACAAATGGCTTAAACTGAGAGGGTCCACCCCCCTGCCTCGGGAGCGTCCGTCTTTGATCCCTGACATTGTCGCGCATTTGGCTCCGGTTATGGCCGAGTGTCATGGTAAAGGAAGAGGCTACATCGTCGTTCGGTAGGATTGCCGGTGTGAGTGCACCCGGGACCGGGTATGTCAGTAGGAGCATCTTTGTGGCTGTCTTTATTTTGCGCTCATCCACTATGACCCAAAGCTTCCGGATGGCGTCAAGAACTTCACGTCCCTCACCGTGGGAGTCCAAGATCAGTATGACCCGTGGGAATTCGACAAGGACAGCCGCAAGAAGGCGCAGCCACTCTTCCTCTGTACTACAGGACGCAAATTCGGATTCTGTAAAACTGCTGTCCACGAATGCGTCCTTATTCTGAACTAGGAGCTGCTGAACGAGTGACCGCAAAATATCCGTAACCGTCATCGGCCCCTTTAAGGAAGTAGACGGCACCCGTGAACTCACGTACCATGCCAAGGGCAATTCGGTCGATTTGACCAAGTCGATAATGTCGAAGGCAAAGTGTCGTGAAGTATCAGGATCAGCTAACGAGCCTTGCAGTTCAACCACCGCTGAGTCTCGCTGAGAGATCCAGCTGCGTAGTTTCATCGAGGTCCACATTTCGTCCCAACTCGAATTGCCTCGGGCTCGCTGGAGATTTCGCATTGCTCGCCCATGGCTTAGAGCCTTCTCGGGGTCGAAGGGGATAGACTGGAAATATTTTGACATTTTGTCGGGAAGGAAGGGAATGCTCGGCAGAGCTGGAGGCTGTTCTGGCGGACGTAGAGGGACTTGGTAAACTGTGGACTTGTATCAGTCAATGAATCCATTGATTTAATACTTAACTTATAGTCAGAATGGCGCCCGGACGAAGAACGCTTACCAATAGCTGGATGTACTGGCCCGGAGACCATGAGGGATCTCAGATCCTTGTTATCCTTTCGCAGATTCATAACCTCCAACTGGACATCCGAGATTTTCAAGCTGATGTGTCTAGTCTCAGCTTGATGGGCTATGGTCGCCTGCTCGCGCACCCTCGCGTTTGTCTGCTTGATTTGTTGCACGACGTCTTCAAACTCAAGGGCCCACGGGTCCTTGATTGCCGCGAAGGCCTTTTTGAAGAAGCCACCTCCTGCTTTGTGGTACCATTCGAGAGCCCGGAGACAAAAGTCGATGATGTGAGCGTACATGCTTGCCAGCGTTCGCTGAATATGCGGGACGGGGTAGAGTTGCTTTGCCAGGAAGTTCAGTTCGGGCAGTGAGTCGCTGATGGCAGCAAACGCTTCTGCGACCTTGCTCGATAGCTCTTGGTGATTAATTGTTACCTTCTGATAGTCAGACAATAATACATTTCTTCAAGTTTAAGCGATCTCACCGTAAACAAAAACTTGATGGTTCCCCATACCGGCGCTGCATACTCGGGATGTGTTGAAACCAGCACATCTATGACACCGCTGAAGGTATTGATCTTAGAGACAGTGGTTGTCCACCCCGAGCCCAAGACGGCAGACACGCGGGATTTTCCCGCTTTCTTGGTGACATGTTGTCGCTCTGTTTTTTGCACATGTGCCAGAACGTCCTCCATGGAAGAAGATTTAAAGAACGATGCGAGATCATTTTTGTGTCGGCCTTTGTATTGATCACGGTGGAATATCATGGCTTTTTCATATGCCAGTTTGAGAATCTCATCAGAGTCATTTCTGAGCCATGTTAGTTCCGAAAACAAGGTCGAGCGAGGGTCGGAGAAGCGAGAATTGCCCTACACATCTTGCTGACTCTCTGCTCTGAACCAATTTATGACGCCTTTTGATTCCTCAGTAGGTCTGGGCTCTGGTGACAGTTGGCCAATGTTGGATACTGTCGTCGTGTTTCCATGATTAGCCACTGCCACTATACTCGACATGTCGTGCGGTTGAAGGTCATATGCGGACGCTTCGTCTCGATTGAAACACAACGTTAGGATCAGCTTAGGCTTGTCGAATATTCTCTCAGGATGCACCCAGTCTGGCGCTTTAAAAAGCAGGCAACCCAATTAGGCTGGGGCTGAGATATTCTGCAGCCTGGTTGCATTGGCAGGGATTCAGCACTGAGCCACACCACCATGGCCTCACATCAGGCCGCATAAGGGTAACTTGACGTGGTTTGTCTACGGATAAGCCACTACTGTGCCACATTCTGCCTGATCCTCCGAGGCACTATTACTGCGAAATGTGCAAGCTCAGCCTGCATGAGGAGCCCCCGCCTTTATGCTGCTAATGACGCTATCTCCGCTTACCCTCTCTCTGACATTCATCTCTCAATAGTATTCGAAACCACGCAAGGAAACCGCATCTCTCTGGCTAGATCTACGAAAATCTACTCAGCATGGAGTCGAGAGGTGTTGGTCAGTCTTCTTTCACTGGCCTCCCTGTCCCTCCTGGTCCCCCTGGCCTTCCTGGTCCCCCTGTGGCGCACATGGGAAGAAACCAATACGCAATGAACGCAAACCCTGGGATGAACAAAACAATCTCACAAGACCAAACCGAGAAACCAGGCAATGCCCCTTTCAGTGAGTGGTAACTCGATGGTTGTCTGATATTTGCAGTGCCTTCTAATCCGTCATGCCAGCTCCACCGTACAGAGTCGCTCCGAGAACGTTACCAGAAGACAACATACCGCACATAGTTAGTCCATGAAACCAATTCATGATAGGTGAATTGACTGCTGATTGTCGACAGTCCGCACCCATAAATGTCGGTCCCCCAATTCCCCTCCCCAGAGGAAGGCAGGGCAGGGGGTCTGCTTCAGATGATGAAGAAGGTAAGAAACGTCGAGACTCACTAGATAAAGCACTATACAATACAGTGATAAACTAATACGTGCCGTCAGAGTTTGGTGAAAGCCCCAGCATGGACGTCCCATTAGCAGAAAAACTAGCGGAAGAACTCCTAGGCAAGTTGAACAACTTGCCCCGACTAAAGCCAGGGGATTCAGTACCATCTCGAGTGACTGATAGTCTCATTTGGACCATCTCTCAGCTTCAAGCTGAGAATGAGATGCTCAAAAAAGAACTTGCAGAAGCCAAAGCTGTTATTCACGAGGAATCCTCCCCTTCTGAGACCAACGCCAATGATACTCATCTTTCCGAGGAGCTACACTACGAGAACTTCCATGTAATTGAGTTCACCGACTTCGATTCCAATTGTGACGTGATTCAAAGCTACTACCGAGATCCACCACGCATGTTCAAAGGCGACAGGAAAAGAAGTCGACCAAGAGGGACGATTGAAGTTGAGGGAATCGCGACTTATTTGAGGAGTCATGAGAATGTCCCATTTGCCGTGCTTGATGTGTATCAACTCAATGACGACACAGTTGAGGATATATTCGACGACGTCGGCTACACTAGCGGCATGTTGAACAAGGATTATTTGTCCCTCGAGGTGACCTCAAGGGATATTTATATTGGTCCAACTGCTCAAGATGCAATTGATTCGATCATTACGGAACATGCAGACCGATTTCCCGGCTTCCACACCATCTATCCATGGCATGAACCACCGTACACACTCTTCTACCTTCACAACAAATTGTTGATGGAATTACAGAGCATCAGTGGCCTGGATGAGTTGGCAAGGCAACACCTCCAGATGTTACTAAAGTGGATGGAAGACAACGTCAGAGCGGACTGGGATGAGGCAGATGAGCTGTTTGCCCAAGGCAAGGTCAACTTGAAGCACTACGCCAAGCTATTCCGACCAGGTGAGCTCATTTACTGGCCCAACTGGGACAGTGGGGGAGCCCCCAGGGCAGCGAAAATCACTGAATTCCCTCACATGTGTAAAACATCTACTCTGTCGCCTATCCCCTCCAAATTCGGCTTTGTGAAAAGCGACGTTTGGGATTTCGATGGCGAGTTCAGAAAACAGCGAGTAGAAGTACGACTTTTCATCCCAAGATCGAATAAGAAAAGAGGCAATGAGCATCTCGATGATGATTTGATCGACATTATAGATCTCTCGACGTATCCGCTACGATACGCCGAGGAAGGGGTGTACATGAAACTGGTTGCCCGTGGAAGCAAACTCTGGCAGCTCAGGAGAAAGAGTCTCGTCTGTTTCAACGAATCCGACAATGACTATTCCCAGGTTTGTTCTGCACCTACCTGCGTTTTGTTTCCGATAGGCTTACTCTCTCCAATTGTGTAGGCCGAGCGCCGATGCATGATTGACTATTCCATGTATAAACACCTTCACCCACACACACATAATTCTATAAAACCTGGATACTACGGACCGGAACCAAGCTGGATGGATGAAATGCCAGAAGACGCATCGCTTGCTTGCTTGTCTCCAAAAATCCTTGGCTTTGACTTTTCGAATAAGTCCTGGAGTAGGTAGCCCAGTTTTGACCGCGTGTGACATGGGGGGCTTTACTGACCTGGTGTGTAGAGAATTTGATGGTAGACCGCATCACCGAGGTGACTTGGAACAAAGCCGCCTTTAAACAGCTTGTCGTTCCTGAAGAGACGAAAGAACTCATCCTGGCCACGGTTACGGTGCACGGGCAGCGGTCCAGCGCGACCATGGACATCATCGATGGCAAAGGCCAGGGGCTTCTGATGCTGTTGCACGGCGGTCCAGGGACAGGGAAGACATTGACAGCAGAGAGTATTGCGGAAATGCAAGAGAGGCCGCTCTATCGAGTGACCTGCGGTGACATTGGTATCGAGCCCAAAGAGGTGGAAGAGGTAACTCTCGTAACTCATAACCATAAGATGGAATGACTGACAAGACATAGTATTTGGGCCATGTTCTAGAGCTTGGCAAGACTTGGGGATGCGGTATGGGTCTTACTGACAATACACAATAACAATTCTATACTAACTTATATCAGTGGTTCTTCTCGACGAGGCAGACGTTTTTCTAGAAGAACGTTCTTTCACAGACCAAAAGCGCAATGCGATCATTTCCAGTACCCTCCCCAACCCCCTTACTCAAAACACCAGGACCCTAACTTGAACAGTCTTTCTCCGAGTACTCGAATACTACGACGGGATCCTCATCCTAACGACAAACCGCGTCGGCAGCTTCGACGAAGCCTTCAAGTCACGCATCCACCTGGCGCTCGCCTACCCCAAGCTCAACGAGGAGGACCGGTTGAAGATCTGGCAAAACTTCATGCAGATGCTCCCGCGGTCCGGAGAACGCGTCGACATGGACGACTTGAGGATGAACCTGCCCAAGCTGGCACGCATCGAGGTCAACGGGCGGCAGATCCGCAACGTCGTCACCATGGCGCGGCACTTGGCCAAGTACCGTGGTGAGATGTTGCGCGCCAAACACATGCAGGATGCGGTGCGGTCGGTGGAGAAGTTCAACGAGTATCTGAGTGATGTGAAGGGCATCCAGGATGATGAAAGGGCCCGGGGGCTTACGTTACGGTGAGGGAAGGACGCGGAGACTGAGAGAGTGTCATGTAAGTCACAGAGGGACAATGGCCAGCTTCGCTGCATTTGGAAGCGTCTATATCAGGAGGGGTTAATAACTTGAAATGCTATATTGGACGTATTGTCTTTCCCGAAATGGCATGCATTAAGCTCCAAACACTTTCCAATATACCACGCCATGCAGTAAAGTAGCAGAGATCCGTTCCGTTTCGCATTGGCCTCTCTCAAACACACCACATCACACCGGCGTGAATTCTCGCATGTTGCGATTTGCGGATGACAGTATCTCAAGTGAGACCACGCTCGATCCTAAACGCCACGGCTCAAGCAACAGGTCACAGCGTGGTATTGGAGGCCAGCCTGCCATTCTAAGCCACCACGTTACGGACATGGCAGGACGAATACAGTCCGGCACTGTGCCTCTCCGTCTGCATTCCATGCCGTTCCCGGTGGCACGCGAGACAAACAAGCAACTCAGGCGAATGGCAGCCGTGCCTTTTTGCGTTCTGCGGCGTTTGATCCTCACACAATGGCCGATCCGCAGGCCCAAGGAGCCATGACTATCCGCGCCTCACAGCAGCTGACGCCGCGCAGAGGCCAAAGATGTGCCATGCCATCCATGATCCATCACTGCACGATCCGCAGTCCAGCCCACGCCAGAGCTAACACCGTCTTGACTGGCCTGGGCTTGGCTGGGCCACCACCATGATACTCACTGGTTGACTGGGTCACGCAGCCGCACAGCGGGACACCACCGCGCTGCAAGTAGTTGATCAGCGGAGCCAAGTTAGCCAAGTTCCAGCCGCGGGACCTGTGATGGAAACTGACGCCGCTGGCCGCGGAATGGTGTGTCGTTCCCCGTGCAGCCCGGCAACGCGCTGGACCGCGTAAAGTGCTTGCATCAGGGCATCAGGGCGGGCTCCCCAATCCCAATCATGGCGTGCCATACCGGTAAGTACCCTCGCTCTTGGGGGGCGGATGTGTGACGGACGGGCTTCAAATGTCACCCCTTTCAAACAAGAATCGATCCATTCTGCCCTTGATATCCTCCCGCATTCACACCCCAAGCGCCCGCCTCGCCCTGCAGGCCCATCAAATCCCTCCGCCGCCGCGAGGGTGCGTTTCCCTTCCTCTCCCCCATCCCACGGCCACGGCCGCCACGGATTGGCCGGTCTCCACGCACCTGGACCGGCGTCCAGTCTCGGAGGGGTGACCAGCAGCCACCACACTCCACCGAGGAGAGAAGGGGAGGGGGTTGCAGGGGCCCCAAGGACGGTGGTGGAAGCGGTTTAGTGTGAGGAGACGAGGGCCAGCCCAACGGAACAGCAAACAATATCAGTGGCACCGGCACGATGGAGACGGGGCGGCGAGACAGGCTAACCCGCTCCTCGTCTGGTGGATATGATGAGGGGCCCAACTGGGCCAACTGGGCCAGGAAATCGACAATACGACATCTTTCTTTTCTCCTTCTCGATGAGGAACTGCGCCGGCGTCCCGGGTTTTGCGGCCAAGGAACCAAGGGACGAAAGGGGGGCGTGAGGCAACCAGACGAGCCTGGCCGTGACCGACGCCAGGGATTCGGGTGGCGGCCACTCAATCTCGGTCTCGGGCAGGCCATGATGAAACCGTGACGGCCTCTGTCCACCGGATTCCCGCACCTGAGATGAAGCATTGTTCCGACGCCTCTCTCGGGCGGCCTTCTCGCTCACACGCCAGCCGGGCCTGTCGTGATGACTGGGAAATCGCTGACGGCGAGAGGGAAAGCCACAGACGATGCAATACATACTGCACCCGAACCGACGATCCGGGCCGTTCCATGTCATGTCACGCCACTCCGCCATTGAGATTGAGCCTCGTCATCCAACACCATCAGCATCGCCCTCATCCATGCAATCCCCACCAGGGCGTGGCCTCACCTCACCTCACGTCGCCTCCTTAGCCCTCGAGGGAACCGCAAGTCACGATACCCTCTCCTCACATGAGCCTTCCGGTCCCTCGTGTTGCCGGCCCGCCTGTCTGACCCCGGGTGCGCCGTGGAGCTGGGTGCGCCGGACAAACGCCTTCGGCGACGACGAGGGGATTGAGGACGGCATGTAGGGAAGGCATCACAGGTAGCCGGGCCGTCGCCGCTCACGTTGCACAGCCAGCTATAATGAGTTGAAGCCGGGTAGACCCTGATGCTGACCAAACCGTTGGCTTGGGCGGCTCAACACCCGACATACAGGGTAAGGTCCAGGCGGTTTTGTTAAATCTAGTTTCGAATGATCCCACGACGCGGAGTAGACACCACTGCCTACCGAATCCACCGACTACTGATTCAAATAATTGCTTCGCCAATATGCCTGAGGCCCAGGCGCCAACGGACGGGATTGGTGAATCTCATAGTGAGGCATAAGCACGAGGTTCTACGAGGACCAAGTATGATGACACCTTCATAAGCGGGACAGGAGTGTTGAGTGAGCACTGTCGGCATCTCACTCCAACAGCGGGAGGTACGATGAGCGATCTTGTCTCTTCCCACGCCTCTCGAGCTTTGACTTGCCATGATGCCCGTTTGTGATCGGCTCCGTAGCCATCCATGATCGTCACGCCGCGCGTGCATTTACTAGTTGGTTGTCGTGGCGGGCAGCATGTCAAGAACACGCAGGCTGACTGACAGGCTCCCGACGGCTTCCTTCACTTCCAGCCCCGGCATTGTCAGATCCCGTTCGTATAAATGCTTCGCCCGGGGATCCGGCGCCCCGAGGATGCCAGATGATTCGTAAATCGGCGACGTGGGCAGTTAGTCCAGTTGCAATCCCATCGCATCCATGCACACCGACAGACACACGGTGGCCCGGCTTTCGTCGCCAACAAGGCGGCGTCCAACGAGATGGCTGTCGGTTCGCCACTACACCACGCCTTTCTCACCCGCTGCAGAGCTGCCTCGTCTCACCAGTAGGCATCCAGGTGCGTTTTGCTTTGTTTCAACCAGGATGGAAGGGCCCCCAACTGGAGGCTGGCGCCAAGATGCGGTCGGGCTCAATAGGTCGACACCACCAAAGATGCTCCAGCGGCCGGTACGGATACTCCGTGCTTGGTTGGAAATAGGATCGGAGGCGCGGGCTGTGACGAGTCTGAGCCCAGCCCAGACCTTGGCCATTTATTGTGATTGCCCATTCCCGAGTCTTGCTCGTCTCCACAGACGGGATCATGTACCAACCGGAAAGGGCACGACCAGAGGACATGGACAGGAGTTATCTTGGGCCCGGTGTATTCGCACTGCGTCGGTTCTTTCAAGGCCCAGTACCGGTAGTGGTCGCTCGCTCGCTCCACCGCTTCATGAATGCAGCTGATCAAAGCAAAGTGCGACGCAGGTGGCGAGTTAGGTTTGGATTTAGATTGCTTCGTCCATGGCGGATGCGTCGCACTGTGGCGGCCACCAGTGAACAAGCCTCTCTTCACAGCCTGCAGCTGCCGTGAACTAGCAATGACCCCATACCCATGTCCTGGGCCGATTCATTGAGGCCTGAGAAGCACTTCGCGGGCGGCCTGGGCAGGCTAGTACATAGCAACCAGCCAGGATGTGCACTGCGGGTGATGCACAATACATGCCGAGGCCGCCACCAACAAAAATGATAAGGCGATGCAGACAGCGTCCACGTCGACAGCGCCTCGTGGCCGTGTGGAAAATATCACCGCGCGAAGTTTCAGGGAGACAAGATCTGCATGAACTTGGGAAGCCACCGCAGGGCTGTTGAGATAGTCACTCTGTCGGCGTGCGGATGTAGTATCCGGATACCGTGAGCTGCCCTGATAATCTCATCTCCTGTAGACCACTTATTATTAGTTCTGAAATCCGATGGGCGTCAAATTTGGCACGCCGTCCGGGGGTTATTGCGGGGCAGACGGCAGGAATTGATGTGATCCGTATTGATCATCGAACCGACAACTTGATATACCCTGCATCAATGATCCTCTTCACCGTTCTTAGTTATTACCACCTGCGGCGACTATTGAAAACACGTATAGAGCCGTGACCGAAAAGCTGTCGCGTCCTCTAAGTGCAAGCCCCGGTTACGCTGTTCGTGGGCCGAAGTCCTACGTAACAAAGAGTGGTTTACTCCGTACTAGGAAACGGAATCTCTCGAGTGGATCAGACCTGTTTCTCAGCCCCGATTTATTCGTTGACGGCAAATGGATTGAGGGCGCTTCTGGGCCGCCGACTGGGTGAGAATGAGCCGCTCAAAAGACATGTACCTACCTGGCTTTGGCTGAAATTTGCATGCCCAAGTGTGTTGTACCACCCTAGAGACGCGAACGGTTTGAGAAATATTCTGCCCGAACACCTGTCGTCCCATGGCCATCTACAGGGCTAGGGCCGCCGGGATGTGACGAGGGTATAGGATAGGTTGAAGTTGATCTCTGGAAAATGCCGGCCCTGGTGCCTGTGATACTGGAAGTCCTGTTAGGATGAACGGATAGCTCCGTGGCTCGCCAACATTGGCCTGGTACAAGAGGCGGACAAGGAAGCCATTCAGGCAATAGCACGGTCAACCGAATGTCTGTGGTGAGATATGGGCCAGGTTCCGGGCCGGCTTCGAGGGGCAAATTGGGGGTCATAGCATGGGCCGTATCTGACTTCAATAGACCATCTTTTGCAATCCAAGACATCCACATACAATGTACGAGCACGGTTATCATTGCCAACAGGATCGACAGCAAGTTTCTGATTAGCTTACTTGCCAAGGGATACACACACAGCTGGTTGGGTCGCCGGGAGTATCATGGCTGTTTGGTCATTCGACCCGCCGGCTGACACAGAATGACGGAGGAGTGTGGTATTCGCCAGAGAGCATGACGGGAACGGGCATGCTGAAGTGCGGTGGAGCGAGAGCAAACCAAGACATCTTGTCGACCTGGCCGAGGAGCATCGCCAACGCCAATTGCAGCCGAGATGGCCATAGACCCGCTGATCTTTTGGGACATGCGTAGCGTAGCGGTGCGGACGACGGAGTACACGGACACACAAGACCACAACGTGTTGGCTTTGGTGGCGGCGGGACATGGCTCTTGGGTGCTGCCTCCACCACATGGGGCAGAAGGCGGTCGGATGACCAATCACAGACATTCAGATGTGAGCATCTGTCGTCGAGTCAAACTGCGTTTGCTCGAGGGCGGAACCTGTAGGGGGGGTCTCGTGCATGTGCAGGAGTGTGGACATCACAACGAGAAAGCCTCATCGGGTGCAATATTTTACCACAGTGGTGTAATGCGACTGCATGTACCTCCTTGTCCAGGATATATATCCAAGGTTAAACCATCCATCCACCGACAGGGAGAGGATTTGTCTTGGGTCAAGTGACGATGATCAGCTTCCAGAGAAAGGGGAGCATTGGCGTTGCAAAAACCCGAGTCTCCCGGTGATTGATCCATGTAGTTGGCCCTGGCTTGATTTGCTGTTTCTTGGGGTCTTGGACACCCCATCATGGCCAGGGATGGATCCAGCGCTACCACCTGGGGAAGGGGTGACGGCAGGGCCTGTTCCGTGTACAACTGTTAACGCTTCTGACTTTGTCAGAGAGGCAAACGACGCGACGGACTGAGCCACACCATGCAAAACCCCTGCAATGGTGTAATCCACCGACGTGAGCGGATGCAAACTCGGGGCAAATTCCGTGGATGCTCCTGTGCCTCGAAAATCCTCTCATCCGGTAAAAGTTGCTGAATTGTGGCACTCAACCTCAACCATCATCGGCCATCCCTTCCGGGACGAAACTTTGCCCGACATGCGCCAAGGCCGGCTTGGTGCGCGCGGGTCCAACTAGAGTATCGGCCACGCTGGGGGGGATTAAAGAGCGAAGACAGGCCGGCGAGACGGCGTCACGCCCGGACGAGGAAGCCGGCGTTTGTGGATGCTGGCATGCGTGTCAGGCAAGCGATTTCCTTTGTCTTTGACGGCCCAGAGCGACAAGGTTGCTGGAGGACAGCAGAGAGCAGAGGGAGCAGCGGCCCGGTGTGATTGGCCGAGAAGCGGGCCGAGTGCAAGCTTTTGGCAATAGTCTTTGTCCGCCGGGACGAGGGCCAGAGGCATGGGCCTTGTCCCCATCTAGGCGAAGTGGTGAGGTGAGATGGAACCTTGTGCAACTAAGCTGTGATTTGGGGAGGGGAATCCAGGCGCCGTCGTGCAGGCGCTGATCCGTCTCGTTTGCCAACTTCAGTCGACACTGTTGCTGTGTCTTTGATATTAGTCTTGAATGGCGCATGCGATCCATTTCGTGTGTGAGGACCCGGTCAGTCGCTGAGTCTAAACATATTCCCCCTTCCCAATCTCCACCCCCCAGCATGGATAGGATGTCATCCGGCGAAGTGGACGTCGCGGTTGTAGCGGAGCGTGAGTGGACAACGATCCCAAGCAAGCCAAGACTGGGCGCATGGCCCAGCGAGTGCCACGGCGAACAGGAGACGCAGATATCGATGAGAGAAGAACGTCAGTGCTGCCTAGGTGTGGGTGAAGAGGCTGCGGGCTGGCATGGATGATGATGATGCATGGGGGCATGAGGATTCATTGCGCTGTATCCAGACATCCAGACCGATGAGGCGAGAGGCCTGAAGATGTCACGACCAGCCTAGATCCAGAACGGAGAACCGAAGAAGCCTGGGACTGGCTGGTTGGGCGGTTCGATCTGGTTGGCTCGCGGATTGATTGATTCATGGCGTGGGCGCGGGCATGGGCGAGGGCATGAGCCAAGGGCATGGGCATGGACCAGCTCGCACTGCCTTTGCCATCTTTGACCGAGCCGATTCCCCGCTGACGGATGAGGCGTGTGAGCGAACAAAAGGCATGCTAATCTGCAGAATGTGAGAGTGTGTGTGACCAGGCTTCGTACAGAGGTACCCGCAGGAGTTGAGGGCGAGCGAAAGAGGAATGGATGGCAGATGGATGTTGAGCCGTCGTGGTCCATGCGCCCTTGCGCCCTTGCGCCCATGCGCCTATCCCCTCACTCAAGGCAACGCCGGGGGGGACATGAAATGGCCAAGTCCGAAGCATTCGTAATGCAGCGGACTTTGGAGGCACTGTACGGCCGAAAAAGGGTGGGGTTGGTCTTGTGCGGTTTGAGGGCGGGGGCTGCGATGGATGGATGGATGCGCGAGTGTGGGATGCGTAGTGGAGGTTAGGTTGGCGTGCGTAGATTACAGCTGGTCGGATGCGGGATTTGCACGGCGTACATACGTAGTGAGGGCAAGATGTTAGTTTGGCATTGCAGTGGACGTTGGTGAGGGTCCGGACGAGTGCCCGGGCGCCCGAGAGGACGGTGGAGAGGAAAAAAAGCACCTCCAACCTCAGTGCAAGTACGCTGCAAGTGCGCCGCAAATGCATCTCGACTGAATCGCCAGGGCTTGCAAGTGTAAGTGCCAGCCGGTACTGTGCCCCAGGTGGGTGCCGGTGTAAATCGAGAGAGTGCCAGCCCAGCCCCTCTCTTTGTTCTCTCCTTTCATTCTCTCATTGACACACACTCCCCAAGGCGTCAAGCAGAAATGTTTTTAGCAAGGCGGCCGCGGCTGGTTCGTTGGTGACAACCTGGACAAACAGGCGGTGGCACAGATATGGCATGGATGGCATGGACGGCATGGACGCCTGGCGCCTCCTTTCTCCGGCGGCACGAAATAGCATATTGGTGGTGATGGTGTCCTACTGCGTGCGTCGTAGTCAAGTAAGAAAGGTGCCATGCACGGCTAGGGGACGACGGCCTGGCTCCTGTAGGCTTTTAGTGGACGTCGATGAGTGGGCGGTTTGTCGTGGACTCCCTGGACCGCCCTGACGCCCCAGACTCACAGGACTGGTCAGCTCTGGATGAGTGTGTCCCACTCTGCCCAGTCTACAGCGTGTCGAATGTGCTCCTTCCTCCAAATTGGCCCAATATGTTAGGCCAATCCACACCCAAGACGCACCCAATACGCACCAAAGTCGCCTCCCTGACCAACGGCCCTCACGCCTGCCTTTTGTTGTTGTTACCTCCTCAACTCCTCACTTACTTACTCCGTACCTGCAATGCTGATTGACTTGGACTGCTTGGACTGCTTGCCCTGGTTTGGCCGGGTTTTGGTGTCACCTTCCCTTTCGCTCCCTTGCCGCTACGTATCCCAACTTGGCAACCCCTCGAGCTGAGGTCACTTCTCATTGCTTTTCATTTGCTTCCAACTTCCTACTGAACGCCCACCGTCAATCCGTCGACGTTTATCCCTGTAGAAGACCCTCACCCAAGACAGAGACCCCTCCCCGCCCTCCTGGGACCCTCTCGCCCTGCTGTGGTTGGTTGTCTGGTCTGTTGGTTGGCTCGACTAATGATTTCATTCTTTAATTCACTATTCACTCACTTACTCGAGGCTGTCGATGAGGACCCCTTGTCAAGCCAGGACTCCTTCCTCCCAGCAAAGTGGCTCTGGCTGATGACGCCAATGCACCACCCTGTATCTAATGCTGGTTGCGTTGCCTTGCTCGGCGCAGGTGAGCGCACGCCAGCCCGCCAGCAGAACAGTCATAGTCACAGAGTTGAGACTTGGTCCACGTCCGAGAGGAGGCGGCGGCGGCATGGTTTACGAGGCGATGGCGGCACGGGATGCACCATGGGGCTCCCTGACTGACGTCTTGGGATTTGCCCACCACATGGCACCCCACCCCAGCAGCGGCAGAGTGAACGATGCACATCCCTTCTTTTGCCTCCGTTGTCATTTGCCCTGTTGGAAACGCGACGTTGAAGACAGACGAGACAGTCATTTCCTCTTGGTGCCGCCGTGATCAACGCCAGCCCGGCACAGGATGGGACGGGACAGGACAGAGAATATCAGTGCGCCTCCAAGGGCCTTGTGCCGTCGTACGGAGACCGCCCGAAAACTAACTGCAATGGACGCATTCCGCATTCCCCATATCTGTTGTCGACGTCAATGAGGCGTGTGGATTTGCATTCAAACAGTGGGTGCAATGCAGCGTGCACCACACGACACAGCGCCGACGCAGGCGACCTTGCCTGGCATGCACAAGCTCGGGCAGACCAAGCGTCATCCTCACGGACACATGTATCCGAACCAAGGTACAGGCCCCGACACCAAAAGGCTTGCTGCTTCGAATGTCTTTCATGGCCTCCGTGCTGTACCATCTCGGTTCAGCGACCGACGCTTTGTACTTCGTACCTCCAAATAGGACTCAGATTTCCCTCCAGGTGTGTGTGTGTGTCATCCGTTTGGCACCCGACATGGAGTCCGGAATGCAGAGGCCGTGTTCCAGCAGCAAGCCTCGCGCATTCACGCAAAGTAGTATGCCATCAATACGCCCGCCAGAAGACCTGCCTCACAGGCTCTGAATGGCACAACGCCGCCAGGTCTCGGCGGAACCAGGTTTGGCAAGGGGGGGGGGGGCGCACCCGAGAGGTGGGTGTTGGGTGGGAAAGGGATGTGTGGACTTCGGGGATGCCTCCTCCAAAAACAACAGAAAACCATGTGTCGATTCCTGGTGACCGCGCCTTCAAGGACTGATGAGCGCCTGGCTGACGCCGGCGGATACCTGACGGATTGGGACTGGCTGTTTGCGACTGGCTAGGCCTGGGCTTGGTTTCTGGATCACCGCCCAGCAGCGTCATGGCGGCATGTACGAAGTGCAGTGCAGGGGTTTCCAGGCTGACGAAGGAGCCGGACGGTGGCTTTGATTGACGGTGGTCTAGCGGAGACGCCAGCCCGCTTCCTTGTGGCAGCAGCAGCACCAAGATACGGCCAGGGAGAGGGGCGCCTGTCTGTACTTGCATTCGGCAGCCAGTGGACCAGCCAGTCCTGTCAGTCAGAACCCAACCCAGTGCATGCTCGGTCGTACTCCCCTCCATACGAAAGTACCATGGCGCTGCTGTTCGTCATCTACAAAGACCTAGGCATTTTGGTATGGGGGGCCACGTACGCGGCACAGACTTCTACGAGACGCGGGCTTGGCCAGTATTCGTATACCGGAAACACGAATGATGATGACCCGAACGGGCGAGGGCCGTATTTCCCAAGCGGCAACCGGTTCTGCTCAAGCTGAACCAAGCCAAGGGTGTTCATCCCAGTTGCCCGTGCAGTTGTGGGGGGAAGGGACCAGGGCTCTGGATCGATGGCTGCTCCCCTCCAGTCTCTCACACACTCTGAATCCTGGGACGGTACGGTGCCTCGTCCGGGAATAGCTCCGTCCCAGCATCAGCTAGCGAAGAGAGTCCACTCAGCAAGCCAGCAAACACAGTATCAAAGTCGGCATTCATTGTGGTCGCCGCAATCGATCTTTAGCGCAGACCAGGGTCGAGGCCAGGCCGGAACCCAAAGTTACGAGTCAACGGCACGCGATGAGAAATAAGAAAAAGAAAAAAAGAAACCATGACTGCACCGATTTCGGCAACGATTACAATGAGGAGGGCCTCGTTGGACACACGTCTCGACTTGCGGACAGTCCGTTTAACTTTCAGTGGTTTGGCTGGTTGCTCTGACTCTAGGCTGGTAGGGCAGCCTTCGAGTTTTGGGTGGGCAGCAACCCACGTTCCTGAAGGGGTATAAGCGAGGAATTACTGTGGAGCCTATGGCGACGGTCATGGAGCTTGCTCGGCCAGGATGGCAGGCTTGCGAGCGTCAAGCCAGGTACCGCCGCCCGCGAATGACGGCACACCCTTGATCGTGGAAAGGGACTCAACGACGACTTGAACAGTGACGACCGTCAGACGGAAGAGTGGATACAGGGGTAGTCAAAGGCAGAGCCTAGTCAAGCTGATATTATTGATGATGATGAGGCTGCCCTTTGTCTATCGTGACCTTGACTAACTCGTCCACAGCCACATCAATACAACAGCCCCAAGGCAGTCTTAAAGATGATGATGAATAAGCCCGGTCTCGTGGAGAACTGAAGATACTCTGTTCAAGGCCAGTTGCAGGGGCATGGGGAGCGGCAAGGCTCAAGTGTGCTCAAGGGCCCAGGGGGCGCTGAAGGGGCGCGCTGAAGGGGCTGCACAGCTGGGTACCGGCCACGGCAGGCCAGGGAGAGGGGCTTTGATGGAGGCGCTGGAACCGCCCCCCGCGGAGGCCTGGAGACGCCGTGCAAACGCCCTGATGAGTGATGAGGACGATCCATGGATGAGCATGAGCATGAGACTGGAAAAAGAAGAGTGGATAGGGGGTGTGCAGCGCGGGCACAGGGGTGTGTCGTTTTGCGACCTGGGTGGAGGACTCGTCGTCTGCTTTGCTGTGGTGTCAGCTGGAGGACGCCACGACGGGCCCTGGCTCCAGTGGAGGGAAGGGTTCCAGCGGAGGGTTCCAGTGGAGGGTTCCAGCGGGCGGGCGGCGACTTGGACCTGGGTCCAGAGGGTTCAGTTGCAGCTAGCGGAAGTGCAAGTGGAAGTGGAAGTGGAGGTACAGGGCGGTTGGCAATGTACACGGGCGACATGGGCGGGCTACCTGAGCCACTGGGCGGGTTACGTGCCACCCCCGTGTACATGGGCCATGGGCGCTGGGTAGTGGGTACAAGGGTAGCGTCTGTACCTGGGGGCATGGGGAGTGATGGGGGCCGTGGGTGGGTGGGCGTAATGTCTGAGAGAGGAAGCGACACTCCGCCAACGGCATGAGTGAGTCTCCAGAACGACCATCGAGCTACGCACGCAACCACCAGGCATGGACTGACTTGCGGCTGCGATTCGGTTTTCTTCTTCTTCCTCTCTCCTCCTCCTTCGATTCCTCCTCATTCTCCGTCTCCTTCACCTCTCTCACCAGCCGCTCCCAGCCTCACCCAATTGACGCCCCGACGCCGTGATTCCCTGTCCCGGTCCGCCGTCTCGACCTCTGCGATACCTTCGAGCCACTGTCAACCCCGGCCAGTGAACCAAACCCGCAGCACAATCGAAGTCCGTCCGAACCGCCTCGTTTGCAGCCGCTTTGCTTCGCCGCCGGTCGACTCTATCTGCCGGCCATGGCCCTGGCTCGTTTTCGGGACCTCTGAGCAAACGCAGCATCCGGGTTGCGAACCAAACGCCCACCCGCAACAAGGTATAACAACAATAGCCGCCACTTATACCAACACAACAACAACAACTCCACGATTTGACAACCAACTCACCTCCCCGATTTATTTAACCGCCCCAATTCCTCGATCCCCCACCTCCAATCCCGTCTTGGTCACCGAGTCGACCTAGCCTTCGCCGTGGCCCTTCGTAGAGCCCACATCCAACCGCCCATGTATTTTGGCATCCCACCCTCGACCTCACTCTACCCTCCCTCGCCCGTCCACGGCTCTGGTTCTCGAAGAGCAGCCCTGCCGCCTCCGAGCATCGATCTGCCAAAGCTCCCCCCTCTCACCCACGACATTGCGTTTCTGGGGAGCGGGCTGAGGACTCCGCCAGTCGACGACATGAGCACCGCTTTCCAACCCGCGCTGGCCTCCTACGACAGCCATGCCATGCACACCTATCCGTCCTCGATGCCCCAAGCCGCCCGGGCAAAGGTGGCCTTGAACGACTCGAGGAACCCCCAATACTACCGGTACCCCGTCCAGCAGCAAGCCCAGCAAACGCAGCAGGTTCAACACCAAGTTCAACACCAACAGGGGCCATTCCAGATGCCCTCAACCTCACAGCCCAGCCTCAGCTCGGTCTCGTCAATAGCGCAGCCCGGTTCTGTGTCTCGCCACACCACCAATCCCTCCACCCCCGCCTCGGGAACCATTGCGAGCTCACAAAAGGAAGGCTCTTCATCGAGGAGAGGATCCGAGACTCTGATTTACCACAGCCTGCAAATACCCAAGTGCATCAGCCCCACCGGCGGGAACCTTGCCGACTTTGCTGCACAGGTAAGCTTCCCATACCTTCCCGATATGGGGCGCCGACTAACTTTGTAAGATGACATGCCTGTTCTGGTTCGAGTCCATCGATGAGTTGAAGCAGGCCGAGTCAATCCGATCGAGGCCGCCAAACGCTCTCATCCCCCGATTGCCATCCCTGGCCAAGCCTTACGACCAGTTTCGGAAATGGGTCTACAGCGTCCTGTCTACGACGCAGGTGACGCAGAATGTCATCCTACTGGCCCTGCTCTTCATCTACCGCCTGAAGATGTCGACACCACAGATTAAGGGTCGTGCGGGCAGTGAATATCGTCTGCTAACGGTGGCCCTTATGCTGGGAAACAAGTGTAAGTGGCGGCATGCTGATCCGTCTTTGGGAACACGGGGCTAATTCGACGTGCAGTTCTGGACGACAACACTTACACCAACAAGACATGGGCCGAGGTGTCTTGTTTTGCAGTGCAGGAGATTCATGTTATGGAAGTTGAGTTTCTGAGCAACATGCGATACAACCTCGTGGCAACCAAGGACCAGTGGGAGGAGTGGTTGGACAAGCTGGCCTGCTTCCACGAGTACTACGAGCGAGCCCTCAGATTGCCCGCTTCGCCGATTCACGTCCCGTCGCCGACCAACAAGACGTACCACTCTCCAATCCCGTCGCCTACTGGTACAATGCACCCTATCGCCAACCTGCCCGTTACACCCACCATTACCGCCATCTCCCCGATCTCGACTCACTCGCAAAACTGGAATGCCTACCAGGCCAACACCATTTCGCCCTTGGCCATGAAGCCCACTATCCAGTTCCCCATTACGCGGAAGCGAAGCCCCGAAGGAGATGCCCTTGAGCATCCCGCCAAACGACTCGCTCCCCACCGTGGTCCTCCCGTCGCCGCCGTACCCATGGTCACTGCGAGACCAAACAACGGCACTATCGAGACATCGAGGTTGCCAGTCCCGCATCTCACCCTTGTCACTGAGCAACCTCAGCCCGTCCAGGCAGCCTTTGCCAACGGTAATGGATACTCGCAGCCTGTGCAGCCCATGGTGGCGGTTCCCCAGGGCCACGTCTCCCTCCCTCCTCTGCAGCCTGGTGTCCGCGCTATGGCGACTGTCTATCAGCCGTCACCCGCTACCCTGGTTCAGCAACCAACTCTCCCAGTCACGACAGGTGTCACCATGGCACCGACCGGCTATGCGACTCACGCCCCGGTCAACTTCGGCACCCCCAACAAGCACCACAGCCCTGCAAACCTCGGTCACTTCAACTCGTCGCCCCTGACTGAGCACTTTACCCAAGTATCCGCAGTGCCTACGCCCATGGTGCATACGCCAATCTCCAACTCGCCGAGCGTCTACCTCCAGCAACGGCCCAGCCCGTACAAGCCGGTTCGTCACGTCAACACGCTGTTGTACCCGCCCCCTTCGGCATCGCTGGACCAGTACCACCTCTCTGTACCTGTCCCACCAGCGCAGATGCACTACCAACCCCTGGGCCGACGAAACGATCTCCGGACTGGTATCGTGCCCGAATTCCTCGTCTACAACCGGGGCCAACATCAGCAGCTGCCCCCACAAGGTCTCCCTCAGGGACACTATCCGTCTTAGGAGTGTCGGACTGGTGTCCCATTTGGGTGGCATCCGACTTTGCAACAGCTCGCAACCCGATTTTAGAGGTCACATTTGATCTCGCAGACATTCCCCAGGTGGCAGTCTGATTGTTAGTTTACTGTTTTTGCTTTTTTAGAATTTTTGCATCACCTTGCATGGCATGAGGCGTTGGGTGTGAAACAGGACTTGGCCATATTTTACAGGTTCGACCCGGCCGGGACCAAGACAAGGAGGCCGGGCGAGGGTCACGGATGCATTTGAATTGGAGTTTGTACTTTGTCTTTTAAGATGCTTTCAATGGCCTTAGAGGGTCTATGATGAAAATTGCGAGAAAGGGCCTCGCAGCATCTCAGGATGGATTGACTTCGCTGCCCATATGGCACAGGGCATTGGGATGTATCGACACGCACCTGGCGGTCATTGAGGAATAGACAGACGCAAAGGTCAGCAATGACAGCGTACGGAAGTTGAGAGGGAAATATGTGTATCAATTGAATCATGTTGCCATGAGGCAACAGTCAGTGGCTGCATTTTATCGTTCTACCTTGCTCTGTGATGTATTAGTGGCGTTGGAGTGGAGTGAGACAGGGTGACTAGGTTCCCTTGTCCACTAAGATATCATAATGATGAGTGACTATGACATCACAGAAAGATGATGTCGAGGTCATGTCCAATTACGGCCAGGGTGGGGAAAGCAAACAAGGGAGCGTGTTCAGTGTCAGAGCCAGACATGCTTGGGGATTCGATTCCCGGACGGTGGGGGGAATGTGCATTGTTGGCTCATCAAAATCAACATTAGATCAACAGGCCTCAATTGGGGGTGCTGCGTCAGACGGACGGATGAGATGGATAAGATGCAAGGCAAACAATAGAGTGCGACGTAGCACAATGCAGATGCAGATGTAAAGGCAACTGCAAATGCATGCAGCCCTCCAAACCGGGCAGCCGAGTAACTTACTCCGTACCAGAGCAAACAACAACTCGAATCCCGATCCGTCTCCTTTCTCACTCAGCATTTGATTGTCCGTGGTGGTGGGGGCCGGCTGACAATGGGCGGCCAATCAGCACGCTGCTGCTGCCCACCGCCACCGCCCTAGGCGACGGCACAGCAACCAGATCCTGTTCCCTCGTTTCCTCAGGCCAGCTCAGGCCAGCCCCAGCAACGCGAGGGACGAGAGGACCGAAACGAGCCAGCGTCACAACGACGACCGATCGACTTGGCGCCCGCAGCAGCAGGATTTACACTCGCTTCATATTTTTCTTCATCATCCATCTTCGCTCGCCGACGTCCCGCGTGCCGCTTCCGCGCTCGCCCTGTGATCCGCCCGTCTTTCGTTTTAGCCGCCGCTTCCTCCTGTCAAGAAAGGGGGCGTTTCTGCGTAACCCACCCTCGACGACCGACGACGACGACGACGGGATCCCGACAAAGCGTCCGTCTCGGAACCCGCCCTTCCTGATCTGCTGTGACGGCTTGTTCGACTGTTTTCCCCTCCTGGACATCGGCGACGATACCGACGACTCCATCGACGACGACTCGCGATTCCAGTGACGCTACTTCCGTCGCTCGCTTCCACGCCCGACCGACCGACCGTCCCCGGATCTCTTTGACGTGACGACTCGCCCATCATGTCTGGCTTCGGCGACTTCACCTCCATCTGCGAAACGGCGCCCCTGCCGCTATGCGCTTCCATCGGCCCGGTGCTCAGCTCTAACGGCCGCGTTGGCATCGAGCCCGACTGCTACGCCAGGAACATCGAGCTCGCAAACACAATCATCTTCGAGGGTGCCGCCTCGGCCATGCACATCGTGGCCCTCGTCATGACCGTCGTCATGATCCTGCACGTCCGCTCCAAGTTCACCGCCGTCGGCCGCAAGGAAATCCTCAGCTTCTTCTACCTCTACATGCTCCTCACCTGCGTGTCGCTCATCGTCGACGCCGGTGTCGCGCCCCCCGGCAGTGATCCCTATCCGTACTTTGTCAGCATCCAAAACGGCCTCAGCAGTTCCGTCATCACATGTCTCCTCATCAACGGCTTTGTGGGTTTCCAGCTCTACGAGGATGGTACGCCATTGTCCGTCTGGATGATGCGCATCAGCTCGCTTGTCGCCTTCGCCATCAGCTTCCTCGTCTCGCTCGCCACCTTCAAAGGCTGGGCCGGCCTCGGTCCCACCAACACCGTCGGCCTCTTTGTCGTCCTATACCTGCTGAACGCGATCCAGCTGTTCGTGTATGTTGCCATGCAGATTCTGCTGGTGACGAGGACTTTGCACGACCGCTGGCCCCTCGGTGATATTGCCTTTGGCATCTTCTTCTTCGTCGCTGGCCAGGTTCTCCTGTATGCCTTCAGCAGCAAGATTTGTGTGGCCATCAGCCACTACCTCGATGGTTTGTTCCTGGCCACTGTGTGCAATCTTCTTAGCGTGATGATGGTTTACAAGGTAAGTCTTGCCAAATGTCCAGGCTCCGGCCTAGGGGATTCGTCGCTGGGAAATGCAACTAACAATGCGCTAGTACTGGGATTCCATCACCAAGGAAGACCTCGAGTTCTCCGTGGGCACACGGATGAACAACTGGGAGGTCAAGGAATTGCTCCCCGAGGACGAGCGAAGAGCCACCGTCTTCTCCGAGGATCCTTACGGCCACTCCAGCGCCTACGACCTGCCCTACTCGCCTGGCAACACTGGCACGGCACGATACTCGGCCAAGTACTAAGTGCTTGCAAGTGCAGGGGACAGGATTTTACGGTTTTGACGAGACGGTTGCTTTTCGTTTCTTTTCTTTTTTCTTATAGGGACGACGACAAACCTTGTCTGATGATGGCGGCAGGGGGTGCACACATATACACCGTGCCCCAACATATTATTTTTCTTTCCGGAATTACTTACCATTGCACGGCGTTTTCAAGGATCATACCGATAGTCGGGGAACGGGAAACCGGGCAAAGGCAAAAGGGACAGGGCCATGGCACAGGGCCAGGACCAGGGCCAGGATCGGACCGGGACCAAGAGGAGGGCATGAAGCAGAGGCTCAGATAATAGCTGGGGGTGTATTAATGGCGGGGGGGGGGAGGGGGGCGGTACAAAGTACAAGCCTCCAGTAGAGATTACCGACATGCGCATATACATTGTTACGTAGTATATAAAAAGCATTTATATACGTATATCTCGGTCAAACTATCGATAGTTGCGGACACTTGCAAGCTTTCAGGAGTCCCATCCTAGAAATCGCCGGGACGAGTTACAGTAGCCGAGGATGGGCGCGTGATGGGCCCAGATGCAGCTAAAGTATTAGAGCACATGCAATAGCCCAACCTAATCACACAATCCAGCGAGTGGGCTCAACCAACCGAAACCAACCGACAAAGGCCGGCGGGTTCCGATGGCGTGGTTCGCGCGGATAAGTAAGCACTGGGGCCGCCGGGCTGTCTTTTACGTTGACAGAGGGTTCTGGTGAGCAGCGCAGCGGGCGCGCCAGAAATCCCCTTCGCAGAGTGGGCATTGAAACATGGTTCGCTAGGCTAAAAGGCTCTTTTCGGGCAGACAGGCGAAAGGGGGGAAAGAGAGATGGTTGCGGAGGGATTGGGGATATACGAGACAAGGCAAGGTATACATACATAGTCGGCTGTGGGTTTTGGACTAGGCTGGGTACCTTTTTCTCACTTACATTTGCTTTCCACTTGTCTCATTCGTCGGGGTTCGAGCGAGGCAGACTATCGTGCTACAGCCCCATGCTTGCCCAGGTGGGGCGCCACTTGGACAGGGGGTACATACAGGTAATCAGTCGTCTGCGAAGTACTGTTACTGCGTGCTGGACCAACACAAGTCGCCATTTTGCCCAATTCGCATTGCATTCAGCTGGACGTGCACTACGAGGTAAAACTAGGAGGAGCCAGGGGCGGCCTGACGCGCCGAGGTCCCGGCCTGCAACGGAAGGGAAACGTCTGCGCACGGAGAGCGAGGAATTGTGACATTGGAGCGTGTCGATCTTGGCTGCGTCGATAGCCCCCCAAAGGTCCCGAGGTGGTGGTGACTCTATCATGGTTCTTAGCGAACAACCGGGGCGGAATTCTGCCGAGCTGGAACGCGGACAGTGTATACGGAGTACGTTCCCTCTCTCTTCCTTTCCCTTCCTGTCTCGCCTCGGCTCCGAGCTGGGTCAGCACAGCGTGTCATCATCAGCCATTGACGGATGCGACGGGGGGGATGGGGCAGGGTACGCGCATATACATGACAATCGTATTCGCGCACTCGGGCCTCCTTTTTTCCTTTACGTACACTGGTCTGGGAATCCAAGATCGGATAATGCGCCAACAACCCATGGGGAACGCTCCGCGAGCCAGTGACGTTGTGCGCAAATATCTCCCCCAAGCGCAACCAGGGCAGGGGTGGTGTCACGGGTGAAGAGGAAATTCACTAATCACTAATCTCAAGCGCCCGCCCCATATATTTTTTTTCTTCGCGAGCACCGCACTGTACTGTATCTCGTGTAGTTTTATGTACATACTTGGCGCGCGCTCGCACTCGCCAGGCGAAGCGGTTTAGCACCCACCTAATCAATGGATGGCAAGGTTATCTCTTTTCCTTCCTTTAGGCTTGTTTTTCCCTCACCCACCCTCCCTTGCCTTTGGCTCTCTTGTAGTCACTAGCCCGGGTAATTTCGCCTTTTTCCTCGTGTTCTCGGAACTATTTCGAGGCGCCACTGAACGATGAACGAGCAGCCCCAGTTTACATACTCGCCTCGTTTCACCCTTCTCTTGACTTTTTTTTTTGTTTTTTATTTTATCCATCCCTGGGAGACGCCCGTGCTTTTTCGGTCTCCTTCCACCCCCCCACCCCTCGTTGCATAGTCGTGGAGCACGTGATGGCGCACTAGTGCATAACGGGGAAGGAGAGGGAGCCCAGGATGGCAGGGGAGCAGGGATGCGTGTTTTGGGAAGACTGGGATGAGAACTTTGAAGGAAATGGGGTTTTCTGCTTTGGGTTCCACGCAGTGTACGAAAATACCCTGCCTGCGGCGGTGACCGTTGCGGTGGCCTGGCGACTCGTGGGAATAAGTCGGTTGGTTGGCTCCGACTCGTAGTGGTGTGTGGCGCTACACTGTACTCGAGGTACATTGGTGGGTGCTAGGAGTTTTTTTTTTTTTTTTTTTGTCTTTCCTTCCTTCTTCCTTCTTATTTCCTGTTGGCTTTGATTGGCCTGCAGGGGGGGTGCGCGTTGGTACATGTGGCAGTGGGCAGTGTTAGTATCCGTACTTTAGGTCGTCAGGGTATGCGTAAAGATTGAAAAGTAGTATCCGTCTTGAGTAAGAGGCTCGCAGCACAGATTAGCTGTGAGCATGGGGCACCACCCAATGTCCACAGTCCATCCGTCATGACAACCCATTGTAAGGCGTCCTTGACAGCCATCCATTCCTTCGCCCGGCCAATGGTGCGCGCCCACGATGATGCATAGCTCCGAGCGAGGCCGCCATTCATATCTTTCACTTGCCGCACCGCGTGTGCGCCGACTCCGTGACTGTCCTGTACTGCAGTGACTGCACCGCGCTGCATAGTGGTGTGGTGTGCTGTGTTGTAATTTGGTCCCTGGCCCAGTCTTTGCGCCGCCTTCTTCTCTCACTCCAAACCATTTCCCTCGTCTGACCCAGTGTGTTGGTTCAAGGCGACTTGACACACACGCACCTTGACTTATTTTTTTTACACTCTCCCCTACCAATCCAATCTAACCTATCCTGAGGAGATACATTCTATCCTTTCCTCCGTTTCTTCCCTCCCTCCCTTCCCTCCTGCTTTTTTCCTCCTCTCACAATCTCTCTCCCGCTTCCCTCTCTCTTCCTCCCTCCCTCTCTCCCTCTCCCGTCCGAGCGCCTACCCCGTCGCGCCGACTACCTTCCTTCCTTCCTTTCCTTCTTCGCCACTCCCCACCCCCCATCTCCACTAGGCGTCTCTGCCCCATTCCGCATACACTTCTTTTCCCTTCTCCTGGGTCGCTTCGCCCTCAAGATACATTCGGCCTATTCGGAGGAGCCAATCCACCTGTGACAGACGCCGACAGGACCCACGGGCGGTCGTGCAACGTTTCACATACGTGTTTCTGCCACGCTGTGTCGTACAGATTGGGGACTGAGACAATCATCTACGCCATCCGTTCATCACCATCACGTTTTCTGTGGTGGCGGTTCTACTTCGACTTCCTTTGTCGCGTATCCGCGACCCCTGCCCAGCGCAGAACATTGCAGAACTGTCAGCGAGGTTCCTCCTGCAGGGGGGCCGCAGACAAGTGGGCTTATTCGCTCGAGGGGGTGCAAAAGGTAATTGGGTTGTTGGTTGGAGGCGGAATCCAAGACACGCCACCGCGCGCTCGCATCGACAACGCCAAGCCACAAAAACGACAGCGAGACGTCCAGGCGAAAGCTGCTCGATTTGCGCGTTTGGCGCTTCCAGCGGGAATCTTCGCAAAGGATCCCCCAATTGATCGATCGGTGCAAAGACGTCCCATGGGTTTCGATCCTTACTTGATCCTCACTCTCGTCACTTTTTCTCTCCCGAATCGGCGACAATCTAGACGCCCACTTTTCGAGCTGAGCCGCCCCACGGCCCACGATCCCACCCACGTCCTCATCCACGCAAGGCGAGGTCCTTATTTCGGCCCTCGGACCATCGGCTTGGAGCCCACTGCGATAGGGTCGATTCCTCCGACGGATCTGGGCTCGGCCTGTGTCTTTGACCAGGGGCCTATTAGGCGATTAGGGAATTGGGACTAGGCGTTGTGGAGCACCACCAATATTGGTAACCAATTTCTTCCAAGCTGGCACTGTCGACGCAATAGGAAATCACGTGCACCCCATCTTACTCACATCACTTGCATTCTGGCCAACCCACTTACACCACTTAAACCACTTACACAACACATTCATCTCAACCAAGCCCGGCATGGCGTCAGCCGAGGAAATGGCCGCATGGGAGGCCCTCCCTGAGAAGGAACACATATCAGTCTGGAATGAGACGGAGCGCAACTTTTGGCTCGACCAGGAACGCCAACACGAAGCAGCAGACATCGAGGCCGACAAGGCGTACCAAAGCATAATCACCGACGCAAAGGTAGAGCTTAGTAACCTGACGGGACGTCGCAGCCTGTTGTCTGAATCCCAAGCCCGGCTAGTCAGGGAACTCGCCAAGGTCGAGGAAGAACTCTCCCGCGTGTCGCAAGCGTGCGATGAAAAGGCTGAGCGCCTGAACGGGACCGAGCAAGAGTATCGCGATGGACAACAGGCGCGATTGGAGACGCGGCAAAAGGTTCGGAAAACCATGCGCCGATTTTTTAAGGAAAGGCGAGGCGAGGACCCCAACGTCGAAGATCCTGAAGATATCGAGTTGGAAAGACTTGCGCCCGCACCCGAAACGGCGCCCGCACCCCAGCCCCGAATCAATGGGACTGCGCCTTCAGAGGCAGACGAGCCTAGGGAACGGGTAGAAACTCCAGTGGAGGACACGAGTATGGAGGACGTTGAACAACAACAAAATGGCGATCACCCCTACAGGAGTAAACCCTACGACAAGACAGGACTGGATGTCATAGTGGAGGTCGTCGACGCCGATGGCAACGTTATCGGCCCAGTGGAGCGCATCGAACCATGGAACCAGTGGGTCGAAGCTATCCAAGATCTTGAGATCCGAAGACCTGTCAAGATTCGCCGTGGCCGCCGTTTCAACGATTCCCATCTCTCCACTATCTATGAACGCACCGAGGCTAAGGGAGTCAAGTGGCTATCCTGCATGATTCAGGCTACTGGTGAAATTCAGACAAAGCGATGCCAATCCTGTGATAAAAATCAGGGAGCCTTTGACGACTGCATCATTGTCGGCGGTGACCTATTCCAGAAGTGCGGCAACTGCGAATGGAATCGCCAGGGTTGCCATGGAGCATCAGGAGACGTCATTGATGTGCCAACTGCGAGGAGACGATACCGCCAGCGTAGGGACACTGGAAGTCTTCAGAACAGTCCAACGCAAAGGGAGCCCCCGCAGGTTGTCGATATTCAACCCAGACCCGAGCCTGAGCCTGAGCCGGAGTCCGAGCCCGAGCCGGTACACCATTTCGAGAGGCAGCCGCTTCCTCAACCTCACCATGCGCCTCTCCCATCTAATCATGCTCTTCATGCGCCTCATCATGCGCCTCATCATCATGTTATCGCACCTCTTCCTGTCCTGGCCCCCCAGCCGAGAGAGCCTGATCGGGCCCAGCCTAGCACTGAAGTCGACACACCGATCAAGGACATGCCCATTCTCAACGGCAGCCAGATAGTCCGCGAGCCCGAACAGATGCCAACCCCTCAGGAATATCGGGTGACGCCTGGCTTTACGCCTGCCAACACGCGAAGCAGACCCCCTTCTGCCGATCGACCTACCCCGACATCCATGCACATCGAGCCCTCTCCACAGCCCACCGAGTCGTTTTCCGAAGAACCCTTGGAGGAGATTACTCGTGAGAACCTGGTTCTCAGGGACAATGGCGTTGTTTACACCTACCCCGAGTGCGTTCAGGGTGTGCCACTTCAGAAGATTGACGAGCGGCACCCATACTGGGAGCCCAACTGGCCAAACGTGCGAACCTTAATCGAGCCACAGTTGGCCAAGTGGCGCGAGAAGCACCAAGCGGCAATTGAAGCGGGTCCCAAGCAAGAAAAGGGAGGTTCCTCCAAGTACCAGATAGGTCGGCAGGTCAACCGAGGCATCAAGATCCTCGAGTTCCTCGAAGAAGGCGATATTAGCCCTTACCAGCTCTTGGGAAAGAAGTTTATCCAGTCTGGAAAAGGCGGTATCTGCTCATACGATACCCTTTTCCGACTATCAGAGACTATGTCAGAGTTGGCCAAGTTCAAGCTGGATATGAAACCAGTTGAGTGGATGCGACACCGACTCTACGAGCTGAGCATTAGCGAGGGTGCCAGCTTCAACTTGCCGAGGACGATTCACGACTTCTACCACGATCCCAAGCTTACGGCTCTGCGATATAAGCACGGCTTCAAAAACATTGGACGTCCATCGGGAATGAAGACTGGCCGCCACAGCCTCGGAAGCCCCAACAGCACCCCTAAGCCTCTCAAGAAACGCAAGAGCATGCACTCCCTCGCCAGCACCCCCCGCGAGACCCCTTATGTCGATCAATCACCCCTGGCGACCCAAATGTCACTTCCTCCAGAAAACCCCTTCGGCTCTCACCTCCAGAAGCGCCCTAAGCTTCTATCCCCAGCCCCCATGCCTATACATGATGAGTTCCAGGTTGCTGGTCACTCTGACGCTGATTCTTGGAGTGGTGTGCCCGTTGGTAGAAAAGACTACCGCCTCTACCAAGTAAAGACGCGACTGTACACGAGCTCCACGCATGTCACGCAGTATTGGTCCTGGATGGATGAGGATCAGTCCTTCGAGCATCAGGTCCTGAAGGGCCTGAACCCAGTGTCCTGGGGCGTGCACAAGGACCCTATTGATTTCCACGTGAATCTGGAAGAGATTTCCCAGGTGGTGTGGAATATCGAGGCGTTGCGGATTCACATCTTTATGCGCCCCGAAGGCTCCGTCTTAGCTAAGAAGGATGGACAGCTTCGAGGCGATATCATGGCGGCCTTCAAGCGAGAGCGGACAATGCGACGATTCCTCAACTTTTGTCGCGAAAAAGGCGTCCAGATGCTCAAGGCATCAACGTGAGTGCCCGTTGCAAACAACTTAAACGTATCCGTGCTAACGATGATGACAGGGAGGAACTCGACCACCGTTGGCTCAACATGCATTCTGAACAGCTCCCAGATGAGAACGGAAAACCTACCAAGGAATTGATGGCCTAGTTAGCCCGTCCTGAGGAGGAATAACCCGTCCCAATACTGGAGCTCCTCCACACGAAGTGGAGGTTAATTCATCACGGAGAACACCCGAGACTACATTTCGGCTGGAAGAATGAGCTCTCTCTCAAATGGAGGGACATTTCGGATCCGAAGTCCGGTTCTCTCTTCGTCACTTGCCTGGGAATAGACATCGACGGAGACTGGCCGGCGTCCAATCTCGGAATATAATTCAACATCAGTGTCTGAGTGGCTTTTCACTCCACGGCACAAGTACACTACAGGCCGGTTTTCAGGCCGGTAATTTCACTGTACAACTACCAGTTTTTGGTTTCCTTCCGTCGTCTTGCCTTGTTCCAGTCTCATACCCAGTGCGGGAGAGCCGAGAAATGAAGAGGCGCAGGCGCGGCGACAGGAAGACGGGGTTTTTTGCTGAGCAGACACCCAAAGGGTGTAATGAACGGGCGGCGGATATTGGGCTTCTTCCGACTTTTTCTCGGACTCTTTTACTTTGACACTTGTCTTTTTCCTTCATCATCTTCTCTTTCCTTTTTTTTTCTACTCATAGAGGGGACTGTTTGGCCCCCACCTGCCAACACTGGACGGACCTGTTAGGGGAGAGTCAAGACGAATGGGTATGGGTTTTGAAACTGCACAATGCCATGGTATGGCATTGGCATGGGCGGATCGGGCACGCATTGGTGTCTATGATGGGCTGGTCGGATGGAAGGATCGGATGGGAAGAACGGGGTGCGGCTGCGGTAAAAAAGAAAGATTTCGTTATATTCGTAATGGACTATGGTGCCGTCTTCCCTGCGGGCGTAAGACTGGGTATTTATTCCGACTACATTTACATGATGATTTAATTTCCTCATCCGACCAAACCTTTGCTCCAGTCCAAAAACAAAACTCCACATGGAGTAGCTGACAACACAAACACGCCTATAATCCCAAGAGAGTACTATCCCAGTCAATCTCATTTGCCCATCCCATCACCGCCTCCTCATCGCGCGTCCTCCCCCAACTCCCACACCCTCAATGCCCTTGACGGGCTTCACGTCGCCGCTACCGCCCATCATGCGGCTCATCAGCGCGGCCTTGCACTCCTGGGCTCGCTCGTCACGGTACTCGAGCTGCGTGGCGGGGGGTTCCTGCGGGAGCGCGGCCTGGGACTCTGCGGCCTCGGAGTCGCGCAGGCTGTCGGAGCGGGCGGCGTCGCTGCTGGCGTTGGAGGCGTTGCTGATGGCTCGGCCGAAGATCTGGCGGCGGCGCGGGCGCGGGATGGCGTTTGCCGGTTGCTCGTCTTCGGGGGCATTTGCGGTGAGGTGAGATGTAGTTGTGGTTGTGGTGGTGGTTGAACCCGTGGCCTCGATGAGGCTGGTTAGCTTCGAGGAGAGGGCCAGGCGCTCAGCAGCTTTGGCCTGTTTTCTGGCCTCCTCTGCGCGCTGCTTCTCTTTCTGCTCCCTGAGCTTTGCCTCCAAGACGGGGTCCTCGGTGGGAGGAGATGGGTGGGTGGTCTTGGTGGGCTCGGAGCGGGTGCGCGCGAGGGTGTGCTTGGTGGGAATCGGTGACTTGTTGAGGCGGGTGGGGGAGACTTCGGTCAGGGGGGCTTCGAAGTCGCGGTCTTTGGGGAAGCTCTCGGGGGCGGGATGGGTAAGGGCTGTAGCGAAGTCTGCGGTAGCGAAGTCGGCAGAGACGAGAGGATCGTAGGTATTGGAGGGCTTCTGGCGAGGCTTGTCGGGAGAGTCGTGGTCGAAGGCGGTGGTGTCGACGCCTGCTCCTGCGGGCGGCTTGGGCATGTTAGGTTTTGACGCCCGGGGGAATGGCTCGGAGTGCGTTCGTTGGATGGGTTTGGTGACTGCTCGGGGTTGGGCGTCGACGACAGGTTTTGCTTTCGCCAGCGGTTGTGGTTGCTGGGCCATTTCGTATCGGCTCTTGAGCTCCGTGAAGATGAAGTCGTCCAGCGGTACCTTGAAGCCCGTCGAGATGCATTCCCATAGCCAGTCGGCCGAGACGACGGGGACACCCCATTTCAGAGCCATGCGCAGCTTCTCCTTGCGCATGGAGGCTAGCGACTTGCACACCAGCACACTCGTGCCCTTGCGGAACTCCTCCTCGAAGCGGGCGCCCAATTGGGCCAGGCTGCGGGCGACCTGGTTGAGTTCGATTCCGGTGAAGGCGGCGCTGCAGACGGTCAGGTCGGCAAAGCCGGGGATCGGGAAGAGCGGGAACGGCCGGCCCAGGACGTGCTCGTTGGGATCGAAGAAGTGCTTGTTGTGGAGGCACTTCTCGATGTAATACTCGGTGACAACGTAAAGACCGTCGTAGTTTGCGGGGGGGTGGGATTCGGGTTGCGAGGTTTGGGGCACGATGAGGAAGCGGCCGAGAGGCGTGTGAGGAAAGGGGCCGAGGGCAGCTTCATGTAGGAACGAGCAGATAGTGCCGCCGAGGGTAGCGAGGGTTTGCTCGAGAACCGAGGTGCGCTGCGATGTGAAGCCGTGGACATGGAAGTAGCAGCCTGCAAAGACGCCTTGCTTCTCTTGAAGGACCGGGATCGTGGGCTGCGGTGGAGGTTGAGGTTGCTGCTCTGCTCGGGGTTGGGGGGCCTCTACTGGAGGTTTGTCCTGCTCGTGGGCGAACGAATATTCCCTTGATGTGGACCTCCCGAGGATATCTCCCCACAGGTTGTTCCGTTGTGAGTTGAGCTTCATGCTCGCTGTCTTCCTCAGCTTCCTGGGCCCGTCCTCTGTTGCATTGGTCATGGCCGACCGTGATCGCTTGCCCCAGTCGGCTCGTCTCGGGTCCTTTTTGATCCACGCGCCTTTGCCTTGTTCCTCTGCGGGCAGCGTGGGATCAAACTTGGTCTCCTCCAATATCATTCCTCTGGCGATGGTCTGGTCCAGCCAGGCAAGCGTGACGGCGTAGATGCCCCATAGCTTGGCGGCCGCAAACTTCTTGCCCTCTGGCTTGCTGACGATGAGATGGGTGCACCGCCTCGTCAGGTCCCCTGTGTACAAGCCGCCGCCCTCGGTGATCTTGCGTGCAATGTCATCGCGCTGATCGCCGAAGCCCGTCAGGCAGATGAGCAGCGAGTCCCTTGCGGCGGGCTGATCAGTCTTGGGGGCGGAGGGGTCGATGCCTCGCTTCTCGAGGGGCTTCAGCTGGTGCTGGGACTCGAGGGCTCGAAAGCCGATGTCGTCGTCGTTCTTCCACAGCTCGGCCAGAGCCTCGATCCAGGCGGCGTCCATGGCCTTGATGTCGGGGCGTTCACGGGCGACATGGCGGTACTTGGGGGTGTCATAGTCGCCGACAACAAGGTGCGTGACGTCGGGGGTCAGGTCGTACTTGTGAACGCCTCCAAGCTCGGCAACGGTGCTGGCGATGCTAGTCTTGTTGGGGATACGTTAGAATTGGCATGTCATGTGTCTGGGCGGACAGGTGGAGGAAGTGAACCGTGGACGGGACTCGGGAACGGGGGAAACACACTCGCTGATCGGGTGGGATGCTGGTGCAGCACACGATGATGCCCTTGAGCGGTTGCGCTGGGTCGATGGAGACAGACTCGAACTCGTCGTCCACAGGGTTTGGCGACGCCATGGCGAGTCTGTTTGCCGTACACTCGTAGGAGACCTTGGGCCTTGGGGTTGAAGCGTCGAGAGTTGTGACGCTTGTATTGTGTCTAGACTTTGGACATGGTCCCGTCGCTTATCGAAATAGGAACGCGTCGAGGCGCTGGGGCATCGCGTCAAGTGGCCCCCGGTTACACGGCCCGCACTTACTGAGGCGCGCGACCCTAACTCGACGTCATCCCAGCGTCGACCCAGCAGCCAATAATTTACAGAGGGCGGGGTCCAATCCCCCCGCTATATTCGTTTACAAGAGATTCAGAATGTGCTTACTCTGTAGAGATCAGGGGGCTCAATGGTCTTAATTGGCTATATGAGCCCCAAGTACCCCTGGTTGTTTGCTGCATTACCTCATATCTGGGCGAATGAGCTTCTCAGAGTGGATTGGAAAAGGATGCGATACCTCACTCCTCAGAAATGTCATTTTTGAATGATGTGATTGTACCCAGCTGTATTTCCCAGGAGGACCATTGGACAACTCTACTTTCTGGCGATTCAACTAGGGGGAACCCAAATCCAGGTGTCATCAAGTCCATCACTAATTACCGTAGCAATATACTTGATTGTTAGAATTCCTCATGTTTCCTCAATAACGGACACTCCGCACGTGCCTCATCGCCGTTTCCAGGTCCCCATTGTGAAGCTCCCTACGTCCATAGGTACGTATTCAGGGCATACTGCCCCAGCCGCAGCGGTCAGCCACACCTTACAGCGACCTTCGCCCGCTGTAGTCCACTAAAAACCTCAACCCCGCCATCGCTGGGTTAGGTGCCTAAGCATCACAGCCTCGTCGCGAGAGGCTCCAACATTGACCCCTCCATCCACACCTCCAAAACCGCAACCACCTTCATCCTCGTCTCCGTCTCGACATCCGACCAGACCCCTCGGCCGACGGCCCTCTCCCATCCGCACTCGCATTCAGCACTACCCCGAAGCAGCTTCCAACGATCCCTTGCTTGTTCGCCTGCCCGGTCCGCCCCCTCGTTTCTGTCCTACGCCTTCGTTGTGTCTCGTGCACCGCATCCATTCGGCCCCTCCTCCTCCTCTTCTCCTTCGAAAGAAGCATCACGATCCACTCCGAACGGAGGCCTTCATTGCGACGCACGAAACATCAGCAAAACTTCCTAGTCGACTTGGTCTCGGCCGTTAATCCGCATACAAACCAGCATCCCCGCCGTCGAGATGCCTCCACCGTCCGCCGCCCAGCAAAAGGTCTTCATCGCCCAGTTTGTCGCCCTAACCGGTGCCTCTGAGCGTCACGCAACTCGGGTACGTCCCCTCCCCCCGCGCCGACCGCACCGGCTGCACCAGCGGGCCGCGTCCTTGCTCCAGGAAAACCCCCGCCGCCCGTGACGCACAGGAAGGACTTCACGATGGCGATTATAGGCGACATCGGGCCGGCGGGGCTGTAGCGGGGGCGCAGTTGACCCAAGGCGGTCGGATGATGATGCATAATTGGACTGGACTAATATCGCCTACCACAGTACCTCAAGGCGGCGAGTTTCAAGATGAACGAGGCGGTCGATTCGTAAGTGCCATCATCTTTTTTTTCTTCTTCTACTGCCACAGTCATTGTCACTTGATCTGGGTTCGTCTCCTGGTCCTTGCTCGTTTCCTCGTCCTCGCACCGCCTGCATGCGGTGCCATCGAGCCGGACTTACTCGCCGTCAACGCCTAGGACAGGACTATTTGGGGATCGTTCGCATTAGCATGGATCTGGGGGCCACATACACGCTGGATGCCGGTTGCTGGCCTTGTGCTTGGTTGTGCTTGTGCTGTACTTGTGCCTATGTCCGTGGGCGGGCCCACTGACGCTCAGCTCACTTGCTGGACGCACAGCAGAGTATGGCCGACAGTGACGCCGATGGCTGTGAAACAACGTCGTTTCCCGTGTCAAAAGGGGGGATGGCTCCCCGGCTATTGCGCACTCACTATGCTTTTTGCCAAGAGACCCGATAGCTCTATCCTGCTCCTCGGTCCCTCGCCGATCAATCATGGTCCATTTCTCTCCTCCATGAGTCGTCTCCCTCCTCACAGACCAACTTTACCCGCCACCCGCTTCACCCGCGGCACCTCCATCACCGCCGATGCACCACATCGCAGCTGGAGTCTTTGAATCAGCTCCTACCTGGCTATCCAAGTTGCCGGGTTTGGCTTCTCGGCTGGGCCGAAACCATGGGGTGGAAAGGCGTCAAGAAACATCTTACTTCCCGAGTCATCCCGGCCTGGTCTCTCTCTAGGAAGTCCAGCAAGGAAGCCCTTGACGCATCTGTCAAAGAATCATCCAAGGATTCGAAGTCACGGTACACAATTTCAGCCGCATGCAGACCTAGGCCTATCTTAATATATGGTCAATTCAGCCACCAAGAACCTCAAGCGAGGTTCTCGTCGGCACTCTCGGATCCAGTTGACGCGCACTCCAATTATCTTGCATGCAAAAGACTAATATTCATGTGCGACCAGATACTTTTCTTCGAACAATGACACTAAAGGGCCCTCGCCTCTGGAGACCAAGTTGGAATCGCTCTTCGCCTCGTTACAAGGTACTTGCCTCGATCCTTATCAATTAAGGACCAACTGACATTTATCCCTAGATGCAAGCGATGAGAAGGACAAATTGGAGCTCGACTCCACAATGGCATACCTCACGGAGAAACTGAAAGTCAGTCTCGAAGATGCCGAGCTTTTTGTGGCACTTGAGGTTGTTCAAGCACCCACTGTGGGAGTCATCACCAAGAAAGGCTACGTGGACGGATGGAAGGTGACTGGGTAAGTTACTGGCAATTTATCTCGCCTAATGGACCTATACAGCATTGCCAATGGAAGGTTACCAATGGGCGAAGCTAACCGCCAATGCAGAGTCGGCGCAACACATCAAGAGCATGCTGCGTACATCCAAAAACTTATCTCGTCGCTTTCGAAGGACACCGCCCTGTTCAAGAAGGTCTACAGGCACACCTTTGTTGCCGGGAGGGAAAACGACCAAAAGGCCCTTAGCTTGGAAAATGCCGTCATCTACTGGGGCATCCTCTTCTCTGCTCCCGGCATGGCTTGGAAAACAAAGAGCCATGATTTCCTGGAACTATGGAAGAGTTTCCTCAGCGAGAAGTGGACCCGTTCCGTTAACAGGGATATGTGGAACATGGCGCTCGAGTTCGCTCTTAAGACGATGTCGGACGAGACGCTGGCGTTCTGGAACGAGGATGGAGCCTGGCCAAGCGTCATTGATGACTTTGTCGAGTGGTGCAAGGAGAAGGGCATCGGTAAGACCGATGGCATGGATGTCGACGACCAATGAACCAACTTTCGATAATTCCTCAACCCCGGCATACATAATGGACTGCGGCAAGCATAACCCCGACGCCAATATATTATTTTACCAGACGACATATCGCACAGACGCCAGCCAGGAGTATGGGCAAAAGGACTACGTTTCTAGACGGGGGTGGCGTCAACCAAGGAGTACTCGAGACTGCTAGGGCCGCGAATGATGACTTTATGATAGACATGTAGGACAACAGAGGGAAGAAGATGACAATACCACTTTTGAACTCGGATTTTTCTCTTAGTTTCACCTGAGGTCTTTGCGTCTTTAGTCTTTTTAGTCGATCGCTGTTACGGACGTAGCAGGTAAAATGCAATGCAGAGATTCGAGGCTCTATAATACTTCATACAACCGTGACTGCCGTCCCACCAGCAGCATGCATTTTGTACACGACGTCATCTTCTTATGACGCCTGAGCTTGAGGCCATGGATATACATGGCCCTTCGTCCCTGTTCTTCTCATTGTTTCCCTCGGGTATCCTACAATCCACCCCGCCTCCTTTTGTCTCCAGCTGTATCCCTTGAAAATTCGATCCTGAGCGTTGGTCATCCATCTCATTACCACCTCCTCACGCCTCCCGTCCCTGAGTCTTCCACTTGGGGGGGCCGAAGCGGGCGAGGGTGTCGAGCTTGCCGTCGCCGAGCTTGACGTGGGCGGAGCGGATCATGCGGGGCTCGAGGCGGAGGGTGTTTCGAATGTCCGTGTGCACCTTGGTCGATGAGTCGTATCGCATGACGAAGTAGTGGCCGTGGGTGTGCTTCATCTGATGCACCGAGATGGGCTTGGGTAGAGAGAAGACGCCCCAGTTGGCGAGGCCGCGCACGACGCCGCCATTCTTGAGGACAAGGGAGCCGACGGTCTGGGCGATTCTATGGGCAGAGTAGCGTGGTTAGTATTTTATCTTGCAGGGAGATCGTATGCGACTGTCGGACACGGCGGATCGAGTTCGTGGGGGGATGGTGTGGGATGGGCGATATCGTGGGGACATACTCCTTCACCTCTCCGAGGTTGCCCGGACGGACCTATTTTCGCACTCGCGTTAGCCAATCGTCTTCCTAAATCCGAACCATAAGAGCAGGGAAGGACTTACAATTGCAATGAGTTCGTAGAGCATCTTTGCGACGACATCTACGGGGAGAATGGGGATACGTCTCGAAGGCAAGCTGCGGTGTCGCGCGAGCTTTGGTAGAATTTCATGAATCGAGTTTATAGATGCCGGGGTTTAGCCGTGGTGGGTGTGGCTTCGGTGAGCGGTGAGATGTGGGGTGTGCTACCCTGGAGACTTGGTCGGAATTCGCTATGTGCAGCGCATAGCTTATGGAATGTATCCAATGCGCTGGGTCGGCGACGGGGTATTGGTGTGGCTTGGAATAGATCGAGGTCCTCGTCAAGTAAAGCTGTAGTTCAATTAGAATTTGTTTAATACAGATCTGCCCTCGGATATCATCTTCTCGGTTTAATTGAGTTAGGCTAAACTCAAGGAGATAATTATAATAGCTTCTGGATGATAAGTTTAGTCAGATAGTTCTAGAATTTCATTGTATATCAAGAAAGCGTCAGAGAGGCATTTCGGGAGGGAATTCTAACCCATCCCAGTTCATGATTCCGTTAGTACATCATAGTGTATACAATATTGTACATGCGATTTTCCATCCAGGACGCCGGTTCCTCCTTTTCCTCGAAGCCTTTACAATCGCTCCTTTGACAACGACTGCCAGATGCTCCATGGTAGCCTCCATCCTCCCGCCTTGACCGCAAATGGGTCAAAGTCAGCCTGTTCCAACCGATCCAAATACTGCTGGGCCGGGACTGCCTCCAGCAACACACCAAAGCCATGGTGGATCTCTTTCAGGGTATTGCTGCCCTCATCGTCGTAAAAGTGCTCGCCCTCTCCCTGGTGCTCGAATTCATGGCCCGGGTCTTCTCCCGCCTTGAGCCGCTTCAACATCTCCCTCGCCGTGATGAGGTGATCGTTTGCTCTCGTCGCAATCTTGAAGACGGCGTCTTGCAGGCCAGGGGCATTGGGACCCTGCCGAAAGACGTCCTCCTCCTTGACTCCCGCCTCAGCCATGGCGTCCAAGGGAAGCAGAAGCGCTGGCTCACGGACGGGAGCTTCTGGTCCATGTGGTGTTTGTACCGGGGGAGGTGGTGCTGCAAGGACGGGGATTCCTCGTAACACTGCCACGATACCACATGCCTTCCCAATGTGGCTCGCTAAATGATCGACATTCATTGATCGCAGTGGCAGGGACGCTAAGGTCGCATACATCAATGTCGAGTATGTATTCTCGGCGTACTCTTCCAGACTGGTCAGGCTCGCATGTGGCCGATTGGTCATGTGCTTCTCCCTTGTCTTGACGAGTCGCGAGACCCAGAACTTGATGGACTTTTTGGTTGAGCTGCCGGCGCGGGTCTCGAGGTCCTGCAGGGCCTTGTGTAGGAGGATGCAGATGGGCTCGCGGGGGGGACGGCCCGCGAAGGTCTTGTCGAGGGAGTCCTGCCAGAACTTCATGCGCAGGGCCCCAATCGTGGGGTTAGAGACGAGCTCGGGGAGACGGACGAGCTCTAGATTGAGGGTTCGGAGGGCGGCGTAGGCGTCTTGGACGGGGTGGGGGACGAAGCGGCGGATGAGGTGCGCATCGTAGTCGCTTGTTCTGCAAGGCAAGTTAGCAATGCGCAGGCTAAATACCAAAGCTGTTTGCGACGCACTGGAGCTGTGTCAAGCAGTATCGCCGTGCGGATTCGACGTCGGCATCGGTGATGTAGGTGCGGCGGCTGGAGTGGGCGCGGGCGAGCCCTTTCAGGCCCTGGCCCAGGAGCCGTGGACGATGCATCCAGGCGAGCAAATGTTTTGAGAGCAAAGAAGCGATCTCGAACGGCGGGTTTCACCTAATGAGCGACGGAATTGGCGCGACCGTGGGCGGCATCGGCATCATGATCAAGCAGAGCCAGCCATGGCCCGCGGATTTCCAATGCTTCTTTGCGCCCCGGAAATTTTTACATGACGTCGGAGCGCCGAGTCAGCCACTGTAGTTCAGCCACAGCCACTGTGGATGGCCGCTGGACGGGAATGTGGTTAGCGGAGGGGCCACTGAAAACGCGGTCAGGTGACCCCTCTACGCGGTCAGTCGCGCTGGGAAAGTCCATCGCGTCTCCCGAAATGTCCCCATCAATCGGTGGAAGTATCTGGGGACGTTCCACATGACCAACACCATCACCTGGCATTTTCCATGATACCGTCACAAAATGGACTTTGGAAGCTCACAGGAACCTCCCGCCAAGAAGCGGAGGTTCTTTGCTGACCCGGATGAAGCTTCCTCGGACCCCGTGTTCCCAAGTCCCCTTGCCGGCTCCCCACTGCCCCAGCGGAATCGTTTCTTCAAGGATGAAGACGACATTAAGCTGGAGGGGCAAGACGAGCGAACCGTCCTCGCCGAGAGATCCCAGAATGAAGTACCGGAACCATCGACCCCGGTACAACCGAAACTGGAGCCGCCGCCCGAATCGAATCATGGCTCGTCGTCCGTGACCTTCGACCAAGAGACCTTTGAGAGCTTCATTGGCGACAAAGTGAAGCCGGACGTTCTCAGAGCAATCCGAGACCACTGCGGGGACAATCTCGAACGAGCGGTCAATATGTATTTCGACGGGACATACAAGAAGTTCACCAAAAAGACGACACATGTCACCCCTTCAAGACTGGCTTTCGAAACTCCAAAGCGCCCGACTTCCGACGCCACGGCAGAACGACCATCCACAACAGCAGCTCAGCGTAGAATGCCGAATTCGAGATACATAGGGGCCTTTGGTGTTGAAGGATGGGCTACACGAAGCGGCACCAACCTTTTGAAGCATGGCGACGTTGTCAAGATTGAGCGACAGAAGATCCAGCCGCCTCAACCCCCAAAGATTAAAGGGAAGTTCGGCGGTTCTGTAACACCCTCCAGACCAAATAATGTAGCTTCGAGACGGGTTGACGTCATTGTGCGCTTCACGAGCCAGAGTGGAATGGAGATTGGCAGGCTTTCCAAGGATACTGCGAGTTGGGTTTCCACGTTGATGGACGAGAAGATCTGCAAGTTTGAAGGAACCTGCGTTTATGCGCCTGACCGACTCAGAACGAACGACACCGTCTTCCTACAACTGACGTGTTCCCTTCTAAAATCGGCCTTCTTCAGTCGTGGCTTTCAGCTTGCTGATGACAGATCCGCCGTTATTTTCGAGCAGACTGAAACAGCCGACGAGAAGCAACTTCGACTTCGGCAAGTTGCCCTGGTCAAGTTACTCCAGGAAATCAACCTGCAACCGACCATGACGAATGCTGCCGCGAAAGATGGTCGCAAAGGGTTGTTGGAGGCAGCTGAGCAAGATGAGCAAAAACAGAAAGACCCGAAGAAGGCTCCCACAAATGGCAAAGACCCCGGATCTGACCCGTCCTCGGATGTCGAGGAGGGAGAAGAGTTGGAACAAGATCAACTGGATGCGTTGTACAAGAAAGCACAATCCTTCGACTTTAGTACCCCCGAAGCAGAGCCCGCAGACACCTTCGCCATGACACTTCGTACCTATCAAAAGCAAGCACTGCACTGGATGATGGCCAAGGAGAAGGACGAACAGAGCAACAGAGAGCCGTCGATGCACCCGTTGTGGGAGGAGTACATGTGGCCGCTCAAGGATTTTGACGACAAGGACCTCCCGCAGGTCGAAGGACAGCCCAAATTCTATGTCAACCCTTACTCCGGTGACCTTTCCCTTGACTTCCCCGCCCAGGAGCAACACTGCCTGGGAGGTATTCTGGCAGATGAAATGGGTCTGGGAAAGACGATTCAGATGCTGAGTTTGATCCACTCCCACCGATCCGAGATTGCACTGGAGGCCCGCAGACCGGCAACAGAGCTCACAACCGTGAATCAGCTCACCAGGTTAGGCATGAACTCAGAGTCAGTCTTGCACGCGCCATGTACCACTCTGGTTATTGCTCCCATGTCCCTGCTCTCACAGTGGCAGAGTGAGGCCGAGAAGGCGTCCAAGGAGGGCACCATGAAGATTGAGCTCTACTACGGAAACGAAAAGTCGGCAAATCTTCAGGCTCTCTGCTGTGCTTCAAATGCAGCTAGCGCTCCTGATGTTGTCATTACAAGTTACGGTGTGGTGCTCTCTGAGTTCACCAGCATTGCTGCCAAGAACGGAGACAAGGCATTCCACAATGGCATCTTTTCCCTCAAGTTCTTCAGAGTGATTCTTGACGAGGCGCACCACATCAAGAACAGGTCTTCAAAGACGGCGAAAGCTTGCTATCAGATCGCGGCCAATCACAAATGGGCCCTCACAGGAACGCCCATTGTGAACAAGCTGGAAGACTTGTTTAGCTTGGTGCGATTTCTGGGAGTCGAGCCTTGGAACAACTTTTCGTTCTGGAGAACATTCATCACGGTACCCTTTGAGTCTGGAGAATTCGTGCGCGCGTTGGATGTGGTGCAGACCGTCTTGGAACCTCTTGTGCTTCGACGCACCAAGGACATGAAGACCCCTGACGGCGAGCCACTTGTACTCCTGCCCCCGAAACAAGTTGACATTGTCGAAGTCGAGCTATCACAAACCGAGCGAGAAGTCTATGATTACATCTTCAACAGGGCGAAACGGACCTTCTCTCAAAACGTCGAAGCCGGCACCGTCATGAAAGCATACACAACCATTTTTGCACAGATTCTTCGGCTCCGCCAGACGTGCTGCCATCCTATTCTCGTCCGCAACCGTGACATTGTGGCGGACGAAGAAGAAGCCGGGGCGGCGGCCGATGTGGCAGCAGGCCTAGCAGACGATATGGATCTCGAGTCTCTCCTAGCACAATTTACAGCGGTGACGGATGAGGCTTCGAAGGAGAATAACCGGACCTTTGGCGCCCATGCCTTGGAGCAAATCCGGGATGAGGCGGAGAATGAGTGTCCTTTATGTTTTGAGGAGCCGATGAATGACCAGACTGTCACTGGCTGCTGGCACTCGGCCTGCAAGAAATGCTTGCTTGACTTTATGAAGCACGAGACTGATAGGGCAGTTGTTCCTCGATGCTTCAACTGTCGCGAGCATTTGAACCAGCGAGATCTGTTCGAAGTTGTTCGCCACGATGACGAGCTTGATAGTTTCTCCAAGAAGCCGCGAATCAGCCTACAGCGACTGGGTGTCAATGCATCGTCGGCAAAGGTGACGGCATTGATTTCTGAACTTCGAAGCCTGCGAAAGGAACATCCGAAGATGAAGTCGGTCGTCTTTTCCCAGTTCACCTCTTTCCTCTCACTTATCGAGCCTGCACTCGCCCGGATCAATGTTAAGTTTCTACGCTTAGATGGATCCATGGCGCAAAAGTCCCGGGCTGCTGTGCTTAATGAGTTCACGGAAAGGAAGGGATTCACTATCCTCTTACTGAGCTTGCGCGCTGGCGGTGTAGGACTCAATCTGACAAGTGCTGGGCGAGTCTTCATGATGGACCCGTGGTGGAGTTACGCAGTGGAGGCACAAGCTATCGATCGAGTGCATCGTATGGGACAAGAGGCAGAAGTTCAGGTGAAGAGATTTGTGGTCAAGGAGAGTGTGGAGGAACGGATGCTAAAGGTGCAGGAGAGGAAGAAGTTTATGTGAGTTGACGCAAAACGTTGGCAGGCACACAACTAACTTATACCACAGCGCAACCTCCCTGGGAATGATGAGTGACGAGGAGAAGAAGCTCCAGCGGATCGAGGACATTAAGGAGTTGCTGAGTTAATTGTCTAGCGCAACACGTCGCTGGTAATGTGAACCGATGATGGTGTGGTACATCTGGGATTTGAGCGACGCATACATTGGCGTTTGTGGGAAAGGACTGCCAAAACATTTAGAGACACCAGACAGGTGTCATGGGCCGGCTTGTAGCAATGATTAACGATGGGGCGAGTTGGTCGGCGTGCTTCTCACGTTACGAGGTTGTACTAGCACACGAAACAAATGAGGCCGGTCCTGATCGGACAACCTGACTTGAAAGCAATCACCCGCAACAATTCTCCGCTGCCTTGTCATTTCCCGCAAGGCAGGCAATCATTTGGCATGTATTCTGATCACTGCGCTGACCCGCTCTAGTCATGTTTTGCTGGTATCGTGCTCACTGCCCAAGACAACTTGTCGCGTGACTCGTCTTTTTATATCATCCTTCACCAACACCCAAAGCCTGACTCGTCTCACCTGACTGGGGGCCGCTAGCCATCACAGGCTCATGAGCCTCAAGCCGTGGTATATAAAGGCCCGGCCGGGTCAGGTCGGTTGTCGGCTTGGGGCAAGCTGTTTTTTTATTGCCCCCATTCGAAACAAAGTGCATACCGCCAAGGTCACCTACTCTTTTGCTGTTGGCCGAACCAAGTCGGCAGCCGAGTTGCAGGTGAGCAAACAAAGTGCACCGGACGCCTTGTACGGTTAACACCGGGAGGAAATTTTGAGGCATCGCACCAGGATCTGCCGTGCTGTTGTTTGTGGCAGTGAGGCTGCTTACCGTCTTGTAGTTGGGTTTGGAGGTTGGGTGCGTCGACAGATACAGCGGAGTTGCTAATGTTCTTGCATCTCTTTGTTCGAGATCAAAGAGACCTCGACCTCGAGAACGGCTTCGTGTCAGAAATCATCTATTATCTACATCTCTACACCTTATCGACCGTCATCTCATCATGGATCGATTCGCCGAGCAGTTGTTCGGGCGTCCAGCCAAGGACACCAAGTACTCGTCCCGAGACAAAGACGGCCCCGGCTTCATGGAGTCCATCGCCAGAACCTTTGTCGCATCCGCTGCCGACCGAGCCATGGGCCAGATAAACGGGCAACGCGGCCGCGGCGGCGGGTTCGACCACGAAGACTTTCGCTCGCTGGGAGGGTTCGTGCTGGAGATGATGAACGGCGGGGACGACGGCGACAGACAGCGCAAGAAGAGCAAGAAGCGGCGGCATTCGGAGCGGGAGACGACTCGCGATGTGCCCCGTGAGAAGGAGAGCGCCCAGGATCCGGGCTACGGCGGCGAGCCACGCAAACGCCGGCGTGGCCATCGTCTCTCCGGCAGTCCGCTGCACGTCACCTTCGCCGAGCCGCTGCAGGACTTCGACTACCCTCCGGTGCGCAAACGACACCGCCGCCGACACGAAGACATCTACGAGCCGGACCCGCGGCCGTCGCGCTCCGACTCGCACCGCAGCCGCCGGCGCTCGCACGAACGCCGCTCGCGCCGCCGCCACCACGCGCGGGTCGACCTGCACACGCTCAAGTCGGAGCTGGAGGACATGTCGAGCACCATCATCGGGCTGAACGCGCGCAGCACCACGCACCTGGACTGCGAGTTCTACGACAAGTTTGCGCGCAAGGGCGGCCGCCTGCAGGACGCCATCGGGAGCACGCTGGGGCAGATCCGCGAGCTCGACGGCGGCGCCTCGGAGGACGAGGAGCGGAGGGAGCGCAAGAGGCGGCGCAGGGAGCGCAGGGAGCGCAGGGAGCGCAGGGAGAGGTGGTGATTGGGGAATGAGACGAGACGAGACGACTAGACGGACGTGATCGTGATGGGTAAATGTTACATTGTTTTTAGAAGGTCGGATAGACGCAGTCGGTTTGCTTGATTCGTTTGATAGACCACTTATAGATACATGCGTTGGGTTTCGCTAGAAAGGAATGTTTCTTGAATGTTTCCAACATCATGACGCAGCTCGTCAATATCAATCAACCTTTGCATTGGAAACAGTCATCGCTCGTGCATCATCCCACAAAGAAAGCCAATTCCCACCGTCACCGTCCTCCACAATCCCAACCGTCGTCCCACCCGACCACGCGGCCGCTCCGACCTGGACTCGCGGGAAGCAGAATGCCACGCAGCAGTCTGCATGTTTGCGCCTCTCCCGCCGAAGCAAGCATGAGAAAACACCAGAGGAACCGCGATGCACGGAGGGAGAAAACAAAATTTGTTTTTTCCTTCTTTTCGGACGTGACCCGATGAGCGCTCTTGCGTGGGACGTGAGGAGGGAGCGTGCTGGCGACGGATGCGATGCTGCAAACCTGCAAGACAGGTGTATATAGAGATTGCGTTTCTGCTGCAGAGGTCTTTGTCAAATCACTGCTCTTGGACGGAAGCCTATTCACTGCAAGATGCCGCCGATCGCTGTGTTTAGAGACAACTCTCTCAGCCAAAGCTTGCGACTTTGTTCCCAGGACCACGGCATCCAAGATGGAAACCAAACCGAACACCGGTGTCTTGAAGGGACTGCATGTTCAACGTCGTCCAGCGACTCTCACTACACCAAGTCAGCCATCTGGAGCCTCTTCCCATCGCCCGAAGACCCATACCTGCGCCTCCCATCGAACAACATAGGCTCAGGATCCTTCCACCGGCTGCACCGACGAGCCTCGGGCGTTGACATGGTGGGACTATCGATCGGCATGTCCTTTCTCTTCGTGATCCTGGGAATGCTGGGGTGTGTGATGCTCGGGAAGAAGGGCAACGATCGGAAACGCAAGGGTTCAAATAAGCGCACGAAACGCATCAGGATCCGCCGTCGACAAAGCGCTTTCCAGCACGCCAACACCTGCCAGACTACTCATGCGCACTTGCATGGGCACGAAGTTTATGATCACCGCCATGGCCACACTCGACATCATCGATCACACAGCAGTAGGCAAGATTGGACTGTCCAACATCCCCAGATGGTTCATGAGGATCCCGGGGTTTGGACTTCATATCCGGAGCCCATCCATGTGACTCATGGAGGGCCTGCCAACGACATGGATGCACCACAGGATGATACAAGAGACAAACCACCGAACAATGGCTGGGATTGGATGAGAGGGCAGATGGGTAGTGATTAGGAAGGCAGATGTGGGAGTCGACGAGGCGGCGTCGTTGTAGCCATTGCCATCGGGGAGGTCATCACCATTTGGAGGGACGACTTAAGAGAGGGCGGAGGATGTGGGAGACTCGTAAGGCGGATGCGAGAATTGAGCAAAAGAAATCATGGAGCTTAGGCTTGTATCGCGTGGTTGAACTGGACAATAAACAACATAGATGAAACCTATGAGAATTTGTAGAAAGCTATGACCCAAGCCAACAAAACGACATTCCTAGACCGCCTACAGGGACCTGTGTCCATAAACCCAAGAAGAATCCTTAGCACTTACTGCATGAATCACTTAAACAAATTATTGGTAATACACTGCCAAAGATGTACAAGGAAGAAAAAGCCTACTGAGGCGTCAGCTATTTGTTGTTCATGGCACAGCAGGAAGGATAGTTACCTATCGTATCATGTCAAACCCCCGGATGGAACCCAAGGACTAGCACAAGCCCCCTAACCGTCTGCAGGTGGTTCTTTTGGCGGAGGCGCATCGTCGGCCGGAGTGGCAGAGCGAGGGGGGGGAGGAGAACGGGGAGGTGCCGATCTCGGCGGGCGAGGGTGCCGAGGGCGTGGTGAGGGCGGTGCTCCCCTGTCAGAGCTCCTGGAGCTCTTGCTGCTGGAGGATTTGTGCCTGTGATGTTTCTTCTTCTTCTCGGTGAACCTGATGGAACGGCCGTAGAAGTAGAGGAAGGTGATGACAACGGCGAGGAAGGCGGCGACGAGAATGCCGACAATGAGGCCGATCTTGATGTTTGTGTTCTTGTCTGGATTGTCAGAGAATTGCCTCTTCCGAATAGTAGCCTGGTCTCCGCTACCGGTCTCAGCACAGAGACGGAGCGGACTCAACCCCAGACGGCAGAGAACAGAAACAAAATGCGAGCGAGACCCGTGGCTGTCGGCGAGGGCCCCCGTGCCAAGACGCTCCTGCGCCACGGAGACCCGAATATGATGTTGGGCTGACGGGATATACATCCACACTCCAGTCGGGGTTAAAGGGGGAGGTCAACAAAGGGCAGAGAGAATGGAATCAATCACATGAGGAAAACGTGGAATGGAGAGCATGGCATGGAAGGGCAAAGGCAGGGCGCAAGGAGAACCCTGGGCGCAGGAGGCATTCTGCAAAGAAGAGTCTTTTGATCCACTTGCAGAGTTCTAGGAGAGGGGATACCTATTTAACCACGCAAGCGCTAGGACGAAACGCGGCGAGGCAGCGACGAGGGACGGGCGACGGGCAACGGGCGGCGGGAGACGACGTGCATGGCGTGAGAGAATAGCGAGGTTGAGCAACAAAACTGTGCATCAATGGAGAGACTGCATCGATGGAGAGACAGGTGCATATGCAACCAGACAAGTGGACTGCTGTAGTGGCCACGGAGGTGAGGTGGTGCATGCTCCTCCGGGCGACCCGGCGTATCAGCACGCGGGAGTGGACGGCGGATCCAATGAAGGGTCGTGGGGAAGTCGGTTTTTCGGTTCCAATCAATCGGGCTGAGGCGAGAAGTGATGAGTCGGGAGAGTAGGACGGGATGATGGGTGGGGGAGTTCGACAGGGACTGGATGGATGACGATGGTTCCGCTTGCGAGGCTGGCCGGCGAGAAGAGACAAGAGCAGACAATATGAGAGAAATGGGATCAGCCCCTGCTGCGTGAGTATCGGGGAAGAGACATTTAGGCAACTAGCCTAGCCGCCTTAACTCGGACTCGGACTATGCGTCTCGTCGCACTGCGCAGTGTAAGCAAGGCAACGTCGGCGCCTGGATAGGACCACCCGGGATGACTGCAGCCTCCCGCAACGGGCGAGACGAGACGAAACGAGACGAGCTGCCACACGGGCTCACGGCGCGATGCAACGGGAAGAGAAGAGAAGAGAAGAGAGGGGCACACGGCAACGAGGGACGGAAAAAGCTGCGAGCTGCGGGCTGACAGCGGCATCAGCCCTGATGTCCGAGGGACTATTGGACCCTGTTGCCGACTAGGGCTGGCGGACAACGCATCAATCGACCATCGAGGCGTTGGGGCGCCGGGAGCTGGTGGCCACTCGAGCAACACCATCGTCGCCGTGATGCATCGTGATCCGTCGCGATGCATCGTCATCCATGGCAGAGTCGCACTGATCCACCCGTGCGTCGACCCGTTCGCTTCGGTGCGACTCTATGCCCGTTTGCGGGGGGCATCTCCAAGGGGCGAGGTTGGGAGGGAACCATTTCTGAGTGCTTGCGTATGTGGTGTTGTGCCGTGTTGTGTTGTGTCGTGTTGTGCTGTCCTGCGCTGTGTTGGGTGTAAACTCCCACCGGCAAGTGTGCCTTGGGCTGAGATGCTTCTGGTGTCACCCGCCGGCCGCCTTTTTTGGGGGGCTGCTGTACAGGCTGCACAGGCTGTACAAACCACTGCCGGCGTCTGCTGATTGGCCCCCAAGGCGCTTGCTGAAGATGCATAGTCGATGGTTAGGCTGCCAGCCTCCTCGGCTCCTGATCGACTTGCACTCTGCTGGTCGCATGTAACCGGTTCGTCGTCGCAATGATGGACGAGGGAAAATGTTGGTGGGCGCATGGAACCGGCTGAAGGAGTCCTTGGCGGGACCAGGAGCTCCTTCCTTCCTTTGTAAGGTAGCCAAGTCCAACTCCGCACCGCACATGTACACGATTGCCAACCCGAGAATTGTCAAGCATATATGTCTTTGTATCTACCTTCCATAGTGATAGGCTCAGCTTTAATTTAAGGGTGCGTCAATCTCGAAAAAGTCCCTTCCACCAGCCTGCGTAAGAACCAGGAATATACCCTCCAACTTCTCCTCGTTGTCTTGCGATTTCGGCTCCTCTTGCATAAGTGTCCTGCAAATTCCCAATGCGCTTTGCCCTCGAAATCTATTGAACCCGCACAGGGGTTCCACAGCATAAGGCGGATTCTTGGAATTGCCAACCTGTTTTGGCTCAGCACCAAGCTCGAGTAGCTTTCTTGTATTCAACAGGTCGACGTTCGCCACGACAAGCTGTAGAAGCGTCAGGGGTCTTTCAGCAAAATCCAAGGCTGCACCGTGAGAATAGAATATCGCGACTAGTTCGGCTAGTCGCTCATGCGGATCTTCCATTGCATTGCGAAATTGAGTGACGTAGTGGGTTTCGATGGCGATGCTTAGGCTTCTCGACGGATCGAAATGGCCCGAGCCTCGATCGCACGCAAACCTCAAGGCCGCATCATGATCGCGACCTACGAGGCAGCAAATTTGTGCCATGACATCAACAAGACAACCTTCAAGTTTCAACTTGGTTGCCGACCTTTTTTCTCGTGCAGGGGAACAAGTTCCGTCCTGCCCTATCTGCCTTCGCAAGTTGAACACAACTGGGTGCTGGTAAATTGTTCGCAAGCTTGCTGTCGACAAGAATTCTAGGACTAATGTGAACCGCCCTAGAAGTAAGAGGTTGGCGAAAAGCAATATTTCCAGGTGCATCTTCTTATTGTCAAGGTCATGTCTGTAGGAAGGGTGGATGTCTAATACAGTCATGCCCAGCAGTAATGTGGAGATGGGTTCCCTGTGGCAATGGTAAGTGTCATGGTAATCGAAAGCTTTGCCCAAATTCCCCTCCCGTATGAAGTCGAACAGAAGACGCAGAAGAGTTCTGTCGTGGATTTGAGGAGAGCTGTCCTGCCTTCGGCACCAGTGATGAGTGCCTTTTGAGCTTCCTCTTGCAAAGCAGATGCCCAATCCATGAAAGGCCGCTCCTCAGATAGAACTCTGCCCACATGTCGTCTGATGTCATCCCGAAGTAGTGGATTTGCCATTGATATTTGTGTCGAGATGCTTTGCATAATTCTCTCAATATCGGCATACTCCCGGCTTGTAGCTAATAGCTGGATCTTAGAGAACCCCTCGTCGCTCACCAAGCTACGGAGAACTTCGAGGAGAGATTCGCGGGGCTGGCTTTCGTCAATAGCATCTAGAGAGATGAATACGGCATCAAATGACTGCAATATGTCCTTGATAGCCCCAAGAAGCTGGGAGATGGTTGGTTCGAGTCCATTTCGATAGTTCTTATAGATGTGGTCTGGAACTGCGTCGGCCTGCTTGCTCAGTTGCCCGAGGATCCAACGGAGGAATGAGCTTGTTTCATCCTGGTTGCGCGCATGATAGCAATAATAATACACATTGCCTATCCGGCGGTGGCGAGCAGCATCGCAATAAGATGTGACTACTATAACGAGCTGGGAAAATAGAACTGCCTTGCCGGCTCCAGGGATACCGTGAATCCAAAGGCATCGGAACTTCTCATGCAACCACTCTCTCCATTCGGGAAGCTGAGTGACCCACTCTGCAGTTCCAGCCTCTCGCTGGGCGCACGCAGTATTGTGGTTTGAAGAAGGATTCGTATGCCACAGCCATTTCCGAAAGCTGGCTTTTGACGTTTCTGCACTTGAAGTTAGCATAACGGTCTGTGCTAATTAAATACAACAGTACCATCGATAGCGTTTCCAACATGCTGAACATCCCGCCTAAGAATTTTCATGTCTTGACTGTACAGGTTTTAGTAGATAGAAGACACGGAAATCGAGAGTGTTAACCTTACACTAGCTCGGCAGAAAATGCGGTAGTGATTGTTGACTTATACCGAGTCAACTCGTCCAAAATAGCATAGACCTTTCTTAGCCTTGATGGCGAGGCCCATCGATCTAATGCTAGGATGAGCCTTTCTCTTGTCGAAGTCCCCGTGGTCGCGCATTTCCCTTTGTTGTCGGTGGGGAGTTGATTCTGGAGCTCAAGTATGGCGCGACGACATCCTTCTACAGGACCTTCCTGGGAACTGATGTCGCTCAAAATTGAGGACGTGGAGTAATCTTTGGAATGAAGGAACTGGAGGTTGTCGAATACGGCCTTGAGGGTGCAGACCTCCAGGAGGACCCTTCGTAGCTCGCTGGGGTAGTTTCGCACTGATTCAATGTAAGACTTGCAGACCTTGATGACTACTTCGGAAGCATGGACTACAGCAATGATGCTCGCGATCAGACCCATGGCTTCAGCCATTTTTTTTATCGATTTTGAGGAGGAGATCTTGTTCAGTGAACCCGGCTCTAGGATCGGGTGTGATGCAGGAATGGGCGAAGCGAAAGGGGAGCCGACTTGAGCCTCATCCCACTTTCCCCTCTTTCAAGATGACGATGTGCTCATAACTGTAGATGCATAAATCTGTTTAGTGCAATTCAAGGCAAGGTCAGGCTGTGTGGTTTGGAATTGTAGCGCCATGCATGTGAGGTCAATGGAGGATGGCTTCCTGCACTCACTTGGCGAATCGGCTTCGTTATCCTCGGAAGAGTTATCGACAAATCTTGATTCCATAACTTCTGAATTCTTGGTAAAGATGTGTAGAAAGGTAGCCATTCACCTCAAAGAGATGAATTAATATCCATAAAACGACAGGGAACGCGAGGGCATTTATCATGCTCATGGAAAAGACTGACCACATCCACGAGAGTCGATATATTGACGAGGTACTGTCAGTTACTCAATGAGGCCTAGATGACGTAGCTGACTTAAGTAATTATTACGATATTATAATCTCTCAGACATTAGATCCATTAAGCGTTGATTTACTGCAACGCCTGTTCTAGTTACTGAATTTCCAATTTACTGAACGATTCAAGCTTCATAAAATTACCACCCAAATGCCCGACAGCCGAAAACCGCTCCGGAGAGCTGAAAGCTGGTGATATCTACAGAACAATAAATATTAGGATCACGAAATTTTGAGGAAATCCATGCGCTGTGGTAATGTGACGTGCACAATTTTGTATTTAGAGGTAGTATAACTCTCTCAATGTCCTCTGATGAACCCAAAGAGCAGCACTGTGAAAACGCGCAGCATCTGAATATTCAATGGCATAAGTCAGTGGCTTTGGTGTGCACATTTAAGTGTTGTTGTCAGTATGTGGCTTCAGTTGGATCCGCTACTTGGGGCTAGATGTCTCCAAAGAAAGATTGATCGCTGATCCTTACAGGCATCAGCCGGCTGTCCAGTAGTCTGTGAGTGACATGGTTTTGGCACGGGACTGTATCCAGGCAAATCGAGTCCTCTACAGTAAGTGAAGCATGTGGAGGCGATCTTGGGGGCTGAAACTAGCTGGGTTCTAGGAGCCGTTGTTAAGGCCGGATTATTATCACCATACAGGGACACAGGCAATCACAACAAACCGACTTACCCGGTGTGTATAGGTCAATGATGATTACACACCGATTTTTAAACGATACCCCAGGTTTATCTAGACCTTTTAATGCGCAAACGGGAGAATGAAGGTAACGAGGGCCTTGTAGTATGGGGTACCCTGGGAATTGGGGCTCTTATTCCGAGGTTGGGTTGCACGGGTGGCCTCAATTTGGACACGATCCAATAAACGCCCCCGTAGAGGGCTCAAAACAGGGCGGTATGCGTTGTCAGCTTTCAACCAGTTGCCTCGCTCAGCTTATGCACATGCAGAGTATGCCTAACGTTGCAGCATGGCATTTGTCACTGGGCTATGTTGAGATCACAGTACAGCATTGGGCACATGAATTACAATGAATTCATACGACCTCCGGGAGTACCTAGACAGCGATGGGACAGTTCGGTTGCTTGTTAACGAGAATAGCATCTGCTGCCTCACTGTTGGGGTTTCGACTGGCGGGGCCGAACTGCTGCATCAGGTCGATGAGAGAATAGGGTTCGCACGACGACGACCACCAATGCCCACTCCAAGACCAAGGGCGGCTATAACTGCAACCACACATTCCTCTGTAGTGCTGTTCGTCCATTCGTGAAGAGTGGTCTCCCGTTAGGACCCAGACGGTTTGCGGCGGTAAGTTCGCTATCCAGTGCTAGTACTAGCCTGCTCGCACGCCTGACGCGTCTAGAAACACAAGGTGGCTCTGCGGTTTTCTAATTATGTGCTGGAGTGGCGCCTAAGCTTCTTGACCCCGAGATTGGGTCGGTGAGCAGATTGGCGCACCACGTCACGGTCCATGATCCCGTGCAGAAAGAAGCTCGAACTGCGACCGTACTCGATCGATAAGTTGGGTCGACCTGCGGAGGCTTGGTTGTTAAAGTGAGGTTGGGTATGGGTTGCTGTTCAATACTGGATCCCCTCAACATGTTCGCCTGGCATGTGACTGCTCAAGAGGAATGAAATACCGCGATAAACGAAGAAGGATAGAATACCAGAACACTAAATAAAGACCTGTTTACGACCGTATACATATGGCCATGGATATGGCTTATCTTTCGAGTTCGATCTCCTTGTTGGAGTCTTATCCGCTGACCGACGAAGGCATATATCTTTCCGTTCCGTATCAATGAGTTTGAAGATGGCGAGGTCCTAATGAGCGGCAGAATATATTTCATGTAGACCCTTCAATTCTTCGAGACCTTTTCTTCTCTTGTCTTGTCCATCCGGGGGGATGGATGCCCCATCAAAGTCATCGCCCTCGCCGAACTCCGTCTGCAGAACTGTGAAAAGATGGTGAACTCCGAGTTCCTGTTGGCTGGCATTGGCATATGCGACAGCAGTTCGTAAGATGCTATTCATCATCCTCCCCTATCACCCGCGTGTTAAGCTTGGTCGAGTAGGTTAAGGGAGGGTCTGCACTGACGTTTAAGCTCAGCATTCCAAGAGCTGAGAACACATTGTCGTTCCAAGAGTCGTCAAATTTAATGTCTGTGTTTGTCTGGATCAATCGTTTCCAGATTTTCGACTGCATCTCATCTGTTAGATCAGGGTACGAGATGGAGACCCGAATGCGGTTTTTAAACGCGACATCGAACTCTTGTTTCTAATTAGTCTTGAGAAAGAGGACGCCTTGGAAATTCTCCATCTTTCTGAGAAATACTGTTCAATTCTCATGTAAGCTCGAGGCCATGATGACATCTTTATAATGAAGTTGAGGAGCTGTGTACCTGCAAGAACGGAATCTTGTTCTGCCTCGGTTTCGTTTCGTTTTCTTAAGAGTAAATCGGCCTCGTCAAGGAGTAAAACGGCATCCCACCGTGCTGCGAGATCAAGTATTGATTCCAATCTTACCTCCAGCTGCTCTGCGTGAGTATTGAGCTCGCTGCCGGAGATAGAATACAAAGGCCGTTCGATAATGTCTGCTAGGCTTTCTGATTACTTAGTTAGCCTTTGACTCAGCAATTCACGATCATTAGCTTACCCGCGGTATGGGTCTTACCCAGTCCAGGCTTTCTGTCGCACTTATTTAGCAATGCACATCGTAAACATGCTGAGTCGTGAGAAAGCATACCCATGCAGGAGAAACGTTAGCCCTTGTTCCTTATCGGGTATTGCGTCATCCAATGTAGTCGATGTGGTCTTGTGTCCCTTGATCAGAGACTGGACAAGATCTTTCGTGCCACTCCTAAGCTGCAAGGACTCAAAAGCTGCTGTGTTCCACTCCCGGTCCTGAAGTTGATCGCTGAGCACCCATTTCCATTCGTTCCCCTGGAGGTCAAATGCAGGAACCAGGGCGGGGAACAGCAGCTCAAATTCCTCCTTTGACACATTAAAGGCATCTTTTACCGCTTCCGACAACCCGTAGAGACCCTCCAGAGAGAATTCAGGCGAGATTTCGATCTCTTAAGAGTCTCCCAAACTCTCACACGCCATGATGTCTTGAGCATCTGCTGGGTCAAAATTAAGGTCGCCATCGTCTGATGTCTCAGATTCAGAGGAGGCATCCGAGTATGAATCAGAATTAACCCAATATCTGTGGCGCCAAATACGTTCAAACGGACTGTTCCTATCGAGGAACGTTTCTCTTCCATTGGTCATCATCTTGGCCCTCAGGTTGACTCCATTGAGTTTTATTGGCAAGTCCTCGATTTCAGGGGCGCTTTCCAAGTGGCGGTCAATATATGCCTTGCAATCGACCATGAAGTCGCCACTGATCTATTCTGTATCTCAGCCGCGAAAGTCTTGATAAATGAGTTTCCCTCTGACAAGAACAAGCCAGTAAATCAGCTAAACATACCTGATTCGCTGATTGCAAAGGCTTCAAGTCAACAGCGTATTCCGTAAACTCATCCTTCCATGCCGGGCCGTCATACGTCTGCGATGAGAACGAAAGTAGATCTGTGCCGAGGACCCTTTTTAGGGTTGCTGACCTAGTCATCAATGTTTTCTTCAACTCTTCCCAATCCTGATAGTGCTCAATTGGTACCAAGACAAGTCTGAGATCTTGCGCTTCTGCACCCCAGTCATGGGCAGAGTAATGGTCTGCCGGGTCAGCCCCGTTGACGTGCCGTCAAACCCGATTCTCAAGCCTGTGATCTTCCAGCCGCGCCCCTTGGTTTTCCGACTGATGGAGATTTTGCGGCAGATCCAACATTCTCTGAGCTTACCAGCGTTGAGAACAACGAGACTATTGGGAGGGTAGATTGTCCAGAGGACGTCGCTGAGAACTTGACCTTTGTTGTAGAACCGCTCGTGGTCTTGGACGATACTCGACACGAGGGTATCATTCTGAACAAAGTCGTGTAGTGCCTTTGCATCCTTCCGAAGGTCCGGATCATTGTCTTCGTCTTCTGAGAGGTCTTTAATCTCCTTTCGGTAGAAAAAGAGCTCTTTGAATGGGGCCCGAAGCTTTATCGGGTAACTCTTGAGGTCTGTGTCTTCGTAGGAATTAATAATAATATTCCTCAAAGCCTCACAGAGATTTTCCGATAGGATTTCGAGGTCAATTCGAACCAATCCCGAGATATGCCTCTGTTGCATCCAAGTACGACGGAGCACGATTTTATAGTCCTTGCATGTCGATATCTTCTTAGGATTGTTCGTTTCATTTCGCCGAAAATGCTTAGTAGGGATGATTTCCACTGCCCAACCGCTGGGGCCTTCAATCTGATGTTCGGTAACATCTACGAAGACTGTTGGATGGGCTGACTTGGGTTTCTGATACTCTATAGCATGTATCGGGTCTTCCGACCGGATTTGTATCGGTATCTTTAAACTCAAAGTCAGCGACTCTCTATCCACGCTTTGTCTGTGAGGTCAGGAGGAATATAATCATACCGGAGCATCTTCAGGGGCATCGAACAGATCCGGTAGAACGGACTGGTACAGTTTGAGTGACATTTACCCAGTAGGGGATGACTATCAATTGGATTGGGCTTTGGTGGAAAAGACGGCTTCGAGACAGCTTGACAGTGGTCGTGGAGTTTGGCGAAGTTGAGATACAGGCATGAATGTGGAGTCTCAAACACACAGTTAATTCGGGTGGATATGTTGCAGGGGTTATTAAGGCTAAAAAGAAAGGATTAAATGATCACTTTGTTTACTTGTTGCTCGGGGTGACGCAAGCCGGCTGTGTCTGGCAAGGCTGGACGCATGATGTGTAGGTTGGGCATTATTTCTGCACTTGTGGCAATGCACATTTAGAGGCCTCCAGCCCCGCTCACAGAAAGAAAACAAGTCAAACAGAAGATGAAGGTGTCAGGGTGGTTGACTTGGAAAGACGACGTCCAATAATCAGAGCTCAAAAACAGAGTCAGCCGCCATTAATGCAGGATGAATGCACCTCTCCGCAAGGTTGAAACTCGAATGCCCAATGACAATTTCAACTCATCAATTTGCCTTACGCAATGCAGGGCTAAATGCGCCCTGCACTACGGCATATGCTGCAGAATCGGGCTGAGAGCCCAGCATGTGACTACCTCCGTTCGATAGGGAGTAGGATGTCTCCAGTAGGCTTTAAGTGCTAATTGAATTACATAAAGATAGAAAAGACCCACGTTACCCCCGAAGGATGGTTACCAGAGAGGTGGTAAAAGAGTTCCAGACAATATTCAGACCTACCGACCCAAATTACCTACATCTGGTGTTGAATCAGTTGGGACCCGTTCTCGGCCAAATCAACTCGCCCACCAAATCTTGGCCATATCTCCCTTGATCAAAATTCGACTTGGGGACGATCTTATCAGAAGATTACCCATGGTTCCCCATCTTCCTCTACCCGCCACAGCGAAAACACCAACAGAATGGTTCGGCATTCGGAAGCGGATGCACAGAGCCGGCAACTCGAAGCCCCCAACAGATTCCCTTCCCAAGGGTAGTAGTGGCTTACCCCAGTCTGAGCATAAGCCTCTCAGATTGATTGAGGAGTCCGAGGTTCTCAAGAATGTGCACATGTACAAACACTACAGCGATCCATCCATCGCGCCTGGAATTGAAGTTACCAACCTGCCAAATCAGGATGACGTCACGCAGTATAGAGTCAGTGAAGAGGCTCAGGGACAGTTGTGGGCAGCAGAGGTCTCTCGCCTTGTCAAGGTCGTCACAACTGACACGGCATTGGAGTTCAAAGGATCCAAGGACTTGGCCGTCGACTCGAAGAAATCGTACGAGATTCTTACCTTGCTAGCAGACCAAGTCTGGCAAGCGATCCACATAACAATTTATGACGGCGAGAGCATCCTCGCGTGCCACCCGGGAGATCTATGCCTCGTCGAAACATTGAATCACAGTCGGGAGGTCCTAGGCCACCTCTGGGACAAAGAGGACGCTGACGGCGAAACCACTGACGGAGTGACACCACGATACATCCGCGAGGATTTGTTCAATTTTATTGACTACTGCACGGCGGTAATAGCACGAATCCTATGTTCTGTAGCTGATGGCCAGCACTTCTACGTTCATGTTCTCGCACACCTGGCCAAGATCACTGCCAAGATCAAGGTCGTATCAGTCAAGCCTCAGGAGTCCTTACGTACCTCAATTAAAAACAGTGTATCCAACGGCATGATTCAGATGCCAGATCAGGTCGGTTTTCGTGAGCAACAGGCGAGAAATTCGACGATGGGACAAAAAAGAGGCGCCGGAGGATCTCCAAACCGCGAGATAAACATGCACCTCTCCTTGGGGGGTCGACGAGCAATGCATGATGAGGATCCGATCCTGCCGGATATTTACAGCAAAAGAGATATACTGAAGCGTCACTACTCTTTGGAGTGTGCCTGCTACCGGCGCTGCATCCTTCATATCTTTGACTACTTAGTCCTCACACTGCGCGGAAAAAGCCGATTGATGAGGATCTCAATGACATCATACGAGATGTGCGCTATGGTATATGACACTGGCTTCGAGCGATTTCGTGCACTAGTCTTCCAAGGTGGTGCAAACAACATTGAGGGTACCTCGGATGCGTTGAAAGTCAACTACGCCCGGAGCGCGTTCAACGTTCTTAACCAAGCCATCATCCATGTATCCGACCCAGTCGAGGCAGAATCCTTTCAAAAACTAAATCCAATTGCTGCTATTGACGACTCGGCCAACTCGGAAAATACTGAACCTGGCGGCTCCGAGGATGAGAGCGTGGGGACTCAATTTTCCTGGAATTACGCCCCCGACGAAGATGGCTCAGTCGGCCTCCAGGTGCCTAAATGCATCATGCTCAAGTCAATGAGCCACGTTATTACCTTGATGATACCACTAATCAATGGTAGTCCGGGAGCATTGAACTGCGTATCTGATTTTATCGTCGCGTTGTCAACGTCAACCGTCATCAATGCCGACATGTGGAAGGGCCCCGTCATGCCTCGGGAATACAGCAAGTACACGGCCAGCTTCTGCCTAACCACGGCTAAATATAATAAAACGCAGCGTGCCTGCAGGCCAGGCGACCCTACCTCACTCTCAAATGCATTGATGCGGCGAAATAATCTCCTGTCGGGCAGGCACGTCACCGATATTGGTCGCGCAGCTAGTATCGCGCCAAATCTAAGTGGAGATACACAGGGGAAGTCGTACGAAGATGAGTTGACCTTGAAGCGCATCCGGCTACACCAAAACGAGCTTCATTGTGTAACAAACAAAATGAATGCCTGGGTCTTGGAGGAAAATGGCGTTATGGTACGGTGCAAGCTTTATGTGTGGACTCTCATCCTGCTCTGTTCTCTTCTTGTTGGGGGCGGCGTTTCTGTTGGCGTGTCAGTCGGGGAACGCATTGTCGCTGTAGACCCCTTCAATATCACAACTTATTGCTGGGTGCTCGCCGCATTCCTGCTACTTGTTGCCAAGAACATCCGAGTTCAAAGTTGGGCATGGATCGATTTTCTTCACGGTCGAGTTCTTTGCAAGAGCGTGTCGGAGTTGTCATCCGTGGCTGGCGTCAAGGAGCAGCTCATCCTCGCCAAACTTCTACAGGATGAGTCTATCTCATTTCTCGATACACGCGGACCATACAACACGGTATTTCGCAGAAAGTCCAAGGACGGGTTCTCCATCGATAGACCTCTCAGCGTATGGACAATGCTGATAAGCGGACTGATCATGATCGAGGTGGAATCTGCGAATGGGCGTGGGCTCGTGTGCCTCGATCTTCGAAGGGGAACAAATCATGAGTTGATCGTCAGCCTTGATGAACATGAATCAATAGGCGAAACTGACACTATTTATTGCGATCGCTTGTCAGATAGTAAGGATCGAGGGGACCCCAACCGAGTCAGGCTGAAGGTAGGGCAGGGTATCACTTGGACGCGGATACTCGGGCTTTACGGAAACCAGCACGCCGAGTTTATCTAGCTGGACATTGTTCTCTTGCTTTTGCCTAAACAATTGTATTCGTCTCGTAATACTTCCTGCACTTGACTAATAGCTGCGATCGCTGCGTGGAATAAATGGAGCATGCAGCTAACTATCACGTCACTCCACCATTTTGCTTTGATCCGCTTCTAAAAAAGCAAAACCGCGACTTACACGCGCGCAAAAACTAGTAAGAACCCACCAAGCATGGCAACCCCGAAACCTCTATACGCGAGAAAGCTCCCGTCCTGCCAAGATGAAAAACAACCCAGCGAAAACATAAGCGCCGACTGCAACGAGCGGATCCGACGTCGTCAGCGCGTCCTTCCCCACCTTCGGTTAGGTTGCATCGGAGCACCAAGGTGCATACGGGTGGGATGATGGATGACGAGACCACCCCTGAATCGCAAAGAGATAGCCGAGAGACAACTCTCCAGAAAACGCCCGCGGAAAAGATCAAGGTGCTCCTTTGCCCTGTTCAACTTATCGTCAGAGAAGCTAACTGCACGCTCCACGTGGCTATCTCGGATGAAAGCTGCCGCCAAGTAACCCAACCCCCACGTGGGCCGCCGCCTCAGACGATCTCACCAGAGCAGAGCGCCGCGACGGACGCTATTGAGCTCCGGCGCGTGTTTTACTTGCCTTGTCTGCTGCTCAGCTTTCCCCTTTTAAGCTCCCTTCCCGTGTTTAAACGCGCTTGCTACTCTGGCGAGCTCATCGACAAACGAGCAGGCGAGCCCCGCGGATGTCAGAAACACCAGAAACACCATGAGCACGGCCAACAGCAACGTCGAGCTCCTCGCGGCGCTGGTGGACCTGGACGACGCCGACGCCGGCGAGTACCGCTTCCTCGTCGACGGCCGGCACGTCAAGTACGTGACGGTCGAGCCGGGCGCGCTGCCCAAGGACGACCGGACGTTTGCGCCCGTCCTCATCCCGCTGCTGCCGGCGTTCCCCGCGGGCGACTGGAACGAGGGCCGCGTGCGCAAGGATGAGCGCACGGGGAAGCTGGCCTTCGCCAATCTCGACAAGAGCCGGCTCCCGGGCATCGGGAACGTGTGGCACGGCACCAAGGTCGACCACCTGGAGCTCAAGAAGGTCGCCGGCGTGCGCCAGACGCTGCACCGAGTCACGCACCCGCGCTTCGACCGGCCCATGCTGGCCAAGTTCGCCCAGTTCCCGTGGGAGATTCCCTACTTCGCCGCCGAGACCACGTCGTACGAGTGGATCCACAACCGGGGCGTCGGCCCCGAGTTCCTCGGCCACATCCACGAGGACGGCCGCGTCATCGGCTTCCTGCTCGAGGAGATCCCCGGCGTGCGGACGGCCGAGCCCGGCGACCTGGCCGCGTGCCAGCGCAGCCTGGAGCGGCTGCACGCGCTGGAGATTAAGCACTGCGACATCAACAAGCACAACTTCCTGATCCGCGAGGACAACGAGGCCGTGCTGATCGACTTTGAGACGGCGCAAAAGTGCGCAGACGTAGAGCAGCTCGACGCCGAGTATCAGAGCCTCCAGGAGTCGCTGGCGGATACATCGGGGAGGGGAGGGGCCGGGATGGCGAGTGATTCAAGTTCGGACTGACAGAGCGGCTTAGCTTTAGGTACGGACGGACTGGCAGCAGAGGACAAGCATACTAGGAACCACGGCACTAAATACCATCAAAGACGGGGAAGTCTTTCGGTTTCAATATACTCATTCGGCTTTAGGGACTTCATTGAATGGATTGTTTCAATGCAGCAAATGTCTTTGTTGAGGTGAAGACCTTTGTTGTAAGACTCATCTCGCTATGTAAGACGCTAAACTGTAAGTGAGTGAGCATCCTTTGTCATTCACCAACGTCACGATGAACTCATACATCACACAAGCAAGCAAACGGACAATGATTGAGATATGGACGAGTTTTCCTATCTTCTATGCACAAACGTGGTATCTCCTGCTCTCGTCATACCGATCCAAGGACGGTTGATCTCATAGTCTATGTAAAATTCCACAGCCCAACGCCGAATGCACCCTTAAAAAGACACAAAATGTACAAAAATAGAACGGCTCTCCTCGCATCTATGCAATCTGCTGCACAAACTGGGGGCCGAACTGGGGCTCGCCAAACTTGGAGGCGACAATTGTGGCAATGGGAGTCTCGCCCAGCTTGCCGTTCTCTCCAATGTCGAGGGCGACAAGGCCGAACTCGCCGTCCTGGTTGGCGGAGAAGACGGTCTCGGCGTCGTTGCTCAGGCTGAACATTCGGGGGAGGATGCCGCCGGAGGAGACGGTGTCGGCGTACTCGAGGGAGACGGCGCCGCACTTGGTGCGCTTGACCTTGAAGTGGGCGATGGAGTCGGTGTCGTTGCCCGTCAGGCGGTTGGAGATGTAGACGTCCTGGTTGTTGGGCGTGATCTGGATCTCGCCCGCGGCCGCCGAGGTGGCGTTGGCTGGGGGAGCGTCGGCGCCAAAGGTGGACAGGGTCTGGGTCTTGCTGAAGCGCAGTCCCTCGGTGGTGTACTTGACCTGGTAGACGAGGACCTGGCTGGTGATCTCGCAGACGACAATGTAGTGAGTAGCGCTGTCGCCGCCCTGGGGGTAGAAGACGCCGTGGCGGGGACCGCAGCCGGCGGGCTCGACCTTGACGTACTTGGCGTCGTACTTGTTCTCCGAGTCAAGGACGACGATGTCGTCGGTGCCGAGGTCGTTGACGGCGAAGTAGCGGCCGGAGGGGTCGAGGAGGGCCTGGTGAGGGTGGGCGCTGGTCTGGCGCAGCTTGTTGGGGCCAAGGTCGCCCGCGGACTCGATCGTCTTGACGAGCTCGAGGCCGCCGTTCTCAATGTTCCAGACATCAATAGTGCCGTTGCCGTAGGCGGAGCCAACCATGCGAGTCTTGTCCTTGTTAAACTCGAGGTGGACGACGCCCGAGCTGCCGTTCTGGCCGGCCTTCAACTCGAGCTTGTTGTTCTCCAGGTCGAGCTCGTAGTAGTAGATGGCGGACGAGAACTCGTCGACGGCATAGAGGCGGTTGGGAGGGATAAAGGCCATCCAGGAAGGGTCGCCAATGGACTCCTCCTCCAGGGTCATGGTGAACTTCTTGGCCGCGGGCTGGTAGTCGGCGATGTAGATGTGGCCGTTGTTGCCCATGAGGACGCGGGCGGTGGTTGCGGAGGAGTCCGCGGCGCGGCGGTAGCTAGGGAGGGCTGAAGCAGCAGCGGCGAGGGCCGTGAGGCCAAGGGCGGAAAACTTCATGGTTGTGTCTGTTGTGAATTGATGGTTGTGGTGGTGTTGTTGAGGGTGGACTCAAGTAGGCGGAAGGGAAGGGAGGGAAATAGTCGAGAGTAAATGTCTGACAGAAATGAAACCTAACCGGAAATCCTAAGTAGAAATAGTCCGAGTGAATTGGCTCAAGGGAGTAGTAAGAAGTGATCTGATGAGGCAGTGAGACCAAACTGAGGAAAGAAGTAATATATAAGCGTCGCGCCAAAAGCTGATTCAAGGCTGGGGTGAATCACGAACAAGGCCCCCTAGTCACGCGGAGGCTGAACAGCGGATTGTGCTCACGGCAAAAGAGGCTCCAGTTCGGGGACTGATTGGAACATGGGATGACCAAAATAAAACAGCCCCCTGTCTTAGGGGTCGGGGAAGGGCGGGCGAGGGAAGTGCCAATCCTTTTCGGGGACGGCATTACATGCATGTTCCGGAGGCGCAGGCTCAGGGCCAGCCAGTCCGCTTGCTCGGGCTTGGACCCAAAGGGCGGAGTAAAAAGGAAACCCTGGAACGAGAGAGAGAGCCAAAGGCGGGCCGAAAATAAAGAAAACTACAAACAAAGCCAAGCCATGCAGGCTGACTGCCGTCTCACTCTTGGCCCCCAGGCACAAACGCCAGTGGGCGGGCTGTGCTACATCCAGTCGCGGGCACAGTGGCATCGCATTGTGGCATCCAATCTCATCGCATCGGGGACCATTTTGGCGCTGGCATGGGGCCCAGTCAAGTTTATTAGGGGCTGACCAAGAAAAAAAAGCCAATGCTCCAGAGAGAAAAAAGACACAGCTGGGCCACGGGAACCAGCAGTCCGAGGCCCAGTGCGAGGAGAAGCCCGCTGACGGAATGATGCAGGGGCGCGGTTGAGGCGCTGTCGGTACGCGAGAGGGAGGGGGAGAGGGAGAAGAAACGAAACAGATGAAAAAAAGTGCAATGGTTTCACTCAGAGGCAAACGCCATCGTCTCGTCCAGTTGATAGGTTAGCTCGCGCCGCACAGGAATCCAGGCTTGCCTCCGTCTGAAGCTGAGGCTCTGAGGCTGAACGAATGCCAGCTTAAGGTTTCCTCTCCCTCCCGCCGCCTCCGAACGCGAGCCTCTCACTGGCCTCCTCGACCAACCCCTGTGGCGCTGCGGGGACCCAGCCTTACAGGGGGCTGCCCGGCGCTTCTTAGCCAGTCGCGGGGCTGCTGTGGGGGAGAAGGGAGCGGCCCCCAGCGTTTTTTTTCGTTTCCAGGGGCGGCTTGTAGGCTCCGGGTTGTTTGAACGGCCGGGGGGAGGCTTTTGGATCGACACATTCAAGCGCTGGATTGGAGGGGATTGGATCCCCGTGACATCTCTCCCGCATGGACCGCCTATATTGTGAGGCCTTTTTTAGGGTTTTAAGGTTGTTGGGGGGACACAAACGGGGAGAAAAGCCGCATCGTTCGAGCCCCGTGGCCTGGGTTTTGGTTTTGCCGCTCACCACTGCGGGACTCATCAGTTGGTCAGGATGAGTCGGAAACGCACTCTCGTCAAATCTCCGTCACTCTAACTTATTACGCCTTGCTGCCGTTGGTGATGACTCTTTCCCGTTCGATGCCCCCGTCCGTCCGTCCGTCCTCCCGACCCAGGACCAGGCGGCTCGCCCGGAAAGTCTATGTCAAACAGGACGGACGATCCTCATGGAGCGCGGGTCCTGTGATTAGCCCAGGTGCGGAGTGACTGCTCCTTCAGGCTGCTCACGTTAGTCGAAACATGGGATCTGATCCCCGACGCCCGAGGAAATCAATCAGGGCCGCACCGATATGCCGCTCGTCATTAGCCGCTGTCAAGCGGCTCTGGGGTTGTGGGGCTTCGGCAAACGGCTGCGGCCGGCTCTATTCACCGTACACCACCACTGGCGGGTGAGAGAGGAGGTTGTGGTTCATGGAGATGGACTCACTCTCAGGTTTGCGTTGGGAAACGAAAGGCGTTGAATTCATCTTTGATCAAATGCATGTTTTTAAACAATTTCGTCTACCATGCTCTATGGCGGGAATAATGCAAACCAACAGGCAACCATCAGGCATCCACGGCCATCCCAGCAAACCACCGACAACAGCAAATCACTAACAACAGCAAATCACTAACAACAGCAGATACACTCACGATATCAACCCAACTGTAGTTCATCACTCATCCGCAATTCTAGACTCCGTGTACTTGAGACAACCCGACCTCAGTGCTTCATCCTCTCTGACCCTGTCCTCTAACCACCAACCGTGAATCCTAACATCTACTCATCATGCTGGCCACCCTCCTCGCCATGGAGCCCCCCATCGCCACGGACTCCCCCATCACCACCAACTTCGCCCTCCCCTTCAGCATCCCGCCCACCGACACCAACCACACCCACACCGTCGTCTTCCTCCACGGCCGCGGCGACACGCCCCGCAGCTTCGCCTCTTCGCTGCACTCCTCGCCCGACGCCGAGGGCCGCTCCCTCGTCGAGGCCTTCCCCTCGCTGAAATGGGTCTTCCCTGAGCCCGGCACGCAGATGAACCAGTGGTTCGACATCTGGAACGTCCGCGACTTCACCGAGCGCGAGCACGTCCAGGCGCCCGGGCTGCGCGCCAGCGTCTACGGCATCCGCGGCATCATCGAGCAGGAGGCGGCCGAGCTGGGCGGTCGCTGTGATCGCATCGTGCTGGCGGGCTTCAGCCAGGGCTCCGCCACGGCCGTCCACACGCTGCTCAACCTGGACGTCCCGTCGATGCCCGCCGCCGACGATGCCCTCCCGCGCCGCCTCGCCGCGTTCCTCAGCTTCTCGGCCAGGATGCCCTTCTCCGGCCGCAACCTCGCCGGCACCCGCGCAATCCTCCGTCTCGACGACGTACCCACCGACGCCGACGTGCTGTGCAACACGCCCATGCTGCTAGAGCACTGCGCCGACGATCCGCTCGTGCTGGTGCGCCACGGCCGGATTCTGCGTGACACGCTGAAAGGCTTCGGCGCCAACGTCGCATGGCGCGAGTACCCCGACGGCGGACACTGGTTCAACTCGCCGAAGGGGATGGAGGAGGCGGCCGCGTTTTTGGAAAAGGTGCTGGGAATCCAGCGGGCGGCCGCTGCGTCGTCTGACGCTGAGTCGTCTGAAGCTGCGCCCTCTGAAGCTGCGTCCTCTGAAGCTGCGTCCTCTGAAGCTGCGTCCTCTGAAGCTGCGTCCTCTGAAGCTGCGTCGTCTGGAGCTGCGTCACCTAAAGCTGCATCTTCTGAAGCTAGATCACCTGAAGCTACATCGCCTGAAGCTGCATCGCCTAAAGCTGCGTCGTCTGAAGCTGCATCGCCTGAAGCTACATCGCCTGAGTCAGCGACCATGAAGGGCTCGCCAGATGCACTGGATCTCGATTAGTTCACCCACATGTCAGCAGTTGCGAGGTTACTTTCTCGTATAAGTCAGATTTGCTAGCGTCTTACGGAAGCGAAATCAGCTATAATCGACGTCAGACGCCATGGATTGTAATCCCGGATGAGCAATGATTCAAATAAGACCTATTGCCTTGGCAGCCCGGAGTTGGCAAGACACTGCATTGTGGCATTTTAAGAGAATTGAGACATGATGAATATGGTTAAATCCAATCTGATATTCACATGGGTAGTCTAACTAGAATTGTGTTGCTATAAAAGAAATCTATCGCTCAAATAATTCCCTTTGCTCCCGTCTCCCATTGCATTATATGCTAAAGCAAAAGGCACTCACAAATCAGTCAACCCCCCAAAGTATAAGAGGTCCCGTCATCAGAGTATCATTGATGTTACAAGTATCGCAGCCAGGAAAACCTGCTACCAGGTGATGGAGACAGCCTTGCCGTTGTACTGAGGGTTCTCACCAGCCAGGAGGTTCTCATACATCCAGCGGCCGACATCCTCGCGGGAGATGGTGTAGCCAACCTCCTTCTTCTCGACACCTTTTTGGAGATCCTCGACGCCAACGCGGATCTTGCGGTCGGGCTTGCCGCCGTCGACGAGGAAGCTGGGGCGGACGGCGACCCACCGCTCGGGCGACTCGAGCAGGCGCTCCTCCATGACCTTCTTGTCGGCGTGGGGCACGGAGAGGCCGTAGTGGTAGAAGGGGAGAAAGGCCAACGGGACGTCGCGGGCGTGCTTGGAGATGCCGGTGGTGCTGATGACGGCGAGCAGCGGGTTGCCCTGGGCGCCGGCGAGGCGGAGCTTGTTGAGGGCCTCGAGCAGGGTGGCGATGCCCTTCTTGCAGACGTCCGGGTCGTCAATGGTGAAGTTCTTGGGGTTGAACAGGCCGCCGATGGTGAAGCTGATGGAGTCGACGAGGCGGGAGGGGTCGGCCGGGTGGGTCAGGCAGGCGGCGACGGAGTCGGCGTCGTGGGCGTTGCCCTGGCGGATGTGGAGGTTGGCGGGGCGGTTGGGGAAGAGGGCCTCGACCTTGGAGGGCGTGCGGCAGAGGGCGATGCAAGTGTGGCCAGCGGCGACGGCGAGCTTGAGAGATGCGAGGCCGCAGCCACCGGAGCCGCCAAGAAAGGCGATGGTCTGGTTGGAGAGAGTGGCAGACATTTTGATATGTGGTAGATGGATGGATGTAGATGGGTGTAAGTGGGGCTGGTGGTGTTGAAGCTGTAGTAGCTTTGAGAGTCTTGCTTGTGGTAGTGGTTGTGTGAGGTAGAGTGTGGTGAACTGAAGATGTTGGTTGTGATGTTCCGAATTCAGTTCGAGACCGGGAGATGCTCCTGTATTTATCTCAGATGCATGATGCCAACATCTGAATCCTTCCTTCCGCCTTGAAACGGGAGCTTGGAAATCTGTGTTGCGGAGGAGGTTCTGCCGATCGGAGCTCCACACGGAGGTACGAGGGACAAGTTACTGTTGGCAGCAACGTGGAAGTGGGAACTCTAACAGGGCGTCTGTACCCGGCCCAGGAGTCGTTCCGAGTGGAGAGCCCATGCAACCACACGAACCAATCGCGCTCTCTCAAAAACGCCACTCGCGCCTTCGGCCTCGTCCCTCGCGCATCCCAAACCGCAAGTCGCGGGGTGCGCCACGCGAATCTCGCTGCACTCACTGCACTCATCGCCTGCAGGGTGCGAATGCGACGCCCGCGCCGTGATGGGGGCCGTGCCTCTGAGCCACAGGGCGTCATTGCGCCTGCCACCTCCGCTGGCATCGTGCCGCCAGCCAACCACGCCACAGGCACTGCCCTGCCAGCGCCACATCTGGATAGTAACCTGGCGGCAAGTTGGGTGGTGGAATTCGGCATTGACTGGGCGTCAGGATTAAAGAACCAACAGAAGCAGCGCATTACAGTACTGTTGGGTGAAATCCCCATGATATTTGTCCTGTAATAGAATCCTTCAACTTAGGATCGTCTCGTCTCGTCATCTCCGTTTCAGCCGTTGCAGCCCAACATGGTACTATAGAGTCGCAGAGCCAACCCCCGCAAGCTGCAATGCTCCTCTATGATGCTTCTGTGATGCTGCTCTGGAATGCCTCTTTGGGAAATCCAGATGACGACTGCGAGCCATCCGCCACCCACATCAATCCTCCATATCACCACCTTTACCAACGCCTCTCTGGCAGGCTAAACGGGAGTTGCATTGGCTGTTTCAGTACTTGAAAGTGGCCAATGAGCCGGAACACTATAGTTTACTCGCACATCTCCCACTGCCCTTATTCGATACTAGACTTATACGGACTCATACACACAACACCAAACTGAAACGTCCCAGCCGCCTCAACCATCACAATCACAATCACAATCACACTCTACTCAATCTTGGTCCCCAACATTCTCCTCAGCTCCGCCTCGCCCCTCTCCCAATCCGCCTCCACGCCCTTCGCCCTCCCCTCCCGCACCTTCATCTCGACCACCAGCCCCTCGCGCGGCTTCATCATCAACCCGCCGTCAAAGCCCTCCTCGACGCTCAGGTCCGTCCCCGCGGGCACGGCCATGTCCAGCGCCCACACGACCTTGGCCATGATGGTCAGCAGCGCCTGCATCGTGTACTGCTCCCCGAGGCACTTGCGGCGGCCGGCGCCAAACACCCACGTGCTCCGCTGCAGCTCGTCGTTCTGCGCCGCGGCGTCCAGGTATCGCGACGGGTCGAACGTGTCTGGATCCCGGTGGATGGCCGGGTCGTGAAGCAGCCCGTACGCGTTGACGACGACATTGGTGCCCCGTGGGATCACGTACCCCTTGTAAGTGTCGTCCGACTCGGTAACGTGCGGAAGCCCTAGCGGAGTCGAAGGTCTCCATCGCAGCATCTACACCAAGCATACGCAATGCGCCTCGTCAGCCTCTTGCTCTTCCCCACAAGTGTTATCAGTTCCACCACAACCCCCTGAGAAGTCGAAACTCAACTCAACGCAACTCAACCACACAAGTCAAAGTCAAAAGATTGCTCACTCACCTCCAGCATACACGCTTTCAAATACGGCAACCTAGCCACGTCCTCTCCGTTGGGCATCTTCCCCTGACACACCACTTCTATCTCATCGCGGGCCTTCGCCAACACCTCCGGGTGTCCGGCCATGGCCACGACAAAGTTCAACACGGCCGCACTCGACGTATCAAATGCCGCGTCCAGCAGCCCGCCCGCCAGCCACTTCACCTCCGTCTCCGGCATCTCCTCGTCCATCAGCCGCTCCATGACGCACACGTACTCACCAGCCGGCCCGCCCTCGCGTCGCCGCTCCCGCGCCGCCTTGGCTCTGGTCACCATCTCGCCGTAGAAGCCCTCCTGGTGCTCCCGCACAAACTTGGCGTCCCGCTTCCACTTGGCCCACCGAGCCGGCACCCACCGCAGGGGCACGATGAAGTCGACCGGCGGCGTCTTGCCCGGCTCCAGGAGACCCGTCAGCAGCTTCTGTCGGTAAAAGTACGTCCGGAGCAGCTCCGGACTCACATCGGCCTGCCCGCTCAACGCAACCAGCGGTGTGCTCAACGCCCACACCCGCAGGTGTTCCAGGAAGTCTCCTGGTCGGTCCACGAGGCTCTTGACACAGCGTGAACTCATGGAATCGATGATGGGTCCCAGGCTGTCGATGCCCTGCTGGCTGAGGAACCACCTCGCCGGCCGCTTCCATCGCTTAAGCAACCGGTCGTTGCGCTGGAACAGAAGGATCTGCCCCATCTCCGGATCAAACACATGGTTGAGGGCGATGTAGTTATACGGCCGTCCCGCATACAAGTGTCCGCGCCGGTCGTACAGCTCGTGGATATCCTCGGGGTCCTGCAGCACGATGAGGTTAAGCGGACCGGCCTTGAGCCCGATGATGGGCCCGTACTGCTTCGTCCACTCCGCAAAGGTCACGTACGACTTTACCAGCGGGATGGACGCGAGGTTGCCCAGGAACGGCACCCCGCGCGGACCCGGGGGAAAGTTCTTTGGTCGGCTGGTTGCGACGTGGGCCTGGACGATCAGAAAGACGACCAGAAGCAGGCATACGGCGAGAGCGGCCCGAGACCACGTCAGGGACAAATCCGGGTCCAAGGCCGAGGACATATTGTGCAACGGCTGCTTGCTCGACATAATGATATAAGAGCAGTAGTGTCCCGAAGCAAGCAGGAACAAAGACAAAGGAAGAGAAATCCGATGTCTGATGGGAGTGAGGGAGACCAAGCAATATCCCAAATGGAAAAACAAGGCGGGGACGGACTTCCTATCCCTTTGTTTGCTGATATACTATACCCACCCTCGCAACGCCATCCGACCCGGCTTGCCTTCATGCCAAGAAGGTCGTGGATGCCCAGTTTGCCTCGAGCACCCAGTCACGACAAGCCAAAACCTCAGCCTGCACTCGCGACTGGCCAGCCCGTGCCGTCTCACACCGTCTCAGACGCCGCACGACACACCTTGTATCATGCCGGGCGACGAAGCTCCGCCGATGTAGCCGCTCACCCCGATATATCGGTCGTCGATTCGTCCGCCCTCAGCACATCTCGGCTCCCGGCGACGACCACCCAGAACACGATCTCGCATCACATCGACACAGCCCCAATACAAGTACGACGTTGATCCTGTCAGATCATCCAGCGTTGCCCAATGCATTTCCCCCATCCGCGGTCCGAGCCCATTCCCGTCCTGCGGGGGAAACCCAGAACCGCTCTGAATAAGGCCCCCACGTCTATTGACGACTGAATCGGGAAACCCGCCTCGGACTTTTGGGATGCATCCAACCCTCCCGCCCACCACTAATCTTAATCTCAGGTAGGATACTTGTTCCCTCGCACCTCGGAATACGAACTACATGGCACAATTGTAACGCCTGCGTCCTAGGCCGGCCTCCGGCGTCGGGACAAGCGTCATCTCTTCCATCCACGTCTGTTCCACAAGGGCGTTTTGGAATCATCCCGACATAGAGCCACCAACTATCCCTCACAGCCAATCGGCGCAAAGCTATTGTCTCACTTGGGCAAATAATGAACACGGCGCGGACTCGTTGTAGAACATAAAGGAATTTTCTTCTCTGGTTATCGTTCTTCCAAACAATACTGCCTCCTTCCAAAAAGAATACCAAATAATTCAAAGGGAACCAGGTAAGTCCTCCAATCAAAATCTACACCTTGGTTCGACAAATCCAGGTCTAGGGAATGGACGGCCTTCAGGCCATTACCTCCACTCTCTGTGTACGTGTTTTGCATCCCCTTCCTTCTGTTACCCGAAATCCCGGGCCAGTTCGCCTTATTTCCCCCAATTGCAAAAGAAAATATAGTCACAGGAAAAAGATGACATTACATACAAGGAATCAGACACGCCGGTCCGAGAGCCTCCTCATCAGAATGCAAAACCCGCAATGAATGCTATATAACACCAAAGGACGATCAGAAAAGGGCCGCGTGGCGACGAGCATGAACACGGGCACCCGAAACGCCACACAACGCCTTTACGCTCAGCTCAGGCAAGCTATAGCCAGTACAGAGCGCAGCCGGCAATGATGATAGCCAGAGCGCTAGCGCTAGTACGCGAACCTTCGCTCTTACCATTGCCACTGCCGGCACTGTCGGAACTGGAAGCGTCCTTGCTGCTGCCACACTCCTGGTTGAAGCTGGAGGTGTCGCAGTTGGAGGTATCGGCCTGTTGGGAGTTTGTGCTTGAGTCGGAGCTCGAGGAGTCGGAGCTGGAGTCACCAGAAGTTGAGTCAGAGCTCGAGCTATCATCAGAGCTGTGGTCATCGCCCGACGAGCCGTTACTGCCACCACCAGGAATGGTACCAACATCGGTCTCTGACGCAGAGGCGGACGCGGAGGCGGCTGTCTTGGTAGACTTGGATCCGGAAGAACTCTTGGAGGCCTTCTTCTTGCCCTTGTCCATGTCGGTGCCGGTGCCCTGGAGCGAGGCGAGGATGGTGTCCTTGTCGCTGTCGACGACGGTGTCGTTGGTGCCACGGATGTTGTTGTAGTAGTAGCTCTTGTTGAGGTTGGTACCAGGGGGGGTTTTGGCGTTGTAGCACTCAATGTCGACCTCGGCGACAGTGGCGAAGAAGTAACCGTAGTTCTTGATGTCTGAGTGATCCCAGTTAATTTCACCACCAGCCCAGTCGATCGTACCCTTGGCGTTGCTGGCTAGACCACCGGGCCAGAGCGACAGTTGGACACGGGCAGGGGTCTGGGGATACTCGAAGTTCTGCGAGGTCGCGTTCCAGGTATCAGCCTTCTTGGTGGTGCGGCCAACCTTGCCGTCAATGAGCCACTCGATCTGATCGGGAGTCCAGCGGACTTCGTACTCGTGAAAGTTGTCGAAGGTATCAGAGACACTGATGTTAGCCGAGTTCTCGTAGTTGGTGATACCCTGGAAGTAGTAGTTGGTCTGTGCGGTTTCAAGATCGACACCGACGAACTCGTAATCGATCTCATCCTTGACATCGGAGAACAGGATGAAGGCAGTGACGACACCGGGGCCGCGGCTGCTCTTAAACTTGGCCTTGACGTTGCCGTACCACATGTAGACGGTGGACGACAAAACGGTGCCGACACTGTCCTTGGGCATGGTCAGGAGGAGGTTGTTGTTGAAAATAAGGGGCTCGCCTTGGGCGACCCAGTCGGCCTTGGAGGGGTCACCCAGGTAGTCACCAATGTCGGCCACGCGATCGAGCGAGTTCATCTTCATCGAGCGGTCCTGGCAGACGGGAGCGGGGACACAGGAGTCGAGGGAGAAGGAGGACTTGGGGTCGCAGCCACCGAGGCAGTAAGCGCCAACACCGCACTCACCATAGGCTAAGAAGAGTGTTAGACATTGATCATCCATAGTCGCTTGTCTGCGACGCATTGGGGCTTGGGCCGGGTGAACATACTGGAGCAGCAGGGGGCAGACTCGGGGCACTGAGAGCTGGTGGAACACTCGGTAGCCAGGACGGAACCGGCGCCGACGAGGGCGGCGAGAGCAAGTGATCGCAACATTATGAATACGTTTCGAGTGACGTATCCTCGAAATCAAAAATTAAATGCCGGGTTGAAGGGGCAAAATGGGATGATAATGCGATAAGTTGACAACGGGAGTGTCGAGATGAAACCCAAACAGTCCAGGTTTGGGTGGTCGATTAGGCAACAGGTATCGAGTATTAGAGTAAGTTTGCGAGAGACAGAGCCTTGGGCGGTAGTTGCGCGTGCGAAACCCAAGCAAGCGAATGAACTTGAGGTGGTCGCGATGTCGTGTGAGGTGATGCCGAGAGGACGGGAAAGTCGTCGGGCAGTCGCAAGAGCGAGGGAGAAGAAAAAACAGATCAACAAACAACCAGAAGGAGCCAAGACAAGGCACCGCGTGGAGGTGAGTCGTTTCTGTTTACTTTGACGGACGGGTCGGGTTGGGGAAAGCTGGAATGCGGGCCTTCGAGACGATGAAAAACGGCGGCGCGTCGATTGGTGATTCGAGAGTCCAGATAAGCCACGCGATTAAGACGTAGACCCTGTGTTCCGGTGAACAACTTCAGGTGGCACGGGCAAATTAATAAAAATCAACCGTGGAAAGAAGAAGGACTCGAGTCGGTCGATGTCGGTCGGGAGAGTGAAGTCGGTGGTTGAGTAATGGGCGAGAGCGAGCGTGGTGGTGTGGGCATGAGCGGTTTCCCCTGTCGAACGATTTCCCTTTCTCTGAGCGAGCCGAGGAGGGAATTCCGCGTGGACGGGTGTGCCAATAATAATATAAAAAAAGATATTACTACTAAGAACCAAACAATGCAGGACCAAGAATAACGACGGCGGTTGAATTATTAAAAAGAACACGCCCAGGAACGACTGACTGGGGGTGTTCGGCGATGAGTGGGTTGAGGAGGTGGATGAGGGAGATTGCCAAAAGGAGAGGGGGAGGAGAAGGAGAAGGAGGAGAGCGTCCGCAAGGTGAGGTGAGGAGGATCGCTCTTTCCCAAGATGGGATAGAGTTGGTTCGCCCACACATCCCCCATCCACGCGAGCCCACACGAGCCTTCCTGTGGTCCGCCCTCTTCTGCCCACTGACTCTGCATCGCTCCTGCCCAGTCGGCAACAGCCCAAAGGAGCCACAGGGCTCTCCCGCAAAGTCAGGAGCAGGGCCCGAAAAGGAGCGAAAAAAACCGAAGCGACTAGGAAAGACTGGGGAGCAGGGGCCAACACGGGCCAATGGGGTGCCTTGTCGACCATCCATGGCGGTGGGTATAATGATGCTCCATCTCAGGCGCCGGGGGGCTTCTCCTGCCTGGACTGCACCGAGTCGAGTTAGCCGGCTCGTGATGGACATGGCGCGGTTAGTTCGCGGGAAATACGGCACACTCCGCAGTTCTCGGTTTTTTTTTTCTTTCCTTCTTTGCAGGTTCACAGCCAGGCCTGACCTTGAAACCCCAAGCGGCTGGTCCTGGGTAACTGTGGGCTTTGTGGCCTGTGGCCGGTGGACCGTCCTGTCTTCTGCAGTGGTCCACGCCCCCCGGACCGAAATGAAAAGGCCGCAGCTGCTTGCCCAAACGGGACTCCCCGTCCGTCCGCATCGTCCACACGAGATGATGAATCCCTGCTTGGCATGGACACAATTCAGGCCAATATTGGTCAAGATTTTCACGCGCGCATGCACACAGGCAAAGAAACACACAAATCAAGGAATCGTCAAGTCCATTTCTGTATCTCTCTATCCAAAGAAGTTCCCCACGTAGCCGTCATCCAGCAACCCGGTTCCTGCGCATCGCCGTTGTTCAGAGCAAGCAAAGGTCATCTAAATTGCGTGGCGTCTTCAACCGCCCACCAGGCGCAAGCCACAAGTCCCCATCAATCAACCGATGGCACCCGTCATCCCAAGCTCGCAACCATCCGCTTCAGCCCTCTCACAGATTAATCTGACGGGGAGGCGGCCATTGGCGTCCGGTAGAATCCTAGCGGAAGGCTGAGCAGCCGCTCTTTGAACTTCTTCACCTGGCCCCTTATTTGCGCCGCTTCCTATTCGCCGCAGCCGGCACCCCACGGCACATCACGGCACATCACGGCGTCTATCAAGCGGGATCCTCGCATCCCGTGCATTTACTTCCAGACCAGACCATCAATACGATCTGTTGCGACCCGCCCACCGACAACCATCTCAGTTGTCAAATCAAATCCATCGCGTGACTGGCCTCGTGACCACAATGCGTCCAGCTCCCATGCTCGCCATGCTCCCCACAGTGGGCTGAGAAAGGCAAACCACCAACTTGACTGCCAAGAAGCTCTACCAACGCCACAGCTACTGCACTAATGTAAAATTCCATATCTGACACATCATCATGCAACACCGTTGGACATATCACCCATTGACCTCTCAGAGTCATCAGCCACGTCACACAGAGATCTCTCATCCTCAATCTGCCACATGTCCTATGCCGCCATTCGGCGCCACCCTCACACAAAGAACCAACAAAGCAAAACCTGCACCTGTAAGGAAAAAGAAAAACACACATGTACTTCGTTGTCAATATCACACTGGCTCACTATTTCTCCCCACCTCACACTTACACACATAGGTGTGCACCCATTTCACAGTAACAAACGACTCTCGAACCGGCCCTTTTATTCATCTGCCATAGGGTAGGTGACCAGCCAAGCAACAGTTGGCAGACGTCATACGAACAAGCGCTACGCACTGTGCGAGTGCAAGTGTGGCCTGATGCACAACCCCAAAATCATACTGTGTGTAGACTTGACAAATACAGTACACATTTCTCTATTAAACGACTTCTTGTATCCATCAGCCATAAACCATAATACGGTCGATAGAAACGACTAAGTTGCCGCGACTTTCGTCCAAGGTTCTCTGCACAGACATCCAGGCTTCTTCCCGACGACCCGCTCTCAGGTACCCGAAACACATGTACCCTTTGTGTCAAGTTACCTGCGGTACCTGCAGTACATATAGGAACCTCCACGGTACTGCCAGTACCCCCACATAGTCTATCCCGAAGGCACCCCTGTGACTCTCCTCCTCGGTACCTGTCAAAAGTACATCGTCAATGTGCATGCTGGACCATACTAGTCCTCTGAGACTTCGTGGCGGTACATGTTATCAAAGTTGCGACTTACACACTTGAGTCCCTACATTTACGTTGCAGTGCAACCAAGACAAAACCAAGCGTTTGGGGTATAACTATCACCGAACCTAATTCGAACAGTCTCCCCTCCCTTCCATCCAAGAAAAGAAAACATCGACGACAACCAAAAAAAACCCGTCGTCTCTTGCTTCGGGCCCCGCTTCGCAACGGTTCGCCCCCGCATCTCACCAGGCAATTACAACATTGATTTCCAAACACTGGCACCAGACCACCTGGTCAATCGACCGAACCAACCTCTCCCATCTGCAATTTATCCCGTGACTAACGAACCGTCCTCCGATCCACCGCTCACATCAAAATACCGTGTCCCAGTTGAATCCCACCAGCCTTCGCAAGCAACCCATACAAGAGTTTCCCTGCAACGATTGTCCATCGTCCATCCCAGTCACGTCGTGTAGGATGCCAGTCGTAGTCCTCAAAACCTCCAGTCCCAAAGAGTAGTAGAAAATCCGGTTAACCCTTTCCTCCATGTACCTCATCGAAAAGGAGAAGAGAAAACGGAGAGGAATAAAATTAAACAAGTTCCAGGGTGAAGAGTGTAAAATAAAACGCCGACAGTTCACTTCTTCCAATGTTTTTTTGTACTTTTTCGTGTGTTTCCGTGCCACTTAGTTGCGCCACTATCGTGGGAATAGGCATTCATGGCGTCATAGATGGGTCGCAAACGCGGTCAGCTTAGCTCTACAGCTATGCTATTGCCAGTAGGGCCAGTGATGGACCTGCCACGCTGGTGACATAGTCTATCGCCCCTTCGAGTTGGCGAAGAGATCTGTGGTGGGGTTAGTCTGACCAGCGTCGTCGCGGCGCCGCTGCTAGCGGCCGAGCTTCGTGACCATACCCGGGAAATGTTCTTTGGCATACTGTTCGCATGCCTATGAGGTGGTTTGTTAGTCACGGGTTCATCGGGCTTCTGTTGGGGGTATTCCGTACCTTGGCAGGCTTGCCGACCTTTTGGCCAATAACCTTCCACTTGTTATTCTCGTACTCCTTGATCGCGTTCAACAACGCTTGGCTCTGATGGAGGGGAAAGTCAGCAGGGTGGTTCAAGAGAAGGGTTGGATAAAGGTTACCTCGTCCTCAGCAAACTCGGCATAGTGCATGTCCTGACACAGTGTTAGATTTCAACCCGACTCCTGTTGGGTTCCAGCGTTGTTGGTCACGCACCTTGTACCAGTGCTTCTTGACAGATCCCTCTGTCCTGGTGGGGAATGTCTATAGGTCCGTTAGCTCGTGAACCATGTATCCTTATAGCACACTTGACTTACCTTGGCGATCTCAGCCCAGCTGTTTCCCGCATCTCGCATCTGCTTGAGCCTTAACTCCTCTTGCGGGGTCCAAGGAGTGTTCGTCCTGCTCTTCTTGGCGGGAGGTGGTGCGATTGGTGCAGAGTTGGCATCATCGGTGGGGGCCTGAGGTTGCTGAGGAGGGGCAGACTGAGGAGCATGTGGTGCAGGAGGAGCAGTAGGAGGCTGAACCTGAGAGGCGGTGATGGGGGCGGGAGGGGCCGAGGTGGCCGGTGGCGGAGCGGCTGACGGAGCGGGGCGCTTCCGCTGTCGACCACCTTGCGCTGGGGCCGGCGTCGGGGTTTGTTGCTGTTGTTGTTGCTGCTGCTGCTGGGGCGGCCCGTTGGGAGGCTGCTGAGGGACGTTCATGGGAGGTTGGACGGGAGTAGGATGATGTTGCTGTTGCGGCGCCATATTGGGCTGAGGCGCGCCGTAGGGAAACTCCATACGCTCGTTTCGGCGGGCCATGTCGGCCTGCTGGTACGGGTGAGGGTTGCTATGAGGGCAGGCCGGTTAGCATAGAGACTTGCCTCGACCGTGGGACGTAGCAGCCGGCATGGAATGGGCATGGTGGCCGGCGGACCAGAGGTGCCCAAGAGGGATCTGCAGGGACAAGAGGAAAGGTAGCCTCAGGTCCCAGCAGGACAACGACGACGGGACGTTATAAAGCATCGCCGGGAGAGGCCCGTCGGTGGTGATACAACGACTGGAGTGCCAACCGCGGAGGGGGATGTGTCAGGGATGGGGGGGTACATTGGGTACAAGAAGGACCCGGTGGTGCCGCAGCCAAGTGGCAGAAGGTAGACGCGAGAGGTACAAGAGACAAGGAAACAATGTACTCACTGCATATCATTGGGCTGGTGGGTGGAGTTGGAGTAGACGTACTCCGGCACGGGGCCGACCTGCCACTGCTGCATGTTCTGATGGAAGAGGCGAAGTCAGCGACAAAGCCTTGCACGGTGATGAGAGAAGAGAATGAAGAGCAGAATTGAGCTTTGAGATGCCAGGTCAAGCGTGAGCGAGGTTAGGGACGGGAGAGCGACAGTCACCAGGAGCCAAGCGGGCCGACCGGTCACCTATCTGCACGCGTGGGTCTGCAGAAACGCGGGCGGAAGTCGACGCGACCAGGGTGCTGAGTCGTGAACCTCAAGTCGTAGCCGTCGGTATCGTGACAAGAAACGACCACCGCAATGACGGCTACTTCTTATTGAAGCGACAGCAGGTGACAGAGACAACGTCAGGACCAACGGGAACGAGGAAAATGGCGACCGCGCTCGTGGGTGGCGGCCACGGGCTGGTGTTGCGGGACAAAACGACGACGACAACAAGGCGTCGCGCAACGCTCAAAACGCGAGGTCAGGGCAGCGCAATCGCAACAAGAAAAGCGAGACAACGAGAGACGAGCAACAGAAGAATGGAATACTTACGGGCAATGTAACTTAGGGTCAAAGTTGCATAAGACACATCCGACGCGGAGAGAACCTCTCGAAAACAACCGGGGCAAGTAACGCACGCCCTGGCTGCGGATGCTAGGGACAAGACAGATACACGAGCGGCGCGAGTGTGTGTCTGGGTATTTGAGGGCCTGGGAGGGGGCTAGGGGATTGACGTGAGTAGCTCGTGCTGTGCTGTTCCGGGGGGGTTAGCCTGTTGCTGCTGTGCTGCGTGCGGTGCGATGGTGAGCGGAGCCCGGTGGTATTGAAGCTGGCTGTGCCGGATGATGACGACGGAGCTGGTGCAGGACAAGCAGGTCAGCGTCTAGCCAAAGAGGAGGCGTTTGGGTTAGGTTGCGACGTCGTGTTGCGCGCTGCTGGCATGCGCGTTGTGCGGATGAGGTGGTGCAATGTCGTGCTGCTACACAGCCGATTTGAGTGAATGGGACGGATAAGCCTGGTCATGGGCTTTTTGGGGGCTGGGAGAGGCTTAGAGGAGGGCTGGGGCTGGACCCGGCTGGGATGGATGGAAATGGAGTCAAGCAGGTCTTGGCGGGTTGGTGCGAGGAAAAGTGAAGGTGTGTGTGCTTGTGTGTGGATGTGCGAGATGCTCAAGACGGTTAGGGTGGTAGCAGTGGGTAGCTTGTAACCATTCCCAGTGGCTGAAGAAGAAGACTTATTACTCACTCACGGGGCGGGAGGCGACGACGACACGACGCAGGAAGAAAAAAGCTAGATGAGCAGGTGTTTGCCGATCCAAGGTTGGTAGCGTAGTGTAGTAGTGTAGACGCGACGGACGACAGGACGGTGGGTGGTTGGCTGGGTGGGGAGAGGGATAACACGAATTGCAGAACTGCAAGGCGAGGAGATAGATGGATGAGGAGACGGTGAGGTGAGCAAGTACAGGCCCTGGGTTGCGTAGGCTTGCGTATGTCCGGGCAGATGGGGCAGAGGCAGAGGCAGCGCGGTAATGGACAAAGGGTGAAGGGGGATTGTGGATTGTGGATGGTGAATGGCTGTCAGCCTCCTCGGGTGACTGCTCTGACAGTCGGTGGGCGGACAACAGCGGATGTCAGTGGTGACGGAGTGGCGGGTGCGTGGTGGCCGGCGACGCCAACAGCGATGGACCAGAGGCGGCTGGATCGCGGATCTGGAGGTTTCGTCCACGGGCCAGATGCAGTGGATCCAGCGCAGTCCTGGGGAACTGGAACGGGAACGAAGTCGGTGACAGGACAGGGCAGAGACGAGACGAGACGAGACGAGAGAGGGAAAAAGGGACGAGCGACTGAGGCGGCGATGGATGGTACCTGGCGGCAAAGTAACTCGGGCGGGCAGGACCTGGGAAGTCGCTGGGACCTGGGGGGAGGGGAAGGCGGTCGCTGGTCGATGTTTTGGACTGGTTGCCCTTTTTTTGGTGAAGGGGGGAGAAATGGGGGAACGAGGTTTTGGGCACGGCGCGACAGAAGGCTACTGACCCTGGACCGAAAAGCGGGGCGCCGGGTCTCAGCAGTGTGCGGGTCTGTACAGTGGTGGAAGCCTCTCGCACGGCTCGACTCCATACTGCTGCCGCAGCAGTGCACAGTGCCATCCCGCAGGAGCGGGGCATGTCGCTGCCTGGGCGCACGGGCCAGGGAATGCTGCAAAACCTGGAAATGGCTTGGGGACGGGTGACAAACCAGAGGTACCTCGCGCCGCCGCCGCTACGTACCCCTCGTACCCGGCTGTACATCCCTCGCCGCCGCCCTCTGCGGCCAGCCCTCAGTCACTCCCAGCTTGTTTGCCCCGGCCGCTCGGGTCACTTTGCGCCTTGTTCGCGCCAGGTTGGGCCACCGGGCTAGGTACCGAGGTACTTGCGGTACGTTCGGATGGTACCATCATGTGGGAAAGCATCTGATGCGGATGGTTGCAGTCGATGCATCTGATGAGAACAGGCTGTTCGACAGGTCACCGAATCAGCCGAGCGAGTGTGTTCCCGTCGCCCACCGCGAGGATCGCATCAATGGGGCATTTCTGGTTCAGCCAGCAGCCGACGAGTCAACTGATTCCCAATCTCGATGACTGTTCGGGGCCGGCCTGGAAGCTGGGTAGAAGGGAGGAGAGACAGGCCAAGCCACCAAGAAACCGGCAGCCATGGAAGCCTCGGAAACCGACAAAGCAACGTTGTCGATTTCCTGCATATTTGCGAGAGGATCGCCGTCGTACTTGCTCGTAAGCGGGTGTATTCCTCTCCCACAAATGAGTGGCTGTGGATCTCCATGTGCTTCCATGTGCCCTCCGATCAGGAATGATGATGCCGGCGCTCATCGAGATAGAATGGAGCCATTTAACAAATTGTCTCAGGGGACGCATCAAGCTCCTCCTACATCCTCGTCCTGTTCATAATCGCCGAGGTCTATTCAACTGCTTCCTTGACCAGGCGATGATTGCCGCAGACTGAGGCGTTGTCCCGAGGCATATCATCCGTCGATTTGATGCAATCGCTCGCCATTGCGGCGAGGTTCCCTACCCCGACAATCGAGAAACCCCCTCTTCCCACTGGACCGAGGTGACGTCGCGGCGCCAAATTGTCAACGACTCCAGCCAGTCTCACGAGAGACATCAGCCTTATTTAATCATCTTCAACGGCCTCGAACTGGCCCGGGCCGTCAGTCACTTCAGTACTTTCCCCAGGTACCGACACCTTCAAGATGGGGCAGGATCAGAGCCGCAACCACGGATATGCCAGATGCTCCACCCCCAATGTACCTCATGTACCCAGCAACCTGGCCGCGCTCGAGCTAAGATCGTGACCTCCAGCCCGTGTACCTTGGAAGTCTCTCGTCCTCGCTCAACGACTCAACGACATGTCTGTCTAAGTCGACGCGCGCACGATCCCCGGCGCGTGGCTCCCCGAACGGCAATGTTGATTTCAGTTGTGTTCAGTTTGTCGAGCTAACGAAAAAATGCATGATTTCTTAATTCCCCTCAAAACCAACTTTAACTCAGATTGTGTTGCCCGGATCACCCTCATCAAACTGCCTCGGTGTGTCAGATCTTACTCGGCGACTGATCAAACGAATGTCAGGAGCCAAAACAATATTTTACACGTCAATTTGAGAAACTCGAGGCAATCCTGTAGCATGCAGCTGTCGGATGTGTTTGTTCCCCCCTGCCGAGTGACGACTCCTCCCCGTGTCTAGGTCCAGGGTAGGAAGTCAAGTGTCAGATCAACCACATCTCATCGATCATTAATGCGGACTGAGAAGTGGGAAAAAGAAAGTTTCCATACAGAGGTTTCTCACTTTGGAGATCGTTGGGTGATCTTTCCGCCTCGAAATAATAAATTTCCCCGACCACGTCTTTGAGGAGAGCCACGTAGTCGCCTACTTTCGAAACGGTGTCATAGTAATTGGTGATGGGCTGATTGAGCGAACAGAAATGCAAGTTTTGTGGAAGCCTCATGATCACCGTTTTCCTGCCTCAGGCGAACGACCCTGAGAATTTCGGGATTCTAGAAACAAGACGAGCCTCCTTGGTAGGGTGACTGACAAGACCGTGCAACCCCCCCCTCCCCCACCGCAGTCCAAGGGCATCAGCCCTGCCGTTGGGGTTGAACTTGGCAAAACTGTGTCAGCTTCATCCGCTGCAGATGAAACCTCTCGGCTGCACGGCTACCTGCGTAGGGAGAGACAGCGTTGTGCTCTTGACTCTTTTGAGCCTCTACCCTGGCCGAGTGAGGAGTCAGTGCAACGCTGACGGATGAGACCAGGGGGGGGATTGAAATGCCAAAACAGGCAATGGGGATTCAACTGGGGAACTACAGGCAATTGTGCGGTGTAGAACTCATGGGGGCTCCTGAAACTGGTTGCCAGAGATTGCAAGATCTAAGGTTGGAAACTCCAAACCTGGAGGCGCCAAGAGATGGATGTCTGTTGCATCGCAGGAGTCAGTTGTCTGCGACTAAACACGCGCATCCTGCTGATGCTACTGTACCGAGCAGACGGGGCTGCACCGTCACGCAATGGTCACACGTCTGGTTTACTACTCTCAGTCGGGAAACGTCAACAAGGTTTGACGCCGGAGCTTGTTTTGATCTTGTAACCGATGTTAGATCGCCCCGGGAAACAACTCAGACGAATATTGGGAATGCGAACTATATGCGTTAACGTGCGTCACATGGTAGCAACGATCGGTGCTGCTGTGACATGTCGGTGGCAACCCCTCGAAACAGAACAGGCGCGGAGAGAAGGCTGGCCAGTCAGCGGTGGGCAATAGTACGCCACTGCTAAGATCTGAGGCTGCTACGACTCCAGACCGCTGGTTGAACAGGGGATCCGTATTATTAGATCGGACCCCAATATCGTGTTTGAAAGGTGCTTCAGACTCTGACTGGCCGAAGGCATCCGGATTCGCTGGAGCCTTGTTCTGACGCCGGGGCCGATGACATCCGACTTGGCTGGCGCTGGGAAACTAGTTCGCTTCCTCGGATGAGGGATACTCCGGGGCACGCACTGAAACTCGTTGCAGATGGTTTCCTGTGTCAGCCGTCTGGAGAAGTCAGCGAGAGAGCATTGAGCATGCATCCCATGCCCCCCTTGGTACGGCGGCAAGGCCAGAGCCGGCTGCTGCCGACGGGGTGCCCCCCCCCAGGGAGGAGGGGGATCGCTTAAGGACGGGCGCCAGCGTGATGATCTTCAGGGCGGTGGCTCAGGGCCCGTCGTCTGAAGACCAGATGAGGGGAGGGATCCGCAGTGTGGCAGCAGCAAATGTGCAAGATGGGTTTTGGGCAAGCCTCCAATCTGGCATCTAATCATTCGGGCGGCTCAGGCCCTAGGGTGCACGAGTTAAGATGACGTGGAGCGGGGCGTCTGTGGGTAGATGTTTGCGCAAACTAATAAACTCGGGACACGGGAATTTGATGACGGGAGTTGAGGCCACGGCAGAACAGAAATGGAAGGGAAAACATGTTCGTATTCCCCATTTCCCCGGTGTCCAGGGCTCTGGGACCGAGAGTGGGAGTGGGAACTGGGAGCGACGAACTGGCCAAGCGGCAAAAGCAAGCCTGGCGATGCTGTCTGTTGTCGAACCGGCGCCAGTGTTTCCTGTGTGTTTCCTGGAGTCCTCTCTCGCGTCTGGGGATTTGTTTCCGTGCTGGAACATAAACATGGCATTTTTCGGCGGCCGGGAATGCAAGACATCTAGCATCGTCGTCCCCTTTCCCTTACCGCCCAGCACGTATACCCCCATCGCCGAACGCACACCCCTCCCCTCCTCTCCCCTGGAGCCCTGGAGCCCTTTGTGTTTTCCATGTTCGATTGCCCAGGGTCCGCCGCCGTTTTGACGAAACCCGGCGGCGATGCGAGAATTTGGCCAGAGCTGATCCCGCCAATCAGTGGCGGATGGCTTCCTGATACTGAGGTGAAATTACGCCAGTGCGCTAGCGGGTTTCAAGGTGCCCTGACCCCGGACGACGTGGGTTTTTGTGGCTTAACGGGGCTTGACTGGGCTGGAAACGAGCGGGCGGCGGGCGGATTGGGGAGAGTGCGGCGCGGGGTGTAGCTCTGAAGAATCCATGGGTTGCTGGTTGGCTGCACGTTGGCGAGTTTTAGCAGTCGAGTTAGTGGGCCGGCGTGAGGAACTACCAGCGCTGGTGAAGCAAGCGAGCGGGTGATGGGGATTGCAGAAGCGTGGCGAGTGTGGTGATTGGGAAATTTGCATCTGGCATTTGGGTGTCTAGTTGTTTACTGCGTACGCAGGACCTGCTGAAAGCGGAGATGGCGAGATGGCGAGATGGGGACGGACTGATGCCATAGTGGACGTTATTGCTGATGCTCACAACCGAGAGCCCGCTTTTGATGATGGGTGTGCCCTTTGCACGGGAGATCTCTCGCCCACCTATCACACGGGGTGAGGGGGACGGGTTGGGCAAGGATCATGCAGCAGAGGAAACAGTTGGGGCCTGTTTCGATGGAACCACTCCAAACCAAACACTTGGGACCGTCTGGACTCGCTTTGGCCATGTACGACGGTGGGTGCGGACGCCGCCCGGGCCAGGCAAGGGAGCGAGAGCGAGAGGACTCGGGAAAGACGAGAGAGAGAGAGTCGGTCAGTATGGAGATGAGAAAAGATGGAACAGGAACAGATGTCACCCGTGGATCCAGGGAACAGGCCTGGAGCAAATCCCCGAGAGCAAAGCCACGACTCAGCCATGGCATGAAATATGGCAAAACTAATAATCAAGACGACTGACTACTGTAGGAGCGGGATGTAGCACGCACGAAGTAGTAGTACGAGCGCCAACGAGAATCCACAATTTCCACATGTCGGCCGGATCGTACACAGACCAGACGCCGATGACAAGATGGCAGACAAGATGACCAGATCACAGGATCACGGGCCAGAGGATTTTCCAACCTACTGCAAGTCGACGACTCCATCGCTCGCTCCATCGCTCCATTATCACGGAGTCGACGGGGAGTCGAAAAGAGGCCAGCCCACTCGGCCAATCAGCCACCCCTGTCGTGGGGGTGGACGAGGAAGGGTTCACTCAATAGAGGGTGGTCGATTTGCGCGCGGCCGGGAACACCTGAAGCTGAGGTCGGTGCAACCCCGCCGCCGGGCGATGGACGTCCCCTGTCTGACAGGAGTCGAGACGACGACTCGGCCGTGTGAGTGTGTGGTGTGGACGTTGGTAGTAAGTAGGTAATTAGTGAGTAGTAGCGTGCTGTAGTACACGTAGTAATCAGGTAGTACTCGAGAGAAGAGCCTGTTCGGCCTGCTCTGCCACTCTACACTAGACCCAAGTTAGTCCATCCCTCGCAATTCGCAAGATCGGATGCCAAGCCAGGGCCGCCAACAATAAACCGTGCCGCACAGGCCCGCAGCTTGGGTTCCTTGGTTCCTAGGTTCCTGGCCTTGCCTTGCCTCTCTCTGCGTAGTAGTTCTCTGGATGCTGCTGCTGCTACTGCTGCTTCGGCTTCTGCTTCTGGCCAAACCCCCCAAGACCAGGGCTTCGCGCCTTCGCACGCCCTCCCCGTCGTCCTAGACATTCGAACGCCCAGGGGCCCAATCCGGGCGGACGAAACTTTGATTGAGGCGGCGCTACGACGGTGGCGACCGTTTCCCGCCATGGATCTGGCGGGAGCCGAGCCTCTCAGCGAGGCCGCGATCAGGATTTCCCTCGCCCCAACGAGTGCGGTGGTGGGCCCGCTGGCCGCCTCGCTTGACCCATGGACAAATGGACACTTCGCTCCATATTCCTTTTTGATAGATCTGGTCCGTGATGCCGAAATGCACGCCCAAACAATTGATTGCCATCTGGGTTTGGGTCACCGCAAGTCCATACAGAGAGAGTACATACGAGAGAGAGAGAGAGTGAGTGAAGGGAGGGGGGGGAAGAGTCGCCACCAACTCGCTTCCTGTCGCCTGTCTCGCCTGTGATCTCGTGAGAAACTTGTGTCGTCTATTCTCCGAGGTTGGTTTCCAGGAGGTGGGTTTGGCACCTGGTGCCTGAATGACTTGACTGACTGTCTCCGTATTCCGTCTCCGTCATCTGTCTCCGTGTCTAAACGTGTTTGACGGCAGAACGAGACGCAGGAACCCGAGAACGGGACGGAACACACCCAACACACTAGGCAAGACGAGACAAAACAAGACGACCCGGAGAACCCAAACAGTCTACGTGTGATGGCCGCTCTTGTCGCAAGTTTGGGTCCATCTGGGTTTGGTTTGTGGTGTTGTGTGTGTGTCCTGCTGCACCGCTCGCTCGGCAGGCCGGGCTTAGACTACTGCGCTAAGACTCGGACAAGGGCCCCCGGTCCCTGGTTTGGGTCCCGGCCTGGTCCCTGACATGGTCCCGAACATCCATCATCACCGCTGTGGCCGTTGCAATCTGCAGGGCACAGCTACTATGTACCTTACACTGCCTTACGTACCTGGCATACCTGGTGAACCTGGTAAACCTGGGCGTTCTTACCTGGCGTACCTGGCAGCGCCTCGTACCTGGCGTGCGTGCGTACCTTACAGTAGGCCGTCCACTAAACCTGGCTCTCTAGGTACTACGTACCGATACCGAACCAGGCCCAAGTGGGCTTCCGACTTCTAACCTGCAACTTATTATACCACTTGCCCCTCCCGCAATCTATTTACTCCTCCTCCCTTCCTCTCTTCTTCACCTGGATGTCATTCCTCTCTATCCATCACCTTTTTTCTTCTACCGATTCCTCGTGGGAAAGCGCTGTTGCGTTTCTATTCTTTCTTTCCCTCTTCCAATTTTTTCCCTTCATTCTGACTTTCCCGCAGCCAGAACCCACTCTCCTTAACCCGCTTGGAAACTACCAACTGGCTTGGCTGCTGACACTCCTTTTGAACCGGTAACAAAACCAACAACAACCTTTTTCACACCAAACACCCATCTTTTATACCACGACTTCTTTGATCCATCTTGTGGAAACCACTCCCTCGATATCCGGTGCCTTTTAGTTTTTTCGAGTTCTGCTCGCTGGATAAACATACAAGGACATCCGGCTCCCTCGATCGATCAATCCCTTACGATTCTCTCCGCGTGGTCTGGTGTTTACCCGCCTGGCTCTCTCTTCTCGACTTGGTTATCACAACCACCAACAGGAATACCAGTGATATTCTTTCTTTTCGACTCACGACGACTTTTTTGTCTCTGTATTCGCTTCAACGATACCCAATTGCCCATTTTCAGAGAGGAATAAACTCCTCCAGTAACGACATCCGAGCTCAGGAAAATGTCTTGTAGACAGACAGCTCAGCCTCAAGGGCCATATATGCCCATGCGGGATGCCATGGACCGCCACGACTACGGTGTCACCAAGACCCGTAAGGCTTCGTCCACTGGCGGCGGACGCGCCTGGAGCGAAGACGAGGTAAGTCGGACACAGTTCCTTGATAGGTGGCAAACAGCATCCAACTAACACGTCATCACAGGAGCACTATCTCCTCCAGACTCGCCTCCAGAAGATGCCCTACAAGTACATTGCGGCGCATCTCAAGAAGACGGAATTGGCATGCCGTCTTCACTATCACCAGCTCTCCCACGGCAGCAACCGACGCAAGCGCGCTGCGTCCTGCTCGTCGGCTGGCACCTCCAACGATCACTCGCCTGCCATGGCACAGAGGGCACCCAGCCCGGCCCGCGAAAGCGTGTCTCGCTCGGCCTCGCCCCCCGGGAGCTCCATGAGCTATAGCCCGCCGCCCCCGAGCCACGGCAGCAGTTGCATCCAGCTCCCCAGCATCATGACCTCCGGAGAGGTGCCTCGGTTACCAGCCATCCTCCCGAAGCCCTCCTCCATGACCCTCCCCCACCCCACAGCCTCTTCTCAGACGTATGCCTCGCCGGTCGCAGACAACCACGTTTCTGTTTCTCACCCCTCTGCCTACCACCCTCCCAGCCATCACCGAACAACTCCTCCTCTTCGCCTCGACTGCTCAGGGCTTCCCGCGCCTGCGATGCCGGCTCACACCGCCGCCCACGTCGATCTCTCCCGCCTTCACTCCATCTACTCGGCTCACCGAAACTCGTTCTGGTCCGCTGTCGCCAACGAGTACGGTCCCAACGTCTCCCCAACCGTGCTCGAGCAGGCCTGGAAGACGGGTGCCTGCTGCAGCCAGACTGCGCTGACACCCATCACGCCCATCTCGAGCCCGGGCAACGGAGAGCGGGATCCTCAGAGCAAAGGCCAGGACAAGACCCGCATCTCGTCGATCCTCGGCATTGACGCAGATCCTCGGACTGCTCGCGATAGAGATATCGTGAGGAGGATGGAAGAGGAGCGCTTCGGCATGATGCAACCTGCCCACTAAGCTGCTTTCTCTCCACCTCTACCTGCCTGACAACCCACCTCAAGGCAATCCCGGGAGCCGGGAAGGGCCTAAGATTTACCCAATGGTCTTTTGCCCGTGTATTATACGCACGTTCTATTTTCATTGGCCACATTCTTTTATTCTGATCCTGCGGCACTGGCACCTTCGCATGGGACGCAAAGGTGCAGTCATCCGCAGTCGATATCTATAGCACCGCGCATGCGGGGCAGGGGCGTTTTAATTGTGCCTCTCCATTTGACGACACCTACCATTCATTTCACTTCGTTTTATGGCTTGCGCGCTTTTGCTTTATCTCTTTACTACTCTAACGAGACGAGTATTGTTTAGTGGATGGGATTCATTCTCACGAGATGGGGAAAAAGGGGGTCGGAATACGAGGATTCTACTACAGGACATGAAGGGTAGACCTCGGGGATTGGAGAAACAGTTTTTCACAGCAACTTCTTCCTTTTTCGACATGGCTTGGAGGAATGTGGACAAGCCGGACGGCTTGAATCTCTTTGTTTATCGTCTCCTGTCGGTTTCTATTTTTCTCGTTGAGACGTCGCTGTCAGTTTTGTTTTCTCTTGTTTTTTGTTGCTCATCTTTTCTATGTATTAGTCCCCTATAGTAGGACTACGAAACGATGTGATGAAACTCGACGCCTGTCTGGAGTCTGGCCTACACCGCGCTTCTTGCACATGAGGTTACTTCACGTCTTGGGGGGGAGGAGATGGGGGATTGGCTAGGTCGGCTGGTAGTTGCCGACGAACAAATGTCTTAGTCTATTTTACGCTCTACAAAAACCTGCTCCTTGTCTTGTGTCGATGTGAAGCAATGTGAAACCGGATGATCGACGTATCTGAGGCGCAGAAGGGGGTGTTTGTTGTTTTTTCCAGGTGGGCGACTGGCGAGACAGGGCGTGCTTCATGGTTGTAGGATCTACGGGTTTGCGACGGCGGAGAGGGGCGGGCCCGAGCCCCGTTTGCAATGCTGCGATATCACGATGTTACAGTGGCGATGGACTGGAGCCGTTATCTCTGGGGTACAAATGAACGGGCTCGTGGTCGCCGCTAGCATTGGGCATGAGCCTGAATCTCGGGCTCTCTGTGTGAATTTTTTTCCTTCTTAAAAACCTAACTATAGGCCGATTGACATGTGCTATCTGATGCAATGGGGCGTGCTGATGGCGGGTGTGTGGCGCTCGGCCTGATGCGCGGCTGTATTGGACGGGATGCATGCGACGGTCGGAATTCTGTTATCTCGAGTTCCACCAGGGCGCGCGGAAGCTTTTTCTCTCGCATCCTGGTTTTTTCGGAGCTTCCGGTATTGTCCCCCCCTGCCCGGTCTGCGGAAGATGCGATATCGGGAGGGAGGATCTAGGTTTACGCTTTTGGGGATGCCGCAGCCCCGGGGCCCGCGTGGACCAAGGAGCCCCTCCGCGCATCGGGGCCCTCCCCGAGGTTCGGCGCGGCGGTCGGGAAGCCGGAGGTGGGCCGTGCGTGATTGGACCCGGGGCTTGGCCGGAGTCCACAAAAGGGCTCCGGGACGGGCTCGGTTCGGATGTGGACGAGATGTGCCAAATCCAAGCCTTGGAAAGCAGCCTGCAGCAGAAACAGCAGAAGCAGCCGCCTGCTCGCTGGCATATGATTCCGCAGTGCTTCCGCCGCCACCATGCTGGCTGGCCTCAGGGTGACTTGGACTCGATGGCGGCCGATTTTAATGTGGACCTAGCCATCGTTTCCCCTCTTTGGCGTGTCTAGCCCGGCCACCACGACACACACACACAGCGCGCACACAGCACACGCAGCGCGTGAGCAGCCTTTTGCAAACCGGGGCCTTGCACTAGCCAAGCTGCTGCAAGGCCTGGGGTTCGTTTTGCTCGGATCCGCTGTTGGCCCTTCGTGGCCCCATCGAATTGCTAAGCCGAGGGTGCGCATTCGACGACGAGCCCAATGGATGCCCGCTGCGGAGGAGGGGTTGGCTGGCAACGGTGGAGCAGCGTTTTTGCGAGTCGTGACTCGGGAAAGCTGCCCGGCCGTGACTGGCTTCTGGGGAGGAGGAGGTTCCGCCTTGGGGGGATTGATGCCATTGGAAGAGGGGGAGGCATCAATCGCCGGTGGTGAGGAGGGGTGAGCGAGGTGGTTTCGTCATCGTCGTGCCGTGCCGTGCCGTCTGTTTTCTCACTTCTGCCGTGAGTAGCCTTGTGTTTCTACCATCTCGGGCGTTTCCTGTACCTCACACCTTGCTGGTAAGTGGCCTGTATGCCTCTCTCCCTTGTGGCCCCCTCCTCCGTTATCAATCTCTATCTGGCGAGCGAAAAACCCTAACTACACCCTCGCACGCCGTGTCCCCTCCATGGTGAGTGTCACCGCCAGCACGCCGTCTGCCAACGGCCATTGCCATTGCGTCGGCCTCGTTCCCCACCAGTAATGTCCCCATGTGCCAGAGGAAAACCCTTTGACCGGGTTCCTCATCTCGGCCTGATTGGCAATGCTGCTCTCCCCAATCGCTCGCTGCAGAAGTGCAGAAGTGCAGAAGTGCAGAAGTGCAGAAGTGCAGAAGTGCAGAAGTGCTCCGGCCGTCTTGTTTAGCTTGGCAACCGGGTAACAAGACGCCACCACCCCAACTCTCTCCGCACCCGCTCTCTCCGCACCACCCACAACGCCCGTCGCACCACATTTTCCCTTTCACCTTGTTGTCCGTCTCCTCTTGCTCTCCCCTGTCTGAGCTGACCTTTGCTTGATTGTTTCCTTCTCCGACATCGCTGCTCGTTGATTGCCGAGTGATCAGGTCGACGTGCTGATTTTCAACGCCCTACAACTCTCACTCTTCCTCTTACCCGGACAGGAGCCAGAGTACATTCGAAAGTAGAAGTTTCTTAACTAACCCGCAGAGAGGATAGATACCCTCAGTTTAAATTCCCACCATGGCGGACCACCAGCAACCCACCACCGACCCGGCCCCCACCCGCGATCCCAAGGCCCCGGAGGACTATATCCAATTCCCCTGTCTGCCCCCCGGCGGACCCCTCAACCGCTGGTCTGCCAAGATTACCCGTGAACATGACTATCCCGGCGCTCAGGTATGTTGCTGGGTCTGTCTCGTGAGAGGCGGCGGTAGAGGGATTAGGTTGCCAGTGAGCAAACGGAAACTGAGTCAGGTCTAGGCCATGCTCTACGGAGCCGGTGTCCCCAACAGGGAGATGATGAAGACGGCGCCCCAGGTCGGCGTTGCGACAGTCTGGTGGCAGGGAAACCCGTGCAAGTGAGTCTCAGATGAGGAGAAAGGAGGCGGCCGTTGAGGAATTATAAGTTGCTGACCGAGTCTCCCGGCAGTACTCACCGTGAGTGACATGAAAGAGCGTGACGGACCACGAGCAGTACACTTACAACGGGCTAGTCCTCGACCTCGGTCAAATCGTCAAAAAAGCCATTGAGAAGGAGGGTATGCTGGGATGGCAGTTCAACACCGTCGGCGTGTCAGACGCCATCACCATGGGAGGTGAAGGTGAGTGAGGTCCTCCAAGATGGACGGACGGAACCCCGAATAACACTCCTCAACCAGGCATGCGCTTCTCCCTGCAGACGCGCGAGCTCATCGCCGACTCCATCGAGTCCGTCACCTGCGCGCAGCACCACGACGCCAACATCTCCATCCCGGGCTGCGACAAGAACATGCCCGGCGTGGTCATGGCGGCGGCGCGCCACAACCGGCCCTTCATCATGATCTACGGCGGCACGATCCGCAAGGGCAAGTCGGCGCTGCTCGAGAAGCCCATCAACATCAGCACCTGCTACGAGGCCCAGGGCGCCTTCGCCTACAACCGCCTGCACGCGGCCACCGACGCCGGCGCGCCCGGCCGCACCAGCGCCGACGTCATGGACGACATCGAGAAGCACGCGTGTCCCGGCGCGGGCGCGTGCGGCGGCATGTACACGGCCAACACCATGGCGACGGCCATCGAGGCCATGGGCCTGTCGCTGCCGGGCTCGTCGTCGTTCCCGGCCGAGTCGCCCGAGAAGCACCGCGAGTGCGAGCGCGCCGCCCGCGTGATCCGCACGACGATGGAGAAGGACCTGCGGCCGCGCGACCTGCTCACGCGCGCGGCGTTTGAGAACGCCCTCGTGCTGACCATGATCCTCGGCGGCTCGACCAACGGCGTGCTGCACTTCCTGGCCATGGCCAACACGGCCGGCGTGGCCCTGACGCTCGACGACGTGCAGCGCACCAGCGACCGCACGCCGTTCCTGGCCGACCTGGCGCCCAGCGGCAAGTTCTACATGGAGGACCTGTACGAGGTGGGCGGCACGCCGTCGGTGCTGAAGATGCTGGTGGCCAAGGGCGTCATCGACGGCGGCATCATGACGGTGACGGGCCAGACGCTCGCCGACAACGTCGCCGACTGGCCGAGCCTGGATCCCGGCCAGCAGATCATCCGCGCGCTGGACGACCCCATCAAGGCCAGCGGCCACATCCGCATCCTGCGCGGCAACTTTGCGCCCGGCGGCGCCGTGGCCAAGATCACGGGTAAGGAGGGCCTGTCGTTTACCGGCACGGCGCGCGTCTTCAACTGCGAGAACGACCTCTCGGCCGCGCTGGCCGCCGGCTCCATCAAGCGCGAGGACGGCAATCTTGTTGTTGTAGTGCGCTACGAGGGTCCCAAGGGCGGCCCCGGGATGCCGGAGCAGCTCAAGGCGTCGGCGGCCATCATGGGCGCCGGCCTCACCAACGTGGCCCTCGTCACCGACGGACGCTACAGCGGCGCCTCGCACGGCTTCATCGTCGGCCACGTCGTGCCCGAGGCGGCCGTGGGCGGGCCGATTGCCCTGGTGCACGACGGCGACGTCATCACCATCGACGCCGTGCGCAACCGCATCGACGTCGACGTCACCGACGCCGAGCTGGACGCCCGCCGCAGCCGCTGGGTTGCCCCTGAGCCGCGGGTCAAGAGGGGCGTGTTGGCCAAGTACGCCCGCCTGGTTGGCGATGCGAGCCACGGCGCCGTGACGGATGTCTGGTAGAGACGCGGCGAGACGATGAGAAGAAGTTGGGTTTGGCAGGGGGCTGCTGAGCATCAGGCTGCAAGTGTAAATGAGCTCAAAACACCAAGGCGGATGCTGGATGGTTACTGACCAGGGGACATAACAAAAAGGAGAAAAAAGGAGAAAAAGTCGCTTAGTTATGCAAGCACACCCACCGAGGCCCAAATATCCAAAAATGATATAAATTCGTCTTCTCTCATGTTCGTTCTGTCTGTCAATCATCTCCAACACATTATCCAGGGGCCACAACGCAACACGACACCTAAACGAAACAATGATCGATATGTACATACAGACTCATCTCTATTAACAACATGCCATCCGTACTGCAGAAAGCCAACAAACGAACGAAGGGTATCGCGCAGACACATGCTTCCTTTCCGTCTCTCCGTCTTCCTTCTGCCTAATGCTCACTCCTGCTCTTGGACGCGACTCACGTACTGAAACCAATCCACCAATTTCTCATCAAGGCCTACCACCCAAGAATTATCATATCCTCAATACAGCCCTCTCGAGGCCAAATCACCACCTGACTTGTCTCCATCGTGTGCTCCCAAGTCTCCTTTCATATCTGTTGCTGGCAGCCCCAAGACAGTATGTCGACCGGTGAATCTCTGGCGGGCTCTAGTCGCCCAGCGGCATGCCCTCGAGCTCATCGAGCAACCGTCGCCAGTTGTCAGCAAGCATCTCTGCGTACTTGACTCGCTCTCCAGCCCAGTCCTGGTTCCAGCGGCTGACGTGGTACTGCGTCGATTGGAACGAGATCAGTTCGTCGCGGATGCACTCCTTGACAAAGACGGAACGGTTATGTTGCTGGACAATGGATTCCTTGTCCTGTTCATTGTGTTAGTCACTCACATCAGACGACCGTCTCTTCAAAACTCACCTTGATGATGTTCTCGGCTACCCTTTCAATCTCGCCAGGCTTCACCAAGCCATCCGGTTTCGATCGCAAGTTGGCCAGCTTCGTCTCGTTGGTTTGGATCCTCCGTTCGAGGTACGGGATGTTGTCCTTGTCCAACCGCTCCCGCCTCTCAAACATCTCTCGCATGCTTACAAGGGCATCGCGCTGTCGCTTCAAATCCTCGAGCACACCCTCGTCCCATCCTCGGCTCTCATCCTCCATCAAAGCTTGGCACGTCCGCAGGTGCTTGCTCATTGCGACCAGGCCGTCGTTGAGCAGGGGAACCTCGTTGGTATCCGTCGCATACGTGTCGGCCGAGGCTTCGGTAAGGGATGCTAGAGACAGGGCAATGCGAGCGTGGTCGGCTGCCACACCCTCGGTCCGCTTAACAAGGCGATCCATGATGTTGCAGACGCCAATGTACAGTTCAGCGGAGCGTTGGATGCCGGCTCGGGTTCGAGAAAAGAGGTCTTCGAGAGTGGGCGGTAGCGAATCTTCGAGACCTGGGGGTAGTGCTCGCTCGGCGAACTCGTCTTGAACAGAAATCGTGGCCTGTTTGCGCCAAACAGCCAGCTCCTGTTCGTCCTGTTAGGGTCAATGACACACCGTTAAAAAGATGAAAGCAACATACCGTAGGGACGGTCAGAAACATGATGACCATCTGCTCCTGGCTCAACACAGGGTGTCGCACGAGGGCATTCAGGAACCTAGCCAGACCCCGCCTCCGCTTCTCAATGAAAGCGCCGTCGTTGGACAAATGGCTACCATTGACGCCCATGCGCTTGGGCGGGAGCAGCGGTAGGATCCGGAAGGGATATCTCTTGTGGAGGCAGTCCAGCAGCCAGACAAAATCGCTATACCGGCGGATGACCTTGCTGCCGCGACGCAGACTGGCGACTTCATAGTTGTGGTGCTGGAACATGAACATGCCCTCCTTCTCCGGCATCAGAGTCACGATGACGTTCTCCTCGACGCCGTGACCAGTCCTGCCACCGGGCTGGTGTTGCTGGAGTCCTGGTGGGGGATTGCCGCTGGGCGTGCGATCAGGCCCGCCAAAGGGATTGGGATCGCTGCTCTGCGGCGTCTCACCAAAGCCTCCAGCGGCGGTGTTGTTCCCGTCAAAGTAGCCCCATCCACCGGGCGCCGGGGCGGTGGCGGCGACGGCGGTCTGCTGTCCTCCATTCGCAGCAGGGGCGGGGGGCGACGCGTACTGGGCGGCTGTAGGGGGCGCGACGGGAGCCGTCACAGGCGGCGGCTCGACGAAGCTGGTGTGGCCGTTTGTGTCGTGGTTCCTGGCGCCGTTTGGCTTCGCGTGATCATGGTTCTTGTGAACATCAGGCGTGTTCCATGGGTCATCCTCGGGCAGGTCGTCCATGGCCGGTCGGGGCAGCTTGGGGTGCCGGGGAGTCGGCGGCGTGTCTTTGGGCGGTGTCTGGGGAGGCTTGGACGCAAGCTCATCCACGGGAGGCAGGATAGGCTCGGCGGTGATGCCGGGGAGCTTGGGTTGCGGCAGGTCTACCAACGAAATGAGTTATTAGCTGTAGTGTCCCCACCAACGGCAAGCCGGGGGACATGAATCCACCGATGCGGTGCGATATGATAAGGTCGCGGACGCAATGACGATAGGGCAAGCGCCAGAGTCGCCAGCGGGTTTTTATATATCGTGGTGCAAGGGGGTGGGCTGGGAAATATTGCATGGGCGTCACTTACTGCGTCGTCGCTCATCCACGCCGTCGAGGCTGATGATCTCGCCCTCCTGCGCCAGGCCCACCAGGGCCAAGACGACATTGAACTCAGCCCGGCCCAGCGTGACATGACTGTCTCCGGGAGCCACCAGGGACATGATGCGGGCCTGAGCATCGGCGCCGAGCCGCGCGGTGGCGAAGAGCTTCGCGATGCCGCCGGCCGCGATCCGTCCGCCGTCGCCGTCTTCGCGCAGGACAATGTCAAACGTCTCGATGTAGCTGTCGGGCACGTCAGACACGGAGAGCAGGTTGCGGACCAGGTCGGCGCGGCTCTGCTTCTTGCGCGGCGTCGGCATGTCCCACGGCGAGCCGCCGCCGTGGCCGCCATCGTCGTCGGCGAAGAGGCTGTTGGACGAGGTTTTGGACTCGGCCTCGTCGAAGAGGCCGCCGGTGGACTTGGGCCGGGCGGGCGACGCCACCATCGTAGGCTCGTCCGGGGGCGAAGTTCCAAAGAGGGACATTGTGGGAGGGATGGCTTCGAGGAAGCGCTCGTCGTCGATGTCGCGCAGCAAGTCGGATCGTCGAGGGCTTCGTCGGCGTCCCGTCAAGGGCGGATGATGCCGGTGGTAAGAGGGATTCGTAATCGCTATTGAGGGCGCGATGCAGTGGTGGACGAGAGCGCAAGGCCACGCGCCAGGGCACTGAGCAAGGAGGGCTACCGCGGCGGCCTGGGGATGCAGGATGGGCAGCAGAGTCAAAGGAAATGCAGCGGCTAATCAAACAGAGATGCACGCAATTGGGAGGAGGGCGGCAACCGGGAAGAGGATGGGGGAGGTTGGTGAAGTCATTCCAGGGTGGAGAAGCCAGGGCGTTGGCGTAGTTCGCCGCTTGTAACACACCCAGACGCCTACGGAGTACCTTAGCTCGTGTGGAGCACTACAGCGTACATGTACCCGGTACTCCCGATCTTATCGCTCCCGTTCTGCGACGGCGCCACAGTTGGCGTCGCCAGGTACAGGTACGGGCACGCAAACGGGCCTCAATGGTGTGGCTGCGTGCGCTTTCATGCTTCAATTCCTCAACCACCATTGCATGCTGCATGCGGACAACCATTGCCTCCAGTTTGTGTATCCAAGTGTGATTGTACATTGGTGTTGTCACATTCGAGTACTTTCTCAAGTACGCTATCATACAGTGTCCCAGCGGCCCAGCTGCTCTTCGCTTCTCGACATCTAAAACAGCGTCTCCTCGGCCTGCTTGTTCTCCTTCTTGACCGCGCTCTTGATCTTGTGCACGCCCGGCACTCTAAAGTACAAACTGGGTGACTCGCCAGGCGCCAGTTGGTGGCTCAGGTATCCCCGGTGCGCCGGGTCACGGTAGTACTCGATGTCCTCACGGCTGGTGGGGTCGGGCAACCGGTACCGGAAGAGGTTCTTCCTCGCCTCCGCCAGCACGCCCTCGACGTGCTCCTTGCCCTGGGGTAGCGGCTTGTCTGTGTTAACCGACTCGCCTGTCAGGAGGCGCTTGATGGACAGCCGGGTGTAGTATCTGGTTAGCACCTTGCCGCCCTGGCCCTCGATGGCGGTGATGGCCTGGGCCGAGACGCGCGAGACCATCACGTCAATGGGCTGCTTGAGGGTTTCTGCGCCGCGGGACAGCACCTTGACGCCGTCTTTGACGGTTCCCACGAGGCCGCTCTCAATCAATTCCTTGGGGGTGATTTGCTTCGTCGAGTCGAGTCGTCCCTGGTCGATCCAGGCCTGGATCTGGTCGAGATTCACCTCCGACATCTTGGCCGCCCGGCTGCACCACAGTTAGCAAATTGGCACTTTTCCCGACCTCATCCAATGCTGCTCGCGCTTACTAGTTATTGAAACCCTTCCGACCGAGCTTGACAATCAGAGGAGTCTGACCGCCCTGGAACCACGGCTTGACCTTGCCGTGCTGCTTCTGACCCTTGTGACCGCGTCCTGACGTCTTTCCGTGGCCGGAGGAGGGGCCGCGGCCGACTCGCTTCTTCTTGTGCATGGCGCCCGGGTTGTCTGCGAGGCTGCCGAGGATGGAGGCGTGGCGGTTCTGGAGCGAGAGACCGGCCATGTAGGCCGTCAGCGAGGTGACGGGCCCATTGGCGGTGGCCCTGCAGCACAGTGACGTGCTGAGAGGGGAGATTCGGGGAGGCATTGTCGCGGGAGAGGGGCCGTGGCCGTGTCGAGTCGATATGAGGCTCTCGCTGGTCTCGCTGTCGACGTCCAATTTTTTGGGAAGCTTTGGATGGTACGTACTGTAGAAATGTTGATGCCTTAGGCCACAAGTTCGACTGGACCATCATGTGGGGGACCTCTGGACATGTAAGAGATTCTGTTTTGAAGATGGAAATTACTTCGTAATAAAATGTTTTCTATCATTGAGCTTGAGGGCCCTCTTCATACTTCAATTGGGTATGGGGCCACTCTCACCATTGTTCGCTGGAGCCGCAAACGACGAGAAGAGGGGTCTAAGTTACTTCGCAAACTCCGGGTCCAGACTGGAAATGGGTCGTGTTGCTGGCACTTTCACCACCAAATGTCTCCCGCTTGTTTTGTTAATTCTTAAAATAAATCAGATTGAACATCCTGTATATAAAAACCGCAGGTTATTGACCAAGTACGTATATGTCCGTCGACCCCCTATAGCACGCTAAAGACATACCATCATTCCCAAACTCCAAGACACCAGTACGTACCCAAAACACCACTCACAATCACACTCACACTCACAAATCAACCACCCTCTCCGCATCAAACCCCCGAGTATCCTCCAACGTCGGGCCCTTGAACCCAAGCACGTAGCCGCGCTGGTTGGCAACAACACGAATGCCGCCGCGCTGGAACTGCGTGGTAAAGTGCGTGTGGCCAAACATCCACCAGGCCACGCGCGCAAACGCCGGGTGCTGCAGCACGTCGGTCGCAAAGGCCGCCTGCCACGGGTTGCGCTCGTGCTCCGGCCGCGACGCGCCCTTGACGCACGGCGCGTGGTGCGTCACCACCAGGATCTGCCGCTCCTCGGTGCACGGCGGCAGCGTGTCCAGCTCGGTGAGCGTCGCCTTGAGCCACGAGACGTCCCGCGCGTGGCAGTCGTTGTGGTTGGACACCTTCCAGCCCTTGATCATCTTGTAGTCGGACACGCGGAGAGTGACGTCGGCCTCGGCCTCGGGCGGGATGTCGGACCAGAGCGTACAGCCCAGGATGGTCAACCGGGAGGTCTTGTCGTCCCAGCGGTCGCGGTCCAGCAACACCAGCTTGCCGGCGAGCACCTCCTCATTCTCCATCTGGCGCGCCTTCTCGATGCCCGCCCTGTAGCTCATCTCGTAGAACTCGTGGTTGCCCAGCACGAGAAACACCTTGTCGAAGCGCGCCGTCTGCCGGGCCAGGAAGCGCAGGAAGGCGTCGTAGTCGACCATGCGGCCGATATCGCCGCCCAGCACGAGCAGGGGGGCCTTGACCTCGAAGTCAAAAGTGTCGTATTGCCGGTTCAGCTCCAGATGGAGATCGGACATGATCTGCACCTGGCGTCCACATGCCGTGCCGTTGGGCGTGGGAGGGCCCATCAACATTTCCGAAAACCGATATAGAATATCCATTGTAAGTAGGGATCGGCGAGATGCTCTGGGATATGAAGGAGGGTTGGAAATGCTTCGAACAGAATGAATAAACCATCTTGAGAAGAAGCCAGCCCGACTTATAATACCAGATGGAATGTCTGACTTCAGAGATGGCTGAGCTAGTAGCACGGCCTCCACCCAAGCCACTGGCGCTCTGCCTCAATCCGGTCAGCCCTAGGACTATAGTCATGGCCTAGAAGGTCCTGAAGAATCGGGCCCAGTGGCGTAGGTCGAAGGACAAAAACTTAAATGACGAAATAGAATAGTTAAACCAATAATGATTAGTTTCGCTGTTTTCAGGCCGTTATCCAGGACAGAAACAGCGCTCCATCGTACATCATGAACACCCAAGTACTAGGCCCACTTCCTGAGTACCAAATGCAGTCCGAAATCTATCACAACATTATTCAAAACAGACACCCAGTCTCCCTCTGGACCAAGACCCCAATGCACGTGCCATGTCCCGCAAAGGTCCTTGAGTATCCTGGTCGAGTCGAGGACCAAGAAAAAAAACATCTCTGGGACTGCCTCTGAAAGCAAAACGCCTCTCCTCTTTCCTGCTGTCCCTGCTGTGTACAATGAATCCGCATGCTATGTAATCAAGTCGGTCATGCCGCCCGACGTCCATGCACTCTTGGGAGTGCTCAGTGCGGTTGTGTTGTTTGTACATCTTGATATGAGTCCGTCACGGACTATCTCGAATCGGCGTCTCTTCATCTCGAAGCACCTGCTCGAGAGGGCTGGCCGTTCTTTATTTGTTGCTTCGGTTCAAAATCGAGTCATCTTTATGGGTGCGCCCAGCCGCCTGCAACATCCACCCATTCGGCAAGGCAGGATCCTTCCTTGCCTTCCACGTCGACGACGTCAGTGTCGCACCTACACCGGCAGCCAACACCCCCTTCTTGCGGGGTGTCCCAGTGTTCCCAGTAGTCGTCCTCCTCGAAGCGTGTACGATCATTGAGCGTCGTCTGTTCTAGATAGGACTCGCGGGGAAGCTGAAGGCCTGGGGCATTTGAGGGACAGTGCTGGATAGTGGTATGTCGGTATCCAAAGTCTCGGAAGTAATGGATATCCCTGGGGCCTAGGAGAGCGCCGGCAGCGAGGGAGTGAATGGGCGCATCGCCCCACTGGAAATGGTTAGCATCGCTTTTGCCAAGAAATTCATGCCAAGAGATAAGGGGCACACAACATACCCGTTCCATCCAGAAGCCACCGCTGCGGTCCATCATCTGAAAGAAATCCTGGTACTCCTTGCTGCGGAACCAGCTGAGCTTCGCAATCTCAAAGTTGGACCAGAAATGGCACATGTTGTACTTTTCGCCTTCCATGGATTCGCCATCGATGATGGGCTTGGTGTTTTTCTTCGGGCTAGTTGGCGGAATAGAGTCCTTCGGTGACTCTTCATCCTGCTCCTCCGGAGGTTCGACAAACATTTCCCAAAGACCTTGAGAGGTTAGGTTGTTGAGGCGCTTGTAAGCGGAGGCATATCGGAAAATATTGGGGACGGTCTCGCGGAGTTCCTTGACGGCGATGGTAAATCCGTACGTTTTGTTGTTTTCGATCATCTTCAAGAAGGGATCACTATGAGAGGTTAGCACCCACGTCTTAGAGAACCTTCGTGTGAGAGCAACATACTATGTGATGTCACAGAAATAACTGATTTCGGGCTCGACTCGCCAGTACCACTCGTATTTCAGCAGAAGGGGATGGTTGAAAAAGAAGCTATACATGGTTAGGTTGGTTTCAATATGGGCATCATGGGAAGCCTACCCAGAGTAGAAGCGACACATTTTGTGATAGCTCTCAAGCCCGCCGTACATGACGGCAGCATCGCCCTGCTTCGCAATGCCTTCCTGTGCAACCGCGGGGTCGATCCAGTCGGGGAATCCCCACATGTCAGGTCCGACCTTGCCAAACTCGACCTCCCCAGATGTGTGATTTCGGATCGTTTCCTTGAAGTTGTCGTCGAAGTCGCCGTCGTTGAGGAAGACGTAGGGGTAGTGGTACCATCGGTTGAAGTGGCGTTCGACAGACTTGATCGACTGGATAACGCCGTCAATCTCCTTATTTCTCGCAAGGATAACGAAGGCAGCATTGGCACGGGGCTTCGACATGTCGGGTTCGGCACAGCCTTCGACGAAGACCTTATCGTACTTTTCGCTGATTTTTCTGTAATCGCACAACTGTCAGTGAACTGGACTTGGACGAAGGAGTGCGACGCAGAAGCATTGGAAAGCGACATACCGCATAGCTGGGGCAGCCCCCCCGGGTATCAAGAACCTTGCGGGAGAGCTCGGGTGGCTCACGAAGAGAATGAATATCAAGATGAGCACCAGCATAGGGAAGAATATGACAATCCCCAACGGCACCGAAATGGTCGAGTTCCCCCGCAAGCGCAAGGGTCTTCGAAAGAATGCCATGCGAGAGTCGCTCTTCTTCCCCCTCTTCTCGTCGACAGGAAGCGGAAGGGGCGGATCATTGGAGACCCCCTTGGTGGCCCGCCGGATCAAATCCATGGCGAGAATGGACCTGCCTCAGCGGCAGGTGTTGTGATTGAGAGCGAAGGAGGTCGGAGGGACATAGAATGCGCCGCTAGGAGGCGCCAGCGTCGGGGCGGCGGCGGCGGCTGAGAGACGGGCGAGGGCGGTAGGGTAGGGAGCGAGGAAGATAGACCGGGGATGATGCAACGAGGAGGAATTAAGTCGAAACTCGATCAGGGCGGAGGAGGCGAAGGAGGCGACGGGAAGCAACGGCGAGGGAATGACGGATATATCGGGCGAAGCGAAAGTCGGCGTCGATTGCGCAAAGCAGCAAGCAGCAGGTTCCGGCACTTCCAGGAGTCGTACGGGTAAGGAGTGGGAGATATGGAGTTGGAATTAATAAAGAGCGGCAGGGACCACGTTCCCTAAACCACGTTCCCCAAACCAGAATTCCCACCCACTGACGCGTCCACCGAGAAAGCGGCGGCAGTGGGTCCTGGATCGAATCGTCAACGGGGGCGGGCGGCAGAGCGAATGGCGGCCGCGGGGGGGTTGAAGATGCGATCGCGGGTGGACGCAAGAGGGCGGATCTTTCTACGAGGCCTGAGAAGGCTGAAGGTTGAGATACGAGAGACTCGGCGAAGTGATGTCAGCCCGGTTGAGATGCGTGCGCCTGTTGAGATGCGGTGGATTTTGAAGCCGCCGTAGCGACAGGCGACAGGAGGCTTTTGGCAAGGAGGTGCCCAGGGCCGTTCAGAGGGTCCCTGTAAATGGACAGGGGGCTCAGGGGCCAATTACGGCGCTGTGAGCATAAACACTGGGACCAGTTAGGGACACAGGGGGGCCACTGGTTGGACTGGGTGCGCCGGGAATGGCGGATAATCTGATATCCCAGATCCGGCACCCCCCTCTCGTGCAAATTTTGGGACAGGAAGCCTGTTGAGATTTGGGAAACAGCCACGCCAAGCAAGCCGCTTCCAAGTTTTTTCTTCTTCTTTACGCGCATGGACACCGCAGCTTTTGGCCATGACGGCCCCACCGGTCCATGCAGCCACCCACTTCCCCCGGAGGCCGAGTGGCTCTGTGCACACTGTGGCTATCTGCAGTGGAGGGGGGGTTGAGGGGCCTGTGCTGTGGCTTGTCACCGCTTGTGGATGGCATTGTGCATCCTAATTAGTGCAGAATGCGCACAATGAGACGTCGCACCGCTTGTTCCTTGTTTCTGCCGTCATCTGAGCTCTCTTCGTCGAATCGGGCGCTGCTTGGTCCTCTCACATGCACGGCCGCGGAGCTAACGTGGCAAACCAAACTCACGGGAAGCAATTGAGCCTCATTCATGTCAGCAGAAGCTGCACTCACATCATTCGCCTGCTGATAAGCTCGGGCGAGCCATACCCACACCGTCGACCCGGAACCGCAGACGAAACAGCACTCCGCCTATCTCGCCGAGAGAGATTGAGTGGACGTGCAGCACGCACTTCGGAGTGGGCGGTAATTTTGGATCCCTGAACGCGTCACCTAATTTGGACGAACCCTCGCCGCCGAGAAAAAAAATGGCTCCCAAGATCACATCCAAGAACCTGTCCTACGACTCGTCCGCGCCGCCGTTCCTGGCCGCGCTCCGGGCTCAAGCCGCCGGCGGTCCGGGCCCCGACCCCCTCCTCGCCGCGCAGCGGAGATCGGCCAAGAAGCGATCCAGCAGCGAGGACGCCGAGGATGTGCCTCTGGTGGTCGACGAGGACGGCAACGTCGTGAGCCACCTCGAGGTGGACAAGGACGGCGTCGTCGTCAAGGATTCGCAGGATCACGGCCTTGATGGATCAGCAGCTGCATTTGAAAAGGAGACGACCAAGGAGTCGGAGAGCAAAGTCTCCATTGGTGGACGGAAACGCAAAGTTGGAAAGGTCATTGGCGACGCTGCGGGCAAGGGAGGAAAGCAAGGCGATGCCAAAGAAGGAACCAAGGACCGCAAACCCAAGAAAAAGCCGAAGAAGATCAAGCTTAGCTTCGACGAGGATGAAGGCTGAATGGAGGGACCAAGAGGCTATCGGCAATCAGTCTGAGGTTGTCCAGCCAGTCCTTGGATGTTATCACAACCACATTCGCCGCCTGCCCGATTCGGTGTCTGAAAGTCCGGGGTCTCACGCCACTTCCCAATCACCCAAGGAACCCGTCCGGGCTTGTATGGGCCGACGCCCAAGCAACAGCCAAGGTTTGGTCCGTAAATTCCCAGGTCCGAGCTATGCCAGGAGACTATCCTAGTAACAAGCCTCACGCTGTGAACTGTGAGAGAAGGGTTGGTTGGATATGTAGCTTAGAAAGCCAAGCTAGTAGACCCGGACGGAGCCGCATGAGTCGGCTTTAGATCAATTACAACCCCAAAGTACATTGCGTCAGAGTTACGCAAGCTGATGAACTCTATAATTACGAGGAGCTCAAGCACTCCAATATCCGACAGAACTTCATTTCGATCAATGTGGTCCAGGGAACACTCGAATGGCACTCAAAACAGTGGTCAAAACGACTTCTGCAAGCTAGTAAATTGACACAGGGAAAAGGCACCCTAATCTACACAAATCCGCTGCTCTCCCCGGGGCACCATCCCGCCTTCGTCTAGTGTTCCTTCAATACAACCACAGTCCATAATGCAGATGTGTGCATTTATCGGTATCGGTACTCGGGCTTGATGTAATCGGCGAAGGTCTTGGGCTCCTCGAACTCGGGGGCGTGGTGGTGGTGGTGGTCATCCTCGGCGCCGACGTAGTCCATCTTGTAGACGCTGCCGCACTCGGGGCATCGCTCAATGGGGCGGTCCTTGGTGAGCTGTAGTCAATCGACGTCGTTAGCAAACCTGTTCCATCCGTCCGGATGTGGACTTGGAGAAGCACTTACGCCGAGCCAGTGGACGTTGTGGGAGTCGGCGGGGAAACCGGTGCAACCAGCGAACTGCTCCTCACCAGCGGATCGGACCATGACGGGGTTCTCCATCGTGCCGAGGCGGCTGGCGTCAAGAGGGCGCATGTCGAAGATGTCGACACCCTCCATCTTTCCGAGAATCTCGAGACGCTCCAGACCAGTGGCCTGCTCGAGGTCGGTGGGGACGGTTCCGGGCTGGGCACCGGGGCCGAAAAGGTCGTCCTCGGTCTTGACCTCTGTTGGCAGCTTCTCGTCAGCGATGTGCTCTTCACAATGACTCGACCGAGGTTATGGGGGATTGCGGAGAGGCGGCAATCGGGGCTCGGAATCGTGGCGACGTACCCTTCAGAGTCTTGTAGGAGCCGACCTTGGTCTGGGAAGCGGCAGCGACGGCCTCGGGGGCCTTGGGAGCATCGCCTGGAGCACAGTCAGGTCAGCCATCGTCACCAAACACCATCATACGAGGATTGCCATTGGGCGGGCGGGAGCAAAATGCGTACGGCGGACAAAGGAGGTGGTGAAGGAGCGGGCGACGACGGGGCGAAGGGCGGCGCGGCGGGCCGCAGCGATGGCGGTGCGTTGCATGAACATTGTATCGGTTGCGCCGGCGATGGAGGTTTGGATGATGCTGGGAGAGGTGTTGTCGAGGGATTTGTGAGGATGGGCTGATTTGGGAGGAAGTTGAATGGCGGACCCAATTCGGGCACCGGAATTGGCCAATCGCGAGCGACGTGATTTGCAACACGTGACTTCTCAGCTTCCAAGCTCGGCTGACTCTGGGAGTCCCCGATGACCACGAAAACAGACCACTACGCTGCGAAGGATGAGTTCGTATTCGGACGGCTTATCAATTAAGATCGAAACATGTCAATTGTGGCCTCTTCAACATTTATTGGTTTTTGTTGTTGCAACTAGAGCTGTGAGAATGGCTTCGTTTCTTGGCACCCTGGTTTTTTCGCCAAAATTAAGTTCCAAGTTTAGGCCATTCGTAGCGCGCCTCCTACCATACTCTCGCAATGCTTTGTAACGAAAGTCAATGATTTGGGAATAGAGTGAACAACTGGGCGAACTCCAGAAATGAGAGAATAATATTCGAATATTGTTCTATATCTACCTATTGGACTCATCAGTCACCGTCACTTTGAAGCTGACGTAGTAATAAGCAACCGATAATTGGCGAGTGCGTGGGCGGTGATCACCAAGTGGGAAGCAATCATCTAATCATCAGATGAGCCATTGCTGCCTACAGCACCCCCGCAAACAGGCATTTGGTGAGATGTTCGTTTGCGCTCCCATTGGCTAGGATACATCAGTTTTAGTTCTTGTCCTAGAAATATAACGTGGGCTTTTTCCCTTCTCGCACGGCAACAGCGACTTTTCCCATGTCAATCGTTCCCCTAACCTCACCTTTTCTCACTCACCACGAACAATACAAGCGACCGATAAATCCTCTCAAAGCGAGCCTAAATTTAATGCAGTCATGTTAGGCTCAGCCACCATTCTTCGCGGCTTCAAGATCTCTGTGGCCGTTCTCGATGCTTTCCTTTGCGCTAATGGGGTGGATGAAACTGAAGGTTGTCCACCAATGTCCCAACACCATCCAGATAAAGATCCCATTTCTGCCTTGCTCTACACAAAAGTCTCCGAGGCAGGCGGAACTGCTAGCAAACATAAGTTTCGCGTCATGATCCCTTCCAGAGAAGGACATGATCATTCTACTGTCGCCTATGTCACATATTCTTGGCTTACAGTCTATGCACATCGCGACCTGCAGTTGGACGATGAAGCGTTCGCGGAAATTCCGACAGGATTCCAAGAACTGAGAAGGCAGGTTTTGTCCTATGTCGATAAAGTATCTCAGGGTCGCATTTCAGATGAAGGGCGGCTGGGCCTATTTGCTGTTCACACGCATGAGTATCGAGGTTTATACAACCCCCGGGAACTCATTGATAGATTCAACGTCTGTCCCTCTTATTTTTTATCCTCTTATTCTTCATTTTCGTTTACTAACTAACTAACCTCCTTTGCCATTCCAGGCGACTCAGTATTGCGATCAGTGTGATGCAGTTTTCAATGATCCCCAGGAATTGAATGATTGGAATAAGCGAGCATGGAATATGAGACAGGATCATCGTGCTGAAGTTCATGGGTCTATCGAGGGTAGGAATCCACTCCCAGATGTATAAATGACTTTCAGGCCCGTCTCGAATCTTCTCAACCGATGCGCACTTGTCCTGTTACTCCAACTCTATGACCAAGTCTTGGTTTCATCCTGAGACAGCTGGACGTTTATTTCCATCTCATCTCCCGCGCCTGTGCCTACTCCCAAAATATAGTCGCCTTCGCACAACAACCACTTGTTATCAATCCAACGGGCAACGTCGCGCTTTTGGATCACCATATTCATCGTCGATGTTTTAGACGGCTCAATGGTTGCTGTTTTCTCAAAACCCACCAACGCCCTTTCTTCTGGCCGGTCCTTGTGGCAAATATATAGCTGCACAACTTCTTGGCCAGCCACATTTCCAGAGTTCTCCACGGTGACAGAGACAGTCCAGTCCTCATCGTTGGAACTTCCTGCAGATATAATGGAAGTGAAATGGGTGTAACTCAGCCCATAGCCAAACCACCACTGTGGTTGTATGTCAGTTTGGTGGCTGTACCATCGATACCCGACTTGGGAACCCTCCTTGTAGAGCACAGTTCCGTCAATTCCTGGCCAAGACTGCGGGTCGGAAGAGAAAGGAAGATCGGCGTAACGCCGCGGCCACGTAATAGGCAATCGGCCAGATGGATTCACAGTCCCAAAAAGCACATCCGCCAAGGCATTTCCAGCTTCCTGTCCTCCGTACCAAGCCTGCACAAATGTCGACACTCCATCAATCCACGGAAGCTCAACGGGAGATCCTGATTGATTGACGAATAGTAATTTCTCTGGCCGATTTGTACGTTGAAGGAGGGCTTCGATAAGTAGATCTTGGTCTCCTGGTAGCGCCATTGACTGCCTGTCATAGCCTTCGCTTTCCCATTCATCGCTTAGGCCTAGGACCACAACTGTCACCTCACTCTCATTCGAGAGAGTGACGGCCTCGGTTATCATAGTCTGTGAATCCGGGATTGGCGGAGAGAAACCGATGCGAACTGATGGATTGGAGGAGAAGACATGATTAACATCGTCTGAGGAAGCCCTCTCAGCTGTTGAGTGGGTGTTCACCCAGCCCTCAATCGACACCTTGTAGTGCTTTCCGGCTTCCATAAACTTGGCATTGATGCACTCGGCGCTTCCGAATGAGTAGAATGTCTCTCCTCGATTCTCCCAATTGGCGTTATCGACAACGAGTTCTCCATCGACGAATAGCTTGGATCCTCCGACACTGCTTAAACTGAAGGAATGCGTTCCTGAAACTGAAGAGAGGACTGTTGAGGAAGCTCTGAAGGAATAAGGTGGGATAGGGTCAATCTGGAACTCCAGCGGAGCACTGTCCGACAGATCGATGTTCGAGCTGTCGCGGAATTGTGTCTCTACAATAGGACCAGATAGATCTGTCGATGCAAAGAAGTCAATCTGGACCATTGACTTTTCTTGGGCATCCGCTGATGGATCTGAGGTCCACTGGGCTTTCTCGAAGAGAGGTAGCCACTTCAATGCGTATGCTCCAGGCGCATATTTAACAGACAAGTCGATGCCATGCGTTTTAGCCACTGCCTTGAATGATTCCATGGGCCGGCTCAGATATTGCGGGTTCATGCTCGCTGAGCCGCCACCACCAGGGGTGCCTAAAAGAGCATTGGGCCCGATGAATGCTACCTGTTTCCCAGCAAGAGTCTCCAGCTTCAAGGGTAGTGTTTGAGTCGAGTTCTTGAGTAGGACAATACCACTTGCCGCCATCTCGCGCATTAGCTTGGTGTCTTCTTTGGTTGTAGAAGAAATTTCTGTGCGGTCTCGCGACTTCTTGGCAAGCTCCGGAGAAAGTCCCAGAAGGTCGAATTTGCGAGCGAGTGATAGGATGCGGGTAACGGAGGTGTCTAGAGCCTGTAAGGTCTCTGTCGTCGGGTTGTCCTGGATTGCCTTGAGGAGGATTTTCCCACGCTTCTCTGGAGGCCCGGGCATTTCCAAGTCAAGGCCAGCAATGAGACTCTCCAGGGTCGAGTTGGTACCGCCCCAATCACTCATGACGAGGCCTTTAAATCCCCATTCCCCTCGAAGAATATCCTTGATTATGGGGGCATTCTGATCCATATGTTCGCCATTGACAACGTTATATGAGGTCATGATGCAATCCGGAGGCGATTGTGACCTGATGATCATCTCGAAGGGTTTGAGGTAGATTTCTCGGAGTGCTTGCTCAGAAATCTTTGCATCAATGCTGAATCTCTCATATTCTTGCTCATTGGCGATACTATGGAGTTTCACCCGTTAGTAATATTTTCTAAGCGAAACGGCTATGGAGGTAACGTGGTCTAAAGGGTCAACTGCTTACAAGTGCTTTGCCGTCGCTGAAATCTCACCCGTCTCTTGAACGCCACTGATATACTCGATAGCTAATGCTCCACTGAGGAAAGGGTCCTCCCCGAAGCACTCGAAGTTGCGTCCGCCTAGAGGGTTGCGGGCACAGCATATTGTTGGGGCGAGCAAGATGTGCGCTGCTTTAGTCTTGGCTTCACGACACAGCAAACGACCCAAATCTCGCATTTGAGTTTTGCTCCATGTTGCTGCTTGGCAAACAGGACCTGGAACGAAGGCTGCAGATGGTCCGTCAACGGCGAACTTTCCGCGAGCACCAGAGGGCCCATCTGTTGTCTAGGATCGTTGGTGTTAGGCATGAGTGTACATTAAGAAGTCAATGTCAAATACCTTGATCGACCCTATGCCAAGCCGTGAGATTTCTTGAGTTTGCCAGATGTCAGATCCTGAGAGCAAGAAGACCTTCTCCTCTAGAGAGAGCTGCCCGAGCAGCGTTTCAATATCAGTGGATGCCATGTTGCCGAGGTGCAGAAAGTCAGCCAGAGTGAGTGTGTACCTGCTTCAGACATCCCTGGCTATCTGGCGAGTTCTTGACTCGACTCTTATCTGACCGAAGCCTCCTTAGCACCGGTTGTTCTCCGGGTTTTTGTGGTGATGAAGTTGTGGATCGCGGCTAGAATGCCTCGATTCGGATATCTCGTGCGGTTGAACCACGGTTCTTCTTATCCGAATACTCAACCTCGCGGTTTGCCGATCGCGGTATTCGTGGCAATTGATTGGTAACACCAGACTACGACAGTCGTGATAAGGGCTGCAGGAACGCTATCACTTTGTCCGACGGCCTATTGGGAATTAGTCCGAGCTGGTAGTCGTATTATCGGTGGGGCGTCAACCCGAGAATCGCGGTATTTGTTTCCATTGGCTACAGGCTGGATATTTGACTTGACTCGGGGCAATTGAGCTAACTTAAGCGATGCGCGATTGATAGAGCAAGGATGCAACTACGTAGTTATCTTGCACTTCAGACTTAGACTGCTTGATTGCCTGAACTTGGAAGCGGGGGCGGGACATCTTAATCTGAAGCCAACTTGGGAGAGGTTTGACTCAAGAGTTTATATAGTGAGCTTAAAGAAGGCCCCTCCCATCACAAATAGTGAGCGCCAAAAGCACACGAATCTCAGGTTTAATATTGTTCTTCATCATCATGTCTCCGTCCGACAGCATGGCTCGCAGAGAGCCAGAGCGGCATGACTCAAGTGGCACATACCTTCTTGTCATGGCCTGCTTCGTTGTGACAGCGAACGCAGCAACGCAGGGTTATGACTCCTCTATGATGGTGAGTTATCATTGAATTCCCCGCCCCCGTTCGATTTTACTCACAAAACTGCATAGAATGGCCTCCAGATTTTGCCTTCTTACACCGACTATTTTGGACTGACGACGACAACACTTGCTCTCAATGTCGCCATTGTCTTCGCTGGCTCTGTGATAGCCATGCCCATTGCCGGCCCCATCGCCGATGTATGGGGTCGTAAGTGGGGAATTGCCATTACTGCGATCATATCTATTATCGGTGCTACCATCCAAGGTGCTGCTGTCCATGAGGCCATGTTCTGTATTGGCAGATTGCTTGTCGGTGTTGCCATTACGACAGGTTCTACGGCTGCTCCCGCGTACGTTTCGGACCCCCTAAACTACATCCGATCGGCATGCTTACATCAAATGTAGTTACATCTCCGAAGTCGCACATCCCAGGAATCGTGTCATGCTTACTGGCCTTTACGGCACGAGTTGGTACATCGGCAGCCTCATTGCGGCCGGCGTTACGTACGGTAGCCAGTTCATCACCACCACTTGGTCATGGCGACTTCCCTCTCTTGTATGTCGAGATTGCATATTTCATCCAAACTTGGACTAATTTGATGACTAGCTCCAATTCATCCCTTCAATTCTATGCCTTGCGCCCCTGCCGTTCATACCGGAAAGCCCGCGTTGGCTTATTTACAAGGATAGACATGAGGAAGCTCTAGCTATTCTGACGAAATATCACGGCCAAGGCGATCCAAACTCTACTGTCGTTGCTATAGAGTACGCCGAGATCTGTCAGACTCTAGAACATGAAAAAGCAGTACAGAGTACCGACTGGAAGGCTTTGGTTAGGACTCGACCCAATCGGTGGAGACTTGGTGTCACGGCGGCAGTTGCTTGTAAGTCTCAACGGTGCCTTTCTGCTTCTTGAAATGAACTAATCATGTACGTAGTCTTCTGCCAAGTCAGCGGAAACAACATCATCACGTACTATCTTGGAGACGTTCTCACTGCTGCCGGAATCACTGAGATGCAAACTCAGCTAGCCATCAACATAGGACTGAGCGTATTCAACCTTTTTACGTCATCGCTTGGCGCTTGGCTGAGTGATCGGGTTGGAAGGAGAAGGGGCTTCCGTACGCATATCTATCCCCTCCTCTGCTGACCCTCAATGAACTGACATTTACCATTTAGTGTCCGTGACAATCATCATGTCATTGTTGCTAATTATTGTTGCTGCCTTGACCAAAGTTTACGGAGGCAACCCAACTCTCGCATCATCCGCCGCTCAAGTCGCCATGATCTTCCTTTTCTACGGCGCCTACTCATTCGTCTGGACGCCTCTAGCCATTCTATACCCCGTAGAGGTACTCTCGTACTCTATGAGGGCAAATGGTCTTGCCTTCTATAACGGTGTCTGCTATGGAACCGCCTTCCTGAACACCTTTGCGATTCCGTACGCTATGCAGTGGTCAAGCTGGGGATTCTATCTTATCACGGCTTTCTGGAACTTGGTTTTCGAATGCGGGATCATTTATTTCTATTTCCCTGCCACAGAGGGAAAGAGTCTTGAGGAAATTGATGTTATCTTTGAGGGGATTAGGCATACAGACTTGGACGTGACAATAGCAGATGTTCTCGAGGGCAAGGCTGTTGATCTTGAGATTGCAAAGGGGGAGTTAGTAGCTAAAGCCTGAGGGCCAAGTTAGAGCCAAGTATTTATGGCTATTAACAACCAACTATGACTTGTCTCGCTATCCGCTCTAATGTTGGGTTCTTCTCGGAACGATTTATCCTATGACCCAGTGCCAGCCCTCCCACTGCAATCGATTGGTAAATAATTACATAAAACCCAGCGTTTGTAATTACGAAGAAGACGAGACATCAGGAGTAAATGTTATTTAGAGCAGTGCTAGGAATCCTAGGACAGGACTCCCATGCTTTTTTGTCGGTTGGGGGACGTCTCTGGTCTCAGCCGAGGGCACTGCATTAAAAGTACAAATAGTGCACAGCGTGTGCCTCAGGCACGTATATGACTAGCGGGGTTTCTACCTAAGGTAGCTTTTGCGAACCACCATGGTCAGCCTTATTGTCACTTTGTGATGTCTCATATCGTTATACACATAAAATTTATGTAGGCCAAGTTGAAGGATGCCTTGTTTGAGCTCTACCCCGCACTAGATCTTCATTTCAATTGAAAATATCTTTGCACCATTAACTCAGTCAACGTAGCATCGCTTGGAACTCAAGAGCCTCACACCCTAGCTGAGTACAACGCAATTCAGCATGGAGGTGAGTTTGCGGACCTCTGTGCATGAGATTGTATCTGATCAATTCTAGAAAACACTGCAGCCCAATGGAGTACATATCGCCAATCCTGAACCTGGAGGTGCGGCAGACGATCCTTCTCCCTTGTTGGGACGAGAACCCGAGGCCTGGCAACAAACTATCCAGACGGTTGCTCGTGGCGTTGTCTCGATAAAGTTTTGCCACCCATATTCATTTGACACTGGATATTCATCGACGAGCGAGGCTACTGGGTTTGTTGTTGACTCAGAGAGAGGGTGAGTTTGAGTTGATCCATCACCAGTGGGAGGCTGCTGATACGTTTAGGTACGTCCTGACAAACCGGCATGTTGTTGGACCTGGTGCGTTTTGGGGATTCCTCATATTTCAGAATCAAGAAGAGGTTGATGCGTACCCATTGTATCGTGATCCTATCCACGATTTTGGTATCTTGCGCTTCGACCCGAAAGCAGTCAAATACATGGACATCCTCTCATTGGAACTTCGACCGGACTTGGCAAAAGGTGAGACGAAATTTTGTCTCGGTAGAGTGATTCGTATTGACTAATATAACTTCAGTTGGAGCTGAAATCAAAGTCATTGGCAACGATAGTGGAGAAAAGATGAGCATCTTGTCCGGCTACATCAGTCGACTTGACCGGAACGCGCCACACTATCAAGGGTACACCGACTTCAACACCTGCTATTACCAAGCCAATGCTTCAGCGAAAGGCGGGAGCTCGGGCAGTCCCGTTGTGAACATTGACGGCCAGGCCATCGCGATTCAGGCAGGGGGCCGCTCTGATGGAGCGTCTACTGATTACTTCCTCCCGCTCCATGCCCCCCTTCGCGCTCTAAAGCAGATCCAACAAGGCCAAACTCCTCCAAGAGGAGACATTCAATGCAAATTCATCTTGAAGCCCTTTGATGAATGTCGTCGACTGGGGCTTACCTCTGATCGGGAGGCAAAGGTGCGCGAGGCCCGTCCCGAGGATACAAGCATGTTGGTCGCCCAGACAATTCTCCCAGAAGGCCCATCCGACAAGAAACTAAAGGTCGGTGACATTTTGGTCGAGATCAATGCGGAATTGGCGACCGACTTCCTACTACTTGAGAAAGTGCTGGACCAAAACATTGGTCAAACCATTCGGCTCTTAGTTCAGAGAGGGGGCAAAGACCTGCAAGTGGACATCTTGGTGGGTGACATTCAAGCTATCACTCCTGATTGCTTCTTGTCTGTTTCTGGGGCATACTTCCACAACCTTTCGTACCAAGTGGCCCAGCGATACGCGATTGCCTGTAAGGGTGTATTCATTTCTGAGTCTGGGCCGCTCGATCTTTGCAAAAGGAACGGCTGGATCGTACAAAGCGTCAACCATAAGGCTCCATCAAACCTGGACGAATTCATCGAGATTTGGAAGGATATCCCTGACAAATCCCAGGCCGTCATATCGTATAAAGACGTGACTGATCTGGAGACCTTGCGAACAGACGTCATCACAGTCAATCGACATTGGCCTTCTCTTATGAAGATGGTGCGTCGAAATGATACGACAGGCTTGTGGGACTTTGACGTCTTGGCTAAAGCAATTCCACGAACACCACCAACCCCGTCGAAGGCTTCATTTTTCCAACCCGAGAATGTGCCATACCCCGCTGTTGCCGACACCATGAGAAGTTTTGCTCATGTGAAATGTGTTATGCCCTTGCTTGTTGATGGGTGCGCGGCGAGAACGAGGAGTGGCATGGGCCTTGTAGTGGATGCATCCAAAGGACTGGTTCTCATTTCAAGAGCTATTGTGCCTAATAGGTTGTGTGACATCGAGGTAACCATTGCAGAATCCATCATGGTCGAAGGGAGAGTCGCGTTCCTGCACCCGTCGCAGAACTACTCCATCGTTCAGTACGATCCCCAACTGGTGGATGCACCAGTGAGGAGTGCGACACTAAGCACGGATAAAATTTCTTCAGGAACTTCGGCCCTATTTGTAGGAAACGCCGACACCGGAAGAGTTGTCTTTACCTCCACGTTGGTTACCAAACTGCAGCCGCTTCTGCTGCCCACGCTCGATCCACCCAGGTACCGTCCTATCAACATGGACTACGTTGGAGTTGACTCGCCACTTGGTGTTCAATGCGCGAGCGGTGTTTTAATGACGACGGATGGACGAGTTCAAGCGGTGTGGATGAACCATGAGATGCAAAAGTCTCAAACATATTTCGGTTTACTTGCCACAGTCTTGATTCCCGTCCTTTCACAACTTCAGAATGGAATCACGCCAAGTTTGCGGGTACTTCCGGTGGAGTTTGAACCCATCAAGATAGTCCAAGCAAAGGTGCGGGGCGTTTCTAGAGAATGGATAGAGAAGGTTGAAGAGACGGTGGCTCATCGCCAACTGTTTACCGTCAAGCGCTGTTTCGGTGGTCAGGATGATGGATTACATGAAGCCGACATCCTGCTTACCCTGAACGGTGAACTAATCACCGAGGCGTCTAAACTCGATGTCATGTACTGGAATGAGGTGGTTGAAGCTGAAGTGGTGCGGGGAGGTCAACAACTCACTCTCCAGCTCCGTACACTTCTCGACGATGATATGGAGACGGCCCACCTGGTTCAGATTTGTGGAGCGACACTTCAGAGACCGCATCGCGCGATCAGGCAGAGTATCAAGAATCTTCCGAGCGAGGTGTACGTTGCGTCGAGGCTTTACGGCTCGCCTTCAGCTCGGTACAAGCTTTCGCCGACTAGTTTCATCACCCACATCAACGACATGCCAACGCCCGATCTTGAAAGCGTGATTCGAATTTCTGGAGAGATTCCGGATAATACATGTAAGTACCGAGTTTGGCGTACTACTATTCGGACTATTTATGCAACATACTCACACATCCTTTTCTCCCGACTAGATTTTCGGATTCGAGCAGTTTCTCTCAAGGCTGTGCCATTTGTGATCACCATAAAGAAGAAGGAACATTATTTCCCCACGACAGAGTGGATTCGAGATCCTAATGAGCCTCAAGGATGGCGAAGAGTGACCTACGAGGAAGGGAAAGCCATTTATGAAGAGAGTCATAAGGGAAGCTCTGGCTAGCTTTTGCGGACCTCTGAGGCAATGTCACATTTAGATTCACCTAAATAGACAAAAATCTTCGATTGTTATTAGCATTAATTTTCGCACAGAAATACAAACCTCTTTAGGGAGCTAAACCCCAGGACAAGCTGATAAACCTAAAATTGGAATTCTTAGATCGTAGGCTTATATTTATCAATAAATTTAACTGACTGAAAAACAAATAAGATACATCAATGAAAATTATAAGAAAATAAGCTCTAAGAATTAGGAGTTTCAATAATTTATCAGGATAATAGATAGTTATTAGCAGGATTGAAGCATGTAGTTATGTGTGCGAGTAGCAATACACATTATTATATTTGTTGCAGAGAACAGGGCGTAGTATGCACTGTTGGGTAAAGCTGTGATGCTGAGTTTGAAGAGATAAATCCAATAAATTGTCAAGCACTTAAATGATCGTATATAATACATTTCTGTTAATAACAAACAACCAGTTATGTTATATCCCGATACGCATACTTTCGGAGTTATTCATTTGATGTCCGAAGGTCCTCGGTAATTTGCACAATGACTTGCTCCAGACCTACCCACCCTGGGCGTCCCAACTCCTGCAATAATTGCTCTGCCCGAGACGCCGGTTCAATCTCGTTGGGATCCCTCCCGTCGCTGAAGTTATCGGGGAAGGTCTTTTCCGGCTCATGCTTGCGGAAAATGGCGAGTACGTCATCCCAGTTGAAACGCCCGGCAAAGCCGAAGATGCGCTCGTCCTTCACATCCGGAAGAATGGCGCCAGCAACGTGCAGAGCACCAACGTCAGAGGCATCGACAAAGTATTCTGAAAGGTGATTAGCTCACTAGCCTTACATGACGTGGCATAGGACATACGTGGGTTGACAGCATGATGAATCGGGCTTATCTCTCCTCTGTAGAGACTGGCGACTAACGCCGGACTGCTCTGGTATCCTTGTCTCTGCAAGTCGAGAGTTTTGCCGAAAACAACGTTAGGAAGAACTGTCAAATATGAGAATTTGCATATTGAGATTCTTGAAGATAGACACCATACCAGCATTGACAACAAGGTCAGGACGTTTCGCACGATTTTCCTCATAAAATCTCCTAACCGCTTGCTCTCCTTGTGCCTTACTGGCAGCATAGACATAACCGCCGTGCCTTGCATCATATGGCGGCTCAGACCAAGCGATCTTGACAGCTTCTTCGTTATATGTGTCCTTCGTGACCACAACCTTCGGCTTGCCTGGACTGGACAGAACAGCTGCAGTAGACGAAGACGTAAGGACAAAGCGTTTGACGCTTAGCTCGGCGTATGCCGCCTTCAGAGCGTTGACAGAACCGGCGATTACCGCGGGTATTACTTTGTTTGGGTCCGCATCGTACGTCATTACCGACGCCGTGTGTGCAACAGCGGTGACGCCTGTTTCATGTCCAATATCAGCACCTCGAGCCGCCATGTGAGCGGAACATGATTCAACTTACCCTTCACAGCCTCGTCGTATGCGCCGTCAGCGACCATGTCTGGGACTGACACGAGCTCGAAAACACCACTGCCATATTTCTTCTCAAAAGTCTCCTTCATCCACGCCGCCTTGTTCACATCACGCGTTGTTCCTCGAACCTTGTACCCATACGCAAGAAACTGATCTGCGACGTTGGAACCGACCCAACCGCTGGCGCCGGTAACAAGAACTGTAGATCCCTTCGGGATGGCGGGGTCCTCAAAAGCCATTGCGCTGTGTAGTGGGCTCAGGTATAATTATAGTGTGAATAGGAGATGCTGTAGAAGTGTTTTAGTTTATTGATTCTTCTAAAAATCGAAAAAGCGTTGATGAAGGCTTTTATGTTCTTCCTTGCACGGCTATATGAGACTAAAAAGAGATGAAGTAATCATCGTCGTCAATTCCGCCTCAGGTTTTGTTCATGTCATCGTCGGGAATGCAATCACCCGAGTCGAGCTTGTAACTGTTGATTTCGGAGACTTTTTCGAACACGGCCCCACACAAATTGCGGACTTGTTGGCGGAGTTGTGCTGTGTGCCTCCAACGACAATTAGTCAGGCTGCGCCTCTGCATATTTGGATTTATAATGACGAGTGAGACGAGACACTTAGATGATCGACTGTCCACACAAATTGATTTGAATTTGCCTTTGGTACTAGAATGATCGCGAGCACCCGGTGCTGAGCTCAACGCCTTCCAGGGCATTCAACTTCTACACGTACAATGTTATCCTAAATCCATTTGAGCTTCCACCAGAGAATGCTCATGCCGCTAATAATTGCACATACTCCCGACACAACAATAAGAGGCCCATAGCCCGTTCCATAACCGCCATAAACCTCCTCAAACCATGGCAGCCCGTTGATCAGTGCATGGCTAAGAGGTCCTGAGGTAGTGCTACCAATACCTCTGCCTATTGAAAGAACACCGAGAACCATGGTCGAATCAAGGCCTGCTTGTCCATCATTGTGTGGATTCCATTTCTTCGCCGTCGACTCAGACATATGCCGCGGGATCCCTGGCCAAGCAGAGGGGTATGACCCTGCAAAAAGTCCGTACAACACACAAAAGAAAAACAGTGTCGGTATTTCTGTCGCAAATCCCCACACTAGAAACGTTGAAAGTGTTGATCCGACAGCCGATATCAAAAAGCACACCGTAACGTGGTAGCGGTCCGTTAACACACCCATTCCAGCGCAGCCGATCATCGATGCGAAGTTGACGAGTACGAGTGTGAAAGCTGAAAGAAAGTGACTCGCACCAATGGCACGGGCATATGTCGGTAGGTATACCAATGGGAGGGAGTATCCAAGAGCCTGAAAAATGTTTGACGCTTGGAATAGTATGAAAGTCCGATTCAGAGCGAATCCAAACCGAAAGGGTCGAAGGTGCGAAGTCGATACGGTTGGCAATCGTGGTTTGATGAAGTATGCTAACGGCACAGTTAGAACCACCAGCGAGACCGCCCATATCCGTAGTGTGGTGCGGAAGCCATGGCGGCCTAGGAAATGTTCAAGCAGCAAAGGGAGTACGGATCCCGATAAGCCAGTACCGGATAGAAAAACCCCAAATGCCAACCCTTTTCGCTCAATGAACCATTCTTCCAGGTACAAGAGACAGGGACAGTATAGAATGGAGCTGCCAATTGCAAAGAAGATTCCCTGCGACACCATCAAATGCGTTGTTGTTTGCGAATAAGAGCCGACGCCGAGAGAAATGCTCATGATGGACAGACCGATGACAGGTGACCACCTCCCGAACCGTGGGTAGAGCCGCTGGAATCCCATGATAAGTGGCATAGTGCAGTACATTATGCCCTACATCACACAGTGAGCTTGAGACTTGACATATACCACGGGGGGGTTTACCAGGGTACAGGTTCCAATAACTGGGATCATTGCCGAACCAGCAAACGACGCGTGTCCGCTGTAGTATTCTTGAAAGACGCCAAAGGAGTTGGGGAAGCCTAGAGTAAAGTAAATATTAGTCGTGTACTTGCTGGGAGGTTGCTTCCGGGAATCCTCAATCACATACCCCAAGCTAAAGCGTCCACGAAAAAGCATGCTGCTAAGAACAGCCACGCATCCTTGCCATGGTCCGCGGGCGGGATTGACGGCTGTGCGTCAGGGATCGACTTCTCGCAGTCTTCTCCGTCGGAAACAAGCGTCGTTGTTGAGCTGAAGGTAGCCACGTTGAGCGTGGGGTCTCCGTCAAAAATAGCCGTTGTCGTTGAGCTGGGGGTCAAAGTTTGGAGCTTAAAGTCTCCATCAAAAACGAGCGTCGTTGTTGAGCTTGGTGTTGAAGCCTGGAGTGTAGAGTCTCCTTCGGAAACAGTCGTCGTTGTGTCGGGGATGGCTAGTTGGAGCCGCAAGTCTTGTTGATTATACATCTCGGCGGATCGTTTCAGGGATAACCGTTTGAGTGCAGGTAGACTGGTTGTAACCATAAATGAAGGCCCAAGGTAACATGAAGTACTGAAACCTCGGTAGAAGCTTTGGCAGCGGGGAATACAAACAAGCTGGTCGTATAAATCGTGAGTGCTATCTGAGATTTGTACCGAGGGCCTTGGCGGTGATATACATCTCCCAGCAGTTGGTCAACCCGCCAGACATACAGCTTGGGCGGGTAGAAAACTTTGGAGGTCCAATGGAGCCACGGCGAGCAATGTTGATCTTCTCATCCGCCGGCACCCGCGGTGAAATCTTCGGCATATAACGTTGGCGTATGGATGATCTAAGTCGGAGAGATTAGCTGTCTTAGATGGTAAATCGCGGGGTACGTTGTCGTGAATTTGGCGATGCAAGTGAAATTTACTTGAAAACGTCATCACTTTGGTTCTTCTCCCCATGAGCTTCAGAATTGGCTTGATATATTGTCCTATCGCCATATGCAGACCTCAGCTGTCAACCTGTAGGCTCATATTCTTTATACCGCGGTCGGTTTGAAACGTAACCAAGCTCCATCAACCGTAGAACGGTCTACATCATGGCTTCCATGCTCCTATTCCTCGGTATATCCCCTCCCTAGGTAGGGAAAGTCTATTTGGCAGTGGCATGTGATCAACTTAGGGAGGATGACTGCCCTTCTCAACCGAAGTGTGAGTCTCGGCTGTTTTCCAAGTGTCACCGACTGGCCTTGATCGGGGCTCCTCAAGAATAGAATGCATGACTAACGATTATTTTCCACGTTCAAACCAACTCAGGGGATTGACCATTGGGGACTGCAAAAATGCGGACACTGCAAGCTGCTTTGTCGTCCCCGTTAGCCCCCTCTCTCAACAAAACGGGGCTAAAACACTAACATCGTGGCCATATGCACTACGTCGTCTTGTAAAAAAAGGAAGAAAAAAAAAGGTCGGATGAACCGGCATACGCTTTGACTGTCTCACATCGGTCGTTAGGAAAATCGCGTCGGCGGCGGCGTTAATAATCGGAGCAGAGTTAGGTCAGCCATTCGTTGGAATTCTGCTTCGAATTTAGGTGTCAAAGCGTGACTCAACCCTTTTAGGGAGTTGTATTTTGGAATGTCAGACTTTTTTATATCGAGTTAGATCAAATGTATGATGATTTGATCTTTAAATGTCGAGAATCGTCATAAATCTGAAGTGATGGAGTAGGAATGTGGCCATTGCATGTCACATTGCCACGTAGGCTTGCCTGTTACCACCTTAAAGTGAAAAGATAACACAGGATAGGGGACCAAATATAGTAGACGCAACAGAGCAGCAGTATCCCCGCGTTTATGCACAAGAAGTCCGTCCCCAAGGCATATGACCAGTCCAATATCCGCTCATCTTCTGCTCATGTCAACATTGTGTTTTATCAAGATGGCAAAACTTAAAGCTTCAACATATTTCAGCGTCTTCTTTGCGCATTTAATTGGTTCAGTGAGAGCTAGACTCAAAGCGACCTGTCGTAGTCAGCCAGCGGGTTTCATTTAACGGTGCCATTTTGGGGGACGTAGTTGGCCTCCCCTTATCAATCCCGCAATTATCCTATCTTGCCCACAATGGAAGCGCCTACCCACCAGCCTGCAAGTCATCCACCTTGCACTTAAAATAGTAACGTCTCAGGGATCATTAGTTTTTAGGGATGCAAGGGTAGGTCAGACTCTTTGCTTTTGGCAGAATAATTCTCTATGGCGGGCTGCCTTCAACAGGCGGTTTCGCCTTGCCTTGGGCTATTAGTTCAACAACGAGTCAGTCTTGGCTGCAGTTGCAGACCACACAGCCATTACAGTCTCTATTAGCCTGCCTTATGGGTGGGTTTTTAGGTTTTCTAGCCTCTGTTACCGGCTCCATCCACACCTCAACTGAGATGGGTTGACTGGTCAGGCTAGAACAGTATCTCACGAGACTTGGTAAATTAAGGGTATATTACTACGTCATCATAAACTTCCCCTCCTACTTGGCCATATTTGTATAGCTGGAGGTGGAAGGTAGGGTCTCCATATAAAAGTCCCTTCGTTGATTACTACTCGACATTACAGTGCGGTCATCATGCGGTCGCTGGATGTCTTTTACAAGTGCGTAAAAGAAGGCAGTATTTGCAACCACACACGCACATAGAATCTCAATTGACGCCCACTGAGATATCAAGTTAACTGCTGTGCTAGGAAGGAGCTATGACAGGACTTACTAATGAGCGGGACTTTTGGGATACTGATTGATTAAGGATAAGAGGAAGTCGTAGTATCGTAATGGCAACAACAACAAAGCCAATGCCGAACAAGAAGCCCAGCTGAAGTTTCCTAGATGCATGTCAGAATTCGCCATCAATGCTGGGTTTTGGTAGGACAGTCGTACGCTTTCAAGTCGAGTCGCAAATGTTGCAAGATCGGAAACGGTAACAGGATGAGGGCGATGTCGGATATAATGTTGCAAACTGCCATGAGAATCAAGTTGCCTAGGGCGCGGTGGCATGTCTCGCCTAGAATGTATGTGTTAGACAATGACTTGAACGGGATCTAAATCTGGATGGGGTCGCATACGGTTGTCATCGGTGTTCAAGGCCCAAAATCTATTACCGAGTTAGCGATGCGCGCCGGTATTGCAGAGCCTCGGCTTGGACTTGGACTCACCGCGAGAGTGGTCGACACTCTGACAAGGTAGTGATGAGCACAGCAACAAAGGTGATGAAAATGAAGGCATAGAGGGCGTTTACGACTCGCTTGCCCCAGGGGAAAACGTGGACGAAACGGGAGTAGAAGCCAAGCAACCCAAGCTTGAGACACCACAGGCTGCTAAGGGTCAGCGCGAGTCGCCAAAATGATGGCTGGGAGGCGGCACGTACAACAGCGCGTAGCATATGCGGGCCGGTATCAACAACTTGTGCGACAGTATTCGGTCGTGGTCCATCTTCGCCGTCGTCACGCCCTGGGCGGCGGCCTCAGCCTCGGTGGCAGGATCGTAGGTATGGGACGGATTGAGGACGAAGGAGACCGAGATGCAGGTGGTCCGGCCAATCAGCGGCAGCAGGGCCATGGCGACGTAGAGATCGTCGATGCGCCAGGTCCGGTGGCATGTCGCGTGCAGCTTGCAGCGGAAGAGGCTGCGGTAGGCGCATCGGGCCAGTATCAGCGTGGCGGCCACGCAGGCCGACGCGATGTCGAAGGTGACGTCGGAAGACAAGCTCATGGCTCGGAGATGGGCGGGAGGGTCATTGCGAGAGCATGGTTAGATGGAGTCAGAAGCAGAGTCAGAGTCGGACGGTCGGACTCCCGGCGGCGGGAAGAAGCAAAGACGGTTGCGTTGCAGAACTAATCTGCGTCGACTAGCTCATATTATATGCCGCGCGGGGGACCGGGCTTGCCAGACCACCCGACCAAGGGATCAAGGGCCCCAAGAGACCAAGGGCCCAAAAGAGTCCAAGGGGGGAAGCGAAAAGGCTGGGGTGATGGTATTGATGCGGGCCTCCATCGCCATGACTCGAGCCAACTGTGGGGATGACCAATCACAACCCGCAAGCATCAGCCTACCCGGTAGCCGAGTCGGCCGGCCCTCTAGATCCTGGTCGATATCCCGGTCTAAGGGGCCCTGTTAGCGCAGGCTCTGACGCGGAGAACCGTTTAAAATGCGTCGGCCGTGGTGCGGAACTTGTGCGCGTATTCCTTCCAGGGCTCTGCTCCGCTGCTCGTGTCCAATTTGAAACTTAATTATTTCCTCTCGTTAAATCACCATCTATGCAAGAAAGCCCGGCTGGCGTCATCTGAGACGAGGCGCCTGTCAGACACTGTCTGGGAAGTCTTGGCGCGCCCGCAAAATCCGGGGTGTGGACGAGTTTGCGGGGAATTGACGGATGCGGTGCGATGGATCAGGGACTCATCGGAGCTTGGAGAATGTTGATTCCAGATGGTCGATTGAACTAGGTATTCGCGGGTTCAAATGGGCGACAGCGCTGCAGCAGCTCCAGAAATCAAGGCCCTGGTACCCATCGCCACACTGGAAAGGGGCCCTGTCGTCTGCTGCTGGGTTGCTGCCAGGTTGCTGACATGCAAAATCCTTCCCCCCCCCCCCCCCGCGGAACTTTATTAGCGCCGCGCTGACAACCCGCCACCGCGGCTGGGGCACCAGGACGGAGAAATTGACTAATTGTTCCCGCACATGCTGAGAAGAATCGAACTCCGCCACACGTAACAGGTTGACAGGACACATCGCTGCTGCACCCGTGTTACATCAATCGATGACCCGAGAGAAGCCACGATGGCGTGTAACATGGCGCCCCTGGTCTAGCTTCATTTGTGACTATGACATCTGCCATGACATGTGCTAGCTTTGTGACGTTGCTGAGTGTTGACACATCGGTATTCAGGTTGCTGATGTTGGAACGCCACACTTCGCCTAATGTGAGCGCTGATTTTACGTACTCACCTGCCTCGTCCAGCAACACTACTGCATGTTTGCCACTCGCTAAAATAGTGACCAAGAGACCGAAATACTGACACACTGCAATCTACAATCTACAATCTACAATGTCGTGTCTTCGTCTCTCAAATCGAGTCATTATGTACTTACCCTGTAGCAAGTTTTGTATTTGGCAATGTTGAAGCAAAACTCCTTGTTTTTTTCGTTGTACAAAAGCTACAACCCGCACTCTCTATAAAGTCCAAATCCGCAAAGCCGAGTGGTAGTGCCCATGAGCTCAAGTCTACGGCTGCACCTCCAGGAAGCCAATCCATGTTGGAAGAAATCTTTCCAATGTTTTTGAACATCCTCGAGAGCCTTACGATCTTTTGCAAGGGGTTCCCAACTCGCGTGATTTCTTCTAGTATTGTCCGATACTAAGAAACAGTCCGTCAAGTATCTCATAATGCGAACATGCCAGCAGCAGTCAGCGTCAATCCGGCAGCCAATTCAGCAGGCGGCCGGCTATCCCCGTCCCCTAGGATTACAAGGTCTTCTCGATACACTCGATTCTGCACTCAGTTAGTAATTATGCCGAGGAGGATTTGTTTGGAAGACTGACCCGTGGTTATCCTTCAGCTCCTTCATCAAGGACTTGTTGAGGGCGGCGTTCACTGGCGCGAGGATACCCTTCTCTGAGATGGTGCCATCGAGGACTTGCTTGACAGCTGTAGTACGGTATGTTAGCATTCCTTACGCTAGAAGCATGCTGGGAACTGGGACAAATGTAGCATTTCGCAACACGGGGACGGGAAGACTTGCCTACTCCACAAGGGACGCCCACGAGCTTCGCCATGGCTGTGTAACCACCAGATCCAATGGGAGCGCCGTACTCGCAGAGGGTAGAAGTGATGGTGTCCTTGCTACCGTCCTTGTTCACAACCTCGAAGTGATGTTGGAGGAACTAAATATCAACCGTGTTAGAATCGTGCATGATTAAGAAACGTCAGAGCACAGATTTTATACGTACCACCAAGTCACGCTCACCCTCCTCGTAAGCCATCTTTTGCTCAAGAGTAGCACAGAGCGTATCCAAGGGGTTACCCCTGGGGGTAATCTTGGAGTCCGAGAAGATACCGACTGTGTTTAAATGTCAAAAACCACCGAAGTATGATTGTCAGAGTTCAGTTACTTACGCCACTTGAGACCTGACACCAATTGGGTCTTCTCATCGTCGCTCTTGAAAGTTGTCTTGGACGAAACTGCCGCAAGGAGATCCTCCTCACTTGATGAGCTAGCGCCGAGGATCTTCTGGGTGGCCTCCTTCCAGGCGATGGGCTCCTTCAGGAAGTCCTGCTCCTCGACAAGGAGGAAGCCAATGTCAACGAGAACCTTGACAAACTCCGGGAAGCCAGCGTAACGGAGGGTGCCACGAACAACGGTCTCCGCCTCGGGGATGTTGTATCTGAAAAGGTTAGCCATTAATATTAAACACACATGTCAGTATTCTTACCGCTCGAGGTAGCCGGTGCTGTCTCGGTTTCCGTAGGCGACGAAGTTGAAGCCCAGGAAGCCGGTGTGGTAGGTCTTGGCGGTTCCCATGAGATCCACGCCACTCACATCCATCACCTTGCCATTCTCAATGTACTTGGCGTTGTTCTTCAGCGCCAAAAGAACTCCACGGCTGCTCCAGCTGAACTTGTATCCTGGATATGGTCAGTCAGAAGTCGCAGGTGTGCATCGATCGTGGTGTTTACCCAGAGGGTTGTCCGAGTCTAACTTGGAAATTAGTTTCAACACTCTTGCTCATGCTCATTATGGACATACTCTCGGGTGCGGGCAAGCCACCACAGAAGCTTCGGAAAGACTTGATAGAGCCTCCTTCCTTGTGAACGCGATCAATGACGTCGACGGCGTAGAGGTGGTCGATACTTGGTAATGGTAAGTCAAGGGGAGGATAGGGTGGTCGATCAGAAGGCATACCCAGGGTCAAGCTAGAATGATCAGCAAACGAAGCATGTAATCTTGAACCATTTCGACTTACTCCGATCTCGTTCATGACTGTAATGCCAGCAGCCTTGCACTCCGCATCCAGCTCCTCCATTGCGGGCGACACGTACGACGTCGTGACGACATTCTTCTTCGCCTTGATGGCGGCCTTGATCACAGCAGCATGGTAGGTGTAGGGGATCAGAGAGATGGTGACATCGTGCTGAGAGACAGCGTCCTCCAGAGCAGAGGTGTTGTTGACGTCGAGGCTGATGCCCTTGGCGTTGGGGAAGCTGCCGGCGAGCTTCTGGGCCGTGGCCAGGGTGCGGGAGGCGACAGTGACGTGGACGCCAGAGTTGGCGAGCAATTCGACGGTGGGCGTGGCAACGAAGCCGGAGCCGAGGAGGAGGGCGGATTGCGGCATTGTTACTGTCGGAGACGTTGTGTTTGGAGGATGTTCGGTGGGGAGGCTTGTGAAGGAAAAGAAGTCTAGATAGGAGCCAAACTTGGTGGAAAAGTCTTTGGGCCCCGCGTTGTTGGGGCCCACCAAACGAGGGGTCATCCCGATATCGGACTAACCCGAACGAGGAGTCAGTCATACCGACGTCGGGTGGGAGATCCGAATCTCAAGCATCAAGAAGACAATGCAAGTGGAAGTGTTATTATTTGGGTTCCCAAATTCTTTATTTATTGTATCGAGAAGTAAGGTAACATAGTACGAGGACCCAATGACTTAGTGTAACGGGGTACCGTACCTTTCAGGCCACAACAACCACACCACCAGTCACCTTCTGCCGCCTTGCAAAGATCGCAATGCATGCTTCCTGGGCTCGATGCCAAGTTCAAATCGGGCCCCTGTAGTATATTGATGAGCAATTGATGCATAATGAGCTTGTTCAGTATGATTACACATCGAGTGACCAGGGTCTTTGAACAACAGGAAAGAAAGAGGTGAATTACTGTGTCGGGATCCCTCCCAATTCGCTGGCTACCTGGAAATAACTCATGGGAGATATGCTTTAAATCCATGGATTGCATTAGAAACACAGGGACAATAAGGGTCCTAGCAAAGTTTCTTCTCTTTGTTTAATATCGTCAGAATGATCAAAGTTGCACCTAGTGTAAACAGTAGGGGACACAGTAGTGCTACACCGTGCTTCTAGAAGTACAATAACTCAAAAAATACAGCTGCGACGCACTTAACCTTACCTCAAGCCTTCAATTTCCCAGGCACAGATACTTGCTGGTTTCGGCTGGTCACTTTCTCAAGACCCAAGTTAGGGCCGAGATTTGAGCATGATCTGAGAATGGGCCTGAATATTGGATGAAGCGATCCAAAAATTGGCCCCGTGGCCGTTGGTAAAACAGTGACAGGATTAGGGAATAGCCTCAGATCCGCCTTGAACGCAAGTGACAGCGGCAGCAAACCATCATATCCCGCCAGTTGCCAGTTCCACTATCAAGACTCATGTCGCACGACACCCGAGACCGAGCCCGTATCGCCACAGGGCCGTTTCTACTTTCCGATGTACTGCCAATCGACTCGACTCGAACCTTGGATATCTCTCCACGATGCAACAGCCGAAAGAAGAAAGGCAGAGGGGCAGGTCAGTTCCTCCGTCAGAAGACGATGCGCAGACGACACAGCGCAAGGTAGCCAGACCATTCCGCCAACCGAGGATACCTACCCACGGCAATAGTAAACTAGAACGTCTGACTAGGCCGGGAAGGAGCTCGACTGGCCAGGTGTATGTAAATAGCTTAGATATTGTTTATTATAGTGAGAAATTGTGTGATTAATAATATCGCAATACAATGTTTAGATTCTCAATCCAACCAAATCCTGTTGAACGTCACACTTATCGAACATTAACCTAATCCAAGCAGTCTTTTCACGTAGCTTCTCCTCTCCCCACTTATCGCTCGATAGTGAACTAGGAGCTGCATAACATCGTTCAAGTATCGATTAAAGTTGCCAGTCCAATTGTCTCTCTCATCCCTGTCGGAAGAGCTCATGTTCTTAATCAAAGATACAATACCTGGTTGCCGTACTCCTCGTTCAAGAAGAAAGCCAACTACTTCTAGTCTTCGGGAATAGGGGAGCATTGGCATATTTGGTTGGCTAATTTTAGACAGTGATCCTGGACCACTATACCTTTGAGGGCCAAAGATGGCCTGCTCGAGCAAGGGGATTGACCGCTTCGGGGGAACTGGGTGGAAACGAAGTGGTTTCTCCTTGAATTTGCAGCGAATGTAGGGCAGAATAGCAAATTGCGCTGCCAACCCGTCGAACGTGTTTGGCCGTAGGTCAGACCTCACCCCCATGGACTTGTATGATGTCCAAGATAGCCCTGGTGCCGCATCTAATTGAATATAGCTCGCAAAAGTGTTTGTCGAAGCGTCGTTGAATCGGTCAGCCATAGCAGTGAGAGCGGCATCCGAGATGATCTTCGGATCGACGTGGGATGCGTAATGCAACGTCTTCGCTACATGGCTCCAGAATCTTGGACTGACTGGAAGGGAACATTGCTTCGCGTGGGACGCATCTTCTGCTTGAATAGTCTCTGCTTGGAAAAGGCAGAAGTGAGCATCGAAGCCCTTGGAGCTCACGGATCGCAATCGCTTCCAGACATGCGGCTGGCTGATCCATTCTGCTGCCGTTCTATGAAGATACTCGACGGTTCGTGTTTGGGGTACGAGTTCAAGGATGCCCCTTGTCCGGGCGCCCAGACGGCGTTTCAGTGATGCCTGTACCTGATTCATGTCTAGAGCCTGAATTCGAGGCATAGTCAACCCGCCTCTCGTCTCATCTGCGAGCCACAACGTTATCCAATCGAGCCGCTGAGCAGCCAGTGCATATATCTGCAACATTGCAGACACCCGGGTAACAGTCTTGGAGAAATAGCTGCGAATATAGCATCGTACAGGCTCTCGATCTCGCTCGGCATCGTGTCGAGGGTTTCTTGAAGATGACGCAAACTCGACCCATCAACGAGGTTCTCAATAAGAGTCTTGGTAACTAGAGCAGTCCAGAGGAAGACGCCTTTGGCTTTCTTGACAATGTCCGTGAGGAGCCTGTCGCCGCCACCTTGGTACATATTGTTCAACTCCTGGAACGCGACAACTCCTTGGAAGTGGCCGCGCACGAAGACCTGGATATCTGTGTCCGTTAGAAGATGCATCTGTAGCCCTGGACTGCTGACGAAAGCGTCACTGAACTGTGGCCAAGGTCGACTGGCAACACAGACTTTGACTGTGCTGTGAGAAGAGATGCTCTGTATCTTGCGGCACAACTCAACAGGAGCTAGGTCGAACTCGTCGAGGCCGTCGATGAAGAGTACGAGGTGAAACTTGTCCTGCGAGTAGGCCAGGAGGCGCGAGAAGGACTCTTCAAGTTCCCACGAGCTCTAGGGAGGGAACATGGCAGACTCGCGGGTGGCACGGAAAAGCGACCATCGTCGTGGACATAGCTGCGGTGTCAAGTTCGGGTTGATAACGAGCATCTGATGGAGGAGGGTGCGCAACAGGCCATCCGCAGATGTTCCCATCTCGAATCCTGGCTTCCAGGCGTAATACTTGATCTTGTATAGCGCGGAACCCTGGGACCATATCTGCAGGTGGTGGTCCAATGCTGGATGATTCAGAATGAACTTCATCATGGTAGACTTGCCCGAACCAGGCTTGCCGGTGATCCAATAAGGGAGCCCAGAGTTGCCCTCGAGCCAGTCCGGAAGACTGGACCACATTGACAGTCCTTCGGGCGAGATCTGTGGAACTCTGCCGAATACCCACTGAAATGTACGATAAAAGGTTTTGGTAATCGCCTCTTCCCGGTTATCCATTGAGTCGAAACGAAGGCTCTCACAGATAACCGAGTTCAGTCCTTCGACCGACAAGTCGGTGTGCTGAGGGAACGAGGCCAAGAGTGACGCATCAGGCTCCCAGTTAGTACTCCAAATACGTTTTGTGACCTGATTCGTCACACTGTTTCGATGCATCGAGTCTGCAGCGGTTTTCTCAACGGTCTTCTGGTTCTGGCTTCGTCTCTGTTCTGGACCGGAACGTCCAGCCGATTCCAAAGTTTGTGACAGCATCCCTATCATGGTATCGAGCTTGTCGCTGAAGTGCTGTTCCCAGTGCTTGATGTTCTGTGCGTGACACCTGGGGAGATAAATTGTAAGCGTGAGGTTAGATTCATTCATTGGAAGTTAGTAATAGGTCATGGTAGGGTAATAGAGAACATATCAGATAGAAACAGTCGCCACCATCATGACATCTTGACGCACTTTGTTCAGGCGTTCCGTGATCTCCTCGATATCCCTCCGCTGCCACCAGCCTTTCGGTGCAGCTCGGAAACATTCTCCAACGAATCTTCGCTCATATTCTAGGAATGTTGCTCGGTCAAATGCCTGCTTGTCCTGGGCCAGTTGGCTTTGAAAGGCCGAGCTGGCATTGGGCAGAACTGTGAGTACCTTCGTCGCGATGGCATCGCACTCGGCACAGAGACGGAGTAATTCTCTGTCGGCATCTTCAGCGGCAGAGGCACCATTTTTTTGAGCTGCCAGGGTCTCTTTCACAGTCGTAGAAAGCTGTGTGATGTCGGTTGAAACTGCCGAGAGATTCTCCAGAACAAGGCTCTGGCCCGACGCAGAGCGATAGATGTGCCAAGTCTCGGAGAATAGTCGCTGCCCGAAATCGACAAACTGCACCGCGGCAGCGACTACGGAGAGGATGGATAGAGGGTCCATCGTGGCAAGAAACGGGGTCCGTCGGGTCTGCGCTCGGGAGGTTCAAAGAAAGTGACAGTTCCTGGTGAGGCAATTTGCTTACACGATTCAGATCATATCATCAGCCGAATTCCCTCTGCCTGACCCCGCGTGACTCTTGTTCGTTCAACATGCAGCTCGTGTGCGGCTGAAATCAGGCTGAGATGGCCCATCGGAGGGCTTTCCCGCCTCCCGCGCTGAGGTTGGAGGCGTCTGGAAACAGTGTGCGGCATGATGGCCCCTGGTTTTGAAAGCATGGTGAAGCTGACATTTAATTCTTTCTCCGGTATTTTGTCAGCGTTGAAGCTGTTACCATGAAGGGTAGGAATTGGGCGGAGTGGTGCTCACGCTGACTTCTCTCACGCCATCAGCTGAGACGGAAGTGCAAATTCCAATCAGATAGAGCGCTGATTTTTCATCCTAGCCCCGGCGTTTATGTGATCCTTTGCAGCAATGTTATTAGCATTCATCACCAGCCTAGACCTGGGTTCTCGGCTCGACAAATCAGCTCGACCTCAAGTAGGCAGTTAGCGTGCTCTTTCGGAGTGAAATAAATTCTCCCCGACTCATCACCTTAGCGACCTCTGCTTCACGGTCGGCCATAGTGGCAAAAAGTACAATATCACACACACATTAGTATTTGAAGAAGTCTGATGCTTTACGACAGAGTGATCAATGGAAATTGTCAATGTCTAGATTCATCTCAGATAATGAGCTGCTAGATATCCCTTTTCTTCCTTAAATGTAGTTAATAGTCAACAAGGGTGATATGAAACCCATTAAAACCCAGCCTCGGAAAAGAATGTGTCAGTCTCAGCTAGTGGCCACTGAAAGAGTAATGGGTCAAACAATGACATTGACTTGTCAAAAGCGCCAACCCCAAGACTATCTGCGTTGTCCAAGCCACGTCTCGTGTCACCGAAGAATCCAGTTTCGTACATCATCGAGTTGTTCAAGGATGTGCTTGGGGATGCAAGTTGGTGCTTGTTTGAGCCTCTGTCCATGAACCCACTGCTGGCCTGGTTTTGGAACGGAGGTGTCTGGTCTGTCCTGGACACGGCATTGCCTAGAGCACCGAAAGCTTCCTCACGAGACAGAATGTCCATGTGACACAAAGTTTCTCGCAAAGATGCCAGTCGCTTCCAGAGCTTGTGAGATGACTGAGACAGGTTGCTATAAGAGGAGGATAGACTCAAGGCCTTCATAAAGTTGCGATTGATCGAGTCAGCAAAATCAACAGGAAAGTTGGTCGAGGATGCGGCGCCCGTCTCATTGGTATATGCAATAATGAGAAATAGCAACGCGCAAGCTGAAGCAAGGAAGTGTTGAAAGAGGGGATGTTGCTTTCTGTACACATCCGTGGTGTGGTCCAATATAGAGATGACGTTGATGGAGTCGGATATAAGTTCCAGCGCGGGCTGGACTTTGCACCTGCAAGCAGCCCGATTCGAGGTTGAGAGAAACAATGACCTTAGTAGTATGATTCGCACCGCATTGGCCCGGAGATATAACATTGTAGTCCACGACAAGGGGATCATCGTGGCCATCGAGTGCCATAAGCGTGGGTGAACGAAACCTTGTTCCTCGAGAGCCTTTTTCCTCCACTGTTCGATCTGAATGTTGGTCACCTCAAAAGCGTCGTCATCCTCGCAGGAGCCACCATTTGCGGCACGGGAAATTGGCTCGTTAAATTTGTAGCTCATGAGCGTGAATGTCATCATGGCCTTGAGATAGGGCGATTGGACCTAGGTGTCGAGTCAGCCTCTCGCCATAATGTGTTTGCAAGACAGCGATATCCTTACCAATGATGCCTGCGCAAGCTCAAAAACGGACTCTTGGAAGTGGGGTGGTAGTCCAGCGGCTGCACTCCACTGGCGATCGAGGATGGCTAAACTGCATGATATGGTTATAACCTCGGCACGTCGCCGATCCGACTCGGGATAATGTCGCGAGACGACTCCGCTATGAAGCCCGAGTTCCATAGCCATCCGTCCCGCGGACCCGCACATGCGCCATGCCAGCGTCAGACATCCCCCAAAGTAATGATAGAAGCCCTGCATGTGTTGCGTCAGCTTAATTCCCCGTAAAATTTCCTGGAAACGCGGGAGGGTCACTCACAGCTAAAAGCACGACGGTGACGCTCTTGATGCCTGTGGCCGGCGCCGCGAGCTTGGCATTGATCAAGTCTCGACAGCTTTCGAAAAGAGCCTTCCCCAGTTCGGACTGGGAACCCGACTCGGCCAATAGAGCAATAGAAATAGCGAGGTTGACAATCAGCAGATTGTTTTCCTCGTTGAGTGGATCAGCGTAGCTCCTCCATTCTGCATCGGTATCTGAGGTATTGTAGAAAGCTTCAGTTTGCTCTACGAGGGATGCAATGTCGCAGATTGGATGAATCTCTCCAATAGCATCTTGATAAACGTAGAGTAGTCGCGTAGCCTCTGGCTTGGATAGCAGGGTTCGGAGTTTTGACAGGGCTTGTCGCCTCCGATTATTGGAAGATATCACTGCATCACTGCTGTCCGCCCCCCCGGTTGGGTCTTCGTCGTCACTCTGGCTGTCGACAATACCGGGCACTCTCTGATCGTCGATTTCAGTCCCAGAATCGTTGGAATTTCTCTGCTCAAGCCTGATGAGTGCTGCGTTGAGGCTGTAGTCAGGGCTCGTCGGTCCGTAAAACCGTCGGACAGAACTTCGAAGCCGGATGTCGGCTGTGGGCGAGGGTGCCGTCAGCGAAGTTTTGGCCCCGGGTCCAGGTGGCACACTGTTGTTTAATGAGTTGCTGACAGGTGTAGGCATCGTTCGGGGCCGCTCCGGACTTTGTGCTTCAGTGGCAATCCTGGCATGGGTCATGAGAGCGTTGAGTTGCACTTGCATGTTTGCAATGACGGTGCTCAGAGCTCTGCAGTGCATGGGCAGTTAGTCTCAAGGAACTTCATTTCAGGAAGGTAGATCTAGTGAAGGGATGTCAAGGATGGCTCACTCTGGTGTCCATGCCACCGCCGGCTCTTGTGGAGCGCGTGGAGCTTGTGGAGCGCTGCCGTCTGGCTCTGTGGAGGGCATGAGGTGGGCTTGGCTATCGTGAGTCTGGGTGTCGTTTGTCACGTTGTCGAGTGCCTGGTCATCGTGGTTTTGGCTGTCATGTCGCAAGGCATTGCCGTCGCTATAGCAGCAATCCATTGCCCGGGAGTGGCAGTATTCGCAAGGCTTCTGGCCATCACAGCGACCTTTGCGACGCCGGCAGACATCACAGGCTCGGGGGGCGTACGGGGCGCGCCTCTTGACCGGCTCGTTGGTGCTGGCGGGATTGACGAGCGACCGCTTCTCTACGCGCATGTGGGAGCCTCTCATGGTAAATATTAAATACCGGTAGACGGGTGAACGCTCAGGGAAATGTTTGGATGCGAGCGGAGCGGAGATGAAGATGGAGTAGCGGGAGGTCTCAACCGTGCGCTTAGCGAATCCGGGGGTGGGGGGCATGACCTTGAAATAGGTCACGAATGGATCTGAAGTATATTGGACTGGCGCACGCTACTCACTAAGTTACTCGCCCCGTGATAAGCACAGAGGCACAGAGGGGTAATGCCTATCTGCTGGGATAGTTTATGGCGTCTAAAGCATTCGTCTTGCAAGGTCTTATCATCAACCGCCCGCAACCCCAGCATAGATCACAGATCCCTTGCCTTACTCCGGTTTTATGCCTCTGAAGCACTTTTTCATTCGTACCGGGAAAGCGGAGACTGACTCGTGTCGTATTTGATGCCCATTGGACTTCAACTTTGGTTCCATTACTCAGTCGCTTTCCCCTTGAATCTTCCCCGCCTGTCCCGATCCTCCCCCGGGCACCCCCCGATCCCCGATCCTTCCCCGATCCTGTCACAAATCAAACAGGCCTATTGGACAATTACCCACTATTACGTCTGCATAGATAACAAGGTTTCCACTACGATCATCGTGCTCTGTAGTGCTTTGGCCTGTCGGAAACAAACACCTTCTGATGGTGTCTCACTGTTTTTAGCGAAGAAATTGCTCTGAGAATTACTATAATGATATCCATTATCCATTTTATTTCACTTTCACTGTGATAGTGCTATATTTGCCTGATAAAAATTGCGGACATGAGGGAGAACCCACATCTACAGCCTCATCTTGTCTTCATCTTACAGTAAACCTAGCCTTCACTCCCAGAGCGGCGAAGAAAGATAAGGAATTTGGAAGAATTCGCTCGGTTATCTTCCGCATCTGGCAAAACTGTGATTGCTAACTCTACATCAGCGTTGTATGAAGCTGAAGAATTCCAAATATCTCAGGGGCACAGGGAGAGCCGGGGGAAATGTGATTGGCAGGCAACTCTGGAGCCGCAGGGAGAAAACATCCACACAGAAGCGATTCCAAATCCAACAGAGTGTGGAAGATTGTGGAATTACAGCCATAGTTTATCGTGCAGAGAGATAATGTAAGTACGTGTCCTCCAATGATAAGAAGGGAGTCTGGGAGGAGTAATCGTCTGGGCGGGCTGCCCACGCCCCACATTGGCCGCGTTCCGACATTCCGGAACCAAAATTGGCGGAACGAACGCCATGTTGATCGCGGTTCCGACCCTGTACCTCCCCGGAAGAAACCTGGCAGGACCTAAGTTACTTCCTAACGGAATACTGGTCTAGGAAGGCTAAACAGCATTGTTAAGCATAACTAACTTGAACATAATGGAGATTTTGGTAAAAATATACCGTTTCCCTTCTGTAATTACTCGGTCCGGCCCTTTTCAAATCACAGATACAAACAATAACTGCAAAGATGACCACGAATTATGATCTCATAGTCGTAGGAGCTGGTAAGCCTTTCAAAGTTATAGATCTTGACAGTTTGTAAGACTGACCACGCACAAGGTTGGTTCGGGCTCGCCGCAGCTAGGACATATTTGGAGCTCCACCCAGGAGTGAAGTTGCTTGTCATCGATTCTGCTAGCAGTATCGGCGGCACCTGGTCCAATGACCGGCTTTATCCAGGCCTCAAATCGAATAATTTCTTCGGGTCATACGAATATCCCGACTTTCCAATGGACGAGGATGTGTACGGCGTCAAGCCAGGTGAACACATCCCGGCTGGCGTTCTGCACCGCTACCTGACCGACTTTGCCACCAAGTTTGGAGTTGCTGATCGCACCCGCTTAAATACCAAAGTCGAAAGCATTGAGGGCTCTCAAAGCGGGGGTTGGCTTCTCCATGTCTCATCCAGTGATTCGAGAGAAACTTTGGAGACTGAGAAGCTCATTATCGCTACCGGCTTGACATCTCAGCCGAACATGCCCACCTATGCTGGACAGGAGAACTTTACTTCGCCTATTTTCCACGCCAAAGACTTCTGCATTCATAGAGATACCATCTCCAAATCAAAGAGAGCAGTAATCGTGGGCGGTGGCAAGTCTGCATATGACTGCGCTTATGCTTTTGCAACAGAAGCGGATGCTCAGGTCGACCTCATTATCCGCCCAACCGGTCAAGGCCCCGTCTGGCTCAACCCGCCCTATGCAACTCCATTCAAGACAATGGTGGAAGAACTTATCCACACGCGCTTTATGACCTGGTTCAGCCCTTGCCCTTGGGGCGGAGAAGATGGGTTTGGTGTTGCTCGAGGCTTCCTCCATGGGACTGCTTTTGGCAGGCTTCTCGTCGAAAACTACTGGAACAAATTGACTGCCGACACTATTGAAGCAAATGGATTTAATGACGACTCGGAACTCTTCAAGCTGAAGCCCTGGTACTCTGCAATGTGGACCGGGAGTGGAGTCGGAATTCACAATTTTGACTCGAGCCTCTGGGACCTCGTGAAGCAGAGAAAGATTCGAGTTCACCTAGCAGACATTACCAAACTTGATGGGCAAAATGTCTATCTCACCAATGACAAAGTGATCGAAACCGATGTCGTCGTCTGTGCAACCGGCTGGAAGAAGGATTCTATCATTGACTATTCCAAATGCAAAGACGTGGCCCAGCTCGAATACAAGGATGGCCAGCGAGATATCATGTGCAAAGAGGCGGACAAGGAAATCCTCCAATCATTCCCCATGCTCAAGTTGCAGCCAGTCCTTCGATATGAGCGAAAGGACTCTGAGCCTCTTCGCAATTATCGATTTATTGTTCCCGCGAACTTGGTCTCCAAGCGCAATGTTGCGTTTGCCGGCATGGTGTCTACCACTAGCACGGCGATGTTTGCCAACGCCCAAGCCCTCTGGATATCGGCCTTCTTCGACAATAAACTCAAGAGACTACCAAAGAACCAGGACGAGGTCGTCAAAGAAACGATGCTTTACACCCGATTTGGCAAGTGGAGATACCCTTGTGGGTACGGAGATTCAATCCCGGACTTTGCGTTCGATTCTCTGCCCTATGTAGACTTGCTGCTCAATGATTTGGGGCTCAAGAGTCAGCGGAAGGCTACGCGAATGGCAGAAATCACTGAGCCATACAAGCCGCGGGACTACAGCGGGCTAATCAATGAATGGACTGAAGCTGAATCCAAGTCGAACGGACCGAGAGTAGTCTAGTCTAGTTCAAGGTCAGAACGGTGACAGTATGTATAACTTTTGGTATAATGTAGTCCATTGAGTTCAAGTTACTGTTGTGCACTCGATCGATTCAGTATAGGCTATGCTTCTGCAGAGTTTTCGAACTTTTCCAGGTCAGACTATTTGCTTGGGTTGCAATTGAAACGCGGCTTGTGCATGAACAGATCTAGGGCTATGAGCCGAGCTGGTTAATTATCCGAAAGGACGGTCTTCGCTGGTCTGACTGCGAAATCATTGCCGTCAAGCCGGTTAACTACGGATGGTTGGAAGTGCATACAACGGCAAGTTGTATGCTGAATTACATATGAGTATTTGGCACGGTCTCCGATGTGTAATTGTTTCACCAAGGTTTTAATACTTCACTTTAAAGGTTGCTCAGTATGTTTTCTGGGGCCGTGGGGTAATGGCTGACCCTGGGGTGTTCAAACTCATGAGCTGCTCGTTCGAGGAGGATACGAAAATTGTCTATTGCATTACAGAAGTGCAAATAGTTTTTCCCTATCAATCTACGAGAGACATTAGTCTTGACCAATCGCTGACCCCTAGATATTGATGAAGACATGAACTATGGACGATGAGTCGTGATTCAGGTGCCAATGAACCGACCAATATGCAGTCCACCAGTGATCGCAATGTCCGACCCGGTGGTGTAGCTTGACGCATCACTCAAAAGGTAGATAACCGCACCCATCAGATCGTCTCTAGTACCGATCCGTTGCAGAGGCGGCGTCTTGTTCATAATATCATTCATAATAGGATTCGCGTTGCGGACCTCCTGGGTCATCTCAGTGTCGATGAATCCAGGGGAGATGCTGTTGACTCGAATTTTGGATGGCGAGAGCTCCACAGCCAGGGCCTCGGACAAAATCTTGACCGCACCCTTTGAAGCACCATAGGCCGACATGTGGTGAAACGGGAGGACTGTATGAGAGGTGATTGAGGCAACAAGAATCAGGCTCCCGCCAGTGCCTTGCTTCTTCATCTGCTCTGCCGCTAGCTGGGCTGTGATATAAGTTCCAACAACCTGTTGATGTTAGCCGGGTATGTCTTGTGGTACTGTTGAGGATTAGAGGGAGGGAGGACAAACGTTGACGTTCTGTATTCTGCTAACTTCATCGAAGGTGGTCTGCTCGAATGGCTTTTCCAATGCGATGCCGGCACACGTAATACATCCATCCACCCCTCCTAGAATGCCGACAGCACTTTGGAAAGCGTCGCTGATGCTTTTCTCATCTGTGACATCTGCCTTCACGTAGCCAGTGGTGACGCCATATTTCTGCCCCAAAGCCTGGAAGCCCTCACTTGGGGTTTCCTTGAGGTCTAGCGCGACCACATTACCACCCATTTGAGCAATCGCATTGACCAGACAGAAGCCAATTCCTTGAGCACCGCCTGTCACAACATAGTTGCGTCCACGAAGCTCAAATTGCTCGCGGATGTTGGTAAAGGTTGCCATTGTCGCTTTTTCCAGTCAAAAGTGTGGGGGTATGGAAGAGTATCGCCGTGAGAAGAACCAGCAGATCGAGTATGCGGAAAGAAAGAAAATTCACTCACAACTACTTTGAAGTTGCAATCCATTAAAAGAATCTACAGAACCAGAGATTCCCCGATTCCTACCAAGTTAGCCGGAAATGCGAAGTCCGGCCCAAGTGTTCCGGACTGCGAGTCACTGGGAAAGTGGCGCGCTTCCTAATTAGATTCCGGAGTAGGAATAGAGGAATGAGTTCACCATTCCGGACCAGAACCGACCCGGAAAAAGTACAACAAAAAAGTTGCACGAGAGTGGGGAATCGGAAATAATGCAAATGGCAACGTAAGCAAGGTGAAAACAATCACTTCCGACTACATGGTGTTGACTCGGCGCAATCAGCGAATATGTATCCCATCATCTCGTCGTTGAGATCTCAATATAACACCCCAGACGAAGGCAATCAAGTTCTGAAGCAATCACAATTGGTTCGTTCCACAATTACATCTGAAGATGCCATCTCAAACTGGCTGGACGCAGCTCGATATCGCCATTGTCGGCGGTGGAATTGGCGGCCTGGCAGCGGCCACTTCCTTGCGAAGGCAGGGACACAAAGTCGCCATCTACGAGAGAAATGATTTCGCCGGCGAAGTTGGCGCTTCAATCTCATGTGCTGCGAACGGTACCAAATGGCTGGAGGAGTGGAACGTGAATATTCCGCTCGGCGACCCCGTCCTGCTGAAGAAACTCATCAGCCGTGACTGGAAGACTGGCGAGCCAGTTAGCGTCTATGATCTGCATGACTATAAGGAACGCTGGGGATATGTAAGCATCATGTTAATTCCAAAGTGACGATCGACCTGTCGCTGACTTTAACCAGGACTACAACATGTTTCATCGACAGTATATGCACAAAATGCTGATGGATAGCGCTGTGAGCGAAGAGGGCGAGGGCATCCCCGCCAAACTTATCGTGAACCACAAGGTATTTAATACCAGATATTCTCAACTCTATTGCACTAGACTTGCTTACAATCTTGGTTCTAGGTTGAAAAGGTGGACCTTGACACTGGTGACATCACGTTCGCCAACGGCGCCAAGGCAAAGCACGACGCGATCATCGGCGCTGATGGTATTGGATCATCGCTCCGCAGTATTTTTGGCATCGAGGCATCTCGTAAACCTGCAACCTGTACTTGCCTCCATGCTAATGTCGAAACTGCAAAAGCTGTTGAGTTGGGACTCGTTGACTATTCCCAAAACAGCGCTCTCGAATACTGGGGTGGATACGATACTCACTACAAGATTGTCCTGTCTCCTTGCAATGGTGGCACCCTTCTTTCCTACTACTGCTTCTTCCCAAGAGAGGCAAGTGACTTGGCCCACCACAGCTGGGACCAGGAAGCCACTGTAGAGGAGCTTCTGGCCCCGTATCCTGACTTGGACCGCCAAGTGTTTAAGCACCTGGCCATTGGGGCCGAGGTACGACCATGGAGGCTTTGGCTTCACGAGCCCTACCCGTTTTGGCAGAAGGGATTGGCATGCATAATGGGAGATGCTGCTCACCCAGTACGTTTCAAGGTCGTCATCTGCATTGCTACACATACTAATCTCTAGTGACTGTAGATGATGCCCGACCAGAGCCAAGGTGCCTGTCAGGCAATCGAGGATGCTGCAGCTATTGGCCTCGTATTCAGCAAGAAAAACTTCAATGGTGACATCCGGGAGTCTTTGGAGGTTTACGAAAAGGTTCGGAAGAATAGAGCTACTAAGGTCCAGTCAGCATCAGCCCGAGCCCGCGAGAATATCAATGAGCGCATTGGTAAGTCTTGAACTTAACCAGGCCCAACCTCCCGGGGCTAATGAAACTAGGATTTTCGAGCAATACGAATACCCCAGTGTACAAGGTTTCTGACGAGACCAACAAGCTCACAATTGAGGAAATGAATCTGTTTGTGATCCCTTGTTCTAATGAAAGAATAAATGCTGACTCTTAATAGGTACGATATGGACGCTCATGTAGAGCAAGAATTTCAGGCACGCAGAGGAAATTAGAGTCATAGATACTTGACTTGAGATATTCAAGTATTTGGGTGCACTCAGAAGTATCCACCTATCCAATAAAGAAATAGCTTTAAGATACATTTATCACGTACTTCAGCCTCCCTATGTCATTCTAGATCCATACGCCGCAGCCCTATATCACACTAGATGCGGTCCCTGGTTTGATGAATAGTGCGACATGGTTCAAATTTGAACGTATCACCTCTGATAGCGTTAGTGTGACATCCGATTTGGCTTCTATATTATAATTTATTCAGAGTCGGCATGATCATTTAATAATCTCCTTCCCCCGCTCCGGTATTACGTTTTCCATTAGTCAGTATTGCGCATGTAACCAAGTTCGGCAATGTTTTCGGCAGATGGTGAATTGGTAAGCCAGATTATCTTTACATCAGTGTCCGAAATACTCAAATATTTCTAGATTATAAAATGCTAGGACTAAATGGGCTCTTTGACAGGGAACTTCTGGAAACAATTACTTCGACCTTTGATATTCAATTTGAACCCCTTCCAATTCAGGTCATTCTCTATTACCAAACAGCTCAAAATGTCTGCTCAGCTATCTTTTGCGACTATCCCAAAGACTGCAAAGTCTCAGCCTTTACCTTATAAGGTCTCAGTACCAGGAGAGAAAGTTTCGGAGTTGCGCCAGCTTCTTGAACTTTCAAAGATTGGACCTGCGACATATGAGAACACACATGCCAATGCCAAGGAAACATCAAAAGGCGGGAAATTTACGTAACTTATCAGCGGACTGAGGTATCCAAAAATTAAACTTCGAGATAATAGTGGGCTTGAAATGGGGCTGTCAATACTGGTATGTGACCTATGTAGCAATCGGCCTGAAAGTTGCTCCATGCTGATGAATCTTTAGTTTCAGACCAGGTGACTAGTTAAAGATAGGGTTTGACTTTGACTGGCGATTTATTGGAGACCATGATGAGGTAAATGACCGTGGAAAGCCAGTCATTGTGACATGGGACCCCGAGGTGGCTAGTTTTGGACACCTTATCAATCACGTTGATTCTTGGGATTCCTGGCTGGATAGCATATCTGACAATCCGCTTATCCAAAATGATGCAACACGTCAACGGTATCTCTGTCTCGCTCTCGTGGTGGTGCGGTTCCGAATTCCGAATTCCTACTTCCGGATTCCGGAGCCCCGTTCCTAATCGACGGCATGCTCTTCGGCGAAATGCGGATGTGAGGTCTGTGCTCCTTTATGGGATTTGGCTGTGATAAGACAGCGGAAGGCAAGACTGCCTAGAAATTAATTCCGTCATGTGGCATGTTCTGGGGCGTCGCCGGATTGGCCTACTGGTTCGAGCGATTCTCAAGGTCGCTTTAAGCGGCGTGCGCTTCTAGAGTATAACGGAATATCGACGTTCATCAAGAATAAAAGACGGGCATATTAATACCTATTAGCATCGCAGAAATTAGCTCCAGTACTATCAATCAATCACAGTCCTGCTAGACAAATCATTATCCGCCACCATGAACTCCAAGTATGAGAAGCTTCCGTTCCTCCCGGAGACGCATCTAGACCCAGTCTGCCAAGGCATCACCCTGCTGCAACCTCTGTCTCGAAGAGGAGAAGGTCCTGGACTCATTGTCTTGGTGCCCAACACAGGAGTCACTGGTCCTTCCACATTGGCTATAGAGGAAGGAATACCATGCCCGTTGATGAAATGGGGCGAAGAGGGCTACACGACCGTCGAGGTCACTGAATCTGCCTTTGAAACCAAGTCTGATCCCATAAAGGAGGCCATTGTGTCCTTTGCTAAGCACGAGTGCGCCAATCCCAAGAACGTTGTAGGGTTAATTGGTAGGTTCCATGGTCTTACGCTGAGCAATACCTATTTTGACATTGGAATTAGCATACACGCCAGAACTTTGGAATCGCGTTGCACCGCTTCTCAAGGATTATCCTCAAATTGTTGGAGCCACTATATTTGGGGAACTCTCCGACTCGGCACAACTGGAGGAAGCAGCTGGAAGAAGCGGTATTCCATGCGCCCTTCACCTAGCTGGCAAGACAACGGGACTTCTCACTCGCAACAAGGAGCTCACTATCTACGATTACCCGACTGCGAATAGTCATCTTTTTGCCACTCCATTTCATCAAGATTTCCATTATACCTCCGAGGCCGTCTCTCACACACGAACACTCGCCTTCTTGAAGCCGCTCATGGGAGGGCCATACTTTGACCTGGAGGCCATCTGGGATGAGCATACGTATTATGAGTTTGAGAACCGCTCGGTAGAGCGTACCATGAATACTATGGTTCAGGAACCATATGTAAATCACATTACCACGGCAAGTTGTCCCCTTATATTCTCGAACTGGTGGTATACAATGCTAATGACAAATCCAGTTAACTGGTGGGGTTGGACGAAAGGACTTATCAATCTTTTATCGAGATCATTTTATCTTCCAGAATCCCGACGACACCGAGCAGGAAGTCATTAGTCGATCCATCGGCATTGATCGCGTGATTGATGAGTTCATCTTCAAGTGCACACATAAATCCCAATTGGATTGGATGTGCGTATTCCTCGCCTCGGTTCAAAATCCGTCTTCAGATTGCTAACCTTTTGCGCACAAGGCTTCCCGGGATTCCCCCTACCGGCCGCAAGATAGAAGTTCCGCTCACAGCCGTGGTCAACATTCGCGGTGACCGTCTCTACCATGAGCATATTGCGTGGGACCAAGCAACTGTCTTGATCCAGCTAGGTTTACTGCCTGAGTACTTGCCGTTCTCTTACCAACTTCCCAATGGACCGACTCCCAGCCCTGGAAGAACTATAGCATGCCGCCTCCCAGCAGGTGGTACCATGGTCGCGGCAAAGCTGAGGGATAGGTACGCGCACAAGTCTAATACTATGATAGAGTACAAGGTCAAGGAAGTGTAAATGTCATATGTTTCGAGTTTCAGGTTCGCAAATGTTACTTCGATCTTCTCTTACGTGTTTCAATTACACGGACGCCTATTATGGCCCGATTGCTCTGCAATTTGAATCATGTGTAACTTTCTTCATAAAAATTCTATTTCCAATCTTACAATATAATGAGCATTGTAGTATTTATCTGAGAACTGATGATTTATAAACTTCTTTGAAGAGAAACACCTCACGTCTACAAGTTAATACGATAAAAAGGCCCACACTGAACAATTGCTGTGCTCGCGATCCACTGCTCGAATAAACTTGGTTTAGTACAAGACCATAGCCCATAAAATTGCAAACAGCACATATTACGATGGTCAAAGCCTGAGCCGCCTATGACAGAATGGTTGTTCCGTAGCTCCGGCCTACAAACATTTATTATTGGAGAATCACTCCTCAATCAATCGCATAGAACAAACATGACGGATACAAGAATAATGCCGGCTAGTAAAAAAGAGCCAATCTCTAGGCCTAAGAAGTGATTTAAGAATCTGCTAAATGGTACTGGAAATCCCTGAGCAATTAGAACTCGGTGGGCAGAGTAACCTAATAAATGTGCAAGTGTACAATGAAGCTACTCGGGGCATTTTCAAACCCAGCCTAAACCCGGATTTCACGAATCAACCCCGCCATTGATGGAAGTTGATTTGGCAAGCACGGGCTTTTGAGACAAAAAATTGTCACGGAATGTTGCCTTCACTCTGTGAAACCAAGTCTTCTCATTTGATCCACCGATACTGAGGGTGCCGCCACTCAAGCTCTTCGATCTCCAGCTGGGTCCTCCCTGCCAGTTCGGAATCAATATCACGCCCATCCCTCTTTTTATTGTCATGGTTGATCCAGAGAAGCATCGATATGGCGATGACACACATGGTGCTTTGCGAGGCGAGATTAATGCCGTTGCCGATATGGTAGTGTGGTGCATCGGTCTTAAGGAAGCTCCACGTGGAGATGAGAGATCCGATGCTGCCAATGAAGCAGTGCATTCCAATTCCAGCGGATCTACCGGTGTCTGTTAAGGCATTGTTCGACACCTAAATGCCAAGCGTGTTAGTAGGTTGAGACGAACAGGACATCAGCAGCGGATGGGGAAATTGTAGGGAAGTAGAGAATGAAATGATTTTTGAGCTTACATGAGCAGCTGTCGTAGCACCGTAAGTGAATACACCGCACATGGGTAGGAAAGTTGCAACATAGCGGGCAGTTCCATTGTCAGTGGCGATGAAAATGATGTACCCGAGGATAGAGGGCGCTGCACAGCCCACAAGCCAATTCATCCGATTATCCCACTTCCAGCTCAGGAAGCAGCTAACCGTGCAGGCAATCGTGCCAAGTATGTAGGGAGGGACCGTTAGCAGTTGCTGCTTAACTACTCCTGCTTTAGGAAAAATGGTGGCAACCACGGTCGGTAGAAAGACGGCTAGACCCTGAACAGTAATGTTGTTGAAAAGGAAGATGAAGGCTGTTGGGATAACGACAGGGTTCATCATTCCGCGGCGGAATTTTGTCCAATTGAACGTATCCGTCATCGGGGCATGGCCGACTCGCTCAGATGTCACTCGCTCCACCGCGAGCTTTTTCTCGTTATCGTTGAGCCACCGAGCTGTGTCGGCGCGATCTGTCATGGTAAAGAGGGCAATGACTCCAATAATGGAAGTGATGATACCTTGATAGCAATAAGTAAGCAGGAGAACGTTGTGGTTGTGTAGTTGAGGGTTCAGATATACCTTCTATAACAAAGATCATCCTCCATGAATGAACCGTCCCAAATCCATCTAGTAGAAGAATGGCGGAGGCAAGAAGTCCCCCAAAGGCACCGGCCAGTGAAGCTGACAAGATAAAAAAGCACATGCGGAAGGTCAGTTCATCTCTTCTATACCACCGTGACAGGTAATAAACGGTTGCTGGAAGCATGCCTGCTTCGAAAAGTCCGAGCAGAAATCGGACAAGGCAAAGAGTCCCGAGGCTATTCACAAACCCAGTTGAGATAGTAATGACTCCGAAGCCAATACAAGAGAGGGGAATGAACCAACCAGGGCCAATGTATTTACAGAAGACATTGGCCGGGATCTCGAGTAAAATATAAGGAATATAGTAAACCGTGAGAGCGATGTTGAAATCGTAACCTTGCAAGTTGAGCTCTTCCTCAAAATTGGCAAGGCGTGCATTACCTGCGCGAAGAGTTAGTTCTCATGTGCACAAGACTTTCAGTGAAATACACCATAGCTCGTGTAGGTTCGCATAGTTACGTACCAATGTTGGTCCGATCAAGGAAACAAAGCACTGCGTGGGTAAATGTTATTCGTGCTGCAATGGGGATGGGTGTTGCGTTACGAACAGAAAACGATACTGACTAGAGGAACAACGTTCCAGTCAATCTTTGAACGCAGCTTGCGTTCCGCGTCTGCATCAAACTCGAAAAGAGGATCGCCACTTCTATATCCAACCATCAGAATTCTTCGAACTTATCGCCATGTGATCCAAAAAAGCTACCTGTTCATTTCGACCACCTCGATACTTCCGGAAACTATGTCCGGTGGGCCATGTGTTGCGCCATAAGCAGTCTTTTCCTTCGAAATTGAAGATGTGACTGCGTTATCCTGAACCGAGTCTCTGGACGAGTGGCTGGTAGAACGCATAACGGCGGTCATGGCGAAGGTACCAAGCTCGTAATGATAGAAGTACTAATTACTCAGTTAAGGATGGGAAGAAATTATAAACTTCCAGGTAGTGATGAAACAGTTGATAAAGAAAGAGATTTTGGGTTGACAGAGTTCAATGGGGGGCGTCGTATCCCTAAGCAATCACAAATTAAATATCTTTTATAATAAGAGAGCGTTAATGTCGGAGTATTCTTGGTGAATCTGGACGGATCCGAGATGAGGCAGAGATAAGGAACCCGGACCGAGGGAGATATGTTACGGTCATTATCGTAGCATTCGGAATGCTTGAAATATGTGGAACTAAGATAAGAATGATTGAAATACAATTGCCATAGCCAAAATCCCACCAAATTTCCGGAGATTCCGATTCCCCTAGTAAGGAAGGCAGGGGATGACCGCGTTAACTAGTTTCCTAAATCTGATTAGGGCACATTCGGCGACTTTGAAGTCTTTGTTTAATCTTCAGTATAAAGCATTCTAGCTTATACGCCGAGGAGGTGGACTGCAAGCGATGTGCCGTCTTATTCGTGGACATGCATAGTAAATGTGGCAAGGATAAGAAACGTAAAATATCAGTTCGGAACCGATGACTTGATAACAACATCGCCCGCTGTTATGCGGAAATCAAGACCTGGCAGTCGGTTTGTAACGATTTATTTGGGTAATTATTGGATAAGAACCGAAAAAATGAACCCACGCTTTATCTCAAGGCAAGGGTGACAATTCCTGAAATCCGAAACCTTTCCGGCAAGATAAGAGAGCCATTAGCTATTGGGGAATAAATGAGCAAATCAGAGATGGTTGGAATGCTTCGAACTAAGCCCCATACAGCAATAACCACCTGATCTCCGCAGGCGTGAAATCCCAGTGGGATTGAGTGCCTGTCTGCCTGGTATATCTTTCCGGTGGTGTGTGGGGATACCTTATCATGGACGTTCCGGTAGGATCCTGATGCATGAAGCAATCCTGATAAACATCAGGAACTTAGTGAATCTCCCACGAGTCATTGTACTATCCAATAAATCGATGACTCCGTATCAATGCCAGTCGAGCCTTGATGCGTATTTATATCCAGTTGGCCAGCACTAAAAACCCATATTAATGCTTGCAACTTAGATTTATTGTCTTGAATTCTTTTCCTCCAACTGGCTTACACCCTTGTCTACTATCAAGTGCAAACCAAAAAATGTCGGTACTGCCACCAACTCAGCGCGCGGTTGTTATCAAGAACCCGGGCAAGAATTGGACAGCAGAAGTAGTCCCCTCACATCCCGTACCTCGACCCGGTCCAGGCCAGGCTCTTGTCCGTCTGACACACACTGGCGTTTGCCACTCAGACTTGTCGTGTATCAATGGCGGCTTCGGCCTAAAGCTCGCTTGCGACGTCCCGGGCCACGAAGGGGTCGGCAAGATAGTAGCCTACTCTGAAGGTCTTGATTCGTCAACCCTACCTGCTTTAGGTACTCGTGTAGGGGTCCCTCTGTTGCAGCGGCCCTGTGGAACATGCGCAAGCTGCGGCCTTCCTGATGGAGAGGTTCATTGCCCAAACACCAAGCTTCTTGGATCACTTTGTGATGGCACTTTTCAGCAGTACATCACTGTCTATGCTGATTACATGGTGCTGTTGCCGAACGTCCCCGGGATTGACGATGCCGCTCTGGCGCCCACTCTTTGCGGTGGTGTCACAGCATATAAAGCATTCAAGAAATCTGGAGCCAAGCGCGGTGATTGGGTCGCCGTGGCCGGGGCTGGCGGCGGTCTCGGTAATTTTGCAGTTCAGTACGCCGTGTCTATGGGCTTTCAAGTCATCGGTATCGACACAGGCGAGGACAAACGCCAAGCAACACTTCGTCTAGGTGCTGCTGCCTTTATCGATTTCCGTACTACAAACGACGTACCCGCCGAGGTGATGAAGATTACGGGAGGAGCCGGTGTGCAGTCCGCTATTGTGCTCGCGCCATCGGAGGTCACGTACAATCAAGCCTTACAATATGTAGCCCTCCAGGGCTGTCTTATGTGTGTCGGATTACCGGATGGTGATGCTCATCTACATGTCCCACCTAGCCTCGTTTGTCGCAAAGATATCACTATCAAAGGTTCTTTTGTAGGCACGCGAGATGATATTGCGGAAGCTTTGGAATATGTGGTTCGTGGAGAGGTGAAACCTGATGTCGTCGTCTACCCGATGGACGATGTGGAGGCTATCTTTCGGAAGATGGAGGAGGGGCATATTCAAGGTCGTGCTGTCTTAGATCTATCATAATCACCTCGAGTTTCCTCACATTGGCTCATCAGAGGCGGCTCCAAGTCCAAGGCAGTTTTCCGGCCCCAGGAACATTTCTCCCCTTCCAGCCAGTCAGCTCCGAGAGGTCCCGCACAGGCCATGGATAAGCATTTTGGAAATTGGCGGGGATCTTTCCATATTTCCACTTCCAGAGATCTACCCACTCCGGACCCAGCTTGCCCTCCAGCATGTCGGCCACGTATTGCCCAATGACGGGCAAGAATTTAAAGCCGTGGTTCGACCCAGCAGTTGCAATGAAGAGATTTTTGGTCTCGGGGAAGGGACAGATCCTGAAGTTTAGATCCGTTGCCATGCCGTCCCTAAGGGTTTCAGCTTTCGTTGTAGTGATAATATGAGGCAAAAGTGAAGAGAAACAATGCGAGCGAGACATGCTATATGTGAAAGGACGTCTATTTTCAACTTACCAGCATAGTCTTGTCGTGACAAAAGGTCGGTCCGCCAGCTCTGGTATCGTTTCACGGATAAGTTGCCTTATCTCTTCCTCAAGCTCGCTGGGGCAGCCGTCATACGGATGGTCACCGACTGAGTGGAGGATGGAAGCCCCAGAAACGCTGTGATTCTTGAAGTTGCTAATCAGTCGAGCGCTGCAGATCTTGATGAGACCATTCTCATCAGGTGGGAAGATGATGCCTATTGACTTTAATGTTAGGTCGTGTCCCCTGTCTAGGGAAATGGAGCAATTGAATGTGGCATGGTCATACCCTTTTCGAAGTTATCGATGATGGGAATGTCGCGATACTCCTCGATCTCATGGCTTTCAAGCTGGATGACGCAGATAGCGGACGTCTTGGCTACGACATCGCTTTTTGCACCATCCACGAGAGCTGGAAGGTTAGCACCAGCCGCGACCACAACGAGATCAGCCTGGTGAACTTTCCCGTTGGCCGCAATCGCGCCTCTGCATGAGCCATCTTCATCATACCACAGCTCTTTGATGTGGCCGGCCTCTCCGACAATGTATTCGACCCCATTTCCTTGGGCGGCAGTTGCCATTTGCAGGAGCGCTTTTGCAGAGGGTACCTAAAGTTTTAATCCCACCAGTCAGCAATGCCAAGCTCATAGGCGAGTAAAGAGGAAAGGGGAGAGTGTTACCCATCCCGCCGCTGGACTGTACAGGTTTGTCCAATCGGGGAAATCTCCGGTCAGAGCCGGCCACTCTGCCTTCAGCTCATCGGCAGACATGTACGTCACGCCGTCTCTATTGGTCTTTCTCGCCATCTCCAGCACACTCTGTAGCCACCCTCTTGCCAAAGCGTGCGCCCCCATGACCCAGCCTGTTTCACGATACATACCGGAGAAAAGAGACTTGGGATCCCTCCACACGCTCATGGCTTCAAGGCCAAGTTTCGCGTACAACGGGTTGGGGTAGTCAGTGCGGATGATCTTGTTGAGGTCTGTTGCAGCGGAGTCCCTGGATGGCGCATCAAAGCGATCAACCACGGTGACATTATCGTAGCCACGCAATGCGAGATGGTAGGCTGTCGACGTTCCAAAAACGCCACCACCAATAATGAGAACTGAAGGCTTGCTCATGGTTGGAAAAGTTGGATTGAACTTGTAAAAATGATGTGAAGGTGATGCTGTCTGGGGGTCGTTGCCTTGTGTGTTCGATTCATGGACGTGGGTATTTATAGTGAAATAGCACTACCTCGACTGAACACTCATACAACTGCGAGACGAACCTTTGGTCCGGCATCCACCAAAGAGCAGTGTGTTGTTTCAACTGCCGTTCCTCGTGCCGTTCCTCGTGCCGCAAATTTTGAGCGGTACTTGGTGGTCAGGTGAACCATTCCTTGTCAGGATATGCCGAATTAGATAGAGCATTTACTCTTTGCCAACACACTGTGCATGCACCGCACGATATCAATATGCGAGATTTAGCCTCCTGCGACAACAAGGCTTGGCCTCAACTGGCCTCAGCTATATATTTGGAGGACTTTTGACGCTGGTGGAAGTGTCACCCGACTGGCCCATGACGTGTCTGCAGCTGAGGAAAGAGTCAACAAGTCAGCTCAGCAAGCATTACTGACCGAAGCGGGGTTTATTTGATATTAGCACGGCACGCAGCTGCCGCCAGATGACCAGTCCTCAATGGGCTTGCACATGGCCTGAAACCGGCTCTTGAATAGGTCGGCTGAGCAAGCGTTAGCCGCCGGGACAAGGCCCGGGGCTTATCTTTTTTTTGCATCGCCACCAATACAAAGCAGTCCACGGAATGGAAGCACCCCCTTGCTAGTGGCGGATATGGTTAATCCCGGGAGAGAAGATGTCTCGATTCCCAATTCCAAGGCGTCGTTGGCCCGGAACCTCAGGATATTGGCCAAGGACCCAAATAACCAGAGGCTCTCATGATTTCGTATAGCCCAGCAAGGAGCAACCCTAGCAACTTCTTATCACCGTGACCGCATGGCGTGCTTGGGCCAGGGAGCGTCTACTCCCAGAGGTACGGTATCATTTTCCCTACGCCACTTATACAAAGCTAGGCTAGAACCCTGACTGCATAAGAGTATGTTCTTGGCATACTTTCACTACCGTGGCTTTACACGGGGTTCGCTATCTTACCTGTAACAGAGGAGGTCAACTCGCGGTACTTATAACCTATATCGCATGTATAATATTAGCATTCTTCAATAGAAGCCGTGGGCTATTTCCGAGCTGTGAATTAAGCAGCGGCTGCTGCATTTCGCCGTACAGCAGTCACAAGTTCCAGGACCTACGGATTTTGTCTGGTTTGTGATCTAACTCCATAGGGTGGCATTATTTCCACTGCGAATAACGTCTTGAGGCCCTCGCTGTAGCGCCGCACAGTGTTATCTTTACTCGGGACGGGAAAAAGGAAGCTAGAGGAGGCAAGGTGTTGGTTCGAGGACCGTGTAGGATTTGGATGGCATCCAACAGAGAAGCGCGTAAGTTAATGCCCACAGATATGTCCCGGAAATGTATCCTTGTAAATGTGGCGTTTACCCATTCGCCCAGTCGATATGGAGTATTTGGCGTATGTATTGGATATTACAATTGCCTCGTTGCCTGGTTTCAAGTGCCGCCCGGCGGTGTGCGTGCACCGGCACTGAGGCACTAACCGGAGAACTTCCTGTCTAGGAAAGGCTGGCTTCCCATTGGCCTGGAAGCTACTTTGGAGCTTGGAGATTGCATGGTGTCGTTCCACGGTACCGGTGCAGCACTAGATAATTAGCGCAGCTCGCGCCAGAGATGATCGGTTTGACTTGTCTCTTTGCCCGCGGAAACGTACCTGATTAAGCCAGTCTCCGCTTTTTAGTAACGCGAACCAGGTGCTTCTCAACGGTGTGGACCATGTGGCAAAGTTGCGGAAACCGGTGTGGGACTGATTGACGAACGAGAGATGATCGGGTACGAAGCCGAAGGGCCCAAGTCCTGCGAGATGAGGGGAGAGAAAAGAGACAACATGGAAAGTCAATCAGGTGAACAAAATAAACGCGGGTCATGGTTCTTTGCATATCCGCCATGTGATGTCATACTTTTTAGTGTACCATTCCACAGATGTTCTGGCACCATTCCTTTTTGCTTGGCATCCCAGTCTCCCTTCTCCCTGCAGACGGAGTACTCCGTACCGCTCTGCGGAAAGATGGCAGGGTCTCCACAAATAGAACTGGAGGGCCTAGACCGGGACGATCCGGACTACTGTCTCGGATTGGTTCGAAGGATGGTTTGTTCCGAGACGAGGAAAGAGAGAAGAGGAAAGAGACAAGAAGCTGACGGGAAAGAGACAAGAGGCAAGAGATTGATGGGAAGAGGTAAGAGGCAAGAGGCTGGCGGGCCGAGGACATTTGATCTCACGGATGTGGCGGCTTCCGCTCTCTACCTGAGGCTGAGCCCGAAAGCTTTCGGCCAAGGCTGGAATTTCCCAATGGATTGGATTCCCTAAATTAGCCGACAGCACTTTTATCAGATGCCGATCGTGAGGTTCCTACCAAGCCCAGATGTCTTATATGATATTGTAGCACGGATAAGAACCGGGCTCCGCAGTGAATACAAATATCACGAAGTAGGAAGAGTACTTCCTGAGCCATCGGGCTCCAATTGTTCTGCATGCCTCGTATGACTTGATTGTCCAGTGGCAAATCGGGAGTAGGGAGGGGAGAGTATAACTCGGAGCATGGCATAGCCCAGGTGCGCAATACCCGACCTTGCCCCTTCCAATTCCATGTACCTTTCTCTGATTGATGCTCTTGCCCCTCTTCTGTCGCACTTCGCTTGACGGATTTGCCGAGCCTTTTTAGCTTTGTTTTCTCTTCAGGCTATGTCTTAGTATCGCCTCGCCATTCCCCGCTTCTCTAAGTTCCTGTAGTAAAACATGACTCGATTAAACCACAATTAAGAAGCCAGCCATCCTGGCTTCAATCATTACTCTTGCCATCATCTCTCACAAAATCCCGCCTGCTCTCAAATTTCTGAAATAAATCCTCATTTCACAAATCGTCAAACGCGATCTGGGTTCTATCTTCTTCGAGTCCCCTTCTTGTCATTGTCACGTGAATCGCGTCCTGTAGCGACGAAACTCTGTCCCTTGGACACCACGTAAGTGTCAAACGCATTCCAAATCTGCTCTAGTCCTAATATCTGGAAAGGATTGCCTGATTCTAATATTGGGGGTTTCTAGATAACAAATTATGACCTTGCCCTCAACCAAAAGAATATCTGAGTCGGATATGAAGGATTTAACCCCCAATTATTTCGATTCTCTCGAGACCCTCACTCGAAGCCGCCTAGAGCCCGTTTTTCAGAAAGCGATCACGGCTATAGAGGCCAATAAATCACCCGCTACACAAAATACCACCACTGTCAACGATATAGGAGAATTTTTGGTCTCAGCTGCCGATGTCTGGGTGCAATTAACCAAGGAATTGGTTCAGAGTCCGGAAATGCATCAGGCCATCTTAGACGCGCACGAGGATTCAAAATCGGAAACCAGATTGTCAGACCTATCGGGGATACTATTAATGGATATCGATCTCGCTAGACTCTGGTACGATTCTTGTTGCATCTCTCCTTAGCCCTGCAGAACGATACTGTCGCCAAGAATACTAACAAACATGCTTAGCAAGATCCGAGATTTAACAGAAAGGTTCTCACGCGATATCCACGATATTTGGCACGCAGGCGTGAAGGGTAGTCCTACATCATCTAGGTAGCATGCCTGCGTAATGGGTGGCAAGGTGAAGCTATTCCATCAAGAAGAGTCAAACTGGACAATCAATAATATATTTCCTAATCCCTTCACTGTCGTCGCCATATTATCTGGACGAACCAAAGCTTCACGTGTCAACTTGATCTATTCCAAACTGTACATCTATTTTTATTCTTTGCATTCATTTGTGCGTCAATCCTGGGTTCCAGCGATGGATGATGTGGGGGTAACCAGGAACTCTCAGGCTACAGGAAAATCCATTTGGACCACTGAATTAACTCCCCATCTCTGTATTTTTTCAAGGCCAAAGTCAAGCTCCATAACTGCGAGGCTGAAGTGATCAACTTCTCCCGGAGTCTCCTCAACAAGCACTCTCTCTGTGTCATTCCTGTGCATAAAGCCTACATTGCGCTCCGCACACATTTTGGTCCACGCAAACGCCGATTCGGCCTCCCAGACCCCCCGACGGGTCGTGAACATCACTCCCCCGGGGCATTCTATTTCCCTAGTCTGCATAGTGATATAGATGGACTGGACGGCCTGTGAGACGAGCCACGTGCGGCGGAGACTCTCAGAGAGGATCCAAGCATGCCAGAGGAGTTTCTCAAGTCTCTCTTGTAATGTTCCCACATTTTGACCAGATTCATCGGGTTCTATTAGGTTGGAAAGCAGGAGAGTTCCGTCTTGTGCTGCGTGGGTGGCGGTAGTGAGCATTTGGTTGGTCCAGAGGCGTAGAATTGGAAGTTGTTGTTCTGCGAGGTAGCGTTGTCTGATGTCGCCATTGAAGAGTCGAATGAAGGAATAAATCAGCAAGGCCTGAACTCGGCATATGTGATCAAACGTATCGAGATTTGGTTGTGCTTGCGGTCGATTTTGCCCTTTCACGATTTCACTTGACCGCTCCTCCATAATACGAAATATCATGTCCTCTGTCGCAGGGCTCCGGCTAAGGTAACTGGATAAGACTGTAAAGGCATCTTGTATGGGTCTCGGAAACCGGTTCTTGTATAGTTGGGAATGGATGAAGGGATTGCTGCCCTTATCAACCCATTCCTTAAGCCAACCCTGTATCTTCGCAATATACCTCCTCACTACCGTGCTGCAGATCGGTGTGAGGCGGCTGGTTTCGATTGGTGCAATGGCCCATGCTTCCGGAGCAAGGAACCAAGCTGTCTGCAGATCGATGAGTGAGGGGCCGATAAAGCTTCCAAGCTGGCTACCAGATCTGTGAGGGTCCAAGGTGTTCGTGATACCCAGATGCTGTAAGTCTTCTAACGTGTGTCCCCCGGTGTGATTTCCCGCAGCTTGGGCATTGAAGCAGTCCGCATCACGGTCTCCAAGGCCATAAACGATGAACGTAGGGCGGACCGGATATGCACACTCCAGCCCCTTGAGCTCACAACGGCCACATGCAGGGAACTCTTTGGTACACCTCCGCTTAGCTATCCTGCAAGCATCACAGGCTTTGAGTTCTCCCCGCTCCATATGTACCGAGATAGCGTAGTGAGATTCCACTATCCTGAAAATGGCGGGATCTGGTTAGAATGAGGTGATGCTGACGGAATGTTCATGAGGGAGGCGGGCGGCGGAGGTTCGCTGGTGAATAAGCGCATTGGCGGGCGCTACTCTACTTCAGGCTAGTTCTCCGCTGGATCGCTACATGGTACTGACGCAATCGATTCAGCAGGCGTACCATTTATGCCCGAGGTCTTAAATCAGAAGATCAGTAACGAACAAAGAAGTATCATTGAATTGAGGTAGATTATGTGTTAGAAAAGATCGGGAAATGAGCCTTCTACTATGTGGCCACCACGTGTATAAATTCCAACTCTCCTGTTCGCACTCCAAAATATCCACTCAGAGGTCGTAGGAAGCTCACAGACGCTACATGGGCACAGTTTAGCATATCCCCCGAGCGGACTGCGATTATGGGGTCAAGTCCTTTACACTAGGCACACTTGAGGTGATATGAATTTACCAGACTTCGGTGCGCAAGCCCCTTCCTTGTTGTGCGAGAAACTCCGCCTCGAGAGCCGCATTTTGGCGGGGAGCTAACCCTTTTTGACCTCGCAATAAAGGCAGAATGACACGCATGTTTCCTCATAAATGTCCCATTGATTCGTAAGCTTTATTCCAGCTACGTTTATTCCTTCGTTAGGAAGGTAATGACCAATTCCGCCAAATTAATCCGCTCAGATGGACATCATTCATCAGAGGTCGAGAGATATCCACCTTAGATACACGAATATATATACTCCCTCTCATACGGCGTATTTTTCGTCTCTATCAAAACACACTCTCATCCTCACCCATTTATTTACCCATCATGACTCCAACATTTGTTCTCATCACGGGTGCCAACCGGGGCTTGGGATACGGGCTCCTTAAACGGTACCTTGCGCTCCCGAACCACGTCGTGATTGCCGGCAACCGTAATCTAGAGCACCCGACATCTAAAGCGCTCGATGACCTTCCCAAGGGTGAAGGCAGTCGTCTCATAGTCGTCAAGATTGACGCGTCTGTCGACCAGGACGCTTTTGATGCTGTCAAAGAGCTTCAGAAATCTCACGGGATCGATTATCTTGATGTGGTCATCGCCAACGCCGGTGTATCGTACACCTGGCCCTTGGTGGCAGACTTGAAGATTGCCGACCTACAGGGCCACATCACACCCAACGTATATGGTGTTATCACTCTGTACCAAGCCACGCGCCCGCTGCTGCAGAAGTCGCCTAATGAACCCATATTTGCACCAATGGGATCTACGGCCGGCTGCTTGGCGTGAGTCAAACGTCTTGCTTCGATTGTTTATTCTGCTAAAATAAAATAGAAACCAACCCCCAATTCGGAATGCTGCGTACGGCCCCTCGAAGGCAGTAGTGAATTGGTTGACTATCAGGATCAACACCGAGGATGAATGGCTCAACGCATTCGTTCTGGGGCCTGGTTGGGTCCAGACTGACCTAGGCAATGAAGGTGCCCGTGGCCTTGGGTTTGAAAAAGCCGCACTTGGAGTCGACGAGTCTTGTGACGGCATGATGCAGGTGCTTACTTCATCCAGCAAGGAGAAACACGGAGGGAAGATGGTGTCTTACGAAGGAGAAATTTTGGGGTGGTGAAAACTGTGAAGTGATGGTCAACAAGGCAGATATTAGCTGAGTGTGACATATCAACTAAAGATTTGCATAAATTAGACCATCAAACTATTAGAATATGCAGGTCCACGTATCAGTCTCATATAAAGACCATGTTCGTAAGAATTTAAGTAAGTCCAGATATACCAAATTTAATGTAAACGATTCTAGTTTCCCTGGCTAGCCATGTATGGCTACTCGTTCGCAGTATGATTATGCTAGTTTGGCTTCCTCAGCACGTTGAGATGGGAAGAAACGGTGCCAGTATTGCCACAGAAGAGGAGTGACTACCGTTATCGGCACCGCAATTGCCCAATACAGCCAGAATTTCTCTGAAACCGACCAAGAATCTGACTCAGGGCTGTAGTTAAAGAAGGACATGCTGAATATTGCGCATATAAAAGTCGGCGGTAGAAAGGTCATGGTAAGAAAGGCGATCGTTTTCATTGCAGCGCTGTCTTCCTGTGCTGCTTGTCCAATGGCAACTGATACGCCCGAATCATAGTGCGCAATGACGTTGATCGAGAGCTGAATTTCGTTTGTCAGGCGTTCTCTATTCGAGTGGGAACGATTGTGTAGACCCTGAACCATGTGTTCGAAAAATAGTAGGCGCCTTTGGATATTTTGCGAGGCGTGTGGCGATTGACCGATGAAACTCGCATGCTCCGACAATATACCATTTAGAGTCTTGATAGTTACGGCGAGAGTCTCGGAGACATGAGTTGTATGCCTGGTAAGATCGTGAAAGGCCTGGTAGTTTGGCATTGTACGTGTTTGCAGGGGTGTTCGCATTGACTCCAAGAACCTAACCTGAGTGGCTATGGCCGCCACAGCCGTATCTTGGAGGCGAACGATTTCCCGCATCAAGGGCTCATAGATCCAGAAGGGATCTGTGAGGCACTGGGAGTCCGGATCACCAATAAGTTGGCTCGGGGGTCTCTCTGCGATTGGAGAAGGGAGATCGAACAAGAGCAAGATCGTTTGCTTAGTGGACGGCAACCATCGTGTAAAGATGTTGACCTTGTACCATTCATACTCTGCAAAGTTACGTTTCACGTCCTTGACAATGAAACGCGCCCAGGTATCTAAAATGATATTAGTAGTGGAACTTGTTAGAGGTGGGGAATGGGATAGTACTAAAGCCGTTCACATTTCCCTCCGTGTCTAGAGTATCCTCGCAGCCAAAATATCCCTTGGGGTCTCGACAGTACTCTTCCCACCAGAGATCAGGGATTTGAAACGTGTGGATAAAATAAGTCTGGCATTTTGGGCATTCGCGGACTTTCCTAGCCTTGGTTTTTCTTTACGCAGAGTTGGTACCGTCATAGAATAATAACGCCCTGAAAACCCAAAACTAACATGATAAAGATATCGCAGTCAGACTCTGGGAATGTGCTTGTGTCGCTGTTGCTTGCATCATCCTGCGCGATTTCAGTCCGGTGATGCTGCCAATTCCTAGAGTCTGAAGGGTTGTTAGAAAGGTCCGAGTTCTGACAAACCGCACCAAACAGACCTCTTTTCCGCCGAAATATATCCAGTTGTGGACAGCTCTGGCAGTCGGGAAGAGCCATTGTGAAGTGTAGCGAGCCTTTTTTTTTTTCTTGGCTGTTCTCAGAAGACAGGATGAGAATCCGAAAAGTGGAGAAGTCCCTAATAAATAAGCTGCAGCGCCTGACGAGAGGCAGCCCAAACGAAGACCCTTGCTCACTGGCCCTGGAAAGTGGGCTGGCTGACAAGGCGGCTAAAGGGAAATTGAGGCGGTGCTTGAAAAACGTGGCGAAGTAGACTGTGATACATCATACCAGAGTGGCAACCTTTGAAGCATTGAGCATATTTTCTATCTTGAGGTGCTACTGAAGTTTCCCGGGCGATATGCTCTAGGCTTGCTTCTTTTCTGTCATTACAGTCTCCCAAAACTCAAACCTCGACCACAAGCTTCTCTCTGCTTACACCCTTCTTCAATTCGTTCAAAGCATTCTGGAGTCCATTCAGTCCCCCGTCAATGACTCTATATGCGGTTGGCACAATGTCACCTCGCTCAAGCCACTTTGGCAAGGTGTCATTGAACAACCAGGCGCATAGATCCAGTCTGCGGTCCGCCAAAGCGTCTCCTCTGATCGCCCCGGTTTCGATCCCGTCAGGCGTAGCGATATTCTCAGGCCAGGGTGATGTGTGCGCCAGTTTCTTGGTTGCTTCGGTCGACTTGGAAAGTATCTGCAAGACTGAGGCGAGGGTCTCTGATGTGGAAATGGCATCAACAGCGTAACTGATTTGCGTCCCAGCCAGCTTGGCTGCAGCGAGGAGGTCATCGACAGCTGTAGGCGAGTGGTAATCGACGAGCACGCTAGCACCAAGCGAGCGTAGGTAGTCATGGTGGCGCTCACTTGCTGTCGTGTATACGGTGAGTCCAGTCAGGCGAGCAAGCTGGATAGTCAAAGACCCGGCGGTCGAGGCACCGCCCCATACCAAGATGACGGGGGACTCAGGCTCAGACAAGTTCTTCACTGTACCGACAGTAGGTCGGGGCAAGTCAAGCACATCGAATAGAGCTATGGCCCCCGTGCCTACGGCTGTCGGCAGAGTGACACCCTGTTGGAAGCTCATTCCATGAGGTAGGGCAGTAGTTGCGGCGGCATTAACAATGGTGAAGTTCTGGAATGCGCCGTTGTCGTTATTGCCTGAACAAAATGAGTGAGCAATCGCAAGGACACGATCGCCAGGCTTGAATTCCGTGACAGATGATCCGACTTGGGAAACGATACCGCTGATGTCTGGAAATAGTCATTAGCCTATATCCTTCGGAAGATGAAAGACGAGCTGATGGACTTGACACAAGCTTTCCGGCCGGGAAACTTGTTTCCACCAACATCGCCGTGCTCTTACCGGCGCCAAGTACTACTGGGTACGAGGAGATCATGAATCCCCATGACTGTCTTTTCCAGTCGACCGGGTTTACAGCGATGGCGTGATTGCGAATCAAGACCTCGCCCGGTCCAGGGGAAGGAATCTGACGCTTCCCGAGAACGAGGTCGGTTGCGACGGCAGGCAAAAAAGCCACATCAGAAGTTTGGTCTTTCGCCATAGTGAAGAGAAAGAGTGCCAGTAAGGGAGCTGTAAGGGGCAAGAAGTGTAAGTGGTGATGGTGATGGGGATGTCATTCACCTTAGCTGGCAGCCAGACCTTGCGGGCCTTTTATACGCAACGTAGTAGAGGTATATGGGCAGATCATCAGCGGCCAAACACAGAGGCTCAATTCCCAATTCCAAGCCGTTTCGCCCAAATCGCCGCCTTGCCGTCATTGTCGCTGGCTTGATGACCTGGGAAAAGTGGGCTTCCGGCGAAATTGGCCCTCCGGCGAATTGGCCGGTGTCAAGCCCCACCATGCCGAGCTCCCGACGCCCGGTGCAAGTCACGTAGGGGATGCAACAGGAAAGGATACCGTCATGCTGTCAACACTAAAGTGGTTGGGAACTATTCGTTTCCTTCGAACTAGAATGTTGTATAGGCCGTTTTCACAGCGATTTAAGGTGTCATAGTAGCTGCATCCATCTAGATAGAGCACCACACGTGGCTTATTTCTGCCTTGGCCACCCGTAACCGACATTCTACACATTTTTGTATGACTTCATTCTATATCACACATCCGCTACGACTGCGGCAAGCATCATACCTAGTCCGTCAAGGTCCGCATGCCAATTGTCGAGGATCTCATCAAGCGCACCCTTGAGATTCCCTCGCACCGTCGCATTAGCTCCGCCCCTTTGTTGCAGACGTGCGATCGCGAGATCACCTACCGTGCCCAGTCGAGATTCTCCGGGCTTAAAATCTTTCCATGACGCACCATATTCCTTTTCCCAGACCCATTGGCTTCTCGCCTCCCACAGTGTTTTGGTGCCTGGCAAAGGAAGGTAAAACGGGGTTTCGATGTCATTCGAGCCTTCGGTGCCCACGACAAGGGCTATGAGGAAACACACGATATAGAGCCTTCGACTATTAGCGACATTACTCGTGTGGAAGAAAGAGCCTGCAAGCTCATAGTGAATAGAAGGCGATTACTGTACACACCTTCGGCGCGTCTCTTCGAAGATCCATTCCTCCCAGCTAGGTCGCGATTTTCGCTCGTGGGTGGGACTCAAAGGCCCCGGAAAGAGTTGAGAAAATCGTTCTGTGAGTTTCTACGGAATTCAAAATGCGGTTTTTAGCGAACGAACGTGTTGCCGAGCCATCGAGAAGGTTGATATTGAGCCAGGGTGCATAGGGTAGGAGACAACGGACCAACCTTCATGTCATTAAACATGTCTCGATTAGACACAAAATATTCGCGGCCCGAGTCGACCAGGCGCATTATAGTATAAATCATCATGGCTTGTATTGCTGCCACTATCTCGCCTCGTGAGAATTCATGCATCTGAGGGTGCGGCGCAAAGATGTTAGTCGTTTCATTCATTATCATTGTTGCACTTGTGTCCAACGAGAACGGCATGGTAGAAGGATACGAGCCAGCTCATGGGAATGTTCTGGAACGGGAATACTTACTTCGTTCATAATCCGACGGTGCTCGCTCTCTATAGTTCTCCATATAAACTCCTCTGAGTTTGAGTTCCGCGAGACGAACATCTGAGCTATGCTATGGCAGGCTGCCAATGGTTTCAGTGGCACAAATTCCGTGGAATCAGACATATCAAAATTAACCCGCCGTGATTCCTCTTGATCGAAGTGAAGCCCACAGCCGATCGGGTGCACAAAGGGCGGTAGATTGCCCGGACGTGTCATCATGCGTGGGTACGTCCGAAGAATGGAGACAATGAACCGACAACAGCCATTAGAGATGAGCGGCCCAGAAGGTTTCTCCTGTGTGTTGATAATACGAGCGGGAATAGGGACTAAAGAATACATGTTCTTCCGAAGAGCGGCTAATTGGCAAGTTGGAGAGGAGGGACTTGCGGATGCAGAGAAGGGTAGCAACAGATCGGGAGCCGGCTGATGCGGTCCAGTATCCACAAAGGGGAAAGGGTCGAATTCGATGTTAGTACTGAGAGCGGTACTCATATCAACAACAACCGAATCTGGAAGGCATGGTAAGGCTGTAGATTCGTCCCCGGTAGGAAATGTAGCCGATGCAAAGGTCTCTTGGTCCAAGTAAGTGGGGTTCGCATCATCAAACCGAATGTCGTTATTGAATGCGAGGTTATCAGGCTGTGGAGCAAGTTCCAGCCCAGAGACAACGTCTAGACATAGCATCGAGGTGGAAGTATTAAAATTGACGGCAGGTGGAAGATCTGCGGCGTGTGGAGGGTTGTTCCCATCACTTGGGCTGGAGACAGCATCGTGGGGGTGGGTTGCCGCTGATGTCGAGGCGGCATAATGCCGATCGTACGAACATATCCTATTTTTGGTAACGCACCGGGTGCAAGGCGCCAAGAAATCGCACTTGCTTTTGGTGCTTCTGCAAAACTGGCAGGCTTGCTGTCTCGCAGGCCGTTTCTTTGCTGCCCGGCGACGGCAATACTGCGAATGTCGGGTATAGGAGATCTCTGTGGAAGATTCAATCAGGACTATAAAACACCAAGCAGGTCATTCAGGAGGGATGGGAGAGAATACGACGTCATCGGGAATCCATGATGATGATGAGGTGAACTACCTTGGTCAAACGGTTTTCCACATGTGGTGCAGAAGTACATCGAGGTCTGAAGATTCGGGAGGTTTCCAAGTTCCGGGCCGTCGTTCATTATCTCAAGCTTGATAGTGGGGAAGGGGAGCAGGGACTGGGAAAGCGGTGAATAGACGGCTAATGCACATGGTCGTCGTGAATGTTCAAGATGGGACTTGGGAGCGATTGTGGACAGCAGATGGCACAATGCACTGGATGCCTCAGGCATGAAGATGGATTGCAACAGCGGGGATAAGCGCTAAGTAGACAGGGAACCGACCCCGGTGATAGCAGGTTGTACGAGGTATGGGCAGACGGGAATGATTGGGACATAGAGACATGTTATTCCATGAGAACGGCGGGAACTGAAGCCATTAACTAGGATAAAAAATCCAACGAATCATGGCTATAACTTTACAGAGTCTCGGACAATTTCTGAGAGCCAATAGTATTTGATAGACGCCATGGTTGTTTCGGTGTGTCAGCGTGTTAAAGGCGGCGGTCTTGAGTCTCGAAGTTCGCCGATAAGTGCCGATCATCGATGGTCTGGGCGTCGTCCACACCATAGCGCCAACTTAGAACTAGGATCGAGCATGATGGAGTTCGTCTAGTACTACGGAATAATCATCTGATCCCTGTCGACATGGGCCGTTTTCTCCTCTTTCTCTCGAGATAGTTAAAGCCGTCCGTATAATTATATCCCGCAATCTACTTAATGCTGTATCGTAACGGCCTTGACGTCAAGACTCCACCTTCGGCTGCCAGTGTTGACCCCGAAAACGCGATCGTTTGGGGCGAGCGGTTACAATTACTACACATGGCAACGAGTATCCGAGCAGACAATTTTAAAAGGTGGGACGGCTTCAACAAGATAGATAGGCATAAAAAACATATCTATAACTATAAATCTGCAATATGCTTAGTCGCTTCCCCTCGTCCCAGCTGTCTACCTCCTCTTTTTTAGCGTCAGTGGATCGTCGGTGAGGGGACAATTTTCCACGGCCAGAGTCCAACCCAAGAAGCAGCAATGGCTTTAATACTTCCAGCGCTGACTTTCGCGAGTCTCCTCGCTTCTCCTGTGGCTGCCAGCTATGCATTCTACGTGGGAAAGAACCTCACAGCAGATGGAAGCGTCCTGGTCGGCGGCACTGGCGAAGAAGTGTCGAGCCACTGGCTCCAGCTGTTCCCGAGCGTGACCATGCTTCAAATGCCACAATCACCGTCGGCGTCACCAAGGATGCCACCATCCCCGGCGAACTCATCCAGATCCCGCAGGTCAACCACACGTTCCGCTATCTGAGCATGGAGTACTCGGACTTTGAGGGCTTCCCCGCACCGCTGACCAACGGCGGCCTCAACGAGAAGGGCGTCGCCGTGAGGGACGTGTGGGCGGATAACAGGCAGGAATTGATCGACATGACGCCTACGCCGCAACATGGCTTGCAGTACAGCGATCTTGCGCGTGTGGTCATGGAGCGCGCGAGCACGGCGCGGGAGGGCGTCGAGATCATCGGGGATTTAATCGCCAAGTACGGCGAGGCTACGTACGGCGGCAACTCGCATCTCATTGCCGACAAGGACGAGGGCTGGGTTGTGTGGGAGATGGCCGGCGGCGAGGGCCTCTGGGCGGCGCAGCGACTGGGACCCAACGAGGTAAAGGTCCTGTACCCAGGGTATATCGAAGATTTTCCTGTCGATTTCGCCGATAGCGACGACTTCATGGGGTCGGAAAACATTGTCTCCTTTGCCGTCGAACAGGGTTGGTGGAGCTCCGACTCGGGAAAGCCCTTCAACATCTTCGACGTCTACGGCCCTCAGGATCCCCGATACACGGCTCGTGATGGAGGATACAAATACATGTCCCAGGCCGCTCTGGAAAATGCCACTCTCGCCATGGCGCCAGTCACAGAAGAGGATCTGATTGAGCGCGTGCGGGACTACCGGATCGACGACGATGAATCCGGCTACGGGCAGGTTGTTCGTCTTCGAGCCGGCATTGACAAGGACCTCCTCCGCATCTGGGTTGCGCCGACCGGCTCCGTCGCAGCGCCGTTTGTGCCGTGGTGGCTAGGAGTTCAGTCCATCCCTCCCGAGTATGGCGAGCATCGATACCTCACTACCGGCGCCTCGGGCAGCTTCCTCAACCCGGACTATCAGTTCCAGGAGGCCTCTGTTTTCGCGGGACGAGTCTTCAAGCGGATTCTGTACTACATGTGCAGCGCGCCTAATACCTATCTTCCCATTGTCCACACCATGTTCAAGGGCTTCGAAGAGCAATCGCGCACTCAAGTCTCGGAGTGGGTGGAGAAGAGCGCCCGAGCTCTGATCTCCCACGACCAGCGGAAAGCAGCACAGAAGCTATTGACGTTTTACTCGCATACTCGTGCGGCCGACGCGTTGCAGATGGGTCAAACTATGGCAGAGTCGCTGGATGGGTACATCAAACTCACGGGACAGTGGCGTGACCCCAAGGGTAGCGAGATCAACGATGCCGGGGAGGGAGCCGAGACTGTTAACTGCCTGGTGGGCTATGATCCTGATCAACCAGCCGATAGGCAGAAAGCGTCAAAGAAGCGTTCATCCGGACGAAGCTCTCGTGGGCTAAGGAAGCAGAGAAGCTAAGTGCTGCGATGAACATCGGGTGGTATTCAGTTACGAAATGTGCCATGAAAATACTCTGTTTGATCTCAGTTTATTTGCCGCCTCGGATTAGGTACAGCGCCTGGTTGTGTATTGTCACTATGCATAATTTTCCACATCACGATACCATATCAGGGGACATTCAAGAAAAGGGAAAGAAAGAGACACGCAAAACCGTCACAACAAACCACTGGTATATTCGAGGTGTCCAAAATCTTCACCTTGTTGTTCCAATCCTTGGGGTGAAGCTCGTAACCGGGTTTGCAATCCATTATTATTACTTGATGAGACTATGTCATATTTTTTGAGATCTCCTAGTGATCACGAGTTTGTTACATGTTCCTACACAATCTTATACATGCAGCTTTGGCCATCCACGTCTCCCAGCACTAAAAACTTTCCATCGCCTGAGAATCTGAGCTCAGAGACCTTGTCCAGATTCTCAAATTGCTCGAACCCGGCCTTTGGGCCACTGTCCACCGCAGTGGCATCCGGATCTGGCCAACACCAAATCTCCTTGCCTGTGATGACATCTAAGATAGCCAGGCATCCTCGACCGCCCATATTGTTTCTGTTCGCCTGGCAGTACGCGACCAGGCGACAGTCTGGTGAGATACAACAAGTTGTATTGGGAATTTTGAAGGTACGTGTCGAGTTCGACACAAGATCCCACACCAGGACATATCGATGCGGGACTGATGCGGGAGATAGGTAATAACCACTACCACCCTCAGAGGCAGGCATGGTCATTACCCGATAGCTAGCGGGGATCCAAATCGATACAACAGCGCTGCCATATGTAGCCAGTTCACATGGAAGCGCCGTGTCCAACTCCGTGTGCTGCCAAGGCCGTATCAGCTTGTATGGCAAATTCGAAAGGTCTGTGTTGCGAATTTCCCATGCGCCCAGTAAAATCTCCCTGTCCGGTGGTGGATGTCCCGCGCGTGTTTGCCGCGGACCTGCAGCTGCGACAAGCATGGGGCTCGTCGCTGATAGAGCCAATTCCGGGTACTGAAACGCACAGGGCAGATCGGCCTTCCGAAGGTCGATGGTTCGGATCTTTGCGAATGGCTTCTTCCCTTGGTCAACAGTGTAGACGTCGATAGAGCTATTTTCGCCGTGGTATACGGCCAGTGCACCGCGACCTGTTTCGTAGGATTCAAACTGGCATGCAGCCCACCGATCTGCGTAATCGATTGACTGGAGGCATTTCATATCGGTCCATCTCCAGACGTCAATAGACCGCCCGAACCGGGTGGCTATGGCGATGAGGCCGGACGGCTCGGAGAGAATGGCGTGGCTGCGGATGAGATATTCTCGAGACCGCGATTGTGCTTCCGTGTAGGAAGAGAATTTGATGGTGCTTTGGACGGTTCCAGTCGACACTGACCAGATTCGAATCACATTTTTTCCGTGCTTGGTAGCGAGTGTGGATGAAGTTGAGGACAAGTCCAAATAGTGAATACCGTTTTTCCTCTTCTTGTCGGACTCAAAACTCGCCAGGAATGCCACATCAACTGACGATGCACTGCCTTTGAGCTCGTCCGGGACTTCTGGAGGTGGGTAGGATGGGTGCAGCGGGTGCACTGGTGAGCGAACCGACACCGAATCAAACGCCGATGTTGCCTTTGACGACTGCGAGAAGTGACGGGTGTCCAGCGACGAGAATGAGTCATGCGATGGAACGCGCTGGGAAGACCTTGCTGGCAGGGGTGGCAACGGCTTCGACGGCGGAGGATATTTGCTGCGGCTGGATACGTACGACGATGCAGTGGACGGTCGTCTCTGCGAGGACCGAGCATCTTCTCGTACAGCAGGCTGCAGGGATTTTCCTGGCGAGATCTCGGGCGATAATGCGTGGTACTGGAGCGGGTCGGGTTGGATATCGTTACATGGAAGGACGGTGTCTCTCCCCAAAGGCCCAGGAGCAAAGGCCTCCTGAGACGCCAGTGGTGTGGGGAAACGCGTGAGAAGAGCGCCGATTCCGTCCTCCCATTCATCGATGAACGACATGTTGTCTTGGTGTTTTGCACCGTTGAGCCAGTCGAGATGAGCCTGAGTATCCGTCAACGATCTCCGCGGATCATATCAAAGACACAAACAGACTGTCGTTGTCTCAAAGTGAGAAAAAAACTGGCGTGGTCAAGACTTGGAGTGGGGAGAGACGGGTCACGTCGATCACTCGTGTGGGGAAGAGGATCCATTTGGGGTTTTCAGCAGGCTACAGTGGGGTGTAGCAGACTACAGTGGGGTGTAGCAGACTACAGTGGAGTGTAGCAGCGTGTAATTAATCCCTCCACCATCCCCCCGACTTCTCCCCCACAGTGTGCCACAGTCACGGAACCGACCAAGACGGCCCGAAAACCATTAAAGTCACCAGGATCCAGCACCTGAGCCCCTTGGTTAGTGGTGTTGCTAGGCTAATAGCCTGGGCCACACCTCGGATCCGGGGCTGTCGGCTGTGACAAATGTTGGAGAAATGCGGGCGTTTGAGGCTAGCTTGCGGAGCTATCTCGGTGCCTCTACCTGTCAATTCCAATATTTTATTCAGCCCTAGCCCCTGGCGACCCGGCTTCATGACACGCGCTCGCAACAGACGCGTTGCTCCAGGTGCATTCCCAAATTTGCTGTGCAAAACTTCCTCGCTAGAATGGCCTCCTGCTTAGAGCATGTGATCTCCTGAGCATCCCCTAAGCATCCCCTGAGCAGTCCCAACCTGAGCGAGCCTGAGGAAGTCCACGTATCTAACAAGGGCAGGATTAATCGGAATACTGCCCAGATTATATTTTAACTCTATTAGGATATATTTCGTAGCTGCTCTAGTCGTACGTTTTTATATCACCCCCTGAACCAGTGCCATTAGGAGTCAAGCTTCACCAGCCTGCCGCCAGCATACGTAGTCTTCCCTTTGTAAACATATACGGCGAGTCACTGCTTGACTCGAAATTTTGTCATAAGCGGAACTATTGGTACTGTAATAAGTTGGTTGATACATATTCGTATCTTCTTGAACAGTAAGAATCTCTCAATCGATGTTCACCACAACTTGCTGGTGTGGGGTTGATGGATTAGTGCGACGGTTGCTGGTGCCCAAGAGTGGGAATTCCCAGCGTTGCCTGAGGCTTCCAGGCGACGAAAGACAGGCCCCTCCCATTCGGGCGTTCACAAAGATCCTCTTGCGAATCAGAGAACGGAAGAACAGAATCATCACATGCGAAGGCACGTGATATGGACTGAAGAATAGGTTCTGTACCTATGGTGGTCCAGTTGTGATAATGGGTGATCATCGTGGCCATTTCCAGCCGTGGCAGGTGACAACGCCAGGGTCTTCGGCAATCGGCCGAACTTAAACCGGAAACCAAAAGACTTAACCTAAGTATAGAGTATGAGGAAAGAACAATTATCACTGTGATGGTAGTCCGTACGCTCCATATCATTCTTAGGTGTTTCCTGAAGTCCATTTTGTCAGCTCTTGTGATAGCATGGGCCTTAATCCCGAAACTGGTCCGCCCTGATTCATCATAGAACGATAAAAGGTCACAGCATATGCATTTGTGCTTATTTCCAGTCCTTATAATTGGATATAATAGGTTATATAGACAGATAGGGCAGCTGCATACTTAAGCAAAGCGTCCCCTTTCACCAGGAGGGCTCCAATTCACTACACTGTATGTAGCCGGGGGATTACGACAGTGTCGTTCCATTTCACGTACGCCCTGGAAGGACTACCGTTCACTACACTCAAACAAGCGAGCGAGGGAGTATGAACAGTCTCCTTTGTGTTCTTCACTCGAGAAGAGTGAATTGGTTGGAGATGGAAACGACATTATAGGAACGGAGTGATAGCGACCGAAGGGAGATACTAGGTCGAAATATAGGACTTGAGACCTTTTTTCTTTTTTCTTGCGCTACGCGCCATCAATAAACGGAACAGCGTGACGCCATTGTATAATAGTTGACGGATAAGTCGGAAGGAGGGGGAGTCGACCTGGGCTCGATGACGTACTGCCCTCAGGACTGCTTGCCTTCCCGATGACCGTGTTTCTTCAAGCAGCAGGCGTAAAAACCTTCTTTGTCGCCCTGTCGCCTCGACTCATAGCTGGCTCTATCCAGTCGGACCGCCCAGGTGTCTGGTCCAAGTCACACGAAAAAGGTGTGACGTCTCTTCGCCACAGCCATCCCGTTCTTTACAGAGGAGGAGGATGACTGACTCATGCCGCTGCTGAAAGTGAGGCTTGAGGAAACTAGGCGCGCCGTGCCAGCTGGTCCGACGCCTTGGCAATTCCAGAATGTCCCTTATGTCAACTTTCTACACAGTCAAGGTGGGAAAAGAACATTCAGCAGAGCTGGCCGACTCACTACATAGGCTTCCATTTTAGAGGCACTGATGGTAGCATTTATCGGCAACTTGGTAGGTCTAAAGAGAGAGATATTGAGTTGCTCTAGTCTACCACATCTTCGCAAACAATTTTAGACACTCTGTCTGGAGTATCTCCGACAGTGTAAATGCCACGTGTGGCCATATTCGTGCTTGGACGAAAAGTCGAAGTCATTCGTTGAGGAAATTAAACCCAGTACTTTGCACAATTCGAACAAAGTTTGGGTCAAACCCCGTCAGAAAATTGCCACGTTCGAATGGCCATATAAAATCCCGATTGGGGCAAGCAGCGTGCCTTCTATTGCAGTTATATTCCATCCCCCTACATTAAGGGCTTGAAGAAAGTCGTCTTGGAGTGCTGCCTTATTTACTCAAAACTCAAGTGTGCTTTCTCTAGCAGTTGAAGACATAATACCGCCGTCAGTGCTAAGATTTGACAAGTCTTATTTTTTGGTCCTAGCTCTTTACCATCAGCCTAACTCTCGACCCTTTTGGGCCTCATATTTGTAAACAACTCGAAGCCCTTGGTATATGTATATCGAAGTTTTGCCTCTGTAACACGTCTTGGAGCATCAAACATCCGATACTGTTTCTACCATGCAATTGGCCCTTGGGCATTGACGAATGTCCCCGTCGGCCCGTCCTCTCCCAACGTGGCGAGATGGCAAATTATCTCAGCTCCAGTCTCAGGCGGGTTTACTCCCCTGTAGCCATTCAGGTTCGTAGCACAGTACCCAGGACAGCCGCAATTGAACTTCCAGCTCTTATCGTCTTCATAAGCAAGTGCGTACTGAACGCAGACTGCGTTGACAGCCGTCTTGCTGACCGCGTAGGCCGGCGCCTTGAAAGCTCTAACAGCGCTCCCCGGGGTTGTCCACTGGGTGATGCTGCCTGCTCCCGAAGAGACAAAGACAACCCTCTTTGTGGTTTGGGATTTGGCAAGGAGCGGCAGAAACTTTTCTGTGACTGATATGGAGCCTACAACGTTGGTCGCGAGCAATGCTTCGTACTCGGCTCGAACAGATTTCGGCTCGGGCATGGCTCTGGCGATTCCTGCGTTGTTGACGAGAACGTCGAGGTGTCCAAACTTGCTAATCAGATTGCGCGTATGAGTTACTATGGACCATCGCTAAAGCATCAGGGGTTGACTTTACCTCTCGACTTCCCGTACAACAGCATCGATAGACTCATCAGAGGTGACGTCCATGACGTGAGCTTCGACGCGTAAACCCAGGTCCTGCAAGGTTTTCGCCTTGGCCTTGACGTCGTCTTCGCGTCTTCCGGTCATGATAACGTGGTATCCATGTTCTGATGCAAGTTTCTGGGAGACGGCAAAGCCAATTCCTTGGTTCGCCCCAGTGACGAGTGCGATAGTGGAGGCCATGAAGTTGCGTTGGATATGGTGATATGATGATCTGGGGGAACGAGGGTAGACTGAGCTGAGATGAGTCTGACCTGTGTCACTATACAGACTCCTTTATGCAATATGTTGTTCGGGTTCCACGTTCGGAGTTTAGCTATGTCCGTGACGATCGAGCGCGGGGGTGAGCGTCAACAGGCCATGATTGTATCCGTAAGTTGATGTGTGGGGCAGCCTCGACAATTCAACAAGTTTCCAAACGACTCACTAGACATGGGCGAGGCCGGGGATTAATGTCCATCTCCGCGGAGTTTAAGAGAGAATCAGGTTCATCAGCAATTGAGTAGCATAAACTGTCTATACGCGAATGAAGAACTCAGCAGCATAACAGCCCACGGACGCGGTAGGCCGCATGCGATGTTACAACTGCTGGTACAGTCTGAGTCCACGGCCCCATCTCGATGTCGCAATCCCCCTACGGCCAAAGGGAATGATCACTCCTCTTGCCGGTAGCGTTATTGTAGTCCATATCTCCGTCTGTCATTCGATACTGGCTGGTACGGCCCCACTCCGACCCGAATCCCCGTGGCGGCTTTGAGAACCCGGCCCGAGACAGCGGCGAGTCCATTCCGAAGTGACTCCCCTACGGAAGCCTAGCTCCAGCTGTCACACAGAAATATCCCGCCTTTTCGCCCTTCTCTTCGCCTTTCTTTTCCGCATGATCATCCCAACCAGGTACGCCGCAAACGTCACCGCCGTGACCGACACCGTGACAGCCCAGAACAGCGCAAACTGCGGCCTAGTACCAATCCCAATCGACGACGAATCCACCGAGACGCCGTCCCAGTCAAACAGCGGGGTGGAGAATAGGGCGGCGACGAAGCTGCCTGGGAGGAAGACCATGGCGACGATGGAGAGCATCTTCATCGCCGACGAGTCCTCCTGGCTCGACGCGGCGAGCTCCCGTGTGGCCCGCGCCGTGTCGAAGGCGATGGCGTTGTCCTGCTGGGCGATAAGGTGGAATAGCGCCGCAATCTGCACCTGCACCCGCTGTCGGACGTACTCGTTGTCTACCGACTGCATGGCTAGCCGCTGCTGGAGGACGTCGACGTGATGGGAGAGGAGGGTGGCGGCTGAGGTGTTGGGCTTCTCTTGAAAAGTTGCTAGTGGGCTGAGAGGAGATGACGAGAGGGTGTAGATGGAATCCCTCTTTTCTATTTCGAGGCCTTCCATGTCTCGTGATTCTTCGTCGTGGTTCCTTTCCGAAGTGGTCTGGCCCCCTATGTGGCGGATGATAAAGTCGTTGAGGGCGCCAACGACGCTCAGTTTACGGGACCCATTGGCGAGCTTCGCGGCACACCCGCTCATCCTGGCAGAGAGATTTCCCAGTTCTCCCGCAGCCGGCCGTTCCTGGCGGTGGGAGAAGCGGTGGTGGCCGGTACGCACCTCGACCTCGCGCACGTCCGCCTTGATGCCCTCGGTCGTGTCGTCGAATTCGCCGCTCAGAGCCAAGCTGCACAAGAAGGCGGGGAACACGGGGTGGCTCAGCACGTCGGGACGCCATCGGGACACCAGGATGTTGAGCATCTCCGTCCTCTGCTCGGGCCCTGTGAAGGCGACGGCTTGGGTGTGCGTCACGCCGCCTATCGTGGAGTTGGACCATGCCAGGGCTATCTTTGGATGGTACGTGACGGTGAATATCCTGGTGTCGCCACGAGGCGGCAGAGCGGCGACCCCCGCAAAGCTGCTCCGCGAGTAATCAGATGCTTGCTCGAGGCTCCAAGCCTCGATGATCTGAGACAGTACTCCTGTAGACGGTGCGTGGCGCGACGTCTTTGGATTCTCTCCCACCCAGACGAACCGGGCGAGCCGTCTGTGTGTTCTGGGATAGAGTAGCTTCTCTGCTGGCTCGTCCAGCCAACTGGAAACGTCGGCGGAGGATATGGTCCTGTGGTCGCAGGATGCCGAGTCGGAGCCATCATAACCCCATATCTCGGTGACATCGAAGGTGGGGGATTTAGGCACATCATACTTGTCCCAGAGGCTGCGTCTCCCGAGGTGGTGGTGTAAGTCCTCCATTCTGCAGGAATTGATGTCGCCTCATGTAGAAGAAAATTGAGCTGGAACTCTGCAAAACGCCGAGGGTGATCAAGATGTAAATATTTGGCAGCTGCCTAGGGCGGCCTCCTCATCGACATTTGAGTTTTGAAGCAGAGCTGTCTACCTTAGGTGGCTGTGCAGCCTGTAATGTGCCTTGCAGGCATATCGTTAAATTGGCCATACTAGCTTGAATAGTGGCAGACTGCGTACCTAGGTATTTAAGCGAAGCCGCCTTGCGCTTCTGGTGAAGCTAGTGAAGCTTTAACTGCTTCGGTACGGGTATCATGTCACTAATAACAGCCACAAGTCAAGGGAAATCCAGCCTCAGTTAAGAAACCACGATGGATCAGCTGGATCAACAATTGCAAAAGCTCAGCCAAACTTGTCCAATCCACCATGCGGCGAGGCGCCCTTGTCATGAGCGAATTCCGTACACTGCAATCCCCTCAGCCACATTCGCCCATGTGCAATCAGCCTCGGCCGTTTCGACAATGTAATCAGCCGAGCTCAGCCAGAAGATGCAAGAAACCAGAACTCACCTGCAAAGTATAGCACCCCAGCCTCATCGTCTCCATTGCTCACTATTTTCCCTACTATCCAAAACCCAGCAAGTCTTGTGTGTTCCGTTTCATATGAGTTGACGATAGCACTTTGCATTGGCTGGACGTCTTTGGATCCCTCAAGGATGTCCCTCACAAATCAAGTACTACCTCAAAAAGAAGTTAAAGGAACGGTGAGTCCTTTTCTAGAGTTTGTAAAATGTATAAAAAAGAAACCAAAAAAAAAAAAAGAGAAACCGCGTTTGCTTGCAATCGAATCTTGAATAGGAATAGCCCGATGCGGGGGTCGAACCCGCAACCTTGAGATGTGTGGGTTCTGTTAAGAGTCTCACGCTCTACCGATTGAGCTAACCGGGCGTGTTTCTGATTGGTTGAATCCTCTGCTGGTGCAGCTCACATTGGATTCCAGCTTGGAAAAGTGCTAGAGGCGGGTCAGATAGGGCAGAAATGGAAACAAATAAGCAAAGAAGAAGAAGGAAAGCCAGAGAACTTACCTAGTGTTGCTTGTCGAGGTGACTAGTTAATCAGGGTCTCGAGGGGAGACTCTTTGTGGGCGACCTCTCACAGCTCGGCCTGGCTTCCTTGGGAACGATTTGTACAATCCGTAATCGACGTGCTAAACAGGCTGCAAGGGTGTTTGCTAATGTAGGCAGGTAATTGGCGGGTTTGGGAAGAAGAATGAAGACGGAAGAAAGAGAAAGGAGCCACTCTACTAAGGAAAGCCGTCGTTGCTTGTCGTCGATTTTCTGCATCTATCTACCCGGGACAGACTCACCAAGAAAAACCCAGCCGCGTCCGTAAAGAACCTGAAGAAGGACTCCTTCTTCGTACATTATGTCCGGTACGGCTCTCCACGCGTGGTTGTTGAACAGAATATTACGCTTACTCGGAATGTACAGCTCAGGAATGAGTCTACGAATCTGATGGTTGTCCCTCTCCCGGAACAAGCCAATGTTCTTGTCCAGTGATGCTACCGCAGCAATATTACAGTATGAGCTTCGGTACACCTTACGCATAAGTCTCCCTTCCTTGAAAAAGTCGCTTTCATCCTTCCTCGTAACCGCGGGCTGGCACGAGTTGGGGGCGATTCGGGGCTCTTGATTAATACAAAGCGAGTCTGGTGGCCACTTGGAATCAGGCGCGCCGACGTCAACAAGCCTGATTGAGACGAACTCCCGCTCGCCATGTTTTCGAGCGCAGTTGGCGCGGGAATTCAGACAGATGTTCATCCACCTGGAAATCCGGGACCGTGGATGGAAATCAGGGACCACGCTTCGTCCGAGTGGGTTCGTCCACCAAGCTGGTGAGCTGTTGGGATTCTGCCTGGCTCTGCCCGTTGTCCACTGTCTGTGCTTTCTTCGTTTTCCACGCCCCCTTCCTTGTCCTGTTGGTTCCCTGCTTGGCTGTTGACATCTTGGTGAAGGAAATAAAACGCCTTGTCCGACAGCTGCTGCCGTTTGTCCTGCTCTGTCTGCTCTACATTAGTTCCCAGATTTAGTCTATAGTGCAGCACCACCATCTCTTGACTCTCTCTGGGGAAAGTCTATGTTTTACGAAGATTCCATGTATAGACAGCATCTTGGGGTGAACCATGATGGAGCACGAGGAGGTAGTGGATGAACTTCAGCGCCGCTTTGGATTGGTAGGTACGATATTGGGAAGGGTTGATGTATTTAAATCAACTTTGGCAGATAGTCATGACTGGCTAATACTCTGAGCTGCTTACTGGGCTGCAGTGCATGCGCTGCATCTCACCCTTGCTGCAGGGTGAAGATTGTCACATAGGCTGAAGTGGTGTGGCTGTCTTATTTATCAATTATTATATCATCTGCAAATTCCGTGACTGGATCCCTGCTTTGCCGGAATATTTGCCTTAATTTAGAAGATTAAGTCTCACTTGAGCTAACTAGTCATTGTGCGTAGTCAGTCACCCGGCGTTGAAAGGCAGCCGAGTAAATCTTGTCTCAGCCACATGTGATGGGGATCGTCGACATAGATATTACGACACAAGACAGATTACTTTCCACTACAATAAGCTCTCAATTTTCTCCTCGGTTTAAAACCGAACTAGCTAATTACATAGGCATTTCCAACAACTTCTTGAACCCATCCTTCATAGCAGCAAGCTCCGACTCATCAACCTTGTCTTCGGCGAAAGCATTGACAAGGTCGCAACACTTCCGTAACGCCTCATCGCCCTCGGTCCCAAAAATCCCACCCACCATCTTAATCAAGATATGAATCCGGCAAGCAGGCGAATACGCTGCGATGCGTAGGTTCTCTGCGATAAGAGACATGCGAGTGGTGTCAATAGATTCGGTGGTCCCTCGAGCCTTCAGCATAGACTGACGATAGACGCTGCGATAATACTTGAGGGATTCGGGGGAATCCTCCCACACACCCAACGGCTCCACACCGTCGTCCATGGACTCCTTGTAACCGTACATGAGAGGATCCCAGTCTCGGGTGAGCCATCCTGGGTATCCCTCATTCCCAATACTGCGAGGCACTGCCATAATACCATCCCAGTCAATTATTCCTTGTAGGTGGCCGTCTTCTGAGACAATGAAATTCTGAACATCGAAATCCGGATGGGCCAAGACGAATGGCTTCGGGCCTATTGGTTTAGGAATCCAACTGATCATTCGACGGAGGAGAATTTCCTCGCCATGGTCGGCATTCGTTTCAGGATGCAGGTCCAGCAAGAATGTGTAGAATTTTTCCGGGTCTGACATGGCAGGTTGGTCGACATACAATAGATCATCAGTGATCTGACAGTCTTGTGCTGCTTTTGGGTCAAACTGGCGTACTGGACCGACCCCCAAAGGGTCCCAGTCTGAATCGAATTGGACCGATCCACTACTAGAGTAAGAGTAAGGTTCAAGTTGCGCCATTGCGGAAGCAATGTCGTCCAACATCTGAGTTCGACGCGAACGGAGAGTCTCTTGGTCCACGCCATTCAAGTGTTGTCCGAACCAGACATTGTACAAGGGGAGGCCGGAGATATTTAACATGAGGATGTAGGGGCATCGCAATGAGTTCTCTGTAGTGTCTGAAAAGTGGAACACTTCGGGCAATGGGATCGTAGTCTCCCGCTTCAACATGAGCATTGTCAATACTTCTGTTGTCAATGCAGAAGCTGCCATCTCATCCCACTTCCCCTTCACTCCACGGGCTGGTACTCTGAGCAGCCAACGGACGCCATCATCGAAGTCGAGCGGGAAGAGAATGTTGAATGATCCATGCATTGGCTCTCCGATCATTGAACATTTGTGCTCGGCGCCAGGTTCGATGGTCTGACGGACGATTGATGCAAAATGTGGCAGAAATTCCAAATTCACCGACGCGAGAACTTCCTCAAAAGCCGCCAAAGGATCATCATCCTCGTCCGTCGAATAACCATCACTCTCTTCCGTCAAGTGGTCATCATTCTCGTCTTTCAGAAAGATCTCTGGATCAATCTGGTTCAGATAGTCAGGATCGTTGCCATCTGTGAGATGAAGCTGCGAATCTGCCTGTTGCGGGGGGTTCTGGTCGTTGAACATGTCGTGATCGTCGTGTTTGTCGCTTTTCTTTTGGCTGTGCGAGAAGAAAAACGAAGAAAGCTTTTGGAGTGTTTAAGTACTTCGAGCAATCAAGCAAACACCACCCAATGATGACACATTGGGTGTACAGCATATCATGCAGAACATGCTTCTAATTGGATGATGAGTCTTTGGCAAATACCGACAAAGCATGAGCGGTACCCAATTTTCGTGAAAGAAAAAGCCAACTGCTCAGTCGCCTTTGTTCTTTACCCATGAACTCAAGCAAGTGTTCTTTTTTTCATTCGATATCCCCGAACAGGACGCGGAACACTTAACTAGTAAACAAAACCAGTCACTTCTGTTCTCCGACGAGCGTAAGATGTATTTGCAATGCAGCACTAATCTAATCACAATCCTGCTGTTGAATGTGTGAACAACGAATACATTAAGGAATGTGTCTGTGTTCTGGAAATGTATACATATACTCACCACTCATCCTCCACACATACTGTTAGCATGAAGTATGGCTTGCATAGTGTCTAGTTCGATTGTAAGGAGAACATTGGGTCCTCCATTAACCACATCCCGGCTGTATTGTCGCGTTCTCGGACCGTAGATATATATGTTCCTAATCATCATTGTTAATCGCTACATCGTTGACTAAATTAACAATCTCCTCGTAACATTGTTCAAGTTTTGATCAGCAATAGCAGTGAGTTCAATGCAAGAGTAATGAGTATATATCCATTCCAATTCCCGTCGACTATCTACATATTTGGTCGGTCAACTCTAGCACTACACGCCTTGTTTCAATAACTAACCTGCAAAACTTGCCCATTAATTCCCTGACGATTCTGGTCTCCCTCCACTATTTCAAACTATCCACCTGTTGCTACAAATCATGCCTAACGGACCTCATCACTGGTAAGTTCATTCAAAAGATTTCATACGTACTGAATTTACAAACAAATGCAGTCCTACTTGTCATCGGGTTACCACAACTCGATGCGTAAAGAAGATACATATCATCCCATGTGCGAAACACCCTGGGAAATATCACATGCCTGGTTCGCAATGTGTCATGTGTTATAATGAAGCAAACCGATCTGCTAACGCATCGGCAAATGAATAAACGAAAGGTTGGCGCTTTACATTCCAAGGTTCGCCGATAGTATCCTAGGTATGGCGTCTCAAAGATGAAGCTTTATTGAAATGAATTTTGGCAGAGTCTAGGAGATTGTCGGGCCTTAAGAGGTATTTTCTTTAACACTTTTAGGTCGATATTGACTCTCCGTATACGTCATTATAATACTATCCTACCTTTCATGTCCTTAAATATAATCTAGTATATTCCTCGATGAGGGAACTCCTCGATGAGGGAACCTAGTGTTTGAATTTACTGCATTTTCGTTGCGCGCACGTCACAGTTGCCAGGGCCCAAGTTTGGGTTTCAAGCTGCTTTTTTCTTCTCTGCCGGAATCCTGTCTAACTTTTTCGACCCATTCTAACCTTGATGAATGCACCGACAATTCCCACGACCCGACCTAACGCCCCAAGATCCCCAACGCCCATAATGTCCCAAGTCATTCGAATCCCCCCTCCAGCCAGCACCCTAGGTGGCTAGTATCCGTACCAGCCCGACGCAATATAACAACTCCTCAAACCAGGGGTTATATTGGGCCCCGGCGATATCCTAGAGGAAGACTTAACCCCTTAGATCGGGATTGTTGATATTTTTAGCCAAGTTATAAAGCGCAGCCATTTCTATTCGGATATATAAAATAAGATTGCAGATAAGAATTTAATTTCCTTGCCCATTAACTCTAGTCCTATTATTAAGAAGCAAATAGCATCTAAAAATAGCTAATACAATCTGTTAGCTTCTATTTAGGTATTATAGATAATATAGTAATAGCTTAAATAGATTTTCTTTTTTAAGGAAGCTTGAGAGGAAATTTAGCTTTTATTTTTTTAATTTATCTTCTAGATTCTAAGAGAATCCGAGATTATATCGGAGTTGGGATCTATAATGCGGATATAACAGGTTATCCCTGGAAAAAGCTGCTCGAGTGAAATTCGCTATATTGAAAATTGGTTGTAATGGGATGAGTGTCAGAAGGGAAGTTGGTCTCTTGACGATGGGAGACGGGTTGAAGTCAGAGGGGTTGAATGGAAGCTTCAGGCAGAGACCGGTGGGCAACAACCTTATTGTTCAGCTACTGTTTCTTCTGGTGCTGGGTGTAGCACTTATTGTTTATTCCTACTGTTTGAGATTACTGTATGGCTTTGATCTATCTGATGATATTGAGTAAAGCTAAAAAAACCAAATAATCCAGTATATAAGACGAGCCGTTGAGGTTTTCAATCGCCCAATTTTATGTTTCCTATTTACTATGCGTAAGATGGTGGTTTTACTCTCGCGGCAACTTAGGCCTGCGCATATTTTGGCACATCGCCTTCACTCGCGTGCACTTGGCCAACAATCTAATCGTCCACGAGACGCGCAAGCTTATAATGTAGTGTCATAGCCAGGATTGGCAGTACATGAACCTGGTGGGATCTAAACTGTCACCTATTATCCTAGGGGAGAGGTTGAAGAGGCGGAAGACTACAGCAGTGGGACTTTCTGGAACATTTGATCAGCAATTCCCGACTCGCGTGGGTTGCTGGCGGCGCAAACCACTAAAATCAATTCTATGAAGCAACTCATCCTTATCGGGGAGCTAGAAGGTGAATTCTTGCATCACGCTGCTACACCATCATCGGTAAGATCTACTGCGTCGATCGGCGACACTGGATCAACGTCCTTTGCCGGAACAACTTGTTGATCGTGTTAGTGTAGCCTGAACTCCTCGACAATGTAAATATGTCCCTGAGCTTCCGTCCACTCGCAGTAATAAATAGGCCCTTGAATTCAATTATTGATGAGAGGCAAGGATCTGAGGCTAATGTAGTGTTTGCATTCAAGACTGCATGGGCTAGCTATTGGTCCTGAGAGCCAAGGATCATTAGGTCTATGCAGGCGGGTGAGAGCCTTTCTTTCCAGCTATCATTTCATTTTATAAGCATCACATTATTGATGAGACAGTTGCAATGAAATGAAGGCAGGCGAGCTCAGAGGTGTATAAAAGGCTGCCCCGGGAAACCTGTAAATTGATTTCATCCGTAGATGCCATGCGGTGTACCGAATATATCTCAACTTTATGTAGTCGCCTTCACCGCCCATACTTTTCAGCTTGCAACCACTTCTAGCATTCCTCCACATCGCAAGGTGGCGGTACTTACGGTCATTTCATAGGCGGAGTGAGGATGATGGCGTTCCTAGCTCATTCCCGACAACTGTCATTGGTGTAGCGGAAAGTTCCATTTTGTCTGAGAAGTCACTACGAGGGGGCTCATTCACATGACTCACAGCTGAAAGTTCGGTAAATATGCCTTGTACCTCTCAGTCCACTGCTTCTTCGCAGTTCTTCTCCGTCGTCTTCAGTGGAATATTAAGCCGGCCATCACGTACCTCACACCCACCATCACCTTCATCAACCTCGTCCGCTCAGTCATCACGATGGCCATACACGACTTGGAGGCATTGCAGCAGCATGTCACTGCGGCACCAGTCCTGAGACGAGATGCAAAGCCGTCTGAGGCACAGATTTGCGGCTACTTCAACCAAAACGAGAGTGCGCACAGTTTTCGTCATCTCATATTCTAGTTCGGGGACTAATATCCTATTATTCACAAATAGACTACTCTGTTTACTGTCCAGGGACATCTACCTGCAGCACTCCTTTAGGGGGAAAATCTTGGGGCTGCTGTGATACGGCCGTTTGTTATGTTCCTGCGACATGCGAGGATGGAGGGGCGGCATACTGTGAGGGGACTCCAAGCTCCAGGTGCACTCGCACTCCGATAATGCAATGGTTGGTCCCCAGGCATGTTTAACGACAAGAAATCGGTTGATAATAAGTGGCAGCACCTACGGAGCGTCTTCACGCTGTGTCGCATTTGTCCGTCAGACAGCAAGTGATGACCCGTCCAAGTTAACGTCCTGGGGCTGTCAACCGACAACCACAACATACATCATCGACCCACCGGTGGCTGCTAGAACCAATGCTGCCGTCTCTGGAACAACCGCTGCAACGGTTGCTTCGACCACATCTTCGGCTACCATTTCTAATGGTTCTGGTGGTGGAGGCAAATCGGCCTCATCAGGACTTTCAACGGACGGTAAAATCATCCTTGGAGTTCTTCTCCCCGTACTAGGAATTGCTGCCTTGGTAGGATTGTTTTTCTATCTCCGTCGAAGGAATCGAGCAAAGCCAGACGGTGAAGCGCGCTGGCAGCAGCCTCGGGATAGAGGGGATACCAGTGTGATAGCTGAGCCAAAACCTCCTGCCTCGACAACAGGAGAAGTGCACGAGGTGGAAAATGGTGAGCGTCCTGCTGAACTGCATGGAAATGAGACTGCGGTTAATGCCAACCCTCTTAACGAAACACCACGGGTCGATCCAAAAAGAACGGTGTATGAGATGGGAGTTAATGAGCGCTAGTTTTTGCTGATAATCTACAGAAGATCTAATCGGGATATTTTTACAGCAGGGTAATGTGCCAGTTAACAAATGTTAAAAATTGCTGTGATATCTTGCAAACTGCTTATCCAACAATCCCAATAAGCCCGTACCTTAAGGTTGATTGCAAAGACATCTGGTCGTTGTTCACGTTGGATCGAGATTTGTTTCTTTAAAGTCACATCTCGGACTACACCGACGTGTTTCGATGATGAAACCCCCAAAATAGGATCTCAAGACAGCAGGCCACGCAGAAATCGGCCACATTATTGTCGGCATCGGTCCGGCTAATAAGCCTGGTTGGATTCTGTGGCCATCCTGTGTGCATTTGCTGTCCATGTACCCTATGGGTAATGGTAAAGGTGAGAGGGTTGTTAAATTCAATATCAAGTAGCAGTCATAGGAACTCAGCATACCGTATCGATTCGATAAATTTTTCCTGTTTTTATGGACTAAAGCTAAGTTAAATTTATATAAGGCTTAGATTTCCTAAATCATTAGGTAAAAGAAAGCCCGAACGAATAAAGTGGGAGAAGGATTCTGTGCCAATTTAATGAGTCGATACGATACTTGTAGTGCATATTCCAGTTTTCTTCTGAATCTTTGGCGGTAATAACCATACATCCGATGTATACCTGAAAGATACATTCAAGAATATCGTTATCGAATTGTCCACTGTCGGCCAGCGCACATTGCAATGCTCAGCCATCCGTTTAACCCGGCATACCATAAGGCGAAGACGCCAATGTCAACTCCAGTCGAGTGGCATTGTATCTAGATGTGCAAAGTAGGGGCAGCCATCGGGTGCGCGTGGAAGATTGATGCTAGTTCACTGCTGGGTCTCCTACTCTGAGCGCATACAGGTACTCATCTTGAGGTTGCCGAGAACGTAAAGAGGCAGACGTGCTGTTAGACTTCCCGGACGTAACGTTCTCGAGACCCATTCCTCTCTTAAATAGTCAAGTTGCTCTGGACTGACTCGGAGCGCATTCGGTTCTTTTTGGCATGGGGGACCTGGCGTCGAATAGCTGCAAGTTGCCGATAATCTGCCACGAGCTCCCCTCGTAGTTGCTTAAGCTCGTCTGCCTCCTGTCGCTGTCCGGCTCGGGCGTGTTGGCGCAGGGCTAGGTATTAATGGTAATACACTGAGAGTTTTGATAGAAAGTTCGGAAGCTGGGTTTTCTTAAGCAAGTTCAGAGCCAGAGGTACTCAAGCAGTATTGCCAATACAGTGAATAAAGACCTGGCCTGAGTGATGTAAGGCAAAGGGGACGGTAGCATCGATACTGAGCGTGTCAGGATGGGCTCCTTAAGGGGGGATCGCAGCCATCTCGCAGTATATTGATTGAGACATGTTATGCCCTGTTCATCCTTGAATAAATCATGAGTATTGCTACTCGCATACTCAATTACATGGGGCAATTTCACTAGGAAGTCTTAGCAATATATATATTAGTAAGTATAACCTAAGAAAATTAAATAAGCTTTATTCTAAGTATTTATTCTAAGTATTTATCCTGAGTATTATTCTCTAAGTTCTTTATCTTTATGTTTATTTTAGGGTAAGGACTGGAACTTTCTCAGAATAAGACACTTTGAGTGAGGCATATGGGCTGGGTATATTTCCTTACGCCAAACTTTGCTTTGAAAATTTTTGTCCTTGGTGTACGATTAGGAATACTCTAAATCATTGACACAAGACAATATAGCTTGTCTCCTGTCTGACATTTCCCAACGAACTCAGATATGCCCTTCCAAACAAAACTACGCATTAAAAGACTTAAAGTTTAAACCGTCATGATTATTTTAAGATACAGCATTTGTAGTATTGATCATGTATCTAATTGCGTCGAACATGAATTGACTCAGATCCACCAAAGTTTGCAACAACCTCATCAGTTAACTAGAGTTGTACCCAACTTCCTATCAGGTGTCGCTCTGTTTCATTGCCAGAGATATCTCAACAAACAAATTCCAGCATTGACGCTTACACATCAGCAGTCTTTGATGAATGAGCATTCATAGCCACCATCATGGTGTGAGCAGTCCTAGGTTCCAAGGACTTCGTCACCGGATTCGGGGCGTCGAAGACTTCTGAAAGCTCCTCAAGCGTCCGCTCCTTGGTTTCTGGGAAGAAGAAGTAGATGAAAACGGCTTCCAACAGGTCCCAGAATACAAAAACGATATAATAATAGTAGCCGATCTTCTCGAATGCTGGGCCAGAGGAGTACGCAAGAACAAGTGAGATGCAACTTGACGCGAAGTTTCCGACAGCCGTACCTTTCGCTCGAGTAGAGGTTGTAAGTGTTTCTGCAATGTACATGCTCTGCTGAGCAGTCCAACCAATTGAAAATACCGCACCAAAAAGAAAGACAAATGCAATCGTGGTGTTTGCCGCGTGGGTGTTGCCGGGGTCATTCACAGCAAGACTGGAACTTCCAGTAATGACTGCAAAGATGAAAGAGCAAAAGATTATGCTGTAGATGAGAAGTGGTCTGCGGCCGATGGGGTCGGTTAAACGCGCGCCAATCAGTGAGCCAAGAAGGCCAATGACGCTGTTTGAAGCATTCAGGGCCAACACTTTCTTCTCGTCAGTGATGCCGGCTGTGTTCATCATCGTAACGAGGTAATACGACGAGAGACTGTTCCCTGATGCCTGCCCCATGATGGCCATGCCTATCACACAGATTAGACGTCGACGGTTGTTGCGTGTGCTCCAAAGCTCTCGATAGTCCCACCACTTTTGAGTGGAGGCTTCGTTGGAGATCTGCGCCATCATCTCCTTCATCTGAAGTTGAACAATAGGATGATTAACAGAGCCGTCGCCGTGAATGCTAGCCAAAACAGCCGCTGCTTGATCATGCTTGTCGTTTGCAATGAGCCATCGGGGCTGTTTAATACATGTCAGCGTTCGTCGTCGTGTTTAGTGATTACCAAGGGGTCTCGTCATTTCACTACAGCTCGACCCCCCGTTCGTGAGGACCCCCCTAGTTAGTACGGAGAGAAACTTACAGATTCAGGAAGGAACAATGCAAAGATAGACACGATACCGGACGTCACTAGTTGAATCCACACTGGAACTCTCCAGCCGTCGTTGGTATCGATGTAGGCGCTGCCGTAAGTCGCCCAACCCGCGATGATAGCGCCTACCGGCCTTTTTTTGTGTCAAATGAATTGTTTGTCCATGAATGGATGAAAACATACCACATGCAATTGTAAAATCCGGTCAGGGTGCCTCTCCACTACTTCTGTATTAGTTGCGGCCCTAACCTTTCGGTCTCAAAAAGACGTACCTTTGGGTGGGCAAGCTCGCTAACATAAGTGGGGGCTGCAATACAACAGTACGACACACCAAACCCTAGAAGAAACCGGCCGCCCATAAATTGCGACAATGAATGGCTAGTAGCTCTTAAGAAAGTGTTAGTTGAAATTCATTTGCACTTTGACGTCAATGTACTTGCTGCACACATGTGCCTATGACAATAATGACTGAACCAACAAACATCCCGATACGGCGTCCGAGGACGTCAGTGGCGAAAGGGACAGTAGGTGCTGCAGCAATGCTGCCAACATTGTAAATCATAAACACAATGCCTGTTGAGGAGCCCGCAGTTGTCCTAAATACGTCAGCATCTCAGTTACTTCGACACAATTTACGAGAGGACACGCGATGCATGTTCCGGAAAATAACGACAGGCACTTGTCTTACATATCGAACGTTCTCTGGTACGACGTCATGCCGTTGAGACCTCCCATCAAACTGCCGTCGTATCCATTAAGACATCCACAGGCATATGCAACGAAAAGAATGCCATAAAGCCGGAACATGGAAGCAGTCCATGGAGAATATTTCTTGTCGTGGGCTTCGTGAGCGATTGCAGCAGCGTGCTCGACCGAAGTGAACTCAAATGTCAGATCTACATTGGTGCCGTCGTCTTTCTCATGCTCGTGAGGGGAATTTTGATCAACGCCTCCCATATTTCTGAGACTGGATCCTTGGCAGTAAGAAGCCCAGGACGTTTGTGAAAAGATAAAATTGCCCAGAAGTATGGTTCGCCTCGGTCGGCACCAAGTGCTTCCTGGTCTACATATTTATATTTCTCGGAACATGAAATTACTTAATAAGCCCACGAATGACATGATTACCCGTGTAGATACTCTGCCCTTGCCTATGTTGTAGCGTAGCCGTGTAGGGTTACGGTTGCAACCTTAAACCGACGCCAAGCAGTTAATATGGTTTCCCCGTCGAAAAGATCATCATCTATTAGTCCTCGGATATGTGTTTATGGGAACCATACGTAAACTACATGCCATGAATCCAGTGACCAGCAGGGAACTCGGGGTTAAGATGGCATGTTTTGCGGGGGAACTCTGTTGTGATCGACCATATTCGCCGAGGATGACCTAGCGCCGGCTCAGATGTCCACGGTAGGGCACCAATTTTGCGGGGGAATTGCCTTGTGATTTATTTACCAGGGTGGCGCCGGCTCCGATATCCCCGGTAGCGCACCAATGGGAGATATCAATGTAGGTTATGTGGAGTATACCACAGTTGTGTAGTTGGCAGGAAGCATTATCAGCGGGGTTGGTTCTAGGCATGGAACAATATAACCGAAAAGAGCTTTGCAGAGTGTGGTTGGATTGAGGTTGGGCTCACATGATCCCTAGTAAACCGATATTCGACCTTAGCCAGAATGGGTGAGATTGGCCCAAACCCCATCTTGAGGAAAGAGGGGTTAGAGGTAGCCAGCTGAGACTTTTTCTCTCATCTTGATAGCTGTAAGGTATTTAGTTTGGCATTGTATGAGGGGTACTTAAGTTCAAGTGTACTAACAGCGGAGATTAAATTGGGAGTCCTCTCTTTTGAATATAAATTGATGTTCTTAGAATTCCTATTGCGTAATACCCCTAAGGATTAAAAAATGTATTTGATAAATAGGTGGTCGGAGTAGACATCTGATTGCGCCACCAGAAAATCACCCAAGTTCAGGAGAAAGCAGCGGCAGCTCAGGATTATAGATGGTAAAAATTGACATTCAGACAGTCCAGATCCGTCTCTGAAATTTTCTGTAAATGAGAATGTTTTGCTCGTGAGACGGGTTTCCCTCCCGTTGAGCAACCCTGGATAGTTTCCGGGGTTTGCCTCACCAAGCGTTAAGGCGAAAACGTAATCGCAAATAAGCGAATTTAATATTCTAGTAACTTGTGTATTGCGCAATAAAAAATATTTAGACATTTTTATCATTGAATCTTTGTTCCTCGACCCGCAGCTGAATGATAGTGAGAGAAAAGTCGCCGCAGTCCTTAGGTTTGAGCGTGATGCCTGGCCAACCAACTCTGTCGCCCTTGGAATTTGCACGAAGGATAAGAAGAAGTCCAGGTCTTGGATGAAACGACTGCTTCCCGAATTATTAAAGCTCAAAATGAGCTTCCATCGCGACCTTTTCGGGGCACTGGCTTCTACAACACCATGAGGCACGGTGCGGACGGTGGGACCCACCCCCGAGGAACTCTCGACTGCCCTGGAGTCGACGCACTTGGACCGCGACACCAGTCCACCATCGCCTATGCGACTACGGCCCCTCCCTATGGTGAATCTATTGGCCGGCGCTGGATTTACGACGGACGTGAACCGGCTTACTGTGATGCTGTCCCGTCAGAAGAGTGGGCTCGTGATTTCGGCGACATTGACGTCCTCGCTGGAAGGGGCAAAGGGAAGGGCAAAGGCAAGGGTAAGTACAAGGCCATCCGGGCAGTGGGCAAGGATGGACAGGCGCACTGGATGAAGGCCGTGATGCTGCAGAGAGTGTATCAGGGGTTTTGTTAACAAGGGCCGCATGATCACAATCCCAGCTGCTGCCAGTAAATAACAGATTGAACAGGCCCCTACTGTGTTTGTCTTTATATACTATTAAAGTCAAAATCGTTCAGTTCAGTCGAAACGTTAATGAAGCCGTGTCGTATTACCTAGCCAAAACGCTTAACTCCATCAGCACGACCATGGAGCTTTGCGCAGCCCGCAATGAACCTGACCCATTCAGCCATTAACACTACTAACCTGCTTCGGGACTCTAACATGGTCATTGGTCATCTAACATCCGGCCATTGGTTAAGAAAGAGAAATTGTTGATGCCTGAGTGGGCAACTCGGGGACGGTTAGCTGCTACTCCATTAACCACACTTAAATTGGTGGCAACTGTAGTGAATGGACGAAAGATTTGCGAGTTTAGAAATTTAGGCAAATCCCCCACCAGGCAGAAACGCAAACATCTACATGCAGCTCACCCAAAAGATACCAATTCAAGCTTCCTCCACACAACTTCGTGCGAGAAGACGAGGGCGACTACGAAAGACAAAGCAGTAAGGGCATTGCACCGCTGCACCTCGATCATTAAGTCAGAGACCCTAGTAACGAACCAACCCACCTTTCAACCACCCCACTTTAATTCGCGTTGACCACAACGCGTCTCAAGCCACACGCGTTTCTTCCATCTACATCAATTTTTTGAACGATCTGACCTATCAGGGCTCTTTAATATGCCCAATTACACTGAAAATGACCTTCAATTGGCTATCCAAGAGGTTGCTGAAGGCGTATCAATACGAAAAGCAGCCAATCACCACAATATTCCATACCCAACCCTACGCAGTCGGATTCAGGGCACAGAGAGCCGCCACGAAGCCCACGAATGGCAGCAACGGCTTTCTATACAGCAGGAAAGGCAGCTCTGTGACTGGCTTATCTTCCAAGACAAGCTAGGTATGGCTATGACTCATGCCCAAATCCGGAAGTTGGTTATTTCCATTTTGAGCGCAGCTAAAGATAACCGGCCACTTGGAAGGCGTTGGATTTCCGGGTTTTTACGCCGAAATCCACGAATAAAAACACTCAGAGCCAAGGGAATTGACTCAAGACGGATAAATGGAGCCAATCCGTATGCTATTGGCCAGTTCTTTGACATTATGGGCCAACCAGGCATCAATCACATACCTCCGCGCAACCGTTGGAATTGGGATGAAACTGGGATCTTCCAAGGGATCGGGACTAACGGGCTTGTGCTTGGCCAATCAGAGCTACGATCAACACTTAAAAAGCACCCGGGCAGCCTGAATTGGACTAGCATTCTTGAGGCTATTTCTGCAACTGGAAAACACCTCAATCCATTGGTTATCTTCAAAGGGAAAAACCCCCAACAGCAGTGGTTTCCAGAGGATATGGACTTTCTGACCAATTGGAACTTTACATCGTCTGATAAAGGCTGGACTAATGATGCAATTGGCCTTGAGTGGCTTAAAGAGATTTTTATCCCGGGATTAAAGCCGGAGAAGTCCAATGAGAAGCGTCTTCTGATATTGGATGGCCATGGATTACATGCAACACCGGATTTTATGCGTCTCTGTGTGGCCAATAAGATCCATTTAATCTATTTGCCGCCACATACAAGCCATGTTCTTCAGCCTCTTGATATATCAGTCTTTGGGCCTTTAAAGACTGCATATCGGGCTGCATTAACTCTAGCCAATCCCCTTATTGACACTAGCCCAACAAGGAAAGAGACCTTCTTAAAGTGCTATTTTGAAGCTAGAAATACCGCCCTGACGGAAGCCAATGCAAAGGCTGGATGGAAAGGGTTAGGTTTGTGGCCAATAGACCGAAATAAGGCGTTGGGTAGTCGGTTCGTTATTGATGACCCCAATCAGACTATTACAGTCCAATCAGCTGATCCCTCGCCTCCAAGACTGAACCAGAGGTCAGAAAATAACCTATTTACAACCCCTAGTCATTCAAGGGATGTACAGTCATTGGTGCGGTCACAAGGTCGACCTAGCTATAATAGCCCAACCACAAGACGGCTGTTTCGGACTATAGGCAAGGGTCTGGACACTCTAGGGATGAAAGTACTGCAATTGGAAGAGGAAAATAAGGCTCTAAAGCAACAATTGGCCCAATCAAAGAAGAGGAAAAGAGCTGCAGTTGACAAGGATCCAAATAAGCTATTTATTTCAATCCAGAATGTTAGAGCCACAAGACAGCGGGTAGAACCTTTAGAGTCAGAATATTCAGAATAGCTAATTTAAATTAAATTTCTATTGGCTAATTCATTGATATTTGGAAACCTTAGCTATTTATCTACTAGAAAAGTCTTTAAATGGACCAATTGGAATATTGTGTTGCTGTTTTATTTATATTTGAAGTTGGTGAGTGGCTCAATTGACTGTGTAAGTGGGGGTGGTTGAAAGGTGGGTTGGTTCGTTACTAGGGTCTCTGACTTACTTCATCTTGAACCCTCCGCAACAACTTTTCAAGACGTGACTCTGACCCGACGTCAACAGCAACATGCCGCCACGCAAACGACCATTCAAGTCAGCGGAAGCGCAGGGGAATATTCCCACGCTTGAACCCACTCTACTGCCTACGGGTAACGACCCAGCGCCTGTTCGACAGTTCACTCCAATCAACGCGGCGACGACTTCGAACTTGCAACAACCCTCAGTCACGCAGTCGACCTTTGCCCCTAGCAACCTGTTCCCAGTGGACAATGAGCCTGAGTCGACTAATGTGGCACGACCTGGACCATCTTTGACCTTGAAGCCCATCCAGAAGGAGAAACCGACAGGCTTGGCGACTCCAAGAACCGCAGTGCTGGCAGATCATGACTGGAACATGCTCATGTCGAAGCTCAAAGAGCGTATGGGGAGATTCAGCAACCCGGTAACCACCCCGCAGAAGCGCACGGTGACTTTTGATTCCACTGTCGACGACCAACCATCTTCCTCTCCCCTGAGCCGCTCCGATGAGCGGTCATTCTCTCGACCTTTATCACCAGCTCAACCCACAGGACAGAGACTTTTGCCGACTCCACCTGCACCTACGGACTTTGAACAGCCGTCGGCTCATAAAAGATCTCTCGGCTTCGGGCCAGACCTTGTGGAGAAACGGGCCAAGACCCTGCGCATGGAGGGGGCCCACCGACGCCTGGACGCCCTTGAAGGCCAGCGCATGACGGACATTGAGGGCTTTCAGACGCGGTTTGCTGCGACAGAGACTAAAACAACACTTATTGGAGAGAGAGTCGATGAGATTGAGTCAATGGTCGACGATACGGCTGAGAAATTGGGCATCCTCGAACAGGACGTCAGCGAGGGGGTCACGTCAAGCAGTCAGGCACTTTATTCCTTCGCCAATCTTACTTGCTATCGAGAACAAAATGGCGCTTTTGAAGACAGTTACCAGAGGCCCGGATAGTCAACAGGGCTTCTCTCACCAGGCATTAGGGCGAAAACACAATTGCAAAGGGGCGAATTCAATATTCTACAAAACTTATTTTTTGCGCAGTGAAAGCCAGACATTTCTACCATTGACATTCGCGAAGCATTCTCTGCAGAAAATACCGTCAACTCTTGGCAATACGCATTCAAAGCCATTGCTTGTTTCCGAAGTGAGAGACAAAGGAGCCACCGTCTCCTGCTTCAACGCTCTTCTGATTGATGACGGAGAGCACATTCTTTACGGATGACTCTGCGGTGGTAGGTCCCTTGAAGTGAGGCGCGTACTCGGCAAACTGCGCCATCATTTGCTGTCCACCCTTGATCCGGTCCTCGGTTGCTGCCAAATGGTCAGAACTCCTGGTGGTTCTAATAGACTGTAGGGAGGGAATCCACTTACGCGCAGTTTCGCTTGTATCTACCAGCCCTGGCGAAATGCTCAAAAACAGTACTCCGTCCTTGCTGTACTCGGCACTGAACTTGGCGACGGCGACGTTCATGCCGGCTTTGCTGATCGAGTACGGCGCTGAAGAGGCGATGCTGAACCGCGCAATAAGTTCGATATCGGCCATTCCCGACGAGATCGTGGCGACCTTTTTGACTTTGCCCTTCAGAATGAGGGGCATGTACAAGTTGAAAAGGTGAATGTTGCCGACGACGTTGATATTGAAAGACTCCAGCAAGTCCTCACCGAGTCTCTTGTGATCTTTGCCTCTGCAGAATTGTCAATAACAGAACCGTTCCATGGAGAAAGAAAAAGCGTACAAGGAGCCAAGGGTGTCCCAAGCAGAATAGGTGGAGACGAAGGCGGCATTGGCGATGATATAGTCAAGGCTGCCACCAGTGATCTTGGATACTTCGTCCACGGAAGCCTAGAGAATAACACGCTTAGTCCAGAGGATAATAGAAAGATCAGCTATGTCAGTCATTATCTACCTTCAGTGCCTCGTAATCAGTTATGTCTGCCTGAAGGATATGGAGATTGGCCCGCTGCTTCAATTCTCGATCAACCTTTTCAAGCGTGGCGGGCTTGTTGCGAACAAGACCAATGACTGTGTTGTTAGGGTCGCTGGAGAGCTGGCTGATGAATTCGAACTGGAAGAGCACGGTCAGTCCGGCGCGAGGGCATTAAGGACAGTCTGCATCGATGAGACTCACGCCAAGACCACGGGATGCCCCGGTGACCAAGTAAGAAGCCATTGTGACAGTGTAGATTCGAAGGGTAAATGATAGATTAAGTCAAGTAGCGGTGAATAAGGTTGTTGGTGCAATACTTTTGCTGGTGGGATGTCTTGGTGCGATGTGTTGGTGCGATGCGTTGATGCGATGTGTTTGCTGGTGAATGTTCGTATTGTGGACAGGACTGGATTAACCTTTTATATTCATTCCCATCACCTGAACGGCCCAATGGATGATAAATCCAGTTATTGATTTCAAATCCTATCTGCTTGGCCGTTGGCGAGGATATTTTGGCACATATGGATCATGACGGAGCGCCTACGCAACCTGAGATAGACACCCCACCCTGCTCAAGCTCGCGAATAGTTGACAATGTGCCCATGGAGCTGCAATCGTGCATCAGGCTAATGTTAGAGATTAATCCTCATTGGTGAATGCCAGAAGTGGGCCTCGCAGAAAGTTGCCCTGCATTCTCTTGGGGCCGCACCCAGCATTAGCGGCTCTGCATTGTCCGGGATGATGAGCTGCTGACCTCATCAGCATTTGCCATGATGCGAGTTCGATTACTCAACCCAGGCATAAGCACCCCACGCGTTGTTTCGTGTGCCTGGAGTTCTCAGTAAATTGGCGTGAAGCTACCACGCAAGTCATCTACTTCTCGGCAACGGAACTACACCAAGATGTCGAGCCGAGGCTGCGGGACTTGTCTCGGTTCGTTTCCCCTGCGAATACTGACTCGCACGCAAATCTGACTGACAACGGGTCAATAGATCGCAAGGTCCTCTGCGATCGTGCACTCCCCACATGTCGCCGCTGCGCTTCATCCGGTCGAGACTGCAAGGGATACGATCTGCGTCTGTCTTGGCCAAGAGCCGGCGACAAGAAACGAGCACTCGTCGGCCCTGACACGCCAGAGACTAATTCCCTTAGAAACATCACCGAACTTCCATTTGTGAATGCATCATTCTGGGATGTCGAGATACATCATGATACGTTATTTTCGGAATCAAAGTACAGGACTGCCCTTGCTCAGAAGACCTCTCGCGCCATCCAGTTACATCGCATCAGACAACTCGCGCAGCCCGTCTTGAACCCGCCCGTATCGTGGATGCCACCCAGTCTGTCAGACCTAGACAAGGATCTGTTGCAGTATTGTGAGAATTACTCATGTTCTATCAACATGTCCATTGGCTGACCTTCCATTACAGTTGTCTCCATTGCATCATTCTCATTGCCGGCGTTTGGCCAAGACGCATCAATAATCCGTCCTGCAATTATCCGCATGGCTCTCTCCGGTAGCACACCCTCTGCCACAGCAGTGCTAAAGTCCGCTCTTGCTCTGGCCTCGCTCTATCGCGATGGACCACAGAACCGCGCGGCCCTGCTCAAGATCTCTGCACTTCGCGCTCTCTCGACGTCAGCAAATACCAACATTGGATCCGCCGAGTGTATCCAGCATGTAGCTACCGGAATGCTCCTGTGTTCCTTCGAGGTATGTCGCCGAGTTTTGCCCTTGGCTCGACCTTGAATCTCATATAATCTGTAGGTTCAGCAGTCTTCGAAAACCTCAAATCACTGGCACTGGTACATCTGCGGTTCGAAAGATATCATCAAGACGGCCAAACTTGAGGATTCTGTTCACAACAGTGATTTCGCTGCTTTGATCAGTTGGGTCCATTACTACGACGTGCTGGGCCGGTTCAGCCTCCGATACTGGCAGCGTCGTCATTCTGTTGAAAACATTCTCAATAACGATGCCCAGTTTCAAGACTTCTCGCCAACAGTCTGCGAACGTTCGCGGGTATGTCAAGGTATCAAGGACTTAATTAACATGTTACTTACTTCTGGCAGGCCCCAAATTTGCTCGGCGCATCCCACCCAATCTTAGACGTGCTCTCGGAAATCTCCGACACCCTCCTGGACCCCTCAGACCCAGATTATCACTCAGATGACTACAGACAGTATTTGAAAGTTCTCGAGTGGAGAGTGAGAAGTATTCAGATAAATGACTCAGAATTGACATCCAATACAAATGAGGCGGATTCGGCGAAGATAACCAAACTATATCAGCTGGCAGCCTTAATCTACATCACCCGTACGTCAGAAAACTCTGCAGATCAGTCAGAGAAGATCATGGAGTGGATCGCAGAGGGATTCGCCATCATGTCCCAACTCAACACCTGCAAAGCCCCGTTTCCGCTCTTTGCCTTCGGCTGTGAGGCAGCAAATGACGAGATGAGGACCGTCGTCCTCAATCTCATTTCCACAACGGAAAGAGAAGCACACATACAGAGCTTAGAGCGGGTCAAGTCGATGCTGGAGTTTATTTGGGTCCAGAATGATCTTGTCGATGTCCCTATGGACTATACAGACCAGCTGAGCAGGATCTTTGGCCTCAGTGATGTTCTCCCAGCCATGTTCTAAGTTCTGGCAAGATAATCTAGCATCAATTGATGAGTTCCACTTGATGCTGGTGTGACTTGGTCAAACTCATGCGATTAACAGACCAAGCGGTACGGGTTCGTTTAGTTGTCAAGACATAGTCATCCCAGGCTCATGCGTTTCACATAGTCATACAAATCAGAAAAGAGCGAGCAGAGGACATGAACCTTTGCAAAAGTCATTTACACACTTTCCAGGAATGTCTTGTAGTGTAAATTTTTGAGCACAGTCGACGAAAAACTGCTGAAACCAATAGTCAGGGACAGGCCAGACTGCCAACATCCCACCAAGGACCGCAAGCCGTTGGTTCTATTAGATACGGCTGAGGACCCCAGGTGGCAATATTATCCAAGGGTGTTTAAATATTCTTTATTATAAAATTCCCAATAGATTATTTCCCAAAGGTCATTCTCTCCCCAGCTCTTTGTTGACCCGGACCTGATCTGATATCACTCCTGCAAAGAGTCATTCCGGCTGTGAACATCTTCACTCCCACACTCCGGTCTGTTCATGCGTATTCAACGCCGACCTTCGGTTCCTCAACGTATTCGCTTGAAAATCCGCAATGAGCAAAAACACCAGCACTTGGTTCTTCGTCATGTGTTTGCATCACGCCCCATTTCAAAGGAACCAGGGGCGCCTCCGACTGAGGAATGCCGTCAGGATGATGGCAAGCCGCTGCAATTGCTAGGCTGCAACTACTGACGACTGGAATCCCAGCTGGAAGGCGCAAAAGCCCCGTCACCGCCACGGCAACGGCCATTGTGACTGAAGCGCAGATAGACGTAATGATGGCCGTAGGTGAATAGCCACACGTAGTGTAAAGCGGCTCGTCGGGATCCTGTGGTCTCTCAACGGCGACAATGAAAACGCTCTGCGACAACAGCCAATGGACCAAGATTGACATAAGGAGTAGCGGAATGCTCCAGCGATACGGGAGTTGCAGAAAGTAGTTCGAGCGCTGTTCACCCCTGGGATCCGATGAAACTCGTATCGCCCGTCTCCTACTGCCAAAGTCACCCCATTCCCTGGCGGCGAGCATGCCGGTGAATAGTCCATTGTATTGGAAGTACAAAACCGAAAAGCACAGCTGCGGAAGGTTTGCGATGAGGGCGCTCTGGATGATCTTCGTATGGGACTCTCTGAATAAGTTTGCAAGGCCTGTTATCAGCGCTGTCTCGGATGGCTTTCCAAAGCCCAAAGCCCAGAGGCTAGCTGCGTCATGAGGGCCAGCAACGACCTTGATACCCCATGCGAGGAAGAAGAGTGCAATGCTCAGTGTGAACAGGTACCTAACCATAAATTAGTCGCATGAGCTTGTTGATCCTTTTAAGTGAATGGCATGTTTGATGGGATCTTACATTAATAGACTTGTAGTCCATCGACAATTGCTCACGGCTGCAGCCCACCGTTTCTTACTCGGAGACCACGTGCGAGGTCCATTCCAGTATTCTTTGTTCACATTTCTGATATGATCCGCGGGTATTAAACAAATATCGCTAGAGGTGTCTCGGGAATCCTTGCATCTGCCCATAAGCGTTAGTCCCATTGATTCTTAACCTAATAGTTGGGAGGATCTTACGTAGGTAAACTGATCCCCCAGCGACGTATGTTCGCCACTCTTGCCCACCGTCCCTTCGTCAGAGACCACTTGCGAGATCCAGCCTTTTCTTTCTTCTTCTTGCGTCTGACATCATCTACTGATACTAGACAGCTGTTTCTCGAAGCGGCGTCTGGAGAAGTAAGAAACGACTCAATGGCATCACCCAGGACAAAGAGTGGTTCCTGCGGTGGGAAAAATGCAGTATATGCAATTACGGCCGCCTTGAATCCGTTCGCGATGAGGACAAAGGTTACGAGGGTAGTGCTGAAATTGAGTCGGCAAACCTGAGGAACTGGCTTGCTGATGCAGTACTTGACTCGATGGCCGAATGGTTTCCAGTTGTCCGCATGTGCCTTGACTCCAGACAAAAGACTTCGGCAGGGCGCGTGACAGCTGCTTTCGCCTTTCGGGTGGATGCATATCCACTCGTATACCTCGATAGGACATCCTGCCACTTGGTCGCCGTCGAAGTCACTGCTGTAAGTGTAATCCGGTATCCCCAATTTGCCCTCGGGTCCCGTCTCAGTCACCAACAGGAGAGCGCCCCGAGATGTTTGAAATGCCGTCGCATAAGCTTCGATGCACTGAAGTGCAGTGAGGTTAACCCCGTCGTTGGATTTTGCGGAATCCCACAGTTGCGCTATCTCCTTTGTTTGGTTGGCGGTGGGCCGGACCATACCATACGTGGTGTTGTGCCCAAAGTTTGGATCATCCTCTATTTCTTGAAAAGGGCGAGAGAATATCGAATCTGCACCAGAAGACGCATCCTGGACACTCCAAATATTGTAATCCACTGAGGTTAGGGACGAAAAGACGACAGAGTTGTATCTAGGACAGTCAGTTCTGTTCCTGGCGGCATGGGTTGACAAAGCCTACAGGAGATGTAGCGGCACAGATGAGACCAATAACAGAAACCATAGCATGGCTCTAGTCTTTGGTATTTTACTCAAGTTATGGACGCTAGGGATTCCGATGTCCATCCACTTCTTTTTAGCGTGGGCCCTGTCGACATCGGCTCGGGTTGGCGCCGATAAACACTGCATGCTGTAGTTGCTGGCTGCCAACAAGACAGAGCTGAATATGTTGATAAAGAGGTGGAGCACCACGTTGACTTTGCTGGCCTTTGAACATGATCCCTGGTAGAGAACCCTGAGACCATTGGCAGCCTCTCCAGTTCCTTTCGGTTGGTTGAGCGACGCCAGAGTGACAGAGAGATTCAAGATGAGGACGAAAAGGGAACCGACCACGCCCCCGATGAGGGTGAACTTTCTACCTGGGGGAAGCTTGACTTGGCGGGAGCATATCGTCTGGCTGTCGATGGTTGGATCAGGATCGTCTACTGGAGCCTGAGGGAGGGGAGACCTGGCGAATTTGGAAAACATACTTCGGCGATGGTGCAAGAAGTGATGAAGAGTGTAACTGCAGTGGCTCCTGCATCTGAAATCGGGTTGAGTATCGATGTTCAAACTTTGGACGTTGAGGATTGTGCTCACTTGCCGCCAAGATATGGTGCCAGCTGACACGGGACTGTAGCACCATGTGGAGAGCATCAGTTTCAAGTCAATCACGTGTGTCAGCTCTCGCGCCGTGGAGGTCCATGCGAGCATTGTGTGATGAAATAAGAGAGAGTAACATTGCCATCGAGATTCTGACTGTGAACGTCTAGTGTCACTGTCCTACCCTTTTTTCAGGCTGACACATGCTTACTGTACTTGACACCGGCGGTCTTTTTCTTTCTCACTCTGGCTAAAACTCATCACCTTGAATCTACCGCATAGCGCTGACAACCTCTCGGTCTAGTGACTGTGAGATGTTGTCGAGAACTTGCATCCTTGTTGGCCCCACAGCAACTCAGCCTCAGAAGGCTCGGACAGTATTGGCTGCTCTGGCTTGAATCTCGCCCTAATATGAAGCTAGCCCCCAGTGAGGCTCATCAAGTCCAAGCCTTGCTACTTTGCACTGCCCTCAAAATCCTGCTTTATAAACTTAGAAGCTGAAAGAGGACTATGTCAATGCGACCGCCTCTGTGGGTGGGGGTCTCCTCGGTGTCCTCGCTGGGGCGCAACTAATAAATTGCTGTGTGATGTCAACACGGGCTGTCCCATTTTGTTCCCTACATCTTCTCAAGCCTGATCACGATTTCTATATATTTAATCAGCAGGGCAAGTTGACCTTGTTCATTGGATCGCGACTCGCCGTCAGGCTGCAAGCTCACTATGAGCGGGATGTGCCTTTCCCGTGTCGCAATTGGGCTAGTCTTTTGAGCTCGCGCACACCACTTCTCGTTCTCTGTTGGACAAAGTGGAGACCTTTCAACGCGATAAGTGAATCTGGGATCTATGCTATGCGTCACTTGATCAGAGGGGGCGCGAAGGAAGGGTTGGCTGTTGCTGCTTGCTGAGCACACTTCCTATCAAGAGCTGAGTTTTACATTTTCTCCACAGAGCAGAATACTGGGGATTAAATCCTCAATATACAAGGGGATCATCATTCTCATTAAGTTATCTGCATCTTCCGGCAGCTATTCCGCCAGTTCAAGTTGATTCAGCCCCGCACCGTTCCTTCTCCGTTCTTAAACCACCGACTATTGTTCGCAGGAGGTGAAAACTAACAACACAACGGAGCCCTTTGTCAGACTCATGGTTTGTTCTGAGAAATTCAGTTGCAATCGGTTATGTTCAAAGAAGTCGGTGCATCTAGGAGTATTAGCAAGCACAGGCCTGACGCGACGTACGGGGAACCTACTGCGAAACCAACAAAGTCGACTACTGTTCTTCAGTGGTTTTAGACTGCAACTCTCGGGATCGAGCGCGTTGCTGTGCTCTGAATGCGTTGACGCCCTGGTATCCAGAAGGTTGGATCAACCTTTGTCGTCGTTCCTGTCTCTCACGGGCGGCAGCAGTCAAAGATGGTAAAGATGGGAAAGGCCGATTGAATGGTTCGGGTGTGCTTGCGGGACGGGACGCTCGGGTGCTGCTCGATGGTCGGCGATGAGTTGTTTTCCGGATGCTTGCAACAGGCTTCGTGGTGTTTTTCGAGCCGTAGGTGCCCAGTTTGTTCTGGTATTGGGCCGACCGAAGCACAGCCTTCCTCAAAAGTCGATCCTCGTACTTCTCACCCTGCTTTTCACCACTGTCGTCGCAAATCCTGGTGATGACTGTCTTGATGACCCCCCTGGTGCTCTCCCAAGTCGTTCCGACCAGAGACTGGGCCTTTCGCCCTATCCTCCAGCGCAGGAAGTCCCAAGGGTCCATGGACAGCTCGCCCCGCTGATGGAGAACACGAAGATCGGACACTTTGCATGCCAACTTGTACATGACCTCTTTGTGACAGAGGCCGTCGGAGGGCAGATGATGCTTTGAAACCAGCTGGTTGGGATGGTAGGAAGAGCCAGCACCAAATATCTCGCGAATCTTCCGATGTTTGCTGACATTGTCCTGGTGAAACTTGTACGTTGACACCAACGATATGTCGGACGGGTTTCGACGACGTCGCTCGTAAAAGTCCTTCTTCAGATCCTCTTCGGTGGACTCTTGCGCAAGAAATTTATCGAGAGACAGCCATGAGGATTCCCAGTACGGCCCAGTCTCATCGATCTTGTCGACAGGCGTGCTTCCGAGCGTGACCGGTGTTTTGTACGTCTTTCCGTTGTGGCTGACCGTATAAACACGGTCCCAGGGCGTTTGGAGCATTTGGTTGACTCCGCGTTCCTCGTCTTTTTCGGGAGGGATGGATGGCGTGGAAGTTGCTGTGGCGCTGGGCTGGGACGGCGTGTCGGCAGGAATGTCACCATACCCCTGGAAGCTGTCAGTAATTATGAATAAACTTGTCTCTAGGTAGAAAGTCTCACCGAGAGAATGGGGCGGGAGTGCTCATCGTGGGAGTTATCCATGTTGGCAAGATTCGTGATCGTCTCGCGTGTGTGTCTGGTGAGTTGGAGAAGTGAAGAAAACAAGACCGATAAGATACTTCTTGTGCTAGAAGAGATAAACAATCGACGGAATCATAAGTGAGTGTGCAGCTGCCCACAGGCGCGACTGCCCTTAGGCCTAAGCGCAAGGCAGCTGGCAGCCAGGTCACGCGCACCTCGTGTTTGCTGCCCAGTCGTGCAGAGCAACACTAAGGCCTTATGCAAATAAGGGATGGAGAGGGCATATTCAGAACGTGAATAAAGCAGCAGTCAAGTAAACAGAAAAATACAGGCTCGAACCAAGTGGCTTAGTGCTAGGCGTTGGGCGACTCAAAGGCATCACTGAATGTTCTCAAACGATCATAAGCAGAAACACCAGCCTATGAAGATCCTTGAATCAGGATGATCAAGCCGCAGTCCCATATCGCATAAACAGTTCTGAAGATTTTGGCTAATATTACAGCCTGCTTCTATGCCTTGAACGGAAATTTTGCAAACAAGAGTGCGCCTTATCACGAGATGATTCCATACAGCCAACATGTCCTGAAAAGTGAAGCGGATTTAAGATTTGGTAGCTTCGACTCTTGAACAAAGTCCATAATACATGGGGTTTTGCCTTAAATGAATTGGCGGATACATCCTGAGAAGTTTGTGGAAAGATCTTCGGTGATCGTGTGTTCTCATTGCCACAACTGTCCGTGAACATGTCAACAGCTCGGTCATGTCCCCATCAAATCTAGGCCAAGTTTTCTCCGCATTTTCAATCTCATCAACTCAGTCCCCTACAGCCCACTCGTGGGCATGAGCTTCAGGTCTCGATAGGGTTTCTTAAAGCTCGTTAAGGTAAGATACGATGACGACTATATTTAAAAGGAGCTTGAGATGGTCACTCGTTTACTCCTACGATTGAAAATGCTATCAGAAATTCCAGTTCGTTATATTCCTTCACGAGTCCCCCTTCGTATTGAGAGTACAATAGCGCTTGCCAGATATTCCAACGACTCTTCCCGCACGAAAGTATCACCTAAATTAAGGGCACCAGGTCTGGTCAAAACATCTAATATTATGATATATTGCTCCAAGCAAACACGGAAACAAAAGACACATAGAGCTAACATTTTATACCCAACACAATCTAAAGTTTACACCCTCAGAGCCTTGCATTCCTTGAATCTCTTGAGGTCGATGGAAAGAGAATTCCATCTTGATATCCCGTCGCCACGTGGTTGCCCTCGGGGCTCCACGTAAAGCTCATCATCAACCCTCTCCCCGCGCTGTATCGGGGCCAGTAGACCTCCTGGATCCACCATCCATCTCCGTCCATGACGGCTTCCTCGGCGTTGACGTGCACATAGAAAGAGTAGCTCAACGTAGCTGCTACGCCGAGACTGTACCCATAGCCAAGGTGGTTTCCGAGCATGATGATGCCGTTACGGTCCGCTTCAAAGGCGTGGCATGTGATGTGCGCGTTGACGTCCTCCTTCGGGATCGGGGCGAGCAGGCGGTAGAGAATCAGCTCTCTGCGGTCTGGCAGCTCCTTGTCGGCGTTGTAAGACCGCATATCCACCTTGCGCATCTCGAGAATCGGAAAGGCGCCGGGTCCAGCATTGGGAAAGGTGTCCTTGACCGCGTCAATGTCCGCCTGAGGGCAGTGCTCCCACTCCTCCGGTGGCCGCGAGGACAGGATGCTCCGGTAGCGTTCCTGCGGCGAAGAGCCTTGGACGTCAGAAGGGCTCGGGCTGGGTCGTTTGAAGGTGACGAGGCAAGAAAAGCACTTGTCTCCCGGAGGAGCGGTGGCATCTGAGCTAGGGAAAGGGCCAGACGGATTGACTGAAGGCTCGGTGGACTGGAAAACGTTGACAACACGGGTCGAAAATGAACGACTGGAATGGATCTCGGACACGTTGAAAATGAATGGCCGGTCCATCAGCCCCGGGTTCGTGAAGACAGCCTGGATGGTCTACGGCACGTCAGTCTGTGCAGTCGGCGCCATAGCTAGTCTCACTCACATGAATAGCGCGGCTGCCCTCATTCTCCTCACTCGAACCCTTTGTATCTTCCTCCTCGACGACCCGCGCCGCTGCAAGGGTAGCCATGGCATACACGACCCCACCGTAGGCGCCTCTGGTGATTTTGGCAGCCGACACGCCGATGGACTCCCAGGGAAGCTCCTTGCCGGGCATCCACGGCGGCTGGCGGTTCATGAATCTGATTTCACGCGTCTGGTCGGCGGGATCCACGGCGGGGAGCTTTTCCAGCTCCATGGCTTCCTGGAACGACATGCGCTTCCATTCCTTGGGGGGCGCTGCCGCCGACGCGTCAGGCTCGTCAGTCATCGCGTCGGGCCGTGGGCAAGAGCGGCGGGAGCGATGTATCAGGTCCTGTCTCGTGAATGCCTCTTCAAAGATCGTGAAGACGGTGTTTTGGTCGCTGTTCGGCCTGGAGACGACGCATCCGCTGCAAAGGGGCCGAAGATGTTGTCAACCAGTTCGGTGGAACGTTCCGAAGTCCGAGGCCAGGGTCGATCAGCCAACTCGCCAATCCCGTGTACCGAGGTACTTGCCTTTCCGGGACTCAGCTAGCTGTACTATCTCAACCTGCATGTGGCCGTATTTTCATGTGGCCTATGATATATCTCAAAGACCTTCTTGTTAGTAAAGCCATTGGAGATGTCATGGTTTTCGCTTTAGATCCGAAATCTGTTACTGTATCGATTTCGGTAGCATGTGCCTAGGACTTTGATGCCTACCCTACAGCACCAGTCCATTCATCAGAAGAATCTTGAGCGCTGATGCTGGCGTAGAGTCAGATAGAACTGAATTCATGATGATGGGGGAAAGAAAATTAGGAGGAAGACGGCTCGATATGAGGCTTCTAGATGTCACCATTATGAGCATACTTAAAAGTTGTGGTGAACATTAAGATTTAGTTAACATGTTCCGGGTTCCACCCAGCTTGGTCAATACGGTTTGGAGAATTGTCTAGTGCATTCACGGCTGATTTGCCATGTGGTTCCTTCTTTAATTAATGCCATGAACATATTGTTTAACATTATCAGAACACATAGACACATATACTACACATCGCTTATGTGATCCCTCTAGCGGAGAGGACAACCCTTTGTCACCCAACGATCCATCCACATACAATGCACCCAAAGAGGAACCAGCTTATTTTATCTCCGAGGGACCTGTTTTGATGTACATTCAAATTGAGATACGGGGTTCAATTGGACGGCATTGTATGCAGAGAAAGCGAGCGATGGGTGCATGTGGCAGAGTCGCACTTGACACATCGTTGCTCTGCAATGACGGAAGCAAGTGCAATTTGCAAATCATCGTGCATACCGAGCATCAAAGTTTGGTCTAATTAAAACCTACTCCTACGATTAATTCTTCGCGTTGTCGTTGACACTGCTCGTCTTTCTCAATTGATAGTGGTGTGGGCGGGAGCAGGGACAAAAGCTCCGGGAGAGTCAATGACGTAGCCACTAGAAACCGGGCTTACAATCAGACTTTCGACAACGCGTCTTCGACTATCAACGACCGCCACCAGAAAAGGCGAGATACAAGAGGAGAGGAATCCGCCCCTGTTGAAAGGGTTCCAGTTCAATCATTGCCAACATTGCAGAATTGCAGAATTGCAAAATGCTATCATGCTTCGGTTGCTTTGGCTCGCGCAGCGATGAGAGCGAGCGCGAGCCGCTGCTGCCGCGATACAACGACGACACGACACTGCAGACGCGCCTCCACGAGAAGCTCCACACATATCAGATGCTGCGGGCCATGTCCAAGGGATACATGCCCACTAACGCACAGGCAATCATTCACCTGCGCACGCTGCTTTCCGCCCAGGTCCTGAATCCGCATGGCGACGAGTTGAGCCCGTCGGGACGAGCGCTGGTCCGCAGCCTGAAGCTTTGGTTGACGCAGCTCATCGCGCTTCTTCAACACAAAAACGCAGAGGATCAGATCCAGGATTTCGTTTGGTATCTGGCCAAAGCGCGGCTGGATGTGGATGTGGACGACATCGAGGTGAGGGCGACGGGCGCAAAGGTCAAGGCAGATGTGACGTCGACATACCGGAGCTTACAAACTGTGGGCTCGCTGCTTCTGAACAACTCCGACTTTCGAATCTTCTTATCCGACTTGAGCACCGTGGGGAGGGAGGTGCTTCACGATACGGCCTTTACTCTGGCCGATGTGTCCAAGAAAGCAGGCGAGGCCATCGAGCCCGACAAGAAGAGCCAGGACGCGTTGAAGCACCCGAATGGAGACTCCAAGCCCGCTCCGTCAAATCAGGATCTCAAAGATGAACTGGCCAAGGTTTCCGAGGCTGTGGCAGATGGTGCGGCGGAGGTTATCGATGAAGCTGGCCAGAGCTTGACGGAGCACGTCGGAGGAGAGGAGGGAGAGACGCTCATCCACCGCCTCAAGGAAACCGTCCTCAATCTTCGACAGCACACTGACTACTCGGAATCCGTGTCCACCCTGTCTCGCCTCATCCGGCGGTACCTCCTGGCCTACTCGCACGCCGCCGCGGAGACGATCCAAGCCGTCGAAGAGGACACGCACACCAACGCCGAGGCCGACAGGGCGCTGCACAACTTCTGGCTCTTCCTCACCTCGCTCGGCAACCGCGAGGACTGGCAGGGCGTGGAGAAGTCGTTCGCGGCGGTCATGGAGGACGGCCAGACGGATCCCAACTTCGACGAGCTCGTGCGGCAGGTGGGCAACCTGGTGCAGGACATGCTGATGGACCCGGACTTCTTCGACGAGGCCGAGGAGCGGTTTCGGGAGCTGCGCAAGAAGTCGGATGAACTCGTGGCAAAGTCGTCGATTCGGGATGACTTGGATGCGCTCCTCGCCAGCCTGCACTCGGCGCTGCGCTCTGTCGTGGCTGACGCGGACATTAAGAAACTCATCCACGCCAGCAAGAGAATCGCCACTCTCCTTTCCCCGGCCGGACAGAGCACCAACGGGGAACTGATATCTGACTCGGCCAACATCTTTGTGCCAATGCTCATTCAAGCCGTGCAGTACATCCCCATACCCCGTGTCGAAGTGGCGTCGCCAGCCATCGACCTGTTGCTGGAGAACCTCATCCTCGAACCAGGACGGACAGTCAACCACAGCTCCTTCTTCCCCTACAAGCTCAAGATTTCAACACAGAACGATGTCGAAGTCCGCAAAGCACGGTTCGGGACCAAGTCGTCCATGACGTCGTTGCTGAATGTCACAGTGTCCGGGCTGTCTATTGCTGCAGATGACCTGGGCTACTGGCTACGTCTACACTCCGGCCTACTTCGGATGGCCGACGAGGGCCTTGCAGGGTTCTACCTGGACGAGCGCGGCGTCGACATCTCTCTCGACATTGAGATTGGGCGGGAAAACCTGGAGCAAATGGTGGTCCTGCGGGGAGTCGACGTGCACATCCACCACCTCAACTACACGCTCAGCAAGTCCAAGTTTGCGTGCCTGGCGTGGCTCCTCAAGCCCCTGATACGACCAATGGTGAAGAAGGCGCTCGAGGTCAAGCTGGCATCCGCCATCTCCGAGGGCATCCACACGCTGAACCGGGAGCTACTCTACGCACGGGAGCGGCTGCGAGCGACGCGGATCGCCAACCCCAGCGACGTGTGGACCTTTGTGCGCGCCGTGCTGGCCCGCCTGGTGCCAGCGGGCGACCCAGACATCGACACGCGGGTGGGCGTCCTGGCGGCGGGCAAGGGCGTGTTCCGGGGACGCTACGCGCCGGGAAGCCTGGTCAGGCTGTGGGAGAGGGAGGGCCGCGATGCGGAGCAGCGGGTGGCCGAGTACGAGCAGGACGGGTGGAAGAATGTCATCTTTGACGTCAAGACGCGGTCGGTGTGAGCGTTGGGCTGCGATGGAGGAAGGACGGGTTGAAAGGACATGGCGCTTTCGGCCGAGTACATTAACACGGGACCAGGTGACAGGAGGACCGGGCGAAAAGGGGGTGGCTCGACATGCGGTATTCAATAAGCTCTCGCCCCGGGCTGAGCTATGACAATATGTTTGAGAGTCGATGACCACACGTGTGACCAAATGTGAGACCTCGAAGCTCGCGTGTCGACGGATTGATGACCAAAAGACGGCTTCTCGCTGGTCAAGTCCGGGGACTCGTCCGGGGCAAGGAGGTAAGGTTCCGCTCAGGGCTCAGGGTCTCTCTCTCCGCGCCAGGGTGTGTTCCCCGCTCACCGAGGAGACTCGACTGCAAAGTAAATCCCGGGCCCTGGCGTGACTGTTGACTGTTCCAGGGGTGTGTGAGCGAGTCCCTGCAAGGTGCATCTGCGTCTTGCGTCTTGCGTCTGCGCCTGCGCCTGCGCCTGCGCGTGCGTCCTTTTTTCTGTGGGGAAGACCTGGGATGCATCACGCCTCCCCCTCTCCACAGCGAGCGTCCCTGTGAGCGTCCGTGATGCGCCAGGCCAAATACTGCAGTTCCCTGCCCGATGTGCCTGTGCCTGTGACTGTGCCGCTTTTGGTTGAATGCTGACAAGGTCTGGCCTGACTGGAGGAGCGAGTCCACACCACCACCACGTCCGCTGGCTTCCTTTGCTTCCTTGCTTCCGCTGCGAGTTGGGCTTGTTGGCGTCGGGTCGGGTGCGGTGCGATCCACGCGACCAGGATGGGGAGATGGTGGGTGGTGGATGGCTGGATGGGCTGGACTAGTCATCATCTGCCCTGGAAGCCAGTGGCAATCCATTCATTTTAGGGGGGGACGGAAGTCAGCCTCAGTTTCTTCAGTGTCTTCAGTCGCGCTTTTTCAACAGAGTTCAACACCTCCAAGTTCTAGCCTGCGCGTGCGTTGTGTCCCAGCCCGACGATCCCTGCTACGCTGGAGGCGGCCGATCGGTCTCGACGCCCTCCCAGGCGCAAAAAGCAAGTCCAAAGGTGTGGGCGTCGTACCATGGGGAAGGAAACAGTTTCAGCTAGCCAGCGGCTGGTCACGAGAGAGAGGGAAATATCACGTAGCGGGCATGGATGGGTGAGGTGTGTGTATTGCCGCTATGTACCTAAGTACGGATGGATAGTAGCGGTGGACTCTGTAAGGGAGAACCTGCAGCAGTATTGTTTAATTTATTTCACTTTTCTCCCGTGCAGCAAGTAATTGCTACCATGGACACTATTGCCCTATTCCGGACGCAATAACACGTACGGCATGTCATGAGCTGGCGGGCTGTCGGCTGGCTGAGAGTGGGGAGAACAGGGAAACAGGGGCGAGGCCATTTTTGCATTTCTCCGCTTCCTTTGTCCCTCTCCCTCTCCCTCTCCCTCCCCCTGTCCATTAATTATTAATTCCTGGCTCTACACAATAATAACACTGGAGCCTCCATAGTCCACTCCACTTCTTCATGCCCGACCACCCGCACGCTGCCAAATACCAATTGCGTCCTTGGCCTATCCCCCCTCTCTCTAACGTATGAAAAAAAAAAAACCTCCAGGCTGTACAATACCAACATCCCAGTGGCCAATCGCCCAGCCCGCCTCTCCCCCCCTGCCCCCCTGGACGCTTGATTCAACCGCCTGACCAACGCCCGGCCTATGAGACGCTGGATGGCGTCTTGTCCGCCCCCCCGGATGGCTTATGGCTTACCCCGGACATGGCTGCGCTTGCAGGGCTGCAGGGCTCTTCCCACCGCAGGCTGTTCGATGATGCGGCCTTTGCCCCCTCTTTTGTGTCTCTTTGGGGCGTCTGTCTCGCTCCCGAGTCCTTCTGTTTGGCTGTGCGCCTGCGGGTTTCTGCTGATCCTTTTGCTTGCTGTGTTCCGTCCCGCCGGCCTGTCGGTCTCACCTCCATCCATCGTCCAAAGTGGCACAGCTTCTACATGGTTTCTACATGGCTGGTCAGCTAGTCGACTTTCAACAACCAACCAACTCACCTTGCCTTTACCCCATCTCTTGTCTCTCTCCGCCTCCGCCTTCGTCTGTGTCCCTTCCGGTCTGCAGATCTAGTTACACACGACAACAACAACTGCACACAGCCCGTAACTAACTCACTGTACTTGAGAGTACATACACACCCCCTACCAAACGGCCTCCCTCAACAAGCAATCCGACCCCCATCTCTACCCCGTCCACCTCGTGCCGGCCCCGGATTTCCCGTAGAATTGGTTCGGCGTGATCCTTGTGGCATCCTCCTGGCATCCTGGTGGCCACACCATCTCGGCTGCCGACCCCGTCCTTGGACAACCTCCCCCTCTCTTTTCCTCCTCCTCTTTAAACGCCTCTCGCCTGAACCCTCGTTCCTGATCCCTATCTGCCCGCGTTGGCGCCTCTACTGCGACCACGATAAAAGATAACCGCGCCTGCCCCCTATCGCCGTCGCTTGACCCGGCGACAAAACCTGCGGCACAAAACCTCACACGCCTTTGCGCTGCGACTGGCGCCCCACTCCGCACTCAGCATCACGCCAGCGGCTCATACTCGATTCCGCTCGTGAGCCGCCAACCGCTGCTGTTGGCCGGTCCCATTGGGAGTCTGGCCAGTGCAAACCGCACTCGGTCTCTGCTGGATCCTCCCGCGAGACTGACTGCCAACGGGGACACGGCCCAGCGGCCACCTTACGACTCCAGACTTGCAAATTTTGTAGAGAATCAGCAGAGCATGGTCTGACCAGCACCCCGACGACGAATACTTCGACCCAACCGCTCTCTAACCCCCGGCGTCTCCGGCTTGATCGTCATTGGACTTGGCCTCCGCACAGTTTTATCCTCTTTTAACCCCGTCCCTTCCCTCGACCGCCGGCCTGGATCCTCACCTCGGTTGTTGTCGTTGTCGTTGCGCAGTTGTCAAGCGGATGGACCGGGCGAAGGAACCCTGACCACGCGCGGAGCCCGTCCTCTCCCTTCAGTCGAAGCGGACGCTGTGGTAATGGAAGTAGAGGCAAGCGGGCAGAGCTCCATCCACATGCTAGAATCATGGCGCCGCCGCTCGTGCCTGGGATGCCACGATGACCTCTCTATTGCGCCCTTGGACAGCGAGCTGGCCAAGGTGCCCCGATGCCCGGCCTCGGATCCCTTGCTGGAGGAGTTGTTGAAGGAAGCCCCGTACAAGTCGAACCGAAAGGGAGCCGACTTGAAGCAGCTGCCGCCGAAACGCTCCCTCTTGCACGCCCTCAGCCATCTGCCGCGGTCTACCCTCTTAACCGCTTCGGAATTCACATTTACTCCCCCGGATGACACCTCACAGCCTCTGGCCATCCGTCCCAGACCATCTCCTCAACTGTTCCGTGGCGTGAAGCGTCGCCGCTGCATGTCAGACGTCGACGGGTTCAACACCGTCGGCATGAGCTCTAAGAAGCGCCGGCTACGGGTCGACCTCATAACCAGCCGACTCTCACAACCATACTCACAACCGGCAACGCATATTCTCAACCGCGAGGGCCAGGAATCCGGCGACAAGCGGTTTTTGAAGATGGCCACCACGCTCGATTCAGCGAGGCGAACCTCTCATCTGCACGCGACGTCATTCTTACGGTACTGCACCATGAACTGTCTGCGGAAAAGACTCAACTTGGTCCATCCTACCCCCGTTGTCCGGCGAGACGACCAGGAAGCCGCCGCCGTTGCATTAAAAGCCGGCTCCAAAGTAGCATGGCGACCCCAGAGCATTGAAGACACCTCAGCTGGACAGTCTCTGAGGGTATCCACGGCGCCCAGCGGCGGAGCGGGCATCTCAATACCAGCCCCAACACTATCACCACTCCTACAACCGACGCGGCCTCAGCCCGTCGCTCCCAAACACGCCCATCCACATGTCAAACCCCCCGCCTGTCGCCTCTCCAGCCCCGCGGCGCTCCCCCTGCCCGCCACCGACGCCGTGGCAACTAAGAAGCGCACCTCGCCGCGGATCTACCCCGTGCAGTCCCCCGAGCTGCGGCCGTCAACCTCGTTGTCGCAGCTGGACGACCTGGAAGAGGACAGCTTCGCGTTCCTGCATCCCGCAGACGACGACTGGGACGACTTGGCCGACGACCAGGACGGCGTGTATTCTGATTTCGGCGTCGTGTTCGGGCAGGAGTCCCCAGGCGCTGAGGCGAAAGACGGACGCACGTACGAGGAGTACTTGGATGAGCTAGATGGCATCTGCTGGGTATCGAGGTAGACAGCCGTGGATGCTTGCATGTTAACAGCACCCGGCGAGGAGTCCCTTGGTGTTTTTTTGGGGGGCAGTGCAAAAGTTTTAAATGTTTGTTATGCATCATCATGATACTATGTAGTTTTAGGCGGACAGCAACACATCTGTGCCAACAGAATTGCATCTCCAGATCAACTGGAAAGATTTACCAAACTATTACATTATTCCCATTCCTCGTGAGACTTGCTGAGACTTGCTGACATTCTGACTCTCGGTTCAACAGTTATTCGGCGTCGAGCTTGGCTGCCCGATCCTTTGCAATGTCACACATTGCCTGTTGTCGTTAGCTAACGCCCCGCCATAATGAACCCGGCAACTCATACCTGCAACGCCGCATCGATTTCCTTGGAGTAGTCAGCCCTAGCGATCCTCGCCCTCATATCCTCCATAATCTCCGGCCGACCACGCCCGTTGACGAAGACGACATAGCGCAGGCCGGGAAACTTGTCCTCGTACTCGCGGTTCAGCACGGCCAGCTCCTCGCCCTCGCCCTGCAGGTTCGCCTGCTCGGCCGCCGACTGCTGCGAGTCGACCTTGCGCGCGCCCAGGCGAGGGTGGGAGCCCAGGATGGCGAGCAGGGTCGCGTCCGGGTGCGTCATGGCGCCCGTGGCGCCGGCGGCGGCCAGCGACAGCAGGCCGATGTGGCAGGCGTCGATGAGCTCCGCGTACGAGGCGTACGAGGCGGTGCGGATCACGGGGATCAGCGTCTCGTGGATGGCCGGGCTGGGCTCGAAGAGGAGGTCTAGGATGTGCGCCTGGGCGACGTCGTTGGCGACGTGAAGGTTGTGGATATCCAGTAGACCCATCTTGGCAGGTGAAGCTCGGGCAGAGGGCGTTGGAGTACAGACGGGGTGATACAGACTCTAGGGAGTGTTACATGGATATACTTGTTTAGTCGGCGGCAAAAGTGAGCGTCACAGAGCAGCTCTCACCCGTGGGCTATTTCAATGGCCGCCGGCCGGATGACGGAGACCAGCGAGGATATTGGCCGCGGTGCTCCCCGCTGTGGAACAAGCCGAGAAACGGCGGACCGGGATCGCGATAAGATTGTCGCTGTCCCGATTAGGCCACCGCCATCGTTATCTTATCACCCGTGACCTGGAGCTCCCGTGCTTGGTGGTCCATGCACTGGCAAAATCTCGACTGCGAGACGGTCGTCGCGACAGGGCTTCCAGACGAGCGAGCCGCATCTGTCTCCAACAAAAGCAATTGAAAGCCCGTCGAGCTTTGCGTTGCAGTCGCCATGCTTTGTGGAAGTTCGTATCGCCCCGAATCCGTCGTGGCAGCCGCGTTGTGCTGACTCCGTCTACAGTTTCCGGGGAGGCTCCCCAAGAGCCCGTCGTGTCAAAGAAGTCCGGTGCGTACATCTGTCGTCTGCATGCCCCCATCGCGCTGACTCCCTGCCAGGCGTCGTTTACGAGAAGCGGCTCATCGAGCAGTATATCAGCGAGCACGCCACCGAGCCCAGCTCCGGCGAAGCGCTCACCAGCGACGACCTCCTCCCGATCCACTCGTCGCGTATCGTCCGGCCGCGTCCTCCCACCCTCACCTCCATCCCCGCCCTGCTCGCAACCTTCCAGAACGAATGGGACGCGCTTGCGCTAGAGACGTACAACCTCAAGGAGCAGCTCGCGCGCACCCGCGAGGAGCTTGCGACGGCCCTGTACCAGCACGATGCCGCCGTCCGGGTCATCGCCCGGCTGACCAAGGAGCGAGAGGAGGCTCGGGACGCGCTGAGCAAGGTCACCGTGTCTGGAGGTGCTAGTGGGGATCAAATGGTTGTGGACAGCGTGGAGCAGCTTCCCGAGGAGCTGGCCGCGCGCGTAGACGCGACTCATCAAACGTACGTGGTTGCGCTGGTTCAATTCCTGGATAGGAGGCTAACGTGGGTTGCAGGCTGTCCAAGGGCCGCAAGAAGCGACCGATTCCCGAAGGTTGGGTTAGCGCAGAAGAGGTGTCTTCCTTTGCCGTCGAGGCTACAAACGCCCTCCCCGTGCCCCAGGCGACGTCGCTGGGTCTGGAGGGTGACTACGCCGCTGTGGGCGGTGTGACGGGTGAGGCCGCCATCTACTCGGTCGGCGCGGACAAGGTGGAGCGACAGGTTCCCGTCAACGAGCCGGTGACGGATACCCTCTGGACCGGGTCCAAGTTGATCTTCGCCACGGGCCAGGGCGCCGTCAAGGTCTTTGAGGGCGGCAACGAGCTGGCGTCGCTGAGCGAGCACTCTGGCGCCGCCACCGCCTTGAGCGTGCACCCCGGTGGTGAGCTGCTGGCTTCCGTTGGCACTGACAAGAGCATTGTGTTTTACGACCTGGCTTCTATGAGCCGTGCCAGCCGTGCCTACACCGATGCTGGTGAGTACATGAGTCGTTTGTTACAGTCCCTAGCTAACCGCTTCTAGCTCTCACGTCGTGCGCTTTCCACCCCGATGGTCACCTGTTTGCTGCCGGTACTGTCACCGGCGACATCAAGCTTTTCATGACCAAGACGCTCGAGCAAGCCGCCGTCTTCAAGCTGGGCGCGCCCGTGCAGGCACTCGCCTTTTCCGAGAACGGCTTCTGGTTCGCGGCCACGGCCAAGGGCCAGACCATGGTGACCATCTTCGACCTGCGAAAGGAGGGAGACGCGGCCGTGGCCAAGGTTCTCGAGACTGGCGGGCCGGTGCAGTCATTGGCGTGGGACTACAGCAGCCAGTTCCTGGCAACGGGCGGCGCCTCGGGTGTGACAGTGCACCAGTACACCAAGTCCAGCAAGACGTGGAGCGAGCCCTTGCGGAACGCGACACCCGCTATTTCGGTCCGCTGGGGAGAGTCGGCGAAGAAGCTGGTGACGGTGAATGGAGAGGGCGTGGTCAGCATACTGGGCGCCAAGGAATAGACGGTTCGTGTTTTTTGGTTGTGTTGACGGACCGGCCTTGGAGACGGACGGCAACTATTCAGGGATGGGAGTGTCGATTTAATAGCTGTACAATTAAGGCCTTGGAGACTGATGGATGGGCTGGGCAGACAGGACTTTTACAAAAAATGAAGATTTCGATTTCGGCCTCTGTCATTTGGACTGCATCACGGTAGTTTTGGGTCATTGATTAAATGCAACTAGAAGTGAATGGCATTGTTCTTCAAACAATCACAACCTCGGAACCAGCGCCGATGATTGAGCGTCCTGTCACTTTTAGCGGCGATTCACGCTACCGGCCCTGTAATCGACCAGCCTTGCCGCCTAAACAAGCCAACCGGCCCCTGCAAATTAGTGCCCGGGCTCCATGTTTAGCGGGGTAATCGCTATCGCCGGCGGGACCGTGGCGTGGCAGCCTTGCCCTGCAGCGAACCGCCACAGGGTCCGAGGTCCAGGTCGGATTTCATTCGTCTCGACTTGCACACTTCAACCTTTCGTCACTCTCGACCTTTTGCACCACCACCACCAACGCGGATATCGTCGCCGCGGCTTGCCACGTATCCGTCTTTGCTGCGAGGTTCCAACGAACGACCACGACGACGCTCGCTCCGGTACTTCGCCGTCATCGCTACCGGGCTGCCATCGACGTTCCAATCGAGCGCCTTTGATCCGTCGACCCGGTGGCAACAGCCAACGCAAACGCTCCCCTTGCCTTGCGCGGGATTCACCGGGCACGCCGTCACGAACCCTCGACGCCGCCTGGCTGCCTTGAGACAGCCGGCGCGCACCCGCGAAGACGATATATATCGGGCATTCTCCCGCACCGTCGTCCTGCGCCATCACCACGCCACCTGCTCCTCGCCTTGCCTTTCCTTCGACATCTGCCCGGCATGGCCACGCACCGCGAGGACTCGCTCTTTGTCAGCGACAGCGATCCCATCGAGATCGACTCCAGCCCAAACAGGGACGCAAACACCGGCATCAACCTCATCCTGCCCATGCCCGAGGGCTGGTCCAACGGGGGCACGCCAAACACCTCGCAACCCTCACGCAGCACGCGCCGGACCGAAGCCCGTCAACCCGCTCAGCAGCAACCTGCTCCCGTCATCGACCTCACCGAAGAACCCGACTCTCCCGTGCAGGCACGCCGCTCCATCTCGCACAGCCATGGCGGCAGGAATCCGCGCAGGACCAACTCGCAGCGAGTGTCGCCGCCTCGCCTCGCACGCAGCGACAGCACCTTTTTGCCGGCCGCATCCAGCTTCATCGACCTCACCGCCGACTCTCCCGAGGACGACCCGTCGCTCGACCCAGCGCGCAGACGGAACGGACGAATCCCCGGCGACGACCTCTACGAGAACCCCGACCATCCCTCCTACGACCCATCACACCCGCTGCGCAGACGACTCGGCGGTCGCCTGCGCCCGCGCCCGGATGAACTGATCGAGCTCGAGTTCATCAGCTCTGTGCCCCGACGCGCAGCTGCACTCCCCACCTTTGCCATCGGACTGACCAGAAGACTGGCCGGTATCCTGGGCTCGGACATCATCGGCGGTGCCTTTTCCCAGCCGCAACTCGACGTGTCGCGCAACGCCTTTGCTCCCCGAGAACCGAGCCCCAAGCCACCAATGGAGCCGGCCCCTCCCACCCGCGAGGGCTTCACGCGCGACACCTGCGCCGACCCGGAGAAGGAATCAGAAACCATTGTCATTTGCCCCGCATGCAACGAAGAGCTAGCGTACGACCCCAACGGAGCCGTGGCGCCGAGTCCCACGAGTGGGAAAAAGAGGAAGAGAGCAGCTGGAGAGCACCACTTCTGGGCCCTCAAGAAGTGTGGCCATGTACGTGGATCCCCTAGCAATTTTTGCCCCTTGACTAACAGCGCATCTAGGTATATTGCGCCGACTGCTTTGAGAACCGCAAGCCGACAAAGGCAAATCCTGCTGGTGCGGGTTTCCGTGCTCCTGAGGGGAAGAGCCTCAACGAGATCCGCTGTGTGGTGGACGGCTGTGAAACAAAGGTCTCGGCCAAGGGCGAGTGGGTGGGCATTTTCCTCTGATGCTTCTGCCATAGCGCCTGGAGCCTTGATCCAGGGGCTCGGATCGAACAACGAAATCATGATTGGACGAAGGAATCAGGAGCATGGAACGGCGTTTGGGGGGGATTACATAGATGTTTAAAGGCGAGGATAAAGTCCCAGTGACTCCGTCGTTCTTGACAAGCCATGGCGAGACTGTTGCTTTACTTACTACCTGAACGATGCGTGTGGAGACATGTCCACGGGAATTAGTGCCGGAGAAAAGGGCGAGTTGAGCCTTGTTGGACGACACGAGGGCCATAATGCCCAAGCCACGCAGCGCAGCAGTAGTGTAATGATCAAACTCCATTTATTCATTGCAGTGTATTCAATGTATTCGTAAAACATGTCGCCATCAAGCACCAACCCAGCTTGCGCACAATGCCCAACGCCGGCGTCAAAAGCGACGACCCGGCTGTGACAACGCTGCCCCGATGTATCCCCCATATCCATAAATTGCAGTTCCGCGAGGCTGCTACTGTAAAACTCCAAGATGATGTCTGTCGCGCTATGCTCTGTGTAATGCCGTGCCGTGCCCCGATCCCATGCAAGTAAAAGTAAAATAGAGTCGTGCCCCCGTTCTATCGTATCAAATCATCAGCTCCAGCGCGAGCTCGTCTACCCAGTCCCCTCCGTACTCTGTCTCTTGGGAGGCGCTTGGGGCCTGTGGCTCGCCCGGTGGAGGTTGAAGCGGTCTCACGTTCTCCTTGTTGCCCTCGACTAGAGGTTGAAGCGGTCTGATGTTCTCTTTGTTGCCTTCGACTGGAGGTTGAGGTGGCTTCATGTTCTCCTTGTTGCCTTCAACTGGAGGCTTCATTTGTGGTTTGCGCTCTATGACCTTTTGCGGCTTATAAGCCGGTGGTTTAGACACCAATCTGGTGCCTGACATTGCTGCGACCCTCGCCGCACAGGCCCTCAATTCTGCAGCCCTCAACTCTGCGGCTATCGCCTTATCGCGTCTCGCGCGAGCTTCAGCTTGGCGAACCGCTATGCCTGCCTGGATGCGCTCGCGTTGGATCTGCTCGAGGGCGGCGGTGCGACGGCTGCGGTGCAGAGCGAGGGACATGAGCTCGTGGGAGCCGGACGAGGTGAAGAAGCGGCGCGGCGGAGGCGACGGGGAGTCCACGATGGGTTCCGGGAGTGACGGCTCGGGCGGCGGCTGGAGTTGCTCAGGTTTGGTCTGCGCTGCGTCGCGGGCGGTGGACTCTTGCTGCGTGGCGATTTCTTCTTCGAGCTCGCGGGCTTGCTGGGACGACGAGGGGAAGAAGTCATCGAAGTTGAAGAGGATGGCTTGTGTGCTCATGGGGGGTTCTTGGCGGGGAGGCGAAGGTGAGGGTGATGGCCGGTGATGGACTGGTTCGGCGAGCGGTGGTTTTGGTCTTGGGGTTTCTGTTCGGGGTTGTCTCTGGAGACCAAGGTCTTGTTCGTATCGGGTCGTGGGGTTTGGGTCTCGTATCATGGTTGGGGTGGTGGTTCTTTGAAGGGCGGGAGAGTCTTGTTGACCGTTCTGTTCGGGTTTCTTGATTGGTTCCTTCTTGACGCTTGCCTCCACGTCGTGTAGCAGCTCCAGGGCCAGATCCTCTTCAAAGTCCTCATCCAGGTCTCCCAGGTCGTTCAGGTCGTCCAGGTTATCCAGATCATCCATGGCTTGTTCCGGTGCTTCTACTTCCGCTTCTCCCTTTGCGTCTGTTTCCACCTCAACTTCTGCCTCTGCTTCCACTTCCGTATTTGCATCTGGTATTTTAGGTTCTGCAGCTTCCTCTGCTTCATCTTTTTCTTCCTCCTCCTCCTCTTCCACTATATTCCCAAGCTTCAGTCCCCTCGCCGGACAAGGAGTAACTGGCTCAGGGGTCTCGCTCGCACCAACTCCCCGCCCCTCGGAATCTCTCTTCTTCGCAGTTCCATTCCCACGCACAAACCAAGCAATGGTGTCCTGGCTCGGCCGCACACTGACAGTCGGCAGGCCCTTCTTGCGCTTCTCCTCCCGCTCAGCCAGCTCCTTTCCCTTCTTCTTCTCGCGGGCGGCGCGGGCCTTGGCCGACGCCTTTTCCTTCTCAAACTCCTTGCGGATACGCTCCTGCTCGGCCTTTTCCTGCTTGATGCGCTCGGCGCGGGACATGCGCGGGGCGCGGTTGGCCGCCTTGTAGGCCTTCTGGACCTGCCTGGACGTCATCCGCGCCGCGGGCGGCTGGTGCTCGGGCGATTCATTCCGGCCCGGGTGCTGGGGGATCAGCGTGAATGTCCTCTGGCCGGCCATCGTGGCGCCGACATTTGACCGGGCGTTTGGTGGGAGGCGTCCGGGGAGAGGCGTTTGAGTCGAAGAGTCGGTACGTGAATGGCGGTTTGGATGGGACGCGGTGGTGGGGTGATGACATGTGTGGTGACGCGAAGTGGAAACGAGGTCACATGACGACCCTCAGAAGTGTCTGAGAACGGTTGTTGAACCCAATCATGAAAGAAACTCGGGCGAATATTGACAACTTGCTGGATAACTCAAAATTGGGATGATTCAAGGCAAATGGAGTTGGATTCATAATCCTTGGAATCCCTCGGATCACTCACTATCTACTTGTCCAGCGTCTCAACCGTCGGATCCCACGCACATGGGCTGTAGTCGGTCGTCGCCATATCCTCAACCTCTTCTTCCGTCAGCTCAAAGTCGTACAGCTGCGTATTCTCGAGGATCCGCGACGGCGTCACGCTCTTGACCAGCGGCACATATCCGCGCTGCAGGCTCCAGCGCAGCAGGATCTGGGCCTCCGTCTTGCCGTACTTGGCCGCCAGCGCCGCAACCTTGGGCTCGCCCCAGCGCTGGCCGCGCACAATGGGACAGTAGGCCTCGACGGCGATGTTACGCGCGCGGCACCACGTCACAATGTCCGCGCGCGTCAGCCACGGGTGCACTTCCCACTGGCCCACCGAGATGACGCCGCCCTTGCCTGGCCCGCCGCGCTCCCCTTCGAGCTCCTTGATGTACGCCTCCAGCTCGTCGAGGTGGTGCACGCCGTAGTTGGATATACCAATGGAGCGCACTTTGCCGGCCTCGACGCACTCGACCAGTGCTTTCCATGCGCCCTTGCGGTTCTCAGGGCCGCCGTAGGGCGCGTGGATGAGCACCAGGTCGAGGTAGCCCAGCTTCGTCTCCTCCAGAGCCGTATTCACCAGCTTCAGCGTGTTGTCATATCCCAAGGGTGCCTTGCGTACGGGGACCTTGGTAGTGAAGAAGACTTCGGATCGGGGGATGCCAGTGGCCGTGATGCCTTGGGCGCTCTCCCCTTGGTTGCGGTACGCCGAGGCCGAGTCGATCTAGCGCAGCGTCAGCATCTGGCCGGAACAGGCGGGTTACATTAGAGGAGTCTGACATGCCGATAGCCAACCTCCAACGCTCCCTTGCAAATGTCTGGGGCTTGTTCCAGAGGGCTACATGTGTAAGTAGACATTAATCCTACTGGGAGGCTGTGTGACGGCTCACGTTTGATAGACCTGGACGTGTGTTAGCTTGATACGGCGCAGCAAGGTAGGGAACGTACACCAAAGCCGAGACGGGGGATCTCATATCCCGAGTTGAGCTTTAGAGTAGAGTTGAGGGTGAGTTTGGATGCCATTTTGCGGTTCATTGATAACTTGATGTTAAACTTGAAGAGTTGCTTTGGAGTTGAGGCGGGGTCGAGATAGTGATGCAGCTAGAGAGCGGAGATGCATGTTAACTCCGGACCACGCAAGATGACGTCCACGAAAGCAGGACATAATGATTATGCCATTGAAATCAATCACAGAATAAATCCTCAGAGCGATAACAATATTAAAGTCAACTTACACCCATTTACCCTATTCCCAGCCGGGCATCTCATGTGTAGACATCATACAGGGTAGCAGTCACATCAAGATCGAACAACATGACGTTTTACAGTTTCTTTGGACTTTGGCTCTCTAGATGACACTATCCAACATATCTTGCTGCTCTCGAGCATTCCGATCTTCTGCAGCTTCACCCTCTTCCTCTCCGTCATCATCTAGATCCATCATTGGGTAATTGAGAATGGCGGCAATGTCGCCGAGCATGGTCAGACGTTGGCCGCTCTCATGATCACTACTCAAGACCCTCGCATCGCCACCGTCGTTTCTGACCTTTTCGACGAGTGCTACATACTTCTTGCGGACGGCCAAGTCTTCGCTCCGGAAGAGCGAGTTGTTGACCAGGAGGACGCCGCCGCCAGGACCAACAGCACCGTCGTTGACGGCCTTTTCCACAGCTGAAGTACCGTACCACGCCCGGCCATCATCCAATTTGAGCATATCAAAGAACTGATCGACGTACTGGGCCTCGCGGGCAAACTTCATGTCCTTCATCTTGGCCAGGACCTCGGGGCTCTTGAGCACCTCGTTGAGACTGTGGACGTGCCCCGAGTTGGCGTGCACGACAGTCGCTTGCTTGGCGACGGCGGTCAAGACCTTGTCAGCCTTGTCCCGGCCCTGGTTCGCAATGTACTGCTTAAAGTCCGCGGCGACGAATCCCGGGCTGGCCAGCAGCAGCGGGCGCGACTCGGAAAAGTCCATGGTGCGGACCAGGGTCGACAGAGTCTTTTCAAAGAAGCGGCGCATGCCGGCATCCTGGTCTGAAGCCAGGTCGCGCTTCTTCGGAATGACGCTCTCGACACGGACTTTCAAAACTGTGCGGAACTGCGTAATGAGACAAATGTTGGCCAGGCCCTCCTGCATGACGACGGCGGCCATGGCGCCGTCCTTGTCATCGGCCAGGGACTCCTGGAGCGCGGCCTTGGCGATGGAGTCCCAGCCATCGGGCTTGATGACGGTGAAGGCACGGTTGACCTCGAGGTCGAGCGTGTGGTGCGAGCCGAGGGTGACGTGGGGGTTCTCGGCGGCCACGGTCCCGGAGACGCGGAGGGCCGAGATGACGGGGTCGAAGAAGGTCGACTTGACTTTGATGGCCAGGTCGGTGTGCACCCGCTCCGACGCCGTGCTGCCGGTGCTGCTGGTGCTGACGACCTTGCGGATGGCGTGGGCGTGGATGATGTCGCCGGGGAGGATTAGGTTGTAGGCATGCCACTGGGGGGGACGTTAGCGGGCGGATATCACGGGTAGGAAGAAGCATGCATGGCGTTGTGTTGTCATGGGACAGCTGTCACGGGGGAGATATCACGACGGGGATCAAGGGCGAGGCTGGGCTGGGCTGGGATGGGATGGGATGAGCCAAGGCAAGACAGAGAACGGCGTGGAGTTTGATGCCACGACCAAACTCCACGGTCCACGGCGCATGAGGCGGGTGCTATGCTATGCTATGGCTGCCGCGCTGGCCAAGCCCATGATGATAACGAGGCGGTCATGGAGGTGTGTGAGGGGCAGACAGGGCTGAAATGGAGGGGTAGAGCAGAGTCACAGAAGGGAAAACGCGCTGACGGACCATGTCTTCGGGATCCTCGGGGAGGAGAGACACCGTCTCCTCCTCGAGCGTCTTGGGCACCTTGCGCGATACCAGCTTCATCCTGGTTGGCCTGCGGGTGTCTTTGCTGGTCTGTTCTGGATGTTCAGGGCTGGTGTGGTTCTTTTCGGTTCTGGGCCGGATGGGGGAGGGGGGTGTGATGTGGATTTTGAGCCTCGGCTTGAGCTGGGGTGGTGGGTGTGAGATGGGCCAAAAAAAGACAAAGAACAAAGAACGATGCTAATCAATAATCGATGCCGAGCCTCGAGGGTCTGTTCTTTTTTTGGGAGATTTTTTGGGGGGCGTCTGGCTGCTGATATCGGGTGGTGGTGACGTTATGAAGATTAGATACCACAAGGGTTTGCTCACATGCTGGGGGGCTCCCGTAGGTCAGTCGGGTTGAGCCTCAGGGTACTGCCCAGGCGACGTCCCTCAGCGAGGCAAGGCTACACACGCAAGGCTACGGACGAGATGGGCTAGTGAGAGAGATGGGACGGCACTTTGGGGTGTGCATGCGCGAGAGGGCAAAAGTGTGTGCCGTGCTATTGCATCGACGCCGTACCGCGGCGGCGGCATTGGATGATGGCATCAGATGGCATTGGATACCGTATCGCCATGTGCCGGGACCCGGGAAAAGAAGGGGTCCTGGCCTGCCAAGTCCCATCAGTCCGGGTCTGCCGGGAGCCAGTTGAAGCACCAGGTCAAAGTTGAAAGTTTAACAACTGGACGACCCCATTCACGATTCGATTCCACGACCGGGGACCGGGATGGGGGGAGCGGGACGGTAGTTGTCAACTCCCCGCCTGCCCGTCGGAGTTTGTTGGTAATGCGTCAAAGCCATGGCATGCTTGGTCATTTTCATTTCATTCGCCGGCCGCTGTGCAAAATCAACACCCGGCGACATCCGCGGTCGCCGACTTCAGGTGTCAGGTGAGCGTCTGGTGGCCGAGATGCCCACCGACTAGAGCCCGCAGAGACCGAAGCCCAGAACTCTAGGCACATACCGACCGCACTTACTCAGGACCCCGAAGACAGCGGGAACAGTGGGAACAGTGGGAACAGCCCAGCCATCGCGCCCGTTTGTTTCAGCGGAGAACCACACGCGCTGCGGAGTTTTAGGCTTCATCCTTTTTTTTCTTTCTCTTCCTGCTCAATCTGTTTCACTCCCTCTAGCTTGCCCTGGGCCGGTCTGGCGGACGGGATTTGCAGGCCGTCTTGGCGCCGACGGAGTTTGCTAGGAAAAACACCTCAGCCAATTCCCGGGGGCCCGTTCGGGCGGATTCCATCGGCGCCGAAGCAGTAGGGAGGTCCGCTGCCCGGTTGTGGAATCTCGACCGAGACTTGTCGACAGGTTTTTTATTTTTTATTTCTTAATTACTGGAGCAGCAGCGCGGCGACTTGTATATGTAAACGTGGGGCGGCACGGCACATGTCAAATCGTCATCGTGGGAGCGGGAAGCAAGATCACCACAAGGCGTGGGTGACGAATGGCGATGCGAATTAGCGCAGGGACGCTGGGAGGACGCGCCACCCCACCGCACGGGGGGCTTGTGCGACGACGGGGTTTTGGCAACGGAGTTCAGACGGCGTTCGGACGGAGTTCAAAGCGAAACAAGGTCGTACGTAGAGTTCGTACCCCCGTGCAGCGATCAATACGCAGTCGGTTTTCACATTCGTTCAATCCTGACGCCTGCGATCCGCATCCCGCATCCAGGGCACTAGCGCCATCGTTCGAGAAGGAAGCGGCCCACGTCATCATGCGATACTGCTGCCTCGCATCTCGCACACCGTCTCCCCTCGAGCATGTATCCAGGGGGAGGCAGAGGCGGGGTGTTTAGGCGGTGGCCGGTAGGTAGGTAGGCTGCAGTGAAATTGAAAACGAGAACAAGCCCAATGGCGCAGTGCTAAATACGATGGCAAAATGCAAATACGCGGATATTTCGTATTCGAAAAGCTTCCTTAGACCGGCGAGACCAGTGACCAAAAAGCGCTGCCTGAAAAGGGTTGGATGGTAGCCTGGGGGATGTTTGACAGCTGCCTGAGCGCCGCTTTTAGCGCTGGTGGAGTTTTGGGTGCGTCTGTAGGGGACTGCAGTGAATGGCATCGCTGCAAGGGGGATGGATGATCTGAGGGACGGCGAGGGGCAGAGGTGAGGTGAGGTGAGGTCATCCTGTTTGCCGATCTGCAATTGCTGTGCACCGTGTGTACTATACCTCGGCCTGTCGATACCAGGTGGAACCAGTTCAGTACATACTATCCATCAAAGTTCGTCGTCGTGTTGAGATTCTCCCCCTTCCAAATCCCAGGCCGCGCGAAGAAGAATCTAGCAAGCTTCCTTTCTGGAGCCCCCCCGGTCCGTCACCATGACCCGGGGTAAAAATATCTCTTCTCCCCCCCGGTCCGAAATGTCTCCCCGCCAACACACCCGCCGGCCACCGCGCGCCGCCGCTTGTTCTCTTTCGCTTCGCGCGCGGGTGGGCGGAGTGACGACCGAATGCGACAGCCCGATGCCAACCCCAATGGCTGTAATGCCTGCCTTTGCCCAGCCCTGGTTGCTGAGCTGCCCTCCTCCAGGCGGCCGGGCTAGGGCTGATTCGGGCCTCGCGCCACGCAGTGCGTCAATCCAATCCAGCCGGCTTGCTTCCCTCCCTCCGCCTGTTGCTGGACGTGTGGCGTGGCCGATTTTCCCCTTTGAGAGATTGGGTCGGGGGGGGGGGGGGGGGGGGCTGAAAAGGAAAGGGAACCAACGTTCTAGGAGCCCGCGGGACTACCAGAGCATGGGGATCCATCGGGATCGAATCTGGGTGGAGGACGTTTGGAGGGAGGATCGTCGGCCGTCTGATCAGCCTCGACGTTTGCATGCGCACTGCCAATGGATGATCGGCATTGAAGCCATGAACGGGCGCGTTGGTTTATACTAAACCCAGCCTCGAGCCACCAAAAATCGATGATGCATCCATCCAGGCCCCCCCTTACCCCCCTCCACCCAGACAATTGAGGCCTCGATATATACCCTCCACCAAGCGACCGGCAGGCCAGTCGCAGCAGCCCGCGTCTGACGCTGCAGCTGGCACATGGCCAGCGCCGACGGGCCTCCGCATTGGCTGGAGGCGGCCTGGGCTCGGCTCAGCTCAGCGTCCCCATGACTGGGGCGAAATCCGACGTAGCCGGGGCTTGCTTCCTTGGGTGTGACAGTTTTCCCATGTGCGATGGATTTAGTGTATTAGTTTTGGTTTTGGCGCTGACGGCATCTCAGCCACAAGCATGGAACAGGGCCACGAGGAGGTAGGTTAAGTACTAAAGAACAGTAGTAAGGCGTAATAAGGCCAATGGTCCAATTCGCATTCCGCCCCGACGGCTGCAGCGCCCCCCGAAAACGCCCCCGACAACGCCGTCTCTTTAATTCTGCCCGCTGTCGACCCAAGTCCCATCAGCCGCATAATAGGGCTCTCTCACCTCACCTCACCTCCCAGCACATCAGCCGCCACGTTTCTATTTAATCATGCTCCCTCTCACAACCCAGCGCTAGCCGATGCACGCTCTACACCACTACGCGCCATCTCATCTGCCCGTCTGATGCCCACGACAGAAAAACCTTGGGTCGAACTCGCCGGTCAACGTTCCGGCCCACCGCCACTCAATCTTCCCACCCCTCGACCGGTCGGCGCCGGGGTCTGGTCTAGCAGAACCCACCCACTTTCGCTGGACGGGGACCGCCATCGTCAACTCGTCGGAAACAGGAACGAATGCGAGAGTGGTGCTTCGTACAGTTCGTACCTACAGTTCGTACAGCGAGACCGACCACGGCACAGCATAATTAGCACGCACATCACTGCACAAGAGACTTTGCAACGGGCCCCCTGTCGGTTGCCACGATCCCCCATCTGACACCGTCTCTCGTCTCGTCTCGTCTTGTCTCGTCTCGCCTGTCCTTGTTGGACGTCTTCCTCCCAACTCTCTTTTTTAGCATCTCACCTAATAATTCCTTCGGACCCAAGTCCTTCGTACCGCGTGCTGGAGCCTCGTTCATCCTCTCAGCTGCATCCCTGGCGCCTTATCCACCCGTCTGACGCACCGAATCTAGAAACCCCCGGGCGCCCCGGACAACCAACTGGCTGGACTGCTGGAGTGCTACTGCTGGACCTACCAAGTCGTCACCTACTAAGGTACGCATGTAGGTACTTCGTACTGCAGGCAGCTCGCAAACGCCCCCCAAAACGCCCACTGTCCACATCCGCGCCCTCCACCCGGGCGTGCAGCACACCGTCTCTCCGTGGTCCGTCTCCGAGCCCGTCGTTTTCGCTCGCTCGCATCTGTCTCGGACCCTTCGGATCGTTCTTCAACTTCTTTCCTCTCCGCCGCCTCTGTATCTCCGCTGCCTCTGCCTCTGCCACTGCTTCTCCGCCGCTCGCCCTTTTCTCGCCGTCGCGCTTTCAAGGCCCCCCGCTGAAGCCTCGCTCTCGCACGCACCACCACGCAGCACTCACTCCACGCACCCGCATCTACGCATCACACCCCCCCCCCCCCCTTCACCCTTCCCCACGACTCCTCCTCCTGGAGTCCTAGGACCCTCCTCCTCCGCTGGCTGGCTGGCTGGCCTCGCTCTCTTCACCGGGTCCGCGGACTTTCTACGCAGTGCGACGCCGACCGCCGGCTGTCCGTAACCCTCCGATACCTGATGCCTCTGCTTGGCCCGTTGCTTGGCCCTCTTTAGGTCCTGCTTGCCCACGCAGCATGGAAGATGTCGCCTTCCAAGTCTTCGCCCGCTGCTGCTGCTGCTGCCACTGCTGTTCGCGGTGACATCGAATTGACCTCCAAACGACACGCCCGCTCCGTTTCCAGTCCTGATCCTCCCAAGGTACCCAAGGGTCGTCGCCAGAGCCTCGCCGCCCTGTCCGATTCGCAAGGTGCGTACGCGTCCACTCGCCCGGGTCTCTTAAGCTTCATTCTCCCAAAACAACCCAAAGACCACCTGACTCAACTCAATTACCCGTCTGCCCCCACTACTCGTCGTGTTCGCGCTCTGAGACATGTGCGCCGCCATGGCGTTGGTGGTTGATACGTTGCGTGCCCCGGTACTTGCTCTTGCGAGTAGCTCCCCACGCAATACCATCCCGTCCATACCTTGTCATACTCTCTCTCTACCTTGTCATACTTGACCCAATACCCTACCCGCACGCTCACTTCCTCGCCGCGACCGCCGCGACCGCCGTGTAAGCTGACACTAATTCCACTCAGGTGCCCCAATCACCAGGCAAGATACCCGTTCGAGCAGGTACTCGACCACCCAACCATCGCAAGCCAACTCAGTCCAGAATGCAAAGGACGCCAAAGACGCCAAAGACACCAAAGATCCCCCCAGAGCGTCATCTCCTAGCCCACCTGCAAATGCTGGCCTCGACCCATTAAGCACCGTAAGCCTTGGCCTCTGATCTATATAGGCCACACCCCGGCTGACGTAGCTGTCTAGCAAATCTACCTACGAACCAACAGCAATCCCGCCGAGCCTACCATCGCCCAGCGTCTCCGAAACCCAACGGGACGACCTGACAGCCCTGCCGTCGACAATTCCCAAAAACAGAGCTCCGACCTTGGCAAGACGCCGAATGCTCTCCTGGATCTGAGCAAAGAGCGAAGGTGCGCACCCGAATCTACCCAACTCTTTTGGGCACATCCTGGCATATCTGCTGGACGCCTCTGTTGCTGGGGCGCTTGGACATGTCTTTGGGAGGCGAGCTAACGGTTGCGACTTATAGGAAGGGACCTTCGTTCTTAAGCCGATTGGGTATGCGTAGTAGCTGGAAGAAGGACGACGATGTGCACGACTCTGACTCGGAACTGGGCGACCTGCGCACAGATGGAACCAATGCTCAGGCTCTCACATCCGTCATTGGCGCGGGAGGTGGTTACATCCCGCTCTACAAGGAACCCCCTCGATACATCCGAGTCAAGGCGCATAACAAGAAGGACCGCGAGTTTAACCACCTCTTCCTGGCCCAGGAGCTCATGGGCAGCAAGCGATCTACCGCGCCGACGCAGGGTCGCGCCCCGGCGACAGCGGTAGGAAGCAAAATCCTAAAAGGAGGCGACGCCATTTGGGCCGCCGAATTTAGTCTGGATGGCCGGTACCTGGCCGTTGCGGGCAAAGACCAAATAGTGCGCGTCTTTGCAGTGATATCGACGCCTGAGGAGCGCAGGGCGCACGAGGAGGAAGAAGCCCAGAATGGAACTACTGGAGAGAGACTTAGCGCCCCTGTCTTTCGAAATAAGCCTGTCCGGGAGTTTTACGGACATACCGGCGAGGTCCTGGCTTTGAGCTGGAGCAAGAATAACTTTCTTCTTTCGTCCTCCATGGATAAGACGGTACGACTCTGGCACATGTCCCGGAATGACTGCCTGTGCACCTTTAAGCACAAAGACCTGGTCACGTCGATTGCTTTCCACCCCACCGATGACCGCTTCTTCTTGGCCGGATCCCTGGACGCACAGCTGAGGCTTTGGAGCATCCCGGACAGGACAGTGGCATTTGAAGCGAATGCTGGGGAGTTTATAACCGCAGTCGCATTTACCCCGGATGGAAAGATGGCCATTTGTGGCGTGTTGAGCGGCATGGCCACGTTTTACATCACTGAGGGCCTCAAGTTGAGGTATCAGATCCATGTCCGTTCGTCAAGAGGCAAAAACGCCAAGGGAAGCAAGATTACTGGCATCCGGACACTGACGGTACCCGCCGGCCCGGACAAGGGACAAGTTAAGGTCCTCATCAGCTCCAATGACTCCCGTGTGCGAGTCTACAACCTCAACGACAAGGTGATTCAGGTCAAGTACAAGGGATTGGAGAATCAGTCAAGCCAGATTCACGCTCGCTTCAGTGATGACGCCGAGTACATTGTTTGTGGCAGCGAGGATCGCAAGGCCTATATCTGGAAGCTCAACTCTTCAGAAAGCGAACTCAAGGACAAGCAACCTTACGAGTCATTCGACGCTCATCCCGAAGTCGTCACAACGGCTCTGATGGCACCTACAAAGACCCGCCTCTTGCTCAGTGCGTCGGGAGACCCAGTCTACGACCTGTGCAATCCGCCCCCTGTCATGTTGCGCAGTCTGGAGGAAAGCACAGCAAGCCAAACGGCCCTTTCGGAAGCCGAGGATGAGAGCAGTGACGCACCATCCGTCGTCGTAAAACGGCCCGAGGAGACGCCCGCGTATCTTGAACGTTCGAAGCACTGTGACGGTCATATTGTTATCACCACTGACAGGACGGGCAAGATCAAGGTCTTTCGGCAAGATTGCGGCTATGCCAAACGACAACAGGGACTTTGGGAGTCGGGATCCAAGTTCTCGGGCAGGATCGCAGGAGTCGGCCGCAGTGGCAGTGTCATCACTAGAACGAGCCAAGGCAGCCGTATCCAATCGAGGCGTGGCTCTCTCAACATTGGAGGCCCCAACCCAGTCCAACTTCAGCATGCGTCGGACAGAATCAACAGTTGGCGGCAAGACATTGATGAAGGAAACGCGAGTTGGCATGGAACGCCGACTAGGAGTGAACGATCCATGTCCCCCACCAAACAAAGCCGCTCGCCAATCAACACCTCGGCGGTCAATATTGCCTCGGAGGCTAGGAGACAACCGTACACCTCGAGTCCTGCTGGTCGCAGTCAAAACATTACAAGCCCAACTGGCAGTATGCGGTCGCGAACGACGTTGATGTCAACGAGAGACCAAGATAAGAATGGCGGTCTGATGAGCCCTCCGACGCCGAGCTTCAGTCTGATCAGCGCCGATTCCGATGGCAAGGACGACAAAGGAGAAGGCAGGTTCTGGAATCTCAGCCGTTGGAAAGGACTTCCAAGCCTGCGTTACTCAACAGTCATGGAATCTCCTCCCAGCAGCAACGGATCACCAGCGCAAGGGGGCCATACTCGTTCGGGCAGCGAATATTTGATGCCCAGAGATAAGGCCGCTGGACGCATGAGCCTGGGAGTGGCGGACATTAATAGGCTCAGGAGTGAGGAGTTGACCAACCGGCGGAGGTCTGCAGGGCCCCTATTGTCATCAAAGCTGTCGCAGGACAGTCCTAAGAAGGGTACGTTTGAGACTAGGGAGTACCTCAAATCTTCGAATAAGAAACGGGTGGACTCGGGAGTTGGGCGGATGAGCGCCGAGTTGACGGATTCCAGCTAAGACGACGCAATCTGAGCGAAGTGACGATGGATGAAAGCCAGAAGATATGCGAGCACGACAAGACACTCTGGAAGTGCCGAACTGGAACGCGAAAGATACCGGGATCCGAAAGGAACTGGGGATTCATTCATTTATCTGCATCATGACGGCGGCGTCAGCGATCAAACATTTTTTTTTGTCTCCTTGGGCAACTGCAAAGTTGGGGGATACGGCGTTTTTGGGGAATTGCAGCTTTGAGGCTCCTGTATGAGTACGATACCACTTCTGTCCCGCGATTGGATTACAGCGGAGTCTAGGGCGACCGGAAACTCAAAAGAAGGGGGGGGGGGAGATTGGACTGAACGGAGAGCGGAGGATGAGGGGATGAGGATGAGCAGGGTGAAGAGGAGGGAGGGGATTATATAGTACAGATGTGGGCAGTACAGCACAACTCTAGCATACATGGTGTAAACCACCTCAGCGAATTTTATTGACGTTTTTGGATTACGATGATGGGAGTTTACTCTGCTTGTGTGATTAAGAACTTGAATGGTGTATTGTATTGTTACATGTTCATCCCCTCGATATGAGGGAGACCGCCACCAGGTCGGCACCTTGACGGCCTTGGTCAATACTGTACATCTATCACTGTCAAAGGAGCGATTTGTTATTGAAATTTGTAAATTGCTTTGCTAGACTCTACTAGATGTGTCACCTCGGATGCCGAGGGAGTGATTGTGTCCGCCGTCATCATCACGGTGCACAACATGACAACATTTGGTTGCGTGCACCCCGTGGCGGTGTTTCATTGCGTGCGTTCCAACGCCATTGTATCGTTACTGACGCGTCCCAGACTTGCAGACGCTCAAACTTAGAAGTTCTCGTCAGTCTTGAGCGCGCCGTCCTCCTTCTTCTCCTCGGCGGGGGCGGGGGCGTCGGCCTTTGCGGCGAGCTCCTCGACGGCCTTCTTCAGGGCCGGGGGGTTGGCGCCCTGCAGGGTGGTGTCGGCCTTGTCGCCGTGCTCGAAGAAGAAGAAGGCGGGGATGCTGCGGATGCCCAGCTCAAAGGCCAGGTCGGGCACGTCGTCGGTGTCGAACTTGGCAAAGGCCACGGCGTCGGGCTTGGTGAGGGCGTCGGCGTGCTTGGCGAAGAAGGGCGAGATGGCCTTGCAGGGGCCGCACCACGACGCGTGGGCCTGCAGCGCGACGTAGGGGTTGGCCTTGATCAGCTCGTCGAACTGCGCCTTGGACTTGATGTCGACGACGCTCATGGTGGCGGTTGCGTGAGGGGTTATGTGTGGGTGGGTGGGTGGTTTGTAGTGGGGTGGTGTGGTGTTGAGGGTATCTAGAGAAGACGCTGAACGCTGGGACAAGGATGTGTTAGATGAATTGGAGAAGAAATAGGAACGGAGTGGGGAAGAGGGCGGCCCTGTATATAAATACCGGAATGCGGCTGGGAACTTGCCTTTTGCTGGGTTTGGTGATGAATAAGTCAAGGGCGATGACACAATTCGCGCTGCGTTTTTCAATCAGAGAGATATGCAGGGAGAGGGAAGAGAGGGGGCCGCGGCTCTTCGCGGGGGCTCCGTCATCGCTGCTGACAAACAAAATTCGGGACGTCGGGCGCCTCTAAAAAGGAAAAGGGCGGCGGCTTGTGACGCGTAGCTCAGGTATTCCAATTAATGACAAATACTCGCCGGGCTAGATTCGGTACAACTCGCCGGTTGGAGATGGATATGGATTCATCTTGCGAGGATATGTCATGATTTAATTGATGACTCAGGGCCTACATTTGGCTTATTTTAATTGCAAGCTGTATTATCGAGTCGTCTATTCACATTCTAAATGCTAGCCTTAATTGCCGACATGTTCTGCAGTCTTTGTCGAAGAGTCACATGATTCACAGATCAGCTGACACTTACATACTCCGTATGCAAGGTTTGGAATCAATTCACCATGACATCACTCTGTACCGCGTTAGCTCGGGCTTGATAAACATTCCTAGCTAGCGCCCGATGCGACGCTGTCGGTCATTCCGTCTAAAACATAAATAAAGCCTCGTCGAAGTTAATCGGAAAGACAAATCGATATCGGAAATTCGTGCTAGCGAGGATTACAATGTCACTCGGGTTTGGAATTAAACTGATTACTACTCGTTAAACAAGGCGCCGGCGTGCGCGCCGGCGGCGAGTATCGTACTGCCACTCTGACGGCTCCGGTTTACGAATATTTCGGGTTTTTATTTGTTGACTTCTTTAATAGAGTGTAAAAATGGGAACCCATGGGTACCCATTATAGGCTCCCCATTATATTCATCTGGGTACCCATGGGTAAAAGCTCTCTACCCACGCTAGTTATGGGTACCTATGGGAGCACCCATTAGCGGGTCCTCGTGGGTATTTTGTATTCTATTCTGAAAAGTAATGTACCTTTGAACTAGGGAGAGAAAGTTCAGATCGTCGAAGTGGTCGCCATGAATACGCCGAAAATCCAGAGGAAGTGAAATTATAGTTCTGCTTCTAACAAGCCGGTGCTCGGGTTTAGACTACAAGAGGTAGGGTGAGTCTTCCGCTGCCCCGTTCTCTCCCCGGTTGTATCACATATTTTAAGCCATCTATTGGCTTGAGGTACTATTGTTTCAAGGATACGGGGCATAGTGGTATTTCTCTCGCTAATAACTACTGACAGCAAGGTTCTGAGATCTCCGGTATAATGGTTGAAGCATACAACACTCAATCGCATCACACTATGCACCCTGAAATGAGCATGAGGGAACTGGGACTTCTCTAACTTCTTTTGGATTCTTTCTGAACGTCGAAGCTTCCTGGTAGGTTGAGTTGACTCTATACCTGCTTTTAAACCTGCCATTTCTTCCAAGATTCATCGTTTGCTATGCATAAAGAACATAAAGAGCTTATTGATCTTTGTATCATATCATAGTAGTATGGCTTGCAGTATCACAAGCAGCTACAGTATCATTGATAAGCTATAGAAACAGTTATATCCCTAGGTTATGTACTCCTCGCAAAGACTGACTCCGTATCCCTCGCCCTTAGATCATCGTATCAATAACCCAACACTAGCTCTGTAAACCTGTAATTGTAAACGCTCACTTTACTTCCTTATCCAATTTCTCAATTTCTGCAACGTTGTAGTCCCTTTGCCGGACTTATTCGCGCTGGACCCTTCCCCTCCTTCTCCTTTGCCTTGTTCAAGATTGTCAATAGACGCCTCCACACTCGGCACCGTTATCGTCGACGGCTGAGTGACGGAAGAGCCAGCAGTTGAGCCAGTAGTAGATGGGCCCAAAGCTTCGTGCACACTTCCTTGGGCGCGAGTTGAAACCGAATGCGCAACAGACTGCTCACCCTGGTCACTCTCCTGGTCCTCTCGCACCGCGTCTTTACCCTCCCTCCCACGCCCTAACAAGGCCATATGCCCAAATATGACGGCGCCTTGCTGGCCAAGACCCACGACATCCACCGGTGTCATGGGCTTAGATATGAGTCTGGGATACCTATTTGGCATGAGGAATTGCACCGGATTGACATGGCATGCTCCAGGAGTCTCTACGCACTGGCAGGCTCGGAGCGGGTCGGATGACGAAAACCACACAACCTTCTTCGTCAATTCACCAACGCCCAAGCCAGGCTCCATCCTCGTCAGGAGCCGCTTGTGCAGCATCTGGAGGGTAGATACGGAAGCAGCCAGATAGTCCGACCCGGTGGGTACACACTTCCACTTGCTGCAGACGCTAGAGGGGTCGTCAGGGCAGATGAGGTTCCCGAAACCATTTCCAAAAATAGCCGTGATACCGACTGCTGGCAATAGGTCTCTCCATCCGGGCCCCCATGCGTTGATGTGCTGCATGCGCGCATGCACAGGACGAAGGGGAGAAATGACGTCTAGGATGTCGAATCCGGTGATGCTTCTCCGGGGATCGAGAGTTTGGGGTATCCTGACGCCATCTTGGGACGCCACTTTGACCTGTACGTCAATCAAGATTTCAATCGAGTGGAGGATCTTCTTTACTCGCGTCTCGAGTTTCGAATGTTCCGTAACCGGTTGCCCGTTGAGGACTCCTTTGCTGATGATGTAGAGATTCAAGTCGAGGTTATCCCAGCTCTTTAGCGTCTTCAGCGCCGCATGGCGTCCCGTACAACCGTTCCACTGGTCCTTGAACTTGGAAGCATCAAAGACCCAGTCGTACGTCGACTCGGGATCGTGTTCGTCAAGATGCAGCGATATCCGCACCAAATGAAGTAGCGCGGATGCGCCGTCGACGAGCCATGCCCGACGATCTGATACGTCGTAAAAGACAATGGGCTGTAGGCTGACCCATTTAAGGAGGCTGGGGTAGTCTTTCTCTCTCTCGAGCCAAAACGGCTGCTCCTTTTTGTTGAAGGACATATTCAGCCCGCCAATAAAACCAGATCCCGCTTCGATGTACAGTTTGTCTATGGCAATAGATGCGGGGGGCTCCCGCAAGCCAGACGCCGTAACATTCAGCGCCGCTGTTTTGTATCCTAGAGATGATGTGTTAATGAAGCAGTTTCGGTGACCGAAGATGAGCAATCCATACCGCACATATCCGTAGCGTTTGCGCACCAACCGACGAAGTGCCGGCTCCCTTCGAGGTCTCGAAGCGAGAATCCTTCGGGCATTCGGATGTCCAGATTATCAAGCTCTGGGTCAACGTAAGAAATGCGCTCCTCGAGGCTCTTGCTAACAAGAAGATGCCACACAACCGTCCCGGCAGTGGCCAGAGTGGCGACTAATAACGAACTGAAGCCCTTGATGATTATCCTCTTCCCCCACTGGACCACCTCCCGGGACCGGACGAGGCAGGCCATGAATCGTAAGGACATCTCAATGCCAGTATTTTTCTCGGGTCTTCTAAGGATCGGATAGCCACTGACGAGGATGGGGCGCATGAAGAGAGGGACCCAGCATAAGCCATTGCGTTCAGTAGGGTCGCCATTCTCGGTAACCTGCTTGAAATCAAAGACAATCCGGCAAGATCCTGTTATCGCTGCTACTGGATCAGCAGCTTCCTTCGCGGTTATCTGAAGATCTTTCACGCGAGGGGTACAGGTCACAACGCCTCGGCTTGTTGCGTTCGGGGAGCATCTCAGGGTTGCAGCCAACCACCCAACTTGCTCGGCTATTTCAGACACAAAGTACAGGCCTCCGGTTACAGAAATTGAGCAATCGGAAGGCCCAAGGATTTGTGCCCGCAGTTGGGGAGTACTTGGCTTCCTGAGCGGGACACTGTCAGAGAGTCTGTCTTGTAGAGTTACAGGTGACTCTGGTAGCTGATCTAGAGGCATGATGTCAGTTCCCAGCCGTTCGGCAAGCAGTTTTATTTGGATCGGACTTACAAACACACTCTTTCCCCTCAGGAACAGAGACGAGTTTCTTTATCAAAGCGATGATATGCTCTCCTGTCTCGGGCCATGTCTGGGTCATGTACTCCATCACAGTCGTGGCCTGAGCTTCGTACACCGTACCGGTCAAACACATTACTCTTTCAAAAATATCTGTCTGGGTGAGGTCTATCTCCCGGTCTCGAAAAATGCTCATGGGGTTCCAGTCCAAGGAAAATGCCATGGTAACGGTGGACGACGGTTTGCGGCCGCTGATTTGGCGGAGAGGTTCTTGCGTCCAAAGTCGATTCCGAATCTGCGTCCCAATTTCGGACATCGAGTCGAAATTTCCGTAGGTTAGTTGATCAAGCTGGCGTATCTTAGAAAGCAGCCATTTGTAAGCACCGGATTTGCGAACAAACTGCTCGTAGTCTGCAAATTGAAACAGGTCCGGCTCGTCCTCGGAGTCACTGATCAAGTCTTCTGCCCAGGGGTCATCCAAGAGACCTGGCTCGACTTGACTGAGCCAGTCAGAGGTCATCGCTGAGGGTCTCTGGAACAGCTCGCGTTCGTGCTCTTCGTCGCTCTCGGCGCCACTAACGGAGTCAGACCCAGCAGTGCGGGTTTGAGATAATAGGCTGACAATCTCCCTGTTCGCAATCAGCTTAGGATGGGAATCGACGCAAGGGGGGTTCCAGAGGTACGGTTATGGGACGGAGTACTTACCTTCGGTTCCGATGGAGAACAACGGATGCCCACCACTGAAACGGGTTTGACGACTCTCCATGCAGCTTCCAGGCAAACGTTTTTAATGCCATCTCGAGGTACTCATGTTTTAGACCCGAGGCCCTTGGGTTGTTTAAATCATCAGTGAGGTCTCTGGAGAGCTGATCCGAGAAGGCCTGGAGGTAAACAAGCTTGGTATCATCCAATATGGAATCCATAGAGTATGTGGTCTCTGCATCGGAGTCGCGCCTGCAGGTATCATCCTCCATGTCGACATTGGCGGAAAAATCATCACCTGGGATGGCCTCTTGGCCCGTTGCTTTCGAACTTTCACCTTCTTGCTCCGCCTCCATTCCCATTGTCAGTGCACTGCGCACAAGAGCCTTGTTAGGTTCAGCTCCATCCTTGGTTGTAGGTTGTGAAGTTGCCATGGTCGTTGGGTATGTCGCTCTGCTGCGGCCATCCTGATCAAAGTCTGATATTTCCGGCAAGCTCCCAACACTATCTTCTTCATACCTAGAGATGACACTCTCATCCGGAGTCGGGAACTGGGCGGGAGCCGTCACCGGGCCGTACTCGTCGTCATCATCCTCCTCTTGGATCGCCATCTGCTGGTTTCTCTCTTCCTCTTCGAGCATCCTAAGGCCACTCTGTTCGGGAGTGGGCATCCTTTTGAAGTAGGCCGTAATAGCGACTCTTTCATACTTAGGCTTCGGCCTGCTCTTTTTTGAGTGGGTGGCGATAGATTCCTTGCCTTTCTTGTCATTTCTTCCCCCTTTGCTAGAATTTTCGAGATATTGGAGTTCTCTTTCCTCTAGCATTCGGAGTTTTGACTCGAATTGGACTAACTTGCAGCAGAACCGTTTGTCTGGATCTGTATGAGAAAGGTCCTGCTGGATAATCTCCAGTTGACGCTGAACAGCAAGAGAGCAGGCAGCCTTCTTCTCGGCAAGCGGCTTTGTATATCTTTCAATTCTGCGAAGTTGGCGCTTAATCTCCTGCTGGGAGAGGTCGGTCAGTCTGATATGTTTGGCTCTTTCCCAGTTGCGTTTCAAGGGAAAACCCTCATCATCAACACCGTAAAGGTTACCCATCTTCTCAAGTCTAATTACGACATAAGAGGACAGTTGCTCACGGGCATCATCCTCAGTGAAGTGTTCGCCTCTAATGCCAGAAGCATCAACTGTCTGCCGGGGTTCTTGAGGCTGGTGAGCGGGACCGTCCCTATTGGAGGGTTGTATGACGCCGGGAGGAAGATCTCTTCGGATGTCAGAGATCTTCTTCACAACGACCTCATACAAGACACTATCGGCGCGGGCAGCGGCGTCCAACAACCCCCCCAGGCCCCCCCCGCTGTCCAGCTCCTCAATTTCCAGCTCCGCGAGCTTGCGATACGTGGTCTCCACGGGGAGCAGCTTCTCCAGATCGTCCAAAAATCTCGCGATTTGCTCAACAAGCTTGTCGCAGTCGCTGTTGTACAACGTCCACGCAGACTTATTCAGTAGGCCTGTTCGGTCTTGCCTCTGGCGAGCAATAACCCCCATCTAATCGTGCGGTTTCCAAAACGCTAGCGTCATATTCTTAACTTCAAAGCGCGCCATCGGATCTGGCCTCGCATCGAAGTTGTGCTTCGATGACTCCCGTGAAGTGTGGAAGAGCAGTGCGATCTCTTCTAGGATCGCTCGGACTTGTCGAGAATCTCTGGCATTGGTGGGGAAGCGAGGGTCCGTATTGATCGCGGCTGCCTCGCCCCATCTACCCAGTCGGTTCCTGGCGACATCGAGTTTCAGTTGGCAGCGTTCGGCGACTGGACCGAAATGGGGGTTCAGTTTGATGTACTCGAAGCAGTCGACGCAGTTGTTGAACAGGGCCGCAACGCTCAAAGCGCTGGCCGCAACGCCGAAGACTTCAGCCATGCTGGTAGTGTGAGGTGAATTAATGCGAGATTTTCTGGTGTCCTTTGGGAGCCTTGCTTGTTCAAGTTGCATTCGGTGAGGGGATGGTGCGGCTGACGAAAAAGCGTGTCCCAGTGGTCAATTAAGCGCCGCCGCAGCCAACTGTGAGCCGCAGCTGGTTTAGGCTGACCCCTGGGAACATCCCTAACCATCGAAAATGCCAGAATGGCATCGGCAAACCGTGGAGAATGTATAATGAACTCTGTTAGGGATCTCAGGGCCGGCAAAAGCAAGACGATATTGCTTTGCGGTACCATCACCGAGCTATCACAGTCACGGGCGGAAATACCCAAAGCGAGAAAGGGATGTCTACTAGGTGACGTCACGATGAAGATATCACGCCAGTTCAAGGAGAAATTGTCGCTCTCGTTAGCACACTCACATTCCGTGTCATTTTTCTTCTGTCAAGGCACTCTGCGCTTATATTTAGTCCTGGGCCCAAGGAGTGGCGGGGTCTTATGCTTGACGCTTCTATCAATACATCCGGGACGCTCTGCTGAGGATATCAATGCTCTCATCTTGATATTTCTATTTTGAAGCGTATTATGTCATGTAATCAATTTTGATAATACGTGAATCTTCCTTAATCGGCCTTAGAAGATTAGTATGGACTGTAAACCAACTCTTGAAAAATTTAACAGAAAAATAAGTTAGTATCTATATTCGCTGCCTATAGAAGTATATAGAGGTTCTCATTATATAGGAATAGCTATAGTAACCTAAGGCTTTTACTATAGCTAATCATGAGACCCCATTGGGAATTTACGAACTCTTCAACAGACCACACCTTGGAGCCGAGTACTGCTGTTTTGAGCACAAAGACGGCAACTGATTCCGTAGAATCAAAGGTCTCCTTAGTGCCAATTTCTTCTCTCATGGTGATTTCTCCCCTCGCGGACTTGTTCACCAGCATATCGGAAGCATCTACTACCACGTCTGAACGATCTTTTTCTTTCGCTCCTATACCCATTAGCTTTGACTCGACCGCCACAACCGAGGCAGCGTCAAGAAAAGCGAAAGAGAGGTGACCAGCACCACAGAATCGCACATTTGCTGCTCCGCCAGACTTTGAATGCAGCACCCCTTGATGACTGCGATGACTAGGACTAGACGTGCCCCAACGATAACAACATGGTAATTTGCAACTCAACAGACTGGCACACTGTAAATAGCGGGCCTATTTCGCGCAGGACCATCGATGCTACAGGCTAGACTGAAAAATGATGGAGAGGTGGCAATTGCCCCAATTTGGTTTGACCGCTGAGTCCTTGGATTGGTCTTGGACTGAGTACTTTCGAGCTACACTAGGCAATGCACTCGGCAACACCTAGCCCATTCTTAGGAAAATTAACTTATTTAAATACTATTGAATCGGACCTAATTCTTCTTCTAATGATAGACAATGAAAATGGCTTGACCTGTAAGATTCTACTCAACATATCCCATCATCTTGTTGCACCATCATATCTTTTTATTTAGTCCAGCCATTGCACCCTTCCGCTTCTCAAAAAAGACTCCTCCCAGCGGCCTTTATATTGACCGACTGATGTCAAGGGCTCAAACGCGCTCAAAGAACGTGTGACTCAAGACAAGAGCGATTTCGAATTGTTTATCGCGCAACGAATCTTGTCAACACCCGAGAAGCTCGGTGTTGAAAGCTCTGCACCCGACAGCTGCTCGGACTCTTTGATCGGTATTGACAGCTTTCTCGGGTTGACCCAGTATTGGAACCGAAAATAGTTTAACAAGGCCATCCCCGTATACGTGACAGGCACATACCGCGCTCCCCGTCGAATCCACCACAAAGCCACCTTCGCTGCCCAGTTTGCGCTGACGATGGCCGGCCCCATTGCAGATGAAAACGCCGCTGGGACAATGTGCCGGTAAATGAACTTTTCGTCCTCGTAGTATGTTCGAGCAAATGAAACGAAGGCACGCTTCGAGTCGGTATAAGAACGCATATCATCCGTCCATGCGCCGTGAAGCTCGGCCTCACTTCCGACGTACCATACTTCCGGGAGTAGCATAGATCTCGGTGGCTTTCGGACGCGCATGAATGTGTCGATGATGGCAACCGCGCTTTCACAGTTGGCTTTGAATGCGTCGGGCCCCTTTGATCCGTGGGCCAGTACCAGAATGTCGGTGTTCTGAAGAGTGGCTTCCAGTCCGTGATAATTGTCATACGTCCAATCACTTCCGTAATGTACCGTCTTGATTGATGGGCCTCTTTCCTGGCCAAGTTCCTTCAGTAACGCCTGCCCGAACGCCCCGCTTGCGCCTGTGATGGTAATGCGTCTACCTCGCAACGTTACGGCCGTGCCAAACCACCAATCCACAAGGCGGATCATGGATCCGAAATAGCCGCGGGGGTCGATGTGGTGAAGCGCGTGGTACTCAGGTCCGACCATAACTGAGTGGGGGTCTTTGGGTAGGCGATTGTAAGAGATGTGGTTCGAGTCTCGTCCTTCATCCCAAGCGACTATGCCTGAGCGTATGACGAAGAACAACAGGGCGAGTATTATATCCTGATTCGCAGGCGGAGACATCCCGAGAGCCACGACGCGAGCCAGCTGCCAGCTCACTAGGCTCCCCGCCACCTGGCAAAGGAGCTCCAGTTGTAGGTGATAGAGGAGGTTCCGGGACGAATATGATGAATTGAAGTTGAGTCGTTGATCGAAATATTGATGGTGGGCGACATGCATTCGTGCCAAGCCGCGGAGGATGGGATTTGACCATCGACCGGATTGATGAGCTGCCCAGTGAACCAGGTCAAAAATGACGGATCCCACCACGACGTGGGCGGCGGACAGGGTAAGGCAGCAGACCAGTCCCCATGGAGACTGATCAGCGAAGAAGTTGTAGGCCGAAAACATCATGATAAGCTTATTAGACTGACGTTTATTCCCCGATTGATAAGATTGTAGGACGGTTGATGTGGACACGGAGTGATACTTTATAGCGGTAGCAAGATGCTCTATTTCCGTATGAGAGACACAGGCCATAAATTCAATTTCGATGTGACGTCGAAGGGCGTCCTCTGTACCTCCTTTTCAGTGGGGTAAATAATTTGAACTTCACATTCATGCCCCAGCTAGCCCCCGTGAAGTCTAGATCGGCCCCTGGAGCCGATACTTGGACAGTGCACTCAGCAAAAGACCGATACGCAAATACTGCGGAATTCAGTCTTATTGCAGAGTGAAAATGGTACGCCTTAGGCGTATGAGGACTACGTAGCATTGGCATGTGGAACTAAATCGCTTTCGGGTCAAAGTCGCATGACATGATGGTTGAATGGCCTGGGCTAAGCTCTTTGGGCACTAACCTGTCAGGTCACCGCCCGTTCCGGCTACCAGAATAGTAATTTCTACGGGTGATGGCCGTGTGAGTGGCTGAGTTGCCGACTAGGTTTCCTCTTCCATGGTTGTAAGATTTTGCCATTGTTCAACTCTTAGTAATTGTTATGGGTGGCTCAGAGGACGACCTGAAATGAAACAGGACGTCGCCGTAGAGTGGAAATGATGTATAATGGTGCTTCAGCTGGCCTAATCAGAACTCGACTACCGTGACATGACACGAGAGGATAAAAGGGCCGCTCGGATTCGACCCTCTTCCCCACCTTGGGGCGCAGCCACCCGAGTTCGTCGTATTTGCGTTCCGCGTATTTATTTTGCGTATCTAACTTTCTTTAATTTCAGTTCCTGCATATGTACCCACTCCAAAATCTGCCTTGAAAAATGCCTATCGTGCTTGCAACCAGTCTCAGCCTCTTTTGACACCATGTTTATTGACGACAGTGACGTACTGCGGTGGCGGAGTTACCCAGGGGCTGCTGCCTCTGCGCTGGTAGACCGCCACCTTTGTTAGTCGTTATCGTGAGCTGAGTGGGGCGGTATTGAGTTGAGTGATCTGGGCTCGTGTGCGACTGATGTGATAGGCTTATGCCACACGTTATTTTTAAATACGCGTCTTATGCCGGATTTCCAGGGGGAGGAGAAACAGTCGGAATTCAAAACAGTCATTGTGGATCTCATACTCGGGTGAAAACAATCTGGAGTAGAAGCAGATTGACTTCAGTGCTGCGCTATTGGGCTTAGCCTCCTTCGCTTCTTCGTAGATGACGAGACCGAATGCGAGAACCCGACGTCCCGGACCGGTCGAGCATAAATTAAAATGGGTGGCTTACGGTTCACTATTCCCTTTCTAGTCATTTCGAAACTTTGGTCTGGGGGTTTCACCTACGATTAGAAAGCCATTCTGTCAGCGACCAGCAATGCCGTTGGGACAAGCTCTCACGTCTCATGCCTTACAAGTGGTTCCGGCGATCCCGCTGAGGCCTGCCTACAGTGGATCCGGCTCGGGCTCGACCCCCTTTTCCCAGATCATGTACGAAGTACGAGGTAGCTTTGCCCCAGCCCCAGGGGTAGACCATCTACCGGCCCGAGCCAGAACGAGCTAGAACGAGCAGAACGAGGTGCCTGCAGTAAGATGACATAACGTTTCAGCTGGTGTGTAAGGCTCCTTCTCAAGACTCACCGAGCTCGCCGCGCTACCATTTCCCAAAGAACAGTCCTACTAAGACTCAGTCAGATCAACCTTGACCAACCGACAGTCGCCGTTGTCCAGCTGCGTAAGCCATCCCATTACGCTCGCGACGGCAATATCGAGATAGTCTTTGCCGTGAGGCTGGGACTAGTTCTTGCCGGTGTTGGGAATTTATCCTTCCGGAATCCGGTTGACGCAGCCGGCATTGGTCCCTCTAACCCGGTTCTCTGACCTACCGTCGAGCCACAAAACCAAGCTAAACGTTGCTAGTAACGCTGCGCGAGACCGATAGCCGGCCGTGTCTTTCCGACGTCGCCGAGTTCATGTGGTGCAAAAATCCCATTCGATTGTCAGGGATGCAATACAATAGATGGGAGAGGAGATATTTCTCCAGATCGGCGTGGCGATGACGGCCATGACGATGATGCAGCGCAGTCTGTAGCGCCCATGGCCAAGACAGTAGGCCTGTCCATCGAGGGCGTATCTTTAATCAGGATCAAGGTGTGACTCGATGCCACGGTGCGCCTGGGTCCCGTGTCCTTGTTCGCTGCTCAGCGTCTCCTACACCGTCAACCTGGGCGTCATCAAGGCCCCGATACGCATCTCCGGCTCGCTGGTGAGCTTCGGCGACGATGACGAGCTGGCGGTTCACCGGCACGGTGGCGGTATTGAGGAGCGTGGCCGGCGGCGCGTACGAGGAGCCGCGCACGGCGGGCGCCATCAACGGGTCTATGTACATGTTTTCCATATAGCAGGGTCCCCCATTGCCAAGCTTGGTGTCGCCAAGATTGATAGTTTGATGGGAGGCTTTGGGTACGACTTGCAGACTTGCACCTCGCCCTCCTGGACGTGGCGTAGGTGCCCGAGTTTCCCATCATCGATATGAACAAGAGCGGTGCCTCGCCGCTCCGGGAGGCACACTAGCTCAGTTGTATAGGCTGATATGACGAGGAGGTGAGAAGCCGTGGGTCAAGGCTATGCCGGGGGATATGCGGTTTGTCACAGGTGAGCGGTGAGTCTTGGATAACTCTTCATGCACTTCCACCCGTTTCACTTCGACACTTCCGTCGGCATCGCCATGTACGCAAGCGTCACCTTCCCCTGCTTGCTCTCCACACTGCATCTAGATCCGCCCGAGTTCTCGGTCAACCTGGTCTTGCGCGGCCCGCCGCTGGACTTGGAGCTCTTAATCCGCAATCCGCGTCACGATGATGTGTTAATGCCAACTAGCTGGTACGACCTCAGGCCTTCTCGCTCATTCGTGCCTCATTACAATAAGTGTGTCGGTATTTTGTTCGGTCAATTCGATGTTGTGGAGACAATAAGTATAGACTCCCTTTAGCTCCTGCTGCTTCGTAATCAAACCCCGAGCCGGGATCACTGAAGTGCGACGTCCGATATTCCGATCAAGAACGTCGCTCAGGATGCGAGCTAGGAAGAGTTGGATAAGACCTCGCCCATCTGCTGTCCATCACCCGGGGCGCCGTCACGCTAGACCAGCCCGCAGGGACCGAGGCGAGTATTACGGAGATACGGCTATGACAACTGTAGTTCGAGGTGTAGGCATGCGTGCCCATGCTGTCAGCCATGGCTGGAAGGAAACGCAAGAACGACGTGTTCAATGAGGGCGGCAAGGTCGTGACGCCTCAGTTTTCGCCCGGTCCATGCAGCTGACGTCGTCAAGGATGCCAATGTCAACCCGATCCCACGCGTCGGGGAGCTCAAGGGAGACGACGGACTCGTTCTCACGGATGTCTAAGCTGTGGAATTACCTCACCGCGGAGTTGAACCCCACATTAGATATCCGGGTAAATGGTACGAATATGTAGGGGTCTGTTGCTCTCAAGATTGCCTGGATCATAGCCGGTCTTTACAAAGATCTCCACAACCAGCGAGTGATTTATGAGGAGAAGCGGGTGCCTTGGGTGGACTGGGTGGACGGGTGGACGGGTGGACGGGTGGACATTGAAAGACGGTGATCGGATTAGTTAAAGGGAATGATTGCCTGTGTAGATCTGATCGTCTCACTGAATTTACAGCTACGATACGCCGGTTTACGCCCGATGAATTATCACAACCCTATCATCCCAGGGTTTGCCCCCGACCCTTCCGTCATTTTCGTTGAATCTGAAGGAACATTCTTCCTTGTCAACTCCTCGTTTCACTTCTACCCTGGCCTGCCTATTTATGCTTCCAAAGACTTACAAGATTGGGCACATATTGGTAAGCTTGACCACATCTGAATGCCACCATGACCTACTGTCGCTAACCTGCAACTTGCTTCTCAGGGAACGCGATAAATCGTGTGGGGCAGATCCCACTCGGCGACGCAAGGACAGGCATCTTTAATATGGGATGCGATCAGCCATTGGTACCAGCTGGCGGACTCTTTGCACCGACTATTCGTTGGAATCAGGGAACGTTCTACGTCGTATGCACGAACTTCTCAACCGACGACATTGGTAACGCGAAGTGTGCCAACTTTTATGTCACAACTACCGATATCTGGTCACAACAGTGGTCAGATCCAGTATACTTTGATTTCGAGGGCATTGATCCAAGCATTTTCTTCGATGATGATGGGCGGGTTTACATTCAAGGCTCTTGGCGTGATGGTCCCTTGATCGAGCTGAATTGTACTATCCGCCAGTTCGAGATCGACATCAAGACTGGAAAGCGAGTCTCCGAGATCAAGCAGATATGGGAAGGCTATGCCGGGAAGAAAGACCCTGAAGGTCCCCATATTTATAAGAAAGATGGATATTACTACCTGGTGGCAGCTGAGGGCGGAACGTTTGAAGGTCATATGATATCAATTGCTCGATCGCGTAATATCTGGGGTCCTTACGAAACGGCGGAGTGTAACCCGATCTTGACAGCAAACGGGAAAGCCGAGGACATTCGGAACACAGGACACGGGGAGCTTTTCCAAGACGGCAATAGCAGGTAAGTCGGAAACCGAGTCGCACTGTGCGACTAGGAAGCTGATGCATCGTTTTAGATGGTGGTGTGTTTGTCTAGGTGTGCGCTATAACGATGGCAGGTTCTCTATGGGCAGGGAGACATTCCTTACACCCGTCGAATGGTCAGTTGGCGGCTGGCCTAAGATCGATCACCCCCAGTTGGAATTCTCTCGAGACGTTGGAGATGTGACCATCACTGGCCCCCTTGACTCGTTCAAGCCAAGTGCTGCTACGCCATTCATTCACATACGAGACCCTGCTCTTGAGGACTTCAGGATAGCCAAGGACACCATCAGCCTGATTCCCCGTCCGACCGATCTTTCCTCTTTGTCTGGGTCTCCATCCTTCATAGGCCAACGGCAGCGTCACTTCACAGACACCGCGACGGTGGCGCTGGACCTACCTTCTGACGGGGATAATTTGAAAGCTGGTTTGACTATTTTCAAGGATGAACATCGCCATGCAGATATCTATTACGACTCGGCTTTAGAAGCGATTGTCCTCCGTCTCGCGAGTCCGCAAGAGTTCCAGCATAAAGTCGATTTAATCTCCAAGGTCTCCATCACCAAGGGATCGACGGGCAAGCTTGGCTTGCGGATACAATCTAGCAAGCAGGATTATTCCTTCTCTTTCTCAAGTGATGGAGAAGAGGGGTGGAGGACGATTGGTTCTGTTCCTTTAGAGGCATTTGCCCAGAAAGATTTTACGGGTACTTTATTTGGAGTGTTTGCGGTGGGTGACTCTACTCCAGAAGATGAAGAAAGTTTAGTTACTTTCCGTAGCTTCCAGATCAAATACTAAGGTCTACTTATTCTCGATCGGGCATTGAACTAGAGTCTATTGTGACCCTGGAACTTCAGTACGGGTAGGACAAGGCCATACTTAGACTGATGTCTCCGCCCAAGACTTTGGCTGGGCATGGTTTTTACTTCTTCAATCTCAACAACACATTTCTATTTCATTGGTCCTCTACCCTAGCCGTCACAGCAGCTCCTGTTTGCTAGCATTTCAACCTTCGGACATGTCGCCTGGGGCCCAGTGCGAGCCTAGCAACAACAAATTTATCTATCATAAATTTACAGTTCTTGTTCTAGAGAACGCCCGTGTCATCGATGGCACAGGGGATGCACCGCAGGAAGCTCAAACAACTATTATTGAAGACGGCAAAACGATTATCCCGGGCTATGTTACGCACCGTGAGCACCTCTACTACCATTCCATGTCGCAAGTAACGGGCATGCCCTACCTAGCCATACCGTCTATGGTCACTGTCCCGCGCCTCTACCTCTCTGCTGGTGTGACCACGGCGCGATCTATCGGGACCTATCACCCGTTCGACGACCTAAAACTGAAAGAAGGCATTGAAAAAGACATTCTTCTTGGACGAGACCTATTCCTCACCGCGCTGTTCATCCAAGGAGACCCAAAGTACTACCAGCTAATGCCCGAAATCGCTTATGCTGAAGCTGCGAAGCGCGAAGTCCGATACTGGTCTGAACGTGGCTTCCACAACTTCAAAACATACGTCGACATCTCACGCTCGCAATTGACAGCGGCTGCGGGGGAAGCCAACTTACATGGTAAGAATATTAACGCACATCTTTGCTCGATGTCAATTCTCGAGGCCATAGAGCCTGCGATTGACGAGATCGGGCATGGATTCCAGTTCACCGCCGTCGATATCCTGCGGCTGCGGAAGGGGAGAGGCGGCGTTTGATCCGGCCTCAACCGATGCACAAATTTCCGAACTAGAGACTCAATTTGTTATGATGGCAGACGTAGATTTTGATCAGGACCGCCGCCAATGCCGCTTTGATATTCTCTTTGGGGCGCTCATGATGGATCTCGATGTCGATTCCCCAGAAGTCCAATACATCTTCCAACAAGTTTTGGAAAAAGGCGCCATTGTCGATTCAACTTTGGTGGCTTGGCTCGACTCATGCCGAACTCTATCCCTCCTCCCGTTAATAACGCTGCCAAATCATTTAAACGCCACAAAGGCTGTCACAGTGGGAGCAAGAAATCGGGAAAATACACGGTAAAATGGGCGACCTTACTGTTTTTCTTCGCAAACTCATGGAGTTGGATTACAAATTCTGGAGGCAAGTGGTAATTTGGTTATAGGCTCAGATGCTGTCTCGCTAGCTGGAGCGGTGCCTGGCTCGACGAATCTAGAGAGTCTTGAGCTACTAGTCATGGCTAGTATCCCACCACTGGAGGTGATAAAGATTGCGACCCTGAATGGAGCACGAGGTCTGGGCCTGGTTGATCGAGGGACCATGGCCGTTGGTATGCGGGCTGACTTGATTCTACCTACTCAATGGCAATCCGGTGGAGGATTTCAAGGCAATCTACAACGTGGGAACAATGTTCAAAGGAGGTGTAGGATACTCTCCGACTAATCTACAGGAGAGTGTTCGTGGCACGATTGGAATGATAAACTAAGTGTTGGATGCAAGCGTTACAAATTGTCAGAAAGAATTGAGTTCATTATACCAGATCCGTGGATGTATCTGTTCGTGTGAAAAAGATTCTTCATAGGCTAAGCTAGAACGTTGCACTATTTAGATACTCAAAGTAATCAGTATTTGTGAAGGGGATAACACTATGAAACTAATATATAGATATGTTAGTTTATTTATCGTCTAGTTTTATTTCATTGGTTGCAAAAGAGTTGCGTGGCGTGAGAGGGACAGTGGACTTGTGGAAAATATAATAATGCAGTTAATTGACTCTAGAATTTACAGAATTGCTTGAGGCAACCCCGTAGTTACCATCTTTCTCTATTCTCAAACGAAAGTGGTTATAATATAATCAACATAGAATAGAATGGAGTAATATAATTCCGCCAATTAGCAAGAGGCGACGCTGGGATAAGCCTTGCAGCCGCCGTAAGACTTGCCACCAGTAACAGCGACCTTGGACCAAGTCCAGTTGGAGCAGCCGGTGGTACCGCAAACAAGGACAATGTTGTAGCCACTGGAAGCAACACTGCCGGTGCCGATAATGTTAGAGATGGTGAGACCGGTGATCGGGACGCCGCTGGTGGCGTCGCCCTTAAGGTCACCTCCGCTGTAGTTCTGCTCGATGATTATTCCGTAGCTAGTATATGGTTAGATGGAGTTGATGAGATTCTTGTAGAGAACTTACTTGGAAATACCTGACATCGTGATGCCATCATAGGTCACGCCGGACACGGAGCCAGTGGCGCCAGACACAGTCTTGATTCGGATGGCTTATTTGAATTAGCAATTAGTGACGTCGAAAATTGGTTTACGGCAAAGAGCCGCTACTCACCTTGAACAGATTTCTGAACTGTACTGCTCAGGAACTTGACGTTTTTCACTACGTTGTTGGAACGGCCACCAACGCTGCCGATTGATAGACCGTGGCCACCCGAGCAAAGGCCGCCAGTGAAGGTGATATCCTGAGTAATAGTGTTAATAAGGGCAGGGAATCGCACTGGTGCATCATCTTACGGTTCCGGAGTTGACAGCAACGCAGTCATCCTGGTTGTACACCTTGGCATTGGTGATTGTGACACTGGAGCTATCACCAATATCAAATCCATCGGTGTTGTGACCTCCAGCAGAGTCACCGGCGCTACTGTCAATGATAATGTTGTTAACGGCCAGGCCAGCGACGTTAGAAATGCTGACAGCCATGAGGGGGGTGTTCAGGATGTGGAGGTTATTGATAACCGACGAGGTCAAGCCATGAGCAAAGAAGAACTTGGGCTTGACCTTTCCATCAGTGCCCTTGCCGTCCCACCATCGAGCACCTCCAGCATCCAAGGTAGCACTGGCACCTTCAACGGTGACGCTCGTTCCGGCGATTTGGAGGAGAGGACCGGCCCATTCTTTGTAGCCCCAGGTGGTAGTTCCCTTGAAGATGACCTGAGGACAATGAGCAAGTTAAAAGGAGACGCAGATGGGGAGAAGCATGGTTTCGTACATGAGTGTTGTCGTTCAAGTCACTGAGGTCAAGAGTAGTACCAGAGGGAACAGCAACGTTGCTCAAAACAATGGTTGCACAATTCTTCTGCTGAGCACTGGCCGAGGCGGCACCGGCTGTGCCCGTGAAGGTGCAAGTAGCTCCCGCCCGCTTGTCGAGAGAAGGAGCCTGAGTAACAACGGGTGCAGCAGGGCTGGCAATTACAGATCCTGCCAGAGCGGCGAGGAGAAGAGGGAAGATCTTAGTCATGGTGAAGAGCGAGGATGGAGAGTGAGTTGGTGTTCTTGAAAGCAAAGTCGATGGGTTGTCTTGCTGATGATGACCCTTTGATCGCGATGTAAGAGCCCTTTTATACAGTTTCAAGAGTCCATATGATATATTGAACAATCACACGATGAACTGCTACAGAGTTTACAATCACCCCCTCGGACTCTCTTGTCCATGGCTGCTGGTCCTGGTAATTCACAACTTGAAACTGTTATTCCTCCAATAGCCTGTAACACCATGAAGCCTTCGTAACTTCCCTGGGCTAGAACCATCCACAATGGGATTAGCCATTGACTATTCAAGTCCGAAACCCATAGACTTGGTTGAGAGTTCGGTGTTAGTTGCCGGACCCCGCACACCGAGCAAGCCACCCCCCTGTAGCGGGTGCCGGCGGACCGAACATAGGTAATTTTCCGCCATTTAAGGGACAATCCATGTCCGTTTGCCACCATAATTTCCTAAACGGGGTTTCGGAATAAACGGAGTGCCACTGACATATTAAGTTTAGTATCTTTGAGGGAGTGTGAAGACGTATTCGGCCCTTGACTCAAACGCCTAGGCCGTAAAACAAACCAGATGGCCAGATATGGATACTGAATCAACTGATTTCGTATTCAATGGAAGATTATAAACTCCAAAACCCATGATCACGGCAGAAAAACGTGCCGCGCGTCCTCTTGCCATAGCCATCTAGCGGCGGTGAGTCCGACGCTACTCGGTTTAGACCGACACTTAAAGCTCACGCCTCAATTGGCGCCATTAGTGTACGTAGCAAAGGTTACTTAAGCCAAACTATAAATACCTAAAGCTGGCCGTTTATGTGCGATTGGGTTTTGCCAAGATATATAGCACCATCAACACCAAAGCAATACGAAGTGATCCTAAGATGCTTTGGTTGCTAGCCTGTATTGTGCAATCCTCTTTGCTTTGAAAGCCAAGGCCCAGGCCCTTCAAGAAACCCAAAAATCTAGGCAATACTAGATTACTCAGCAGATAGCAAGCTAATTGGAACTAAAATATCATCATATACTTGTAAAGATGAGGAATATTCATACCTCCCAAATTTCTGTACCATTATACTCATTTGGAAGAGTTCGTCTTCAAGCTGGGTCCATATGATGCAGAGTGATCGGGATCTTTCAAGGATATAGTAGAGAAGGAGTGAATCAAGTGTTGCAGCAGCTTGGCCATCAGCCTCAAAAATCGCCGACTTACTCAAAGGCGGCCGGTCCTTGTAAACCCTGATAGCCGGTTCCACCCCCCTGCTAGTCACGATTCCTCACAGCGCCATTGGAGTCAAAACACTAGGTGGCGATGCATCCGCGTTTCCGAGACCTCCCATGTCGTCGATATCGGTGTGAACTCGGCACGCTAGACGGGAGGCTTACGTGTGTGGTGTACCTTAATCTACCCCTATATCTTTGTAACGGCCCGGCGGCTGGGTCCGTCTGAGCGCATACATTAGCGCATCATCACTTGACTCTTAATATCTTATCTTGTCTTCATCTTTGTTATCGTGCACAATGGCTATTAAGGGACCAAACTACATGGTGTCACTACACTTTTGCGTAATTTAACTGATAATACATAGTTCTTATCCCTCGCGACATAGTGAAGCCGTTAGAGATTCGTAGACAAGACGAGCAGTAGTGTAGGATAGTCCCGAAGGCCTGGTACTGTCAGGTGCCGGAATGCAAGGGATAGATCCAGGCCTCTCTGAACGCCGGATTCAGCAGACTAGCAATCTAGGTACATTCCATAGCTGCAGCTATACTGAAGGAAGCCCTAATGCCAGCTACAATTAGCTGGGAACAGCCGCCTGTTGGCAGAAAGATCAGAGATCAATACAATCACAACCCTGTTACTACCTTATAGCTGCTACCTAGCAGCTGGTCTGACCTCCTCACTCCTGTTGTATATTACAGCCCTGACAGGTAACTAATGAGTACTTGTTGAACAAGATTATCCAGAAATCTGCGAGCTCTCCAGTGGAGCGTTCCCTTTTGCAGTTCAAAGTGCTCGTTGAATTATTTAAAACCCAAGTGGAAAAGGCACAAAATCATTGGCTCCTACCCGGGACCGACCTGTTTCGTCAATATTACTATCAATCTGTGCCAAGAGTCCTAAATTTGAAACCGAAATTCTCCGCCTCCAATAGTAATTCCGATTCTAGGTGCAATGAGGTCCAGGCTATCTATATGATCAGGCACGTAAGGACCAGCCTTTCCGCAACGCTCTCAAGTGTCATGTAGAGCTTTTCGTTTGCCGCCGCGGCTACGACTTCGATAAGGCCTTTGACGATTACGACGCCCTTACACCTGCAGAAAATCTAGCGTTTGAGAATTTGATTTAGTGCTTTCTAATTCTTTTTTTTTTTTTTTTCAAAAAAAAAGAGAAAATGAGAAAGTGACAAGAGCTGCTGCGACGGCGGAGAAGGCGCAACAAGGCAAGATAATACGGATTGGTGTATTTGGATTTTTAGAATAGAAGAGGTTTGCCCTGCTCTTTGTGAGAGTGACCGAGTTAGCTAGTTGTTCTACGCTCATTAAACTCCCTGAATATTGTCCAGTACCAAGTTACCATACCGATTGATAAACGATTCAAGGGTCTTGGGTGCACTTCGCCCAAAACGCACCCTGCCCCTGTCTTGACACGTTGCTGAACCACGAACCAATCTCGTCCACTTTTCGCTGATTAGCTATTCGCCAAATGTATCACCGAAAATCCTTCTCGGCTTCACGGCACGCCGGGATCCCGCTTATATATCGGTCTTGCCCACTGAGGCCACAACTAATTGTTGCATATCTGTCAATTCGTCGGTGAGCCGGCCGTAAATATAAAGAGGGCCGATAACCTGAAATCTAAACCGAATTGCGCTCGTGATTGAACATTTGCAAAACCTCTCGCGATGGAACCCAAGTCACACCTTCCTACGCATTTAGGCGTGGAGTCAATCGCTTACAAGCGGATGGATTGGACACGATGGTTTATTGTACCCCGGATGTATGTTGCCGCGCAATTGGTTTCCCGCCTTTGGCATCCAGGCTGAATCTACTAACGTATGGGTCAAGGTTTATCATAACTCTCAGTGCTTATTCCTTCGTTCCCCAGTATAATCGAATCCGGTCGCACGGAAACTGCGATGGCATCACCAGTTACTACATCCTGTTCAGCCTAATTGTAGCAACAGAACAGTTTGCGCGCATGTTTGCTTTCATCGTCGCTATTGATGACAGGGAACAATGTCTCATAGAAGCGCCATCAAAAGCCCATGATAGATTGAACCTCGCCCAGTGCACAGTTCTCTGGCTCTGCAACTTATTTCTGTGAGAAACCCCATGCCCGAGGCGAGTACGACGTGGAATAGGAGCTAACCTGATATGCCCCGGTCAAGGTTTGGGCTATACCTCTTCTATTCTTCCGTGGGACCTGTTTCCAAGATTTCCATGGTCTTGATTTATGTCGCTTTTCTTTCTAGCTCTGTTGGTCCCTTCATGTGGCTGACTACACTTCCCCCAAGTCGCTCACGAGACTTCTACAAAAGTCAACCCTGGCGCATGTGCATACTAAAGTTTATGCATGGCGCAATTTATAACCCCATCTTCACTACAATGAGCATCTTTGGGCTGCTCGTTCAGCTACTACACACCCGATCCCGCTCTGATCTTGGCGCGCTGAGTATTGTTGGTCTGAGGACGCAAGCTGTCGTATTTTGGATTCTAAGCATTCTATGGAGATTTTTCTTTCGGTTGTCCCCAGTTGCCGGAACAGTTGAGTGGGGTCCTGTATTTCAGAGTGTGTCTGTGGCCGCGACGTATTTTGCTGGCTGGTATAGGTTGATTGGTTGGACCGCTACGAATAGCTTGGTGTTTGCTGTCGGGCAGGGATTAATATCGTTAGCTGCGACTGGCAATATTTGAGGACGACTGTGCCGGGATGTTGTTCCTGGATTTGGAATACCCTGTGGTAAAGTTGATGCAAGTCCGGATCCAGCTGCAAAACTTGGTTGAGTTGGATACGGAACAAAAAACAATATGATCATGCCGCCATGCCTCAGTCAAGCTGAGACGAGTCACAGCTGTTTAATTACAATCGGCTATCTTCGGTCACATGAATGAATAATGCTGCAATCGTGCGTAAGAATTACGAAATCCCCCCTTCCCATGATCCCCTTACATTTGAATCCGTCCACGATTTCCCATCATATCAGGGCGATAAGGTCTTATCGGCGACTCCCTTACGGCTAATCTCCGCGTAAATACCCCTACCCCACTGCGTCATGGCGGGGGACTCTCCCAAATTTTTTCTTTGCGCACCGGTGGATTTGGTTTTGGAGGGGCACCGGCGTCAAAATTTCAGTTGGATTGGGCTGCATCTTGACTGCATCTACAACTGCATCTACACAACACCTGGAACTGGATCTCGAGTTTCAAGATTAATTAATTGCTGGCAGTCTGGTCATCTCACCTAAGTCGACACCGAACCTACCTCTGCCTCGAGGCACTCACCACTACACCGTCGCATCGCATCGCACCCCACCATCACAATGGCCAAGCGCACCGCCGAAACCGAGCACGGCGATGCGCCTCTCAAGGGCGGCGACCGCCCCGAGAAGATGGACGTCGACGACAACCACATGGGCGAGTTCGAAGACGAGTTCGAGGACGAATTCGAGAGCGAAGACGAGATCTTCGAGGCTGGCGTGGACGGCCGGCCAGATGCTGAGCGAGAGGCCGATGAGAAGGCCGCTGGTACGTTCTACTATGCACGATCTAGTTCGAAGAACCCGAGCTGAACATACCTCCCAGACGCCATGGACGTCGACCAAGGAACCTTCATCGTCGGACGAAGCAAGCTCGAGCCCGGCCAGACCCTCGCCCCCGATCTGACCACCTACGAGATGCTGCACAACCTCAGCACTCCCTGGCCGTGCCTCTCCTTCGACATCGTCAAGGACGGCCTGGGAGATGCCCGCAAGGCCTATCCCGCCACCATGTACACCGTTGCCGGCACCCAGGCCGAGTCTGCCAAGGCTTCCGACAACCAGATCATGGTCATGAAGTTCAGCGGCCTCAGCAAGATGGACCGCGGCGACGAGTCCGACTCGGACGGCGACGACGACGAGGACTCCGACCCTATTCTCGAGAGCAAGTCCATCCCCATCAGCTCCACCACCAACCGAATCCGCTCGCACCAGATCCCTAGTCAAGAGCTCGGTCGACCCCAGACGACCCTCACAGCCACCATGACCGAGTCTTCCAATGTCTTCATCCACGACATCACCCCCCACCTGGCCTCGTTCGATAACCCGGGCACCACAATCTCGGCTCAGCAGAACAAGCCTATCTCTACCATCAGGGCCCACAAGAGCGAGGGATACGCGCTGGACTGGTCGCCCACCGTCCCCGGCGGCAAGTTGCTGACCGGCGACAACGACGGCCTCATCTACATGACTTCCCGCACCGACGGCGGCGGCTGGGTCACCGACAACCGCGCGTTCCAGGGCCACACCAGCAGTGTCGAGGAGCTGCAGTGGTCGCCGTCTGAGCAGTCTGTCTTCGCCTCCGCGTCGAGCGACGGCACCATCCGCGTTTGGGACGTGCGATCCAAGTCGCGCAAGGCCGCCATCACCGTCCAGGTGTCCAACGTCGACGTCAACGTCATGTCGTGGTCGCGCCAGACCTCTCACCTGTTGGCCTCTGGCGACGACAACGGCGTGTGGGGAGTGTGGGATCTGCGACAGTGGAAGGCCGACGCGCAGAAGCCGCAACCCATTGCCAGCTTCGACTTCCACAAGGAGCAGATCACCAGCGTTGAGTGGCACCCGACTGACGACTCAATCATGGCGGTGGCAGCGGCCGACAACACGGTGACGCTGTGGGATTTGGCTGTCGAGCTGGACGACGAGGAGAGCAAGGACACGGCTGGCGTCAAGGATGTGCCGCCGCAGCTGCTGTTTGTGCACTACCTCAAGGACGTCAAGGAGGTGCACTGGCACCCGCAGATCACTGGCAGCCTGGTGGCTACGGGCGAGGAGTTTAGCGTCTTCCGAACGATCAGCGTATAAGACGAGGATGACAAAGATGCAGGGCAAAAAAAGTGGCGGATGGATCTAGCTATGGAACCACGCTACGTAAAAGAGTGGACGGATATGACGACGGGAATCATGGCACGAAAAGGGATGGAAGACCCACTGGGAGAAGACAACATGGACGACGGTATGGCGCATCATGATTCAAGTGCAAGCGATAGAGTGATACATTTTGGTCAACAAGCACAGTTTCCAGACCTGGTCATGATGTGCGACATTTGAAATGAGTGGCAGCTGTCTCTCCACTTGCAGCTGTCGCCTTGCATCGGACGAAATTTGATGTCTCTGCTGCAGCGTCACCTTGCATCGGACGAATTTGCAAGTCCCGCAAGTTCAACGATAGTTACATTTTCTCCCCGGTGCTCTGCGACGCTGAAACTCCAGCGGAGAGACGGGTATTTTCCTCGCCGAGTCTCTGGTCGGCACTCAGACGGGACTGAGACGGGAGTGCAACGAGTGTGAAACGACACTCGGGAAGTGGGCGGGAGCAGTTTGCCAGCCGATGAAACAAATGAGGGTGAAGAGTGGTCGATGACAAGATCAACCTGCCAAGAGCTGCAGCTGGAACCTTTTAATCAGGTTTATCGCTCAAATTATAGCCCCCAATTGATGGACGTGCAATGTGCTTTTTGCAGCGTGTCTCGCAGCTAGTTGCGCCGTGTAAGTGATGTGTCGCACGGGCGCGTCTAAGCGGCGTGGACGAGAGTGGGCATCTGAGTCAAAGGCAGCAAGGGATACGGATGCCAAGGACATATGATTGTGTTGTCCTCAATAGCGTCTGTAATTGACTCTCGTATTGATCACACGGCACACGGCACAAGGCTGGGCGATTATCTGCTTGGCGTTTATGACCCGAGTGAGAGTGTGAGACAGACAAGCGGAGAGACAGGCGGACAGACAGACTCCCCTGGACGTTTCTCAAGTTTCGCCCGTCGGCCCAACAGTCCAGATTGTCAATCTGCCCCGGACCCCGATCATCGCGTCTTGTTCCACGTCTGCCCCACGATCTTGCCTTCTGACACAGCGCATTCGCGGCCGCTTTTTAACATGCACGCATCGCCCTTAAGGTTAACCGCTGGCGGGTTTCGAATTGCTGGCGCGGATGACGAGGCAGGAGACTAAGAGTGTCAAATGCCCGAATGGCGGGGGACCCATGCCGAAGTACATTGGTTGACCCAGATGCCATCAATTTCTGAAAGAGAGCCAAGGAACATAATTAAATATTTGGTGTACCTAGGTCTAACATGTATACAGAGAAATTGCTTTTCTAGAAGCAACAATAGCCGCTCGTGATCCGCAAGGTGGAACTGCCGTCTCGGGTGCTATTATCCGACCCACGGCGTACACCCGTCCTGTACCGACTTCGTGGCAGGTCTCGGCCTTGATATGACACACGCACAATACAGCGTACGCGTATAGCCCTGTTTGCTTGCATGCGACCGCTTGCCTCGTTTGGGACCGATAATGTGGCAGCCCGGGGTCAACTGCCACGGTAGCACTCCGAGATGGACGGGCTAGATATGTCGGCCCCTGGTCTCACGGCAATCTAATGCGCCGAGAAGACGTCAAGCGCTCCTGCGGGAACCCCAGCCCCTGGGATCGACCAGTGGGGAGAGAGTATCGGTGTTATTATATTGCTTTTCAGAGGGTTGCATTGCGCTACGCCAGATAGCCCGTTGCCGCCTCCCAATCGCACGCGCCGACTGTATAACTACCGCCCAACGTTCCACTTTCCGCCTGTGTTCCGCCTTGCATATATGTTCCACCTACTTCCGTATTCCTCTCGTCGTATTCTCTTCTCTTCCCAGCTGCTAATTCTTTGATCACCCTTTTGTTTACACTTGTTCGCTGCTGGCTTGTTTTTACCCCCACTTGAGTCTCTCTTTTGCTGTCACAAGCGTTCGGATCCGTGACCATGGACGCTATGCACAAGCTTGTTAATAGCCGGTCCCAGAGATGGCAGACAGGCAACTACATTCCTCTTCACAACCCGGCGCTGGACCCCAGCGAAAAGGCGTCAAATGGGTTCAGGCACATCTCGCGATGTCTGATACGGGTATCTAAACTTCCGTTGATGTTGCTCATCACTTTTGTCATCTTGATACCAACACTGTTCACCCTGGTGGTGGTCAATGTGAGTTTTGTCCTTGCACATAACCACTTAGTTGAAGAAACTCTTGCTGACTCCGTCCAAAACAGGGTCATAGTTACGTCTCTGACGGCACGAATGATGTCTTTGCTTTGAGCTGGGCCAACCACATAGTGCCCCCGAGCCATCCTCCGCTTCACATCGGCATTCCAAACAACATCCCCATCCACGAGACACATACCGATTTTCCCGAGAGCTTGGATGCGACCCCGATAGTAGAAGCAGAGGATACGCCGTCGGAAGACAATAATGATAATGCTCCCAAAGCGCCACACGCGGAGCTTGAAGAACCGGAGAAGCCAGAGGAACATCATCAACCGGTGCAGACGAAGATATCACAAGCACCTGAGGCACCTGCAGAATTCATCTTTGACGAAAGTGGCAAGGAAGTCGGAAATGAACTAGATTACCTCAACGAGCAAGAATCTGAGATCATGGCCGACATCCCTGAGCCCCCGCCCGGAAATCACCGTCTCGTCATCCTCCTCCCCGCCGACGACTCCGGTTCCGCGCTCTGCAAGGTCATATTCAGCGGAATGGCAATGGGTTACCCCAGCCCTGTTATCCTCAACTGGAAAAAGGACGTCGGAAAGACTGACGCACGGGACATTGGCAGCTCCCACCTTGCCAAGATCACAGGTGCCCTCGAGTATCTGGATGCCATCACCCGCCAAGATACCCACGAGGGAGATCGCTTGAACGACGACGACCTTGTTGTGCTCGTTGATGCCTACGATGTCTGGTGGCAACTCCCTCCGGACGTGCTGATCAAGCGATATCACGAGTCCAACAGACTCGCCAACGAGCGTCTGGCCAAGGAATGGGGCGCACGAGGCCAGATGCCCATGCAGCAGACCATCGTGGCGTCGGTTCAGAAGAGGTGCTGGCCTACTCCCGAAATGCCCGGCAACCGCCACTGCGAAGAGCTCCCCGAAAGCACTGCTCGGAAGGATCTGTACGGGGAAAACACCGACATTGATCCAAACTTGAGCGCCAAAAAGAACCCGTATCACGACACGCGGCCCAAGTACTTCAACAGCGGCACCATCATGGGCCCGGTTGGCGACATGAAGCGATACATGCGCCGGGTCCAGGAGAGGATGGAGCAGTTATTGGTAAAGCACCACAAACTTTGGAGTGACCAGGGCATCTTTGCCGAAGTCTTCGGAGAGCAGGAGGTCTGGCGAACGTGGCTCCGCACCCAGCACAGGGAGTTCCCCCATGACGACATTACCAAGATGATGCTGGAGCGATTCGAGTACAACGTCGGCCTGGACTATAGCCAGCAGCTCTTCATTCCTACCGTGTTTGAAGAGGAGGACGGCGAAATGGTACACCTCAACAACGAGACGCACATTGCCGAAAAGTCCCAGAAGCTGGGGATCAGCCCCGTCCGTCTCAAGGGCGTCCCTAAGGACATCCGCAACTCTGAGATCCCGCTCAACAAGGTAGTCAGCGAAAATCAACGCGGCAGCTTCGACTGGGGCGAGATGCCACTCTACGCCGATTACTTCAGCGAGGCTGTCCCGGTGGCGGTCCATCACAATGCCCACGCCGACGGCCTCAAGGCACGACGAGTATGGTGGTGGAACCGCACGTGGTACTTCCCCTACCTGCGCGAGTTGGTCGGGATCTACCTCGAACGACCAGCGAAGCTCCAGCCGCTCGCCACGTTCGCTACGCAGGGAAAACAAGCTGTGTACTGGCCGCCCAGCTCAGACAAGGAGAAGCGGAGGCCACGCCATTTCACGCTCGGTGCTCGCAAGAGTGGGCTGCCGGAGATGAACTTTGAGATGCTGTGTCGGGAGAAGGGTGAGGATGTGAATAGTCAGCGTCGGTGGTTCCAGGAGGTGTTCAGAGATGGCTTGGGTGGGCTTTGAGGTGCAGATCGGGCGGCTACGTGATCTTAGACCTAATACTTAATGATTTGATATGTATATCCTGTGTGTATAATGAAAGATATCCTTGTAAAATAAGCACATGGTCTCAAGAAGTCCCAAGTAAACACCGCAATTAACATGACTAAACAAATGGCTGCCATTGCTGCTCGCACCAGTCCCAAAACTTCTTGCAGTACCCGAGCCCCCCAGCTTCCTCGGGAGTCATGGCATTGATGATGTCTTTCCGCGGACACTCACTGTCTGGTCGAACCCGCCCCCAAGGAATGATATAGGCGCCATTATTCTCGAGGGTGATGCTAGGTGACAAGCCTGCGTAAAGTTCCGTGTGTGCGCCAAACTTTGTATCGTGGAGGATTCTGTTCATGAGCAGCATGACCATCGCGGGTGCGCCGTCGTATGAGCCGGCCCTGACGTTGCCGGGGTTCTGAGCAACACTGACGATGCCGTGCTTGCCATAGCGTTGAGCCATCTCTCGACTTAGCATCCAGCTGCCGACTTTTGAAACGGCGTAATTGCGGGCTCGATCTTCCGTGCCAGTATCTAAGAGTTCAAAATCGATACCGTTGGGAGGTACTCCCTGGTCTGCGGCGATGCTGGACGTCCAGACCACCCTCACAGCTCCTGATTGAGACAGCGACGCGGCCACAGCGGCTCGCAGCTGGGGCTCAAGCAACTGAGTGAACAGCAGAGTTGCAACGCAATGCATTCCAACCATGGACTCCAGACCCTGAGCAGTTTTGGCGAAAGGCTCAACCCGGTAGCCTCCAGTTCCTGCATTGTTCCAAAGAACGTCGAGTTTAGATTCCTGTGATGCAAAGCTCAAGGCTGCTGACTTTACGGATTCCAAGTCGTTGAGATCGAGTTGGAGGAACTTGAGAGTTCCTGGCGTGGAAGGTGGTGGCTTGGTCTCGATGATCTGATTGATGGCATTGTAGGCGCGTTCCTAATATGAATGTAAGCCTTTAGCCGCTGCAGCAGGTGAAGTTCACGACAACGACCGACCTGAGATCTTGAAGCCATATAGATAGTGGCGCCGGTTCCGTACAGGATCTTGCACAGCTCATACCCGACGCCCGAGTTACCACCCGTCACGATAAAAACTTTGCCCTGCTGGGAAGGCACATTGTCTTCTGTAAGGGTCGGTTTCGGAGGGAACAGCTGGGTGTATAAGCTGCGGAAAGCCATGGTGGGTAGATTTCCACGGATGGATACGGATTCTGAGAAATGAATGACTAGAAAGAAAGGAAAAGGGGAGATGGGAATTGAAAGTACCAACCCATCTTAATATCTAACAAAGCTAAAACGCGGAGTGAGGTGGAAAGGCGGAGATTTTCTCCGCGTTGATGGTGGCATTGACTGCAAGCTACAGGCGGAATTCCGCCCTGGCAGTCATAACAACAGACAGCCGCACACAGAAACTCTGCCGTAAGCTCAATACAATTCACAATCAGCTCTAGATTAAATTAGCTTCAAGAGGGAGGTCTTTAAAACATCTGATGCGACTTTCCAAGCGATATTATTTGGTAGGTGTACACGACCACAAATCCAAGCCGTTACTGTGTGCAAGGTGAGGCATTGTGGCGTTTTAATTACCGGCCTATATCACCTCCTCTAGGATTTAGTGAGGACTCAAAACAAATCCCAAACTGGCTCTACCCCTCTCATCGCCTCCCATATATCCCAATCCATGAGACTCGCCTCGTCCGGTTGGGTGAGATTCGATGGTTCGATTTGGCCCAAAGCCTCGACCTCAGCCAGCGGAGACCACAGGGTAGGATTGGCGGACTGGAAATGCAACCCGGATGGTTGATTTCCCAGCAAACTTCCCAAAGGCTCCGAAGACTGTGGTATGCTTTCCGCTTGGAGAATTGTTGGGGTTTCGAGTGTCGGCTCACATCTGGAATTGGAAGCTTGAGGCTCAATGACCATGTCATGCAGCTGGTTTGTTGGAAAAGAGAGGTTGTCATCTGTAGTCTCTGCAATTTTATCCACCCATTGGTCGACAGGAAGCGCAGGTAAAGGCTGTCCACCCAGCGTCTCCGCCTTCCAGCGTGTCAGTTCTCCCTCGCGGTAAGTCTCGGTTGTCTTCGCCAGTCCCACCAAAGGCAGCCAGAGACTGGCTTTCTTCGCATCCGCCGATGCTGACTCAAGTAGACCCTTTGTTGTAATCCACACTTGCTCAGACTCTAGCCCCCAAGGCTGACGGCAGGCTTGTCGCAGGAAGACGCCAATGGCATGCCAGGGAACGTGGCCCGCCAGCTGCCAGCGCCAATTGACCCAGGTGGGCTCGGTGATGAGTGCATGAACTGCCTTGATGATCGTAATGGAAGCTTTTAGGGCAGAAAACATATAATGTTGGCTGTGTGGTGTACAAGACGTTTGCGTTTTTGCTGAGACCAAAGGTCTATGGAGAACCAATTCCACTTTCGCAAAGAACAGCGATACCAGTGTCGTGATGAAGCTGTCAAGTGCGAGTTCCGAGCGAAGACCTTGAAGATAGCTACTCTGAATCTTCGACTTTGCCGCTTGGAAGATCTGCAGCTTGATCTGCGGAGTGTTGGTGGAATTTGCCTGTAGAGCTTGTACAACACGCCAGATTCCGCATCTGACGAGGCAGGGGATCATATTGGATGACTTTATGTCGGGTAGGGCGGCGGTTGAAGTGAGAGAATCCAGCTGCGTGTCATCTGTGGTTCCAGGCAGCTCGGTGTCAAATGAGGTTTCCGATATTGATAGGTCTCTCAGACACGGTCTCTGGGTTTTCGAGTCGAGGAAACAAATGTGCCACCACAGGCGACGACGAAGCTCGGTTTCAAGCTGGCTCTTATTGTTCTGGTTCTGATGCAGTCCTAGGGATTTGGCAACCCTTATGAGAAGTCCAGTCAATGGCCATGCTGAATCGCCTGCCCCGATATGTGGCAGGACAGAGAGGTAGATGACAAATGCCTGCACGACAACTATTTGCTTGGTGACGAGGAACTCAGCTTGACCAAGAGCCTGCTCAGTTCCAAGTCGATAGCGTGCAAGAAGATGTGCCTTAGGTGCGTTGAAATTGGTTGCCACGGCTTCGTCGTCCATGGATACAATGGCTGCAAGCGAAATGGCAAACAGCAAGGGTTCCATGCTGGGGCTGAGAGAGCTGAAGTTCCCTTTTAGCTCACGAATTACTTTGTCCATGGTTGGAACGTGAAGGATTTTGATGAATATATCAACCCTTTCGACGAACGTCTGCCAGATGAAGAGCATTTGGGAGGGTAGCGGATTCAGCGCATCCAGGCTCCCCGAGCTGGCGCCATGTCCGAAGACGAAGCCCTGATGGCCGAGATTACCACTAGGCGCCGTCTCGGGGATCGTAGAATCATTTGGCTCATTGTAATCAGCAACATCATGTACTGCTTGAAGAATGTTGTCCACCTGTCAAAGTTAGAACTAAGCCAAGTCTACCTGTGATGGGCATACCTCGTCGCAAAAGACGGACCAAAAGCGATTGCCCACATGGCGACTACCGTCTTTGTCGACAACCAACCGGCCGAATTCTTCATCAAACTCGCTTCCGGGAACAAAGCTGAGGGCATCGCTGGCGGAACTGGTCAGCGATTGGCCGACGGATCTGGCCTCTGACTGGGTGGCATCCGGACTGGAGGTGTTGCCACTGACAGACAACGACGGGTTGGGCTGATCAGACGCTGGATTTGCACTTGGTTCGCCGGGACCCTCCTCCACTTGAGCAGAAAGCTCCGTAACAACTGCTTCAAGGCGACGAAGGCGGCTCAGAAGCTCTGATTGCTTCTGCGCAGGCGACTTCCAAACCGACGGGTCTCTGCTGCGCCGCGGAACACGCCCAGTCACTGGGTAGTGGCAGTCGATGGCGGCTCGAATGCAGTTGGAGCATGGGTCTCGCCTATCGCATCTGACCTTCCGGCGGCGGCAAGTGACACAGCTCCAGATCTTGAGCCCGGCATCCGAAGCCGAAGACGGTGCGCCGTCTGCTTGTTCTTCCGTCGACATACTTGCTGACACCGTCGGTGATCGGCGCTTATAACTGCCGACGCCGCTGGGAGCTGGGCGGTGATAGAATTGGACACGAGGGCGGCAACCAAAGCGAGGGTGCTGGAACCGAAACGAGACTTTTGGAACGATGGACTTGTCCCTAAGAGGCGAGGGCGACGAGATCTCGGGGCTGGATCACGGCCGAGAAATGTGAGAGCGTGTCGAGGCAAATCAGTGGAGACGGATCGGAGGTCGCTCTCGGACACGGAGCTCGGTCATGATCCCTGTCACCGAAGGATCCACACTGAAGATAAGTGCACTAACAGAGGGGACATGAGTCTGGGCGGGTATTCCGATAAACAACGCCTGAAGTCCATGTATTCGATGGTACTAGATCAACCACTCCCTCACCACACCAAAGCCCGAAGGCTTCTGTCTCGCGGTGGCCAGATAAAATCCCCAGGCCGTTCTCTTTGTGTGTTTATATTCCATATACTTTCGTTCTTCCATTACAGTCCAAAGACGTCACGATGTCCAAAACTGTAGTCATCCTCGGAGCAGGCTGGGCGGGCCTCCCTCTTGCACACAAGCTGTTGAAGTACACCGTTCCCAAACTTTCCTCTGGCCTCAAGGTGATTTTGGTATCGCCCAACAGTCACTTCTTCTGGAATGTCGCCGCCACCCGTGGGTTGATCCCCGACGAAATCCCCGACGACCAGCTCTTCCTGCCAATCAAGCCAGCGTTCGATCAGTATTCAGCCAAGAACTTTGAGTTTGTCCTTGGCACAGCGGATGGCATCGATACGACAGCGAGCACAGTTAATATCGAGTTGAATGGAGGAGCCCAGCGCACCATCTCTTACGATCATCTCATCGTTGCGACAGGGTCGCGTCTGACTAGCAACCTCCCCCTCAAGCCCATCGGAAGCCATGAAACGACAATTGCTGCGTGGACCGACTTGAAGAGGCAAGTCCAAAGTTCAAAGTCAATCCTCATTGCAGGCGCTGGGGCAACAGGCGTTGAAGTCGCAGGCGAGTTGGCGGCGAAATACGGCACTGCAAAGGAAATCACGCTCTTGATTAGTGGCCAAAAGCCGCTGGAGGGCGCCCTACCCGCAGTCAGCGGTATTCTCGAGAAGGACTTGAAGCGGCTTGGTGTCAAGCTCATCTACCAAGCCCGCGTTACAGAGGCGAGAGAAGCTTCTGGTGGCAAGCAGACAGAAGTCACAGTGTCGAATGGCTCTACCATTGTTACAGACTTGTATTTGCCTCTTTACGGCGTCCGAACCAATACGTCATTCGTCCCGAGCGCTTTGTTGGACTCGGATGGCAACGTTAAGCAGGATGAGAATATGCGAGCGGTTGGCACAGAGAACATCTGGGGCATCGGAGATGTGGGAAACATTGAACCCAAGCAGCTCACGGTGACGGATAACCAAATCATTTATCTGGCAACGGCACTCGATGCGGCACTGACAGGCTCAACTGTGCCTAGCCCTTACCAACCAATGAACAAGAAGATGATCTTTCTCTCGCTTGGCAGAAAGATGGCGACTGGTCAAATTGGAAACTGGAAATTATTCGGGTTCATGGTTTCTTACGTCAAGGGGAGAAAGCTGTTTGTTGATACGGCAGAGGGGTATGTTGGAGGGAAGCATTTGCGACATGCAGCAATGTAGGGTGAAGGACGACACGGTCCCTTTACGGATCGGTTGGAATTGATAGGCTGCCCAGAAACTCGGAGCCAAATTCCTATACCTTGCTCAGCTTCATTCAGACAGATAAATATAATTTAATACACAATATTCTTTCTAAATGCCCCGACGTCCCCGCCGCCAACGAGCTAAGCTGTGGATTGGTGCATTTGCGACTGACACATCTTTGCAGGATCGCATGCAAATGCATAATACGTATGGCCATGTGTAATATTTTTCAGCTCGTTAAACTAGTCTATTACCAAGACCTGGGCGGCGGGTCATCCATTTAAAAGAGAGGTCATGCGGACATGAATCCCGGCCGCTCCGCCGCGTCTCCGCAAAAGCCGGGTGGAATCGGAGGCTTACCTTGACTCACAGAGGCTGTCCACTTCAGCCCACCTGAAAGCAACAAAACCAATCGCCCTGCCACAATAGGGAATCACTGAACTACTGTTGCATTGGTAATCGGCAATTCCGCTCTTCAAGATGGCATTTCGAAGTTTTCCTGCAAAGATAATCACGTCGTCCGTGTGTGCGGCTCTCGTGGTTGGAGGCACTTATGGATACTTCGTGCACAGGCGCATACGAACGACTGATCCAAAGAAAATCACGACTTTCGATACCATCCCCGACTCTTTACAGCAGTCTTTGTCTGTCACCGAAATTGTCAATGCGAAACGACACCACCAGATGGCAGACTCCCGCTTTATCACGATTGAAATCCCACCAGAACATCAAAACATGACGGACGAGGTCCTGTTGGCAAGATTCACAAAGGGCTTTTTTGGCGGCCTTGTCATCGCTCCTGAGAGAATCGCCCTGCAGATATTCCGGCCTAGGTTTCTCAACTTCTCAAGCAAGTCAAATTCGATTCATTCTACCTTCTAGAACTAACCTCGGAGCAGAGATAAAGACTCCAGAGAATATTCCTAAAATATGGTACAAGAATCAGCTCTCAGAGGACCAATTGCCTCCTCTGTATTGTGAACTATTCGGAGTATTCCAGGTCATCGACACGCGAATGGACCCGAAGAGTGGTGACAAAGACAAGCTAGACCGCACCGAGAGTTATGTCGATTTCGGCTTTTGCAGCGATCAGTCTCAATTTGCTGGAGTTCACCGATTTTCAATTGTGCGGTCGAATGAGTCGTCCACTGCTGGCCAAACTGTTCAAATCCACTTACAGAGTATGACTTGCAATCCAACCGTCAATAAGCCCTTCTCATTGGGCTTTTTGTTCCCATTGCACCTGGCTTATGCCGAGTTCTTGTTTAGGGAGGGTGTCTCACAAGTAACTGGGTCACTGGGCAATGAATAATGTGTAAAACAATTGTTTCCGAGAGGCTGTACGATAGACTTGTATTACTCGGAGTATGGGGTTTAAAATAGAGACAAAAGGGACAATACCACTTCTTACTGATTCAGCAATACCGGGATCCCTTGCTGCTTGGCTTAGGCCTATACACCCTCGTACCAGCATAGATCCGCAACGAACAAGGCATCATTTTGGTGTTTAATTTTCAATTTATTAAAACAGTACATTCATTCGTCAAGGAGGACATTACAATCTAATTCTGACCAGACAGCCCAAAGCAAACGCACGCATTTCCTAACCCTACTCCAACCAGGTACAAGACAGTTTAGGCCGCAACACCGACTTGGATCGGCCCCTCAGGCAGTTTGCTACCAGCAATGTTGCACTGGCGGAAAAGGCGAACCTCATCTTCAGCAAACGCTCCGACCACGGAATGGATCAGGCCTCGGTTGTGGAACATGACAAAGTCACCCTGCTCCCAATCGTGAGGGTAGACCATCTTGGGGCCAATGCCCGGCCTCTGAAGGTCGTGGACCATCTCGCGCACCTTCTCAAGATCGTCGATGACAGTGCCGTCGGCAAGATGCAGCTTGCGAATGGCGGAAGGATGGACTTGAAGAGCCAGGCGACCGGTGACTGGGTTGCGCCAGCACATGGGCAGGATCTGGATCTTCTCCTCCTCGATGGGTGGCAAGCTGTCGAGCGAAACTTCCTTGCCCTCGGACACAAGGCCGAGACCATCGGAGCGGGACTTGGCGCCGCTCATCCAAACATACGGATGAGGAGCATACTCGACTTTGGTGGTGCGAACAAACTCCTGGTCTTCAGGAGAGAGCCTGTCGTACATGGCATAGCCAGAGACAAAGGCTGTAGTGCCAAGGGGAACAGTCATCTCCTCGCCAGAGTTGTCATCGTAGACGAGGGTTTGCTTGCGACCGCCAGGGACTTTGACTGCAAGCAGAGAGGTCACAACTGGTGGGGCGAGGCCATACAGGGCCGCGTCGATGTGCCATCGGTAGAAGCGGGTGTAGTCGAGGTCCTTCTCATCGGGGATCGTGGTCGCATGGAAAGTGCGGTGGTGAGGGTGGCGAAGCTGGATGTTCTTCAAGCCCTCGTATTCTTCCACGAAGCCGTTTCCGATGACCTGGACCTGGGGCTGATGAGGAATGGTCTTGAGGTCCGGGTGCAGAATCGAGCGCTTAGCGTCCAGAGTCTTGCCGTGGCCGTATGAACCGCCCGCCTCGGGGTCGAACTTCTGGGTGATCTCGTACTGCGCCTTGGGCGAGGCGTGGCCCTGATTCTTGAAAACAAGGACCTGGTGGTGGAACAGGGCGTCACGGATTACGTCAAAGTCGGCATCTAAACCGTGTTAGTTTCTGGTCGAGCTGCGGCAGAATTCAAGAGGCCTTACCATAGGAGGTTACCGATTGCACGGGTATTCTCCCAAAAATTGTGGCATTTCAACAGAGCACATTGCGGGGCACGTCAAATCTTACCGGTGAGGTTTTCAATGTCAACGTTGGAGACAACAGCTCCAAAGTCGATGTTGGATCCCTCGGGAGAAGGGATCGGCTGGACGGTTACTGTGGAAGACATGAGGCCGATTTTTGCAGGTTTTTGTGATTCAGTGTGTTTTTTGGAAGCGGGATATTGATCAACCGTAGTGTTGGAGTGAGTTGGGAAAGATAAACTCAAGCTGGGGCATCGCGATCTATTTAAGTTGAAGATGACGCTGTAGCACAGATCGGAGCGGAGGCCGCCGATAACCGCTATCTTTGACGGCTGTACGGCTTTAGCCCGCGAGCTAATCAGACCCGCCAAAAGCCACGCAGCTTGCCGATTGCCGTCTCGTTATCAGCGAAGATGGCGCTCTAGTTGACGCCAACATTTGACTCAAAGGCAATTGGCTGGGGCTTATCAACGCCCGTTCTCCTCCGTTTTGTTCAAGGTCGTCTCCGATGAGCGCAGTCTTCGGGCCGCTCCGAGAAGGTTGGTGGAGGGTATCGCTTTGGAAGACTGTGAGACCGTGAGACATGTTGCGTCACCTGCATTCATTTGCCCCTGCGCCGTCTGTATCAAGTAGGTACACAAGTATACGCCAAATAATTCCGATCGCTTAGCACAACCCGAATGTTCACTTGGAGGGTCCCGCGTGGGATGTGGATGTACTTAGAGGAGACCTGTCAGACGAACACTTCAATTACCGATACTAGAGTCTTCGAAGTCGCGAGCGCCACTGGACAGGGCTTAACGCTGCGAAAAAGCAAGCGTGAAAGTGTCGTTTCGGCAAAAAGACCGCCGCGCATAAGGGATAGGGCGACCGAATCCGCGCTGGGATGATCCTAGTCGTGACGCGAGAGATGCTCGTTTCGTTTGTTGGAACGCTTGCAAGCTAGACGAAGGCGCCGGAACTCATGGTTTTATCCAAATTAGGTATGGTTAAGGGTTCGTGGAAACACGTCAAGTGTGTCTCGTTTCACAAAAGGCGATGGCAGTTTACTCACTCAAGACTCTCTACTTTTACCCATAAAATGGAGCGTTCCCTGCCTTATGGATACTGACCCGCCGGGATCTGACAAGAAAACACCCGAAAGGATGTCAAAGATCCTGGCTATAATCCCAGTCGCTCATCACTCACGTCCCCATTGCCTGTGCTGTTGTGACTTTTAGCGTGCACAGGCCCAGGTCATCAATCTGTAATGGGATGCAATGGGAGTTCGGACAAAAAAAAGAAGAGATAATATTTAAAAAAAAAAAAATCCTCGGCAGCAAGTCAAACAGCACGTTCGGGACAATAAAAGCATTGATACAACCAGGACATGATGGTATAGACCGATACTCTCCGCAGGCCAGATTCGCACACTAAGCATTCTATCGTACAAAATAATCTTCCTCTATGACCCACGTCTACTCCTTACCCCCGCCGGATCGGATCTCCGTCTTCACATATGGCAAAGCATCACCGGGCTTGACCCAGGTCTGGTGTTGGCCGATGCTGTTCAACTCGTGCTCGTTGATGGTCGAGTGATGGTCATGGTCGGACTCAACTTCGGGCCAGGGCCGCCAGAAGTCCTTCTTGCCCTTGAAGAGTCGGGTGAGCCATCCGGGCAGCAACCCGCCGGGGATCCTCCAGGTCCACGGGTCTTTGTGCTCCCTTCCGGCAGCCTTGAGCCTGCCACCAGACAGCGTCTCAACGGCCCAAACGAGCAGCGAGATGATGATGTAGCTGCAGATGCCAGCAATCATACCGTCGGCGATGGAGTAGGTGAAGGGCATGACGGTGATGGTCAAGAAGGCCGGCACGGCATCTCCCATATAACGCCAGTTGATCTCGGTGACAGCGCGCATCATCATGGAGCCCACCAGAATCAAAACGCAGCCAGTAGCCCACGAAGGGATGGAAGCGAAGATTGGGGCAAAGAAAATGGCAATAAAGAAGCATATGCCCGTAGACATGGCCGTGATACCCGTCTTGCCTCCTTCGCTAATGCCAGCACCACTCTCGATGAAGGCGGTAACGGGGGATGTACCAAAGAGAGAGCCAATAGTAATACTGATCGAGTCGACCAGGTATGCTGTGGCCGAGCCCTCGAAATCTTGGGTATGGTCATCGATGAGACTGGCAAATCTGGCCATGGAATACAGGGTACCAGTGCAGTCGAGGATATCCACATAAAGGAAAGTGACGAGGGCACGCCAGAACTGAGCACCGTATTGGCTAACATCCCACCGTTGCACGACAAGAATACGCTGGATAGGGTGGAACCAGACGACCTTTTTGAAGAAGTTAAAGTCATCGTCGCCCACGGGCGTGTTAGGAAAGACGGTTACCGACGTTCCCCTCGGCCAAGAGATGATGGACACGATGAGAATGCCAGCAATAATGGCGCCCTTGAAGCGGAACATGGTGAGCACGACGGTAAGGATGCCGCCACAGAAGATGCCCAGCCACAAGGTAGGATTGCGCATCTTGTGCGATCCCGGGCAAGATCCGTCTTCCAGCAGAGCGTCAACGGGGCATCCAGCCAGCTGGAGGGGCGTTGCAGTGGCGCCCTGGACCAAGCCAATGCCTTGGCCGTAGGAGAGTCCGATAAGAGTAAGGAACAGGCCGATACCGGCGCCGGTAGCCAGCTTGATGGACCTGGGGATGGCGCGTGCAAGCCACTGTCGGAGGCCGAAAACAGTGAGGCCGACGAAGAGGAGGCCTTCCACAAAAATGGCAGTCATGGCGACCTCGTACGGGATGGGGCCGGTGCCATGGAAGCCGACGACCTAGGAGAAATTAGATACCAGCTGGAGGAGTACGGAGGGAGTATACTCACATCGTATGCGAGGTAGGCGTTCAAACCCATGCCAGTGCTGATTCCCACAGGCCTAAATTGTTACAGTCAGCGTCTGGTTCATCTCACGCGCCTTGGGTTCGTGGGCCCGACTCACATGTTCGCCAGCAGACCAAGGAAGAAAGTGGCAAGCGACGAGATGGCTGCCGTTGCAGTGACGAGGTCTCTCTTGACTTCGTTCTTACACAAAAGGTAGTCGGTGTTCTGGGCGCAGATGGGGTCGTCCGCGGCCGGGTTCTCACAGACACAGGTGCCTCCGGAGTCGGCGACGATACTGGAGTTGACGGCGAGGATGTACGCCATGGCGAAGAAGGTGATGATGCCGGCGCGGATCTCTGTGAGAAACTTGGAGCCATGACGCGTGCGAGCCTAATTGCCGTGTTCCCCAGTCAGCTTGTTCCCGCGGATCCATTGTCAGTCGTAGATGGAGTTACTTACATGACCGGAGCCGTCAAGGCGAAACCAGCTGCCCACACGGCTTGCGGCTACCCGCTCGTTGATGCTTGACACCCAAGTCATGATGCGCACATGCAAGACGGGTGCTACTGAGGCTAATGGGTGGGCGTATAAGTTATACGTTTGACGAATAGAGCAGATCTGATCGAGGAAAAAGGAATTAGGAGGGGACCGTAAATAATAAGCAAAATCAGATGTCAGAGGTAGGCATGGATTCTAGAATGCTTCGAGCAAACCTCTCTACCTTAGTTCGGCCGTTGGTTCCCCCCTGTTAGATGCTGGTAACGAATGGTACCCAAGGAGGATTCAGCCGGTTTCTGATGCATGAGGTGCTGGAAATGTCCTTCCCCATTGAGTGACACGTCCGGCCTTGGCTGCCATTGTAACTTCCACTCGCACTAATGCATGCGATATCAGCCGTCTTCCAAAACACCCATTGAAAGCCTCTTTATAGAATCAGGGTCCTTGCTTGCTGAATAGGGCATGCGGTAAATTTCCGTTGGTTAATGAATGTGGCTGAAACTATCGATGTGATTTCAAACCAACACCGGCGGTCCATACCCAGCATGGCAAAGCGTGCCTCTCTCGTGTGCTTCCAGCACCAATCATCTCCCATGATCGGGATTCGAGCCGAGGCCATTTAGTCTCCGTTTTCTCCTTTCTCGCTAGCCCAAACTATAACGAGAATCGCCTCGCATGTGGGTGTTGGCCTGAGCGATGCGGGCGCTGCGTCGGACCTTTGCCGCATGGTGTGGTGGATGGCAACAAGGGTGTCATGTCTGGCTAGCTAGCCGACGGTGAGCAAAGGTGCCGAGCCTTGTAAGTGCCTAGAAAGCGATGTGGCGTTGGTTGGTGCAATTATAATACCGGCATGGCGGACTGTCTGCTATCGCCAACGCGCGGAAGAATGATTGCTCGATTTAATACACCTTACCTGCGGGTCGACTTACTTATGCTCTCCCCTACTCGTTGAAGATCGGCCGCTCGAGGTGACCACAACGTCTTTACGAGCACATACAGCCAAGAATGGCTAGCCAGGCCCACCAGCTTCTCTTCCGCCCGTTTCGGGAGACGATCAAATGGGCCAGTCTGGGGATAGTGCATTCACAGGATAGCTCCAACGACCCTCGCCGCGGAGCTGAGCTTCAACGCGCAAGCAGCCTTCTCCTCCGAGACGCAGAGCGCGCTGTAAAGCGACTCGCGCCTTACGTCGAGAGCCCGACGCCTGAATTGCACGCTTTCCTCATAGACCTGATCTGCCGAAACAGTGAGCTTAGACTGGCCTGCGCTTGATGAGGCAAATATCATCGTTTTGTTTCCACTACTGACCACAAGCCCACGCAGCCGACGTCATCGCCGAGGTCAGAGCTGTGGATGTTCTGCTCTATGACTTCGAGGACTATATCGAGGCCTCGTCGTACGATGAGGCCAAGTTCGACGCCCTGAGGGCCGCGACAAAGGCCCTGGCCCTGCTGTTGCTCGAGAGGATCCAGAGGTTCTCGACCGAGTCGGCGCTCGACGTATCGCCGCCACCATTGCGTCCTCTGCCGCCTCTCCCAGCGCGCGCAAATCTAACAAAGATTGTCACGCAGCCGTCGCCGCGTTCACCCGAGCATGCCGAACGCAAGGGATCAATCCCCCGCCAGATCCATCCCGGCGACTTGACCACCTCGCTTTCGAGCAAGTTTACTGCTCGACAAACAGTAGCCGAGGTGAGGCCAGGCAGCCCCGAAGGTGCTTTCGTCGGATTAGATCGCCTAGAACTTGGATCCCCCATTACCATGAGCTCCATGGCCCGGCCTGGGAGTGCAACAGGCATACGTGGTGTACAGACCCCGGAGCCGCGGGGAGACGCTCCATACCGACCGAGGCGCACATCCTTGATGCTCAGAGACCGGATTCGCGAGGAGGAGACGTCCAGTTTCGTCGATTTCGACTCCGAGGACCAGAACACGTATGCTTCGCCAGAGACACAGGCCCCCAAGTCCAACACGTACATGTCCTCCCACCAACAAAGGCCAAGTTCGTCCAGCCGTTGGCATCAGACCAGCGACGAGGGATCCGAACTGGGCGATTCGACAATCAACCGCAGCTACACAGCTTCAAGTCTCAACACGGCCGCTCTGGCATCCAGGGACTCGACTTTTGACCAGAAAACCTCCATCTCCTCGAGCGCCACCTCCCACTCGTCCCACCGCGCCTCTCTGCTGGGAAACGCGGCCAAGAACAGCTGCAGCATCGGCCCGGGCAGCTCTCTTTCGTTGTTGGGGGGGTTCTGCAAAGGAGCGAGAGCTTTTGCGACGGGGGGTCCCGGGCAGGCCATCAAGAAAGTCGGTGGCTCGGGGGGCAACCAAGGTTCGAAGCAAGACTTCTCCCAGGAGATGCTGTTTGGCTCCATGCTTGCTGTTGAAACGACAATCTACGCCGAGCCCATGGCCCAGTGCTTGCATTGCGACTACAAGACGATATACTCCCAGTTGCTCCAGGATATGGATCGCGATCGTAAGTCTCCCAACCGCCTCCTCTCCCTTCGCCACGCGTCTCTGCGGGTGTTGGAGTCTTCGCTAACGTCAAGGTTCTCCAGCGCTGGCCAAACAACAGGTCCGGGGCATGACATATCGCTCTCGGTTCCTCTACAAATCACACGTCGCCGTCAAAGACCTGGAAAAGGTCTTCTTCGCCTGCATTTTCTGTGACAAGCTGAAATCTACCTGCCACGAGGGAGACGCGACTGTTTTCCAATCCGTCGACCATCTGTTCCGACACCTATCTCGACATACTTTGCCCTTGGCCACAGTCGCCGGGGTAACCGTCCTGTACGAGGAACCAAAATTCTCGTCTGCAGACCAGCAAGACTTTGACCTAATCATTCCTGGCGGCACTCCCATGCTGCCCGCCGGCCCGCCGGAGGAGGCTCGTGACTACCTCGCATCCTTACCAGAAGCGCGAGCAACAAAAGATCACATCCGCCAACGCAACGGGAAGCCCCAATCCAGGCCTGACAACGTCTCAGAAGTCCTCCAATTCCTCGCCGGGGCCAGAATATTAGGCGTCGAATATCCCGACAAGTGGGATGGGAAATGGTGCCAAGGGTGGCACGACGGGGTGCTCGGCGTCTTCCCGAGCAAGACCGTCCAGCTCGAGGCCCCCGAGAAGGTGCAGGCCATCATCAAGTCTGTGCCTAGATCTCTGAGGACCGGCGTGGCCAAATGGGAGTGGGATTCCAAGTCAAGAGCTGGGTCGAATGTTTGGCTTAGCTTTTCAAAGGGGGCAAAGATTTCCAACCTCGCATGTAAGTTATCCCCCCAAATCAATGTATCTCGCAGGGCCTGTGGGTTCATGTTTCTCGACTCTCATAAATGCTAATGACAAGTGTCACAGGGGACGACCCTCACGCATGGTACTGGATAGGAACGAATTCCAAAGGCATGCTGGGAATTTTCCCCAAGAGCCACATCAGGATAGAGACTATTCAAGATGGGTCTCTCGACGAGTCCCAAGGTGCTACTAAATCCTCTGGTGGAAGGTCAAGGCTCGGGTCTCTGTTTGGTAGGTCAAAGAGTTGATGGATGGTACTTGTATGTGGTTCTGTTGCAGGCTCTTCTTTTTAAGATACCCGGATGGGTGGATTGGCGTGATTATGAGGTATGGACTAGGAATTTGTGGGTTTCATTTCAGCTACTGCGTCAGACTATAATATTAAGCGTCTACGTTGAAGGCGAAGTGTTACATATCGAGATATCGGGTTTCAATGGCTATTGCAGTAGTGAAGCTTTTTCTCCACTCAGGCCAATAGCTAGATAAAGCCAAAGACCCCGAAGCATCCGGAGCGTCTCGGCTGTCCGAGCTCACTATAGAACTCGCACTCTCTTTGCTACAAGCCGCTTCTCTGTTTGTACGTTGTTGTCTTTCCCCTATTCCCAATACAATCACGTGGACTTCATCCTTCCCCATCACGCGCGCCTGGGCCGGCGGGTACCAAGGAGGCGTCCAGCGCGTGTTGCTCGACTATGCCTCCCGAACTGACGAGCTCAACGACGCGGCGAATCGCACTTTAAGCCTCCGCTATGTCTGTTGGGGATGTTGCGTAGTAAAGTGTGGTGCCTTCGCCGTTTTTTCTCTTGAAGTGGACCTCGACGCCACGAGGCTCCGCAGTCATCTCCCAGATCCGAGAACGGAGCTCCCACGGAAGACGGGTGAAGGGGTGGAAGGTGGAGATGCTAATCCTCCGAACCCCCCTGCGAACCTCCGACTACCCCGGTGAGGGGATTTTATTCGGCGAGGGTGGAGATTTGCGCTCGGATTCTTGGCGGTTCCAGCCATGGTGAGTTTGGGATGTAATTAAAAGAGCGCAAAGGCAGCTGTTGGCTGTTCGTTACGAGTAGCGATTGAGTAACTCAAACGTAACATCGAACAAGTGGAGCTTCAGCCAGATCTGCGCAGACACCTGGTGTTATTGAATGGAATGCTTGGCGAAAATAACCACAAGCTGTTATCGGCCTGCTCCGGTACAGGGCGGCAGCTGATTTCGGGCTCGCGTCAGATTCAATTTGTCAAAAACAAGGCTGCCCTTGTTCTTGGCCCTGGTAAAATATTTTTCACATATATAAGGATATCGGATTTCTGCGGTTGTGACGGTAGTGAAGCCTTTCCTTCATCATAGTAGGTGTCCATCGCCGCCTGCCTCGTCAACGGGCTAGCTTTTCAATTGATCAGGTCAATAACCAGCTAGAGCCAAAGACACCGGACTATCTGGATCATCTAGGCTGTGTGAGGTTATCTGAGGTTATCTTCATCTGTAAGACTGACCTAAAGACCCTCTATTGGAAAGGAAGAATGGTAAGAGCTTCTTACAAATGTGGTCATTTCTATCTGCTGTATACAACAATACCACATGGTGTTGGTCCATGGCCTATATCAACTTTCAAGGTTCCGGACATCGATCGAGAAGGGGAAGAGTTACTATTCCGAGAGTCGGAGAGAGTTTTGAGATTTCCACTCGCTGAAGGGCTAAAGAGCTCACATCCTCTCCCACGTCTCTCCATTGGTCTCATACATTTCCCACTTTGCATCTTTAGAACCTTCATCCTCAATCCAACACACACTATAGTCATCTCCCATTTCTCCACCATGAAACCCCCTTGTTCTACTTCTGGTACTCGGTACCAACACGCGATTCTATGCCGCTGCCACCAGTAATCCCCTGTAAGTTTTCGCTACAGGCATTGTGACTGCCGTGTACGCGCGCCATACTGACTCAAATCTCCGAGGGGAAGAATCTTAACTTCGCCGAGCTCAACACCAGGGAAGGCTTGATGTAGCTAATGCAGGAATTGGCTGCGTCATGCGCCAGCCTAAGATATGACCAACGGCTACCGGGACGTCTGCATAGTCTCCATAATGGTAATTTCAAGCGTCCCTATTACCTGGACGCCGTTCTCATGCGGCGCCTCGCAGTGTTATGCCATTGCATCGGCGCTAGTTGGCGACGAATCTCGTACCTTGCAGCTGTGGCTGTGGGCCTGTGCTCAATCATTTTATTTTGTTTCATCGAGAAACAGTTTCGTTTCTTTGCTTTGTTTTCGGCAATTGAAAAGAGGAATAAACCCAATCAATCGGTGATGACGTCGGCGTGAAAAGGGCCGATGTCTTACCCAGAGCTCGGATGATGTGAGACCACATCACGAACATCGCACAGCATCTCTTGGCATGCAAGGAGAGAAAACATTGGCAAAGTAATGCCTCATTACGAAGATCCCCCGGGTCACTGAAATTGGCATTGTTTCTGTCTTGCTTTCCTACAGGTAGGGTGTCCTGAAGGAGGTGTTCACGTGGCGGCGCGCTATTTCGCGGACTTCGGCGGGTTGTTGTTCTCGATAGTATGATGGCTGGCGGTTGGGATAGAGACAAGGGGCCACATTTACCCAGTGGCTTGGGGGTATTTGTTAAAGGCTCTCGCTATGCTTATTATTGAAGAAATAGAGCAGTAATAAACATAGGTAAGGGTTTCCTTATGGAACATGGAACATCCCGGTACTCTTTTCCAGCGTCTCCGGCAACGCTTCCAGCGAAGCAACTGCAGTCATCATCACCTCCTAAAGGAAACTTGACGCCCATTAGATGGAAGAACGAAGAGATTTCATCCCCATGCTTTTCATCTGTTGAGTGCAACATAATCAACACCTTGTCAGAGGTGCGGAAGGTGTGTGTGGGCCACGAATCCCTGTTAGATGAGTGTCCCGGCCGGTGCGACAGTTGTCTCAATGCAATCTCAGGCCCCCTCCAACATGCACCCATTTGTCCTCGTAACTATAGTGCACAGCAGTATATAAAGCTAGCTAAGTCCTGGCCGTATGACTCTAAGAAGGTTCAATTTAATCACTCTATCTGTTACTTATTCGCACTTGCACATCACATCGACACCTTAGCTCTTCCAGGCCACCTATAACAGCGCGTCCTAGTTGCGCGTGAATCGCCATCACCAGCTCCCATTCATGCGTGTCTCCCGGAACTGTGACCTTAGCGGCCGATCCTAGCACCCAGCTGATTCCGTCCCGTGACGAAATCTTGGTTACTACTGGCTGCGGGGTAGTATTTATTCCCGGGCTTCCCCGGCTCTGCCTCGAGACGTGGCAAGCCAACTGTCGTGCTTGGAGTGCGTTGTCCCAACATTAAGAATGTCTCCTTTTGGGCTTGGTAGCGGGGACTGTCGGTACCTGAAATCATGCGACTTGATCTCATGGGGTTTCTTGGTAGAGTGACCTACTAACGGGGAAGATCGGTACCCGCCCGAGACGGTCTTGACATCTGACATGGACAGAGAGATGTACAAATACTTATAAAAGCGAGGACGGGGATCTTGAAAACAGGAAATGATCAATGGTTGACCATATTACTAGTGTTCAGAGTAAACGACCAACTGCTTCTTGCCAGTCCCTTGATGTGCCCGAGCTTAGCGGAATCAACAAGATGATGTTCAGCACGAAAACCGGAACCAAAGCCACGACAACTTACCGTCTACTTATAGGCGCGGTTATGGCGACGCTAGCAAGCGCCCAGGTGGCACCGCCACCAGCGGGTTGGCCAGTGTTCACATACCAGGGAGAGCTGACGGACAAGAGCACGCTCCAATACAACCCGACGAACGAGTTCATCTTCCCCAGCGTGTTCCATGCCGGCTCGTATCTGGACAACCCGCTCGGGGAGTGGTACCTCTACTACGCACCGCACGAGAACCCCGGCGGTATCTCGCTCATGTACGCTGACTCGCCCGACGGGCCCTGGACCGAATACGACAACAACCCGGTCATTGCAAACGTGTGGCCGGGCCACTACTCGGTGCCGCACGTCTCCAGCCCAGACGCGGCGTGGAACTGGGAGGAGGGTCGCTTGTTTGTTTACTTCCACGGAACCAACTCCCAAACCCGCTGGGCAGCGACCGACGATGGCGTGACCTTTGACTACGGCGGTATTGCGGTAGACAACAAAATGGGAGGGCCAAATGTCACTGAGTCGAGCTACGCGCGCGTCTTCAGGCACCCCAACCCCTTCTCCGGCTACGCCTACGCCATGTTCTACATGGGCAACGAAGTCGACAATATTCGCCGCATCCGCCTGGCCGAGTCCGTGGACGGACAAGAATGGGTTGTGGACCCTGACTACGTCGTCGAGCCCGGTTCCGAAGAGGGAGCCAACGTCTCAGGCGCCAAGCTTTGGCGCTGGAACGGGCAGTACTATGTTATTTACCACGCGTCCAGCGGCAAGAGTTACGCCAGGACTATTGACAGGACGCTGCGTGATGTCGGCTCCGTTCCCATCCTGCTCCACAAGGCCAGTGGCGTTGGCAACGATGTTGGACGTGTCGCGTCTCCAGATGTCGTCACATACTATGGTGAGACGTATCTGTTCTACGAGTCGGGTGACCGTCTCGGTGCGACCATCGCCTGGGCGAAGGTTGTTTAAGGGTGAGCCATGCGATGGACTAAGGGTTGATACAGGAGGGTTCATTTCTGGCTTGTGTTTCTATTTTACTTCGTGTCTTTTTATATAGCTTCTGAATCATAACACAAATAATATTCACATTCGCCAGAAACGTGGTGCTTGATGTTGGTAGGTATCTTGGATATGGTCGACTTTAACATCCCCAGAAAGGCTGAGCCAGGTCATTGTCGCTTCAAGGTGAATAGATGTGCCAAGAGCCCTGAGAACACACAGGACAGGTCTCATGAACCACGGTGCTTCTTGATCATGAATTTGCCGGTGTTGACACAGGACACGAGTATAGTGACAATAAGGCTATTACAACGCGATGCTTAGGACATACCTGAGCTAAGTAAGCTATCACCTGGGTTTGGTCCCACGAAACTGAGAGATAGGTAGTGTGATGTTACTTTGGGGCTTGATATGACTCCGGTAGCGGGGTGAACGAAAGGGTGTATATAAAGCCATCCTAAACACCTTGGCTTGCTATTCTTTTCAAGAAAGCACCACAGAACCTAGCTCATTTAGAATAAAAGAAGCATACGACAGCCCATTACTGAAGTGTGGCAATATTCGCCTCGTTTACGGGCTAGATCCACCAAGAAATAGCAGCTTGGTAACGGACTTTGCAGCCAAATCACACAATACTACTGTGGAAATATATAGCTTGGGGGCAAAAGTGTCAGAGTAGTGTGGAATCAAACTGCACAGTCATTGGGGCCCGACCTCCCTGTTTTGGCCATCACTGCCGGGTCAAGATCAGCATCGCCGCATGCGACAAAAGCCGCCCGATCGAGCCTATGCTCCTTGGTTGACTACTCTTATCTAGCTATTGTGAAAGCTATCTCCCAAAGCGGTCCACTCCTACATGAGGTGAAACACATCTTATGCCATCTGGTAGTCGACATGCAGCCAAGGAGTGATTTGTAACGGCATTGGAAGGTCCTTTGTAAGCGCTTTACATCCAGGAGCTGTTAAGATTAGGGCTACGGGACCTGATACCTCGGACACATCTATAGGAGGCGATGGTGGCCATCGTGACAGCTTGAGTGCGCCCGCAAACCTGCAAGACGACGGCTACCTCGGAATATGGACGAATAGATGCCCAACGCGTAGAGATTGAGCTGGATTAGAGTGCCACTCGGGATATTGTTAGCTTGGGGAAGGTGTGAACACATTTGAAGATGGTTATAAAGGTTGACGTCCTCTCTCCTATCATCATTTTCACTTTACATCATTGTCGCACTCAAATCTCGCCTTCGGTCTACCGTGTGTTAGCTGCCCGAAACCCGAGTCCATCATCTACAACTCCACTTATGCTTTGCTCCCTCTACTCAAGCTTTAGATAAGTCTAAATGCTTGCGCGTATCTAGGCAACAAGGGTGACGTCACTGCCGGATTTCGTCATTCATTTACTCGGAGTTCCGGTGCACCTTTCAGAACTGTCCCGCCACTCAACTTCCTGACTCTCGGGCTGTCATCAGCCCCAAGATCGCAACCGAGGCAGCGCACACTGAGAAAAATCGCTCAACTGATCTAAAGCGAGCGCTTCTCTTCCGCTGTCATTCTTAGTTCCCCGATCTCTAGAAAAAGCCATGTTAACCTATCGAGAGATAAGAATGAGGGGAAGATAACGTGCGTGGGGAAAGAGAGCTGTTGGTGCCCCGCGGATTCGGAGCTGACAAGGTTGTCACAGATAAGCTTCTCCACTCTGCCGGGTCGTTGGCGTTTGATGGGGAATTAGCGGAGGTAGGTTCGTGTCATATCGCGGCCGAAGGAACTGTCAAACCGGCGAGTGATTGCAGGATCTCGGATTTAAGCCTCATTGTTTCAAAACATCAACTATGAAGCCTGTCGTGAATGCTAAGGGCAAACTCTGGGGCAATCGTCGATCTTTCTTGGCTGAGACTGACCCGGCTCGGAAGACTACACATCGGCGACTACTCGATTCTACTCACATGGCGACTACCCCTGCCGACATCTCTTATCTTGATGCAACCACGAATCGATCAGTATCGACTACTTACTTGGCCGGCACTTCACCCATGAGTCGGGCAACCAACACACATGAAAGGTCCCCCACCCGGCAGGTTTTGCCAAGTTGTGAGCCAAAATGTCCGGCTCTCACACCAACCAGGAGCCTGGAAACAACCATGCACATACTTCCCCGACTGTTCCAGCCTCCATTGAGACTGTGGGACGTCCTTATCTCGTGCCCGGAACCGGCTATGCGTGCATTCGTGCCAAGAAATGACTATTGGATTCTTCGTTCGCGTTCTCGGATCTTTTGTCAGAGTGATCTAGCTTTAGAGTCTGAACGTACGGACCCCGAGATCTCCGTTCCAGGATGACTGCAGAAGACAGGCCTGCGTATAAAACACCATGATGTTCCATTCATCTGAGTCTCATGACTAGCCTCCACACCACATTCGCCAACCAGCTCTGCTCGCTCATTAGCAATGAAGTCGGTGACAGTAAGCTCGATGAAGCTGCTTACAGCAGCCTTCCTCATGTTCGGCACTTTGGTACCCACCGCCGCTGGATTACCAAAGGCGCCCTGGGTTCAACAGCGAACAAAAGGCCATGGCCGGAAGCTCTTTGGGGCCAGTATTGAGAAAAGAGGACAGAAAGTGCGCGACGACTGTGTCGTGAAGGCTGCCCTCGATATCGATGCACCCAAGGAAAACATTTGGGCCGGCTTGACTGAACCGGAAGCTGTAAGTATTGTTGAATGGATGTTCGCTCAGCCGGAGCTCAACCTCACCGCTTCTGAAGATGCAGGGAGCTGGGACAATACTCTGTAAGCACCCCCGGTTACGATATGAGCTCTGTGGCTAATTTCATATGCAGTCTCCTAGTTGAGCTTATGCGACCCAACAAGACTGATGCATTGTCATATGTTGATGACGCGGGCTCACTCCCAACTCGTTACGCCCACGCAGTCATCTCTCACCAGGCGGATGAGAATCCGTACTACCAAGATATTCTCGTCGGACCGCTGCCGGTTGCCAATGGCACCACCACTTGGTCCGCGCTCGAGTATCCTTACACTCGCAAGACGGAGGGCAAGATTCGAAACTTGGACGCAGATGAGGATGCCCTCTATGACGAATGGCTGTTCCAAGTGAGTGCCACAGTCTCCGACATTACCTTGGATCTGTGGAACGCCACCGCACTCGGTCTGGACAATGATACTCTGTCAATCTGGGGCATTGACCCGGTTTATCAAGAAGGAGATCAAATCCTGCGATGGGACACATTCTGGAGCAACCCATCAACAATTTTTGACGTGGGGTCCATGATGCCAATGGGCCTCTTCTTCATGTCTGATGTCAGTGGCCGAGATACCTCCAAGTGGACGGTTGAAGGGTGGTACTACAATGGAATCTTCTACGACACTACTGAAGACTTCCGTGCTGCATATTGGAGCGGAAAGGTTGAGAAGCTTGATGGAAACTGGTCAGGCCCTTGGGCCGAGACCGACCAGCAGGGAACTATTCCTCCCCTGGACACGATGGCTCCTCCGGTTGCAACTGCCCCTCAGGGTTCTCGATATAATGTTGACGCCGAAAGAAAGTATGTAGAGTGGATGGGATGGAGCTTCTACATCGGATTCGACCGTGATAGCGGAATGGCGCTCTATGATATTCGATACAAAGGCCAGCGCGTGCTCTATGAGCTGGGTCTTCAGGAAGCCCTGGCCCACTACGCTGGAAGTGACCCGACACAGTCTCATACTGCATACCTGGATACATACTACGGGTTTGGGCCTTTCGCATTTGAGCTCCTCAAAGGCTATGATTGCCCTGCGTACGCAACATATCTCAACTCGAGTTTCTATGTTTCCGAGACGACGCACACTCACTTGAACAGCATCTGTCTGTTCGAGTTCGATGCAGACCATCCCATGGCTCGACACAGTTCGGCAGAATACGTGACGGCGACGAAGAATGTTTACTTCACTGTTCGCTCAGTATCGACAGTCGGAAACTATGACTACATGTTTAGTTACAGCTTCTTCATGGACGGTTCGATTGCCGTCGAGGTTCGTGCGTCTGGATACATCCAGGCTGCCTTTTTCGCCAAGAACCACGACTACGGATTCCACATTCACGATCAGCTTTCTGGCTCAATGCACGACCATGTGCTCAACTTCAAGGCCGACTTTGACATCCTCGGCACAGAAAACACTGTCCAGCTCATGGAGCAGGTGCCCCATAAAACTACGTACCCCTGGTCGAAGGGCAAGGTCTTTAACACGATGAAGCTGAACCGATCGTATGTCGAGAATGAAGATGAAGGACAGTTCAACTGGGGCTACAACAACCAAAAGCAGGTTTTCGTTGTTAACCAGGATGAAAACAACAAGTATGGCGAGCACAGAGGATACCGCATCCTGCCGTACACGGGTGCCGCGCATCTCACAGTTAAAGACTCGAGCGTCTTGAAAAATAGTGCAAAATGGGCTGAGCACGATATTATGGTATCTAGGCGGAAGGATACGGAACCCAGAAGCACACACACGTACAACAACCAAGACACAGAGAATCCGCCAGTCGACTTTTCCAGGTTCTTTGACAGCGAGAGCCTAAACCAGACTGATTTGGTGCTCTGGCTTAATTTGGGCATGCACCATGTCCCTCATACTGTACGTCAAGCTACCAGAATCAAGGTTGTGAGAGAATTAATTACTGAACTTATTCTAACTATTTTTGCAGGGAGATCTCCCCACAACGGTATTCACAACAGCCCACTCTGAAATCCAGTTCATGCCCACCAACTATTTCAACGTCGGCGCCAACGTCGAAACGGTGAACATGGTGCGAGTAAACTACAAAGACGGCGACGCTACCGATGTCATCCACTTCGGCGCCTATGACGGCACTTGCGACTTGGACTATGAGCCGGCTTTCGTTGACTTGTGGGAGTATAAGGGCGATGTCGTGGTCCGCAAGTTCCCCTACTCGCCGGATGACCTGTATTACGAGACGGACTCGATTTAATCGGTCAAGAAAGAAGCCCAGATTAGAAGATAGTTCAAATTTCAATCATTGGATTAATCGTGCTCATGTGATTTGTGATTGATTCTCTATCTGATTGCATGATTGAGAAAGTTGTACGATCAAGGTTGACGGGCGCTGACTCGCCGACGTGGGGCGGGGCAACCCCTCCACTGGTTCTTTGCTGGCAGAATATCCCTCGATTTTATATCTCCCAACTTCAACGTACGACTCCTTCAGCAGCTGTGACCTCAGCAAAACATCGCCATAATGTCGGACGCGAATGCCAGCACGCCCCGTGTCTTCATCGCTCGCCATGGTCAGTGTCCGCCTCCTCTTCTGGACCTAATATTCACCAAGTCTCAGGAGAAACGGAATGGGCCAAGAACGGTCGCTACACGGGAAGGACCGACATTGAACTGACTCCCAATGGAGTGAATCAAGTCTCAAGCACTGCAAAACAGCTGGTCGGTCACCGTAGGCTGCTTGATCCAGCCACAGTAGCTCGCGTCTGGGTCAGTCCACGAAAGCGAGCACAGCAAACCTTTCAGATTCTGTTCGGTGCAGACAGCACTGGGCCCGATGCGATCGATTCCGATAAGGTTACTCTCACGGAAGACATTGCAGAGTGGCATTACGGTGACTACGAGGGACTGATGACACATGAGATTAAGGAGCTGAGAAAGGAGAGAGGGTTGGACAAGGACACACCATGGAACATCTGGAGAGATGGGTGTGAGGGTGGCGAGTGAGTACAAACTGGCCGTCGTCGGAGTGATATTGGAGGGTTGAATCAATCTGACTTATTTTAGGTCGGCGCAGGAGGTTTCCGACAGATTGGACAACTTGATCTCACAGATCCGCGATGTTCAGAGACCTTGCATGAATGGCGAGGCAAATGCTGATGTTGCTCTGGTAAGAACTAACATGGATCAACCCTGACCCCGGCTTTTGCAATTCTAACTGAAAATTTCAAGGTCGCCCACGGTCATATCCTTCGCGCATTTGTCAAGAGATGGCTGGGTTATCCGTTAGACATGCCGCTCGAGATGATGCTTGAGCCTGGAGCTATTGGAATCCTGAGGTTAGTACCAGCATCTTTACGAGGAGGCGCCAAATAGGACTGACTGTGGCATAATAGTTATAAGAACAAGAATATTAACGAGCCGGCCTTCTCTGTCGGCCTAGCACTACCACCCCAGGAGGAATAGTGAAAGTCGAGGCAAGGATGGATGTCTGAAGATTCGCAATGAATTGACGGGTTCGGGTACCTGCATAGAAGACTAATTTGGCCAAAACATTAGATCTGATTGTCCACCATAGTCAAATTGTTACCTGATGTGTGCTGAAGAGTTAATGGTCTGTGTTGGTACGACAACCTAGCTGGGCGAGGGCATGTTTGATCTTGGGACCTTTATCACCGCATTAACCCCAGTTTTTGTCAGAGCATTCTGAACAGGTCCTACGCTGTTGCCTGAACTCTCCTTGGGAACCTTGCTTTGTTGAAAGAACAAAGTATCCCGGCCTAGTAATCTCGTTCACAGCGTTTTATCGCGGGTGTCCTTGCTGTTGGGTACCGAGGGATAATCCAAGATGGAAATATCAGGTGTCAATCGGGACAGGTTAAGCTCAGATATGACATATATCAACACTATCATAATAACTAACCAAAGGCGCCATGAACGCTCGATGTGGTGGTTTATATGTGTGTTTACCAATTGCCAACTGCTTGGCCGAGGCTAACTTCTCCATCCTTCTCCCGTGCATGAAAGCCGAAGTAAGCCGCGCCGTTTGAAGCTTGATCCTCGGTAAGTTGTAATATGACTAATTCCTGCGGGGTTCGGGCTATAACTCTACTCTGCCTGATGTCTTATTTTAAGCTGGGATATATCTACAAATACGAAGTGTTGGGTTACATAGGTACGTGAAGGTGTCAGAACAGTTGTTGAGTTACAAGTCAATGATGTAGAATATGGCAGCATTAATTCTAGGCATACCTAAGCTTCTTGACTCTAAAGCCATCCGACTTGTGGGTACGGCGTGGCGATTGGTCGTATCGTGTGGAGCCTGCGCAGAAAGTCGACCTTTAAAAAGCTCATGCCCATCACGCTCTATCAACACACTGCCTACCTTACACATAATGAACCCAAAGTAGTTTCTCCTCTCGTATCAGAATGCCGACCTTAAATATTGTTGTCCTCAAATGCCATCTCATGCATGGTAATGTATACACGGACCGGGGGGATTTCGATGCTATATTCCAGAGTTGGCTCTCTCTTGGTGCCGAAGCACTCAACCAGAAGCATCGAGACCGAGAATCCACTCAGGTGAAAGTTACCGGGTATGATGCAATCAAGGATCAGGTCTACCCCGACACTCTCGACGGCGTGGATGCCATTGTCATCACCGGAGCTCCCTCAGCCGCCTTCAACGATTTGCCTTGGATCAACAAGCTACGGTCATATCTACAAGGTAATATCGGCCCCATGGCGATGCCAACTAAGAGCTGAGAGAACTAACAGTTGCACTAGATGTGTTCTCTAACCATCCCAACATAAAGCTGCTAGGAGGTTGCTTTGGTCACCAGATTCTTTCCCAGGCCTTGCTAGGAGATCGAGGCGTTCTGGTGGAATTATCTCCCAAAGGGTTCGAAGTCGGTGTTTGCAAAATTCAACTTATCCCTGAGTTTACTGGTCATTTCTCAGGGCTTCTTGACGGTGTCGAAGAGATGAGCTGCCAAATGTTCCACTCCGATCATGTCAACCTGGGTTCAACCCCGCTACCCGCTCCCTGGATCAACATCGGGTCTAGCGAGCTGTGCGATGTCCAGGGTCTCTACAACCCTGGCCGCGTGCTAACATTCCAGGGACACCCAGAGTTTGACGCCTTCATTGCCACGGAATGTCTTGATATATATCGGGGAAAATGGACGGAGAAGATGATCGCGGATGCGATAGTGCAGATTGAGCAGGATGACGACCGCATTTTAGCAGCGCAAGTAGCTGTCGAGTTTTTGAGAAGATGAAGCGGTACAATGTCAACGTATAACAACGAGACGAGAAATGAATAATAAATCCATGACATGAGGAAACAACCGTATTGATTTGGCGCCGCATGAACGCATTTTACCAAAGGATCTGTATTGCGTGGCTTAGTGTAGTACGGATCTTTAAGCTGCTGTTACACCTGAGATCGTCCTAACGGGGACAGCCTCATCACCATAGTTACCTAAATGGCCACGCAAGGCCGAAGTAATCCCTTATCCTCCAAGCCAGATTCTCAAAAACTGAGACATGACATGGAGTTAAAAATTTTGTTATAAAAGAATCATTGCATTCTCTCTAGCTTGATTTCATGATGAATACATCTCTGTTTCATTTCTACGTCATATCGTGGTGCCTGGAGCACTGATGACTGACTGCTTAATGGCGGCATCAACCTCTACTCTCCGGATGCCAGGAGCTGGGCCTAGGCAAACCGCCCGATCAGCCAGCTCCGTGATTAATTTATCAACCGAAATCGTGATATGTCCATTATAACTCTTCTGCTCTCTTGGCATTATCTGATGAGTTAGGGTGGAGTCCCGGCTACCTCCTCTGAAGGTGCCCGAGCCCCAATGTTGAGGTGAGGGCTTAAACGTCCAGAGCCCAGAAGGAACAGGTTGAGTCTCTCTGAAGCTGTGGCCGAATATTGTGAAATCTCGTGCCGCGTGATGGTCCGATTGACTAACCTGGTGAGCCAACTGTGAACGAGGCTCACCATCCGTAGATACGCCCGGGAATAAAACCAATCCATCTCCGCTTGATACGGTGTCTTCCCTAGACTGGCCTCCGGAATCCATGAATGTGCCGTGATGAAGCGAGTCTGGCTCCTCATTCGCACCTGGAGAAACACTAGGAGTTGACACAGACAGGGTGAGGATGTCAGATTCCTGGATTCCCCTAACGAAAATACCTCGTTGCTCAAGGTACTCCTCCACATCCATGGCCTCAAGCCACTCTCCTTGAAGTTCTGGAGTATTTGTGATAAGTCTGGTTCTTGTTCGGCCAAACTGGAAGCGTTGTAGGTGTGGTGGCGGTGTCCGAGGAACTGCAACACCAATGCCCCCCTCAAGAATTCGCAACATCTTTGGAAAATCGCTGGATTCGGTATAGTCGTATCCAGAGTCTACCAGGTGATACCTAGCGTTTCTAGAAATATGACGAAGTGTCCAATCCAGAATCTCGTCAAATTGATGCAACCTAAGCGGCAGGAGCAATGCCGGGAAAAAGCTTCTCGTGGATGGGCTATCAGGTTGCAGCAAGCCCATCGTTCGGTCCAAGCATGCTTGAAGAAATGACTGCGCAACTGGGAGTTTCCGACGAGGCCGATTGAGCCTCTGCTGAGACAATACCAGACTTGTCTCACGCGAAGAGGCTAGGTCGGCTGACGCAAAACCCACATCATCAGAGATACGCTTGGGGCGTTGATCTTTGGGAGGCACTTGCGAGTTGTGGCTCATCCCAACAAATTCTTTAGCCTTGGACGGGGTGTCAGGGTTCTGTCCTGAAACGGATGGGGATGATTGGTCCCCCTGCTGTGCCTGCTGTGCTAGGTCTGTGATTTCCGAGACCGTCTTTCTTAATTGCAGCATCACGTCCTCGGGCAAGTATCTTTTCGTACTCATAAAATTCTGGAATTCCGTGATTGATCCAAGGATCTTGTTCAAAGTAGACTCATATACCAAGACTCGAGCCTTTTCGGTGGCCAGGGCATTCTCTTTGCGACTACGATATGATCTTTGGGCTAGACGCATGCGAGCTTTCCGATCCTTATTCTCTGTCAGCGACGTACTTAAGTGCGTTATAAGTAGTCAATAACTTACAGATCCATCCTCTGGTCCCATTGTTACATCGCTTTTCATCCGAGGTCGACCAGGTCGACGTCGCGGTTGGTGATCGGCCGATTCGCGACTACCCTGCTCCGATGACGTGATATCACTTGTGACACGTGAGGAATCCATCCTGTATGTAGATGAGCAACCTGGAATTTGTTGAAATGCAAAGAGACAAAGAGCCTACTCTGCAGATGCAATTTTGAATTTGTCTGCAGTCAATAGTGAGGACTAAGGGGGTAATATCTTTAGAAATCTAGGTGTGCTGACAAATTGAGAAATCAGACAAATTAATTCACGGACCCACAAGAATTGCCCTATCAAAAGCGATGGCCTCAGCGGGCGCTTGTTAATCTTGGGACATCAGACAAATTAATGTTCATTGAACGATGGCTGTAGACAAATTATTTAATAATGCAAGGGATTTCAAATCTAGCAGTAGAAGGAGAGGATAGGTGTTTGCCTGACAATTGCTCTCCAGCCATGAGCTTCACTACCATAAATACCGAGTGTACGAACCTCAATTTTTTCCACGAACACAGCAAGCAACATTCCCATACTATCATACTTTAACAACGCCGAGTCACTATTCTCATCAACTTCAAAATGGCTGCCATACCAGTTACTCTCGTGGTAGGAACCCATACTTGGGGCTTGGACGATGGTGCCAAGGTAGACAGTATTTTGGATCTCATGCGCAAACATAAAATCGGTGCGCTTGATACCGCCAGGATCTACGTATGTTATCGAGCTTAAACCCGCTACTCAGGCTGTCTCAAACTGTACCAATCGCTGATAAAAAAACGACTAGGGTCAAGGTGCTTCGGAAGCGGTGCTAGGCACGAAGCAATTGACACCGGAATTTTCGGTTGATACAAAGGCCGCCACTGGAATCACTTTGGGCTCAGGAGGCCGCATCCTTGAGTTTGCAAATGAGAGCCGGGACGCTCTCCAACCCAACAAAGTACATTCCGTTTTACCATTTCAATTGAACGGAAACCGAATTAACAAATTCTAGATTCGAACGTACTTTCTTCATGGACCCGACGAAGCCACTCCAATTGAGCAACAGATGGAATCAATCCAGGCACTGTATCAGCAAGGGCTTTTTACCCAGTTCGGCTTGTCGAATTTCTCCAAAGAGCAAGTGCTTGAGTGCTACAACTATGCCAAATCCAAGGGTTATGTGCTCCCAACGGTATATCAATCCAACTACTCGATTGCGGCTCGCCTCAATGAAACGCTACTGTTTCCAACCTTGCGCGAGCTAGGTTTTTCGATTCAAGCCTACTCGCCCATGGCAGCGGGGCTTCTTGCAAAGACACCGGAGGACATCGAGCAAGGGAAAGGCAGTTGGGATCCGAATACGATTCAGGGTCAAATTTACCGCGATTTGTATTACAAACCGTCGTACATGAAAATGCTCCTGGAATTCGGGAAGTTGTCTGGCAAGTCTGGATTGAGTCGCATGGCCTTGGCATACCGATGGGTGAAATATCATTCGGCGCTCAAGGGAGATTTGAGGGATGAGATGATTCTGGGTGCAGCCTCTGTTGCGCAGCTGGAGGAAAGCCTGGGAGAGCTTGAGAAAGGGCCTCTTGAGAACTGGGTTGTGGAACGCATTGATGAACTCTGGTACATGGTCAAGGAGGATGCGCCTCAAGACAACATTGAGTCTGCCCGCAAGTTTATGTAGCGTCCGAGGTCCATTACTTGTCCATGGCATCATGTGCTAATCGAAATCTATCTGGTTCTCACCCCGTGTCTCACAGCACTCCCAGAATACGCAATTGAGTGGATATCGGAATACAGTGGTATTTTGCGTGATTCAAAGCAATGTGAATCGTTTCGAATGCGATATTTGCACGGAGTTGTCTTCTCAGATGTTAATATTTGACAATAGAAATGTAGAGATGATTGTTGAGTTCGCAGCTTATTTAGTTATCACATCAAATCGCAATTCTTTTTGCTGAAGTATCGTGGTCTTCGGCTGCCCAACGCCAAAAGTGAACCATCTTAGTGACCAAGTCCGCCAATGACCTAGATCGGCCGCCAGCTTCACGTACGATGGTTTCATTGAAATCAGTTGCATGTATGTTTTATCCTTAATTCTTTTGATTCCAAATAGCACTAAATTAAGAGCTTTCTGCGCAGTCGACGTAATCTACAATCTAGCAAGCGGACCGTCCTTTCGTACAATACCGAGCGCAGCAGGAGTGATGTCGGCGACGGTGCTGCAACCACACAACAGCATACATCGCTTGAACTCGTCATAGAGAATATCCAGAGTCTTGGTGACGCCTGCCTCGCCATCATACTATTTTACCACGTTAGTTTGCCATCCTACTTAGAAAGCCATTCGAATCACTTACAGCAAGTCCCCAAAGCACAGGGCGACCAATCCACACACATTCCGCTCCGAGAGCCAGCGCCTTGAAAATATCAGTGCCGTTTCGAATGCCGCCGTCAATGTGCACGCGAATCTTGCCCCTGGCTGCTTTAACGCACTCTGGTAGCGCATCGATAGTCGGCGCAGTCTCGTCAAGTTGTCTGCCGCCGTGGTTGCTAACAATGACGCCATCACAACCGTACTGGATCGCAAGTTGCACGTCTTCGGCGGTCAGAACACCCTTGATCCAGATCTGCATCTTGCTGACGCTTCTCAACCAAGGGATCTCCTTGGCCCACGAGTGCGAATCGGAGTTGAAGGCGTTGAATCCATCGTCGTGTGTTTGGGCGCGAATTGACTCCGAGGTCCTTTCGAGCATAGGAAGGCCGAGACCTTCAGGCGTGCGGAAATCATTGCGGTACTCGTTGTACCGCACTCCCAGCACGGGACTGTCTCCCGTCAAGAGAATGGCAGTGCAGCCAACCTTTTCCGCGCGTCTGATGATGCGCAATTGAGCCTCCCGATCCTGCATGCTGTACAGCTGCATGGCGTGTTGGATAGGGCCAGCCTCAAGCCCGGCGGCTCGGACGTCCTCGACGGAATGGTTAGAGAAGGAAGAAACGCCCATGTGCACCCCGCGTTTGGCACACGCACGGCTGGTAGCAAGCTCACCATCGGGATGAGCCATGGCCTGGAGTCCCGCAGGAGAGACGCAAAGGGGAAAAGCGACCTTCTGCCCAAAGACAGTGGTGGCCATGTCGGCCTTTGACACATCGACAAGAACCCGAGGGCGAAGTCGATATTTGGAATAGGCAGTCGTGTTCTCCGTCACTGTGACCTGGTTGGTTGAGCCAGCATTGTAGAATTCTAGACATCAAGAAATAGTTAGTCGCTGATCTTGGTTGTTCGTTTGCCATTTGCGGATTCCTACCTCTAGCGATTGAAGGCAGCTTGGCGGAGGCTGCTCTCTTAACATCGTCGATGCTGAGGATCATGTCGTCGCCAGTTGTTGGAGCCATGGGGAAGTCAAAGCACAAGAAATCGGTGAATAAATCGCTCCGCTGAGTCCGTACGAGTTTTCACAAGCTCTTGTGAACGCGAAAGCGGGATGCTTAATTGCTGACGAAGGAGAACCCAGCCTCAGTCGAAGAGGAGAAATGGCATATTTATGCCGCCGTCGTTGACATCTTGCGTCCGACATCGCCTCTGCAATGCCGAGCTACCTGGCCTCAAAACTAGTCCATGTCTTATCTGACGGCAAAGGGCGTGACTAAAGTAGATCGTACCGCCTGTGACTAACGGAATGTTACGTGGACTGTGAGGGGCAGTCTTCATTGACTAACTCCGACTTAGTAACGGAGCGACGCTAAGAGAGTAGCATTCTTCAGATGAAGTATAAAACCCCAACGCAAACGACTTTCTAGGCTGTGATTTATGTCCAAGTGTAATCACAGCCTTTTATCCCTTCTCTAAAATTTTGTTCCATTTTATCCTTCTTTCTCTTCTTTCATCCGGCACTCTGAGCATCATGGAGCCCAAGGTCATCCTGTCCCCCAATGCGCCAACCCCACCTCCCTTCTTATCTCAGGCCATCACCCTCGGCAACATCACCTTCTGCTCTGGACAGGTCGGTGTAGAGCCAGAAACCGGCGTGCTCGTCGAGGGCACTATTCAGGATAGAACGGTGGGTGGCAGTCTCTGACACTTGAGGATCTTACATTACTTATCATGTCGTGTCCAACCAGAGGCGAATTATGCTCAATCTCAAGGCTGTTCTTGAAGCTGCTGGCACGAGTCTCTCGAGTGTTGTCAAGGCCAATATCTACCTCACGAACCTCGAAAATTTCTCCGCAGTGAACGAAATCTACTCGGAGTTCTTCCCAGATATGAAGCCGGTAAGTGCTTGGTACATGATACAGCGGGTTGGACATCTTCTAATCGCCGAATTATTTTCGCTTTTTAGGCAAGGACCTGCGTTGGAGTCCGACAGCTCCCTCTCGGAACGGATGTTGAGATTGAGTGCATAGCGAATAACAAGTCATCTAACGAAAGCCGCCTCTGAAGAGTGGCGGAATCATCATCACATCATGGATTGATCCGCTGGAGACACAATCAAGTTGTCTTCCAAAATCGAGGACTCCATTGTGGCTGTTTAGCGTTACATGCCGACGCCCTGCAGCTCCACGCCCTACGCACGCCCTGCAGTGTCGCGCCCTACAGTGACAAAGCCCCAACCAGGGCGGTCTTATCTTTAGCCTGTGATACAGAGTGTCCCTTGATTGGATATTGGATCCTTTGGTGGATGGAATTAATTTTGAAAAGGAATCGTCTAGTTAGTGGTCCACTGCACTGAAGTGGCAGCCTCTGACCGCACGATTAAATTAAAGACCTGCAATCTAACACTTCTCGTCCTCACCCAACTTCACATGTACCATTGCGATTCTCGTACAGAAAATAAGTAAACCGCATATATCCACCCAGATCTTCTTTCGACATATTGCACTGTCGCCGTCTTCGTCAGGATCATGGCTGACCCCAAGGAAAGCGGAGGATCTGAATCCGACCCCTCTAGATTGGCCAAAAGGTGTCACCACATGATAATAAATGCCAAGAAACAGACTGTATGGGATGTCGGATTTGCTAACACGCGCCGAGCAGGACGCGCAATCGCTTATCGCAACAAGCATTCCGCAAGCGACAAAGCATGTACATCAAGGATCTGGAGCGGCGTCTCGAAATCCTTGGAAGCACGGACAATGACCACATCTTCCGGCTAGAGACTGACAATCGCCTGCTACGTGAGCAGCTAACAGCGGCCGTCAACAAGTTGGACATCGTACAGAATACCTTAAAGTCGCTCTCAAATACTATGAGCCAGTCCATATGAGGAGATCAGGATAGAGCGCATAGTCCCCCCTCTCACGATACGCATCCCGGTGTCTCATCGGAGGGGAAATCCAATAATTCCACTACCCCTCCCGCTAAGCACCGTAGCATATCTTCGAATTCGGCTACAACGTCGACTACACCGCCAAACCATTCGATACCAGAGGACGACATTATCTCGGAATCTCAATTCGACTTCAGTGACCTATTACGACCCATCGCGATCAGTGCTCGCACCGATGGACCAACTGAGGACATTCACAATCAGTTGAAGAATGCTGAGTTATCCATGCCCGCCCTGCGATTCGATCAAACATCAATGAAAGTTGTACCCAGCGTTGAATACGCTTGTGCACCATGGGTATCTGAGCCAACCGATACAGAGAATTCCACCATGCCTTATATACGCACAGCGTTTCCCTTGGATACTTTGCCAGGCATATGGTCGCATCAATACCAGATGGGTCCGGCTGCATTTCAGTCACGCCAGCATGTTCCAGTCAATGGCAGACTTGGTTCAAACTCGGCCTTTTCAGATCATCTGGGCATGCTGCGCCGGAGCCTCAAAAGGACCTGGCGCGGATTCGATCCTGCACTGCCCGCGGAGGATAAATTGTAGGTGGCTTCTTCCATTGATCTCGAAATATCCCAACAAGCTGACCCAGCTGGAATAGCAAGAAGCTGCGCGCGTCTGCCGACGTCATGTTGTCTCTTTTCAACAGTCTAAGCCGGCCGGGGGCTCTTAGCTGGTACACAGCGACCAACTACTCCAGGAACATCGCCGACCTCACCATATGGCAACTCAGCCGCTCGCGTGACATGTATTCGCGTCTCCATCTCAAATACCGGCCGTCTGCACTGCAATTATCCGACAAATATCCTTCAATCATTGATTGGTCTCCATTCCCCAGCATCAGGGACAGGCTAATCTGCCTTCACTCCGCAAATCCAGACTTGGATCGAATCATGTGCGACATTGCAACTGCCTACGTTGTCGAGGTCTATCAATCCCAATTACTTTTGCAGGTTGCAGGCCGTGGATATATACGATTGTGGGATCTCATTTGTGCCATGAAAAAGCCAGACGAGCAGGACTCGGATATCGGTCCTCATGAAGGTGGTGCTATGGGAGTTTCGACGGGAACGGGCATTTCTAGCCAAAGTCCTGCGGATCAACTGCCCGCTCCAAATCTCAAGGCCTTGTTTACTCGCCGGCACGCCGAGGCGGCGTTCAAGGCACTGGGCTTAGATGACGGAGTACCACGTTTTAAATTAGACCCGGCCCTCTTCATACAGTATCCAGAGCTATACGACCCTGACGCTGATCTCATCCCATCTGGCACACCAATCGCACCTCCATCCCAGACAAGGATTCCTCCTCCAACACCGCCCAACCCGGCAACATCACAAATCTATCGCCACTGAGCAGACTGGTGCGTCACTTCTATGGGCAGTCAGCTCACAGAAACACATATTCCAATATTTCACGTCCCGTCTTGCAGTTGATGAACTTTATTACTGGAGGAAAGACTTTGACTGCGCAGTGTGACATCGGTTTTCTCTTACGGACTTGACGGCAGTAGAACAATGGCCTTGTTAATATTTCGGAATTTTTGTCCAGTACCAAGTCTGCCATCCCTATAGATAATGAATCGCCAGACACCTCCCGAGCCTATCGTCGAAGTGGTTGTTGACCAATAAACCTGGAATCTGAGTAACCCTAGCTGAGATCATGCGTTATAATCCCATTACGACAGCTTACGATACCAAACACAACCGGCCTGTCATAAATGCAAATATTCAGGGAGATCAAATGGATGTTCAATACATTTTGTGTCACTGGGACCCGAGCCGAATATATCGAGGAAGATATCGGCATTACTAGAGACTCATATGTCAATTTGTACATCTTCGACCCTAAATTCAAAACTCCCCGATCTGCACATTCCCTCATGCCTCCACGCTAGGGAGATTGCTTTTCATATATCTCAAACTTGATGTCAGCACCCGGGTTGAGATTCCAATTCTCAGGCAATTCTTGATCATAGAATACCATGTTGTTGGCAAAGCGGAGCGGCTCGGGCAACGTCCAAGCGAGATGCTCATTCTTCAGCCACATACGGACAAGATAGCGGCTATGCTTAGGACTATCCTCAAAAGACTCACGCCCATGAACAACGGCCCAGTTGTTCACAAATGTTAGGTCGCCAGCCATCGTGGAGGTCTTTAGTTGGTAAACTTCGGCCGTCTGCTGCACATATGCAAGCGCCTCACATTGCTTGTATGTGAGTGCAGCGAGGCTCTGTCGCTGGTCCTCGGTAGGTGACTTTCGCTTAGACTGCTTGGTCTGCACATCTCGTCCGCTGGGCGCGGTCGGCACAACGAATAAGTCGCCATTCGAGACGCTGCCCGAGGGTGATGGTGTTGGCCGTTCGACATCCGGAGTGTGGAATCTGAGGATAGTCGGTTGGATGACGAGGGATTGCGGCGGTGGCTGCCAGTTGGGACCTTCAATATCCAGCGGTCCTTCGAGAGCGAGAATGTTCCGGCCGACAGTGCCCTGGTTCGGCAGCAGATGGGTTGAATCGAAGGTTGATGTTGATGGCACTACCATGTCAGCCAAGACGCCTTGGTACCAGGGAGGCCCCGAGTCTTCCGGTGCTGAGCCTTGCGTGGTCGAAGCGGCACAGTACGAGGCAACTTCCGGCGAGAGGCGAGTGAAGTCATCCCCGCCTCTATCGTGTGAGTAGGCGGTAGTCGATACTTGCTCTGCAGAGCACAGGGCCGTCCACGAGGTCTCGAAGTCGCCCCAAACCCCAAAATCAAGAGGCGACTCGGTGATATAGAGGTCAAGCAGCTCTGGGACCGCCGGAGGAGCGACACCATCGGTATGGCCCCGCTCCGTAGCTCGTTGGCCTCCGTAGCGCCGACCATCTCGGCAGCCGTATCTTGGGAGACGGTGTGGTCCAGAGACGGCAGCCACTCTAGCCAGTCCAGATCATTGTCAGATTGCATCGCGTCGCCACTGCAAGTAGAATTCTCGTAAGGTATGTGTAGAGCAGCGAGACAGTCAAGGTTGGTGAGGAAGCGACTCGTGTGCGGTTTGCTGTTTGTATTGAGAGTGGCAGGACAGCCTCCAGTGGACGCGCCGCGTTCGCCTGACCAGGCAGCGAGCCTCAACATCAGTACAAATGGCTGTACGACAGACACAGCCCGAATATGAAACAAGCAAATACAATGGAACACGTCAATCACAGTCAGCCTAGATCAAATGAAGAAGTCAAAGAGTCTGCCTCTGTGCTACTTGTCCTGTACTTGTAAATGATTCGCACGACTCGCTGTTACGGAGTTATACCGACGCGACCTTCCTGTAATAGGGCGAGCGCCTCTTGTACTACATCAGTTTGGAACACAACCAGCTGCATCCGACTGTAGCCAGGCCTCTAATTGTTTCCCTGTTCCTCAGGTGCTGCAACGTGCAAATATAGCCTGGCTTACAGCATTCATGTTCTGGGCAGCACCACATAGCGACCTACCTTGCAATAACTCTGGATTGTGTCAGATCTATTGTGTTGCTTAACAAAGTGAATTGGAGTAAGATAACCTTGATATATTATAATATTAATTTTTTTATATATTATATAAAATAAGAATTTCATTTTAAAATTATTAATAAGAAATAAATTATCAATTATGAATAATAAAATTATAATTAAAAAAAATTAATATATTATAATTATTTTATAATTATTTTATTATGATTAATTATGATTATGATTTTTTTTATTTTGAATCTATATTACCTGTGGCTGGTGGGTTGTGGCTGGTGTTATTACTTCGTCGCCTTCAGCTGTAGAGGCAGGAAAGTTCCGAACCTCTCGGGTACCTTACGGAAAGCGCCTCTAAGGCTCATCCCTCCCATGGCTGAAAAGAATGCGGCTCTGTCTTCTAACTTACATCATCCGACCCCCCGTCTCTGTTCGACGCGTTGATAGCGGCGATCCTTACTCGTTTAGCTGCAGCCTGTGTTACGGTACTCATCAACGTCGACCGGTCAGTCCTGACCGACTGCATCCCGCGAAGCACATCAGCTTCCTTCAGCTCGCAGGGACACGACGGCGCCTCGTTAAAACCACAAGATTCGTCCTACTCAGCTTCTCCTCGTGATCACCTGTCCTTTCATGCTGTAACCTTGAAGCTGCAAGCTCCAATCCCAGACGCCATGGATGCCCCGACGCTTCCTGCCCCGCCGCCAGGAGGTGAGCGAGTTCATCCGCACCCCTGATCACATCGTGCTCGTTGCTGTGGATCGATACAGCCCCGAAGAGTCGTCGAAGACCGAAGCTGTTATCCCCGCGGACAATGGCTGGTCACCCCCAGAGGCTGGCGCCGAAGTGGTTGTAGGTCTGGGAATCTGGAAGTTGGAGCCGACCTCGGAACGGATAGGCCAGTTTCAGAATGACAACGGTATGCATCTCCGCTCCGCGACTGGGTCTTGCCTCCTTCCACTGTCCTTGCCTAACCACGTTCTACAGCCCCATACCCAGCGCTACCTCCATACGATTACAAAGACCTCAACCGAGAGCGTGCTGACAAGTTTGCCGCCGTCGCTGTGGCCGGGGAGAAAAAGTACGTTTCTGAGCCTCCATGTCCTGCCACATGCCGGGTGTACTGACTTTCCCAAGATACTTCCACGGCTTATCCAGCATGGAAAGGATTGTTGTTCATCCAGCATACTGGAGGCGCGGTCATGGGTCGGCAGTGGCTCGGTGGGGAGTAGCCTTGTCCGACATCGACCAGCTTGATCAAGGAGTTGCCGCAACCAGCATGGGAGCAAAACTGTTCAAGCACGTTGGCTATGAGTGGCTGACTGACCTTCATGTGAAGGGCGATGATACAAATCCAGAAGGGGTCATGTTCTCGCTTCTCAAACACAAGGCCATGGGGGATCCAAAGAACAAGTGGTGCGTGATGATGTAGCATGCTACGTTTTTTGGGGTGTCATCGTGAGACGCCTGGAACGTCTTTCAGAGTTTATCCTTCGCATTAGTTTATCATTCGCTTTAGTTTATCCTTCAAATTAGTTTATCCTTAGCCCTCAAATAATCAATCATGCATTAGTTCGGCTCATTAGACTAGTCTCGCTCTCTGTGCAGCTGCACCGAATTGATCAGCAGGCGTTCCTGTAGAACTCTTCAATCCAACATCGGGTGTGGCTTGAGCTACAAGTAAGCAATCTGTCACATCCAGGGCAAGTGAAACGTACAGTATAATGATTGGGCAGAGTAAAATCTTGCATCACTGCCTTGAGGTATTGACCGGCCAATCCGGTCGTGTATTCTGATCGGCCGGGAAGCTGTGGTCGACCGGCCAAGATGTCCACGACACCAGCTACGCTTTTTCTAATGCCTAGCACACACCATAACAACTGATTCGCGCCTAAAATAACACCAGCTGGGGGATATTTGTTTCAGTGAAGAGAGTAACTAAACGCGACGTTCAACCCCGGAACTAAGCTAGCTGGGTCTGTCTTATAACTGCATTACTCTACCGACACGCCTGTTTCCCGGAGCCTCCGCCAATATCCGGTCAATATGGGGTCTCACAATTCAAATACCGAAATCCTTGAACGTCATTCGACTGGGCCCCTCAGATCGGAAACAAATCATGTGCTGACGACTGGTATTGGAAGTTGGTGCAACAACCTAAGTTCCGCCATGAACAATAGTGACGCAATGGTCACGGGGACGGACAACTTACTCGCATTCCATCAAATCAATCCTGGTAAACAACTTATAAGCCAGCTTGTTCAAATATTAGGCACCATACACGCACCACCAATTAATGCCATCCTGGTAGGCGAAACACGGTTTCACGAAGGCGTTATGCAAAATGGGGTCATCAAGACTGCCACTGGAGAGGAGAAACAGGGGATGAGACCAGATAATGACGATGCTATATCAACTGCAGCGCAAAATTGAAGTGGCTAGACTGTTAGCAGCGCTGCTGGACAAGCTACCTAAGGTTTGGGTTAAAGATCAACAACATTGTATGACCACGGTATGATGTGGATATTCCAAACCAAATAGCCTCTATCCTAAATTTATTGTTTATAATAGCTATTGGGAGCTTGACTAATTATGCCAGATTATCTGTAAATCTTACTCCTAATATGTTTTTAATATCTTACTTTATAGAACCGTCAATAATTCTCTCCGCATGTGTGAATACTATATTACGAGATTTTAATTAAACCCAGCTTCAGATAGTATCTATACCCACCATGTACCGGCGGACACCTTCGACTCCGAGAAGGTGAGAGAGACACTCCACTTTAAACAAACCGATTAAGATGAGGCAGCCTAATGGCTAGATTACGTGGCCTCACAGGTGCGGTGGAATGTTTACAAGCGTATCACCAGACATGTTAGATAGAATTTCTCCTCGCTCGCCACCTCAAGAAGCCGAGGACAATTTCGCTCAGGGGGCGCGAGTGAAATTTGCCCATTCATCTCCAGAGCAAGCACTTTGGTCCTCGGAGGCTAAAAGAAAATTCAAGTGTCGATGCAGCACACAACATTGGTGAGCTTGGAACAATGGGTTGACCAAACGGGGCCCGCCGTGACTGGCCCCCCATGGCGATGCGGAGGCAAACCAATTGCTGAATGCCTTCTCACAATCATCCCCGAATGGACCCGCTCGTGCGCCATTCCTAGAGGCCCAGGCGGCCTCTGCTTCATCTTGGTGAGTGGGACTGAACCCCAGAGGATGCGTTGCTCGGGGCATGTGCTGATGAATCTTCTTGACACGGCAGCGGTATACACATGCATCGGTCGCGATCTCGGCGATTATACCCACAAGATCAGTGACCGATGCCGACTCACTGACTTGCCGTGCACCCGTAGTATACTCCGTATGACCACTTGAAAGTGTGAATCTCTGATTACCAGCTACTAGGCGGTTCTGATCGCTTTAACCAAGCACTCCGGCGCTGCTATGGCCTGTGTGATGCAGAAATTTGTCACGTCTCAATTCCGTATTGCCATCTCGTCGCCCCTTGCCTGACGAGTCATTTTAACTAAATGATAGAAAGTCCGTTCCTCACATCTCACTGTTCAAAGCTTTGCTCAATATCGGCCGTTCCGTAGTCGATCCAGTCTGGATTCAAATCTCAAGTCGAGTATCCAGGTCGCTCCCAATTTCGAAGGATCTTTGCTATTTCCCTGTGCCCCTCTTTGTACGCGAACTCCGCCGCCTTATGACATCGCTCTTCCAGAAACTCCACATTGTGATCATTCTCTAGCAACAAATGCACGATATCAAGTCGGCCATGCTCTGCAGCTCCCTGCAATGCGGTTCGGCCCCCCTGCTCTGACGGGGCTGCGTTTATATCTGCTCCTTTCTCAAGGAGTTGAAGCACAACGTCAAAATTCCCCCTGATTGATGCATATTGCAATGCTGTTGCACCGTACTCGCGGGAGGGCGGAGCGTTAATGTTGGGGTTACGGCTCAGTAAAGCTTGGATGAGTTCATCGTTGTCTTTGAAGGCGGCTGCTTGTAACGAGGTCTTCCCGCTTCTAGATGATGCAGGAGCGTCTATTTCAGCACCATCATTTAACAGCCTCAGAGCTAACTCATTGTTATCGGCGAGAATGGCCGCCTGGAGAGCCGTGAATCCAACCTCTGATGCTGCAGGGGAGTTGATATTGGCGCCGGACTTCAATAAAGCTTCTATCATCTCGCTATGGTCCAAAAAAATGGCCAGTTGCAGTGCAGTGAAACCGAAGTCCTTTGCGGGGGGGGAGTTGATATCTGCACCTTTTTGAAGTAATAAGCTTGCAGCATCGTTCAAAGAACAATATGCGGCCAATTGAAGCGGTGTGACTTGCAAGTAGGTCCCACTTGGGTGATCAAACATTTGATTCATCAACACGTACTCAAACATAAGCTCCAAGTAGTCCACCAAAATGGGAGCATAGCCGTTGATGTTCGCGCCGTGGGAAATAAATGCATCCAAAAACTTCATGTTGGCAAATTCGTTGCATACCAGAACAAACGAAAAATACAGAGTGGGGGTGCCGGGATCTGTACGTTCGGTTGGGTCTGCTCCTCGATCTAAGAGTAGTTCGATAGCATCAGGGTTTTCATATCCAACTGCGTGGCGAAGAAATGTCCATCCACTTTTGGCCGAATCACGGCCATTGATATCTACCCCATGATTAAGAAGATTTAGGACAATTTCGTACCTAACAGACTGTTCCTCGCTATCATGGTCATGCTTAAAAGGCGATACGCCTTTTACATGGCTAACATCTGCTCCGTACTGGAGGAGTAGGTTGACCAGTTCAAGGTTCATATTGTCAACTGCCATTTGAAGGGGTGTGGTGGGATATGGCCAACACTCGCAATTAACGTCATCGCAATTCGCGGCATCGATGCTCGCGCCAGCTTCCAGCAGGCATTTCACAATTTGAGCTGATCCCCGATACTTTCTAACAGTGACGTGAAGACTCTTAGGATCTGGATACGCTCCAGCCTGGAGCAGTGCGGTGACGTGATCTATACTTTGGATTCCAACCGCGACACTCAAAGCTGCCGTGCCATTTTCAAGCAATGAATTAAATTCGGCGTTGGGACTGTGAAATAGCAGGAGCTCAAGCGCTGCTGAACTCCCAGCCTGGCTAGCTGCATAGAGCGTTGCCTCGTCCACGCTAGCTCCCCAGCTCAGCAGCACCCTAGCAACGTTCAAATGATTAGAACGGCATGCTATCTGTAAAGGGGTACAGTCGAAATAATCTTTCAAATTGACAAAGCCAAGGCATTGTGCCGAGGAATGCATGTGGCGTATTGTCTGAGGGTGGAGTGCAGGCAATGATTCCGAGGGAGGCGCTTGTTAGAACAGCTAGGAGTAGGTCAGTTAGTCCATAATCCGCCACTCTAGAGAGGAAGCTTACCTGACATCCCTCCAGGCCCATATTGAGGATAGGAGTATCTGCCCATCTCTTTCTTCATTCTCTTAGCAGAGATGACCATGCCATCTATGGTCAGCTTCGTCTCCTTCCCTTCAGCCTTCCGCTTCTGGACCAAGCTGACACTCTGCTTCCACTGGTGCCTGCTGACATTTTTCTTCATGCCCCAAGCCTTGAGCTTACGCACATATTGCTTGTCGCTAATCACTTGGTCAGCTCATTAAGAAAAGTGAATGCATCATTTGGAGCCGGGTACTAACGTTGCAGAAAATCCGTAGCGCTCCCTCATGATTTCGATCGTCTGGTCTAGAGTTTTGTCTTCGACCAGATACAAGGCGCGGATTTGCTTTTTGTGCGCGTCCCATTGCGCATTCGGGATTCTGGGGGCGTACGACATCTTGCGAGTCAAGATGACAAAACAGTTTCTGCTTGGGAGAAGCAAATGAACAATAGTGGGTGCAACTGAGAAAGAGATTGCCGTAGACAGGTTGTGCGAATGATGATGGATAGATTTGCGTGGGAGGGGAAGGAGGCCGCGATTATATAGGAATTGAGTCTGCCTTAGCCCCGCTTGAGACCGTCCAGGATGAATTTCTGTACGTGCCAGAATTCGCATTGTCGGCGGTGTTAGTGACAGACAAGCCATCTGGCGGGGCGTATCAATGGGCTTTTCAGCTTGTTCAACCCATGCATGCCACGCCTCAATGCCACGCACCACAGTAAGCCGCCTCACTTCGATAGCATCAAGTTCGTTTATTGGCCATGTCCAGAATTCACATTCTCCACTTCATGTGCGTCGGGCAACATCTGGTTGGTGAGCTTTTCTCCTCACTATCGATAATTGGATACGTTTGTAATTTGGGCTGGGTGTGTGCCACCGGCTGACCATGGCCAAAGTTCTGCATGCCTTGGATTCTGTGAAAATTACTCTTACAGTGGGACTGTTACGCGTGATGGCCAAGCAGAATGTGCATTTTGTCATCATGCAGTTGTGTATTCATCCCTTGGACAGTGAGTGCCAAGGCACCTTTGTGAGCCGGACAGGGATATCAGCGAATGAGAAAGAGTCGTGCCAATGGTCATCGGTTTCTGCCTGTTCACTTAAAAAAGGAAAAAATACCTAATCTGCCCCGTGTGCGAGACTTTGCGCGAAATCTTCGCCAAAACTACAGAGTTCGCAACCTCCAATGGCAGCTGTGGAAGAGCACCAAAAAAGCTGCCTCAACACTATCAAAGGGATGGAACGGACCTCGATTTCTGGCTTCGGCTAAGCTCGTTGTATGCATAACCAATTCGGGAGCCGACAAAAAAATAAGAAGAAGAGTTGAATCTTTAACTGGCGGTTTGTACCCTCAGGTTGCCGCCAAAAGCTTCATTTGGGATCCGGCAAAGAATCAGGCTGTTTACTGGTGAGGGAGTGACAGGACTAACAGTCACAGATCTTCGCCGTTGGCTCCACGACCAGCAATTAATTTCTGGCCATATTCAAGCTACCGTAATCGCAGGTAGCTCGCACGGACCTCTCCATGGCCCGAGTCTGCCAAGGAGGGCACGGATGAAGCAACCTTTCGCCTTTCGCCTTTTGGCACAAGTTCCTCGAGACATTCGCAATCAATAACATGGCGGGGTGCATCCTAGATCCCGCACAACTATGACACAGGAAAGAGCACCTGATACAAGTATCGTAATGATTTAATTCATTCGATAAACTTTTATTGATTATTTGTTTGAGTGAAGTGTTTGAGTGAAGTTAACTCTTGGTGATGTTGCCATCGTAGGGGCCGTGGAATCACATATAGACGAGACAAGCTGAAATTGCCAAGAGTTCAAGAATTACAGCTCACATTCCTCTGGCGATTTCCCTCTTAATATTTCGACTGGAGATACACCCAATGTTGACCCCGGTAAGTGAATGGGGCGCATTAGTGGCGGCTCCGGGCTCGGTGTTCTGAGCGGACCCGTAGGGGCCTTCAGCAGTCCGACATGGCAGCGAGGATGCAGAGTCAGAGGGCCTCGCCTGTTCAACCCCGACGTGAAATCATTGTGAAACGTCAGGGATCCTGCGACCATAGCCAGCACCAGGGCAATGAGCCCACGTAGTCTAAAGTCACAGGTAGATCGTGCCATTCAACAAAGCAGCAAAGAACATGTTGAGAAGATCAAAGCTGTGTTTTCCAGCCAGCTGAAGAGTGAGCATCAGGACGGGCTATACGGAGTACGACTTGGGTAAACTCCTCCTGTGGATGGCTCTCCAATTGAGCTTGGCATGCGTGACCTGTGCATTCTCACCTGGCTTCTGATTGGTTAAACCTCATCACATGGTGGAGGACCGAAACCGAAACCGAAGCCGAATGAATGCCTCCACAATGAATATTTCGTGGCAAATACCGGATCGACTACCTGAATTGGCCTTGTTTTTATGGACCAAGGCTAAACTATATGAGGCGTAGGTTTCCAAAGTCATTGGCAATGAAAAGCCCGGGGGCAATAAGTGGGGGAAGGATGCAGGGCCAATGTATTGAGTCGATACGGTGTGTGGAACCCCAGGAACCCCCTCTCCCCTTAATAGCTTCTCGTTCTTTCATAAAAGACCTCCTCTTGTTTTTCTCAATTCCGATTGCCTTCAAATTCCACCTCATCTTTACACTCACTTTCAACCTCTCAGACTACCTCATAAGCGATTCTCAACTCCTTTCTTGCATCTAGTTATCATCTCTGAAGATGCCTTCTTCCAATGTTGTTGTTATTATTGGCTGCGGTGGCATGGGCCTTCCCCTCGCCCGACGTCTCGGCGCTGGGAGGCAGCTTTTCCTTGCCGACTTCTCAAACGACAACCTGACTGCGGCTCGAGAAGTTCTCCTCGATGAGGGCTATTCTGTTGAAACAAGGACAATAGACGTGTCTGACTATGCGTCTGTGAGCGAATTCGCCCAAGCAGCCTCGTCGGCTGGCTATATCGAAACGATCGTGCATACAGCTGGCGTCTCACCAACCGGCCAATCCAGCCGCACGATTTACAGCATCAATCTCCTAGGGACCGCCAACGTCATCGACGCACTCTTACCAGTCGCGCAAGCCGGCACAAGTCTTATTTGCATATCTAGCATGGCGGGTCATTTATGTCCACCGATCCAGCCAGAGTTGGAACGCCACATGGCCACAGCCCCGAGAGATCAGCTCCTAAGCCACCACGACCTCGGGGTTGACGACACTAGTCCTGGAGGTGCACCCAAAGCTTATGCATATTCAAAACGGGGCAATCTACTTCGTGTCCAAGCGGCTGCTGCCGCATGGGGACGTCGTGGTGCTAGAGTAAATTCCGTCAGCCCAGGAGTCATCTCCACAGAACAAGGTCGACGAGAAATTGCTGGTCCCGCCGCAAAGTATGTTGCATCTTCTCCAGCTGCGAGAGTTGGAACGCCGCAGGATATTGTCAATGCTGTTGCGTTCTTAGCAGATCGCCAGTCGAGCTTTATAACTGGAACCGACATACTAGTAGATGGTGGGGTTACGTCATCTATTAAATGGAGGGGAACAGTGGATAGCAAGGAGTAGGTAGCAAGCGAAATGGTCAGTGGGATTTTGCGACGGTCAAGGTTCTAAACATAGTTCGTTCTTCAAGGCATAGGCCACGTTTTGCTCCTTTTGATATCGGTCAGTATGAATGGATGCATAGAGTGTATTTCACCTAGGTACTGTCTATCGTCGAATGGCTAGGTTCTTCTTATATAAGCTTAACTTTATACGGCTTATATAGAATCTTGAAGGTTAAATTAGTCTTAAATACTATTTGGTATCGGAGGTTGGGCCTGGGGCGATTGACTGAATTGAGGCCGAAAATATATTTCTCTCTCTTCTTTATCAATTCGTGTGTTTCAGCCATTTCACAGATTTCCAACGAGCCTAGCTACAGCTTATTTCCTCTTTAAATAACTGCATAATGAAATGCGAAAGATCATAATCCTGGAATCGAAAATTTCACAACTTGAGGCCGGTAGCTTACGTTGACATATTTTCCCAGTTGACATAGGGTTTCGGGGACAACCTCGAGACGAGGGAGTAGGCGGCTTGCCCCATAATGCCAACAGGTATGTCTTTTTAGCAGCATAACATAAAGACTCTCCAATAATGGCAAGGCAGTAAAGCAAGTTCGAGACATTGTCGTTCAGGTGAGATCGAGACAAGTGAAAATATTTCGCCATATTTTATGGCCGCTTGCTGCCCAGGTTTCTACTGTCAAAATTTTCAAGAGCTTTCGAATTTTTCCTCATCTGCATCAAATATTGGATGCTATCGTCTTAACTATAGTAACATTCTATCGTCTGGTGCTGGCCGAAGAATATAATTTGGGATTCGTTGCACTACACTGTAGCGGAGCGTTCATCTGCCTTTACTGTAACCGTCATTGCAATAATAACCCAAAGTTTTTGACGTTTGGTTGCCTTCTGCATTTATTGGCCCAAACGTCTCAAACCCGAGAAATGTTACACATCGAACGCCTTGACCCTTTTCGCATTTGCCATGGCAAACCTCGATTCCAGCAATGTCATCAACTTACTACATCCCTCCGGTGTATTCTCGGGGCATCAGGAGAGTCAAATCAACGATACTTATACGATGGTAGCTAAGAACCACTTTATTGAGCCACAAAAATGAGAGATATTCTTGGATACTCTAGCCAACCGAACTGACCTTGAACCCATAATTCAGCGAAGTACATTTATGGAGTTTGATTTCGACTTGGTCATCGCATGACACAACTGTCACTGAAGATGTTGTTGCAGCCTTCTCCGGGGGACTTATCTAGCAGATGAATTTGGCATTATCGGCTTTACTCGATCTCGTTAGATAGGCCACATGCGTACAGTTATTTCAAATAAGAGAGACGCACACTCGGCATTACGACCACGCCGGGAGATAGAGTAATCAATACGCCACGTTTGCCTGGCAGTTGCTTGTATCCCAAGCCGCTATTTCAACGCTTCTTTTCCAATCTTGCTGCCCACAGACAATAATCTCGTTGCCTGCGGTGAATAGCCTTGTCCCGACTCAAGGATATAATGTGGCAAATGGACTGAATTACGAAATATCAAGATCACTCGGATTGTAGGGAATAACTTGAACAAATAACGACCGTTGCAGAGGCGCTTCGTCACTGTAAAGAGAGTTTGGACTGTCTTGGCAATTTATTGCGTTGCGTAGAGGAAGCTAAATCAATATCTACGTCTTGTAGACACGTATGCTCATTCACCGGTACTATGCATAAAGTTCACAATTAATAGTGGACCGTGGTTAAAACAGCTGCTACCGTGGACAAGATGCCATATCAACTGCGCACAACAATAGGAATACGCGACAGCGACATAAACAACCAGCAGCAGCAGATTTGGTCATATTTGTATGATTACGTCGTCCTTGTTCTTTTGGAAGCAAGTAGAACTGTGCTTTGGGCAAATGTGTCATCAACCCACCAGGTATGCCAGAATATGGCAAACCCACCTTGGTCCCCAGACATACACCAGATCTTACAATTGAATGAGGGGCACTCCTGGGCAACTTTGTATAAAAGGCCAGAGCAGCCCTGGAAAAAAGCCTCGGACAGACGGAACGATTGAAAGTATGATTGCTGACTCACGCCCGATCCGTCTCGGAGGCTGGCGCTTATGGGCTCACTCGAATCGCGCAATCGCGGACTACGCAAGGTCTCTACGTTTGTCATCGTCATCCTCGAGAGCCGCCCGAGCAATGTTCCTGGATATCGAATAACGCCATATCTGCTCCGCGAAGCTCATTGGCGTGTCGTATCCCACGCGACCCGATTGAGCTGTGGGTTGGCGCTAGTGTTGGTTTCATCGAGGTTGAGCGCCACTCCGTGATCTTGAGCGTCGAGCACGCAATCTCTCACGCAATTCGATCATCAACCACGACGGCGAAGACGCAATCTGAGAATGCGGGGCTGAGGACGGGCGAGGTCGGGAGTTGGATCTGGGTATATAAGGAAGTGCCAGATTAGATGCTATGAAATCAATCAATTGCACCATCAAGTCCTCAATTGCACGCCCTCCTCCATAACAGCGGCTCAATTGTCCTACATCACACAATGGCACCCGGCGCTTTGATCGACGAGCCCGCCCTCGCTCCTTTGCCCCAGGTGAAGAATGCCGAGGCTCCCCGGTCCATCTTCCCAGACGGCATTCGAACCTCTGGCCAGCATCCCCCGCTGTACGACCGCCTAAGGCCGTACTCGGAGTTCCCGCAGGAGATTTCGGGCCCGACGCTGTGGAAGCAGGAGGACTATGTCGACCAGCCCGATAAATGGACTCATCCTTTCACGGATGAGGAGATCCAGGAATTGAGCGATACCGCAGACCGGTTCATTGCCAGTGGCACTCCGCTTACCGGCATCTCCAAGGTAGGCCAATTCAATCCCCAGCAGGCGGCACTCAACTGACTCCATCCACAGCACAACTTCCCTCTCCCCATACTGAGCAAGTCGCTGGCCGCCCTCCGCGAAGATCTCATCGACGGCAAGGGCTTCATCCTCTTCAAGCGCTTCCCCGCGACGGCGTGGGGACCCCACAAGAACGCCGTGGCCTACATGGGCCTGGGCACATATCTGGGGTACTTTGTGTCGCAGAACGGCCTCGGCCACGTCCTCGGCCACGTCAAGGACGTGGGCGACGACGCGACGCAGATCGACAAGGTGCGCATCTACCGCACCACGGCGCGGCAGTTCTTCCACGCCGACGACGGCGACATCGTCGGGCTGCTCTGCGTGCACCGCGCGCTGGAGGGCGGCGAGAGCGACATCGTCAGCATCCACAATGTGTGGAACCATCTCCAGCGCGAGAACCCCGACGTGGCCGAGCTGCTCACCCAGCCCGTCTGGTACTTTGACCGCAAGGGCGAGGTGTCGGACGGCGAGGAGCCGTGGGTGCGCCAGCCCGTCTTCTACCTGGAGAACGGCGGCAAGGGCCGCGTCTACTGCAAGTGGGATCCCTACTTTGTGCGCTCCCTGACGCGCTTCTCCGACAAGGGCCTCGTGCCTCCGTTGAGCGATGCCCAAAAGCACGCCATGACCGTCTTGGAGGAGACGTGCCAGAAGTTGGCCCTACACATGATCCTCGAGGTCGGCGACATCCAGTTCGTCAGCAACGCGCATCTCCTCCACGCGCGGACGGCGTATGTCGACCACAACCCGCCCACCCCTCGCCGGCATCTGCTCCGTCTGTGGCTATCGACCCCGGAAAGCGAGGGCGGCTGGGCGTTGCCGATGCCCGACAGCCACGAGAAGAAGCGTGGAGGAATCCAAGTAAACAACACGGCGCCCAGATGCCCTCTGGATGCGGAATAGACAAAATTGAACTTTAGCGGCCATGACGGAATAATGAATCACAATTTAAGAGCATAAATAATAATACAAAAAGTTTAAAACAATCAAATCATTGCTTCATGAGTGACGGATAGTACGTAATTGAACCGAAAGTCGATCCATAGCGTGCGATGGTAACATCGCCGGAGGCATAAGCTAGAGGGACACAAGCGCTCACGCGAAAGGGATTATGCAAGTTTCGTAACGGGTTGACTAAATCAGCATTGACCGCTCATCAATGTTCTAGAGACTTGTCTAAGAGCGTCTAAGTCTAATACATGAAGCAAAATCACGACTGCACGCTCGTCTACAGCAGGAACTGGATCGCGATAGCGAACAGAATAGTGAGCAGGGGAAGACAGAACAGGAATACCTCTGGGCCATTAGCCATCTCGTCAAACCACGCTTCCCAGCTGGGCGGAATCAGATCAAAGAGGAAATCCGGAGGGCCTGCCTGCCGTCGCTCTAGCACGCGCTTGAGCAGATGCTCGCTCTGGTCGCGGATCTGGACAACCAGGCTGTGACGAGCCGCACCACTGTGCGCAGCGTGACGCACCAGCAATGTCTGCTTCGCGGCGTCGTATGACCAGTCCCCATCGCTGACGCTGACGCGAATCTCGTGGTTGGCGTAGTGGTAGTTTGGCATGAACACCTCGGTCAAACGGGCCTTGTCTGCGGACAAATCGTCTGTTGTCGTCTGTTTCTCACTGCCGCCTTCACTGCTCCACTCAAACTCGTACCGGAGTGTTCGGTGGTCCCAGTCCGAACGGATCGGCTTCCCAGCAATCTTGGCAGCATACGGCCGGATAACAACATCCAGCACTCGTCCTCCGCGGTACATTTCATCGTCTTCATGGGACCGGTTTCGGTAGTCTTGGCGGCCAAGGCTATGCTCCCCGATGTCATCGCCGTTGATGATTGAAAAGTCCTCCTTGTTCCACCCATCGCCGTACTCAAAGCGGTTGTGGGGGTTGTAATTCCACAGAGTGAACCCCACAAAGTTGTCCTCCATGGCGGAAATTAAAGCGTTCATCAGTTCTCGTTGCTTGTCATACCACCCCGTTGCGAACGCAGCGCCGCCGTTGATATCGTAAGGAATGCCGACCTCGCCGATAACCGTCGGCACCTCGCCGAGCGAGAGCTTTCCGTGGTTGGCGACATTTCCAATCTGCGTTCTGTAGTTCCTCCGCAATGCCTGTGCGCCAAAGTAAAGACCCTTGAGAACAAACATGCCTCGTGACAGGCCCTGCACGTTGACACTCATGAACGCGTGGTGCTTGCTGAACAGCACGTTCAGATCGTAGAAATGGGGGGCGTAGACAAAGTTGGCCGGACGAGGAGTGTTGATGACCGTCTGGACGGCATATTTCTGTTTCGGCGTCTCTTTGTTCTCTGGAAGCTGTGCAGGCCAGGGAGGCATGAACTCGTTTGGGATGGGCTCAACGAACGACATCTGGCGAGAAGACTTGCGCGAAACACGGTCCGAGAATTTCTTGAGGAAGGGAGCATAGCAATCGCGATACCACTCAATCTTGTTCCCTTCACGTCCTGGGCGATGATCCGTCTCGAAATACTCTTTGTTCAGCACGACGGGCGCCTTCTTTTGTTCGTCCCACTCCCACACGCCATGCGCACGCCAAACACACTGTCCCATTCCGTGCTGGGCCTCGGGCGACTTGCCATGGAGAGACAACCACGCGGACCGGCCCTTGGGATCGACAACGGACTTGTGGGAGACGCGGGTCGGGAACGGCCACGACTTGACGTAGAACTTCACCTCTTGCGCATAACCGCTGCCGAGCGCCAGGGCCTGGGCGAACGAAGGGTAGTGGCCGATGTGCAGGTCCGTGTCGTAGTTCCAGCCGTGGAAGTCGTGCAGGTTGACCAGGCCGCGGTGGGGCTCGTTGAGAGGCTCGAATCCGAGGCAGGCTTCGAGGTCGACCAGTTCGTCGGCGAGCTTTCCGAAGGCCTCGACGAAGGAGTCCTGGAGGTATTCTTGGATCGAGACGTGCTCGGAGCCGGCCTGGCCGCCAATTGGAGAGCGGCGGCATTTCAGCTGCGGGGCGAGGGCATCGCCAGCCCAGAACAGAGTGGCCATGGTCGACGCAGCGAGTTTCTGGTAGCCAGACGGCCACAGGAAAGGACCACTCGGTTCTCTCTCGTCGACAAGTCCATTCGCTCGCCGTTCCTCATCCTGGCCGTGGACGTAGGCCGCACCCGTTTCAGTAAAGGCCTCGATATCCAATCCCGCCGCCTCAAACGTCCACCCGGGAGCGCCGCTTCCTCCGCTGAACCGGCTCCAGACGTCCTGGTGCGCGCACACGAAGCACTTGATGCCGTACTGCGGCATCATCTCGACAAGAGCGCGGAGGTAGGCGATGTACTCCACGTCCAGATCCGCAGCCGGGTCGGGACCGGCGTGGCCCAGCGCCTCCCAGGTGACGAGCAGGCGCACGACGGGCAATCCCCAGGTCTGCAGGCGGCGGAAGTGCAGCGGCGCCTCGTCCAGAGGAAACGGCCGGCCGGCGAAGGTGACGGTGCGGTGCTGCTCGTAGAAGCCGTCGGTGAGGTGCGACAGGCCGTTGGGCTCGGTCGGCAGCTTGCTCGCGCCCGAGACATTCAGGCCGCGCAGCGACAGCACGCGGCCGTGGACATCGACAAAGTGGCCGTCCTGGATGCGGATTGGGCCACCCAGCGCCGCGGCGGAGAGGTCGTGCGCTGCGAACGAGGCGACCATGATGCCGGGATTGGGTGCGGTTTCTTAGTATCTGGGTATCTTGGTGGTGTAGCGGACACGTTGACCGCCAAAGAATAGCCGCGCGCGTTGGTTCGTTGGCTGTGTCCACTGTGCTCCAGGCTGCAGCCATCGACTCCACGTGTTTATGTGCATCACAGATGGCGAGACAGACTTGTAAAAATGAACGCTGTTGGTATTGATGCCTTTCCAAATGCCTTGGGATATAAAAACTCATAAATCATCGCTCGCTAGGAATATGCTGCTCGTAACGCCGCCAACTCCAACCCAACCCAACCCAACCAAATATCCATCACCTTCTCTCAAAGCCCGTCACGGTCTTGACCTTCTTAGTAGCCATTTCACCCCATTCCATCATCTGAATCGCCGGCGACCGCGCCATACTCGCCCGATCCTGCGACACGTCGCCTTCCAACCCAAAGCCCGGCGTCTTCTCGCCCGAGTACGACGGCACCATGCCGAAGCCGACCTTGACGTGCTTGGGCTTCGTGTCGGCGCCCCATTGCACCTTGTTGAGGCTCTGCCCGCGCGTCGCCGCAATGATGGACGAGAACTTGTTGTCGCGGAACACGCCGCCCTCCTCCTGGATCGCAATCAGCCCGGACACGACGCCCGCCGTCGCCATCAGCATCGCCACCGCGTACACGACCCACAGCTCGGCCTTGCGGTACACGAAGGCGTTGGCGGTGCGCGAGCGGATGCAGGGGTACTTCTCCTTGGGACCCGGCGACGACGTCACGCCCGACGGCTGCGAGGGGTCCTGCGCCCACGAGACGGCGAGGAATTGCGGGTTCGACAGCAGGGAAAAGATGATTTCCTCGTAGAATTCCTCAATCTCCTTGAGGAAGTTGTGGACCGGCAGGTAGTTGCGCATCTCGATCAGCCGCGTCTCAATGGCGTCCGTCTCAGCCACGTAGTTGGGCATCGCGATGGTCCCGTTGATGATGTCTCGCATCACCCTCCCCAGCGAATGGTACGCTGCTGTGCGCCGGTACTTTTGCACATCCTTGGGCCGGACGTAGTTGAGCGACGGCACGGCCGTGACATTGTCCATGGTGCCGTCGTTTGCCAACTGCCCCGGGATATATCTCGTGTCGATGACCTTGTTGAGATACTCTCGCTTCTTGACCTTGTAGGACTGTATGCCGCTGGTGTAGTTGAACTGCACCGTGTATTTGGTCTCGTAGTGTTCGCACCCAAAGATCTTGGGCGTGTACGCCGTATCCCAGCCCTTGACGCTCCGGTTTTGCGGCTGGCGCTGCGACAGGTCCTCGACGTCGGCGTATCCGATCCAGATGATGGGTTCGGTCCTGAAGGCGCCCAAGTTCTCCGGGTACGGCGGTTCCATCTTGGGGTTTCCTCTGTCCCCGGTGTCGATCTGCTGCGCGGCGTAGTCTCCCTGGCCCGTGACGGCGAGGTACGAGTAGTTGCCAACGGGGATAATCGCATCCGTCGTAAATGGTGCCGTGGACTTTCCGAGCTTCCGAACCTTGGAGCCAGTTCCCGAGGCGACTTCCTCGCACTTGTATGCCGGGGCAACAAACTCAATGACGAACGAGCAATTCCACCCAGCACCGCATATTTGCTCGGGGGCGTCCTTTCGCATAGTGGCCTGCTGGAGATAGGCGGCCCGCCATGCGACCTGCTTGAACTGCGAGCTGCTTTCCGTCCAGTAGTCGAAGGAATACGGGTTGAGAGGGTCGGGCTCGGACCCGTCGGTGGTGGTGTTCCAGAGCGAAACAGACAGCCCGTATAGGCCCTCGATGGAGATGGGCGTGCGCCAGTCGTTGACCTCTTCGTGTGTAAAGTTGAGCGTGCGAATCGCGGGACAGTGCGTCCGGAGTGTTTGCGTCTGGGGCGTCACGGAGAGCGTCTCGGACGTCAGAATGACGATGAGAGGCGTGCACCAGATGTACACGGCCAAGCACATGGCCAGCTTCGCACTGCGCAGGGCCTCCCAGTTGAACAGCGCCGTAAGATCTTCCGCCGCCGCAAACAGCGAGTCGACGGCTGCGAGGCTGAGGATCTTGCGCCGGACCATCATCCACACGCGTTGGCGGAATGCCAGAATAACTGCAGTCACCAGGTTCGCCTTGGCGAGGAAAGCCAGCGCAGTGCCATATCGCAGCATCCGCGACTGGTTGTCGGCTTCCTTTCCGTCAAGACCATTGTAAAAGATGTGATGGCCAGCGGCGAAGAGAATGCCCGCCACCAAGAAACAACACATGCTCCAGGCCTCGGACCAGAAGCCCTGCCACCACGCGATGAACCGGAAGAAGCCATTGCGATCCTGCCACCTCGTCGAGCGCACGTATTCCGGCGCGGGAGCATCGCGTCCGACTTCTTCGGCCCGCGTGCCCTGCGTCAGAAGGTGGGCCTGGCTGTCCTGAGGGCCCTGGTCGGCGAGAAACCTGGGGGATGTTGTTTGCGGGTACGTCTCCCACGGCGCGGGACTGGCGAAGTTGGGCTCCGGGGCGTGGCCTGGAGGAGGAGCGTTTGCGGGACTGACGGCGGGGACGGGGACGCGGCCGAAGTAGCCTGGTGAAGCTGGTCCTGGGAATGCGTGTTGCGGCGTCTCGGGTGAAATTGCTGCGTATCCTTGGTGTGTCGGCTGCGGTGAATTCCTCCTCGATCCTTGATGTGATTGCTCGGGCGAATTCCTTGAGAATTCGTACTGCAAAGGTTGCGGTGACAGGCCGGAAAACCCGTGTTGTGTCGGTTGCGGCGAATGCCTCGTGTATCCCCTATACGTCGTCTCGGGCGAGACAGGCTGCGAATGATCCGGTAGCAGCGGGTTTCCAGAGGCATCTCTGCTCGGTCGCCAGTCGGCTTGGTGCGTGTAAGGCTCCATGGCGAAGCACGGGGCGGGCGGCGATCGACAAGCGTTCGGGGCCGGTCACTCGGACCGTAGCGGCGGCAGTTGGACGTCCAAGAAGCAATCAACGGCTGGCCGAGCGCAGCAGACGCGGGACATGGTGGGTTATAACACACAATTCGAACTTAGACTCAATAATAAGGCTGGGCCTGCTCTGGTTTAGCTCTCGTAGCTCTGCCACCGGGCTATATTAGGGTGCAGACGCCGAGGGTGAAGGCGCGTTCCAGGCCCATCTCAAGTGCCTCAGCCCTAGCACCAGCGGCGATGGGGCCAAGTGCCAGGCCGCCACAGCTGAACCCTCGCCCATGGCGCGTCCAATCGCTTCGGGCTTGGGGCCGACAGGGAAAAGGCTCCCGCCGAGTGTGACACGGGTGGAGCGAAGCCGTCTGCAGTCAGCACCGCCGCGCTGACGGACACCACCTTGCTGCGGCCGGGAACTGCGGACAGCCGCTGCGGATTCCAAGACCGAGCGAGCGAATCGAAGCCCCTGGCGGGTCGTCCCAGCACCACGTCGCGGTTGAGATGAGATACGAGGGGCTGTGGGGGGAGGAAATGATCGCCGACTGCAAGTCGCTACCACCCTCCCTTCGGCCACCAGGTTTCAGGGTTCAATTCGTCTGGATCCCCGGCCCCGTACGTACGCACCTTGAAGTAAGCTTACCCGCTCCTCAATGTCTAAACGGGAGCAGTGGATCTGGATCCTGGTCTGGACCCCGAGGGGAGACGCCTGCATGCCAAGACAGCCCTGTGTGGCGGTGAATGCACGACGGGTAAAACACTCTCATTCTGGCCAGGGCAAATCGCAAATAGCATGTGGATCGCCGAGGGATTCAGCCGGCAAACCAGAACTGGATCAGAACTGGGGTTGATGCTTGGCCCATGGCATAAATAATCACTCCCCCGACCAAGTTTAATGACGGAGAGACTGTTTCACACGTCGCCAAGCCTGAGTCAGCCCTGTTGGTCCCCGACAATGGCAGTTTTTCCGCCTTGTTGAGATTGCAATGAATTATCCTTGGAAGAGCATGCCATTGCATCCAGGCCAGTACAACCCAAGTTCAATTTTTCAACGACATCCATTACCAATTGATTGGGTTTGGTCAATGAGGTTTTCCCCATGTCTTGAGCACGCTCTGCCAAGCTAACAGACACCGATGCGTGGCCCAAGCGCAAATACTTTAATTCTCACTGAATCGCATAGCGCCCCAAGCTCGTCCCCAATAAATATCTTGCCTGTCGTACTACATCACCCGCATAGCCGGTTCGCAGTGAGACTGAAGACGGCCAATCCCATGGCAACGGAACCGCCGCAATAAAGTGAGCTCGCCGGGATGGCGTCGCCGTGGGATGGTCAGCCGATGCAGGCACAAATACTTCTGTTGGTGGGATGTGACCCGATGCACCACAGCTGAAAACTTTACACGGAACTCTCCAATAACGCGACTCTCCATGGCCGGGAGTTCCGTCGACAAAGCTTACCCCGCGTCTTGTGACGGGTCTTACCGAATTGTAGCGATAGACAGAATTGAATTGAACTCTTCCGCCGTCACTTCAATTAGGCGAACCGGATGGGTGCTTATTTTGGTAGACTCGAAGTACTAAGAGGGCCTCAAAAGCACCCCCCCTTGGGCAGGTTCCTCATACAAGAGGGGCAAGCAGTACCTGCACCGCCGGGGGTGCAACCAAGGTCTGTTCATATAAATTAAGTAACCATGTCTGAGCAAGCTACAGCGCCTCAAGCTTCCAGCTGCTAGAAGCTTAGGGCGCTGTAGCTGCTGTAGCTGCTGGAAGCTTAGGGCCCTGAGTAGGAAAAAGTCGATGATTGGGAAAATAAAGATACATCAATGCTCAGTAACTTATATGGGGGAGTATGTCATTCGTTTATAATATTTTATATCAGTATTCTGTGTAGCAGTGTATATTATTTATCTACCTGGGCCTATGAACTTAATGGAATGACGGATATATTGGGACGTATACTAATTGAAGTCCAGGCTTACATATTCTCAGTGTTTTTTTTTTTCAATTAACAACCTTTTTCCCACTTAATAACCCCTTCGCAAAGGAGGAATAAGTGATATAGAGGGGTTGTAAACCCGGGTTTTTAGTGGAGTTAGCCTCAATTTAGTTAGCGAAAGGGTGGTCGGCCATAGTATTCCATTGTCCCTTTTCCATATGATACCTGATGAGGTTCAAGTTGAATGGATGTTCCGAGAGCTTGAATCACAAACATAACCAAGTCTTGTTCTGTCGTCTTGAATTAAGTGGCATTCAGCTGCTAATTCCAGGGTACATTAGATCGTAACTTCTATTGCTCATCATAAGTACCCGCGTCCACCGATGCAAGTCCCCCTACTGACTACCGACAACGTAAGGAGTGAACTGGAAACAATTTCCCACATCCGCACTGCTACCAATTCGCCAATACACACCGCAGTCGTAATTGGTAGTTCCACGGGTCCCTTGGCAAGCCAAGGGGCAAGTGTCGTCGTCGTTGTACAGCACATTGCAGACCACGTTTACCAGGTTGTTGCCGCTAGAACCAAACATGACGTACGAATCCGTGCCGCCTGCGTTGGGGTCAGTTTCGCCTTCGCTGCCGCTCTTGGATCCGTTGTCGGCCGTCAGAGTACCATCAGAGTTGATGGAAAATTCGAGGACGGTGACGCCATTTTCAGCGTCATCACCGACTCTGCCGTCGCCAATGTCGTAGAACGGGTGGCCGTTGTTGTCACCGCCAATAGCGTACACTTTGAAAGTCGGGATAGCAACCACGGCAGTAGTGGAGGTGTAGATTGTTTCATAATTCGTCACCGTCGAAACGTCCGTCTCGGTATTGGTAATCGTCTCCGTCTCAACAAGAGTTGCTGTAGCAGTGGCAGTCACGTCGTCCGTATGGGGAACCTGCGAGCGACAATTTAGAAAAGCCTCCAAACCAGCGAAAAAGAGACAGGATGCTGGTGACTTACTGTGATGGAGACCACGGTTGTGGTGGGCGTTCTCAGGGTAGTCTTTTTTGTGGTTGTGGATGGCTTGATGGAGAGACACTTGCAGGCCGAGGAGAGGGCTTGGCCAGCCTGGTACTTTCCAAAGCATCCGGGCTTCGAGGGGCTTTTAACACTACGCTTCGCTGGGGCTGTCGGAGATGCGCACGTGGTAATATACGTAGTCGAGACGGTAGAGATGGTGGACACAGTCGTAGTGTAGTCTGTGACGGTTGCAGAGTCCGTCTCCGTCGCGGTGTCGGTCTCAGTAACAGTCTCGGTCGCGTCTGTGGTTGTGAACTGCCCCGACGTAATGGTAGAGTGGATGGTGACAGTCCTGGGTAATGTTAGAGGCGGCGCCGCCGCAAGGGAAAGAGACTGCCATACGTAGTGTAAGAAGTGACTATTGAGGTCGCCATCGACAGGGGCACGTGAAGGTACGAAGAGCAAAAGGCCGTGGCCTGGGCAGTCTCATGGCCGGCGGATATAAGACTCTTGACAATGGTGCAAAATGGTTTAGGAGGTCCGTTAGGGGGACTGCCAGACACGCAACCCTTAACAGTGTCGTAGTATCCGCTGTAGTAGCATCTCTTGGGGGGAGGTAATGGGGTGCAACCCTTGCCCGTGTCCCAGTACTGCTTGTTGGGGCATACACCGGACGCGGGGGCCTTGGGGATCGACAGGCCTGCAGTAGTACTGGCGAGGGCCAGAGCGAGACTGGCTGCGGTGTTGAAATGCATGTTTCGTGCCAGGGGGGAATTTGGAGGTGATGGGGTGCCAAGAGATCGGATGCCAAGGGATCGGGTGCCAAGAGATACTAATAGATCGAGACGGCATATATATATATATACTAACACTTGGCAGGTCCATTCGCCGTAGTCTCCGACGTCCTAGACGGCTCTCACGATGCCGAAGCTGAAGTTGGTTGCCAATAGCGGCTCAGCCATAGGCCCAACACAGGGTCGAAGCTGAGCGGAACGCGCGCGGTCATCAATATTTCCAGTCTACTTCACGAGCTAGACAATACTCCGGCCAGGGCCAACGGTGCGGCGTCACTTGCCGAGCACCCTGTCAGACTAAGCATAGTCAGATACTCGTCACGCTATTGGCAACGGCGAGAAGCCAATAGGTCCATGATTCAATAGCTTCATGTTTGTACATGTATTCATGACTCTACTCCTCTTGGTTGGCTTTTCTACACTGCTTCAGCAAATGATGTGGCTGAGGACCCCTGAACAGCCATTGTTCTAGACCAGCAGATATATCAGGTGGGTGGCTGTCGGTGTGTCAGTATTGGATCTAGCTTCAGAAAGCCATGGCAAAAACAGACCAAGGCGAAGCTGGGCGAGGTTGAAGTCTCACGTCATCTTCTTAACGCAGTGGGAACTCTGTGTAAGACCATAAGGCTGAGTACCTAGAATACGTGTATTCCGTATTGTACAATGCGTCGTTTGGTATATTGCTCCTCTATCCCTTAAACGCGTAAAAGACGAAGGAAAATGCCGTGCCAGTCTTAAATTGGATGTCTTCTTGTGGCACTGTTGGGTATCTCGCGCCTAACTTAGAGTGAAACTCACGGCAACTCGGCACCGATCTGCCGAAGACCCACAACACTTCTCCGGCTACTCCGGAAATTCCTGGGGATTAAGCCTGGGGAATATCCACCATGTTGGTTCTGGTCAGCCTAATGCTATCCCCAATTATGATTAGCGAAGCAATAGCGTACCGGCGTCTCACCAGGTCATGGCTCAGCTGAGCAATAAGCATCATGAGATGACCTCGAGTGGGAACGGCACTCGGCACGTCGGCGCTAAGGGGCCTAGCTGAGAATGGAAGCACGGAATTGTGAGAGGATTAGGGTTATACATTTGAACGGCGACCAACAATAAATGCCCAGTCGCCTTTGAGCTTGATCGATTATACTAACCTCAGCCACCCATAGCCATGACGTAGGCATACTTTTACAGGAGCGCAATGCCGAATTTGGGGCATGGATGTTGGACTGTTCACATGCAGCTAGCCTCAATGGCCATACTAAAATTGCCCGACTCTGGAGAAGGAGGCAGACGACAACCCAGATGATGACGATGGACAGCAAGCTTCGTACTTGGCAACCACTTCAATTGGCGGGGAAGATAATGAAAGCAGAACGGTGTCACATGTAGCCAGCAAGACGGATACTGACGAAGAGGCTGAGTGGAACGGAAAGTTAGTAAGTTCTGATAATCTAAGCCCCAACAGGAAAGCCATGACCGACGTCTAGTCTGGTCGCCATGCAGCTGTAATGTAGCTTCTTATGGAAAGCAATTCCAACCTTGTAGCCAAGACACATGGAAATCAGAAGGCACTAGACTATGCAGAAGGACGAGGCCAGAAATTCAGGATAGGGAAGATCCTAGAACATATGATGGGTAACGACACCTTGGCTCGAGATGACGATGGCTGGACAGCGCTCTGCGTAGCGTTAGAAGGCCACAAGCGAGATGATGCAGTGAGATATTTGTTGGCGTCAAGCAAGGGAAAGACTGCTGAGTTCAGCCGCCGAGATTTTGACTATGAGTCCTGGTTTCGGCCTGAAGCAAGTATAAAAGACATAGTATTCTATCAGATGCCTAAACAGAAGACTGAAAAGTGCAGGAGAAAATCGGTAGATTAGCCCTACTTGGAATTAAAGGTAGCTCGGGTATAGATATAACTTGATCTCTGGGGCGCCCTGACTTATCAGGTTGCTTCTCTAATTTATAGCTCGACGCTCCCTAGATAGAGGCTAACTTGATGCTATCCCTTATCTCTCACATGGTTCGCTAGATAGGCACGTGACAGCTCCTAAGTCGCTATTATCGAAACGTTCAATCGTGCCGGGAGGGTTTGGATCTCCTGGGTCAACTCACTGGATTATAACTTCACGGGTGGCAAACTCGAAATTCCCCAGGAGCGCTGGTTGCTCATGGCCAGCTCTCCTCTCAAACATGACACCAAGAAAGCGTGGGAGTCAGCTTTGGAGTTGGTCGATGAATCAATGACACAGCTATAGAATATCGCAAAAAGCCAGAAGGCCAAAAAAAAACCCATGCAGATTTCAAAAATCAGGGCAAGGGAATGGATGGTGGCTATAGAAATTAAAAGCTGCATTCCATTAACTGAAGAGGTGTTGCATTATTGTCAATACTAAAAGTATAGTCATTGGCATCTTGCTAGACCTCCCTTGGGCATGGAAAAGCTCGGAAAAAGGAAAAATGAGACAGCGTATGTCGCCGGCTTCCCTTGCCGAATCTCTGCCTTGTGCGACAGCTACTGGGTCTTCCTGGGTCTAGGGTAGGGACAATGCACGGAATACGAGGTTCAATCAGGACAAAGATGATCCGAAGACGCCAGAACATCACTCGCAACTACAACTACTTCGCCGATGGTCCGACTTACTGCCATTTCCGCGCCCAGGTCTCGTCCGTTGCGCAGCGATAACATCCTCTTCTACCGTCCAGGCTATCCAAGCCCAGTCAACATTCTATTTGGCCTGCCTCGTGTCGACCAGAGCCCGTCGCAACCCGACCTACTTGGCATTGATGCTCAGGTCGCCCTCCTAGCATGTCAAATCGTCGCTAACAATGCCTTTGCCACCGGGTATCTGGCGAGCGACGACAAGGGGACTCGCTGCGCCGACACTGACCCTGATTCGGTCCTAACGCGGAGTGAATATTGTTTTTTTGTTCAAGGAGATGGTAAGCGTGCGCTACCATATTCCCCAATCTCTAATACTAATGACGGCATAGACGAGTATCCCGTTGTTCCCAGTTTTCGGGACTGGCAGTTCCCCCACGATCGACTACCACCATTCTGGCCCTTACAAACGACAGAATCTAAATCGACCTCGAACCGGCGCCCTGTTACCAACACATCGTACGCCTTGACTGAAGCGCATATCATACCGAGGGAAGAAACCGAGTGGTTCTTAATCAATGGGATGCACCGATATGGTAGTGGACGATATGACATTGATGACCTAAGCAATATCGTTACGTTGCGGTCTGATGTCCGTATCTGTTTCGATCGCCGAGTCTTTGCGTTTGTCCCCAAGCCATACGAACATCAAGTGAAAGAATTCGTTGTACACATACTTGATCCTCGTCACACCGATTTTGTTACGTCATACCAGAACAGGACGGTATACTTGTCTGAAATGGTAAGCCCGGAGTACCTTTTTGCAAGGTTTGCATGGGCCATCATACACCTCGTCAAACCTTTCATCGTCGGCGGCGTCGACCGTCGAATTGCAATGTACAGCCGGGCTAAGACGGGGTCCGATGATGGTGGCGGTAAGGGACTCCCGAAAGCCAAGATTGAGTTGCTCGAAGACGCATCATTGATGGCTCTTTACGGAGGCGGTGGCAGTAGGAGTGCTAGTCCGCGGAAGCGAGAGGCCTCGAGTCCAAAAGACGAGTGCGAATTTGACGAATACGAGGAAAAGTCTGCGAAGGAGGCGTCAGATGATGACTGGTATGCGGAACACCTTGAGCTCGTACTGGACAGAGAGAGTCCAAGAGGGAGGAAACGGCAGAGGGCGAGTAACTCTTTAACTACGGATATGACGACGCCTCCACTAGCTTACTCGCCTGCCTCAAATGGTAGTATTGGCACTCACGACGTCTTGTGTTATCCTGCCAGAACTAGATTGAGGGTCGATCTTAGCACACCTATTTTGGATGAGATAACAAGCACTGGGCCTTTAACAAAGGACAATACTGATATTACAAACACAGGAATATTAAGAGGTTAGGGGGCTCTAGTAGATATACCCAGAGAGAGAACTGGAAGCTTAATAGTAAAAAAAACCATAGTAATAGAATTAATAATACAGATTATATATTTAGTTGACTTGAAAGTTAATATTTTACTGTGATAGATTGAAATTTTAGCTGATGTGCTATTTAAAAGCTAGTGAAATTAAATTGATTATAATTGATGGAGCACAGTCGGCTGTCTTGTCCTTCCTGCCATCCAAGTAGACTCACGACTACATGAATATCTAGCTAATATCGCTTGCGTACGCTGTTACACCGGGCGGCACCAAACTCCCGTTAGATAGAATCTTCATGCGTTAGATACTATCAAAAGAACATTGTAAGTCATCCTGGTTGGAGTCAGTGGTGATTGCCATGCTGGGTGAATGTGGTACCTCACATCTGCAACATTGTGCTTTGCTCACGCACAAGGAACTGCTCCATGCCGCCAAACAATGGCTATACAGAGACCGGGCCGTCTTGGTATACGTAGTCACTCACAAGCTACACCGTGGGTCTGACCACACGAACAGCTGGAGCATGGCTGGAGCGACGGCATCGTGGAAACTCGACACTGCACCCGCTTCTGGCACGTGCGAAATTTGTGTTTGAGTCATGGCAAGGAGCGATTCTGACCCTTCTTTCACCCATAAAGTGTTCAAGGATGGTGCAAGTGTGCTGCAAACCACCGTAGATCAAACTTCTGGCAGCGCGAAGTGGGTGAGACTCTTGACTGCGCAGGGTATCACGACAGAGCAGGAGTTGGCCATTAGCATGCTTGCATCCGGATCTGGATGTGCCAGGGCAGAGATGGATTATTGCGGCGGAATTTCTTAAATTGCGACAAGAGACTCATGAAAACCCGGTTCTGTTCCGTTCCTAACGCCCGCGTTGCTTCTGCTCCGTGTGCCCTAGCATTTTCTCCTCTACAGTTTGCTAAAGCACCGACGAAAGCACCGGCACACACGCAGGCTTACCTTACGGCAAGTGTTCTGTCACGTCGCCTGTGGTGTTATCAATGCTTGTCACCATTGTACCGGGGGGCAGATTCCTCTGTTCCATGGCCACCAGCATTTGCCTCATGCTGGCTCCGTCTGCTCCTCCCGGAGCTCGACCTCGGATTAGCTCTGCGAACATCCGGAGCTGCATGGGGAATTGCGAGTCTCCATACTGCTCTATGATGTCGCTCTTTGTGACCGCATTGTGGAGATCGCTCCATTGCGACTGGTCCATGCCAAGCTGCTCGCATGCCAGACTCTTTTCTGGGGTCCACCATGTTGGAAGCAGTCCAGGCTTAGATTGGACGACACCCAAGTACCGCTTGAAGCCCACGATCCCACTGTCAGCTCCGCTGTAGAGACTGTCGTCATCGACCTCGCCGTCTATGTTGTAGTCGTCTTCGACGCGAAGTCGGTAGGAGTCGATGAGTAGCCTGTACACGTCCGTCTCCGGGCGGTTGTGAAGCCAAGTCTTGCGGTCAAGTTGCGTAAAGGGACAAGAGATGCCCCGCTCAAGACCTTTGGGCGGGGAGAAAGCTACTGTCGAACGAGAAGATGTGCCCGTCCCGGATGCAGCCGGACGAGCTCCTGGCGTGGTCGTCTTGCCGCATATCTTCTTGTGCTCCTTCCAGTCGGCCTTTTGGCATTCTCGGGAGCAGTACGGGGTTGAAGAGCATTTCGCGCACCGTTTGATGTTTGCTTGGAGCGACGTCTTTTTGCAGACGTTGCATGCGAGAGCCATTTTGATGGATATCTGGTGGATATCTGACGAATGCTGATGAATGCTGATGGAAGTCGCGAGCTACAAGCGTTGATCTGTTAGTGAAGCAATTCGCATTCTGGGTGATGACTAAGTACCTGAGACGGAGTAGGCTGTTCCAAGACTTCTGGTGGAAATAAAACCAAAAAAGAGAGTTTGAGTTTGCGAGGGCATGAGAGAGGCGGTGTATTTATATGCCAGCCGAGCTGAAAAGAAGTAATTATTTGCTGAGACAATGTACTGCGTAAAGCGGGGTTCCACAAGTTCTGTGCCGCCACGCGGCTTTCTCACGCCCTGCATGAAAAATAGAAGTACACTTTCTGTTTCTTTATCTATCTGCATGAGCCGAGACAGCGACATCGGAGTTAGATATGTTTGCCATATGGGAACCCTACTGCCAATCTGCACGGAGCCAGTCAAAGGTATCTAGCAGATCAAAATTAAACCCTGGAGCATTTGCAAAATCCCAATCTAGCGATTGAAGAGCGCCCCCGTTGTCTGTGCCAGCGTTGAGATGATGATCCAGCACGCCCTGGATAATGGTCTTACAATCCGCGCAGAGGTCTGCGTTTGGCGCAGGCGGGCGGACCCAGTCAAGAAAACCGATTAGAAGACTCAGCTGCTGGATAATGGCGGAGCGGCTCAGGCGCGGATCTTTCGGATGAGTCCCACGGAAGGATGGTCTCAGGAGCTCGAGGCAGAGGATCCCACCAGCGGGGGCTCCGAACGCCATCACCTGGCAGTGTGATTAGTAGGAAATTCCAAGCATGGTAGATTTACTCACTAGCCACTCGAAATTACGCCGCATAGTGGCGAATTGATCTTTGTGCGTCCAAAAGACAAGTGTCAGGATAACCATGTCAAAACTTGTAAGCAGCAAGTTGCCTTCGTCTGCTGCACCATTGCGAAGGAGTAGTCTCTCTACGAAAAAGAGGTTTTGTAAATGTCCCAGGTGGACCAAAATTCTTGTATAGAGCACCTCGATATCCAGGCTTGGGTCAAAGAGGTTTCCAGCATCGTAAACTAAGCTGGCGGGGAATTCGGCCATGGTATTTAATTGACGTGCTTTCAGGTCCCTATTTACTACTGATTAGCCTTGATTAATGACGCGCCAGTGTAAAACATACTGAAGCTTATCAAGAGTTACTGTCGTCGTATGGTCCAGGGCAATTTCGACCAGCTCATCCAAAATGATGGCAATCATATACCTGGCTCTGACGAGGGTAGCAGGATACAACTCGCCCTTTGTATTCCAACCCCGCTCATCCAAGGAATTGACAGCGCTCATCAAGGTCGATTCGTCAGCCGTTAGGTCCTCGTCTCGAATGTCAAGTGGGAGAGGCGTTGTGCAATAACGACGAGTTATTAAAGGCGGACGACCGGTAAATGACACGGTGAACTTGTCGCTGTTGAATATTTGTGCAAAGAGACGGCGCTTGTTCTCAGAGCACAGCGACGGCTTATATGGTCTAACGGGCTGTTGGACATGCATGCCCAAAAATGTCAACATGGAGACTGTCATGCCATGGGAGTTCCAACAGGAGAGACCTAGAGTTGTGAGCAGTCTGCCTTGGTGTGAAAACATCAAACTTACTAGCATCGCCAACAATGATGGACTCGAGCGTGGCCTTCCGACGACAAAGGTCAAGGAGCAAGTCATTGCCCTCGTTGAAATAGCGCGCGAGGTCGATGCAGTACCCAAGGCATGCCAACGCCGTCTCGGTGGACTTTTTGCCGGCCATCCAAGCAAGGTGGCCAGTTCGGAGTGAGTCGAGAGCGTCTGAGATGCGCTCTAGATACGCCCATAGCAGACCTAGCGATTCCCACCTCAGGTTGGAACCGCAGAACTGCTCGAGCCATTCCCATGGACTAGTATGGATGTCTCGAAAAGGTCGAACGGTGTTTTGACAGATTTGCTCCGCAATTCGTTCCAGCTCTGACTCGCCCACATCGCGTTGAGCGCAAAAGGTTTGTTGGAGGGAATAGACGATTTTGGCTACAGCAATGTGCGACCATCCTTTATCCTCGCACGGGTTGTCACGAAATATCATTTTCTCATTTGGTTGGCCGGGGAGGTGTTCAAGGACAAAAAGGCATGCTTGGCGGATTGGTGACGGCAAGTCTCGAAAACGAATACCCTCCCGGGCCATTCCTCTCGGGTCTTTGGCAGAGTCCTGTTCCGTATCGGGTCCGTGTAGCAGAGATAGACTATGTCTTGTCTCCTCGAAGACCGTGGAATGGCTGGTGAAGCCGAGATAGCCTGGACCAGAGGGCGGACTGGATATCAGTATTGGCCTGGTGGGTTCGGCTGGTCTCGCAGCTTCACCAGAAGCCGGCACATCTGTAGATTGTTGATTTAACGCTTGCCTCAGCGTCTTTGACCGTAGAGCTGACGCCGAGTAGACGCACTCCCCATCCTGGCCTCTCTTCCGACATCGGTTGCACACGGGCTGTCGGTGATCACAGGCGACCTTGCGTGCTCGGCATGGATCGCAGGCCTGTGGGCGGCCGTTTGGTCGCCGAGGAGGTGACAGCCCAACATGGTTCATCTTCTCAGCTGTTCATTTCGACATTGCCACTTGGTGTTGCGGTGTCTCGGTGCATGAGAAACGTGAGACGGGGACTGTGAGTAATTAGGAACCCGGGTTTCCGCTTGAAATGGACCCGCTGACGGAGCATTGTCCAATCAGAGGAGGACATCGTCAGCTGACTTCCTGTTCATGACTCCATTCAGACCGCGGCGACCAGGCCGGAGTCTCTCACAACCGTGAGTCTCTCACATCACTCTCAATCCCTTTGCGTAGGTATTCGGGCTGAGACGAATACCAAGAGATTACTGCGACATTTATCAAAGCGATGGTAGTGAGGGGCTTTATCTTGAAAGCTACATCATCGGCGAACGGATGCTTGTGTGCAACGCCACGCTCAACAATAGCCCGTCGCTCAGCGTGGTAGCGTAAACCCTAAGAGTAACTAATTAAGGGGGTGGGCTTTGGTCACAATTAGTTTGATGCCGGATGCAAAAGCTGATTCCGCAGACAAACGAGCCTTGCCAAATGGGGGACGAGTTGAGGCATGCCCTACGTAGGTGAATTTGTCGACCGCGCGTTCGGTAGCCTTTCACTGAGAGATAAAATCATGGGGTTGGAAATAACTGATTCCTGATTGATCTAGAAACCGCAATAGACTATAAATCCTAGACCTAACAGGCACACCCGACTGATCAATGATATGCGTAAATAGCCCATCCGCACTGCTAGCGGTGCACCGAGGTTATCGTTTGGCGCACCCTCGCTGAAGCATCGACGGCTGCTTTCTCATTTCTTGGGTGTCCACAAGCGAAGAAAATTTCCCAATTCTTTTGTTCATGGTGAGAGCTTCCAGAGCGCAATTCTCTTGCCTCGTACAAGCGCTACCTTTTGGATAGATTAAGCATATGAGCTCATCACTCCATGGAGGAACCAGATCTTCGTGGCAAGCCATTATTCCTTGACCCGCGGCGTTGTCTCACCTTGTCCAGTGAGAATTAAACACAAGCTCTACGTGGCGGCGGTGGCTTCAACATGGACCATTCCAGACCAAGCCTGTCAGACCTTGGTCAAAGTTTCCTCGGCCGCATTTCCGGGAAGCCTCGATTTTCGGACGCCCACCTCCGCAAACTCAATCTAGTCAATGTACAATTGAATCGGGTTTAGTGAGTCTTTTCGTGCAAGCCTATATAAGTACGCCGTATCCACACCTCGGATTCCGAGTCATGGAGTCCTTCTGGTCGTGTTTAGTCCTTTCGTCTTCAGGATCCAAGGCCAGATGCAACAATCGATTACGGCACGAGTCTCCGACAGTCTGGAATACCAATGATCCGACCGACAATAGAGAGTTAGGCGACCATGGGAGTAGTTGGTTGCGGGCCGGCCCCCGTCATGGTGCGTCCGCAGCGGTGGCAGTTTGGTATCGTTGCTAACCGGAGCCCGACTCCTGGCAGGTTGTGGGATGGGTTCTCGTAGCCATCGCGACAGGCGTCATATTCGCACGAATTTACCTGCGCCTAAAGATCCAACGGCGACGGCTCCTCGTTAGCGATGCCCTGATGGCTACTGCGTGGGTTTTCGCGGTTGCCGAAGTTAGCAGCCATGTTGTTATGATGAATCTCGGTGGGCTCGACAAAGGAGTCGGAACAACGCCGGTGGGGTTTCATGGCGGTTCCTATAAGCTACAAGCAATCACAAAGGTAACTGAACGGCTTGGGGGACTAAATCTACATGCAGCGCAAAAATAATGAGAGATCCTAGCTAACGAACTCTTGTCTAGGCATACTGGTTCAGCCTCATCCCGTTCTTCGGGGCCGTGTATCTATGCAGGGCAGCTCTACTCTCCATGTACCTGGAAATATTTCCAGTCTTCATGCGGAAGAGAAGGATATTCTTATGGATGACCATTTGCTACAACTTCCTTGCGCTACTAGCAACTTTTGTTGTTACGTATCGCCTCTGCTATCCGATGGATAGATTATGGTCAGTATGAGAATTTATATTCGGCATTGGGCTTGATTTAACAGACGTAGGGATCTAAATCTCGAGAGAGCCTGTCCTGGCTCACTGGGGAAAGAGATATTCAACATCACCTGGGCTCTCAATTTTGTCGGGGATATGCTAGGTAAGATGACACTAAACCGCACGAGATAAACTGCTTTGACACCGAAACAGTCTTTTTTCTGCCTTGGCTTGTTGTCCCTGGGTTGAAGATTCGGACAAAGCTCAAGATTGGACTTTATGCCACGTTTCTGCTCGGGCTCATCACCATTTTGTTCAGCATTATGCGCTTGGTGTATACCGCCAAGTCACAAGTGAGAAACTCAGTGCCTTACAGTACAGTTAGTATGTATGCCGGCGTTGAAGCGACAAGTTGGAGATGGGGCTGACCGAGTGCTTAGTGCTGTGGGCCACAATCGAAATGAACCTCGGTCTTATCATTACGTGCTTGCCATCTCTCCGGCCGTACCTCAGGATCAAGGAGGAGAAATCTCGAGGCTACCAGGGGCCATCGGGATCGGGCGAATCGTCCAGGAGACTGGAGACTGGAGCAATGGGCTCCGTAGCGATGCGTACCCTGTCAAACCGCGATAACCATTGGGATGCTCGCCATAGCAACGGCAGCGAAGCGGAGATTGTGGAAGCGAAATCGGACGAGGAAGGCGTTCCGTCGACAACAGGATCCATTTACCCAAGATAGAAGCATAGATTTTTAATGTTTAACGTTATTGAATGCAATTGTGCTGGCACAATCACGTTGAACCTTCTCCCAGCTTCGGAGGGACGAGGGATCAGCGCACCGTCCATCATCCGAGACAGGAGCATCGCCAACCGTCCCATTGATGATACAATTAGCAAGTCGCGCCACTTAAACCCTAGTGGCCATACCAATACTAGGAGAGACAACTGGAGAACATTCATTATTATAGTGATGGTATCGATCTAGAAGTCAAATGGTTCTACCTCTACAGTCGTGTTTCCCTCCAACGCCTCCTTGATCGCTTGGCACACTGCCAGAGCTGCAAGTCCTGCCTCTGCCGTGCAACTCGGGGACTCCTGGTCTCGGATAACCTTGACAAAGTGATTTAGTTGCAGTTCGAAAGGGATTCCCTCGGGCACCGGGATGTTCTCCTTCACGAGCTCCGTGTTCCACGACTTTGTCTTGCCGGTATACGACCAGGTGGTCATATCCGGCACACTCAATGACCCCTCGGTGCCAAAGATGCGGTAGAAGTCCTGGCCTGACTTTGGAATCAGGGGGTTCTCGCCGGTTCCGGCCTCGAAGTTGTACGGGGAGGGGAGGTTGTCGGAGATGATGAAGCTTCCCACGGCGCCGGACTTGAACCGGATGGTGAGCACGGCGCCTTCTTCGGCCTCAAACCCACGTTGCGATACGGTCTTTTCGGCGTGTATCCTGACAATGGGGCCAAAGAGGTAATGCAGTAGGTCGACTTCGTGGATCATGTTGATCAATATGACTCCGCCAGTCTTGGTCCTCCGCCACTCCCCAACGCCGTCAAAGTAGTCCAAGGGCTTGTAAGTCGCCCAGATGCCGTTGATGGCAACGACATTGCCCAGAGATCCGGACGAGACGATTTCTTTTGCCTTCACCATGTACGGGTTGAAGCGACGGTGGTGCCCCACTATGGCCTTGACCTTGGTCTCTCTCAAATGCTCCAGGAGCTCTTTTCCGCTCGCAACGTCGGTGCTGAACGGCTTCTCGATCAACACATGGACTCCGCCGGCCACCAGTTCTTTTGAGATGGGCACGTGGGTGTGGTTTGGTGTGCAGATGATGGCTGCGGCGGGCTTGTGCGGCGATGCGAGCAATTCGGCGACGGATTTGTAGTAGGCCGTGTTGAGTTCCTCGGCGAGTGCCTTTCCTCCGGGCATTAAATCAACGATGGCAACGAGGTCGGCGTCGTTGTTGGCCACGACGGTTCTGGCATGACGAGGCCCGATGAGGCCAACGCCGATTACGGCAATTTTGACTCTGGGCGGGGTTGACATGTTGGAGGAGATGGGGAGATGGGAGATGCAGTGTGAATTGTCTCAACCAGGAGTCGAAATCTTGACAATAATTTGACTCGATTTAGAAGAAGAAGAGGAAGAAGGAGAAGAAGAACCTGGAATTAGATTGGACAGCAGCACACATGCGCAGTATAATGGGCACTGGTGACTTGATATAGTGAATAAAAAATCATCCTCCGCTAGTCAGTCGTGCCAAAACGTTTTGCCGCATCCACTCTCTCCGTGGGGTCGACCGCGGGGTAATGGAGTTGAGCTTGAGGTATTGTGACTACTCACCAACCACAGTCTTGGCCTGCTAAACATTCTACCGCCTAGACTTCACTAAGGTAGTTGTGGTGTGACGATTCCCAACTTATCTTCCGACAACGGCCGCGAGAGTCATATCATAGGCCAAGTCTCGTCGATATTGATTGAGCCTGGATCCACTCACCTACGTGCGGCATCGTTTGGATCCTTCAACAACCCCAGATTCTTGTCCCCCGCATTACCTGGAGGTGGGCCTTGTAATCATCCGCTGCAGGCTACGATTTCAAGAACAACCCGGAATTATCGAGTAGGTTAGCGACGTTGTCTTTAATGCAAGCGCCGCGATTATAGACGGCGGAAATTTACTCTCGGAGCAAAGATAATTTGCTGCGTTATGAAGTCTCTATCAAACAGAACCATATCTATATAAAATGTCATCTCTAAGTTGGGATTGCATGTTGGCCTGCAGAAGGGCTGTTGTATATGCTACATTAATATTTGCAAATAACACCGGGCTATTTCCTCCGCAACCCTCTGACATAGTACGGAAATAGCACGATGTGAGTATCGTTGTGCAAACGGCATGATGAGCGAGCTGGCCTCGAGAGTATGGTCAACATGTATCTCCCACTCCTCAGCTTTGTTCGCCACGGTGCCATACAGCTTCCCGAAGTCGCTCAGAGGCATACTATCTCGGGATCGACGAACGGTCCACGCCGCCCGCGTAACGATGCCAGTGGGAGCAGTGCCGCGGGTCCGCATACCGGACGGGGCTCGTTGGAAGATGGCGGGCCAGTTGTAGGTTTTGGTGAGCCCCGGAAGCAGATAGATGGCAGCCTCGATATGATACGCGCATACAGTCTCGTCCCATGGCCCGAAGAAGGGGTCGCTGGCGATCATGGTAGGCTCCGTGAAGATTTCATCGTAACGCACGACGCCGGGGATCTGGCTCAGGCACGGAATGTACGTCTGCAGGATCTCCAGTGCGAAGCGGGGAGGAACGTTGCTGGGAATGGGAGCCACCACAGATATATGGCACTGCGTTCGCATCTCCGGATCAGCGCGTCCCTAGTTTCTTTAGTCAGAGATGATCTATCCGATTGGCGAAAAAAGTAAGCAGATCCTACCTCTCCCTAATAAGTGGGCAGCCTCTCTCATCAATTGAGCAAATGCGCGATTTTCCCCTTGCGCCAGTTAGCTAGGGCCTCGGCGGTGGCGGGACTGCCAGAAGGATGTCGATTGGGTATATGGGATCCTAACTAGAAGGCTGATATGGGTCTGGCATGGACAAACGTGGTAGCAACAGCGCGAGAGTAGTTATTCATGGTGCTATACGAATGATGCAGCCATTTGTCCAAGGGGAGCTCTGCAGGTGGCGCTGGCTGCGATAGACGAATTTCCTAAGATAATTTATGCAATGGGTTCACGTGACGTTATCAGGCTCTCGGGGTTTTATTTTGACAGGGAAATGAACGAGGACATCCGAGTCGTCCGCTATCCTTGTTAAGGCTGTGGATGCCGGAGCCGAGTGTCAGGTCCATGCTCAAGCAGCGTCCCGCCTTGTCCCTAAAATATCGGCCTAAAATATCGGCCTAAAATATAGGCCTAAAATATAGGCCTAAAATATGCCTAAAATATAGGGCGAGGGATCCCAGCGGTGTTTTCCGAGAGAGTCTTTCACCGCTTTATCCATAACTGCAAGCATGGATAACCCAGCCTTGCTTCATCTCTACCCCACCTGTCTCTCTGACCTTTCCTTCTTCAGAAGAAACCATCACCAAACCAAGAAACCATCACTACACCAAGAAATCCTGGCATCTCTATCAAATAAATTATGTCTCTTGTACCTTACAACTCAGCTCGTCTTGGCGAAACGCCACATACCAGGTATGTTTCTGTTTTTTATCTTCATTATTCAAAATTAATACTTTCAGGCAACCTTCAGAACTCAGCAAACTCCAGTACTTCCGAGAACAGCTTCGAGAGACTGGTCCCTGGAGATTCAACGTCAAAAAAAGAATTACTGCTACTTCAATATTCCTTCTCAGTCTCAGTACGGTTTTTCCTACTCTGCAGTAGATGGCGAACTGAGACTCGTGGTGAACTCTGCAATTTAATGACGATATAAAGCAACGAATTGGATTCGGCGTCATTGGATCCCGACGAGCCAGCTGCTAGCGAGGTAATCTAGACGGTAAGAAAACAGCCGGTTAAAACATGTCCCAGTCGCGCCCCCGTACCTTGGATACCTAGGTAGGGAAGCAATACGCGAAACCATCCCGCTCAACAACACTTAGCTCCCTTTCTACCCCTTTACAGCATGCGAGTTAGATCAATTGATGACTATCTCTTTAAAAGGCGCTTCGGACTGTAAATATCGTCAGCGAACCTTGCATCTGGCTAGATTGAACAAGCGAAATTGAGTGACATCCGCCGAAGCATCTAGATCCAAGCAGGCCAATTACGTCTCCACCAATTGTATCCCTGGTTCACGATCAGCGCCGCTGTTCTCTGTATCGGCTTCTCCTCATTGATGCATTGTTTTGTTCAACATTTGACTCTGTAATCTCGACAGCGTCCACAAGCAGCAAGGTTATTGTCCATGGTTAGCACGGTCGGGGCAGAAAGGTTGAACTGAAAGCTTAAGGCAAAGGTAGGTGCACAAACTTTACTGCATGAGCTACTGTGTCTTCTCGTGTTGGGTGCATTGCTAAATGCGTGCATATATTGTTGTCGTCCAGGATGCTCTCGTGCCGAAACACACCCGTCATGGTTATCAAAGACCAGCTTTACTACTAGAATACTTTGGAGCGTAGGTAGACTTTTTTTTATTGATCGAGACCAGAAATCATCATGACATTTGGTTCCACCGCTGCTGCCTGCGCGAACCATGATAGGAGCGAACTCTGGTCCTTAGGCAGTCACAATCAATAAAAAATCCTATTTTACAAAAGATGGCGAAAAAGGTTGTCAGCTTCCGAAGGTATAAGTACCTATATAATCTAAGACCCTTGCCATTTAGTTCTTATTCTCCTGAGTGTCGTTTTAGGTTAGGGGAAGCTCTTATGAGGCTAATATTGTTCAACCTTGCGGTCGCAGATCGACCTGTTAGATGCCATTGACTTTGTCAAATTCCTCTGCTGCCCTTCTCACACACACTCATCCTCCATTGCCTTCATCACCCTTGACGATGACGCACCTAAAAGCGGCCGAGCTCGAGCAGCTGACGGATCAAAACATCCTCCGACAGTCGCTGGCCGTCGGATCCGTCGTTTTGACCGCATCATCCTTCGCCCGCCGTCGGGCTCATCGCGCCGCGTTTCGCCCCGAATTCGAAGAAGAAATGCGTCAGATTGGCGAGGGACTTCAAGGCGCAATCTTCGAGCAGTTTGGGCTGTCTGTAGCTTTGAAGAAGGAGGCCCCCGGCAATGAATCTGGCGCATCGAATCTCCAACACGAGTATAAAATCCATGTGAATGTTCATAGGGCGTTCAATCAATACGACGGCCAGATTGGGAGCCACATTTCGGTCCCTTGTCCTTTCAGCATTATCCTTACGGTACAGGATCAGTTCTGGAAGGATTATCTTCAAAGGTTCCCCACCACTTACCGCCTGAGAACCAATGTCGTTGAGATGGAGAGGATTCTGCCACTACCAAAAGTCATACGAAAATCTCTGATTCGCCAATTTTACCCGCGTCCCGACGGCCAAGACTCAATTGATCCAGCAGTCCTCGACGAAATTTTGAGCGATCCCGCCAACAAGGACTGTCTCGCCCGGCCATATCTTGGTCAATCCGAAGGACAGTACAATGGCGCCACGTTCTCTTTGAGAAATTTCCCTCTGTATCTAAAGGACATGGAAAAGTTGGGACTAGGAGTGAAAGATATGGCAAGATGCATGGGGAAGGCATACGCAATCATGCACTGGGGAGCTGGCGCCGATAGTGACGACGCTGAATTTGTTCTTGGATCATCAGTCATTTCGGACAGTGAATCATCGGACATCCAGCATAGAGAAACCGGCCTCTATCTTCTGGACTTTGGGCAGTGTGTTTCTGTCGATCTCGCTCAACCACGACATGTAGTCTATCAAGCTTTCAAAGGAGCCATGGTGACGGGCGATAACCAGAAATTCATTCCACACTACAGTAGAACCCCCGAGCTGTTCCGAGAATTCAGACAGGGATATATGGAGTCAGGTCAGATCATACTCAAGGATAAGGGCATGGACCACCAGTTTGATATGAAGGATTTCATGGACGAGTATGAGGAGTACGCAGAGGACTTTTTATACTAGATACATCAAATTGGCTTACCGAACCATGCTGAGCCGCTAGCTTACTGCTCGCGAATTTAATACACCTTTTTAAAGGCCTGTTGTTATTGCAAATTTAACCTGCCGTACTCTGCACCGCCGAATGGATTAGTGAGGTTGAAGAATGAGGTCAAATTCCGTCTCACGCAGTAGCCCCTCGTCCAGTCTTCTCGTGATACGTGTACCGGAGTTAGATACCTACCAACCCAGATATTTCGCGTAAAAATGACTACATAAGCCTACGCTGGTAAATTGCTCAGCTTCAGCACATGAAGTATTGATTGTACAAAGTCACTTAGAATCAGAATTACAAATGAGATCAAAATATTTAAACTACCCGCTTCCAGGTCGTCGCTTGCCAACCTATCGAAGCCACACTTCGGTCCACAGTCAAATTAAGATGACTATGTGTCATAGGAGCCCAAATTTTCTGCTACATCCATTTCTCTTGCCTCTCGCGAAATAACAAATACTTTCTACGCTGTGACATTTCCCAGGATATCGGGATATCGGATTTCTGCGGTTATGACGCAAGTGAAGCCTTTGTTCCTTGATCACAGACCATCGCCACCTGTCTTGTCATCAGTCTAGTCCTAGGCCTAGCTTTTCATTTGATCAGGTCAATAGCTAGCTAAAGGCAAAGACTCCGGCCTCTCAGCCGTCCGAGGTCATCTTCATCTAGATAGGAAGAATAGCAAGAGATTCTCACATATGTCATCCTTCCCATCTGCTAAATGCAACAAACACACACAATCTACTCTTAACCTTAGCATCAGTGATCAAATCTAATAGTAACTTAATGATAAGCTATAACCCACACCCATTTCTAGCTGCTTAAGCAGGGCCCCTTGCCATTTCCCAATGCCATACGTTGTGACTCAATCCACACCCCTTTCCCGGAGAAGGCGCACGATATCATCGTGCCCGTTCCTAGCTGCCTGTGACATCGGCCGTCTATCCCGTCCGTCGTTACCAGCCCCCCTATCGAGGAGGAGGCGTACAATATCCAGATGCCCATTCTGAGCTGCATATAACAGCGGCGATTCATCCACTCCATTGATATCAGCCCCTTTGTCCAGGAGGAGGCATACAACATCCAGATGTCCGTTCTGAGCTGCATATAACAACGGCCATCTATCCCGTCCGTTGCTACCAGCCCCTCTGTCGAGGAGGAGGCGCATAATATCCAGATCTCTGTTGCCAGCTGCATTTGATAGTGGAGTCCCTCCGGTCTCATCGTCAAATATATGAGCCTTGTTTTCGAGCAACAGTTCCACAACAGCCTTGTGGCCTCCGAGTACCGCGTGCCACAGTGGTGTGTGGCCCTCGGCGTCTTTTGAGTTGATAGCAATAGGCAAATGGATCCATTTCAGTAACGTAGTCTGAAACCTAGGCCTTTTTTTCAGAAGTAAACTCACGACCGAGGTATGCCCTCCTCTGCTCGCCCATGACAGAGCAGATCGTTGCCGTTCGAGATCTCGTGACTTCATAGATACCCCTTTCATCTCGACTAATCGAGCAACCAGTACATCCAACCCAAAATACGAGGCAATGATCAGTGCGGAGGGTGCTCGTGTCATGTCGTCGGAATTTCCAAGAGGGGATTCATGGGCTTGGAGCCAGCCTAAGCGTCTCTCCGAAGCAGCACATAGCATCAGGGCTGATAGTACAATCTCTTCGCGATTTTTCGATTTTGCTGCGCGGAAGTGGCCTGTCCAATTCTGGGCAGCATAATGGAAAAAGACATGACCTTCTCTCGCTGCAGATGCGTTCTCAAATTCGGTGAGCGAAAGGTACCTGATACATACTTCTGATAGAATACGGTTAGATTCCATCGGAGAAAATGAATTTTGCCACTGGAGTGCTAGGCTGACATCGCCGAAAGCATCTGGTGGTGTTGTCTGGATGAGAAATTCTCTCGCTGTTTGGTGGAGTAGGTAGACTTTTGAGTCTACTATCGACACGAAAAGACCGCAGACGTCTCTAATCCTCTTTTTAAATCGATCTTCTGCCTCAAGTTCGAGGTCAAGATCAGAATGTGAGCGATGACTCTCCTGCAGAGCTAACGCCACGGCCATTTCTTGAAGAGAGAGTGGTCTTTCTGCCGCAGCAATGATGTGAAGAATTTTGCGAGTTGTGTCAACATTGCGGCTTTTCGATAGAATATTATGATAAGCTTCGTTGACAGATTTGGGAAGATTATGAATAGTCGTGGCTAGTCCATTCCTCGTGAAATGGAGACTTTCGTTGATAGCGTCGAAAATAAGGTAAACCCAAAGGTACGTTCTATTCGCGTTGGCAGTAAGCTCTTCCTCCACCATTTTGACTTCTTCAGCTTGCAATTGGATCTCTGCACCAAGCTCCTTCACTCTCTGTTTGATAAAAAGATCAATCTCCGTGGAAATCTGATCCACCACGGTCTCATGTTCTCCACTCAGGTGTATCGTAGGACATTCTTTCTTGAGAGTCTGGAATTCCTTTTCGATATTAGCGTAGGGTCGGCTGGTGACGAGAAACCTCAAGCCGAATTTCCTGGCACCGGTGATATAGAGTGTGTTGAGTGCCTTCATCAAGACACGGCGTCCTATGTATTCGCACTCATCTAGCGCATCTAGGATGCAGACGATTTCTCCTGGAGAATGCTCGCTCGTGGTACGGATGAGAGTGTCCCAGAGGCTGGAGAACGAGTTGAATATGGTCTCTCCTCCCTCTTCGAACACTTTGACGATGGCCTCTGTGAGAAGTTCTGGTCTTTGTATGAATATTTGGCGGATGATACAGCATAGGGCGCTTTCCGGGCTTCTCTGGTCTTCAAAATCACCCTTGAAGAAAAAATAGCATATCGTCTTTGGGGCCGTCGTCGACTGGAGCGCTTCATCCACCAGATACCTGGCGAGAACAGACTTTCCACAGCCAGGGTCTGCAGATACCCAGAGGAAGGCCGAGTCTTCCTTCTCTTGCCAGCGTCTGAAGTGTGGGTGGCTGGTGAACCACTCGCATGTTCCCTGAACACGTGGCGGGTTTCTGTTTTTGCGATCTTCGTAAGGGGAGGTAAAAAGGCGGCCCAGTAGCTTTGTCTTTCTCTCGTCCCCGGAAATACCTATCACACATCAGTCTATGAAAACTACATTAAGCGGAGGTCTCAGAGGCCTTAAGATGTGGATGCAGAGGAATGGCGGATGAATATGGCATGTTTAAGCAATGGTTTCATGGGGATTGATTTGCAAAGGTAGTGGAATTATATGCTCAAGAATTGTTATTTGAACGCACCATTGTGTATGACGTTTCCAAAATGCGCCGATCCACTCCCATGATACTCGTTATGATTGCCATGGATAATGTCGCCCCCCGCATGGTGTATATCCCCCGATCCGTAATGGCTGATATGCGACGATGAATCCTCTGGCTCCAGTGAGGGGGGCAATGCCGAAAGATCTTCCATGGCCTTCGCCAATTTCTTCAGTGATTCATCCGTTACAGTCTTGATCCCGTGGTTCTGTACCAAGGCTGTGACGTCCTTCAATACTCCATCCATCAGAGTCTCGACCCGGCTCCCGTTGCCCAAAGCGCGCACAACCTTGCGATAAGAGTCAAATCTCGAATCATCAGGCTGCGGAGCAATTTCTCCAAAGATGTTTTGCAACTTCTCAATTTTTGTCTTGCAGCCTTCCAGAATAGGCTTCATCGCTTTGCAAGATTCTTCTGTCGACTCGTGTTTGTCGATGTATCCTTGCGCGATCCGGAGCGTGTCCTCCACAAGTGGGAGAGTTTCGGCAGTTTGGTGAAATGTTCGTGGGAGACATTTCGTATCTTTGATGTCGCTGTAGATGGTCCAGGTAGCTTCGACAATGCTGATTATTCCAGATATCAAGCCGATAACGAGGCCAGCCTCCGCGCCAGACATGTTTGGATTGGTATAATGAGAAGCGATTAATCTGAAAATGCGTTTATTAGTGAGCCAATGTTCCATTTCATCATGTTGTAAGAAAGCGCAACAGTACTCACCATCCAGGTGTGGAGAATGTGACTTTCGGCTTGACAATGAAGCAACTTGTCTCAAAGGTGGAAGAGGCAAAAAGAATGTAAGCAATCGATGACTCGCTAAATGGGAATGCGCTGCGTTAAGTACTGCAACAGTCGGGCCAAAGTCGTACCAGGTATCCAATAGACGCCGAGCATTCGCAGAAGTTGGTTCGGCTGACCATCCTCGAAGCACAGCCGAGTGGCTTGGGGCTGACATGCGTGAGCCAACTCGCGTACGCCATGATCCCTCCCGAGCGAATGGAACCCTGTGTTAACCCCGCTCCAGATAAGATGTTGAAATAAGAATCCTAAGTAGCTAGGCAGCCTCGTCTCGTGTACCTAATGTTGCAGCGCAGCAGTGGGTCGCGTGATGGCTTTTCACGGGATCTATTAATAGACAGCCTGTCCAAAGGCTCAAGCGCCGCGAGATCACCGAAAAGTCACAGCCTGATCCCCGACCTTCCGTATCTGCCGAGATTCAATGGACCAACGTCTTGGAGATATGTTTCGCGAAGATAGCTAGTACTGAAACAAACCGAGAAGACGCCTGGTGGGAATCTGACCGCTGTCATTGTTGAACCTGTAAGGAAAACTGTATGTTTTTGACCTTGTGCCAGCAACTTGCTGACCTTGAGGGAGCAGACTGAAGTTAGATTAGAACCTGTAAGGAAAGGCAGGCGTAGAAGAAAGTCAACGAACATGCAAGTTTGAGCCGTTCGCGATACATAAAGCTCCAAAAATGATACCAAGACCTTGTGGAGAGCTTATTTTCGAGTATAATTGACGGTGGGATTTTCTAAGATTAACGAAAGAGGAGAATGCATCTAGCACATCACTTTGTCCTTTCTACTCTGGCATAGCTGTCCCGGGGGCTTTTAACCCCTTTACTATGAACAGCTACAGCTCATAACGAAACTCCCTATTCTCCAAATCAGTCAAATCGAAGAACTCGTGGTTGTCCTCCACCTGGTACGCATCTCCTAGTGCCACCCTCTCTTGGTCCCTCTTCTTGTTTCTGCGATCGAAGACCCACCTCATCACCAGCAAGTCCACCGTGATGAGAAAATAGATGATGCAAATCGACACCTTAGCCGGCAGGTATCTTGGTGCGTCGCGAGCCTGGAAGGTATGTGGTGAAATGATGTTTCCAACGGTGTAGGCAATGGTACCAATGCAGGCCACCGTGATCTTCTTGGTAGATCCCGCCACGTTCGAGCTCTGCAGGCCGAGGATCGTGGTCCAACCGATCGGGATGCCACCACTGGTGTAGTACCCAATCAGAGCAGGCACCTTTTCTGTAGTTGCCATGAGTATAGCGCCGATGATGGCTGGGATGTGGCCAAGCACGCAGAAGTAGAGTCTTTGTCGGGTCTTCATCGCGGCGTATGTAAGGCCGAGCAGTGCCACAATCTCCCAAGCTCCGAGAGGTGTTACCAATAACAGTGACTCCTCCCTGGAGTAGCCCATTCCCGTCACTAATATGTTTCCGAAGCTTGTTGCGATAGAATTCGGTATGTTGGCTGCGAAGATCCAGAAAGCATACAGCCAGGTCATGGGATCGGTCAATGCCTCATTGACATGCTTCCACTTGAAAGCCTGCGTGCCAATACCTTGCTCATTGCCCCGGATTCTCTCCAAATGAAGGCTTTTCTCCTCTTTGCTAAGGAAACCTGCCACTGCTGGGGAGTCGGGCATTACGAACCAGAACGTAATACCAACCAGCGATGTCAAGAGACCCAAAAATAGGAAGACGATCTGCCAACCTTCCAACGCAGCATTTGGATCCTTTCCAACATGGGTGGCTACTCCATAGGCAAAGTATCCTCCAAACATCTGAGCTGCGCCGCAGACAGAAAACCAGATTCCAACACGGAACGCCTGTTCTTCCTTGGTATACCACTGTGACGTAAAGAGTACCCAAGCAGGTACAATAGCTGCTTCGAGCACTCCGAGGAAGAAGCGGCAAGCTAGAAGACCAGAGTAGTTGGTGCATGCCGCCATCGCTGCCAGCGTGGCGCCCCAGAGGGTAACGTTGATTGAGACATATTTCGCAAGCGGGAACAGCTGGATGAGGCGAATTGTCGGAAACTCAAAGGCCAGCTGACCGAAGAAGAAAATGGAAGCGACCCAATTGAACTCATTTCCTTTTAAACCGGTAGACTGGATGATTCCAGTGACACTGGCATATGAGATGGCTGTTTTGTCGATGTACTGGAGGAAATAGACAATGCAAATCAGTGGCATAATGTGAAAGTCGATACGGCGAATGAGCCTCCGGCTACGCTCAGGGTCTGGAGGTGTGGTGAGTCCCCCAGTTTCGCTGAGAAGCTGGAGAGCCGCATCGCCGTCAATCTTGTGTTCGTTGGTTTTGGTTGCGGGCGGTTGGTTGACTGCGTCGGAAATCGACAAGGACGAATGCTTTTCGATTGTCGCTTCCGGAGCCGTATTGCCTCCGACTCTTTCTTTGGAATCCGCCATGGCAAGCTTGAACGCAGTATTTCGCGAGGAGAAATTTATACCAAAGATTGTAAGAACCCCAGCGCTGATGGGTTTGGGCATCACATTGTGCCCGATTTATATGTCGCAGACAAATTGCAAGCACGCAACCACGCAGGGACCAAGTGATACCCAAGGTGGAGATTTTGAACGACGATGATCTCTGCAGCTTCCTTGTTGGGAAGAAAATGTCCACCAAAAGGGTAACTTGGTGTCAAAAAGTCGCATGTTCTTCCAAGCACGTCATCAACACCAAATTTTGCAAAGTTTTATACGAAGGACCACGAGCAATGATCTGCCTCGTACATCTGTGAGATGTGCAACGCAAAATAAGCATAAAACTCTTAAGCATGAACTAGATGGACGTACTTTATAGAGGTGCAACTGATATTCCGCCTTGCATTCTAATTACTGACGTTCAACGAGTCCTTCATCTGCGTATTGCTATAGATACTTTTAATGTTAGCCAGCCAATATTTCATCTTCTCTCCTGATTACTCCTAAATACTCACAAGATTATGCCCTTTGTCCTCACCATAAGCCAGCACAAGAGAAAGATTTCGATCCGAATTAGCAAACATCAATAACAAGGTGCCTTTATCCGTGGCCTCCACTAGATCTGGCCACTTGGCCTAGCTTCTGCACTCCCCACATCGTTGAAAATTCGGCCAACGTTCCTATCGCTCCCAAAATAGCTCGTACCAGACATATCATCGCATTATGAACATATCCATCAATTGCCAGCTCTCGCGGCGCACATATCCGTCTTTACCTGCTCGGAGTGAGCCGGTTGACTCGGCCGTACCGTTCCATCGTTCTGCCACCCCACACCCCCTCAGCTCCGTTTTGCTCAAGAACACAACAATTGTCCAAGAACCTCAAAAAGGATGGGCTGTGGCAGTAGAATTTTTTCACATGAGGTTATTGTCTGGATTAAAGCAGCCAGCCAGCCATAAAATCGGGACCTAAGATGGATACCAAGAGCCTGGATAGCCGAGATAGCGTATCGGCACTGAACCCCGCGATGGAGCATGGAGCAACCTGCAGCTAGATGAGTAGGGCGCATTTGGGCGTGAGCTACGGCAACAGTTTGAACAGGAGCAGCTCGAGGCCGCGACCCTGGCAGAGGCTGAAAGCCTAGCCGAAGCCTTTGGGGTGTTGAGATCCGTGGTTTAACGGATCGATGGCTATTCCGATCCATTGGTGGATGTCTTCTTGTCGATAGCTTCCGCTGGTTAGCGCTAGTCTTTTTCTCCTTCAATCAACACAACATGCTCATTTCAACATGGGATCCCCCTGATTACGAGGGGCACGATCGACGCCTATGTCGTGGCTGTTGGTCGAGCTCTGGCGGTTCCAGGTAGCCCACGGCAATACGAATACGAGGCACACCCGGGGCGCTGCCGTACGAGGCTTCCTTGAACAACGGGGCCGGCATCGGGGGAAGCACGACCGCGCCTCCTTTAAGACCGCGGGACTGACGGGATGCAGGCCGGCTATTCCCCCGACGAATGGCTCCGGATCCAGAATCTCCTTCTCAGCGGGGCCACGTATACGCCGCAAAACCCCCGTACGCGAGTCGACCTCCTCTTTAGTCACTACTACCCCCTACAGGGGGAGAACCGCCGTAAGATGGAGCTTGCAGACTATCCCTACTTGACTATCTACCTTCGGATGGCCCGATCCCTGTGACTGTCTCGTAAACTTTTTGCGAGACCGCAAGGTAAATAAACGGCGAGGAAGGAGTTTATGTGCGCCCTCCAGCATAAGGACCCCTTGTTCTAAGGTATTTAGTCGCTAAAAAAAGAAAGAAAAAACTATTTATATATCCTTGAGACACTGAACTTCCGGAAAGACCATATACGGGCTGTTGGTTATGTCTCGGAAGATCTACCACCAAATTGCCGTCTGGAGAGCATGCAGGCTTTTTCCTCCATTGACCCTGACCTCCTTAGTGATCCCGGCTGGACCTGCCTCTTCCGTCTGACGACAACACACTCATAGAATCATATGTTACATCCGCTCTTCCCTTGCAAGCAATTGTCGTTGAAGCGGACAAGAACAGCTACTAGAATAACTATCCCATGTAGCTGAATCCATCAGCGAACTTCCCTCAGTCCACCCTCTTCGCCCTATATTTCCCCATCCACTCCGGCTTCACAAACAACACCCAGGCCCTAAACCCCAACGCGACCCCCATCCCCAGCCCAAGGCCCCAAATCACCTTGCTGGGATTAAGCCCGCTACCCGCCTCCCCCGCAACCCACGCCTGCCAAAACGAGAGCGGGAGAGCCAAAGCCTCAAACGAGGCTAACATCTGGTACGTGGTCCGCCTCGTCTCTATCGCCCCAACTTTATTCGGGATCGCAAGCACCATCGGGACCGTCATGGCGGCCAGGCTGATGCCGAACAGTTGGAAGATAGAGGCAGCGTGAGGCGCCACAGACTTGCCATCGCTTAAGTACATTCGTCCTAAGGCTTCTTTCGCGTCGAATATCATAGGAATGGCCATGAAGACGTTGAGGACTGATTCGGCGGCCAATATAATTCGGACAATTGTGCCGGGCGCCGATGGATCAATCTCCACGGATACTTTGGCGTCGGTGCCGGTGCGTTTGTCAATGTTTGCCATGGTTGTGCTTTGGGAGGATGATTGCTTGTCTTTCTTGAGTGAGGCGAATATTCTGTGGATATGTAGACCGTAGGGCCTGAGATTAATCTGTTATATAAATGTTTTCATAATCAGGGGTAGAGACAAACCGTCACGTTGCCCTCAAGCTCAAACCGCATGACCCACTGTCAATAACCCAGATATCCGAGTGTCCTGAGTGGTTCGGGAAGCCTGGATAGCTACCATAACGTTAGGCTTAACGTTAGGCTTAACGTTATGCTTAACGTTATGCTAGCATCCGGGCTTCCCGAACACAGATCAATAATGGGTTTAGGATGTCGGATTTCGATTATGTTCGGGCAGACTCAGCCGATAAGATCACGTCTAGGACGAACAGTACCCCTGTCATTTCTAGCACTAGTACGCATCGGTTTTATATAGAACGCTATCCCTATTAAACAGCACGGTACCCTCTACCAGCTGTCGCTCTAGGCCTCTGAGCCAAAACCGTACCGGAACTCAAGATTTGAACCGCAAAGATGGCTGGCCCATAGGGAAATTAGGTACCCTACGAAGACTCTAAGCTGGTGTGGTACATGGCACAGGTTTTGTGGACTGCAATAGGTTTTGTATCCAACTACGAGGCACGAGTAGTTGGCTGCTCTCCGCCTTTTGCCAAGAGGTACCATAACGTGAAAGCATAACGTGAAGCATAACGTTATGTTATCCGAGTCTCCCGAACCATTCGGAACACTCAGGTGTCCGGGCTATTAACGGCGGGTCTGCGGTTGGTGCCTGAGGGCGACGTGGCGGTTTGTCTCTATCCCTGATCATGCAAGCTGGAGTTACCTTACATCCGATATGCCCGATCAAGTTGTTCACATGACGGATTTTTTTTTTTTAAAAAATCCAAATATATAAGATCCACGCTTTTCTTGAGTCCTCCTTCATTACTTTTGTTATAGTTACACTGACTTGAGATTTTTGCTTATAGTTCAAGATGTCGAAAACCGCCCTTGTTTTCGGAGCTTCTGGCGTGACAGGCTGGAGCTTCGTAAATGAAATCTTGAACGATTATCCCGAGCCTAATATCTGGAAACGCGTGCACGCGCTCACAAATCGTCCCCTTTCGCTTCAACAATCGCAATGGCCAAACGACCCACGGCTGAACATAGTCTCGGGGATAGACTTATTGAACGGCTCACAAGAGGAATTGGAAGCAGGAATCAAGTCCAAAGTGGATAAGGTCGAAGAAATCACACATGCGTATTATCTTGCCTATAAGGGAGATATAGACGTCAAAAAAGAATTCGACGAAGCGGTGGCAATGTGGAAGCGAAGCGTTCTCGCGATGGATCATCTGAGCCCTAGCCTCGAATTTATGGTTTTGCAGACAGGTGGAAAGACGTGTACGTACTTTTTCCTTCAACTGGTTCTCATAAGCTAATACTCCCTAGATGGCTGCCATCTGCTCGAAAACCATCCAACCGATTATATCCACGTCCCTTACGCGGAATCTCAACCCCGACTGAAAGTCCCATATCACGACACCGTTTTCTACTACCCTCAAATCGATTGGGTCTCTGAATACGCAAAGAACAAGAAATGGAGCTGGTGCGAAACCCGACCCGACCTCATCGTCGGTTTCGTGCCGAATCAGAACTTCTGCTCGCTCGCTACGGTCATGGGCATATACCTCAGCTTGTGGAGCGTAGTGCACTGAGAAGGCGCAGAATGCCCATTCCCGGGCTCAGAAAAGAGCTGGAAAGCATTGAACAATGACTGCAGCTCGGAGATGATCGCGCAACATACGATTCGCCTTTCGCTCTCGCCATCCACTGAGAAGGGCGGAGCCTACAATGTCGCTGATGCGCGGGCTCCGAGCTCCTGGGAGAAGAAGTGGCCCATCCTTTGCGGATACTTTGGCCTCAAGAGCACGGGCGTGACCTCTGATCCTCCCGAGATGCGTAAGTTCATTAAGGATAACATTGACGTGTGGTATAAGTTGGAGAATGAGAAGGGCTTGCAGACGGGACATGCAGATAGCCCGAAAACATTCGCTGGGTTCGAGTACTACATTATGACGCTGTTTGATTTCGATAGGCAGCTTGATGTGAGCAAGATATATGGAACCGGAGGAAAGGAGGAAAGGGATACATTGCAGGCGTGGGGCGGGGTATTTGATAGAATGAGGAAGGCGAAGATTATTCCGTGAGACGGTACTCGGACTACAAAACATGGAAAGATAAAGTCAGGCGTAGGTAGACAGCTGAGCTCATTCGAATCTTCACCGAATTTTTGTTCACATGCTGAGAAGACGTTGGCTAACAATTAAGTTATAACTTGGATTGGATTAGTATCCAGACGCTGACCAAATCGGGAAATTTTACACCGCCCGTTTGGGAACGAACAACACACCAACTCTCGAACCCAAGCCGCTGGCATCACCCGATCCCGCGTGCTTGTAGTGCAGTCGATCCTCACAGTTGGAAACTACGAATACATCTTCGCTTGGCACTTTTTCCAGAACGGCAACGTGGAGCTAGAAACTCGTGCGACGGGTATCCTTTCGACTGCTCTGATTGATCCTGGGAAGACTTCGCCCTGGGGTAATGTGGTTTCGCCGGGTGTTCTGGCACCTTTCCACCAGCACCTCTTCTCTCTACGAATCGACCCCATGATTGACAGCCAGATGAATTCAGTCATTCAAGAGGATTCAGTACCCGTCCCGGAGGGTGAGGACAACCCAGAGGGCAATGCCTATGTCGTAGAGAAAACACCTTTCATCAAATCTGGGTTTAAGGATGCCAGCCCCTTCACAAACCGTTGTTTCAAGATGGTCAATGAATCTGTCAACAACCGCATTTCAGGCAATCCTGTTGGATATAAATTGGTACCCCAGCCCTGCCAACTAATCTTTGCGGGGAAAAACTCCGTGGCTCGCCGGCGCGCGCGCTTCGCTGAGCATCACATTTGGGTCACGCGCCACAACGACGGCGATCTTTACGCAGGCGGTCGCTGGACAATGCAATCTATCGATGAGACCGACGGTTTGCATGACTACGCCGCTCGAAATGAAGACGTCCGCAACGAAGATGTTGTGGTGTGGCACACCTTTGGCATGACGCACAACCCACGGGTGGAGGATTTCCCCGGTATGCCATGTGAGATCAGTGTCATATCTCTCAAGCCGGCTGATTTCTTTGAGGCAAATCCTGCAATTGATGTGCCGCAGAGTACACAGAAGGTGAACAAGAGCGTGCTTATTGGCGATAGTGCGTCATGTTGCCCTAAGCTTTGAAGGCAGGCAGCTTAGACGGCCGGTCTGGACAACTCAAGTTAGCTGGACGGTCGTATAGGAAAGTGATATACCTACTGATATCTCTGCCGTACTTGTTACTTGTCAATAATGAGTCTCTATTTGCTGCACTCCTTTGATCTCTTGACATGACGCTATTGGGCCGATCAAACACATTAATGCTCCATCATTCTTATCTCGGCTTCAGCCTTTTATCCGTCAACAGATAGTCAATGTCGCGACCAGAAGACGCATGCAAAAAGAGACATGCATAATGGCACTGCAGGGTACCACCTATTGTCAGTCATTCCAGCGTCCGCTTCGTTGTTTTGGGATCGAGATAGCCCGTGATAGTGGTGCTGCCCGCTTCTGCCGAGGTTCAGACTGAGAGTCAAGCATTCTGTTACGCCAGGTGCAAATAGGAACGCTCTATAATATAGAGATAATAATTTACCTTATTATATACTAATCTAACTTCTATCTGCTCTCTTAAGATAAATAAATTACTAATATAGAATTTAAAAAAATCTACTTAATTAAAATTTAATAAATTTAATTTAATAATATTAATAAATTTAATTTAATATAATTAAATTATTAAATTATTTCTATTATAACTAAAAATAAAAATCTAAAGATTTTCTATAAATAATAATAAAATAAACTTAATATCTTTTAGAAAGTAGTTATAAGTAATATAACTATAGAAGTAGATAAAAAAAAATCTTAAAAAGCTAGACTGGAATAGAATATAGCTATTAGAGCTACTGGGGCTGCTGGAGGAGGCTCGGCGTCAGGCTGTATGAATTATCGGGGGCGGAGGGTTTGGTCGAAGGTTGAAAGGCGAAGGTTTGGTGGGGCCGAAGGTTGTTATGCATCAAGGTTATCTTACTCTAATTCACTTTGTTGAGCAACACAATGGCCTTATTATGTACTGTAACACATTCCGTTGATAATGATTCATTGGGCGTTTATGCCTGATCTAGCGGAACCATTCACAGTTTCATACGCCCTAGCGCAATGAGCTAAGTGATGCGCGGAGCTGGTTTGGGCGTCGATCACAGGGGGTTCTTGGGTCACTATGCTCTCTATGGACTAGATTGTCAGATTTTAGTTCGCAAAAGTTAGGGTGGCTGGAGTTGGAAAGTTAGATTGGGTTCGGCACTCTCAGTTCAATTGCAGGCGTCTTGAGGGTGTGATGTGTTCATGAAACACAGTAGATTGTACACGACGCCTCGTCAAAGTTCCCTCGCATCTATATCAGTGCGTCATATAAACCCAAGGTACTGCACGGCTATCTGTCCTCAGTATTTCCCATTGGTGGCACGCACAATCAAGGGTTGAGCTTTTGTAGTGATGAAGTTTTCCGATCGCAGAGACATGCGGACTACCATCGGATGGACTGGAATTCTGGCGGGTCTCGACTTCTCAACTAAGCCTAGAATATGCCATCCGGCGCGGAATAAAAGCTGGCGATGCCAGTTTCTCGTGTAATTTCCACCGATTCCAGGTTAGCTCGCGTCAACGCCGCTTGCACGATGGAAACCTTGCACACGCCACATTGGACTTGAATGGTTGCAGAAAGTGTATATTTGGCTTGATCCCCTCGCGCCTCGGTCTCGGGAGGGTTGCAGACCCTTTGCTTCCTCGTCATAATCCTCACGCTCGCTGCATCTGTCACCACTTACCTGAATCACCTGATACCGACGCATCGCCTAGCCTCAAACTTCCAATATCATCAGCTCTAACTTATATCCACTGGAATACTATATCAGTTAGTCAAAGGCCCCCCGACCACTGCAATGGCGGGCCCACCTCCGATTGTGATCCAGGTATGACCCAAAACCTCGAGATAGCACAGTGGATTCCTCCCTGATATCCATTAGTTTTCCGGGTGGTTTTTACTCGCCATCGCCGCCGCCGTCATCATTGCGCGTCTGTACCTCCGCCTCAAGATACAAAAGAGGAAGTTAATCACAAGCGATATTTTCATGTGCAGCGCGTGGGTTTCCGGTGCCTCAGTCGCGTCTTTAAATGTGTACCTCGAGCATCTGGGCGTTCTTGAACCGGATTTAAAGACGGATATGATTGCGTTCAAGGGTGATCCAAAATCCATTCCCAGGATATTCAAGGTGAACCAGCTCCGGTTGGGAAATTGCAGGCGATGGCTAATATGAACGTAATCTAGACATTCTGGATGTCAAATGTCCCCTTCTCTACGACTCTTTACCTCTCGCAGGCGACACTTCTTTCCATGTATTTGAAAATGTTCCCGGAATTCATGCTAAAACGGAGAATTTTCTTATGGGCAACGATTGTGTATGTTGCCGCCGCCTATATAACTAGTATGTCGCTTGTGCTCTTTATATGCAACCCGATTGATCAGATCTGGTGAGTTATGCCATCATCACTACACGGCAAGTAGGGACTATTATTAATGACGGGTTAGGAAACCCACTCCGGGATCAAATTGCTCAATTGGTCGTGGTAACCTCGTCTTCGTGGTAAATTGGGCGATTCATATTGTTGCAGATATCTTGGGTGAGCTAAGCGTGACTAGCCTGCTAATTTTGACAGAGCATCTAATAATGTTGATAGTTTTTTTCCTGCCATGGCTTGTCATAACGGGCTTAAAGATGAGGTGGACCCTCAAGATCGGGTTATACTGCACGTTCCTCCTCGGTATTATAAATATCATATTCGATACATTCCGCTTTGTCTTAATCCGAACGTCGTATGTAGGGCAACCGATCTCTACCGGCTTAATTAGTAGGTGATATAACTCCATAAGATCTCATGCCCTCATTTGAGAAACGGAGAGTGAGCTAACCAAAAAGTTTCAGCACTGTGGAGCACTCTCGACTGCAACATCGGTATCGTCATTGCATGTTTGCCGGCTTTGCGACCATACTTTAGTGCGTCAGAGTCCAGTCAAGACAACTCGGAAAGAGACTCGACTAGGCAATTCCAAACTCCATTGAAAGCCATGCATACCGGCACCACAGCTCTTTTCAACAGAAATGGGCGAGATGAACACTGGGACGATACCGGGAAGAGTAACGGAAGTGATGCCCATTTGGTTCAGGGGGAACCACGAGAATTGATATAGAGGTGCAACTACAATGAAATTTTTGGATTTTACAAATATTAATAAATTATACATGAGCAGTTCAAGATACATTCCATGGCACAATAATCCTACGGTCCTTATTTGCAGTACTGATTGATCTCAGGAATGATAACCCTCAAAGGTAAACATCGTATTCATATAACTACTGTAAGTTCGAAGAGTCTTTCTTCTCCATTTCGTTGTAGATGCTCTCAACGTCGGCTCGCTGACGTTCAAGCTTCTCGCCAAACGCCTCTTGAATGTTCTCAAGAGTGTACCCTTTAGTCTCGGGATAAAGGAAGTAGAAGACAAAGATTTCCACTACCAACCAACCGACATAGACAAGATAATACTTCCAACCAAGGCTGTCCATACCAATGGGGTTGACGAATTGGTTGAAAAACGAGGCTGCCTTGGTCGAAAACACCATGATGCTCAAACCCATAGCTCGGAGTCTAAATGGCAGAATCTCTGTGGGGTAGAGGAAAAGAAGGGGGTTCAAGCAGATATTGAACGAGGCGTAGTAGATGAAGATGAATCCCAGTGCCGACTGACTCGCTGCCTTTGAACCGGTGTTGTTGTACACGGCAATGCTCGCTGTTAAAGCCGAAAAGGTCAGCCACATTGCAATGGCGCCTCCAACAAACATCTTACGACGACCGATTTTCGTTGCTAGAATGGCAGCCATCAATGCGGTAGCATAGTTGACGGTGCTGATGGTACCTGTGAGCATCGTCTGCTCTCGTTGCGTCGTGATTCCGATGCTTGTCAGGATCTTGGTGAGATAATACGAAACCAGGCCGTTTCCGCTCCATTGGCCAAATACAGCGATGGTGATGAGAATGGCGAGCCGCCTTCGGTTTGCGGGTGTGGCGAGGAAAAGTTTGAGCCCTGCGGATTCGACTTCTCGCTCAGCCTGCAGGGCTTCATTCATCTCGAAGTACTCGGCAACCACCAAAGTATCTGTCCGGTCGCCATTGCTGTGGTGCTTCACAAGGATATTGAATGCCTCTTCGCCGCGAGATTTGTAACAGAGCCAACGAGGGGACTCGTCCAGAAACCAAACGAAGGTCATCTGGAGCACGGCGGGGCCTGCCTGCAGCAGTGTCGGGAGACGCCATGCCCAGGCAGAGGGGATTCGATAGCTTCCAAATGAAACCCAGCCAGCGAGGAGGGCACCAAGATAAAAGCTGGTGTTGTATAGGGAGCCGAATAAGACGCGGTGTCGAGGATGTGCCAGTTCCGAAATCAGGATGGGGGCCGCAGCCAAGGCGAGCGTGATGCCGAAGCCGACGACGACTCGACCGCCAATAAAAAGCCCAATAGACTTGCTAACACACTGGATGATGACGCCGATGATCATGATGAAGCTTCCAAGCAAGATTGACCATCTTCGGCCGAAGCGGTCGGATATAATGGCGGAGAAGGGTGTCGACAAAATGGCACCCAGGGGATACGCCGCGCTGGTGAATCCCAGCAGAGCACCCTTGGGGGTCCCAAATTGTTCGTTCCATGCCGCTACGCCCTGTAGAGCGGTAAGAACCGAGCCGTCGTAGCCATTGGTAGCGCAAACGACCAGGCAGGCCGGTGCCAGAATGGCATACAGATAAACAAGGGATGGCGAGAGGGAGAATGCCGAGCGCTTGTCCGCTGCAAGAATCTCAGCAACGGACAGGGCAGGGCGTGTTGTTGGTATCCCGCCCTCCATCTTGACCAAGATCAGCGATGGTCAGGGTAGGTAGATTGTAAAGACGTCTTGCGAGAGAAGGTCGGAGGATTGATGGGGACTTGGAGATTGGAGCATGGATTCAGTTGAGGCTGTAAGGCTCCTTTATAATCTTCTTGAGCCAGGGCTCTACTCCCGCCAGAGTCAGATGTCGCACGTCGCATGACCCTACCAATGGATCGGGTTCGACACACTAGGTGAATGGTTGGTTGGCTTCCCCACGGGGATTCTCCAGGGAGGCAATCCGCTGCAGGGCCTGCGTGGAGGATTGAAGTCTGGGGTCGCGGAGAGGCGGACCAAGTCCAGAAATGATCTAGACCCAGCGGACTCAGGCCGTGTCTCCCCGTTCCCCCAACGTAGCTAACACGACTCAGCAGCCATCACGTTACCGGTAAATTGCGTAGCTTCTTAATTATCCGGGGCATTTGAGAAACCCCGGCCGCTTGGCATGCATTCTTAGCCTCGGTTAGCCTCAAAGGGGAGACACGGACCGACCCCGACGAGCTGAGCCTAGACTCGGTGGTACGATTTTTGCTAGCAAAGACTTTAGCGAATGCTCGTAGAACTATACGGTTCCAATGACTGTTAGTAGACTCAGAGAGCATATCTAGTAAGGGATTGGGAGTACGGAGACCCCGAGAACGTCCGTAAATTCCCTACGATCCGGTCTAGAATTTTTAATATCGCCACCGGACATATTCTCAGAAGAGCTATCCTTTAGGTCCTTACGCCGCGGCCGTCTAAACTGAGTCGGACGACCTCCTAGCACGGCTCAGTGAGTAACAACCTGCTGCAAGCCGATCGCCGAAAGACGCTGAGGCATAGCCTGGAAAACAGATGACGCGGCAACGATAATGCGCGTGCAGAGACAAAAATGAGTATCAGGTAGCATTGTAATTATTACGTCAAATTTTCCAGCCATGATCATTCAATTTCCCATTAACCACGCAAACCCCTTAAACTGGTTCTAACTCGGAGCCCTCCTCTTTCAATTGGCTCGCGAACGGACTTCGTGCTCTGATCTTCTCGCCAAACAACGACAGCAACCAGGGAACCGCAGTCAAAAGAATCCCAATGCATCCCAGCATACTGCCAGCGATCCCATTTGACAAGTTTCGGAACATGATGTGAGTAAACAGCGGGAAGACGCCAGCCAGCAGGTTTCGGCACATGCTCTGCGCTGCAAGTGCAGAGGAAGCGTACCGATGGTAGGTTTCTGCGAGGTAGTTGAACACCGCCAAATAGATGTTGAAGATTCCCATCGTGCACGAACCGATAGCCAATGCAGGAACGGCCCATGATACCCCCGGGGTTGCACTCCAACCAAACCAGAACAGGCCCACTGGCAACAAGACAGACTCTACACAAGAAGCGTATAGCCAGCCCTCGGGTTTGGCCATGCGATGCGGCCACAGTTTTCGTAGTATAGGGTCTTGAATTATACTCAACGCCGCGCCCAGGATCGATCCGACAACCACTGCCGTGTACACAGCGCCGACCTCGCTGTTGTTGAACTTGTACACCTCACGAAACACAATACCGATGCTGGTGAATTGCATGTAGAGAATCGCCCATGCAAAAGAGACCCACGCGGAAAACCAGAATACGACTGGCTCCGTAACCAGCAGCTTGAGAGGGAACGCAAAGCTGGTCCATATAATGCCGACTCCAAGTTTCGGTTGCTCGCCAATCTGAGGGCGGAACTGGATTTGAGAAATGGATGGGTTCGTTGGCGTGAAGCCAGATTCGATCGAATTCGGTGTTGTGTCTCTGAGTTTGTTGAGCGCATTGCACTTCTGCTTCAAAATGACGTTGCTTCGTGTTTCGGAAAAGAAGAAGAAGAGGCATAGAGTCGTTAGCCCAATCGTCATCAGCTGCGGGTAAAAGACCCAGTTCCAGCTGAGGTTTTCGACAATAATGCCACTGAAGAGGGGTCCTAAACCAGTTCCAATCATGACGGTTGCGGAATACAAAGCCATGGGCGTGTTACGCTGGTCCTGATGGAATAAATCCCCTATCACACCCCCTGTCAGGGTTGCGAAGATCGAGGCCCCGCTACCGGTAATGAGTCGAGAGACGAGCATGCCGGCAAAAGAAGTCGTGACAGCGCAGCCCAATGTCCCCAGGAAGAAGACGACGCCTGCGCCAACAAAGACCCAGTATCGGCCATAGTTCTCGCTGATGGGTGCCATAATCATCGGCGCGAACCCGAAACCAGCGACAAACAAGGTGATGCCGAGGTTGTATTTGGTGTCCGAGACGTCCCATTTCGCTTTGAGTTGCTCGGAGGCCATTGAGTAGCCGCCCGCGGAGTAGGCGGCTAGTGTGGACGCAATAAACGTTCCGCAGAGCGTTATTGTCTTTCGGCGCGTTGTCCACTGATAAGGCGCTTGATACAGGTCGTTGTGATTCGGAGGAACGTCAATTGCCGTGTAGTTGTTAATTCCCTTAGACTTCAAGAAATCGGAGAGCGAGAAATCCGGGTTGAGAGCATCAACACCAAGAGTCACATTGAACCCAGTTGGCAGGGCTCTTTGACTGTCCTCCATGAGACTGGGCGACTTGACCATGACGACTTCGCGGTTATCGGGATAGATTCCCAATAATGTTTTTTCGGAATCTCGGGGTGGATGGTCCGAAATGGTGTCGTTATTGAGTGGCTGACATGGATGTTTGACTGCCATCTTCGGTGTTGTTGTAGACGTCAACCGTGAACTGTCTAGTTCCTGCAGACAAGGTGACGATTATAATCCGAAAATTCTCCGACCTGCAGTCAGCAACTTGCAAGCCGTTAATTATTTACTGTCGAAGGATTAGTTTTCCCGACGCTCTTTGGTGGATCCCTAGAAATGGAGGGACGCGGAGATACGGACTGACTCCGGAGAGCGACGATCTCTCCAGCTTCTCCACTCGCCAGCGTCAGGCTCCTTGGCACTCCCCGATGCCCATCACAATGCATTCCGTGTATTTATATCGCGTGTCCAATCCATGATTCTGCCGTCTCTCAACGTCGGGCAGAATCCGAGTACCAGCCCCCTGTATTCCGGGCTACTTCCGATCAATTTTCATCATGACCAAAAAAGTATTGGCCTTGCCGCAACAGGCTGTGCCCTCTGAGGCCAGAGCCTACGCCCAGCAGAAGCTAGCCCAGATGACACTGGAGGAAAAGGTCCTTCTCTTGACGGGGCAAGACCTTTGGCGCACAAACCCGATCCAGCGGCTGGGTGTTTCCAGAATCAAGACATCTGATGGGCCTGTCGGTGTTCGTGGCGGCATCTTCACAGACGGCGTCAAGACGGCTTCATTGCCAACGGGGTAAGCTTCGTGCCTAATTACATGGCTCTCGATTGAGATTGCTGACCGTCGTAGTGTCTCTTTGGCTGCGACCTGGGACCACAAAATCGTCCAACGAGTCTGCGAGGTGCTCGTTGCAGAGGCTAAGAGCAAAGAGGTTGATGTTTTGCTCGGGCCCACTGGTATGATTGTCCCCTGCACGCTGTTGTTGGAGGATACTCATACTGACCTGTTTAGTCTGCATTCCCAGGACGCCGCTGGGCGGTCGCAACTTTGAAGCGTACAGCGAAGACCCGTTCCTTACTGGAAAACTTGCTGGCACCTTTATCAATTCCATCCAGAGCGAGGGAATTGGGGCTTGCATCAAGCATTTCGCAGCCAACGATCAGGAGACTCGTCGTTTTTTCATCGATGAAAAGATTCCCGACCGCGCCCTCCGGGAGATTCACCTTCAGCCTTTCCAAATCGCCATTCGCGACAGCAACCCGTGGACTCTCATGACAGCGTACAACAAGGTCAATGGAGTCTTTTGCTCTGCCCACGACTTCCTCCTTCGAGAGGTGCTGCGTGAGGAGTGGGGCTGGGATGGTCTTGCAATGAGTGACTGGTTCGGCACCAACAGTATTGTCCCATCATTGAAGGCTGGGTAAGCGGCAAATACCTCCATTAAATTGCCAGCAAAAGCTAACTATCTGAAGATTAGATCTTGAGATGCCTGGACCCGTCAGACGTCGAGGAAAGCATCTCCTAGAGGCACATAGCAAAGGCCTTGTGGAGACGTCCGTAATTGATGCCTCTGTCATCCGGCTTCTGGAATTGCTCTACAAAACCGGCAAGAGCCAGATCCCTGATTGGCAAGAAGGACAAGAAAAAGCCTCCGACCTGCCGGAGCACCGAAGTATTCTTCGAAATGCGGGTGCGGATGGTACGTGTGCTTCCGATGTGAAAATGATCAGCTTCTAACTCACAATAGGAATCGTTCTCCTTAAGAACTCAGAATCGCTCCTCCCACTGCAGGATCTGGACGCAAAACGAATCGCAGTAATTGGTCCTAATGCCGCCCGTTCTGTCGCCAGCGGAGGAGGCAGCTCAAACCTCGAGCCGCACTACAGGACGACGCCTTACCAGTCTCTGAAGACGGCGATCCTCAAGCGCTATCCAAATGCCTCAGTGGAAACTCGCCAGGGCATCCTGACTCATCGATACCTCCCTCTGGTGGACTCTAGTGTGATGAAGAACCCAGTGACAGGAGATAATGGCTTTGTTCTGTCCCTCTGGAGAAACATGGCACACTCTGGAGAACCCTTCATGGTCGAGCATCGACCCAGCTCCAACCTCGTCTGTTACGACGGATTGCCGCCAGAGCTGACGACCGGCGAGAGATATTCGTACCGAGGAAGAACCACCATCACGCCAAAGACCTCTGGAGTGCACCAATTTTCACTTTCTTCCTGTGGATCTGGAAAGCTCTTCCTTGACGGAAAGCTCCTTATTGACATCGAGCGACGATGGTGGTCGCCGAAGTCAGCCTTGTTTATGAGCTATGGCTCTCCTGAAGAACGAGTTGACGTCCACATGGAAGCTGGAAAGTCCTACGAGCTTCTCCTGGAATCGATCAGCCGGGAGCCCAAGCCGTATGATCTCACATATATGGGAATGTTGGAAAGAGAGGAGATTCAGGATGGCGGCAGAATCGGATTCCTGGAGAACCCGGGAAACCTCGATCAACACTTCCAAGACGCCGTCGACCTCGCCAAATCAAGCGACATTGCCATCGTGGTAGTCGGAAAGGACCATGAGTGGGAGACGGAAACAAGCGACATGCCCTCCATGTCTCTCCCTGGGCGATCCGATGAGCTTATTGCGGCTGTCTCCAAGGTCAACGACAAGGTTATTGTAGTGAACCAGACGGGCAGTCCCATCACAATGCCTTGGGAGTCCCAGATCCACACAATCGTCCAGGCCTGGTACCAGGGCCAAGAGCAAGGAAACTGCTTGTCGGACGTTATTTTGGGGGCTGTCAATCCTTCTGGAAAATTGCCAATTACATTTCCGCGCCGGATCGAGGATTCGCCACCATTTGATAACTATCCTGGGGATAATGATGTCGTCCACTATGGGGAAGGTATCTACGCTGGCTACCGTTTCTACGACCATCGCAAGATCGAACCCTTGTTCCCTTTCGGGCATGGTCTGTCTTACACGACATTCAAGTACTCCAACATTCGCCTGAGCTCTAATATCTTGGCTTGTGACGGCAAAGGTCCTGACCAGATTGAGGTTCAGGTTGACGTTACAAACAATGGAGACCGCGAAGGCAAAGAAGTAGTCCAGTTCTACGTGTCTCAAGTGAGCACGCCTAAGCTAAGCCGCCCGGTGAAGGAATTGAAGGGCTGGGACAAGGTTTCAGTGGCACCTGGAGAGACAGTGACAGCTCGCGCGACACTCGACCGAGTGAGCGTCTCATATTGGGATGACAGCATCAATAAATGGGTCATTGATGGAGGTGCGGAATTCAAGGTTTCTGCAGCCAAGCATTCCAGAGATGAAAGCCTGGCGATCCAGTTCTATTCTGGAAACTCAGTAGAATGGGTTCATTAGTATTATTCTTAGAATTCATTTAGTGTAGGGAGTGTGACGATCGAAGCTACTAGAATATAGACACTCACACATTTTTATTAAATTGTCTACCATTTGTATTATGTTAATCTCTGCAAAATCTCAAGGTCTCTAGTAACAGTGGGCGACAAAGACGCTGCATCTGTTGCAATTCGATCTTGTGCCAGTCGGATAACTTCCCAATTGTTTGGCAATGCAAAACTGCAGGTCTCTCTTGCCCTCGAAATAAAGGCGATTTGTAGCGCAAGAGCGTAGAAACTAGGTAGATGCATTAATAATTATCTTGGGTATTAGATGAAATGCGTACCTTCGACAGGAATTGATGGGATGTAAGAGTAACGCCATCGGCTCATGGAGCACGCCACTATGGTGAACTGAGAGAACAGCCGAGTCCACTGCAACGCGCGCGCCAAGTTTATCTCCTTCGGTCAGCGAAGAAGCAGGCACCTGGTGAAGGGCCCGGTAGACAAACGGTCTATGAATGATGGATTTAGCCGCAAAGTACCGAGCCCTGAGATGGCCCTTTAACCTCTCATGCGTGTCTCTTGGTTGGTAGGGCTCAGGGTTATAATTTTCCTGGGACGCAGAATAGGATGGAAACTGGAATGTGGCAGGTAAACATGCTCTCCATTCTTCCAGCTGGCGATCCAACTCTGAGATGACTGAATGAGACGTGTGTAGAAGCTTGTCAGACTCAAAGACCGATGGTGAGTCCACGTGGTTTGTATGGTCATCCTCTTGCTCTACTTGAGTCAGCAAAGATCATATGAGTATTATCTCAGTTTAAACCTACTTCTGTTGAAAAGATGGAAATGTATCCTATTGAGAAGTCTCCTCATGGCAATATGCGCCAGGAAGAAAAATTGGTATTCTTGGTGGATATCTTGGCTCGAATCCCGCACAAGGGGTAGTGGAACGGAACTCGCATACACACCCAACCCGCTAGGTGGGAAGTCGAATTCAGCCAGAAGCTGGCTACCTTGCTTGTTAGTATATGATCATATTGAGAATTTCTGAGTGTTACCTTTCGTGGAGATAAGCAACCCAATAGAGTTGACATTGATTGGCCTCTAGGGCAGTTTGGCTAGGGGTGGTTAGCTGAAAGCTCGTACAGTGGAGATATTGAACTCACAGAGGTAGTAAGATCAAAATCGTGCAGCAAGCACGATGAATGACCTTCCAAGAGTCATATATCCTAAGCTTGGAGGCGTAGAAAACACTAAAGTGGCACCATTAACATTGTACCGTCATGTAGCAAGACAAGCCTCACCCCATTAGGAGTAAACATTGAACACTCGTCCAATCAGTCGCCTCTGCCGTCTCAAATATCCCACAGGCGAGGTTGAAAAGACTCAAGCCGACGATACTTTGGTCGTCTTCGCTCCCAGACCGGGCCCATTGTTTGCTCCCGGTGTGATATGCAGCAATGGCGCCTAGGCAAAGTACAAGAAGGGAAAGGGCGCTGTCGATTCCATGTTTGAATTCGTCCCTCATGGCTGCAGCTAAGTGATGGCCGTGGAAAGTGGCCTCATCCACTATTAAATAGGGAGCGTGAAAGTGCGAGAAATAGAGTTGTGTCAGTTGCCGTAGCTCATACAGAGAGAGATGAGAAACCCAATCCTCGTCGACTTGAGAGCTCAGGAACACTGGTGGATTCGTAGTTTTTGGTAACCTCGGTTGTTTGATCTCCAATTGCATGGGATAATTTAGCTCACATTCACTCAGTTTCACCAGTGAGCAGGGCCAGAGTAGGAGATGCTGTGGTGCGGTAGAGTGTCTCTCGGAAAGGCTTAATTCTCCTGGATGTTGTGGGAAGTCGGAACTTGATGGGACAAAGTAGTTCTGCATCGAAATGCTTGGACTTCTCATGCTGAGCGGGAAATAGTCCGTGTTGTCGCGGAGAGGCTGCACATTGTGAATGTGCTGGTTGGTCACCTCCACGGTTCCAGCGGAGTCTTGAATTTGGGGCAGCCGTTCAGTGAGGGTATCGATTTTGCGTTCCATTCGGCTTAGGGCTGTTGTCAGTTCCACGAGAGAAAGATTCTTCCTGTTTTCCTGGTTAGCATAACATGACACGGCCTGAGACCAAGGGTAAAGGGTATTCTTACTTTGATGTGACAGTCTCCACGTATGAGCAGTTTAATTGAAGGCGAGAGCAACGGCCACATGACGGCTTTGTCTCGTCACATTTTGTTTTGCGTTGTCGACAGGCATCACAAGCCTAAAGCGAGTTTAATTGCAAGGCATTTCTGCTTGGGGAAGGACGGAAAGCATACATTGAGAGCTAGGCGACGTGTAGCAGTGCCGACAGAATTAGATTGAGTCTGTTCCGGTTCCATAATAATTTCTCTTCCTTGATCCTTTGCTGTCTTGCTAGCAAGTCGTAGTTCAGTGGGGAGGAATCATTGCGCCAGGCTTGAAAATCCGCAGGGGAGCGAGATCAGCACGCCAACTAGGTCACGTGTGGCCCAGAGCTTATATAATATCCGCAGGCGGCTGAGTATTTTTTATCAGTGTAAATGATACGGTGACAATTAGAGATGAACAAGAGGGACTATCATAATCGTGGATAAGGAACAGTCTGTACGAAAATGGAACAAGATTTAACACAATCCATCGAATAGACTGGTAGCTAAACTCTTTGCCAATTGTCGACTTGTCTAGGGTAGGGTCACCACTTTTTTCTCCTCTTGAGACGACCTCGAGTATTTCAACAACGTTACATGGGTGTGGTTTTTGGCTATGAAAATTTGCTTTGTATGAGAACATCAAGCCCAAAGAGTTCGCAGAATGAAAATGGCACTGACCACTCCAATACCCCGATCGCAATGTAGTCCTTGACGAACCACCACCCAGTAATAGTAAACCAGGAAATGACCCAAACGTACCCCAAGGTATAACCGAGAACTTGCAATACTGGCTGACTAGGTCGGACAGATGCAAATCCAAGCGATTCTCGTACTCTATTCGAAGGGGCCATGTTTGAAGCATATGCTTGACAGCGACGGATAATGAGCGCCTCCACCAGAGTAGCAGGCGGCTGGGCCATGAAGAACAAACCCATGTCCAAGATGAGACTTCGTGTGGACACGTATCCATGAGAAACAACGAAGAGACCCAAGATGTGAAAAAAGGAGCTAATGAGAAACGCAGTAGAGAGGTGGAGGAAATATACCACAGTAGATCCTTGACGGATCCCGAAAAGATCAGTGATGGCATGGCTGAAGCCTAGAGCTGGCTGCAATCATTCATTTTTAACTCAGTGTCACTGCAACGAAAAAAATGGAATGAACTTACTTGACGAATATAGCAATGCCATACCTTTCCCCAGACATTCGCAATAGCGAATCCATCCACAATGCTTCCGAATAATGGAGGCCAGTCCTTGACTTGAGCTTAGTGCGTAGTTCAACCCCATCCCGAGAGTCAAAGCCTACCTCTGGCTGGTTAATACCCAATCCGACGCTAATACCCGCCGCAATTTCGAACTGCAGTGTCATGCTTGTGTACACAGACATACCCATTAACAGCACGTGAAACGACGGCTTCACGGGCGTGGTCCAATCCCAAGCCCAATCTCGAGCGATATCGGTGTTTCTCCCCATTATAATGACAGCATCCAACGCGAGATAGGCTAATGCTGCCCGTACCAACTTAGTTGCCACGAACGGGGTCCTCCTGACTCTCTTCAGTCTTATCGTCTGGCGCGTCGCGTTCAACTTGCGGCTTCCGAAGTTCCAACCCACGGCCCGTGGTGTGGTCACTAAAGCCAAGGCCCAGGCAACTTTATGCCAGCTCCACTCGCGAGGGCGTCCTTTCCCCGCCCCTTTCTCCTCGTCAAGACGCCAGAAGTCGCGCTCGGGCTCATGTAAAAGCAGTCTTTCTATTGCGGGGAGGACGAAGATCCACGACCCCGCCATGCCATACCGCATGGGACGTGTGGAGCCGACATTTGACGGCCAAGGGGAGACAACGGTGGCGTAATCTGTGAATGCAATGAGGCCTGCGAATAATGGACCACGACCACGGAATGGCGGGCAGGCAAAGGCAAGAATAACAAGAAACGGAAGAGCAACGAATGGAAGGACCTCTCGAAGTGAAGGAGATTGTGATGTAGAGCTCATGGTCGGGAAAGGTTATTGGTTCCAAACGGTTCAACAAACGTGAATCCGTGAAATCTCATAAAAATGTACCCTCGGAGTGCCATTCATATGAAGATGCATAAATACGGTCACCAGACCATTTCCGGTTGCTGTCAGATCATGGACACCCGAGTAGATGAATGAGGAAAGAGTGGCTCCACTTCAATAGTCAGTCTATGACCGTGGTCTGATATTAGTGGCGTTGAGGTTCCGGTGGCTGAATCCAACACACCACCAACCGGAACCAGCTGGCTTGGCTTGTGTGTCAATAACCTGATCACTGTGGATTTAAACAAACAAATTCCAATATTATGCACCTACCGCGTTATCAAACATATAATGAAGTACGTACCTGGACAAACTCTCCTACGTAAGCTTCAGGAAGTCGGGCCAACTTCATCCGGTGTGAGGAGAGACTGACGAAATTGACAATAGGCTTCTGGTGTCCAAATGTTGATACTCAGAGAAGAATGCTAAGCCAAATGCAAAATCACGCAGCTCATGAAAACGAGTCTCGAACTACCTCAATCCACAAACAAGAGCCAATCCGATCATCACAATAACCGCCTTCGACGTTAACGCGTAAGTTATTCATATCATCCATCACGAGCACCTTTCACCATGAGGTATTTCTCAAGCTGTGGACATAACCAAGTATGCATCGTCGACATGTAGTATAAATGGATGTCTGGAAGATACAAGATGAGCAAGCCCCCACCACCTTCCTGGCAAGGATGATGTGTGAAGACTGGCATGCTGTCTTGACCTAAATAAATTATTGAAGATACTTACCTCGCTATTGTCCCAAGTAAAATTATTCCATAAAATAGAGCGCCTCCAAAATGAATAATATCAGCCACCAGGTCACATTGAACCACCCAGGCCGAGAAGTTACATCCAGCCTACCTGCTTCATGGGATCGGCGTCAAGATAATGCCGAGATGAAAGGTAAGGCCGAAACTACAATGCGAGCCTAAAAGACATGGAAATCCTTCTCGGACTGTGAAATGAAAGCTACAACCAACAGGGATCAAACACGCTACCTGGTCGAGACTGTTCTAGCCGTGTTGGTAATGTTTTCTCTCCACCTGTATGTCATAGGCTATTGCAAGGATAATTAGCCATCATGCTCAGGCGCTGACCATAGCGCTGATTAAGTCAGGCTTTTGCAGGAGAAGCTTAGCCACTAGTCCGGACGAGCAGGGTAGTTTAATTACGAGCACGGATACCCCAGCATCCACATCAGCGCAGCTTACCATTGTTGTCAGCATGAATAGCCGATTTTGCCGAGCTGTTGTTTTTGTTTTAGCGGTGGGAAGGACGCCAGTATGTGAGTGATTTTCTGGGGAAACGGATACTGGGGGGATTCCACGCAGATGCCAAGGCGATGAATTCCCCATCACTGGACATTCACGGTTTGGGGCAAGAAAAAAGAGAATTCGGAAAGAAGCTTGCATCTTGCTCATATTAAAAATTATCGACTATAATAGCTTTTACTCCTTGAAGTCTAGGTACACAAGTGGAGAGGTAGAAACCATATAGTCATCAGCAGAACTGAATCCCGGAGCCATCCGCCTTTCCTAAGTCCTTGGACCTACTCCATACCGTCAGAAGACGCTTAGAGGAGGCCGAAGAAGGCAACGGCAGCACCGGCAGCGGCGAGGAAGCCGGAGACGGAGACAGCAGCGCCCATGGAGGCAGGGACCTCAGAAGGAGTAGAGCCGGTGGGCTTGGAGCCACTGGGGGTGGTGGCAACACCAACGGGGACGGTGGTCTTGGTGGAGTTGCCAACGGGGTACCAGGTGGAAGCAGCAGGCTTGGTGTAGACGGGGGGAGGGACCTTGGAGACCTCGCTGACGGGGCAGACGGTGGTGCCAACAACAACAGTCTCGGTGGTGACGTGGCCAACGGGGCAGTTGGTGACGGTGGGAGCGCAAGAGGTGATGGTGTGCACGTCAGTGGTGTAGACGGTGGACACGGTCAGCTCCTCGGAGACGGGGCAGACGGTGGTGTAAACACCGACGGTCTCAGTGGTAACGTGGCCAACGGGGCAGTTGGTGACGGTGGGAGCGCACGAGGTGACGGTGTAGACCTTGGTGTCGTAGACAGTGGAGGTGGTGAGCTCATCAGTGGGGGTGCCGTAAACGGGAGCAGAGGTCTAGACAAGGTTAGTTATGAGAACTCCATTATCATGATCGTGAGATGAGGATAAACTTACGGTGGCAGGGCCGGGGGTGGTGAGGGGACCAGCAGGGTAGTCAATCTGGTAGGCGGGGACGGCAACAGCAACGGAGGCCATGGCGAGGACGCCGGCAGCGATGGAGGTGGAAGAACGCATGTTGATTGATTGGGTTGGTTGTTCGGGTTTGCTGAAACGAGCGAAGGCAAGCTGAGAACTAAGTGAGTGACTGAGGTTGAATGTTGAACCAAGTGAGCGAGTGACTGTGGGTGAAGAGGTAAGAACAAAACCCGAAAGCAGACGAGGAAGAGAGCGTCCTTATACTCGCTCTCGACGGGCGGTAACCCCGTACTCCGTACTCTGTAATTGCTCTTCGTATTCCAACCGCTAATGCAAACTCCAATAATAACTGCTTACTGCACCTCAGTCGGTCTGGTCACCCTCGTCTGGGGCATTTTTTTTCAGCTGCCATCCCTGTCAACCTAAATCGCCCACGGGCTATTGGCGCCCCCTGGAGGCCCCTGTCGCGTTGGCCCTATACGGCCGGCCGCGGTTTAGTGCCAGGGGTAAGGGCGTGACGGTGTGAAGGCGAGCGCCGTCGTTGGACGGGTTGGGATGATTTGGACCGGGGGGGGATGGAGATGGAGGAGTCAGTCGACGGCGCTATGCTGCTTCGGTTCCGTCTTGCACCGCCGTGTTGCATAAATCCGGCACAAGGCCAGCATAATTCCTCTCCATCTCATCGCAAGATCCGGCTACTCGTGCTGTAGCACAGCGTCCGGCCGGCGTCTGGAGATTGAGGCCTGGGGCGGCGGCCAACGGCGCTGCCCGAGTGGGCTCGCGTAGGAGATTGGGCTCCGCAATGCCATGCGTTAGCGGACTGGGATTGGGCTATGAATGGGTTGTGGAGGCTCCAGTGGATGGGATGTGGAGAGTGGTTTTCCTCACGACTCTCTCCTTTTCCCCCTCGGAAGGCTGGCCGAGCTGCCGAGCACCGGATCGATCTCGTCTAGAGGTCGTGTCCGTCCGAGAACTCGCTGGACACGAGGCGGTTTACTGGGTTACTGGGTTGCTGCTGATCCTCCAGCCCGTCGTCCGCTTGTTCCTTGCCCGCCTCCTCGCTCGCCCGCCAGCCCGCCATGGGTCAACGGCCGAGTGGTCTCATTATGCCATTGCTCTCACACTCGCTGGCTCACAGACCTCCCGCTCCCCAGACCATGCAGCTTCCGCAAAGAGTCCTTTTTGCCGGCCTTGTTCTGCGAGATTGGGACGCGGGTAATGGCTACGGTTAGTGGTCCCGATGCTCTCGGACTCATGCCTCGCTCGCTGCACTGTTGCTTCTGCGAGATTTGCTCCCGGACGTTCGTCCCCGAATCTCTCCTTTGCCTCTCCTGCGCATGGCCGTCCTTCGGTTGGACGAACAGAAGGCCCTCTCCCCCTGTTACCTCGTGTCTGGCTTCGGCTTTTAATTTACTATGCAGCACTGTACCTCCGTACCATGAATCGGCCATTACCACCTCGCCTTCTCCGTTGCCTTCCTTGTGGCTTCTATTTTTTCCTCTGACTCGCCTCGCCTCGCCTCGTTTCGCCTCCTCCGTGCCAAATTTGCCACGAACCATGCCCTCCTCGCCACCGCATCCTTTTTCGCTCCACCGCCAGCATCCTTCGCCCCAAAACAGCCAACACCCGCCCAGATGCGAACTGGTGAGACCCGGACCTGCTGCAGGTGCAAGGGGCCCTCCCCCCAAGCTCATTTGGTGGCTTTCGTCCCATTGTAATTGTACGACCGGAGCAGCCTCTGTGACTAATCCTGAACGCCCGGCGCTTGTCCGCCTCGAACCAATTCCACACCTACCAAATCGGGATCTGTGCCAGCGTCGTTGGCATCTGCACGATCCTCGCTGGTGCGCTTCCAGTAGATTACCGCCACTAAATAAAGATGTTTTTTAATTTAATAGACTTATCGGCGGGAAAGGACTTTTTACGAGCGCTGTCGGGAGTAGTTCATTTCCGCTTCAATTGCTCCTATCTATGCACAGATAACTCCGTCGATACCAGGCCGACCTGCCGGAATTGGCTCGAGCTACCCTGTAGGGACAAGTCTCAATGCTTTGCTGCCCTGTTTGTCCCATTTTGAACGCCTCGTAGACTTTTTGAGTCCTCACATCACCGCTTTGGTATCATCCATCAATCACCTTCCTATCCATCTCGAGCTCCGATCCTACTACATTTTCGACCATGCTCATCGATGACACTCGACTTCGACAGATCGCACCTCGGATTCTCTCTTTTTTCCCTCCGTCGCATCCTCCTCAACTATGTCTGCTTGAGCTCACATGCGGGGCGACTACCATGGACGCGACCGGGCTGCCCAGTATACCCTACATTCGAAGCCTCCGATGAAGCTCTTCCAAGCGACGATTTTTTGTTTTTGTTACAACCTGCTCGTCCAATGACCCACGCCGTTCAATTGGACGCGAACTTCCTAGTTGGACTCTTCAGGCCAAACGTCGTAGCCGAACGTGTCCTTCATGTTGACGAAGCGCGTGTGTCGACCCTCGGCAACCTTCTCAACATCCGCAAAGTCGGCATCCGATATATGCGGCACCTGGAAGTTGCTCTCGATGCGTGAGGGCGTGGAGCTCTTGGGCAGCACCACGTACCCACGTCGCAATCCCCAGCTGAGAAGGACCTGCGCGAGGCTGTGGCCGCTGCGGTCGGCAACCTCGTTGAGCGTCTTGTTTGTCCTCACCTTCTCGCCGGTGTTGGGGACTTGGTCCTGGGATCCCAGGGGCGAGTACGCCTGGGGCAGAATACCCTTCTCCTGGCAGTACTTGACCAGCTCGACGTTGGGCAGGAAGGGGTGGACCTCGATCTGGTTGACGGCCGGCTTGACCTTGGCGAATGCCAGCATCTTTTCTAGGCCGGCAATCGTCCAGTTGGACACGCCGATCGCGCGCGTCTTGCCCGCCGCCAGGAGATCTTCCATGGCGCGCCACGTGGGCTCCGGGTTCTCGGTAAGATCCCTCTTGACGATGTACTTGCCATCCGCTCCGATCTTGGGCTTTTCGTTGCCGTCCTTCTCGACCGCAATGGGCCAGTGCACCAGGAACAGATCAAAGTAGTCCAGGCCGAAGTTCTTGAGTGAGTTTTCCATCGACCACTTGACCTCCTCGGGTTCGTGGAGGTGGTTCCAGACCTTGGTGGTGATGAAGATGTCCTCTCGCTTGACCGAGGGGTTCTCCTTGAGGAAGTCGCGGACGGCGTCGCCAACCTCGGACTCGTTGAGGTAGAACCAGGCGCAGTCAAGATGTCGGTAGCCTACTTTAAGGGCGCACGTTACGGCCTTGTACGTCTCCCCCTTGGCTCCCTCGTTGGCAAAGGTTCCGAAGCCCAGGCCGGGGATTTTGACGCCATTGTTCAGAGTGAACGTCGTAGTGTTAGAGATGGCTGCCATGGTGATTTGTTGCTTGACTGTGTGAATGAAACTGTAGAAGCGATACAGGAGTGTAATGCGTGATGTGCGTGAGCAATAGACTTCAATTGAGGGGAAGCTCAGCTGCGTAGACATATTAGATAAGCTGAACCTTGTTGGACGCTGGTGTTTTTATCTACAGACCGTTCCTCACGCCTTGTCTCGGGTAGAGTCGCCCATGTCTCGCCATTGTGGACAAGCCAACATCATCATTGTGGATTTATGACATCAAAGTTCCCACCACGTCGGTTTCAGCGACGTATACTTCTCACGCCTGAATCGTTCGCAATTGATCGACACAAAAACGCGACAATTTTTAAGTGGAGTGAGAGCTGCGGTCCCTCCGTATCCCAATCGCCATGCCGTAGTTTCTCATCGTTGCACGCATCTTGTGGTTGACCGTATCTTTAGCGCAGCGAAACGGTGGGGGCAACATCATGTACCTGCTACATTCTCAGCCTCTGACAACGCGTTCTGCGATTACGCATAGTTGCCGACTCTCCGTTAATGCCAAGAGGATTTATCAATGCAAGTTAATCACTCAAGACGCGCTGTTGTCACCTCACTTATCACAAGTTGGGCTGCAATTATATCGGTGTAGGGTAGTTATCTGCACAGCAAGGGGAGCGTGCGTGAACTGCATGGGTTAGTTGGCCATCTCGCTTCCAGCGGAAATACCGCAGATTCTGCTAGAACCCTAACGGCGCTCGACGGGGAGCAAACGGAGCCTCGTCTCGCACTAACAATCTCTAACCGATATTTCATGGAACCGTGTTAGCCGCGACAGAGCCTTCAGTTATGTGGATCCGCCCAATCGGTGGGCGCGGGCGGCAATTGCGTCAGGATGATGGATGTACCGTGGATCTACATGATGTCAAGCGCTGATACGGACTCCGCCAGTTCCTAGGTTATGCTGGGCCAATTCCACTTTTCCACGGCATCTTCTCGGACCAGCTGTCAAAACCTAGCCTTATCGTTCACGTCTTCCGTCATATACCGCAAAGCCCTTCATCCAGCCTGTGTATCCACGACATTCGACGGTGATGAGGGGCTGCGGAGCCGCTTCAGGGGTTCCCAGGGGCCTCGAGGTGAGGCCTCACGTCACCGCACCGTGTTGGTGAGACGGAAACACGACGAGTTTTCCCGCGTCGTCAACGCCGTGGCGAGGTTCCGTCACGGTACTGGTTGCCGGGTATCGTGCTATCCACAATGAACGGGCGCCACGGCTTGGAATCGCTCGGCGGTGGATCGCCTCGAGCGGCTCAAGCAGTCAATCTCTGATAACAAGTACACAAGAGCAAACTCAGCTGGGAACCGGACGTCACCGAGCGGTTGATAAATACGTCAATCCTGCCCACCTCGTGGCTTCCGTGTAGATCCATCACACCTTCATCCACATTTTACCCTTTTCCAATTTTCTGAATATTCTCCGAAGTAGAGCAGGCTCTGCATCCATCATCGCCACTCAACGCCACTACAAGACTTCACAAAGCCTTTATAACAGCAACTTCAACCCACCTTCATCATGCCTGCCTACGATGATTCAGACTTTGATCAACCTCTCATGAGCCCTACCTATTCCCACAAAGATTCCTCAGACATGTATATCAACAGCAATGGAATCGCCGTTGACAACGGCCCCAACGGCAAGGCTATCGAGATCCCGGCCACTCGATCCGCCATATCGGAGGCGTCCAAGTACATGCACAACCTCAGCGTCTCTCCTTCTATGAAGGACCGCAGGTCGTCGCGGAACTCCTTTGGAACTGCGCTTCCCATCCCTCGAGCAAAGAGACACTCCCGACTCTCCTCGGTTCACCCTCAACCTGCCCCCGGCGTGTCATCCAGCCCGCCTGCACGCTCCCTTCTCATCGCGCAAGCCCAGTCTGTCAAGCCTCAGTTGGTGGAGAAGGCCAAGAATATGGCCTTTGCCTTCGACATTGATGGTGTGCTCGTCCATGGCGACCGCCTCATCCCTGAAGGCTGCCGGGCATTGGAGATCCTGAACGGAGACAATGAGCTCGGCATCAAGATCCCCCACATCTTCCTCACCAACGGTTCGGGCAAGATCGAGACGGCTCGATGCGAGCAGCTCTCCAAGATCCTCCGCAACCCCGTGTCGACGGACCAATTCATCCAGTCTCACACCCCCATGAGCGCCCTGTCCGAGTACTACCGCACCGTCCTGGTCGTCGGAGGCGAAGGCTACCGATGCCGCGAGGTTGCTGAGCAGTACGGATTCCACAACATCGTCGTCCCCAACGACATCATCGCCTGGGACCCGACCATCGCACCTTACCGCGTCTTCACCGACGAGGAGCGTGCCACGTCGCGTCCTCGCGACTTCACCAAGATCTGCATCGAGGCCATCATGGTCTTCTCCGACTCCCGAGACTATGCCACCGACATGCAGATCATCATGGACCTCCTCCGCAGCAAGAACGGTCGCCTAGGAACGGTCGCCGAGGACCCCGTCTCTGAGCGCATCCCCATCTATTTCTCCCAGGGCGATCTTCTATGCCCTACTGAGCACCCCACACCCCGTATGTCCCAGGGAGCTTTCCGCATTGGTCTTGAGGCCATGTACAAGGCGTTGACCGGCGCCGACCTGGAGCGTGTCGTCTACGGCAAGCCTGAGCTGGCAACCTACAAGTACGCCGACGAGATCTTGACCTCCTGGATGCAAGAGCTCCACGGCGAGGAGAAGCTGCCCCAGAACATTTACATGATCGGTGACAACCCGGCCTCGGACATCATTGGCGGCAACGAGTACGGATGGAACACCTGCCTGGTCCGCACTGGAGTCTTCCAGGGTGGGGATAATGACGAGAACAACCCTGCCAACTTTGGCGTCTTCCCCACCGTGCTGGATGCGGTCAAGAAGGCCTTGAGGAACGAGCTTGGCCAAGACTTCAAGATGTTTTTCGATGAGAAGATCAACCCGGTGCTTCACGGCACCGCGGCTGATGGCGCCGTGGTCATTTGAGCGAACAATACCCCTTATCGCCCATTGAATGGGTTGAGACTTTGACTTGGAGAAAAGTATAGACTTAGATCACATGAGCCATGAATTAGACAGTACTTAGAAACACCAAAAATATTATAGACGGCCCGGACTAGGCCAAGTTTCCTTAACACACTCGGCTGGATGCATTGATCACTTATTTGATCTTGATTGACTGCTTAATATTTCGGTGTTAAATGTACCTCTTCATGAATTCCGCTGAAATCATATCCATACGTAGTATTCTCCACAACCCTATTACCTGACCGCGTTCTCCACCCACAGTAACACTAGGCACACTCCCAAATCCCTCACCCTTTATGGTACTCTTTACTCGGGCTTTCGGCCATACACAACGCGCTGGCGATAGTACGGATGGAACTTGCCCGAGCGGATCTCGCGACGGAGCTGGGCGCAGTACAATGACACCTCCTCTTTCGACCAGCCCAGTACCATGTTGGCCATGTAAAGAACATAACCCTCGTAATCCTGTTCAAGAGCTGCTTGCGCGAACAGGCCGATTTCTCGAAGCCGGTCATCTTTTGCCCAACCTCCAATGGGCGCCTGAATATTTCGCGTGTGTTAGTGTTTGTACGCGGAGTGTCAACGGGCAATGGGACTTGCCTTCAGGTCCCAAGTTTGGATGTCAACAAAGCCCGCTTCTTCCATGCACTTTCGCTGCAGGTCATCGTCCAAGATGGTGAACGTGCGACCTAGCTTCTTGCCTCCTTCGATGAAGAACTTTCCCCACTCGTTGATTGCACATTTCTCCGTCACAGTACCGTCGTCGCTCTCCATCATCGCGGAGGCCTCGTAACTTTCGACCCAGCCGCCAGGCTTGCAAGCGCGATAGGCTTCCTTGAGTAAAGCATGCCAGTCGCCAATGCTTCCGTATAGATAGCGCATATGAACAAAATCGATGGAGTTGGGCTTAAAGGTCCACTCTTCTGTGCAATCCTCAATTTCGCTTAAATTGTCAGCGAAAGTCGCGTCAATATCATCATGCCACTTACAACGCTACATTCGGTGGCACCCACGTGGGCTGAATTGGGGACAAATCCGTTCCAATTACCTCAGCGTTGGGGTATTGATCGGCAAAATCACTACGCACTGTTAACATGGATTTTAGACATGGACTTAGGTTTCATACATGGCCCAAATGCCTGATTCATTCACTCCCATTAGCGCCATTATGTCTAACAATATTGTACGTGCTTACCTGTTCCGGTTCCGATATCGAGGACTTTCTATGTGGGAGGTCAGCGGCAATGGAGGTGAATACACAATCATGACCTGCTAACTTGGACATCGTCTTTCAGAGGTGCTAGAAAGAGTTTCCCTTCAAGTGACAGCGACAAGAGGTGGTGACTGAACATGTCAGCAGTGTCTCTATTGGGCTGAAGCCATTGACGTACTTGATATCCATCGATTCATTATGATGCTCATCATTCGGAGTCCTATGCCGTAAGTTTACCGAAGCCACGCTTTGGAAAGGAGGGGTATGTTACCAATACTCCGCATTACCTCGCTCCGAGTGATAGGTCCGCCCATGAATGGTTCTATACTCGAGAATGCTGGATGTGATTGATGCAGTTGAACTGGCGGCATCGTCTCCAACAGCGGAGTCGCCGTCGTCTTGGACAGGGTCTGTCTGGAATACGAGTTAATTACCTAATCCGAGTCGTATAAGAACACGTTGGCGCACCTCGGCTAGCTGGGCCCAATGCTCAGCGGAGTGCAGTTGAACGCCACCCTCGCTGTGTTGAGAACGAGGCGACTGGGAAGGCTCGTTTGTAGGGCTATCGGCGGGAGGTGCCGTGTCAGGAACAGGAGCTGGTGCTCTGTCAGCAGTGCTATTGGCACGCTCTCTGCTATTCTGGGAACTACTCACAAGCCATTTCGCTGATTTGGGCGTCTCGACACTCGAAAAAGCAATGCAGAGTTGAGGTAAAATGGCAAGGTAGAGTCGCATGTCGCCATCAAAGGCCGCAGGAGACCCGAGCACTACAACAGAGCGGGGTTCTGATCGGCAGACATTGCTTGGCTACGACCCCAGTAATCCGAATGAAGCCGGTGTGTTGGCCCTAGAATAGTATCATGCTGTAGCGTGCCACGTAGCGTTTACAAACTGGTTCATCAGCAAATCATCTCGTGGGGACGTGCCAATGTGACAGCGAAAGTGGGGGAAGAAGCCCAGTCGGCGATAAGTTCGGGCGAGGTTGGGCCGCGTAAGCCAGAGGGAGATGGGCATTTATGGTTATATTCGTTGCTACTCTTGTCTCATAAGGTGAAGTAGATGGCTACGGCTAAGTATTGCGTCATTTCCTCGCATATCTGAGACCGGAAACGCGAACTTGCAGTTCCTTTCGTCGCGTGGCAGATTGAGTCCAAGTCCAACTTGGAATGTGGGGCATTGCAATATGCCGGGGCTCGGGACGGGCCGAGAAACCGCTAAAGAGGGCCTATATAAACTGAGGGTCAGTAGCTAGTGTTGCTGAGGGTTGGGTAGTACTGTCAGAGGAATGTGGCTACAGCGCCTCGGAGGTCGAGGCCCTCGGTTATAAGGTTACCCTTTCAGTCACCCGGACATATTCCTATGTATTTTCCTGAGAGCTACGCCACGAAGATTAATATACATAGGGTGAAGATATAGTGGGAAAGGTGGGCTAGAGGAGAGACTCACATGTTATAGGATGACTAGTCATCTAGCCAAGTACTGCTATGCGGAACCCTCTTCGCGGTTTTGTGCCCGGACGGGTTTTGGACATATGGCTTTCCGCTCAAGGTGGCGTGGATTATAATTTCCTCCATCGGATGTCCCTCCCACGTACCATTCCCAGCATCCCGAATGCCGCAACATCTATAATCATGTATCCTCTATCAGCAGGGACATACACCATCACACCCTCTGCCCGGCACACTTCGTCCGGTGCAGTAATATTGGTCCACGAGTTCGAGTCCATGGCATACTTGAGCAAATACGAGGTCATCATTTCGGGTCCAGTCCTCAACTCATATCAATAGCATTACTCATCTATCTACCATTGTAGAACAGCGCCGTAGCTCAGACTGCCAATATCGGAAGTACCAGAAGCTCCATGGTCAACCCAGTGGGAATTGATATCGTATGAATACAATACTGCTACCCTTCTTGGTGTAAGTAGAGGGCTGTCACGAAAATGTTTCTTCAACAAGAACACTCCCTTAGACAAATAGCTTCACAAAGAATCATCCGGAGACAGACCTAAGGGTACAGGAGAGGTAGAACTAGAGGAACCACCCTAATCCAGTATCAAAACCTTGAAGTGGCTGGCGTACAGGCACATTTTATGACTTGTATCAAGGGTTTTAACAGTTGTGTGGGTGCAGTTTCTCTCACATCGTTCGAATGACGGTAGACTGTGTAGATGATTCACGGTAGAAAATTGCCGTCTTCTTCCGCTGCGCACCCCAGTAAGCTGAATAAGAAAGATGAATTTCCGCCATGTATAAACATCCTCTTTATTCAACCCCTCAACTGTTGCATGCTCACATGGCATGAGCGTGCACGGTTCCTTGAGGAGTAATAGTTGGCCGTCGTCATCTTCAGAAAGATGATCGACGCAAAACTGCAAGTTTCTCTCGGAATCACGCCAACAGTTCTCGATTTCAGTGGAGTCGGGAACAATAGCTTGCAGAACCCCTTCCATTCTTATGGCTGAGGTGTAGCTAATTCCGGTGTTATTTGAGCCGCTTCCAGAGAGGCCAGAAATATCGGTGGCATTTCTACTGAAGAGGCTCAAGTTATCTCCATGAGTATTCTCCACGTCTCCATCCGGAGATCTCGTAGGCACAGTGATACTTGGGGCAAATTTGTCAGACAAATTTGAGGCGAGGCTGCTGGAGCTCTCGTTACACTGGGGTGGATCTGGGGGGGAGGCGGAGGATGAGTCCGGCTTCGGTGGATTTGAATATTCTTGGGAGCTGTAAGTCGACAAGGTGCGACGTGTGGCTCTTTTGCGACGCTTGCGACGCTTGCGATTTGAGTGGCCTGAGTTGGGGGTACGGCTTCTTTCCACACCAAAATCTGGTGCGGTGTGGCGGACATAATGGTTGACAATTGGCCTTTCCATCTTCCGCATTGATTTTCTCATCCTTTTGCGGAACTCTTTAAAATCTTCGGAATGGGCAGAAAAGGAAGTGATGAGGCCATTAATAGCAGGCTGAAGAGATTTCCCGAGGTCTCTAACTGCTCCTTTCGACTCAGAATGTCTGAGAATACATGAGCCAACTTCATCATTGATCGAGGTATAGTGCATTCTTACCCAGCATGATTTCGGCGGAGCATAGCGATCGCGATGGCAAGATTGAGTGAAGATTTTGCGTGCTCAACTGACTGAAAATGGTCTTGGATCTTTTCAGCGTCAATGACGAAGCGAAGTCGGCGGCCGAATCTCCTTAACTTCAACCACCGCCTACCCTGCCTGTAGTCTGCTTCTTCTTGGTCGAATTTTTGGAGCATACTTTCAGCGTCCTCGGTGATGCTTCGTAGGTGCGAATGGCATACGGAGACTAAGCTTCGTTGCCGCACCTCGATGATAAGATCGTCACCAAGGAGCGACTCTTTGGATAGCTTATCGACTTCGGTTTGAATCTAGATCACTTTGTTAGATGGATGAATAACTCGAGATTGCGAACGATGGCATACATGAACAAGACTGTCCAACGCAAAGATATAACTTTGCCATTCCTTTTGAGCATTCTTGATCTTGGATGCATACTCTTTAAGTTTCTTGACAACCCCAAGTAAAGCAAAACAGCTTGCGGTGAAGCCAACGGGCTCCATGTTGAATGGAACAAAGAAGTGTTGAAGAACGTATAGTTTGCCTTAATAACTGCCGAGCAACAAGCTGCAAGAAGGGAGAATAAGCATGCTTCATATATGGTTGGTCCATCTTGTATGACTGATGGTGTGCGCGATTTTGACCACCATTTGTCTGGATGTGAGAGGAGTATGGTCCATGAATGTCAGCTGCGTTAGCCTTGGTGAATGGGCTGTGCTGGAACGACAGATGCATGGCGCAGTGATGGGCAGCCTAATCGTCGACGTAGTGGTTCGCGGCCAGCAACCCTGCGGCCCAACTGCGCCCCTTGAAGTATCGGTCGATCAGCCACTGTTTGTTTCAGTAAACCGTGTACATGATAACCGTTCTTCGGAGCCTCCGGGTGTGGGTTTTTTTAATGAGCTTCAATTGCGCAGTGAAAACCTTCTCTATATTGAAAACTGAATACTGGCCTATCAATGAGTCGTGATAACTACGTGGGTCTAGACTTGCTGGTACAGGATGGTGAGGCTTATCTGAGAGCGCACTTGGCCAATGAAAATAGGGTCGATCCCCATGTCGATAGACGCCTCACGGGCATGGTGAGGCTAAAAACTGACTCTTCTCGAGCACTCGCAAACCCAAGATCTAGATCTTTTGAATCGCACGGCGCTATGCTTGTTTAACCAAACTATGACCCTTGATATGTCTGGGAGGCTCACACCGCCGCCAAAATCATGGTCAGATGGTCGGTAGAATTACCGTTAGCTATTACCGTTAGCTAGTTCGCCTTGAAATTTCACGGTGTGGTTGTGTTCATGTTCAACAAATCAAATATGACAAGGTGTTGACATGCATGTCTTAACGTAGTATTTGGTAGCAGTCAATTCTACTTTGGGAAGTGTTGGCGGTGGCGTTGCCTGCGTTCACAGCCTGAATAATAATGAGGCGAGCTTGGTTGGGCCACGTCGCATGCTCAAGTACATATTATGCAGCATGCCCTCTCCAACCGCCACGGTTGTGTGGGATCGGCATGGGGAAACACATGGCCTAGCTCTACTGGCCCAAACGCCTCTGTGCCTTAGAGATAATGTATATGACTCTCGAAGTCTACGTGCATACGGCCTCGAGTGACTGGTGAATGCCGGAATTCCGCCCTAATTGACTGGCAAATACTGCATCAATGTCCGGTAAATGCGTCCTTAATTCATTTGTATATATAGCCTAAGTAGCTGATGAATGCTATCCTGACTGGCCAGTAGATGCTACTGTCCACGACGAGTATTCCGGAATAAGACCTCTGATCTCCGATTAGGCGAACCTAACTCCAGGCGGCTGGGTCAGAATGCTTCTTCCACATACACTCCCTTCGACAAATAGAGTTATAAACCATAATACGGAGGCCACTACTTAACCGGTTTATACTTCATTACGTGGTCCAGGACAGAATAGCCCCCTGCCCCAAATCCTCACAGATGTACTTAGCCCCTCAGCTTCCCAACTGCCCCTCGCTCGATGTAGACTGGAACTTCGTGCCTGCCCGTGTTGAGCCGCAAGGTAACAGGCAGGGAAGGCACGCGCTCCCACGCTCGTACGCTCCTGCCCTGCTGCACTGCAACGCTGCAGTGACTCAGTGCCGCAGTACCGCTTCCCCGAGCCTGATCTCTCCTTCCCCCAACCCACCATCCCGATCCCTTCTTTCCCACGGCATCATTCTGTTCTGGCCTCTCTGCTCTCCGCTATGAGAAATCGCGGACTGGCTGCAGTGGCTTTCTTTGCGACAGGAATGTGGTTACTCTCCGACCTTGGTTTCCTGTCCTTCTTTGCTCGTCGTCCTTCGCCAGCCGACGCCATGCCACCGAGCTGCCAACCGAACCTGCTGACGGCTACGGCCACTGAGCTTCGACGCCTTCTGGACGCGGGCGACTGCACGAGCGTCGACCTCGTCAATCTGTACTTCCAGCAGATCGCTGCTCACGACCGCGACGGCATGAAGCTCCACGCCATGATTGCTACTGCCCCCAAGCACATGGTTCTTGCTGAGGCCAGGGCCTTGGACCAGGAGGGGAGAGAGCTGGGTCCGAGCACGAGGCTCCATGGAATCCCCATTATCCTCAAGGTCCGATGTAACTTGATGACGGTTCTGGGATGCTGATTTGCTTATTCTTCCGCACAGGACTTGATCTGTTCTCCCTCCTTTGGCACTGAGGCAGATGGTTTGATAGTGCAGCCGGCAATACGCGCAGCGCTCTACGGCATGAAAGGTACGGTTGGCGCCGTCAACATGTTCGGCACCCAGTCTGGAGGTGCTGCTTGGGACAGCGCCGGCCCGATGGCAAAGTCAGTTGAGGACTGTGCCGACGTCAGGGAAGTTCTCCTTCCCGGAAGGGACTTCCACTCCTGTCTCGGCCGCTCGTGGAAGGGCATCCGAATTGCGCTTCTGAACTACGAACAGTGGCAGTTCGATGACGAGGAGTGCATAAAAACCCCGGTTTTTGACCAGGAGCATGTGAGCGTCGTGTTTGAGCTCCTTTCCAGGCTACCGCTGACCAACTTGCAGAAACGGGATATCAGCCACGCCATGAAGGCAATCGAAAGTCTTTGAGGCAAGGTGGTCTATGATGCTCCGTTGATGATGCTCGACGATGTCGTTAAGACATACAAGACGGCCGAGATGGGCACCATCTCACGTAGGTGTCAGTTCCCGTGCCCCCATCTACCCAACTGCTGATTCCCATTTCAGGACACCAACTCAGCTTCGTCATCAAGAGATATCTCGCCTTGTTTGACAACCCGCAGTGGCGCACTTTGGAGGATGTGGTTGAGTTCAACAGGAGACATGCCGACATTGAATTGCCTCCAGGTATGAGCTGGTATTTCCCTTCTGAGCTCGAGTGTTGAGCTAACTTTTTACTTTTTTTTTTAAGAACAACCCAGCTAAGAAGTGCTTGAGAACGGGCTCAAGAATAACACCACCGATGAGGAGTATCACAGATCCTTAGATTATTTACGACGGAGCGTGCGGGAGACGATGGAGAAGCTCTGGGCGGAAACCGGGACGGACGTCATCATGGCCTCGGGCGAGTCGAACTTGACGACCACCGCTGCAGCGGCAGGTTACCCCATCGCCAGTGTCCCTCTGGGATTTTCCACCTTCAACGGTAGACCGTATGGCTTAGAGATTGTTGCCAGAAATGGTGCGGAGGATTCGCTGATGCCCGGCGTCCTCCACCCCTGCTGGAGAAGTGAATGTCACGCATGTAGGCCGAGATAGAGGATGCAAACTTGCCAACTAGATTCATAGCTCCCCTCAAAGCTTTTATTGTTAGGAATTCTGTTCTGCTCTTGGCTCGTCTAAATGGCCGCACGACTTTCCCTTCTTCGGCGAGCGGCTCATTGCCCTACAAGAGTACACGCGGGTTCTGGAGCCGACGAACTTGACAACGCTTTTCTACGATAGACGCAATATGGCCAACTTTTGTGCGACTTGGGCTGCTATTTACTTTGGTGTGCTCACTTTGGTGGCTACGGTGCTGGGGCTAGGGCTTGCGGCTGCTCAGGTTGCTGGGAGTTTCGATACTTCGAGGTGATGAGGGAAACCGAAGCTTTTCCATGAACGAAAGTCTTTCTTTGAGTCCGTTACCGTCGTGCCCTGAATTTATCAAAATCACGTCCTGTCCAACCGCCGCAATTTATTTATAGCTCTCACTCACTGTTCTGACTTTCCTGCTGCGTGTACAGGCGTTGCTTTCCTCTGCCGCCGTACTATACAAATTTGTCCACAGTGCGATGTTCTTCCAACCAACAGCAACCGTTGAGCCAACTGTCGTTGAACCAACCGGGCCTCACTTTGGAGTTTGGATAGACTGCGGGTAATTACTTCATTCTGAGTTCGTTGAAGAGCGTCTTGGTTTCCTCTATCGCGCGAGGGCTGCTACCAGTTGGTAACGTAAGCCAAGCTCTTGCATTTCCTTCCCCGGAGGATGGATAAACGACCTTCAATCCTGCTTCCATCAAGTCTGCGTTGTAGAACGGATAGAGGATTGGTAAGAAATTTGAATCTTGTGGTTTCCCGATGGTCAGCTTGGACGTTTCTGACATAAAGCCATCGATAGAGACAGCCCCGTGTGATTCTCTCCTACAAAACTTTCTATCCCCCAGACTGTCTTCTCATCAGCTCCTTTCTTTCCCAGATTGTGGAGCAGCCAGGCGTGTAAAACGTTGTCGTCTCAAAGTGAAAATGATTTTAGAAATTGCGGGGTGAGCCTGGATCTAGATCTCCTTCACGTCCCTTTGTTGTTGGTGGGCAAGATAATACCTGCCAAGCATGGTGGAGATCTTCACTTTTGCTTGGCCAAGCGGATCAACACCATTCCATTGAGCCGCATGAAAGCCAGTCAGAGTGATCCACAGCAATTACCCCGCACGGAATGACGATGGTTATAAAACGAACTCTCTCCAGATGACGTCGCCAATGGCAGTTCAACCTTTCAATCCCTCACCTACAAAACTACCATCGAGAATACCTCACTCACAGCAACAGTAAACAACCTCACCAATCATGGCTACCGCCGCTGCTTCTCTCAACGTCCCCAGCATCCCATCATCTAACCCCCCCTCAAGGCATTCCAGACACGCACCCCCTGCTGGACTCGTCTGTTTGTCCGCTGAGCTCCAGCTCTACAATCGTCTCCTTCGAGCCGGATGTCAAGGCACCGTTTGATGCCATCCGGTCTCTCTTCGATTATCTCCGGGCCAACCCTGAGAATGCATCCTCCCTCAATGCTACTTATCCCCAGCGCGGAATTTTCAAGACCGCTGCCACACACAATGCTGCTTCTGACCAGAAGTTCACCATCGACTTGTCACCGGCCCGTAATGGTCGAATTCCGGAGGATCTGCGGAACGCCCTAGCTGCAGCCGGATTTAACGACGTGTTGGACTTCTTTGACGCTGTCAACGACACCTACGTCATGCCTATTCTGTCTGCCTTATCTGAACTTGCCGGCGCTGATCTCCACAAAGTCCATAAGCGCGGCAATATCAACTACCGTCTGTGCGACTACAATCCGGATACTGCAGACCCCAAGAGCGACAATGGTTGCGGTGCCCATACTGACTACGGCACCTGTAGCATCATTTTCCAAGATGGAACACCAGGACTGGAAATGGAGGATTCAGAGCGACCTGGAGTCTGGGTCCCCGTGCCTGCAGATGCCACCGTCGTCCTCGCTGGTTGGTGCGCTGTCATTCTTAGCGGCGGCTGTATCAAAGCAACCCGTCACCGGGTCAGGAGGATTCCTGGCGTGCGCAGACTCAGTGCCGTTCTCTTTGTGGCTCCGGATCTTGATATCAACCTACAGCCCCTGGAGGGCGTGAAGGTTGCCCGGCCCTTCTCGGAGAAAGTCATGACCTGTGAGGTTAACGTTGGATGGTTCAAGGAGGTCATGGGAAAGAAGTGGAGACGCCGCGAAGGTAACGAAGAGTTGGAAGAAGGGGAAGACACAGCAACACAAGATAGTGACATTGAGAAGGTGATCTGGCGTTGATAGCGCTATGCAGGATCTTTGGATACGATCTCCCGGGGGCATCGAAGCCAATGATGACACTCTGGCCCGAAATAGTCCTCAATGAGACCTAACACGTACGCTCTCGCATCCCTAGCCTACCATATATTTCTCCCGTAGTGTAGAATCAAGGCACAGTAGTTCGAAATTACTAAAAGCCCAGGGTTTTTGACTGACAGCAAGCCAGTAAATTCTAGTGTCGCCTGGCGATGTTGAGGGAGCATAAGTATACAAAGAAGTGACTTTTAGCCACCTTTGGAATTCTTACCTTGTGTCCCAACTCGTCACTTGCGAGACAGATGTTAATTTCCTGGTAAAAATATGGTGGATATAGTAGATCTATTACTAGTTTCAACAAATTCCGTTTAACAACATAGATTTACTGTTTGTCTACTGTTTGAGAATACTGCATGGCTTTGGTCTATCTGATGATATTGAGCAGAGCTAAAAAACATCAAATTGTTGTAAGTTCTAGGATCTTACTAGTGTGGTACGCGACGAGGGGTTGACAACCGTAACAACTCACTCAACTGGCTCAGCTAGCGTCTACTATCCGCCCCCTGTACTTACCGATTCCGTAGGGATTCTGAGGGTTGATTTGGGGATGTCCAACGAGAATACAGGGTACGTAAAGTGGGGATATAGAGACGCTAGCTGAGCCAGTTGAGCGAGTTGTTACGGTAGAGAATATGTGGATTCACTATTTCGTACGACAAAGTCACAATCCTTTGTTGGGTCTACTCAAGCACTATGCAAAAGCTATTACACCACTACTCATTGGTGGGTTTTAATACTAGATTTGAAATGAGAGAGTGTTGAGGGAGTATGAATGTTTGAGTCTCTAGCTCAAGTATATTCAGTTTTTTGAAGTCTAGGATGCTGTGGGAGAAATGGAAAAGAGCGGTCGCACATTTGCGACTATGCAGGGCTTGATCCTGCTTATTTAGTGGCGGTTGATGGCGTCTTGGCAAGTCCTGCTTTTCGAAAGAAGGCTCTGTAAGCGCGCTGAGAAATGCACATCAAGCCAATGGCTCGGGATTTATAGCGCCGCATACGTGGGAAAAGCATTTCCCCCCTTCCTCCCTTATCATCTTGCCCGTAATAATTGGCCAGTCAAGCTAGGGCTCGGCTGCACTTGCCAAATATAACTTGCGGCTGATCTCAGAGGCTTGGGACTGATCTCAGAGCCTCGTGCTATAATTAGAACCTTCCTACTCCTTAGGTACTTATATTCGATCTCTTGCCTCCCCTTGTACTGCTAAAACTTGGAGCTTTCACTCATAGTATCCTCACGTGTTCATTTCTTACCCTTTACTTGGGGACAGTACACCTTCTTTCTAGCTTTGTATTTGCGCACTTTCGCTGATTTTGACAACTCGGAGGCGAATCACGGCAAGGCAGCTGTACGCACGAATCCATGGGCTCCAATTGCAGCCGCTGCTCTCGCTCGGCGCAGCACGAGGTTCCTGAGCCATATGGCGATGTCGCAGGTCCTGGTGTAAGTATCACCATCTTTCTGTCCCAATAGCCATTGTCACAATGGGCTCATCGCAGATTTGTCCCATGATTTCTACCTATTTGCGACACCCGGATCTGACTGGCCAGAAGGTTCTTGCCGGGTTTTTGGGAACAGCATGGCTCGTTGTCGTCCTCGTTGCCTTGCACTACCTAGTTGCCTTTGATCCAGAAGAGGATCCATTTCTGCCACGGCACAAGGATTTCAACTGGAAAGCAAACCCGATTGACGTGCTTGCCAAGGCGTCCATCAGTAAAATGCACAAGATTTTCTCCCGTCTCAAGGTCGTTAGATTCATCACGGGCCCCGTCCGCTCCCAGGACGTCGGGATTGTCGAAACACCAAATCAACCCCCGCGATGGATCCATGCATTTGAGAAGGTAAATTGAAGAGAATAATTGATTATGGCGTTTCTGACAGGCATCCCAGTCAATACTGAGCATGTGTGACATTCAGATCCTTACTGGCCTTGGTATACTTATCAGTGGCTATGCCGACCTTTGTAATGGCATCTCTTCATACCATTTCCAATTAATTGGGCAGCTTGCATGGTTTTCTAATGTAACCCATATTGCGAGTCTTACAGTACTGCGCAGGTACCTCCACCGTCGTCGAGTCGAGAAGTGGACCAGACTTGTCCTCATGTTCATCTTATCAACCATGCTCATCGCAGCTATGGGCCCAACCCTGTTCTTCAATTGGGTAAACGATGAAGAGGGATCCGCAAGCCTCCCGGGCTCATTTGCGAGATGCTTTTATAACACAAGCCGATCGATCAAGTGGCTCGAGGCTGATAATTCAAAGTTTGGACTGCCAGGTACCACCGCATTTCAATCGGGCATAATGTCTATGCTGCTTTTGATTTTGAGCTTGGGAAGTCGAACGATTAAGCTGCAGTATTCACTCTCTCATCGGGTCAAAAGTTGGCGAACGGCGTTGAGCAATGGATGGCGCCGGCTTCTTGAGATCGCATTGGGCAGATTCAAGGGCAATGCGCCGAATGCGCCTGCAAACCTGATGTTAAAATTCATGGTTTACTTCAACATTGCCATTCTAGTAACGATCAGGGTATATTCTGATCTTCTTACATCCACTCTGTCAGATGTGAGCGCCTCTTTGTTTCTGTTCTCTGGCATACCGGTGCAATGAACCGTTAGCTGATCTATATTTGCAAGGTTTACTGGTTACTTGTTTCAGTCATTTGGGGCACGTTGAAGCTGTCCATGACGAAATCTTCAGTCCATATAAACGAAGATAGCTGGACCTTCGGACAGATTTTGCCTGCCTTTCTTCTCATTGGGCCAGTTATTGCAACCGTTATGGTTTTCCACGATCCCAAACTCGCCTCTGGTTCCGATTCCGAAATCGCCCCTACTGATTCCAATTCTTCCCGAGACTCCTGTTCCAACCTCACCTCGAGCCACGACCCCAATTTTAGTTTCCGTCCGGACTCGGATCTCGAGGCACAGACAAACGCAACCCAATCGAGTACTGCCGAATTAAGCCGGCCCCGAGACTACAACGAAAACAGAGAATCCATGGCGTCCGGCCAAGATCAATACCAAATCAATGAATCTTCCGCGAGAGGAGAGGTCTATCTGAACATTGGATCGATTATCAGCCGAGATTATTATACTGATGCTGATTGCCATTGGATCTCGCCAGCAATTACTCTTGCCTGTCTCCAAATCATCATAGTAACTGTATTAATGTTTTTGGATCTTGTTTTGGCAAAGGCTAGTGCAGTACTGGTACTGGCTAACTACGCTTTGATGATCTTTGTTTATTTTCCCTTCGGTTGTGTTCTTTTCATCTTTATTTGCAACTTCGCACGCCATATTAAACATCATCGATTGAAACGGTACTTGACATTCGGAATCTCGTTTCTAATGTATGCGATACTTGGCATGTACTCATTGTACCCTGTGTGGAGCGCGTACAGTCAATTTGCTATTCTTATGCCGATTCCTGTCTTCATTGACACAGTCATGTTCAGTTGGATGATGCTGGTCGGTGTATTTATATTTTGCGATTTGGTATACCTATTTTATTCGGCGTTTAGTAGACTGAAAGAGTCTATGATGGAACTATGTAATGGCTTCGGCTTCAGATAACCCTTTGGCTTGCTATGCCAACATCTAAAAGCACCAATAATCGAAAATCTTCAAGGCTGGTATGATGGTCTGTCCCCGGCCTGATCTACACTAAAGTGGATCTCCCAGAAACAAATAAAACATTTATGATATTATATGAAATCCAGGGGGAACCCCCTCATCATAGGCTTTCTATTTCTATTATCATTTCTTTACTTTCCGTGGCTTTATGTATAGTCCTTGCATGCCAATCTGATTACTGGGCCCATTTCTCAAACAGGGTTTGAAGGCGGGCGCCCTCAGTATCAGCAACCTCGGAGAAACCTCGTACTGACCCGAAAGGATGGTATGGAAAGGGTCTGAGGGACTCACATTAGTTGTGCCAATTCTATCAAGTCTAGGACGAAAAGAAGGTTGTCACGGAAGAGTCGAACTTACCCGTATTCTGGGACCCAGGTAATGGTATCGTTGGATTTCTGAGCCTCGATACACTCTTTCCAGAAATTTTCGAAGAATGCTCTCTCCGGGGCGAATGCCTCATTCGTTGGATCAGGGCACTGCGACGACTGGGTTGTGCCCATGCGTGCGTGAATGTGGGACACCTAGCATACACATCGTCAGTAGGAATGTAAATAATCGGTATACTTGACTTACGTGAGGAATGATGGCTTTAAGAATGGCCATATCCTCCTCTCCTTGATCGAGGAGGCGCTCACATACGACAACCCAATGGGAGATGTCGGCCGTAATCCGCAATCTTATTTTTGCATTAGCGATCTAGTCTCCATCATTTGAAGAGGGGAGAGAATACTTGGGGACTCTGCTCAAGACGTATAATGCCGCATATGGGTTGAACATGGAGCGTAGCCTGTGTGTCTCATGGCGAATCTTTCCCTCAAGTCCCAGCTCGGCGTCGACTTCTAGTGTACCCTTGTAAAACTCGACTGATTGGTCTAGGGTCCAATGGTCGCTATAAAATAAGTTAATGTCTGGTCTTGACACATGATGGTGGAGTGGCTGAGATGGGTTTACGTACCTTCCAGATTGAGCGTTGTAATTGATGGGTCTCAAGATCTGGGCGTTTTGGAGCTGTTCTTTGTAATGACCAAGGACCACCTGGGGGGTTAGCCCCGTAGGCTTAGGTCCCCTGTATCCTGGCCATGCTGTGTGGATGCTAGATTATGGTTAGGTTCACGATGTAATGGGAGGTTGAGACATGTCATTATTGGAAGTAGCATGTCTTTGCATATGATATTGATGCCCGACTCACAGAGCACTGATCTCGAGACCTGCGTCGTCACAGATGCGGCGGACAGTGGGCAGGTCAGGCAGAGGTTCGAAATCAATCTCGACTCCGGCTATTGTGGAAAGACGCTACACTTTAGCTCTTGAACAGTGAAGATGGTGAGGATAGAGCGTATACCATAGCCCTGCTGCTTCAAGGTAGGAAACCACTTCTTCCAATGGTCATAGTTGGGGCCAGGTTCGATGCCCCACACGGTGCGGAAACGCAAGACACGAACCATGATGGTGATGAGGGATGAGAAGATCGTAAAAACGGAAAACTGAATATTTGCAACGAGGAATCAAACAACTGCCACCTGTAAGTTGAGGAACGTGGCTCTGCTTTCTACCCCCAGAAAAATCAAGGCCTCCGAGCCTAGGCCGACATCCGAACCTGAGCCGCTGACTGATGGCGGGAAATCAGATCTGCAGGCTCGGAAAAAGATGCCCTAAATAGAAAACTTGCCTAATTAGACGAGCTGCCTCATCTAGGCGCATCCGGGTGCATCTGGGCGCATCCAATGCTAGCCGTAAATCAGCTTTTCGGGAAACATTTCGACTGCAAGGTGCAATTGCTTCACATGATGATGAGGAAGTAAGTGGAGAGGCTCGGCGTCAAGTCCGATGAGGGCCGGAGAAGCAAATATCCTAGAATTCTTTCCATTTACGCGGAGGTAAGCGGGCGGTTTACCCCTCTTTTGCACTGTTTTTTCTCGGACTTTTGTGAGTATGCCGATGTCATTCCTGTGTGGTCTTGGACTGACTGCTCACCTGTTCACCTGCTCACCGAGAGGTCGTGTCTGTCAGTCTTGCATGCACTGCCGCAACATGCCTAATTGGGGAATTAGTCCCCGGGGAGACGAGTACCTGACTAGGTCGGGGAGTAATTAGCACGCGTTTTCAAGCCCAAGCCTGGCAAAGAGCGTCACTAACAGGCCTTCCACTGCCAAGTGGGCCATGGCAAAGTGAGTAGGCGGCCCACTCTGCTGCGCCAACCCAGGCCCTTACTCCGCGTCCAGATGTCACAGCCAGTGAGACGTGGATGACACCTGGGGATGCTGGAGTATCCGAGAAACGCGACGACAAGAGATCCATTCGACCGTCGCACCTTTACACCACCACCTTTAGCCATGTGTGGATCAATCTCTCCATGGTCAGCGGAATTGACCAGTTGGGAGAAGTCGCCGGGCAACAATACCGGAAGTGGCGGAAGTGGGGGGCTGTGAGGGTATCACGATTGCGGAAGCTTGGGGAAGCATAGCGAGCAGGTTTGGTGTTTGTAAAGTCAACGACTTGGGACGAGAAACATTTATTAAAGCTCAATAAAAATCAAGAAAATTCTCACCGAAAATTGGCAAGCGATAAGTTCATTTTGCTTCATTCTGAGAAGCCTTTTGGTGTCTGGCTCGCACTCGGCTTCGAGTTCGCTCTTGTAAGACTTTGAGCGGGGTAATGACAGCCAAGCAATACTGCAACCCAATAATGTCACTGTAGACGGACATTTCAAGAAGGTGCGGATTTCCATTGCCGGATGAGTTCTAATTTACCAATTTAACCACTTGCCAAGGTCATGTCCATCGAATCATTGCGTTTTTGGCACCGCTCCCATAAGTGTGCCGCCCTTGACTCGTCACTGATGCCTCCTCAAATGGTCATTCCCCCTTGAAATCACCCACGCCAATACCACCTCTACTCGAAAACAGCCACCCACTCCCGTCTGAACATCTCTCCCCATTTGTCAGATATCTCATCTAGCTCGTCTCCCGCAGATTCTACGAACCGCCACCCCCGCAGCAACCCCACCTTTGGCCTTGCTTGATCTAATCTGGAAAGAGTTCCCCGAGTGCTCCCAGGCCTTCTCGCCGGCATATTGCGTTGGCTGACCTTCCCCGCAATGGGAGGCCGAGCAATGTCCGAATGGCTACTGCAGGACATAAAGGCAGTTCAAGGAATGTCAGAATAGGTAACATTTCTCCCTCGATTACTCTTACCTCTATTGAACCCTCGCCAGACCCTTGATCCACAATGGCGTCCCAAACGATGAAGGCTGTCAACTACCATGGACCTTTCCAAGTGAAGGTCCAGGAGATTGCGAAGCCCACTATTGAGCATCCTGACGATGTTATTGTCAAGGTTACGACTGTGAGTTAATGCCCTGCAAGTGTACACAGTTTGAAAGCTGACAGAATATCTAGTCGGCCATCTGTGGCTCTGACCTCCAGTAAGTGGAATGCACAAGAAAATGAGATGCAAGAGCCAGACTCATCAGGATGTAGCATGTACGAGGGCAGGACCGCGGCTGAGCCTGGCATCACTTTCGGTAAGCGATCAGTCAGACGATGCAATATGACCACACTGACAATTTCAAGGCCACGAGAACATGGGAATTATTGAGGAGTTGGGCGAGGGCGTCACCCTATTGAAGAAGGGTGACCGCGTCGTCATGCCCTTTAACGTTGCCGATGGCCGCTGCCGAAACTGCGAGGAGGGCAAGACTGCCTTCTGCACTGGCGTTAACCCCGGATTTGCTGGCGGTGCTTACGGTAAGCTTTCTGCCAAGTGAGACGCTTCTCAAAGCTGACAGTTTGATAGGATATGTTGCTATGGGTCCTTACCGTGGAGGTACTTTAGTCCGCTCTCTTTCAGCCCTCGACATCTGGATGCTAACATGTCATTCAAGGCCAGGCCCAGTACATCCGAATTCCTTATGCCGACTTTAACGCTCTTAAGCTGCCGCCTGGCAAGGAGTTTGAGTCTGATTTTATCCTTCTCGCAGGTTAGTACACTACTTGCTGCAATCTAGATTATGAATACTGACAAGTCCTTCAGATATTTTCCCTACCGGTATGGATATTCCCCCTTCTATGCATGCAAATACAGAGTCTAATTTTGGCAGGCTGGCACGGTGTTGAGATCTCTGGCTTCCAGTCAGGAGAGAGCATTGCCGTCTTCGGCGCGGGCCCTGTTGGTCTGATGGCTGCTTACTCTGCTGAATTGCGTGGTGCCTCGCGCGTCTTCGTCGTCGACCGCGTCCCCGAGAGGTTGGCGGCTGCCAAGAAGATTGGATGCATCCCCATCGACTTTTCCAAGGGCGATGCCGTCGACCAAATTATCGAGCTCAACGGTGGAATGGTTGACCGTTCAGTCGATGCTGTTGGTTACCAGGCTGTTTCTAAAGATGGCTCCAACGAAGTGCCCAATATTGTTCTCGAGAACATGATCAAGGTCACAAGGGCATGCGGTGGACTCGGTATTCCCGGACTCTATGTTCCTAGGTTGGTGGCTCTGTCTCAATACAATACAATACTAACTATGAACCTCTCTAGCGACCCTGGTGCTCCCGACGCCACCTCGGCCAAGGGAATGATCAGCCTCAGCTTCGGAAAGCTCTTTGAGAAGGTAGGTGGCCTATTCGCCATGATAAATATCGCATCCTGACCAGCTGTTATAGGGCCTCTCCATCGGCTGCGGCCAGTGCAATGTCAAGTCTTATAATAGGTACCTGCGAGATTTGATTATTTCGGGGAAGGCCAAGCCCAGCTTTGTTGTGTCCCACGAGATCAACATTGAAGATGCGGAAGTTGCGTACGAGAAGTTTGACAAGAGAATTGATGGTTATACCAAGGTTCTCATCCACCCCAACGGCGGATTCTAGGATGGGATGTCTAAGTAAATGGGATGGTATTCAAGACTGTGAAAAGGTTTAGGAGGGGTTGGCGGGCTGCGACAAGTACCACCTGTATATTTAGGGGCGTTGAGAAAGTCTAAGATAGTCAAAGGAAACTAAATTGCACGATGCAAGCAATGAAAGGGAATTGCTAAAACGAACTGCCTATAAATGAAGTTGAAACCGAATACTTCAAGTGCTTGCGGAGACCAGACTCATGTGACAGCGAATGCTGTAGTGTTGGTAGATGTGTCATGTCTATTTCTTTCACCTATTTACTGATGTCTATATCTGCAGATCGAATACCAAGTTCGTTTATACACCGGATTTCTTCTATTATTTGCTTATAGCTTCACTTGGAAAGGACGAAGCTAAAAGCTTCATCGAGAATCTTCAAACCCTCCTCAATCTCCTCCGCAGTGACGGTAACAGAGGGAGCAAGCCGGAACACTCCACCCATTCCGGGAAGATTGACAACATTGCACGAAAGACCCAAGTCCATGGCCTTGTCCGAGACAAGCTGTCCGAGATCAGATCCGGGCGCCTTCGTCTTGGCATCCGAGATGATCTCGATTCCCTGGAGAAGTCCGCGGCCACGGACGTCACCGATGCACCAATACTTCTCCTGGAGCTTCAACAAACCGGCTCGGAGTTGGGCACCTCGCTCGGCAGCGCGCTGGCAAATGTTGTCGCGCTCGACAATCTCGAGGACCTTGTTTCCGACAGCAGCCGTCAAAGGGTCGTTGAGATGGGTGGTGAGCCACAAGAAACCAGCCTCTCTGCAGCCAGTCTCGATCTCGGCGGTGGTTGAGACCGAAGCCAATGGAAGACCGCATCCAAGAGTCTTGGATAAGCAAAGGATATCAGGAACGATGCCTTCGTGCTCAAAGGCGAACATCTGACCGGTGCGGCCGACGCCAGTCTGGGCCTCGTCCATGATAATAAGCATTCCGCGCTTCTTGCACTCCTCAGCCATCCGCTTCAGGTATCCCACGGGGAGATCGAGGATGCCTCCGGTGCTGAGAATAGGCTCCATGATGAAGGCAGCGAGCGAGCCAACGCTCTGTCGGTCAATCATCGCCCAGCCAAACTCAATTTCAGTCTCCCAGTCGTAGGAGCCATCTGCCTTTCGGAAAGGTGAGCGGAAGGCATAAGGCGCGGGGAAGGCGAGCTGGCCGGGCATAGTAGGACCGCCATTTCGTCGGCCCGCAGAGAAGGTTGCGGAGCCAGAACCCTGGGTCAAGCCGTGGTAACTAGCGGAGAAGGCGATGATCTCGAACTTGCCGGTGTGGCACTTGGCCATCTTGATGGCGGCTTCTGTAGTCTCTGACCCAGTGTTGAGGAAGAAGGACTTTTGCAGCGGGAACGGGAGGACTCGAGCCAGTCGCTCAGCGAGGTCGACGACGGGGTGGGTGATCATGTTGCTGAGCAAGTGATCAAGCTGGCCGACGTATTTTCTGACAACCTCGACAATCTCGGGATGAGAGTGCCCTAGCAGAGAACTCATCTGACCAGAGGTAAAGTCGAGGATCTGTTTGTTGTTTGCATCGTAAAGACGGGTGCCCTCTGCTCTGGTGATGACGATGGGAGAGAACGGGACGCCCGTGTTCATCATGTACTTGTCGGTCTTGGACCAGAAAGCGGCGTCGGCGTTGGAAGACATGATGGGAAAAGGGATATAAGTCTACAGTGAATGATAAGAGGATGCTGCTCTGTAGAATACAAGGCTGCTTCATGATGATGGCGCGGTGTTATATGTGAAAACCGCCCGCGGAAAACCTGGGCCCATGACGTTTCCCGCGGGATTATTGACTCTCCACAAAACGATAGCCCCAGATGCCATGTAATAATGAGCAAATCAAGGCTAAATGTGGATTTGAGTGTGTGGAAGATAGCGAATATATTCGGGCAGACCTTAGATAGCTACAGGCATAAGCAGCGTTTGGTGGTGGGGTAGCACTTCCTCATGGATTTGTTTACAGACCACATGAGAGGTTGACCAGGCCATCAAATCAAGCCATTAAAAAAACACGCAGGCAATTTTAAAGAGCACTGTGCTCACTTGCTTCACGTATGGATAAACCTATCCTTGACTCTACTAACAAATCTTTATCGACGGAGATCTGGACGGGTGCCAATCAGCAATGTGGGTCAACACCATCAAACGATCCTTTGCCGCGGCAATGAGGGAAAAAGAGGCCGCGGAAAATTCTGATATCCACCCGGGAAGATACCTGTGGGGGTTCTTGTAATGACTAGACTTGAGGCTGAATGCAAGGACGATCAGATATGATTGACATTGATATGGTATACTGAAAAGTGTTAAGCTATTGCCTTAGAACCAGCTATTATTGGCTACGTGGGGTTTTTTTCTGAAAGGTACTGAGTGGTAGGATTAGGTAACTATGAACTCATCTGTCGAGAGGGTTCACTTGTTGAAAGAGATTCCTACAGCTGATATGTGCCCATCCTTCGGGGGGAAATCTTCAGTTGGAACAACCGATCAATCTCATCGTATCGTCGGCCCTTGAGTTCCGGAACGTAGAACCAACTCCAGGTCAACGCAAACAGAGAGAGTCCACCAAAGACAAATCCGACCTTGCCCTTCAGGTTGCCCTCATCGGGATTCACCATGTACGGAATGGCAAAGCTCATGATGATTCCCATGACGGCTTGGGTAGCAGTGGCCAGAGCCATGGTCTTGGCCTTGAGAGCAGTGCTGCTGGCCTCGCCAAGGATGGCAAATGCCATGGCGCCCACGCTGGCGAAGTAGACGAAGGCGTAGATGACGGTGCATGCGGACTGCACCCACTTTGCGGCGCCGCTGGGAACTACGTCCATGATGCCGATGAGGAACAGGAGGGTCGTAAGAGCCACCATGCCACCAATGAAGATCTTGCGACGACCGAATGAGTTGACGACGAACCAACTGGAAATGTTACCAGCCACGCCGCAGGCCGTTACGCCGACGCCCAGGTCGAAGCTGCGAGAGTCGGCCAGACCGGCAAGCTGGAAGAAGTAGGTCGAGTAGCCAAGGACGAAAATAATACCGACGAAGTGCTGGCATACGAAAACACCGATGCTGATCATGGTTCGGGTCAGATCAACGCCCTTGAAACACTGAGCCCACGACGCTTCTTCGGCTCGGCTGGAATCTTCTTCGGCAATCGTCTCCTCCAGACTGGCCAGTTTGGCCTCCGCGTCGACGCCAGCGCCGTACAGCTTGACGATGGATTGCTTGGCCTCCTCTCGCTTACCCTTGCGAGCAAGGTACCAAGGCGTCTCCGGCACGAAGGGCAGTCCGGCGGCAAGGAAGAAAATGAAGAAGAGCTGGGTGGCAAAAGGTCCCCGGTACGCCCAGCGGTCCGTCCGCTCCCCGAAGCCTTTGACGACGCCGTTGGAAATGAGCTGGCCCACGGCGATTCCCAGGTTAACACCGCTGGTAGACAGACCGCGCAGGACGACAGGTGCAATCTCGGACGTTGCCAAGGGGGCCAAGGTGAGATAGAAGCCCAAGCCGAAACCCAGGATCAGCTTTGCGACGAGAAAGGCGGCCCTTGTGGTCGAGAACATTTCGCCGAAGATGCCTCCCGTGATGATGACAAGACCAATGGCAAGCGAGTTCTTTCGGCCGACCTTGTCGCAGACCCAGGAGCAGACGAAGCCTCCGAAGAATTGACCAACGGAGCTGATGATGTTGAAGGCTGACTGCCAGTCAGCCGGCAAGATGGCCACGCCGTCCTCGACATATCTACAACGACCTGCGTTAGCTTCTTACGACTCAATGGCCACGTTTCGGTAGTATGCTTACCCAAAGTCACGGCGGAACGACTCGACGGAAATCATGGCACCATTGATCTGGGCATCAAATCCCCTGTGAGACTTTCTTAGCGCACCGTTCAGGGGACAACCTGACAGGGTATGGAAACTCACCAGCCGACTCCGGCCATGGCCCAGTAGAAAGACCAGAATGCGAGCGCTGGATGGCGGGTGAAAACCTGCTTCATGGTGAGGTCATGCTCAGCTTGGCGGTCCGCGGCCACGGTATCGCTCTTGGGCTCGATGTATTCGGCGGCCGATGCCCGCGGTTCAATGGCATGCCCATCCTTGGCCTCCACGGGGGCAATTGGGGACGCCATGTTGGTGTAGGATGTCGATTATCACGACCAAGTAAAAAGGAAGAAGCCCAGTGTTGTAAGATGCTCAATGCTCGCTATTGAAGCTGAATTGTGCAGATATTCTCCCCGACTCGACGAATTGGGCAAGTCGGGATATATACTTGGTTCCCAGTCGCCGAGTCAGATGGTGTTGCACGAATACTCGGCACTCGCCCGTTCTCGGGACAAGGGGTGGAAACGCCACTCCGGTTAAAGGCAACGCGGTGAGGTAACAGAGCGTCGGGATTGAATGTGGATTGAGAGTCACCAGACAAGCGGCTTGCCAACCCGTTGGCCTGGTCTGGGGATTGTGGGGAATGGGGCAACCGGGGTAATCAGCTCAGTCGATGGGCGTCTGTGGGGAGTTTTACACGAGCTTGTCGGTATTGGGGACAGTCAAAGCGAGTTATGAGCGACATTCCCCGATGATATAGACTGGACTAGTGGCGCCATTGTTCCGGTCCACCCAGCCAACCGGTGAGGCCGAGGTTGCTCTGCTCAGGGCTCATAAGAGCGAGACTCCCCGATGAGCAGTCCAGCCTCCATCCAAGTTACGAGTTCTAGTCTCCATCGATTGTCCGGCCGAGTCTCTCTCACTATCCTTGGTCTCTCACTCTCTTTGGTCTCCCCGCGCTCCGCGTTCTCTCCACGCTCTCCACTCCGCACTAGCAACGCAATTGACGCTCCCCACAGCCGTCCTCCATTCCCCGCCATGCAATCGCCGGACCAGGAAGATTCTGAGCGTCGTCCTGGGAAGCGTCCGGCTGCACGCGGCACGGCCTTCTACCCAAGGAAGAGGGCCAATACCGCGTGTCAAGTGTGTCGAGCGAGGAAGACGAAGTGCGACAATCGGAAGCCGTCATGCTCGTACTGCCTCAGCGTCGGTGCCGCGTGCAATCAATCGCCTGTGGACCTGTCGGCGTTTGATCCGGCGAGCTTGAAGATCCTCGAGCGGCTGGACGACTTGGAGAGATTGATGAAGGAGTCGCAGAACAACGCGCCGACCGAGAATGCACCATCCGTCAACTTCCAACAATCGCCACCTGAGTCGAATGGCGACCATGCTGCAGCTGCAAAGGACTCGGCCATGCTGGCGAACGCTTCGTTCAAGGGCGATCACGAGGTCGAAGACTTATCTCTAAGGAGCATCCTGCCCGAAAAGCTCGAGAGTCTGTTTCAATGGTCGGTATTCCCACGGCAACCGGAACGCCAGATCTTTGCCCGCAGTCCTTTGGATTCGAGTTCTCCCAAGAGCAGCAACCTCGGTGCTCTGCTCGACATAAAACCACAGGGCATCAATGCGCTTCTGGATAATTTCTTCATCCACGTGCATTGCAAGAACCCGATATTCGAAGAGACATCAACTCGACGCGTCGTCACCAACACCCTCCTCGACGGGATCGACTGGTCGCCGAATTCATGTCTGGCTCTACTTATATGTGCTCTTGGCAGCATCGCCACTCCGCTTGGACCGAGCCTAGACACGAAGCCAGATTCAGCGGCCTACATGGAATCTCAAAGCTACTTTGACGCCGCCCAGAGAAGAATCGGATCGCTCCTGTGCAAGTCAGACATCATCGGAGCCCAATGTCTGTTTCTGTCCGGTGTCTACATGTCGTGCATTTTCCAGCCCGTTCTCGCCTGGCGATTCTTCTCCCAAGCGCTGGCCGCGTGCCAAACCCTACCGTTCCTGCAGAGGGCACATCGCGCTGGATCAACAACGCCAGACCTCTCGTCGGAATTCCCCACGCTGCGGGCCGATGAAACGCAGGAGCAGGCCGTATACTGGTCTGCGTGGAAATCCGAGAGGGAGCTGCGGCAGGAACTCGCGCTTCCGGACTTCAACATGCCCCATTCCACAAGTGTTCTATATCCGCCTTTCTTCCCGACTCCGCCCCAGCCTCTGGAATCGATGAAGACGCCCGATTCTGATAGACAGCGTGCGTCTTGGCTATTCTACCTGGCAGAGATCTCGCTGCGAAGACTTTCCAGCAGAGTTTGCAATGCGATTTTAGAGCTACATCGGAGTGCAGCTTCCAATACTGTATTCATCCACGAGTTAACCCAGCTATTACCAGAGTACGAGGCACAGGCGCAACAATGGTCCGACAGCCTTCCTCCAGAGCTTTCCTTCCAAACTCCTCCCGAGAACGATGACGTTTGCGTGTTTGTCCTTCGAGGACACTTTCTCAATTTCTTCGAGACGATATACTGGCCGTTCGTCATGGCGCATCTCGACGGCCTCGAATCCGGAAACCCGATCAACCCGCAAGGACAAGAGATTGCCAAGAAAGGCCTTCAAATACATGTCCGCCGAGTCTCGGTCAACGAGCCGGGGTTTCTGCATCGCCATCACGGCACTGGAGGCATGATCAGGGGATGTATACGGAGCGCCGTGGTATTGCTCGGAGCCGGACTGCTGGGATGCGAAATGCCGCAGGGCTGGCAAGAAGCCACGTTCCAGGTGGTTCAATTGCTAAGTCTCTGGGAGGATGAAGTTCCCGAATTGACGGGCAATAAGGCCTTCCTGCAACAGGTACTCATGGGGCTCGAGAACTAGGGCACATTTGTATTAATGTTTACGATAATGAATGATGACGTACAAAACATCCAGCGGTTTCGCAGGTAACGTGCGAGTAGTTCGGAGCAAATGTCCTGAAGGCCTTTCGGCCTCGATCTTGCTGTACGAACAAGTTTTAACCTCCAGCGGTGAAGAAATGAGGCCTCGTCTCGGGTGGCAGAGGAAAGACACAAACACTTCATGTACGGCACGCCAACCATGTAACTATATGACAAGCCAGTCGACATCAGTCAACACCGGAGCCGTGTTGAAACCCGCCTGATCATAGCTCTGGGCGAAGAGGGCGCTCTTGTAGAGCTTGAGGTGCGCGTGCGGATCCGTAACCTCATCGTCTCCGACTTGTGAAAGCAAGAGGCCCACCCGCCCAACCGGACTTTCAGCCAGGACCACTGCGAACTGGAATTTAGCACCTTTCACGTACATGCGGAGAAACACATTCTTGATGACTCCGCGGTCCTCGTCGTCCCGAGATCTCGTGACGTCCACAACGATGGCCGCCTCGTCGCCGTCGGGTTCGAACTTCGACGCGAGAACTGCCGCCTTGGAGATCTTGACCGCTCCGTCGATCTGGATCTCCCACGTAGAGAGGCTGGGATGGTCTCGCGAGAAAGACGGGATTGGCTGGAGGTTGTAGTCGTTCCGGACCCTCGTAGAGTTGGGCGGCGCGAACGGGAGCATCGTGCCTATCGGACTCTTCTGTTCCCACCAGTCGACCCGGACGCTGGAAATGGTGAGGAAGAAAGCGGCGCCGACTTTTTGGACCACCTCCTGGACGAACGGCAGAGGGTAAGCGCCCAGCACGAGGCCCTGCTTGATGACTTCGTCCTTCTTCTCGTACCAGACGGTGCAGCCGATGGCCGACATGATGGCCTGGGCTCTAGCTACGAGTCTCTGGGCGCTCACCTGCCGCGTGTTTGCCTCGAGCAATATCCCTACTATGCCCGCCCTGTCCTGCGAGGAGGCATTGCGCAGCTTGGCGCGTTGGAAAAACTCCAGCAGTTGTGTGACCTGAGTCGGCCAACCGGCCGTCATGCCCTTGGCCCCTTTTCCAAGCTCGCCACAGTCGGTCGCGCGTTTCGAAATGCGAGGCCCCGAACGTCTCACCGCCGAGGGATTCCCAAACGAGACGGCCCCGTTGGCAGCGGAACTTCCGTCGTTCTGGACGACCGAGTTCAGAAGCGCCAGCATCTCCCCCACGGTGGTCGCGGTGCCCGTGGGGTTCCAGAGCGGCTTCCAATCCCTGGTGACGAGTATCATGTCCGGGCAGAGATGCAGCTCCTGCAGCGTCCACAGGCTCGAGAACCAAGGCGTCGGCTCGCGAGACTCGGGATCCAGCAGTTCCAGGCCACCGACCTCGAGCAGCGCTTTCGAGATGAAGTCCTCCAGGTCCGTCACCGGCTTGTGCAGCAGCCAATCCTGCTGCTTGTTGAAAAAGGCGTCTCGAGTATGGCGACTGTCTCGCGATGAGAGCCTGAGGTGCTGTAGACAGAGCCAATCTACCGCGCATTGCAGGGAACTCAGATCGCCAGGGATGTGGTTCAGCCAGGCTATGCATACGGTCGAGCCCTGGAATATGTCGGCTTGGCGAGTGATTTCCTCGTCCGCAATCTTATTGAGTTCCTCCTCCTCCTGTGACAGAGGAGTGGTCTTGCTCCGGTCCTCTTGGGGGATGGTGAGGAGATCGAACCACAGGTACTCGGTGTCCCACTGTTGCTTGGCCAAGATATCGGGCAGCTCCCGCACGTCGTATATCGTGTTTTGAGGGACCTTCCATTTGACTCCGGGAATGGCCACCGAGGGGGATTTGATCCTCCAGCGGCCCCAGGTGTGACTGATGCATGTGTAGGGTGGACACGATCCGGCCATGGCTACGGTGCATCGTTTCTGTATATCCCAGAGATATCGAGGAGAGTGATGGCGCTGAGTTGCACGTCCACTTGCATTGTGCGCAGGATCAACTAGTTTCGTCCACGATGAGGTAGAGCCTGGCTGGAGCCCCTTGGATTTCTTGTCCGCCCAATACCAGCGCATGTCGTACGAAGCCTGCCTGAACCTCTCCAGACGTTCCACCAGATGAAAATTGTCCATGGGAGGCCCTTCGTATATATTTCGCGTACGAACATCCTCAGGGTCCAGTTTGGAGAACCGACTCTCGAGATATACGAATGTCTCGTAAGCAACTCTTTGGGCCATTGTTTGCTCCGTTGCCACGTCTCGGAGGCGCTCCAGATCTACGATAAAACGGATCCGAGCCACTACGTCGTCGTCCTTGCCGACAGGAGGGCATAGCTCCGCCATGAACAAGTCGCAGCACGCCTTGTGATAGAAGGAATCTTGTATATAAGCCTTGTGCGAAGCACAATCGACATCGCGAGTTGCCGTGGCCTCTGTTCCGGATGATGCCAGGTGGAGGACGTACCTCCGTGCGGCCATGGAGAGTGGCTTCGGCTGAAAAGAGCCTTTCCACCATTCTTGCAACACTCGCAGGGAAGTTGCCTGCCGAGCCGATAGGTGCTCCGCCAGCTTTCCGGATGCACCTGGAGTTTCGAGGAAGAAAATCCAATCCAGAAGGGCCTTTCTGGGGGCGGATTGGTTGCTGCTTAGCACGTCCCTGATGGTTTCTTGGTCGATCCTGACAGAAAGAGGTGCAAGGCTATCCCAGTCTTCAAAGCTTGACTGGGAACCGCTGGTAGTAGCTGGATCCGGCGATGGAAGCGGGAGTGTCGGGGTGGTCGCGGGGAGATTGGATGGTGTTTGACCGAGGGGGTTGGGTGCTCTAGACAAGAGATGGCTGTCTCCCTCTCCTCGGGGAGTGGAGTCAATCCTTGCTTTTGTACCCTTCACGCCTGACAGCTGAGTCTCAGGGCTGGCTATCTTCTCTGCCGCCTGTGGCTGCTGGTTCCCTTCTTCGCTGTCCACGGAGTTCGGATCAGCTCCGGCCTCGAGCAGCAGTTTCACAACCGCCTTGTGCCCCTTCTCTTGTGCGAAGGACAGCGGTGTTCGTCCGCAAGAATCTTTGACGTCTATGTCGACCTTGTTCGTTGCTAGCAGTAGAGAAACTGCCTCTGCGCGACCGCGCTCTGCTTGCCATGACAGCGGTGTCCGGCCATCCTGATCAGTGGTGTTCGGGTCGACCCCGTCTTGCGCCAGCAGCAGCTCAACCATAGAAATACCCCCATACTGTGCCGCCCATGATAACGGCGTTCGTCCTTTTGCGTCCTTGGAGTCTGGGTCAGCTCGCTCTGATGCGAGCAGCAGCTTGACGGCGGCAGTGTATCCGGACTGTGCCGCCACCCAGAGCGGCGTCCGGCCCATGTTATCTTTGACGTCTGGCTGAACTCTGGTGTCTGAGAGCAGCAGCTCAACCATGGAAGTGCGCCCATGTTTTGCCGCCCATGATAACGGTGTTCGTCCTTCTGTATCCTTGGAGTTCGGCTCGGCCTCGCCCCTTGTGAGCAGCAGCCTTACCACTGCTTCGTACTCCTGCTCCACTGCCAGCCGCAATAAGTCGGTGCTGTCCGAAGGGCTCGGATTGGCACCGTTCTCCAGCAACAGCTGAATTACCGCCTTGTGCTCAGGTGAGTATCGCATCGCCCATATCGTCTGTCCATCTCGGTCAGTAGGGTTCAGGTTCACCCTACCCGTCTTGACCAGCAGCTCGGCCACTCCATAATGTCCGCCCTTCGCAGCCCGTAGCAGTGGCGTCTGTCCTTTTCTGTCTTCCGAGTCCGGGTTTACATCCGCTGCGAGGAGTAGGCTGACCACACGTACGCGGCCATTCTTGGCTGCCAGTGAGAGCGCGGTCTGTCCATCCCAGTCCTTGGACTCTTTCTCGATTCCGTCGCTTGCGAGCAGGCGTTCGACTATCGTCTCGTGTCCCCGCCACGCAGCCCCCGACAGCGGCGTCCTTCCATTCAGCGAACACCGGGAGTTCAAGTCGGCTCCCTTCTCGAGCAGCAGTTCAACGACCGCTTCGTGCCCCTTTTCTGCCGTTAGCGACAGCGGCGTTTGTCCCAGGTGATCTTTGGGGTTCAGGCTAGTTTCCTCCTTCGAAAGCAGCAACTTCACCACGGCCGTGTGTCCCCTGTCTGCTGCCCACGCCAGCGGCGTTCTTTTATATGCGCATCGGCTCGAGTTCAAGTCAACTCTACCCGTCGCCATCAGACTTTCCACCACCGCCACGCGCCCCTCTTCTGCTGCCCAAGACAGCGGAGTTTGTCCGTTCATCCCCTTGGAGTCTGGATCAACGCCGTTCACCGAGAGCAGCAGCTTGACCACCGCCTCGTGGCCCTCCTCCGCCGCATATGACAGCGGCGTTCGTCCTTGACCAAACTCCGCCGTGTCTTTGGTGTCGGGCAAGACCCCATTAACCGTAAGGAGCAGACTAACAATCTCTTGGTGGCCGTTTCTTGCTGCCAATGACAGTGGCGTCATTCCCTCCTTGTCGATGGAGTCCGCGCCGTGTCCACTCCGTGTCAGCAGCAGCTCAACCACAGCTTTGCGACCCATCGCTGCTGCATACGAAATCGGATATTTCCCCTGCGCGTTCGCGGCGCTCGGGTCGGCGCCGTGGTCAAGCAGCAACTGGACCATCTTGACGTGTCCCTCTCTTGCTGCATGTAACAGCGGTGTCCATCCGCTGCCAGACCCGGAGTCGACGGCGACGCGACCCGTCTTGAGCAGCAGCTTGACTACCTCCATACGACCTTCGCTTGCCGCATACGATAGAGGCGTCCGCCCTCGGGCAGACCCTTGAGTAGATTTCGAATCGGGGTCGACTTCCGGGTTCACAAGCAGCAGCTCGACTACGGCCGAATGCCCGTTTTCTGCCGCATATGACAGCGCTGTCCTTCCGTCTCTGGACTTCGAGTCTGGATCGACTCCACTCATCTTGAGCAGCAGTCTTACTTCCGCTTCGTCGCCGGCCTCTGCGGCTATCGACAACAGCTTCTGGTCAGGACCGGTCGTTACATGTGGCGTGGCATCCCACATCAGTCCTCGAGCCATCGCTCCCTGTCTATCCATGTCTCGACCGTCCGACAACAGTCCCCAATCACCTCTAGAGAAGTGTACATCCCACCGCTTGTGGTCGGACATTGCGCGACCTGACCTGAATAATGAGCTGAATAAGTCAAAGTCAGTCCCTGCTACATGCTGTTGCAAGGCCTGGAAAGTTTTGATGAAAGTTGTAGCGTCCCTTCGATTCGATTCCGCCTTGTGTGGATTTCCCTGCAAATGAGTAAGGTGAGAAGAATGGACCGTGAAGTTCGAAGTTGGGCGTATCAGGCAGAAACGGCCAGCAGTATGGTCACGTGAAGCTTCGTCTGTTTGCCTAACACCTCGTCCATTCTCGCCCCCAATTCCACTGGGGAGAAACAATTCGATCGAAGTCTTGCTTCCGAAGTTCAATCTCGTGGCTATTTGCTGGGCGTGTGACGAGTATGTAATATGTTGATCCACATCGCTACATGAATGATCGGAAACTGCCTGCCGGGATGGACGCGCTCAAAGACAAGGTGGCATTTGGTTGATTCTCGATAGTGCAGACTGATGTCAATTCTCCTAGAGCTATGCAGCTCCTACAAATCCCGCGCGTCCGTCCGCTGGACCACGCCGGAAAATTCCGCTCCCAGCTGTGTTCCATATCCAAGGATCCTCCTCGCACATCTGTTAAAGCAGGAGTGGTACCTACCATACCCTTGGAGAGACCAGGCCCGGTGAAACACACGAAGGGCCTGATCGGCCAGAGGATTATGATAATTCGAATTAAATGTGGATAGAGTCCATAGATACATCAGGCTTGCACAGCAAGGCCGATGTACTGTCTTGAATCCCTTGTGTATTGTGAGGCCTACCGCCTTCCTAATCCGGAATTCTGCCTAATCTCATTAAATTCTCATTTTCAGATTTATTGTAATCCGGCTTTAAATAGGATTATATTTTGGTCTAAATTCTTATAATTCAGGCCTATCCTCAGAGATAATACTATAGCTTCTCAAGACATTATTGAATATGACTGATTAAACTAGAAACCTTAATCTAATGTAAAGTATTCATTTTTAAATACACTGAGTATATAATTTATATCATCAATCCAATTATTAGTGTTTTTTTAATACTGTTAGGCGTTTAGTCCTTCCTCTGATTATATATATACTAGAGCCCTCTAATTCTTTGATATACTTACATCAGGAATAAAGAAATTCCCAATCTACTGTGGTATAAATATAGCTAGTAATACAACTGACCGGCTCTAAATAAAAGCAGCGCCCAGTCAGTGTGTGAGTGGGGAAGAAATCGTTTAGATTCATCGCGGATTACCGGTCCATATTATCCTTGTCAATGCTCCTCTTCCGGCTCACCTGACCGACTGGTCCGATTTGCGCTCCACAGTCACGACTCGTGATGCGGTGGACCGTCGGGGAGTATCGCTCCAACCTGACACGCCATTCACTATTTGCCTCAACAAGCTGAGAAATGATGTAAATCCACAGTTTCCAGTTTAATCGCTGGTATAAAACACCTCGTGGCCATCTCAAATAATATTCTCGAGTGTATCCTTCATCCCCAACCCTTGACTTCAATCAGACAATATGGCAGACGCATCCAGCTCCCAACCTTGCACTATGCTGCGGGTCGATGGCCCTCGCATCGTGAACCCCGCCGGAGATACGGTCATTCTCAAGGGAGCCGGTCTGGGCGGCATGCTCAACATGGAAAACTTCATTACCGGATATGCTGGGCATGAACATGAGCACCGCGCCCAGCTCGCCGAAGTGTTGGGCGAGGAGAAGGCCACCTTCTTTTTCGACCGTCTCATTCACCACTTCTTTACTGAGGCCGATGCCGCATACTTTGCGTCTCTCGGTCTCAACTGCATCCGAATCCCGTTCAACTACCGCCACTTTATTGACGACATGAACCCTGATGTCATCAATGACAAGGGCTTCCAATTACTGGATCGATGCGTCGATATTTGCGCCAAGCACAACCTTTACGTTATTCTTGATTTGCACGCCGTCCCCGGAGGCCAGAACCAAGATTGGCACAGCGACTCTGGTCTTGCCAGGGCTCAATTCTGGGAGTTTAAAGACCACCAAGACAGGGTCATCCAACTATGGGAGGCACTTGCCAAGCATTATAAGGGCAACGCAGTTATTGCGGGATACAACCCACTTAATGAGCCCGCGGACCCCCACAAGACGACATCCGGACACTACGGCGCGAGACTTGTCCAGTGGTATGAGAGAGCCGAGAAGGCTATCCATGCCATCGACCCAGAGCACATTCTGTTCATCGACGGAAACACGTACGCCATGGACTTCCGCGCGTTTCCCAAAAGCCCGCTGCCAAACACCGTTTATGCCTGCCACGATTACAGCATGATGGGCTTCCCTCTTCCCGAGCAGTTCGAAGGAACGCAGGAGCAGAAGGATAAACTACGCTCAAGCTTCGAACGAAAGGTGGGATTTATGAGGGAAATGAACGTCCCCATCTGGAACGGCGAGTTCGGACCTGTATACCAGAACGAGCAGAAAGAGGGAGCCGAGGGAGCCAAGACGAACGCCAAGAGATATGCACTCCTTGAGGAACAGCTATCTATTTACCGCGAGACCGGTGTCAGCTGGTCCATCTGGCTATACAAGGACATTGGTTACCAAGGAATGGTCTACGTTGACCCGGAGTCTGCCTACATGAAGCTGATCCAGGGCTTTGTCGAGAAGAAGCAGAACCTAGGCCTTGACTTTTGGGGAGTCGTCGACAAGGACGGCGTGAAGCACCTTTATGAGCCATTCCTTAAGGGTCTGAAGGATATGGTACTAGAGAAGTACCAGGACACAAGATATCCCAAGATCTGGACCTTTGAGCGACAGTTCGAGCGTGTCATCAGAGAGTGTCTCCTGAGCGAGTACGTCGGCTGGGAAATGGCTGAACTCTTCCGGGGCAAGACTAAGGACGAGCTGGAGGAACTTGCCGCTAGCTTTTCATTGGAGAAGTGTAAGATGCGGGATGGCTTAAATGATATCTTGAAGCGAGATGCGAACAAGAAGTAAGATGGCACTGGGAGGATATGATTAGACGAGTTGGCCTGTGAGCCGGCGTCCATGACACTCTGACTAAGTAGGACAGCGAGTGTCATGTAAAGCAGCAACAATAGAGATATTCCTACCATGGGAAACTACCTAGAAGGAAAGCAGTCAGTCATTAATATACGAATATAAACTTGCCACGATCGACATATGCATATATCGCCACGCAACGCCTGGAATCTGCCAAACAAATAGAGCGAGTGTTTGAGGCCGGAAGTGTGGTATTCGCCAAAAATAACTGTATAATTTTACATGTAAACGCCGCCGTCTCATTACGCCAATTGTTGCCACCTCCGAGGGAGTGAGGAACCGAAAACAGTAACTTGCTCAATACTGATGAATACTGCGATAGTTTAGCTTCATAGTGGAGCTATTTGTGCTCTCAGCATCTCCGTCATCTCTCTCCTCGACAGGTCTGCTGGCGACTGTCGTCTGCACAGTCTTCATGATGCCGTTCTCGAGGGTTGCGGGATTGGCGCTGTCGCGAGCTTCGAGCTCGGCGTCACTGTCGACATCACCAACACCGACGTGGGTGGTGTTGCCTCCCCGGAAAGTGGCATTATATCCATTCGATAGGGTATTCGAGAACTTGGACTTTCCGGTGCTGCCGTCAATTCTGGACTTGCCACCCGAAGAATGTCTGTAGTAAGCATCCTCGCTTCCCCTAGCGTTTGATGATCGCACGATTTTGGTGATGAGCTCGGCCATTGTCATTTCGATCTGCAGTTTCAGGAGGTAACAAACTGGATGGAATGAAAGGTACCTAATTGAGAGGTCAGAGGATGTTCCAAGTCTAGGCCTCGCATGGCCGTGGGCGTGCGAGTCACAGGATGAACCAGGGCAGCTGCTAACAATCCGACGCCAACAAAACAGGGCCTGGGAGATATTGTAAGAGGGGATCGAGTGACGTACACCAAACTACTCTTCAGTGACATGAGGCCAACGAGGACGACCTAGATTCTATCAGCATATATCTTTGATATCAGCCCTCGAAAGCAGCTTACATCCAAAGACAGAGAAATAAAGATCAGGCCTAGGTTCATGCGGTACAAGGGCATATATTTGGTAAGACCGTTATTAATGAGGCGCGATCGGACCAGGTAGATGAAGTAGCCGTTCAACACGCCGTCGACAAGAGCGAAAATGATCTTTTCGCATCGATCCCAGATGATGTTGAGGTGGATCCATGTCTTGTTGATTTGGAGACGCGCCGGCATCCAGATGACGAAGACGCTGATGTTGACGGCTAGGATGAGAGCGAAGACCATCCATTTCAGTCTAGTTGCTCGGCCAGGTACAACCATCAATAGGCCGAGACGATTGAGTATGATCTGGAGAAGAAGTTGTACTTGGATAGCCCAGAATAGTGCTGTAGTTCGACGGGTCAGATAAGCATCGAAGCTGAATACGGGAGGTAAATCGTACCGACGCAGAAATAGAATGCGAAACTGTCGTGAGTAAGTATTAGTTTTGTTCGGACGCAGCTGGACGAAGTGATGAGCGAGGGCCAAGAGTACAACCTACCTTGGCTGGATGTATTGCCTCTGGAAGCCCCAAGCGAGCACCCCCAAGATCATGCTACTGATCCACACTCCCCAGAGCATAATAATGTAAGCGGAGACACGCTTCGACCGTTGCCATGATCGTTGGCTCTGCCGTGCTGCTTTGCCTGCGGAGAACAAGGCAACTCCGAGAGAGAAACCCCAGAAAATGCTGGACGTGTTCATGTCGGCGGCGCCCGGAATCTCCTGGACGTACGAGTCCGGGATCAAGAAGCCGTACTTTGCGCCCATCGTGGGCCAAACGAGTGGTGGGCAGGGTATACAGGAACGAAAGCCAAGGAAGAGATCTCGAACTTCGAGGGCAAAAGCAATGAGGACGCCAACCCGCTCTTCATATGCAGCATGGAAGGCCCCGGACGTGCCAGAATGGGGCTGGCGGATCTTATAAGGAGGGGCGAGCAAAGCACGGGGCCCATGCAGCACAAGTGCCGTGATCTTGCTGCGGCAGCCGGGTTCTCGTCCGGACAGTTAGCTTCATCACTGTGGGCGTGATTGCCGGGGAATCTCCAGCCAGTGGCAGGCAGACTCCTGCTGTTAAATAGTGGGCGCAGAGTATTTGCCGGCTTATCATAGGCGCCTTAGCATGTATTTGGATAAACTCAGTAAATCTCTGGACATTCCAGAGGCTCTAGATGTAAATATTCGTTCTCGAATGGCCTCCGGATGCGGCGTCATGGAGGTGGCTTGTGGCTTGAGCCGACGTCGCTGGTATGCTTTGGCGTGTGGTATGCGGGGAGTCACTCGAATCACACAGACCGCATGAAGCGCAAATCAATCGGTGAATCAGTACCGTATCCACGGCGAATCGCAGCCGACGGATTGAGCTCGCCCGACGAGGCTTGCGACGGCAGCATCCAGTTTGGGGGAAGGATCGCTAGCCACGACTCGCGCTGAGCACAATCCGCAGGGCTTGGTCTAGGCCATCCCCCGGCCTCATCGAGCTAGTCCGGGGGCCGGCCACGAGCTGGCGTGCATCTTATTGCTCGTGTGCTACGTCGTAAACGTGTCGGGGCGTTGGGCTACTGCCGGCCGTGGCGTTGGAATCAGTCCACTTCCCCAGCTGGGTTTAATGGGAGCTGAGTCTGGAGATCCCGATCTGCAGTCTTAGCGCGCTACGAGACGCGGGGTGTCAAGTCAGCCAGCGCCGGGGATTCTGTAACTGGCCCCTTGGAGATTAGTCGACGTCAAAGCGGACCTGGCCGAGTCATTGCGTTGGGTAGGATTGACGGTTTCATCCACCCCGCCACTGTTTTCGGCCGACTCTGGGGAAGAGTACGTTATGCTGTGGGAGGAAATGTGGACCGAGTCGATGTCATCGGGGGATTTGTACCCGAGATGAATGGACGTGGTCTCTGTAGTGTAAGTAAGGCGTTGATTTACTCAGCCAGCTCCCTTCTCCTGTCTTGATACCTTTGAACGTGTCATCAGTTTGAGTGCAATGAGGGCGATTGACCCTGCTGAAGATCTCGTCGTCCCCGAAAGCATGTAGAATCTACCCTTACCTACGTAATGTACCCCTGCTCTGCGAGGACATCTCTTCGTGTCGAGATTCATCCGCTGGTAAGAGACACCGTCACGCTAGAAGAGCCGATGTGGGGGACTTGCCGGGGGCATCGACGTCTCACATCGTCTAGGCCTATCACAGCGGGAACATATTGACCGCATGGCTCTGAAGTTGAGCCCGTTGCCGCCACATTTGTGAAAGTAGGCTGACTGTGTGTCTGGGCCACTCATTTCTGGCTGACACCTGTCTACCCCGCGTGTGCCGGGAGCAATGAAACAGTCTAGCTCAACATGCGAATGCGAATCTCACCAACATGGGGTCCTTTGTCGTGCGCGGGTCTGAGCTCACTGCTACATTGGTCTATACCGTGCCTGAATTATCGCTGAGTGGCAACGGAGCATATCCTTAAACGGTCCTGATCCGACTGAAGGGCCCGTCCGCTGGTGTCGAGGGCCTGACCGGATCTTCGATTTCCGAGTGTTTTGTGAGGGGCCACACCATCTATTTACTGGTATTCAATTGACCCTGCAACCTGGAAAGTCTGGGTAGTCGGAGGGTAAGACGGAGAGAATAATGGACCATTGGGTATCATTTTCAAATGTTGGATGCTCCCCTGAACGGCAGCTTACCCCGGTTTGGATCGAAGTTGATAGAAAATCTTGAACCCGTTGTGGCCATCCATCATCTGAACTGGGTGACGACAGATCAGTCAATCCATCAACACCGGTCGAGCAATTAACCGCCGATGGTGCGGCGATCAATTATTATATACGGAGTAGTGCTCTGGCATAATATCCTATCCCACTGTGTCTGGTCTCGAACGGGTTTGAAGAAGATTTGTGGTCAGCGTAGCTACCCTAGACCTTTACTACCTATTGAGAGATCAAATTTCGCCATAGTTTCAAGAGCGTTTTTACTGTGACAGAGCAGCTGAAATAAAAATGAGACGAAGAAAGAGTCACCACTTGTGTTAACCATCGGGGCCATTTCCACGAAATAAGCGTACCTTAGAAATATCACATATTGATGCGACAGTCAATGGATTTGTCGGGCACAAAGTCTACCGACGGCGTAGATTCTGGCAGGTAAATGAACCCAAACAACAAGTAAGATTCCCAAAACGGGGTTCGAGCTGGTTTGCAGACATCTCAAAGTCGACCATTGTTAATCACAGAAGAAACCGCGAAGGGTCTTTTTATGGAAATGAACTCACTGGCATTTAACCGTCTTCGCCTTCAACAGTGCCAAACCCAGCGGCAACGATGGTTCGAAGTGTCGTTATGATCACACCCACAATAGCAATGATGACTTCAGCTGACGGCTTCATAGCTTGAGAAGGAAACCTATCTAGTTCTTATGATGAGAAACGATTGGGAAGAATGATACGGCGCGAATGATAAAACACATTCGCAAAGAGAAACATAGCCACTGCGATGAATTGAGATCCCCTCAAAGTCGCACTGCTCCCCCCTCGTTACTTTAGTTCAATTCCCCACCGATTGTTGCGAGCTATGACACTTAAATATCTAAGTACGCCAGACCCCAGTTGTCAACTCTGTGTCTATCGCTGGAGTAGAAGCCGAATCTTGTCCTGTTATGTTCAATAAGCCGTAGTGTCTGGGAATATAATCTCCAAGGGCTGGTATAGCACCTTTGAAGTATAATTATGTGCTACACTGATGCAGTGGTTATTTATTCTAATTAAAGGAGTTAGCCTTTTTTCGAGCGATGAATTAAGGAACATAAAACTTGCCTTCCCAAAGTTGTCGTATTGGAAGTTACCCGCCTTCTTGTCTCACCCAAGAGAATTTAGAACATCATGATACATGCTGAGGGCATACTATACCTCCATAACAGTCCCTTTTACAAATGCCATAGGAGTCTGCTTAGGGTCTAGTGGGTATAAAAAGGCATAGCTGTGACTTAGCGGAGGCGGCTGTCTGGTGTTGTGTTAAATCGTCACTGTCTAGGGTGTAAACAGCAACAGCATTGCCACCGTTTGTGATATTATACCTAGTTTCACCATCGTCTTGCCAGCCGATGGGCGACACAGTGACATTTGCGGGTCATGAATCGCAGTTCAGTTTTACAGAGAGTTTACCTAGCCCGTCTGTCGCATTGACTGCTACGCCAAAAGTGGAATGAACACTCCGCTAATGCGTAGTGCAACTGAGGCCTATATACTGGATGTGACACCGTCCCTCGCCATCCATCCCAAATTTGATACGAGCTCTTCCTGCAGGCCTTGGGGGATCTACAAACCTGGTTGACACGAGCGAGATTGGCTGTGGCAAGCCGGGGGGAGGGATGGCTATGGTTGCGTTGGGCATCTGGCCGGTGCTCTGAACAGTGCAAACCTCAGAGGTTGGAAGGAAATTCGTAATCGCTGGGCTGAGAATCTACAGTCAACGCTAGCCCTACGTCACGCAGGGGCAGTTACAGGTAGTCCAATCTGCTACTAGGACGCTCTGAAAGCCTGTAAGTTAGCAGCCCATTATGGACTTATTGATGGTGCAAACCAGCGATTCTTCACTATAGCCGATCACGGTATGCCAGGCCACGCTATGACTTCACTGCGTCCCGAATTTCACATGACCACATTCAATGCCTGATTGTATAATGAAGGACACAATAGAGTTGCTTGAAATGATTGTCAATCCTGAATCAAGATACGGATAGATAAGGTCTAAATCAATGAATGGCTTCGTATAATCTGTCCACGGAAATGCATGAATACGATTGGTTGGAAGAGTCAATAAAGTTCGTGCTTAGTCCCAAACGGATGTCGAGTTGGGAGAAACGTTACGAGTCGGAGAAAAGAACCCGAGACAGTGTGGGCACGAAAACGGGAACTGCCGATTAATACTCTATTTGGACTGACACTGCACATATGCATGATGCCGAAGAGCCGAGTTCCTGAACCCTGGTTCGGACTACTAATAGTTTGCAGTGTCTCGGTGGTTCGTATTAATCCTAGCCACGGTATCCGGAGGACGATAACTGATAAGCGCCTGCCAGTTATGGCTAGTTAGATTTGTCTCTGCATATACCAACAGCGGGCCTCTGGTACTTTTGCAAGACTGAACATCGCGAACTCGTATTTCGCGCTCTATGCTTACCATCGTAACCCTCTTCACTCATCAAGTTGCTTACTCCATGAGGAAGGCATAGGACCCTCAGGTCTCATGATGAACTCATGATCTAGCCCGAATGAAACTACAAAATTCAAAATGGCCATACGAAAAGAGCCGCCTCGGCTAACCGGCTCGGCATTGCATAGATAAAGAATTGATAACTCCATATTGTAATGTACGTATCCAGCCTGCCCTGGTGACTTTAAAGAGATCCGTCAGAATACGAAGCGATTTTGGTTTCAACAGAGCCCAAGAAAGAAGGTGGAAAGGTTCAATGCAAAAAATATCAAGATAAGCTGGTTCCATGATGGAACTTTGGGATTCGGTTGCGACGTTACAGTTCATAGGATGCAAAGGCAAGCCGTGTTAGCAATATCGTCTTGGGCATTGAAAATTGCATGATTGTATGAGGAGACACAGCAAATATAAGAGGCTGTTGAAGTCACGGAAATCACTGGTTTCGGTTGCCAAACACCTTCAGTTCAAGGCCATTTCAAAGCTATACGGACAAGAACTCTCTTTCTCCACTGAAGATGAAGATTATTGTGGTGTTTGTGAGCGCCTTTTGCGCCGCAGCATTCGGCCGTCCCTTCGGCGAAAATGTCATCCACCAGAGACGCGGTGGACCTGCTAAGCTTGTCAAGACGGCTCCCATCGATTCAAACGTCGATATATCTGTGCGTATCGCATTGAAGCAGCGCAACTTGGATCAAGGCATGAACTTGCTTATGGACGTGTAAGTGCAATTTACAGTTCACTATATGACTCAGATTCTACCATACGCGTCTGGCCAGGTTGTATTGATCATTTCTAGCTCTGATCCTGACTCGCCAAACTATGGTAAACACTATACGGCTGAGCAAGTCGTTGACCTGTTCTCCCCGGATGCAGACTCTATTGAGATTGTCAAAAGCTGGCTTGCTGAATCAGGCGTTGAGGGTGTGACGACGCCCAAGAGTAAGGGCTGGATCGATTTCAAAACGACGGCCAAGAAACTTGAGACCTTACTCGAGACCACCTACCATGTCTATGAATACACAGCAACCGGAGACAAACACTTGGGCACAGACAGTTATAAATTACCAAGCCAAGTTTCCCAGCATGTCGACTTCATCACACCAGGTATTGTCACGGACAAGATAGTCCCCGTGACTGTCTCAGAGTCAGGCGTACAGCCTGGACGACCTCTTAAATTGACGCCAATTAGCGCTGCTGAGGTCAAGAAACTTTCATCTTCAACCCAGGGTAAGTCTCAAGTGATTTTTGCAGCACGATTCTATCTAAAATTTATCAATAGCTGCCGCCTCGCAGTGCGACACACACATGACACCAATCTGCATCAAGGCTTTATACAATATCACAGACGGAACGCTCAAAAACCCAAAGAACAGGATGGGAATATTTGAAAGTATGTCCGAGATGTACGAACAGTCCGATTTGAACAAGTTCTACAGCCTGTACGCAAAGAACATCCCCGCGGGGACCGGCCCTAAAGTCGACCTGATCGATTGGGGCACCTCGAAGCCAGATCCCAGTCAGGCCGAAGGCGAAGCCGCTCTCGACTTTGACGTTGCTCTTCCGATTATTTACCCACAGGGCACAGAATTGTATCAGGCCAATTCGAATTTCGAATCCGATTCCACTGTGCAACACCTGGGTTTTATCAACCAGTTTTTGGATGCCGTCGATGGCTCGTACTGCACATATAGTTCTCACGGCGAAACTGGCGACGACCCTAATGTCGACGGGGTGACGCCTAATGAGCAGTGTGGCACTTTCAAGCCTGCAAACGTCATCAGCTTTTCCTACGGTCTTGCCGAGTCGTATTACCCGGCCAACTATCTTGAGGTACAATCCCTTACTATGAACGACCTTGTACGTGCCGGTTTCTAACAGTAGAAATAGCGCCAATGCGAGGAGTTTATGAAACTCGGCCTCCAGGGCGTGTCAATTGTTTTTTCCTCTGGTGACGGCGGTGTTGCCGGCGGGCATGGGTATGACTGCCTCGGCAATACTGAGACTGTTTTCAATCCGCAAGGGCCCAGCTCTTGCCCTTATGTTACTGCAGTTGGCTCGACCTATCTACCAAAGGGAAGCTCTATTGGTGGTGCAGAGGTTGCTACCGATAGCTTTTCTTCTGGAGGTGGCTTCAGTAACATCTGGACAATGCCCGCGTACCAAAAGTCGGCCGTGGACTCGTAAGTAGTGTCCTTTACTCAACTACAAACGGAGTACGAGCTAATGAATTGCTTAGTTTCTTTGCAAGCCATGACCCTGGCTTCCCTTCCTACAATACCAAGGACGGCATCATCCCATTCAACACTAGCACCGGTGTCTTCAATCGCGCTGGCCGTGGGTTTCCTGACATAGCCGCTGTTGGAGATAATGGAGTCATTGTTTTCCAAGGCGATTCTTCTCTATCCGGCGGTACCTCCATGTCTGCACCCATCTTCGCAGCTATCCTCACCCGTATCAATGAGGAACGCATTCAGGCTGGCAAGAACTCAATTGGCTTTGCTAATCCCGCTCTCTGCAAAAACCCCAGCATGTTTCACGACATTGTAAGTGGAGGGCAAACTGATGCGGCTGGCGGTGGTGCTTGCGCCGGCAAAGGGTTTTCTGCCGTTGCTGGCTGGGACCCTGTAACTGGATTGGGAACCCCTAACTATCCGGCTCTACTGCAATATTTCAAAGGGTTGTAGGCCTCTTAATAAATATTACAGAACGTCAGCGGAAAGTTTGAGGGCCAGCTTCGGTAGCGCGGAATGATGGAGGTGGGCTGAGGACTGCCCATGCTGGGATGGAGGAGTCTGAGGAGCTGGAGGTAGGGAGATTAAGCTGCTGGAATGTAACGCCGTGTTTGTGAAATGCACACATAAGGTGGCCTCTGAAGTAGTATATTGAATGAGTGCTCGCAACTAAAGAGGGGCCTGGCTTCAGTATAAGAAAGAAGCGCGGGCTCTCTTGGATGGCTGCAGTGTAGACCACTTCAGAAATGACGACTGAATCTCGAACCTTTGAGAACGGAACTCTGTTTAGATACAGTGAGCATGTTATCTATGAAGCAGTATTTATCGGGAGTGAGTCCGACTTAGTAGGAGACTGGAAAGGCACCGGGAGCAAGTTAGTTGGCTCGAACCTTTCCCGTCTCCATATTGTCTTTCATGCAAACGTCCACAAACCAGATATTGGCGTTTCCGGCAGGTTGAACTTCGTTGTGTTTCAGTCTAAGATGGATAACTGGTCAATAGCAATAATTGGCTAATTCTAAGAAAATAGGCTGCGCCTCCACGATACAACTGTGGTCCTAATGTGCTTGGCGCCAACGAGGTCGCCTTCTTGAATGTCGGTTGGGCTAACGTCGTTCCTGGTGCTGACGCAATAATTGATTTAACAGCAACGGCCCACTGTTGAAATCCACTGGACTAATCTATCACGTTGAGAACTGGGGACTTTCACCATTCACTAGCGACGTCAATCATAATTACTGGGGTCATGTCGGCGTTGGTCCTTATTCCATCGTCTTTCGGATGTTCGTGGCTCCGCAGCTGCAGGCCAGCTCTAACAGACATTCTCTGAAACAGTGTGGAAGAATGGAAAGTTTGTGGAACTGAGTTCTTCTGCTCAACAGCAGCTAAACATTACATAAATTTAGTTCTTGGCACCTTTGAACTCAGCCACCCATTTCTTCATGTTCTCCGCTTCGTCGTAAGCGATACGCTTTACGTTCTCGTTCGCATCCCAATTCGGCTTGTAGTAATCAGAACAGTGGACGCCGCCAGGGATCATACGAACAGGAAGCTCTTCGGTGCTTCGAAGAGGACCATATGGCCGGTCGACAGAGCTCACAGTGGCGTCTCGCCAAGGGTCAAATTGGCCGTTGGTGTACATGAGTCGAGTCGTGTTTGTTACAGACCAGCCACCAGTGTATGCGTTGACCTGCTCTACAGTCTTTCCCTTTTGAATTCCATAGCCGTCGGGAAAGAAAAGTGAGCATTGCTTTTCCCAGTAGCGCTTGTTGACGAGGCGGGAAACGATGGTTGGGCGATTTTTGGGTGCTCCATCCTGCCAGAACATCAAGCTGTTGTGAGGTTAGAATCTTTCAGCGATTCAACAAGATGAGAGCGGAAGAAAACATAGATCAAACGTACGGTTCGTTGCAAAGCAGCCAGGTCCATTGGCGGTTCCAATAGTTGCCAGGGCTCAGATCCTTATAAGCCACATTCGACGAGTTCGAGCTGGCAAAGCAAGCAATGTTGTATTCACCCTTCCAGTCATCATAAGGACCAGATTCACAGTCTAGTAAAAGCCGGAATGATTAGTCTCATGCAATCGATGAAATTCAAGTAGTTGAGAACTTATTCACTTACTTCCTGGGACGAGCACATCTCTTGCCCACTTGGCGTAACCCTCGAGAGCTCTGACTTGACCAACACCTTCTGGTCCGGGGACAGATTTTGTGGAATTAGGCCACACGTTCTGGAAAGACATCAGTTAGCGCAGCTATCCTTCATCTCGATATAACGAGTCGGGAGTAAATGGAGTGTACCTCGATGTAGTCGCAAAACTGGTGATAGGAGTTATATCCGTACACTTTCTCCGAGTAAAACTGAGTCGACTGCCAGGACCATGGTCCATTTTGAAGCGCACTTTAGAAACAAAAATCATATCAGTTTCAGCCTCGTTAATTCGTTGATTGGAGGTATTCCCGCCACGCATAATTAATATGCAATCTCGGTAATTGGGCGACTTACGAAGCAAAATCGGCATCTTCAAGGCCACTGAGCAAAAACTTGGCCTTCAACTTCTTTTTCTCGGTTTTGCTGCCGTGCAGGAGAATGTCGTCCATGTAGTTGATGACCTTGCCGAGATCCTTGCTGCAATTTCGTGGAGTCGCCTCCATCACGGGCCGAAAATATTGCCAGAAATCGCCAACGGCCTGAACGACACCGCTAGTGCCGTGATAGGCCCAGAAGGTGCCGGGCTCAACAGATGCGATCCATCCGGCCAGGGCACCTGGATATGAGCCTCCAGAGAAGACCCATGGCGCCTTGTCAGGAGCACTCCCGCCACTAACATCAAACGGCGGCTTGAAGTTGTTGGCGAAATAGACATTGTCCTTGATGCTGTTTTCCAAGGTCAAGTATTGCAAGTTTTTGCTTGTCAACTCCTCGAACGGAGACGACTCGCCCCAGTATCGGTGCTCCATGATGACAACAGCGCCACCCACTTGCTCGGCGAAGAGACCGGGCAGTCGCGAGGAGGTCGGGTAAGATCTGTTAAAGCCATCGGCGGCTTGTTCTCCGGGGTTAAAAAAGATGATGGGAGAGCCAGGCCCTTTCCAGTACTGGGTTCCGTACCAGTACCGTTGACTAAATGTACCCAGGCTGGGGTTGGAATGATCGAGGAGCTGGTCAAAAGTACCCCAGCCACTGGTATTGGTATTGTCGGAAACAGTGGTGGCGAGACGGAACTCAGCTTCTTCTTCGTCCACAGGGCCAATCTCCAGCCCGTGTCCGCGGAAGAAGGTGGCGGATGCAGAGCTCGATAGTAGGAGCAGCTTGAGAGCCACCAAGTTTGAATTGAGCCTCATGGTTACTGGTGGCGTGTTCAGGCACTTTCTAGGATTGACCAAGCCTACTTGGCAGAGGATAAAAGAACAAAATGCGTTACCAACGCGCTCTTTTTGTACGTCAACTACAGATCCGCCGCGACTCGGTTTCAACGTGCCGAACCCGTAAATCGTGGGCTTCCCCTGTGGTCCGATGTCCGATCATCACCTAATCAGATTGAAGCTAGCGAGCGGAATGCATATCTGAGCATGGGAGATTTTCAAAAATCCCCGGCTTTGAGTAGTAAAGAGGCAAGGGATAAGGAGCCGAAAGTAGCCTCCTTCTTAAATAGGCCTAGATACGAGTGGACAATGTAAAAAGTGCTTCTGTGGACCGATGTAGCAAAGATATGATTGGTGGAGTGCTCAGGAATACTACTATATCCCTATCGCTCCTCCCTGTCAAGGCCTAGGTCAGGCAACAAGTTGTGAACTTCTGTTGGTAGCTCGTATGACCATCTAATGACCTTCAACATGTGTGTGTGTTGTCTATCTGACCCCCAGCCTCCGCCCCTTACTCTGTACAGTTAGAGGGATCTGGGTTCGCTGAGCCGAGATTGAGCCGGGGAGCGAGGAAGCTCTAAAAGCAGTCACACATGCTGACTAGGATCTGGATCGAGCTTTGTCTCTGTAGAACCTCTTGAATTGACTACCGGTACTGGAAATGTCTACTGTAAGACTAATTAAGTGATTTTTTTCTCCTCACTAATACTAATACTATTATATCTTACTACTAATTTCATTTCAATCTGTTCATTTTAACATGAATAAACTACCAGCATAAAAACCTTTTTTTTTTTTTTGAAAACCCTTTTTATAATTTCAGTATTTCGGTTTAATATTTTTATAATAATTAAATAGATTCCCATAGTATTTGCACTTAAATACCTGGAACTTCTTAGAAGGTTCTTAGTTTAAATAATCTCTAAGTTATTCTATTTGAATCCAAGTTTCGTAGCTGGCTAATAGCAATAACCAGCTAACTCTAACAGAATAGAATGCACTTTTACGATATAACTATAGCCCTAGCACCAACGAGATCGCTTTCTTAAATATCGGTTAGGCTAACGACGTTCCTGATTCAGACACAACAGTTGTTTCAGTTAATACCAACGGCTCACTGTTGCAATTCACTGGACTAGGTTATCACCATGAGAACTGGGAGGAGTTGAGACACCTCTTAAGAAAAGAGTTAGATGAAGTAGCTTTGCATCGTTACTTGGGGGGTACCGCTGATCGAGTTGGGAAGCTGTCGAATGACAGCTGGTCCAATTCCCTCTTTGTAGAGATGTCTCTCCTGTTACTCCATGCGTATTCTGGAGAGACTCATATTTCCGAGTCAACCTCTCAATTTCATAGCACCGTTAATAGACCGAGCTGCACATTAGAGAGGTTGTGCTAGGGCCGGGATGCCATGGGCGGGAATTCGCCCACCAGCGGGTAATGTTGTGTTGGATTGTTCGTGAGATTCCTATGGTTCTTGAGGAATCCGGGGCGGGAATCTGCGGGGATCGGCAAAGAAAGCGGACGGAAACTCGCCGGCGAAAAACGGATGCCAAATTCGTCTGCCGCAAACCCTGCATCTCCTTGATGCCCCATTGATGCTCGCAGGAATTTGGTCCTCAAGCGCTTATTATCCTCTATTTCCAACTAACTCTCCTCACAAGAGAATGACTTGCATTGGCTGCATAAAAGCGAAGAGGGGATGCACCAAGCAGATCCCCGCGTGCTCTCGCTGTGTTGTGTGTTGACAAGGAACTCCATTGCCGGTCCGGCTCCTCGAGTCACACCCCCCTACGACATCGTATTCACTGGTGACGGGGTGGGTTCTGCCGTTCCTGCCCCGAGGCCCCCAGATGTCTCGAAGGAACGCCGTCCTTGTCAGTATTAGTGCCACTCTGCTTAGCAGAGTCAGAGTGCCATACCTTCGCCCCACTTCCAAAGCCTGTGGGTTCTCTCTCCAGCTTCATGGACCCCCGAGCACAGCATGCATTAGGCTGGTCCAATTACTTTTGGAGACAAGGCTCTGTCTGCCCTCGTCTATGAGCTGTAACACTGGTTGAGGCAATGGACCACCAACGATTGTTGTCCGGAAGCCGAGGGCTGCATCGCCGTGCTCAAGGCTTGGGCACACCAGCTCCTGGATAGTGCTGTCCTCGATGCTGCTAGTCAGGGGGATTGAGCCTTGACGGCGGGTCATCAAGTAAAGTTGGACATGTTCAATCCATGTGGTGCGGATGGATATTCACCGAGTCGGTTCGCCGAACGTACCCGGATGCCGTGGTTATCGGCTGCGTGTACATGGCAATGAAACAGGGCTGGTCGGAATGATAGGAGAGTATCGCCTTCACGGGGAGTCGAGTACTGTGGGATGCTTCGTTCTCTTGTACGTGGATTGATAGATTCCACAGGAAGGAAGACAGCATGCTTGCGGTCCAATGCGTTGAGGCAGAACGTCTTTTCTCCAAGATAAGGCCTACTGATGTCGGTGAGGTGCCCCAGTACACACATACGACTAGAAGCTCAACAGTAAAAAAAAGAAAAAAACAATAGTATCGACAGTACAGACCATATACCCAGTCCATTCAAAGGTCAACAGTACACTCAGACAGACTAAGGTTTCTATTTATTGCGTTACTTCGGCCATAGTTGCGTTTCAGCCAATGTCCCGTGTCTTCAGACCATCTGCCAGCTGCTTCTGGATGAATTGCTGCAGATGCTTGGAGGTGTCCAAGCATTTATCATCGCCGTGTCTCTCTCCGAGCCTGTCGTTTCGATTTGCACCAGTACTCTTAATCTCGCGTGCGTGGGCTCTCGTCGAATGGCGCGAAAGAACCCACAGGTTTGTACATCGTATCTTGCAGTGCTTGCAAACAGCTCCTACTTGCAGCGCTAAATGTGGATGAGATCTGGAACCATCGGCTCGTGCAGGTTCGAGTTCTGGGTCAGTGCGATGCAATGAGCGTATGAGGGAATTTAGACCTCGGCGAGTTAACTTGAGAGCATCATGTTTCTCCCCAAGGTAGCGTCTGACGCGGTCGTCATCCGCTTTTAACGCGAATCTGCAATGAATCCATATGATTGCAGAGCCATTAAGCCTTTGTATTTGTATCAGCTATAGGGGAATTGCTATTATTATCAAGATCTCTATTGATTTCTGTGACTTCTACACGGTTTGCACTGGCTATTATGTTATGAACGGGGTTTGTTTTGCGTTTGCGGTAAATTGAATTAGATTGGGAACGGAGTTCGTTATGAGTTGCGAAGAGAAGATAGAGTCTTTGGAGCTGTAAATGGTTTAAAGGCTAGAATTTGCTCCATTCCTAGCTTTAATACTTGAGTACAAGGCTTGACATTGAGATTGTAGCTTTTTCCTCAGAATAAACGAATGTATAAATTGTACTCGAGTATAGCTATATAAAACACATACCTAACTCTTGACAATGCTCGAAGTCTCAGCAATTCGCAAAACAGCCTTTTTTGCAGAAAGCTTACCATCTTGCAATAAGCCTATAGCCTTTTGCAACCCATCAAGCCCCCCCTCAATCACCTCATAAGGATGACCCTTGAACCAACCCTCCGCGAGACTCAGGCTAAGAAATGGGTAAAAGACAGCCCCGAACTCGCGATCGCCAAACTTCGCGCCTGGAGGAGCATCTGCGTGAACTGTACCGACTAGGGTGAACAGTATATCAGCCTTTCCAGCATCCTCCTTCGCAGCATTGGCCATTTCGGGGGTTAGTACCGTTGCAATCCGGCCTCCTTCGGCTAGGACTTTGCCGAGGTTCCCAACGCTGCCCTTCTCAGATACAGCGTCAAAGGCATAAATGACATCAGTTCCAGCAGCTTTGCGCAGTTCTTCGACGACATGATCATGACCCTTCCGATAATCGATAACGGTGTCCCCTTTTGACTTGTCAAGCAGTGACTCAACGTAAGGGATACCATTGCCAGCGACGCTAACAATAGGATGAATATTCGAGAGCGTGGCCAACTTAATAGCATATGCTCCTACAGCACTTGCGCCGCCATAGACGATCAATGGCGTCGGGGTTGTAGCAGGCTTCCAAGGGAGAGGAAGGCCGAGCTTCTGGAAGAGACCGAGGGCGGCGGTCATTGCAGCAAGGGGAATAGTGGCAGCCTCTGTGCTTGATCAGTAAGCTATCAGGACAATAAACCTGCCAGTTCTGGGAGTAAAATAATACAAACCTTCAAAAGAAGTTCTTTCTGGCAGCTGAAAAGTCGACTGCGCCCGGGCGATACAATACTCGGCAAAACTTCCATTCGGAGTACCGATTTCGTGGAAGGCAGCAACCCGGTCGCCAGGGTGAAACCCAATAACACCTTCGCCAACATCTTCTACATAGCCAGCGACATCATCACCGTGGTTGAAAGCTGGGGTATCAGGCGCCGCCCAATACTTGGGATACTTCCAGTCCTTGGGGTTCGTTCCCGATACCACGGTCCGGATGAGGATCTGGCCAGGTCCCGGACTTGGCCTGGGAACATTGCGAATCTCAACCTGGAGGTCTTTGTCATAAACAGCTTCTTTCATTTTGATGAAAGGTTGATTGGTGATGAAGTGGTACCGATAAGCAAGTAGCGAGGATAAGTGATGAGGATAAGAATAGGAATGTGGTATAAAGGAGGGAAACTTAAGACTCAGAGTAAGCAGATCATGGCACGATAGAAAACCATGTGCTCGGCTCACAACCGAGTCCTGCTTCGGCAAGCAGCCGCTGGGTGGGGGAATTATCAAATCGACATTCGCCCCTCACATCCATTTCTTACCCCAACAGTAGCTCGCTCTCGCTATCGGCACCGGAGTATATAAGAACTCGGTTTCGGTCTCGGTAATAACATACGCAAATTGGCTTCGATTACCTATGGCTCCTAAGAGAAGGCATTCGCGATGTTATAGTCCTTCTGCAGGAAGTCTCGGCCCCTGCGATGGTTGCTAACTGTCTTTGTATTGCTAGCTTGCTGAACTAGGTGTCGGTTTAGCAGGAGGAGGAGGAGGATTCCTCAATCAGACAACCACATGTCGTCATCACAAATCTGACCATACCTTTCTGCCATTTGGAATCCTAAAGTCTCCGGAGCGGACTCGCCATATCGCTGACACTCCCACGACAAGAGATACTCCGCCCCGACACTGTGATAGTGCGTTTGTTTCGATAGGACCGACTGTTTAGAGACACTAAGACTATGATGTAACATCTCAGTAATATACCTTACATGCACTATGTTAATGTTTGAGCAGGCTCACAGGGATGTAATCTGGAAAAACGCACACTCCACCAAGTTTGATGAACAGATCAAGGATTATACATAGGTGATGGCTCAGGTATTGGTTTCATGTTTCTACATGACTTGATCCGAGCATCGCCAAGGTTGGGGAGACAGGAACTCGTAAGTACTCACGCACTGAGGTCAAACGCTCCCTTGCTTTCAACCGTCTTGAACTGTGTAAAGAGACTCCGTGTCTATCCAAGAGCTTTATAAACCTCAGTTTCAATCTGATTCCATAGCTTCAAAACCTGAGCATCTCCGAAAGGCAAAATCTGTGTGCACACCATCCCTGCAACCCCCCTCTCTCGATCGCACCACCACCAGAGATTAGCCAAGCCCCCCCAGTGCGCAGTTCCCTTCGATCTTCCAGTAACGCCACCATTGCTCTGCATGAAGCTTATGCCCCAGCCCTGTGGCGGGTTATGCTCGACAGGATACAGCTCCGAAACAGCAGTCGTAAGATCAGGCTTTGCTGCTCCCATACCTTGCCTACTGAAGTTGGGGAATTCGGGGATCTGATTGCGGAACATCTCTTCGACTGTTTCTTCGCGTAGAATTCGAGTACCAGTCCGTGGGCATGTGCCAGAGTTGAGCAGAACTGCCAAGATCTCTGGTTCGAAGAGTCAGCCAATGACATCAATCATCTCATATTCAACGGAAAGGGGACAAACTGCAGTACTCCGACGGGGTTGCAAATATCCCACCACCACCGCTGTTGAATACCTGGCGAACCTCATCCTTATTTTCAAGATCGACAACCAACGGGATACGTAAGAGGTGATCTCGTGGCCTTAGACTGCAGTCATGGTCTCTAGCGTGCATATGAGCCATCCGAGAACGCATGCTCTCGTTCGGAATCATTGACATGTCCTTGATCCCCAATGGTTCGAATAACTTCTCCTTCAGATACTCGTCTAGACTCTGACCTGTGACCCGCTCGACTGCTATACCCGCCCAATCGATGCCGATCTGGTTTGACACGTCAGTAAAATTTTGTAATGACATCATCTCGATAGAACTCACGCCGTACTCCCAACCTTTTCCGGGTTGGAAAAGCAAGGGCTGCTTCATATCTTCGAACCTTCCGGAGAGCTCATCCACGCCTGACGGTAATGTCCAATCTCTTAACCTCTCATTGGAGAAGGTATAGCTAAAGCCAGCGGTATGGGTGAGTAGCATTCGCAAGGTTATGGCCCCATCTTTAACTTCAAGGAAGCCATCAGGCCGAAGAACTTTTAGATCCCTAAGCTCAGGACAAAGACGTTCAAGGTGGGAACCGTCGTCCAGATCTAGGATACCTTTCTCAACGAGCTGCATACAGGCAATTGCCGTGATGACCTTTGTGCACGAAGCTATCCAAAAGATGGTATCAAGTGACATGGGCTCTTTGGAAGTGATGCCGCGTTTACCAGCCGCGTGTGCGAACAATTCTTCTCCATCTCTGCCAACAACGACAACAGCAGTTCCAGGCAGGCCATATTTCTGGTCCGTGCAAGTAGCGTCGATGGAACTGCGCAAGTGCCCGAGGTCTTGATGTTTGATCGACATATCCTCTCCGGTCAGATGTGACCAAACGATAAATATATGTTGTTGTAGGTTGATGATTTTGCAGACCCAACTTTCATGTTGGTGATTCTATCTTCGCAGGTGCTTACCCCACGATAATGAATAGTATTTGAAAGCGCAGAGTATGCAATGGGGTAGAAATTTAGCCAAGTCCCTTTCGGAGTTGCCGACACATCTGCAACAGGGAAATTGATTTATAAGCGCCGAGGAAGTGGGTGCTGTGGAGGTGGTTTGTCATGAGTGAAGAAAGGGGTTTGGAGATTGCAAGGTCATCAGAATACTCAGCGTTATCCGTGTATGAGTAACGAACTCTATTTGCCTCTTGCATTATGAAGTCATAGTCAGAGTGCCTTCGTTGCCGTGTCATCCGGTATGCTCAACCATCACGCCCCATGATTAAGGATGAGAGATCCCCCCATTTCAGTCAACATGTCGAGGAATATTCTATAATTAATTAATGTAATAAGCCACTCGCTACATGGTGCCGGGAAGCTTCATTTATGACTAGGGGTCGGCTTTCCGTAAGCATCAGGGCCTTGCAGGTCTCTTTCGAGAAGATTACTCTGAGGACCAGAAACCAGGGATATTATATAAATAGCCTTCTCGCGCCATAACTAGAATAGGAAAACATCTTGCCTTAGATATAAGACCTATAGACAAAAACTAGACCGGGAGATTCAGCAGTATTTCCTGGAGACCATGGTTGTAATATCACATTGTGATGAACTTGCAACGAGAGTGGAGTGCAATCTCTGTCCGAGCCACCGCGCTTTGAATTTGCAATTCGTTGCAAAAACACCGTACTAAAATGTGACACTTTTAATCCTTAAGCAGTACGACGCATGTAAAACGCATTGGAGGGAGCCAATTTTCTGGTTTATCAAGATCACGGATTTTAAAGATAAGAGTTGAATATTGAAGCTGATCTGTTCCGTTGTCGGGAATCACACCACGCTGCCTTCCACCGTCGCATACCTAAAGCTACGGCCAATTCGAAGTGCACAAAATACGCAACTACATACAGTTAGTATCATTAAGACACACACCGCCTTTTCACGGGCCTGCATCCCAGGGATCGTTGGCTTCGGTGAAAGCCGTGCACAGTGCCAGTTGAAAAAGCACAAATAGCGAGGGTTGGGGTATATATCCCCCGGCGAGGTTTGGGGTATTTATTCCCCCGCCTCCCATTTTATCAAACCACGGCACTAATTGAGTTAACGATGTCAGGAAGGATGTTATTAGATCTGGATCCAAAGGAGGAACAGGTTTACTGGAGGCGGGAAGCAATTAATTAAGTGTCACTTTTGGGAGCTAGAGGAATAGAAAGTAAAGAAGGCGATAAGAGCTGATGCAACAGCTTGGTCTAGGTCACAAAGCAAGACAGAAAATGGAGCATCAAAATTAAGAAGAAAAAAAGCATAAACATTCAATTGCTTGGACAGTGCAGAGTAGCTAGGTTTGTCAGCCTAGCCCTGCAGCTATTAAAACACCGATGCGCCTTTCAGCACTATTGTATTACGTGCAGTAATCAAGCGCAGGGATGGTAAAGAAACTATAAATCCCCATATTTAAGGCCTCCAAAAGGTATATTTATTATGATTTTATACTTTCTGTTTGATAGCGTACGGCACATTCAATATAAGGGATGACTTCTAAATCGGGTGTGTATTCATCTAGTATCCCTCCTTCCGGCCGCCTACATTTTCTCGATAGGGATTTTATATCATCTCAAGCTCCCTCTGACCAAGGTCAGGATGTCGATCCGTCAGAGATTTCGCAATACAGTGTCAGAATCCAACACAACTTCTAATGCTTGCACAATTCATATATGGATACAGGGGTGTAGTAGGTGGGGCTGGTGTTATCAGTCTTGACGTAAGATTTTAATCCAGGAGCCAATTACGATAGTTGGAGGGCCTAAGATTTGGAGATGTTACTGTGGGGTCAAAATGTAGCCAAGAGGCCGATCTGCATGTCTCGCGATAGTAGCGCTTTGCGTAAGACTTGGACCTCAGTATTCTCAGAATTGATGTGCATACTTGAGAGTGAGCTCGTAGACCTGCGTCAAGATCTTCTGTATTAAGTTGTGTTTTGTGTTAAATACATCGCTGCTTCTCTAACTGACTACTAATCGCCTTGACACGTGTGGAGAAAATAAACCACGTTGAATAAAGTGTCGGATCAAATGTCCGCCACCCTTCCCCAAGGTGTCACCACCTGATAAGACTTCGGCTAGAACGGTCCATTGTTGAACTAGCTGTTATGCAAACGAAGATAAGCTTTTATATCTACACTAGCCTAAGAAAAAGAGACGGTCTCGAATAATAAGTTAGTCACGAAGTGCCTCAAAATCAAGACACCTCCGCGAGCATCATCGTTCTTGTCCTTTCTCTCCATCACTCTTGCCAGTAAAAGTTTTCACATTAACCATCCTGCAACCGAAACCATGGAGTCTCCTCCAGCCCAACCGAATCCACATCCCCTAGGGATGGCGGACGATTTACGAACCCGATCCAACGCGTCGACTACGCACATGCCTCGCATCTTCTCCTTGACTTCTACCCTTGCCATGGCCTTTTCGATCACAAATACTTGGATTGGGTACTCTGCAACTTTTGTGACACCGCTGTTGGCCGGAGGTGGCCCTGCCGTTGTTTTCTGCTTGGTCCTAGCATGCGTTGCTTGCACCATCCTTGCTCTGGGCTTGGCGGAGCTGGCATCTGCGTTTCCCTCTAGCGGTGGTCAATACCAGTAAGAGCCTTTTTTACCACTTTCGAATAGACATATAGCTGATCATGATCCACAGCTATGCATCCATGGTTTCGACGGAGAGGTATCGTGCGCCTATGGCCTTTGCCATAGGCTGGATTAGCATTTTGGGTATGTGGGCAATAACACCACCACTTGGCATGGAATGTAACTCACACAGCGTATAGGATGGCTCTTTGGGACTATCAGTACGACGGTATTCTGCTCTCAAACATCACTGATGCTCGCTTCGCTATATCACCCAAGCTATGTCTGGACGGCATGGCAAGTCTGGCTTATCTACACACTGATCACGGCTATTTCCTGCCTTTTCATCATCTTGCTTCCTCGATGGATCCCAGCAGCGGAGAAAGTCTTCCTCTTTTCGTCTCTCCTTGGCCTCGTTGTTGCTTTTATCACGGTTCTGGTGACAAGTCAAGAGAAACAACCAGCAAAAGTGATATTTGCTGAATGGGTCAATGTCACCGGATGGCCGGATGGCCTGGCCTTCATCCTAGCAACTGGCCAGGCTATGTATGGCTTTCTGGGCATGGATGGTGCAACCCATATTGCCGAGGAGCTTCCCAACCCCGAGCGGACTGTGCCCAAGGTCATTATCATGATTATGGCCATCGGTACCGCAACAAGCATCCCCTGGACAATCGCCATGATATTCAGTACTAACGATCTCGAAAAAGTTGCCGGATCTGCACTTCCCATATATGAGGTCTTTCTTCAGGCCATCAATTCTCAGGCTGCAGCGACCTTCTTCACTGTCTGGATATGCTTTATTTACTACGGTGCTCTTGTTAGCTGCTTCGTCACATCTGGGCGACTTATTTGGGCGTTTTCGCGCGACGGCGGTCTCCCATACTCACACATCTTCGCCAAAATCCATCCAACTCTCCTCGCACCAGTCAATGCCACATTGCTAGCTGGGGCCTTTATGGTCGTGTTCGGTCTTTTGTATATTGCATCAACCACGGCATACAATAGCATTGTGGGCTTGGCTATTCTGGCAATAAACCTCACCTGCGCCATCCCCCAAACCATTGTCTTGATCCGTGGACGACACGTTCTTCCGAAACGATATCTGAATCTTGGTCCGGTTCTGGGAACATTTTGCAATGTCTTCTCCACACTCTACGTGGCACTATACACCGTCCTATTTTGTTTCCCGCTTATGCTTCCGGTAGCAGCAGCGTCTATGAACTACCTTTCTGTAGTACTCGTGGGCGCACTCGTCTTTGTTACTATTCTGTGGTGGGCTGGCAAGCGTCACACATTTCATGGCCCGAGCCTTCAGAGCGAAGGCGTTGTGATTGAAAGCCGGGCAGTTGAGGACGGGGCAAAGAATTCCATGTCCCAGTAAACAGAGGACAAGGCAGAGACTTATTTAGCAGACTATGTAGGGGATATAATGTAAATTATCGTTCCATTACTGCGAGTTAAATGTTGACGCAATGATTCACGACTGCTAAGTCCCTAAGAAATCTTTGCTGTATCGCTCTTCGTATAATCGATGAGGAACGACACTATGTTCTGGTGCGTAGAATTTGGTGATTTCTCCCAATCCTTTGCTATCTCTCGTCTGTATTTAATAAGCTGAGCATCGAATTTGAGGCGACCGTTAAGTCACTATGTTTCTCACTGTAGCTCACATACCATCAGGTTCACCAGGTCAACAATGATTTCTGAGATTGGGTTAAAAAGAGGCCGTTATCAGATGATTTCCCTCCATTGTCGGACAATGGCACCGCAACTTTTGCCTCCATGTTCTAATCATCCCCACGTGGAACAAGATTTACCCCTATCGACTAGGTTGGCTGGCTACACTACACCGCATGAAGAGCACAACCCCGGACTCAATAGCTCGACGTGTACTATTGAACCGATAGATAGGTAGTCTGGCGGTATCTCTAGTAATTGTTTCTCCAATCTTCCAGCCTTGACTTGAATAGGAAGGTAGGTAACTTAGGGGTCGTGCAAGCCAGATGGTTATAATTAAGATGCATCTTGATATGCCCGGTCTTGACACTATCGTTGTGGTGTACCATTCAACGCTGCGGATATACACATTTGTGAACAATCCCAGACGCCGCAATGAAAATGAAGAATTCCTTGGTCTTTCTTTTTGGTGCTGTTGGGCTCCACATGCCTTCAACATCTGCTGCTGACACGGCGGCGATACCATATATCGATCCGGCTCAAATTGGTACCTTCAACATGTCCAGTCTTAATATAACCGATCCACCAAACACCGCCTTCGTAACCCGTCATGAGGATGAGCTGTTGCCGAACCGCACAACGCAAGTTCGTCACGGGCTGAAGTTGCGCAGTCTAACCAAAGGCAAGGAACTCCATTTCTCCACCAAGGCCAATGGTAGCTTGCACACCATCGACTCTTTTCTATACCACTTTGGCTTGGCAGGCGTTATGATTGTCAAGGACGGCGCTATCCGACTTGAGAGATACCAGTATGGAAACGAGCCGTCATTTCGGAACCAGGTCCAGTCGGTCACAAAATCGTTTGTGTCTACTGCACTCGCCGTAGCGATCAAGCAGAAAAAGATCAGCTTGAGTGACAGGGTCTCGAAATATGTTCCGGAGCTTGCCCGTTCGGCTTACGGATCGGTTCCCCTTCGCAACCTTGCGGACATGACTTCCGGAGTCACTGAACAAAACTCTACCAACAACCCGGACTTGTTCAATGACATTTACCCGCGGGCCAATCCGGAGGCTGTGCTCGACTGGTTCAAAACCTTTCAGAAGGTGGCACAGCCTGGCGAGGTATACAACTATTACAACCCGAACTACTATGTTCTCTCACTGTCTCTCACCCGGGCCATTGGGGAGCCTCTCGAAGACTGGGTCACCAAACATATTTGGGAACCTGCTGGCATGAAGTACGATGGCTACATGCGAACAACTGGGGCCCGCCAAGTCGATGGGCACGGCGGACTGGCCCTGACTCTGCAAGACATGGCCCGCTTCGGGCTATTCATCCTCGACTCGTTCAATGGCTGCGGCGGACCTCGCGTTCCGGCTGGCTGGTTCGATGACATTTCTGCCGCCAGCACCAGCACTGGGATCCGAGCTCCAGGAAACATCGACGTTGTGCCGCATTCGGGATATCAGACCGGATGGTGGACGATGCCCCGCGGTGGCAAAATGTATCAGCTCGGCGATGATGGGGGGTTTGCAGCGTTGGGAACATACGACCAGGCCATTTACATTATCCCCGATATGAACACAACAATTGTGATGCAGTCTAGTTATCCGGTTCATTTCCCCGATCTCTTCTACTATGGTCAGCAGTTTGCCACAGCTGCCAGCCTAGCGTTAAAAAAGGGATAGAATAGTCACAGCTGTAGTGAAATATAACATACCTACATTTGCTGCTGCAACTATGCTCAAGTCTTACTCTACCTGTAGGTATGTGACTATGAACTTATTGTCTTAGGGTGGGTCCCGGACATCGACAGCATCATTCAAGTCAGCAGACCTGACCCCGGTGAGAAGCTCCGCGGACAGCACATTTCCCGCATCTATAAATATTTGATAATATACTTGCTCACCACCATATGAGTTGAAGCAGTTCCAACCAACTCATTATCGGATAATTTCCCTAGTTTAGGTAAGTTATTTTTGCAGAACTCTACAAATCGAGGTTGGTTCACAATACATATCCATTCTAGAGGATGTATCCGGTAGGAGGGTATTACCATTGGCATTTGCGGGAGATGTCATTACCGAAATCAGGTCAATATCCCTTTATGTAATTATTCCCATGAAGTCAATATATAAATTTCTTTCAAATCATTCACGATTAAATCTCAGGCCTTTTCAGGACATTGGCTCCAGTCTTGATGTATTGCTATCACCAACCGCGTAGCCTAGTTTCATGGCTCACCTAGTATACATATCTAAACCCTCTCTTCTCGTAGTCCGTTTTGTCGTCAACCATCTCACCAAGCGAAAGCTCAACATATTCCCCTTCTCTCTTGTCCCTACGCTTGTTCTCTATCTTGCAACCAACAGCATACATCCCAAGGAGGCAGATGGCAGCGATCTCGAATCCCATGAGGCACTTGTACCCAGTTGGGTAATTCGGGGCCTCCTTGGTAAGGAAGACCTGAGGACCAATGATCATAGCACAGCAGTATGCAATGAATATGCTGGCTGTAACAGTGAGCTTCTTCGTGTGGCCGGAAACATTTGCCATCGGCAGTGACAGAACTGCGCCTGAGGTTAGCTGTATGCCCTCCAAGGAGGACTCTAGATACTTACCTGTCGCGTACGGCCCCCAAAAGAAATAGAAGAAGTAATAGCAGAGGAGTCTCCCGGTCTTGTTCTCCGCTGGAAGTTCTGTGTAAGTGAATATTAGTATCAGGCAAATACACAACTCTTCTTTCACCAACCCACCTTTGATTAAGATAGAACAAGTGAGGGGGATCAAGCAACAAATAGCACTGGACAAGCATCGCTTGTTTTTGAGCCATCTCTGTGGTATGGCAACTGTCAAACTAGCCAAAGTCTGGAAAGGCGATGCCGGCATGGTGAGGAGCATAGTCTCGAGTTTCGAGTTGCCGATACCCGAGATGATTTGTGCGGCAAATGCCGAAAGACCTCCAGTAGGGACGTTCATGCATAGGTAGAATAGAAACAGGATGTAGGTCTTGTAGTCGGTGAAAGCTTCCTTGACTTGATACAGCTTGAACTCCTATCACATCGTTAGCACCGCACACTACCAACAGCCTCACGACAACGGCCTACTCTGTTTTCGATTCCGGTCATGTTGGCCTTGACTCGATCGAGCGCAATGTATTTATCCTTGCCCTTCATGAAGTTTTCCTGGAGAGGGGAATCAGGAATAGTAAAGAACAAGACAACTCCCCAGAGCATGGTCATTGCCCCAAGGGTAATGAATAGCAGCCTCCAGGGAGCAATGGCAATATCAGCATTGCCAATGCCATACGATATCGTGCCGGAGAACAGCTAGCTTATGATTAGCTACCAGACATTCCTTCAGGCGTATTGCTCAACTTACTGTCGAAAATGAGGTGAAAGTGAGAGCGCTTCGCAGCGGCTGCTCCTTCTTTGTATACCACATACTAACCAAGATGGTCATGCATGGGAAGACAAAACTCTCTGTAGTGCCCATAAGGAAACGTAGGAACATGAGAACGGCAAAGTTTGGTGATGCGGCAATGAGCGCAACGGAGCCTCCCCAAGCAATACAGGCTAGTGTAAGGCATCGCCCAACGGGATATTTCTGGAGAGTCGCATTGGCAGGATAAGCTGCAAGCATGTAACTAGACTTAGGTTAGGATTAGGTTGGGTCCCCAGGTTGGACTCGACGAACCCGAAGTAGAAGATAGAGACCGCTGCAAAGGAAAGTTAGCCTGTCGAGTCGCCGGATTGGACATTCCTTACGTACCCCAGCTGTACTGCTGGCCCCTCAAGTTGAGGTCGTCGGTCATTCCATAGACCGCAGCATTCGACACGATGATTTTCTAGTTTGGATTCATGTTAGGTAAAGCGTGTCCTCCACATAACAAGGCCGGATGAGGATACTCACGTCGACACCGGCAAAGGTCAATGTAACCATTAGCAACGGCATGAGCCTCCAATCGATCCGACGGAGAACTCGTTTTGCGTCCTGCTCAGTGTAGTCACCCCATTCATGCTGATGCATGCGGAGAAACTCCTCGGCGTCTTCGACAATGACAGGGCGGCCTTTCTCGTCAACATTTTTTATATCCCCGACGCCTGTCGTGGTCGAAGGCTCGATCTCTGGCATCATGCCTAGCTCTTTCTTGTCGCTCATGTTGATAGAGATGATTGATGGGCTAGAAGTGATAAAGGTTGGTGACAATAAACTCCCAGTAGCGACCGCAAGTCGCCATTTATATCTGAACAATTGAAGACACCCGAGTCTAGATTTCTAGGGTTCTACTGCTAACACCGATAAGATACGACATGTTCTAGCCTCCCCGTATCACCATGGGTCCCTTGAAAATTCCGGGGTAACCTCTGGGGTTCGTGGCGATAAGGTAAGGGGTGCCGCCAGCCACCGAGCTCCACATCGCGTGGAGAAGAAAATATCGCATCGTTATTGGATGGGCTTTAAAGTCCGCTTGTCTATCAGCTCGTTTATCTTTGTCGTTGGCACTGTGCGTCACATGGTTTGTCCATGGAATGGCTCGAGAAGAAGTATGGCCTGACACGTCGTAGAACCCAAGTGGGTGCCGGGTTCGCCGATTGCAGACATGCAGTGTGGGGATATCAGCAAAGGCCCTGAGCGGCCAAAGTTCAGGATGGCTCTAGATGAATTGTGTCCTTGAGATTACTTCTCGAAGAAACAAGCCTGACAGATGCTAACAAAACACTCGCCCGGCATTCAGCATACAGGAATAGCAGGGTGGTCGTTCGTCGACTCAATGCCTGAAATCCTGCCAAGAAGCTCGATGGGCCAAGCTTGAGCAAGCTATGTATAACAGAGGATCTCAATCTTATCTGATTAGTCTTTGATCCTTGGCCTTGCGTATCACTTGAACTGATTAGTGCTTCCCCGCGTGGTGCCTCCCTGGTTTATCAAGGCGTCTCCATGAGACCACGATACTGGGTGGGGCGTTGTCGGACTTTGACACCGCAGGCCGCCAAGATAAGAGATTCCATGTTGTCAAATCAAAATGTGGAGCGTCCGAAACGGGAAGAAATCAGAAACAGTAGAAAGAGGTCCATGTTCCGTCAATCTTTATGGCCACACTAATCTGTCCTCTGACACCCAGCTCGTTCCTCCGACAGGCCTTCGTGACTTTTTTTCTTACACGAACACATCATGATTTCGAGGCAGCCATCCCTAAGAGTCGCGGTCCTCCGCAATTATGACACCCCGGCCCAATGGGGTAAGGACATGGTCGAGTCATGGAGGACTTGTATACAGGCCATCAGACCGGGCTCCGAGATTGAGGTCTTTCACCCCATCACTGATGGAGTGTTCCCCAATGCCGAGGAGTTTGACCTCATCATTCTCACCGGCGGAGTTTTCAACCTGATTTTACCTGATTTGGACCCTTGGGTGGAGAAAACTTTAGATTTTGTGAGGCACACTGTAGGGCTACAATCCGGCCCTAAGATTGCCGGAATTTGCTGGGGTCACCAAGCGATTTGCCGGGCTATGGGTGGCAAGATTGGCTGGAATCATGAAGGGGATGTCGTACGTATAGCTCGTTTGTTTCTGTCAATTTGTCGTCTAACAACGGATTGCGAGTAGGTTGGTGTCCAGCAGCTTCAATGCACACAAGCGGGAATGAAATTCTTTGGTCTTGACAAAGAGGGAGTGAAATCGAGTAAATTGGTAAGTGGCTGCTTGTGGAAAGACATTAAATCCTAACTGACGGATGTTTCCTTGGCTCAGGCGCTGCACAAGTTTCACAAACGATCTATTGCAACGCCTTCTCCTGATTTTACGGCCTTGGCTGAGGACCACGAAATTCTTTTGTCCCTGGATAATAAGATAATCACGTTTCAAGGTCACCCTGAGATGACAAACATTGTGGCCAAGGGTATCCTCGATGCCGATGATGGAGCGTACACGGCGAAAGCAACAGAAGAAGAAGTGAAGGAAATGTATGCTAGATTTGAGTTACCACATGATGGGCAGCAGGTTCTCCAAAGGGTTATCAAGTGGCTAGACGAGTAAATATTTCAGGTCCTAGAATCCAGACGCTCCTCCCGATCCGACAGCTCATTGTGTTGCAGTAAGCAGTTGATGAGATTATGTTTCTCCTCGAGGATGCTCTTAAGGATTTGCGTATAGTTATGCTTGCCTGAACTATTTTGACGAAGGACATGTGCTCTACTGTTGCCGCCACCTTGGTGCATAAATCCAAGAGTGTTTTTCGTTGGTGGTACAGATGATATTAAAAGCAAGATGATACCTCACGGTACAATACACCTGGAACTCATTATCCTTTAAGACTGTAATAAAAACAGTCAGTAAAACTTTCAAAGAATCCGAGATAGAGTGTCAACAGGGATCTGTGTACGACAACCCGTAAGTCTCTAGCCATAGAGAATAGGTTCCATCCACCGAGCATCCAGGCCGGGAAAATAAGCAGACATAGGCATTGGCAAATCAACTTATTTACCCCCGCCGATTAGCCTGCCACCGATGTCACCAAATTTGCGGCCGCTTGTCCGGCAGTTAGTTGTCGGACTTTGTGAGTCCGCCGTGTGGACCGAAACCCCGACTCAGGTGCATATATGTCAGCAATCCTCTCAAGAAGACAAGTATAAGTGGTCCAGAGACGTCCTGTATTTCACTATACCTATCTTGCCGTACATCGAGTTGATGAAAACTACTATTTTGCCCCCTGTGTCATCATGGCGGTCCTAAATTACGAATACGACCCTTCACTTGTGTCAGACCCTGTGCGAGAACTTCTTAATAGTCTCTTTGGAAATGCCGATATACGGGAAGCAAAGGATGCGTGGTTGAACTGCTTTACCGATGACGCCAAGATTTGGAGAAATGGGAAGTCCTCAAACGGCGGAGCAGGTAACACTCCTTTCCTCCCTTGCCTTCTCACAGAAGTCGGTGCTAAAGTGTTTGCAAAGAAATAAAGCAAATGATCAACAATTCTTGGATTAACGTGACTTCTCGGAGTCATCGGCCGGCCAAGGTCTACTCTTTCGATGCTGCGTCATCTGAACTAATGGTCGACGGCACCACGGTGTATAATTGGGAAGACGGGACGACGAAGACTGGAGTGTGGGCATGCAGAATCCGTATCCAGAAGGTCGATGGCCAACCCAAGATCTGCGATTATCATGTCGTCTTTGTATGCTTCCTTTCTTCTATCAATTCGCATTGGCCAAGTAAAGGCTAACAGCATCGCAGGTCTAGATGTTACAAAGCGGGGTACAGAACCTCTCACGCTGGGCACATGGCTTTAGTTAAATACTCCGAGGTATTCCACAACATCTATCCCATTTGTCCACCCTGATTGTTCATGGTTATGCGGTTCTCATTCCAACATGGATGGTCGAAACGCAATTCGTGAAATCAACGAAACTACATTCCTTGTTAGACCGTGATGTTGAAGATCTCTCATCATTCCATGCACCTCATTGGCCATGTGCTCAGGAAACGTGAAGGTCGAGTTGTCAGGAAATGACAATGGCGTTTGGGATAACAGAAGCTTAAATGTCCTGTGGTATACTTTAGCTGCTTCCCAACGTTGGGAGAATCGCAAAAGTGTGAACTCGCAGTCTTCGAGGGCCTGGAGTGTATCAGGGGAGTCAAAGACTATGGTGCGGGAGAGGTACGGTGTCTCCCAGTAACATGCCAAGAGCGTCACGCCGACTCGAAATTGCTCCATGACCTATGGGAAAACAAGTTAGTCCGCTGTTAGGAATAGGAAGACAGGTTACTCGCCCCAGTCCATGTCAAATAAACCATGGGTCGGTGTGTCTGGATACGCCGAAAACACCGGCAGTTTTCACTGACGGCAGACAGCAGAACTAAGCAATCTTCATCCGTAGGGAAGTAATCGCCCTGCTGATAAAGGTTGCAAACGCTATAATCGTATAGTTTCAACATAGAGAGAGGATGGTAGTTGGTTGATCTCTCGATATTGCTCGACGTGAAGGGGATCAAGGCTCGCCAGCGATCCAAGTCCGCCTTTATATCTTTTCTCTGTTGACGCTGTTCCTCCAGATCAAGTCGCTCACTTTCATTCCAAAACCTCCTGATCTTGGTTTGTATCAGGCGAATCAAGAACTGATGGTCAAAAACGACGTCTTGGGGAGCTCCATCAAATGTGTTCCAGGCTGCCTGGTTCCAAGCCTGATGCACGGTTAGCTCTGATACTCGTGGCTGATAGATAACTAGAATCGTTGGGATGAACTACCTTTCCATCCATCAGCTCCATAAACTCTCCGTGCGGACGGTCCCAAGCGAGAGCCATCAGCTCGTATGCCGAATAGGAGTAGATTAGGACGGTCTTGAGGTGCTTCTCTTCTTGACCATTTACTAAAAATAAAGGCCGATTCCCTTCGCGGTCGATTGAATCGGGTTCTGTATTTCCCACATGACGCCCGAAGGCTGAGAGGATCCCGGCCATCTTCGAAAGGGCTTCGTTGGTAGTGTCAAAGAACTGATATGGTGCCGGACTGTGAATCGCGTACATGACGATCAAAAGATAGGCTTGCAGTTGACGAGTAGTTGATTGCCGAATTGCATCCTGTAAATAATTTTTCACTGCATGACGAAGCAGTTCCTGGGAACGAGCAATGCTTACGCGACTCGGGGTAGAAGAATTCGAGTAAAAGCAGCCTATGGCACAAGCTAGCTGGGCGAAGAAGAGCTGTGAGTTGTTCTTGGCGGCCTCCTTTGACATACTCTCTTGAAGCTGTTGTTTCAGCAAATCCTCTTCCATGAAGGACCAGATCGGGTGAACATGTTTAAGGTAGCCATCAAGATTAGATGGGCTAACAAGATCAACCCCTGATTCGTCATCAGTCGGTTCAAGCCGCGGGTGAACATCTAAATCTCGCAGTCTTGGATCATGAGTAATCTCATGCTGAGATGTTGGCGATACCGAGTTGTCTTCAACTAGGTCATTTCTTGTGCGTAGCCGGCATTTGGAGGTTGTTGCACTTTGAGATGTTGAGCTCCATTCGCTTTCGTGACCGCGGATGGAACTATCTGAATCGTGCTGCATCAGTTCGTCGTTCGCATTCAGCGATGGATTTTGTTCACAATCTGAGCCAACGAATCCGTGAGGCGAGTTCAGTTTCTGTGTCAACCTATGTGCTCCTCTGAGCTCTGCGACGCATTCGGCCAGAGTCCGCTCCATCTGTTCGATGCGAGTTTCCAGGCCATGAACATACTCCCACGGCACCGCCGCCGCCGCTCTGGGCTTCCTTTCTGCAAACCGGACACAGGGGGCGCCAGATTTCGTGCACTGCCCGCAGCTCGGGAGAATTTGGTCACATTTCTTCTTCCTGTGCCGACACCGAGTACAAGCAATGGAAGGGACTTCGTTGCCGTTTGGTGACATTGGTGGATGGACAATTTGAGCCCTTGTTTTGGTGGTTGTTAAGCTTGAACGAGTGGACAGTGATGAGAGAGTCCGTAAGGTGGAGTGTAAAGAAATGAGGCTTGTTTCTCCCCCACGCTATCATGATAAAAAGGTGCAAAAGCTGGGGTATTATGGGTGGAGAAGGTTCGGCGCTTTCATCCGAGACGTCCCCGACAGATAAGACGACTACAGGGCCGTAATTGACGAGTAATCCTTAGCTTTCCTCTTTATCTGATAGTGTGAGATGACGTGCTCAAGTTCGCAAGGCTTTTCCAATTGATCGTAATTTAGAGGTAGCATAGTCCCCTGCACATCTACAGATATGAACCCGATCCATGAGCTCAGCCTTGTCTTGCAAAGGCGAAGCTACTGGATGTTGATCGGTAGGCGAGATGAGGACTGCAACCGCAGGTGCGAAGTCCCTTAGAATCCGTGCATCAAGGGTTAGGATACCTTGGCATGACTGGCGTGCAAAATTGATCTTCAAATTAAAGTAGAGAGGACTTCGTAGCTTTTCAACAGCCTGTCTTTTCAAGGAGTGATAGCTGCCATGCTAAGACCATCCTGTATCCTTTTCATATATTTCCATTCAAGTCCAGCCCTGTCCTCATAAATACATCCTCCTAAGACTTGTATGTATGGAACACCTTAGCAACAATCTGCCATTTTCCGTCCAACTTGATCATAGTGTGGAAGTCGGTGTAGTCACACCCCGCAGCATCATTCTCCATGTCCACCTTCACAACTGCTGTCGTAGGGGTGATGCCGACAATATCCAGGCGAGTCTTGATCTTCGGCGCATCGCCGTGCTGATCCATGAAGTCGTATAGGTTCTTAACAGGGCCGCCGAGAAGAACTCCATCCAGAGTGAGTCCGTACATAGTGGCGTCGTTGTGGAAAGACTTGGCAACAGTTGCGGTGCTGCCGACACGGAGACCATCGACATAGTACTCCTGCACGACGCGAATGACCTCGTCGTACTCGGAGGTAGGGATTGTCTTGATGTTCTTCGACATTGTGATGGCTTTGTTGGATTTTGAGATGTTGGGTGTTGAATAACGCAAGGTGATGAGAGTCTCTATTGTGAGAGAAAGGAATTGGATTACGCTGAAGCCCAGCAGGACATAAATATGCTCCCGATTTCAACTCCAGGTGTTTGTTTTGATTGATAATCGCCGACGCCCTTTTCCCTCGATATGATGACCAAGAGTGGACGCGAGGATCGTCTTGCGGCCTCTGACTCCGATTCCTATTTGTAATGGATTCCACAAGCTGGCTTATCGATCGGGGGAGTTTCTTCTCCAACGAACTCCACTCCACAGTGATGAGCATGATTAGTAGGTATCACCACGACACAAACTTACGGTACACCGAAACTTCTCACAAATGAGCTACCTAGTTCTTCAATTAAGTTTTACATGGATCTTTAGGGCCGACAGATTGTTGCATGATTGTGGCGATCTAATTGTCCCAACTCGTGGGCATACGCAACACACAGCTTAGAGCAATTCGGTAAACCTAGCGATTGATGCCCCATCTGGCCTCTTTTTTACCCCAAACATTCTCCACGTCCTGTTTCTATAGCACTCAAGTCGCGCGGGTTGAACTTCGTCCAATGGACTTCAAAAAGTCGGCGACTGAACCAAATTGTGTCAGTGCCACTTTGAAGTAACAGTGGGCGAAAAGACAGCTGTTCCCATACAATGCAGCAGTCCACATCGGTCCCGAAGAAGATGAAGGCGTTGAGGTTGGTGAAGGTACGTTGACCGATTCGCTAGCTCCTCGGTACTCCCAAAGTCCCAACCTAATCAGTCAGTAGTTCAATGAGAATTATCAGCTGCAGAGTGATGTTCCAGTTCCCAGTCCGGGCCCAGGAGAGTTGCTCGTCCGCGTAGCAGCAGCAGGATTCTGCCACACCGACTACCAAGTTTACGAGGGCGCGTATGGGACCGAACTGCCCTTTACCGGCTCGCATGAGCCAGCAGGGACTGTTGCGGCTCTAGGCCCTGAGGTGCCGGCAGACTGGAAAGTGGGCGACCGTGTGGGCGTTTTGAATTTCAGAAAGCCATGTGGCAGCTGTAAGGGATGCGAGTGGCGATCGGTCACTGTTGGTTCCCTGGATGCTCGCTACTGCGAGAACAAGACTATGAATGGGATCGTCAAGTCAGATGGAGGCTTCGCGGAGTATATGATTACCTCGCATTATGCCCTGGTTCATCTGCCAGATAATCTTTCCTTTGAGCAGGCCGCCCCATTGATGTGCGCCGGTGTAAATCGCCCTACTACTAGCTGGCCCGGTCAATTGCTGACACTTATCGCAACAGGCAACAGTATGGAATGCAATCAAACAGACTAACCTCAAGAAAGGTCAGACGATAGCAATCGTGGGAATTGGCGGCCTTGGCGTGTTGGGCATTCAGTTTGCCAAGGCACTGGGCTATCGGGTTGCTGCCATCGACAAGTCCGAAGTCGGTCTCAAATTGGCTACAGAAGTGCCTACAGCCCTAAGGCCTGATATTGTCGTCAGCTTCAACGACCCGCAGGCATCTCAAAAGATTTTGGATTTCGCAGACGACATCGGCCTCGCTGCTGCCGTCGTGTGTACGGATGATGTACCAGCTAGCGACTGGACATTACATCGTCTCCAGCCAAGAGGAACATGCGTGGTCCTTGGCCTTCCGGAGAAGGGTTTCACATTTGATGCATTCAACCTTGTCTTCAGAGAAATCGTGGTCAAGGGCTCGCTGCATTCTGGCATTGACGAAGTCGCCAAGATGCTTGAAGCAGTTGCTGAGCATAATATCGTCAGTCATCTTACTCTTTTGCCCCTTGAGCAAGGGGAGAGTATTCCAGAAAAGATGGCTGCCCGGGCATTCACAGGGAAGCTTGTTGTTACTATATAGAGGTTGATTCGGGAAGAATAAAAGAAGTTCAAGGCGGCAAATTATATGCGGATGCACTTTATGTAAAGGCTAACTGATAGAACGTCGTTTCAAGTGGAAAGGCTTGATATTTGGTCATTGTGGTAGCATTGGGTAAGAAATGCTTGAATTGTGGATAAAACTGTGTTTTTTTGACCTTGTGCCGGCAACTTACTCACCTTGAGGGAGCAGACAGAAGTTAGATTAGATAGAACGTCGTATGGTCTACGACCCCGGGAATCCATTGGACTATTATTTCTAAGATCAGCAGGTGAGGTCTGCTAAGATCTCGTTTGAGTTACGTCTCTGTAGAACGCTCTTGGATTGACTACTGGTGTTTGGAATGTCCACTACAAGATTACCCAAGTTACAATTCTTTTCCCCTCGATACTAATATCAGCATATCTTGTCTCGGTCTGTATTGATCCGAGTTCGGTAAATGACACTTAATAATTTATCTGTCAAGGAGCCACCTAATACAGTGTCAATGGAGCTGTACAACCTATAAATATGTCCTCTTTCGACCAAATGACCGCCACTTCAAGCTTGTTTCATCTTTCTGCAGTTGTTGCTCCATTAGGTCTACCCACGGAACCGTCCTGAGTCCAATGTAGCCAATGTCATTCTGAGGTTGCAGGTCTGCCAGTTGAACACGCAGGTGCCGGAGTCTTCTCGCCCTGTCTGGTCCATTCAAGCCAGATCCGCCACGATGCAGGGGCGTATATGGATTATCTCGCGTCATCGAACTCACGAAGCCCAGCACGTCTGGTCCATGGATAAAGAAGCGCAAAATGAACCCCACAATTGCGAGTATCTCAAGAATTAACGTCGCAACGAGCAGTAAATAGGTCCAAGTCCGGCTTGCACAGTAAACGTCGTGTTTTGTCGTCATGGTACCTTGTGTCGAGTTTAAAAACGGTTGGCCGTTGGGGACGATTTCCGACATCTGGCTGAATTGTGTCGGAGTGTTAAATGACACAGTGGTGTGACTGAAGGGAAACAACGTAGCCTCCCAGAAGGTGTTGAATGCTGTGGTAAGACGTTTCGAGAAGTTTGTGACGTTAGGGGGAGAACCACTGGACCAAGTCCGCAGAGTTTGCCCAGAATATGGAGTCAACTCCCCGACTATATAGTTGTCCGTTGGCGACGCCGTGTCTTGTTTGGTTGGGCCTGCAGCCTCTCTCCACAGCCGAAGGCCGTTCTGTAGCCCTACAGGACTACTCAGCATGTGCGCTGGCAAGCGGCTGGCTTTATCAGGTCTATTGACACGTCGTTGCCGCCTTGCAGAGCAGCTTGTCGCCAATGGAGTGGGGCCACATCGTATCTCAGTTTCTAGAATGACATTCCGCATGTCACATTTGAACACGCTGGCATCGAAAGACTTTGGGAAAATTGAAGGAACCGTCAGGCTTGTGTACACCATTTGGATCGGAGGGGGATTGTGGGAACTATTCCACCTTCCCCACAGTTCTGAGTTGTTGATGGTGATGTCAATTGGAAATGACTTGAACAAGTCGGTGTTGATGTTTTCGAGAGGGTCTGAAATGATTGAAGCAAAAACCCCTTCGAATGAGCAATTGAAGTCGATGTAAGACGTTTCAATGGAGAAATCAAACTGTGACGTGTCGCTAGCAAACTCAAGGCCCTGGACCTTGACTCCGAGTAGTGACGAGTAGTGGGCGTCACCATTATACAGGCTACGTTCATCAACATCATACATCTTGTCTGCCCTGCCTTCCACCCATTGAGGAATTTTCGGCAGACCCCACAGGTCTCTGGAGGACCGCCGTTGTTCCGGTGAAGAGATAAGACTGGAGGAGTAGAGGGCTATGACGTTTGCCTTGGTGGCAGCTGCAAATGACGAGACGAGGAAATATGACATCTGATAGCTGGGATTGGCGTAGTATATGGTTCGGTTAGTAATCGTGCTGCTTCCCCAAGTCGAAAGCAGCCTAGAAGCACTCTGGCCACCAAGGGGAGATAACGTCCAGGTGAGGAGAATTACAATGCCAATTGGGACCTGGGCCCGGACAGAAAAGAGTCTCTCCAAGGCTCCGGCTAAGCTTTGGCTGCCAAATGTTTGCTCAAGAGATGCCAGACTAATACCATTGCGTTGTTCTAAGCACCAGCGAGAGATATTCTTATAGAAACGGCTTGCAACGGTGGCAAAGAGAATGGGATATATCGTTGGACTCAATCGAGTAAGTTCGAGCACTGATCGTCCGTAATCAGAGTGTTCTTGACCTTCGAGCCTAAGCGCGAGCACAGGAAGCACTATATAGGTAATTCAGCAACCATATCGGAACTTCTTCCTCAATCCAGGGCTTACCGATGAACAATGCAGCTGCCAATGTTAACAATATATCCCATATCAACCCTGCGTACCAGCCGAAGCTCTTGGGGTGAAGCTCTTGGGGGCCGCCATGCCAAACGTTCGTGGTATCGTCGCTGGTTGTAGCATCGGGTGCTGCTGAGCTTTGGGCTTTCGGGTCGTGAAATGCACTGAGGAGCAGGGCACTTGAGATGGGGGCGTAGGACACTTTGCTGAGGCGGTAGGGATTGGTAGAACGAACATTTCTGAGCTTTCGGGCTGGCCTGGGAGAGTGTCAACAAGCGTTGTAGATTTTGATTGCCTGGCTTCTGTCTGCAGAACTTACCAATAGATCCAGAGTAAGCCAAGTACGATCAAGATGACTAGCATAGCGCCAACTGAGATCCCTGCCACTGCTCCAGAACTCGGGACTCTCTCGTCATCGGTGTTGCCATCAGTACCATGGGACAGACCCGTGAAGGTCGGCGCAGGCAAAGGCGTGGCAACTGACGTTGGATGATGCGGTCTGGAAGCTCTACCTCCGCCTGTCCCGGAGTCCAAGCGTTTGCCACTGTAGTATCCGGCCAGTTCGGCTGGTATGAGCTTGCCCTTGGGGCAGCCCTTTCCTTGGCATGGGGACTCCTTGCAGCATCCAATAAACCCCGGGCAATTTCCGAAAAAATCAAAGCTTTTGGAGGCAGAGCAGAAGACGTCGGGGATGTTTACCAGATCATTAAAGTCAAGTTCTGCTGCGCGAAGGTTGCCATCGGGACACTTGCCTGCGCCGTTTACGCAGGGGTCGCTCGTGCAGCAGCAGAAGAATTCAACCCATGCGCCTTCGCAAATGTAGAAGGCTCCACCATCAGGGCAGGAATAGTTGGGCAAGCTCATGTCTTAGGAAGTACTTGCTGAGAATCTTGGTAGTTGGCTTGGTCAAGTCGACAATTGTTGACAGAAGAGTGTGAAAATTGGAGAGGGGTGCGGCGGTGACCAGACAAAACATAGTCTTCGAGACCAGGCTGTAGGATTTTCAACGCCATAAAAGGCATTATATATCCTGCACGAAGACCTGAGGCAGGAAAGAATTAATCCAATTAGCAGGCACATAACGACATTAGCTGAAGCATGTGGCTAGAAAGTGCACGAGCTGAAATAACGCCACGGCTTGGCTTTCTGTCAGCCTGCATTATTTCTGCCAGTCTCCGCTTTGAGACGGGGAGTTTGCGGCTGAAAGAGAGATATCTTTAGCTGTGTTTCACTCCCAGGGGTCAATCACCGTCCAGCCACTGCGCACTTTGCTTCTTACTGCAGCTAAGTCACAGGTTATCGGCTAGGTTCATCGTGGTGGCGGAATGCCATGCGTAACGATAATTAGTCGGTCGCCGAGCACGAAAGTACCGCCAAGATCTTGGAGCCGCGGATTGAGCTCATCCTATGGTTTCATTCGAACACCTTGAGGGGCAACGTAGGAATACTATGTGACGGTTGAGTTTCCTGCTGAGATAGAGCGCTGGTACAGGCTGACGGCACAATCTCTTGTAGGACAAGGAGTACGAGGACAGACCAAGTAGTACTGCGGCTCTCCAAAAATGCCCCTTAGGTTACCGATGCAGAGGTTAGGTCTCGAACGTTTCTTCTTCCAGTAGTGATTCGATATCAACCGGTTGTATGCTCGTGTGCCGGGTCGACGCCCTTCATTTAGTTGATAATTCACGCAAGCTGGCGACTAAGATGATCCGGAAGATATGCTTGGCAGCCGAATACCCTATCAGCTAGGAAATCCCAGTTGCCCAATCGCGCACATAGTGAAGAAGTTCAATATTGAACACGGTTGATGTTATTTGGTTGTTTTTTTTTAGCTTTATTTAATATTATCAGATAGATTAAAGCTATATAGTAATCTTAAATAGTAGAAATAAATAATAAATACTATATCTAATAACATGGTTCACAAGCGAGCGAACCATCCAAGCGAGCGAACCACTTTCTACTATATTCTTACATTTAATTGTCAATTAAACAACAATAACATAAAAAATCTACCTAAAGCCTTCGGAACTAGATTCCCCAGACGTTTCTTCATACTTCACACAGGTTCTTGCATTATGCCCAGTCTTCCCGCAATTACCACAATGCCGAAGACCTGGCGCAGCCCTCCTCTGCCGACTACGTTCTTGACGTATTTCCTGACCGACCTGCTTATCAATATCCTTTTGAGACAAAAGATCAAGCCCATCTCCTATAGAAAGTGCTCCCCCTTCCCGTAGGCGTGTCTTTTTAGCCCTCCGGCGTTTACTAAGTGCCTCATTTGCTGTCCGAAGCGACTTCACCTCTGCTCTCAATAAGGCAACCTCATGCATCATTGTCTGTGCCCCCTTCGAAATTTGATCAACTGCATCATATATTGGTGTTGGGGAGCTTCCCTGATGGTGGGCAATTCGAGTTTTCACATACTCAGATTGCGAAATAGCTTCGATGGGGTTGTGTGGTGTCAAAGAGACCCAAGGGTCACCTGAGGCAGGAGGGGGACCAGTTGGTGTTGGCGTCCGTAACTTGATGTCTAGCTTTGATAAGACAGCATCAGGATCAAATGGGACTAAACCAGACCCTCTGAATCCGGCTTTGATATTGGTTTCTATAAAAACCGTGGAAAAGGCTTCTTTAAACGCAATAAAGAACTCAACCTTAGTCACATGGTTAATATGATACTTGACGAGCTCTTCAATCTTGCGACCGTATGCCCGTTTCAGAGGACTAAAGATCCCAACATCGAGTGGCTGGAGAAGGTGCGATGAGTGGGAGGGCATGCAAATTGGAATAATGTTCCTGCCCTTACAGAACTGCTCAAACTCGGCGGATTGGTGACTCTCATGGCCGTCAACCACTAACATTCGATATTTGCCCTTTGTACGAGAGGCAGTATGTTTATCGAAATGCCGTATCCAGTCAAGGCCAGTCGTATTATTGGTCCATCCATTGTCGGTAGGCTTAAGAACCCAAGAGGGCGGGAGGTCGCATTCTGTATACCAATTGGCAAGGTGGTAGGTCCCTTTAACGACAATAAATAGCGGGATCGCCCAACCCTCCGCATTAACTCCTTGGATTACGGTAACCCATTCCCAGTTGCCAGGCTGCACTAATTTTGCCCGTCCGCGTCGTTCGGCACTTGTAACAACCATTGAGGATGAGATAATGCCCATCATAAAGCCGGTCTCATCAAAGTTGTAGAAATCCGCATCAAGGATGCCATACTTGGCCCTCATGTTCCGCACAAGAGTAAACCACGCGTTAATTATAGCCGAATCTTCGCATAAGGCTCTTTGGTAATCGTATGCACGATTAAAACGCGTCCGGAGCTCTGGTTGTCGCTTGACGAAGTTGGAGGCCCAGTGCTTGCCGACGCGTCCTGCGTCGCGTTCCGAGAGCAGGAGATTGGCCATTTCTTCCACACCACTCAGCCGGGGAGGGAACCCTCGCGACCCTAGGTCCAAGATGAACTTGACTAGAGTCTCTTCTTCGAGGAGAGTCAATTTCGTAGAATTAGCGCGAGTATCGCGTCGAGCGCGCCGTCCGTTCATTCTGCTGCGCAGGGTTGTGCGATCAACGTTGTAGAGTTTAGCAGCTTGTCGGATACTGAGTTTTTCGTCTTGCCTCATAGCCTGAAGGGCTAGGAGTAACCTGGCCTCTTTTGATCCAGATTCCATTTGTTGTGGTGGAAGAAATAAGAATTAAAGATGAAGTGTAGGATAAGCTAAGGAAAGTGGTTCGCTCGCTTGGATGGTTCGCTCGCTTGTGAACCACGTTATCAGAAGAAATAGTAGCTAAATAATAAAGTTATTACCTACTAATTTCTACTTAAAGCTTCTATTTAACCCTTCTAACTTTAATCCTACTATCTACAGTTAATTATCTTAAGATAGTAATTTTATTCTAGGCTATAGAATATAAGAGAGATTAATATTTCTTATTATTAAAAAACTAACTTTTCTTTTAATATTTATTTTATTATAACTAATTTTTAATATAGTAAATTTTACTTAAATAGCTTTTTCTAGAAATAACCTATTATATCTATATTATAAATCCCAACTCTAATATAATCTTAAATTCTCCTAGAATCTAGAAGATAAATTAAAAAAATAGAAGCTAAATTTCCTCCCGAGCTTCCTTAAGAAAGAAAATCTATTCAAGCTATCGCCACACTATCTGCAACACCTAAATAGAAGCTAACAGATTGTATTAGCTATTTTTAGATGCTATTTGCTTCTTGATAACAGGACTAGGGTTAATGGGCAAGGAAATCAAATTCTTGTCCGCAATCTTGTCCCATATATCCGAATAGAAATAGCCGCGCTTTACGACTTGGCCAAAAATATCACGGTTGATGTTATATTCAACAAATTAATGGTGGTGCTGGCCACGGATATCATTTTCACTCTTGTGGTCTACCTTTTTCGAGTCACACTATTCCCCTTCACGTCTCTGTGAAGTTTGCGGGCTTGATTTGCACCACAGAGTTTCTAAGATTCAGTATAAAGCTAGGGGTTTCCTCTATATTAAGGCAAGCAGAGAACTATGATACAAGTTCAGCGGACGAAGCCGTAATTTGAATTCTCTATCCCGACGACCAATGACGCTGGAGATTCGTTTCCCTGAAATAGTCACTATCTTGTATGGAAGGCAATCTCGTCAGGATCCTAGAACGGATGGATTTTACTGAACTACTTCGCTTTGCGTAGTGCTTCAGGAGACTCTTGACGCTTAACTTGCACATTGCCCGTGATCTAAACTGATCCTTTTTTTTTTTTTTAAAAAAAAAAAAAAAGGAATGGAGCATTTGTTGAAAATTTCGCTACGCTGCCTTCATTGAGATGCGGTAGCTACAAACTCGCTTCCAAGCTACCATGAGAATCCCCTCAGCTTGAACCCAGGCTAGTCTGTAACTTTGGCTATATATTTCAATGCAATCATATTTTAATGCGATATATGGTACAGATAGAGTGCTGGTATCTGACCCAAACAGGAAAAACTTGAACGTTGCCGCTTTTTTGGAAATTTACAGATATGATGCCTCAACCAGAAATCCAACCGTGATCTTGGAGTGACGCAGGATCGACGGCCACTGAATACTCGCGTATGTCTGCCAACAATTAGTCTACACTGTAAATGGAAGAGTTTCGAAAATAGTACTCACATCCCGGGAACTATGAATGTTTTGGTTTTCTGTTTCAATCGGCTCTGAAGAGAGGTAAGAAGCCGCTGGGATGGGTTAGTAAAGTCTTGAGTCATCACCAACATGCAAATGACCACTTACGGAAACCAGCGGCTCGAGCACTGGCATGATCAGAGCAACCGTAACCACAAGTTGAAGTGGAGACGGCCAGTCCAGAGTACTGTCGGGCTACAAGGATGACATATGAGGTCAGGCTGGAGTCAACGTAATCCGTGTAGACCGTGGCTTTGCCTCCAGGTGAGTAGCCCGTCATGTCCTGGTTGAGGAATGCAAGGACAGTCTCTCCCGAGGAGCGGTAGCTATTGAAGACGCCTTGGGAACCGAGCAAGCCACCCTCCTCACCACCATAAAAGTGGAATTCGAGTGTATTCTTGGGCTTGAAACCAGCGTTGGCGAGAATGCGAAGAGCTTCGAGGCAGTTGATTGTACCCGAACCATTGTCATCGGCGCCAGGTGCGCGGGCAGTAGCTGAGCCGGCCGTCGAGTCGTAGTGAGCACCAACGATGACTAAAGGCACATTGCGATTAGATTTGAAGAGAGCGAGAAGATCGTCGTGGCTTACCGAGGTTTGAGCTGCTGCCGGGAATACGCGCAATAATAGATGGTTGGTTAAAAGAATGAGCAAAGGTTCGGACCTGGATGGCGGAATTGGCAGATGCAATGCTCTTAACTAGGTTTAAAAGCCAAGTCCCAGCCTGAGTGCCATAAGTAGACCGATAATACCGGTTTTGGTAGCTTGAAGTCAAGTAAGTAACGAGTCAGAGATATCTCAAGTAGAACTTGGACCTACTTGGTTAGGGATGTGAGCCAACTTTGCGGTCCGGTGTTGGACACTCCCGAGATCAAAGAATTGGCCTCGGTAACATGCGTCATAGTTGTAGGATAGGTGACCGCGCGGGCCTCGATAGAGCGCTCCGAGGGTGGCGTGGAGAGAATCGAGAGAACATCGTCATCCTGGTCACTATTAGGATACGATGAATAATGATTGGGGAAAGGGCAATGGTACCTGAATGTCAGTAATGTCGATGAACTTGGTGCGTCTCGACTGCTTAGTCAGATTGTCCACCTCTGCCTGGGTCATCCATTGGCCTGGATCTTCCTCGGAGGTCTTGATTAGACGCATCAAACTGCCCTCCACTTCTTTGGTAGAACCTGGAGCAGCTACAGCCAGGTGAGTGACTGCCGCCAGGATGGCGACGGCGGACTTGAAATGCATGATGAGAAGTACACCCTTGAGTTGACAATAGAGCTGACAATTTCCCAACGTAGAAGATAATCCTACTGGAACTTCCAATGACGGGGATACCTTTTTTTATAACAATCAAGACGGCCGTCAATGAAATCTTATCCTAGGCGATATTACATTCCATGAATGAGAGACCCTTGCACCCAGCTCCACGGAGAGCTGATCTGAACTTCCTAATGCATCACCGCCGCTGCGGATCGCTCCGAGCTCGGATAAGCAAGCGGGAAGATCGAAGGCATGGCGTGGACCACGTTCCTCGGTTCGGAGCTATCTCTACAACTGGGAGGGCATCTTAAGCTTAATACGAAAGCCAAGGCGCTTCCGCGATCGAGCTTCCTGAAGAGGAATAGACCCGGCTTTTGAAGAAGCTCCCAATGTGACCCTGCACGTATCCGAGCAATAGTGCCATTCGAGACCACCTCCCCCTGCACTTATTATTACCGATCCGACATTCTACCTTCTCTTTGGTGAGACAGCTCCGAAAGATTTTAGGAAGTTCCAAGGTCATATGAGCTGTTTTAAGTTTCCCGACTAGCATAGTCAAAGAGACCTATGCGGAACTTTTGGACGCCAAGAACTAGCAAAAAGGACCGTTATCTTCGCCCAATGACCGAGAGACGATATTCAAGCAGCTATACTCTTGTCTGAGATGGAATAGTGCTCAAAAAAGGTGGGTTTCGTATTCTTGCCGCCAAACTTAGGAAACCAGTACTTTCAGCCCTCGAACATCCAGCGCGATCCAACTGCCACATAGCGAACCGACTCCTAATCTTTCATATATCTCAGCATCTCCATACTTCGGCGCCACAATGAGGACATAGTGCTTCCGTGTTTTCACATCAGGTGCCACTTCCGATTTTTGGCTACCAATTACCACGCATTTCATGGCTTGATCCCAGGCGCAATCACTCTCGTTCCTGCAGTACCCAGCCCTGTTTGTTCCGAGATCCATCTATGGCATCGTGCTAAAAGCCATCAATAGCTTCACAGACGAAAAAAGGATTCTTGAGAGAATCTTGAAACTTGACAAACTTTCGGTCCGGCCGCTTCTTCAGAAATCCCGCTCAAGTTACTGAAACACGGCTTGCAGCAATAAACCAATGAGTTGAACTGAAGACAGATTCCATGTGTTTTGCTTCATCCTCAAAATCTCCATTATTGCCTTGGATAATGCAAGGAGAGTCAATCCAGAGATAGTGAGCGCCAAGCTCGCGCGTAACCTTTACGGCGTCCCTAATCTAGTATTAATAATATCAGCTATATAGTAATTATTATTTTTCTTATTTACTATTTAAATAACAGTAGCGCAGGCCAAACTGGAAGAATTAAGCAACAAAGCTGTTCAGGAGGCTCTGCGGTGGCTGGATGATAATTTTTGAGGTAATGTGAGGACAGAGGGAGGGAGGGAAAAAAAGAGGGGGGCTGGTACTAAAAGCGATGAGGAGTGGAACCCAGCATGAGGGGAATTCTGCCTAACATCTGGGCTACCGGGCGGGCTTTGTATGGCAGTCTTGGCTGTGTCCACGCCTGGAGCTCAACGTGGCGTGCATTGCCAGCACAGCAGGCAGTGCATCAGGGAGGCTGAATCGTTGGAGAAATGCTCAACTGGTATCCATACACTCCGACTGCCTCCCTGGACGGAGGACTTTTCTTAATACTCTCGGTCGTCCAGTACGCACCGTCCCAAGGGCCAACCATTCTACCATTCTGATAAGAATCCCATGATGGATCCGCTTGAGGCTCTTGGACTGGCCGGCAACGTCGTGCAGTTTGTTCAGTTCACCTCAAACTTGGTCCACAACGCTGTCGCCATCCACAGATATTCTGCAGGTTGCACCACCGACATTCTGACATTAGACACTCTTTACGGACAGCTCAATGACATCAACACCAGGCTCAAGTCGAGCTACGACAATGCCAGTGGCTATCTCAACGGCCAGGGCTGGGACTATACCAGAGACGTCACTTCATTCCGTAAACTATCGCTTCTGTGCAAGTCGGATTGCGAGAAGCTCTTGAAGCTTGTGGGCGAGCTCAAAATTCAAGACGGACCCCAAGCCCGCTGGAAGAGTTTCCGTGCTGCGTTGAAGATGGAGTGGGAAAAGGAAAACATCGAGGGCTTGGAACAGCGACTGCACAAACCCCAGACAACGATGACGCTTCACATTTGCAACATCACGAGGTACGCATTAATATCCGAAAAATAACTCCATGGAGAGGAGCCAGGACCGCTGACACAGATCTCTTCACTAGAGCCACGCCCAAGAAGTTCGTGGACGTCAGCTAGAGCAGCTTCAGACCGAAAGCGACAGGTTGCAGTGCCATCAGTCAGCTAAGCTTGACCAGATGATCGCTATGCTAAGCTGTTTGAGCCAGCGTGTCGAACAAGTCAAACGTCAAAACTCACTGCCCTCGATTGGTGAGATAAACTCCCTTGAGCAGCAGCTCTCAAGCTTGTCTCTTTCGCACGAGGCTGTAGCAGAGGAGCAGGCCGTCCTGCAGAGCCTGAGCTTCGAGAGCCGTCCAGTCCGGCACACCTCGATTCCGAATGCTCATCAGAAAACCTTCGGATGGGTTTACAAATTGGGAGAGGACGTCCCAGACTCAGCGAAATACATCACCAAATGGCTAAGGAGTGATGATGGGCTATTCTGGGTTTCAGGCAAACCAGGATCCGGCAAGTTAACTTTCATGAAGTTCATCGCCGATGAGCCAAAGACTCTAAATCTTTTGTCTAAATGGTCGGGTTCAAAAAGAGCCATTATCGCAAGCCATTACTTTTAGAGCGCAGGCACTGCAATACAAAAGTCTCAACAGGGCCTCCTCCGTATATTGATCTACGATATCCTTCGGCAATGTTCCAAGTTAATCACACCGGTTTGCGGAAACAGGCATCCACCATTGGACAAAGACACCGTGGGTGGCCTTTGCCGTGGACTTTGCCTGAACTTCATGCCACTCTTCGAAAAATTGCGACTCAGGACATGGCTTCCGTCCGGTTCTGCTACTTCATTGACGGCTTGGATGAATACGATGGCAACCATTACGAGCTATGTCAGGTCCTCAAAGATCTCGCCAAGTCTCCAAATATCAAAGTCTGTCTCTCGAGCCGACCCTGGAACGTTTTCGAAGAAGCATTTGGTAGTGACGACCCTCACAACAAGCTCTACATCCAAGACCTTACACGAAACGACATTCAGGAGTACATCCGATGCCATCTTTATGAACACCCAAGATGGCCATCGCTTGCTAAAACAGCGTCTCAGGGTGACTGGCTAATAGAGGAAATTGAGAAACGCGCTTCTGGAGTCTTCCTCTGGGTCTTCCTTGTAATCAGGTTACTTCGACAAGGCCTCACCAACCGGGATAGCTTCTCAGATATCCGCCGGCGCTTGGAGAGCTTCCCAATAGAGCTTGAAGTCTTTTTCCGACAAATATTAGAGTCGGTCGAACCTTTCTATCATAACAAGATGTCGACTACTCTACAGATGACCATCGCGGCCGAGGAGCCTCTGCATGCTATGGCCTACGACTTCCATGATCAGTGCTACGATGACGAGGACTTTGTCTTCCATCTTCCAATCTAGCCGTATAATTTGGAAGAGGACGAAGAATTGAGAGAACAAACGGTTTGGCGGTTGAACAGCCGATCTGGCGGCCTTCTGGAAATGAATCGAGAGTCTGGCACTGTCACGTTCTTGCACCGAACAGTGGTGGACTTTTTGAGAACTCGAGAGATGGCAGACTTTCTCAATAACAAAGCACCTGCTAGATTCAACGTCTACATCTGTCTCCTCAAGGTGTACACTGCAGTGATCAAAAGATCCCAGTTCAAAGAATGGGTCATTCGAGCAGAATTTGGTGTGTACAGGAAATGTCACTTGCAAGTACTAGTGAGAAATGTTCTAGCTCGCGCCGCAGACCTGGAAGGGTCACACCTTTCTAACATCGTCATGTACAAAACATTGGAGGAGCTTGATCGTATTATGCCGATCAAATTTTCCCTGGCGCAGGCAAGACTCATGGCGGGGGCCCCAGCCGAGGGTTTGATCCGAGAGCAGTTGATAAAAAGGCAGCACGTGGGCTTCCTCGCCTGGAAGATGGCGCGGGAGCCGAACTATCTCTCAGGGTTGGGTAGCCCACGCATCCTCCGCATCGTGGCCGAGAGAAATGATATTCAAGAGTTGGGCAAAAACACCCAGTGGCGCAGTCGGGGCGTTGGGATGCTGCGCATTTTCCTGGAAACTCAAGACTTGGGTCCGGACGACACCCAAGAGCTGGAGACGCCGGGCCACCCTTATTGACTACACGACAACGTGGAGTCGGGGGACCGCGAAACCGGTAGAAGAGCGATTTTGGGATCTGCTCGAGAACAATGTCTTATCTCTGATGCTGCGCAGAGGCGCCGATCCCAACGTCACGCTCTGGCGAAGTCCTGGAGATGAGGCGGCCTGGACGGCCTTGGCGGCATATCTGAATTTGGCATTTGAAGTGCCTCGGGATCCGTCTCGCGAAGCGCTATATCATCAAGTCCTCCAAGATTTTCTCCAGGCCGGTGCAACCCTAGACCCAGTATGCGCCAAGTTCAGGAGCCGCTTCCTCCAGGAGACCTTGAGTAGCACGACCAGGGTTGCCATGCCCAGCGAAAAATTCTTCGGACGCCTTAATAGTATGCAAGCAGTGGATCTACGGGCCTGCAACATCGGGTTGCTGGGTGAGGTGGTGGACGTGCTACTCTTCACTGTTGGCAACTCCCAAGTTACTCTGCTCAATAGGATTAGGACAGCAGTAGAGGCAGTGTTCCCTGCAGAAATATGTGAGCGCCTTAGAATCAAATACCCGGGAATCTCGTGGTCTGTGGGCTCAGGGGAGTTGAAAAGAGCGACCGATACAGAACTTGAGAATAATATGGTAAAGAGAGTAAAGGGTTCGTGAGACAGCTATAAAGAACAAGCATAAGCTAGCCTTTCAATACAATTCACAGTCAAATTGTTCTATTCTTAAGGTCCCTTTAAAGGATCGTGCGATCGCACGATCCTGAAAACTTCATCTGTTCATCATTACAATTCTGTGTGGAAATTAGAGGCGCTCCGGGGAGTAGCGGTGGCTACAAGCCGAGGGATGACACGGGCGGTGAAATAGGGAAGAGACGGGGAAGACAGAACAGAGCAAACCCCCGGTATTTTTAAGTAGACAAAGAGTCGACCAAAATAGAGAGTGGAAATAAATTAATCTCAATCAATGGTATCCGCTCAAGAGGTTGCGATTGTCACTGGAGCCGGAGGCGGGCTCGGCCAGGCCATCGCTCGAAAGCTGGCATGCCGAGGCATTAAGATTCTCACCGCCAATGTGCAGGAGGAGCGAGGCAAAGAAACGGTAGAATGCATCCAACAAAACTTTGGCGTTGAATCCATTTTCTGCAAAACCGATGTCACCAAAGAAGAAGATGTCAACCGAATGCTGCAAACGACTGTTGAGCGCTGGGGCCAGAGCTGGAAGGCGTCGCCCAACGAGGGGCCATCGTCAACATCGCGTCTTTTTACGGGCACGTCGCAACAGGGATGCCATCTTATACAGCATTGAAGCGTGCTATTTTAGGCATCTCAAAAATCGGGAACTACGTATTCTATGGTAAGCACGGCATCTGATGCAACTCAGCCTCCCCCACCCCGATCCCTAGCGACCCATATGCCGAGTTCAAGTCGACCTTTTGTACGACCCGGGGTTTAGCGAGCAAGCAGTAGGATGGAGAAACCGGTGCCTGCTGAAGAGGCCGAGTACTTGTGAGGAACAGGCAAATGTAGTTGGCCATTTGCTCAGTGGCAAGCGTTCATTTGTCAACTGCTCGGACATTCGCGTTGATGGTGGCTTCACTTCAGTAGTAGATAGATAATGATGAGGATCGAATGTGCTTTGGGTCGCGTGAGAATTGATCCAAGTTGATACAAAGATTCTTAAAGCACCGCAAAAAATGTACTCCATGCTTCTAAAAAAAAATTATAGTTGCGATTTTTGCTTCAGTGCAGCCGTCTTGGCCTGGTATAATTTGACCATTTGGCGGATGGAAAGATCAAGCAGGACATCCTCGCTGCCACCTGGGATCCTTGCACCGGGAACCTCGCGGTAGATTTCTTCGCACAATGTTAGACAACTGTAAATTGGATACGTTCGGGCGGGGATGACTTACTCTCGATGATTTCTCCCTGGCCGGATCGTGTATAACCGTTGCCACCAAATAACAACACTGCGCATCTCGCACACTCGTCAAGCACCATACCAGCATTTGCCTTGCACATGGCCGTGAGGCCGCCCAGTTCTCTGTCGGCAGTTGTCTTTTCCATCTGGGTCAGCTGGTAAGCAAAAGACTCAACCCATGCAGACTGCGACTCGAGCTGCGCGGCGCACTTTGCGAGGCGATGGCGAACTACAGGTTGATCCATCAGAGGCTGGCGAAGAATTAGCACACTGATTCATTCTTAACATAGGAGGGGCAAGGTTTACCTTGCCGAATGCCTCTCGCTTCAGGCAGTAAGCAAAAGCGGTGCTCAAAGCCACGCGAGCTTGGCGAGTCACGCCAATGGAAATAAACAGGCGTTCATGGTTGAAGTTGTTCATGACGTACTTCATGCCATCGCCCTCCTTGCCGATGAGATTTTCCCGCGGGACCTTGACGTCGTCCAGCTCGATGAAGGAGGTTCCGGCTGAAATCTGACCTGCCACCTTGAGACGGCGTCGAGAGACACCGGGGTAGTCCTTCAACGGCACGACAAGGAGCGAGATGCCGCTGGCGCCTGAGCCTTCAGGTCCAGTACGCACAGCCATGGTGGCAGAGTCGGCCATCACGCCGTTGGTGATCCATTTCTTAGCTCCGTTGACAATGTAGAAGCGGCCGCATTCGCTGACTTGGGCGGACGTGGTGATATTTGCTACATCCGAGCCCGCACTGTTTAATGCGTTAGGAATAACGACGAATGGCGATGCGGCTTGGAATATGTACTCACTCTGGCTCAGTGATGGCGATGCAGGAACGCGTCTTTCCGAGGAGAAGATCAGGGAGGAATCTGTCCTGGAGTTGCTTATCGGCGTAGCGCAGCAGGGGGGGCACGCCAAAAGCCATGCCAGTGGTGATGCCGCCGGCTGGACCAGCAAGACCGGCCCGGCTCATCTGTAGGCTTCAAGTTAGTACAATTCATACAAGCGATTTCTTGAATGACATACCTCATCCGCATAAATCAGGCCGTGGAGAGCGTTCCATTTCTCGACGGGAATATCGCCGGGCATATGGGTGATGCCGAGCTTACGGAGCCACTCGACCGGCAATGGCGCGGGCAAAGCGGGGAGGAGAAAGTTCCCCCGCGCAAAGTCGGAGAAGACGTGGGATGGGAGCTCCTCGGCGGTTTCCCACTCGAGGGCGGAGCGGTTGAGGTGCTTGTCGATGAACTCGCGGCACGCGCGCTGCAGCTTGTGATGCGACGCGTCAAAGTACGGCGACGGGAGGCCGTTGAGCCAAGCCGGCTCCGCAAAGGGCACCGAGGGGGTGGAAGCGGCCATGTTTTAGCGTCAGGTGTCGATAGAGATTGAATTGGATGTGTGGTGGTTTGGGATTGAACTGGGCGTGAATAGTTTCAAGAAGCTGGCTGGAGCTGAGACGCAGCCTCTTTTTGTTACCACATGGCGAACCAGCATGGCCTGTGATGGACCTCGGGCCATTTGCGTTGCGTGCCGCAGTAAGACATGACCAGGCTGGGAGCGAGGTGGGTGGCCCAAGAATGTTAGACCCGAAATCCAAGTGTTAGACCCGAAATACCGAGTATTTTCCCGAGGTGGTTTCCAAAAGCGGATGGCAAAGCGACACATCGTCTAGACCCGTAGTAAGAGGGGGCATGGGTTACAAAAAGGAGAGCAGCCTCTGATGTACTTACTTTTGACCAAGTAGCCCCAATAGTTCGGAAGTGCTTGTCCCAAGGAGGATCGAGATGCATCACTTGGCTCAATGAATGCGTGTGACTCCCGCCTTTCACTGGCGATGCAGGGTCTATAGCGGCCTGGATTAAATGCCCGCTGTCAAAGCTCCCGAGCTGAACGACCAACTGTCATCTGAGTCAGATTCCGGCTCCGACCATGACTCTGCCGCAGCCTCCAGCGACAGAATCCAGCAGTCTGCAGGCGGCGGGACGGTGAGGAAGCGGGCAAACATGAAGCCTCCGCCGGGGACATCCCACGTCGCTACGCCCGGATGCGCAGGTCTTGACTAACTTGTCAAGCCGGGATAAGAGAAACAGGCGTGGGCACCAATGACATCTCGATGGTTGTAGGCCCTCGGGGAAAGGCAGATCCTCATGCATTCCCCCGGATTTTAGTTAGCCGTGTTCCCCGCATCTTGGTTCGCGCAATCTTGACTTCTGCCATTATCTAGATTAGGTACAGTAGTCTGCCCCATAAGTTACATCCGACGTTGGCATCTCGATCTCCTCGTTTTGACTTGTTTTATTGTGTTTCTGCATTACGACGCCTGTTTGTTGATCCCTTGCCCAGCAATACAATGATTGCTGCCACGGAAACCCTGGAAAGCTCGCCAGAGTCGGTGGGCCACGTCTTTAGGTACCTATGTCGATGACCTGCGAATGGCTTCCCCTCTCTCCCCGCGTGTGCCGAATGCCATTACTGACATTTCCTCAAGTCGAACTCCAAAGGCGTGTAGGGTGTGTCGCAAGAAGAAAGTCCGGTGTGGGTAATAATTTACGTGTGACAGGCCATCCGTCATAGGTCTCCGGGCTCTGACCTGCATTTCATGACTTCTGTATTTCTCATAAATCCAGGCGACGGTAGACAGCCCACTTGTATGCAGCGCCTCGTCCACAAAAGTTAATGCATCTACCTTCTACGAGCCCAACGAGCGAAGCGAAGTCACAAGGAGCGAAGACACTCTTCCAGTCAACAGCTTCGGTACAGAAGCCTCCCACGCCTCCGCACGCCGCTACCGGCGTGACCCGATCAATTGCTAGCGACGTCGATGCCATCGCAGACGCAATAAACTGCGCAGGCGACCACGGCGTCCTCGATCACAGGGACCCCATTGACCAACCTAACCAAGACATGATGCCAAATATCTTCAAGCTATCCCTAAACGGCCATCGTACGAATCTGCAGACAAAAAAACACAAGAAAGTTCCCCTCAATGTACCTAGTTTAAATAACCCGAAAGTCCGCCAGTCTGTTTCCGCCAGATCTCCTGTCCTGCTCGAACGTTTCCCATTTCCTGCCATCCGCAACTCCATGAACATAGCATTCCCCAATAAACTCCATTCTCCGTGACCATTTGGACGTACAATTAACGGCAGCTTGCCACCCTTACAGATTAGGATTGTGTCACCCAACGTGCCAGCGGCAGCCCAAGCCCGATATAGCCTCCCTCCTCCCAATGGTCAGTTCTGACCACTCGTCGGTCTGGTAAAAGCAGTAACCACTCGCATCCAAGGCAGAAAAAACCAAAGGCTATCGAGCCACAGGAACTGGAGAATCCGAGATGGGAGCATCTGCCGGAGATATCAGATCCGGAAGAGAAACTTGACCTGCTCGACCTGGATTCCATTGCCAAGAAAGCCATCCGCGCCTCCGTGAAGGGTCTGGCGATACGCTCGTATACGGGGCTTGCCTATAGCACCACAGTCGCTAGACCCCCACATAGGCAGACTTGAAATCCTGAGATAGAGCAAAATTATCATTTCACATATCAACTGATAAGTGATGTTTCCTCTCCTGACTAAGAGCCAATAGACGGGGGTCTTTGGCCTCGTAACACTGAAATAACTTCGAATAGATTTGATCGTGACAGGTTTAGGGAGCTACCCTAAACTCCGCTCAACAGGCCGACAAGCTCGGCACACGTACTATTTCCCACGATACCCGACGATTCAACAAGGGGTAACAGAGCCGACCATGACTTTTTCACTTGGACACAAGGTATTTTTAATAATCTGTATTAAATCGAAGTTCGAAAGCACTATTTTGGGTGTGACTCCATGTAATACCCTCTGTCTTTGAAACAGTCAAACTTTATCATTCAGTCTTTTTTGCTTGTTTACTCTCCTCTCTGTTTCCAAAGGTAAGCGGTATGACATAAAGATTTGTGACATATGGCTAACAGATGGTCAGACTAAAAGAATCCCCTTAAGGAATTAGATGCTATTTTTGGGCGCACTGTCACGGTACAAACTCAGTGCTCTCATTGATGAGAAGCCAAGTTCAGACAGCGCTACACACCAAGAGCAGGCTGGTGATTTGGTGGTGAAGGGGGACCTATCTTTCTAGGATATATATATCTAGATCTAATACTTGGATAATTCTTGTTCCGCAGTTTTCAGTCCTTGGGAAACATCAATGAAGCGTCTCACGTTATGGAGGCAATAACGTATCACCAGATCCTATGCTGGTATAGAATAGAAACGGTAGTATAATTTTATCTTTCGTGTTTTTTCCCCAAGAGAACCATGAAACTAGGCCGCGGTTTCTGCTCCGGTTTCGTTGAAAACTGCATGATGTTCTGTTAGATCGTGTTGCAGACTGGGAATCTGCCTCGGGCGCCAACCTTGATCAACACGCGGACATAGCTGAATTTAACCGCGCTACTAAACAACGCAGCCATATGGCCATAACTTCCCGAGATGGTCAAAGCAACTGCTGTTGTTCCATGTCAATGCTGGTGGGGCGAGATCAACGGAGCGTGCGCCAGCTTCTGGATCCTCCCCATGTTTCAGATCACGAGGAACAGCCTTACACAAATACCCTTGAATTGTTTGCTTGGCGCTGCTGGGTTCAGCAGGTTGGCTTCCTCAAGAGATGTGGGCTAGTAAGCTGCTATGATTATCCTAGAATGATATCTCTTTCTATGTTGGGTTTCCTAACATAGAATCACCATGTTTCAACATCTGTTTCGATCAAACGAACAAGTATTTATGACATATCTCGGACCATACATATAATGCTAATAATTGGATGCTCCACTTATTGCTAAGTCAAGCTTACATCTTGGAAATGTTTAAAATTCTTGGCAAAACTTCCGAGATTATCAAGTCGATCCATGGCCCAGCTCTGTCCCGTGCGCTGCGTCAAGCCTGTGGGGCTACAGCTTGTCAACTGGAAAACAGGATAGCGGGCGTCAGCGTTACAGACTGAGAGCGGCAATCTGCCTTGCACGTTTAGAATCCTCCAAATCCATCGAACCGTTCGTGGATATCGCGGAACAGTCTAGTATGAAGACAGAATGCCGTGCAAGCGCAGCCACCGCAAGTCTTCCGTCCTGTAGGATATTATTATTACGGATATCTGCAGCTGGTGCAGCAAAATTCATAGACCGTCACAGTTCTTATCAGTGGGCAACATCTAATGTGTAGAATTTCTACAGACCGATGATGGAATCCATTCGGCCAGAGCACGCAAGGATGGGCGAGCTTAACACCCCAGCCTCCCTAATAATGACGAATGCCTCCTGTAATCCGACCGCTCTCAGCACCAAAACGATCAACGCAGCAAAAATAAAGTAGATATTTCGCTAATGACGTCATTATGCACACCGGCAGTCATCATATAGTATCGTGCGTCCCAGATACGGAAAGGGCTGAGTGATTTATATCAGTGGTCATACTTATGCTTGTCAAAGCGTTGTTATTCCTATTTAATCATTCTCTATCTTAGACGATGTTGATTGCGTGGAGGACCAACCGGCTCCCAGGGAGGAACCATGGGGGTTAAGCTGGGGTCGCGATGGCCTCAGGTCGGACCGAGTCGGATAAAACCCCTTTTGTAGCTCTGTACTAATTCTTCAACTTTATAGAGTCCACCAACAGCCCACCAGGTATTTAAAAAGCTACCATTGCGCGGCGAGTGAAGATGTATGGCCAGTTGTGCGGGGTCACAAGCTCATCCTAATACAAGCCCATCCTAATAGAAGCCCATCCTAATAGAAGCCCATCCTAATAGAAGCCCATCCTAATAGAAGCCCATCCTAATAGAAGCCCATCCTAATAGAAGCCCATCCTAATACAGGCACCTCGGCTTCGTCGGGGGTCCGGCTAGCACCATAGCCAACTAGGTAGAACACAATCGACGCAGGACAACCGCCGGGACAATCTACACCTCCCTTCGAAATTTCCCATTTTGAGAGGTGAGTCGATTACGGAGCCAACCTCTGTTAGGAAACTCGGTGGACTTATGCTGGGGATATTATCTCTGTACTGCAAGGGTCAGCCCTTTACGGCTTATCCCCGAGGCGCGTGGTTCATATTATAGGAGCCCGTCGAGAGGTCCGAGTGGCCAATAATGGTCGATATAGGGCAATATAAATGGTGATGACAATACCGCCATCTTATCCATTGAACCCATGTCAAGTCGCCATTCCATGAGCAGTTATTCCACTATAAGCCAGGATAGTCGGATCACGCCGATTAATCATCAAACAGTGCACATCCCTCGACCCCTCACAAATGCCAAGATCCTCCAAAGTCCCCGACATACCTCGATGACCTGCCCAAACAGGCAATGCCGATGTGACCCGTTAACCTAAAATGCAACCCTGAGTCGACATCGAGTAGGTCGATCGGACGAGAAGCCAGTATGTAGATTTATTCTGGAAGGTCACTTTGTTCATATGGCTCAAATTGTGGATGTCGTCAGAAGGGTCTTCTCGTATTACTTTAATCTCATAAATGCAACGTGACTGCATGCGGGAGTGTCTTGGACACCGTTTCTCCTGCCGTAAAGGTGCTACTTCGCCCGAGACTAATGATGATCAACATAGTCTCAGCATGAACACCATTTGCCTTCCAAAAGGAGCGATTACTGAGAGTCCGTAAATGTAAATATATAAACCTTCAGTGGACCTCTATCGCTTATATTACGACAGAGTAGTCAACCCGGCCATTCAAGCCATTAGAAATATTCAGACTTTACTTCGACTCATCTATCAATATGCGTCGAACTCTTGCATTCGCGCTTCTCGTAGCGCTATCAAACGCCGCCGCGATCCAACCACGAGCTTCAAAAGAGCCTCTGTACCAGATTGAGCTCGCACCCGGCGACGTGCGCACTGTCACCGAGGAAGAGAAATGGGCATTGAAGGCTGTAGGTTCATTCAACAGACTGCAAGTATTTATCTAACCATTGCAGGAAAATGAACACTTCATCGACATCACAGATCTCGATGATGAACCTATCTCTAAGCGTCAAGTCGCCAGTTTCCCCGCCGCTGTCGCGCAAACAACCGCCGTGAATGCTCTCCTACCCAAGCTGAGCCAGTCGCGAATGCAAACGGCGCTCACCGGCCTCTCTACATTCCAAAATCGATACTACACTTCGACTTACGGACAGCAGTCCGCCGAGTGGTTGCTGGGACAAGTTCAATCCATCATCTCGGCGAGTGGCGCTTCCGGTGTCAACGTCACAACCTTTGCGCATTCTTTCAGACAGCCGAGCATCATCGCCACTATCCCTGGAAAGAGCACCAAGACAATCGTCGTCGGTGCTCATCAGGATTCTGTCAACCTTCAGAACCGAGCTTCGGGCCGTGCCCCTGGTGCTGGTGAGTTTACCTAGTGCAAGATGTGAGACGTGGCACTGACTGTCGCAGACGATGATGGGTCGGGTAGCATCACTATTCTTGAAGCTTTCCGCGTTCTCTTGACAGACTCTCGCATTGCGTCTGGCCAGGCGGCCAACACCATAGAGTTCCATTGGTACGCTGGTGAAGAGGCTGGTCTGCTTGGCAGCGGCGCCGTCTTCCAACAATATTCCCGTCAGGGCCGAGATGTCAAGGCGATGCTCAACCAGGACATGACTGGCTACATCAAGCCCGGCACGAAGGAAGTCATCGGCCTCATCACCGATAACGTTGACGCCTCATTGACAGCGTTTCTCAGGAAGGTCATCGCGGCTGTAAGTAACACTACTCCAGAAATTTAGCAGCAGCTAACGATAAACCAAGTATACGTCCCTTACTACCGCGGATTCCGTGTGCGGCTATGGATGCTCTGACCACGCGTCCGCAACCAGGGTAGGCTACCCTTCAGCGTTTGCGTTCGAGTCCACGTTTGAGGATAGCAGCCCCTACATTCACACTGCTCAAGACACGCTCAGCACGGTCAACTTTGCTCATGTCCAGCAATTTGCGCAGATGGTGATAGGGTTTGCTTACGAGCTCGGATTTGCAACGCTGTGACGGTACAATTGAGTTTCAATGCACCTGCACGCCGTGCGAATATCCAAGCTATCTAGGGAGCCCAACATGATCAGATGTTCGTTCTCCATTTGTAAATATTTTGAATGTTCAAGCTAGTCTACACAATATCAGTTATGCAGTTGTAGCATGTGGACGGGCACTTGAATGGTCAACACAGCAAGATAAACGTAGTAGGGGGGCATACACGCAAAATAGAGCACCACATTTCTCCACTCCAACCGTTTGATCCTTCCGTTGTGGCTTTTCCCTTACCTTGCTTCTATCATGCACAAGAATTCAGCGCAATTAACCGAGTTAAATATGATATGATACTGCGCGTCCAACGAAGCCACTGTTACGGATACCTTGAGAGTGGTAGTATTGGTTTCAATGTTGCGGACCCTTCGGTAATGAGTCCCGACATTTCTGGGCATCGTCGATCACCCGCACGGGCATCGTGCCCGACTCCTGGGTAAGACGATTTGTTTTCGTACTTCCGTACCCCGTATTGTGACGGCCCGTGAGCCCTCGGATACGGAGGATCAAACTGTAAGTCGGTCCGTTCTCATTGCCGCCGATCTCAATACAGATGTTTGCCTGTATTTGGAAGCGCACGGTATCAAAAGGTTCTTGGGGTTTTGTGGCTTGGACACTTTGTATACGGTGGTGCAAGGATGGAGCTGGTTGGAACCGAAAACGGATGCAAAATGACAAATTACGATAGACCACATCTTTATGTATGGTTGCAATCACAAAGTGCCGACAGCAGCTCGGGAGTTGAGTTTAGGTGGTAATACATATCATGACACATTCATGTTCCATGTTCGAAACACGCAGGAGTCGCCATAAACGCCACAGCGGCAATACTTATTAATGCCCATTTTTACCCGAGTTTATAGTTTCGGTATCTTTGGGTCGCTGCAAGTGTTGCGTGTGCTTGGGCTAATTCGAGAATTAGCTCACACTGCCGCAATCAGGCAAGCTATCCCCAAACAATGGTCGAGTGACATCACAGAAGCCATTATCAATCACTCGGAAGAAATATTCGGTCATGAAGTTTCACCAACGTGTCTGGCTTTCCGCAACATCCGACTTGGCCTTGATTTGTGACGGTCTTGCAATCAGACTTGCCAAACACAGCTCGCCTTGGGCTCTAAGACATGGATACCCTTGCTACCTCCTGATCCCCCTGCACGGGAGAAAAGCTCCTCCATGAAACGCCATCAGACCCCTGAAGCTCTAGACACAGTCCGGGGAAACTTAAAACCTAGCAGAGCCAATTGAATACCCTCGTAGAAGAGAACCGGCTCCCGGGTGCGCCCGCTCATCAATTGCAATGTCACATTGGCTTTCCTCGCTTGGCCACAATGTCTACTTCGGTCTCTCCTGCGCCGGTAGTTAGGTTAGCTGCCGGAGGTCCGCGGGCTGTGCTATCAAGAGGTACCTGAGCTAGACACAAACGCTTCGAAGTTGGGCAAGCTCCGTTGGTGGGATTCAAAAAGCACCCAAGCCCCGTTGGAAGCGTGGCTGCATTCGACACTGGTTCTTTAACTAGCCAAGCCGCCACATTTTTTTAATGGGCCTTGATGCATCACGACAAGATGGCCATTGAAGCTGGTTCAGCCCTGTCCTCATCGAGGCGTGATTCTCTCCAAGCTGCTGGCAGCGTCTTCTTCGTTTCTTCGGCTGGCCGTGTTCTGAAACTCCCGATTCCGAGCAACTCTCCTCGAGACCCGTTAACATGGTCTCGATCCAAGAGATGGCTGGCCTTTATTGCGTTGCAGCTCTACTCCGTCGTGGCCTCTTTTGAACTCAACCTTCTTGGAGTCCTCGGCAAAGCCATCAGACTTGAGTTCGACGAAGATGTGAGCATCCGGTTAATTCGTAGTTCGGATAGCGTATGCTGATTCCAAAGCAGGACATGGGCCCTTTCGGCATCCAGACACTGTCTTCCGCAATGACACTGTTTACTGGTTTCGGGTATCTGTTGGCGATTCCTCTTTCTACCGGTGTTGGACGACGGCCTGTCTTCGTGGGGGCCGCACTTCTCACCACCACCTCTACGCTATGGGCTGGGATAGCTGGTGGTTTCACCCAGCTGTTGACAGCCCTCTGTTTGCAAGCCCTGGCTGCTGGGGCCGCAGTTAGCATGGTAAGTGATTCTCTAGACACCATTCGATCTTTCTCTAACTATATCAGTGCGTTCTCATAACAATAGACGCCACATTCATCGATGAACGTCCCAGTGCTCTCTCGCTGTTCTGGTGTACTGGGTCGGCTTTCATCAAGATGAGCCTCATAATCCTGCCGTTCAAGACAGACTTGAACACCAACTGGCGTATAGTCTACAAAATATGGACTGCACCCTGTTTTGTCGCTCTCATCGCCGCTCTAGTCTTCGTTCCGGAGACGTACTTTCTGCGGCCTCCAGTTGCGCTTGATGGACGAGTGCTTGTCCAACATAGCTCCGAGAAAGTGCAGATTTACGCGGGATGGGAGGAAATCGAGGACCTTGGTTCAGAGAGACCTCTACCTGAACTTCCAGTGGTCCACAATCCCTTCTCCCGTCTTGTGATCAGAAAAGCGCCTGGGGCCAGTTTCAAGGGCATGCTTGCGACATACATGCAGATGCTGCTCTGCATTCTGAACCCATTAACCTTCTGGGTCTCCCTCCTTACCGGCGTCATACTCAGCGGCGCTATCTTCTTAGGCCTGACGCAGCCCACTTTCCTGGCAGTCACTCACGGTCATGATCCCGAGAATGTCAGTATACTCTTGGGAGTCGCAGGAATTGTCGGCTCCCTTGTGGCATTCCCATTCACCGGCCCTTTAATCTCCTGGTTCACACGGTACTACACAATGCGAGCGGGTGGCATGCGACATGCCGAGGTTTATTTACCGGGCTTCGCTATTCCTGTCATTACAGGCTTGGCCAGTGTGATACTCAACGGCCTTGCAATAAAGATGGATTGGGCGCCAGCTTGGATGTATGTCTCCTCATCCTTGAGCATTTTCAGCTGGCTCGCCGGAAACGTCGCCTTTACCCTTTGGATAACTGAAGCTTTTCCCCGATGGGCTGCTGCTGCATTATCTGTCCAGCTCTTCGTCGGAAACCTGATAAGCTTCGGTATTGGCAGCGCAATCACGCCTTGGGTTCACTCAGATCACATCATTGAGCCAACTGGGCTCATTTCCGCACTGATGCTCGTTTTGGGTGTTCTTGCTGTCCCCATCGCTTTCTGGGGCAAAAGCATGCGACAATATATCCACGGCCGGTGGAGTGATTCCGAGAAGGGAGCTTTGCGTCCTCAATAGAACGTTCGAATACTAGGCTTGGTTGCCCATCTTCGATAGATCTCCGATATAGACAACTGTGGAATTGGGGGTGTTGTGACTTTGAAATACCCTCTGATGGATTCGGGACAAAAGATTTGTTCTCGAGCTTCGGCTGTGCACAATCATTACACTAGATCTTCTTTGTTATCGTGGACACTCTCTATTAGAACATCAATACATTCTTTTGCATTTCCTACTCGAAGACACCGACTCCAATTGATCCTAGCATCTCAACTCCCATTTCACAAGTGTAATGACTGCATAGCTATCCTTGACCTTTGGCTTCAATATTCACACACACAGACATACGAATGGATCAAGGTATGGGTAGTGCGTTAACCTAACTGGCCATTGATGAAACTGTCTACGGCGAGAATGGGGGCGTAAGATAGCCTACGATCAGAAAAGATGACGTATACTCCGTATCAATCTACTCCGATCAACGAAGGTCACTTAGTGTCGCCATTTCATGACACGGATTCTTCGCGGTACCCAGTATGACGAGAAACTACTAGCGGGACACCCAATGATGGAGGATACACAGAGAGGCAATTCGCTAGAGACCGGTTTACCCTAGAGTAGGGGTTCGAAGTGAGTGATGAATACATAAACATGAACTTAGAGTGTCTAGATCTAACATATTACAAAAAAATTCATATGTGGTGAAAAATGACAACGATTTTCAATTGAGGCAGCTTGGATTTGACCCAGTCCTCGATCTAGTTGTAGTATCTGGTCTGTACAGCCATATCGTCGGTAAAGGTCTTTTTATCCGTCGGGGCGATGCGACAGGCATCTTCTAACTGCAACGGAAATAGAGGCTTCATAAAGAACAAATATCAAATTTACTCTAACATATTAATTAATCACTAAAGGATCCCATTGTTAGTAGAAGCTTGCATTCATAATGAATGTTTTGTATGTCATCGGCGCCATATCATTAAACCGCGCCCTCCAGGCTTGCATCTGTCATTGTGGCGCACCGGTTGTTAGTGTGGCGGGTTGCTGGGCCAGCGGGCGCCACATATCAAAATCGTCATCGCTTTGTTTTGTATCGCGAACGCGCTCGTATCACGACGTCGGTAACGCCAAAGCCATCTCCAAATGCCAGCAACCGCTATACACCAGTATCGTGTCTCTTCATAGACATGCCTCTGGACATTGTATCGTGGCTGCGCGACGTTGAGGACGCCCCCGTATGGTCTCCCCAACTGCCTCCATCACCGCAGAAGCAGACTCAACCACTCCTTGACTGTAGCCGCAAGCGCAAATACGATCGACCATCTTCAGCAGGTCACCTTGCGCATCCGACTCCTCCTCCCGATTCGCCGATATCCCACGACGACCGAGAAAAATATTCCAGTATCGAAATGCCTTCCTCGAAGAAGAGGAAGACTAGCCCCGGCACACCTACTACACTGCCCTCGACCACGGATGGCTACGGCCAAGACGAAGACGACAATAACGACAACAACGATGCGAATAACCGCATGGGCGACGAATATGACCAGACACCTCGCCCTCCTCGACGCCGCCACGTCCCCAGCGACGCCTCATCTCTCTCTTCCGCAACGCGATCCAGCACAAGCACAAGCGGGCTCTCCGGAGCCTCATCACCACGCAAACGCCTCGCCGCCATGGCTCTCTCTGACTGCGGCGTCCAGATCCGCGCCATGTCGGATCCTTCATTGCTGCCGCCTTCGCTCGCTGCCATCCGAGCGAAGCTGATGCTGTGTGCCCGCGGTCGGGGGATTCTGGGCGCATCGGCCAAGGACTCCCTCTCGGCTGGCCAGATGCTGCACCCAGACATGGAAATCCTGCAGACAGACCCGGAGTTTTACTTTTCGTCATCGCGCGACGAGCTGGGATCTACACCATCGCCGCAGGACGTCCTCTATCTCCTCGAATGCGCTGCCGACTGTCTCCGTCTGGACCGCTCTGAGCCGGCGTGGAACAATGAGGTTCACTTCCCGTTGTTGTCTCTGGCGCTTCGCCCGCGCGTTATTGGAAGCGTATTCAAGCGTCTGATCAAAGTTACGACCTGGTAAGTCCAACACACGTTAATCTTGCAAGCCCAGCTTGTGCTGACTGCCTCTCCCACTTAGTTCTACTGCCTCCCTCATCAAGGAGTACCGAACCCTCCATGCACCTCACAAGAAGATTGACTTTTGCGTCTACATCGATGCCCAATACGACTCAGATGGCGGTAAAATGGCCTCGCATATCGATACCCTACGTGCTCGACTCCCGCTGTTGTCCATCAACCCAACCGACGACCTCCCGCTGTTGTGCCATCCAATCGCGATTCCCATCGAGACTAAGCGCCCTGGTGAAGGCTTGGACACGGCAAATTTGCAGGTTGCAACCTGGCTATCGTCACACTTTGTGTTTTTGCAACGTCTTGTCGACGCCGGCTCACTGTTGCCGTCTGATGATGATCAGCCTGTGCCATCCCTCAATGATATTGGTTTCCTCCCGGGCCTCATTGTTCAGGGCAATATGTGGACCTTTGTCGCTGCGACCCGCGAAGGCTCTCGCACGGTATGCTCGCTCCAAGCCCTTAGTTCCAACTCGCATCGCGCGGCATGGCATTTGCAACCCTGTTATAGTAACATGCTAACCAAGTCGTGTATAGGTAATATGGTCTGGAACCACGATTGGTTCTACCGGTGATATTTTTGGAATTTACCAGATTGTCACGGCTCTACAAATGCTTTGCAGCTGGGTAAACACCGTGTATTGGCCTTGGCTGCGTCGCGTCATCCAACGTGCGGCTACAGCAATCAATGCCAACAGACCTTGAGCTGGTTGACGACAACAACGATTGTAACGATTTAACGATTATAATGATGACGGAGATATGATGACTATGACACAACAGCATTCTGGCATGTTAGGCGGGTTTTGGCCTGGGTTTCTTTATAGACAATAGGATTAATGGGAGTTCGGAGCAGGAGCTAAGTTTCCTGAGCTTACTAGCGGTGTCGATTAGGGCATGGCCTGCTATTGATCTCGCAGAGAGGTTGTAGAACATCGAATGCTTCTTGCCACCTCGTTCCTCAAGGTTGGGTTTGAACGAATTAAGACCAGTGGGGGTATTAGATGAGCATCTCCCCCAAAATAAAGAAGTGACATCCCCAAACACGGCGGGTCGAGACGTGCCAGGGTTAGAGTAGCTCAAAAGTGTCGGGTAGCAGTGATTCCTCAGAGGTGGACGAACGCCAGTGTCCAGGTTCCATTATCTCCCCCCAAAAGATCGAATGTTGCAGATTCCCCCAGGGTTAACTAAGAAGAGCAATAGTCCTCGTTGTTGAGGTCGGATGCTTACATTTACCAAGGAAGGAATAATCTCCTTCCAAAACATACCAATTTCTTTTTTCTTAATAAAAAAGCTCCAGAGTAGGCACCAGCGCAAACTGGAAGATATCAGGCATAGCTAGAAAGTGCAGCGACACCGACGCAGATAGAATTTTAGCTATTAGCAGGCAATTTGAATTGTATGGAAACAAGTATTTAATATTGCTAATCTCGGTGCCGTGTTTAATTAGGCAAGGTACATAATCACATCTACAAGTAAATAACACCATTAGCCTAAATAGTTGCGACTTTAGTAATTCACGGCATGGAGATACTCCTGCACACCCCACGATTGCTTCAGATAAACTGCTTCCTCCTGTACAGTGTAAAAATAAAAAATAAAACCGCTGAGTGAAGGCAGTTCCGGTTATTCGACACAGACAGGATTCGAACCTGCGATCCCTAGGGAATCAGATATCTAGGCTCATTTACTGCTAGATCGGGAGGATCCAAGGTCAATGAGCGCTTCAAGTCTGACGCCTTAACCACTCGGCCACTGTGTCATCAACTAATTGGCGGAGACTGAAGCGGTTGTTTGGTATTATCCACACCGCCCCTGTGAGTAGCTCCAGGGTAGGCGTACCAGATAAGAGATAAATCGGCACGGATTAACCTCCGGAGACACACTTAGCTCCTCCTATTAATAGATCAACTGAATGCTCATTTTAGGCAGCGCTCACGGGCTGTGAAGAAAACGCCATTTCATTTCTGATTTAATTGTGAATTTGCGACGGATCTGAACTGAGACTCATTTTCGTTGATCGACGCGTGATTTAGTGCCCAGAAATTGGACGCGACATCGAAATGACTGGAAGGAGGCTCTCGAACGACCTGGAGAGCTCGTCAACAAGTAAGTGGAACCAGAGGCCCCATTGAGGACATGCATATACTAAGTCACACGGTAGAGAAGATCAAGATCAGCGGAGATGCACAAGTCGACCCAGAACATCAATGGATTGCGTCTGAAGATACCTGTGCCGAATGGTGCAGTATACAGCAGGATGGGAAAGTCCTGTTGGATAAGGCGAGGATCAAGTGCTACTTGCCTGGGACCGAGCGTGAGGATTCTACCTTGATGTGTGATGTGGTTCAAGGGAGAATCTTAGGTGCAAAGGTGTATCCACTGATTTTCAAAACCGCTCAGCCAGAAGCTACGGACACGGTTCGATTACGCACTCTACCCTATTTTACGAACCTCGTGGCAGATGCTGCAGATGGCGGCTCACAGTACAAGTCTTTAACCCAAGACCAGAAAAAGATTGTCGCTGTTGGCGTTCGTGATCTGTACATTGCGGAGTCGGCTGGCCTGCTGAACACACGGGAAACGGAAACCTTGGAGAAAATGGTCCAAATAATAGACGATGACCTGGAGACGCGACAAACTGGAGGAATGACGGTTTCATTCCACCCATCAAGGAACTTCAGCATCATGAAGTTCATCGAAAACCTGGACGATAAACTGGACACTGATCAGTCGAATCTGTATGCCCAATTGATGGAGACGCCTAAACTGTTTGCTGTTTTTGTCAATCCAGCCGACCTGTCCTACCACAACTTCGAGAATATTGTTCCTTTGGACTCGTGGCTCTATTCAACTTTATCTCAACAACGGACTCCAAAGCTGGAATTGTCATTAACCGACCCAATTCGGGTGCAAAAGGACCGCGAGGTCTTCACATGCAGGCTCCGAGGTGCCGCAGGTCCCCTGTTGAAGGACCTGTCATCGTTAGACTTGTTTGTTGCACCTCTCAACAAAGGCACTAGAGGCGGAGACCGGTTTATTTTCCACTCTGCCCTTCTTAGCAAGGCCTTGACGGAAGCCTTGAAGTCGAGCAATGTGCTTGACAAGCTTGGCGAAGGCCGGCTGAGTTCGTCATTCGAGTTTGTCAACTACGTCTTCAGGTGCAACCGATTCGACCCAGAGGATTCGAATTTCCACAGTCATTTGGACACGCCATATTATGACGCCAATCGTTCTCACGTATCTAAGTACACGCTACTCATTTACCTGACTCCGGGGAGGAATGATCCAGTTCTGCGCGTCAAGGATGTATCTCTCGATGAAGTGGATGAAATGACCTGTGTCATTTTTGACCAGAGATACGAGCATGAAGGACGACCATTCTTGGATGGAAGAAAGGTTTTCATTCGCACGGAACTGGTCTTCCAAGATGACAAGCTAGACCACAACAAAAAGATTGCCGCACTCTTTTCTGAGGCTTGTTACATGACTGGTCAGAGTGTGTTTGACAAAAGCCTGGTCACGTATGCTCATGAGTGCTTCGAGCGCGCGAATGCGCTGCACTGGGCAGTGGAACGATCCGCAGCTCAGCCGCCGATTTATCTTTCCAAGCTTTTTCAAGGTATTCGATTCCTGACGAATGGGTACAACTACTGGTTCCCAAGAAGCAGTGGGATTGACGCGAAGGACTGTGCTTTGATAGCATTACTGGATTACTTCAACTGCAAAGTCGGCGACCAGCCTTTTCGATCACTCGTCATTTCGACTAAAATTCAAGAAAGATTTACCGGCACAGAAGAGATTTGGTCATTTCTATCCTCCCACACACCGCAAACAGCTCAGCAAGGTTTGAGGAGACTAAGGCCGAGCGACGTTGAGTCTCTGATCAAGTGCGAGTCAGATAAGCCGTTCGTTGGCCAGTTTGAGGATTGGGATGGCGAACCCGAGGACCTCGAACACTTCGAAAAGGATGGAGATGGTTGCTGCCCGATGCATTCCTTCCCCATGTTCAACCCCTGGAAAAGCAGAGAGATCATGGAGGCCTACGACTTGTGTTGCGAATACACACGAGCAAAACTGTTTGGCGCTCCGCTGCTCTTTTTCTCCCAGGAGATTGTCATAAATGATACGCGCATTCAGATAGTGGGGGACAAAATTTTCATTCTTCGAGAAAAAGATGGCAAAACCCTTCCGCCGATCAATTTTGCGGCATGTTGGAGCGACGACATGAGTCCTACAGATTTCGTCGTGGTTGGAAATGAGATAAAAGCCCCGGATCTTCTTGTCCCGCCCATGACGCTCCATGAGGCTTCTGGAGGCTATACTCTCGGCTTGGACTTTTTCCGCAACGATTGGATGATTAGAGTTGATGATGAACGCTCTATTGCTCTACCGGATCTCTCTGAGAGACCTGACGATGGAATCCCGTTTGCGAGCACAATACCCGAAGCAACCGAGGGTATGGAGCTGATGTTTGACTTTTTTGAGCACACTAAGACGTAAGTGTATGAAGGAACGTAAAGGCTTAGAGACAGCTTCAGCAATAAACAAGGACGTGCAAAGTTGATCAAATGTATCTCCTGGTTAATTATTATTTGATACGCAAGGATATATTAACAGTATCTATCGCCGGTCTGCCAGCTGCCCTTGCCCATTACAGGCCTAACATGCCCGCCCCCGCATAGCAAGCAGCATGGAAGAAACAAATTGGGGGCGGGCTGAGTGAGATAAGCTGTTGCGGAGTAAATGACCCTGGGTTTGGCAGAATCCGCAACCTGCTCGCTCGTAGAGGTAGGTAGAATAAGCGCTTGCGTCAATGCGTTGTCGGTCATACGTCAGCATATGAGCGATAAAAGGTGTCCATCCACTGTTATTGAGATGACTCTGGTCTTGGGTCGTGCTGAAAGAGAATTTAAGTTGAACAAGCGACTTGGTGTACCAATCGAATTTAGACTGCACGTTCGTTCGAAAGTAATTTTGTGACATCCAAGTATTAAGTTACAGCGTGGAGAAAGACAGCTGTTGGGACTCGACATGGTAGTAAGACCTTCTCGACCGAATGCGGTAGAGGTCGAGTACCTGACGTCACATTCCAAGATGGGAGAGAAGAAATGCGGACTTCGCATGCAGAGTGCTGTTTGCGTAAATTTAGTAAACCCATGTCACTGTTTCAATGACGACTCAACGACCGATGCAGCTCACCGACCCTGACGTGTGATTTTAGTACACGCACATCGCCCACCAAAACTAAGCGCTAACGTCGGAGTATACGTGTACTACCTATGCTCGGGATGCTACCTAACTGCGCCACTGGCACGTATATCATACTCAGCTCTGCTCCTCCGACCTGATTCACATCAAACCTTTAAATTACCTTTGCTTCAATACAAACATGGAGAAATCGCCAACCGCCTCGACTGTTCAGGCCCAACTCGACAGAGCTGGCGTGTTGTATAGCGAGCCCCAGTCTGCCAACTTCACCGACCTCTTATCCAACTACACTGGGGACCACCAGGACAGACAACCAAGTATCATTGCTGTCCCAGAAACTCATGAGCATGTAGAAGCCATTGTGGCTGCCTGTGTCGCAGCCAACGCACAGATGGTGGTGCGTGGTGGAGGGCATGATGTGTTCGGCCGGTCAACTGTCGCCAACGCAGTGACCGTGGACCTCCGGAAGCTCAATGCCGTGAGCCCGTCTGAGGACTGCAAAACGGTAAGAGTTGGGGGCGGTGCGACTTCAGTCCAAGTCCTCGAAGCTTTGGCACCGCATGGGCTTCAGGTCCCAGTGGGAACCTGCGGCACGGTTGGGTACGCTGGCTGGTGCATGGTCGGCGGATTCGGGCCTTATCTTCACTCATACGGCCTGGGTGCAGATCAAATCGTCGGTGCAAAGGTTGTCAACGCCGAGGGGAAGCTGATTGAGGCGGACGATGAGATGCTCAAGGGCCTGCGAGGTGGTGGCGCGAATCTTGGCATCGTCGTCGAACTGACAGTGAAGGCGTATCCTCTGCAAGATGTAGGCATCTCCCTTCCTATTGTTATGAAAATCGACACAGAGGCTCTTTTGGTAGAGAGCTGATTGTCTTTCTAGGTCCAAGCCGGTATGCTCATGTTTGACTCGTCGAATCTCTTCGAGGCTGTCAAAACCTTCTTCACCAACTACGCAGAACTCTTCAACACGGGCAAAAAGATCCCAAGCCAACTTTATGCAATGCCATTTATCTTTGCGGTGCCAGGACTGGGAATCACATTGTGTTGTTGTGTCATCTGGAACGGAGTGGCTACCGAAGAGTCGCGAGCTTGGGTTGACAGTGTCGCCAAGTTAGCCCCCTTGATGCCAGGAACCCCAGAGCCACAAGTGGCGGTGGCTACAACGAAGGCTGTTGACTTTGCACGTCATATTACCGCCATGTTGCCCCCGCAGATTACGGGCCGAACGCAGTCTGCTTCGTTGACGCACCTTTCTCCGGCTGTCATCGCGGGCCTGGCGAATGTCGCAGCCAAGATGCCTGCTAGTAGCAACGGCGGTATTAATATGCACGTTATGCGCCAGGACAGCCCATCGTGTTCAGACTCGGTGCCGGAGTCTGTGTGTCCTTATCGTGAGCCGCACATCATGGTTGAGATACTGGGCGTTGGGCCAGACGAGGAGTCGGCTCAGAAAGCGGCTGATTGGTCGATGGCCTCGAGGAATGAGCTCATGGGCTTGGAAGATGCTACCAAGAGGACGTATATTGCAGTTACATCGCCAGAGTGCTTGGACTTAGAGGGTGTGTACGGGGACAAGTTGGAAGACCTCAAAAGGCTGAAGAAGATATACGACCCGAATGGTGTTTTCAAGAACACCATCCCGAGATTGGCCGACTAAATGGCTGCGGATTGTAACCTCAGGAATAGCTCTCCGGCGGAGCATGTTTTCATGAACCTCGTTGGGATTTTACATGATTCTGGAGATGTTGTTTGGGTAGTGCACATGGCATTAGTATAGTAAACGTATGGGCACCAAAGGTTTAAATACTGGAATGGTTCTATGCTTGCGATTTCCACTGGATACTATACATCGTCTTCTGCACACAACCCTCGGCTTGACATCCCCAACTTTCTCTTACGTCTTTTTACGATAGCTAACACAGACATGCTGGAGTGGTGGCACTATTGCCGCGGTCTTGTCGAGGCCATCCGTATAGCCTCAACAGCAGCACCATAGAGACACACAGTTTCCATCTTTCACAATGAACTTTCGAAAGGGCGGCGGTGCCCAAGTCAAGCTTACGGAAATCACTTTTGCACACACCAAGCATAATAGAACTCACTGGACTCAGAAAGAGGGGAGAAATAGGATTTGGTTATTTCTTGAATATATTTTGCGAGAACTCCGCCCCTAGTACACGACCCGAATTGCCAGTGTGAGTGATTGGTAATTATACCACTGCTGCAAATGTCATCTAGCCGTACTTAAAATCCTTGAGTAGTTTCACAATGGCCTCATGTCCATTTCGAGTAGCCAGCGATAGCGGTGTTTGGCCAAACTTATCCTCCCAGTCGACATCGACCACCTGCGTTGCAAGTAGCAGCTTCACGACGGCCTCATGCCCGTTTTTAGTAGCCAGTGATAGTGGCGTGAAACCGTATTCATGATCCCTTGGGTCGACATCGACCTTCTCTGTTGCAGGCAGCAGCTTGACGATATCTTCGTACCCGTTTTCAGCAGCCAGCGATAGCGGTGTTTGGCCAAGCTCATCTCTCAAGGCAACATCGACCCTCTGTGTTGCAAGTAGCAGCTTCACCACAGCCGTATGCCCGTTTTTGGCTGCTTGTAATAGGGGCGTCAAACCGTACATATTCTCCAAGTTGGGATCAACCTTCGGTGTTGCAAGCAGCAGCTTCACCACGACGTCATGCCCGTTTTCGGCAGCTAGTAATAGCGGCTGATTAACGAACGAGCTCCTCGGGCCAACATCGACCTTCTCTGTTGCAAGCAGCAGCTTGAGGATACCATCATGTCCGTTTTCGGCAGCCAGTGACAGCGGCGTCCGAAAGTACCAATCCTTCAAGTTGACATTAACCCCTTCAGTGGTAAGTAGTAACTCAACAACGGCCTCTTGCCCATTGCCTTCCGCAACCGCCCGTAGTAACCAAGTGTCGCGTAATGTTGGCGCTTTTGCGATGTCGATCGTCAACTCGTTCAATACAGCAGGATAACTTGCTAATGCGTGACCCCCCCACTCGGAACCAGCATATTGCAAGAAGCAATATTGAGCTTGCAGTACTTCTCTGTTATGGATGACCAGCGTTCCATTTACGTGAGAAACGAAAAGCATGCCGCTGGTAAACTTATCGCTACTCAAATAACGCCAGCAATTCTCGAATATGAGAAGATTCGCGCTATCTGGGGACGTGCGATACTACGCTGCCCTTGAAGCACTATTGCTGTCCAGTAGAAAATCTTTAACTGATTGGTGGCAGAAGTTGACTGTCCCGGAGTCATCGTTGCTAGCATTATCAAGAGATATAATAGAACTGTATGACGATAGTATTCCCATATACCCGTTATGATCCCGACTGCGTATTAATGAACTGCCCTTCTAAAATGCGAATGAGACTGCTATTTCTTTCTTTATTAGAGGGCGCCGTGCAGTAACTATGGTGAGTAAGAGGAACTGAGTATCTTCCCGCCTCTCTTTCAGAATATTATCATCTAGAATTCTGGTATAGGTTTTATTAAGCCCTTTAGAAAGATGCTTCAATTTACGCGGGACCTCAATATCCAGTGCCTTTTCCAAGTCTTTTAGCATAAGAGACACCTAAAGGAAGGTGCCCCTAGCTTGATTTTTAAGAGCCTTTTTAATGCTTGCTTTTACATTCTTGGTGTAATTCTTCCTCTTTGCTAGATCTTCAACTCTCTCTTTAATATAGTTAGAAAGATTAGTATTAACTTTGCTCGAGTCTATCCTCAAAGATACGCCTATTCTATCTAGCTTGTACTTAATATTGTCTATCTTGGGTCGGCAGGTTATAAGAATCTTAAATTTCTCTGTTAGATTTGGAGAGGCTTGAAATAGTTCCCTTAAGCTATATAGCAGAGCATTACAGGTGGATAAATTATACTTATTAAGTATATTAATAAGAATAAATACTTTACCGGCATATTTATCGCGGAGTATATCTTGAAATATTTACCAGAGAGTAGAGAAATTCTTAAAGAGGGACTTGAAAATATAGCTGTTATTATGCTTCTTAAAGTCTGACTGTATATATCGGAAAAGCTCGTTCTTTTACAGTAGCAGCTGCCAGATGAGGCTTCGAAGTATTATAGTAGGCGTTTTTTTGCTTCTTATCTTTATTATCGCAGAGAAAGTATGAAATAATTTATCGGAAGATTTCTTAACCTTTTACTTAAGGACCTCAATTAGAAAGGTGGATATCATGGTCTTTCCGATACCCGGGGAGCTAATGAGTCGAAGAAACTGTGAGTCTTTGCTGGCTCCCCAAGCGGAGAATTCTTGTCGACCGAGGATCCACTCGCAGGTATGCCCTACTATTTTGCCCTTTTGAGTCTGAATGTCTGACAGAATATCTCGGGGATTTGTCACCCTCATCTCCTGGAGACAACTCCTGAGATCGCCAGAGGTAGCGCTTTGATCCATGGGAATAGGTTTCGGACTGCGACGGTGCTTGAGGATGTTTCAAGCGCTTCGGACCATTCGCTCGATTTCGGGGTAGACCAGCTTAAAAGAGGGATCGTTCCGGCCGTAGAATTTGTTGATTTTGAAATGATCTGCGTGGAGGGGAATCTTGTGATGGCCGTCGATGCAGGCACTGGCCTCGGGCACAACCTAAAGACGCGTCAGGAGATGCTGCAAAAAGTAGTTCAAGTACGCACCAGCTCCTTCAATGGCAGAATCCTTCCTATGGATCCTAGTCTCGACCCATAGTCCGTCAAAAGCTGTTCATAGCAGCACACCACAGACACTGATTCGTAGAAGAGCCAGCGGGAAAAGTCATGCAGACGATCTGTCGAGGTACCTGAACGCTCCTCCAAATCTTCTAAAATCCTCCTTTCGGAAGAAAATTGAGGCGGTGCTAAGGATGTGATTAGAGTACCCCAGGCAGCGGCGGCGCTGCCTCGGTGAGGCGTACCCAGAAAGACTACACCGACGGTAGATCCAGCGATCTCAGTGTAACCGGATCCTTGTTTAGAGGCGGATATGATGGCCTATCGAAAATTTGTTATGGAACGAACCAGAAGTCACACTGCAGATGGTTACAAACCTGTTCAATAAGGTTGCCTCCGAAGCTGTGGCTAATAAAGACCAACGGTCTATCGGTGGCCTGTTAAAGGAGGTGGTTACTCAAAACTCCTAGACTAGAGACAGAAATGCGATGTTGGACGTACCTTCTCGCGCTTGTTCCTAAGACTAACCAACAATTTGTCCGAAATGTTAGAGAGCCTTTGTTGAGGTGCGTTGATGAGCCATTTCAACTCGTAGTTGAATGTCATAATGCGGCAAGACAATTGTGTAGACAACAACAACTCGGCAGGCAGCAAATGTTTCAACCAGTTGAAGTGCTCCGTCGGATACCCGCAGCCGTCGGCTGGGTTGTTCTTCGGTTGCCAAACCCAAGCATAATCTGGGTTCGCAGCAAGTCCATGCACAGCCACTATGCTGAGGTGACTGTTAGAAGTTTCGAGGCCACACGGGGGCAGACACGTACTCAATAGTTGCATTGCCGTCGTCATACAAAATATCTATGGGATATTCAGCGGGTGGCGGACAAGCCAAGCAGCGAGCACCGTCACCGGCCTCCGAGGTGACGTCTTCATCCCCCAAGACGGTATTGTCTTCGTCTCTCGAAGACCTTGTTTGGCAGTTCGGTGTATTCTCGCTATCGGCTCCCACTTGTGGACGAGGACTGTGTAGGGGAAAGTGTTCAAGAACCCATCTCGACCAAGCAGGAATGCTGAATAATGCAGCGAACAGGCCGCAGCAAACCAAGAACACATTCCCGGCTACGCCGCGAGGGCCGATGAAAGCCCTAGCGATAACCCTAGGAAAATTAAAAGAAGGCATTTCGGTCGCTGCTCAGGTGCCTCCGCTTATCGCTTGAGGTAGGCTGGAGTAGGTCGACGGGGTGAGGATGGAGGCATTGGTATCGCCGCCGGCTGGCAGGGCGGAGGGTGTACCAAGAAACAAGAAACTGAGCTCCAAATCGGTCCGTCTCAGAGACAAGAGTAAATGGGAGGAAATGCGAAGGAACCGGCTCGGAATGGGAGAGTTAGACGGTGTCGAAGCAAGCTAAATGCCGCAAAAACTTTCTCCCCACGAGCTCCTGTTGCCTTTGTCTGCCGCAGACCAGCCGCATCAATTTCGGCACTGCCTCTCAACAGCCTAATTGTTGGCCTTGGGCTGCTCTTGAAATGGATGGATTTAACGCAATGCTCTCTCGCTACCAGGCCCTCAACCCACTCCGTCTCAATAGGGGCAGGCTTGGATTAAGCCCTTGGGTTCGCACAAGAGCTATGTGTACATTGACCCTAAAGTCGGGAACAATATTACGAACGTCGTTATGCGCCAAATTGTGTGCTCTCCAATTAACCAATATTCTTGTCACTTCAGTGATAGTCTGAATTTCTTGGTCGTATTGATATGACCCAAAATATGGGTCGGCCGAATGGCAATATTACTCCCGCTACACTTTGGCTTTCGGGAAACTGGTACATTATTACGCTGGATGGAACACCTGATAATGGTCACCATCACAATGGAAACAGTTTCTGAACATGTCTATTTTTTGTTAATATTCTTAAAGAGAGCTTTGAACGAATGTTTAGGGAAAGCGCTAGCGAACTTGAGGGCGCAGGGCTGAAGGATAGTTCGTTATTAACATGTCGAAATAGTCTCGCGCAAAAAGTCCTGAAGCACAACTCTAATTTGAAAGCATTGCACTCAACTATCCAAGCCCGCACACTCAGTCCACTAGCAGTCACCTATTCTATTCTCCCCTTACTCTTATTTGTGAGACATGACCAAGCTTTTTGCCACTTTCCATCATTCATATCCAACCAAAAGAATGTGAGTAAATCCAGGCAGTACAGGCACAATGCCGTTCTGACTAACATTGTCTAACTGATCAAGACGTCGATGAAGCAAAAGAAAAGAATAGAAAACCAGGCATGAAAGCAGAAGAAACGACAGAAGCAAAAGGAAAAAGGACGGGTAAAACGTTGCAAGGAGTGCACAATCAAGAAGGCTGGGATCAGCGTACAATTGGGGAATATCGACGAGTGTGCAATCCGCGACACATCCCATCCAAGTTTGAAGTAATAGTGGGTTCGTTGACGGAAAATTCGTTGCATCCTCAACTTAAATAAACAAAAGAACGTGTGAAGAGATGAGAAGGGGAAAAGGTCGTCAGACAAACTCTTTAGTGGCTAGAAGGGGACGACTCGGTGTCTCCGTCCTCTTTTTTCTCCTATGCCACAATCTCCCTTTTGCCCTCTCCTTTCCCCTTTGCCCAGCTGGGCAGTACGCCGAAAGATCATTCCTTTCAGACCGGGTGGATTATTCAGAACAAACAACAAGCGCGCCAAGATAAGTCGCAAACTATCGAACGCGCCCTGCGCCTTGATATCGAGTGAAGCTGAGAGCATAAAAGTATTAGGGTTGACAAGCGGGATAATTTTGAGAAGATTTCCTGTTCCTTCAAGTGGGAGGCTCAGCCACTATAGATGTCGAGTGATTTCCATGGTGTTACTATTCTGGTGGTGTTTCACCTAATGACACTGGTTTTTCGCTCTTCCGCGGCCGCCCAGACCGTCCTTGTCCGTCCTTACAAACACGAAGGTGTTCGAGGTGCTGTAGAGCATTGTCATCGAGGACAGCTTGAGAGCAGACGCAGTGGTAGTGGGGGTGGCGGAACGTGCATGAATGTTGACGGAGATGCCTTCGATAATGGTCCTTTCGAGCATTGGTGTATCCACATCGACACCTGAACACCTTGGTGGAAGGCGGAATGTGGGCTCGACTCTTGTAGTGTCGTAGGAGGTCTTTTGAGCTCTTAAAGGACCTGGAGCATCCTTTTTGACAAGGGAGCTGAGGTTCTCTGACATTATTCGTCTCCATGCTCCCCGGGGAAGGAGTTTTCCCTGGGGTGAAGAGGTTCGTTGAGCTTGGGGATATCGATGGGCTGTCAATAGATGAAGGATAATTGACCCGGAGCTGTCTAGAATCTTCCGATTCTTGCTGACCAAAATCTGATTGTCTGAAGGATGAGACATGTTTTTGGCTCGGGCTTGAGTGGAAAAGAGGTGATGTAGTTAAGGTATGTGGTCGAAGAAGGTTGAGGAATTCCTCCATAGGCTTGTCTGTAGATATGCTGCTGTCCATTGTGGATTCAAATGTCATCGACGAGGTGGCATTAACCTCAAGCGTCGCAAATAGCCCTGGTTCCAACATTTGCATACCAGATCCATCAGGAATCCAGCTCTGTCCATCCTCAAAGCAAGGAGCCGCCAAGAAATTATCGGTAGGCTCCAAGCCAAATTGGTAATCGAGAGGTTGGTCAAGAGGGAACAAGTTGGATAAATCTGGAAGCACCGAGAAACTCTGGGTATTCGCATCGGGAGAGGTCTGTGTCCAACCATCAATGATGGGGAAGGGAGCGTCAAAGCTGTTGTTTGTATCCGAGGGTCCAAGCCCTGGTCGTCTTAAGTGATGATCATCGTGTTGTCTCTGAATGTGGACAGCACGGGGTTAACATGCCCCGTACCGTAAGAACCGAGTGTGGGTTTAAATATATTACCCAGGGTTATGTTCCGGGGTGAGAGTGTAGTCGAATGATGATGGTGATAAACAGCAATAAGCTGTCGGTGTGGGGGGTTTAATTCCGTTATGTTGTGTATATTTTTTAGTAGTGAATCTTTCGCATCTCCTTTCGCCACCTGCATACACTATGCCAGCAGTCAGTCAGCATTGAATTGGTTTCCACTGCTTGCAAAGGAACACACACCCTGGGCCTTGCGCAGCTCCAGTACTGGATCACAGGAAAGGATCTCGACAGGATAATCCCCCTAGACCCCAGGGGTAAAACCCCTTACGCCCCCGGGCGCTGCCCGTGACGGTCGGTTGCGTCCCCGGCTCGATGGTCACTATGCCCCGACTTGGTGGTTGGTGCTGATAGTCCGATCCCCCATGTTCATGAGCGTGGTTTAGTTCCGGCATGAACTGTGATGTCGAGCGGGCAAATGCCCTTCTAGAGCTGATGATGTGACTGGTGTACAGGCGATTGAGCAGGACAATGTTTCGGTAGAATTTTTGGTAAGGGCAAGAGGAGTTGGCACTCGTAGTCGCTGATATCTCTGTCTGTGACCAAAAAAAATGCCTTAGAACAGTCAAAAAGATACGTGTCCCAGAGGGTGACACCCTCCTTCTGTAATACTAAAGGAGTGATGCAGAACGTCGGGGGGCCGAGGCTATAAATAAGTGACTTCTACCTCGCGGACTCTGCTGTGTTATCCCTCAGTCGTAGAAACTGGCCCCAATGGAAGCTGGAGGGAAATCGGCCCCAACCAAAGCCCCGAGAGTATTGGCCCCAGGTCGGTTTTTGTCATACTCAAACTGGCCCCAGGGAGAAACTGGCCCCAATGAGAACCCCAAATATATTGGCCCCAAATCAGGTTTTGCCACACCCCCAAATTGGCCCCAGAGAGCGGCATCTACACCAAAAGATGTAGCTTCGTGAGCTTCAATGCAGTGAAATGACATGGGCACATGTACCTTGTGCAGTAAAATGGCGCGTAAGCTGCATCCATCCCCCCGCTTTGTGTGTGTTGGCGCATCCTCGAGGCACATTGGCGAGGCGGAATGAATGTCTGAGCCCCATGAAATCAATTGGATATGGTGAACAAGGCGACCGCGCTAGTTACTCTCTACACCCTCCCAGACGAATCATACGATCAAGTAACCTATCATACACGCAAATCATGAATCACAAAGTGCAGAGTTGCCAGCCTGCACCAGCGGGTCTGTTGCCCGCCGAGCTGAGCCTTGCGCCTCTCAAAATGCTACCCATGCGCCTTAGGGAGATTCGAAGCGGCCCCGAGGAATGCTTCCCCTCCCATTGCGTGCTACTTCTTTGTGGGCGTTCTTCTTTTTCAATTTTAAATCTGGAAACAAGATAGACGAGCCTCAGCGAAGGTATTAGTTGACCACATCGATCCACATATTGCATTTTTCTCGACAGTATGTCAATTATCAGGTAATGCATGATTTGTCCTCTTGGCCCTTCGATTCTTGTTTCTGTTGCTAATCATCTCTCGATTCACAATTCCAGGTCCCAAGCCACTCCGCCTCGGCCGTCGAAATATGCTTCCCAGTTCTTCGTGCCATACGAGAGCTTTGTCGGGGCGTTCCTTGGGGATTCTTATCGCCTTCTGCGTCTTGAAGAGTCTGTCCCTCAAGCCGATGTCTTCCTCGTCTCCCCTCTCGAAAATCCCACCACAATCCTGAGAGCTCATGCTTACACCCTTGAGGGACTTTGCCCGCAATTGCGTCAATCGCGCAAACGATATATCAAGCGACACTTGGTCGACGTGTTGGATCAGATCTATCAAAATGGCCGATTATTCGTCATCCTGAAGTCTTCATATAGCGAAGGACAGCCCCGGACCCTCACCAGAGACGCTAAAAACCAGCAATTGCGCAGTGAGATGGAGACAAACCCGGATAATTTCCCAAACATTTCATCAGTACCGGCTCTCGACCTCCCCACAGTCACAAAGAACGCAACCCCAATTGTTAAACACCTACAATCGGTGTTCATGACGACAAAAGAAGTGATGAATGGCCAATTCAATTCGAATTGCGCACACAGCAGCCTCGACAGGGCCAATCTTTTGTCACGGCGACTGGAAGCCGCATTACGAGAAGCAAGGTCTCAACGATACAGATTTCTTCAGTTCTCTGAATTCCAGGAAGATTGCAAAGGTCTTGAACAACCCGAATGCCTCGAACATCTCAGAGATTGGGATAAGGTCGACTTTCGATATCGGCATCTGCTTTCCAAGAATGGAGGGCTGCAGCCATACAGGGAAGCAATTGCAAGGATCTATAAAGAACACGGGTCACTATCGCATCTTCGCCAAATAGAGCATTGCCGTCAATCGAGATGGAAAAGCTTTCTGAAGAGTCTAGCTTCAGCTTCCCCCGACATGGCTGGACTCATGGGTGGAGTTAATATAGAGGACATTGATGATTTGGCGTCATCAAGTGTCAGCTACGCAGCAATGTTGAAGCAAAGATTCCCATGGGATCTTCCTGAAGAGAAACAGGGTCTCACCAGTCAGAAGACAATCAAGCAATGGGATAAGAGAAAGAAGAAACGGGAAAGGCTGCGAGAAATTTGTAAGGTATGGGTGCATCCACAGGAGTGATATTAGCAACAAGGTCGCACTTGTTGGCTTCTAGGCCTTGTAATAAATTAAATATTTGGCGCATGGAGCATCTCTTATTATGGGCAGCATATAATGCTGCGAAAGCCGTGAAGAAACTAATCTGGATATTTTGCCGGTTCGCTTGGGGAGGAGATCAAGATCGATTAAATTACATTTGAGTCTCCCAACATTGTGCGTTGGCAATCGTGCACTTCCTCGTGCTATGACAAGGTTGAGGATGTGACACATTCCTGTGGCTATGACATCGCAGGTTGAGCACAAAAGATCTTTTGCCCCAAGAAGTACAAAAGTAAAAAGACCTCAAGGGCGAGGCAAGTACGCATAAGTACACTATGTTGGTCAGAGTGTATTTCTGCTTCGCACAGAGATTAACCCTGGGGCCAATTTCGTAAGGACAGCCTAGGACAATGAGCTGTGGGGAAGAAAATATGGCCCCAAGACCGGGAATAGAGTGCCTACTTGCCACTCACCCCAGACTCTACGTTTGGGGCCAGAATCCCAGTGTAATAAAGTTGTCCAGAGTCCGGGCTATGAGTCCAGCTATACTACTTAGAATTGGCCCCATCTCTGACCTCACATGCAAATATTGAACCATTCAGGATCCTAACCATGTGCAACATTGTATGAAAAGTCTAGAATATAAATAGCTGATATCCCTTCGCCCTTTTCCCCTTCAAGTTCCATTCAGCGCCTCCAGCAATATCTAAAATGCCTTCTTCTCCAGTAGACTATAACATTGCCTCAAATGCTTGGGTCAAAGTTCCAAGAGAGCACGCTTTCCTTGATTGCACACAGTCGGCAGCCTAACTCCCAAGCACAAGGATAGATACTAATCTTTATTTACAACAGAAACGACACGAAACCAGCCGGATATGGTTCAACCCTTCAAAGCCCAAGACCCATAGACTCCTGGTTTTCTCAGTCCCCCGATCAAGATCCTTGGAACGCTATTGGCCAAGTTCGAGGAGGAGGGTACACGCCCGGCAGTTCGACCTCTCGTCCTAGCGGAGGTGCCACTACGGGAAGCAACTCCAAGAAATAGGGATAAACTGTTATTTGATATGATATGGGGGCTGTTCGTCACATAACGGCTCAACGAGGGAATTATGAGTGTGACACCTGCTCATAATGTTATGGCTGTGTGTCAATTTATGTACCATTTCAAATGATTTAATCACCTTCTACTTCTCTGTACTTTTTTCCGTTGCACCCGACTCATCGTTTATTTCACCGTTTCGTCTTCGCTCGCTTCTCGGTCTGCACTTGGAGTTGAATATTCCGCATTGCTCTTTCTCGATTCAATTATATCCATCTTGTAATATCCTTTTGTGTTGCCATCAATTAGAGCCGGTAATCTTTCATTCTGCATCTGGAGATGTTCTTGAGAAAGCTTCCTCAGTTATACACTAAGTTTGTATCTTATCACATCCCCAAACCTTTTTACCTACAGTCGTCTCACCAACAATTCCTAGAGATAATAACGCAAAATCATGTCGCTTTTATTAGAACTACTGTATGATTAATAATCTATAGTATTATTCTGATCCTGATCTCGTTCGTTTCCGCCATTGTCATCCGCTGAAGAAGTCCTTTCCATGAATGCGTGCCTCTCCCATTCGTACTTAACATTTGACATTCACTTTCCATCCGCTTTTGAGTATCCTTGTCGTAATTAGTAGCGCACCGCATAACAAACTCGAAGTAGCCGCCCAAGCTTGTGCTCCTTTGAACGTATCGCCGCTGGCAGACTGAATCAACCCTCCAATCGGGGGACCCGTTAACCCGGCCACTGACACAATGGTGAAGCACATGCCCAGTCTTGTACCGACCTTATCCAGCCGCTTCGTGATGCTGGCAACTCCAGTCGGCATGAGGCACTGGAACGCACCCGATGCTAAGCCGTAAAAGACTGTGAAAACGTAGACGCCGACAACGTCTTTCACAGACATCCACGACCAGGCGACAATGGCAACGAAAATGCCGGCGAGCGATATAACATTTAGGGGGCCAATCATATCTGCGACAATGGGGACTCCAATACGGGCCGGCATGCCAGCGCCATTAATCAGTGTGATAAGGATCGAGGCATCGGCATACGACATGCCCAAGACATCTCTCGAAAAGGATCCAAGCTAATCGGCATCAGCAGACACAAACATTAGTTTCTACCAGCAGGGACACAGGACTGCACACTTACGTAGTAAAAGGTGTAGTAAACCGCCCAGACGAAGAAGAACAAGCCGCCAACATATGCCATGTAAACAGGTTCTCTGAAGGCGACCCAGTCAATCACAGGACCGGACTTGCGAGGTGGCAGTCGCGGCCGCATCAAGGCGACGACAAGAGCCAGACAGCCGAGATTGAGGAATCCCAAGGTGCGAGCAGTCCAGGCGAATCCAAGCTTCGGGAGAAGCTGTCGAACCACGATGGGATAAACAATACCTCCGGCGGAATTTCCAGTAGTGGCAAGTCCCACGGCAAGTCCACGGCGGCGGTCGAAGTATGTGGCGACCAGAGCAAGCGACGGCGTAAAGAAGATGCCTCCGCCAAGGCCGGTCAAGACGCCCTGCGTCAACATCAAGTGCCAGTAACTCGTGGAAATGCTCATGAGAAAGATGCCAAGCAGCTGCAGTATAGCTCCTATAACTAGCGTATGCACAAAGAACCCAGCGTCCAGCAATCGACCGGAAAAAGCGCCAATGAAGAACGTCAGCCAGGTCTGCACCGAGCCAATCCAAGATATCGCCGACGGCGACTGGGGGAGATGCTCGGTGTAGTATGTTTGAAAGCTTCCAAAGGAGTTGATGTAGCCCCAGGTTGTGAAGATGACAATCCAGCCCATGGCAACCTGTGTCCATGCTTGCATTCCGCCGTCAGGAGGCGGAGGGAGAATCACGTTGGACTCGGTTGTAGCGACTGCCGTCATGTCGGCGGACTCCATACCTACAGGGTCCAGGCTTGCGGAACGCCTTCCATGGTCGTTTTCTGGGCTCTCAGGATGCATTTCGGGCCTGTGCTTCTCGACATTGGTCCCATCACCCTGTTCCAAGCGAGACTCGACCTGTACACGGCTTTGAGGGTCATTAGACATGGTTTGAGGCTTAGCGGCCGATTTTCGAGCCATCTTCGCAATGAGAAGAGTATTACGTTGGTTCGTGAAAAATACGAAGTCACGGGAATGTCCAGGATTTAAGGGAACCAACACGATCGGTCTCCTCCGCCTTCGGACGCGCTGTGTGCAAAATTGCCAAGCGTGTGGAGTCGCCGTCGGGAGCGTGGCCACTAGGATACTTTTCCGAGCGATCGTGACTACGCTGAATAATGACGGCCAGTCTTATGGAGGCGACTTATCTGCTAATCTGTGGTTCTTGGTCCCCACTGAAACGGCATACGACGGTATTCGGTCCGGAGAGCAGGCCGTTGTCTGTTCTGTTTACATTGTTTCTGTCGGTGAGAGTCAGATGGAGTCGCTTCAACACGAGCTATGATCCGAAACCGGGATGAATGCTCCCCGTGACGTGTTGGGATTTAAGATGGAGTTGAAATTCCGGAGGTAAATGACTTGATTGTGTGCCGATCATCCGTCCACGACTTCAACAAACCGTGACTGTTCCACATCCCTGCATTGAGCAAAGTCCATTGGCCAACGCATGTACTGCTTGTACTCCACTGGTAGCTTTTGTTCGAGTTCCAGTATCCAAGACGAGATCATTGCCCTCCGGAACGGAAATGAGTCCATGACTGGCGTCAAGGCGTTGAGCCCGACAACATACTCTATGATGAAAAAATGCATCATGATAATCTGTGCGGTATAGTTCGAGGCGTCGATGAACAGGTCAAACTCGGGGGCGCTTCCTTCGCCAAGCACCCGATAAGCGGCAGATACTTCTATGTATGCTGTCAAAGTCGTTAACAAGTGTTTGAAACTCGGGATGCGGGTCATGTATACCATCCACGTCTGATCGCTGGGTTGCTTTTAGTATCCGTTCAATGATGCCAAGATACCGGACTTCCAGGACGCCGCGACACAGCGGACCCAATGCTCTACTTGAGATTAAAGCATCCTTGAAAATGTCGGCATTCTGTCCATGATGAGACGGTTCCTGGTTGAGCTCGTGTACACTCTGTTCGTGCCTCTCTGGCGAAAAGGTATGGAAGACAGACTCGGTGAAATAAGGCATAGCAGTATCGGAAACCACGATGCAACCACGGATCATGGATAGAAACTCTTGCATGCCTTCGGGCATATATGACGCCTGGAACGTAAGAGCCATCATGGTAGCAAATCGAGCATCTCCCTCGGCCTTTGTCGCACAGGGCGTGTTCAGGGCCTGATTCAAAGATCCGATTGCGTAGACGCGGTGAGTTAGTGCTTGAGAGGTGTAGTCGGCGTTGGTGCCCAGAGACAAGTGGGATGCGGCCAGCCCAAGCATTGCGTGGATCAAGAAGTCGAACTGCTCGTGTGTTAGAGATGATTGATAATGGATTGAGGTGAAACCAACACTGTGCGAGAGGGCCGCAACCTCCCGCCAAACTGAGTCTCCTTTCAGCGGTAGCGGAGGATAGGCATGGAATATGAAATGCTGAAAAAGACGCAAGTCCTCCATTGTGAACTGAGTCGGTGTCGCCTGAAGTGCCATTGCAGGGGCCGGCATAGCTAGAGCGGAGTCTGTATTACTCGGGTATTCACACGCCAGGCCAAGGCGTTCGCAATGGCCGCAACCCGGCAGAGTCTCCTGGCATTTCACCTTTCTCCGCTTGCAATTAAGACAGCCTCGTCTCGATTTCGTATGTCCCTTTCGCGGTATTGGTCTGCGCCGCGGCGTAACACGGCGGACTGGAGGCGCATCTTCTGACGACGAGCGGGGAAGTGAAGGCGCAGGAGACAGCAGCGTGTACGGTTGCAGTGGGGGAAAATGGACCAGCGCAGTTTTATCCATGATAGACGGGTTTATATCGATGTGTCGGATCCTTGAGATATGTCCTGGACGTCAGTAAATCTCGCGGATTGTCTTGACGCGTCTCGGCCGTACGTCATTCACCATTCCGCGCCACGTTTGGTCAGACCGGGCTAATGCTTGCCCGACGCCGTCAGCTTAGCGGTGAAGGCCCAGCTCATCTGAATTGTTCACGATCCGACCTTGGATTTTATCAATCAGGAGTATCCAAGGATCTCGTGCCTGATATGATCTACCTTGCGCCAGTCCCAGTTTATCTGGGGCCTTGTGGAACTCGTCAGTGGGGATACTGGGGCAGTCGACGACCCGACTTTGCTTGCTCCGATGCACAATCACTTTCACTAGAGAGTAAGCTGCAAAGAATTCATCTCGCCTTTAATCAGTCAGGCGCGAGCGTATGTATCTTGAATCTATCGAAATTCCCATGGTGGCTTCCCACGACGTTGAAACCAAATATCCGCGCACCATTTCTAACGCGAGTATTGCGCAAAAGGATCGCTCTTGGGATCGATATTCCTTGTATATTCCGAGGCAATGGCAATCCTCGCCGCCACATCTTCCCCGAATTGATCCGCGACAAAAGCGTACATCATGTCGATGCCGGCCGAAATGCCCGACGACGTCCAGATGTTGCCGCTCGTCACCCAGCGAGCTTCGTGTATCCATTTCACGTTGGGACCTTGGGTAGTGGCCTTGATTAATGCAAGTCAGTGGGGAATCTCAGATGCGCGTGAGTTTGGGTGCATACCCAGGTGAAGGACCCCTTGTTCGAGGTGGCTTCGTGTCCATCCAATATACCGGCTCTCGCTGCCAACGTGCTGCCGGTGCATACGGTAAACAGGTACCTCAGCTTGGGGTACGCCTTTCGTACGTAGTCGACGATCAGCTGGGTTGCCTCGAGATCGCGCGTTCCTTTGCCGCCTGGAACTATGAGAACTTCGATATCCTCCGGCGCGTTCTCGAAGGTGTGTGTAGGTACGACGCACTGGCCAATAGTTGCACCGCCTGGAGAGTCGGACTTTGTAGACACAGGACTTAGGGTCTCTGCGATGATGGACAGCTGGAAGGGAACCGTCCTCGACAGCACGTTCAGGACATCAAGCGGGCCGAACACGTCAAGAGACTGGAAGTCTGGGAACAGTATGATTCCATATTTGGTAGGGGGGTTGCTGGATTGCGTCGACATTTTTCTAGTTGGACAAGAGAGACGAGTGCTCTGACAACTTGCACACACGCTCGATTTCCTTGAAATATCTCAAGCCAAGGAGAAGTAGCTCAAGTGAGGGGGAGCAGATTATACAATCGACGGGCAGAACGCCCCACCAACCAGAGGAGAGTGACTAAGACGGGCGGAGCTCGCAGGTTACCATTCTAGGCTTTGGTAGGGGGTGGCCACGAAGGGAATAGCAGCTAATTGACGTCTCTGAGATTGCTCAGCCATGTCAGATGTGCAGGCCTAGCCCTCGGCCTTTTCAGCCACTGCTTCTCTGCAAGGGCTGTTGCCCTATCAGCGACTGATTGGCGAGGATAATAAGATGGTGTTCAATTGATCTTGAGGCTGGAGGGCGCTGGAAAACGCAGTGGAACAGGGCTGAAACTGGTTACAGCGCCTGTATTTAGCGCCGATCCCGACAAGGTTGAACCAGATTGCCAGCAATGCCGACCTTGTGGGTAGCTTGTGCGGCTGTGCAGCAAGCCATTTGAGCAGGTTCTGAAGCCACCCAAAGTAAGCCATTGCGAGAGGTCCCCGGCGTGCAGGAGGAGGTCCCCGTAAGACAGCGTCTCAGGCTTGATGTGTGGGTATTCGAGACGCACACCAACGTGATAGGGCACTCGGGGACTATATCCTCGCTAGCGGCCAGGCCATTTGCTTCTGTTGCATCTCGAAGTTGGCGAATGGCCTCGTAAATGACGCTGTTCAGCCCTCGGCTAAACGCCTCTGGCGTGGAAAGCCAAAATGTGTGCTGATGATTTGTTGGCAAAGTGGATTAAGGTTGGTGATTGAACCATGAAGCGTCATGCATGTCAGACCGGAGAGAGAGAGAGATCTGACAGCGACCAAGCGGTGAGAAAATAGGGCTGTTTACAGCTTACCTTGATGTTGGTGGTGGCTGCTGTTGAGATAGTCACAGCCTCATGCAGTGCAGTCACACAGCCATTTCAGTATGTCCCACGAAAATGGCCTCACGGTAAGGCAAGGGGGGAAGCATCTTTGGATTCCCAACATCCTAGCAACAGATAAGAGTAATCCCCTGTCACAGCTCTGAATAGTTCCTGGTAATGGCGGGGAAATGGCGTGGTTCAATGCACGTACGAAATCTGAAGGCGACCCTCGTTCATTCTGCATCTTGATTCCTTGAGGCTGCATTTCTAATCTCCTGGCCTTCTACCGCCGCCCACGCTGCCATCGCCATCGCCATCGCCATAATGATCCAACCCCGCTTCTACGTACCTATACATTTCGGAGCATTAATTATTACAAGTAATGGGCTTTCGTCTGTGACGATGATGCATCACCTACTTATCCAGCTGCATCTTCGAGGCTATCGCTATCACAAGACAGACCCACTTTGGACGCAAATTTCCACTTCATCTTGAGTCCAAAACCTGAGCCTGAACCACAACTTCTCATCTCTTCAACACTCCTTAACGAGCATCTCTCGACAACTCAAGGCTCAGCCGGCCCCTTAAAACTACATCTCAGTCTTCTCCCCTGAGACATCTGCCGCCATGCCTCCCCAGATCAAGCCGCGCCGGGTCGCCGAGATAATGCTCGCTTCTCTGGGCCTCAACCTCGTCTCCTGCACCGAGCTCCAAGTCCTGTGGGCAGGCTACGGCCATATTTGTGCTGTGACGGCAAAAGCCACTGATGGAAAAACTGCCGCTCGTTTAGCCCAGGTTTGTGGCGACCCGGAAGCCGCCACAAGCCACACATTCCATCTAATCCTCAAACTCATCTCACCTCCGAGGAGTAATGGCGCCGGTGATGAGGGCCATCTACGCAAGATGCTGAGCTATCATGTCGAGCAGTACTTCTACGATGAAATCACCCCGAGCTTAGAAGACGACGTGGCTGTTGCGACGTGCCTCACCTCGACTCGACACTTGAACGGCCAGCCCCACGCCGAGGAACTCCAAGGCTTGACCGCCACCATCATGACGGATCTGCGTCCAAAGTTCCCTGTTGCAGGAGAGAAGAGATCGCTTCTCGATTTCCGCCAGGTCCACGCTTCTTTGGAGTGGCTGGCCAAGTTTCACAGCAGCTCGTGGAAGATGCTGCCGGACGACCTCAGCAAGTTCGTCCTGCCTCCTCTCGAGGAGATAAAGCGAAGGGAATCCCACCCAGATACAACTGAGCAGAAGCTGTGGCTAAACGGAGGATATACTTACCTCGCAACGCGGCGAAATGAATATGCTTTCCTCAAGGGAGAATCATACTCGGAATGGTCTGAGGCTTTCTGCGCGCCCGCTGGAGATTCATTGCCGTCCATCGCAGACATGGTGGCCGATTTCCTCACCCCGTGCGGCAGACCATTGGAGACGTACATACACGGCGATGTCAAGTCTGAGAACCTCTTCACCACTGAGTCGGGTGACAAGGTTGCCTTCTTTGACTTCCAATACGTCGGTCTGGGCCTGGGTGTCTGCGATCTCGCCAAGCTGTTTACATGCTCGGTTCCCATGAGCATGCTTAACGGCGGAGGTGCGATTCCAAGTGAGCTGTCTATGCACGACGACGAGCGGGCCCTACTAGAACGTTACTGCAAGACTCTTCTTGACCGCCGTCCTGCGGGGAGAGATATCGATTACCCTGTGGATGTCTTTATTCGCCATTGGGAGACGGCTCTTGTGGACTGGTGTCGGTTCCAGGCGTCTTGGGGCTTTTGGGGTAATACTCAGTGGCTCGAGGCCAGGGTGCGGTCTATTCTACAGGATAAGGGCTGGAGGGATTGGCTACGGCAAGAAGTATCGAATCTCCCCAGGTAGGTTAGTACGTTTAAGACATCAGCAACATGAATCACGCCAACTCAATGGACACACGATGGTTATGCAAGAACTGTGAGATATTTACGTCGACAATCGGCCGCGACAGCTAACAGAAATGCTCTGGGGAAACCTGACCGCCAGTCGAAATTGTATGTACATAGAATGAGAAATGCAAAATTACATCTCTGGGAATGGGAAAATGAACTTGATGTAAACCGTACGCCCTCCTGCCTTTGTAGTGCCGCCCATCTGAAGCCACTGTCGATGTTTCCTCTCAACGGCCACGGCAGGAGAACATTGTTCTCAGGTGGATTTTAAAGACACTGGAAGTACCACTCGTTCTGCTCGGTGCAGGTGGTGCCGGATGCACACTCGGTAGCGCCGGTCCAGTTAACACCGCCGCATTGGTAGTACTTGGAAGCAACCGTGACGTCGCTGTCATCCTCGTCATCCTCACAGTCGTCGTCGTCGTCGGTGGGAGTGGCTGTCGCACTGGCAACGGGTGCCTCAGCTGCAGAGGTAGTGACGTTGGCTCCGGCGGATGCCTTGGAGGCGCTAGATTGGGCAGCGGCGCTGGTGGGCTTGGCCTTGGTGGTGGTAGTCGTTGTGGTGCTGGCCTTGGTCATGGTGGTTGTGGTCGTCTTCTCTTCAGCGATGGCGCTGGTCTCAACTTCAGCAGCGGCGGTGCTCTCGACGACGGCTGCAGCGGTGCTCTCAACCTTGACTACAGTGCTGCTGGACTTCTCGACGACGGCGGCGGCCGAGGTGGTCTGGACTGCAGCCTTGGAAGTAGTGCTAACCTTGGCAGTGGCCGTGGCCTTGCTGGTGCTGACGGCGGCGCTGGAGCTGGAGGAGCCGGTATCGGTGGAACCGCTGTCGAAGGTGCTGCCAATGGGGCCGAACTTGATGTTGGAGAAGACTACGGATGCATTGGGGGTGGCTGCTTCGACATCAGATGGCACGCCGGAGTCGGTAGAGCAAGTTCCTCGCGCGGCACCGTCGGCGGTGGAGTTGGCAGGGTAGTTGGAGTCGAGCCAGAGCATGTTGGCGTAGTGCTAGAGGCAATTAGTCAAACGCGGGTTAAGAGACAGTATTCATGACTTACATCGTCCCAGAGGCTCATGACCAGGACCATGGGGGCAGCAAGGGCATCGCTCATCTGGGAGTATCCGCCCTTGGCAGCAAAGTCGTCGTCGTCGCCGAATGCCACCTTCTGAGCAGTGCAGAACTCCTCGGTGAGGGCGTTGCCAGAGTTGCTGGCAATGGTCGACTCGGAGTTGGCCACCACCACGCCGTCCTGGACGTAGAAGCGCTTGATGGAAGAGAGGCCGCCGCTGGTACCTTCGACGAACTGCGTGACGACGGTGATGGTCTTGGTGGTGTCGACGGTGAAGTCGGAGCCGGGGCCGTAGAAGGTCTCGTTGCCCTGGCGGTACGAGTTGAAGTCGCAGCCATCGGGATCGCAGTCACCAGCGTAGCGGGTATCGGAGTAGGTTCCGCCACAGGCATCGCCGTCGCAAGAGTGCTGAGTGAGATCCTTGCAGGGGTGGGCGGTGAATGCTGTGGAAATGTCGTTGGCCTCCCAGATATCCATCTCAGGGCAGCATGTGCCGAGGCTGCCGACGCCTGAGTTGGGGTCGTTCTCTGAGGGAACCCAGTCCTCCACGTTGCCCTGTTGTAGTTAGTAGATGCTAGTAGAAGGATGTTGTTTGTAGTGTTCGTACCACTCCGTTGATGAACTTGACATCGCGGGCACATTGAGCATCGCAGTATCCAGTGCCGTACTTGGCGCCAGCCTTGTTGCCATCGTACTTGGCCTTGCCACCATCCTCGTCCATAGAGACAAAGTACAGAGCACCGTTGAGACCGCAGCTAATGCCCGATACATCGACATCGAAAGTGAACTCGTTGCCCAAGAGGGTGAACATCTGGTAGGTCTCGTCGTCCTCCATGAGATACAGACGGCTGCCGATGTTGGTCGCATAGGTACCCTTAGTAACAAAGCCAACACTAAGTTGATCACCGCTGGTGGTCACACCATAGGTGGAAGCGTAGTCGGCGCCATCGACACAGCACGCGGAAGCGCAGGTCTCGCCATCAGTGCAGATGGACGTGTCCCACTCGTTGCCAGTGTAGCAGTTGGTGCTGCCCTCCACAGTATGAGTCCATCGCCAGTTGGCATCAACCACAACGGAGCCTGCGACTTCGGTGCAGCCGCTGGCAGTGCACTTGGACCAAGTGAGGGCCGGGTGGGTTTCGGTCGTCGAGGTGCAGACCTGCTGCGCGCGGACGACGGCGATCAACGCCGAGGCGATAGGGAGAGTGCGATACATGATAAAAGAGCGTCAAGCTGTAGTTGGGAAAGAATGTAAAGGAGTGTCAGAATAGGAAACAAGCCACAGGCTGTTGGTGTGAAAGAATGTAGTGAGGATGAAGATAGAAGATTACCAAAGGAGACGGCGATGAATGACTTATATACGCGCATCTAATTTTCTGCCAGGTATTCGAACCGTATCTAGGAACATACCCTCCTCCTTGTCCCTGCATCTCAACCAAAGCCACGGCCATCCAAGGGTTCTGGTTAAGCTCGCAGCCGGCTGGATCTCGCGCAAAGACTCGGACCGTTCCTTCATTACCTGCGAGACCAAAAAGGCCGGCGATGGCCTCAGAAGTGGCGTGGAATATGGACCGGTCCCTGCCTGCCATGGCGAGATTCGCATTTCAGGTAGGCCCGTGACGGCACTGGCAAGGGCGCGTGGAAGGGTTCCAGATTCATCCGTTGTTGACGTCCGATGATGGCTGGCAGCCCTACATCAGGCTTTGGATCCAGCATCTGAGACGGGGAGCTGTGGACTGCCACTGGAGGAGTGGCTACATGGGAGGAAGAAGTCGACTGTTCCTAGCCACGCCTATCGGGACCGACACCCGTCGACAGGGGCCCCCATCATGAGACGGCTTCATTGGAGGACTTTTGGAGCCGCAGGTCGATGAGGCCTACGATTCTGCTCGCCCGCCCTGAGCTAGCCAGGCACACAAATGGGTCCCTGGACGAGATCGGATGCCATGGTCCCACGGGTTTGGTCGGTGCATCCGCGTTCATCCCAAGGCACGCCGGCGATTGGCAGCCAGAACTGTCACCTTTGGCGATCAGCCGTCATCCGATCCCTGGCAAATTGCAGGGGCGTGGCGGCTTCACCCCGCAATGAGTTTGAGACTCATCTCCTTCGTCGCTTGGGGGCTGGTCATGCCACCAGCACCCCTCATCAAGCGTGGGAGTGGTAGAAATAGCGTGATGATCAGGTTTGGCCGTTGGAACTGGCGTCGATGATGCTGTGTCCAAACCTACTTTTCTTGTTGTTCCGCGTACCAAAGGCGTCTAGCCCAGGCCAGAACCTGTAATTGGAGGAAGAAATTAGCAGAAAATAACATGGAAACGTTTTCTATATATTTGTCAAGACCGGCGCGTAGAATGTCGCACGCGCATATCCTTCGTCAGTGGGTGGTTCATGCGATACAAGCTTGCTGTGCAAGACAGTTCTGGCCGTGTGCTCCAGTGTTTGGCTCTTGCAGACGTTCCTAGGGCAAGACTCTGTTGTAGCACAGCTGCATGCGTGTTGGAATTTCTGATATCGACGATCGGGTGTTGATGGTCGGTGATGCCCTCGGGATGGTCTTTCATGTCAATTTGGCATTTCGGAAGCTATGCCGCGAAATCTCTGTCGTGGTTTGCTATCTGACCTACGTGGATGAAATTCAGTTCGCATAGGGCCTATCAAAGACGGTGTTGAAGAATCAAAATCCAGGCTTCGTTTGAGGAGTGAATATCGTGACCAACCGGCAAGGCAACGATGATATTGTTAAGCTTTCGTGGTAGATAGAGTCACCTTGCCGTTGTAGTCACGACATAGCGCATGCGCCCACCCATCAGGCTTTGCAAACACACAAGGCAAAAATTTGTGCCGTCGCAAATTAAATGGAATGCTAGATCCTACTATTTGTATGTACCAAGTGTGATGCTCGTTGTGATGAGTTCCTTCTGAGTGGTAGGGATGGTCTCCATGGTGTGTAGGGTAGCTTCACGCGGACGAAGATGGTACCACCAAGCTAGCGCGACAAAAGAGGAGAATAGATCTGCCTGGTCCCTACTTAAGTTATATACTGATCATCATGCAGGGCGAATGCAGTAGGTGGGTCTGCAGCCGGCAATTCCAATGATTTAGAGAGAGGGCATCGTAGATCTATGTTGACTCCACTCGAAAGTCGCCTTCAAATCGTGGGGCTGTGTCCGATCGTGTCATTTATCGCGAAGTATCTACTCTCAATATCTGAAATAACATGACACACCCTAACGTTCTCTTCATCGTGTACAGTTACTTCTCCTACCGAGCAGCTGAGTACCGGGAAATATAGTAATAATACAAATAAATATGGTTAAACGTAGCATCGGATACTCTGACGCTGTGACAGCTACCCGGGGCGGGCCGATCCTACCCTAAAGCTACTCTGTACAGTTATTATTAGCATGTTTTTGTGGCTAGTGGCGGCCTCTCCGAACGTCAAGTTTGCGCCTCACCGACGACCCTGGCTCGTGTGCTGTCTCTCTGATATGAAGGAGATTGTGAACTGCAGAAACCGGGCCGAATAACCAATTACAGTCTCAGATTTAACCCACATGGCATCACGTGATGTCATCTTGGGCTGCCATCGCCAATACGCGCGCTGGATGCGAAACAGTTGTGAAGGTAGCCGTATCTCCAAGTGACCAACCAACCACCTGATGGAACCTGTGCGCCGCAATGGCCTCGTGCCAAGCATAATTCTTGGCGAGACGCTGCTCCGCCGCAGGTGACGCGCAAGCGGGCGTTTTGTGCTCCCACCGCTGCTTGTGTTGAAGCCATATCGCCGGCTTTGCGGGTGGCATAACGGCGTATAAATAATGAATAAAAGCGTAGTAAATTACACCGGCCCGTATCAACTGATTTGACCATCGTAGGATGCCGGCCCTTACCGAGTTGGCCTCAAATACAAGGCATCCCATCGTTCATATGCGGTGTCCAAGCAGCCAAGATCTGGGCACCCGTATTACGCATGCCGAGATGCCGCGAGCCAAGACAATGCCAATGCCGGAGTTCTGGGCACTCGGCCCCTTTTGTTTTCTCTGCAAATTACGGCGGCAAAAGCTCGCTATATAGCCAGTGCCTACCCCGATCCGACTTCCGCCCCAAAGCCCGATCTTACGTCGCACCTGGATCCGAGATCACTGAAGCCATCACCGATACAATGTCGCAGCAGCAATACGGACCGCCGCCACCGCAAGGGTAATTATTGAGCCGGATGCGCATCTGAGAGTCGCTAAAACCGCTGACACATGCGCTAGGTACTACCCGCCCCCACAGGGCCAGGGCTATCCCCCCCCTCAGCCTGTAAGTCCAATACGACGACTATCTTGTGGAACAAATCCTCACATCTTCTTTAGATGCAGTACCAGCAGGAACCCCCGCGTGAGGAGAAGAGCCACGGCTGTTTCTACACCTGGTAAGTCTCTACACTCCCTCTCATGTTTCCCTAGCTCATTCAAATTCTTCTAGTATCGCTGCCCTGTGCTGTTGTTGGGTTTGCGGCGAGACCTGCGAATGCTGTCTGGAATGCCTCGACTGTTGTTGTTAATCACGGGACAAACACGACGATAATTTAACGGCCGTTCAGTTCTTATGAATTGTAGCTCGATGCGTTAATGGTTTGAGGGGGTTGACTAGGTCTGCGATTTTCCATCATTGGATTCACCCTGCATTTCATCAATCTTGTCAATGTCAGTTTCGGCTCGGCCGAGCTGACCTGGCAGTTTTTTCTTCTTCTTTTCAATCCATCTTGTTTCTAGTCCCGCATTGCTTGCGACACTTAAAAAATTCCATTTTGGTTTGATAAGAATCGTCTTGATCCTGAATAACAATTTGGTTGTCGTAGAGGCCTGTCCCCGCACGGCTCGGCCAGGTGACACTGGCGGTGCAGCATCCGTTCGGCCGGCATCAGCCATATGATGTACGCAATCAACATGAACCCGATACAGTCAGGCCAAAACCGCGCCACCTTGCGGTCGTTGTTGCGTATTGTCTTAACCTTATCACGATCTATAGTGATTATGACTTGCCTGTCCACGAACAAGAGGTGCTACTAATGTCAATGCCATTACATACAGTCCTAGGAGATAGGTAGTTAGCACAGGTAAGTGTGTTAGAACTGCTGAGACTAGACTTGATTTGTCCTTATCATAGCTATACATCCCTATATACAACCTTTTACTGTCTTGACACGTTGAAGGCAACAATCTGAGCGACTACCTCTGCTGACTACGATGACGATTGCATCAGCTAGATCGACAATTGATGAATTGTGTGAGATGTCATACCTTTACAAATGGGAACGATAAAAAGTCGAGCAAAAAGATGTAAATTGCATGCTACACCAGCAGTTGGCTCGAAAGCGGTAAAATGAAGAAAAATCGTAAACATAGGAAATTTCGTCGCCCACTGTGTAGGTCCAGGTCCAACGCGCCGGCCAGCCTGCTCCTGTCTCTGGTCAAGATCTGAACCCCTCGTCCATTGAATTCACTGCTGGATCCCGTGCATTACCACTATCTGTCTCCAGCTCAGTCTGCACTAAGTGCAAGTCCCACCAACAAACCCCTTAGTAGTCTCAAGTTCGTAGAGGATTGTAGTCTCGGAGAATACGTGCCACAACGTGATGCCCTCCCCGAGTCGCAATGGCGGCGGCCTCCTTACACCTTACCTGGATCATATCTCTGTCCCTGTCGTTTTGGAGCAGCAACGAGACAATATCCATCCGCCCCAATTTAGCAGCACGTTGAAGCGCGGTTGCGACTCTGGCATCATCCACAGATGATGCTAATGGTGGCGGGACATTGATGTCTGCGCCATTCTCAATAAGTAGTCTGGCAATGTTGAAATGGCTGTGGACTGCAGCGAGCTGTAAAGCTGTTCCATGTCCCATGTAAGTTTGACTCGGTGAGGTATTTACCTCGGCTCCCCGATCGAGGAGTTGCTGTACGAGGTCGATGCCGCCACGCCCAACTGCCAGGCGCAGTGGCTTCCCTCCTGTCGTTACACAATTGATATCCGCACCATCTTGGATTAGATTAGAGACCAAACTCGAAATCTCTTTGCGAGTAAGTAGTGCATGGGAGGGTTGGCTTGCGCCAGCCCCAGCTTGTATGCGGCCTTTTCTCGCACGCTTGAGATTGTTCGCTGCGACGGTTGTGAGTGGTGTAGGCGCGCTGCCCGGACGACCCAGGTTCGCTCCATGCGACAATAGCAAATCCCGAGCATCCTCATAGCCCATCCCCAAAGCTGTGCAGAGTGCATTGTCCCCTTCAACCACCATATTGACATCTGCGCCAGCATTAAGTAGCATTTGGGCCACGTCAAGCTTATTGCTCCTGATGCAAGCCCGAAGAACTGATGTTGGACTTTGGAAATCCGGCATTTTTTGGACAGAGTGCGGGGGATTGAAATGCGTGCCTTGGTTTCCGAATTGCCCGACACCTCGTAAGTCATTATCGCCATAATGATGGGTATTCCAAGCCGCAGAGCACAGCCCAATCCAATATATGTCTGGGGTGGGTACTGCGCCATGGCGAAGAAGTAAACTTATCAAGTTCAAGTTTCCTGCTCTAGCTGCAGCCTGTAGAGCCGTCGACGCACGATTTACATTGGCACCTTTTGATAGAAAGAGCAGGGCCAAGTCGGTTACAAGCTGGTTCAACCCAATCCTGGAATAGCGGCCCGAATTGTCCTCCAAGTCACAAGCTAGCTGTAGCGGTGTCTCCCCTGATGCATTGGGAGAATCGACGGCTGCACCATGCTCCAGTAACAGAGTTGCCAGTTCAATGTTTTTTCTCCATACTGACTTGTGCAATGCTGAATGAAACTGCGCTCTGGAAGTGTCCCGTGTACTTGACGGAACGTTCTCTCCACAAGTTTCCCTTGGAGATGGGTCTACATTGGCACCTTTTGATAGAAGGAGACGGGTCATGTCAGTTGCAAGCTGTTTGAGGTCAGGCTTATAATGCCTACTCTGTTGGTCGTCAAAACCACATGCTAGCTGTAACGGTGTCTCTCCTGATGCATTGACAGAATCAACGGCTGCACCATGCTCCAGTAACAGCGCCATCAGTTCAACATTTCCATTCATTACTGAATCATGGAGTGGAGACCGAAACGACATTCTGGAAGCGTCCCTAATACGACGATAATACTTCCATCTCCTTGGTCGATGAGGGGTTGATGCAATTGGTTGCCAAATTTTGTCCCAGTCGGGTAAATGATTGAGTGTTGCTCCCGCCTCCAAAAGACGCCGAACCAGACGAACATTGTCCCGCGCCGTGGCCATTTGGATCGGCAAGAATAAGCTCCACTGTTCAACGTGGTAGAAATCGTTATACGTGCGAGCGAGAATCGTCTCTTCACTTTCATCTTTGTCCGTGGAGGTGGAGTCCAGATGGCGCTCGAAGTATTTCCTTGCTGAGATCTCCAACGCATCGACAATGTTGACGCCTGCGCCTTCTTGGAGCAAAATGTTAATCATATCCAAGTCATCATTCTCGATCGCAATGTGGAGTGCTGTTCCTGAGATATCTGAAAAATCATTTACAGGCGCCCCTCTCGACAAGAGGAATAGAGTAATGTCGACATTTTGAGCTTTTACGGCCTTCATCAACAGCGTTCTTTTGGTATGGGCCACGACCATATACTCCTCCAGACAAAGCGTAATCTCGTCGTCGCACGAAAAATTAATGTCGGCACCATGGGTTACCATCAAGTCGAAAATGGAGAAAGTTCCATGATTCAGCGAAATGGCGAACTCGAGGGGCCTGAAAGGCAAGGAGCAAGATACAGCATCCACTTTTGCTCCAGATTCGACGAGTAGCCGAGAAATTGGGAAATTTCCTTTCATAGCAGCCATCTGTAGTGGTGTGAAGGTCTTCGTGATGGAGAAAAGTTTCCTTCCATATTCTGAGACTGCTTGGCAATGGGAATTGTTGAAATTGGGATCAACACCCAGCTTGAGTAGATCTGAGACCAGTCCTGTCTTTTCGAGATGCACAGCGCTGAGAAAAAGATGATTCAAGAAGACTTCGAAAGTTGGGCTCGCAACCTTTTTCAGCTGATTGAGCAGGTGGTTGAATAGCGGTGCAATTCCACTGTCTAGGAACCAGGTCAAGAATCGATCCATATCTTCCAAGGTTAGAAAACCATTAGATGATCGATAGATACAAGACTGGATAAGGAGAAAGGCTGGTTCATTTGATGTAATCCCAGAGCTATCATTTGATTGTCGAGGAAAACATTCTATGAGACGCGGTATGATGAAAGGAGTGAAGTCGGTATCGCAGTCGTCGTTAAATTGGCGTAGTATTCTTTTATTCAGAAGACTCCGTGCGTCTTGCATAGAACGCTCACCATGCGAACAGCAGGTCAGTGGCGAACCTGACAAGTCGACCCAGTCTAGCATTGGAATGAGCCTGTGTATCATGGACAGTACTGTGTATTATTAGTGGTAGGCTCGGATATTCAAGGATACAAAGGCTTACCATGAGGCTCATAGGCATCCTGAAATTGGAGCCATGGAATGTTGGTGAGGGAGACTTGAAAACCATCAGAAGAAGGAGGTGTGCGTATCATAAGACCTCGAGTACATGAGGAGTTTGATCCAACTTGAGGAGAATTAATGATTGGTTACTGAGGGTGCAACTCGACGACATACTTGATTGAGATGAAGGCTCGACATTGAACTTATGCCGACCTTGTGCTCTCTTGACCCTCTTCGGGTCGATCTCTCTGTCATTGAGTAGCACTTGTGTTCGCTTTTTAGCCGAACTCCTGGTATGGACGAGTTTCCAGTCGCCCTTCTTCAGATTTTTTGACATTTGCCAGGATTCCAGTCGACGAAGATATTCCTTTTTGCTTTGATAGGATGTATTAGTAGAAAGCACAGTCGGTAGGACTTAAACTTACGTCGCGTCGAAATCGTGCTCTGATTTCATGAGTTCCATAGTCTTACTCAAAGTTTTGTTGTCGGTGATGTAGTATGCGCGGATCCGTTCCTTTTGGGCATCCCAAAGCTCTTGAGGCTTTTTGGGTAGACGAGGCATGTTGAAGATGTTGTTGAACAGCGAGATTTGGCAAGAAAGTCATAGGTAGATGGTGTTGAGAGCATGGAGTTGGAGACTGGGAATAACAGATGCGTTGAGGCCGGTGGGGGAGTCATTATTTATGGTCATTTGATCCAATAAAATGCTTCCCAACAGTGAGCCTCGTTCCATATTGTCATGACCCATATTGTTTTGCCAAGATCCAATTGCAGCTGCGCAATTGCGCCTCAATCGGCTTGATTGGAGGTCGACATGCAAGCAGGTCAGCTTGGCCACGTAAGTATCCCATTACCAAAATTCCCTTTCCGCCTGAGGCTCCTAAAGCTATCGACTGACTCAGCATACGAATACCAAAATTCCCTTTCAATCGCTGATCATTTACGAAACTGATGAGCGGGGCTACCCCTGCGCCTGTGGTTCACCGCCACCAGGTTGTATCTATCGACTTGACCTATTACTGCTGAGTTAACATGGAATATGATACCAAAATTCCCTTTGCCTGTTTCATCATGTGTAAACGCCGGCGTTTGGCCCAAAATTCCGCGGTGGTACGCCACTGCTACTCCCGCATTGTAAACGTACCATAATTCCCCATCAATATGATATATACGGGATCCGTCATGCACAACTACGATGTTAAGCCTAAGTGAACACCCAGCGCAAAAATAAAATGGCGATCTCACTTGAGGCTCTTATCTCTTTTATTGGCGTATTAGTTGCTGTGCCTCCAAGCGCCATTATTCTCATCCGCCTTATGAAGCAATATTGGAGACGACCGACCACAGGCCGAGGTTAGTCCCATTTGGCCAAACTTGTTCAGTATTTATTAGACTAACTTGAAAAGGATCAGTCAGCCTTGAGTGCGGCATTCTTATGCCACCAAGTGTCTACAATAGATCTGATTTACAACGATGGACACTGGATGCCGCTGAAGCGGGGCGAATTAGCCGTTGGGCTAGCTGGTCCCCAGCTAGGGACATGATGGATACAAGAGGGCCCCTTAGAGGGGAGACATTTTGATTCGACATCATCTACGCACAAATATTTGAGTTTTTTCTAGGTTGACAACAGAGAATCTTGGGTCCTGAGGGCGATGTAAACAAGGAAATTAATCTTCTATCAAACAACTTGACAGCCATCCTGTGGCAATATCACAAGCTTAAGCATCGCATTGACGACTACGGCAAGAGTGGAATGAGCACTCCGCTAATGCGTATTGCGACTGAGGCCTGTATTATATGCGACACCCTGCTATCGCCTAGAATCATGATAATAACCGTCTCGACTTCTGTCCGCTGTCCTTGCTTTCATCCATCTTCTCATACAAATCTCCACATTATTAACGACCACTGGCTCTGCAATGCCAGTACGGCGCACACAAAGAGATTCTAGCAGTTCCTATCCAGCAGCATTAAGACTGTGATGCCCGAATCTCAGAAGATTCTTCACAATAAGTCTAGAAAGATTAGAAAGTATGCCCCCTTTATTGCACAAACGCTATTTCGTATCCTTGCCCAGAAAGATTCTATGTATAAAGCCGTTACTAGTCGTTACTATTACGAATGGCCTTGTTAATTCTTTGCAAACCACGAGGCCTGCCATTTCTCAAGGTACTCCTTTGTTTGTCGCTCCTTTTCAGCGATCGTCTCGCTACTGTTTACTCGATTTCGAGATGAGATAAGCCTCTCAGTGATGGTTGGAGGGTTGGTGAGATATCTCTCCATCATTACAGCACTATCATTGCTGTTGATACTCTGTTAGCCGTTGTTATGTCTACCGCGCGACGATGGGCTCGTTGTACCTACCCGCTGAGGGAACCGCCAGTGGCTGCCGAAGGGCTGGATTTGGACGGCATGGTCAAACTTTTGGGAGGCAGATTTCGGTGAGATAGCTGCACTCTGTACTGTTACAGGTTGAATCGAGTCGAGATTTAAAAGACCCTCCATCTCTGGATTGGCATCGGAGTTGACTCGATTTTAATACAACACATGGCGCTCTACCATCTGTGACCATATTGACTGCGAAGACGATTGCCTCAAACCGCGCTCTTCCGACGCTCAAAACCAACAGTTTGCACGGCATCACCGCAGTGATTCGCAACCTCCACCTCTCCAGGCCGCCATGGTAAAGCGCAGATTTGTATTGCGATGCAAGACCGCAGCTGTGCTTTCAGGCCTGATTGGCTATTTGCAAGTGGGGTGATATCTGCCAGTGACGTGGCAAGGCACACCTGTGGTGATGCCAACTCAGCCTCGTCTGCGCTCTATTGCCTGTGGGATTTTAGACGCAACTTGTCGCTGACAACATCCATGCGCTTATCCAACATACTCGCAACTAGACACGGAATAACCAGATCGCGGTTAATGTAGATCGCCGCGAAATAATTCTTCGTTGGCCCTTTCCTCCTTCCAGCTCATTCCCAGACGGCTCCTCAATCCAACAACGCTATCGCTTGGTGCCACGCCCGAACACATTTCAGCCAGGATTTCGTAATTGTCTCAACTCTCTACCGTGCCTCATCCATGTGATAATGGCGTCGGTGTATCCGAGTGATGAATCCACTAAGCCACACAGTCGGCGGGGACAAAATGAGACGAGGACTGATCAGAGTCTGCTGGAACATGTTGCTACCCCATCAAGTCCCCCACACTATTCCGCGCCCGGAAATGGCCTTCCATACAGTCAAGGGGCCCAGCCTCATGTGGGCAGTCATTCTTCAATCAGCGGCGTATGCAGCCCCACGAGCCCGTCCTTGAACGCCTTGTGCAATCCTCATTGGGACGAACAAGACCAGGGCCGAAATGGAGGAACTAAACCTCCTTTTATTGTCACTGGACTCAATCATCCAGAACCTCGGTTCGCTATTTATGCTCCTGGTTCTTATGAGAAGATTGCTCCCCCTAGCTACATTGACCGAAGTTCGGCTCACGGAGGACCGAACACCCTTCCAACGCCCGCCAGCACCGTCGTCTCTGAAGGTGCTCCCTCCAAGAATGGCCCGGGCCCTAAGATATGGACCGGGGCCTATTTCTTGCCTCGATTTGTGCGAGCCGCCGAAGTACCTGGCGAAGGAATGTGCTACTTCTACGACGATGGAAGCCACTGCAAAGTGGTCATTGATGGCGAAGCAGTTAATGCGCATTGGGGAGTTACCAAGGCAGGAAAGCCCCGGAAACGATTTGCAATTGCGTGTGTGACGTGTCGAGAGAAGAAGATCAAATGTGACCCAGATTATCCTCGCTGTGTCCAGTGCGAGAAGTTTGGCCGAATCTGCAAGTTCAAGAATGCGTTAGTCCAAAAACGGGGAGAGGAGGAACAAGATGATTCTGATCAACATGATTCTCAAAGACCACGGAAAAGAATCAGTTTGGGTCCTGCTGAGACTTCGAAGAAGTCGTTTGCATGCCCTTATTTGAAGAAAGACTCCATTGAGTACCACGAGTGCTGTATGAGGAGGCTGAACAGGATCCGAGATGTCAAACAGCATCTAGCTAGGCGACACACACCCGAGAGGTATTGCTCGATGTGCTTTAAAACCTCCTTTGCGAATCAGAGCATTCTGCAAGACCACATCAGCGACCGATCGTGTACCATTCATGATCCTTCGGTGCTTAAAGGAGTATCGTACGACCAGCCTCAACAACTTTCGAAGAAATCCGACTCCAAACTCACTGAAGAGGGCCAATGGTTTGCAATCTGGGAAATTATTTTTGCGGGAAGCCCAAAGCAGGCCTCGGCGTACATTGATGCCGGCCTTTCTGTCGAGATGCGCCTCTTTAGTGAATACAGCTATACCCGAGGCCCAGCCATGCTCAGTGAGGCGATCCTGTCAAACCCAAACTGCTCGAAACAGGGAATTACAGAAGAAGAGCGATGGGGGGCACTGGAATAAGTAATTGCTGACGGACTTCGTCACTTGTTTGAGACTTGGCCATCGGCTCAACCTACTAACCCACGACGCTCGAGAAATCGAAGGAGCCACATACCACTAACAGACCAAGGAACACCCGTGAGCCCCATTGCCGATAGCGGTATTACAATGGGGAGTCAAGTCTCATCTATGGAACCCTGGCCTCAAAGAAGTGGAATCGCTCAATCTTTGAGTGTTCCAGAGTTCCCTTGCCCGCCGAGAGAAGCCATGGCCAGAGAGCAAGTTCAAACTTCTCGAGCAGCGCAAAACAGCGTTGTGGAAACACCTCAAGTCAACCATGAGAATGTGGTTAATGTTCCCATCCCTCAATACCAAGGGCGCATGGAATACCACCTTAGCTACGAAAACGACCAGAGTCTAGAGTATGGATTTGATTTTGGAGAGGCTGATGTGAATCAAGTGCCAAAAGACTCTAGCGTCCTCCGATATTTCGACGGGTCTGGCGAAAACCAGTGGCCAGATATGGGGATTTGATGGGGCTTGTATGAGGTACATATCGAGGGGAGATACACAAAAATACATCAATAGTGATAGAAAATGGCAGAGAAATGTATATCAAATTTATTTAAGAGACACTGAATCCGGTTCCAGACTAAGTTCTTAAATTATTTTTCACCGTCCTACAACTCCTTTTAAAAGATAGCTTGCATCTATATTACACTGCCTGAGAATATAAGCCTCCCCCTCAGAAAATAACCCTATAATTAAGTATATAACTCTATAATTATTAAATAAACCCAAATCACCTTCCTTCCAATTATAAGCATATAACCGACTGGGATCGATACCTCGCCATTGCATTCTCCTTCTGTGCAATAGCCTCCGCGGCATTTGCAGTGGTTCGCGATGAGATAAGCCTCTCGGTGATTGTTGCAGGGCTGTTAAGATAGGCATGTTGTACCTACCGGTCAAAGAACCCGCTAGTGGCTGCCGAAGTGCTGGATTTTGTCGACATTGTGAGATTTTTAGTTGCCGAATTTGGATGTAATAGCTGCACTCTGTATCGTTTCAGGCTTTATTGCGTCGAAATTTCGAAGATACTTCGAATCCTGACTTCTATCTCTTGATCGCCACCGTGGTTGGAACGATCTTTATAGCAATCTATGGCCCTCTATCACTAGTGGCCGCGGTGATGATCAAGATAATTTCCTCAAACATCTTGCGATACTCTAGGCTGACAGTCTGCAAGTTATCACCAGAATCCGATTCTACTTTTGCTTTTCCAGGTCGCCATGGGCAAAGCGCAGACTTGTATTGTGAAGCAATACCGCAGCTGTGCTGTTGGACAGTTGGAGCTGAGTGGCTTTTCGCATGTGGGGTGTTGTCTGCCAATGATATGGCAAAGCACACTTGTGCTGATGCCACTTGGTGAGCTTTAGAAGCCTGCGGGGACTCTGTAGCATTAGGCAGCCGGGACCTCATGCAGGCCCAATTCTCTCACATCAAGCATCACAGTGTATACGTCTTTGTCCTCTTGACACCACTCAGCCTGGTTTGTGTCTCTATCCCTCGAAACATTTCGCAGACTCGACATATCGTCCGTAACGTCGTTGCTTGGACATACCGTCTAGCTAACTAGTCACGAAGCCGACCGATCATGGCTCATACCGATCATCAGTTGTCCCTTGATGACGACATAACTTCGACAAAATCTTTGGTAGATGCCTACCAGCCACCCATCATCCCTGCCGTTTCCATGAGCCCTGGAAGTTGTCTTGTCCAGGCAAAGAATGGTGTGTGGTGTCGCGCCAGAGCAAGCATCACCACCCACCTCAGTCGTCCTACGGCTTTTGGAATCACTAAAATCTTCGCTACGAGACTTGGGTACTCGATCAGGCGTCTTCCGAACAATAAAAGACTACAACACATGCATAAGATGGGCCTGATGAAGTGCCGTGGAACTATTAGGCTGTCTATTAAGACAACCAACGGAGACCTAAAGATAGAGGATGTTAACGTCTGGGATGGACCAAGGGGAGACTTTGACTGCATGGTCGATTCCGGTGCTGCTAAAGAGTACATCATGCCTGAACGTGAGTGCATCCTCGGGGTTTTGCCGTGTGGCTAATCTGACTAGATGCTCAAGCGATACTCGACCCACGACAGGCTCTGATTAGCGAAAGGCTTGTGGAATCCAACAGCTCGTCGGCATTAAAAAGCTTGCCAGAGGAACACACCCAACAAAACCTCTGGCGCCACCTTGAGCCTGCCGGGTTACGTACCGGTGATAGCACCACTGAAAACACAGAAAACATAGGAAGAGCCTCTGAAATAGAAGTCAAGGTGGCCTTTACAGACTCCGGATACGCATCTGCACCAAATCTCAATGGATATTCACTCATGGAATCCTTGACCAAGAAACGGGCATGCGCCGCTTCTAGTTTATCTCTAACCGCGAGGAATGACGCCGACAACTACGGAACTATGACGGTATTCTCTGCTGGGACACAGAGTACTGTTGCGCCTACCCGAGTTCAAAATTTCATTGCAGAGATTTGCAACGACATTTATGATCAATTGGGGGACGTTGTCGATGCCAACACATGGCCTCTGATATCTCAAAAGCTCCCGAACCTGATAAAAGCTTTCGCTGTCAAGCTGGGTAATGACTCCGCTGCGCAAGTGAATCGAGAGATAATGTATTTCATCTACAAACGACACGGGTGAGTTTCTGCCACTTAAGAAGTATGTTGTTGAGTAATCTAATCCTGCGTTAGAGCGGTAGCTGCGCGACTTGATGAGATGGTCAGTCATGATATTGATGTTCAATGCCGAAATGTCCCTGATGGATTATCACTGCTTGACAAGATGGCTTTATGGCTTAGCAAAGAGGACGAAGACCGCACACATGCGACTACAGGCGAGGATTACTTTGAAGGAGTCGGTGACGACGAAGATGACTCCGTTGAAGAAATCCATTTGCCCATGTATCGCAAGGTCATGTCCGAAAGCCAGGCCTACCAATGGCTCCTTAGTGCTTTGAGAAACGAAGCTCTTCTACAGGGGGAAGGGTCACGTCCGCACATGAGGACAGAGAGTGTGTGCCGCAGACTTCTCGAGAAGCTACCGACCGGAACCATCAGCAAGCGACATTCTCCTAGCTCTCATGAAGTGACCTTCGTCCTTTACTGGGATCAAAGCATGAAACTTCGTCAAGATGTTCCACTTTCGGCGTGGCCGGCTAAGTCGTTTGGGAGCTTTGTTGTATTGACGGGGTCACCGATGAAGGCGCAAGCACTCACTATATCGCAGTATATGCGTCAAACATGGCCGACTACTGGAGCTCACATGCTTGATTTGGTAGGAAAGGTGATTGCTTGTCCCAAAAGCGGTAAGGCAGCTCACCTAACTTGGATTTGATATGCGTTATGCTAATAGATGACAATTGTCTAGCCGAGCTGCCGACCAAGAGCCCTATTGTTGCAAGGATCTCTGGATCCAGTCTTGAAATTACAGCTACTGGACCGGCATACTTCATTGCGGAATGTGGCGAACAGATTGCCTGGCTAGCGGCTGTTCTTGCAAGCAGCAGTCGAGATGCTACCGGCCACTATACGCCCTCAATTGAGAACATCGATGTCCGGCTCGCACCTTCGCCCTATTCGGGATACCGTGGCGGATGTGATGTTGTGTTACATATCACTCTTATGAACGGATTCGAGAGCTTTCTGCCAGGGATACAGAATTCATGGCAAGCTGTGGTTGGAAGATACACCCTTATTGAAGGATTCCCCATCTCTCGGCGACTGGAGGGATACCCCGGCCTAGAGGTTTCCTGGAACATGCTTTTGTACCTGATGCAAGCTCAAGCGCCTTGCATACTTGGAGAGCATATTTCGATCAAGGGACCAGAAAAGACGGTAAAATTGGCGAAGCAGACTGGCAATTTCTGTCTTTGGCACCCAGTTCACTTCACGACCCATGGCTGTTTCTGTGATCAGATTTTCACTGGAGGAGACATTTCGAGCCTAGAGTCGAAACGCCACATTCTCGGGAGTTGCATTCGCGAGGAGTACCAAATTCCGCAAAACATCAGGGATGACCCCCTTTCCCCACAGATCAGCTCACCTGAGCATGGAGTTGACAACACTATTGAGAGAAATTCTCATCACGCAGGAGATTTTCAGTCTCAGTCTATTGAAGAGATTGCACGAGACGAGAGCATCTTCCGCCTTCCCACTAGTCAACATGAGGACATTGTTCGAAGTCGCTCATCTTGCCACGAGATCGAACATCGAGTCTCCGATGGTTGCCTGCCTACTACTGAGATGGAACTCGCAGACGACCATGGGTATTTCGAATTTGTGGAACCGATGGAATCTGGAGATGAAAGTTTCGATACAGACCAACTTTCAATATCGGATGCTTCTGACGATGCTCTACCACTGAACACCAACGAGCCATTATACCCCATGCTTATCAGCGTTCTTGACCGGCTTTTCTTGGGATTCCGCTCATTGACACAGCGTTCGCCGGGTGCCGGCGCAATTACTCAACGATCGAACACATCGACGCAAGCGTCTAGGACCTCAAGCAGCAGTTCCAGCGGCGCTCCCAGTCAGATCCATCTGAAGAGGAAGGTGGGAAAACATGACGGGGATGATGGTGACCAAGACGATTCTCAGAGACCTCCGCGAAAGATCATTCGCCGCAATTCGAGCCCAGATCGCAAGAAGGTGCTTGCATGTCCGTACTTCAAGAAAGACCCAAAGAAACACGGACAGTGCGGCAAAAGACTACTGAAAAGGATTCGAGACGTTAAGCAACACCTAACAAGGGTGCACACCAGCGCGCGATACTGCCAGCGCTGCCACGTCACTTTTAAGGATGATGAAAGTATGAACGCGCACATCTACCAATGTAACCGTCAAGACTCCTCCTCCGCATCAGAGGTGATATCATATCAACAACACCTGGAGCTTACGAAAAAGTCCAAATCGAGCCTCAGCGAACCATGCCAGTGGTTTGTCATCTGGGATATTCTGTTCCCCAAGTGTCGAAGGCCAATCTCAGCGTATATTGACCCAGACCTTTCGGCGGATCTGAGTGGCTTCCTCGAGTACTGTGAAATCTACGGTCCGGCCATGTTAACACAAATGGCACTGTCGATCACGGATTTAGTACGGAGTGAAGCCAGCGAAGACTCGCGAGAGGAGCAGTTGCGTCGAATAAGTAATGAGGGCATGGGTCGCCTGGTTGAGGCTTGGACTTCTCGTCAGTCTGCCGACTCACAATCGTCGAGTGACCAGAGAACTCCACGGATAGAAGAAGAAACGCCGCAGAGCTCTGTTGACAGTGCGGTTGTTCTGGGGAGCCAGGCTTTGACTCTGGAAGTCGACTCCCAAAGTAGTGGAATCGCTCAATCTTCCAGTATTCCTGGGCCAATATATCCGCCAACAGAAACAGTGGCCACAGCGGAAGTTAAAACCCATCTGCCGCCGGAAGATATCGCCACGGAAGTACCTCAACTGAATGATGAGCATTTGGCTCCATTTACTGTCACTGAAGATCAACAGACTCTGGGACACCACCAGGGCGACGTCAACGACGGTAGTTTCGAGATCGACTGGGCAACGGTGGATTTAGATAAATTGCCAGATCCCTTGGACTTTGGAGATTCAACCCGGCTTGGTGACAACTGGTGGCCAAGCATGGGAGGATGATGTTGCGTGCATTCGATCCATGTCAAGTGTGTAGATAGAGAAAAATATGTGGATGGCAATGGCAAATAGTTCGTGGGACTGCGTGTACGGCCTATTTGAGGGGCTCGATCTAACTCCTGAACCGTGTTTTCAAATGCCTTTCTCGCCTTCCTCGAATCCCTTTGGGGGGTAGCTTGCAGCCATATTGCACTGCCTGAAAATGCGGACCTCACCCTCAGAAAATGACCCCACGATTGAGTGCATGACTCCATGGTTATTGAACAGAACCAAGTCGCCTTCTTTCCAATCATGGGCGTATATCCGACTGGGATCGATACCTCGCCGTTGCATCTTGTAGAGTCTTTCCCGAATCTCGGCAAGATCGTCAAGAACATCGCCGTTCTCCAAGTGAATCTTCCGTATACAAGTGGGGTAGACCATCATGGCCAGCTTTCCTGTGACCGGATTCTTCCAAGCCATTGGATAAATCTTGACCTTGGAGTCTTCAACCGGGGGAAGTTCTTCTTCTGATAGTTCCAGGCCTTCAGAGACAATTCCCAACCCGTTGGATCGAGACTTTGCCTTGCTTATCCAGATATATGGATGGGGGGCGTACTCTACTTTGCTGGTCCGCACGAAGCGTTGTTCCTCCGCTGAAAGCAATTCGTAGAGTTTGTATCCACTAAAAAATGCTGTTGTTCCTAGGGGAACATCGAGACAATCCCCGGTGCCGTCATCATAGCGACAAATCTGGCGTCGTCCTTTTGGGACCTGAACCGCGAGTAAGGATGTAACCAAGGGAGGATCAAGGTTGTACATGGCTGAATCAATGTGCCACCGATAGAAATGGGTGTACGCAGCGTCGTCTTCATCAGACACAGGCGTCTTGTGGAACATTTTGTGATGTGGGTGTTTCAGTTGAATGTTTGAGAGGCCTTCGAACGACTCCACAAACCCATGGCCAATGACCTGAACTTGAGGTTGTGTTGGAATCGTCTTGAGGTCGGCGTGGAGAACGCTGCGTTTATCGATAGCTTTTCCGTGACTGTACATCTCGGACACGGGGTCGAAACGTCGAGTGAGTTCATACTGGGCCTTTGGAGAAAGCTCGGACTGGTTCTTGATGACCACAACTTGATTCTCGTACAGAAGCGCGCGCAATGTGTTGAAGTCCTCATCTGTAGAGTATGTTAGAGCTGTTTTAGACGCGCTTCTGTTTACGTACCAGTCAGATTTGCAACGTCAAGTCCATTGATCTCTAAGCCGAACTCGAATTCTGAGCCTGAGGGCTTCAGAATGGGATTCCATTGAAAAGATGGAGACATGGTTGAATGCTGAGCAGAAGATGGAATGATGTCGGTTATTTCTCTATAGTTCTGGCAGTACCGGCGAGAAGAGGCTCTGTATTTGATCTAGACAATGGCAATAGAGGGCGGGTCAGTTTAGGCCACTCACCCGATTGTACTACCAATTATTCTTATTCTGATTGGTATGGTAATAATGGTATCTTTTGGTAGTACAAGGAGGACTCCAGTGGCATCTTGGGTGGGTCAGTCAATTCGGACGAGTTTACCATCTCACCCGTGCGCTAACGTCGATGCCCCCATTCACAGATCATGCTTCTTATCGAACTTCTTATCGTGCTTTTCGCAGATGTAGATGCTCTCCGGATAAGATAGGCGGGTGAGTCGTTGGTTTTGCCCGAAGACAGTCGTCGTGAAGCATTTAAACAAGGTTGAATGTGTTACACTGTCTATTTTCTTTGCATCAATCACTGTGCATCAATCATTCGACAGAAAACACACTTTCAAAATGGCTATTCCCCGCGGCTTGAGCTTTACTTCATTCCCCTCCGTAGTGAGGCAGACTTCTGCCATTGGTGCCGAAATTCAGCTTCCATCGTCAATGCCCATCATTGATTTGGATCTTCTTACCGATTCAGACCGTGAAGTCCTGAGACAGGCGCTGTTTGAAAACCAGGTCGTTGTCATTCGGAACCAAAAAGGCATCGACCCAACCGTCATTCCTAAGCTTGCCAAGATCTTTGACCCTAGTGCCACGGACATTCACTCGGCAGGCAAGAATGCAGTGAGCGATCCCAGGAACATCCTCTCTGCGTACAAGGCCGGTCGAATCCCGAGAGCCCCGCAAGTGGGCATCATTGGATCGGGAAAGTTCAAAAACTATGAAGGTGTGGATGAGTTGGAAGTCATCCACCTGGTACGCTAAATCCATTTCCTCCTTTCATACCTTCTGACTGGTGTAGGATCATACCCTGTTCCATGAATCCCCTCTGAGCCAAGAAGCTCTGGACCAGGGCTACACACGACCTTACCGATGGCACATGGATACACCCTTCTATGAACGACTACCCGGAGAAGTCACCATTCTTCACTCTATCCAGATCCCAAAGGTACCGGATCAGAAGATCAAGTTTCCAGATGGTACAGAGAAGACGGTTGCAGCAGGAGCAACAGCTTGTAAGAACAATTGCTATCCAGTACCATTTCTTCTCCAGCTAATCCGCCTGTCGTTGAAGTTTTCTCCGGCGCTCGTGCATTTGAGCTTTTGAGTGCCGAAGAACAAGAGTTTGCACTCAACACCACTGTCACATATGCGCCTCAAGCATATGAGTACATCCGTCACTGCAAGTCGTCAGAAGATGGGTTGACGATTCCTACCTTTGGCCGCGAAACCAAACCCGAAGACTTGTCGGAATGGTCTTGGGGCGAAGTTGCAGAGCATCCTGTGGGTTCTTTCCTACCAACAAATATCATTATTCTATTCTTACTGACGTTGGCAGATGGTTTGGCGCAATCCGATGAATCCCTCCAGGCCCTTCTTGCAGGTCCACGGCTGCTGTGTGTACAAACTTACCACCCGAGATCCCAAAACTGGCGATGTTTCTGTCATTGATGACGTTGAAAAAGTCCGCTCTATCGTGTATGGATTCCAGAAAAGGATCTACGCAGCTGAGAACATATATGCGCATCGGTGGATCGAGGGTGACGTGGTCATCTTCCACAACCGGGGAGTCATGCATAGCATCACAGGACAACTTCAGAGCCACGCTGAAGGCAAACGTTTGTTGTGGCAGTGCACCATGTCGAGTCAAACACCTCCGCAGCCATTCAGGGCTTACCCGGGTGTCAACGATACGGGATTTGTCAGACCATGATGTTTTTCTAGTTATTGAATAGGCTCCTAAACCAAATGTCAAATTCCGCTTCTGCCTCCAAAGTTGGATCGAAGTCTCCTAGAAATTGTGACATCTCCTCAATTGGATAATCGTCCATGGCCATATATGAGACTTCCCCTTTCTCGCCCGATTCCCACTCTTGAGAGAGTTCCACGTCCATGCGCTTCAAGATCCTTGTGATGGAAGAACCGAGACTGGAAATCTTTTGACTTGGAAGCTCATCCATCAGAACGTCGATCAAAACGACGCCCTTCTGCCCCAACAAATCACTTTTCCGTGATTTCAAGCGCTCTTTTGTTCCCAAAATTGCCGCTTTGTACTTGCAAGCGGCCATTCCGTCGCCCTCGGAAAGGTGATTGATCGCAAAGCACAATATGACAGCCGCCGTGATGCAAAAGGCCGTATGCGTCCACACGGACAAGTCATCAGCCACGACGAGAGCCTCATGCTCGCGAAGAATTGTCATTGCTGCAGCTGTGCAGGTCCGTCGAGTGTGGTCGTACAGTGGTGAAATGAAAGATCGGAAAAGAAATGGCCGGTGAATCATGATAATTTTTTCCGCTGCCGTGATTCCGAGACTTCTTCGGGCGATGCTCAGCCACGGCAGCCTTAGTTCCATTTCAACATCATGAGTCAAAAAGAATTGAGGGAATGACTTGACTGTTTCTCTCATTTGACGATCCATATCCAACACATGTTCGTACTGGACCTTGGTCGATTTTCGATCTCCTCGAGGGTCGAGTCCGTTGAGCCAGTCTGGCATCAGCGCTGCCATCTTGTGTAGAACAAGCACATAACTGCTGACCGTTGGGATGTATGGTGGCATGTCTATGAGGTCATGGTCGTCGGCATTCAACGGAAGACTGGTTGAGACATGGCCGGGAGATATGGTATACGATTCCGTAAAGGGAATGGCAAAATGATCTTGTATCATCATCTGACACCACACTCTTTTTCCGACCTCGATATTCACCCTGGCATCCCAGTTGGCCTCAAGCGCGCTTCTAGTGCCAATACGATGAAGTCCGAGACTTTCCGCCATCCGGACTGCTGCGTTAAAAAGAGTTGCGTTGAGCTGGCTCTGTCCCAAGTTATGAGCGACCTCGGTGGAAATGACAATAGCTTGGACCGTGTATATCGACAAATCCCGGAGAAAGTGAGAATTGTATAGCACATGGATCATGCCCGTGAACAATTGCTCTGCGGAAGGGAGTAGACTCAGGTCTAAGTCGACTGTTCTGACCGCTTTTTGGCTATTTTGAACAGCGAAGACTGTTGCACTCAAGATAGAAAGGTACGTGGCTGGCCATAGAGGATAGACGCTTCTTCCCGTGTTCCAGAAAATCTCGCACTGCTCTTGGAGTGTTGGGGCGTGTAGGCAATTGTGATGCCAGGCCAGGTGCTGAACATGGAATTGGATGAGCTTTCTTGCATCGGCAGACGGGATGCTATGGGCGATTCCGTGGTGGAGATCCATTGATGTATCCCAAAATGGCGGGTCTATTGGAAATAACGGTGTGCGATCTCTGCTATGCCTACAAGAGCACGATGTATGTGGGAAGCATTTTCCAGAGGTTCGACCCCAAACGAAGTGCTCTAGGGTCGTCAGAAGTGATGGGTCCGTGGTTTCATGAGACTTTTCATTTTGCGATTCCAGAATCTGGATCGTGTTGACTTGATTTGACTCAGCCGTTCCATCAGCTTGGTGAGGTATATTGTCTCCGAATTGCAGCGCATGAGTTCGCTTCTTCAACCTATCAATGATGGGCTGAAGGCCGGATGCTGAGGCTTCCTCCAAGTCTTTAGTGATGGAGCTCAAAAACTGGATTTCGGCTGCATGTTGGACAACATTCTGTTTAATCCTGACGACTTCCCGAGAGCATTCCAGGTGAAGTCGGCGGCAGCGCGAACAGGGTATTTGTTTATCGCATTTGATCTTTTTCTTGGTGCACGCTACATCGTGTTAGCGAGTGACATGTGTGGCGGAGCAAATGAGATGCCTTGACAAGCCAGCGACCGACGCTGTGATGTTCGAATTTTATTTGCTGAAGCTGTAGATGATGGATTGGACATATTATAGTGACAGAGATGGGATTTAAAGATTTAAAGATTTAACCTATCCGTAGAAGATGAGAGTACAGTAAAATGCGGAGAGATAAGATACGATTTGTGAGATTATTAATACGCTTCTCTTGGTTGGCACTAACACGGGCGGTCTACCACGGCAAATGCGGCTGTGGCATGCTGAGAAGATGTTGCTATTTTAAACAGGTGCTACCTGAGGTAGGCGACTTGAGAACAAGGCAGTGTAAGCATATTTCTTTAGTCGAGGCCCTGGCGAGCTTCCGGACAATATCATCGTCAAGATCAGGTAGTTAGCTCGACTCCGTAATGTATCATCCCACCGGGAGGCGGATCACTTCACGCGACAAGATATTGTGGGCCTAGTAGCTGGTATGCGACGTGTCACGTCCATCCAGGGACGGTAAATGTGTGACTTGACGAAATACAAAAAGATGAAGTAACGCGGTATGCGCGTTCGTCCGCATTCTTACGAACCATGCAATCCTTGATACAGTACATGTGGATATAAATACTTCCAGTGATAGCTGCCTTATTCACACTGACTCTGTCTGGTACAGTCCTGTTCTTTTTACGCCGCGCGGCTCCCTTCCCTGGCGAAAATCCCCGTCTCCGCACACGTCAACACGCCAATATTGCAGGGGATGGCCTCACAGCCGAGACTCCACACACGCTTTAGTGGCGGTTTCACCCAAAGCTGCGTCATCTCAAGGGAAGCGGACGCGCGGTGCCGGTATATACTATTACGTGATGCCCTGTAAATGCTCGCAATGCGTTTACATGTTGACGAGGAGCGCGGCACCGCCCATCAGAGCACCCATTGCAATACCGGCAGTGGGCATGCCACCCGCGTCGGCCGAGGTGGAGGTGCCCTGGACGAAGCCGGTAGCAGTGTTGGTGGCCGCGTCGGTGGTCGAGCCGGCAGAGCCGGTGCTACTGACTCTGGAGATGGTAGTGACGGGAGTCGTGGTGGTGTTGGAATAGGTGCGAGCCTGGGAGAGCGAGTGGTTAGTCGGTGAATGGGTCGTAAGGCATTAAGACCGTGAAGACACGTACCTGGGCAAAGGCAGCGAGGAGGGAGGTGAGAGCGACAGCGGAGAACTTCATATTGACGACGTTACTGGGAGCGGCAGATGGTCTGTAATACGCCAGAGAAAAGACAAAGAGCGATGGGGAGCAGAGACAACCCAATCCAGAGGACGCCAGCCTGTTTTATGTGAAAGTCTGGCTTCGTCGTCTCACACGTTCTCGTGGTCCTAGAATCCACCGCCCCTGTCCCGGCCGCCTCGTCATTGGCCGCCCTGGCCTTGTCATCAATCTGAGCCACTTGAATGATGACCTTCGTAGATACATGTGGAGCGACGCTCTATTTGCATAAAGTACTCGAGCCGCGGCAGTGGTTGTTTGATGCGCAGCCGCGTAATTAGTGGCTATGCCGCTATATTTAGTGGCTGAGACAGTGCCTCCATGACCTGCTGCGTACCTGATGATGTGTCTCTCCTCAATTTCGGTCAAATGCTAGTCGTCCAATAGGTCGAGCACAAATTTTACACTGCATCTGCCACATGAACGCAAAATTAAAGAGTTGCTTATTGTTAGCTGATCTGTGGGGCGGGTGGCTCACTTCAATGATCCCGCATGCGAGGGGATTGAGACATTGTGAACACATAATCTATGGGTTTTACAGTATTTATTGGTCAGTTATTAGGTTTGATTGCGTCTTCTGACTCGTGCCGGACTGGGTGTTGGGCTACAGTGTCTACCTCGCCCAATTTCATCAACGAAGGCCATATTCCCGAGATGGTGACGACGGCCATTTTATTCCAACGGCATGCACAATTTTTTGCCAGACCCTCGAGGCTATTGATTAGGAGCCTCATGCCTATAGATCTTTATGCATTTACATATTGACGGCTCTAATTAGGTGCAAATGATGACGATCAGTGGCGAGAAACACACCCACGGGGTCATTCATATGTCAGACTGAGTGGACACAAAATGTAATATAGGGTTGAAGAGAAGAACGAGTTTATTTAGTTCCTGGATCAATAAAAACGCCAGTCACAACGCCGACTTCATTCATCCAGTTGTTTCATCCAGATCGAGTACTCTACCGTGACATTACTTTTGAGAGGCAACTGTGGGGCGTCACTCATCATCCTGGATCCCTTTCATCTCAGATCAAACATGACCCACGTCCGTGGATTCCAGGCAGTTGGATGCATTGTTGGAGAACCCGAGATATGGTACACATCTTGACGGCTATTGATTTACGTCGCCGAGATTAAATACCACTGTAAGTAGCCTACATCCTCAGCATGCTTTCGGAGCATAAGGGTGCAAGATGTGTCCAAGTTGGGGATTAGTCTGACTGGAGGCCGAGGCAAACATTCAGACTATAATGTGTACGCCGTCCTGGATTACGAGAGCCTAGTAGGCTTTTTGGCACTCGAGTTTCCTTTCGGTCCTTCTATAATGCCATGACTCGGGTGGTGGGACTTGAAAAACCTACCCTAGTGGCAGCCAGTTTCACCCAAAATGTCGAATGGGGCAGATGAGGAAGAAGATCCAACAACTTCAAATATGGTCCTTTCTGCCATGTGTTTGATTAAAATAGATTCGATTAGATTGATTATGTTATTTTCTGATGTAAGAATGAATTCTAAGGAGCATTCAATCCACCAACACGTCGCGGTGGGGCAGTTACATAAGATAACTAACGTACCCTACGCCGAAGCATGACTCTCGTTCCCTCAGGTGCTCTCAACGCCCAGATAATGGTGAATGAAGAATTTTGGTAGCAGCAGTTTATGATAATTGACGTAACACAACTATGGCGAAAAGTAGACCGTATTTTTTTTAGCACGATGTAGAACTAATCGAAGGCCCGTTTAACGCTGAGATATTGACAATCACAAGGTTCCAGGTTGAAATGACACACATGGTATATTCTACGTGACATAAAAGGCTGCTGTGGGAAACTCGACTCCTCAGCTTTTCTGGAGTTTAGTATTGTATCAATTATTATATACTAATACGTAGATATAGCTCAGTGGTTAAGAGCTTGGGACCTTTTTTCAAGAGGTTGTTGGTTCGAATCCAGCCCAGGGCACAATCCTTGTAATTGTGCTGTGACTGCTAGCCTCGTCCCCTAGCAGAAAAGTCAGCCTGTACAGGGATTGAACCCGAGGATCCGACTCGCTAACCGGGCCTAAGGTAGCAAGCTAATTGGTCCCTAGCTTGCCTTTAGGAAGTGGACTGGCCAACCCACTATAAGAGGCTAACTACAGCGCATTCCTGCGCTTATAAATAGGTAACCCCCCCTCTACCCAGAGAAAATAGGAAGGTTGGAAGACTAGAAGGTTGAGGTGTTAATGGCGAGGAATAGCTTGAGGTGTTGTTACCAGTTACAGACTCGAAGTTGCATTGTATGCTCTACAGTGACCTTATGGGTACATAGAGTGGTAGAAATAGAAGGAAGGGGTAGGGTTTTCATCCAATGTTTAGGCATACGGTTTTTCCCTATCCGATAAAGTAGTAGGAGTTCTATAGGCCTTGATAAAGGTAAAATAGCGTATACTAAATAAATAAATAAATACGTAGATATATATTGCCTTCAAATCAGAGCCTCCAATGTACTATAATCATAATCTATCCAATCCAACAACAGAAGACATAAAAATCATCAAACCAGCCAGAAAACTGCCGCTAAAGGAAGAACGGCAGCTAGAGAGAAGAAAGCGAGAGGACCGCTGGCTGCACCATTCTCAAAGCTCACGGTTGTATAGTTGACGGTTCTCGGGCAGAGCAACGTTTGGCCAACTGAGTTATTGGAGATTCCAGCTTCCCAATCCCTCAAGCTGGCCCAAGAAATCGTGAGGACATGCACCAAGTTTCCGATCAGCTCGACAGATGTTGCGTTGGCGCTATCTGTCACGTTGGAAGCAGCCGACTGGATTTCAGAACCCGAGTACCAATCGACATTAGCCGCAGCCTTTTCCCCAATAACGCTCGCCATGTCCGTCATGTTCATCACCCTCCTTCCGGTCACGACAACTGCGTCGATTGGGTCGAGACAACCCTGATATTCGCCTCTCGCGGAGATTTGTTCGAGGCAGTCCTCGTCAAGCATCTTCGTGCAAGACCCATCGTCGTCATTAAGCTCCGCGAGCCGGTCTCCTTCAAGTCGTTCGAAGCCGAACATAATAGCCCATGAGCTATGGGGGACGTAAAAGCCATTATTTTCAATCTGCTCTTTGACAAGCGCCGCTGGTGGATTGAGCCTGTACAAGCTGAGAGCAAACACGCCATCCGGGTTGTTAGTTTCGATGTTCCCTTTGGCAGGGACGCTCTTCTGGACGCTCACAGAAACCGTCCACCCGTCGATTTCCTCGCCTGGGAAAGACATACTCGTGTTATACCCAACGATTGGATACGTTTTTTTAATGTCGGGATTGGCCATGATAGCCAGCCATATGCTTTCATTAACTCTCCATGGGGCGTCCCCAAGTCGGGCTTGAGCAAGGGGATCATAATCTCCCCCTATGGGTACGCATGCATAGACGGGGCTAAGAAGTGCGAGTAGCAACGCAGCTTTCGATGCCTTTGATGTCATTGGAGGGTGTTGGGATATCCCTAGGTTCGGTTGGATGGCTGTGTAGTAGAGTGCAATGGAAGACGGTGTGGATTGGACTGGGATGTAACGAGTGACTTCGGGTAGAACCCGGGCAAAGATTCGATTTATACAACATCGACAGACACCGCCCTATCTGGCAGCAGGGGATAAAGGGAGGCCTGGATTTGCTGCGCCTTTTTAATGTGCCTGCCAAGGACAACACTCGGCTATGATGATGCCTGCCAAGGACAGCACTCGACTATGAAAAGCCAGCGGGTATGAAATCATGGGGAGGACGGATCTGAATGCGGACAGGGCAATCATAGGGCAGAAAACAAGGGTCAAGCGCTAAAACCTCAAGAGCTCTTCGTCGATACCTAAACAAGCCCAGGTTGTTCGCTTCCATGGTAACACCGACAGGATTGTCAAATGAAGCTTCCTTTTAAGGCTAAGCCTCCCATGCAAGTACCATGGCAGAATCCCTCTCGGCGCTTTCCCTTTATTGTCTGCTCTGCGGCACAGTAGCCAGTATGTCGTCAGAAACCCGCCATTTCATCGAGGACATTGACAAGCGCCATAACACAGCCCTACCGTACCCTTACCCTTCACATATGCTTAATCTCAACCCTATTCGCAAGGTCCGGTGGAAGATTGAGTGGGGTGTATTCGGTACCGCCGCTTTTTGTTCGCAGACCAGTGGGAAGGTTGACTTCAAGGCATATTTGGATAACCCATAGGCTAATTTATTCGCACGAGACTTTACGAGACTGACCATAATACCTTCACCCTGGGCATGCCCATATGTCCGCTACCGCACTTCGTAAGAGCATTCCGTGACAGGATGCTGGAGGACACAAATTCCGACAGATTTCCCCCACAACGTGACTCTTGCGATGAGTGGAGAGACAAATTGGCCACTTCACTGGTGTCACCCGACATTTCTACCGATATTGCCTAGCCCAGTCAATTAACCCTGTCTCGATGGGTTAGCCAAGGTTGCCTCACCCCCAATAGGGCTGAGCCTTAATAGGGACAGCAGCCCGAATAGCCCCTGCAGACGTAAGATGCAAATGTTTGATTCCTCAAGGGCTATGCACTATGGATCGTTCATGTGACACGCCGTCCGTGTTAGGCCTTGATCCTTGGACGCATTCACACATTTACTTGGTGATGGGAACCTAATCTGGAACGTAATACTAATGAACGGCAAATGTGCCTTCCCAACAACCGTACCTACCAGGGCTGGTGTGGAAATGCAGTCAGAGAGCGTCAACGACGTCGGAATACTGAGCAAGGAACTAGATGTGCTTGGAGACGGCCAGGGGACATGCTCGAAAGGCTCGGTTTGTGGTTTTGGCTCATTGCAGGCAGTATTGGCAGTGCACGAGTGAATATAAAACGGGAGGAAACAAGAGGCAGGCAGAAGGCGTCTTCTCTATTTATCCCCTGGGTCAAAGATCTTTATCGTCTTAATCTTGTTATTGAGTTATCCCATTGTACCTACAAATAAGGGGATGTATCCGGTTGGCTTGCGCCAGCTTGGTTTAGCTGCGGGGCATTATTCCGGTAAGGCCATGGGCACTGTCGCTTAGGTATGGGGCTCAATGACGAGCCGCTAAAGTTAGGTAGAGCACACAAGTATAACAGGGCTTGCGCGACCATAAATGTATGACTGAAGGCGTGACATGTAGAGCTATTTAACGGACCTTAGGACCTCCTTTTATCGGGAGAATCCGTACTCTCCGGAGGATCTACCCAGCTAGATATCGTATGCCGAACTCACCCTCGGCGATACGGGGCGGAGATGGCGCACTTCCGGGGCTGGGATGCTACGGGTTTACGGGGATCAGCAGAGATCACTGCATGAAGTTCGGATACATCCGAACATGACAACTTGTTAAAAGTAGTGTATTTGGCGCGCTCGTACGGACTGAGTCAGTACATGAGCGAGGATTCCACAGCCATCTCCAGCTCCAGCACGCGGCACACACCTCTGAACCATCGATATTTCACCACCACACGACGCTATCACACAGGACCATCACCAGTCAGTCACCAGTCAACATCATGGCGCCGAAGATGTCACAACGGCTGCCATTGCTGCTCGCCAAACGAAGCCTCACTACACTCAACGCCTCGCAGCCAAAGCGCCCATCGCTGGCAATCCTCGACGACTACTTGAACACATCGGCACCTCACTTCGCCAATATCCCGCCTTCGCAGCTGCAGATGACCACCTTCAACGACACCATTGTCCCCGTCAACAATGCCGAAGCAGCGCGCCTCGTGGAGCGGCTGCGTCCCTTCGACATCATCTCCACCGTCCGCGAACGCACCGCTTTTCCAGGCTCTCTCCTACGCCAGCTTCCCAACCTGAAACTCCTGCTCGCCACCGGCACGCAGTTCGAGATGTTCGACCTCGCCGCGGCCAAGGAGCTGGGCATCGCTGTTGTTGCAGCTCCCGGTCTCGGCCGCACCGATCAAGCTGGGCCCTTACGCTCCAACATCAAGAAGGGCAGCGTCCATCCCACCACACAGCACGCGTGGGCCCTGATTCTGGCCCTGGCCCGCAACGTCGCCGCCGACGACGCCGTGATAAAGGCCGGTACCGGCTGGCAGAGCGGCCTCGCGACTAGTCTTCCTGGAATGACTCTGGCCACCGTTGGCCTGGGGCGCTTGGGTGCTGCTGTGGCCCGCGTTGCGCATCTCGCATGGGGCATGCGCGTCGTGTGCTGGAGCGAGAACCTGACGCAGCAAAAGGCCGACGACATGGCCGTCGCCGTGGGCTTGTCTCCTGACGTTGGCATTCACGGCGGCAAGACCTTCCAGGCCGTGAGCAAGGAGGAGCTCTTCCGCAGTGCCGATGTCGTGAGCATGCACTACGTGCTGAGCGACCGCTCGCGCAACATCGTCGGCGCCAAAGAGCTGGAGCAACTGAAACCGTCAGCGCTGCTTGTCAATACGTCGCGTGGGCCGCTGATTGATCAACACGCCCTGCTTGACACGCTGGAGCATGGCAGGATCCGGGGTGCTGCGCTTGACGTGTACGACATCGAGCCGCTGCCGCTGACGAGCCCGTGGAGACGAGCCAACTACTGGGGTCGAGACGGCCGTTCTGCGCTTCTTACAACGCCGCACATGGGGTATGTTGACGAGGGTCTGATGAACACTTGGTATGCTGAGACGGCGGAGAATGTGGAGCGTTGGGTAAAGGGGGAAGATGTACTTCACCGTCTGGCTTGAAAAGAGCCTACACAATCGTAGATATATACTTAATTAGAGAAACGGATGGTTAGTGGCTGACTTTGCTGAGGGTTGGGTTGCACTGGCATCTGACTTGATGGCATTCTCAACTTGGCCCTGTCTCCATCTCCGCCCAATCCGTTCGCCAGGTCACCCAATCCACACCTACTAGCACATATCGAACCCTTGACAATCACTTAAACAATCCCCCGCCGTTTATTCAGCATGTTGGCACCACTAAGTCGTCAGATGTACCCTCGCAAGTTCTCGAGGCGCTCCCCATGATCTCAGCCTCAATCAAGTCCAACAACAGTTCGGTTGTTCCTAGTGTCTTCTATGACCCATGTCGACATCGAGTCTTCAACTCTTCCTTCAAACCTACTCTTCCAACAGGGTCGTGGGACAGCAATATCCACATCATCGACCCGGACAAATATCCGCTTCCACAAAATGTCAAGCCTCCTCAAGAAGCGACAATGCGTCAAGCACTCACCAACGCTGAACAGCTTGGATTGCCGAACATGATGTTTGTCCAGTTGTCCACGTACGGCAACGACAACACTTGGGTGCTGGATTCTCTAATACAAGTCGGGCCTGCTAGAGGTCGTGGTGTCGTTGCATTCGACCCGGGACGTGTCGATTCTCAGACTCTTCAACAGTGGCATGATCTTGGTGTTCGGGGCGTTCGAGTCAACCTCAGGTCTTCTGGCACTGTCTTATCGAAAACCGAAATCCAGACAGTAATGCGCAAGTACGCCGAAAAACTGAGGCCGATGAAGACGTGGTCGATCGGATTGTACGCTGACATGGAGGTTCTTGATCACATCCAACCATTGGTATCCGAACTCCAGGTGAAGCTCGTGCTCGAGCACTTTGCTTCCCCAGCCATCCTGCCATTAAACCCAGCCAAGCAGCCAGGCTGGGGTGCACTGAATCTCATGATGGAAGATCCTCGCGTATTCGTCAAAATCTCAGCACCGTATCTGTTCTCCAATGATCCGGAGTTCACCAACTTGGAGTCGCTGGCAACGTCGCTTTTTAGCATGCGAAACGGGGACGGGGTTGTGTTTGGTTCGGACTGGCCGCATACGAAATCGCGAGGGTGGAATGCGAAGCCTTTTCTAGACAAAGTTGTGGAATGGTGCAACTGGAACGAAGAGCTACAGGAGAAGCTCTTCCGAGGCAATGCTAGAAACCTATGGGATGCTTAACCATGGATTACACCCAACCCAGTCGTGGACTAACCTCCAACACGTCCAGTTTGTCGGCGTTCTCGAATATGAGCATCCAGGATTTCATTCTGGGGGGATGAAGAACTGTCAGTAGGCTCTCGTCAATGAGGTCGAAAACGTATTGTCTGCCTAAGAAGTCGTTTGTCTTCTTATGAGTTCTCATGGAAAGTAAAGCAGACGGGGATCTCTGTTCTGGAGTACAAAAGTTGTAGTCGGGCTGCCGCTCGTTACGAGCGGCCGCTTCAACAATTGAAAGTAGATGACCATGAAATTTTAATTTATTATACAGCAAGTATGAGAGTATTTCATTTAAAATTAAATGCTTCATAATTAATAATAATATTATTATTATTACTGCACTTACATTTACGGGATAAAATTCCTGTACACCTTAGGTAGCCGCAGCCAGTCCTGCCACCCCTAAGCAGACAGTCTACCTACCCGCGCACACACATAGCCCTGCAGTAAGTAAGCCAATTAAATTAGTCAGTCATTCATTTATCTGACACCCAGCAGCGTATACTGTGGAGACCGCAGCCCATAAAGCAGCCTGTCTGATCTTGGAGACTTTTTTGGACCCTCGTTGTAATCTCCCTGAGACCTCTATGTGACCCCTAAGTGACCATGTTAGACCCGCCTTGCTAACCCCCTATGAAGGTCTTAGATATATCATATGGTGACCGTCACTAAGTTTGGGATCCTAACTCCACCAGGCGGTTACACGCCCCCGCAGGCTTCTACTACGACCGCAGATTTACTAGATACCTACCTAGCTACATTACGGTGGAGGGCTCTGAATGGATCCAGGGCAGCTAGAAATCGTGTACGCAGCTACCCAAGCACATCATTTGCCTCCATAAGGGGATCGTGTGAGTCTCTGGCCTTCAGGATGGAAATGAACTCAGTAAATCAATAAATCAAGGAATTAATAGTGATGACTTCTCAGACCCCCAAAACCAACCTACGCACTATCTCGCCCCCAATATTGAATACTTATAGGCACTGATCAATGGTCGCTTTCCTTCTCCTTGAACTCGTCGTGTGTCCTCCAAGAATGGGCCGAGTGTACGGTAGTGGCGGTGCGAGTACCTCCGCGGATTCCGCGCGGGACTGAACTAGATTTCAGCTTCCGACCCCTGAATCTGCCCTTCTCCGTAACATGAACCCATAAAACATTCACCGCCGGTGCTTTTCCATCATCTCAGAAGTAAAACTTTGACCATCCCCAACCATACCATCAGATTGATAATATCCTACATCATGTCAATTGGGCTCCATGGCTACTCCCTCCACGAACGGAGCCTCACCAGACGTGAGAAGTCAATCCCTTTCAAGAAAGTCATGCTTATAACAACATTAGGCTCAAGGTAAGTGCACTTTTCGCCTACTTGACTTTATATTTACTCTGGCTCAAGTGCGGGACTCATTGTCGGGACGCTTGTTATCCTGGTGCTATTGCATTTCAGGTACAAACGCAATCAAAACCTGGAGGATAGGGATTTTGTGCCAATTGATTGAGAGGAAAGCCCTTAGAACGACAGCTACCTATTTTAATTGCTCCTTGGAATCGAAGGGGAACAGCTGGGCGATCTAAGAACCCAGGATCAGAGAAGGAAGCAGCCTTCACCATAATGGGTAGCAGCGTCAACAGAGTCAGACCGGATTTGGGAAATGAATCAGAGAATGTAACAATAGTTTAAATTAAAACACTGTAATATACCCGGAAACGCCATCATTCCCTTCGCACTTCAAAACACGCTGGTTACGTGTCGGCCTCAGTAGTGGCAATCAGGGACCTCTCCTTAACCGATTCGTGCTAGTCATGTGACTCAGTTAGCTCCGCGCTTTACGCGGAGTGCTCGGGATGCGCGCACTATGCGGCTTTCTCCTGTCCTCGCGGGATCTAGGAAACAGAAAACTCCTTTCGCAATACCCTCCGACCCAATCCGAGCAATCCAATTCCGAGTCCACACAATGGGTCCTGAAAAGCGGACAAGGGCTATAATGCCCAAAGCTGTAAGCCCTCCCTTGCTTTGCCTTGTGATTGGCTGTGGGCTAACGAACATGACAAGTGCCACAACTGCCGGATGCGCAAAGTACGGCTCAGCTATCACCCCTACGAATATGGAGCTGAATTTTAATAGGTCCGCTGTAACCGCGTTATCCCTTGTTCCAATTGTGTATCATCTGGCTTGGGCTGTGTACCGGGAGTCAGGTCGGCTGTTCAGCTGGGACAAGTCACCAATTCTAGCGGGTAACTCATGACTTACTCTTCGAGCATCACGAATCGCTGACAACCATGGCAGCGAAGATGAGCACAGATGCTTGCGCGAGAGGCTCTTGGCGCTTGAGCAGGCAGTTGAACAACTCAGCCGCCAAAACATTAGCGACCACACACAGAGGGCGGTCTCACACGATTCTGAGGGAACCATGTCGACACCAGACCCACTCGAGTGTCGCACTTCTCTCTCAGAAGGCGATTCCTCATTCGGTCGGCAGATTCTCCTGGCCAGTAAAGTCGCAACGCTCACCGGAGTTTCACAAATGCAACCTGTTCAACGGGAACTGGCAAATCTACTGGTCATGGCTGAAGATCAGGCAGCCCCTCAGACACTGGGGCATCTATATACACCAAAGGCCCATCCGGAAACTGTTCGCCCTGTAATAAAGTTGCCTCCGTCCAGCTTCGCCCTTCAGCTGTTAAGATCATTAAGAGGCAAGCCGACCGTCCTCACTCGCCAATATTCGTTGAAGCTGACCTCATATGTAGAGAAAGAATCCGTCTTCTTCTTGTTTTATGGTTTCCACGATCGGGCGCAAGTTGAAACCCTATGTCAGCGAGTATATTTCCCTATTGAGTCTTTATCAGCTAGTGAGGCCACACTGTTCAATGGCATTCTGTGCAGCATTCTGCGCGAAGGCAGTTTCTTTCAGTCTTCTGGACTCAGGGAAGAAGAGTTAAGCAACATGCGCGTTCTGTGTGAAGCAAACTTCCAAGCGGGCCTCGAAACGTTTGAGGTATTGGCGATCCCGACACATGAAAATGCGATGATCTTATCGCTAGCGGTAATGCCACCTCCATATTTAAGGAATTCCCAGCACAACTAACTCAGGGTAGATGGCTCATGCGCAAAGCGAAGCAAAATTGCTCTTCCAGCACAGCTTAACATCGGCGGCGGCAAGGCACTGCCTTGCATTGGGCTATCACCGGGAGAGCCGATTATCACTGCTTCCTTCTCTAGAGGCAGAACGTGCTCGTCGACTTTTCTGGCACATTTACACGTCTGATAAAAGTCTTTGCCTACGCCTTGGGTTGCCTTCTACTATTCCTGACTACGATATCGATGCCAGATCTTGCTCCATCTCACGAAATCCTAGTCAGGCACCCTGGGACATAGTGGTTGTGAAATTTGCCGAACTCTCAAGGATTCAGGGTCAAATTTACGAGTCACTATTTTCAGCAGCCGCTCGGACATTGACTGTGTCGCAAAGACACAGCACTGTTTCGAGATTATCAGTCTGTCTGGCTCAATGGCACCAAGAATGGACGCAGATTGATTCCAAGGATGCATACAATAAGTATTTGTTCACCAGTACCTTTGGGCCTGTTGAGGTCCTCTACTTCTCAGTTCTCACGCTCCTACACCGTGGCGAAACGTCATCAAACTCAGCGGATCACATTTCACAAGCCTGTTTGGACGGTGCGTACCAAGCCTTGCGAGCTCATTTAGCCTATCATCGGAATATTTCTATTTTGGGAGTGAAAGCGTTATATCCTTATGCCGTTTGGTAAGTTTGAGCTTGTTTACAGTTTCCAGGTCTGACCTAATCATTCTCAGCATCTTCTATTACACCCCATTCACACCTTTTGTCGTTATGTTTCTCCATTGTGTAGCAAACTCAGATGAAGACGACATCAAGCTTCTCAACGACGCTCTCGTGGCTCTTGAGCAAGTCAGTCCAAAGTTTGAACACTGCCAAAGACAACTCAAGCTTTGCAAGGGCCTTTACAAAATTGCTGAGACATTCATTAAATGCCAACATGAAATGGGTGGAAAGAAGGAATTAGAACCAGCAACTTCGTGTCTATTACCGCTTCAGAGCCCTGTCTCTGAACGCCGGTCACAGTTAACGGTTCGCGGGCACTCTGTGGACTTGAGTAATGCTTTCTTGGAAGACTTGGAAATTCTAGATGTGGATCAGATGTCATTCCTACTAGACAATCAAATAGGTAATTGAGGTTCGTTAGTCCCGCCAGCTTTGGGACCAATTGTAACGAGTCCATAGCGGAGTGGTGAAACCGAAATAAGACACGTTCGACTCGGGTCCTTACCTGCAGTTCCAGAATGCCTACACAGATTATGCTCTGACGCGTGCGAAGTAGCTCGCGACAGCATTTTGTTCGCTACTATTTCATCGTCAATTACCATTCTGCAAGCGATTTAAATTCACTCGATGGAGGCTGAAATACAAGGCTATTATTGACATCAAATTCTATTTGCCATTTCATTCCGCTTCAGGTAACGCAGCTAAAACAATCTGCTTTGCTAGGGAGTCATGTAGCACATCCACCCAGATAACAGATTTTAACGATGAGGTGACCTGATTCCACGACTTCAACTTCATAACTCGAAGCACCTCAATCAAGTCAGGTTGGAACGCAGCTTGTTCCTGCTCATCAAAGACAGAAACAGCGCCAACAATGTATATCCAGAGCATAAGCGGGGCCGGTGTATTGCCATCATTATCCTTAAGCAGAGACACGCTAGTTTTCATATTTTGTGAGAGAAACTCGAAACGGGTTCTAGTACCGCGCCATTGAAGAAAAAGGGTACTGGAAAATGACAGCAGTGTGAGGCGTATAGTCTCATCGATACTGCCTGCGTCGAATCGAAGGTTGGCGAGACGGTAATGGATCGAAACCATGACTTCTTGGTAGAGCTCCGTGTCGATACGAAGTTTACATTGCGTTGCAATATTGGCGGCTCGGGAAAATTCGGCGAGGTCATCCCATGCTGAGCGAAGTCGAGCATCTAGGCTATATAGAAAATGCCCAATATCCGAGGTGGGTATTTCGGGATCTGGATCTGAATCTTTGGGCTGTAAATGAGATAATTTTCCTTTGGAGGGAATATATGAATCCCACGAGACGCAACCGGAAAAGAACAATGGTTTGCATCCTGTTGCGAGAGCCACTCCGATATCAGCACTATGTGGGTGGATTAGCAGGCTGCTCACAAGTTGGAGCAACATGGCCAACTTGCCGGAAAATCTTGGGTTGTAAGCTTCTATTCTCTTTGAAGGCTGAAATACCCCCTCTTAGCATGACCATTTTAAAGAGGCCTCGTAGATGGTTCTGGGCAGCCTCCAGATCGCCAAGGGCGGTAGCTGTCATGGTAAGGCCAACGACGACTAAGATAGTCGAGTCGGAAATTGTCTGCTCCTTATCGCTACCGGCTAGGCGTTGCTGGAGGATAGCGAGCGCGTTGACCAAATGAACGAGCGCAATCTTGCTAATTTCCTTTTTGCCGTCGAGAGAATCCATGTACACTTTGGTTGTGAAGAGAGTGAAGTGAAGACAGGCTGTGTCGTTCAAGACGGGTTCAAAAAACGACGACTCGGTCTGGTTCGATACTAAGCCAAACTCGGCCGGGACCATTGCGTGTTTAACTTCTGGTTGGTTAGCCAAGACATCCCCCCTGTTTAAAATGGTGCGGAACGGGGGTGTTACGTTTCCAGATGTCTTCGAGCATGCCTGGACCTATTTCGGCAGAGAACGCGGCCAAGGAGAAGTCATTCCCGACTTTAGGCGGAATGGAGACACGCTTCTCTTTGTCTACATTGTCTGTGTTGCGTGGTTTACTGCTATTCATCCATGACGGGGGCCTGGATGGCGGCTTCTTGCGATTCTTGCCACGCATGACATGTCTGCGGATCACGTTGCGCTTTCCTTCGAAAGACTGGCTCGCTGGAGTAGTAACGATAAAAGGCGCTGCTTCGTCAGTTCCAGTTGACTTCCCCATCGCCACCGCCCCGTAGGGACTAGCCAAATGGATGTCTTAGAGTTGGAGCCGGCCCTGAAGCCTCCACCAATAATGGCTAGGTTCGGGACCAGCCAAGGGGAAAGATGGAACAGGGACAACAGTCGTCGCCTCGTCTCGGAAAGAGATGCCGCTTCAAAAGCGAACAAACACGGGTAATTTCGGCAGCCGCGGGAGTCGTGTATACAAGGGGACGCGGGTGAAGCAACGACTGGCGAGAAAGGAAGATGAAAAGCAGAATCAATGCAACGTGGAATCGAAGCAGTAGTCAGCAAATTGTGGAGAAGACGCTCGGGCCAGAATGCCAAGGCGAGATTGGTTTCTAAAAGCAGTTTAGCGGAGTCTTGATGTCCACTTGACTATCCCCAATTAGTTGTCTGAATATCCTCGGAGCAATTCGTCGCCGTCATATCAAGGTGAACAGTGAAGTGCGAGACATATAAGTACTGCACGTTTCCGTTACTTTCAGGCCACTCTTTTAATTATGATCAATACATACACCACGATTTTCTCCCTGAAAACAACCCTTTTCCGTTCCACGTCGTTACTAAGTACAATTCCCAATCCTCCATCAACATGTCCACACAGATGTCTGCATCCTTCAACCTAGGCCCTCCCAAGGAGAGCCCCCGTACTTTGTTTCTCAAAGCACAATTCTGGACCTCGCCCCAGTTTCCTCCCCCCGAAACCAATCTAGAAGGCCAAGTCGCCATCGTGACAGGTTCTACCAGCGGCCTGGGGCTCGAAGCATCTCGCCAGCTTCTGTCTTTTGGCTTATCGGGCCTGATCATGGCCGTGCGGTCTGTGGAAAAGGGCAAAAAAGTTGCTTCTCAGCTGCGCACCCAGCACCCCAAAGCCAATATTCAGGTTTGGTCCCTTGAGATGGAATCGTACGATTCTATCCAGGCTTTTGCCCGCCGAGCTGGGCTTACCTCCCGCTTGGACATGGCCATTCTCAACGCAGGTACACAGATAGCTGATTTCACAATTGTCCCCACCACGGGGCACGAGAAGTTGGTTCAGGTCAATTACCTCTCTACCATGCTACTTGCTATTCTGCTACTGCCAGTCCTCAAAGCCAAGTCGCCCCCGAGCAGCCCCGGCCGGTTGAGTATCGTCAGTTCCGGCTCAGCACGCGGTGCCACCATGTCTCAACCCAATGATGAGTCCGTTCTGTCAGCTCTCAACAATCCCCAACACTGGGACCCCTTCAAGCGCTACCCAATCAGCAAGCTGCTGGGCCATCTGTTCATGGTCAACCTGGTCCGCTATGTCAATGCCGACGATGTCATCATTAATCTCGTCGACCCGGGGCTAGTCAAGGGTACAGACTTGCAACGCGGCGCCCCGTTTCTTTTGGCTGTATTCTTTTATTGCTTCAAAGCGATCTTGGGGCGAACGGTGCCTGTGGGTGCGTCGACATATGTCGATGCAGCCGTTGCCAAGGGCAAGGAAACACACGGCTGTAACGTGGCAAACTGGGGTATTTCACCGTAAGCGTCTCCCACTCATACCCTTCTTCTATTTTACGAAGGCTGACTCAATACTCCTCGACCTAGATTTGCTGCGTTTGTTTACACGCCTGACGGAGAGTCCATTAGAGAAAGTTTATGGAAAGAGACGATCGCAGAATTGGAATTTGCTGGTGTCCAAGGAATACTTGATGGCTTGAAGCATGATTAACAGAGGCCCTGAACGACTTTTGAACTCATCCCATTTTCCAATTAGGATATCTGTCTAAGTTATATTTCGTTGTGTCAATGCCAGTTCTATCTGGAGAAGGCTCATTGCTATGCCTTGGACGGGGGCAGGCTTCTACATGACGATGTTTGAACCATCTACAAATCCCAACTCTACATATTTCGTTTTCCAGCACGTTCTAACCCCGAGTGACGTAATAATCACCAATATTTATATACCAAAGTCAGTAGTACAAGTCTTGTTACCAGCGTCCTGTTGGAGTGTGCATTCCACTTTTGGTGTCATCAGTTAGCGTGACAGAATGCGGCATACGATGTTGGACTCTGAGGTCTTATTATGCTATATTATCGTGGTGGGGGTTGCGTGGATATGCGAAAAGATGTTTCATTCTTGACCATAATCCCGCTGATCATTCCCGACTCCATGTTGTCGTCGCTCTCAAAAGTGTCCCGTCCCGGGCTCACCGATGTTACCACTCCTAAACGTCTATCTGAGGCATGGGCGTCAAAGCCGGTCAGAGAATCGCCGCTCCTAATAGAATCGGCCAGCTGATAGGTGGAGCCAGATTCCCTACCCTTCTCACCTGTGGTCTTTCGCAAAGCTGAAAGATGGATCGACTTTTTCGACTGGCTTTGGCCATAGGTATTGGACCCCGATCCCAAGCTGGTTTCGTGACTGCCACAAGACCACACGTAGGCGAGAGCAGGTCGTACAGTTGGAAGACATGCTTTGTCTTGGCGTTAGTGTGCTGTTTCTCAGAATCGTGGGACCTTGCAGACCTACCGGAGACTGTGATCAGATTCACCTCGGCTGAAGCCCAAACAATAATGATGGCCAAATTCCATGTTAGATCCGATGATGTTGCGTCTAATTTCGTTGACTCTACCATGATGACAATGGCAGTGATACAGATACTGATAGGACTGTCAACGACGATGTTCCACTGGGGCGTGGATGAACTTACAAGATACCCACACCAAACATGAATATGACACCAATCTTCTGTAGTCGGGGGAGTTGCAATTTTTGTATCTGGATGATTGGTAAGATCATGATTCCAATGTCAATGGCGACGTGGACAATGAGACTTCCCAGGAAGAACTTCTTGTCGTCGATGTCGCATCGCGCGTCCGTGATGGTGAGATCCCAGTAGGCCTGTACAGGAATGCAATGGAAGATGGATATGAATATCTTGTCATAGGATTAGTGCTGATTCCATAGCAGTACACTTTTGGACCCCTACCCGGCAAATGACCCAAATGACTGCGCAGCCGAAGAGAATTTGGATCGGGAGCTTGATGCTGGACACGCTGACGATGCGCCAATAAAACAGGAGGAGAGATGCCTTGGCGCAGAATAGCGCTACTGAATATACCAACTCTCCTATGTAGAGATATAGCTTCGATCTCGAGACGGCCTCGCTTACGGTCATCCAGGTGATGTCGGTTACATGAAGCCCGAGTCCTCCCTTGTTTAACCCTAGTGTGCTGTTGGCAAAGTTTCCGTAAGTCCTCGAGGTTTACTTACAGAGTGGAATCATGGCCACCCAGACGATATTCATAAGCTACTATCGCAATCAGTCTCACACTCGCAGGACGGATAACTCTGAACCCACGTAGCAGACGATGGCCAAGTAGTCGTCCCACCAAAGATTGACTCGCTTAACCACCCGGCTCATGATGCGGAGGAGTATGAATATGGTTGCCATGGAGAACGTGACGAATTCAGCAGCCAAAATACTGGACTGCTGGGAATCCATGGCTGTTGACGTCGTCGCCATAATCAGCGAAAGACGGACGTAGGAGAGAAAGAGAACGAACGTGCCAACTCCTGGCACCCTGAAACTGGAGCCGCTATGGCGTATTTAAGTAAGGTCCTCCCTCGATCCAGGGGACTTAATCAACGTGCGGCGTCATGATCAGCCGCTATCGACGATTGACAAGGCTTGGTTTCCTAGTGCTGGGCTAGTCCGAACGATGCTCACGCCAACTCAATAGTGCCTGATGATTTGCGGTGCCAGGTCTCGGAGGAAGATCCGATCTAGTCGTAAGCGAGTATTAGCCAAACTATAACAAAGGTGCTGCGAGTCATTGCTAGCAGTCTGTTCGTTTCAAGCTCTCCCCAGAGACGTGGATGGGGCGAATTCTGAAGTTTGGGAACACTAAAAGCTACTAGCTGAACCGAAAGACCTAACCGATACCCCTTAGATTGGCTAGACGGGGGATGAACTAACTAAACTGTGCTATGTGTTTAGGCGCAATCTTAAAGGTCCATCTGCTGGCATTTCACTCATGACGTTTACACTGGCGACGGACTATGCTTGTAAGGAGTTAGACCATTGCCGACGTCTTACTCAGTGACGACTCTGTCAGAGCTGCACTAGCTCCGCTACGTCTTCCGGAAGGCCGTCGCGAAACCAAGACATGAGGCAGTGATCGGAATGGTCTGGTCTGTCTTGGTCTCGGTCTGGTCTCGACCGCCAAGACTTGGTCTGGTCTGGCGATTTCTCGAGACCATGGTCCGACCGGTCCGACCGGTCCGACCATTAACTGCTATAAATAGATCGGGGTGGCTGAATCTTAGCCTAATGCAGTTAGAGCATTCACGGATAAGGATAAGGATAAGGATAAGGACTAGGAATGAACCCCTGAGAACAGCTGTTTTCCACTCACATAAAACAATCAAGTCCAAAACAACCTGCTTGTATGCTATTATTATGGAGTCTTCAACGTCTCTTACACCATCTCCTGTCCCTACGCCGTCACCCACCCCTACTCTGTCACCTGCCCCTGTTCTTCGATATCACGAACCTCCGGATGAGTTCGTACAGGACCGTATCACCTACGTGAAACGCGCGACAATTGCAAATAAGGGATCTCGTCTAGGTTCATCACACATCTGGAAGTATGGCCTCCAATACATTCGAGGTAGCGATAAGAAAGAGGTGTATTACTGTCACGAGTGCACGATTGGAAAGAACAAGCAAGAATTGTTTGTTATCAATGGCACTTCTAGGGTCAGAAATCACCTAGAACAGAAGCACCAGATTGATCCCCAGAGTGGTATCAAGAAACATAGTTCGACACGGAAGTCCGTACTGGAGCAGCAGAAGAGCGCGGCTGCTACTAATACCTTCTTCTGGAAAGACTCAATTGAGAAGTTCAAAGAGCTTCTAATTCGTTGGATTGTGTACTGCCATATTGCTTTCTTTCAATTAGAAAATCAGTATTTCCGGGAACTACTCTTCTTTTTGAATCCGGCACTTCTCAACCACCTCCCCAAGGCAGCGAAAACTATTCGAAACTGGGTTATGGACGCCTTTCTGTCCAAGAAGCAACGGCTCAGAGAGGACCTCCAGCGCTCGCGGAGTAGAATCTCCATCTCCTTTGATCTCTGGACTTCGCCAAACCCTTACGCGATTCTAGGTGTCGTCGCCATGTGGATAGACACTGCTGGCAAGCGACGAACTACCGTTTTGGGTATACGACGTGTGTACGGCGAACACACTGGCGAGAATCTTGGATCAGTGGTCCTTGGATTGCTAAAAGAATATGATATTGGCGGAGATCAGATTGGATATTTCATGCTGGATAATGCCTCATCAAATGATACCGCTGTTGAATTCATACTCAAGGAGCTCTGCCCATGGATGAACTCGAAACAACGTCGCCATCGCCGACTTCGCTGCTTGGGCCACATTGTCAACCTCTGCTGCCAGGCGTTTCTCATGGGTCGGAACTGTGAGAAGTATCTGGCAAAGCTTGAAAAGCATTATCAACGCGGAGACTATGCGAAGGTGGAAGAGCTCTGGAAAAAATTTGGATGTTTAGGTCGGCTTCACAACCTGGTACGATACATTAGGCTTACTCCACAACGCCGTGAGGAGTTTGCTGCAATCATTATCGGCGGAGATCTCTCTGAATTCGATGGGCTCGAGCTTATCCAGAACAACTCGACACGCTGGAATTCATGGTTTCATTCGATTACACGGGCACTGAATGTTCGGGAACGTTTAGAGATCTTCTCAGCTCGCCATGTACCTGGGAAAGGCTCTCATGGGATTGCGAACTTCAAGCTCGATGGACAGCACTGGTTCGAGCTTGAAAAGATTGAGCTTGCTCTAAAAGACTTCTACGCCGCAACTTTGCTTTCTGAGGGAAAAAAGACGTCCCTCGCTGACTGGTTTTCGACTTTGGACTGCCTCCTTCGAGAAATAAACGAGACAAAGGACCACTACTATAACATCCACACCGAAGACGACAATAACTTCACATAGAAGTACCTCCAAAGTTGCGCAGATGCTGCGTGGTCAAAATGCGAGGAGTATTACAACAACCAGCAGCTGAATTGGCAGAATCGATTCCCCGAAGATACTGATCTTCCACCAGCGTACTATGCAGCTCAAATACTCGATCCATATCGAAAGTGGGCGTGGTTCAGGCAAGAATGGGTTCTCCAAGGCGACAAAGAAAAACAGAAGTGGTTTGATAACGCACAATCGGCGGTGAAGCAGCTCTGGGAGACAGAGTATAAGGGAAGGTACCCTGTTGAGATGCTACCACCGCCAATCCGGAAGGAGAGAGACCCTGACGCAGCGTTTGATCGCCAGAGGGAACACAAGCGCATTCGAATAGACGCCCCGGTCTCTACAACTGATTTGTATGAGCAATATATTTCTACCGACCGGCTCCATGACGAAGAGGCAGGTTGCGACGAGGCCATTGCGTACTGGCTATCCCGTTATGACTCCCAAAGAGACCTCGCTCGCTTCGCTCTGGATCTGTTTGCGATCTCACCTATGTCAGATGAGTGCGAACGGCTTTTTAGTAGCGCAAAGCTTACTATAGTTGATCGCCGTGGTAGGCTGAAGGCAGATATCATAGAGGCTTGTGAGTGTCTCCGGGCCTGGTATGGAAAGCCCCAGGTTGAGGATAACAGTGATAGTGAGGATAGTGAGAATGACAACGAATGGGTTGATAGCTATTAGTAAAATACATTTCCTCTCTTCCACTACTTCAGCCTCATTCTTGGCGGTCTTGTATTTGTTTGTATTTTTATTTCGCCTGTGGACACAAACCATAGGGCCAATGCGCTAAGCTGTTTACGTTTCTTGGCGGTCTTGCTGGTCGGACCGGTCTGGTCGGACCGGTTATTACGTAAGCAACTGGTCTGGTCTGGTCTAGGGGTCCAGACCAGACCAGACCAGACCATTCCGATCACTGACATGAGGTACTCTTCAAAGGTTTTAATAGGCTGGGAATGGTTTGCAGATCATGCCGCTACACACGTGGTAGGCTCCAAACATCGATGCAGGTGGCGTAGGGCCATGTGCAGCGTGTGGAGGAGTAAGAATTGCGTGCCCAATGGTGGTAGTATCAATACTTTCTGGCATGATTCTCATTGCTCCCATTCCTACGACCGGATGCGCTTTCACGGTCTCGGAGGCCTTATCATGCCTTCACAACTGGTTCCGTCTGGCCGTCACACCTGCTCCAGGCCTAGCTGGATCTTGACCGGGTCATTTCGTCCGAACACTTCGGATGTGGGCAGTAGTGCTAAGTTAGTGCCGGAAGCGCACACGCGCCTTTAGGGCAGAAGCCAGGCCTTCAGATCCCGCCGCGCTTGGAAGAATGCAGTTGGGTGGAAAGAGGAGAATGTCATTGCAACTCCACCAAGAGTGGCGAACTTCAGACTAGGCAAGCGACAGAAATGGGTCCAAACAAGCGATATGTCTCACTTCATTCAATAAAGGCATCATTGGAAGAGGGGGTTAGACCATTCTGAGGTATGCAGCTCAACATGGTCTGTTGGAGAAGATATCCCACATAAGCATATTTTAAGCCTTATTTGAGAGACTTCACATTACATAGTATATGCAGATTACTACAATTTGCTACAACATTACATAGATCCCCTCCCGAAACCGCATCTCAACACCCAAGTTCAGCTTGTACTCCTAGCGTGAAGCGAAGGCTACCAACCCTTCCCTATCCAATTACCGTTACTCTTCTGCCCAACACTAAAACCCGACACCAAAAGCAAAGGCATCTCAGGCGCAAATTCATGGCCACTGGTTGTCGTGGGTCTCCATTGCCTTCTCGAGTTCTGCATGAGTGAGCTCCCCAGGCTCAACGCGGACGACAGTGCTCCAGTGACTGCCGACCGGGCAGCGCTGCACGCGTCGGCTTCCGAAACGCAGAGCCTTCAGCGACATCATCGGGACCCAGATAGTGGTATAGAGGTGGCCGTCGCTGCATCGCACGATGCGGTCATGGTTCTCGAAATAGCGAGTTGGAGTCTCGACTTGGACGGCGGAGGACATGGTGTCCGGTTGTTTGTGGTTCTTGGTTTGAGGAGAGGTCGTTGAGAGGATAATAACGAAGGGAACCGGTCGTTGCCTGCGGGATGCCGAGTAATGTACAGCTGAGGACGTTGCGTTGATAGTCTGCGACTCCTGGCCGTGGCGCGCGTGTGTTTCATACAAACGCAGACGAAGTTATTCCGAATGTGGATGCTTCATGGATTATCGGGGGAATACACCGGCAATATATAACATTAGGTACCAGTAACTTAGGCTATAGCGGCCAAGGCGCTTGGGGTTGCACCCAGCTGACTTGGGTCGGGTGACATTTCCCCAAAGGCCTAACTCGAATGAGGCATAAATTGTGTTGGTGGGTGGCACGGTAAAGACACCTCATGCTCCAATATGTCTGCCTAAATAATGAGACAAAGAGCGCGGCAATTTCCAGCCGTATCCTGAGACGAAACTCAAGTAAGATCTTGGTCAGCGTGCGTGGACGCTTTTAAGGCCTCCCCCAGAAAAATGCCCCTGGCACATCACCAAACTCGAAGGCTGTATCTACAACAACATTCCACAACATCCAAGCCGTCGCCTATCGGTGCTGTTGCACATGCCCACAAGTCTATAGGTTACCGTATGCAACCCCCTTCTGAGCATCACTAGTGCTGGGAAGTTGACTGTAACCCTGTGTTACTCGAAGCTGGAGTTGCTCAAGCCCTTGATTCGCTGGTGTTGTTCCACTTGACACAGCTTCTACCCGAGCAACCAGCTTCATTGTGCTGAGCTTTTCGGTTCCCGCACAGTTATTTTCTAGTCCCTGGCCCTGGAGCGCTGTTGAGGTCAGGGCGAGGGAAACGAGCTCGGTGATACTGCCCCAAGCCTGGCTTACGCCCCCGCTCGAACACCAGACCCAGATCGTGTGCAACAATGCCAACAACGCGTGAAGCAGCAGCACAAGAACCCACACGTAGTCATTTCCCTCATCGAGTCCCATGGCGTATCCGCTGATCGTCGGGCGCATCACCATTGGCGGCTTGTTACCCTGTGCGAGGGCGTTGCTCGGGTCGAAGCTCAAGGCTGGGCCGCCATAGCGTACCATTGCCGTGCGATTCCCGTCACTGATGTTGTTGTTGCGGTAGCTTATTGGGCTCATGAGGCTTGCATAGTTGAGGTTGATCTGGCTCCCGGTCCGTGAGATGCCGTCGGCGACGTAGCTCGCGATGATGCTCTCCAAGGTAGTCCTGTCAGGCTCGTCTTCCGGTGGTGGCGCGCCCGGCAGGTTCAAGATTCCCGGTATGTCAGTGGTGGGACGGAAGAGAGTGAGCAGGGATTCGAGCGTCGTTCGATTGGGAAGCGTCGTGGCTTGATGCAGAGGGTCGGTGAGGATGCTGGCGCTGACCTGTGGTGCCAGCAGGGCAAACCAACTTGGATCTATCTTGATCGACTGCCACGTCTCGTCGTCTTTTGGATGTATGAAACCAAGCCCGCTGCCGAACTCCTTGCCTTTTGAAATCATAGCATTGACAACAGCTGAGCCTTGGTCTGCCCCGTAGCTATACTTGGACGGCATCTTTTTGTCCAATACTGACGATGTTCCATTTGCCCATCGCGCATCAATGCTGCAAGCCCTGGCATTACCTGAAAGATTCCGCGCATCATCCAGGGTAAGTACGATCAAGCCAATGGAGTTGGAACCAAAGTTTTGAGGAAGAACAAACGCCTGGGCGAAAATGTCGAGGACACTGAGCGTCGTCAGAGCGTGAACGCTGGCAACGTCCTCAAATTTGGAGGCCACGGCCTCGGTTACGTTGAAATAGCTCATTGTTAAATTATTTTCCCGGCTGTTGATGTAACAGTATTCCGGTTGGCTGACAAAAGGGATTCTAAGTGGCTGACCAAGAGTGAAGCCAGTGATTCCCGGGGTGCACTTGACTCTCACCGCGGGCACCTTGGACGACACGGTGAAAGATTTCGAACTAGCCCACGCAATGTTCTTTTTTAACGGAGACGGCAGTTTGCCGTCATCGAGTAGTTGCCCCTGGTAGTGATTGTGAAGATCTGCTGCAACGTTCAGTGTCGAAGCCGTCGGGCCGTGCGAAGTCCAGGCCCAGGAATCTGTGATGGGGCTGCCTATTGTGGTGAACATGTTCTTCTTGATGTTGAGGTCCGCGAGCTGAAACTCCATGACCTGGCTTCCGCTATCTGCACCTCTCCAGTTGGAAAAGTGCTGATAAAGAGAAGGAAATCCGGCAGAGGGGCACCGTGGGTCGTATAGCTGAGCGTTTTGGTTATCACAGCCATAACCCAAAAGCGAATCCGCCGTCAAATGTTGGGGCCAGAGTTGTTCATTGGTACCTGCAACATGGCGTCAATCTTTGTGTTTTGAGACGGATAATACCTTTGAAATCTCAATTACCGTTTATCCAATATATCACACCTCCCACAGGCCAGTCCACGACCGTGGGGAGCATGAGGATAGCTGCGGTGGGGCCAGCGAGTACGGCGATGAATCCACACACAACCAGCAACACAATCAAGCCAATACTCCTAAATTTGCCCCATCGGGTGTCGGGCTTTCCACAAACCACAAGACTGCCCCAGAAGTCTGGTGTAATGAACCAACTACAAGCAGCCGTTACCATATGTCTTCGACTCCCGCACGCTACACCGCTTCATGGCGTTGTAGCGTTGTAGCGTTGTGGCGTTGTGGTGTTTTGGGTGGATTGCCACTTACCTGACTTGAGAGTACGAAAAGGCACTGGCCAAAAGCCCGAGAGGCAAACCATTGCCATACATGAGCTCGTAGCGAATTAGCTCCAAGAGAATTGTTGTAGTGCTGGCTACTATTGCCAGTTCCTATTTTCTTGTTCAGTCCCCGTCGCAAGTCTAGCAAAATTTGCATTTGTATATACTGGGGTGCGGAGAGGGGTACCTGAGCTTTTGCGCAGACCTGGAGAACTGACAGCTTGAGCGCGTCCTTGTTCTGTTGGCCCTCTAGCTCAGACCCTATGAAGTAGCGTTTCAGGTTGAAATACAAAAGAACACCAGAAACAAAGAGTGGTATAATATGGACAAGGCAACAACAAACCGCTGATTTGCGAGAGTGAATCACTGGTTTTTGTCCCTCTAGACCCTTCCAAGATTTCCAATCAAGTATCGGGAGGCCAATACTGCGGAGAACATTGCGAAGAGCACTGGCGAGCATGACTGCCAGTGCTGCCGGTGTGGACATGACTTATTGGAGGAAAGACTGTAGTAGAGAGCGTATACCACGCAGGGCAACTTTAATCTTTCTATGAAACTTCAGGTGGGAAAGACGTTATATTTCGAAAGAAAGCACAGAAAGATAGATGGTTGGTCGATGAATGTAAAGAGTCAAGAACACAAAGCGCAAAATATCTGCCTCGCTTCTGATCCCCCGATCCTTATAGATTTACGACGGCACCTCCACGGATTTCCATCCTGGAAAAGCTCCACAGGCTGGCGGTGGCAGTGCATCAGAATCAGGGTTATCCATCGGAAAAAGAAAAAAACACGGCACTACTCCAACTAGTTAGGCTCTCTCTGCGAGACAGTGACACCTTTTCTTAGCATATGCGAGCCCTGCACTAAGAAGGTAGATAAGTTGCATAGCAGTCGGTTGTACTCGTGAGCGGCATGTCTTACATATAGTGGATACCTTGGCTGCAAGCTATCTTAATGGCGTTTATTTGCGGTCAGCCTGTTCATAATATCCATGTGTATCGCCAATCAACAGTCATTCGGCAACAATGAAACAAAAACTAAAGCTCAGCTCATGCAGTTCAAGCCACAGCTGAAAGCTAGTGCATTTTTACCCTGCAGCTAAAGAGGCCACAAATACAGCAGCCCTTTGCATTATGCTTCATCAGTGCGACATCAATAATACACTAGGACTCGCAGGACAGGCTGACTCCCCTGACTAATGCCCAAGAACTTGAAAATACAGTTTTGTGCTAAAGGCCTCTGTATCCCGTAGATTACATTATGAACTAGAGTGGATTTAAATGTCGTAATAGTTGCAGTAGTTGCAAGAGCCAGGAGATTCAGCAGCCGGTTCTAACAGCCTATTAGACGTTGAGGATTGCGACGGGCTTTCTCTTGGCGCATCCTAGCTGAAATTGCAGTGCTTGGCTCCTGCTGCTAGTTCCCTGGCGCAGCAGTAGGCTACCCTTTTCAACTGTCCTTGCGAGGCAAACAAGTCACATTGCAGGCTGACTGTATTACGTGGCAAGTCAGCAGAGCCTGCATTTTCCGCCCTGCATTGTCTTTGAAATGGTGAGGCAATCCAATCAGATGTGCGAACTGTCCCAAATTGAGCTAAATCAGCCTCACTTCCCGCGGAGGGTGACAGAATGTACATGGGTTTTCAGCCCCCATAGCTTTCGTATTCGTACCGTATGTCCGATGTCGAAAAGTAACTGAGGAAACTGGCCGAGTGTCGTTGAGATGCCATGAGATGACTGGTTCTTCTGCGAAAGCCACCCTTGTGGAGTTGGTTCTAATTCTTTAAAATAGAATTCAGCATTTGAGGCCCGAAGAGTTGTTACAAGCCTCACTACCTTTTGTGAGAGAATGCTAACCTCTGGACTGGATGTGACTATGAGCCAAGGCATCCGATTGGTGAATTATGGCCACTGAGATTAGCCAGCTGAGCGTCTTTCTCTTCGAATCTGTTCATAGTAGACAGTTACACAGTAACGACAAGTCATATCGGCGTTCTAAAACGCGGATGTTGTGCGCCTACTGAGTGGAGTGTAGCGGGCGGCCAAGCACCCTACTGGGGGTTCATTATTCTGCTGCGAAGGAGGCTGAGTGGGCAAGGGTGTCTCATTCAGAGGATGTCTTCTGCCTCACGGCCGCTTACTCTTGCGGCGAGGGAGGTGTGGCGCCTGTCGCCGCATCTGAAACCCCTATAGGCTGTATGGAGTTCTGGCCGGCTGACTGGTGTTGAACCCCCCTCAAGTCTTCCCTGTCTCATGGCCCCCTTGTCAGCCCAATGCTGGGCATCGGTGATTAGGTGCCCAACCAATTGTGGCGTTAAGCAACCGTCTACCATGATATATAGTATTTAGGAAGGCTGACTGGATTTTGGTTACTGGGAGTTAATGTCCCGCCTGGGGAGTTGAGGTTTCTCCCTCTAGTCATGTGTATCATTATGAGGAATCTGATGTACATGAAGGAATCGCCAGTCTACCTCTTACATAACCCTAGATTCATCTCATATCGGTAAAAGCTCTGCCAGCTAGGCAGCATCGCATGCGCAGGTTTCTCAAACTGCCTAGTCACAAACTACAGTTCAGATTTTTTAACACGGAAAGGCTAGCCGGGGCCTAAATTCCGGGACGTTGTCCCAGATCTGGGTCCCTTACAAGCCAGAGCTCCAGGATCCTCAGCCCAAGCTCGGCTGGCCTCAGCCCGGGCTCAGCGACAGCTCAGCTTACGGCAGCAGGAGCTCAGCTCCAGGAACGGAAATGGATTTTGATGTGCTTGAGTTTCGTCTCCGAGTATACTGGTATTTGAGCAGTGTGGTTGCTTGTACGGAGTATCTTGGGGATTCATTCACCTCTCACAGAACGTCGAAATTGTCTGTCATGTGTCGATACTGTCTGTTGTAATTATCAGCGCTTTAGAAGCTTTCTCAAAATTCGCGAGACTGGATTGCCTTCTATGTCAAAATCATGTTTGTATTTTCCATCGACGCCTAATCCCTCCATGTGGCCGGTAAAATCCCGCTTCCTACATCGCCCTCTCCGGTTAAATAGAATCTGCTAAAAGGCGTCAGTTTTCAGACTGCAAGGCCGAACCCTTCTGCGTTATTAAGCGGCGCGGTCAAATAACGAGGCTATAGATCTGACTGCGTGCAGTCAGCGTGTGGCTGACCCTGCACGCCGCTGCGCCATATTTCGACGGTCCAGACTCGGTATCGCTGTTGGTATGATGAAGGAATACACTACCACAGGTGCGACGACAACCGACACGCTGGGGACGTGGAGATAGTTGCCACCTCAGCGGCGAGCATTTTCTGGATGAAATTGGGAAAGATTATATGGCCAAGTATTGTAAAACCTCGCTCAGTCGGGTGTAGATTACGGGAAGGAGTTCGTTGGTTTGACATAACGGGGTTGGTTGGTGTGATAAACCTCGCATCAATGCTCCTGCAACTTCCTGACTTGGTGGTGGAAAATGGGTTTATTTGGTCAAAATATTTTGTAAAATATGCCTCAGATTGAGGCGAAAATACTCGAATACTTTGAGAAAGCGCGTATCCTCTTCCCAAACACGTACAACGGGACCGTTGTCAACATGACCCCAATCGTGAGCCCACCCCATGTCGAGAAGAAGACCAGTGCGCCATGAGTTGCGAGATAATCGTTGAGCATAAAAGTAAGCCCAAAGGCGAATGCACTCTTGACCAACTGTAGATTGATGTTAGGCATAGAAGTGGTGTGTTGGGTGTCAAGAAGTTACTTACCATGGCGAGTCCGAATGCCTCTCCAGCTCTCTCTTGACATACATCATTGGTGTAGACAACCACGCCAGTGCATCCAACCCCCGTTCCAAAATTCAGGATAGCAAGAAACACGGCACACTTGATTTGGGAGAGGCCTTGCTCAACAGCAATACCAAGGCCAAACGCACCGATTACGACAGTAATCGAGCTGGGCAGCATGACAACCAAACGGAATTCAGGCTCGTAGACGCCCCCGTTTCTCTTGGACATGCCTTTTGCCACCAAGTCACAAATCCACCCTCCACCAATTGTCCCCAGCGCTGAGCCAATAAATGGGGCAATGCCGACAATCAAACCAACGTCAGAAGGACTAAGGTTGTACGGGGGTGCCGCGAAGATCTGATCCGCAATAGCTCCTTGGATGATGTTCCAAGTGAAGAGAACAGACCACATTGCGCAACCCCAGATGACAACTGGATGACGCAGGATAGTGAGAGGGGCCAGTATCATGCCCAGGAGCGTGGAAATTCCCTTGAATGTGACCATCTCCACACCAAGAACACGCTTCCATGCTGGGGATCTTTTGGAGACTGGGTGATTTTGCCCCTCGGATATATCCATCCCATCCCCCTTTTCGTTATCATTCTCATCAGGCACCTTGTCCAACTTGGACTCCTCGTCAGTGACATTGGGTGCGAAATTATCCTTGTCAGAGGCAACACCTTCAATCTTCCTGTCGTAGATGGTTTCCGGGAGGCAGAATATGACGAGTGCGAGACAGACTCCGAAAGTAATGGCAAGAACCCAGAAGCTCCATCGCCAGCCGAGGTCGACAATTAAATAGCCGCTGATGATAGGCGTGATGTTGACCGAAGCAATAACGGCAAAGTTCCAGAGTCCAACACGGAAGCCGCGTTCATGAACAAAGAAGACGTCGTTGATGGATGTTGTGCCGGCCAGGGAAAAGAATCCGCCCATACCAAGGCCCTGGAAGACGCGAGACGCCATCAAGGAGTCGTACGACTTTGCCGACGCCGCCCAAATGCAACTCACCACCAGCAAGATAGTTGTAGATAAGTAGACCAGGCGTCTCCCGCATATCTCCGACAGAGGAGCGCAGATATACGAGCTTACGCCGAGAGCCATGACGAGACTGCCGTTGAGAAGGGCAACATTAGTGAGGCTGACGTTGAATGCAGATACAATGATGCTGAACCCAGGGACAAGCACGGGGCCTATGACGCCAGTTGCGCAAGCACCGAATAGCAAGGCGACAAAATACAGTTCCTTTCTGAGGCGCGGAAAGTTGAGGGGGTCTCTTGGTGATTTGGACGGCTCAGGCACCAAGATGATATCGGCGGAACCCTGCCCTTGGTGTAGGTCTTCGAGTTGGACAGTTCCTGGGGCGACATGCCCTGGCGGGGTGTCGAGGACTCCAAAGCCCATGGCTGTGACGAGTAATATGTCAAATTGTTTGACGTCGAAGCTTGAGTTGATATAGTCTGTCTCAGCAGTTTTAGATGGATCCAAGACCGGGGAATGGGGTCTCTTATATGACAGGGAAGCAACCAATGTTTGATAAGAAGGTACTGCACCGTAGCCTATCAGCTGGTATCGGTATCACGGTGACAGCTTACCCCGGACATATAGACATAATTGGAAGGTTTCTCCTGTTGCAATTGCCGTGGCTTGTGTACTAGCCTCTACTCCCAAAGAGCGTTCCACCCTGTCCAAATGATAACATGCTGGCGGATGTCATGACCGCCCCTGATACCCGTATCAGGGATCCAGTCGTGGTCTACTAGTCCAAATTCGACATTGTCGTCCCCACCCCACAGTATCTTATCAGAGGCGGATGTGAACTGCCGCCGCGATAATGGCGCGGAGCTAGCGGCGATTGTACAAGCATCAGCGGACCCTAGATCTTACGATTTTCGTCGATTGAAGTTCTAGCCTTTGACACCGTGTAAAAGCCATTCCCTGTCCTGATAATAGCTTGTAGGCGATTGTATCTACCCAGGAGCAGATCTTCAGAAGTTGTAGGTTGACTGCGCCCGCGCGAGGTAGTGCGCCAGACGAATTGGCATTCTGGCGCGAGAAATGCGTACACGAGCACTTGTTGGAACAACTAGTAGGTGCCTTCATTTTAACTGTACGTGCAAGGTAGCTAGGATAGATCAATAGAGCTAGCCCACTATGATCCGAGGTAACCCCAACACGACGGCAGCCTTTGAATCCAGCCTTTAACCCTCAATCCCACGTATAGAAACGCTAGGTCCGCAATGCTCGAGACATTCAAGCACGGTGGCGGCACTAGCCAATTCCTACCTGGAACTTACGAACCCCTCCTCCACGGCTTCAAGAATTTTCAAACCGGGCCGCCTATGAAAGGTATGTACTGCTGCGGGCATGTAATGTTGGACGGTGGAACTATGCCTTGAAGGTATGCCTGGATATGCCCAAAGTAACAGTTTGACCCCCCCAGGTTAATGACTGTATGCTGCATTCGAGAGAAACACCCCACGAGTAAGCTTAGACTCTTGTTTAAGATTTTGGTGTGATTGAGGTCTGGTAACAACTTACCCCAACGGCTTCTTGCATTAGGAGTACCGATCCGGGAAATCGAGAAGACATGGTACGCGCCCTGCGAAGAGGGGAAGTCAATTAGTGACATACCAGATGGCGAGACAGTTTGTCCGAAACGTACGATATTAAGGGCGTTATAGGGTCAATGGTATTACTCGCAAATAGGATCGGGAAGGAAGTATTCCGTTGTAGTCCGCTTATTGGGTCTGAGTAAAAAGAAACCGGTTAGATTTTATGTCCAATGCAAAAACTGAATTACCTTTTCCGAAGATAAGGTTCAGAGAATGCGGAAAAGAGGTCGAGAGATATAAAAAGGGTTGCCCACCTTGAACCACCATGCTATCAGGCAATTGTGGTCGGAATGATCTACACAAGATAATTTCCAGGGAGATGGGGTAGATATCGCCGATGTATTTGCTCTTGGAAACCGCATACTCGACTTGACTCTTGAATGCTTCAATGGTTGTGAGCCTGTTTCTCCGATACGTATCGGCGCACTGGATAGCGAGACGGGCGTCGGATGTAATATCTAACCCGTCAAACCTACCCGCAAGAGCAGACACGTCCCCGCGCTCGATCTGGTGTAGGATGTCGGCCATGGCTGGGAAGGACGCCACTGGATTGTAGATAGTGTTGAAGAAAAGGGCCTTCAGGTCTGAGTAGGTGACCATTGTCGGCAGGTCTCGACGTTGAACTCCGCTTATCGGGACTGGATGGTTTTGAAGCTGATGAATGATGCGGTCCATTCTGGCCGTGATTTCAGCTGGCGTGGGTCCCCAGAAGGAACACTTTTCAGGGCCTGCGGAATGGCAAAAACTCGAGAACTTTTCCATGGCCAGGTCCATTTGATCAACGTTGTCCCTCCAGTCGTTGTTATAATATTGCTCTGCATTCACAATACCATCGAGTATCATTCTCCCAACGCGGTCAGGAAACATGGAAGCGAAAGTGGTACCGACGACAGTGCCGTAACTGATGCCATAACACCACAATCTGGCGTCTGATGGTGACTGGCCGGCCACCTCGGCCTCAGCTTCTATAAATGTGAGCAAATCGTGGGCGACCGCCGGTGTTGTCACATAATATCCATGAGGCGACTCCTTCTCGACAGCATCGTTGCACCACTCTCCGTAGATGGAACTTGAATAGTACTGTTCCTCAAGCGACGTTGATGAAATGTTGGTGACGCCTGTCCTGTGCAGCCGATTAAAGGCCAATCTTGCTTCTGCGTTCCCCGAAAAGCAGTCGAGGCTCAAGCCGCTGTTGTTCACGCCGCGAGGGTCAAAAGAGACGAAGTTGTACTGCTCTCCGAAGATTTGCCCTGGCAGGGCTTGGTTTGTGAGGAGCAGGTCGACACCAGAACCACCCGGACCGCCTAACGAAATGTCAGTCCAGTCATATGGAATTAAGGTAACTTTATATGAGTGATCTGATCGGGATCTTACCGGGGATGAGTACAATGCTCGGGGACTCGACGGTGGCATTCTTGCCAGCCAGTTTTATGAAGGCGATTGACGTCGTGCCAAGACTTTTGTTTGAATAATCCAAAGGAACTTCCAGTCTAGAGCATGTAAAGTCATCGAAACATGGTGTCCACGTGAGGTTGGTTGATGGTCCAATCTAGATGGCTAGTCAGAAAGCTTCAAAGCGTTGGAGGATGTGGTTCGCAAAGGTCCAAGACTCACATTGTCAAATCCATAGACCATGCCTGGATCATGCGAACTGTCGGCTTTGCATCCTAAGCTTGTGAAAAGAATGAGGGCACTCGCGAGTCGTTGCATTGTTATCCCCAAAAGGTTTGTCATTGAGCTTTCAGTGATGTTGCTTGAAGGAAGGTGTTGATATTCATCATTGCAGCCGGCATAATTGGGGTATCAGGGAACTATTTATACCAGTTGAATTTCCCAAGAGACTTGACCATCAAGTTTGCCGGTTTCAATTGCTTGATTCGCAGGCAGCCTCCCATCAACTTACGATACCTATTGCACAATCTCCTGGCGCTCCACTTGTACGAACCAGCCAACCAATATGTATTGTAAATTCACCAGGTTTAACTACCACTCCTGCATTACGGAGTACGTTCGCAAGGACTCCGTAAGACACGTCGCTTACATTTTACACAGCCTCACCCTGGCGCTCCACTTATACGAACCAGCCAATTACCGTATTGAATCAACAAGTTCGTACTGAATTTTCACCCGACGTAAAAGTGGTTTATCACTCCACTATCAGTGATCGGGACGACGATAGCGAATCACTGGAATTAAACAACGGGATCTACGGGCTTACCTGCATGAGTGGAGAAGGAATTCAGTACGAATTTACGTCGATACGATAATATATATGATAACACCACCAAGTTTAAATATAAACCCTGTTCTCATCTTAACTACTGCATTCCTTTCGCAAAAAGCTATAGTGCTTATATTTTACACAGCCTCACCTTGGAGGCCCCACCTGTACGAACCAGCCAACCAGTATTTATTATCATACGCACTAGTCTCTATCAAGAGGTAGTCTATTGTCGGATCTGTCACGGCTAAATTGATCAGCGCAGTCGTGTTCAAACCGATGATGACGCTGTTGCTGATTGCTTGGGCCGGTTATCCGGACCGGCTGGAAGAGGGGTTCACAGACCCCCTTTCTGGCTAAGGTCAAGATATCGATATATCAGAGGTTTCGTAATGCAGGGTCGCATTCCAATCTCAATCTTTAAACTATTCGGTCTTTCTCCGAACTTTTTTCCATACCGTGTCTTTCTCATTCAAACGTCCATCGCAAAGGATGTGGGAGTTGACTTCCCCCGCTGGCATATGAACAGACGAATAGACGATCCTTTTGAAACTCGATCGGTACCTGGTATAACTTGCTTTTCGAAGCCATTTCCGCATGCGACGGCTCATGGGTCGTGGTGGCCCAGGGATTTTCCTCAGCTTGAAACGGCGCCTACTGCAAATCTTGGCCAGCTAACGTCGACGTGATGGACGAAATGACGGACGAGAATACCACAGCGGCCAATCAAGCTTGGAGAAGAAAGCCTCGCAAGTTCTCTCCAAAGTCGAGACTAGGCTGCAAGACTTGCAAGTGAGTCTTGACTCCGCGGATTGCTACAGCGCGACCAATTGTGTTCAAAGACTCAAAAACTGACATTGAACCTCGGTGCACCTCCCAGGATAAGACGAGTAAAGTGTGATTTATCTCGGCCTTCATGCTTGAAATGCAATTCCACAGGTCGCACCTGTGACGGCTATAGCGAAACGCCCCTCGCGTCCAAAACCGAGATTGAATCAAGTTATTATCACAACGAGAAGGCCAACAGAGCAGAGAGCTGCGACAGTTACCACCCTTGCACCACGATCAGTGCGTATCAGCCAAACCAATGGCACGCGGAATACCATGGCCTCATTTTGCAGAATCTCGGACCCTTTATGGTCTTGCCAGTGACTGGGCCAGCCCAGACAGAGGCAATGTGTTTTTTCGAGTATATTTCGATCAAGCATCTGAATGAATACCACCCCTGCGAATCATGGCGGAAGACTCTCATGTTCTTCTCCCAAACAGTGCCATCAGTGCGGTATGCTGCCATTGCTCTGGCCCTGATCCATCGAAAATACCTACATCGCGATTCTAGCGACCACGTGCATCAACCGCACTCCTTGAAAGACTGGCTACCGGATAAGGCTCCTTTGCTTTACTACAATCGGGCCATTCAACTTCTTCTGAACCAGGAAAGTGGTGACAGCACCGAAACAACAGCCATCACCCTTTTGGTCTGCTATCTCTTCACCTGCTTTGATCACCTGACGGGCAACGACGTACAAGCAATGAAGCACCTACGCGGAGGTGTGGAGCTCTCACGCAACATCAGCACATATGACGATGCCAAACCGTCATCGGTTCGCACGGTTATCTGCCAGGTCACGAGACAGATCCGTCGACTCGACATGCAGGCCGTAACATTTCTGGTCGACTGGACTCCCACTGATATCCAAGAGACACTTATGTTCCAGCTTTCACCCTCCGACAGTGCCTTTCGGTCTCTCGACCAAGCCGCCGACCACCTCCAGATCCTCGTCGCTTGGGTAATGAGACTACGCAACACTGAACAACAAATGCCCCCGATGGGTGAGATGCCGCCTTCACCTTCATCAGTTAAGGATATCATTCACGGACAGTTAGAAACGTGGTCGACTCTTTTCGAAAACATGCTGCAACAAGGCAGCCCCTATGAGACGGATTTTGAGACTTACCCGCCCATATCACTGTTACGCCTTCAACATATCATCACATGGACTCTCCTTAGTACTTGCGGACCTGGCAGGGAAATGGACTATGACAAATTCCTGCCCCAGTTCCAGCAATGCGTGGCCTTGGCGGGCGACGTAGTGGCGGCGCATGAGCGGTATTCGGGGTCGTTGAAGCCCACTTTTACGCCTGAGATCGGAATTCTACCCGTACTTTATATGATAGGTGTAAAATGCCGGCATCCTGTGGTCCGACGCGAGGTCTTGAGTATCTTGCGACGGCAACCAATACAGGAGGCGGTTTGGAATAGCATTTCTGCTGCCAGGATAGTTGAGCGGGTAATCGAGATTGAAGAGGGTGGGTCTAGGGAGGGGGGAGTTCCGCGGAGCATGGAACAAATTGCTCTGTCGCAGAGGATCGAGACTCTGTCTTGGGTACAGTCGACAGCCAGGATGGATATTACGTATACGTTCTGCGGGCGGGAGGGAATCCATGTCGAGTCAGTCATGATATAACATTGCATTCCGGCACTTAATAGATGTGAAGCGTTTAAGCGCATTCTGATCTGCCAAGAGGGTCAATATTCTCATAAATTCGGGAGTTGATTGCGCACAGTAACTGGATCGACACCAATAATACACCATCACAACAATGCACTGGACAGGCTCAGATGTGGGGGCTTTTTATTCGAATCAAGCAACACGCTGTCTGACAGGCTATAGTACACCCATGCCTCTGAGTAATCATTTTGCAGCTGTCCAAATCCCTGAATTGGCATACTAAGTTCTTCATAACCTAATGACTTGTAGGCGGGCATCAATATCCGCTCCTGATTGCGGTGTCGATGTCCTTACAACATTGCCTAGTCCGAATCTAGTCGAGGAGTCCCCCCCGCACTATCTTATCAGCGGCGGAATGGAGATTCCGCCGCGAGAAAGGCGTTGGGCTAGCGGTGATTGGATGATCCAGAGATCTCTCCACTGTGCACAAGTACTACGGAGTTTGGGCATCCAGGAGTCCAGAGTCAGGAGGAATTGTTCCTTTTATCTTTGCGGTTCGTTTTCATCCGCGTTATAGGCAAATTTCTTCTTTAAATATGCTGATGCTTCACCGCTGATAACACCAAAAACATCCATATCAACCGACAGCCAACTCATCATGAAGACGAAAAGCGCCTCAAATGAAGTACACGTCGCCGTCGTGCAGGCGGAGCCCGTGTGGCTCAATCTAGAGGCCACAACCAAGAAAACATGTCAACTTGTTGCCGAAGCAGCCAAGAACAATGCCAAAGTCATCGCGTTCCCAGAATGCTGGCTTCCAGGGTATCCCGCTTGGATCTGGTGCGTATAGCTCGTCGCTTATCCGTGTCGCCAGAGATTCTGATCCGATCTTTCCATCCAGGAGTCGCCCCGTCGACTTTGAGTTATCGCCAGAATACATGCGAAATTCCCTCCGAGTCGATTCTCCCGAGATGATCCAGATCCAACAGTGCGCGGCCGACCACGACATTGTGATTGTGCTCGGGTTCTCGGAAAATCACCACGATACTCTATACATATCTCAAGCAATTATTGGAAATGATGGAAAGATCCTCTTGACTCGCAGGAAGATTAAAGCGACGCATATGGAGAGAACCATCTTCGGCGAGCCCAGCGCTGAATGTCTCAACAGCGTGGTGGACACGCCGGTTGCGAGGATCGGCGCCTTGTCCTGCTGGGAGCACCTCCAACCGCTTCTAAAGTATCATACCTATAACCAAAGAGAGCAAATTCACGTTGCCGCATGGCCGCCGCTATTCCAACACGATGGAGGCCCTGAACTCTGGTCCATGGGAGCAGAAGGTGAGTCCCTCCCCGCATTGACGGTTAGATCGGACAGCGAACTGACATTTCGATCGCCTCGCAGGTGCCCAAGCGCTTGCCAGGGTATACGCCATTGAGTCGTCATCTTTTGTACTACATGCCACAGCTGTCATCTCGCAACCATCGATCGATTTTTTGAGAACTGCAGGCAATCCGTTCGGCACACCTGGAGGCGGATCGTCGGCCATATTTGGGCCGGACGGCCGCAAGATCTCCACGGATTTACCAGAGACAGATGAAGGGCTGATTTATGCCACTTTGAATATGCACGAGATCCACAAGGTCAAGGGATTTGTCGATGTCTGTGGGCATTACAGTCGTCCAGATGTTCTGTGGTTGGGAGTGGATGATGTGAAGAAGACGCACGTTCGATAGATTGTGGTTGAGCCAGAACAATATGTGATATAGACGCTAAACATAGCCTAGTCTCACCTGTAATATATATCTTGCGTATGGTAATAGTGTACGAAGGCACAAGACTCCATACCAGCAGAAGTTATTCTGTCCGCGGCACGAATTGGATACTGTCCTGTCGTGACACTTCTCGCTCGACAAAACTACCCTACACTGGAATCTTGCATAAAGTTAAGCACAAAATACAAGGTGGGGTCGGATCCTGCTTACGTCATCATAGCTGTCCACTCACAGGGGCTTTGTCTATCAGCTTATCTGACTTGTGATAAGACTAATTCAACCGATAAGCCAAGTGCGCTTATGTTACGGAAGCATTCCCCCATTTTCCGAAGCTTTAAGGCTTCCTACTTCCTGCGAGCCATTACCCCACGCACAAACTTGTGATACCGAACGTGCGTTAGCAGATGGAAAAGAAGTGGAATACGACCTTGGATCTCACGGAAACCATTCACGAGACGCCCGGGACTTATGGAGCTGAACGAGAAGCGCCCCAGGATCGGTCTTGCCTGCGAGATATGCCGTAAACGGAAGCGCAAGGTAGGTTATGCTCGGGGTCCTTCCGAATGGGAACTGCTGTGTGTGTTCCTATATATCCAGCTGACCAATTTCAATAAAAAGTGCGATGGGGTGCGGCCAGCCTGCTCGTGGTGCCAGGCAAACAATAAAGAATGCCAGTATATCGAGGAGAAGCCTCGGAAGTTGGTGCCCACATCCTTTCCCCCGTTTGCGTTGGCTCATTGGAATTTAGGAGAAAATGGGACGATGACTATATCACATCCTTGGAGCAGCAGATTGTACTCCTGCAAGAATATACTGTGTCCCTAGAAAAATCCGACGCTGTGTCAAACCGCCCAACCGCCATCGAGAGCATCTTCGCGGAGAGTACTGTCCACACACAACAAACGAGCCACACTACAGAACACGATACTGGGCTGGAGGCTTCTGCAGACCTTGGCCCTAGCGACGGCGGAATTTCCAGTAGTGATGCGTCTGCCCTCAATGACGTGAGCACCATGATGTGGCGGATGACAATCCGGGACGACGGTGAAACTTCATTCACTGGTCCTTCAGGCAACTTTTGCTTCCCTACTGTTCACCACGAGATCAGCCCTGGACTGGAAAACTCTGACAAGGTCCAGACCACGCTTGATATCCATGACACCGCCAAACCGATATTAGACCAGGCTTCTCGAGTGCATCTAATCGATATTTTTTCGCGCTCGATCAACCAGACACATCAGTTTGTGGATGCCTCGGCGATAGAGATCCTCAAAATGCACACCTCGCCGAATATAGAGCTGCTTGAATGCGCTATTCTAGCAGCGGCAACTGTCCTCTCTGACGCGCCAGAATCGCGAACTCTGGGAGACGACCTTTCCTCATATGCAAGGACAATAGCACTGCACGAGTGTCACAGAAATCCTGATGTTTACACCGTTCAAGCCTTGGGAATTTTGTCATGGAGAGGTCTTGCTTTGGATGAAGAAAATATGGCTTGGATGTATAATTGTAAGTGATCCACGATGGCCGGACCATGTTGTTGTACTGATCTATCTCTCAAGCCATGGCTGCAAGCCTTTGCCTCCATCTCGGTCTTCACGTCAGCTCTCTAGATTCTCTGAATGAGACTTCAAGATCTGCAAAGTCGCCCACGACCAAAGACTCCCAAAATCTCCGAGTCAAGGCATTTTGGGCATCATTTCTACTAGATAGGTACGCTCTACTGAACTTCCATCTATGAAAGCTATTCTGATCATGCAGCAGAATTGCAACTTCCTTGTTGGGGAGAAACTGCATGATACCGTGGAGGCGCGTCCAGGCGGCTCCATTTCTGAGCGCAGCTAGCTCTCCTCCTTCACAAGATGAGCTCATATTTGCAGCTCAGTGTAGATTGTGGTTCATCCACGATCAATCCATGGACAGGATGTAAGCGTTCTTTATAATGTGCCAGTTGAAACGCTGACGTAGAAACGATGCTAGCTACGCATTTGAGTTCAGTGGCCTTGATTTCACGCAAAGGCAAAGGCTTCTCCTAGAAGCTCGTGAGCAGCTCTTGTCTTTCCATCGACAACTGGATTATCGCCTCCGCTTAACTAGTGACACTCATTCACCTAACTTGATCTACCTCCATATGTCATACAACACCTCTCAGCTTCTGATTCATCGTCCATATCTCAATGAAGATCGTCAAACAAGCGCATATAAACTGGCCATTCAATCAATGTCAACAGCCGCTGGGGCCATGGCACGCCTAATTCGCGAGCACGAAAAGGATACTTCTTTCGAGGATGCGCCGCCATTCATAGCTCACAGCATCCTTACTGCCGCGATTGCGCTCCTACTAGGCGCAACATCTGCTGACAGTACAGCTAAAAGCCAGTCAATTAGCAGGTTTCGCACCTGCTTCAAAGCTCTAGAGTCGATGCAGAAGAAATTCTCTCGGGCTAAACGAGCAATGATCCTCCTTCAAGAGCTGGCCCAGAGGTGGAATACTGTTGTGGCTCTGCCAATACAATACAGTTTCCCCCTGAACATTTCTAAGGGAGGTGGCATTGGAACTGAATCAACATTGATCGAGCTCGCAGGTTCCCCTAAAACTGAGGGCTTTGACGGATATGATGGGTCATTTGCTAGTTTTGATCCGGATCTCTTGCTCATTGACCCGACTACGATTCTGGACCAAGGTCTTTTCGACTTCTCAACACCTGGTTATGAGTTGAACATGGCAAGCAGGATGTTCGATGACCCAGGCATGCCATAGTGTGATCATTAAATAGCCATGGACAAAGTTGAGCAAATCACCAAGTCAGAGGTAGTCTCCGGAAGATGGGTGGTCAACGCTCTTTCTTCCAGTCTATTAAATAAGCGGATATTGTGAGGGGTGGAGAATAGAACATAACTGCGTTGGAAGAGAATTATTTATTTCTTCTACACCTTGAAGTGTAGAATAATTGTCAAGAGGCCAAGTATGTGTATTGTGACGTATCCGACTAGCTAGCTAGGGCGAGGGAATTGGGGCTTGATTGAGGTCCAGACCGCGGCTCCATTGATCTCGTCGAGGGATGATGAACGATAGCTGAGGAAAATACGGTGCATACACCACTGAAGACAGTAGAAGAATCAGTATATTTCTCTCTCCTATTCTTCATTCCTATATGCCCCCTGATAGCTTAGTCTAACTTCTTCATATGCCTACTATGCTCAAAACTACTTAGGATGGACGAGGAAGCACGTATATAACTACCGATGAAATAATCTAGTCTATATGTTCTATAATGTCTTATCGCTTGGGAAACTCACGGGTTGCCAGAACCGTGACGAAGCAACTCTATCTAAAAGGGTATGAGGAAGAACCCCACACGATAATGAAAGAAAAAGGCCGCTCCGACTTTCTCTCACTCGACGCATGCCCAGCTGTCAATATCCTTCACGCTGCCAGGGCCTTGGTACACGTTACGCGAAGGCCAACGGCAGTGTCGACGCTTATAATCTACCCCGTCGCTCGCCGTTCCGTTCACCCAAGCCGTGCCGACCACCACGTCTGGAGCAATTCCCTCTTCAACCCAGCGCACGATGGCCATCAATACGTTCTCCTCTGGTTCCAGACTGGCCGCCGGGGAGAATCCACCGTTGCCAATGACGTTGGCACCGGGCCCACCAGAGCAGTGCCCCATGCCTGAGATACGGAAGAAGCGGTAGAACTCGTCAAGCTCTTTCGGCGCCAAGTCCATGGTCTGGGACACGTGCTCGTAGTACCTGGGCGAGTTTTCGCTTGTGATGATGCCGTCAACCTGGCCGTGGTAGTGGAGGAGCTTGCCGCCCCTGTCTCGGAACGCGGACAGATCACCTTCCCAAGTATCAATATTGAAAAGGTTGAGAGTGGAAGATAAGGGAAAATCCTCCTTCTTGAGGGTTAGGGGATCCCAGTTAGAGTCGTTGAAGATGGCATAGCGCCACCAGTCAGATGAGCCAAAGACCTGCCCATTGAACATGGCGAAGACGGCTTCGGTGGACTCGCCACCGGGCTGCATGCGGGGGTAGACGAAACTGCCTTCTGCGTCCAGGAGAGGTGAGTATATGCTGCGGACTGTGTTGGCTTGTGTCTCTGTCAGACACGTCGAACTGTTTTGGCCCTGTCCACAGATGAGACCCGAAGGGTCATAGTCGCACAGGTCAGGCGACTCCAAGATGCCGTCGACGGCGCCGTCCAGGTGGTCACACTGACTGAGGATGTCCTGTGCGATGACGGGCCATACTTCAAAGGGAACGAAGGTGTCGGCGGTAGGCGGGCCGGTTAGGGGGTAGAAGTAGGAGCTCCAAGACGTAAGGTTGTTGAAGGAGAAAGCTGGAGCTCCGGCGACGATCCCATCGAAGTCGTCGGCGAAGCTCTGAGCTTCTTTAAACCCCTGGCGTCCACCAGTCGAGCAACCCATGTAGTAGCTCGTCTTATGCTGTGTTCCGTAGAAAGTTGCGGAAATCTCTTTGCCGATAACTACGCCCGTGTGCACCGCACGGTAGGCATAGTCCTCGATGACGTCGGGATTGCCGAGAAAGGACTGTCCAGTCGAACCATCGTGGCCGTTGTTTGTGCCCACAGCCGCAAAGCCCAGTGAAGCTGCGTACTGAATATCCTCAAACTGGATACAGCCGCCGAGACCGCCATTGCCAGTGCTCAGAAACCTGCCGGACCAATCGGCCGGGAGCCAAGCCTCCATCTTGATGCCAGATCTGGCCGAAGTGGCAACTTGGGTGATGACACGGCAGAGGTCGACGGTGACGTTCTGAGAGGCGCGGCCGCAGCTTGGGTCGGCGTTGGGGAAGGTCAAGGTCGTGCCGGCCGCGACGAACTGGGCTGTAGTCGAGTTCGCATTGCGAATCTTCAGAGAGGCGGGCAGACTGCGGCAACGTTCCTCAAAAGAAGCGGTGGTGTTGTCAGCAGTGGCAAATGCGATGGGGGCCAGCCCTGAGAGCAGGAGGTTATGAAGCCGAACCATGTTGCCTGTAAGCAACCAGGCCTAGAAAGTGTCTGTAAGAAAGAAATAAGTCAAGGCGACAGTGTGGAAAGTTTTTTATTGGATGGCATAGATGCACAGCAAAAGACTTGGATTGTGGGAGATTCGCAGCTTTAATAGTAGACAACGTATATATAACAAACGAACTATACATCTACATCTGACGTCGTTACATGCCGTCATTACAGCCATGTTACCTTGCTGAAACCTCAGGGATGAGAGAAAAGGGTCATTGAGTCAGAGTTCTTAGGCAAGAGATGACCTCCCCGAGTAGTTTGCCTCCATGTGTCGAGTGGTCCTGGCATTATGCCCAGATCCGGCAGGTCTTTTGCATGGCTACCAGATAGCATACTTGGTTACGGGCCGAAGTTTGGAGTAGGTCGCATAAAGGCCCACCTGCCAACCCCCCTTTACCCTCTTAAACATCTCCGTGTTCGGTTCGATTTCTCCGTGGATGTGGACACGACCCAATCGGCCCCCGAACCTGGGGTTGCCCAAAAGTCCCACACACCGCTAGGCAGACCATACTGAGCAGCTGTCTATCTCCATATCGCCCACGCCGTTTGAGGATATTTACTATGGGGGGGACTCAAGGGCTACCACACGGGCTGCCCGGTTTCGGAGATCAACGAGAGACCCTGCTGATTGAAGTGTATGACGTTTGGCAAGGATTAATTTGGCTTGGACTTGCGATTCGGGCCCAGACGTGTTTCAAGTTGTTCTAGAACTAACCCGCGAGTCTCCCTCTGCATTTTTAGAGCTTGTTCTAAATGGCGATCACTAGATGTCAAAAGATTAGGCGCCTGAGACGCGTTGCTAGCCGCCATATGCTCAGGCACCCAAGTCTTCCAAGTGTAGATGGCGTTCGAGTGCGGCTCGGGGGAAAAGCGGCCGGGGCTCGGTGCAAGAAGGAGCGAAATGGTCACGTTTGGATACTCATATGCATCATACGTGTGATTGTTGTGGATATGTAGTTCAATGTCAGTCAAAGCGTCGGGGAATAGCCCCGAGATATATCAATTTTATTGCAAGGATGGGTGTTTAGGTTTGTCCAGGGTGTCCTGTCTTTCCCCACACTCTTCCGTTTCAATCTGAGGTGGCTTGATCTCTCGGCGCAATTTGCCTTGCTTTCGGTGAATCGGGTGGGAGCCGAGCGGACAGCAATTGGATCCCGATGGTACCGGTAAGCAGGTTGCATTAGGGCTCGTCTAGATGTCCACTTCCACTTACCAGGGATGTTGACAGGTATACCATACTTGCATGCCTGTCTTGGAACTGGAGACCCTTTTATCCCACGACCTTCACGACGTGGGCAAGTTTTCTGTCACGAGGTGTCAAGTCTTGGTCTCAAACGGAGCGAAGAAAGAAGCCTGCCGTAGCTGGGCCGCGGAAGGATTGGAGTAGAATAGCTGCTGGACTATGCCATCTCACGAGAACTACGGAATAGGTTAGCTATCACGCGCCTTTACGAGCACGACAGTATACTACGTATGCGACATACACCGCGGACCGAATAACAGCAGTCGATCGAGGTTCCCCGCGCTCGGTACCTTTTGCTCCGTGAGCTGCTTTGGTGCGTTGGGGCCAAGATCGGTCATCCGCACATCGCCATCATGCCCACTGTTGCTTGCTGGCCGTTGGTTAAAAGGGAGCCTTCAAGCCCGCTCCAAAGTCAATCCACATGAATCAGGTCCTTGCCACCAACAGGCTGAAGCTACATGATATATATCGATATACATAGAAACCCAAGATGCGGTATTCGCCGATCCTCGTCTTTGCCGCGGTCCTGCTGGCCCCCGTCTCTGCCGCGGCGTCGTCGTACAGCGCGGTAAAGGCCGTCCGTCTCAGCGTCGACGGGCGTACCGACAACCCCCTGGGCCTCGGAAACACGCGTCCTGTCCTTGGCTGGCAGATGATGCAGGCCCGCGACTGCGCCGAGCCCCTGTGCCCGGCGGACCGGCAGACAGCCTACAGAATCCAGGCCGCTGCCACCGTCGCGGACCTGCAGACGGGCAGGCTGGTTTGGGACAGTGGAAAGGTGGGCAGTGACTTGCAACAGGTGCCCTTTGGGATTGAACTCGGCTCCCGCGACACTGTCGTCTGGCGAGTGCGAGTCTGGGACGCCCGCAGCGAACCCTCGGACTGGTCGACGTCTTCGTCATGGACCATGGGCCTGCTTGACCAAGCCGACTGGGGCGACGCGCGTTGGATCGACTATCCCGGCCGCACTGAGAACCAGCCATTGCCGCTCTTAGCCCGCCAGTTCAACATCCCCAGGGGCAAGAAGGTCGTCGATGCTCGCCTCTACCTGTCTGGAGTCGGGATGCACCACGCCACTGTGAACGGAGAGGAGATAACTGACGAGGTCCTCACTCCGGGCTACTCGAACTACCAGCTCTCCAGCGAATACCGCACATACGATGTCAAGAAGGCGCTTCGCTCCGGCGCCAATGCCATCGGCGTCAGCCTCGGATACGGCCCGGCCTACGTACGCCGGAGCGTCAAGAACGCTGCCGTCGGCCGCAACTCGCCCTACGCGTGGTGGGAGAGCCAGCTCAAGGGCAATGGCACCCTCGTCGCCGACACGCCGGCCGGCAGCACGACGGTGCAGCTCAGTAATACTACTGGGTACCATGTAGGCGGCACCATCAACATCGACACGGGTGGAGGCGGTGATAAGCTCGAATCACGCAAGATCACCGCCATTGGCACCACCACCATCACCTTTACACCTGGACTCAAACTAGCACACGCAGCCAAGGCCCAGGTCACCGGCTCAGGTAACAACATAGCCGCCAGCGACGCATCAGCCGGTGCCGCCGTCACTCCTCGCCTCATCGGCCGTCTCGAGGTCATCTACATCGACGGCAGTGCAACGACCATCGTCACCGACCGCTCCTGGCGCACCAGGCTCGGCCCGCTGGTCACCAACGGGTGGTACTCCGGCTCCGACTACGACGCCCGCCGTGAACAAGCCGGCTGGGACGGCCCTAACGCTGATCTCAGCTCGCATCTTGGCTGGGTCGCAGCCGGCCTTGCGCCGCCGCCCAACCTCGCTACGAAGCTGGTCGCCCGCGCCGCCGAGCCCGTCAAGATCCAGGAGCGCTTCACGCCGGTGTCGGTCACGAACCCGGCCCCCGGGACTTGGGTGTTCGACTTTGGCCAGAACATAGCCGGTTGGCCGCTCCTCAAACTCCCCAAGCTGCCGGCCGGCATCACCGTCAGGATGGCACCCGCCGAGTCCCTCGCAGCCAACGGCACCGTTGACCAAACGTCGCTGGGTGCGTCGCAGGGTGCTGGATCTCGCGGCACCGACATATTCAACACCTACACCACTGCGGGCCGTGCCGGAGGTGAAACCTGGCACCCGGAGTTCAACTACTTCGGCATGCAGTGGGTCCAGGTCTCCGGGCTTCCGGACGGCTTCCGGCCCCGCCGGGATCTGGTCACCGGGCTACGCCTACAAGCAGACGTGCCAGTCGCCGGCACCTTTACCTCGTCGGACGCTCGCCTCAACCGCATCCATAAGATGGTGCGGTACTCATTTGCGGCCAACATCATGTCCGTCTTCACCGACTGTCCGGGCCGCGAGAAGCTCTCGTATCCGGCCGACTACACCATGCCCATGGGCGCCATCTCCCGCAACTTCCACCTCTCTGCCTTTATGCGCACCACCATCCGGCACTTGGCCGAGGGCCAGTCCATCGCGGATACGTCCATGGCCGGCAACGTCGCGCTCAAGACGCCCGTCTACGATTGGGGATACAGCGGCCGCTTCGGCGACGAGATCAACTGGGGCGATGCCATCGTGCTCGTGCCCTCCCTGCTGCACGACCTGTACGGCGATACGACCGTCATGGCGGCCTACTACGACCGGATGACGGCTTTCGTCGACTACATCCAGCGCGAGAAGGTCCAAGGGCACATCGTCGACGCAGCCCTCGCTGACTGGGTCGAGGACGACAGCCAGACCTCGGGCCGCATCACCGGCACCTGGGGCTACTATCTCACCATCAGAGCCATGGCCCGCATGGCCAACATCACCGGGCACACAGACGACGCCGACCGCTACACGATCCTGGCCGGCGAGATCCGCGACGCCTTCAACGACGCCTTCTACAGCGACGCCAGGGGCCTCTACACCAACACCGGCAACAACGGCACCAGCAACGCTACCCAGGCCGCCCAGGCTTTGGCTCTGGATGCAGGGCTCGTGCCTGATCAGCGCCACAAGCAAATCCTTGATGCCCTGGTCAAGCTCGCATACGACTATCCTTCGAGCGACGGCCGAGGGCCACATCTCAGCGGTGGCACTATCGGCATGGGCCCCATCGTGCGAGCACTGTCGGCCGGCGACCGCGACGACGTGCTCTGGGCAGCGCTTCAGCAGAACGATAGGCCCAGCTACGGCTACTTCATGGCCCCGACCGAGGCCAACCCGGGCGGTTTCACCACCATCGGCGAGGAATGGAGCCGCAGCGCGTCCAAGAACCACATGATCCTTGCCCAGATCGACGAGTGGTTCCACGCCGGCGTCGCGGGCATTCGCCCAACCGCTCTGAATAGCATCAGCTCCACGTGGGAGGATCGGCTCGTCTTCCAGCCCAAGCTGATCGGTGACCTCGAGAGCGCCGCGGGGACCTACCAGACCCCGAAGGGCGAGGCCCGCAGCGAGTGGAAGAGGACAGCCAAGGGGGCCTTCACCCTGAGCGTGACGGTCCCGGCCAACACCAAGGCCGAGGTGCGTGTGCCAGCTAAAGGTGCTGTACAAGCCTCCCGTCGTGCCAAGCGTGTTGGCACTGATAATGGCTACGCAATTTACACTGTCCCCTCCGGCACACATACCTTCAAGGCTACGATAGTTGCCTAGGTCATCATTCCCGCATTCCTCCCCATCCTACATGCGCAAGGGTGTCGGCGAGGGGACTTGGGCTAGGTTGCTATGCATAGAGGTTGGTGGCTCCTAGGCGTAAGTCGTTCAGGTGAAGGTCGGATCCATGTGGTGGTAGAGCTGGTGAGGCGCACCATGACGTCTGTCTGGTTGATGACGGAGGGTAGATCCGCGTCTAAAACAGAGTGGCTGTGTGATTGACTGTACTAAGTGACAGCTTTTATTGTAGGTAGTTGCGTTCGCTTCTATAACAACCTAACCCGTACCCTTAGTGGTGTTAGTAACTCTTTAGATTACTTTACTATTGAAATGTGTATGGAGATAGAGCCAGTATAAGTATAAAGAAAAAGCGGAATATGGCTAAATTCAAGATACTGATAATATACTGACTAGTGACATTGTTAAAATCACTGTTCTGACTACTGTTTAAAATTCTGCAAAAGGCAAACATTTGGACTAGAAACCTTAGTCTTTCTGAGTAAAATTTTAACCTTTAAATAGGCTGGGTATATATAGTCTGTATTATGTGCTGGGTGTAGCACTTATTGTTTATCTCTACTGTTTGAGATTACTGTGTGGCTTTGATCTATGTGATGATATTGAGTAGAGCTAAAAAAAAAACCAAATAGTCTGTATTATTAATAATATTATTGGTGTTTTCTTTTTATTGTTAAGCTTCTAGCCCCCCCTCTGAGTATATGTACTAGGGCATCCTAACTTCTTTATAGTAACTAGTGTAAATTAAAGCTAGATTATTAATTAATACTCAAAATAATTAGTGAGTTATACTTATAGTATAATATTGTTATTTTCCTATTTTAAGTCATACCCATAGCATAATATTGTTATTTTCTCACCCTTTCACTCTCGATCCCATCACCGTAAATGCCTTCAAGTTTACCAATAGTAGGTAAGCAACATGTTTGGCTCTACTCACAGCGTTCTATTAGTAGGTCGACGTAAGTCATACGTTCCAAGAAAGTATTCATCTTTTATTAAACTGGACTAGTCTTGGATTTTTTATGCTTATGATCCGGCCAAAACGGTTCCACATGCCCCCAAAAGCTGGATGCAAAGGTCCCGTCACCAGTCAACATCTATCTACTCCATCCACATCACCTGCTACCACCTGAATTTCTTCATCGCCGCTCCAGGCGCCGATACTGATATCCAGGGTCTAATGTCAACCACTAGTTACCTCGGTAGTAACGGCGAGAGAAGCCTCGGGCACTGTTGCAGCCAACATTGCCCGTCTCTTCCTGGGCGAGAGGCGTCACGACGCTAGAAGGGGTAGAGTCGACAATAGTAGTAGTAGGGGTTGTGTTCTCATCAGCGCTCTGCTCAGAGCCGCTGGGGAACACGCCAGGGCCAGGCATAGGGTAAGAGGTGCCACCGCTGTAAATGCTGTAGTTGGGAGACAGTCCATCCGTTGTGCTATCGTAGACACCGGGGATCTTGACCAAGTCGGAAGGCTCGAGGGCAGAGCCAGTGTTGGTGACCTCGACATGAGCGCAGTTGAAGTAGAACTCGGTACCGGAAGGACGGTGAAGAGCCAGGTGCTCGATGCGGACAAGGTACTGGCCACTCGGGACCTCGGCGGGGATCTGGAAGTCGATACGGTTCTTCCCCCAAACTAGCCAGTTCTCACCAGAGCTTTGCATAGGGAAGTTGGCGCCCAGCTCATAGATCTTGAACCAGTCGCCGGAGCCGTCGTAGGTAGTAACATCGCCGGTGGTGGCCTTGGACATGTAGACTTGGATTGCGCCAGGGTGCTGAATGTTGGCTTCGAGGTTGGTGCCAAAGCCAATGGTGTCACCAGAGTTGACACTGGCGAGTTTGGTTGATCCGGCATTGGCCTGGGCTCCAGTGTTGCATCGCATCTCGTCGCTAGACAGGATGTCGAAGCCGAAGTGAGGCTGGAATCCCTGAGTCGAGCGGCGAACGTACTCATACTCCTCAGACTTGACGTCGTTGACATACAGGTGAGGGAAGAAGTAGTGAGCCGAGACCATGCTGGGCAGGGCGGCCAGAGCGAAAGAGGTGGCGATAGCGAACTTCATTTTGTCAAGTGTAGGGTCGAAACGGGGGACTTGATGGTGAATGAATCTCAAACGACTGGGTTTAGATAGTAGCCTCCGGGGCAAAAGCGAATGCAATTCTCGGCTAGCGAGTGAAAAGAATGAAGGAGTAGACAGAGTGTTGTCGAGTGTGGTGAATAAGCGGATAGAGATCAACTAGAAGATGGTAACGAGATCCCTTAAGTACTCTTCCCCCGCCAAACGTCCTGAGATACAAGGGTTGACGATGCCCACTTTTGTCCATCAAATGAGGCGGTAAGTCTGGGGCGTAGCCGCTGGCTGGACCTATGATGTTCGTCCCTTATGCTAGATACTTTATTGGTGGGAGTTGTCAAGGTCGCTTACCTGCACCTGTCGGCCAAGGCAAGTTGGTGAAACAGACGATGCTTGCTTGTTTTTGCTACCATGTCCAAGCTCCCTGAATGTCAATTCTATTACTCTGGCGGGGTAAGACTTGAGCTGTAGAGCAATGAGGGGACACAATTTTCTTAACAGACAAACAACCATCAGGATTCTAGATGGGATTGAGATGAGTTGCTTTCAGTGCCACCACGTTCCTTCGTCACCCCAAATAGCTTATGGTAGATATTAAGCATGAAAGCATATTTTGCTCTGGTAGTGGATCTCCTCGACCTATGGTTCCATGCATACTGTTCTTTAATCCTAGTCAGATAAGTCGGCGCCCTGAGGCTGAAATTAACACATGTGGTCCATTGTCTTGTTCCCCATCATTAGCCCCAGCCCGAGTGCAACCCTGATATCAGCCGTACTGGAAACAATGGAGAGTTAATTGAGGTCCAGCACTGGCATGCTGTCATTTTCTCTCTCCCCTGTCTTTACCTGAGACTGGGTCTGTTAGGGGGTGAAACCAAGATCTGGTACCTTTGTTCTAGACCAATGGAACAAACGACTACTTAGTCGTTTGTGGAGTGGCGGGTCCTTCGCTTAAAATGCTGATTCCCGAGGGTATGGTCTACGCTTAAGGAAGAGATGCCTGTATCTACATGTGAGCCATGGTGGGAGACCAGGGATTGTTTATTTAGTACGCAATAATATTACGTGTTGATATTAAGTCTGCGCGGTAAATGTCAGAGATGATTAATTATGTGAATTGAACTAGATTGAAAACAATCTGAGGTATGAGTACAATTGATTACCCGGGAAAGATGTTACATATCCGGAAAGTATCGAGCACTGTGCTGTTGTACCTTCTTTAACCAAACCTCGCCCTCCTCCCATTCGCCGCTTGAGAACCTGCATTGTGCCATGAGGTGGTAGTAGCACAGTTGGAGATCCTCCCAGCTCGAACCGCCTCGATTTAGAGGATCTTCGAGCCAAGTCCGCATCGAAGCTAGGTTGCGATCCGCTTCTTCGAATCTCCCCTTGGAGATTAGACGATCGGCTAGTCTATAGAGATAAGCGACCTTCATGGTATCGAGAGTAGTCACATCCATCTCGGGAAAGTCAGACTTCAAGTCTCTTGGTGTCCGACCCATGTAGTCCAAGAGCAGATAGTAGTGAATGTTGACTCGTTCAACCATACGGCTACAAGGACAGAAATTTTGGAATTTATCGAAGGAAGCCTCTATGACGGTGGCGATCATATCATATTGATCTTCGTCCGAGACATAAACAAGCCGGTGGAGTAGGCGAGCCAGAGGATACCCAGCGCTAAAAACCTTGACTATTATGTCGTGGATATGTCGGCTCAGTTTGAATGCCAGCTCCTTGTATCGTTGGTCAAATATCGTGACTATTTCGCAGAGAAAGAAGACGACACTGACATCTGCGTTTGTAAGTATATATTCGAGGTTATCAAGTGCCTTGTTCAGCACGTGGAAGCCCGGTTGCATTCTGTTCGCCAAGATCAGGGAGCGGGCTTGATCCAGTCGCCTTTGACATCTAATGCCATCAGGAAGAATATTCAGCACCTTGGCGCTAGATGCATCCGAAGCTGCGTTCAACGCAAAGCGAGTGTCATAATAACCGTCCATCAGTCCAAGAACATCATCCAAGAACCTGAGAGAATTGGAAGCATGCATGACTGGCTCTGGAGATGGCGAACGGCATATTAGATCGGAGTCGAGCGTACCGATCTGAAGCATGCCCGCGTTGATCTTCGTTTGCAGATCCGGCCTGCGTTGCAGATATCTTTGGACCTGTTCCCAGTCAACCGGTCTCCCTCGTACGAGGAAGGCGGATTGTTTCCCAGCAGCATCGCGCTGCTGCTTGAGGAGGAACATCTGAACCACTTCTTTCTCTCTGAGCTTTTTATCCAAGCCCCATTTCTGGAGACGGTACTTGTACATTCTGGGTCTATTGACAGCTTAGCACAGGGCGTTCATGCTGAAACAACGGGAGAGTAGCCACCGACGTTGCACTGAAAGAGTATCTCCGTTGCATCGTCTCGATCACTTCAGCGAGGGGCTTGGCCTCGTCATAGTAAAGCCGGGTGATATGCCGGCGTAGGCGGGCCCAGTCCTCGTCTGTGTACGCATTGGCTGACATGACCCAATCAGGTCGCGGATTGTCCAAGAACTGAGTGGGTCAAATCCGAAGTATCCGAAGAATCCGAGTATGTAGTCCGAAGAATCCGAGATGGTGGCGTCCAAAGTGACAGGGTATAATCCGAAAATGCAGGGGGTAACCTGAAATGACAGGGGTGAGATGGAAGAAAACTGACAAATCTGCCTGCGAACTCATACGCGGGAGTCGTTCCTTTTAGATAATTCAGGTCCCAGGATTGGCGAAGAACAAATAGACAATCCCACTTACGGATCCTGGACGCTTGATACAGCTAGTCGCGCTGTCTCCGATTGTAATTGGTCGACAACAAAGGAACGGTGCATTCGCGTTTCACGTGGTTCTCGGTATCGAGCCGCTAAGCGAGAACAGACAAGGGGATGATGACATGGTGGTGAGATCCCGTATCCCTTCGACAGTGTCAACGCGGCCTTTGAGAGCGGGACAGGGATATCAGCAAATGAGAGAAAGTCATATGTAGGATACATCGATTGCTGCCTCTTCACCGACAAAAACGGATTATTTCTGATTGTCCTGTGTACCCGAGTCAGAGTGAGGTCTTCACCAACATCATCGTACTCGTAACCTCTAACGGGAGCTGTGGAGACATCGCGAGAAAGCCGCCCTTGCACTGTCAAAGCGATACAGTACACCACATCCCGTGGGGCAAGTTACTAATGGCGTGGTCATCAATTGTTCTTAGATTTGTTCATGCCGTAGGTTGGCCTGGGTCCGCTCACTAGCTAAAGCTGGAAGGTTTTACACGGAACCCCATTTCTGGCCAGTAATTTCTCCACTCCACAGCCTCGTTGGCGTGCCGTACTTCCACTGAAGTTCCCGCCTGGACGTCACAATCCTGCTGGTAAGGAGAAGAAGATCCTTTGTGTCTGCTTTCCCAATGCTGTATGCATCTACAAAGAGGCATCGCCGCGGAAATTTTGGCCAGACAGTGGGTTAATATATCGGTCACCCATCCAGAGGCCAAAACTCTGATGAAATTGCATTCGCGAAAGTTAAGAGAGACATGGATAAAAAGCCATGGCTTCGGGGCGATGGCTGGGGACTATGCAGGGGTAGGCTGAACATCTGAGGTGAGCCCTTTGGAATTCATCGACGTGTATCTGTCCCATGTTCGAATTGTTTCATCAGGGTCGAGTTCGTACAATAAATCCGGGACCCTGATGATGCTTCCTTGCAGCTGACTGCATAGGGGCTGTGGGGTATTAGAACGGTCGAGGCCCCTTTGTGAGATAAGTACTTCGTACCATCCCGCGGAGCCCGAGTCCCGAACGCAACGTCGATCTCAAACCCAAGGATCCAGGGCGTTCGGCGTTCTCTCCGTCAAACGACTAAAATTCCCAATAAACTCGAGTACTCTAATGGCAGGGGCGATTTTGAACCTAGCATAATTACACCCACCTCACTGTCCCTGTTGGGCGTACTGAGATCAAGATGTTTGCAACTTGGGGGCAGGTTGCTGAGTCCAGAGAGGCCGCCAGCCACAACTGGAGCAAAAATTGACCAACAAGCTAGTACCATGTCATTGTGCGCATGTGGGCTTCAAAATTTAAGGGATTGGACAAATGAGGGTAGTTTGATCGCCATGGCAGCAGCGGGGTGAAGCCACAGGCTTCAAGAATCCAGACAGGGAAAAGAATATGACAGGACGGAAGTTCGAGCGCACTCTACTTCCGATTAGTCATTTGTACCCCAGGTACCATAGTACGAGTTGTGGTTTCAGCTTCGACAGGAGCAGCTTTTGGCAGTCTGGAAGTGGCCGGGAGGGATGTAGGGGGTTGGCTCATCCAGAATCCTACCGAGGGGCTGGATTCATGTCTCCGGCAAGCACAGGCCGGCCAGTGAATGTTGAAGCTAAATTATTTGATCCAATTTTCAGCGCGATAGTCCCCCTGATGCTCAGTGCTTAATATGCTGATCATAGTCCAAGACCAAGGTAAATACCTGCGCCTGATATTAGACATACATACTGTATTTGTGCTATTCTGCATTGAGTTCGCTATCGGAGTAATATTCTATATAAAAGTCGTAATAAAATACTATATCAAAGTCTCTCTCTAAGGATTGATATTTATTCAAGAGGGTTAGAGGGTATCCCTTGCTAAATACAGTACGTATAATCCCCGCTGTGTTCTCTGCCCTAGCTATAGAGCTAGCTTATCCAAACCCTACTTTAATACTCCCACTTAAGCTAGATAATAAAAGCTATTTTGGCTACATATCAAGAGGTTAGGGTACCCTAGTACACACATATCTAGAGGGGGGACTAAAAGCTCAACAGAAAAAAAAACACCAACAATAGTATCAATAATACAGATTATACACCCAGTCCATTCAAAGATCAACAGTACACTCAGACAGACTAAGGTTTATAGTCCAACTGTTGGCTTTGTATATAGTTAAGTTTTCCTGCCATTACTGCTCCTGGCAGACAATCTTTCTTTTTCTCCTCTTTAGCTGGTATTTTATAATCTCACTTTAGATACCCAGCTTGTTTCTATCCCCAGCAAACTCCAGCTTTCTTGCTATAAGTATAGAAGACCTAGGATTTTACCAACTTAACTGCTAATAGAGCCTTACGCCGGCTCTTGTTAACTAAGGTATTCTGGATCCGATAGATTGTCAGCTTCCAGCCCTACTGTTTCTTATACTGGATCCAGCTGGCTCAGTTATTAAAAACACTCTATATACTGATAATAAAAAGGTTGAACTCTAAGTCCTCTGGATGGCTTCCTCTAATAAATATAAGCCTAGCTACCAGATCCCTCTGTCTGTCAAGATAAGCCCCTGCCTCCGCAAAGCTCTCAGCCCTTATAGCCGTAAGCTGTAGTAGCAGGGCCCCCTTTCTGTGTGTTATATGCCCGTTATAGCGCCGGATCAATACCTCCAACACCTCCGTGCCTGTCTTTTACAGGCTTATCACTGCAGTTGCTTCTTGCTTTATACAGCTCTGTATCTCTAACAGCAGCTTGCCCTCGCCAGCTCGGCTGAGGATCACAACTTCCACCCAGACGGCTCTATATAGTTCGTTGGTGGGAGAGGTCTTTAGTGCAGACCACCACACCCGTCCTTAGGGTATGGGGCTAGAGGGATAAGGGATAAGAAAAGGCATCAGAAAAGCTGATTCAGCAGCAGAAAGAGTCAGGAAAAATAACCACTTAATCACTTACCCCAGGGGAGATGCACAGAAGATCGACGCATAGTCATCTTGGATAGTCACCTGAAGCTGCATCAGAATACGCGTATAGGGTCTGATAGGCATCGTAGTGACGGTCAAATTAGACTCAAATAAGTCTCTTAAAAATAAAGACAGCAAATTAATAGACTTGTTAGTCGTATCTAGACCTTACAGTCCTTCTGACTTTGAGGAAAGATCTCTGAAGAATTGAAAACGATGCCCTCAGCTCTGTATAGGCTCCAACCTTCCCTTTCAACCTCATTCGGACCACCCTAGAGAGAACCCTGCTAGCATCCAGCTATCTCAAGTGTTCCTAACCGCCTGTCACACTGTCTCCTGAGGGTAAGAGGCACTAAGAGCAATTAATCAATTGCTTCGGAATATCTTTAGGAAGAAGAAAAAGGAAATTAACGATAAGAGCTGCTTCGACAGCTATAGTAAATAAGTGTACTGAGACCGAAGGGATTATATTAATTAAAGAACGGAAAATTCATACCGTCTTAGTTTTTAGGCAGACTCAAACCCTTAAGCAGGGACTGCCTAAGCTAGCCACAAGCCCCCCGTACCATATTAAACTCTAGGTGGACTGTTGGTCCTATCACAATAGCGAGCTGTAGAGCTGCCTCTTCCATACAGGCCGGTCTTTAAGCTTCTTCGAATACAGACTCTTCGGCAGCCTTATCTTAAAGCCCTTAAGATGTCGGGCCCTTTGGGCTATCGGCCGATCGTCAGCTTTCTCAGATACCGTCAGGGCAGGGGACCTTGTTGGGGCTCTAGCCGGAGCCCTAGCCTTCCTAGGCTCCCTTTGATCCTTTGTCTATTCCTTTCTTTTGGCAGACGATATTTCAGAGACCTGCTTTGCTTACTGGGACTTTTTTCTTTCTTGCCAATGCCTTTAGCTCCTGTAGCCGCTATTCGAAGTGCTGGGTCTGCTGCTAGATAGGAGTATCCGCATTAGGATTGTAATTGTCGTCGTTTTTGTCGTTGTTATTGTTATCGGTATTATTAGGATCAGACCCTTTGAGTTGGACAACTTTATTTCCTTCTTCTGGATGCCCAGCTTCCTGCTCGATTCTGCCCTCGCGGACACCTTAAGCCATAACATCAGGCCTGCTGATACCAGACATCCTGAAAAGCCTCAGCTAGGGCAGCCTCAAGCTGCCTTTACCGGGTCTTAGCCTCTTATCTTGGCAACCTCTCTTTCTGCAGTAGCCGCTCAAGAGACTTTTGTAAGGAGAGGTTATTTTCTGGACAATTTAGAACATTTATGCCGATATGACGGTGAGATAACCGGGCTTATAATCTATCAAAGTCTCTCTCTAAGGATCGGTATTTTATTCAAGAGGGTTAGAGGGAATCCCCTGCTAAATACAGTGCGTGCGTTCACCGCTGCCCTCTCTGTCCTAGCTGTGGGTGTTGGTGGACCTGACTGTCCGACCCTTGTTCCGACTTGTCCCGTATTTTGCCTGAGATGCTAGGCACGTAGCGACAGAGCTGATCCCCCCTGAGACACACCCACCGTCTGTCACGCATAGCTAACCCCCTAGTCATCATCATCCAGTTCATCCGCTCCTGGCATCGTCCCTTTCATTCCACTAGTAGGGCTAGCTTGTATGCTACTTCCCTTAACCGAGACTAACCCCTGAGAACCATGCTTTTTGTGCTCTTGATGTCACGGGAGCTGAAACCGACACGAAATCCGAAAGATCCCTTGGGGACGACCCAATCCTGAGCCTTGACATCCCAAAAGCTAACATCTCGGCGCTGCAGCTCGAAGACAATGTTCTTCGACTCTCCCGGTTCCAAGAAGACCTTCTCAAACCCTCGAAGCACGTGAAGGGGGGTCCCGGCTGGGGTGCTACTCTGCGGAAAAGACACGTACAGTTGTGGAACTGTGGCGCCTGCGATGGAGCCCGTATTGGTGACTTTGGAACGGACCTTGATAACTGTCTCCCAGAGCTTGGGATTGCCGCCAGGACTGGACACCTTGGTCTTCGGAGGTCTAGCTGTAAGTGTGGAGACAAGCTTCTCTACCTTCACCTGGCGTTGCAGCTCAAAAGTGGTGTAGCTCAGGCCGAACCCAAACTCGTAGAGAGGATCGATGTCGTTTGCATCCAGGTGGCGGTAGTCAATAAACTGCCCCTCGGTAAAGTCGGATTGCCATGCGTCAGGGCTAGTAACCTCTGCGTTGGTGAGATTGACAATAGGAATGTCGTAGTCACTCGCGTTGGCGGGAATTGAATACGGAAGCTTTGCAGAAGGATTGACATTACCCCACAAAATGTCCACGATGGAGTTGCCTGATTCTTGTCCTGGGAGATGAGCTGCAATAATGGCGGTGACGTTCTCATTCTCAGCCCACGGCATTGTGTTGATACCGGCAGAGTGCGTGATGACGATTGTGTTTGGGCATCTCTTGGCGACATTCTCGACGACGAGGGTTGAATTCCAGTCTGCCTCATACTCAGTACGGTCCCACCCCTCAGATGCATAGGTGCCAAGGAAGACAAGGCAGACTTCTGGGGTGGGATATAGGCCGATGAAAGTATTAGCTGCGAGGACTTTGTTATGAATGATGTGTTGCAGTCGAGCACCAATCTTCGCGGCCTGCGCTCGCACTGCCTCCAAAGGCGAGACTAGATAGACGTGACGGCCGGTTCCCGAGCCACCGCCAATATCAACAGTGCCAATTTCATAGGCATCGGTATAGGTGAGTCCATCCGTAGGGTCGGCTGCATCGTTGCCGAAAACTCCGATGGACTTGGGCGACTTGAGCGGTAGCACCGAGTTGGTGTTCTTCAGCAAAACGGTGCCCTCGGATGCCATCTGGCGGATAAAGACTGCATGATCACCTTGAACATCTCGACTGGGAATGTCCACATTTCCAATTGACAATCCAACCGTCGCAGCCAAAGTGAGAATGAGCGAGGGATCGACCGTGGGGAAGTCTGCGCTGTCTTGACCGAGCAAGTAGTACGGGGCCATGATTTTCCGAATCATGTCGTCGATCCGTTTTTGCGACACGGTGCCTTCGTTCAAATACTTTGTGATGTTGCCGCCCCAGTAGCTGGCTCCCGTTGCCAATGAACTGGCGTCAAGGACTCCAGGCATATTCAGATCAAGGCCGGCATTGATAGACTTGACTCCTGAATGTGTCGCAAACCAGTCTGACATGACGTATCCCTTGAAACCAAGTTCGTCCCTGAGGATATCCTTCAGTATGAAGTCGTTTTCGCACGCGTAGGTTTGGTTAACGCGGTTGTAGCTGCACATGAAGCTCGCGACGCCGGCTTTGACAGAATCTGCAAACGGCCACAGATACAGCTCGTGAAGAGTTCTGTCATCAATATTGGAGGAGATGGCATCAATCTCGGTTCCGTCTGCGTCGAAGGTATTTGATCGTTGAGTCTCTTGCTCGTTTCCGATGTAGTGCTTGGCGCATGCTTGAACCCCAACGGACTGAATGCCTTGGATGGTGCTTTCCATGGCTCGGCCTGTGAGATACGGATCCGGGGAGAATCCCTCCCAATTCCTCCCTCCGAGAGCATGGCGTCCAAGTGGTCCGGCAACAGGACTAAAGCAAAACACGTTTAGCCAGAGTACGGATGGGCAAGGCGTGCATTTCACTCACCCTAAGAGGACATGGCCACCCTTGCCTCTGAATTCTTCACCCAATGCCTTGCCTCTTGCAAAGATAAGATCTTTGTCCCATGTTGCAGCTGCTGTTAAACCGCTAGGGAAAATGCTGACAAGATCTGCACGGTTGAGAGCTTGGGGGCCATCAAGGAGGCAGAGCCCTCGGAAACCCAGTCTTTCAATAGGAACGATGTTGCCAATGCACCCACTGCTACTAAGATCAAGGGTTCCAGTAATCATGCCGATCTTTTCTGACGGATTGAGTTGCGAAACAAATTTGTCGGCTTTTTTAAATGCTGCCTGCCAAGCTTTGTTATCTAGTCCCGATGCATCTTCTTTTGAGTTAGTGGTGAAACACAGTGATGTCAACTCAGTCACTTACCAATGCTGGCGCTTCGCGCCAGTCCAGCGCTGTAAACGACAAGAGAGAAGATCTTCAGCAACATTGTGATTTGACTTTCAAAGATGTTTTTATTTCTGTCTGTGCTCATTAAATTTCTGTCTCCAACGTCTCTTATTTATGTGTCCAACGGCGCTGTTAATTTCCAAGTTGATGAAAGGTAGCAGCCACATCCAGACCTCTCTAAGTCAGCTTGCCAAGAAACTAAACAATTCAATCATATGAGGGATATCCTGATGATTCCAAGAAGGCCCGAGCGGAAGTAAACCGGATATCGGCATGTAACCTCGTTTGTAAGTAAGGGTTTAGCTCATCAGTGTGTTCCCGGTCCTTTTCTAGCACCGAGGAAACTGCGCTGCACGAGAGCCTATTCAGAAGGGTAAACTAAAGCGAAAAGCATTCCATTTGCTGGGACATGTCTAATTTTCCGATCATGCGGACGAACACTGCGTGATACTTCGGGCCGTTTCCACGATTTCGACACTTCCCCGCACTCCGACGACGAGACATCGCAGCAATCACTCCACCAAACAAGCTCTTTATGGAGAAAACTCCGATCGTCTGGGGTAGCGGATGATCAGACAGACAGACCCCAGTTCATGCACAAGGGGACAATCCCACAGCGCGCTATCGATTGCCGAAAAGTCGGACCGATCTCCACAACCAGACACACTCGTAAAGAGTCAGGTGCGCGTATCAATACGCGTATTCCGTTTAGTCGGGATATCTCTTCCCGAGTATGTGTGATCATGAACTACGATGCAACGTGGGGCTTAGGGCTAGCAAGGATTGGGCGTGTTGTTGGGGACATGAACGGCTGGGCTTGAGCAAGCTGCCTGGGTATCTTAGCCCGAGATGCTAGCTTTCCGTTGAACCAGTGTATTCCAGTTGCTGAGCTGACTCGCATGGTAACGGAGTCGAGGGACGCATTCTCTGTAATTTCTCATTGGGATGGAGATAGGAAGAGACGATAGGATGTGGAGAAAACTCAGATCCAAGGTCCGTTCAGCCGGTATCACGCCTTCAGTGATGCGTAGACTAGACTGCATATCCATCAAGTCGTATGATAATCTCAAGCGTATTCACTCTTTCCCGTGTACTCCATCTGCTAGTCGTCACATTCATCCTGTCTCTAGCTCGGCGTAATTCCGGAAGGTAATGAATACCATCACCCTTTGGTCTGGCTGCATGTAACTAAACCCATTCGAACGCAGCCATCTCGCTTTCACTCCGGCAATATCCCCGCAGGGTGTAGTTCAAGTTCTTAATCATGTGGTAAGTCAGCGATGACATTCGTATGCTACGTTCGGTCGTGTGAAAGTTGGCCATTTTGGGGATAAGGCTGCAGTTAGTGCTACTTCAATTGACGATTTTGGACTCTTCTGGAAGTACATAACCGTTTTTGCAGCTGTTGAAGCAGACCCTCTATGAGAGCTAGTTAATAGTGCAAAAGTAATCGGAAACCATGTTATCGCTCTCGCCATAGTAGTCATCTAAGAATTTTCAACATTATACACATAATATCGTGGGGTGCATTACCCCTTTGGAGGGTTGTCGATGACCGCTGGAGACGTTTTCTATGACTAGGTTAGCATACATATCCTGTTTACTACCGTTTTGGGATCATCGAGGCCGAGACCTGTCGTCATTCCAAAAGTTCAACCATTATGTATCTGTTGCATCTAGCAGATGGAAATGATTATATGTGTGAGAAGCTCTTGACATTCTTCCTATCTGAATGAGGGTCTTTGGATCCGGTCAGTCTTATAGACTAAGAGACTGACGATGACCTCGGATGACCTCGGACAGCCGAGAGGCTCCGGATCCGTCGGAGTCTTTGGCTTCAACTAGCTATTGATAAAATCAATGAAAGGTTAGGACTAGGGCTTATTCTGATGAAGAGGCCTGTGATGAGGCAAGTGACGATGGACGCCCGTGATGACAGAGGAAAAGCTTCACTTCCGTCATAACCGCAGAAATCCGATATCCCGAAATCCTGATACATGTGACAGTATCACATCCCACAGGGTTAAGTGTATCATTGGCCGCAGGGAAGCAATGTGGGATGTCACTATTTCAATACGGGAAGGCACCCCGGATGGCAATGAGTTACAGGCAAACGCTGGATGCTATCGGGTGCGAAGGAAGAACGGACGGCTGCGCTGCAATGTTGAGCGCCTTCAGTTAGTGTTTAGACTGAAGTGCCAACCTAACAGTGCACAATCCTGAACTGTGCCCCAAAATCATCTGTTAGTAAATTCGGGCTTGTCAGACAGCGACTGGTAGTGAAAGTCGAGCGTATTTCGCCATGGAATAGTCTCGCCCCTCCAGTTAACGAAAGACCCAGTATACTTGATACTGAAATTCTCTATCACATTCTACATTCCCTCGATGCACTCGTTCATGTCGTCGCGCGAACGGAAGCTGGACAGGCGGGTCGGCTGGTAGCCCGGATACAGAGCGACAACAGCAATGTTATCGCCATTGCTCTCGAACTCTGCTGCCATGGTGTGGATAACAACGTTGTCGCCGAGTCCATCTTGTTCAAGACCGACCCTGTGACGCCGACCTCTCGTGGCGTCTCTCTTGCCGCCGACTTTGTTGCCGAGCCCACCAGCGGCATTTCCAACGAGGCGATGGTACAGGCACAGGAATTGCCTGCCCCGGATAACTCATAAAAGAGCCAAACGCCGAGTCTTCTCTAACAGCCCCAACAGCTCCAACAGCCACGCCATTTTCTTGCCTATCCTCTTAACATCTTTTTATTTGTTTTATTAGTTGTATTGCTTGCGACTGCATTTCTAAGAGCTTCAAGCCTATCCTGTTGCTTGCAGCAGAAGAGCTTCAGATTCTTGTTGTCAGCTGTAATATACACGGACTGGCAACCTAATAGCATTAGGTTGATCCGATCCAGGTTGCTAAGCCAGGCAAATTAGACCTCAGATTCAGCCGGATTCGTAAAGTGCTAGACTCATTCCAGTGCTAAAAGGATGCTTGTGTTGAGACTAAGGAGATATAGTTGATGGCTTGTGACTTTATCTCCGGTTGTGATACTAGTTTAAGTTGGGCCTTTATGTCAATTACTCGGAAACGAAACCCAAGCACACCACACTCCATTTTCGTTTCTAGAGCTAATCTGGGGCAGCGAAACAGCGACAGGATGTCTGCCGCTAATAATAGCACATTCGGATTTGTGACGACAGCTGCGATTTGAAATGTTGGATTTAAGCAAGACATCTCGTTGGTTTTATACAACTAACGGCCCTCTGATTCCTGACTGTCATTCGTGAGGTCAATCACACCGTCATCTCCTGTCTTGTCGTCGTTCTCAGAACCAGGCCGAGACCCAGTGGCCTTGTTGGGAGGCGGGACCATCCGAGCAGTGTAAAACTCAGCCAGTCGCCTTGTCTCACTATCATCGCGCGCTGCCCCCCAATCAATCACCGGGATGTCAGAAGACAAGGTCACTTGAGGAGAAAATGGCGCGCGAGGCCGTTCTGGACCATCGTCGGGGAAAGAGAAAAGAGGTGCTTCGGGTGGTACTTTTCCCGTTGAGGTTCCGGGACTTGGGCTTCGGGAAATCTGCCCAATATTGGGCGTCTCAGAGTGACCACGAGACCCTGGACTCAAAGGCGTGTTTCCTGTAGGTGTGGTTACACTAGATGGTCCTGGAATGGCACTTTCAAATAACGGTGTGGAGCGTCCATCCCGCTTGTCCGGGGTATGGAGCAATTCCTCTGCCACTGTTTCTCTCGATGGCGACGCACTTGGTGGCTGAATTAGTGAATGGGTTTGTGAATGAGAGCGTGTACTTACTCGTGCGGGCTCCCCGCCACTGCAGATTTGGGAGACCTGGTAGTATTTGAATCCTGCCAGGTGCTATCATCAGAACCGTCCTCCACTGAGCCTGGGCTTTGAGCGGTCGAGTTGTTGCTATTTTCTGGTGTCTTTTGGCGCTGGCTCGTATGTAGCGTTTCAAGAGTAGTTCTCTGAGTCACAGTCGTCTGCCAGCTCGGTGTTAGAGCATCAAGTCTTTCCTTGATGATACGGTCCACCTCGTCAGCCAGTACTTGGCGCTCCGAAGTAACAATTTGTTGAACAAGCATGCCTAAAAATACTGGTGTGACCTTAGGATGCTTACTGTCATCGATTTCAACCGAAGAATGATTGTCCAAGAGATCTTGAACTATCGGTATAATCGACTGGCAGCGTGCCATAGTCTGCTCCTGACGGAGTAGTGCGGAGCTTGTCGCGAACATTCCAACTTGGCAATGTACATGTCTCCATTGCTCAAGGTAGGAAGACATCAGGGGCTTGAACACACGCATAGCCCAAGTGTGCGTGTTTTCAAGAATCGCTTGAAACATGATGATATCTTCGAGCTTGGCGACATCTCCCTCCCAAATAGCTCTCATTACCTATAAAATTTTGTTAGTCTAGATACCAGTGACATAGCAAGAAACTAGTCAAAGCCTTCGGTAATGCTAACTTACAGTGCCCTGCTTGCGCTTCTTCCACGCCACATCACCTGAATATTTCCTGCTCAAACAAGGAGCGTGGAAGTCTTCAGCATAGTATGTAATCCAAACTTTGACCTTTGATCCAATGGTTGTCACGGTTGGCATGGGAGGAATATGTGCGTGGCTGGGCAGCACCATGGCGTACCTGGCCGAGATCTGACTGAGCTTGACAGCGCATGCTGCGCCGTTTGCCGCCTGGCAGCTAACTGTCTCTTCTGATCCGCTGACTCCCTCCTTCTTGTGCTCAATAAGAAGCCAAGGATAGGAATTGAGGTTCGCCTCTTGAGGGGGTTTGTGGAAAACTCGAAAGGGTGTCGGTCGTAGTCCGAATGCGAATAGTTCTTTCAGGTTGGACCATGAAAATCCCCCCGCCAGCGAGTGCTCCTGAGCTAGATTCCATTGTCGACCTTCAGGGCTAGGCACCTTGGGAATCGCCTGCGTGGCGTCCATGTGATACATAGGTAAGTAGAAGGCGTAGTCCGGCTTGGGACACTTTGACCTCTCAAAGCTGCTGAGATCAGAATTATCATCAAGGCTACTGCCGAATAGTCCCCATGATTTGTTGGCTCCGCTGTATATAGATTAGCCATGATGCGTTGAATTGACGGCGCAGGGCTAAAACTTTACGCTGTAAATGCATCGTAGTAGTAATCACAGCGCGAAACCCTGCGTAATGAATATCAGCCGTAGGCGACTTGAAGCGGTCGGACCTAACATGCCTCCGTGAATCCTCCTCCGGTCTCAATCTACCAGCAAGTGGTTTAAAAAATGAATCTTTGAAAAAGCCTGCCCATGTGTCCTCCGAGTAACCGCCGTGGTGTATTCTGGACACTTCATGGAGAGTCTTGCGCGCTGCTGTCAAAGCAGGGTCAGTTTTCTGAGACTCTCCCTCTCCGCCTGTTGGGTGGACCTGAACCCCTCTTGGTCCGACAGTGTGATTGAGAATTAGGCAGGAGAAATCAAGCATGGATCTTCGTAAGGCCTCCACTTGCGGTGGATACAAAGCGGCTGGGGGATGGCTAGGGCGAATGTTCTCGTCATAGAAAATGGCATTCTGGCCCAGTTCCCAACGATCCCAAGTCATGTTGTAGGAGTATTTTGGTGAATGATAAAGCTAATCCGGAGTGCTATAGGGAAGGGGAAAAGTGAGGGAAATTGGTCGAGGGATTCCCCCCTCTTGTACCCATAGCCCGAAGGGTTGCATCTGTTGGTCGAAACGGGATGCGCGCAACCAACTGCATATCACCCCGGCTCCCGGTTTCAGCTCTGCTTCCTACCGATAAGAGCCTGATAATAGCCGAGAAGAGGCTAGTATCGATGATTCTAGAATCTGCAACAAGACAAAATAAGAAGGAACGGGTTCGGACCCCTGCGGTGTGCTGGAAGATACCTAGTATTTGGTTTTTTTAGCTCTACTCAATATCATCAGATATATCAAAGCCATACAGTAATCTCAAACAGTAGAGATAAACAATAAGTGCTACACCCAGCACCAGAAGAAACAGTAGCTGAACAATAAGGCTGTTGCCCACTGGTCTCTGCCTGAAGCTTCAATTCAACCCCTCTGACTTCAACCCTGCTGTCTGTAGACAATAGGGTCAGTCAACGACCCTATTGTCTGCAGTCAACGACCTTGAGATAGGAAGATACCTAGTATACAAGTGGGGAATGGCGAAGCGATGAACACAACGGGAGCTTCGCGAGGGGTGATGCACGGCAAGCCCTAGTGAATTGTGAGGCGCGTCTTTTACCCTGATATGTCGCTTTGTTGAACTACCGATATAGATTGAAGGACCAACATAGCAATATCATGTTCTTTCCATCATATAATACGAAAGATCAGCTTGGCTATTGCTTCATGTGTTGGTCGTCTGTGTGCTCAGCTTGAGCACAGCCTGCGCATTTTGCCTAAATAGATCAGCTTGGACTAGCTTGACGGGAGGATCTTTTCAACGCACAAGGCATTTCTGTGAACGGTCTCTAGTAACTGTATTGTAGCTATCTAGTCCAGATTGTCACGGGCCAGGGCCCATATCCTTGCGGCTGTGCCACAAGACGTACTAGATTTGTGCACACCAGGATGAAAAAGCGTTCCAGAGCTGAGGGGGCACTTAGGAAATTTTTTCTTTCTTCTTCATCTTTAATATCAATAGCATCCTAGACTAGATAGCTAGAATACAGCTACTAGAGGACGTCAAAATAACTCGAACGTGTAGGTAGCCCTCTCGTGACCGAGTTTTGTGGCACTTTGAGTACTTTGAACTGCCCTTGAGCTACCCTTGAGCTGTCCCTGAGCCGTCTCTAAGCTCTCTGAATGAGGAATTAGATGCTAAGTAACTTAGAAATCGTGCGCCGCAAGTTTGGGAACGCAGAACATGCAAAATAGTTCGTGTCGTTTACCAAGATTGCTGCATCGACCGTGTGTGCGGCCATTCCATCATAGCACGAGCTTATCGTGTAAGGTTACAGTTTGGACTGAGCCTTCGCAACAACTGCGTGAGCGCCACCACCTGTTCCAAACATTCTCCTCAGATCATCCGCCAACTCCTTTGGTCTCTCATGTGCCGCAAAATGACCACCATCTGGGTGGCTTTGCTCGAAAACAACCGGCCCTAACGTTCTCCCCCATGTCTTGGGTGGCACTACCAAGTCCTTGGGGAAGTAAGAGAGTCCTATTGGGACGCCGGGGACGTAGGCTGTTCCCTTCGCCACTTCTTCAACCTCGGCATGAGTAGCTTCGTAGTAAATCCGAATGCTTGCCTCCGGCCCGGCTGTGGAAAACTGATAGACAGAAATCCATGTCAAAATTTCGTCATCAGTCCATGGATAATTATCGGTCCAGTCATGGAGCTTCTCATAAATCCATGCCAAGACGGCGACGGGAGAATCGGATAGAGCGAATCCCAGGGTGGAGGGCTTAGTGCTTTGTTCCAAGTTATACCCAAAACCCTGATGTCGAAACCATTTTGTTCGAGCCAGTCCAGCCTTCTCAAAATCAGTGTATGGTAAAAAAGCATGCTTGATATACTGCAGTGGCGATTTAGAAAGCGACGGTGGCGTTGAGACGCGGACAAAATTGAGATGTGAAGCTAGACAGCTCTCAGGGTATTTAACGCCCAAGAGGCGAGTGATGATGAAGCCCCAGTCTCCGCCTTGGGTAACTGGACGATATTAGATACCAGATATTAATAGGTCTTGAACTTGGATTACGCACCATATTTATTATACCCAAGCTTCGCCATCAGCTTGTGCAACGATTCCGCGTACTGAGGGATACTGAAGCCCTTCTTTTTCACACCCTCCGAGAACCCAAAATTGGGCAATGATGGAGCTACAACATGGAACGAAGGCCCACCTTGGGATTCCGTGAGCAGGGGAAGGATTTTGAGGACTTCGAGAAAGCTTCCTGGCCCTGTGGAAAAGGTTAGCCCCTGCTTCGGTGAACTTGGGCCTCGAATACTCACAGCCATGACAGAACAGAAGCGGGATGCTGTCGGGCTTGCTACTCTTCTGGTGAACGAAATGGATTTGAAGGTCACCAAAACCGTCCACGGCAACGTCAGTCGTGAAGTGCGGGAATTGATTTAGCTTTTCCTCTTGCGCCCGCCAGTCAAAGCCATCTCTCCAGTACTCTGCCAACCGTTTTATGTCGCTTCGCGGAACACCATAATTCCAGTCGTCTGAGAAATCCACTTCTTCCGGAAAAGTCGTCAATGCGAGCTTTTCTTTCAGGGTATCAATCGCCGATTGTGGCACATTGATCTTGAAGGGCCGAATAGTATCAGACATTGTGGGATGCAGGTGCTGTTGGCAGATAGTTTAGGCTCAAATATATGGCGGTGAAAGAAAGATGCAAGAGGGAAGTAATGACAAATTCGTCATTCGGCATTTAAATAGAAACCTTGGGCAATTGATACATCATACTCCGCAATTACAAAGCTTAATCGATGCTCGATTACAAATCTACCTGTCTCAATACTGGTCCGTTCAATGTCGGTCAAAGGGCGTGATGCTACACCCGAGGCAGGCCAATGAACCAATGACGTAGGCTAGACTCATACCTAGTAAAATGCCGAAGGTCCAATATGTGCCCCGCTTATAAGCTGGCAATTTTTGCCCGGATTGCACCATTTTCGACCTCGGTATCTTGGACCATGCACCAATAGAAACGTGTAGATACGACGCCGAAATGAGGGGGTCACGGTGATAATAGCGGACAATCATCACCACCAAGGCGGGGCTACGGTATGATGATCAGGATGCTGGCTGACCAATTTAGGTAAAATAGCCTAACTAAAAATGCCGTAATGCATTGTTCAGGAGTGTCTCCTTAATAGCTGCCAGTACCAATGGTGTAGCTGATGTGGTACCAGGATGCACCATATGTGGATAAAAAGCAAGTTGAGCTCGATTAACTTGGTTGAATCGCCAAAGAAGGTACTTTGCCGCCCCGTTCACGTCATTTCCACCACTGTATTCCGGGAAGTAGTTGCTCAGAGGGTCCTTTGCTAGCTTTTGCTCAAACTCGGCAGTGTTGTTAAGCAGCAAGATAATCGATGTCCTCGAGAACGACGGCGAGTTAACAACCGCCTCGAATAGGACGAGGGACTCCATCATTATGGTTTGCGAGGTCTCTTCCAACGTCTCGTCCAGCACTGTTTCGTCGTACGAATCTAAGTCGACGACGAAGACGATGGATGTAATGTTCTCAAAGTATTGCATCCACTTCTTTCTCTCACCTCTTTGCCCCCCGACGTCGATCATACAGATGCTGAGCTGGTCCGTCTGTAACCAGGTTTCGGATACACCGTTGGTTTTGTTTCTGGCCCGAAGGAGGTCGATCTCAGTCGGAAGGTAGTTGGGCAATGATATTCTGCCTATTTCAGAAAAGAAGCTGCGTTTCTTATCAGCCTTGCTCAACGATCAATGAAAGGGCAATGAGAACAAACTATTCTGCGGAGTGTGGAAGGTAAAATTCAGTGCATCGACCCATGAGTTCTGGGTAGTATGGGCTTTCTAGAATCTTCTCCATGGCAACCCTAAATCTTGGGTCCAGCCCGGTAGATGTCGAGCTTGAATCGTAAACATAGGTCACTATGAAGTCCGCGTCTTCCCAGATTTTGTCTGATTCCGGGGCGACTTCCAACTGTCGCATCGCAGTGACCAGCGCCTTTGCAGAGTCGCAGATATGCTTGAGAACTGTCAACCTGTCATTGTGTAGCTCATCCTCGGAGCGACCCTTCAGATGAGTCAGCTTCATCATCTCCAGAATATCTCGTCTTGAATCAGACCCAAGCAACAGGACTTGGCATTCGCGGCCTGGCCTCGTTGCATCTTCTTCAAGCAACCTATCAATAGCCTGTGACCTCTTGTTCGATTCAAGTGATGTGATGCTCCAAGGTCGGGGGGATGGCCGGGGTGGGGAAGATGTCTCGCTCCGATGCTCTTGAAGATTCGTTTCGGGTGGTCCCGTAACCCATCCTTGGTATATGCGTGAGATGAAATTCGTGCTGAATGGCAACTGCATCGACCATGTTGGGGAGTTTATCGAGGCGGCAGTATCCGGCGTCTTCGGCGACTTCGGCGTCTTCGGCGTCTTCGGAGGGTCTACATCTCGGTCCACGTTCAGCGACTCGCAGTCGCTTTCCATCTTGGTGAAGATACTTCGAGCCTGCGGCTGCTCAAGAATCCCCTTTTGTTCTGATGGCGTGGTCCTAAGACGAGTCAGATACGCCATATACCGGTACCGTGGGATGGTGTGTATCACTCACGTGTTGCACGCCGTAAGCAGAAGCGTGAATGCTTCTGTTTGTTGCCCAATCATGCGTTGAATATTCTCGAAATCTTTCCCATTCAATAGCAGCCGAAACTTGCTCGCGACATCAAGTTCATTTCCCGGCGTTATCTGGAACGAAGCCATCTCGGCATCGATCTTGTTGATCAACATTCGGCAGCAGGCCACACAGCGGTCCAGATCCATCACCACCTGATGATGGGGCTCCTCGGGAGTTGATTCTGCCCAGACATTGATGTCGTTGAGCGCGGTATTAAGAGCGACCAGCTGGCTGTCCAGATTGAGTACGGCTGGGTCTGCATCCTGAAATTGGCTCTGAAGCTCTCCGATTGTGTTGATTGTCTTCCCGAGGGCGTCGATGCTGTTTGCAACAGCACCAGCTGTGCTGAGAAGCGTTATCGGGTCTGCCATCTTCAGCGCGGCGTTGTATCCATTGAATCCGATGGAGGATGGAAGAGGGAGACTAACCTCACAGCGCTCACAGCGCCCGCTTCCAGATGGAACTAGAGAGAGGTCACATGCCGCCAGCCACAAAATGGTACATGGCTCCAACATTTGCCTAAATGCCAAGGCATGAATAAGCCTCCCTAGTATGTGAGAATTGAGATCTCTAGGAACTCGTTGTAAAAAGTACGTGCAATTTTAATTCCCCTCATTATTTCTTCATCGAGGGCGTTGTACGTATTGATCGGAAATAGCAAATTTTGATCGTCATCGCACCGAGTAGAGTAGGCCAAATGTTGATCAACATCGGACACTCCAACTCAGCTCACGGCTGAATCCGTTATCTATTTATGCGTTTACTATTCATTGTACATAATTAACGTTGGATTCACCAGCCTTGTTGTGGACGGGTGGAGAGGCAACTTAATTATTCACGGCCACAGTTCGAAAAGGTGTATTTAAAAACCAGCATCTGCTGACATGGCAATTTTCTCTGTAAAAACAGAAAGTTTCTCACTCAATAAAATATTTCGATAATTCCGATGACACTCAAATTTTACAGGATCAGAATTAATCCAACTCACGGCTATACGTAATCCTATCGCCGAGGACCCGGTCTTAACACTACTTTCCGGTATTACAGCAGCCATCGCCAGCCCTAATGGCCAAACTCGGCATATTCTGGCTATCGGCAGAAGGGTTTAAGCCCAATTCCTATTGGGTCCTCACTTTCCAATCCGCGACCTGGCGCTCTATGAAGCTCCTGTCACACTTTTGCCTATGCAGCACCGCAAACTCTTACTCCTCACGGTCGAGCACCACATGCACGCAGTGCCCCGTGTCATTCACCCACTCGTTGGATTCGTATAGATCCGAACACGACGGTCAGCTAGTGTGTGTGACACATCGGAAACCCACTAGACAAGTACAAGAAGAAGCAAATATCCTGCAGTGTCCGCACACCGGTCGACTACACTCAACACTTTTCTGAAACCTAGCCAATGGAAAGCAACGCCCGCACCAGGTTGAAACCTCAAATGCAGCTGCCCAGCTACGTGTTTCCAGTGCGCAACTGTGCATCTCCGCACCCAGCATGTGGCGGCCCTTGGCGCCCTTCACCGGTCCTAATCCAGCTCCCCGCATCCAGTTGAATGCGGGATGATCACAGACTGACTCCGTTAGCCTCATTGCCTTTCCCCGCCTCTTGAAATCCTGTGGCGGTTCAAGGTTTGCGGGGTTTGCAGCCATATAAATGTGCCAGAAGGCCCTCGCTGAATGATCAGGATATCCATAACCAAAATATTGTATACACAGAGAAAACCACCCCCAACAAGCATTCACCATGGTCATCGACGATAAGCATCAGCTTCCGTCCCACATGCAGCCCGTTCCGGGATCCGTCAACATCCCGATTGCCAAATTCCCCGCAACAGCAGGGCCAGCCGAGTCCGGCATCGGGGAGCTGGCAGAAACGATCATCACACGATTCAACAAGGGTCTAGCCAGCCGTGATTCAGCCGCCTTGTCGTCTCTCTTCGCTGCAGATGGGTTCTGGAGAGATCACCTGGCCCTCTCGTGGGCGTTCCGAACTGTCAGTGGGCGCCAAGGCGTGCAAGACTATTTGCAGAGCTCATTTGCCACCGAGAAAGGCCCGGTTCTGAAATCCATTACCCTTGATACGACGTCCCCAGCTCGTGTGCCTCAAAGTGGATTTTTGGACGCAGGTGCAGAGGTGCCAATTCTCGTCTTTAGTTTCACCCTTGAATCTACCGTCGGCGCTGGAAAGGGCGTGGCTCGTCTCATCCAAGATTCCCCGGGTACTTGGTCCATCTTCACTCTCTACACTGCTCTTCAGCAGCTCCATGGCCACGAAGAAAACATTTTCCATCGTCGACCGCAGGGCGTGCAGCATGGCGGCATGCCTGGAAGGAAAAATTGGGCTGAGGGCAGACAAGCGGACGCGGAGTACGAAGATGGGAGCAATCCTGTTGTGTTGATCCTAGGTGAGATCTATGTCACACATTTCCTCGACTGCTCTGTCGCTAATACTCTTTACCACGAAACCAGGTGCTGGACAAGCCGGCCTTACCATCGCAGCTCGACTGAAAGCGCTTGGTGTGAACGCGTTGATCATCGACAAATGCCAGCGGGTCGGAGATAACTGGAGAAAGCGGTACCATCAACTTGTTCTCCACGACCCAGTATGGTTTGATCATCTTCCCTACCTCAAATTCCCTCCACAGTGGCCCATCTTTACACCCAAAGATAAGCTGGCAGACTTTTTCGAGGCGTACGCTACTCTCCTGGAGCTCAACGTGTGGACTGGAGCGGACATTGACACAAGCAAATGGAACCCTGAAGCAAAGAATTGGACAGTTACTGTCAAGCGGCGGCTTGATTCCGGTGTCGAGACCAGAACCCTTCATCCACGGCACATCATTCAAGCCACTGGGCATTCGGGAAAAATGCATATGCCCGATATTAAAGGGCTTGACGATTTCCAAGGCGACCGAATCTGCCACTCTTCGGAGTTTGGTGGCGCCAAACATAACAGCAAGGGCAAGAGAGCTGTTGTTGTTGGTTGCTGCAACTCTGCGCACGATATTGCGCAGGATTTCCTTGAGAATGGATATCATGTAACCATGGTACAACGATCTACTACCTGCGTGATTACGTCCAAGTCCATTACGGACGGGCTAAAGCCCCTATACGCAGAGGGTGGACCAGAGGTTGATGACGCGGACCTTCTATTTCATAGCCTTCCTGTCCCGGTCTTGAAGGCTGTGCAAGTCGGTGTCACCGCCCTACAAAACCAATGGGATGACAACATTCTCCGGCGCCTTGAGGAGGTTGGCTTCAAGGTTGACAATGGCCCCGATGATGCTGGTCTGTTTATCAAGTACATGCAACGTGGGGGAGGCTATTACATCGATGTCGGTGCATCTCAACTCATCGCCGACGGAAAGATCAAGATCAAGCAGGGACAAGAACTTGAAGAGATTCTTCCGCGAGGATTGAAGTTTGCTGACGGCTCGGAACTCGAAGCCGACGAAATTGTCTTCGCAACAGGGTACGGCAACATGCGTACCCAGACCCGGCAGATCTTCGGAGACGAGGTGGCCGACTCGGTTGGTGATGTTTGGGGTTACAACGCAGAGGGCGAGACGAGGACCATTTGGCAGCGTACAGGCCACCCTGGCTTCTGGTTTCATGGAGGGAATCTGGCCCTGTGTCGTTACTACTCGAGACTACTTGCTTTGCAAATCAAAGCTCTGGAGGAGGGCATTTGTAACTAGGGCGATGCTTCATCTTCATCTGCATAAGTATCATGGGAGATGGAATAAACAAATCTGAGGCAAATGGCATCAGCCCGCCGTAGCCGCCGTAGCTGATGATGCAGTCCAATAATTTACATCGCACGAATCTCAGAAACCGTTGTTAGTCGAAAAACGCACAGAATATTAGTGTTGTGACCATTCTAACCTTCGTGGGCTAACACAACAGCTTAGGATCCATTACATATGGCTTCACGGTCGTGGACCGGGGGTTTCCGACTGCGACTGTCCTGCCTACGTCTTATCATCGCGTCTCTCATTGCCGAGAAACACGTTCGCTGTGGGGGTGGGTCGGTTGTCTGGGAACCAACAGAATGAGATAAGCCGTACAGGAGCATGACACCGTCTCGATATGTGCAGCGAATTAATGACACATTGAAACCGGCAATCCGTGCGTAAATTTCTTGGTCTTCGTGTGCGTGCATGGTGCGGTTCGCATTTATGCATTTCATGCCGTAATCAGCCGTGCAGTTCGTTTGGTTTTTCTGCTTGTGCTGCAGCGTCGTCGTTCCCTTTCTGTCTTTTTGGTGTGGTTTGGGTAGGTTCTACCATTTGTGGCCAAAAAGTCTATCGTATTTATTCTGCCGGGCATCCATCTTCGTGTTTCGAGTCTTGTCAGAGTAGTGTCTTGAGTGATCTCTGAAAGCACCGTGGTCGGGCACTCAGAAGCCAGGGATTTGAAACTAGCTGAAAATGCATCTTGACTGAAATGTATTCCACCATCCTGACATGAGTAACTCTCGGGACGGACCCACTCGAGAAGTGTGGGAAGAAAATAAGGAGGCGATTCGACAGCTGTGTCTTGAAAGAAATCCGGCGGATGGTAAAAAGCTGACGCACAAAGAAGTACTCAAGCGGATCGAAGGCCGAGGGATATTTGCGACGTTTGCAACCCCAAACCCAAGTCACTCGTTCGTCATGCTGATAGGTTCTGCCCAGCCCATCCCAGCTCCAACATCGCCTCAAGGTGTGGAACTTCCGACACAATGTTCCGGCAAGTGCTTGGTTATATATAGACCACCGAATCACCAAGAGAAAACAGCTGGAAAGAAAAGACAGCGAGGTTTTTATTTCTGGTGTCAAATTCTCCTCGAAAGAAGTACAAAGAAAGACAACGCGAAACCGACCGATGTCTATAGTTCATAAATACTACAAGGGTAAGCTCACCGGTACCACATAACATCGCTCAAGGGACACGGCCATCATCTTACTGTTTTCAGCACCGAGCCCAAGAACACCAGAGGGACTCCCTTTGTCTATTGAGACGCCCAAAGGACTCTCTCCAGCATTGTCTATGGTGGAGCCACTGCCTTGGCGCCAATTTCAGGTCATGCTTCCAAAATGTGAGATTTCCTGATCTGTTGGCCTGACACTGCGGACGCTCATGCCTATAAGTTATTCCATCAACCCCTACAGTCTGTTCAAGATCAATTCCCAGCCTTTTAGTCTCTCGTTTCAACATCGACCGGCCCTCCATCGCTGGTACTCCGAGAAAGGCTGCAGTTCTTTCTGAGCTAGCCATGCGATTAGCCGAAATAATGCCCGAGTTTGAGCAAGATGACAAGATAAGACGGCAGACGTTCTTCGCACAAGTGAGCCAATCAAAAGGCCAATTCGACTATGCCGTCCAAGTCTTCTTTTTCCTTGTGTCAAACAATTACTATGTCCCTGACGTGAAGAAAGACTGGGACGTGGTAAAGGACATGCTACGACCTGTGACTACTTCAGGCCTGGCCCCTTCTTATCTTTCATTGCACAAAAGCACAACGATGTCGGCGATCCTAGAAAAGCTCTTTCAATATGCGGTTCTATGGACAGCAAAAGGTGACGATGACTCTCTCGAGTTCGTCAAATGGTTACTGGATTGTGGCCAAGATCCAAATCAGAATTCGGACTATCACTACCCAGATGCCGGCATTTGCTATCCACTTTTGGTTGCAGTTTCGAGTCAGAAGGTACATCTGGTGCGGGTTCTCCTGGATTACGGAGCAGATGCAAATGGGCACCCACGACGGGGTGAATTGAGCCCTCTTGCAGCCGCCTGCAGCTTACGACGTCCTGCGGTAGCACAAGAGTTGGTTGAAATGCTATTGTCGAATGGTGCGCGACCGAATGAGCCAGACGAAGCAGATGGGACCAAACGTAAACCTGCACTACATTGTGCCATAGGAATGGGCTATGTTGGGATTGCCGTCTTACTTCTCAGGCATGGTGCAAACATGCATTGTTGGCATCGGATTGACGATATTGACGAGAACTTGCAATATGGTTCAACAGCTTTGAGCGAGGCGGCGGGTTTCAAACCGATAGTCGAATCCTCCGCCGAACTCGATACCCAGCACGCACTTAGTCTGATTTTGTTCCTCCTCAGCTGGTCCAATTCATTCTGCCACTCTAGCCAAGGCCCAAGCCTCGACCCGTCGACGGTAACTGCCGACGTTTTGATTGCTGCAGCGTCCTCTGGAAACAGTGCCGTAGTTAAGTTCTTTTCTGAGAATGGTGTTTCTATGGACCAAGAGAATCATTTCGGCCTCACTCCTCTTTGCGCAGCAGCCTTTCATGGACATTACTCCACCTGCGCCCTTCTTCTCCAACTAGGGGTATCAGTAATACCTACATGTCCTGGGGTTCCTTCAGCGCTGCATCTTGCTGCATTTCACGGCTGGCTGGAGATTGTAACGTTACTCACTCAGCACGGCGCTTCCGCGAGTACAAGTTTGGACCCTCTGTCTCCACACTACGATCACTCACTCTCCATCTTGTCCTGCATAGCTACAGTGTCTAGGGATCATAGGACACCATTGCTATCGACGTTAAGTGAGGGATATCTTGATTGCGCCATGCATTTGATCAGAACGGGGGTCGCCATGAGTAGTGATGAATTCTTTCTCATAGTCAAGACTGAAAGCCTGCCACTCATCAATGTGGCGCTAGAGGTGGGCGCAGACCCCAACGAGCGGAATAGCCATGGTATCTCTACTTTGCAACTTGCTGTCATGGATGGAGAACTCCCCATCATACAATCACTGCTGGCCTATGGGGCTGAGCTTCGCAAAGGGGAGCTTGCACATGCATTCAAACTCGGCGATTACATACTGATACAAACTCTTTTGGAAGCCGGTGCCATTGCCGAGCCGTCGACTATCGGAGAGACCTTTCTGGAATCCGCGATTTTCTGCCCAAAGAGAGATGTGGTCAGCCTCGCCATGATGATCGATCCCACTTTTGACGGAGGTGCTCTTTGTTCAGCTGCATTCAAGGCGACTCGAGATGGAGATTACAGCATTGTTGAGGCGCTGCTTAGCCGTCGGCCAGCAACTAAACTCTGCGACTCTCTTGAGGCTGCTGCAATATCGATTGCAGCGCTATATGGCAGCCCCGATCTGTTGCACATTTTGACCGCAGGGCTTCCGGCAGTTACCGGTCAGTGCAAGATACCGGCCAGACGAGGGCGAGCATTTACACAGGTTCATCATTTCACAAAACTGAAATGGATCCCTGCATCACGACCGACACCGCTTGACGCCGAGGGGGTCCCGTTTTGGAGAGATTCTGAATTCATTATGGCTTCGCCCCTGCTTGCTGCTGTTCATCGTGGAGATGAGGGCATCGTGAAACGGCTGCTTGAACTCAGGTACCCGCTGGATGATATTACGGTGTCGTACGCGATTTTTTCAGAGTCTGAACTCTTTCCAGAACTTTTACGATATTACTCTACAATGACTCCCTTCAGTGATAATTCTTTCGCAATGGATCATGCGTATTGGGCCGTCGAAGTCGGCAGTATCTCTGCCCTTCGTTTGCTCCAGTCGGCGGGTCAGGACATCTGCATGACTCGAGCACAGGGGCCCTGGTTCGAAAAGCGCACAGTCTTTCAACTCGCAGTTGAGAAAGGGCAAACAGAGGTATTTGATATCTTGGTGGAAGCGGGAGCGAATGTTAATGAGCCAGCGGGCGATTCGGATGGTGCAACGGCGTTGCAGCTAGCTGCACAGAAGGGCTATCTTGGCATTGCAGAACGGCTTCTTGCTCTCGGGGCAGATGTCAGCGCTCCCGGTTTTGGCCGGTCTGGGTTAACCGCTTTGATGAAAGCGGCGTTTCACGGACGAACTGATATGCTCCAACTTCTTCTAAATCACTGCGATAGGACCAGAGACAACTGGAAAACGGAGATGCTCCTAGCTGGTGCTGAAGCAGCGTTCAGAGGTCACTATGCCATCATCGATACATTGAGAAGGGAAGAAATGTGGAGCATGGTCGAGGAAAAGAAATTGGAGATGATGGTAAAGAATATGACGATGAAGGTTGATTGGGACGTCCAGCTTGACTGAGAGTCAATATATAGTTTGAAGCTAATACCGTAGTTGCTCCTATTTCTGCATTGCCAATCTAGGATCAGTTCTAGGACAGTTAAGTTTACTGCAATTAGAGAAAAAAAGATTATCAGAAGTACCACGATTAAAGCAATAAGTGCAAGAGTCCTGGTTTATCAAGGAATTGACTCGTGAGTTTGGCATTGATGCGTTTAAAGTTCCAGACTTGTCAGCGAGAAGGGTGAGAAGAACGATCATTCTCCACTCACAAGCCTTGAGTCAGGGCACCCGGATGGACTGACGGCTTGCTCCGTGTAAAGACTCCTTACTTTGCCATGAAGAACATGAGAGCCGAGTAAATCAACGGGCTGCCCCCACAGGTACCAAAAATACTGGCGAAGGTCGGACCAATGCCAACAACCTGCCCGTCCCAGTACATGGGATATATGTCGTCCTGAGTAAGCCAGAAAGCAAGGGCGAAACCCCCGCAGAGAACAACAGGGAGCCCGTACCTGCCAGCCAAGTGGCCAAGGCATCGCCTTGCTCCTTTGAAATTCTCGCCAGCGATATGTGCCAGTATTGTCAAGTAGATGGCGACCGGTTGGGCAAAGCAGACCCAAGGCCAGAGTTGGATAATCATTGGCTCCCCATCTGGGTCGAGAAAGAGGAAGAATCCAGCGGCGAACATTTGCAGACACGCAAAGAAGCTGAGCGGAGGAGCCCACTTTGCTTCGTAGTGGTTGCGTCGGAGCCACGGTGGTTCTTCATCCTCAGAGACCACATCGAGCTGCAGAGACGCGTCTGTTGTCAAATCGCCTTGAGGGTTGTTGGATCCTGGGCCGATGAGCAACATTGCGCTATCGCTGGTAGTAGCACAGGCTTGGTAGGCCAGTCGGCTGGCTGTTGGCAGTTAGCAGGTTGGAGGACATTCTGAATGGGCACCAGTAAGACTTGCGGTTCTGCTGTTCCCCGTTTGTGCTAATTCTGGGAGGAGGTAAGGTGTTGGGGGCTCCCGCAAAGGCCCCAATCACTTGGATCAATGGCGCGAGGAGCATGATCACTGGGAGGGTTTGGCCGAATGACCACTCGACTTCCTCAGCAGGTGATTCCTTGGAGGCCAAGTCTCTCTGCAGGAGCCATCTATCACGAAAAAGGCGAGCCGTTGCCCAGAGACTGGTTATTAGAAGCCAGTAGATCTGAAAAGTTAGTCCCGTGCCTGACAGTTACGATGGAAGAGATGGATTTGTACTGTCCAAAGGGGAGAAAAGGCTGTCAAAGAGCCATACCTCAGATAACATGGACGTGTAAATGTCAACGTAGAGCTGGATTAGGAGAAAGAATGCTAGCCAAGGCTCTACAAGCATAAGATGCCACTGTCTCTGGTTCAGCATCTGGAGTTTTGATGGGCGACACGTGGAAAGTGAGTTAATGGCGTGCTTGGCTCGGTTGCTTATTTTCTGCCGTACTTTCTTATGAACGCCCTTTGAGACGGGACGGAAGGCTCGCAAGACTCTGCTGGAGAAATTGCAGACGAGTAGAACCATGCTGAAGACCATCGACTGGAAAGCAGCCGTCTTGCTGAGCGAAGAAACCGACGTATCGCCGACGCACTCTCGAGAGGATGTCATGCATGCCTCATAGAGCGACTTCATGCCTCGCCCAGGAGGGAAGAGGCATGCGACCGGGGCGTTTCGCTTCGGGACCCAGACGGGGCGGCCTGGCGAGTTCCAATTGAAGAAGCCTGTCGGAGTCATTGCTGCGAGGAGGAGGCCCAGGACAGCCGACATGAGGGCGACACGCCAGTTTCGATCCCACGGGCGGCAGTGGAAGTAGCCCCGAAGCAAAGTGAGACTAGATAGATGGGTGATGTTGGAGAGCCAAGCCAGATACACGATGATGGACCAGTGATAGGCGGACAGGCCGTTGAGGGAGAGGAAACCGCTGATGAGGATCCCCAGCCCGGCGATGAGCTGGAGATCGACAAATCCCAGGATACACTGCGAAATATTAGGCGTGAGGATACTACAGAGCCCCGTGGCGACCCCTAACCTTTGTAATGCCTAGGCGAAGCGACTCGTTCGTGCCGAGAAGCCACCTTGTCCAGAGTCTGCGGATGGAGCCGAGCAGCATCGTATCAATTGGGTTCGGTTTGAACAGCGTTGGCCGATGAGAGGCGTCGGCGAATGGGTCAACACTTGGGTCAAAGAACACGAGATAGTATACCAAGATTATTGCAATCATGACACATGCCGTTCCGACAAACCCAGTCAGAACCTGTTGAGGGTCAGCGCGGCGAGCCAACGTGGCACGGTGGTGAGTCCGGAGAAGAGGGAAGGCGAGCTTACACCGGGTCCATCGACGTCGGGATTTGGCCTCACTTTACCCAGATTGTGAATGCGACTACAATCGACCATTTTGAGATGCTTTCTTCTAATCTTTGAGAGGCCTGCGATGGGATACGATGCGTGATGCGTGTTGGAGGGGCTGGTAGTGAGCTGAGGGAAAATCAGGCTCCGGGCAGACGCTTTTTCGTGACGAGGCTGCAGGTGTTGCGTGAGCTTACACAGAGCCTGATTTTGAACCCTTAAGCGCGTTTGCCGCTATCATCTGCAGTCGCAGGGGTCATGGCTTGGCCTTTTCAGAGCCTTGTTTGAGTGCACCTGGGAAAGGACACGCATGAGGGAGCCTTTGGCCCTTGAAGCTTCAATTAACTCAGAAACTACAAGTGTACAACTCGGGACCATATCCATCTTGATTGCATCCTATAGCCTAAGATTCGGCACATCTGCTGATACAAGATGGACATTTCCCAGAGCCCTATCGCCCTTTGACCCCTCCATGAGGCTGTAGGCTTCGGCCAACCTCCAAACAACCCATTCAACTGACGCATTCGAGGTGTGCCGTCCTTCTTGATTGAGCTTTGGATTGTTGGACGGGAATGGATAGGTACCTGCAGGAGGCCTCACGAGGTAGACCTAGGAACGTGGTTACATACCATTCGAGTATCATCTGTAGATGATAGGAGAACTGCGGCCAACTAGAACGCTTGAGGCACCACCATCAGAGGGGCGTCACCATCCTGCAAGTCTTTCTCCACTATTCCGTGTGAGGGCTAAGTGTACTGGTGAGTTGACTATCCGGGGGCCGTTTTAATGTCCATATCAAACAACATTGTCTTCATGTATCATATAATCATCCTTCGTTTGTGAAAATATCTCGCCCGTTCCGCCGGGGCGCAGGCTTGCCCCAGCTGATTAGTTTATGCTCAGGGACGCAAAACTCCACTACCACCGATAACCACGGAGACTTCTATCTAATGCCATCTTGTCACGGACATCGTGGGTTGCTCCAGTCCTATACTACCTTATCAAGGAATGGCCGAGTCTGCATCCTCTTCTCCGGTTGATTTCAGCTGCGCCGGAACGTTCTTCGGGGATCATTGAGACTGTCATCGAGAGTGTCCAGGGAATGTAAGTCTTGAGGTTTTTTAACACCGATAAATACTAACGTGAGCATCATTGAGCAGGTTTCTTCTGGCCCACCTCCACATGGAGGAGCTGGTTCGGGAAATCACCACGAATGGCCTGCAGCACAAATTGAACAACCTACCGAGAACCACCCACAAGATATACGAAGCGGCGCTGACCCGAATTAAGGCTCAAGAGGCCCGCAAGAGAGAGCTCGCCATTGATCTCTTGTCCTACATAGTGCATGCTGCACGACCGCTAACAGTCCACAAACTGTCTGGTTTTTGCGACACAAAATGGATCCAGGAAGCTGGAGGACATCCATGGCGACATTTTGGCTGATGGCTACTTGACATCTACTTGTGCTGGCATTGTCATGGTAGATACTGAGACTTCCATTGTGCGTTTAGTGCACCATACTGCACAACAGTACTTCCAAGACCACATGGGCAATGACCAAGTTTTCCACAAAGGCTCGTCAAGTCTGGCGGAGAAATGCTTGATATACCTCTCGTTTGCCGAATTCTCCCAGGTTCTGTCAGCAGACGAGGTGCAACATCGCATGGTACAGTATCCCTTTCTCAACTATGCAGCTGATAACTGACACATTCACCTTGCGGAAACACCCGTCGGCGAGCTTGACCATCTCGCCTTGAAATTCCTCGAATGCACTTCCAAGGTCTCTTCTGCCGTACAGGCTATGAGTGACAGCCGAATATCGTCTGAGAAGCGCGTGACAGGCCTACACTTGGCAACATATTTGAACGCTGTGTCAAGTGTGAATCTGCTACTTTCTAAATCCAATGGTGTTGATGCGAAAACACAATACGGAGAAACTGCCATGCATTGGGCCATTGACTACGACCGTGTCGATATTCTAAAAGCCTTGACTCAGAAAGGAGCAGACATCAACGCTACAGACAAGAATGGACGAACTGTTTTGCACCGGGCAGCAGCTTGCGGCAAAGTGAATTTAGCAAAGATCCTTGTCAAAGCAAAGCAGATCAATCTCAATGCCTTAGACATTCAGAACTATACACCCCTCAGAACAGCCGCGCATCATGGAAATGGATCCATGGTCCGACTTCTCGTCGAACGTGGTGCTGACTTGGACATTCGGAATGAACAAGGTTGGGCCGCATTACGAGACGCCGCATTGCGAGAACACCACCTAATCGTAAAATACCTCATTAAACAAGGAACCAACTGCGAAGTACAAGCCACCAAAGGCCACTACTGGTCTGTCCTGTGCTGGGCCGCTACTCAGGGTCATATATCGGCAGTACGTCTACTGATCGAAAAGGGAGCCAACCTGAATGTCACTACCGATGAGGGCACATCAGCACTGAGATGTGCCATGGAATACGGGTATGGGAAGGTGGTATGGCTTCTCGTGAAAGCTGGCAGAAATATCGACTTGAATCTACCAGACCACGACGGATGGTCACCGCTGCATGCAGCGGTAAAGAGGAGTCTTGTGAGCGATGCTAGCTTCTTATGGCTTCTTCTGGAAAACGGTGCGGACGTGAGTGCGCAGACCAAAAGAGGATTGACAGCCTTGCACATTGCGGCGGAGGAGGATGACATTCCGATTGCTTGGGTGCTCTTGGAGAAAGGTGTGAAGATCAATGTGAAGAACAAGGGCGGCATGACGGCGCTGCACATTGCGAGTCGTCGTGGAAATGATAAATTCGTCCGCTTTTTACTGGAAATGGGCGCAGATCCGATTGCGGTCGACGCAAGCGACAAGACGGCACTTCACTGGACAATCACTGAGCTGGTTGAAGGTTCGACAGATCACCACAAGGTGACAAAGCGGTTAATCGAGTGGATGGCCAACACCGCTTTCCAGGACGGAGAGGGTTTATCAGCACTTCACAACATCGCTTCCGAAGGTTCGCTTTCTCCTCACGACCGCGTTCCTTATGCTGAGATGTTGTTGGAAAGGGGCTGTAGCCCGGACATTGAGGATTTCCACGAAAAGCGGACTCCTCTCCAACGGGCAGTACACAAGAGGTATCACGAGTTGGTCCATGTTATGATGGCTGCGGGTGCCGACGTGAATAAGCAAGATGAGTACGGATGGAGTGTTCTCCATCTTGCTGCAGTGGCAGGCGACCAGGAGATGATCGACATACTTCTCCAATCAAGAACGGGCGATCTTAGTGTCCGGAATAATTCTGGGCTGACACCAAGCCAGTTGGCAGAGCAAGTAGGGCACAAAGATCTCTGCTGGGAGTGAAGCATGGGCGGTAGCAGGTTAAATACGGTCGCTCATCTCGGGAAGCTGCTGCTTTGCTGACAGTAGATGCACAACCAGGATGAATGTATAATGCAAGAGAGAACATTGTTTCATATCAATCAAATGTGTGAATCGATCTATGCTGTCTTCCAGTACAGTTCCATCAAACCAGCAGCCGTCAAAGGCTCAATTTCTGGAAACATTTCGTTCAAAGATCCCTCTCTCGAGATGGACCCAAGGCCTTCCGCCATCCAACGTTGGAAGATTGACAAAAATGGCAGGAGAACATCTTTTGGGAACTTCTTGTAATCGTTAGAATGTCCAGGAAGTTCTGTGATTTCGAATCTTCTCAATTTCTCCAGGTCATCGTACTTGACATCGAACTTGACGCCCCGAGCTGCCTCTGCTAGCTTGGTCAACTCGTTGTAGGTCAACGTATCACCAACAATGCGCAGCTCTCGCGGCCAGGAGGGCAGATCCAGAGCCGCAATCGTAAAACGAGCGGCATCAAAAGTGTAGGTAAAAGTCATCGGCTCGTTGCCTGTCCCGGGGATGCCTGCCGCAGCATTTGGGATGTCCAGGACCACAGTTCCATGGTCGTAATGCGACTTGAGAGTGGGTGGAGCATAGTAATCGAGAAATGTGCCGTTGTGAACAACAGCCCACTCCAGACTAGTCTTTTCCAATGCGTCCAGAGAGTCAAAGTATGATTGCAGCGGAGGAAGTATGCTTGGACCACTAATGCAGTCTTAATAATGGAGACTTGTGAATTTGCAGGCATCGTACGTACTCTTTTGGGTAGGCAGTGGCAAACGAACTCGGGATGAAACGCTTGGTGACTGACGAGGCCTCCGCCGCCTTGATGAGATTAATTTGAGACACGGCGAGAGAGGTCCCATTGATTCCAAAGGCGCTGATAACTGTGTGTACTTGGTGTTCCTCAAGAAACGCGGTGAGGGCGGCCACATTGGTGTAGTCCACCACGAAGTGAGGCAGTAGTAGATCGCCGGTTTTCGGTTCCTAGGTCACCATTAGCAATTTCTCTGTCACACATTGCTTCGCTAATTCTTTTATTACCTTTCGACTAAGGACTAGCCCTTGATGCTTCGTCTGGCCAGCCAAGACATCGACCAGGGTCTTGCCCATTACCCCGGTCCCTCCGGCAATTGCAACAATGACCATGGCGAAAATAAGGTGCAAAGAATAGTCGATTGGAAAGTCGATGGAAAAGTCGACTTGTGGGAAGGTGCGTTAGTGTTCATAGGACGCAAACGACGTGCTTTATGTCTGCCAAACCGTCCGGACTTCAGTCAAATACCGGCATGTACAAGCCACGCTCTCCAAGTGTTCTCGTATTAAGCAACTTACAAACCACGCCACCTAACTGGTCACCGAAGCACTTCCAACCAAGTGGAGAGATGTATATGTACGCTAAGGCAACTGGATTACGCGCTAGACAATTAAAACGGACCGGTTGGGTGGGACCGGCGCGAGTAGGGTTGCATGGGCGGCTAAAAGCGAAATCTCTCCCCAGATATGAACTGTATTGGGCTCCACGTACGATGAATAGGTCGTGTTGGATCGGTTACAGTCAAATTAATTAATAAATAATGTTCAAATTAATGATGATTATGTTGAGTCCTTCATTGGGCCCGGATCGACCGGCCCGGTCAGAGAGGGGTTTTCTGATGCCCTCTCTGACTAGGTAAGGTCAGGAGATCGATCTATCAGAGGTTTCGAAATACAGGGTCACAATCCAGCATATATTCAATTTTCTTGGCCTCTCTTTTGATATTAAACCCCAACATCCATACCGCGCCATCAGATAGGACATACCCATACCGCAATAAGATTCACCCCGGGCTCAGTGAGCAATGCACCCATTGGTTCTAAGCACCTGTCCGTCACATTTTCCGTACTCTCATCGTTTCATTTTCAGCAAAACTGAGGAAACTACAAAGAAAGCTGCAATGCCTATTAGAACTACTTGTTAGCGGAAGCAAAGCCGTGTCCGCATGCAGATGGACATACCAATAATGATCATAGGAACAACATTGGCGGTTTCAAGAAGCTTCGTTCCTTCTGGAGTACTTTCCTCGGGATTTTCCTCCTCAACCACCGTTTCATTGTCCCTCGGTAAAAGGTCGCTTGCGTCGTATTCGGTCTGGTCTTCCTGGGACTGTTGAATGTCCCTGATGATGGCCCGTCTGGTAGTGCTGTGAGCCTCTTCCCCTCTGCTATCCAACAACTCGAGAAGACGGTCCTTGTTCTCCCAGTCGGCTGCCTCAATCCAATCACGAAACGAATAGACTTCTTCGCGCCCGGGGCGAAAGCGCCAATTGTCCTCACCATTACTGACTCCCCGCAATTTCTTGATGACTGGGGATTGGTCCACCCCAGGCGTTGAGAAATCATAAGACATCCTCAGCCTTGCGTTCTTGAATCGGACTTCCCAAAAGCTATCAGAATCTCGGAGAGATATAGCTACGCTGAAAGAAGCATCCAACCCGCACTCAAGAGCCCGTTCAGCAAATTTACTAAATCGATTGCCAATTATACTTCCCCAGTTGTCAAAGCTATTCGCCAATTCGCCTACTTGGAATTGCTGCCAGACGGTCAACTCATCTCCCTCGACGGAATTTACATCAGAGGGGAGAATTGAAATGGCGTTGACCGGGCTATCTTTTGTAAAACATCCACTCTCAAAGAAATACTCCCACGGCCAAAGTTCAGAGTCAGGGTTGGTCCAAGTCAGGACGGCGCTGGCGACCAATTCACGCTTGAAAGGGCTATCAATGGCGGTTGGGTCGTTTTGGATTTTCCATTTGACGTATGCGTCGGCGTTTAATAATCCGGCGAGATAAAGCGTGCTATAAATCCAATGACCTACCCTCTCTCCATGGTGGGCAAGAGTATTCTCGATGTCACGGACGGCGGCCTTGACGTAGGCGGAAGCATCAGTATGCCCTATGAGAAAGCCAGAGCCTGGTCCGCTGTGTACGATGATACTTTGATTCGGCCCAGGGTTTGAATGTCGAGACCTCCAACCCAGGAGCTCATGCGCTCTAGAAACTGATAAGGAGCCTCTTCATCCTTATTTGTCAAGCGCATTGAAGCTATGCCTGCGCAAAGACCCCGAGCATATGCTGCGTCTTTGCCTATGAACTGGGCCGCTGCAAAGAGGAGATGGGACAAGGCATCAATATCATTGAAACCTGTCAATGACTCTTTCATGAGTGTCGCGACGGCTTTTTGGAACATGTCTGGGACAGATCGGTGGGCGTAGTCGAGATATCCCCAGATTTGCACACTATGTCCGAGGTGATATTCGACAAGTCCTCCACAGGCATCTCGAAGCTGTTTATGGACCTGTTTTTCATCCTTCTTGGCGGGTAGAAAATCCTCTCTAGTACAGAATTCCTTATCCTTATCGTATTCATCAAGGAATGAAAATGCGAGTAGGGGTACGTCGAGAAGCGTAGCTTTGGCTGCCTGCAGCAGACGTACTAGTCGGCAAGTCTTTCGTTGGTTGCTGTCGTCAAGGCTGTCGATGATCTGTTTAAAGAGCTCCACCAACCCAGGCTGTAGATTTTCAAGGTGCTTCTCCAAGTCCTCGTCACTGACGTAGCCCATCTTGCCGCGAATGACGTTGACCACAAGGCAGACCCAAAGGAAGATGCCATCTGCTTTCTCTGGAATTCTGTTCGCGAATTGCAGCCTTAACTCGTCGTTTTGAAGGTCTTCAAGGCGGCTCCAAACAAAGTCCCGCATATCAAACCATGTCAGCTCCTGAAGTTGAAAGCTTGGGCCTTCCGAGAATGCATTCATAAAGTCAACCTCTTCTCTGCTTGCAACACAAAGTTTCAGGTTTCCATCTGAGTGAGTGGACCAACCACGCAACAGCTTTACCAGGTCTCGGTGGTCTTCTGAAGTTGTCACATGCTCGTCCAGACCGTCAATAAAAAAACAAAAGCGATGTTTTTCATAAAGACGTTTGTATTTCAGCACTCTCTCAAGCGACTCTTGAATTGAATCGGCTGAAATCTCAATCTTGGTCAGTGTGTGCAATGTAGTTTGTCTTGCTTCAGCCCAAATGTCGGGCATCGTTGCGGGTATCAGATCCTGGCGTTCCTTAAGGATGTCGTATAGGAGCGAGCGACAGAGACCCCGTATAGACCTTTGTAAGTCTTGGCCGGGCTTCCAAAAGAAAAAGCTGGAAATGACGACTTGTTTGTCTCCTGTTAGGTCTCTATTAGCCATCTCGGGCATAAAATGATAGAATACAGAGAGTGAGTTGCCTTACCGGCCCATTTCTTCGCCTCAGCTTTGGTGCGCTCGTGGGAAGCGAGGAATTTCATCAAGGTTGACTTTCCTGATCCCACCTTGCCATGAATGTGGAAGATGCCGCTGCGTGAGGCGAGCCAACTTAGGAACTTTTCCCTAGACCGGCATTGCATTTCCAACTTCTTTTCCATTTCCATCTAGATGCATTCGTCAGCTTCCTTAAACTCATAAATATTGATTACTCAATCGCACCTCGCTGAGAGTATCATCACTGTTGGTTGTCGATGCGGTGTTATCCTCCTCGAAAATCCATTTGAAGGTATCAACATGAGGCTGGTGAATCTGGTCAAATCGCTTCCCTCTGTCCTCGAACTGCAAAGAGCTCAGAATCCTGTCTTTCTGGCTTTGCAGCAGGATTTCTGTATCAATGTGCACAAGCCGTTTGAGTTGCTCTGTCATCTCCTGGATCGGAAGTCTTTCACGAAGGTACTTTATGTTGTCCAGGACCTGGCCAAGCGTATCTGCGTCCTCCTTAGTCGAGGAAAGAAGGCGATCAAAAAATTCTGTAGACTCTTTTCTAGTTGGTGAGACACGTCAGCATGTAACTGAAGGAGCTAAGAAGAGATCCTCACCTCAAGAGGTGGACGAGATTCAATGTTAGCTGTCCACGGCATTCCCCTAACCTCTGTTCAATTTCTTCAATATCGCGCTTCCGCCAAAGAATTTTTGCCGCTCCAGAAAATGGGGCATGCCAAGATTGCTTCTTTGGCCTGATTCTCTCCAAGAGGTTCAGCATGCTCGTCGCTTGGTCTTCGGATTCCTTGGCGACCTTGTATAGATATTGTTGTGCTGCATCGTTCCCGTTACCCAGCGGTTTCAATCCCTTAGAAACAGCCTGCGTCGCCTCGCCGAGCGTCTCCCGAAGTTTGTTTTCCTCGATGTTGCCATCTTTGGAGTTGTAGATTTCCCTGGCCGTTTTGCCCAACTTGAATCCGACCTCAACCAAAGCCAGGATGGAGGCCGCTAGTCCGACGAGAGTGACGGGGTCCATTATGATGGCGGAAGGCTTCTAATGGAGTATCGAGATATTCACGGTGGCTGGATAGCTGCGTTTCAGGCCATGACGGACTCTTGTTTGCGAAGGATGATCTGATGTGAATGAGGGGAAGTTGTTGAATTCTGCGCGTGAAAATTCTCTCATGTTGTGATTTGGCACAATTCTGCACTTTCTTTTGATTGGCTGTTGCCAACAACAAAGCGACGTAGCCTGCTTATCTGCATTCACCGGTTTCCCAACCCTCACGTAGCCAAAATTGGTCAATAGAGACACTCCTAAATATAGAACCAAAATTGAGCATACATAGGGAAGAGGTTGGACAGATTGTACTTATATTTGGTTTTTTTGTAGTCTTACTCAATATCATCAGATAGATCAAAACCATATAGTAATCTCAAACAGTAGGAATAAACAATAAGGGCTACACCTAGCATCAGAAGAAATAGTAGCTAAATAATAAGGTTATTGCCTACCGGTCTCTATTTAAAGCTTCTATTTAACCCCTCTAACTTTAACTTTATTATCTATAGTTAATAATCTTACTATTTATAATTAATAACCTTAAAATAGTAATTTTATTTTAAGTAAAGAGATATAAAAAAGATTAATATTTTTTATTATTAAAAAATTAATTTCTCTTTTAATATTTATCTCTTATATTATTTGGTTTTTTTAGCTTTACTTAATATCATCAGATAGATCAAAGCTATACAGTAATCTCAAACAGTAGGAATAAACAATAAGAGCTACACCTAGTACCAGAAGAAATAGTAGCTGAATAATAAGATTATTGCCTACCGGTCTCTACCTAAAGCTTCCATTTAACCCCTCTAACTTCAACCCTATTATCTACAGTCAACAACCTTGCTATTTGCAGTCAACGACCTTGCTATCTGCAGTCAACAACCTTAAGATAGTAACCTTATTCCGAGTAATAGGATATAAGGGAGACTGACGTCTCCTATTGTTAAGGGACTAACTTCCCTTCTGACACTTATCCCATCTCAATAAATTTCATCTGAATAACTTATCACCATGTCGACCATCAATCGCAAGGCCCTTGTTACATATATCCCTGCGCATCAGGGATACGAATCTGGATTCCGGCACAGCACAGGATTCCATTGGAATCTTCAAGACGAAAGGGAAAGATGCAAGCTGGATAACTATCTAAAATTCCTTAGAGAAAGGAACCTCCTAGACCTCTTACCACACCACCCAGAACGCCTGGATAGAAACCAAAGGATTGCGTTAGCCATTTTCGGATGCGGTCTGTTTCTTGACGATAGGAACAGAGCCAATCCGCAGGGAAGTCAGGCCACCGGCATCGACATTACATTCATCCGGATAGAAATGGGCGCATTGTATGACCTGGCCGATGATATCGAAAACACCGACGACGACAGGGGCTAAAAGTTCCTCGCAGAAATTGGCCGTGAAAAATACAACCCCTGGTTCCAGGAGTTATTGTGCTGCGTCGGGCTGGTACGGATGCTAGCCACCTAGGGTGGGAGGGGGATTCGAATGACTTGGGACATCATGGGCGTTGGGGATCTCGGGGCGTTTCACAGGTCGGGTCGTGGGAGTTTTCAGTGCATTCATCAAGGTTAGAGTCGAAAGAGTTAGACAGGATTCCGGCAGAGAAGAAAAAAGCAGCTTGAAACCCAAAACTTGGGCCTTGGCAACTGTGACGTGCGCGCAACGAAAATGCAGTAAATTCAAACACTAGGTTCCCTCATCGAGGGAGATTGTACTTATATATGGAGGTACTTATTTTTATCAGCTTGGACAGGTCGATGAACGAACGTTTGAGTCGGTATTCATTGTGCGTTGGTCAGTCAGTGTACTGTCAAGGCGAACTGTTGGAAATTGGAAAGGCAATAATAGTAGAAAAATGTTTCGCCCTCGCGTTTTAAGTACCCTTCCCTGATTGTATACCTGTCATTGTGCACCTCGCTGGACTCGAGATGGAAATCGGACCAAATGGACCGCAATTTCCCATCGCCTAATTTATGCAGTAACTCTGTGATACAACACATGATGATGTGCGCGGAATGCCTAATCTGCGATACTGTAAGAAGCCTCGATCGTGGAAGTAATATCGGGGTTTTATTCGACATGCGACTTAGGATTACAAAATAACCTCACGACCATTAAAGTGAACTTCCTTTAACCCTAAAATTCACACCCGATTTATACGTGCGAATCATTTGCGACCAATAAAGGAGACACTTAGCAACTGTCATGAGGCATGATCTCAGTCACGGGGATCTCTTGGATCTCTTCAGCCTGCGGTGCCTTTCTCCACCACGCCCGCACAACCAACTGGCGTTCAAGAAAGACCATGCCGATTGCAACAGTCACAAGTGTGATGGGAAGGGTTGAGGAAATAAAGGGTACCCATGATCGATCGCTGGTAGGGAAGATTCCCGCGCTAAAGATGCTCTGGGCAAGATTTGATAGTCAGTCATGTTATACAATCTTCGTGGTCGCATTTTCTATAGAAAGGAGGACAACAAGAGTTGGTCCTAGGAAAAAGACTCACAGCAATAAGACTTGCAGGCGCGAAAACCAACGCTAAAATTGCAATCAAACTGGTTTGGGAAGTTTCTTGATGCGCAACCATGTTGTCGATCTGCAAGAGTCAGTACGCCTTTAAGCCCTCCAAGAGTGGAAATCAATGCATACCAGAGATATTTGTACTCCAACTCGTTCTCTGAGACACCCAATCTGGGCCTTTCGGCTGATCGCGTGTGCAAGTTCATAGTCAATATCGTCCCGAATGGCTTGCCACGCCCCGTCGCTTGTGTTCGCTTTGAGCCATTGCCGTACTTCATCTTTCCTAGACATCTGTTGGAAGAATTCCCAAGCTGCAACTTCAAATTCAACGGCATGATTTACAAACATAAGGTTGTTCTGGCATAGATGCAGAATACTCATCACGCTGTAGAAATCATGCGGCCACCTGACCAACGTCTTGCCTGGATCTTCCCATGAAGATGCGCGGGTCTGTACCTCAGCACCGAGAACATCCTTGTCTAACTCTTCCCGCTTCAATTCCGAGGTGAAGCCACATTCATTCAAAATAGTCACGATTAGAGCGAGTGGATTTTGCTTCACGAGTCTGGACGCCGATCCTGAGCCATCCACTGCCTTGATGATGCGGTTGAGGTCGTCGGGGGTGGCATCGAACAAGAGACAAGTTGTCCTGGATGAGACCAAGCAGATTCGGATGGCGCAAAAGATCTCCCGCACAGGTGTCTTCGGTGAAGAAAACAAAATGACTAAGAATGTGAGCTTTAGAATGCGAGCCTCTACGTGCATCGTATGGACATTTGATACGTACGCAAAGACTTTTTATTGTCACGATGCTCAATAAATCGAGCAAAAACTCCATGGATAGACTTGATCGTCTTTTCAACCTTGTCAGGGAACTCAAAGGTCTGGATAATATTTTGGAACAGTATCTTGTCCAGACTGAGGCCGAGCAAAGTTCCGTTGCCAGTCCCAGCACTAAGTTTATTAGCTTGTGATCCTCAACACATGCAATAAGGAGGAGAGAGCTCTACATAAATACCAGTGATTGTGGGTCGCTAGACACCTCTTTCGCAGACAAATCCTTCGTCGATGCCCTCTTAGGAATGGTCTGCGTTACCCGTCAGAGTCAGACATTGCAAGACATGGAATATCATTTTAAAATTGTGCATACTTGTAAAAACTTCAATGTTCCATCACGGTCGCGCCATTGGCCTTGTGGAGACTCGGCATTGTTTTCACCTGCTTGAGTCATATTATCAGCGCTGTGGTTCTGAATCTGATGAATGGGTATCAATATTTAATGTCCTGCAGCTAACACGCACACGTCGAAAGGCAGTAGAGATTGGCCGGCTTTTCAAGGTCAAATACAATCTCCTTTTCCAGTGATAAAGAGCCTCGGCTCTGAAGATCCCGATTGGTGACGGTGATACTTGGTTTTGACATGGTATGAGGCTGAGGCACGTATAAATATTGACGAAGGCTACGCGGTGAAAAGTGACCATTTACCACAATTCATGCTCAAGATTTTTGTGGATAAATGTATTTCCCACTGAGTTGATAAGCGACAGAAATTGAACTGGCTACGTGGGAGAGGGCTGACGGTGCCACGTAATGGCTTGCCATAGGGTAAAGGCTACTTTGTAGCTGCATGCAAGATACGGTAGACCCCCACCTTGCATATTGGGCAGATAGCATGTAGCGCCCGCAAGTGAAATCGCTCTTTTCTATCGTGTCTGAAGAAATCCCATCTTAAAATATATAGAGCCTGCTAATTAAACACCAAGGTCATTCCATTTGAGCAGCTAGCCTGGAGACGGAAGGACTCAAGTGAGGGCTCGGGACACATCAATATGAAACCAGCTATTATGACCATTATACCCTGATTAAACATACATTCATGAGAATCGAAGATCTCCGCAGCCGTCGACTCAAATGTAACTTGAAATATTTCCATTTCATCCGGTTCTGGGTCTATATTGATTGTACAGTTTATCATGCCAACGTGCCACTAAACCACCCAAGTTGCTCGTCGTGACCTTAGCTGGACCAACTCAACGTCGCTAGTATGGCTCCTTCTCCCTTCGCTCACACGCTCATCCTCGAACCCAATGCATTCGATAGTCTCATTTCGTAAATTCTGACGAACAGAATTTTTCTTTTTTGTCCCACCTCCTGACTCTCCAATTGGCAGAGATATCACTTTCCCATCACACTTTTCTCCGGTGCCCTCATTTGGGTTACTAAAATAGGGCCTTAAAGACGGCAAACAGGCAATGATAACGGCAATATTGCAATCAACATTGGTCCATAGTACTACGACAGTCAGCTCATCCATTCACAAGACCTTTTGTATAAAGTCCCAAAAGTATTGCAACACTCACCAACTAAGGTAATCGGAGTCGCGGCTCGGACCAGTGATAATTGGATGGTGGCAAAACGTAGTATGTCAAACCCAATATCAATAACCCCAAGGAGGAATGTGCAATACACTCCAAGTTTTAGTGTCCTCCTCATATTTAGCCCAGGTATGATAAACCACGGTAAGGCAAATACTGTTTATATTAGCCTTGTGTTGAAACGTAGCAGGTTCTGTCTTTGGCCTTACCAAGGAGATTGCCTAAGAAATTAAAAGCGCTGGTGGCATGGAACACTATTTGAAACCGTCCAACGGGGCATGTTGATATAGGTTTTAGGTCCCTAAATTTCGATTGTATTAATACAATACAAGCGTTGTGTGGGAATCTTCTTACCAATATGTGCTAATAGGGACGCAAATTGAAAGTAACAAAACTATGCTTATGAAATAGGCAAGCACGACATAAACAATAGTTGCCCACAAAAATATCCTCCTTTTCTGCATAAACTCTGGGAATATTTGCAGGTACATGGAAAGGAGTTCTGCTTTTGACAGTGAACATGTCGTCCAAAAGGCAATTTGTGTCAACCACATGGTCTATCAGTTGTTAGCCACTATCAAATTCTTACAGATTTTGTCGCACCTCGACACGAGGTACTCACTTTGAAAACCGCCTTAAATGCTTCTCGATCTCCAGGGAAGTTGCCTTGATCCAATAAGACGTCCGGCTGAAGGGCGCCTAGATGCATAAGGATAAAGGACGTACTTGTAGTAACGACGCCGGAAACCCATGCCGCGCATATAAGCATGTCGCTGACTAGCAACCCTCGACGTTGGATTCTGATACGGAGGTAGAATCTGGCAATGATAGCTGCGGCCGCAATGGCAAGGAGAAGAAATCCTATAGCCTGGGACAAATCAGGATATGACGGACGAGGAAACCAGGGAGTAGCTGGATCGGATGTGACAAACATTAAGCTCCGCCGCCCCTGGGCCACGTTGAGCCATGGCTTCCAGGAAACGGTTGATATGCACGAAGCAGCTAGTTCACAGAACACGAAATAGGTGCATCTTTGACCAACGGGTCTGCGCAGGGCGTGGTGCAGTGATCCGCCGGCACTGATGTGGTGAGGACGGTGGTGAGGAGACGATGATGGGATAGTGCGGCCGGGGGGGACACTAGAATAGCCTCAAGAATGTGAACTCCTGAGTAACCCATCCGAATGGGTCCATATACCTTGCTTGGGTTAGCCAGACGGTCGGGACTTGGAGTGGCTTGACTAAGTTTCTTCTAAGAGGCGTGGGCGAATTCATTCTAAGCCCTCTTCGAATGCAAGGGGTCAGTGCAACATATGGAGAAACATGATGATTCAGACATTAGAACATCTGGTTGAGTTCCGAGGGCGCAGTCTGCGCAAATCTCAAAACATGGTCTCATTGCGTTGGGTATATGATGTATTCAACCATGGAAGCGGGGATGGGAGTCATGAAAATGTCTTTATTCCCTCCCCTGAAATGATAGTCTTGGATTCGCTCTTAAAGGTGAAGGCGATGACACCAATGTAGACAGGCTCCCGGACCTCCGGATAGCTCCGCTAGTCCATGAAGCCGACAGAGCTAAGGCTGCTAACACAGCAGTTGGGTTGAGGGAGATGTAAGAGCTAAGAGCTTCAAGGTTAGACTTGGGCTCAAACTCTAGCCGCTAGGTCCCTCTGACGTCTCTGTGATGAAGGATGAAGGCAAACTAGGATCCCAATGCAACAGTACACGAACCTTGGCGCTGGACTGGGTACAGAAGTAAGGAGTGGTTCCCTTGATGGGACAAGTGGTATTCGGGTACAAATAATGATCTAAGGTAGTGACTTCCCTTGTATCACTCTCTCATACTCCTCGTCGCCGAGAAAATCTCTCTCAAACGTTTGTTCAGCTACGGATAAAGTCCGCTTGAACCCTCTTCGTGCTCCTTCTGCTGACGTCCCGGCCTCATCGTTCTCTTGACCAGTCTCCCGAACTCTTTTCCGCCGCGGGTCTTCCCTCTCATCCAAGAGGTCTTGTTTCCTTTTTGGGCTAGGTATACGGGCTATGTTCCTTGCATCGTGTGTCTGTTGTTCCAAGTTTCCTCCCACACCGGGTCTGAGCTCTGGCCGGGAGAGCCAAAGCGACTTCTGGGAGTTTGTGGTTGCTTGGGAACTGATTGGTGTTATTGGCTTGTCTTTATCGGCTCTTTGGTCCTTATGAGAGTCGTCATCTTCGTCGTCGATGACAATGTATTCCGGCTGACTCTCCTTCTTGGTCGCATCCCAAACGGTCAAGTGAGGACTCTCCTTCTTGGTCGTATCCAGCACAGGCAAGTGAGGAACCTCGGTTGCTTCTCTCCATGTATGGCGTCGGTACGGTACGTCGGTGTCGAATTCAAACTTGGCCAGTCCATTAAATAACCTCACTCCGTCTGTAAGAACTTCCCATTTTGTTTTTTTCTTCGACTTGAATAAGTCATGTGTAGATTGTCGGTGTTCTGCATTTCGTAGATGCTTGACAAACTGGTCGATCTTTGTAGTGATGGTCTTGTCACTGCTCTCGATTCCCTTCAAATTCCATCCTCTATCCCAACCAGGTCTGTTGTCAAATCTCTTTACACGCATGTGCCAACCTGGTCGACGAAGTATTTCAAGGGGCAGCAAGCCGCCCGTAACAATGGAGGGATCCATAACAAATACGCATATATCTGTCTTCCGTGTAGCCCTGTCAGGTTGCTCGGACAAGGCAAAGATGAGACCTTGGTTGCGTAGACTTGGAATCAAGTTGATACAGTGCCACACGTCCTCTGACAGCAGCTCGGGACGTTTGGATAACTCTTGGGGTGGCGCCAACTCGTCCAATCTAGTCGACAGCCGAAATATGGGAGACGTTGGCTCGTTTCGACCGACCCTATGTTTCAAATAGAGAGCATAAACAAACTCCCGCGCCTTCGAACGTGGTCCAACCTTGACCACCATCTCTCGTTGCGATCTTTTCCCATTGTTGGGCTGCTCTGAAGGCAACGACTTCCACACCCACGAGGTACTTGAGCAGTTCGCAATAGTGGAAAAGTGTCCAGTATAAATGCACAATCGTGACGCACATGCGGACAGATTATCTGCAGCAGACCGTTTTAAAACCTCTCGGAACGAAGACATTGACGTAACCAGGGGGATGCGCGACGATGCCAGGCTAAGTGGGCGTTTTACGTCGGCAATCTTGAATAGCCTGTCTATGACAGTGTCTGCAATAGCCAAATAACTCAACTCTCTTGTTTGCTCCCAGTCTGGTGTGAAATACGACACTGCAGTGGCGACGACCAGGAAGATCGCATCCGGGGCAATCATATCGGCTCCGTGGCGATCCATATCTGTCCAAGAGACCTCGAGATCATCGAGCATGTCTCGTCTCATTCTGCAGGATTCTTCGAGGCTTTCAAGAAGAGACTTTGCAAGTTTCTTTGCTGCATCGTTGGACGGGGCTGAATAAATCAGATGTCTGAAATTTTCCTCGGTGACATACAGGCCAATGAACCGCGTTCGGATAAAACGGGCATCGCGAAACACGCCGTGTTGGCTGTCAAACGCGCGAAGCAGGTCCCCAGCGGCCGATTGAGGTTCGACCAGGTCTACTTCATCACCTTCGTCGTCGGCAACCACCCAATCTTGAACATCTTCTGCCAATGAGAAAATATCTGAGTCGTACGCCAGGCTCTTAGAATCGTGAAGCGCAAGCTTTTTCAAACTTCGGGCAACACCTTCGCGGTAAATGTCGCGAGCCCAGTCCACTATGTAGTCGATAATGAGGAGGAGCTGTAGTGCGTTCTCTGGAGAGTCAAGGCCGCCTTCCCAGAGTCTCACGACTCTCTAAAAACAATCAGTAACCATAATGAGAGTAGTGACAACAGAAATCACTTACATAACACTTTTTTTCGCCTTCAGTCTCAATGTATGCAGCCCATACTCTCCATAGTTCGCCTTTATATGAGAGAAACCACACAAGAGGACCACCGTCCCACTCGGTGCCCTCACCAGCTGCTTGAGCTAGCTCTTCTTGGAGAGACAACAGCTCTCGAATGGCAAAAGCAGTTTGAACTTGTATATCGGTGAATGAATCTGCGCCTTTTTCGGATTTTGCCTCGATGATGAGGAACGGATAAACTATCGGGTCTCCGTCGACTTTGAAGGGGCTACTCCTCAGCCCATCGTTGGTCGAATTCGCCTTGGAAGCAATTGGGTTTTCCTCTGCGTTGAGTAATAGACGCTCGAGCCTACTGGTGACTCGAAGCCCGTACACTCTGTCTGGACGGTCCTCACGGCTTGGGAGGTCGCGTTGCAGTTCGGGAGGGTAGACAATTCCCTCATCTACTCTGTCGTCGAAGAGAGGGTTTATTCCCTGATCACGACTACGTTCAGAGTCAGTAATATCCAAGGCCAAATTTAAGGGGATTTTCAACTTACACACTATCAACGTAGCCGCTTGGGTCGCATTTGCACGGCTGGCGCCTCATTTGACGGGCACCGAGGGAGTTTGCTGAGGTTTCGTTTTGGGAGTTGCTGGAGACAACTTCTTGCTCAGATCGCCAAAGCCTACCTCGACATTTTTGACTATAAAGTCAACAAAACAATCCCAAATGCATCGTCTTGTGTTAAACCATCGACTCACCATGCAACCTCGACGGTCAATCGTGCCATAATCTCGGGCTCTAAGGCCAAACGCCAGCCACCCTCATTCTTCCGTCCTTCCAGACAGAGTTTTGCAATATCCGCGACGCGACTCGCTCGACGCTGAACCTGTTCTCTCCAGGGATGGTGGTGCACATCCGCGCTGATGCTGTCGCGATAGTGCTCAAAGTCGATTTTGCCAAGTTGGCGGATGTGCTGGAAGATGGGATCGCAATTGCTCGGCCAGCGAGGGTTGCGGATGGAGTCAATTGGGCCATCGAAACAAATATTGTATTTCTTCATCAGTTGGCGCTGGATCGGCCTCTGACTGGATACCATGGCGAAAGAAGTGGTTGTGTGCCATGTGTTTTGTCGCGGAGAGATTATTAAAGACGCGTCGTCCCACACGATGATATTTGTGGCCAGTTGGCACTCAACACAGCCTGGCTTGTTTCATTTGGCGCCAGTTCGCATCCCTGCTCGTTTCTTATCACCCCGCATTTCTCACTTCGACCAGCCTCCTCTGGGGCATGAAAGTGACGATGTAGCTAATGCAACTGAAATGAAACGATCTGACGCACTCCAATTATGGCACTAATAGCCCAGATAGTAAGGAAGCCGCCAGTGGGTAAATATCATGGATTATTATTAGCGTCCAGAGTCAATTCAGTTGCCAGTACGGAGGACATGCCAAGGGATTCGAAATCCGTCGCTGCGAATTGGCATCTCACCTCCCCGCCACCATCTCATCTATACAGGCTGCATAATCCAAACTGACGCTATACTCCCGGGCTAAAGAATAGAAGCGTTGGAAGAGTAAATAACGCGAGAAAAATTTCACTGACATAGCCCAATTAAGCTTGTCGCTCACTCTGAACACACGAGCCATCGCAGAACTAATCCAAGTGGAATCGCAGCAATGACACAATTGGCAAGCCTCACCTAACATTACGAACAGAAAGCCCCGAGATGACACTTTCCCGCCAGCTCCAAAGTCCAGCCCAAGTCGCTCCTGGGCCAGCATTGACTTGGCCAAGCAGTATGTTGGAACAGGTCGTAAATGCGTCGCGGGTTGTCGTGTATCCCGAACGTCACAGGTCCCAAACGGCATACAAGTTGTGAATCGAAATAGTAGCTGCAGCTAACACGGCGTCGCTTCTCAAGAAGGATTTCAACACCCCCAGAGTTCCGTCGCTCTCCGCACTAGAAACACCTGCAGTAAACATCTTCAGGTGGAAGTAACCATATAATAGTGCTGCCGAATGCGCAGTGGCTTGGATGGCAAAGGCAAAACCATATGCGAACTGTAAAATCGGGACATCCGGGATTGTATAACGGTCGAGGTAAGACTTTTTGCGATTCTGTTGACAGTATCCGAATGCGGAAGAGAGTGCAAGTCGTTAAAACCGGAAGCAGTAGAGGTGACAAACCCGCCCACATCCACGTGTTGAGGTTCTCGAGATTGACTAGTGGCGCCAGCATCATGAGCGTTGGAAAAACATAACCGAAAGCCAATGCTGGCACCAGGGATTTTCCCACGTTGTGTTCGACAAAGCGGCCCGCGGTCGCATCAAACGGCAGAGAGACTGTTAAAATGGCAAGCAGCGGAAGTGCTCGACATATGCCGAAGACTTGCAGGCCAACCGTGTATGGAAACGAGAAAGCGGATGGCGTGCCCTCGTTGCCAGCTCTATATCCCTCGATTGTGTATATCAATAGGGGCGAGATTGACTGGGATAGAAGGTAGACAAATGGCAGCACGGAAACCGCGTCAGACTTGAGCAGTGGATGACGCATGAAAGACGCAAGTGTGTCGACGGTCCCGCCAATTCCAAGCACGGCAGTCTTGACAGATTCGATGTCTTCACAGCCTGTTCCCTCACAGAATGGTACTGTATGAAATGACATCCAAAACAGAAGACCCATAACCACGGTGTACAGCAGTCGAACAAGGGCCGCTCGCCCACTTGTGAGAGGCTTTGCGGGAAGTTCATGATGGTATGGCACCGCACGCAGCCGAGACGGAATAGGGAGCTTGTTAATACGCGAGCCTGCAAGAGTTCTCCCGCCCAGTATTCGCAAAGGGCTATCGTCGCCAGTGAGTGGTCCAAAAACACGCCATACGAGCGTAGAGATGACGGGCTTCTCAAATGCCAGAAGAGCTTGCATGTTTTTCGATGCGGAGACGGTGCGTCTGGCTCGATCATGGCGGGTGCTTTGCATCTTATGGCAGATGGCATTGATTTCTTCCGTGCTGAGGCCGCTGAGGCCCTCTGCTCGTTCGTCTCTCTTCTCGAGCAAAGCATTGACGAACTCGGCAACTGATTCCATTGCGCCGTTGGCTCCCATTCCACTGATTGGATTTGGCTGCAAGCTAGTTAGTGATGGACCACAACTCTCTGTGTGAATCTTACCTTGTGCGCTGAATCTCCAATGAGCAACAGGCGATTGAAGAACCACTTCTCAAAAACCACTTGATGAAGTGGCGTCAGAGTTGACGTTATGCGTTTGGCAAAGACCTGGCCAAAAGTGAGGGTTTCCGTGATTAACAAGGACTGGTGTTCCTTTACGAACAGCGCTTCGTCTTCTTCCAATATCTCGGAATGCCTTTGCCGTACTTTACCTCCGGCAGTTTGACAAATAGGAACCAGTAAACTCGGTCGTCTGGGCCAGAACAGACGAGAAATGCCTTATGGTGTTCGGTGGTGAAACACTGTTCGTTTTGCGGCCAGCCGGTGACCGTCTGCGCAATGCCGAAACTGCACTGGTAGTAACAAGGGACGCGATCCTCTTCTCCAGCGGGGAAGTATCCTGGCTGAGTCTCTCCTGCGATGCGCAACATCTCGCTTCTCACAACGCTGTGTATTCCATCGGCTCCGATAACCATGGTGCCGTGATAGGTCTCGCCATTTTGAGTCGAGACCTAGACACCAGATTCGCTGGTTTCAATCCTCTGGACCTGGCTCCGGAGCACAACACGATCTTTGTGTTGTATTTTGTTAGACAACACCTCTAGTAGCCACTGTCTGTCGAAAAAGATCATCGGATACCCGTGTCTAGCGTTTCTCAGCAAAGTTCCACGATTAGTCCAGCTCGACTAACCGGTTTTCCAAGTGGCCAAGCACATGATCTGTAAAGGCCATAGACGTGCCGTTGCTGGCACGAATGTTCAGGTTGCCGATTTCACCAGTCTGTGCTACCACTCTCACGTCGCCGTAGCAGCCAATCTGGTCGAAGATGAGCAAACCATTCGGCATCGTTCCGATGCTGGCGCCCACCGGGGGCGCTATATCGTCATGAGCCTCCAAGATGACATAGTCAATGTCGAACTTCTCAAGCAGGATTGCGAGTGTAAGGCCAGCAATGCCTCCTCCAGCGATAATGATCTTGAAGTCACTAGTTGGCGCCATGATGCTCAACAAGGTATGGAATCGCGTCAATTGGAGTCTGACTTGCGGCTTTTCCGTTGAGAGGAGCAGACAGCAGCGGGAAGGTAGTTTGAGAAGATATGACCTGTAACGCTGACTCAGCGAATTTGAATCCTTCAGGATGAAGCTGCAGTAGCATCATTCTGCAACACCCGACGAGACCGCAATAAATGGACACATTTCTGCCATCCCCGTATCATAGACCAAGGAATTAGGCGTCTCAACTACAAACTAGTCTTCTCCATCTGCGAACTCTCTTTTTTGGACTTTTCAGCACTCAGAAAGCCTTGACATTTGATTATACAGTGGGGCGATCTAATATCTCACAGGAGGTGAAGGCTGGGGCACGTCACTTCAGGCCCACAATGGTACGAGTGGTTAATGAGGCATGTTGGAAGGGCAATTGATGTGCAGTGATGGAGCTTTGGGGAGATGTGCAACGAATGTGCATAATTTGGTGTTGTCGGTTATGCCTAAGGATGTGCATCTTACAGGACGGGGAAATGGATCATTGATGGAAGTATTTGCGTTGAGAAATTGCCCCAAGATTTCTGGTCTACACCAAGCAAGCTGAGTTAAATCAATCCGAAAACGCCATGAAGAGGACTAAGATTGAATGTGTATTATTATTAACAGAAGAAACCAAATTCCAGTTCTATTTGCTCCAGGATCTAATTATTATTGAATTAATGAGTGCTGCCCGCGACACTCTTTGTCTCAGGCCGTCTTCTTCTTTCCAAACTTGAAGTTCCATGTCTTGACTCGGAACGCGTAGTAAGTCACCACAGCAATGAAAACGTTGAACAAAATGAAGGCCCACATGATTCCGAAATTCCTCCATCGTTCGGTGTAAACAATCTTGTTCCCCGCAAGATACTGATCTGCGACGGTTAATGAGCAGTAGCGGCACTGTTCGGTATCTTCCGGGTTTTGTAGTGAACCGGCAGCCTCGCTCAAAAAGGCAGAGAGATATTCGCCACAGGTTTGACCTTGCGGCGGGTTGAAAACGGAGGTTTCGTCGACAGAGCACTCAACGGGCCGGTCGTGCAACAGCGTCGAGACAATGCCGCTGACCCAATACGTAAAGGGCGAGACGCGATACATGAAGATCCAAAAGCCTGGGAAAGCATCGGGCGTCTGCAAGACACCGCAGAACGTCAGGCTCATAAGCACCAGAAGAGTAACAATGCCGGAGGCTGTCTGCGCGTCAGGGAGGGCGGCCACGGTCATTTGCGCAAAAGAGGATGCGTAGAGCAACAGCTGAATCATGAAGAGCAAGACAAGCCCTTGTCGTGCAGAGCTCTGTACTCCAACGACGGGGTAGACGAGACAGGCGTAAATGATGATGGCAGTGACGATCTGGTAAGGGATCTCAACGCAAACGTTGGCAATCATGAATGCTTTCCACGAATACGCTTTGCTCGGCCGCTCACGGACTTCGTAGAGGGCGCGCTGTGTCAAAAAGTAGGGTTGAATCTGCAACAGCGGTTAGTGTGGCCCGAGATACGATGTGGATGAAATGCATACCTGTTGCACGATGGTCGAGAAGATGGTGATGACCATGAATATGGCGAAGATGACATTCTGCATGCCGGCCAGCGTGCCCTTTGTGTCGTAGAATGAAAATCCGATGAAGAGTCCGGCGGCAAGGCCAAGCAGAAATTTAGCAAACACATAACTGGGCGTTCGCCAGTATTGTTGCAAGGCTCGTGTCGTCACCGCTGCAACCTGTACACCAAAAGGCATTGCGAACTCCGAGTCGGCACCGGCTTCTTCCTGATCCACGCCAGAGTGGGCTTTGTCGGCATGAATCTGCTCAATGTGCTGCATGACTGCTTCTCGCTCCTGACTGCCCAGCCAGATGCTATGCCAATCTTGGCCGTTTGAGCTTGTCCCTTGATTGACGACCTCGAGCATGTATTCGGCGGGGTTCTCCTCGTCGTCACACTGGCGGGCTCCGTTGCTCTCAAAGTAGTCGAGGAGGGTTCTGGAGTTCGACCCAATGTCTCCAAAGTAGACTGTCTTTCCGCCGGCGGCGAGGAAAAGCAGGCGGTCGAATTGCTGGAACAGAATGGCGCTAGGTTGGTGAACAGTACAGAGAACAGCCTGGCCTGCGTCGGCGAGCTTGCGAAGGAAAGCACAGATAGCCCAAGAACTCTGAGAGTCGAGGCCGCTGGTAGGTTCATCGAGGAAGATGAGGAGCTTAGGCCTGGCCGCGAGCTCAACACCAATGGTAAGTAGTTTCCGCTGCTCGATATTGAGACCTTCGCCGGGGACACCAACAACAGCATCGGCAAAGTCTCTCATGTTAAGCATGTCGATGACGTCCTCCACATAGCTGTACTTTTCCTCTTTGCTTACTGTTGCTGGTTGACGGAGCATGGCGCTGAACCGGAGGCTCTCGCGGACAGTGGCTGTTTCGAGATGGAGATCTAGGACGGGTTAGAACGAACTTGGACGATATCGAGGCACAACTAATGACTTACCTTGTTGCTGGACGTAGCCGGTCTTGCGCTGGAAGCTGGCGTTTAGCGGCTTGCCGTTGACAAACATGTCACCGGTGATGACACCCATCGTAGTCCGCTGAGCCAACACATCAAGAAGCGTAGTCTTGCCAGCTCCACTGACACCCATAAGAGCAGTAAGGGTTCCAGGCTTAACCCATCCAGAAACATTATTCAGCAGCGTCCGTTGAGTTCCCTTGATGTTGACATCGTATTTGACATCTCTCCAGGTGAAAATGTCGGTCTGAGTTGACTCCAGGGCACCTGCGGGACTTCCGGTGTTTCCGCCAGGAGTATCAAGCACAGCATCAACGTTGGTTCCGTTCTTGAGACTTGCTGGGGCAGAGCCGCGCTTGAAGATCAGGACCTCTGCAGCACTGCTGGTGGTCGAATTGAGCTCAGTGGCGACGAAGTAGACAATCATGAAGAAGAACAGGAACCCGAGGAGAATTCCAAAGTTCCTCCACATGTGAGAGTGGTAATACCCGTAGTTGGTCTCGATGAAGGTGTCGCCGGAAACAAATCGCTGCCCGGCAACGGAACCAACCGTGGAACAGATCCACGAGTCTCCCACTTGCGGTGAATACGGAGGGACAAATGTACCGCAATCGTATTCCTGCCCGTGAAACTCATTTGCGATCAACATCTCAAACGCGTAGTAGATGGGGTTGATCCATCGGATCCAGCTAAACCAGTCGTGCATCTGCGGCACGGTGATGACGAAACCAGTGTACATGACCAAGGCGAGAACCATGACTCCAGCAAGCGACATGGCCTTGGAGACTGTTGACGTAACTGCCGCGAGCGTTCTGAAGATTGCACTCATGACAAAGGTTGCGATGTAGGAGACCAGAAAGTAGAGGAAAAAGGCCCCCGCTTCTCGTCGAAGGCCAGCCAAGAAGTAAATCACAATATTAAAGACGGTTGCTGTCACAAATTTGATAGGAATGTCCGCAACAATGCCGGCAATTGCCTCTGCAGCGGGGTGATAGAATGCGTACGAGGCATGCTTTTCCACAATCGGACGCTGGGAGTAGAGGCTGTTGATCTCGGAAATAGCAGTCAGGGCATTGAGCAAGACGGCTTGAAAGAGTACCGATCCTTTGGAGTAGAAGCCGGCTGTGGTATTCGGGGTGCCGTAGAAGACCGAGCCGATGATGAGAGCCAAGACAGATGAAATGAAGGCGGACGTAGCCGTAGCGGATAGATCGTTCCAGATGCGTTGATAAGCCCGCTTGGTGGTCAAGCCAACCTGCATCGGAAGACTGATCATATAAGGGGACTTGGGACGGACATGCTTCGCCTGGCGGGTGTTTTTCCCTTCTCGCATCACGGCGATGTGGTGGCCGTTCGCGTCAACGGGAAACTCTTCCTCGTACTGCTCGACTTCTCGCTGGAGCGCTGCGTGCTCGGGAGACTGGAGCCAGTATTTCTCAAAGTCCTCGGGCGTTCGGGGGACCTTGTTCTCCATGCCCGGACTGGCGGTACGCTCCAGCGGGTTGGTCACGGAGGTGAGGAAATCGCCAGTTGTCTGGCGCTGGGGACAATGCCAGCCCATCTTCTCAAAGTACGGGCGTGCGGCTTGGGCGGGTCCGAAGAAGATCTGGCGGCCTTCGTAGAGCACTACGGTCTTGTCGAACAGGTCGTAGATGGCCTGGCTGGCCTGGTAGATGGCAACCGCATGCGTGCTGCCTCCCAGGTCGGCGGCCAGTCGCAGCGACTGGACAAACTTGAAGGCCGTGGCGGAATCAAGGCCTCGCGTGCTGTTCATGTCAGCTCCGTCCAGTGAATTTGAGAGTTGGGGAGTGTTTACCTGTTGTCCCACGCAGCCAGCGGAGATCCAGCGAGCATCATCTCAGCAATGCTGACGCGCTTTCGTTCTCCGCCAGAAACACCGCGGATGAAGTCATTGCCGACTTTTGTGTTGTACGTGTGAGTGAGCCCGCAAACGGCCATGACGATTTTTGCCGCCTGCGTTCGAAATTCCTCTCGAGATATGTTGTACATGCGATTCGACGGTGTTCGCGCCGCGGCGGCAAACTCGAGCGTTTGCCCGACGGTCAGTTGGGGGAAATGCTTGTCGACCTGTGCAGTGGCTGTCAGCTTAAGACTCTATGAGTTGTGAATCATGGTTCGAATCGTACCTCTTGATTATATGTAGTCTCGCCTTTGAACTCCTTGATCATTTCCTTTTGCGGGATGCCGTTGTAATGGATGATGGACTCATCCGAGATGCCCAGACTCTCGAGTTGGCCCGTCATGGTCTTCAGCAGCGTGCTGCAACCCGAACCCGGACGGCCCAGGACGATCAAAAGCTCGCCGCTCCTCAAGATGCCATCTGACTTGTGAAGAATCGTCTTGGGCTCCTTCTTGCCGAAGCTGAAGTGCTCGCCCAGTCGAAGCGGAGCTTGAAGCATCGACCCGACGGTCTGCTGAAGTTGAAGCGGCGCGCCAGTGCCCGAGACGGTGAGCTTTTGGTACGCGACACCAGCTCGTTTGACGCTGATGCCTTCCTCTTGGAGGTTGTTCATGGTGTTTTGGAGCCATTTTGCGAGATCGAAAGACTTGCTCTCCGGATCGAGTGCCAAGTCAACCAGGCCGATTGTGCTGTCGGACGGATCAATGGCTTGCGAAGCACGTCGTCGTTGCGACATGACGGTCGCGATTCGTCGCAGCTCCATTCTCTCATCTTCCTCGAGCATCTGGCTTGCGTCTCGATTTAGGGATCTAGGCTCGTCCATGTCGAGGGTGTCGTCACGAGTATCTGTAGATGGCCGAGTGTGCGCCGATTCGGCCAGAGAACCATTCCCCACGCCAGCAGCAGGCTCGATTGCCTCTGGGTGGGTTTCGGACGAAGGTTGTTGTTGCAACATTGTGGAAATGGGAGGTGTCGCTTTCCTCAGGTCTGGCTGTCGAGATCGGTATATCGATCTGATGACAGAGTCAAGAGGAACTGGTGTTGAAGAGATCTATGGAGATGGGGCGTCTCTCTCGTTGTCTTATAGTCTAATGGCCTTCAGGCAGTGTTGTCAAAGCACACTCCTATGTCATCTTAATCGATCGGCACTCGTCTTGCGGAGCCGGCATTAAGGCAATGATGCGGCGACGGGCCTCTATCGGGTCCGACAGCTACCGCGACAGATTGACACAGGTATGGTGGTAGATTGGCGCAGGCACCACCCTGTTCTAGGCCGGACGGAATGCAACAATTGGCTGGAAGCGGTTTAGATCCTACAGAATTAGCATCCAAGCTTAGCTTTGTGAACTGGCGAGACTACGATGAAAGGGGTAAAGCGGCGGCCACAGACGGTGTCTCGCCAGCTCTTTGGCCTCGCCACCAGTGTTAGATGGCGGTATGTCGGGGCCTTGAGCTTACCGACGGGCTGTTCCCAACATCCTGGACGCTCAGATGGGATGGCGACGTCATAGCTTCGGTTTGGTCGAATTGTCCAGACGGTCAACAATGGCCGCGGACACCGAGATTCTTTTGCCTTCTAATGCAGTGATGGTTCTTCTCGATTGAACCGCTACGTCAGATTGTTTTCTTGCTATGACGTAGCGTCAGCATCGGAGCGCAAACGGGAGTTCAGCGACGGAGTTCACAACACCCCGAAACAGGCTGCTCTAACTCAACGCATGGGGCTTGCGTGTTTGCAGAGGACTCGTATTTGCAGTGTCCAAACCGTCAAACCTCCCGCTGAATCAGCGACCCCATCCCAGCCCTGTGAACCCCTGTAATTTGGTCAAGCCCACGAGTCATGTCCCAAGTTGTCCCAGACAACCGAGACCCAGCTACCCTACACCCATCCATCTCTGAACTCGCAATGGAGTTACACTGATTTGAGGTCTGCACATTCCTCCATCTCGAGGACATACCATGTGAAATTTACAAACCCTTGATTACAGCCTGAGAAAAGTTGTTCGAACGGAGAGATTTGAGATCACCGCCATCAAACAATCTTTTCGTGGACAAAGGGTTTTTTGATTTGGCACTTGAGTCGATCGGATCTTCTTAAAAACATTCCTCTAGATTGAGACACTCAACACAACAGTTCGGCGAGTCCAACCCACGAACTCAGACATAATTGATTAATTGACTACGGAACTTTGCAAATGTTCAAGGTCCCGTCAAAAACCGGCCGCCCGTTCCCCCGTCTCCCGCAAGATATGCCGCTGAGTCAGCGGTATTTTACAGGCGTCGCCGAGACCTAAAATAAACCTTTGGCTTATTTAGCGGCACCAATGCACAGTGACGAGTCGGCTTGCGGCCGAACAGGGTGTAGATCTGATCGCCGGCAATTTCCGGATCATTTATTAAGTACATGTTGCTCATTCCATCTGTGCGAGAAGTTAGATGATGACCCTTGACAAGAAATCACAACATGAACACAACATTGAAACAGGGCGAGATTGGGCTGAAGCGCTTTGATGGAAACACGCTAGAGCACAAACCTACGGACTATCTTCAAGCTACTGAGGATAAACTGTATGCGGATATGAACTTGGAGGATTCCATTGAAAGAAAGCAAGCAATATCACGACGTCGTCGGCGGCTACCAACGATTGGATGTATTTGAAGTGAAAGTCGGTAGGTCCCGGCGATGCCCGGTATAGTTTATTGAGACGTAGAAATATCATCCAAACATGGCTATCAACATTGATTTCCACTCGCATCGTCAAAATATTTACCGTACATTTCCAAACGCCTCGTATCTCCAGATTCTATAACCTGCACTCTATGCAATCTTCTTCCGCCCCACAAGCTCAGTGACCAGTTCCGTCCCAGCACTTGGTTGCCTGGTTGAGCAGCGAAGCTGGAGCCCCGATGATCAAGAATAAGCCTCATCTGGACCAAAATCGAGGCAGTCGTTGAAATCTACAAACTGAAACTCATTGGACTGACTTAGGAAAGACAAGGGCCGGCCATTCTGACTTCCAGATCCTGCGACAGCTGGCTGGGGCTGTTGCTGGCCGCCCATGGAATCACCATGGCCAGAGGAGTTCGGCAGAGGGTCGTATGTTTGTGTAGACCATGCATTGAGTGGCATGTTGGGATAGGTTGGTTCCTTGAGAGTTATGGTCTCGGGCACTCGCAGGGACGCTTGCATCAGCCCCTCGGGTATAGGTGCGTTGGCAGGTTGCGCAGATTGCAACGTGAAGGTGTTGGTTGGCATGGCTGGAGCCTGCATCCTGACAGCCGAGGACCGGTCACGACAAGGTGTCTCTGGAGGTGCTGATTGTGGCAGAAGACTGGGAAAAACGTGGTCAAATGCGTCCCATACCGCGCGGGTAATTACTTCGGACAGTATCCTCTCCGAGAAATGAGGATTGTCTCGGAATTCTGGCATCTCGTTGAGATTCCGCGTTATGCTGCCTATAACCCGAGGAGGGATCTCCTTCCGGATGAATCGACGATGCTCAACTTGCATTTCGGGGGTGATTGAGACTCCTAGGAGTTGCAACTCGAAGTCTGTGAAATTGTTAGATCAATGCATCTGCACTGTCGACAGCGTATGGGGCTTTACTCACAGGGGGAAGGTATCTCGGTGTCCTGGACGTCAGGGAAGATGGTCTTGTACATGTACTCCCATTTTTCTTCCTGGGTGCCATTTCTCGCGCCTTTCCTTGACTTGAGCTTGCTGACAATGGCGTTATCGACACCGAGCAGTTCCTCGGGACGGGGGATGACCTTGCAAGGATCGGTTTCGCGGCGATGCTCTGTGAGCTCCGTTTCTTCCTTGAACGCTCGGAAGCACCTGTCGCAAGAAATGGGAAGTTTGTGACGTCTGTAAATATGCTCCCTGTGGTTGTTAGCTCACTCACTAGTAGACCTGTGCGAGGAGGCGTGGGCTTACTTGACGCGGTGTACTTCGGAAAAACCCCTATGACATCGTGGCCATTCCTTATCGGGGTGCCGTTTTGGAAACGGGCATGCGAAGCTCGATGACATCTTTACCGCCCCTTCTTGTGCCAGATCATCGTTCGTCTTCTGGCGCTTATCTTGATCATCCCCGTTTCCTCTGTCGGAACCACCGGGGCTCCACTCATCGAACCCTCTCTTTCTCCCAGCGCCATCCCGACCTGTCGAGCCAGAGCCGCTTCCGGTGCCAGAATTGGCTCTAAAGGCAGAGCTGGGTGAGCCGCTTCCAGACGGTTGTCCTGGGGAGCACGATCTCACCCAGTCTGTGACTCTTGCCAGGACTAGGGACGCGATGTGGTCTTTGAGAGTGATTGTGGCGTGGAGAAGACCGGGATCCAACGACGTAGCAACAAAAGCTTCGTAAAATGACTCGTCTGTCTCATCTGTGACGTTTGACATTGACTCGTCGTCTTCACTCATATCATGGCCGTCTGAATCGTCTGGGTCGGTCTCCGCAACAGATGTACCAGGAGTCAGGCCGGGTTGTCTCGACTCTGCCGACGTCGGTTGACTCAGCTCTGTCATTGTGTCTGTTCCAACACATGACCTCGCGTCTCGAGTTGAAGGGCGTCGAGGAATCGACAGGAGTCCGTTGTCGCCCTTGGCCATCGAACTTTGGTACTGTATCGGAACGTCGAGGATTGAGCAGCCAGCATCCGAGTTGCCCTCGTCGATGGTGCTTAGGGCAGGTTCTTGAGGAGCCTCTAGGTTGTCAGCGCAAATATCAGGTCCCAGTGGCGAAGGGTCTTTCTTGAAGTTCATGATGTCGGGTATGTCGTCCTCGAATATTTCTGATATGCGACTCGTCTTTGCACGACGCTGTTGAGCCATTCGTCCCGCATCGGTGATTTGGTCAGGAATGGAATGGTTCAGAGCGGCGGCCCACGAATCGACGGAGCGGGAAGGCCACGCGGTAACCGCTGGCGGTATGAGTGGAACAGGATGTGCATCCAGGTCTATGTCTGGAAGCTGTCCTGTCGAAAACCTGTTGTTGCTTGATATTGATGAACACGACGTGTTCTTTTTCCACAGCAACCGGGTCTGAGTGCTGCTTCTGCCGATAGAATCCCAGCTAGTCGCCGAAGACACTGTAGATGATGGCCTGGTAAATACTGAGTCGACGACAGATGGTGTTCTTTGGGCAGTGTCGTTGGAGAGCCTCCTTGGAGTCCTCACGAGGAACTCTGAGTCAGACAGGGTGCCTGGGCAGTCGGCGTGACCGTCTTGTGGGGGGGCGGAGTTGGAGGTTCGCTTGAATCTTGCGGCCCATAGAGAGCGCTGTGAATAGACAATCAGCATATCTATTCTGCACGCATGACGCATAGTGAAGTGGCTTACAGGAATAGTGCTCAAATCCTGCTCAGGGAGTCGAGTGTTGGACACGGGACGAAATGGGGGGCCTGATCAAATTAACAAGGTTGGGCATCAAAGAATTATAGAACAAACATACCTTGGCTATTTGATTCCTCATTGTTTGCTTGCACTGCTGGCGTGGCGGATCTGTTGGCGGCGTCGTATTGGCTGCCCACACCGAGGAGATCACCCAGGCCTGAGGAACCCGAGGTGCCTGGAAGCGGCGAAGATAGTCGATCCCATCTCTTTATTGTGTACCCTCTCATCCGGCCAAGCCATTGGCGTGGCTTCTTGATGGACCCTTCAAGGTCCAGAGAAAACAAACTGTTGGTGTTTGACGCAGATTCGGTGTCGCGAGACGTCGAGTCTCTCAACGGTCGTCGTTCAACAAGGGCAGAGTGTCGCATCATTGTTGTCACATCCGCAGCGTGGAACTCTGCGTGGCTCTCGTAACTCGGCACCGCATCGAGGTCGTGTGGTATGTTGCCATCATCCAACGAAGGAAGCCTCGGTGTGTAGTCGGACATGGTGAAGCGGCGCGAGAAGGTTGAAGCACCAACTGGGCGGATAGAAGACGGCGGCTGCCTACCACCAGGTATAAAGAGATCCTTGGTATATGCCTGGGGCCAACGAGTCAACTTGAAAGGCTTGAGGAGGCTGAAGCACCGCTTTCCGTTGTCTCTGAGCCGTCCACCCATGGACCGAGGTGGCTTCTCGCCGCATTGCGCGTCCGGCTGCCTTAGCTCTGGGCTTTTTGTTCGAGAGCCCCAAGCCGCAGTCTGGGCGGCCCGTTCGGAGCGCCTGGAGAAATCCATGACCAGAAGCGGCCGTTTGCCTTTGGAGCGGGAGTTTGTGGACGCCCGAGCCCGAGGTAGCACGCAGTCAAGACTCAATGGGGAAAACTATAAATACAATCGAAGAGTGTTGCGAGGAAATGGGAGCAAATTCGTTGAACCTGACGGTTGCATGCAGGAGAGAAACGGGGACAGGGTCAAGATTCGTTGCATGGGGGACATGTCTTGCGTCTCCTCCGCGCCGTGGTTCGCGCACCCATCAGGCTGGCGATTGCCTCTCTTCGCCGTGCTGCGCCCTTTCGAATCTGCCTCGAATCTGCCTAGAATGCCTCGTTTGGGGAGAAGCTAGGCTGGATTGATCTGTGATAGGGGCGGCTGCGCGAGTGTGTGTGGGGGCGGTATTGCGCATTGCGCAAAACTGGAACGGGCAGAACACCAGAGCGCACATCTCCATGTCGCAGGAGAGAGGGAATGCGAGGGCAGCAAAATCGAGTTTGCAAGATGGTATTGAAATGCCTTGTTCGCAACATCGACGCGCGAGAATTGTAGGTTGGCGGGTTAGTGAAGGATAGCAGTATAAAAGACTGGAGGATGGAATGGATAATTTACATGCAAACATCTCAGTTCCAACACCACTAAAACAAACAATCCATCAGCTGAGACTTGTCAGTTGATCTCCAAAAATATCTGCAACCGCCCTGTCTTATTCCACTACCAACATGCCAACCCGGCCTTCCACCGCCTCCATGACGCCCAACTGTGGCTCCTGTGCTTCCGTCTCCAGGTTCGTGTGGTCCACGGCGCAGCGCCAATTGATCCCTGGTGCCAATTGCATGTAACTAACAATTGTGCAGCGGTGACGCAAATGCAGTTCGAGCACCGCCGACTGGCCTATCACCATCCATGATGCATTATCTTGGCGAGGCGCCCTCACTTACAGCGCGTATTGCCATGGGAGGATGCCATCCACCATCAACGAGACGGCGGTGAAAGATACAAATGCCCCCCTGCGCCAACTCTTGCTGGTCTCTCACCCGGTTAATCTGCACATCGGAACCAGAAAAAAAACACAACTGTACACCTTCAGCGCGTCTAATCGCTGGCGAAACGCTGATGGTCAGTCTCCCGGCCTTTCCGGCTTATTTGAGACTGTTACGCGGCTGCTGCAGGTCAGCGGCTGTTGGGCACACCACCACGAGGACGGATCAGTGGGACGCCACTGTCAGCTCGTCGACGAACCTCCCAGATATGACAGCTGAAAGCAACCGGCATCACAACAGCCATGCCAAATAAATCAAGGGAACGGAATAAGAGGGAATGAAATATATCAGTCCGCCATGTACATAAGCCACAATCCCCCCCATAGCACTCACGTCTGTATCGGGCTTCCTCGAAGGCCTTGTATTATTATTAGATTTTAAGATGCATTCTACTTCATCCCACTCCATTTAATTCTTCTCCACGCCGATGATAGCGAGTTTGTAACAAGCAAAAATAAATGAAAATTTAGTGAGAATTAAGGAATAAGCGCCTATGCTGCCTCGAATTCTCCAGCAGATGCTTTTAGACATATTCGGCACAGATAAATTCCCCGCGGAGGCCCATCACATCCCCAATTGTCGCATTGGGAACGCCTGCCATCCACAAAACATGGTCCAATGCGAATAGCTTGGATGGCGCAACATCCCAGTGCTTTTGCTACGCACATAGTAAATAATTAATTCCATGGTTCAGGGGACCTATATACTAAGAATCAGTCTCATTAGGTTTGCATGCTAAACCGTGATGCTTAGTACATTATTCAAAATTCCTTTGGATTGAGCTGTACTTGCATATGCAAATGACAACATTAATAATACATACTCAAGCTTCAAAGCACCTATTTATCGATATCGATTGTCCACCCGTTGACATCATCGTATTCATCCTTGAACGTATCGCCGTGAAGCACGTCATATCTCATCAATTCCCCTTCACCATCGGCAACAGCACCGTCGGTATTGATCAAATTGCCGATCCGGTCGCCCATTTCCTTGCCCTCGAACCAAGCTCCCTGTAGGTAGCCGAAAAACTCGGCCGAGTTGGCCTCCCCCGCAAACCAGAGCCTGTTCACGTTGGCTCGGAGGTTCTGATGCTTCTCAAGGGTCATTCCTGGGGGCCAGTTGCTGAAGGACCCAAACGCCCACCTAGATCGGTGTTAGTGATGGTCTGGGATGGGAATCGGAACCAGGTGCTTACTCTTCTTGGCTCCATCGAGGATACATGAGGGAGGTGGGTTCAGGTACAGTGATGTTGGGGAACATCGACCGCAGTACCTCCATAATCTCGGCTTGTGTCTCCTTTTCGGTCTGCTTCTCAACTTGGTAGGCCTGTGTGCCTGTGACAGTTCCAAATAGGATGTTGGATTCGGGAACAAAGCCGGTGGCACTCAGAGACTGAAACATGGGGTAGTAGCCACGCTCTGTCGGGTCCGCGTAGAGCATGTACTGGGTATCTCTTGGCCACCACGTCTCGTTGAACTGCATAAAAATCTTGGTGTAGGTTCCCATCTGGAATTGCTCAATGGCCTCTCTCTTCCAGTGGGGCAGAGTTGGCTTGAACTTGACAACCTCATTTTGCAAAACACCGACGGAAAAGGTGCAGATGGCATATTCGGCTTCGATGCAATCTCCATCTTCCATGTAGACGGTGACTCCAGATGAGCTGTACTTGATTGTTTTCACAGTCGTGCTGAGAAGGAGCCTTGGGTCTTTCTTCTTCAAAAACTCATTGGCCTCGCCAATAATAAGAGCGTTGAATCCCCGCTGATCCCAAACGAGGTTGGTCTCGTCACTGAAGTGCTCAAAGACTGCCTTGTTCACAGACATGTCGTAGAGAAAGCCAGACTGCTCTGGCGGAATGGCCATTTCAAAGTCCCAGCCCCACCACTCAGCGGCCTGGGCATGCATGTCCTTCTTGGGCTTCCACCCAGCGAGACTGAGGCCAGCACGGACAGAGGTGTCTTGCAGGTTGTCTTCGCGGATTTTATCCGCATCCTCCATGGCGATGTCCCACTTCTTGTCAAAGTCGTCAATGATATCCATGAAATCGTACGCGCCGGTCTCATCATACGTGAGAAGTGATGAGCCATTGGAGAAGGTGCTCTTGATCTTGTGTTTTTGAGCAAGCCTCCAGATGGGATTGACATTTCCCGACTTGGACTGGAGGCCTTCAACCCAGTTGGCACCGAGTTCCACTGTGTACGGCTTGCCATCTGGAGCTTTGCCGAACTTGGTGTTGCGCATCCGACCGCCAATGTAGTCGTTGCGGTCGACAATCAGAAAGTCGCTGATTGAAGCATTGGATAGCGACTGAGCTGCTGTGATGCCTGCCACTCCGGCACCGAGAATGGCGACCCTGGTTTTGCGACAGGTTTGGTCTTCCTTGCGGATCACCGCGGCCTGCGACGCACCGAGGAGGAGTCCGCAGGAGGCGACTAACACGGGCACGGATGGAAAGATCATGGTAAAAGTGGAGGGCCAGAAAGGGGCCAACGATGACAGCGGAGGCCGATGAGGGGACGGACATTTCGAGAGTCGATGACGGCCCAGAGCTTGACTTAAGTATCCCGTGCTATTTGTGGTTGAACAACAGCTTGTCCATGTATTCCCCGATCCCTGCAGCCCTGCCGTGCCGCCATGCTCACCGCAAGCGACTTCAGCTCAGCTGAAGCTCCGCAAGGGGAAAGGTGTCATCAATATTGTTCATTGTGAGACCATAAGACCTAAGACATGCCGCTATACGATGGGCACGATAATAAGTTGGCCCAACCATGTAGCCCGTTCTGCTCGCCCAGCCACACTAGACCAGCCCAGACCAGCCCAGACGCGCCTACACTAGCCGAGTGTAGTCAAGTGGTGATCAATGGATCGGGTGTTGTCGAGTGGCAGACGGGCTAGCAACTCAATCCCTTCAAAGCCATATTTGGGACCTAACTAGCTATAGCCTCTTGTCTGCCGTTTGCTGGATTCTGGTTGCACTATTTAGCTTGCTAAGGTCACAGCAATTCAATTGCGACTGGCCTCTTAAAAATAAAGGTTTCTGGGCTAGATCTTACAATACGCAATCTCCTCGAGGCCTCACAAGCCAACTTGATTGCACAAAACGCAATCAAATATTTCACAATTCGCCCGAGCTGTCTCAAGCCACAAACCCACCAGCTCCCTTACTTGAGATTAGCACCCATATCCCTTGCAGCAGCTAGGTATCACCGGTATCCCTAACAGTCCACAGCCGACAGCCCGCAGCCACAGCAACCCCGCGACCAAAGCAAGCATAAAGCCTAAACAAGCCTAAACAAGCCCAAAGTCAGATAAATCCGACGCTAGAGCAAGCCGGCCGAATAGCCCAGCCTCATCTCTCAGACTGACGTCGATCTCTGCACTCTCAGCACTCTCATTGTTGGAGACCGCTTTCCCACCGTCGTTAGATCGAACGTGCCGTGTCCTAGTGATCGTCCCGTCTCTGCGGAGTGCCTGCCGTGTCCCCATACGTGGCTCCGCTGATCGACTGACAAGTCGCCGAGAGCGTAGCAAATGTGAATCAATGCATCGGGCGTTATGCTTGGCGGATGTGCTACGCCCAAAGGACAACGGAATGAAGCATTTCGTACCCTACACCAATAATTTATTTCTGCCAAGGAGCCGAACCGGATGGTACTAGAGACCGGAAGCGGTAATAACCATTCTTCTAGCAACAGAATCTCAATTATCTCAAGCCTTCTCACTCACTGCCTTGTTCGTCCCGCCCGGTGCATCTGTCATGTTTACCGCCTCTATCACTTCACTGTAGTCTTCTTCCTCCGGACGTACATAGTCCCTCGGCTCCTTCCATCCATCTTCCATGATAGCCGGTGGCCAGAGCTTGCATCCAACCCAGAATGATAGTCCTGACAATGTAAGACCAACCCAGTACGCGAAGAAATAGAATCGCGTCACGCCCAAGGGCGCTGAAACGCCCATGTTGTTAAGGAACCCGTAAAAGTTGGGAATGATACCGATGATATAAGCAACGTAGGCCCGAATGTTCCACCCGTGAGTGAAGTAGTAGGCTCCCGTGTTTGCGGACGTGTAACAGTCGGGGATTTCAATTCTTCCCCGACTGATGAGATAGTAGTTGACGAGAAGAACACCGGTGATGGCGGATAGGAAGATCTGGTATGAAGCTAGGAATGAGACAAAGATGGATGCGGAGCCCTAGAGTCTGGTTAACGACCGTCATGCATTGGTTATAGGGCGGAAAACTCACCAAGAGATACCACGGGTTGATGGCAAAGGAAACCACTGCACACACGAAGAAACCTCTTCGCACCGTGAGGTACTTGGGGAACAGCGCTGCAATATCATTACCAGCTGGCAGAGAGTTTTCGAAGATGGAGCTGAAGATGCAGCAGTACGCAAAGCACGCTGCAATAAAGAAGCACCCAGCTCGATTAGCCGAGGTGTACTCGGTCGTCTGGATCATGTCCAGCAGTGTCACCGGGTTCCAAATCAGCTCTCCGAAGATGACTTGGCTCGACGCACACACAAGATTGCCGACAATGGCGACGATGAGGTTGGAAACAGGGAAACCGAATAAGTTTCCAACAAGTACATCGTTCTTCCGCTTCGCATAGCGCTGGAAGTCAGCAGCGTTGCTTGCAAAAGTCGCACAGTTGGCTGCTCCAAGCATCAGAAACTGGACGATCAACCAAGCTCTCGTAGAACCAGTCGCTGTTCCGCGCTGGCGAACAACGGGCCCCAAGCCACCGGCTTTGGTCGCCGTCCACGCAAGCATCGCGACGGCCGAGATGATGAAGACGACCAACTTAGCATAGACCAGACCGCGCATCTTGGGGACTGGGATGACCAGAAATGCGCAGGTGATGAGCCAGAAAATAACAAAGCCAATCATGCCTGCACTGGTGAGAGCAGAACCCTCTCCCATTGTGTTTGGAACATTGGCGATGCTGGGGAAGATGGCATGCAGCATCACGTAAATACACTGGCCGCCCTGAACTGCATTTACGCCGTTCCAGACGATGGCCATGACGGCGCGGTTAAAGGTAGGCCACCAGGCTCCGTAGACGCCGAATGCAACACGGCACACAACGGGGAATCCAATGTGATACGTTGCACCTGGTCGGCCGTTCAACGTGATGATGATGGAAATAAGTGCTTGTCCGCCAAATTGGCAGGCTAATGATTCCCACATGCTTAGGCCCAATGCCTGTGCGGTGGACGATGCATACCAGTTGGAAACGGTTGCGGTGGCTGAGAACCAGAAGGTGAAATATGTCCAATGCGTCCATGTTCTAGTCGAGTCTTAGCAAAGGTCGTCTTTTCTATTAAGGAGAGAATAATCATACCGGTCGCTGAGTTTTAGAGGACGGATGTCATCGTTGTCGAGCAGGGCGTCTTTGCCGTGGACGTCCTCGGCTCCAGTCGCGACGACGGACCAATCCGGCCAACGAAAGATGCCCATAATGGTGGAGATTCCTGGCTCCTCAAGCGGATTTATTGATAGAGAAACAAATCAGTCCACGTCGCTGGAAGAATACCTCGTTGCAACTCAGACAGTCAGGCATGCGTGGTGGATAATGAAGAATTGGGGCCAATGCTTCCCCGTTATATAATGGGTCGCTATCTATTCCCTCCTTCACTGGGTGGGCTCGGTTGCTATCAGAGAGCCATTGAAGTAGTATGTATTTCGACCTATCTTGGAAACGACTCTGAATATAAGTGGAGAAAGATAAGCCTTTGTTCAGACGCGCCGTCGGCCAATTCAGTCTCCCGCGACTCGATTTGTGGTTTTCGAGTTGAGGGTCCTTGATTTCATATGCCGAAGTCAACTAAGACAAGACCGGCTACCTTGGAAGTACAGGCATACCCCGAATACACAAGTTCATGGGCAATGATTATTTTTATCATCCTGCAATTGACATCTCTGCACACGCGTCGATCGTCTTCAATTCCCCGGATCTGTGCATCTGGTTACGAGGCCCATGTTTGCTCACAGATAAGTTCGATAAAGACCAGGGCCCCGGCGGAGAAGTGCGGGGAGTTACCGGGGATGCCGGAGACCGTCGGAGATCGGTCGTTATCAGAGAGTTCTCCATCTTCCAATTTCCAATGCGGCCAACATGATTGATAAGGACCTTGTAGATATGGTGCCGCATCCGGGCCTAACGGGGAATTGCGGTGACCGGCGGAAACCGCAGAGTATGCACATGGCGCTGGCTGCGGTTATCAACGAGCAACCGCGATGCTTGGATAAATAAGACTCGTCGAGAGTGACCAGATAATCAAGTCGCAAGAAGCCCGACAACTAGCTTCATCGAGATTAGATTGACGCGCGCAGACTTCACACCCAATCCACCATGGCTACCGCAACAATGACAGTCGCTCCAGCGACCGAAAGCTACAAGCTAGAGCTGTTGACACCTTATGGCCCTGTGTTTCGAGATGTTCTCAAAACTGCACCTCGAGACTGCGACTCCTCCGAAGTTCCCACTATCGACCTCTCAAATGTGCGCGGCAGCGATCAGGAACGTCAAGCTCTCGCCAAGACGATCAGAGAAGCCGCGGAGAATACTGGCTTCTTCTACATCAAGAACCATGGCATTCCCCAAGCCCATATCGAAGCGGCCTTGAAGCAAGCCCACACCTTTTTCTCCCAGTCCACTGAGAAGAAGGCAGAAGTCTCGTACAAGCAGTCCAAGCATTTCAACGGCTGGTCGGAGAGGCGGGCAACCAGTATCTCCCCCACAGAGTCCAAGGACCACAGGGAAGGCTTCAGCTTTCGGTACGACCCGAAATACGACCCGGAGACGAAGGATTTGGACGCGGTTCCAGAAGACGTGAAGCAGTGGCTGCGCGGCGAAGACTTTGTTTGGGATCGCAACGCCCATTTGCCCGACTTCAAGAACGACATGCTTGCTTATTGGCGGTCTTGCCTCACCCTTGCTCGGAGCTTGATTCGAATCTTTGCCATTGCGCTGGATGCGCCGGAAGATTACTTTGACGACGTCGTTACTTATCCCGGCAGGCATGTAATGACCACGATGACATATAGACCTCAACTGACTAACATTTCACAGTGACGGTGTTGTCAACTACTACCCCAAGAATACTGAGGCGAAGGAGGCAACCATTGATGTCGGCTTGGGAGCTCACACCGACTTGCAATGCTTTACCTTGCTCTGGCAGGACAACGTCGGCGGGCTGCAAGTCCTCACCAAAGACGGCCAATGGATCAAGGTACCGCCCGTGCAAGACACATTTGTCGTCAACATCGGCGACTTCCTGATGCGGCTCTCGAATGATCGGTTCCAGTCGACAGTCCACCGAGTATTCAATTATGCTCCGGAGGATCGCTACTCGATGCCCTTCTTCTTTGGCTTCAATTTCAACGAAAAGTGCACTGTGCTTCCTAGCTGCACAAGCGAGGAGAACCCGCCAAAATATGAACCAATTAGCTGCGGAGATGTAGGTTACTTATCTTATTCATTCTCAGGCTTGTTGCTAACTCGGTTGATAGTGGTGCCGGTTGCGATTTGAGAAGACGTACAGCAAGGCTTGATATGGATTAGGGGATAGTTCGGTATAATATTATTAGGGATTCAATAAAATGAATATGAGCTACATTATTAGTTGTCCGAGCAATTTACTCGGTTCCTGCAACAATACCCTTACCTCACCTTTCCTGCGAATATTGCGGCTATCATCGGGCACCTACCGATTCCATCGCGAGTCATTCTGGCGACAGGTAATCAATTCTTAATAAGTGGGAGAATAGTCATATAGACAGATATATATATTATTTACGCGTCATGGAATCCCGCTCCTGTGAACGCGTCAAAGGATGTTCTTTCTCTCCTGAATCAGACATGAACTCGCTTATCTTCAGAAGCCAAGTTCAATTTGCAACGGAATTGTTCGGTAATCGCCGGTATGTGACTCGCCAATGGAAGATAAGAGATTGAGCCTGTTGCTTGATAAGCCTTTCCAGAACGGGGCGAGCGGGGTCCTTATCAAGAATGGTTTGCTAGCCCGGAGATTAATTACAATAATCCGACGAGATGATGGATTGCACCCGTCACGATCATTCTCCTGTAAAGACTGTTGCCGTCGTCGCTTGCTCCGCCAAATACAGCTTGTAAAATGAATCACGAAAATTTAGACGATGAACCTGATGCGTCGTACCAAGAGGGATCGAGCCTATCCAAGCGCCATCCAGCCGAGGAAGCCATCGAGGGGAACCCAACCTCGAAACGCCGTCGGCGAGTTTTCTCGTGCGAGTCGTGCCAGAGACTGAAGTGTAAATGCGACTACGACTTTGCTTTACAGTCATGTCGTCGGTGTCAAACTCTTAGGTACGCAGCTTACGGTCCTATCTTTCCATCTTAAATTTGGATATGGAGTCAATAACGAACACGAACAGAATCGTGTGCTCGCGACGCGAAACGGTTGAAATGGGTGAGTTTATGACCAGCGACACCAGTGTCATTTCTATTCAAGAAAGGTGAGTTTAACCATGCCCTGCTCCTCTGAATGACGTTCCTGACTGGTTGAATGATGGACCCTGCCAGATTGGCCAGCACCGAAAATACCCTGAGAGAGATTACAAGCCAGTTGAAATATCTCACCAAACAGCTAGAGCGTAGCAATTTCAACGGCGTCGAAAACAACCGATCTTCTAGCAATGGGCTCTATCTGAGCGATTCAGAAACCTTTGGCGATAGCCTTGAGCAAGTTCTTGACCCCGCAGACCGTGCGGTCCACTCTGCACCAGTTGTTGTCCTGCGCGACCTCGATCGCCGGTACACTGGGGGCTATAGAAGACCTAGGGTTCTTACCGACATTGATCTGGTTGAGGCTCAGCTTCTTGATGAGCAGATGGCCAAAGATTTAATACAGATGTGAGTTGAACCGACTCAGGTTTATTCGGCCGAGGTCATGGATGCTTACTCTCGATCCAGCTTCTTACGCCATAGAAGCCACAAGTTGATTGTTGCAGAGTCCAATACTTTACGGTCAAGTGACGATCTTCGGGACGCCTCACCCTTTTTGCACAGTGTATGCTGCCTACATGCCTTCATCTACCGCGACGACATCTTTGATACACCCATGCACCGAAAAATATACGAACATGTCCGCATATCTCTTGGCAAAATTCTTTTGTCAATCCCTTTGACTATTGAAGATATTCACGGTGTGTTTCTCATGAGTGAGAACGTGATGGCTGGTCCAGGAGTGAGTAAATGATCACATTGAACAGGAGGAATCTGTACTAATCCCAGAGGAGAACAGTAAAGAATACATCGACAGTTGGATGTTGACGGGTTATTGCATTAAACAAGCAATGCTCAGTATCAGCTTCTCTGAAATCGTTGAGAACATGAGAAAAGATATATCCACTCCAGAGGACCAAAGAGCAATTCGGTTATGGTCAACAATTTCCTTGGATCATCTCTAGTAAGAATGCACACACTCTCTCAATAGACCAACCGACTTACACGGTGACGCAGCTGGGCGGCAACCACTGGGAGACCCTCGGCGATCCCAAACGCATATCTTAAACATTGCGATCTTCTACTCAGCTTCTACAAGGCGTCCATGCAGGACGGCATGCTCCTCGCGGAAATTTTGCTGTGCACCACTTTGTTACAGAAGCTCGGGGGACATACTGTCCTAGACAGCGAAGGCCAATGCGTTGAGTTTACTGCATGGAAACAGAAATGGAATCACTTGTTGTGTAAGTTAGCTTGTTCATTCGGTGAACCAGAGTAACCTCTCCACTCATACAGAACGTGTCGACTCACCATTATCATTTATCAGCAATGCCAACGGCTTCCATGCTCAGAATTGGGTATTTTTCAGCCTGCCTTATCCTTATCATTAGGTCTCTTGAAGATTTCGGAGAGAATCTTCAATCCACGACTCTTTTATCCAGTTCATCCAATACTAACAGCAATGGGTGTCCGGCTGCGACTGAAAAGGGCACTGCAAAAGATGCCACGAGAGCAAGCCTGAGATCAAATGCATCAAAACACGCTCAGTCAATCATGGAAACCTTTTTGAACATGCCATCTTCTCTCAGGAACTCGATCGCGTCGAATAGATGCCTGTGTCTCGGCTACAGCGCCCTCATCCTCACTCATTACGACGAAGCTCAGTCGAGCATCTCGGATGAGCATAAACTAAATCTCATCACTCGCTTTGAAGAGTGGCTAACCAACGCTCCTGGGGCGGCATGGGCTGTTATGTTTGGGAAATTGGCAAAGCAGAAACTGATGACGCGAGTGCACAGCAGCAATTCCAGCCAACGAGATGGCCAAGGCGCGTTTTCAAGGACAGAGGCCCGGAGAACTCTTGAGAACCAAACCCAGATGGGATTTTCAAATCCCCCTCCCGTTGTTCGACGCACAGAAAGAGTTCGGAATGGAGAAGAAGCCCCAGCTGCGACTGCCATGGGCGAGGCAATAATGACGCCTACGGATGGCGCATCTGTCTGGTCTACCCCGGCACCGCTGAGTTATGAATTCCAGCCAGATTTCGTATTTCCAAATATGGAAGATTTCTTCAGCGGAGGATTTCTAGACTTTGGTGGATTAGAGTAAGCATTGCTAGTGAGATGCGTGTGGTACATAACTGTCGCATCCTTGCAAGGCAGAATATAGTGTCAATGAAAGGGAAGCAAGGATCCGTACAGTTGAAAAAAATAGTGTACAGGTACGAAGAGGAATTAAATTCATTTGGGACACAGTGAACAAGCGATATCTCCCATGCCGGATGAATAATCTCAATGCTATACGAATCCAGCATCGCAATTGAGGAGTCAATCAGATGGCGTCTTCATTGCACCACCACAATCAGACCGACTTAAGCTTAAATGTGCGGTTAATCCCTCGGTGCGCGATGACCCCAGCAACATCACGTTTTCTATCGGCTTTCCTGTCATGGCCCTCGGTAGTCGTCTAGCAGCAAGACGCCAAGCAGCCAAGGAAACAAAAGTTCCTCTGAACCGTCCTCCGGAGCCGCTAGTCGATGTCGTCAAGCCCCATGTCCCCATGGAGAATGGGTAGCTTGACATCCGATCGACCTCGTGTGGACGGGATAAATACCCCAACAGCCCTGTCGGTGAAGCCTACCAAACGATACATACAAATCCTCCCTTGCCGGGTTACTCGGTCTATAATAAATCACGCCTGAGCAACTGAGGGGTCCGCGGTGGCAAAGTTGGAGCCTACTACGCATCGGGCAGGCCATTGAGTGTGGATCGCTCGGCTTTGGCTTGGCATACGACGCTGATACGAAGAGTCAGCATAGTCGCATTTCGACCTTCCTGATTCAACACTTGATCTTCACATATCGTAGCAATTCCTGCCCGAGGAACTTTCGGAATTTTAAGGAAGATCCACTTGACCAAGCATTGGGAATGTATTGCACCACTCATGCAGCGTGACGGGTGAAGAAGGGCCGGATCAGAAATATGGTGAAAATCATATATATGGCGGCATTGACGCCACTGGAAATTGTGCATCCAGATTCATGTTCAAATTCTCAAGTCCTGGATTGAGGGATACTGTTGAGCCATGAAGTTCGCAACAGCTACTGCGCTATGCGCGCTCCTGGTCCCTTTCACCGAGGCTGGGAAGGATCGCAGACCGACAGTCACATCTTCCAGGCTTCAGAAGCAAATTACTGAAAAAGGGTAAGCCATTATCGATTCGCTTTGTTTGAGTGACTGCTCTGGAGACTCTCTATATTGACCAATCGCTAGCCTGATGAAGAACTTGCAGAAGCTCAATGACATCGCATATGCCAATGGCGGTAACCGCGCATTCGGCCTTCCGGGATATGCCGCCTCAGTCGACTTCATCTACCGCGAAGTGTCTAAACTCAACGGCTTTACTGCCTGGAAGGAAGACTTCCCTGCACTATTTACTCAGACTACCGCGGCCGAGGTCTCAGTCGACGGAGAAGTGTTCCGCACTGTCGCGCTGACCTATACCCCCAGCACACCTGAGGAGGGTATTACTCGGGAGCTTGTCCACGGCCCCATCGGAACTGCTGGATGCTCTGTCGACAACTACGAGGGAATTGATGTCAAGGACAAGATTGTTCTGGTTGAGCGCGGCCCATGTCCCGATGGAACGACCTTCGCCGGAAAGCTGAAGCCGGCTGCTGCGGCTGGTGCCATCGCCGTTGTCATTTACAACTCGGACTCTGCAAAATTGACGGCTGGTTCACTTTCTGCTCCTAACCCGGCATATGTCCCCGCAGGGCTCATTGACCAGGAGCCTGGCCAGGCCTTGAAGGCGCGGCTCGACGCCGGCGAAACGGTGGAAGTTTTCGTCAAGATTGTTCAAATAATTGAAGAGCGCATCACCCAGAACGTTTTCGCAGAGACCACAGGAGGCGATGGCAGCAATCTTATTATGCTCGGATCTCACCTTGATTCCGTCCAGGCGGGCCCTGGTATCAACGACGATGGGTCGGGCACAAGCCTCAACCTCGAGCTGGCCAAGGCTCTACACAACTACTCGACTAAGCTCAAGGTCCGCTTCGCCTGGTGGGGAGCTGAGGAGAACGGGCTTTGGGGGTCAAAAGCTTTTGTCAACAACTTGAGCACTGAGGAGATTGACAATCTTCTCCTGTACCTCAACTTTGACATGGTTTCGCGAGGCTACTATGGCGTTTTTGACGGCACAGGAGAGACGATTGGCCCCGGCGGTCCTCCTGGATCCGAAGTGATTGAAGATCTCTTTGTCGAGTACTTTACATCCAAGGGTATCGCGACCAGATCTGTTGGCCTCACCGGTGGCTCCGACTATTTGCCCTTCATGACCACCATCAGCAAGGCTGTAGGCGGACTTCACACGGGTACTGGACTTGAGCAGGACGCCTGCTACCACCAAGCATGCGACAATATCACGAACCCCGTTCCAGAGACCATTACCACCAATGCTAAGGCGGCTGCTCATGTACTGAGCATCCTGGCGGTGGATGGCGTCAAGTTGATCCCAAAGACGCTTGCCAACTCCACCACGGCAGGTGTGAAGAGAGTGCGAGATCCTGTTACGCTGCATGAGCATGATGTGAGGTCGGTTGGGTTTGACAAGGCATGCGAGCACGATGTTATTTAGTGCACCGATGTGTGTAGCTGGATGTGAATTGCGGGTGATCAGGCGGGGCTCATCCCGCGTTACAACGACTTGTCTGAGTGCATGCAAAATAGAAGTTATAATAAATTAAAACAATTATACATTGAATTTTCCGATTAAATCGTCGCGATTGAATGAAGGTTCCGGAATAGGGTTGTGAGCGACGTCAGTTTCCCGCAACCCGGAGATGCTGACATCAGCTACTTAATTAATTACCGCCTCTTCACCGAAAAAGGTTATCGCCACCAGAACTTCCAGTTGGAATCTTCCTCTTTAATAGTGACCCTCCCGACGACCTCTCCTCTATCTAGCCTCGATTGTGCTGAAAAGCCCGAGCGATCTGAAAAGAATTGAAATGGCCTCATCCTTGTCCACGTCAATCCGGCTTGAGCCGCTCCCACCAGGAACCAACACCAACGTCGTGACGCAGCGCGAAGGCCTGTCCTCCTCCTCGGCGCGCCATCTTTCTTCCTCTGAAGGAGATCCCGTTCTTGAAGCCTCCAGAGCAGCCGATAGCGCAGTCCCCGACGGTGGTCGCGGATGGGTCGTCATCGCCGCCTGCGCCATCGTTGCATGGTGGTTCGTCGGCACGAGCTACAGCTGGGGCATCATCCAGGATGCTCTCGTTACTGAAGGCATCGCGTCTCCGTCTACTCTGGCCTTCGTGGGCTCGTTGTCCGCTGCACTCATCAGCGCTCTGGCTATCGTCAATGCACGCGTCATTCGATGGATGGGCTCACAGCGCACCGCAATGTTGGGCGTCTCTTTCTTGGGGCTGTCGGCGATAACGAGCAGCTTCACAGTGAAGAACATCACCGGGCTGTTTTTCACCAGCGGTATTTTACTTGGCCTGGGATTGAGGTGAGCATCTCGCCAACTTCGCGTTTGATGTTACTATACTGACTGGTGTCTCAGCTTGTGCTTTATGGTGAGTACCGAACGTTCTTGAATCCTCAAGCATATTAACAAGTCTCAACAGACTGTCTCGGTGACGCCGGCCCAGTACTTCAACCGCAGACGGGGCCTCGCAAACGGCATCGTCTTTGCGGGAGGCGGTCTTGGTGGTGCCGTCACTAGCTACGGTCTAGACGCCCTCATCCTAAAATTCGGACCAGCTTGGACATATCGCATTCTTGGAATTGCAACCCTCGTCACTGGACTTCCGGCGGCCTGGTTCATACAAGAGCGAACACCCATCCGAACCGCTGGCTTCATCGAGTGGTGAAACTCCCTCTTACCTCCTCTTGTCTCCCCATGCTAAAATAATTCCAGGCGGCTCTTCAAAGACCCAGGTTTCGTGCTCATATTCGCTGTCGGCGCTATAGGAACCTTCCCACTCTTTGTTCCTCCCTTCTTCATCCCTCTCTACAGCCGGTCTATGGGATTATCGTCCAGCACCGGCGCTGGGCTCCTCGCAGGTTTCAACTTCGCATCCGCCGTTGGTCGCATCATCTGTGGTCATTTTTGCGACGTCTTCGGGCCTCTGAACACGCTGATGGTCTCTCTAATGCTTACCGCGATTAGTATGCTGACTCTATGGCCAGCATCCACCTCGCTTGCTCCGTTGGCCATCTTTGTAGTCGTGAATGGAGCATCTAACGGCGGGTTTTTCGCCACCATGCCCACAGTTGTAAGCAATACATTCGGCTCTGCGAGAGTATCTATCGCCATGGGCATGATTGTTACTGGATGGGTTGGAGGATATCTGATGGTGAGTGAGGCCCATGCGACTTGAGATGCGACCCAAGGCTGACGCTCATTCTCACCACGCAGGGCGCTCCTATTGCGGGATACTTGCTTGAGTCATACGGAGGAGCCGAATCTGGACTTCAAGCGTATCGTCCAGCTATGTTCTATGCTGGCGCACTTGCGCTTGGTGCTTCGGGGTTGGTTGCATTTATGCGCTTCCGCACGAACCAAAAGCTGTTCGTAAAGGTGTAAGAAGTGTGCCAGCATACGTGGCCACTATGGGACCAGGACGGCAGCATCATTGTTCCATAGAGCCTCGCCGTTACCAATTGAGCTTCAACTTCAGCTGGATTTTGAAAAGATTGTATATCTTTTAGTGCTGAAATAATATTTTCATTGCGTCTAAGAATATGAAGATTGTTGAGTATTATATTATTATGTCGGAAGGTTATATATTGGATCGTTGCTGAGCTTGTTAAGTCGGCCGAGCCAACGAGGGTTCTTTTAGTATAGAAGGAGGCATAATTACTCGATGGCAAACATACTATATAGGGGAGAGGGGAGGGAAAGAGTCAAGACTCGACTTCTTAAGCCAATTACAACTTATATATTTATATAGGTCTATTTCTTTTCAAACTAAAAAGCTTCATTTTACTTATTGTGGACGTATTTGGTAGGAAATGCTTGGATTGTGGATAAAATTATATTTCTTTGACCTTGTGCCAGCAACTTGCTCACCTTGAGGCCCAGAAAGAAGTTGGATTAGTATTGCCTTTAGCTTGGCTAGCAGTACCTACACCGCGGGTGCAGGTACCACTAGCCCCTATAACTAACTGTATAGACCAGCTTACCTAGTAGGTCCTGTACGCGAACCACTTCAAGGCAATAGACGCCTGATTTCCGTGTTGCCTAAAAAGCCCTACAGGATTTTCTTCCTAACCCCGCATTCCTTGAACCTAGCAGTCACAGATTTCGGCATTTATTGCTCAATTTCACGGCCTTGGCACTGAAGGTTTCTTGTCAACACAAAGAACCGACCAACATCAACATGTCTTCTGACGGTAGTAGTAGCGATGACAGCGCTAGTAGTGATGGAGACATGTCTAGCGACTCGTGCTCAGTCTCTGCATCTGATGACGGTGACTATGGTGATTTAGCTGGGGAGGAGGAGGCCCAGTTCAACGATATTGATGGTTTACTCCCCGATGATTCTGAACTGGGTGAAGCTGGCACCTACGTTCAACTTGATGGAGCAGAATGTGATGATAATCGTAGGTGCTCCTAATTGCAGTCCGGGTCCTATTAAAGAACTAATCCAAATTCAGGACAATTTTATGGCGATGATGATCATAGCAGCAACATTTCAGAAAGGTTCGGTAGAGCTAAGAAACATAGCCATAAAACCAGTAAGTTGGATCCGGCCTTTGTCACTCTCATTGAAGCATCGAAGAATCGAAGCTGAACTGATCTTACCACAGAGAGAGATCGAATTATGGCTCCTCATGACCCTTCTGGTAGTAGCCAATGCGACGATTCTCAGTTACCCTCGCCGTTCATCAATGCAACGGTTTCAGAAGAGCTCCCACGGGAAACTCAAGACCCCAATACCACGGGTGAACAAGAACGATCCAGATCACTAGTCCCAGCGGACGAAGATACTGCGCAGCGAATTAGGGCCCTGGAGCTACGGATCAAAAAGGATCTGTCACACCCACAAGAGGCATATTTGAGAAACCGAACTTACGGAACCATGCCATCTCATGACACCCTACCATCGGTCGAAGAGGAGCAATTGTGTTGGGACTGTTTTGATTTCTTTCTTCCAGCAGTACTGGCTCCTACCCCCAGGTATACGGCCCTCCCCGGGCCTTCTTCTTTACGTGTCATTGCTATATATCCGGGGCGAGACGATGATGTTCTCACTGGCACGTTGGACGTACTAGATCTTGATGATCCCGGTGCTCACTATGAGGCTATCTCTTACCGATGGGGTTGCCCCAATGGCCAACTAAAGCCTATGATCCTCTCGGGGCGAAGGGTATATATCAACAGCACTCTAAGCGCTATTCTACTGAGTCTTCGACTTCGGACCCGGGTCCGGATTCTATGGGCTGACGCACTTTGCATCAACCAAGCTGACCACATGGAGCGGCGACAGCAGGTCGGCATGATGCAGAGAATCTACTCACGCGCGTCGAGGGTCATTATCCATCTTCGAGGTTACAACAATCACGTACGAGAATGCTTTTTGGCTATCAAAGATCTTGCTTCTGCCTGGATAACATTTCAGAAGGGAAGAAATGGTCATGACGGAGGCCATGCGTCCTCAAATAACATTTTCGGCAATGTTATGGACAACGTCAAGATGGGCAGGATCGCCGAGGTATTTAAGAATTGCTACTGGACACGTCTATGGGTGGTCCAGGAAGTTGTTTCGGCCCGCGCAGCCGTCGTTCATTGGAATGGTGAGGTGATATCTTGGACCTTGGTCGGGCTTGCCACCACCCTGATCAGGAACAACGAGGGCTTGTGGAAAGATTTCACCTCCGTCAAGATGTCTCAGAGCTCTAGAGCCGGGCTCATGAACGCTTATCTCATGTATCGGTTGCCCTCACCTCGATTCCGGAGCAACTCGTTGTCATTCCTGGACCTACTTCGCCTAACGAGGAGCTTTAAAGTCACGGAACCCTTGGACCGCATATATGCCACGCTCGGCCTCCCAAGCCGGCAAACTGGGCATGAACGGACGTTCATCTCCCCTGACTACCGCCTGTTGCAACGGGGGCTGTACACCCGAGTATTCTACTGGGTGGTAAACACTCACGAGACTCCTCTGGAAATACTGTCAGCCGTCAGGCATACGGCGCAGTCGATTCCCAGCTTCCCAACGTGGATACCGCAATGGCACGTTGACCCCATCCGAAGTATAGCATCTTCTCACCACCGGAGTATGAAGTTTGATGCTTCAAAAGGGTGGCCATCCAAGCCCCTACTGCAAGTCTGCTGGAAGTTAAACGAGCGGAACTTGACACTGGAAGGATTCATTATCGGCACTATCACATCGTCGCAAGAGATTCTTCCCCCATCGCTTCCTCGATCCGGTAGAACACGCACTCGATGTATGATTGAGCACAAACAAGGCTTGATAACATGGATCACTCAACAGTTTCCAGCAAGCGAGCACGTCCAATCAAGAATGAGCCTGACATTGACTGCTGGCCAGGATTGGTATGGCACAATCGTCCAAGGACAAGCTGCCCTGGAGCGGCACCGGTCCTGCTTTCAAAACTGGACGCTTCAACACCTTTCAGGCCAAGAATTAGATGCGGGATCTAGAGAAGATGCTAAGAAATACGGACGAGGGGTGCAAACAGTGTGTCGTGGGCGAAAGCTGTTCGCCGCTGCTGGCTGCCAGATGGGCCTAGGGCCTGAGACCCTTATGCCTGGCGATACGGTATGTGTGCTCCTTGGGGGGCCAGTTCCATACATACTCCGGTCGTTGGGCAGCAACGTCTATCATTTTGTAGGGGAGTGCTATGTTCCTGACTACATGTTTGGGGAGGCGATTGTGGAGTGGACAACACCAACATCAACGTCCTTGAACCCACACAAGTTTATCTTAAAATAGCAAGAATTTATCAACTTTTAAAAGAATATCTGAAGTCCTTATCTATTATGGATCTTTAGAGGGTTGTAAAGGGTTAGATTTCTACTTAGCCTTTCCACCTTAAGCAGTCCTCTCCCCGCTCTTAACCCTACTTCTAGACCCTTAACTTTTGGGTCTTGAGAGACAGCGATAAGAGTGATGATGGCTCCGAGGACAATGAGCTAGTTACTGTTCAGAAGCGTACTATTCATCTTATTTCTTGTAAACTTTCGCTGACTTGTGTTGTAGCCTATTTGCTGATCCTGTACTCGTATGACTTTAATTAGGAGGTCGCCTTGATCCTCGCTTTAGAACCGGAATCCCGAATTTAAGCCCTTTAGCATGAGTCCGAGGATTAGGCTATGATTGCTTAATTGGAGGCATGTTGGAACACAAAGGCTCCAAGGAGTCACATAACGGACCCAGGGTTCCTAGACCGAGTCAGCGGGTGCTCGCCAGGCACTCAGTCAGCCTCATCGAAATAGGAAGGTGGTCAGAAAAGGCAGTGATTTCAGGGCCCAATAAAAGGCTCGACCTCCCTGACCTCAAGGGGCGGGAGACTGACAAACAGATTCTATTACGGTACATAAGCATCAATCAAGTGGTCATACGAGCTATTTAACAAGACCAAAACATGGGCTGCCCCGGCTGGCCCATATTTTCCCCGCGAATCACGGCCCGGGATATATCGTCACCCGCATGGTAGGATCCATCAGATAAAACAGAAATGCCTCACCAGACTCGTTCTCGTGGGGGGCCTAATACAATTTAGAGGACAATCCATGTTGCAATGGGCTCGAAAGAGGATAGAGCCGAAATTAAGCCAGGGACTAGGATGGGGCCATAAGCAGTCATACCAAGGAATCGAATCCCAGCAGTGGAGTTTACTGAGCCTTGTCGGACTAGCAAGGTATATCCACGGAACGGTCCGCGTTCAAGACCCGTGCTACTGCTGTGGAGCACCTTTGGACTTCTCCAGGTTGACAGATGCTAAGCTATTTGCAGGGAGTTTTTCTTTTGCCAAGTGGCACATGCCAACGAGATTGGTCACTTCGCTGGGCAGTATCCCATGGCCCATAAATGTCTGACTGCCCAGCCCCGTCGAGGTTACCTAGTACGTAAAAACATCGATGTAAGACTGAGAGGTATAATAAGCTTCTCATCGTCCTTGAGCAAGATCAATTTCTGGCAGACTCAGCCTTCATTCCTTGAATAATCCTGACCACCATGAGGTCTCAACGCAGCATTCTCGGTTCGTTGCTGGTGGGCGTGACCACGACATTGGCCTCGCCCGCCAGCCCCCTGTCGTCTTTTGTCGAGTCTAGGGCCTCTTCTCTGGACTGGGCGCCTTGCGACTTGGATCTCCCCGAGAACGCCATGAGAGAACAAGGCTATTGTGCCACCCTCGAGGTTCCTCTGGACTATACTGACCCGGACTCTGACGAGACGATCCATCTCCAGCTGCTCCGATTCAACGCCACCAAGGAGCCCTTCAAGGGCAGCGTCCTGTGGAACCCGGGTGGCCCTGGCATCTCTGGTATTGAGACGTTTGCCTATCTCGGCGCAGACTTTCGAGAGTAGGTGAAGCCCTGGGTGCGAAATTGGTCCCTTTGCTAACTTTGCCAAGTATTATTGGTGGTCACCACCATGCCATTTCTTTTGATCCTCGGTAAGTCAAACAGTCACAATCTCCAAGCTCCCCCCGGAAACTGGCAGTGAAACTAACACTGAATAGTGGCACAGGCAGAACCATTCCGTTTTCGTGCACGAAGAAGGCCAGCACGTCTAAGAAGACCCGCCGGAGCCAAGTGCCTCTAGCCCAAGCGGATCTGTGGTCCTACGTAAAGAAAGAGAAGTGGGAGGCCATGACAAGTCTGGCCGAGACTTGCTACGAGACCGAGCAGGAACATGGCCGCTTCATCGGCACAGCCTTCACAGCCCGCGACATGATCAAAATTGTCGACGCCCTCGGTGAAGATGGCAAGCTGAGGTACTGGGGCATCTCGTACGGCACAATCCTGGGACAAGTCGTCGCCTCCATGTTCCCTGATCGAATTGACCGCCTTCTCCTCGACTCCAACTCACTCGCCGACGATTATCTTACATCTACCGGTACTGGAGGCCCCAAGGATGCCGAAAAGGCTTTGAATTATTTCTTCGACGAATGCGTCCAGGTCGGACCCGAGACCTGCGCCCTTGCCAATTACTCTGGGTCGGATACAACCGCCCAAGACCTTAGCACCGCCGTCGAGAAACTTTTCCAAAAGCTGGTCGACACTCCCGAACTTCCAGCTGATTCTGGACTGTCGGAGGCCGATTTCCCATATGGAGGCAACTCTATCCTCCAGGCGATAAAGTACTCCCTTCTGAACCTGCTCTCCAGCCCCCTGTCGTACTCGACCATCGTGCAGTTGCTCTCCTATGCGCTCGAAGGTAGCTATAAGAAGGCTCTGAGCCTGTCCCCAACGGACGAGTCCGAGTGGAACCTCGGAACACAATCGTTCGCCGGAATTGCGTGTTCCGATACGTCGTTCCGTGTTGAGTCTGCCGATGATCTGTATGCCATGTATCAATCGCACCTGGCCGAGAGCACTTTTGGGGACGCCTTGGCTGCCGACTACATGAATTGCGGTGCCTGGAAATTTGACTCTGCCGAGGAAATCAACACGAATGAGCTTCGCAACGTCAAGACGAGCTACCCAGTCCTTGTTATTAACGGAGCCTATGATCCATTTACGCCGCTGAGCATGGCGTGGCAGGTGGCCTCTCGGTTCCGAGACAGCCGAATGATCGTGCACGAAGGCATTGGCGTAAGTATTCCCCAGCCATGGATCTTCCGAGGATCTAGTGTAGAGCTTTCAACTAACGGTCGTCCAACTAGCACGGAGTGACATCGCACGCATCAAACTGTACGCTCAATGCTATTGCCGATTATTTCACGGAAGGGACCCTGCCAGAAATCGGCACCGTTTGCAAGCCCAACATGCTAGCCTTTGAGTACGCGAAATACCTATTAGGGCTGTAGGGGATGAGCGAAGCGTAAGTCAACATGGTATGTGGAAGATCAATGAGGCCTCTTTTAGCCAGGAATAGGGCACGAAACAGTGACCTATCCTAAGGGTTTGGGAGGCAACCTTCTTGTGTTGCTCTATCTAAGCGAGTGGTTTAATTAATAAAGTCAATTACCTGGCCTAGCATTACACTCCTAATTCTGTTCTCTGACTTTCCTAATTTGTAACATTTGATAGACCGGAGCAAGGCATATAGTTTTAGTAGGGCTTTAGCGGATTGTTCTGGATGGGTTGAATAGGTGACGAACAGTTCAAAATTGCTGTGCTTTGAACTTCTAAGATATCCGGGATAGAGCTGCTAGGAGAGGTATCTGACACAATAGAAAGCTAATGCCTCGTTGATTCTGGTATTGGTCGAAACTGGCACCTTGAAGTCTCTGAGGAACCATTCGTTCGTATTGGCCATCTTGGCGGCCGGGAGTGGGCGAGTTGGGCGGATCTGGAGTGATGGTGAGCACATTTGAAACCTTAGGACAACCCAGCAAACTCCGACTATAGCGGCAGTTTCCTGTAATGTGATGTCATAAAGAATTCTCCTCTAGTCAATTCATAGGATCATAAACGCTATAATCACTCCAATCATCGGCCAGACCAACCGTCTGCTACGTAAATACATCCAGCCGACATCATAACTCTCTCCAGAGATCAGCCATGGGCATCTACAAACTATAACTTCACGTGTCCTTCGGCCGTAGCCCAAACGGATCCGCAAGCTCAACCATTGTCTCCCAGAGCCTCGCCTCCTCGCGGTTAGTATATTTGCACTCGCCCCTCCCACCATCATTCCCTGCGGTACAGCCCAAGAATGGCCTTATAGCGGGTTCACAGATGGTTCCTTCAGCCGGCAAATCACCCGTTTGGAAGTACGCTCGGATTGTTTTCGCAGTGCACAGCGATGGATTCGAGTGCGAACAGTGGCCTTGGGAATCCTGCTGCAGTACCACACTCCCCGGGAATAGCGTCGATACTCTACGGGCGTTTCGCAGGGGCGTTACCGTGTCGTGTGTGTTGCTAACAATGAGCAGCGGGTAAGATGTATTTGCCCATTCCTGCTCCTTGAACGCCAGACCATGGTTCCAAGCCGGCTTAATTGTATTTCCCAGACAAGACAGCTTATTGCGAGCCCAACTGGGGCTGATCCACCGTCCCTGTGCTTCGATTTCCACAAGATAGTCATTAAATCCCTCGCGGGTCAAAACCTCAACGTTTCCGCTGTCCATGCATGAAATGGCCTGGAAAGAGCCAAAGCCGGAGACGTAGGGCACTCGCTCTTCCGGATGGGATCCCTTTGGCTCGCATCCCGCCTTGTTGAGTGTTCCCTGCTTGGTGGATATAACTCGCAAGAGGGCTGGAGAAGACGTATTTCGGCTCTCGAGTGCGACGAGCAAGTCAAAAAAGTCCTCTGCCACAGCGAAGGGGAAGTACATTCCCGACAGAAGCGCAAGATGGGCGTCGCCATAGGTGATGAAGGCCGGGCCCTCATTCGAATGAGATGGGGGCATGGCGATAGGACTGCTTTTCAGGTAAAGCAGGATGGACGTAAGCCGGGCCTCGACGTCGGCTGGCGAAGAGCCAGTGTAGAGAGCGCATTTCTCAGGACCGGCCTGGAAGCAGTACTCGCAAAACTTGGAGATGATCATGTCGGAATCTTGCAGCTGCGTGAGCCAAGTCCCGGCGTAGTGGTCTGCCGGGTCGACAACGCCGTCGATGACCACCCGACCGACTCGGTCTGGGTGCATTGCTGCAAAGGTCGCGCCGATGAGAGTTCCGTAGCTCATTCCCCAATACTGCATCAGTTCTTGACCTGGTTGATATGCTGTCCGGTTGATAATGCCGGATGTGCTCCTTTGGCATGAGACTGGAGCACGCGATAGCAACTCTCTTGCCTCGTTTTCTCGCCACTCTCCATGCTTTTCAACAATCTGCAGCATGTCTTGAACCGTCTGAGCCGTATTCAAGTGCTGAAGAATGCCCGTTTCATCTTCGCCGTATGAACAACTGGCTCCCAGGGCAGCTGCTCTCGCCCATTCTATCCCAGTAATGCTCTCACTGTGCCACAGCAATCCATAGTCGGGCAGGCTGAGCAGCCAAGACTGTTGATCAAAGGCGTCTGAGAAACATTGCAATTGAGGTGTGGTGTTATTTACACCTCGTGGGTCGAATGAGAGGATATCAAAATACTTTCCGCCCACAGTGCCCGGCTCACCGGCATCGGGCAATACAGGGTCATCGAGTATCTTCTGTAGACTCTTGCCGTCGGTGAGCACCTGGTAAACACCAGACTCGCCGGGGCCACCTGGATTCACCAAGACCGGTCCGCCATATCTTGGATCCGTCACGGGGACTTTTGTTGGGAGCTTAATGATAGCTATGGCTGCACGGGGACCAGTCTCGTGCTCGGTCGTCGACGCATTCCAATTTAGTGGCACAGAGAGACGCGCACATTGGAAGGAAGAGTAGCAAGGCACGTAATGAAGCGACGATTGTGGCGTGATGTCTTCCCAGCGGAATTCGTGCTGTGGTTCAGCGTCGGGATGCTCTCCGAAGCGCCATGGAGCGCCGATCTCTACGCTGCGACGATACGAAAACGAGGCAATTATCCAGAGCAAGATGCAGACGAGTGGGATTTTGAAAGGAACACGGGCGTTTAATCTGGATAAAAATGAGCTCGACGTAGCGGTTGGCGGGACATGGTTCGGCGGTATCAAAGAAGGCCAGGGCTTCGCCATGATTTTATAAACGTCGCACAAAGATAGTGTCGCACTTAGTCCAGCAGCGGAATCGGAAGCGGAGCGGAAACTTGAGGTAGTTTTGGTTGGAGACGTCGCAGTCGCGATTCCTCTTGGAGAGGGGAGGCTGGGAGCGTTGGTCCGAGGTTCTCCCGTTGTGCAGATGTCCTCGTGATGGATTTAGTCGTGTCTCTTATCGGGAATGATGCCGATGATCCGGTGATATCAGTTCTTCTGGTCTCAGAAGAGGTGTGGGGGGGTTATCTGTTTGACGCCTCTTGATAAGCCCAGAATCAAGTATACTTGCCATGCTTTCTGTAACATTAAAGTTGGTGTGTGGAATCACTATAAACTCGGGCTTGGCTTGGCACGCTACACGCTCCATGAGCAAATACAACCGCATGCTCCTCAAAGGCTGCACTACCACCTAATTACCTCATTCACCGCCACCCCGTGTCGCTCCAGATAAAGTTGACAGACACCTACTGCACACCAGGGATAAACCTTGCTTGCTTCAGATGCAACTTCAAAGTGTAACATACAGGGTAGGTCAATAGGGCCATGCAGATAAATAACACGCGCTGCTACGTGGGGTACCGATATAAAGTATTATGAACGAGTGATATACTCTCCCATATAATCTAATGAATGATTGATGTATCTTTATTTTCCTAATCAACGACGTTTTCCCACCTACTTAGCGACCCCTCTAGTATTTACTTTAGCGCAGGAAACATGCTCGAGTGCGTCGAATCCACTGGGGTCACAGCTGGGGCTCGACGAGTCCGCGGCATTACCAGGATTGTCGCGCAAGAAAACCCACAAAATATGGGATTTTAATTAAATCAAGTTTGGGGCATTATGAAGTTACTTGAAATATATTAGGCTGTCAACTTGACTTGATACTTCAAGTGAGGTTAGTGCTGGTCAAGTGAGGCAAGACTAATCAGCAGATAAGAAAGAATACTGCGCTTCTAAAAGGTGCGAACAATAAACTTGGGAATTGTAAATAGCCTAGCACACCTGATCCTATGAGGCTAGTCCTCTGAAGCTGAATATTTGAATTTTATTCATTCATTGGTCCTGCTTAAGGTATGATCTTTGTCCGACACAGGATGTGGACCAAACATGCAGTGCTTGCGAAAGGAGTATACGTCCACTTTGCCGCAGCGGCATTGCGATATTATACTTCTAAGAATAACCTATCTCCATTAAGATATAGGGCTTTGCTGCGAGGCTTCTGGAATGGCAGGTATCCACTTCAAACGGGATGGAGCATAACCTTCCAGGTTTGGTTTCGCATCGTTAAGAATGGTAGAATCATCCAAAGTGCCAGCCTTTATAATTTTCAGATTTGGGAAGGAGTCACCGTCTCGAAAGGGCGTCGTTCCACAGTTCCCACAAAAGTAGCTTGTGATATTGTTGCCGCTGTCGGCCGTCTTCGTAAAGGTTCTTGGGGATCCAGAGATAAGTTTGAAGTTGCCTTCTGGGACAAGGAAATTGAGACTGAAGGTGCTACCAGAAAGCTTTCTGCAGTCGTTACAGTGGCATAGAGCCTGGTTTGTGTGTGTTAGCTCTACCGTTATGTTTATAGGGGTTTATAAGAGAGGAGCGCGTGTACATTTACAACAGGCTCGCCAGTATATGAATACCGGATGTCGCCACATAAACAGCCACCTTCTTGCATACTGTCCGATTAGTTCGAGTCTTTGCAAAGATGCAGAGAGACAGTGAGATAGAGTGTAAGTGCTGTGTTTGAAAGAGGAGGCGATGTCAATAATTGCCTTAGGAGGCTGTCGTATGTCCTTAAGTTTCGCCTTCTTAAGCAATCGAGTCATCGCAACTGATTCATAGTAATCGAGTCATAGTAACCGAGTCATGGTGCCTTTAGGAACATTGCGGGGTGCGGGGTGCATTTGACGCCAAAGAAAGGTGCGTCAAGAAAGTCTGCATTAGCGCTACAGATTCTAGCGTTGTATAAAAAGAGGGGGAGGAGAGGGGGTCGATCTTAAGTGACGGATGATCTTATACGAGCAGATTCATACACCGAGGCAGCCTACGGCAAGTTCAGTCACCCGAGGCTAATTGCCAAATCAGACACCATAAATGAGGGGGAGGGGGCAACTAAATGGTGTTATACGCATAGAATCATTCATCCAAGTTAGCGCCCTGCATGTTGAGTCACCCAAGGGTAAATCAGGAACTCAGACGCCGAAATATATGGACGTATATATATAGCTACATCTTTCAAAGAACCCGTATTCCCGTTGCATTTGAACCCAACTCCGGCCCAAGTGGCATCATCACCAGCGTCATAACCATCACCAACCCATCACCCCTAAACTCCACGCCCGCCCATAATGGCCCGCCTGCAATCGAAGGTAGCAATCGTAACTGGTTCGTCCAGCGGCATCGGCCGCGCTATTGCGCTACAATTCCACCGCGAGGGCGCTGTTGTCGTATGCGCAGACCTGCGGGAACGATCAGTCGATGAAGTGTCTGGGGAGGCGGAGGTAACGACAGCCGATCTGATCACAAAGGAAGGGGGCACAGCCGAGTTTGTCAAGGTCGACGTCACCAAAGCAGAAGATGTAGAGAGTCTAGTCGCGCGCGCAACAGAGAAGTTTGGACGCCTGGATATGTGAGTTTGATTCCCCCAACTACTTTCTCTAATGGTTATTTGGGCGGGTAAGCGCCGTTGAAGATAATTGTATTAACAATTTTGGGATGTAGTATGGTGAATAACGCGGGGGTGGCGCTGGAATCAAGCAATCCTCAGAATATCTGGAATTTTTCTCAAGATATTTGGGAAAAAGATTTCGCCATCAACTCAACCGGTGTCTTTCTTGGATGTAAATACGCATCTGCACAAATGATCAAGCAGGAGCCGCTGCCCTGTGGCGATCGTGGTTGGATTCTCAATACGGCGAGTGTATTTGGTTTAGTGGGATCGGGTATGATTGGTAAGTCGTTATTCGATTGATTGTGTCTGCTCGTTGAAGTAGCAGGGTGGAAGAGGATCTTCTACCTATATGGTAACTAATGAATGGCAGTGGGTTATGTTGCATCAAAACATGCAGTCATGGGCATTACAAGGGCTGCAGCAGTGGATTGTGCACCTCATCGGATACATGTGAATGCCATTTGTCCGGGTTGTAAGCTGCTTATCTCTTTTGCCAGTCTTGGCCTCATGAATCAAAGCATTATTGACACTTCCAACAGATACAGAGACCACGTTCATCTCATCAATTCAAGGTCGAGCCCAGGCCGAGGTTAAAGCTAGCATTGAAAAGCAGCATCCATTTAGGGGCTTGGGAAAGCCTGAGGATATTGCCAAAGCGGCTGTGTTTCTAACCTCGGAAGAGAATAGTTGGATTACAGGTATTGGGCTGCCGGTAGACGGGGGTTTCACTTCCATGTGATTTTAGCCAAATGACTATAAGACTAATGCTTCTACAAGAAGTGTTAGCAGGTTTCTATCGCTGTTGAATCGCTGTTCAGAGTATTATTTCTACGCTTCTGTACCGCGTGCTTGCTGAATGTGACAGAGGACTTGATATATTGTGTTGGAGCTGGGTTACTCTACCGTGTCCTGGAAAAGTTGCAGTGTATTTTATAATAGATATCGGAGGCGGCATTTCACAACCCATTGAAGTTGAAATTTAAAATGATAGAGGTGGTCTCTTCATTTCATCTTTCTGAGGCAAAGGTTACCAGTTGATGAGGAGTAGGATCTCGGTGGCACTGCCTCCGAGAGCAACACCGTTCGAGGGCACTCCGGCAGATGTCGCCATCCAGAATCAGTTCAACAAGTTAACAGCTGACAGCCGAGATATTGCCTCTTTCACCTTCGTGGCTGCATACTGATGCATGATGTCAGTAAACGGAAACCTCCCGCCTGGCACGCTTCGATGAGCTTTGGAATAAACTCCTGGGGATAACAGTCTCCCATGGCACACCCACGATAAACCCTGCCACTGTTGACTGTCTCAAACAATCCACTTGATACACGACGTTGCGAGAGGCGATACGATTGAAGCTGCACTGCCGTGGAAGTGAGTCTTGACCTGTTTAATACCCCGTTGTATTTTGCACGGGCAGTTTAAGTAGCTTAACGACTCGTTCGACAGCAACCCGGCAGCGCCAGTGCTAGCTAGAGTGTAGGAGGGTTTAGAGAAGTCTTCTAGATGTAGAATAGATAGCGTGCTATATAGAATTCAGAGATCGAAGACTTTGAATATCTTTCAATACTACTTCAATATATGGATACAAGCATAGCCTCAGTACTTCTCAAATCCACTCCAACTCTCCCCTTCTTTACTGCATAGCCTTCCCAAGACTTTGCTCCAGTTTTAGTTAACCTGCCACTTGTATAGTTCCAGCTCTGACCCGCCCACTTAATATCATTATCAGCACTTGCGCCATTAGCAGTCAATCTTTCGACTTTAACATTCTTAACCCAGAGAGGTAAGTCCAAGGTAATTTTCTGGACGGGCCTTTCATAACGAGTTGTGGAGTTCCACTCGTCAAAGTTAATTACCAAATACTTGGCTAGACCGCCAGACTCGTATATACCGTATGCAGACACATTCCAAGGAAGCTGGGGGATGGGATAAACTTGGACTTTAGGGTGGTGGCCAAGGACGTCAGCAGCAAATATCTGACCGTATAATGGAGCCCGGACGTGGGGTTTAACGCCGTCTCGAGTCACGGGGACCCAGGCACTATATCCGAATGTAGTTCCTTGGATGAGGTTGTATCGAGTAATGTTCTTAAACATTAGGGTTCATGATTAGCTCAAGAAGTAGACATATAATCTCCAATGTTGCTTACCGTGGCCATGCCCATAAGAAGGTGATCAATGAGCCAGAGAGCAGAACCAAATACGCCCTCGATTTGGGACATGTTGAGATTGTATGAGTTGCTGTTTGTTTCACCCAAAACAAATGGGAGTGCTGGGTGATACTCATGGCACGACTCGATGATGTTTTCGTATTGCGTGACATTGTGCGCATTCGCGGTGTGGTTCATATAAGAGTTTTGCAACCGCACCCATTCCTGATTTCTTGCTGCGTACTGATGGTAGGAAATGGATTTGACAAATCCATGCTGATCCAAGCCGTCCTGGAAAGCTTCCTCACTGTTGAGACGCAACGTAATTAGCAAAGACTGAGCCAAAACGTGGTATATAGGTGGGGATTGTGGCGGACTCACAAGTGCCATTCGGGGTTGTTAGCTCCGGCAATAAGCAATCCTTGAAAGAAACGCCGCTTTGCCAATCCGTACTTGTTGTGCTTAAGCACGAGCTCAGAAGTATTTGCAGCGTATTCATTCCATTCTCTCACATAATCCCCCATTGAGTAACCTGCACTACGATGACCGAACGGCACCATCAAGTCGGGTTCGTTACCAAGCTCAAAACTTTCGAGAGAGTTCTTGGTATAGTCCATGACAATCTTGGCCACTTCAATGGCATTCTCTAGGCCACCCTTCTTGCCAAAGGTGTTGCCCATGTTCAATTGCCAGGACCACCGGGTGCCAGGGAAGTTGAGAAAGCCATCAAAGAAATGGGGACCGATGTAGACCATGTCAGGAATACCGTACTGGGTGGTAAATGACGCTGTTGTATTCCACCAGTTGTACGCGGCGATCTCTTGACTGGCATTGTACCAAACTCGATCCCTATACATGGTCTATTAGTGCTGTATTAGATGGGTATAATTCAAGTGATTCTTACGTAGAGGTACCCCCAACACGGATGAAAGGATGAGCACCAGTCTTTGAATAGAGCAGGTCAAATATATCTCGTGAAAAGAGGTTTGGATGGGTCAGGTTTCCTATAAACAAGTAAGCTCGGATTTAATCAAAGCGAATACTGTATAACATATCGATACACACCTGTATAGTCGGTGAAGAAATGGGCCGGAAAGGAAAAGGACGCAAAGTCATGGGGAACAACCCATGAAGCACCGACAGGAACTTTCTCGGGAGAGGAAAGTTGAATAGGTTCTGCAACAGCAAATGAGGCCGATACACCATAAACAGCCACTGTGAGGGCTGATCTAAGTGATGAAACCATTGTGTTGCTGATTGAAGAGTGTGGCAATTCTGGAAATCTCACTGGTGACAAATTGATATCTGGACCAGGCTTGAGCCTTTTATAGATGATGGTGTATATGCAGATCTTCCTCAAGCTATACCCCAGGAAATCAAAATTTGCTGGCTAGCCTATTACGCAATCCTCCATGATCATTCGCAAACACCTTTCAATTACGGTCGACTACAGACCCCTGCGCCAATACGGATCATGGTGAGCTGAAGGTGCAATATCCAAGCCGGGACAGGCCACGGAAGTCGGCGCTGGACCTCATCGGCATTCGCTCCGCCTGGCGGCTTTCGGCCGACTCGTTCGCGGAATTCGCTGGCACTAAGGAGATGAGGCGGGGAAAGTGGAACAGATTCGGGCTGTTGATTCGACAATCACATCCATTGTCGCGCTGACCGCTCCGGTTTTCACGTCCCCACCGGAATGATTGAAAGTTGCGAGTCAGGTCGGTGAATGAACATGTTGGGTAGAATCTAATGACGTGGCTAATGCTTCTAGCGGCCTACTACCTAGATGGGCAGTTCAATTCACTCCGCAATGGTTGAATAAGCTCGCGTATGGCGTGCGGGGGACTTGCGGAGAAGGGCAGCCGAAAACCCGGCATGAATGTAACCATCTTCATCCATTCACGTCAGCCTCACCGTAGTCCCTCTTCCGCCCAGTCAATCAGGCCGCCGATGCCATGCCTAGAGACAACTCTCCTACTCATGCCGAGACTGGTGAGCCCCTCAGCTTGGAGGTAATGAGTCGATACTGACCTGTTGGACTCCTAGGCTGCTTGGTCTGTCGATCACGAAAGGTAAATCTTAACCCTTTCCAGTTTATGTTTACTGGCCAGGGCAAATGGTCTATCTATACTTCCATTTATCGCTGACTTGAACTGCCAGGTGCGGTGTGACCGTACAATTCCAAGCTGCCGTAAATGCCATCGTTTAGGTGTGACATGCCCGGGCTACGAGCTCGATCATGGATCTATCTCCAGATCTGAGATGCTCAAGTCTACCAATGACATCTTCAAGGCCGCCGGCATCGAGAAGAGGCGCGTCGGGTCATGCCATGAGTGTCGCGCTTCGAAAAGCAGGTGCACGAGAACGAAGCCGGCGTGTCAAAGATGCGTCGCGAAATGTCTCAAGTGCGTCTACCATTCCAAGGCCGGTGATCAAGACGACTCGAGTGCTAGCCCATCTGATCATATCCATCTACTGGAGCGTGATCAGTTGCTCCCGGGTCTCGATGCTCGGTAAGTACTCCACGACCAACCATTGACTGGACAATTACTGAGTACGTGCACCTAGTTTGTACTCGGATACAATCCCCGAAGACCCAAAGTTAAGGAATCACCTTATCAATATCTACTTTGATCGGTTCCACAATTTGAGATGTTTGGGATTCATCCACAAACCGTCTTTCATGCATTCCATGGCTCAAGCCAGCGCCGTCCAGGATTACGGCGAGCCTCTGCTCTATGTCATGTGCGCACTAAGCGCAAGGAAAGATTCCACCCTCCGACCCACAGAACCAGCCAGTAATAGATTAAACAGATTCTTATATCTCGAATCCTTGACATCCTCGTCAATACCCAATTTTTCCGCGCGTCCCGTTCCGGGCGAGCTGTGGGCTGAGAAAGCCCGCAGAATGGTGCTGGAAGATATCCATCTCCCCACGATCCAGCACGTAATGGTTCGTGTCCGTAACACTGATCCTATTCATACAGCTAACTAAGGAAGGCAATGATTTTGCTTTGTGAGTACGGACTCAGAACGGATCAACACTCCTTGGCTTTCATCCTATCCGGCTGCGTGTTTCGTACTATGCGGCTTCTGGGTCTTGACAATCCGCCAGCAACCTTGGACGCCACAGAGCCACAGCCACACAGTCTCAAGGAAGAGATAGAATACAGAGTCGTTTGGTCTTGTTATACGCTCGACGTTTTTATGTCTTCCGGAGTAAACAAGAATTCCTCATGGAGAGAAGACCTTCCACAGATACCACTGCCCCGTTCCGACAAGGATTTTCTTCTTCAAACCCCTTCTCCTCAACATTTCCTGTCTTGGGTTGAATGCCCGAGCACACTTCCCTTTGTCAAAGATTTAGATCTTCCATCCTTAGTCGCTATCTTGATCAGACTTCGGGGCAAAGTTCTCAGGTAAATAGCCTCTGTGTCCGAATATTCCAGTGGCTTAACGGAACTGATTTATGGAACAAAGACTTATCCGCACTGAGCCATCGTCTGAGATGAACATATGGGACTCTGCATCTCCATTTATGTTCATCATCCAGCAGCTCGACACATTCTACGAAAATCTTCCAGACAAATTTCGCATTACCGACCTTAACACGTACATTCACAAGGATCAGCATATCCTTGGCGTTGTGTTTTCACCACATCTCATGTACAACGCCGCAATTTTCGACCTCACGAGAACATCTCTCGCGGGCTTTAGCTTTCCACTAGCAGCCTCTTTCCTCCATAGCCCTCCTGAGTTCCGGTCCAGGTGCCAGGAACGCTGCCGCTTTCACGCCAACGCCGTATCTGATTTGATTCAAAAAGGATTGATTCACGGACGAGACGCTTTTGAAGACAGTTTTTGTGCAGACGCAGCACTAGAATCTGCAAAAGTTCAGATCATCCATTCGGCAACGGTGGTGGGCGGCGACGACTCCACGAACAAGACAGGACACAACATAAGGAAAATACTTGAATTCCTTAACTTCTTGCACGTGGATAAGGATGGCCATAGTACCCATGTAAGTCCCCATGCTGTATCCATTCCTGAATATTGTGACTATAACTAGTTGCAGCTACGTACCATACTACCACTGTGTGTGCTCTTCGGGTTCCGAGACATTGCTGAGGAATGGCAGTGCTCCCCAACGTATGTTGAGCAGTCCTGACGCTTGCTTCCTTGGTCCATTTCTAACAATCTCATATAGGCCTCACCAAATGTCCCCAGAGGTTACTGGCTCCGCTGCCGTCCATCATCTGTCCAATCTGGCACCATTTCGTCGGGCTCAAACCGAGTTGCGCGCACACCAGAACTCCAGCCCCAGAACTCTCTCCTCTTGCGAAATACAAGATTCGCAACAACGACTGCTTCCAGGTCGTGAACAGCCGCCCAATATTTCGTTCAATGACGCCACGGCAGGAAGATCCCAAGAGCAACACACCCACTCAGTAACACGCGCAAGAGGGCTTGCTCCTTTGCAGCATGCAGTGCCAGCGATTGGACAAGGCATGGAGTCAAGCTGGGTTGATGAGCCAGAAATGATGGATATGGAGATTGCCCAACCGTCTGTAGAGGATTACATTCGAACGGCGGGTGAAATGTCAGACTACTTGACGTGGAACATGAGCGACTTATCTGAACTGCCTATTTGGACAGAATTTGGTAATCAAGGTCCTGCCTAGTGAAGTTTTGCGGCAGTAGTAGCCAATACCTAGTCAGGGTGCTGGTTGTAGCACTAAACTTTTGTCTTTATTGTTTAAAATACTGCATGGCCTTGATCTATCTGATGATGTTAAGTAAAGATGTAAAACAAACCGATTACTTCGTCATGGATGTCACGAGCAAAGGCGATATTTAAACCTTTTCCTTCATGATACAGTTGGGATGACACCCTTTAGCCTCTCTGGCGTTATTTCAGGGCGTCCAATATACTTGATCCACGCGTAAGGGTCGTCCATCTCATCCACCAAAGATGTCCTTGCATCTCCCTGGATACCATTTTCATACTCTCCGGCCAGACCAACGACGCCGACATCATTTTTATACTCATCCCACAATTTCAACATTTCTTCCAAAAGATGAGGGTGCTGTTCAGACAGATCCGTTACTTCTCCAGGATCTTGGCGGATATTGAATAGCTCCCACCTTTGCGGACCCTTGGGAGCTGGTACGAATGTGATTTTCCAATCACCGCGCCGCAGAGCCCCTGAGCCAGCCACTTCAAATCCCACCACATAGTCCTGGCCATGGACCTCGGCTTCGGCGTGTCCATTGGCTTCCACGTTGGAGTAGATGAGCGAAAAGAACTTGGTCCAACTTCGACCACGAAGAGGCGCAATCTCTCTGCCTTTGTAACACGTTCCGGGATGCTGCAGGATGGCCATTTCCAGGATTGTTGGCACGATGTCCATGACAGTGCAGAATGCGTCGGTGATGATGCCCTTGCTGGGTGCCAGGTTGGCGCCTTTGCCCACAGGTGGTCGCACTACTAGAGGCACTCGACATCCGCCTTCGGTCGAATGCATCTTGTAGAGTCGTGAGGGAGCCGTGGCGGCTTGGGCCCAGCGGCACCCATACCACACAAAGCTATTTCCACGGCCAATGTTTTCCAGACTATTGTCATAGTACTTTTCCACGTGGGCCATTATACTGTCTCCAACGATAGGTTGAGTCTCATAGCTCGCGCCCTCAGCTCCGTTGTCGCTCATGAATAGGACGAAGGTGTTATCATACTCGCCGCTTTTCCGCAGATAGTCGACCACCCGGCCAATATTCCAGTCCATGCGGTCAACCATGCCCGCGTAGACTTCCATGGCACGGCTGGAAGCCTTACGCACATGCTCGGGAAGTTCGTCCCAGTTTTCGGGTTTCCCATCAATTATGACGACAGGGTGCGGAGTAACGTCTGGTTGAACCATCCCTAGCTCTTTAAGTCTCGCAAGTCTCCTCTGGCGCAACGCCTCTGGGCCATCATCATAGAGGCCTTTGTATTTATCACAAACATCTTTTGGTGCCTGAAGAGGCCAATGGGGCGCGCTGAATGGGAGATAGGCAAAAAAGGGCTGCTCCTTCTCCTCCTGCGTTCGGTCGTCGAGGTATGACATGAGTTTGTCGGCGTAGGAGTCGCTGCTGTAGAAACCGTCTGGTAGTCGGCCAAGCACCTTGTCGTCTTCCACGTGCAAGGCACGCGTGGCTGTCTCAAAGAACTTTCCGGGCTCTGTGCTTGGATCTTTATACTGCGGCTCGTACGCGTAGTGGTTCGCACACCCGGGTAGAAGGGCGAATGACTTCTTGAATCCGCGACGGATGGGGTGGTGCTCTGGTTTAAGCCCGAGGTGCCACTTGCCAGACATGCAAGTGAAGTAGCCCCCGTCAGAGAGGAGCTCGGGAAGAGCAACGACACGTTGGTTTAGATAGCCTTCGTGACCAGGTTTACCGTAATGAGCCGGGGAAGCGCGGGTGATTTCCTGGAGCTGGCCGAGTCCGGCAATATGGTGATCGGTTCCTGTGCTCCTCTTGTCAGGACATCGCTTTCTTCCCATGAGCAATGTGTTCTGCAGGCCCATTGCTTGAAATGAAATACTCTTGGACTTACCAGTCATCAACATAGAGCGGGTAGGAGAGCAAGCTGCAGCAACGTGGAAGTTTGTATATCGAATAGCATTGCTCTCAGCCGCGATGGCATCAATGTGAGGGGTATTGATCTCGGAGCCGAAGCAGCTGCAGTCGCTAAACCCGAGGTCATCAGCAACAATGACAAGGAAATTTGGACGTTTTCCCTCCATGATGGTGCTTGTAGGAAATGGGTTGCAATGTAACGGCCAGTACCTCTGCGGCTAAGGCTAGAGTCTCGGGTTTTGGTCCCCCTCGTCAAAGAGGATGATGGGCCTTTAAGAGTACGCCACTGTCGATCCGCCATCTACTCAGACTGTACCGGAATTACCGGCAACTCGTATAGGACGATCATGGATCGCTTGTTGGGAAGCGGAGTTGGCGTCGGATCTCGCTCCGGCTTTCGCTCCGGCTTTCGCTGTAGGGATCGCCCATTTGCCTCCGGCATTCGCAGCGAGCATCCGGACCCTGCGTCTAGCTAACCCCAGAACCTAGACCCCAGACTCCCCAGACTTTCAGGAAGACTAGCGTCAACTACGTAGAAATTCCACATATATAGCGAGCCTCGTCATTCCACATTCAGCACAGGAGACCATCCTTGCATCGCAGTCGATCAGGTGTCGGCCCCTGTTTATCTTCTACCAACACCAGAATAAAGGCTATATTGAACTTCCTTGCAATTTTGCCGCTCAGAACAGACAGTTGGGCTATCATCAAAATGGCTGGCGATGCATCCCACAACCCCGGGCCAACAAGCATGTCAGTTGCCCAGCGCATGCGACATTTCAATGGCCGGCTTGTCTTCATCATGCTGTAAGTGTTTTCTTTGCGAGAGTTGTCCGCCTCGGCATTCCCTCCCCATAACTGAACCTGAGTTCTCTGCAGATACATGGCGTTCTGTGCCTTCAACTACGGATTTGACGTTGGAACCTTTGGAGGCGTCCAAGCTATGCATAGCTTCGCCAGTCAGTTTGGAAAATGCGACAAAGACGATGTCTGCGCCCTTCCCGGATGGCTGTCCTCAGTGATGACTGCTACCCCCTTTCTCGGCAAAGCGGCGGTACGTGTACTGAATGCGCGTTGATTTCATACAATTAGCCTAATAATGTCTTGCAGGGTTGCATTGTATGTGGCTGGGTAGCAGAAAGATGGGGTCGTGGAGCCGCCATTATCTTGCTTTGCGTTGCATCCTTCATGTGCGTATCCCCAACAGTCAATGCCTCTGCGAAGGACGCTTCCAAACTAACTCAGCGTATAGCGGAGTTGCCTTACAAACATCCGCTACCACCTCAGCCCAGTTCACAATCGGCCGTGTCATTACATACGCCATGACTGGCATGGCCATTATGGTCATTCCCATTTATTCAGCCGAGGTGGCTCCCGAGGTCCTCCGGGGCATGTTTGGCTCGACAATCCAAGTAATGGTCATCTTCGGCCAAGTTGTTTCCACAATCATCACCTACGGCACCAAGAATATCGAAGGGGCCGCAGCATGGCAGATCCCAATCGGATTGCAGCTTGTGGTGCCTGGAATCATCACCGCGCTTTTGCCTTTTCTGCCCGAGTCTCCTCGTTGGCTACTCAGCAAAGATAGGCGGGAGCTTGCAGTGGCTAATCTGAAGAAATTAAGGAAGGGAGTTAGCGAGGAAGACATCCTGACCGAGGCGGATGCGTTGACGTTTGCTCATGCTCACCAAGAGAAAGGCACTTGGGCTGAAGTTTTCGACAAATCGAATCGGGTGAGTAATTGTCTGCACTGCATTTGCCTCTTACTTTGGAAACTACGTTGACAACGGAATACCAGATCCGTACCGCCGTAGCCGTTTTAGCCATGTTCGGCCAGCAGATCACCGGCCAGGCGTTTCCGTCCCAATACGGTGTCATATTCTACCAGTCGCAAGGCTATGGAGACAAGTCGTTCCTCTTCAACATAATCTCCAACGTCATATCAATGGGCGCCGTCATCATTACTTGGTTTTACATCGATGGCGCCGGTCGTCGGCCGATTCTCATGACTGGCGGTTTCTTGATGGGAGCATTTCTGTTCATCCTCGGCGGTCTGGGATCTATCAACATGAACACCATCAACCAACATGAGAAGGAACTCATGGTAGCTTCTGTTATGCTATTTCAGTTCTTCTTCAACCTTTCTTGGGCTCCTTGGTAGGTCCACATATCGCCCATTATTGCCAAGCCCAACTCCATCCTACCTAAAGATACATGCTGATTTTTGCATGACAGCTCATACGTTATTGTCTCCGAAACAGCAGCTCAGCGCGTTAAGGAAAAGACAAACCTGCTGGCTTGTGTTATTTCAGTCCTCACAACCTTTGCCACCTCTTTTACCATGCCATACCTGATCAACGCACGATATGCCAATCTTGGTGGTAAAGTTGGCTATATCTACGGTACCATTAATTTCATAATGATCGTTTTGACTTTCTTTTTTATTCCAGAGCTTAAAGGGAGATCTTTGGAAGAGGTGGATCAGCTTTTCGCTAGCGGGGCACCCCTTCGGAATTTTGCAAAGATCAGCACAAAGACTATTGTAGAGGTTTACAAAGAAGACATTAAGCATGTGGAAAACCCTATTGAGAATGGAGTTGAGAAAGCTTAAGTAGGTTAAATAGTGTTCCAGGAAACTGTGAGAACATTTATAAGGACCTGTTTATTATGGAAACCTCGAGCTGTTTTCAACTCAAGATTCTTGATATTCCAATATATCTATATATGATATTGAGTAAAGCTAAAAAGGCTAGCCCGTGCGGGAGATGCCTGGTACAGAGATGGCAGAGGAGAGTTCGACAAGTGGAATGATTTGTTGGAGGGAGAGGCCTTTAGTGCAGACCACACCCGTCCGCAGGGTAGGAGCTGGAGAGTGGTAAAAGATAGGAGGAAGCAACAACAAAGCCGGCACCTGGGGGTGAGAGATACAGAGAGCAATTGATCTACTGCTTTCTGATATCTCGGGAAAGAAAGGGAAAGAAAGATCCATTAGAGCTGCTGCGATAGCTATAGTGTAATAAGCATGTTAGGACAGAAGGCATTATATAGTTTAGAGAAAGGAAAAAGCGTGCCGTCTTATTTTTCAATCAGACCAGATCACTCTAAGTTACGCACTTCCCTTAGCAAGCCACCTGTAATCAACTTACCTTAAGGATTACCAAAGGATTACGGCCGACCGTTATAATCCCTCACAAGCACCATAATATATATACGCAATCATTTAGCATTTTGTAGATAGACAATCCATTAACTATTTATATACTTAGTCATATTAAATTCACCATCTTACCACTACTAGACCTTGACCTGCATGGCTTACTATGGCATCCTAATCCACCAGATCATGTACCTCACGTCCGGTATCTGGGGTCGGATACCGCAGACCCCGTAGTCAGGAAAATAGACGGCAAAGTGTTTTCCCCTTCTTCTCAGCTAGGAACCGAGATGAGATTGAGCTGGGGCCAGCAACAGGCTGGTTTGAGCAGTGGGCTTCCTCCTTTTTGGGTTCCCTACTGTATCCACACTTGCACTTCATGTTTGAAAGGATTCAGCGTTAGTCTCGTTTGGGTTTGGATCTTGCCCCCTGGGCTACTTCAAAGCCCACCTCTGAGCCTCAAAGGCAGGCCAGGGGACCCTGCAGGTCGCCGACAAGCAGGGCTACAAGCTTGTTCTGCCCAGCGCGAAGAAATTAAACGCCGACTGCTGCATATGCGCTGAGTCCCGTTGTGAGCCTTTATAAGGACCATGCAGCCAGGATTGAAGGTTGGGCTTGGCCTCCTCCTCCAAACCTCTTGGAGGCAGGCTTGAGCAGATTCCCCAGCACAACAATATAACCCTGCGAGTAACAAAACATCTCACGAATATGGCGCACGAACAGACCTCTTACCGTGCCTGGCGGATCACCCAGCCCGGCAATATTAATGACAATCTCGAGCTCATCACCACGCCTCGTCCCTCCGCAGACTCCCTAGGGAAGAGGGAGCTCCTTGTCAAAGTCATCTCGGCCGGCATCAACAAAGCCGACTGGTGGCCAGTCGAGCTCGGCGGCGTCTCCCGAATCATGGGCTCCTACCCGAGATCACCAGGTCTGGACTTTAGTGGCCGCGTCGTCGCCGTCGGCCGCAAAGTCACCGACATCAGCCCGGGCGACAACGTGTTTGGCCGCATGAATCCCATAAAGCCCGGATCGCTCGCCGAGTATGTGGTGGCCTCCTACGACGGCGTCGCCGTGCTGCCGAACGGTGTCTCCCTGCGACAAGCTGGCGCCGCTGGTACGGCTTCTCTCGCCGCCTACCAGAGCATCGCGCCTTACATCGAGGCTGGGGACAAAATCTTCATCAATGGTGGATCTGGTGGTGTCGGCACGTTTGCAATCCAAGTGGCCAAGGCCCTCGGATGCCACGTTACCGTAACCTGTTCAACGAACAAGGTTGACTTGTGTCGGCATCTCGGCGCCGACGAAGTCATCGACTATAAGACGGTCGACGTGATGGACGCGCTGCGCCAGAAGGGCAGGGTGTTCGCCCACGTCGTGGACAACGTCGTTGGATCGCCGCATGACTTGTTCCACCCTGGCTGCAACGAGATCATGCTGCCTGGCCGGAAGCGGTGTTACGTCTCTGTTGGAGGCGGGATGAACGTGGACACCTGGGCCCATACAACTGTCGGCAACTCATTTCTGCCGTTCCTCGGTGGCTCGAAGCACAAGTGGAAGCCACTGCTGATGGAGAACTCGCACGAGGACCTCGCGCAGATAGCGCGGTGGATGGGCGAGGGCAAGTTGAAGACGGTCATTGATTCTACCTTTGCTTTCGAGGAGGTTTCGGAAGCCTTCAGCAGGCTGAAGAAGGGCTCCATGGCGGGCAAGGTGGTGGTCAACGTAGAGTCAGATGGAGCGGCAGGAGTAGAGAAGGAGTAGTGAGGTATAGAAAACAGCCCCAGATTTGTGATGAGTTGCAAGCCGTACACTTGAAAATTAGATGGAAGATGAAATCAGTAGACAAAATTGAACATTCAAACTCAACACCTTTACTTGAGTTGAAAATACATCCATCCAGTGTAGTTTATTTAGTCTTCTAACTCCCTCGTCTCGTAAAATCCGTGCAACAGTTCTGTTTGACCGGTTAAGAGATTGGCTGGATCAGCTTCTAGTAGTGACAAGAGAGAAAAACACCGCATCAACGATATTGCCTCTTTATGCCTCTCATCTAGAGTTGCCTTGGCCTCGTTGAACACGTTTAATCCAACCTGGAAAACCATGTGACTTGTGGTCCAGTTCATGGGGAAAATGCAAGATGCCTGTCTCTTACCAGGATCTGTAGAAAGAAACGCGGATACTTGCTGATCCCGGGCCATTTCAGCGCATGCCTTTGAGATGTTGTCACAAATATTCACTGGTCGACCGCCGGGTGTCGGCCAGAGCTGAGAAATCATGAAGAGCCCATGATAGTAGTTGAGTTCTCCCCACGAGGCCAGTCCATGCATTTCTTGGTTCTCATTCATCGACGCGAGAAGTTCTTTCCAACGCACGAACCACTCGTCAAGCCCATTTCGATACTCTTGACAGTCGGCATTTGCGTGGATTTGGCCTTGGTTTCTTAGAAGCGCACTATGAATTTGCAACTTCTGAAACGAAATAAGGTAGAAGAAAATGGAGATGCGCTCCTCAATTGTCTCTGAAGCGCTTCTAGTCAGTTCCTGGAAGTTGTTAGGTACGCTTCATTGCCGCATCGAGGGTTTACCCACATCACGAAGGTTGTCGCCGATAATCAGTAGCGTTGGCCTGCTGAAGGCAATGGAAACTTGGCTGGTAGGATTGTGAGACGAGTCCAGAATACGGTTGTATACCACACACCTCTCAAGACAATAAAGTGTCCGGGTAAGCGTACAAAACAAGCCGTGATCTTTGTCCGCATCCATAGACGGGCGATGCGATAAGTCGAAAAAGAGACGGATGGCAAATCCAAGATGCCTCCAGATGTCTCCCGAGTTTGGACTCAGCAGGAGATAGACACATATCAGCAGCGTTCTCTGGAGCAACAAGATATTCGCGGGTCTGGAGGAGTGGTCGCAGGTTGTATCAAGCCTCGTTGTGGCTTTGCGAAAGTATGAGTCGGCCCAAGAAGCCAACACAGGCTCATTCCTTTTTGCGACCAAAGAAGCAATAGCAAGGACTAAGTAAAAGAGTTCTTGGGAATGGCCGAATGCTGTTTCGTCATCCTTCTCGTAACAGCGAGATAGAATAGTCTTAAGCGAGGTTGCCTCTAAGATTGGAAAGAAAGAGTTGGCAGACCTAGAAAAAATATGAAAGAGACCCGATGCCACTGAAATAGGAGGTCGACCAATTTCTAGAATGAAACTCCTAATGTCAATAATCCCATTCCGGTTACAAGTCTGCCGTAAGCGCTGCGGTATGGTCCAGTTCGCTTTGCGCTTCATCAGAACTCTCAGACGCCCCAACGAACTCCACGGTCCGAAGAATGGAGTGTTTGTGGAAAGGCTCAGTTGATGCTGCGGCTGGTTTGGAGATTGAGCTCCAAGGAGTCCCAAGGGTACCAACATCACGCCTTCGGGGGGTATTGAAGGTGCAATGTGTTCATACATCGTAGGTTGTGACAAAGTGGACTGTTCGAGACTCTTGATTCTTTCAACAAGCGAGCATATGCGTCTGTTAAAACATGAATATTAATTCAGTCTCGATTAATTGGATTCTTTGGGTATACCTGAAGGGAACGTTTTCTGACAGGATCGGATCAAAGAAGACACATTCACGTGAGGTTCGATGACACTCCTGGCATGCCGGAAGTTGGCGACGGCATTTGATACGGCGGTCTCGGCAGAAACTGCAAGCAGGGAGAGTATCCAGGATCTTTTCGAGAACCATTCCAGAGTCGTTTGAGGGGAGATTTTCTCTAGGAGGTGACAAGTCTTGTTCCATCGGCATCGGCGCCTGCATGACAGGATTAGCCACAACTGCAGTCGATAACGAACCATGATCGTCCATGTCGAAATCCTCATTGATAAAGTCGCGCCACCAAGTTTCATCGTTGAGAAATCCGGGACTGATCTGAGCTGATGCTTCAGACCTGGGAGTACCGTTTGGGTCTAGGAGGAGTATGTTTCGATGATATATGCTGTGGATCCGACGCTGAGTAACCAAGCAATCCAGTTCCTCGAGCACATTCATGTCATATTCAGATCCATGATTCCCTATGGGATTTCGAAGGTTCGTTTCCACGAGCTCTTTGATGTAGTGGGCTGTGTCAGACAGCGCGGGCCACCTTCTAGACAGCGTAGCCTACAGTATGCCTTGAGCTTTGTTCGTGTTATCTGGCTAGTATATATGTACTCACAAAAAGTTGCACTAGCCCATCTAGGGCATTTTGAGAATCGCTGGCAAGAGATGCTTGTTGTACTTCGTTGGCATGGTTTCTCAACGCATACAACAAAACCATTCCCGCTTGAAAGGCGCTATTGGCTAGCTCAAAGACAATCACAAAGCCGCCGGCTATGGCAGACTCTAATGATGTATTTATGAGCTGGATGGACGCGGATACTGCTGCTGTGAGCGATGACTCTGACACTGCAATATTTCTAGAGCAGGGCCGGTGAAGTAAAACCTGGCATTGGTGAGCTGCAGATACAAGCCATGTTGTGGCAACGCCGTCCGCTTTGACATGCTGGACCAGGTTCAGGACAGCCTCTTCTGTTTGCTGAATCCATGACTCATAGTCAGAGATGTGGTCCGGTATAGGATGGTCGAAGAATTGAACCGCGTGGATTTGAGACTGAACCAAGCACATTTGCGTTTGAATCAAGAACTGCTTCTCCTTGTGTGCATGGGACATTCCGGGAATAGGTCTGTCCAGACGAGCACTCGCACGACCGCCATTGAAAGGCAGCTGTGTCGTAATATGCTCATCAGCGAGCGCGATAGGGCACCCCGCGGCGATTGCAACAGTTCGGTCTAGTTGATAAGTCTTCAGTGTGTTAGTAGGTTCATGCAACAACTCACACAGTGGCCACGTACCACCCAGAAAATACGCCTGCGTAACTCAACGTGAATAGAGCTTGAAACTATGGTCGAATCTGGCTCTTGGTGAAGTCCAAGGCCAACGGCCATACGCATGGCTTCGCCGCTCAAATACCACAGATTCCCGGTATGTGGAAACAGCAAGGCTAGCTGGATGAGGAGGAGGAGGCACTGCAGGGACGTGATTGATGCGTCGCTGAGGAAACCCATATGTCGCATTGCGTCAGCGTGTAACGATTCGGTTAATGCGGCAACTTTTCGAAAGTCATGGCGTTTGGAAGACAGAGAGCTAATAGCCAAAATGACAGTAATCACGAAGTGGGTAGTATTTGATCGTGTTTGATCGTCAGCAAAGCCATGGTAGAATTGGCTAAATTTATCGGTAAGATCAGCTTCAACGAAGCAAGGGAACCGTGGCAGGATATTATCCTTGTAGTTTTCGAACAGGCGTCTTGCCACGTCGAGGGGCATTTTCCCAGCATTAAAGTGCGAGAATTGGGTTGCGTACTCCTGTCCGGCAGATCTTGGGTGGGCATCATAATAGACGCCCTGGATGGGGATTTTGAGTGGGGGTCTCTCTGAGGGGTAGAAGAGTTTTGCGCGGTGCTGTAACACTGGTTGGGAGTAAAAGAGATTCGTGGTGAGGTGGTCGGTGATGGATGTTGCTACAATATCCAGCATTTCTTCGTGTTTGGGATTAGGGCTGCTAAGTCCGAGGTGTTGTTTGGCGTTTCCATGCTGGAGCTCCGCTAGACGCTGTTCAAGATACTGCACAGGACTTTTATTTGTCAGACGTTTGTGTGAAATGTTCGTCAAGTGGGAATGAATACCTTCGTGGGATTTCGCTCGACGTCTGGCGGTTGATTGCCGCACACTCGACTCCAGCTGCTACACAGCGGAGACATTTCGGGGTTCCTCTATCACACTTCAGAGGACAATAAGAGGTGTCGAACAAGAAAGGAGCTACTGGACTCGCATACCTTTTGTTTGAGTCTGTAACACCTGGCGCATGCCGGGGTCATGCGGTGTCTTTTGGCCCTGGAACTGGGCTCCATTGCTGTATAGGTGTGTCCACCATAACACCAGACGCTGACATAAAGCCTGTAGCTAGACCACGCAGCTGATGGTCCGAATCCGCTGAGCAGGGTTATGGAGATACGTCTGGCCAAGTTGAGTCGCGATGGGTGGAGTCGTGTTAGGTGGGGTGTAGAGTAGCACGTGATAGTTTGCCTACCCTATAGTTGGCGTATAAAGGCATGATTACTTGTTAATCAAGCTTTGACGAATCATTTCTGGAGTATTTCTATGTTAAATATTGGCTTAATCTAATGGTATTATAAGAATACAGAAAATTCATTCTATTCATGACAACGAGGGTCAAGACTGAGGGAACAGTCCCGGTGAGTATCCGCCACCTTCGAAGCACGCAAGATTTGCTGATAACCCTAGAGAGCAAAATTCTGGCCAAATCAAGACTTCTCCTCTGTAAGCAAAGCGAAAGAGGCTCGACAGAGCTCGCCAAGTTTACTCTCAACGAGCGGGTAGGTGTCTAACTGTACTGGGTTGAGACCGGAAGCGCGGATTTCCGAATGTCGCGGATTTCCGAGTGGGTCGCTGATTGCCTGTGTCCACTTCCAACTGAGCTAGACTGGGCTTCATACTGTCCATGGGCTACTCATGGCAGATCCGGACATTCGCTAGAGTCGGGTTTCGGCGAACTTATGTGGGTGAGCTAGCAAATGGGTTGTAAGAGTGGAGGTTTGTATCAACGAGACCCGCTGAAATACCGCCAATTGACCACTTGAGCGAACCGGCATTTGGCCATACTTATGGGCTAGGTCGTGTTTGAGCCAGTCCATCTCGATTAGTTGAGCAAGATAAAAGCCCGACCATGTCTTGCAGTTGGGGAGGGGGTTCAACTTAAGCCAGACAAATAGACTTCGCTCGACGACTTCAGAAGACATGTCATCAACCGTTGAGATAACCTTGCCCAACGGGCTCAAGTATGAGCAGCCCACAGGCCTATTCATTGATAACGCATTTGTCACTGGTTCAGGAGACAAGTTTTCTGTCATCAACCCCGCGTAAGTAATTGCCACACACGCACTATCCTCAATCTGTCTGAAATTAACACGCTGGGCTAGGAACGAGGAGGAAATCATTGTACTACAAGGCGCCTCAGAAGAGGACGTCAACACCGCCGTCTGTGCCGCCCGTAAAGCATTTGAAGGCGAGTGGTCGGATTTGCCTGCAGTCGAGCGTGGGAATTTCCTTTATAAGCTCTTCGAGTTGATTCATCGGGACCGAGAGCTCATTGCTAGCATAGATGCCTTTGACAATGGCAAGGTAAGCAAAATGGGAAAACCTCGTTCGTTTATCGTGCTGACTCTATGGAACTGAAAAGACGTATATCGAAGCACTTGAAATCGACATTAGTTCTTCTCAAAATGTGTTCAAGTATTTTGCTGGGGCTGCGGATAAGATCTGTGGCCGCACTATCGAGACATCTCCTGCAAAGCTAGCCTACGTCTTGCAAGAGCCCTTGGGGGTGTGCGGACAGATTATCCCATGGTGCGTAATTTTCTAGTTCGCAGAAGATCAAGTGGATACAAGAGCTGAATGTGATCTAGGAATTTTCCATTCATGATGCTGGCCTGGAAGGTTGCTCCGGCTCTTGCCTGTGGTAACACTGTTGTCCTCAAGCCTGCGGAGCAGACACCTCTGTCAGCTTTGTATTTTGGTAAGCTTGTGGCTGAGGCCGGATTACCCCCAGGGGTTGTGAATATCATCCCTGGGCTGGGACCTGTCGCAGGAAAGGTTCTCGCCGAACACCAAGACGTTGACAAGATCGCCTTTACTGGAAGCACGGCTACCGGCCGCGTGATTATGAAGTCTGCAGCCACTAACCTGAAAAACATCACGCTTGAATGTGGTGGCAAGAACCCAAGCATTGTGTTCGAAGATGCCGATTTCGAGCAGGCTGTCAAGTGGAGCCATTCCGGGATTATGGGGAATCAGGGCCAGGTGAGACATGTCGCTTTGAGACGCATTGTGAGAGAAGGAACTGACTTGAACCAACTAGGTCTGCAGTTCTCATCCAGGATCTATGTCCAAGAAGCCATCTACGACAAATTCCTTACGAGATTCGTCGAGGTGACCAAAGCACACCACAAGATTGGCGACCCCTTCCATAAGGAGACCTGGCAAGGCGCTCAAGTTTCGAAGGTCCAGTATGAGAAGATTCTGTCATACATTGACGAGGGAAAGAAGAGCGGAGCTAGGCTCTTGCATGGTGGTGCCAGGCACGGAGACAAAGGATACTTTATTGAGCCGACTGTCTTTGTAGACGCAAGTCTAACCAGTCCGTTGCACCTTGTTTGAGCAAGAAGCTAATTTTGAGTAGACCACGGAGGATATGACTATTGTCCGGGAAGAAATATTTGGCCCCGTCGTGACGATTTCCAAGTTCAGCACCCTTGAGGAGGTTGTTGCTAAAGCAAATGATTCCTCATACGGTCTGAGTGCAGCAGTCTTTACAGAAAAGATCAGCAAGGCGCACAAGGTCGCCCGAAAGCTCCAAGCTGGTATGGTTTTCATTAATTCTTCGGGAGATGCGCACTTTGGTATTCCCTTTGGAGGATGCAAGGCGTCGGGTATGGGCCGAGAGTTGGGTCAATATGCTCTGGATGCTTACACGCAATCCAAGGCTGTGCATGTGAACCTAGGAACTTATCTGTAAAATATTCAGGAGACAGTAAAATCTTTTATCACTAGTGAAGAAATGTCGAGTTTTAACATAAGTGTGGCTGCTTTCGAGATATTGACCTTCAAGTCAATGTACCTGACTTGACGCGATACACATCTGTTCGAGACAAACAAATCACCCTCTCCCAATTCACCTCACAAACGTATCGTAAAAATTTCGTAGCGAAGTGAATATCATTGAATTTAAGACGGTGCACCCGAAGTAGAGAAAAGGATATTGGTCCTATATTAAAGCCAAAAACCCGGATGGACATCCACCAGGCGCTGACCTTGCCAGAACCACCACCATGGTCTTGTCACGGGCGACAGGTACCATCGTCTTTTCTCTTTCATTTCTCTCCATAGATCTGGGTGTTAATGCCCATCCTTCAAACTCGACAATTATTTGACCCGACAAATCCTTGGCCGCAGCGCTGATGTTAATTTGTTCAGGGGACACATCTTCACCATCCACCGTGATTTGAACCATAGGCTCGACATCAGATGAACCAGCATCTGGTTCAATTCGGACCGTACCCTTGATGTCCACTCGAAGGAGGCGGGAATCATCAGCGTGTGTGTCTGCAGACCATTCAGCTTCTAGCAAAGGCCTCTTCGACCTGGCAAGGGCGTTATCGGGCCGCTGTTCAATGTTGTCCGACTGAAGTGCTGGTGTGTGTGCTGGAGCAACCCGCATCTTGGTCTTCTTTTCAAACGCATTTGCCCACTTTAGCAGATTAACGTCATCATATGCTCGCCCCGCGAAGGTGAGACCCATGGGCATCTGTTTATCCGGGATGATCCCCATCGGCACCGTTACCGAAGGGATACCCAAATGACGCAGTGCCCTATTTCCATTGCTGTAGAAGATGCCATTCCGCCATGCATAAGCAGCGCTGGTGTCGTCGACATCGGCATCTGCGGCGCCCACGTCGCCAGCTGCAGGGAAGACAAAGCCATGGCATTTAAAGTGGTCGAGATAGCCATCAACCAGTTGCTTTCGCATGCCCTCAAGAGCTTCAAGTGCAGGACCCAAGTCTTTTGTGTCGTAAATGGAAGATTCCTGAACGTACGCTGCAAGCTTGCCCCAGTGAATGGCATTGTTGGCCGGCAGGTGCTTGAGTTCAGCTGGCGTCCGCATATGATGGGGATAGATATTGAACTCGTCCACGCAGGTGAGGTCGGAAATGGAGCCGTCGTGATTATCACGTAGGAATTGATCCCAGCCGTGGGCAACCAACGGGCCTCTCTCCGTCCAGTTCCAGTTTTCCGGCAGCCGGGGTGAACCTTCAGGCAGGAGTTTGGGGTTTTCATAGGCCGTGACTGCAGGAAAGTCGGGAACGACGATGACTTCAGCGCCTAGCGACTCGAGTTGGCCTTTGGCTTGTTCCCAGAGTTTGATGACCTCTGAGCTCGTCGTGACCGGAGTGGCGCCCTCGGGAGAGGCTCCGCCAATGTACATGGCTGGAACTGCAAACCTCATGCCCTCGAGTGTTGTAGAGAGGGCCGCGTCGCGAAAGCATACATTTGGGGGAACTTGTTGCCATGGCTTTGGCAACGCGACAAAGCGCTGGTCTCGCCAAAAGTCGCCCTTCGTGGAAGAATCTTCGGCCGTGATGACTTCAAGCAGCACGAGCATGTCATCCATGGTGCGCGTATGCGGAACTACCACGTCGCAGGTTGGATAGAGCGGCCAATTGCCGCGGATGGAGATGCAACCCCTTGAGGGCGTGTAAGCCACGAGTGCGTTGTTCGACGCTGGGGAACGGCCCGACGAAACAGTTTCCTCGCCCATGCCGAATGCTGCGAAAGATGCGGCTGTCGAAACCGCAGATCCGTTTGAAGAGCCAGACACAAAGGCTGCGGCAAGATAGTCCAGGTTGTAGGGACTCTCGGCGCGCCCGTAGATGCCTCGTTGCATACCGCCATATGCCATTGGCGGCATGTTTGTCCGCCCTATCAACACGCCTCCTTCAGCTCGGATGGCGCTTACCGTGAACGCATCCTCAGTAGCGATCAGGTCTTTGAATGCCGGGGACCCGCTGGCCGCCGTCATGCCCTTCACTTTGTAACTGTCCTTGACGGTGTACGGGATGCCTTCTAGTCGCCGCACCGGCCGACCAGACGCACGATGGTCGTCGGATGTCGCAGCATCTTCAAACACACGGTTGTTAAGGATAGGCATGGAGTTCAGGGCAAGACCGCGACAATCATAGCGCGAGATACGGCGCAGGTATTGCGCAACGAGCTCCACGCTGGTCAGGGTGCCGGATGACAATGCCGCCTGAAGCTCATCAATTGATGCTTCAACGAGGTTGAGGGGAGCCATGTTCTGCGTTTCCTTTGTGAAAGAAGCTTGTGATTTCGAAGAATGATGAACAGCAAAGAGGTCTTAGATGCCGAACCTTGGATGTCTGGCTATCTCGAGCATTTACTTGTCTGCAAGTAAGAGGGTGTGTGTGTGGAGCAGCGCGCATATCCGATTGTCGCGGATTTCCGACCCTTGGCGTCCATGAGATCAGGTCAGTGGCATCCCCCGATCCCCCGGCTAGTGAAGATTGTGATTAGTGCGTCGAGGATAGGGTCCAGACTTAGAGGATGCCTCAATGGGAGTGCCCTGATGTCATTTACTACCTCTAAGGGCCGCTCATTCCCCGCGCTTGGTGGCCATAAGTATTTTCTTAAGCTGACTCGGTGGACGAATAAACTGGGGAAGAACCGCCAAAGCGGACTTGACATTTTGACCTCACACGTATCACTCGCCAACGTCGCATTCAGATACAGACACAATGAGATCCCAAGCTCTCCAACGCATCAGTCTTCGCTGGTTGCCCGACGCGGCATTCGAAGACACTGTAACCATCGCGCTCAATGTCGGAGGTTATTTCATCGACTTGCGAGTGACTACCGAAGGATCATCAATCCAATGGAGCCGGGCAGGTGAACGAATCATTTTAAAAGAAGAGCCATGTATGATATTTAACCTCTCACCCATCTTCATTCACGGTACTTGGGCGCCTTACTTACCACCTCAGCAGTAACATGTCGATGGACTCACATCATCGACTCTCTGGATCTTACGGTGCCAGACGAAGCCTACTTTGTCAAGCTGGAGAACGGCGATGATCTGGAAATAGGCTCCACGCCATGCCCCCACAAACACGGTGCCGTGACGGCCTACGAGGAAGTGTGGCGAGATATAACCGCCAACATGCAAGCGGGTGACCAGTCGTGGATTCTGCAAAGCAGTGATGGAACTACCTTTATTGGAAAGGTTGGTACTATTTACTTGGCTATTAAGAAGGATACGGATGGAACGTTTACGGCACGGAAGGAAGAGCTGAATGGAACATGGAGGGTCTCGTTTGAGTCTGAAGGACACGCCCTCCCGCAAGTATTGCAGGTTTTGAAGGAGTTCGAGGTTGAGGGCAGAGACTGGGCTGTTGGCCAGAAGGCTGTAATTGCTGGCATTGAGTACGAAGTAAGAGGATTTAGCACAAGCTGAAGCCATTGTGCACGCAGTATAGCAATAAAATACATGGCCATAGCCGTTTCGTACTCCTGTTCTACTGTAAACGATGATCAAGACCGGCTATGCGACAAGCATGACTCGTCGTTATCCCGTTGCCCGCAACGAGCCAACGTAACCGATCTAAACAATCCAAAGGCGCACATCTTGGGCCACCACGCGACACGAATTTCGAATGACTCGGTAAGTCACAGTACCTCCAACATTATCCCGCGTATTCGGCAATTGTGTGGATCAGCGGTGGCAAGCCAATCTCAACAGGCCGGAGAACCGCTAGCGTCGGATCACAGCGTTACAAGCCTTTCCCCACGGATACAGGCATGAGGCCTGGGAATCTACCATCTGGTATGCGGGGTGTGATGGAGCGAGTGGTGATCGAAAGGGCGGGGAACAGTTTAGAAGATGGGTCGACCATTTCTGTATCAAGACAAGTCCAATACAGCATCAGCGTTCTAGATTGTTTACTGATAGCACACAAGCTACCAAGCACCACCTTGATCCAGTGCCATGGGCAGGGGACGCTATAGACAGCCAAGGCGCCGTAGCTCAAGCCTGAAGCCCTGTCTCTCCACTCAGCTTTTCCTGGGGCAAGATAATGTATCGATACCTGGAGCGGAAATCCGCGCAGGCCGGCTTTTGGCGAGAGCGGGGCCGTTGTGATAGAGACAGAGCATGTTAATTGGCCCAAGACGTCAGTCTGCCCACCATGTTAAGCTGGATCAAGGATGGACTGAACCGATGATTGCGAGTCGCTAATGTTGCGCTGCTGCCACCCAACAAAGGGGCGTTGATAGGCAGGGAAAATCCAGGTCGTCGAGATATCCGGCACTGCACGATTGCAACCAGATGGGTGAGCGGAAATGAGCGACAGTGACCTCACAACGATATATAAACCTTCAACGACAAACCCGAATTTTCGTTGCTTGCGAACCATCAACCCACAAACACCTTTCACACAGAAACCGTCCAACCATGCATGCCTACGAATCCAATCCAGGGGAGAAGGCGCCGGAGAAGATTGAAGCGGGAGGCGATGGCTACATCAACCCGGACTTGGACTCCAAGACAGAAAGCGTGGAAGACAATGAAGTCTTTACGAGTCTCCCCGGCCAAACCGACTTTCGTACTCTTGGATGGTAAGGAGTGAATCTGCTTTTTGCAACTGGGTTCTCCCAGCCCTCATTTGAAGCACCTTTGCTAACGCTCAAGTTGCAACTCAGGGTTCGAGCGGCCATCATCCTCATGAAGCTCTGCTTTGCGACTGGTGTATTGGCAATTCCCTCGGCCTTTAGCGTTGTTGGGTATGGGCCAGGCATTATTCTCCTCGTCTGCTGGGGTTCAATGACAACGTGTAAGTATGCCCCGCGCCATTGATCATCTCACTGCAGTTGTTGACGTGTCTGTCAAGATTACGCCTACATCATGTACGTATTCCGCATGAAATACCGAGGTGTTCACAATATCGCGGACGCTGCTGCGGTAATGGGTGGCCCGATCGCCCGTGAAGTTGCGGGTGGTTTGTTTCTGCTCACTTGGATGTAAGTACATATTCCTACGATATCATCAATCTTAGAATCGCCATCTGACAAACGCCGTATAGTTTGGCCACCGGATCCGGCTTCATCGGGTTGGCGCAGGGCCTCAAAATCCTCGCCAACGGCAAGGTGTGCACCGTTGTCTGGACCATGATCGCCGCTCTCTGCACAGCATTGGTCGCCAGTATCCGAACGCTGGGCAAGCTGGCTATTTTAACGTGGATCGGCTTTGCATCTATCTTCACCGCCGTCTTCATTGTTGTGTAAGTTCCACTATTCCTCTTGATCCATTGACCAATTTCGTCCCCCCTCAAATGCTCATCATCGTATCAAATAGTGTTGGTGTCACCCAAGTCAACAGACCAGCCGCTGCTCCTCAAACTGGTCCCTTCGATCTTGGAGTAATTTCTGTTGGGACGCCTGGGTTCGTCGCCGGTTTGACTGCCGCGATCAACCTCTTTGGTCAGTTCTTAGTTATAATACCTAAGAGTGGAATTTGTGACTAACCATCTCTTGTACAGCTGGATTTGGTTCCACTCCTACCTTTATGCCAGTCATCGCTGAGATGAAGGTGCCGAAATCTTTCCCCAAGGCTCTATTCTCCTCCCAGGGAGCCTTGGCAGCCTGTTATATTGCCTTTGGAACCGTCGTATACATGTACGTAAACTCTCAACTGACTACTTGTCCGACTAGTTCACTGATAGATGATCTAAATAGCTATTGTGGAGAATATGTCGCCAGTCCGTCATTGGCGAGCGCTGGAGGCACAATCGAGAAAATCGCCTACGGAATTTCCGTTCCTGGTTTTATTATGACATCTACCTTATGGGTTCACCTTGCTGCAAAATTCGTAAGTATTGATTTAATGGATGAAGAAAAAATCGGGCTAACAATTGACAGCTTTTGGTTCGCATCCTTCGCGACTCGGAGCACCTCCAGAGCAATAGCTTTACTCACTGGGCAACCTGGTTGTAAGTACTCATGCACTACATGCCTCGATTTATTCGTGTGCTGATAAGATTTAGGGGCTCCACTATTGGCATCACCATCCTGTCTTTTGTAATTGCAGAAGCCGTCCCCTTCTTCAGCTATCTCATTGGTCTCATCGGCTCCCTCTGCTGCGCCCCGACATGCGTACGTATACCGCCCTTGTGTAACATGGATTTCTTGCTAATGTTGCCCAATTAGCTTGTCATTCCCGCTCTTATGGGTCTATACATGGACCAAGGTAGCCACAGATCCAGCAAGAGAATGATGGCAGTATGCGCTCTCCATTGCTTTACCATAGTCCTGGGGCTGTTCGTCACGATTGCTGGCACCTACACAACGATTCAAAGTATTATTAATGCTTATAACTCTGGTTCTGTCGGGGGCGCTTTTACCTGCGCGTAATAGCAGAATACACAGAGAATACACAGAGAGGAAACGCTGTCTAGGGTTCAACTTGAATATGTCTTGAAATACATTCAACATTATTTGCTTTAGACAATTAGTACAAATACACATCATCTACCAAAGGTTCTTCCTTGGCAATCAGTATTGGAGCAGCACGTCATATTGATAAAAGCCCACGACGGATCTAAGCTATAGAACCAAGTGGCAGGATAAGAGCGTATTAACTAGCAGAATTCGGTAGTTCAGCTCGGGTGTCGTAAGTAGCCGATGTCATAAATCGACTCCACCCACATGTCCAATACGAGGGCTCTGGGTTAAGTAATAAAGTACAGATACATTTGGAAAGTCAAAGAAATAATCTAAGCGAATTCCTAATTCGAGGTCGATTCGTCAGAGGTAATTCCGGTTCTGTCCCTGTGCTCAGGACGTCAGCTGTGAAAACCCAACTATCGTAAGCAGGGCGAGTCCCAACGGCCTTGTCAATGTTCTCTGCCATACTTTAGAACTATCAGGGCCATGGGCTCACAATTTAGAAGAATTGCGCTCGCTTGCTCCACAGTCGACTTGGAAATTTGGAGCTGAGCAGAGCCTGATCAGACTGAGTTGAGCCATTTGGGGCGATGACCTGCAGCAAAGCTCTTTGGGGCTGAAGGGGCTGAAGGATGGCTGAGCTTGCATATGCAGCAATGATCCGATGCCCAACTAAAGGTTACACAAAGACCGGAAAGGCGACTGGTTGCCTTGTGAGGGGAAGCTCGCCTCGTTTTCTCGCCGCCCGACACCGCCATTTCTCTCCTTTTGCTGACATTACGGGCATGGCTTTTTGTTGCCCTTATTCCATCAATCCTAGATCTATCGATTAAGACGTCTACAGACCGGAGACGGCCACACATCAATCCCATCATTGGCCTCAAGCACCATGGCCACGGGACTCGAAGCTCTCGGTGCCGCCAGCGCTGTCCTTCAAGTCATCTCCTTCTCCTGTAACGTCGTTTCTCTCTGCCACGGCATTTACGACGGCAAACCCACAGTCGAACATGACCTTGAAGTCTACGCATCCCGGATGATCGAGGCGGCCGGCCGCGTTCAGACTCGCTGCCAGGCGATGCCACAGATGACAGACGCCGAGAAGAAACTGGCAGAAATAGGTCGCAAGTGTCAAGAAGCTGCACAAGACCTAGAAAAAGAGACTCAGGCTGTGACCCAGCTGTGCCAAAAGGGCACGCTTTACAAGGCGGCTTGGGCAACGTTTCGGTCGAGCAAGCATAGGAAGAATATCGAGAGACTGCAAAAGCCCCTCGAAGGGTACAGACGGGTGATGGAGACGCAGCTGATGCTGCAACTTTGGTGAGTTCATATCCTAGATATTGTGCAATCTCACCAGCCTTGAAAGAGCAGGCGGACTTTCAATGGCGATAAAATAAGCTTAGTCACTGCCACAGCTAACTTACAGATCGTAGTACGAGTAGCGATGCCATCGAACTGAAACAGGGCCAAGAATTCCGAAATCTTTCCGACGATGTACAAGCCCTTGTCTCACAAATAGCGATCGGCCACACAAAGATCGAGGATCTCGTCAATATCGAACACAGCGCGACCCGCGATCTTGTCATCAGGGAAGCAGAAAGAACGCGGGGAGAAGTCAACACGGAAATGCGGGCTCTCGGCGCGAGAGCAGCTACAGATTCCCAACGTGAAGGTCTCCTCAAAAGCCTCAAGGTCGACGTAATGAACCAACGATACAACGATGTCATGGATTCGAACCGTTCCACCTTTGAGCGAGTATTCCTTTCATTTGATCACATGAGTCATCAAGACGATCCCGACGACGGACAATCTCTGGACGTCGATGCTGTAGATGAGAGCGACAGTTCATCTTACACCGAGTCCGATCGGTCACAAGATTCCGAAGATGTGACGACAGAGATCGATGAGAAATGGTGTGGTTTCATTTCGTGGCTTCAGTCGGACAAAGACAAGATATTCTGGATTCGGGGAAAACCAGGGTCAGGCAAAAGCACCTTGATGAAGTTCATGATAGACAACGATAACACCAAGCGGTTACTAGACCGTTGGAGGCCGGGCACCAAAATCTTGAGTCACTTTTTTTGGAAGATTGGATCTCAGCCCCAAAACAGCATCAAGGGTCTGCTATGCTCGTTAACTTACTGCATTTTGAGTGGGTGTAATCGCAAAGTCGATCAAGTCCTGGACCGTTTTGATAATGCATTGTCAAAGGATTCGTATCACGACTGGTCATCTGCAGAACTGGAGAAAATTCTATTTTCCTTGTTGGAAGAGGACGACTACCCGGTTTGCATCTTCATCGATGGCCTCGACGAGATATCAGATAAAGATGGATACTTCAAGCTTCAGGGCCTCGTCGAAAGGTTAAACACGTGAAACAATACCAAGGTCTGCGTTTCCAGTCGACCAGAAACCCAACTCGTGGAAAGATTCGAGACGTTAGGGGCGACGAGTATTCGACTAGAAGATCTCACCAGACCCGAGATGAGGACCTACGTGAACAAGCAACTCCAACCATTCAGTTCAGACGGACGAATATCCGCCCGGACCCTATGGAGGCTCACAGATGGGCTTCTTCGCAAAGCTCAAGGGGTTTTTCTCTGGCTTTTTCTTGCCACCAGGAGCCTTGTCAACGGAATCCACAACCGTGATGACGAGGACACTCTGCTCCAAAGGCTAGAACAGCTTCCTGGAGAGTTAGAGAACCTTTATGCAGACATGTGGAGGAGACTTAATGGTGACAACTCGGTCTACCGTGAGACCGCAGGGAGGTACTTGCGCTACGCTGTGACAGGAACGTCCTCCATAAGGGTAACGCTGGGACCGAGGCTTCAGCGCTGGTTGTTCATTCAGAGACCTACTTTACTGGAGGTAACCCTTGCTGAAAAACCTAATGACGGAGAACTTCTGGCGTCCGAGGCCAACGGCGGAAGCTTTGATGATTTGATGCTGTTGGCCCATAAGACAGCTGGCAATATTCACACCCGATGCGCTGGACTTCTACAGCTTTCAAAATCCAGATACAGGGAAGGCGATGAATTATCAGAAAACGATGGAATTAACACCCTTATGCAGCAAATGGACTTTATTCACCGCACGGCTCACGACTTCCTTGTGGAGACGCAGGCTGGCCAGAGTATCTTGAACTACAAGCACGTTCCATCGCTGTCGGTCAATTCGGATGTCACCCTGGTAAAGGCCATGCTGTGCACATTAAGGATACTTCGCAGAGAGCTTGACTCTTTCATAGTCAATGCGCGCGATGTCATTTCTTCCATCGCACGGGCAGCACGCAAGGGTGGAGATATCAAATCGGAGATCACGAGCATGCTCTTGACCGCACATAAGCTTTAGGGAGCCGTGTGCTCTTTTTCATTCCTGAATGGCTCATTCGGCCGCCGTTCGTCTGTCTATTAACACACCATTCCCCGCTCTTTGATGACTGGGTCATATCTTCCCTCGAGCGGGCAGACTCAACCGTCATCGACAAGAGCCTCCATGGGATTGTTATCGAGTGGGGCTACTTCTGGTATCTTTCCAGCTTGCCAAGAGTCCCACGATGCCCAACAAGAGTGATCCAGGGGCTGATATTGATGGGCGCAAACCCCCACGCAATCACCTTGTGGCCAGTTCAGGATGGTGACAAAGAATGGAACTTTGCCCAACCAGTTACTGCCTATGGACTGTTTTTGACGTTTGTGATGAATCGCTTCTGGGAAGCACCCGACGCGTCAGGGCTAGTGGACGTCACAGACACCATGGCACAAACATGTACGAATTGGCAAACTAGAATACTTCTCAGAGGCAAGTGGCCAAGTTCAGCGCACGGGTTCATATTACGACCGTGGGGCCGTAAAGGCTTTAAGGGAGATGTCGATTTGTTTTGCGAGGTTGATTTATAGTTTTTACTGTTGCAGTTCTTGGCTGCAGTAGAACCAATTCATCCGGTACCCCAGGAATCCAGGCTCGGCAAGCTCTCCAAAACTCTCACAAAGCCCGTTGCAATTATCCGATTCATTATCCAGGACAACGAATGGTACCGAGTCCTCAATCAACAACCATTCCAGGACGTCCTCCGTTTCTTACTGGATCCTACGACCTATGATCACGTCGGTCTGCAGGACCTCATTGACGCTCCAGCATGTACGAAAAAGGTTGACCTCAAAACCGAGCTCGGTATACTGGCTGAGAAAGGACAAGGGTTCATCAAGGTCTCTGGTGATAAAATATTTCTCCCTGCACGCTTGGAGGATACAGAGCGACTTTCGGAAAGCGGCTGTTGAAGATGGATGTTGTCCATAATTCTAAGTAGATTACACATTTCTAGCAACTTGCTACCATTTTCCCCTGTCTCCTAGCCCCGAAAATTGAGGATAACGCACCGATACGGAATCTATTGTCCCGATTTCGAATGATAAGCAACACCTGACAACCCGAATGCATCACGAGCATCGAACTCTTTGACAATGCATCGTGCCTGATGGAATGTGTTTGAAGATGACCCAGTATTACGAAACCTCTACATCATGACCTTAGTTAAAGGGGCTGTTAGAAACCCCGTCTCTGACCGGCCCCGTCCGTCCGAGCCTAAGTAATCATCAACGGCATCGCTTTGAATGCTATTGCCCGGAATCATGTGTAATTCAGGAGTATTTGTAAGAGAAGAGGCGGAGTCGTCGCCCCGAGACACCAAGTTGCCTAAATGATCGAACTAAGGCCACGGAGAGTGTTCGGATCCGAAGAGACTGAAGCTGTTTCCGAAATCGTCAGTGGGATTCGTCGAAAAAGGGTTGGCTGGGGGGAGGTATGGTGTGGGCGGGCCAATATGCATTGGCCATTCATCTAGACCAAAAAACCTCGTGGTAGACCACTCGTATAATGGCTGGGTGCCGCAATGGACTTGATCCCCAGCCAACGGTTGAGAGTGGGATGGATTTGAAGGGACTGCGGGAATGTTGGGAGGTGCATGTCCTGACTGGAGGCCTCTGGATGGGCGAGTGAGGGAGGCTTGATCCCCAAGAAGGCTCATGCCTACGTGTTGGGGCCCACGGGAAGGAACTTGGAATGAAATGGAGACCACCTCAGCGACAAATGTCGCGATATCTTGGGGGCTCGGCTGGGCGCCGAGCTCTTCCAGCAGCCGGGGCATTTCCGCATGCAACGCAGGCTCATTATTGCGACGAAGCACACCTGCAGGTTCGGCCATGCCTTGCTCAACATACGGGGAATGGGGTCGAGGACGGCCGGGAAAGATCATGTCCCACATAGAAAACCACTTATCCTCGTCGGCGCTACCGCGTCGGCTTTTGAGCATGTCCTTAAGCTGGTCTACTTTATCGTCGTAGAGCTGTTCGGGTGGCGGGAGGTTTGGGGAGCTGCAGTCGCGGATATGGGCGTCCTGCGCCGTCTTGGTTTTCTGCTTGTGCCAGCATTTTGGGCAGTAAAATCGAGGGAGGCGATGATACCGCTCCAGGTGCTGCATGATGTCGGCGAATCGCCTCAGTTTATATTTGCCGAGACAGTGGAAGTGATTGTGCTGGTCGGAAGCGTAGTAGAGACAAGCCCAAAAGCGAGTGTTTTCCTCGGCAGCGTCGTTGTTGGACTGGCCGCGTTCGTCGCTGGATCCTTCGTCATCGCTGTCGCCGGGATTGTTGTCTTTGTTGTTCCCAGTGGAAACTCGTCGTCTCTTTCTATTGCCCTTTCTACTCTCCTTCGACACGCCCGCTTTTTTCCGGCGCAATGGATCTCTCTGGCCAGTCTGAGGGGAGGGTGTGCACTGGGCCCTGGAGCAGATGTTGGCCATAGGCGGGATTGCGTGGCTCTTTACTGTTTTCCATGGCAATAGGGCACGAACACAACTAAGGTGGCCTCGTCCATAAAATGGTAGTCCGCGTTGTGCTTTTTGCAGATGCGATATAGCATCTTCGACAGAATGCAGGCCGTGAGGCAGTAGGCAATCTCGGGACTTGTCGGGGCTAGAGAGATAGAAGGGACAGGCTAGGTGAAAGTATCCCGTTTTGGCGGATACAGTAACGAGTTCAGAATCCCTCGTTTCCTTCTCCTCCTCGGCGAGTGCCAAGCGGAGAGGCCGATCCGCTGTCTTGATACGCTTGCGAGGCAGCAGTCTGTCTTCTGGTGGTGCAGCATATCTTGCCGATGCCATCCACGTCAGGAATTTGTCGTGTGTGAACTGCCGCAGATCTGCAGGCAGAAATTGAAATGGATCATACTGATCCAGAGTGTGCTCTTCCGTAGTTCCATCGCTGTCCCGTGAATCGCCATGGCGGTCTAATTCCGAGTCTTGGTCACTATTGTTGGCGGATGGAATTTCGTTCTTTGCAATTTCTGAGGAAGGCGACACGATATTGCCAGGTTTGTCGAGGCCGTAGTTGAAGAGGCGCGGTACGCGCTCCCGACAGGTTTCGGCGTCTGTTTTGCGCTCCGCTGAAGCGCTCGTTTTTGTTCCGGCTGGGCTTGGACCTGGTGAAACATCGTAAAAGCCGTCATCTGACAAACTCTCAATGGAATATTCCAATGCCGGCGTCGGACTTTGTGGGAGCTGGCAGACTTCATACTCCGTCTCGTCGTCGGGGTTGGATTGTTGTTGACATGTTGTGTCAATTGAACTTGTTTCTTGCCCTGCAGCACATATGTTACCTGCCACACCGCTGTTTGACTGACAAGCTCCTCTATAGCTCGTGGTAGTCTGCGGCAGGACATGTCGAGTATGGGGCATCTTGTCCTGATCGGCAATATTACGACGCTGGCAGCTCCAATACTGCTCGCGCCGAAATGCAAGGTAGTTTCGTTTCGGTTAGAATAGGTAGGTAGATACTCGAGCATTCATATTGAGGGACACATTGCCGTGGTAGTGGGGGGTTCTTATTTGTTATATCTGGCTTTTACCATGCGGTGAAGGGCTGCGGCCAACCAGGCGCCACGACACAATTGTGTTGATCTGCAGCTAATTAAGCCCGTGGCATGACTAAATAAGGCATAGACTACGTATGTATGTACAAGGCACATGCACATTGTGCAGCACACTCCAGCCCACCACGCATAACTTCATTCCTTGAATGCGTTTTGACCGTTCATTAGCACTTTGGAGCTGCAGCCTGCGGAACAATATCCGTCTCCTCCCTTCTCAAGAAAATGCCATTCCTCCTGCAACCACGTCATTTGCGACCTATTTGTCGTATCATGGGCGTGAATTCATATTCACCGATGCCGGTGTAGGCTGCTGCTGCGTTCGAAAACTTTTAGTTCGCTCGCCATACCTATTTCTACCTAGTTTGACCCAGGCGGCTCTGCGTCAGCTCCCCTACACAATTGTGACAATAGTCTTACAAGTATTTTCCAGTGAACCGACTTCTACATTATCATCCGTGGAAGCTGTGTCGCTATCTTGGCCATCAGCCCTTTCTTTCCAAGCAGCCTTTAATTGGCTCCATTGGCCACCTCTCCACAACCCTCCGGATTGGATTAGCCTATTATCCTAGTACCTCTTTATCTGGCCGCAATATATTTGAACTGGGTCCAATAATAGGAACCAACTTCCTCACCTGCAAACTCTCTCTCACTGGTCCGCCGATTCGTAGAGCAGTAAAAGTTTGTCACCTAACCATCACCCATTAAGCAGAGAGGGATAATATTCGCAGCGCATTAAATGCATGCTCTGAAAAGACAGTCACCTCGCAATAGGAGAAGGTCGATGCGGCCGCCTCCTCTCACCCTCGCGGAAGTTCCAGGGTAAGCGGTAGATCTGCTGTGCGGAGGCGTGATACTGCGCCAGAATCCATAAATGACTTGCTAGTGGAGCCAGTTGCTTCGGCTAGCTCCGCAGGGATCTCTCTCAGGTTTGAGAGGATCCGTTTAGAAAGGCACCAATGATACTGTCAGCAATGGAGGCGGCCCAAAGAGCAGACTGCCCAGATTTTAATGTATACAAGGTTAGCTATCAGCCCGCTGTCCTGCTCCGTCAATGCCCTTACCCTTGGTAGCTACTCATCATCCTTCCCTACATAACATTCTACATCCTCAAACCCCGGAACAGTGATTGCTTCAAAGTTCTTGGCATCCTTGCCCACTGGAATATCTACAATCTTCAAAACTTCGAAATCATCCAGCACAATCTCGCTCTTCGTGTCTGCCCGTGGCGCATCCGCAGACGCCGTCTCGCCCCCCGCATACGGCTTGTGCGTGACGGTCCCACGATACCGGACCTCGTTCAGCCGATACGCAAAGACGAAATCGGACGACTTGTCGAAATCCTCGGCATCCAGCTTCTTCTCTTCCATCTTCACCTGGGTGCCCGCTGTTACAGACTGATCCGGCGCGCTGGTTTGTCCGCCCGCTTCCACGCTGGTTGAAGTCTGGTCCTTCCGTCGCATGCGTGCTCCCTTGGCCACTCGCACGCCCGTCACCATGTAGGCGCGCGTCTTGAAGAGGAAGCCCTTGAGGGTGGCAGGGACATCGCCATGTCGCATCGCAGCCGTGACATAGGCCAGTGTCGGCGACGTTGTATAGCTCTCGAGCGTCTCGAAGTGCCAGACGTAGTCGTGCGATCGTTGCGTAGCCGCGCTGGTCTTGAAGTACGCCGGTAGGTAGCCGAGCTTGGCCCACGCGCTGAACTGGCTTCTTATCTCGTCGTTGGTCTGCATGTTGAGGTTCTCGCGCGTGACGTGCTCGACCTTCATGCCCTCGTGTAAGTTCAGGGGTCCCGTCGGCTGCAGAACGTACGCGGGATCCTTGGGTTTGGCTAGGATTTGGCCCAGCTGCAACGTGCCGTCCGGCGCAAAGTCGCAGGCTTTTGTGAAGATCCAACGCTTGTATTCTCTAGCCATCTTCTTGGTACGTCTCACGCGTGGTATGGGTGTAAATGATAGTCCTTTGTACGCGCAGGCTTGGGCCTCTAGGCAAGACTTGTTCAAGAGAGAAATAGAAACATCAACAACCATTATTCGCCCGAGACTTCAGCCTTTAAGACTCGATTGTGCTGTACGAGCAAGGTTGACTGAAGGTGGGCTTTCATGCAGCTATTACTCAGCTCCTCCACCGCATGCATCTACATAGCCACCGCCATGATTTTGTGGCATTTCATGATTGGACAACGAAAGCAAGCGTCTCCTGCACGTCGTTCATAACCAATCGGGCTGCGTGGTTCAGGTTGGCAATGTAACATCGCTTGCTTGCTGCATAGTATGCCTGCTTCTTCTCTTCTTCTGTTCATCTCTGCCAGCGCGTAGCAGGTGAGAGGCTGAGCTCAGTCGCGCATCAAGTCCTGAATTCAGCCTCATCCCCAGTGGTGCTTAAACTTGAGAGCTTCCTCAATCCGGACTGCGATGGTATGTTCCGGCTCTGTCAACAACTTCCACGGCCTCAGAAAGTTGTATTTCTCATCCTTGTATTCGTCCGTCAAGCACCTCCTGAGCACACTCCGCATCCCCAACGTCTCCCAGAGTTCAGCCTTGCGTGCATTCCAGCCGTGCTGATTTCTGAGTTCCGGTATGTCTTTCTTGGAGAAATCCAGTATGAGAGCAGCGACTCCGGCCACGATGGGTGTCGCACAGGATGTTCCGCTCATTCGCTTCCACGGCCCACTCCTCGACGTTGGCCATGCAGCGAGGACGTTCTCGCCAATTGCGCTGATATTCGGCCATCCGGGAATCCCACGAGGGCTGAAACTCGATTTCTCGTCTTGGACGGTCGACGAGTTGACACAGATGACCCGGTCATTCACCCTGGCTGGGTACCCAATCGGCTGGTGCTGTAGTGCCCTGTTGTTTGATGCCGCCGCGAACATAAGGACGGGCTTCAATGACTTTTTCTTTGCGTTGTACAATGCGTCTTTGATTGCTAGCTCTTCTTCCTCAAAAGCAAAAGACATAGAGATGATGTCCACATCTAATGTCTCAATAGCGTAATAGATGGCCTGCGAGGTAATTATCAGCATGTATCCTGCATCGAAAGACGAGTACTCAAGAGACTGATGTACTTCTTTTACCAATGCTGGCGTTGTGTCCTCTCGTTTGCTCGACCTAAAGACTCTCAAAGGATAGACTCTCGCATAAGAAGCAGTCTTGAAAACCAGGTCGCAGCAGTGTGTCCCATGTCCATCGAGGTCGGTCATCAGCTGGCCACGATTGACAAAGTCATATCCGGCATCTAGCTGGCCATTTTCCACAAACTCCTTGAACGCTTCGTGCGTCAGATCTACGCCTGTGTCTAGGACAGCAACCTTTACGAGGTCCTCGACCTCGTCTTCGCTCAGCTCATCCATTCGATCTCGGTTGAGGTTCGTGTGCACATCTTTGAGCTTCTCAAACCATTGATCGGTCGATATAGATCTGGACTGGATTAGTAAACTCGGGTTAAAAAGAATCTACGTTAGTAGCTTGGCCTACATTTCTCCCACGGCGAGATCGCACGTCCCGCCATCGAAAACGAGTCCAGGGATGTTGTGTCCCTGGCGCGGATGCTGAAACCTAGGTTGTTGTTCTACCTTCTCCTCTTCCAAAGTCTCCAGACTGGCTGGCAAAATATTCCGCCCCCCATAGTTGCTCGTTGATGGCGGTGGACGAGGAGGAGGAGCGGCAGCCATTGTTATAATCTTGGAGATCCCGGAGTCGTCCAGCTTGCGAGATGCTCGCCAGTTGATCTCATCCCACGACCAGTACGCGCCCAGGACCAGGTCCTCTTCAAGCGGTCGGATAATGTTATTGTAATAAGACTCGATGAATTTCGTGTCATCTTGTATAAGACCAACGGGAGATCGTCGTATATTCTTTTGAAACGAGGTTCTTTCAATGCAAAACCTAATCGATCTCAGGACTCCGGCACCAAGAGGCAGTCGTTTCTCACATTCTTTGAGCAGTCTCTTGGCCACAAGTCCCTGCCTCGTGATCCCGCTTTTTGGGCCCATGTCCTTGTATATCCCGTGAAGGTCATCTCCAAGCTCGATTTCTGCCATGAGGACCCCAAGAGCTTGGATTGCGGGAAAGGGATGTGGAAGTCGTTGTTTTCGTAAGGATTGCGGGTCAATGTCATGGCCAAAACGGGTGGAGATGAATATCTTGTCAAACTGGGGCTGGGGTGTACCGTTTTCTATTCTGCAAAACACTGAGACGTTCTGCAGAGATAGGCAAGGCGTCACCCAAGGCCCGTCCAGTAAAAGCAGTAGGGATCTAGCGAGGATCATATCCATCACTCGTTTTGCGGCATAGGTGGGCTCCAGGGAATGAAAGAGATCTTCAAGTGACAGCAGCTTGAATTCGGCCTCGCTTTGAAGATCAGTCTGGATCTTGAGCTGTACATCAAGGGCCTCGGATGGGTAGGCCCAGAGTTGCCCCGTGTTATCGGAGCCTAGGTATAAGCAGTAATCCTGCCAGTCGTCGTAGATCAACAGACACGCGGCTTCTTCGTCATCTAGTTCGAAATCACGACTGAAAAATTTGGGTTAGTGGATGAAATTCAAGAGTTATCATCAGGCGGATGTCATGTTACGTACTCAGATGTATGGGAGAGGTGAACCTTGCACTCTTGGCTAATTTCTGAGCCCTTGAGGATAAGGAAGAATGAGTTTTCCTGGTTACCATGCGTGATCCACTGCGGCTCCAGCTGTAGTTCAGCTTCCATGCATTCCCCAAGAGCACCATCATGGTCATGATCATCTGATTGGCAAGGCCAGCATCGATGTAATGTTTGATGCAGGTTCTCAGCTCCCGTACGAATGCTGACGGATCCTTGGAAAGCTGTCATATCGATCTGTGGCTTTGGATGTTTCCTAGATTTTGCGTTGCCATCCATTTCAGCGGCATCTGGGTCGTCTGGTACCAGATCTTCGACGAGGTTGTTCCATGTTCGCAGTAATGACAACAGTTCTGGTAACACCTTGGCCGCATCCTCTCGGATGGCGACTTCTGCTCTAAAGCCCATCGGTGGTTTTCCGAGGACATATGCGAACTTCCACAATTTCGATGTCGGAAGGGAATCTGTGCTGGTTTCATGTTGGATGTCGTCAGTCAGGCTGCCAGTATACCTCTCTTCGAGCATCTGCTCTAGAGCCTGTGCTATGCGATCATGGCAGCGCGCGAGTCCGGTAGAGAGAGACAGCAAAGGCAGAAACGTATCCTTTTCCAGCCATATCTGGGCCAAATATCTCTTCAATCTCCTTAGCTCGGCTGGAGTGACGCTGTGGCATAGAGATTCCACTCGGCTTGAAGACGGGGAGATCAGGAGCTGCGCGAATGCGTGTGCCACAGTGCTGACGGCTTCAACTTGATGGCCTGTTGGTTGAGAAGTCATTCTGAGGATGGAAAATTTGATGGATGTCTTTTAATCTTTCTTTTGCGTCCCTTTTTCCACTTCCAACCCATGAACGACATGGAGGACGTTGCCCGTAAGCAGTGAGAAAGGAGGCTGCGAAGAAGTTCAGCTGAGCACTTTCGCGAACCAGGCGGGGACACAACATGACTAATCGCAAATGTGCCAAATGATAGGATACGGCTGGATGTCCTGGTACATCACCATTAACATCCAACAAACGCTGTCGGGCATTTGCTACGATAACCGCGGAGACTAGATTTTATGTGGGTGCCGTTTTGGCGCTTACTCTGCTGAAATTAATCATTTACAGTTGATGTAAACAGACGGGAGATATAGTTGGAAAGTTCCGCGCGAAAAAGGTTACATCTACACTAAGCTTCCCACGGATTGGCGTGATGGTACCGAACCCATAAGGCTCATCCGGCACAATATCACACCTTGTATGATCTTATCCAAGACAAGGTTGTGAATTCAAGACCCTCAAAAACGAGTTTAATACTGAGACGACGGTAAGTATCTGCCATCTACGTGTAGCAGTTCCAAGCTGCTTATTGCTTGTTGGTGTTGTAGTTTATGTACTGGTACGGGACCTTTGATTGCTTGGTCATCATCCACCCCCTCACCTCCATCAGATTCAGCCGCTCAGGCTGCAGGTAATTCGTGAGGTATATTCAATCGGAATCCTGGACGGGCTTCTCTCTGTAGTTAGCCATATCTTCTTAGATGTGAGTACTTCAGCGGTTCAGATCAGCTGACACAGCCGTGTTCGACACTAATTATGGCAGTGGCCGTGATGTCTATCTCAGCCTTATCAAAGCAGTGTTCTGAACTCTTCCACCGATGTCTTGCTTCGTCTGCATCTAATCACGAAGAACTGGCAGTGACGGAGAACCAAATTTTCAGATTCAATCTGTGGGTGCAGAACAATGCTGCCATCTCTGAGAAGCGTGATTCAATGGACTGGCGTCTGAGGAAGGCCTCGGTGCCGCACTCTGTAATGCGGGACTTGCTCGAGGACCTGGCAGAGTCTATAAAGAGTATGTCATCGACCCCGCGCCAACTATGTACTCGTCTCATGGCCTGCAGGAAGTTTTCTTTCTGTCGAGAGCTCTCGCCAGCCTGGTCTCGGTGACGACACGCTAGACAGTATTGACGGCATCCTAGACGAGCTCTTTCGATTCTCACGAGCGATCCGTCGATCAGGTGCGATGCGGAGATTCGTCAAGGTTGCCAACTATTTCGAGTACGACGAGGAAACGGGAGAAAACCTTACCATCAAGTTCCAGGACACGATATTGCCTTACTTGAACGCCACGCTGAAGCAAACAAGCGAGGGACTGAGACAGCGATTGCACGAAACTATCTGCTTGAGACATCAGAATTTCTCATTTCTCAAGTCAAGGTCAGGCAGGAAGGTCGTGACCAGACTTGTGAAGGAACCCGAACTGGAGTCGACACCTTCGGGCCCTCAAGCGTCATCCAGACTTGGAAGCACCTACAGTGTTCGGACGCGACAGACTTCCCAGAAAGTATCACAGTCAGGCCAAGTGCGCAGGAATAGGCCAAGAACAGCTCCTTCATTCCGGAGCGCCACCACTGTGAACACGAACCAGCTGCCACTAGTAGAGCCGATTCCAGAACGAGAAGCTGTCGAGTACACAGGAGTGGACCTACCGCGCCGTCCAAAAGTGACGCCTGGTATGACTGAGCTTGAATGCCCATATTGCTTTCTAGTATATCCAGCGAAGGAGTTTACAAAGGAGAATTGGCCGTAAGTGCCTATGTTTTCGCCCGAGCGTTGCGAATTGACTAACCAACCTTAGCCGACATATTGTTCGGGATTTGATGCCCTTTATCTGTGTTTTAGAGCCATGTCCAACACCAAATGCAATGTTCGACTCACACGGGGCGTGGATCTCGCACATGGAAAAAGAGCATGCGCGAGAAGGTTGGACTTGCATGGACAGTAACCACAGCCCAACTCAGTACTTTGAACACGAGCAACTTTTCAGACGCCACATGATCGAAAAGCATGACAACGACTTTACGATCGATGAACTTGATGACATAGTGGATGAACTTTTTGGGCCTCTTCCAGCCTTCCAGCTGCTCGAGACTTGCCCATTCTGCGAGCACTACGATCCCGAGGACGAGTCTGCAGATATCGACCAGCATATTGCTCTTCACCTCCTGTTCCTTTCCCAAGTGTCACTCCCAGGAGACTTCTTGGAAACAAAGGACGCTGAATTTGAGTCAGAGTCCGAGAAATCAAGCAGCAGCAATCGTTTGGAGGGGAGCCGACGGTCTCCTGAAATCTTATCACTCAGTACCGTTTCTAGCTTCCGAACCGTTAAAACAGGAAGCACTGGAGCTTCGGTCTCTAATACTAAATTACTGGAGAACGTCGAGGATGCCATTCGGCGCCTGATATTGCCAGAGCTTGAGCAGTTGAAGAAAGAGCAGAGGAAACGGGGACCTGTTGGCGAACCAAGCGGTAATGACTTTTCGCTGGATACTCCAACAGCCACTTCCCCTGCCCCCGTGTCCCCAGACACTGCCGATCTGGAACCAGCCGACGACACAATAGAGCCCCCTCTGATCACTCACCAACCCGGTGAGCCCGACATCTGGGATGAGTTGCAAGTCCGTCGGGCGGAAAAGCTGAGGAGAGTTGAGCATAGTTACGACCCTGAGATGGACGTGGTGCTCTTCAATTTTAGGCTTCGCTATATACATTATCTTGAAGGTTATAACGATTTAAAAGTAGGTGGGGAGGAGGTGATCGAAAGCAGTATGCGACTAGCGAGAGCACTCGACACTCGCGGCCGATACTCTGACGCCGAGGCAATTCTGAAGAAGTTGATGTCTAATATTGAAGCTGAAGAAAATGCTCATTGCGCCGAGTTTGCTCAAGATGCAGTACGAGACATGCTGGAGAGCTGTCCTTCGGATAGATATCGAGAACCCAAGAAGATGCTTGCAGGCTTTGTACCGCCGCTCCTGGGATCGGGATCTTTCGCTTCCACTTCTCGGCATCCTGCAAGACCTACAGGTCCAGCCGGCTCGACTTCAGGCAGTGAGTTAGGACACCAGGTTGAGGCCAAGGGCAAAGGCAAGGCTGCTCCTGAATATGTTGGCGGTGACGTTGGCGCGCCGGTTCTAGAAATTGAACTCGGTGAAGAAGAGGACGAGGGTCGCTGGAAGTCTCTGCCCCCGCATCACCTGACCTACACCATCAACAAAACTCACCACGGCGTTCGCCTCCGCTGTCGTACCCAAGACGTCGTTCATGGGTACCTTGCAGACGGCCAAGACTTGGCATCGCTACTTGTATACGAGTTTGATTTCCTGTCACACCGGGAGCCAGGCAGGATCAAAGACGTCAACATTCAGTTTGTCTATCATGGCCACAACAGAGGCCCGGAGGTCCTAAATATTGCGCCTGGAGGCCGGAGGATGCTGGCAATAACCAGACAGACTGGTTCAATTGAAATGGATCATTATACAATCGCCGCGGGGACAGTCATGGCGTCAATTGACCTCGTGGACAGGGATTATGGTGAATTCAATGCGGCCTCGTGGGAACTGCGTGAGGACCCGGAAAGCAAATTGGGCGTGCCAAGGAATTTTCAGTTTGCTGTTCTTCTCAGACGAGCGGACATGGACGAGTTCACAGGCACCTTGAGGGTTAATGCTACGGCTGTCCCGGGCAGCACCTTCAGACGAGCCTTGGAACGTCTCTCGGGGTCATCAAAAAACACGAGCATTGGTGACATTCTCTACAACCCCTCAATGGCAGCCACCAACAACCTGCGTGTGTACGATACTGAAAACTTGAGCGCGGTTGATATTGAGGAGCTCATGAGTACGCGCAATCAAGCATGGTGGAAATAATGTAGATTTTGTTTGGTCGGGTTATTCCCTTCATATCGCAAACGCTTCCATAGAGCGCTCATACCCATGGAGGTGGTCTGATGTAAAAAGAGGTCTAGATTCTTCGGGACCACATTCGGCAAGGCCACATCGGCAAGGCCATACATAGCGCCCGACTATTCATTTGGTCATTCCTATTAGCAGCTTCTCATTTATCGCCATTGCCGGTGCTAGTGCCATTTTTGTCATGCTGTCACTTTTCAGCCCCGGCACCAAGCGTCCACTGACTGTGCCAGGCGCGCGGGCTGTCGCGGGTATTACGGCACGGGTGGACATGGCAGCGGTGAATGAAGCCGCGATATACCCATCGCGCATGGAGAGGCAGTAAACGTGTAAATATCCTCACGGCTCTCAGGGAATAACACCAACCCAAATATCAATAGAGAAGCCTTATGCCATTTAATGTCAATGAAGAAACCGTGAAGAAGACGTTGAGAAGTGGAGGGAGGGGTGCATCCACGTCCCGGGACTATCCCAGTTGGTCTTAGCCAGCCTGGACAAGGTGGCGAGAATTCATCGACTTCTGAGCCGGCAGACTTCAACTCTCAATCCACCAAGTAAACAATCTAGCCCTGGTCTATCTAGGATCAAGGGAGCATGACCACTACCGGTACCACTACCCCAGACCGCACGCATCTCGGCATGTGGAGAATCTTGATCTCGACAACTCCGGGGAATCTGGGGAAATGAGGAGTCAACCATCACATCCCTCCACATCCCGCAGCGAGCAAGCATCTCCAGGTGGTCCCAGATCGATCTCGGGTTGTGGTCCACCAGATCCAAGCGAGACGCACGTTCCGCCAACCACCGCCCATGCCATGTCTTCCCCAGATCCCCAGCTTTTATAACAACCCGCGCCGTTCGCTTTCTTCGCTGCCTTTCTTCAGTCGCCTTCATTGCCATCCAGCAACTGGCCTGTGTCCATCATCATGTCCTCCGAGCCATCCAAGTCCGAAGGCCCGCCCGCCGCCGAGGCCACGGGCGTCAACACGCTCGGCCACGTCCGACTTCGCCACGAGGTGACCAACGAAATCATCCTCATCCCCACGCCGTCCGAAGATCCCAAGGACCCTCTCAACTGGCGAGTCCCCTCCCGAGTTGTCAATATCCATGGCACGCAATCTAACGCGTTCGCTACAGGCCCAGAGCTTTCAAGCTCTACACTGCCGTCGCAGTATGCTTCGCCATGATCCTGTGCAACTTCCTGGCCGCCGGTCCAACTCTCGCCATCCTACAAACAGCCCAAGACTTCTTCCCTAACTGGCAAGAGACGGGAATGGCTGGCCCCATTGCCAAGACGGCCTACTTCTTCAACTGCACCGCCCTGTTCCAAGGTCTCGGCAATCTCGTCTGGATGCCGCTCACCAACAAGTACGGTCGTCGCCCGGTCTACGTCGTGTCCTTTACCATGTACCTCATCACTGCCATTTGGTGCTGCGTGGCCAAGGAGTACGCCAACTTTCTCGTTGCTCGAATCGTCATGGGTTTTGCCGCTGGAGCTGCAGAGTGCCTCGCGCCCATTACCATTGCCGATGTCTTTTTCCTCCACGAGCGAGGTACAATCACAGCGTGAGTTTCAAATCAAGCTCGTCGTCCGAGGCCTCACTAATCGCGCTCAGCATGTACAACGCCTCTCTGAATCTCGGAGTCGCCCTCGGTGCCATTGTCGACGGCTTCATCGTCCGATATAAGCCGTGGCGGTACATCTACTACGTCGCCATTGCCCTCATCGGCGCCGTGACGTTGATTGTCTACTTCACCTTCCCCGAAACCGCCTACAACCGCAGTCCTGACGCCCATGGCATCACCACCACGCTGCACGCCGAGTCCGGGGCTTACCACCGCAAGACGGCCGATGAGGAGAGCAACGCCGAACATGTCGAGGTTACGCCCCGTCGCGAGGCAAAGGTCAGTGATTTCCTGGTGCAGGGCCTGAAGCTCAACCACGGAACATTCACCGAGGAGTCGCTCCTGAACATGACTATCCGTCCTGTTCTCCTGCTTGCCTTGCCTCCTGTGTTCTGGGCCACCATGGTCATGTCGGTAACCATCGGCTTCATCACGGCCATTACATCCAACGTGTCTCCCGCATTCTCCACCGCGTACGGCTTCGAGGCGTGGCAGTCTGGCCTCTGCTTCTTCGCTGGAGTGATCGGTGCTCTTCTGGGTATCTTTTTCGGCGGAAACCTGTCGGATTGGGTCGCTGACTACTTTACCCGTCGCAATGGTGGTATTCGTGAGCCGGAAATGCGTCTCCCCGCCATCATGATCAGTCTCATCACCGGTCCCTTGTCACTAGTTCTCTATGGAGTTGGCATTGAAAAGGGCATGCATTGGATAGTGCCTACTCTCGGCATCGGTCTAAGTACGGAACCTTTCTTCAGATGCTCACCGTCATATAACTAACATGGATTTAGTCAACTTCACCATCACGCAGGCCACAAACGTGTCACTGGTCTACACCATCGACAGTTACCGACCCATTGCAGGCGAGATTGTCGTGACTCAGCTGGCCTTCAAGTCAGCCTTTGGTTTCTTGCTTGGATTCTACACAAACCCCTGGGTCGACAAGAGTGGATATGCCGTTGCATACGGTGAGATGGCTGCCATCTGTGGAGGTGTCCTCATCTTCTGGATCCCGCTATTCCTCTGGGGCAAGAAGATCCGCCAACAGACCATCAGCTGGAGAATCATGAAGCACGCGCGCTGGGATGTTGACAGAGAAGTCGGAGAGTAAAGGACAGCATGATTTAACACCCGAGCAGGGAAGCTTTGTTGTATTGGTGTTTACTTTGTAAACGTCGCTTGTGCAACCTAATCTATCTCTATGGCTAGTAGCCCGCATGTAAATGATCTATTAATTTGGTACGGCTTTCCGTGAATTCATGTATCCTTCCGTTGCACCCTGGCACACATGATGATCTGCTATCAGTTCCCTCGCCTCAATGTCCAACCAGCCCGGCCTCGAGTCTCCAATGCCGAAGCTCAGCCAAACCTCATCGTCGAGGTACCCATGGCTGCGGTCGCGGGCATACTTGATGTCTTTTCGGTGGACGTAGACCATGCTCCCGGTCCAGATGTACTTGTTGCCCTCGCCGTAATAGGCCAAACTTTTGCTCACACTCATCATTCTATAGGGCGCGACGGCCTCGTACACGGCGATATGGCGGTCGTACCACGTAAACGGGTTGCCGGGGCGATCGTAGCGTCGCTGTACCATTCCAACCATGACTGTGTTGTTTGCGTTCGGCTTGCACTCGCCGCGATTGCACAGCGTGATGCTCAGCATGGGCGTCGATTGATGAACGTGGTTGTTAGAGAGCATGACATCATGCATGCACGTCTTTTCCCTGCTGTGCCAAGTATCTTCAATCTTGACGTCATGAGGAAAAGGGGCCTCGACAGCGGACTCTTGTTCGGCGCCCACATCTTCGACGGGCTCTTCGTCCGAGATCCAGCGGAATAGTTGACCTGGCTCCACCATGAAAAGCAGCTCATCGGCGTCTTTGGCGAGTGGCGACTGCGTCATGGCCCAGTTCTTTTCGCGCTGGTAGCGGGAGTGGGACTCCTCGCCCTCGGGAGGTTGGCGACGCAATCCCACAGGCTCCTTGAACTGAACGGGCGGCATCTGCTTGGCCTCACTGCCCAGCGCATGCTCCAGCTCGGGCACGGCGGCGCGAGCGTCGATGAGGAACATGCCCTGGCACAGATTCGGGTCGTCGACCTGGTACGTGAAGATGAGCAGCGGCGCGCCGGCCCGCGTCCAGAATAGCTTCATGTCCTCGGGGCCGATGTACTTGTCCATGTCGGGCTGGTGCTTGCAGTGGTGCTCCGGGCCGTTGAACTCTTGGACGAGAAGTCTGGACCACGTATCGGCCGTGAGCTCTGGCATGCCGTGGCGGTTGTAGGTGAGGTCGGCGAAGAAGGCGACCTGGCGGGCGAGGCGGTACTTCTTGTCGTTGATCTTCTTGTCGACGTGGAACGCGCGCGCAATGACGAGGAATTCGTGTCGACTCCCCTCGGGCAGCTGCAGCAGCGTCGGGTTCATGATCTCGTAGCCCGTCTTCTTGGCGTCGATAGCGTTGAAGAAGCCCATCTTGTTGCGCATGCTGGCGAGGATGCGGAACTCGTGGGTTTTGCTCCGCATGACGCCGTGGACGTTGGACCTCTCGGACTCGATAAACGCCGGCCGCCACATGATGGGATTGAAGCTGTCGTGCGTGTCGACTTTGAAGGCGGCGAAGACCATCAGGACGCACGTCGCCATCACCACCGCCATGACGACGCGCTGTGGGCGAAGGAGGCGCATCATATCGACGGGAGTAGCTCACATTGAGGCTTTTGGCGATAACGTGAACAACGAGACCCCAATTGAGGAGTTGCAGAGATTTCCATTCCAGTAACTCGCTTTCTGCAGCTCCTTTTTAAGATTTCACCACAATCAAGCCTTTGTCCAGCAACTTCATGCTTGTGCCGACCCATCCATCTCGCGGCACTTGTTAGCCGAATCGCACTGCATACGACTCCACTCCCAGGGATGATGAGGATTGACATAGGCTGTGATGGGGCTGTGCAGAACAGATAGCACATCCCATTCAGCGAATGATATTGATCAAGGAATCCATAGCGCATTCTTAACTTTCCGTCCGACCCGTAGTCGTGCGGGTCGTGCGGCACCTTGATAATGACGCCATGGTTACTGGCCGCCTCCACACACCGTGTTAATCCAGAAACGGTGTCCTAATTAAGCCGAATCTGTACTAATCTGCCGTTATTCCGGCTGTCAGATTTGATTTCTAGGCAGTATTTGGTTCTCTAGCCATTGGGGCTTCAGAAATTAGCGATGTGGCTGGGAGCAATTGCTACCGCAGATCTTCAATCTACTGGCATTGGTAAGTGCCATCTAGTCTCACGGCCCAGGCCAACGGACTGGCTTGGCAGATTTTGCGGTCTGATACGACAGAAGGAGATAAGAGACGCCCCTTTCTCTTCCTGGTCAATCCTGTCGATCAATCCCTGCGACTCAACTCGGCAGTGAGCTCCTAGACCCCTACTCTACGCAATACCCGTGAGTCGTTACGCAGATTCTGACTGATCCCACCGACTAAACGCCTACTATCTATTCGGGGGCATCGAGCCCTTCTATCTCCAAGTGCATCACAGCGGGGTGAACCAGAGACCCTGATGTCTCAGAGCCGGCCCTGTCTCGGCGAACCACCTCCTCGTCAAAGCCAATCTTATTACAGTTTTAGTTCTATACTTTGTCAACCTTAAAACTCATGTCGTCATAAAAATCCATACGCCTCTCCTTATCTATAGAAAATACTAAATTAAATGAGCCTCGCGTACAAGGTCGAGGGCAGTTCAATATTCAGGCTTCCAACCGATGAATTCCATTCCGCCTTGTGCATCAACTCGGATGGATATATGAGCTGTGAAACAAATTTTCCTTGTCCCAAGATGGTCTGAAAAGGAGCTTATGCTCACTTAACCCCCACGCCGCTAAATAGCAACATAGCATTTTGCACTCCCAGCCCATCGCCGGCCGGGACTGCAAAGCCCAACGCAAGCCAATTGTCATGCCAAGCCAGGAGATTCAACGGCCAAATTGGACACCTGTCTGCAATGACTCCTCGAATATGCGCCCGCAAAAGCGAGTTATCCCTGTCGGTGTGTTGCATGCCCCCCTCTCGGGATTAATTAACACGAGTGTAGGGTAGCTAAAAGGGCATGTAAACTGCAAAAGTGGAACGCTCCACTAGAGAGCTCACGTATTCCGATTTTTTCTAATTCAACAGGGAATGCCGTGCAGCTCGGGAGAGGTTGCTTGATTCTTTGCTCTGACTTCAAATGCCATTTTGTTTCTTAGACTACAGTGATGTTTACGTACATTCAACTCTGTCTTAGGCAAGTCAGCATTTAATCATTCAGCTACAGCAGCCTGGAATGACACGGAGCGCATCTCCCGGCCAGCCAAGCTAAATTACTCATGGCGCCTCATTTTGTCAAGAAGCTTCGCTCGAACATTTCGGAGTAATTCATGACAAGCACCATTTGGTATTCCACCAGCCGTGATTTGAAGAAAATTTGCAAAATGACGCCGTACCGGAAGTTATTTTGAATGCAGTGGCTGCTTTAGGAGCGAGGTTGACCCCGCAAATATCCCACCCTAAGTCAATTTCTGACACATTCTAGGGACACCAGGCATCAAGGTGATGCATATGCAGACAAAGCTCGCACACAACTTAAATTGAGTATAGTGTCTTGAGAAAAAATCCAAGGATGCATTCATCTAGGGACACTATGTTTTATCGAGGGCAGGTCCGATTCTAAAGCAGTCTACTATACAGTAGCTATTCGGCTTGCTCTTTTAGTAGATCTGCCACGGAGACCAGCCGCAAACGAAATTGAGCGGCAAGTCAATTTGAGAGGCCATTCATGTTTTATGTCCCTGCTCCCGAGAACTAAACTGACACGGGTACAGTCAAGTCCTGCTCTACCAATCCTCGCTATAAACGACCAGATCATCTATTGCTGCCGAAGAGTATGCGAAGAGATGCAAAGAACACAGGGCTCCAATTAATTACACCAATTAAACGCGTTGACCAACTCTGTTGATCAACCATCCACGCCGTACATCAACCACACCAAGACGACCGATGCGAGGGTGCCTAAGGTAAGCGCCTGGGAGCACCCACTGACCAATCACCTGCAATGTGCTTCCGAAGGGCTTCTGCATGATGCAGAGGCTCAGAAGACCAGAGAAGAGCTGACGAAGGGGTGGGATCACGTTAATCCGTCCCGTGCAGTGCGTCACTTGACCGCCTGATCTGAGACTGGACGGAGATGTTGAGTCAGACTCTAACTTATCAACTACCTCTCCTCAGCTCCGAGTGCTATTTCACGACACGAGTGCCTACACTGGGTACTTCATGTCGGCCCTTTTCGGTTCAGTGGCAAACAGTCATGGCTGCACAGGCAAGTGCGATGACAGGGATACTCAGCTTGCCCGACGAGATTTTATCCGCTATATTCGCCTTGCGAGACAAATGGGATTGGGGCTCATTCCCACGTTACCCTCAAGCGTACAGCCTCCGGTTGACTTGCCGGCGATTTTACCGTCTCTCCAATCACCTTATAGTCCGACGTAAGACGACTGTCGATATTAGCCGGCCAGAAACTCTCGCCCGCCTACGTATCATAGCAGAGAATCCGATCCTTGCCGCAGGACTGATTAAGGTCAATGTCCGCCTTCACTTTTATCACCCGTGGGTAGCGGCTAGTTTTGACAACTTCACGTCGTCAGTCATTTCAGAATGGCAGCAGAGACGGCAAAACTGGGGAGTCGGTTTCACCACATTTGACCCAATTTCTTTCCAGGAAATCCTAAGCCGTCTCCTGGACCAGTTGGACACTGCAGATGAAAGAGAAGACGAGGTTTATGAGACGGAAGAGGGAGCACCCTCCGCCAACAGCGCCCCAAGTCCGAGAAAGATCATGTGCCGGGCGTACGACGTGTATAAGAAGGGCTTCGAGGCTCAAAATTTGCTGCTTAGCAATGGAAAGTTCGAACAGGAACTCGCCAAGACGATTTCAAAGCTACCAAACGTCCGTGGCTTAGCCTTGCATGATGTCGATCCTAAAATCAATTGTGAGCCGGGAAGGGACATCATAGCGATACCCAGAGACGATATAAGAGCGCAAGAGGAGGCCCTTGTTATGGTCTTGTCACGTCCTATGGTGTGGGAGGATGCTCGTTGGATCATGCCCCAAGGCGATATCTGGCCTGGAGTGCCCATCAATCTTCTGGTCACCATTCCATTGGCGATTGCAAACGTCGGCGGTGTCATTCTTGAATACATTGGTATTCTGGTATCGGCTGCGCCCGACTACACGCTTTTGGATCTGGACACGAATCGGTTGGATCAGCTGTCAGCCGCCGTGAGAGCCATGCAGCTATCTTACTTCAGATTTCGGCCTCGCTGCTATCAAGCCTGCGGTCCCTGGGAGGTCGATGATCAAGGAACAACTGTCTTCGCGAACAGGACACTCGGCGAATTAAATTGTATCAACCAGTATCTCGGTGCCTTCCTCGCGGCGAAGTGTATTCGTCATGTCGAAATACATCTACAGGATTTCTGGGTTAGCGCTGGTACGTCTATTCGGGTAGCGCCTACCTCTCTGGGAGCTGCCTTCTCATGGCCTCTGGGTTCTGAACTTGCCTATATCTCACTTAAAGCGGTGTGCCTGGTTGATGAGGAGCTCGAGGGGTTAGCAAGGTCCTTGCTGCCAGACTCTGTGATAGAACTGCAAGACATTCAACTGCTTGCGGGCTCGTGGATAGATGCTATTGACACGCTCAGGCAGGAGCTGCGAAGTCCACGTCATGTTCGTATTAGGTTTCGTCTTGACGGCGATGAGGGTTACACGTATTTCGAGCGTCAACTTCGGTTAGCATTTGAGCGCGGCGGATTGTTCGGAGATTCCCTAGTAGAGCGGTTTGTTAAGGGTGAGGATATTGATTTTGCAGACCCCTTGCACTTCTAACGGTCATGTCTTGGCCAGGTCGTGGATGATTTCGAAATGCAAACATTCACATCCTATAGTCTCGCGGTGTTGTCTGGATGAGAAAGTTTACAGGTACTGATATAAGAAGGCCAATTCGCATAGCTAGCCTCCCTCCACCTACAGTCACTACTACCTTATCTGAGCTATATGTCTAGACCTAGTGAGGTGTGCTGATGTCTATTCTTTTCACGAAGTTATGGCGGTGCCAGAAGCTCCTGTATCGTTTTCCAAAGACATATACAACCAAAGTTGTTGCCACGAGAAAGAAACTGATTCCACCAAATGTGTAGAACGGAATTGCAGGTCCAGCACTCTCCACCCAGTTGTTTACAAAATAGCTGTAACCGTAGAATAAGAAGTTCTTGAACATAATATTCGCAATGAAAATCTCATTGCTCATACCAGGGAAAGCGTCGATCGCATATGCAGAACAAGGACCACCAATGAATGCGATGCCAACAAGGCATAAACCCCACATAAAGTCAATTGCGTAAAGGTTTCCTTGAGATTTCGTCAGGTATCCGAATCCGAATAACCCTACACCACAGAGCAAGCCGATTACGCTAAGTGGAAGTCGAAATTCGGGCTCGTAGATGCCGTTGTTTCGCTTCGCCAGGCGTAGTATCAGAGGATCCATCAAGATGCCAACGAGGATGGAACCCAAAGCTCCACCGATGAATGGACCCAGGGATAGATTGCCAATGCCGGCGGGAGAAAGGAGATAAGGCGGAGGCCCGAAGAGTTGAGCTGTGACATATGCGATAGCAACATAAAAGGAAGAAACTGCTCCTGTAATTATGATGGTCCACAAAGCGCCTAGATTTGCGCAAACGAGGAAGGGCGCAAGGAAGAGCCGTATGAGGCTTTCATCGCTGTGTGTCCCTGTGAATATCGCAAGCCTCTGCCAGAAGGTCTTCTTCCTTGGAACTTGGCTGGTTACTTCTGTATCCTCAATTTGGATAGCTTCCGCTGCTCGTTCCTTTTCATGGTCGGGTGGGCCGGCGAATTCGTTATTGGTGACTCCAGGATCCCTGTGGTAGCAAGTTTCCGGTACAAAAAGAAAGACTAAAATTATCAAAAGACCTAGACAACCATTCAAGATGTGAAAAAGATAATGCCAGTCGTAAGCGGCTACTATCTGGCCTGCAATAACAGAGCTGAGGTTGGACACGGCTGTCAATGTGAAGGACATGACCGTGATCCAAAGGCCGCGCTCGTGAACGAAAAACAGATCCGCGACTATAGTAAACGGCAAGGATTCCCAACATGCTAAAGAAAGTCCCTGAACAATGCGGCCGGCAAGCAACGTGTTGTATGTCTGACTGCAAGAGCCAATAATTGTGCCGACAAGACATGCCAATGCGGAGAATAAAAAGACAGCTCGCTTGCCATATTTTGTTGATAAGGCAGACACAATAGGCCCTGTGGCTCCGGCAACAAGAATTTGATAGCCAGTGAGCAACGCCAAGTCTGCGAAAGAACGTTGGAGCTCAATGGTAAGAACATAGTAGCTCGCATTTAGTAGCGGGCCCGTACAACAGGCACACAGGCAGGCACCATAGACAATGATTGCGACAATCAAAACCTTTTGGTAATATGGCCAGTTCAGAGGGTCGTTCGGATCATCTGTAGGTTGCGGCGTGAGGATGATTTCAGTATGCTTCCCGGATCCTCGTTTGAGATTGGTTGTGCCGTTGGGGGCCAGCAGAGATTCATCCGCTAGAATGACGGTGCCTGGAACTGGCCCGGCCGAGGATGGTTCGAGGACTCCCAGACCCATGTTTAGAGTAGGGTGGAAGGTGCAATATGAGAACAAATGAGTCGAGTAGTGTAAATCGAGCTGATGGCGCTTAGAGGAGGGGATTATTTGATGAATCCATATCTTGACTCTGTATATGAAGCATTTTCGTTGAGAGAGCCATCTGGGAGCAATTAATATATTGGCGCCCCAGTCATGTTCATGTTAGGCTAGCTTCACCCACATATTCGCGGGGATCTCAAGTCTCGGCAGATGTTTAGCTTCGCATCCCCCACATATTCCGGCTTCTTAGGGTTAAGAGTACTCAAGCTTAAGAGTATAAGAAAAATACATGTGGGGCTGGAAAGAGCAACTAAATGGTGTAATCCAAGGTGGGGACCTTTCGTAACTCATTTCTGGTCGTCAACTCTCCCACAATTTACTGGCTAAATACCATCCATCTGATGTTTGAGTGGGGGTGATATGTGGAGGGCTATTCCGGCCAAAGTCAGCTGGCTCTATGATCTGGTACGTTGAAGAATATAGTATACGGCCAGCCTAGATGGTATAACGATCATGATCGTATCGACTCGTGCTTAGATTTCCTTTCCATATTCCCAATCCCGCTGCGCTCCCATAGCTGCCACATATCCTTGTAGATCATGTTTACACGGCTCCCACCAGAGCTCATGGCTCAAGTGGCGCAGCACCAGACGCTTGTGAAGGTGGCCTTTGCTCTGGCTACGCTTGCCCTGCTTCTGTTGAGCCTCTATTGCTTGCTCGTTCCCAATATGCTCAAGGTACTATGGATACATCGAGACTCTATCCATTCGAGAACGGGCACATGCTGACGTTTGTGTTTTAGGATTCGCGCCGACGTCACCTTCCACCAGGCCCATCTGGATTACCATTCGTTGGTAATTTGTTTGACCTTGCAGACTCGGATGAAGTGCAGCACAAGGTCCGTAAATGGCATCAGGAATTCGGAGACCTCTTTTACACCAAGATCGGCGGGAGTGATTACGTCTGGCTGTCGTCTCCCAAAGTCGTGAAAGACCTCATGGATAAGAAGTCAAACATCTATTCCTCACGACCCCCTCTACCTCTGGCCCAAGATGTGGCCAGCGCAGGCCGCCGTCAGCTATTCATGCCTTACGGAGCACAGTGGCGTCAGCTCCGCAAGCATAGCCATACGCTACTCAACATCTCTTCCTCAATCAAGTACCAACCCGTCCAAGACCTTGAATCCAAACAAGTTTTGCGAGATCTTTTAGATCAGCCAGAAATGTTTTACACCATCAATCGGCGGTATTCTTCTTCTGTTATTATGCTTGTAACTTACGGATATCGGATACCCTCATTTGACGACCCCCTGATGAAGAAGATTTACACTGTGCTGGATAACATGACCGAGATGACTGCACCCGGAGCGCATGCAGTCGATAGCTTTCCCTCACTTGCTGTATTGCCTCAATTTCTACTAGGAAATTGGTATGATCACGGAAAGAAGGCCTTTGATCATGATAGCAAGGTATACATGGACATGTGGGAGCGCTTGAAACGGGATGTGGATGCTGGAATTGCCAGAGACAGCTTTTGCAAGGATTTCTATTTGAAAGATCCATCAAAGAGTGGCATTGACGATCTCTTGGCTGCTTATACATGTGGTGGCCTCGTGGAAGCAGGCTCAGAGACTACTGCGACGACACTCAATAACTGGATCTTGGCTATGACTCTCTTCCCGGAAACATCCAAGAAAGCGCAGGACGAAATTGACCGCGTCATCGGTGACGACAGGCTTCCGCAATGGTCTGACGAGATAAGCTTGCCCTATGTTCGCGCAATGGTCAAGGAGGTGTTGCGTTGGCGTCCCGTCAATAAATTCGGCATGCTTCATGCGACATCCGAGGACGATTGGTACCAGGGACATTTCATACCAAAGGGATCCGTCGCCGTTTTAAACTGGTGGTAAGCATTTGCAATTATCTCATCTTTCTGCTGCACCGGTAAGATAGATTGGACTAAGTTGACGCATGATGACAGGGCTATCCACCGTGACCCAAAACTGTGGAAGAACCCGGACGAGTTCGATCCCGAACGATACCTAGACAAACCACTTCCAGCTGCGGATTACATCAACTCACCCGATCCTTATAACCGCGACCATTTCACGTATGGGGCGGGACGAAGAGTCTGCCCTGGAGTTCATGTGGCCGAACGGTCTCTTTATATCAACATGGTTCGAGTTCTATGGGGTTTCAACATTTCTAAAGCTGATGGCCCCGACGGCGTTCCGATAGAGCCACCTACAAATATGGTTCCGGGGTTTCTTACAGTTCCCGTTCCATTCACTTGTAGCATCAAGCCACGGTCTACCAAGCACAAGCGTATAATGCGCAATGAGTTTGATATTGCGGAGAAGGAGTGGTTGGGGTTTGATTGACCTACTGTCCCACCATGGAAATATAACGAGTCATGGAGATTTGAGGATTAAGAAAGCACGCAACGCTATGAAAAGACCCATTTTAGAATCCAGCTATTGCCTTCAGTTTATCAAAGTTTCCTGTGAATATGCCTACATGACGGACAAAACAAACGTGACTAAAAGAACCAAATCATGTCGTTATTTGACCCCAGCCAAATGGTACTCAAGATTAACAGCCTTGCTGCCTGATGCGCGGTGAGTCTCTCCTTCAAGTACTAAGAAGCCTCCGTCACCTTGGACTAAGCCGGAATGCAATCTCGGTCTGAGTACATTGGAAGGAAGCTCAAATTTGACTAAATGCTTGATGCTGACCACTCTATCAGACAATAGTCACAACGAAAACAAATGCACAAAGCGATCTTGCACATGTGAGATGTATTTATGTGAGATGGATGCCCAAGGCACAGTTGCCCTATACATACCGACCTCCTCAAATTGCTGGTATACCGCGAATTGGAGATTCTCATAGAAACACCCTAATTTTCTGGCCCCCCTAAGTATCTGTACACTATCGAGCCATCGCGGTCCTGAAGTTTAAAAAGCATCAGTCGAATACTTGGAGACACGAGAACTGGAGTAATGCGAGGGCGACATAACTCACAATGAATCTTTCATCCACGGCTACCTTCTCGTAGACCTTCATGGCCGCCTCCCCAATGGTAGGTTCAATGTCAACACTTCTGGCAGCGTCAACACCAAGTCCAACGTCTTTCACAAGCATTTGCGATTTGAATCCCAACTTATAGTTGTTGCTGCTTGGGGCATGGGCCACGACACCGGGCACGGGACAGACGTGATCGGCCATGAAGTTTTGCCCTGAAGAATTTTGGATAATTTGATGAAGCAAGTGCTTGTCCAAGCCTAGCCGCATGCCAGTGGCCATGGCTTCGCAGTTAGCGAGCAAGATGGTGCACGACAAGTAGTTGTTGCATATCTTAGCTGCGAGACCGTTTCCTAGGGCGCCACAAAAGAAGGTCTTTTCAGCAGCTCCCATATAACCCGAAATTGTTTGAATGCGCTCTTTCAGCGGATACGTTTCGGCATCGTGAACGTCGGGCTGAGTTGTGCCCAGAAGGAAGGATAGACTTCGTTGTTCCGCAGCCGGAACGCCCCCGGATACGGGACTGTCGATATATGTGCCCATGCCTGCATTTTTCAGAGCAGCCCCTATCTCTTTCGCTGTGGCGACATCGATTGTACTACATTCAAGGTAGAGCCTACTTGCGTCAAGATTTCCATTCTTTGCACCCCGCGCGGCGATGATCCCCGTGGACTCGTCTAGATAGACGTCCTTGACATTTTTGCCAGTGGGCACAATGGATACAATTGCGAGGGCATTCTCAGCAACTGACTTCGCCGAATCAACAATCTCAATAGGGCCGAACTGAGAAAACTCCGCTTTGAATCGTTCGCATGACGGCTGATGGACATCGTACACATACATGGTAGATTTCGCGTCCATGTATTTTCTGACATTCATGGCCATCGCGTAGCCCATGGCGCCAAGGCCTGTTCCTGGTTAGAGTCTACTATTACAGACATTGCAGTGCCGATTGGATGCAGCGGAAGTACCAGTAACTATGTGGGGGATGTGGATGGATTTGAAGAAATGTGGAGGTTGAGATGTGGAGGCTGAGATGTGGATGTGGAGAATGTGGAGGGATCCCTCCACATGGTGTGTGGAGGATACTCACCGACGAAACCAATATTGTGCTCCATAATAGCTCAGTGAATATAGCAACTGTGATTTGAGGAAGAAATGGGGAGTGCTTGATTGATTTGGCAAGTAGCAGAGGCGCTCGACTGCTTATATGTCTCACACAATTGTGGCGCCACACAACTTAGAAACCCAGAGTGACCCGAAGATCGACCACAAAGAACGTGGGTGTAAGGTCCCTTGAAGCTTGCCAAATTAGCCATTTCCCTCATTCAAAGTCCGCTTTGAATCCTTGCAGAATGACTGAACAGCCAGCCCGCTATACCCTCCCAGGAAGTGAGGCAGGCGAGGTGCAGGTGCATCTCCTGGACGGGGGCAGCTTCAGCTCGGCCACTTTGAGTTTTATCCATGCCAACGTCAGCCCAGACAAGTTCAGGCTTTATGATTGGTGTTTCTTGATCTTCCATCGACCTTCTGGGCGTTATGTTCTGTGGGATCTAGGATGCAGTGATGTGGGTTATCTGGTCGCCCCCAAAACATCCATCCCAACAACGAATCGACTGAAAAATGCAAAATCTAATCGTTTTGCCCAAAATATTAGGATAATTCGATCTATACTCCCTGGGTGCAAGAAGTGATGGTTCCAAGCGCAAGACCAGTCGGCCCGAGGGAAAGCTTGACTGTTCAACTAAACAAACTGGGAATCACTGCCGATCAAATTAGCTCGGTAATTTTCAGGTTGGATGCCCTAATCCCATCCTGTTTTATAACATCCGTATGCATACACCATTACCTTCACGAGTGTCACATTGACACTATTCCTATACAGTCACGCACATTGGGACCACTGTCGTCCGATCAGTCAAGAGTTCCCGAAGGCAAAATCATTCTTCGGGCCAGGGACCAAAGCCTATTGCACTCCAGGCCATTTTGAAAACGGACAACCAGCTTCGGCTATTCAATGGGACGGGAGATTCTTTGACATGTCGGGATTCGCAACCGAGGTTTGGGAAGAACTCGATGGCACATGGATTCCTCTTGGCCCCTTTGACAGGGCGCTTGACTTTTTTGGCGACGGCAGCTTCTGGATAATAGACGCCCCAGGGCACATGCCCGGCAACCTTTGTGCGGCTGCAAAGCTTGAGGGCATGAAGGAATGGGTGCTGCTAGGTAGTGATTGTTGCCATTCTCAGTAAGCACCATTCCCTCTTCTTCTTCTCCACATTTCCTACTTTGTCACGATTGAAATCCCACTCTGCATAATATCGAGATCAGACTAAAACTATTCGCTAATGTTTACTCATAGGGCGCTCCTTAATGGAGAGGCAGAGATGGCTTGTTTCACAAAGGCGAATGGTGAGACTGCCGCATACCTTCACATGGATGTTGCTGCGGCTCGAGACACTATTGAAAGAATCAAGAAGGCACGGTCTGACTACGGGATGCATGTTGCTTTGGCTCATGATGATAGCTGGTTGATCAACCAGAGTGATAAGGTGCTCATGACGCTATTGAGCGAAGATAAGAAAGGCGAATGGTTGGAGCGAGTCAAACAAAATGTGCGGCCTTGAGGGTGGTCTTATGGATTGCGATTGTATGTATTTTGAAACATGCGTGTTAGAAGAAAGAAAACTATTGCAATTACTCGTACCTATTTTTGATAGATCAGACTCTCTTAACCGATCTCGAATTTGGAACGTCTCATGTGAAGATGATTCACAAGTCACACTGACAAAGGGATCCACCATAGTGCAGATGACCAGAGTGCCATTGCATCACCTCCTACTAACGTATCATGGCATAATGTGGGGGAACATCACAAGATATAACCTCCCCACTTCCGTATACAACCCCACAAGAAACGACTCATACTCAAACAAAAGCTTTCACACTGCTTGACTCTTTCTACCGTGAATAATTGAATAATCATATCACAATGGTACTGCAAATTGGCGTCATCGGCCCTACTGGATTCGGTGGCTCATATCTTTGCATTGAGCTGCTCAACCGCGGCCATAGTGTGCGAGGCATATCCAGGCGGCCAGAGAGACTCGGCATTCACCAGAGTTATACACCATATGCAATTGACATTGAAAGTGCCTCCATTGAGCAACTAGTCACAGCCTTTACAGGCCTTGATATTCTAGTCAATGAATATGGCCCCCACACTTCCGGGGAGCATGCCTTGCAATACAGTCAGTCCTTACCACATGCAACATCCATGAGGTTGTTTATCCCAATGCCTCTCCTAACAATTTGTCTACGTCTCATCAGAACCGTTTCTTGAATTGACGAGAAAAATCATCATTGCTGCTAAGGAAACGAAAATAGACTACTTTATCATGGTCGGCGGTTGCGGTTCCCTTCACATTCCTGGCCAGCGGTTCCAAACTTGCAGCGAAAGCAAGCTCTTCTGGCTCTGGTATCGCCGTGGAATTGCAGACAGCCACGCCCATGTCACATATATGGAAGAGAGACTTGGGTCTATGGGCTCTTCACTGCGCAAATACCGGAATGCTCGCCAACAAGCGCTCAAGGGACGCGCAGACGATACATCTCGGAAGCTCATTCAAGACTATGAGCAGGCGGTAATGGACAAGGATAATGCACTCGACTTTGTAACAGCTGGTCGAACAAGCTATATGTTCTTCGACGGCAATACCTCATTCAAGTGGACCTTTGTGTCACCCCCTGCGTTGTACCGCTCAGGTATCCGAACCGGCTCCTATGAGACAATCATCGACGAGCTCCCAGTCAAACCACCGCAGGAAGGAACACACCCGAGCGTATTAGATGGCAGGCTGTGTGGAATTTCCGCTGCGGATCTAGCAATAGCAATTGCTGACGAGTGTGAGGCTCAGAAGATGGTTTCGGTGCACTGGAGCGCATATGCAGATATGTCTGATGATACTCCCGTGCCATCGTATGTGACACTTTAGATACGCCGTTAGCCATTTAAATACATGCATCTGAAGTACTTTAACAATGATATTCTGGTGATGCGATTGTTGCTTACATTGGAAGCGGTAAATGGTTTAAATTACGCAGCGTAAAATGATGTATCATTGCCAATCTATCTACGCTGTTGTTCAACGTCCACCGGTATCCTGTGCGCTGGGAATGAATCGTGCTGTTCCCCCACAAATTACTGAGGTGGGGGCTCATCCTACTAATATCCGGCGTGCTCTTCAGTGATGCTGAAGACGCAATTTTGCTCTCGCCAAAACACACTGAGGATCTAGAACGGCCACATTTCCAATATATAGAAAATGCCTCGCATCGTGGACGAGTCCGGAAACACTTTCATCCAGCATCCCAACAGCCAGCTATCCCACTACCGCATTGATGACTTTGCTGATCCCTGGAAGCCGCGAGAAACAATTCTGATCCAACATGGATTTGCTCGCACCATTCAGCACTGGCATCACTGGGTGCCCGCCCTTGCAGGGAGGTATCGAGTCATCCGACGTGACCTTCGTGGCCACGGGCTTTCCAGTCATCGCAAGACCAAATTCGATAGCATCGATTACGAATACTCTCTCGACACAATTCTCGATGAGATAATCGACACGCTGGACCAACTCGGCATTGATAAAGTCCACTTCCTTGGAGAGTCTACCAGCGGCATGTTGGGCGAAGCGTTGGCGGCAAAGTACCCGCACAGATTGCTCTCTCTAGTACTCTGTTCCTCGCCGACGCACTTGCCCGAGTCCGCCTTGCAACTATTCGCTTTTGGTCATGCCGACTGGCCCACTGCGTGTCGAACGTTGGGTTCGCGTGGCTGGGCCGAGGCCTTGATGCGTTTCCCAGGCACCGTTGCGTCGGATGATCCCGCCTACCAGGCTTGGTGGCTAGACATGATTTCACCGTCAGACTGCGAAGGACTTGCAGGTTACGCGGAGCTTTTGGCAAAGATGGATTCCAGGCCATTCCTCAAGGAGATAAGAGTACCAATGCTGATCTTGGCACCGAGCAGAAGCGCTGTGATGACCGTTGCTATGATGGAAGATGTGGCGAAGCAAGTGAATGGGGCTAAAGTTGAGGTTATTGACGCTCCTGGACACGAGATCTTCGTGTCTGGGGCGGAGCAGTGTCAGAAGGCTGCCATCAGCTTCTGGAAATCACTTGAACAAGAGAAATAGATAATAGCTCCATGCAAAAAAAAAGTTGCATCTTGAGTTTTTAGATGGAAACGACCTTACGTAAATTGGTGCCATTCAGTTGCCTGACCCTTTTGTTGCATTTGGAGAGAATATTCCATTGATTAGGACTGGGGGATCTCAATCTGAACATTTAACAAAGGCCGGTCCCACAAACCCATGGTCTCAAGCAGGGTTTACTCCTAATTACTCAGCATTTACAGCAGAGACAGCTGCACTAAACGTCCAAACAATGTCCTACTCCGACCGCACGTGGTTACTTGCATAGGGTTGACGCGATTTCTGTCTACAGTCTGCTCGTCTACCCCGCGGCCGAGTATTTTGTGATATCAATCGCCGTATCCTCCAGTTCATGTAGTACGTTATTGTATCATACTACCATACTTAAGTAAACAGCTATAATTACCCCTCTTAAATCAACTTTAGGAATCGCTTCTCCCACCCCTTCCAACTCCGGATTTCGCTAGAATCTATCTCAATACTGCATAACCCAACCCTCTAAAATGCGTCCCCGGACTTCCGCAAAACCAATCCCCAAACAGTAGGATTCTGATCGGTTGAGCCCACGGCAAGAACCAAATATTCGTCTGAGAGTTCCGAGGGTGGATCTGGTACATCCTCGTCCTCCTCTAGCCAATCTTGACGGTAAATATAGGATTCAATCTTGACGTCATCAACAATAGAGAGACAGATGTGTCGTTGATTAGAGTCGGTACTGCGGGCCACCATCTCTTCTGGTCCCTCAAGCACGTCAAAGTAGACATCCCCGCAACTTGGCCTGTCACCGTTATCATCTATATCTTTCGTTCTGACGAAAAGCATTGTTTGGCCGCTGACGATAACGGAAGGCCTGGCTGACTCGCCCCCTGGGTCTATTTCTCCATAGGGATTGTGGCGGCTTCGGGGCTGGATATCCCAGCCGTGAAGTTCAAGGAAGGTCTGAGATGGTTGGACAAAATCCATGATCCATCCGTCATCCGATGCCCATGACCATGATGGCGCACAATAAGGCTCCACGGCCGTATAGGACGACGAAAGGGCGCTGAAAGCATGAGACCAAAGGAGCCCGCTGGAAAAGTCTTCGCTCCAAAGGCCGGCAAGATATTCGCCACCAAAAAAAGGATGGAATCTCTTCGCCAGGCCGGAAAACGCGGGCAACTTGTCTTCACTGCGGCTTAGGGCTTTATCATTGGTATAGCCGGAGACCACCTCGTAAAACTGCCTTCGCGCGGTCGTTGAATCACCCTTCTCAAGTTTTCCGGAGGCATCGGGCAGGATCATCTTGCTTTTGTAAATTGTCAAGGCGGGCAAAAGTTCCTCGAGGTTATCGACTGCCTCAAAACACTCCCAATAGAGCTGGCGAGCCCCGAAGTAGAGAGATCGGCGAGATAAATAGGATTCCTGGTAGGCCCAGCCACGACGGGCTAACGCCGAACGGGATTCCATGTCATAGAAACTCTCTTCTTCAACCGCCCTCCCTGTCACTAATACCGAAGTCTGAATGTCGGGGTTCGTGAATACCCTGAGCGTCGTAGGAGTTGGTTGCGGCTGGATCGCCGTTTTGAGAAAACCTTCCCTACTTCCTTTAGATTCTGCAGCAAATATAGTCAATGTCGCGTCTTGATAAATCGAGTCCATCTTTGCAGACTCGGCTGCCCACTATGGTCTTAAGTTAGTTGCCTAGTAATAAAAACAAGCGATTAGAACTCACATCTTCTCTGCTGTCTTGTACTATAAATAAGGCATCGATCCAGAGATATTGCATATTAAGCTGCCGAGTGACGTGAGTAGCATCTCGGAAGTTGGCAGGTAAGTTGGCGATTTGGATCGAGGAAAGAAGGGTGGGTCGAGTTTCTTTGGTGAGCCGTTCTGGTATTTCGCTTCCTCAGCAGTGGCTGAGAGCCACATAGCAACCTTCTTTGCTGTCCGTCTCTAAAAGTCGGCAATGAGATAAGCCCTCTGATGTCCCGATGTCCAGGACTCACGTCGGAAGCGGCGAGCTCCCGACCGGGCGACATAGCGTGTGGTTGTCTCTGCAATCATCCAGCCAACCTTTAGCAATGCCGAGGTTGACTGGAGACCCCATCTCGCGGATCAAGAGTTGCCGACCAACCTGAACTCCCTCACAATACATTCTTTTATCTGAAGAGCCATCAGTTGTTGTGAGATTCTACAGCGGGTTCTGTCTCTCCTACCTCGAGAAATTGTAAGGTTCAGATTTATCGAAGGTAGCTGACCAACGTTGACCCAAAGGGTCTCATAGATCCTACGTTTGTTCATGCCGGTGCGCGAACTAGGGCTCATTCCGTTAAATATGGCCAGCGTTATAGGCGAGGGCTTGTTCATTTCCTTCGCCGTTGCATAGAGCGATTTGCCCATAAGTTCCCAATCTTCGGCCACCTGATAATCATCGATGGAAACTCCTCCTTCTCGAAACTCAGTCTCATAAAACCGACCCCTCTTTGTACATTCAATCATGAAGTGACAGAAGTCACAACCAAATTCGGCAGATTTTTCAAGGTCTTCCAACGAAGCGTGATGCTCATAGGGCTTGTTTCCCCAAGGTGAAAATACGCTCGTCTTAGAATATTCTTGTGCTAGCTGGAAAAGGCCACTGATGGTGAGACCGACGCAGAACCTGCATTTTCTGCTGTTGTCCGGGGCCGGTGGCCATGTGGATGATTTCTGTCCCGCAGACAGCTCACTGTCGGATTCGAAATCCGAATCAGAAGCAAGGCCAGCCGGTTCTTGATCCATTGTGATTCTTGAGCTTGTGCCGGATTCGTGAGGGGGGGGGGGGGAGGTTCGAGGCGCCGTGGCCCAGGTGCGGGGTTTTTCTTGTATTTAAACCTGGAAAAGCGTCCCTTCGTCTGACACGTCGCTAAAGCTGATGTGCCTTGTCAATTGGTGGCGGTGGCTGTGAAGCTGCTCTTTGGTGGCCGGCCTAAGAATCAGGGACCAGAAGGCGGGTCAGTTGGGGGCCTCAAAACCGGCCAGTGGAAATATTGAGGCGCTGGTAACGCACCGTGTTAGCTCAAAATATCAATCATATCTGTGCAGGGATAGGGGGCGAATATGTGCTGGTAACGGCGAAGTCTCTGACCAAACACGTCTTCTCATGCGTCGCCTTCCTCATGACATTTTATAACGGAACCCCCCTTGCCGGAAAAGATATCAAGGATGTAATGACAACAGTCGACCGCAGGTTGAAAGAAGAGAAAGAAAAAAGATCCTTTATCAAGAGGTTAGGGTGCCCTAGTACACACATACACTTTGCGGTGCTTGGCAGCTAAGAGACCCGTGTGGAGTTGCCGAACAATATTCCAGCTGTCCACCGGCTTAGGGATACTTCGAATTACCTCCAATCCCCATTATCTGTTCCCTGAATGGTGGTGGGGCTACTCGGATGGTATCAAGAAGGAACCTCCACACCAGGGAGAGTGCAATCTTGCACTGAGTTACTGTCCCATTCTGTGCCTCTTAGACTTGAAAGGTTATCAGCAGAATTAGCAGAGTGGAAATAGCTTTAAACTCGGGAGAGGTATCTTTATAGGTCAGATAATTTTCTTACAAGTTGTACAGAATGGTCCTTGATAAACTAGGTTCTTGGATTCTGGCAAACATATATTCGATTCGATCATTTTGACCCATGAACCTCTGTCTGTAGAGTTACTGTATCAAATTATTCAGGAAGCCACAAACGCAGCCAGTGCTAACCCAAGCTCATCAAGTCCAATAAGTGACCCTATATCAATCATTTCACGTCTTCGGCCCGTGTTATCCGATACCACGTCATCGACTATCATGGATGACGGCTGTATTATATGAGTGTCCCACGATGATGGACCATATACCTTGGCGCACTGTGTATCATCGTTGCAACTCGGCCAAGGAGGGCGTCCGCCGATGAAGGTGAAGGCATCCACGGCCAACTGTGTGGCTGCTTCCTTCATCGCGGGAGGCAAATCATCATTGAAGTTTTGGAACAAGAGAATTGCGTCCATAATGTGGGTGGCCTCGCCTTGAAACATCCCCTTCCACGGATTTCGCTCGTTGACGAAGAAAGCATGGCATTCCGGACTCCAACCTCTTGCGAATGAAACAGTGGCAGCATAGTAGCCGAGATCGTTGAAAAAATTCAGAAACTTCCTGAATCCCAATTCGTCGTCAATAGTATTCGACCCAAAGCCGTATATTTCTAGAAGCTCTTCAACGGCGGCGTTGGTTGGAAAAGCCTTCCGGAGGTGGTCAGGGAACGTTGTCGAGATTCCAGCCTTGATGTGTGCCATAAAGATGGCCAGGCTTGAGGCCTAGGACAACACATTAGTCAAATAACAAAGAAGGATTGGATGGGCATTATCAGTCGAGCATTCAAGTAGACATGTTAAAAGATATGGGAAGGACCAGACTTACATCAAACTGGCAGTCCCCCACCATCAACCCCCTTAGCCAGTCTTTGCCACTGATCTTGGTCGACTTCCTATCAGCCACCATAGCATAAGTCATCGGGAACGGAATCAGCTCGCGGTCGACCATCGGCTTGTAGGGCAGAGGTTTCGTGAGCTTCGTAGCGAGCGTGGCCATTGGGAGTGTAAGCAAAGTCTGGATTTGCTCAGAGGGAGGGGCGGATTGAAGGCCCAGTGCTTCTACCACCTGTTCGTACACACGCTCTTGATGTTCTGCATTGGAAGGTGGAATCAGCAAAGGCGATCCGCCGGTCATGATAGCCCGTGCGAATAGAGGCTTTTGAGATTGGAGATGCAAGCCCGTAGCCACTGCATGGTAATCAGCTGTCAGGTTTCGCAATAGGGCTTTGGGATTTGGGCTCCAAACCTGCACCACTGCTTTCGCCCGCCACTGTGATTTCACTTGGGATCCCACCGAATCCCGCAATATGCTTCTGTACCCAAGCAAAGGCAACCCGTTGATCCCTCAGTTGATTATTGGGCTTGTATCCAGCAGATCGCAGCGCAGCAGATGTCAAGTTTCCCAGAAACCCTAGTCGAAAACTATTCAAAGAGTCAGACGAGAATAAAAAGTACGTTTCCTCCAAACGGGGATGTTGGAGGTGGTTTGCACACATGCATTGAAAACGAGGAGTCCGCGAATTTTCTTAGTGTTGAACCAGATTGCCTCACTTACTTGATGCTTACGCCTATAATGGGCATTTTCTTCTCAACTGACAATTTGACGAGGCGCGTCATGTCGTACTGAGGCCAGGAATTAGCTCCGCTGACGAAGCCGCCTCCGTGAACCCAGACAAGGATGGGTAAAGTATTCTCTGCAGGAAGCTGCCCATCGATCTTTGGGACCCAAATATTGAGGTTCAAAGCGTGCATATCGGAAGAGGTTGTCTGTGGCTCAGGACAGGACTGCTGCATTAAGACCATCTCCAGCTGAAAAGCACCCGGAGGGGATGGAGACACGGGGCTGTAATTTTGCTCTTTCTTTAGCCCCTGTTGCGTCAAGAACAGAAAACATTATGGGAGATCTTACCCAAAGCGTGTCGCATCCACAGGTCCGGAATACTGTTCGATCAATTGGGCCTCCGACAGCCTGTCCTTCAAGGTGGCGTACGGAATGCCTCGAAAACAAACCACGTCGCCATCACAGCCGAGTATGTTCCCGAGCTTGGGATGCTTAAGGTTGAATGTTTTGACCGTCATGTTAAGATTGAAATCAAGAAATAGGAATTGGTGTGCGAAGGTGCTCCTAGGCGAGAGTAATTGTGCGCAATATATATTACTTCAAGCAAAGACCCAGCAATGCACAAGAAATTCAAGTCAGACTAAAATAGCAATGTACGCATGTGGGGTAGCCATTCCCTCCACATTCTTCAGAAACCCCCCATATAGACGGTACTCGCGTATATCAATGCATGGCGGGATTTGATACGGCGTCTTCCATTGTGAGCTTGGTCTCTCCATCGTAGATTCGCAAAGCCTCCCTGGCCTCTGAGGCCTCAGATAACATAATCTCACGAATTGTATCAGAACGTGGAATGAATTGAGCTTTGAATGGTTCTGGACGGGTGTTTTCGCTCTCCGTATAAGCAAAGATGTCGAGCTTCGCCTCCATCCCCTATATAACCAGGATTGTTGTCAGTCAATGAGAGCTTCCGACATCTAGAGTGACATTCAAGTTGATGATTTGAGATATTTCAACAGCTTTCTCTGAAAAGAAACGAGATCGGACGTTGTATTGAGCTTACCTGATCATCTAAACCTGGTTTGATGTTGAAGGCCCAAATCATCCGACCGAGGGAATAAAGCAAGCCTTGCTCAGCAAGAGGCTGGCCGCTGCACTGCCTTCGGCCCCAGCCAAAGGGGTTGCTTCCTCTCGCGTTCGGATACGGTTTCTCCAATCCGTTCAAAAATCTCTCGGGCATGAAATTGTCGGGATCAGGAAAGTCTCTGGGGTTGCGGTGAATGGCCCACATGTTTCCGGTGATGTTAGTACCAGCTGGGAAGTGATAGCCACGATACTCAACATCCTTGATATTTGCATGTGGGATGCCTGCCAACACAGTAACTGTCCTCCAACGGAGAACTTCTTTGACAAGAGCTGTCAGGTATGGCAACCGACCATTGTCAATATCAACCCATGAGACAGACCTGTTGTGGCCGACAACTTCATCCATCTCCTCCTGGGCCTTTTTCTGCACTTCTGGGAAGCAAGCCATGGCTAAAATACAGCTCAGCATTGTGCTGGATGTGGTGTCAACACCGCCGCCGATCAGGTTGGCCATCAATCCAGCAACTTCGACATCGGTCAGTTGATGCTTCACCTGAGAATCCAACATGAATTTGTTGAAAGCTTTATTCTTGTTCATCACGCTTTCTTGCGTAAGCATGTAGAAATATCTCGCCGCAATCGCGGAGCTCATGCGGAGAACCTTTGGGAAGCTGTACAACCAGGAAGGTAGTTTCGCAAGGAAAGGAAGCGTCTCGAGGATATACACACCGGGCACAACTAAGTTGACTGTCTCCATCATCTTCAAAGATTGCACAGCGACGTAGTCATTTTTTCTGTCGATTCTGCGGCCCCATCCAATAATGGAGGTTGTTGAGATGGAGTAACGCTCAACAGAGAGCTCGAAGTCGTCTGGGTTCTCCATCAAGTCTTTGATCAGAATTTTAGACTCGTCCGCTTGGAACGATCGGTAGTTGCGGACAGCCTGCGAACCTACTGCCGCGTGCTGTGAAGGGTCAGTAATCATGCACTTAAGGGAGATGTCGTGAAGCCTCGTACGTACCATAAGTTTGCGGTGTGTTCTCCAACGATCGCCGTATTCCAGGGTTGTCTGGTTCGTAGTTGTGCAATTTATGGCATCGCCCATGACAACCAATCGAGGGCGTGAAGAAAAGATGTCCGATTTCTTTTCCAGTAGCTCAGAGGCAACCCAAGCATCAGACAGAATGATACGTGGATGTCGACCGATCCATAATGTTAACATGGGGGTATTGTAGTACTGGGCCCATTTCTCCCAAGTGATCCAAGGCCTCACGTTTGGAGTCTGAAAGTGATTTCCGACTATTGGGAATGGGAATGGTCCGGGGGGCAGCTTGCGACGCATCCAGAGCATACGGCTCCAGTCGATGAGTACCGCTGTGAGGGCCAGAATCACTGCTAAACAAACAGCCCGCGAGGCATCGTAGAGAGTGAAAAGCGAGAAGAGTGCCATTCTCGGAAAAGGTGACAATACTACGAGAGAAAATACTGTAGATAGAGTGCACGAGCGTTTCCTAATGCAGGACTGGAGGTTTTATCAGTAATCCTGTATGACGCCTATTCGAATCCACGTGTTACTTCAATCTCTTCATGAAGTTGGACGCAGTACATCGCGAACCAGATGTGGAGAGTAGGATTGTGTGGGGTTGAGTGAGGATGTGATCTCTCCCACATTTGCCACATCGCCAACCCGGTCATCGCCGATCAGGTCTCCTCCCACATTTTGTAACTAGCTGCCCAACCTGGGTATTCAAGGCCTGTAACATTTACAAATGATTTCCGATCCTTTCTTTCATACTCCTATACAACGAAAATTAATAATCAGCCCATCATGGCGCGATATCGTTAATGTCCGGCTGCGTCAACCCACATTATACCAGTCACCCCAATTGCTCCCACACATGCCACCAAGCCCCATCATAATTATATAGCACCCATTTTTCGTTGAATCTTGCTTTACATGAGTTCAGCAAGAGGTTAATATCCACTTTTCCCCGAGAAACAAAGAACAAGACAATAATACTACGATTCTCCCACACCTTGCAACGTCAACAGCTGAAGCCCAAGAATACCCAATACGATGAAGGTACGTCTCACTTCGCTATTCAATCTTGAAAACCTCAGACCTCCCTCCAAGATTAGAAATGGAACGGTACACGGAACTACACATATATCCCGCCCCTAAGCCCTCAGCACTAATATGCTACTTGCTTCTAGGTCATCATTGTTGGTGCAGGCCCCTGCGGACTTCTACTCTCTATTCTTCTCAAAAAGCAAGGAATCCAAGTCCAAGTTCTCGAAGCCTCCGACAAGCTCGATGAGCAACCTCGTGCCTGTCACTACGCGGGTGCTGCAAAACACGAGCTTGAACGAGCAGGTGTCCTCGACCAAATCTCAGCTGAAGGCTTCCACCCTGGTGCCGTTAGCTGGCGCAAGCAAGATGGCACGCCAATCGTCACGTTGGATAATCACAGCGAGCCCAAGTCGAGCGTGCACCGCATAGTTTGCCTCGAGCTGGGCCGTGTAATTCAGATATTGCATGACGCAGCGATTGCGCAGGGCTGTGAGATCTTGATGCAGCATAAGGTGACGGAATCTGTGGGACAGTCAGCGGAGGAGGCTTGGGTGGATGTCGCGATACCATCAGGAGAGACGGTGAGATTCAAGGCAGACTACATCGTTGGCTGCGATGGGGCGAATAGCCAGGTCCGCCGAGCTCTATTTGGAGAGTTGGAGTTTCCTGGCCGTACCTGGGACGAGCAGATCATTGCAAGCAATGTAAGGCAACCTACCTACTCTCCGTCCCATATTTCCTTCTCCCCCATATTGGGTAAACGAAAACGGAACAGACGCAAAGATTGGCATACTAAAGTTAATTATGATGAATTCCAGGTCTACTATCCTTTCGAAAAGTTTGGTTACGACGACTCCAACTTTATCGTCCATCCAAGTGACTGGTATATGGCAGCGAAGATTACTAGTGACGGAATGTGGCGCGTTACATACGGAGACGTGCCCGGTCTGACCAAGGAACAATACACCGAACGTCTTCCCATGCGATTCAAGGAGATTCTGCCAGGACAACCAGGGCCCAATGACTTCAAGCTGGCGAATATCGGCCCTTACAAGATGCACCAGAGATTAGCCCAGAGCATGCGCGTCGGAAGATTCCTCCTCGCTGGTGATGCCGCACATCTGTGCAATCCATTGTGAGTAGATCCTTATTCCTCTCCCCCAGTCTTAGAGAGACTAGAAAGCTCATGTGATACTCGATCAATCACAGTGGCGGCCTCGGCCTCACTGGCGGTATTGCAGATGTTGGATGCCTTTACGATGCTCTTGTTGGCATTCATAGAGGACTTGCCGACGAAGGAATTCTGGACGAGTACTCAGATATTCGATCTAAATTGTACCGCACCATTGTCGACCCAATGTCGACCGAAAACTTCAAGCGCTTATGGTTCAAGGACCCAGAGACCACCATCGCCGAGGATGAGTTCTTTAAACTGGTGAGAAAGGCGACTACGGACGAGGATCTCTTGAAACAACTCCGACAGGTGCGTATTGGCAATCTTTCAAGTTCAATCTCTGACAAAATAACAGGGAGGAATGGCTTTAAGATATGACCTAACCCAGTTCTATCGCAAAGACACCACCGCAATTGATGACCACGTCGAGCTTGTTGGTCAAGCCATCAAGTCGGCTTAGCGAGCATGGATTTTATTCTTTGGATTCAAATTGGTGTTTCGACAAAACACAAAATCGCCCAGACACAGTAGTCTGTTTGTCAACTTAGCAGCACGAGTCTTGTGGTTGTAGCGGGTTTCGTTAGCCATAAATGTTATCTATTGAATAGGCCGATCATCCATAAATCATCAATTCAACACCCGTTTGCTTCTTTTGATAGGCTCTCCACTCTACTGTCCGTCATCGAAGTTATTCGGGTCCATGTCCGAGAGATTGTTGCACATGACATGTAAAATCCGAGAGAAACTTCGAGATTTCCACCGCCCCAGACCTAGCATTAAAGACGCGAAATGCAGCCAACACTTGCACGCTTGAGTATAGCCAGGTGTCAACATGAAATCGGAAAGAGATGCCCCTCCGCCTCGTAGAATGAACTTCGTCGCAGCTGTTAAAGTAGAGCCAGGTTGCATGATATCTTCTGACAAGTCCGACAACCCAACACTTCCTAAAGATGCCCAATCCACGTCGTCGTAAAGATTGTATAAATCGGTGCTATCTTGCGTCGGTATCGCGAAGATGTAGAGTCCAAGGACCAACGAGGCTTGGAACAGTGCAATAATACTATGTAATTTGACCGGGTCGGAAACCCTTCGATTCAACAGCAAGTTGAAAATGTGAGCAGCATGAATGCAGGACCGCCTTGCAGAAGACGTAAAAGCCCAGTTGGAAATATCTTTCAGCGCCTGTGCTGCTGTCGTCGGACCGGAACGGCCAGCAGCGGTTTCAAAGAGTGGTAGGTTCGCTCCTAACATCATGCAGAACGCGTGCCATGAAATTGCGTTGTTCATGTCGAAGCTTCTGTCCTTTGCATCGGCAGCTCTCGCCAAGTCAACTGTCAGGTTGACAAGTGATCTATGGCGGGCATCTTCAGTGAATATCTTCCACGGAAGTAGTTTGAATTGGCTTTCGTTGTCACGAGGTGCGCGATCTAGTATGGTGGATGCTGCTGCGAAACGCAATTGGAGTAACATTAGCAGGGTCGAATTCATGTCGAAGCTCATCGATGGCGTTGGTGTGCTGTAATAGGATGCTGATATAACGGGATAATCCATTTGACCAAAATCGGGGCGCATTCGGGACCATTTATCAAGAGTGCTCGCTTGGAAAAGGACCTCGTCACAAGTTGGTATGATATGCACGCACTCTGGTCGTAGTGTTGGATCAACAGCCAGATACGAGGAGTACCAACAGTCTAATTGAACCAAATGAAGTATGAGCCTACAGAGCTTCCGTTAGTGTGAGAGCTTGCCAATTATACGAGCCGTCAACTCACCGCTTCACAGATTCAATGCTCCCCCAAACTCTCCAGCGCCTCTCTTCACTCAGAATAGATGTTAAGCCAACAAGAGAAGGAGAGTACTCGTTGGCAGAAAAAAGACCATCGGAGTGCGCGTTCTAGAGGTTAAATCAGACGGGTTGTGATTTGACCGCAGAATAGACAAGACGACATACCGATAAAAGACTGACATAAAGGGACTCGGTCTGAGTAATCCGACGTTTGTGCTACATGGCGAGGTCAGACAATATTTCAGAAGGGTCGAGTGAGGCTGATATTACCCCAATCACGGAAGCCAGAGTCAGAACAAGGAAGCCTGTCATCATTGCCGTCAACCGTCTCATGAGCGACGCGTCGCCAGCGCTGGATGCATGAAGGTCATTCGATGCTATCCTCAATAGATCCTGATTTTGATTAGTCTAAGTACAGCTGAATATGAATATTCGCCTCAAAGGACGTTTAAATGACTCGTGATTAGCATGTCTTACTGGGAATATTTTAGAGACCAACTTGTTCAAGTCTCCAGTGCCCATAACACTTAGGCCGATGGTACACATGGCCACAAGTAGAGATACTGGCGCATTCCGCGGGCAGAATGATGATAGATGAATCAGAGGCGATATGCTGTGGTGGTGAACAATGTACTGCTCATAGGCAATGTCCAGCATTTCCGGTGTGAGAGACGTAGAGTAGCTTGCGTCATCTAAAGAGCTTAACAAAGGTCGGAAAGCTGCCCATACCTTTTGCTTTGCCTCACTGTCTAACGTCCAACTGGTTCTGGGTCCCGTTGGTGCATCAGCTTGAGGCGACTCTGCCAAGGCACCAAAGAGGCCGTCGCCAACGGTGAGATCATGCCACAAGGTAGACATGCGCTTCGTTTTACGGTCGGTACCTCGGACCCAGAAATTCTGGAGGCGAGAGAATTGCTTCTCAAACACGAATGGTATGGAAGTGCTGTTGGACATATTCCGGTCGTAGGACACAGCCCCAGCAGGCGAAGGGGCCTGGACGGGAACTTGGACTGTTAAATCTTGGTTCGGCAAACGATCGATGATGGGAGAAGTTGGGCCACCGTGGCTATCAAGAGGGAGCCACCAGCTGTGATCCAAATCAAACTGGCTTCCGTCTGACGTACCATCCTGTGATGGCAAAAAGTCTCTTGGGTTGAACTCTCCATTAGAGAGCATGGCATCCAAGGAATTCAAAGGCGGGTCGGTGATGCTATTTTGCTGTGGTGCCGCTTGGGAACTGAATGGTGGCGTAAGGGCGGATAGTAAGTGCTGGGGTCCGCAAAAGTCCATGGTGTTGAGCTGTGGAGGATCTTTACCCGAGCTCGTCTGGAGATCTAGAGTACGGTCTGGGCCGATTCCGCCGTTGTTCGGCATTGTCGTCATCTGCGGATCGACTAAAGAGTGTGAGTTGTTATTCACAGTTTTGTGTGATACCGCCATATGTTGCACCGTGGGGACGGGAGCCAGGGCTAAGACGGGTGGACTGGAATCGGATCGGAGCGATGAAGGAGCAGGGCTGGTAGGCGTCTCTGGCTGATGACGGTCGGGAGCAACGACAATTGTTGACGCCTCTGCACCATCAACGTCGTTTGTACTCGTATCCAGTATCGTTGTTGTCACGCCCTGCATCGGCGTGGGTCCGGTAGACTGCGCGGCCAATCTGTCCTGCGCGTCCTGCTCGTGTTTCTTGCAATGTCGGAAGAGCACATCACTACGTGGTGGGTGTTAGCATGTCGAGGAAGATACCTCTGTGAAAGGGGCTCATCGTAAACATGCCTGCGGGCGTATGACTTATGGCAAACTGGGCACCGATATGGTCGTTCTCGTGTGTCTGGGCAGGGATATCAGTGGGATGTCAGCGGGATCAATGACGGTGAGACTATACGGGAGCGTTCGTGACGTTTCAGATGCTCCGTCTTGGAGAAGCGTCTATTACAGGTGGCGCATACGTTGGACCCCATGGCCCAGGAGCGAGAGAGCAGCGATGAAGAAGCCGAGATGTGAGTAGAAGGAAAAGTACGGAAAGGAGGTGAAGCAAGGATAGCTGGCGCCAGATGACTATCCCAGCTTAGGCGAGCAGAGTCAACTGGGGCACACAGTCTCGGCACATCACGACGCAATCCCCGAGTAGCGATTGGTTCGTCAAGCCTTTCCCCGGACTCTAGCAAGTGCAAATGCGGGGAAGCTTGATCACACACGCCGGTTACCGAATTCCCATGAACTCCGAGCAATCCGTGCGTGTTGTAGCTCAAGCGTCATCGTCATACCCTTCTCTTTACTCCATCCAGCATAGCTTGGTTGGGAATTTAGGGACCGGTACTTTTCTTCTGTTTCTCTGCTCTGCCTTTGATGCTTTATGGCACTCGGTTGAGGCGTCATCACATAGCTAGCACCAGATCACCAGTCTAATGTCTCGCTCTATCCTATCCTCCCTCCAGCGCTGTTTCATTCAGATTCCACTTCGGCGAACTCACACTACAGTTTGAATAGTGATTTTTACAAATCTTGCGACAGGCGCCATTCGTCCTCAAATAGCATTTCTCCCGTACAGTAAATGGCCATGGAGTGCTAAAGGCGGCATGTGGGGTCATCTTGCTCATGTAGAGAGCTTCGTCGAGATCCTGCTCAATGTTCCACTCACACTTCCCCGGATAGACACTAGGACGGATTCGTATGTGGGGAAGGGCAGAGCGTATTTCACGCAATTCCACATTACTGAGCGGTGCCGCGGTTGTGACGGTAAATGTGACATTCTTGCTCGAGGAACATCGAATTAAAGTATTGATTTCTTCAGTTCTGTGGCAATTTTCCCCGGTTAATACGCCAAGTCTTGTACCTCTGTTTCTTCTGTCAGATTCCAAACAGATTTCACAATGACGACGTATACTTTGGCCGAGGGTGACTTCCATGCTCTCCAGGGTAAAACGATCTTGATCATCGGCGCAGCCACAGGCATCGGGCGTGCCGCTGTTGAGATCGCACTCGGTGAGTTCTCTCTCATGTTATGCATTGCGCAGTCAGTCTGCAAGAATGGGACCATGTAGAACTGACTCGTTTCGTGGCGCGTGCCAGAGTATGGTGCCAACGTCGCTGTCGGGGATTTGAACGAAGAAGCTGCGACTACGCTGTTACAGCCATTCCAAGACCGATCACTCTTCAAGAAATGCGATGTCTCCAAATGGGATGATGTCTTGCAACTCTTCCAGGACACCGTGTCCAGGTTTGGTGTGATCCATAGCGTGCTCTCCAACGCCGGCATCAACACACACGAGGATCTTCTCACCGAAACATTTGACCCGGGGACTGGGAAATTGCTGCCTCCCACTCTCACATCAATCGATGTCAATCTTGTCGGTCAGATCTATGTTACTAGATGTGCGCTCCATTTCTTTGGCAAGTGGCCAGACACGCCTTGCCAGCTTGTTATGACCTCGTCCGCTGGCGCCTTCTTCCCTGCTCCGCCAATATACTTGTACTGTGCTGCAAAGGCTGGCGTACTCGGCTTGATGCGCGGCCTTCGTTCAAAGGCCGATGAAAAGAATTTCACCGTCAATGTTGTGGCGCCCTGGCTCACTAGTAAGTGTTCCTTAAAGCCATCTGTCCCACCATATATACTACTTACTCCGTAGTCAATTAACTGCTGGATTTGGCTGACAGACATCGTGTACAGTTACACCAATGCTCCTTGATGACTGGCTTCGCAAATGGACCCTTCCAAAAAACTCATCCGCAGGCGTCGCGCGTGCCCTTTTTCTTCCTGTCATCAAGCCGCATATAAACGGCAAATCCTTCTTCGTTGCTGGAAATGAGATTGTCGAGTTTGAAGACTCATTGCATGAAACAGAGCCTCTGTGGATGGGAAAGGAATTGTGTGATAATGTTCGTCAGGGCCAAGATATTCTTCTCGGCAAGAGTGAAAATTAAGTTTGAGACATCGGTTAGTCTTGGGTAGAATCTATTACAAGATTTGTGTCAAATTGTCTCGATATCGGTCGTTACTGTGATCGGCGGTGGAAGTCCCCCAGGTCTACAAGTGGCAACGGCACTTTGAGTCCAGCCTTCGGACTGATCAAGATGCACGACGGACCGGGGAGATATGATGAGGGAGCCCTCCGTAATGACGACAAAGCGACCAAATAGTTCGCGCTTCCCTCAGTGTGTAACGGTCACCAGCGAAATTTGTCTAGTGTGGTTTGCCATGCTTAGAAAGGCGATGCGCATCGTTTTACAACGTCAGGAGCCCAATTAGGAATCATCCAGACGGCCACGTAGTCGTAGTCCCGGGTAGCAACTAATGTGAGAGCAGCCGGAGGCTACATGACACAAGGGAAGTGAAAGTATTTATAATCTCTCCGCTCCAATACAGTGGAAGTACACAGCATAAGATGGATGTCTTCTGTCCGAGGTCTTGTTGTGTCTGGTGCTGTTGTGGAGGCTCTCTACGTACGGTGCTTCCTCCACATCCCCACACTACACCACCTTACTGTACAGTTCTATTCCACAACGGTTTCTGAACAATCAGATCCTCCACATGCGTGGAAATCCCGATCTCTATGTGGAAGGATCAAATATTAGAGATAAATACCATATGCCACATAAGCCTCGCAATAGCACAACAATTACACTTTCCCTCTCTCATAAGCTCATTGGATATTTCCACTATTTTCGGCACTGCCAGCTTGAATCTCACCATGACGTCCACCCTGCCATTGAATACATATAGGGACCCGGATTACGAGCGGGCCCATCAAAGCACGTTCGCACCGCCCAAATCGCGGCCTGTCGAGCCTGTGTTACCACCTGGAGTAAAGCAAGCTCAATTTGATGAAGCGTTAAAGCAATTTGCGTCCGCAGTGGGGACAGAACAAGTTTTCATTAAAGAGGCTTTGGCTCACTACATCGATCCCTACGAAGTTTGTGAGAATGATGCATCGCAGAGAAAGATGCCAAGTGCTGCTGTGTGGTAAGTCAAAGACTTTGGTAAAGGGCAGGCTTGCGATCGAAAAACTCTTCACTGACGTTGACTTCATTTAGTCCTGGCTCGGTAGATGAATTGCGGAGAATTCTTCGAGTTGCAAATGAATTTAGCATCCCATTTTGGACCTTCTCCAGAGGCAAAAATTTAGGGTGAGCGGCCCTCTCTCATCAATGTCCACTGTTTGTTGTTGCTCTGACAAGGGGCCTGGTAGCTATGGTGGACCGGCGCCCCGATTGAATGGGTCTGTTGCCTTGGATTTACATCGAATGAACAAAATCATTGCAGTTGATGATGAGTTTGCATACGCTGTCGTCGAACCGGGTGTCACTTTTAACGATCTTTACAATTATTGCGTCAAAAACAAGAAGAAAGTCTGGCCTAGTATGCCATCTCTAGCCTGGGGAAGCGTCACCGGGAATGTGAGGTAATCCCTCCTGACTTGCGTAGCGCATATGCTGACGGTAACTACAGACACTGGATCGTGGAACTGGATTTGGATCTAATTCGAATCACCATCAATGCATAGCAGGATTGGAGGTCATGCTTGCAGATGGAGACGTGGTTCGAACCGGACAGTTTGGCATTTCCAACTCCCCTTCCGCTTTCCTCTCCAGGTTCACTTTCGGGCCTTCTCTTGAAGGGCTATTTCTTCAGAGCAACCTCGGAGTGGTCACGCGGCTTAGCATATGGATGACGCCTCAACCCCCGGCCTTTATTTCGTGCTCTTTCAGCATGCCTGAAGAAGAAGATGTAGGCATCATGGTTGACGCCTTGGGTAAGATGCGCCAAAATGGCACCATTCCCAACGTCGTGTGGATTACAAACTTCGTCGAGTGGCTCTGCATTCAGGGCAGGCGATCCAAGTTCTGGAAAGGTCAAGGGCCAATCCCTGACTGGCGTCTTGAGGAATTGCAGAAGGAATTCAACGTGGGTTTCTGGACGGCGAAATGGGGTCTGTATGGGCCGAAGCGGATTATTGAGGCTCAATTAGCGGAGATCGATGATCAGCTGAAAAAGGTCGCACCCGCCGGCACACTAACCGGGAAGCTTTTCGTCGGAGAGAATGGAAAGCTTCTGGAGGCAGAAGTAGTTCCTCCTGAGCATGGTCTTATGCTCGTGGGGGTACCCTCGTTGTTCAGTCTGCCTCTTATGGAATGGGCTATCCTCAATGACAAAACCGGAAAGGCGGCCCATGGAGATTATGCTCCGGTTATCCCCTCGTCGGGAAAAAGGATTGTCGAGTGGATCAGAGCGTGCAAGCCGATCTACAAGGCCGCTGGTGTTGACTTCATGGCAGACTTCTTTATGCATGAACGACACGTCATATTCACGAATATGTACGCATACGACCAGCAAGATCCCGAACAATGCAAGCAAGTGGAGCGGCTATACATGGGAATGTTTGAAGAATCCAAGAGGAAAGGCTATGGAATGTACCGCGCGCATGTCCGCCACATGGGTATGACACAGGGAGTTTCGGACTCAATAACAAAGGCCTCCCGCTAACATGGCGTGCTAGATTTGATCGCAGGATTGAACGACTTCAACAATCACGCATACACTCGGGTTGTTGAGAAATTGAAGGTAAACTCCCTTGATTGATTTGGTTTCAAATAACATTTCTGACCATTGTGAACTAGGACGCTCTTGACCCACGTGGAATCCTGGCACCAGGAAAGCAGGGCATTTGGCCGCAGAAATATCGGCACCTGCGGGAACTTAACCCTCAGTCGCCGAGAGAGACAAAGATTTAATAGTTCATAATACTATGCATTAGTTTTATTCGGCTATTAGGATATATTATCTGACGTGTCATATTATTTCCTTAGACTAATAGGTCATCTTGGCTTCCAGCACGATCGGAAGGCCGGAAACCTCAGTTTCTATCGGCAGAGTGAACGCAGGGTAAAGTGGCTTACGGGTGAGCAACTACAATAGTACTGAGTGAGGGAGTGAGCAGAGGACACTAAGAACACGCAACCCACCCAGAGGCAGAGCTGTGATGACTGCGATAGTGTTTTGGCGGAAAGGTCGGATAGGGTCAGATTTGGGGTCCGGATGAATCGCACAGCTGGGTAAAATAGACAGCTTTTTCAGCTGATACCATTTGATCAAATGGATCTCTGAGAGGTCTCAAAAGAATAGCCCAAAAGACTGTCAATTGAACGAGATGCTAAGAAAGGGATGATGTTGTCTAACAGATCCTGTCCGGGACCTTCCCAATTTATGGCCCCAATAGGTCTGGCTACTGGTCCCTACCCGGTACGGTATTTCCTGTTGAAGGAACCCACCAATCCTAGCCCTAGTAGCTGCAAACATCCGATCAGATGACCTTTATCCCCGAAGACCGGAAAGCCCCGACTCAGTACAATAACCCCTACTCATTTTAATAGCCTATCCTGCTGATTTGATTGTCACAAATCTGATGTTACATCCACCTTTGCCAACAAGGGACGAGAAGACCTATCCCATTTTGGGTCACACACACAAGAACATAAGGATAAGGTGGAGATTAGTACGGGATGTTTAACGTATCAATTTTATCATTACGACTCTCGAATCTTTGACGGCTTTGCAAGAGAGTTCGCGCTATCTTTCAGAGGTGATCTCGTATTGAGCTGCCGGGCTCTGGTCTGCTCGCACTAGCAGGCCGATTGCCGCTTTGTCGGACTTTCGGAGCCTTTCTCAGACCCCGGTCGTAGGAGGCACCCCGGAAAGTCCAACGGGGTATTATGAAATCTCCGCCTCCTGAGCTTCTCAGTGGACGGAATCACCAACGCGTATATCTATATAATCAATCCTACATCCGGTTAAAAATATTGGCGAATGAAACGTGACTTTATCCACTTACGCGACTTCGAATATACTATGCCGTCAACTACAAAAACGGTCTTGATTACTGGGTATGACTAACCCTAGTTTGTTTACTCTAAACCTGCCTAAACATACATGCAGCTAACTCTTCTTGAGGTGCACACCCGGCGGCATTGGATGCGAACTAGCTCTGGCATTCCATCGGCAAGGTAAGGAGAACGTATCTAGAGTATTTTCTTACTTGGCCTAACACAATCTAGGTCTCCATGTTATCGCAACTGCGCGTCGCCTCGATGTGTTGAGCGATCTCAACGCGCTGGGAATAGACACTTTGCCGCTTGATGTTACAAAATCGGAGAGTATCAACACGTGTCGAAAGCAAGTCGCAGAAATCACTGGGGGATCTCTGGATATTTTGGTCAATAATGCGTAAGTTTGACCAGTTCGCACTCAATGCTACAATGGGGTGAAACCAGTCCTTTGTCATTCATGGCTAAAAAATTCTGTATATCATAGAGGCGTCTCACACACAATTCCGGCTGTCGATATAGATATGGATGATGTCCGAAACACCTTTGAGACTAACGTCTTCGGCGTCATGGCCATGGTCCAAGAATTTGCGCCCCTTCTTATCGCAGCCCATGGTCACATTGTCAACATTAGCAGCACAGCATCAGTGGCCCCATACGTCTTTGGGTCGGTGTTTTGCGCAACTAAAGGCGCTATCAACTCGTACTCGCGCACTCTACGACAAGAACTGCGACCTTTTGGGGTACGAGTTACTGTGGTGATGGCTGGCACAGTAAAAACGAGGACAACCAAGCTGTACCGCCAACTTCCTTCAGGGTCGATTTACCTCTTGCTTGAAGAATTATTCACTAGAAAGCTTACCTACTCAGAGAATACGGCAAAAGTGGAGGCGAGAGATTTCGCTGAGCAGCTAGCTGTTGAACTTTTAAAAGGTCGGGGGTGGCTATGGGGACTTATTGGAGGGAGGGCGGACTGGCTCTGGATCGGTGGCAGTGCTACCACCGTCAGAGTAGCGCGATGGGTTGGTGAATGGCTTCTCGATAGTAAGGCTTACAAGATGTTCGGTCTTCATAAGCTGGAGGAGTTGGTACGCAAGCAAGAGACTAAGGCTGATTAGAACCGTTGTTGTATCTATTAGCAATCGTCCCTCATATCTGGAAATCCACAGCCGCTAGCATGAGCAATATCTGCGTTCCTTTGCTTGAGCTGTGATGCTATTCACGTCCGGCTGATCCAATGTTCCCAATACCTAGGGCATCAGCTACCGTAATTGCTTTCTATTGCTGCGGTCCTCACCGCCCTCAATTATCACGAATACAAAAGCATCTATTCAGGTTAATCAATACATCACACTCGCTCATCCAATACGACAACCATATTTTAATAGCATGAGTGCGCATCCGGGACGGTCTCAATCAATGCAATTCCGTGCCGGGTGTCAGATCCAGCCTTGTCTCAGAAGGTCGCCATAAAAGACCATTAAATGCCGTCATGTAGCTAGAAATCAATAGTTTCTATTCGCATCAATGCGATGCCTCATTTCATCAGATGCAACAACGTGGCATCCCGTGCTAGGGTTACGTTAGCAAACAAGCGAGAGTATGGTGTTATCACAAGATCAAAAATTGAATAACGTATCAGCATAATAATTGACTGCTTATAAATTTCATCTTTCAAGCAAAAGAAATATGTACATAATCGAAAGTTAGGCCTCAAGGTTTCCATGCTGACATGACTCTGGATGAAGCTCTCTTCAGGTTCAAACTCATTCGTATTTCTTGAGCTTAGTCCCTACCACTAAGCCAGAATCGTTGCGCTTGTGTCCAGGTTCTCAGAGGGTCTTAGATCCGGGGCCTTGTGTCCAATCCTCGTGATTGTAAAGCGAGCTGCATCCGGCCATGGTCATTTTTAAACACCAACATAGACCGAAGCATAAAGAAAGAAAGTGCGCCAGGGATGAAGACTTAGGTCTTCAGTGTCAACACAGCAGGCCGATAAGGCAGTAGTCCATAGTCGCCGCTGGAGCTGGGAGATCGTCCCTGGTACAGAAACTGCAGGTTGCACGGATCAATCGTCATTGTCTGGTCGGGGTCGCTTCGAATCAAGTCGCCATGGCTGATGTCGTTAGTCCAGGTGGCACCGCTGTTTGCCTTGCCGGCGAAGGGCTTGCTCTCGGTTGCGGCCTGCGCTGTCCACGAACCGCTCAGGCTGGTGGCTGTGAAGGAGCGGAAGTACCGGCCGTTTGCTCCAATAGCCTCGACAATCATGAGGTACTTGGATTGACCCTTGACAGTGTAGACTTGAACTGCCTCGAACAGGTTGTTGCTCGAGTCGCTGAGGACCACCTGCGAAGACGAGCCGAAATTCCCTGGGAAGTTTCCGATGGCCATGCTAGACCGATAGATCTTCCCATTGTCTCCTGCAAAGAACAGATACATGTTGGAACTGTCCCCGATGAGAGTCTGGTCGATGGCGCCAGTGCTAGAGCCAGTGATGGTCCCAGTGAAGAGCGTCTGCGCTGACGACCAACCATTCACATTGGTTGGGTCACTCGATGTGCGGTACGAGAATGTAGTAGGGCCCCATTGGTGTGCGAGAACCCAAATGCTCTTTGGTCTGAAGTAGAAGATCGTGGGCGCAATGGCAGTCGAGGTCATGCCAGTCTGGGTCGCTGAGCCCATCTGAGACCAGTCTGAGAAGGGGGCGAAGCCCATGGAGCCCCAGCTCGAGCCTGTGTCGTGGTTCGTCGCATACACGACATGCTTGCCATTGTAAGTAATGGTAGTGAAGTCCTTGAGTGAGACCCATCCCGACTTAGGGCTCGCCAACGCGCCAGTTGATGTCCAGCTGTACGTCGATGGAAGACTACAGGTTTGCGCGATGGCACCTCCTGCTGTAGCGAGCATCAAGATGCCGGTGGAAAGGTCGATGTTGAGTCTCATGATGGTCGTCTTCACTCAGAAATATAGACAAATAGAAGATGGCCGAGTGTGTGTAGAGTGCAGTAGGAAGAGAAACAAGAGGGCCGCCTGGATTTATATACCCAAGGCCTTGTTTATTTCAGTCGTCTTCCAAATCAGGAATTTGCCTCATTGATGGATAAACACAAGATGAATCAGTGTCCAATTTACCCCAGGTCAAATAAGCTAACAATGAGATGATTTGTTGACTTGATGACTTCATGGTGCACGGATCGTTACTCCGATTCTCCTCGCACTAGACCCTTACCAGGCAAAGTAGAGCGGTTCATGAGGCTCCGACACCTATTTTAAGTGGGCATAGGAATAGTAAAATGCGCGCCAATGGCGTCTCCCAACAGGATCTGTAGGACAGGTGTAAGGGTGTCGGTTTCATATGAGTATGGAGCATGAATCTAGCCACGAGGATCGTATGTGGGTATAACCATTGCTAGGGACGTATTCGGCTCTGTTCTCCATTCAATGCAACCCCTGAATAGCAGTCCTTACATAGCCTAGGATCAAGTCGCACAGACTATTTGATGGCCCAATAGACTTTAGTAGTCTCCGGACAGATTCGACATGATTAAATTCAGGGTGCTGCCCTGAGAGAGAGGTCTCAAATTGACTCCCCTGTCAGGGTCCAAAAAGCAAGAGTCAATGCTGAACTGCGCAGTCAAGCGGTCGGCCAACGGAGCCGATACGGCATGATTATGCCGTGATCGTAGGCTGTTCAGGGTTGACAAAACTCGTCCATAGAAATGATGATCCTAACCGGCAATCCAGTAATCATATTTGCCCCAGGCGTTTGGAACAACAGCTAGGCCATTCGCTGTCATGGAGGCCACGTCAATCAACCATGACAGACTTCGATTTCTCGTATTCCAGAACTGTTAGCTTGAATACATATGCCACCATGAATTTAGACATATTACTATTAGCAGCAGCTATGAATTTCCCTCCAATCTTTTTGAGGAATTGAGAGCCGTGTAATCCGTGCAAACAGCCGAGCCATCGTGGGTGAGAGGGGCCTATGCTTGGAATAAATTAAGACCCGATTGGCCTACACCAAAAGTACAGAGGTCTCCACATCGCTTGATGACCCTGGTCCAAATCGAACACGAAATAAATCAGATTAGCCTGTATCGGAAGATACCGCCAACTGTGACCCTAGAAATGAGGGGGTTCCATCGATTCTGTAACAAAAAACCATCTTAGTCTAATTCTGCAGGCTAAAGACCCAGATGATTGGCATCCCAGCCGGCCCCTGTGTCTTAATGAGGAGGGCGGCATGTAACCTCCGCAGTGGTCAAGAATGGCAGACCGACTTTTTACTCAACTTCAGGGAACTAGAGCGCTCGCATTTTCGTATGTCATGGTTAATTTTCAATACGCACTTATGAGCTCGAAGTCTTAGCTACTTTCCAATACTTCAAGAACGAGAATCTCGAGCAATGTAGAAAAATGGCGACCTGTCTAGTTCCTCGACGGCCTTCCACGTCATACATATCAAGACAAACTCCCAGAAATCCCCAAAGATGACTACTTTCACTATATCAAATATACGGTGGGCGAGGATTCTTTCAAGTCCTATTGCATCTATACATGCTTCTTCGGCGGCGATTCAAATCCAAATCGCCCAGGTTTCCCTCGACATACCAAGTCGCCGTCACCTTGACAGTTATTACGCCAAGAATTCCATACTTGAGTTATTTCTTTCGGTTCTTTAACGTTCCGACAGATAAAAAAATGCGGTTATCACTTACTCTCTTCGCCCAGATCATTAGGTTTCACAACGCAACGTGGTCGCAAAAGGTGGAGCAGTCGGCTTGACTACACAATTTGCGATAGCCACAGGTAGCCTCGACAGCACAATGGCCAAGTTCGACATGCCAGACTGAATGGTCTTCTCCGTGCTTTCCACAAACAGTCACGCTGAGTCACTCTCTGAAATGACCCCTTTAGAGGCTCGCCAGGCAACAAGTTCATCTAGGGAGTCTTGGAGACTATGAGCACCCTACCGCTGACATGCCCGACCGGAAACATTTCATGCTCGACGTCAATATGGTCTGAGAAGCTCTCAATAAATAGCATGGAAGACTAGATGAGACAGTGATTCAAAATGAGGTTTTGGCGGTGCACCCAGCCTTCCGGTAGGTATTTTTGGGGGAATAGTCCAAGGAAACGCGAAAGTGGGTGACGAAGGCGAAGTAGATGGTTCGGGAAATATAGCAACCGTAGCATCGCCATCTCTAGATTGTACGACGTCTGGTGGCCGATGAACGCATTGTGAAGCGGCAAAGGGAGTAAGAAGCCATTTCGAGCGTATGAGAGCAGTCGAACGGCCCCCAGATGCAGTGTGGTAAAGGGGGAATCCTTGGTAGATCGTATCGTTGTGGATATTGTAGTGCTCGAATTATGGCAGATATCGTAGTAAGACGAGGAAGGCAAAGCAAAAGATCCAATTTAGCATCAGCATGATCGCAGATGACAATATTTTCGTCTTTTTCGAATAGGACTTGATTTCATTGCGATTCAGCCCATATTAGCAGAGTGTAAAAGATCATTTACAGGATCAGAACGTATCATGAGTCCTCTGCATATTCAAGCTCGATACTGCGATTATAGGGATTTATCAAGTCTTAGGTAAGTTACGGGATGAACATCTCGAATAGCACTCTTGCCGGATCGACAAGTTCCATGTCAAGAAATTCCTTGCAGCCATCCACCCACCACACACAGGCCTTATCATGGGACAAAGCATGCTAAGAAGTCATTGGTTAGCGGTACTCTGAAATTTTACTGGCACCCCTTGGATTCCATACGTATGCATGGACTCATAGCCCAAGAAATGGCAGTCTGGATGCTTTTAGCGCGGCTGCGGGTCATGTGTCAGTGTTGCTATTGTCAATAACTAATACATGGTTTCAATCTACCTGATGGTATCTTGCCAAGCTAAAATGATGTAAAATAAAATAAAGAATTCATGTTTCTCTCACTGTGTATTACTGCTTGTTTTCTGTAGCAACAGTCTTCCCCTGGAACAATTAGAACCGGCAATGATAAGCTATAAAGGCTACGATGACAATGCAATAAATTAAATAATATTGATTACAAGTATAAAGCAAATACTTTTTTTGAAGGTTCTTTAGATATAGAGGTGAAGTATATCAGATCAGACCCCGTTACAGCCAATTAACCAAGGCATCATAGTTCAGGGTTAACAAGAAGATAAGTCTTAATTATTAAAAGAGTAAGTGCTAAGTAGCTACTTTAATTAAATGAGTATCAAAGCAGTTGTTTAAATAGCATTATCTAGAAGTCATTCAGTCTTGAATACCATATATACACTGACCCGAAGATGTAGTTCGCAACTTAGGACAACAATGCGTCAACCAAATCCAGAACGGACTGGACAACGGGGTAAAGAGGCAGGAGAGGGTTGTAGACCTAGTGACCTATTAGTATACAACCAAAGACAACGAAAAGATAAGAGGCAACTTACCGACTGGCACCGAGCGTTGTAGTCGCTGGTAGACGCCTTGATCAGAGACAGCTCATCGCCAGGAACTCCCAGCTTAACCAGCTCGCCTGACGTGGGTGACACCTTACCCCAACCAGGGCCGGCGCTGGGGTTCTTGATCCACTTGACGAACCAAGTGTGGATAGAGTCAGCCAGCTCCTGCTGCGCGGTAGTGACGCCTGAGAGAGCGCTGAAGCATTCGTTGCCGCCGTGGAAGAAGGGCACCTCCGTTCCGTGGGTGGGCGCAGTTCCAGGAACACCCACGACGTTGTCGTAGGCACCGAAGAATCGATAAGCCCAGGTGTTCTGCACGCTGCTGCGCATGTCGAGGAGGTAGTCCACGGGGCACTGGAACCGGGCGTCGCCATACTGGTCGCCACTGCGGAGCGCCTCGCTGGCATAGTCGGACTCAGGGTAGGCCGCAATGAGGGCAGCGTCAGGGATATAGGCGCTGTCGGCATCGAAGGTGTTGATCCATGACGAGAAGTCGCTGTTCTCGGCTCCGTAGACGAGGCTGAAAATAGTTCCCTCACCGTTGGACGTTCCGGTCAGGAGGGGGACGTGAGAAGCGTACTTTCCGGCAGCGAATCGGGACTGGTAGTTGGAGAATCGGGTGATGTCGTCGATGACGGGGGTGAACCACGTGTTGAAGGTAGAGTTGAAGTTGGCCGTCTGGAAGGCGTAGACATCGACTTCACGCAGGCAGTCAAGTTGACCGTCACCGGTAGAGCAGCCGACTTCCTCTGCGACAGCATCAAGAGCCTGGTTGGCGGGGGCATAGGCTGGGCCGGACATGGCATTGGCGCTCATCTCAACGGCACCCTTGAGCCAACTGTCGGGGTGGTTCCAGAGGTAATGGTCGACCTGAACACCGCCTGAGGAGTGGCCACCAAAGACGATGTGATCGGGGTCTCCTCCGAAAGCTGTGATACTGTTAGCAAAGTGTTGATACATTGTGGACGAAGGCATGATGCGCACCCGCGATGTTGTCGTGAACCCACTCCAGGGCCTTCTCCACATCCAGGATGCTGAAGTTCTGCGACTCCTTGCCATCCTCCAACTCGGACGAGTGAGGGGAGGCAAAGATGCTCTCGCGGGTGTTGAAGTTGACGTAGACGACACCGTTGCGAGCAAAGTTAGAGCCTTGTATTTGCGGGTTGCTGCTTGAGCCTGTGACCATGGCACCACCGTACATGTAAACAAACACCTAGACAAAAGTCAGTCAGCTGCGACTTTGTTGGTCTGTAGTCTCTAGTGGCAAACTCACAGGCAGCTTCTCTCCCTCAATGGGCGCCCAAATGTTAAGGTTCAGGCAGTCCTCGCCCTGCTGGCTGAAGAGGGTGCCGGAAATGGCCTGAGGACATGTTGGGCCATAGGAGGTCGCGCTGAAGCTTGAGTTGGACTTGGGAAGGTCCTTAGGTGCCCGCCATCTGGTGGAAAGGTGTTAGCTTGAATGACACATAGATCAATGTGCTGTAGGTCGGGTGTGTGCCGAACGTACCGGTTCTCTCCGCCCGTGGTAGCAGCGAACGGGATGCCCAGAAAGACCGAGTTGCTCGAGCTGTCGCGGAAGCCCTTGATGGTGCCCTGGGGAATGACGGCAGTGGGGATGGCCGGTAGGACTGTGCATGGAGTAGCAAGTCCAGGAGCAACGAACGACGCAACAAGGACTAGGCCTGTGGCCTTGGTGAGGAGATTGGCGAGTCCCATGGTGGCTGAATCCTAACACACTGGCGGCAATGGCTGAGGAGCAGAAAAGGTGATGATCAGCTTGACGAGACTTCATATGCAAGAAATACAAAGGCTCGCTAATGAGACCTACGTAACGTGCTTTAACACGGCCCACTCACAATTTACGTTGCAGCCTCCTTTTGCGCTCGGCATTACTACGAGAGCGGCCAGAGTGGCAAGGCTGATTGCTCAGGTGAACGAGAACTACGCCTATTCAGAGTGGAGAAGAGGTGCAAAATACTAGGTTCCCTGGTCGGCTTGGTCAGAGCATCCGGAGTACTACGTAGTAGTTCAGCCGGTATGGGAGGGGTTTTGTTCCGGATGGTCCGACTGACTTGGCGTTCACTAGTCGAAACGAACCGTCCATTTTACATGAATGCACATTGGATAATTCAACTTAGCTTGGACGGGAGGCGGGAATAAAAGACATTACTATCAAGCCACACTTTAAACCGGCGATCCGGCTCTTTCCGTTAATTCATTGTGTGGTGAACTATAGCAAGAATACCAATAAAACCTGCTCTCGTTCCGCTTCCCAACGGCTGCAATTCCTTCTTATATTGAACCAGGGGACAGCGCCCGCTCGAACCCAAATCCTTGAGGATCCTGCCTTGACATTGCAGTCTTTAGTCGGAGCTAGGTGACAAATATTGACTAAAGGCTCCATCGTCGGAACTTGGAGTGGAGAGGTGGATACACTCTGGTTGCAAAACTCCCCTGCAGCCAAAATAGTTCGCGCTGCCTCGGCTGCCCGTATAGGGAATTAATCTGCCGATCCGTCGTCTCTCCGCTTAATCGTCGGAAGGATGGTAAAAACCTCATAACAAGGATGCAGATTTCCCACCAAGTTTATGCAGACTCTGCCCATGCACTCTGCCCATGCAGTGTTAGCGCAGATCATTAGCTCGCCAAGGCCTGCTATATTCGCCGTACTTGCGTGACTCTCAGGGGTCGTTTTTCCATTCAGGGGGTTCGCCGATCACTGATTGCGACACGGCGGAGAGTTGTTCGGAAGCGACCGATACAACTCGCGTGGCAAGACGAGGGACTTTGGCAAGTCAGGGCTCGCTTCGTGGCTTGTTCCCTGCTTCAGTGCAACCCTCACAAGCATGTCCCATGAGCTCGTGACAGAGCTCGTGGCAGTTGCTGCACGAGATTCAATAGTCCCGGACCTGAGCCCGCAAACATGTATATCACCTACCCTTGCCCATACCATCCTGGCTCACCTGTTCCGTGGCACCGGGAACCTCAGGTGCCGTGTTCCTGCAGAAGCCATGCTCCTGCAGACGCCATGGAACTAATGGAAGAAGGTGTGCTCACTATTTCGTATGCACCGCAGCGAACCCCCTGCTCGTCGTTCCAGGCCAAAGCAAGCCCCGTGGGTCACGGGCAGGACGGAAAACAGCTACTGGAATGTAGATCAAGAAATAAGACAAGACCAGAACCACATTCCCCCATGCCACCTCGACATCAGCACCATTTGAATCGCAATGGCAGAGGGTCTTGGTCAAGTGGTAGGTGCAGTCCCTTGCGTTGATCTCGAGTCGTGATTGTGGGCCGTAGATCAAAGACGCTGACTGACTCCATCTCAAGGTATCGTGGTACGTCTGCACCATCGTCGCCTTCATCTTTGTGGTGGCACGGCTGTGGATCCGCGTCAGCAAATTCGGGTCTCTGGCGCTTGAAGATGGCTTCATCATCTTGGCGACATGCTGTCTCGTCGGAGACCTGGCAATCCAGCAGTACATGTGGAACCTGGGCATGGCCGAGATGGGCACCGCCAGTCGACAGGACTTCATCCACATCATGCAGGTGAGTTGGTCGCGATGGAGTGATGCCGGTCTTTGTGCTGATGGAGTTGAAGATGATTGTGCCCGGATCGATTCTCTACGTCTCGTCGCTATGGGCCATCAAAATCGCCCTCGTGCTGTTCTACAAGAGGCTCGCTGCGAGAGGAACAAAACTACAAATCATTTACAACGTCGTGTTGGGACTGCTGGCGGCTACGTGGACTCTAATTTTCTTCCACATCATCTTTCAGTGTTTCCCGCACAACAAGAGATGGTCCCTAGATCCGACATGTACGTGCAACTCCAATCGAGAATCAATGTACCAGCTTTTGAAACTAACGACTCGCAGACCAATGTGATCCAGCCAACGCGAATGTTAATTACTGGATTACTATCCTCTGTAAGGATCCTACCCTTGCTGCAGATGACATGTCAATTGTGACAAACTAACTTGCGTGCAGTGAACATCTTTAGCGATGTGATCAGTGAGTGGCGATCGTGATCTCCCATTCCGACGGCCTGAACTAATGGTTTGCAGTCATCAGCTTGCCCATTTCGATGGTTCTCAACCTTCAGATGAAGTTCAAGCAAAAGCTCGGCGTGACCGCAATCTTTGCGCTTGGATTCTTCGTCGTCATCGCGAGCAGTATGTACAATTCTTGCCGGCTAAAAAGATATGCGTGCTGACGAGCATAGTTATCCGAGCGTACTATTCGAAGCGCAACGAAACCATGCTGACCTGTACGGTCTCCATGGTTGAAACCGCTGTGGCAATCATAGCCACATGCCTCCCGCGTTCGTCACCTCTGTTCCACTTGCCATTCTTTCCTCTTTACCCAGCGCTAACATACATTTCACAGCCCTCCGAACCGTCCTCCTAGGCCATTCGTCGAGCGCAGGAACCGGCTCCAACTACGGACACTACGAACTCTCCTCGGCCGGTCACAATCGAAGTCGACGAACCCAGCAAAGTCGCATCACGACCAATATTGTTGGGGGAACACAACAGAGAGGGAACGACTCTGAGGATGAGTTGGTCAAGGAGGCCGTGTCGGTCGCTTCAGGGGCCGGTGGGTCAGTTGCGTCTGGCACAGGCACTCGAACACAAGACAAGAGCGGGATTACAGTGAGCACAACGTTGCAGATGCATCATGGGAGGGGGGACGCTACAAGATCCGAAGCGAAGTATAGTAATTTTGCTTAGTGGGTTTATCCTATCCCTTTCTAAGTCTCTATGTAATAGTAATACCCTAATATCTTGGAACAGCTAGTGTTGCATGATGGAGGGCCCTCCAACTGCGACGTTAAGTGGTCTAGAACTATTTATGTTCTGGGAAGATGTTGCTTCAATAGGGAGAGTCAGCCAGGTTCAAGCTGTTGTAAGTTTCCGGCACGTATCATATGTCTCCATATGAGAGACTAGGATCAGGGAATTTGGGTAGCGACAATATTTTATTCTCGGAATATAGGGAATAGTTGTCGCTGGAGTCTTAATAATACTGGATACCGGCCAATTATGCGACTCATATGGATACGGAGAGTGTTAGGTCCAGGAAGCGCGGGACAGTTTTGCTTACCCTACAGGACATGTTTCCTAAAACTACACTCCTATATATCACCAATATACCTATATAATCACAAGAGACCTTGGCTATACAGTGTGTATTCCAATATAATGCGGCGCATAATTTTCTAAAAGCTATTGATGGTTGGAAACCTGCGTGATAGTGATATCTCTATCGAATTGCATCAAGACTTGGGGAAAGCATTCCAGCACATACTTTGGCAACTTATTGCTGCCTTTTTGCTCTAATGAAGAAAACAGGTGCATCTCCCTGTTGATGACATGCATCGTGCCTGTTGGAAGCAAGGTTGAAGACGAAATAGTGAGCTTAGCAATATGTACTATTATGGCCTTCACATCGGAACATAGGTGTTGACTGGGTGGGATTGCATGTCCGCTTGGACGCTACGGACAAGGGAACGCGTGGTCGCGTCATGCACCAACCGTAGGGTAGCCGCACCGTGGCGATGAGAGACCAGTGAAATTAATGGACCAGGTTTACGGCCAGCTGAGACTAATTAAAGATGATACAATGTAATGAACCATCGGGACCAAAACAGAAGCCCTCCAAGTTAGTTCCTCTGTAAAGTCAATGATGGGGTGGAAAGAGGCAGAGGTGAGGATTTTGGATGCAGGAAGTCAACAGTTGCTGGTAAGACACAGCCCAGCACGTATCCAAGAGGGAGGCTCGACGTCTTCCTGATAATCAAGGTGTACACTAGCGCAGTTGGATTTGGAAAGGCCAATGCGACCTCACCTCGACCTCTCAATTGAGACATTATTGACCAGTATAGCCACCTCTGATTGCCACAGTACTGAAGCTCTCTCTGCAACCATGGGATACTGTGTCCTTTGTGGAGTTCCAATCACTCGGCGGCTCCATGAGCCATGGCTAAAAGAATTCCGAGCCGGTGAGTTTGGCACTACAACTCAAGCAGCCCCGAGATTGAGCTGACACTGCTTCGTAGTGTGGATAGAGGATGATGAGTGGGACAATGTCAAGTTGTCTGGAGTTGGCATGTGTGACGAATACGACGATGTCGTCACGGGTATTGTTCCAAGCGACCCTCGCTGACGTCACGATGATCCTGTTGATCCGGACTCCCTGATTGAGGTTGCATTGAAGACATTCAATCTGGAGTATCTCGTGCACCCCGAGACTAGCCGGTACGAGCCAGAGCCATTTTGATGTTGGGCGTTTCATTCATCCTGTTGGAACATTCTCAATACAGACTTCACACCAAATCGTCGCCTTCTTTTCGAAATCTGCCTCTCCATGCCCATCGGCGTGGATAGTATCATGGATTGGGGACACAACTACGGAGGAGCGGCAGACCTCTAGAGCAATTACGAAACCCCCATCCCAGGCAGTCGGTTCTCGGACTGGGCATCTATACCTCAGGACTTGCAATCGGATCCGTTCGATATCCCCGGCCTTGAGAAGGCTATCAGACAATCTGTTCGCCTACAAAACGACGCATTCGAGTCTCGCTTCAGCACCGACAACCTCAATCTAGCGGGAGATAAATTTTCCCGCTCATCACCAGAACTTCTTCAACTCATTGCCACCCTCCTTCCGACGTCCGATGTTCGTTCAATTCGCCTAGCGTCCTCAGGCTTCGCCATATTTAACCTACCAGAGAAATTCTGGGCATCCCGATTTAAACGAGGCAATGAGTTTGATCATATACCCGAGGCCCTTCATAACCCTCCAGAGTCCTGGAAGGCGCTATATCTATCGCTTAAAACCTGGGCTTGCGATAATCCCGGTGTGGCCAATCGGAAACGCGTCTGGGGACTCGCTAAGCAACTTCAATCAATACTCTCTCAGATGGAAGGTGTTCATTGCAATGGATCCCCCTTGAAAACTTGGTTTGAGTCTCCCAGGGCAGCCAAGTTCTGCGAAGACGAAGGAGAAATCTCTTGGCGCACAGCTGCACGTGGGATCAATGCCCCAGAAAAGAACTTCAGACATGGCTGCCGAGTTTTGCGGGCCCGCGCCTTTCGTTTCTTACAACCTCTCGAAGTACAGCGTATTTCTGTATTTTTGTTCACACCGCAAGCGGCCCGTTTGTGTCTGGTCTACTATTTGTTCAGAAAGGAGGCCAACAGCATGCTCTCGGATACCTTCCCACCACCAAAGTGTTCCGATTCAATTTCCCACCGTCCAACGCATCCAAGGATGGGAGCTTGCTCTTGATAGTCGGGGATCAGAGCAATAGCAGTTATTACTGACGACGGCACAAGGTCTCCTTGGGCGGGCGAACCGGGAGATTTTCCAAGATGGCACTTGGCTGAAGCTGAAGGCATTTCTGCAGTCAAGGTCGAGCTTGAGGTGAGTTTCTATTTCCATATTTCTCCATTGCATTTGACCCTGAGAAATAGTGGATATGTGTTGACTCTTCTCAGGGCTTGAAACTTGTTTCATTGAGTCGTGACAGCTCGAGTGAGCCTCCAAGAGATAATGAATGGCGAAGCACGTGTCTTTGGTATCCTCATGTACCGCCCGAACGATTGCTATTCAACGGAAGTGAGGGTGACCAACCGCCACATCGTTTTGACCTTCCAGTCACGACTCTCTTTTTCGATGGACCAGACTGTCGAAATCCATCAAAACTGGTCAAAATTGTCGTTTGGACATTTGACATAGCCTATATCGCTGGTATCGAATTCTTATTTACCGACGCCTCGCAAAATAGCCATCTGGGGCACATCGGCCCATTAGGTGATGCCTATACCCTACCAAGGACGTTCGAAAACCCTCAAGATCATCGCTTTCCAATGTCGATTGACGGTTCTGGAGGCGAAGAGTTGAGAAGTATCGAAGTACAGGAGAAGGGGGGATATCTAGCAGGACTGAAGGTATGGATATGATCATGTCCGATGATGTCTTTGTTGATCGGTGCTCATGCCGCGTTATGCAGATCCGCACGAGCTTTGACCGAGAAGTCACGACTCCCCAGCATCCGTTCGCAATCGACAAAAAGTGGACTATTGTTCAACCAGCAGGTTCAAAGATTGTTGGTTTATTTTGTAGACATGTAAGCCCATCCTTTCCGAGCTTCAAGTCTTATTAGTTTTCCATAAGCGAGAACCTCAGATTCACGAGAAAGGGAAAGAGAGAGAAATTCTAACATCGCATCAGGGTCGCATTCTTTGGAGCCTGGGCTTCATATCAACTATCCCAGCTATCGATGATAACTAAGTTCAAGCAATCGTCTCTTCATTGCGTCGGGAGATGAAATTCCTCCAGTTCCATTGCGTGGATCAAATCGAAAAACATCCAGACGAAGACTAAAACATACATGAAGAAAGATTTCTTGTGATACAGCAAGATATGTGTACTAGATCCTGCTTGTCGCACGCCCCCAGATGAAAAGTTGCGAAGACAAAGTATTACTAAGAGGAGAGCTCTAAAACCACATTATATATATGGAGCATGAGATGAACAAATATAGACTCGTTAGCCTAATAAAGCTGTGCCAAATCAATAGAACAAATTACGAGACTAACCGCCGTATCATTAATTTATTATGCTGAGCTAATGAAGCATGTTCATATGTGTCCGGACGAATTTTGGTCAAGAGGTCACGCTCCCCCAACATCTTATTGCAGCTCATATAGGATTATCCTTTGAGAATTCTATGTTAAGATTACAGGTATCTCCTTCAGATACTGCCCTCGTGTTCTTCCTTGACCCTTTTGACAATGCCATTATCAACAACGAATCTCCGTGTCTTATCAGACCTCCTCTCAAAACTTTCCCAGCCCTTAAAAAAGTCGAAGACAACATCACGAGTCTTCTTGGAGTAGTACCTTGTTTTCAGGATAACCCCTTCGGGGATCTTTTCTCTTCCGGAACATTCTTTGAGGTCTTTGTCCTCCAGAAATAGTGCGTTACGGAGGATTTGCTGGGTCTCTCTGCTCTCGGAAACTTGCGCGATACTTTGCCACACGTTGCCAATAAAGCTGAACCGGGTGCCGCGGTGCCAAAAGTAAAGTACAAGAAAGATAAGTACATTGATGGCTATGGTTGCCATTACAGTCATGTATCCCCGTGTAGATTGTGGTGCCTGGACATATACGAAACGAGTCACTGTTGCTTTGTCTGTGGAAGGGAAGAAAGTATTGTAGTCGTAGTATACCATGCGCATGACGCTCGTCAGTAAACCTTGTAGCGCAAGAGCTGGTGAGTTGGTGTCCTTGATGGTTTCGGCAAAGAGGCTCGTTGAAGCACTGTTAACGACTTGGAATTTATCATCAGCTTGACAAGTCGGACAGAGAGCCAGATTGGTTGTATCTGGGAAAATAAAATCCATCCAGCCATAATAATCGTCACCGTCTTGATAAGGAGGCCCGCGTGCCTTTTCTCGAGCCTCAGCAAGGGACTTTTTCATATCCTGCGGAGATATCGTAAGTATTCCTCGGTTAGAATTTGTTAATCGTTCCTTGAGACTAGTGACACCGAGTTGGTTCCTAATTGCAGATGTGTCATAGGAACTTGAATTGGCATCCCATGTATAGGATAGGTAGGTTCTGTTCGATTATATAGGCTCGATGCTTTGATGTTGAGATTTTGTAACCTTTCTCCATCTCTAACACCAAGATACGACGTTAAAACTAGTATTTGGTGCAGAAAGAAAAGGGCGAACATACCCAATTTGTGTTGTATCACCTCCCGGAGCAAAGCACCAAGCCATATCCAAAGGGTAATCCATGGTAACATTTGTCCCGTCGAGAAGGCTTTTCCTTGAAAGCCGGCTCCACTGGCGCAGCCATGGACCGGATTGCGTGGCGTTCAAAAATGCCAATCGCTCATCCTCGATGTATGGGTCGAAAACTCCCTTTCCTTTAAATGGACGTTCGTTGAATATCAGCCAAGAAGCTCCAGAGATGCCGCCCATGTTGGTGGAGCGTGTTGTGTCGATTGTGAGATTTGAGGCAATGTTTCCAGGAACTGAACACAACATCCAACTATTATCGTTGTCATTATAGCCAGAGAGAGGACACGTAAAATTCGTCGTGATGATCCCATTGCTGCCGCGAGTCTCAATGTTGCGCACTGGTAAATTGGAGACTCTTGCCGTCGCATTACCACATATCTGATATCGGTATATCGGTTCAAATTCGACCTCGGAGTGACAGAACCGAAGGTCAATTATAGGCTCCGGTCGTATGCACAAGACGCGAACATCGATGACCCGAGATATACCCTCAAAGGTCCGTAATTCCTCTCTTTCAGATTGCAAAGCGAGCGGAATCAGCGCCCTAATCGTCGGACCGGTATCATCAACGCCCTCCACCGACATGCCACTTTCGGAATACTCAGCAAATGTCTCAGATATATCTGGTCTCCTTTCCCAGTAGTTTCTGACTTTGGAATTAAGCACCCCGAGAATATCATACGTGCTTTGATGAAAATTGAAGCTATTGTTGATCGTTTGGTTAAACGAACTGATACGTGTAATCTCAAGGTCGGTAACAAGTAGCGTCGAGGTGAATTGCGATGCCATAACAGCTAGCAAAAGTGTCGTAGCTAAGAATCTTATAGGTGCTTTGAATGTTTTGCCTGAGAGAAGAAGCATAAAAGGGACTGCGGTCCGCCATTCGTAAAGCGAGCAATGGAGACCTCTGCAACCGCGTCGAGAGGGACACCGTGAGACTCAAGGGCGACTGAGGCAATCATTGAAGTAGATATGACAGCAAGTGACCCAATCGCAGTCCTTATGAGCACACCGGTGATTGTTATTGCCTTCGTCAAGAACGAACCTAACACAACACGGCGCCATAAGTCTGTTGATGGATCTTCGAACCAGAGCCACGACAAAAATATGGCTGACTCTATGAGTACCAGAAGCGATAGCAAGATGACAAAGCGAAGCCACCAGCTCAATCTCGCAGAGCTTCCTCCAGAGTCATTTGCAGCAGTGCCTGCAACCAGTGGTATATTTTCTGTACTTCGGCTCGTGTCATTCGAAATAACGGAGGCTGAGATGCTGTCATCAGCTGTAGAATGATGCATTTTGAAGTCGAATTCTTGGCGATGAGATGTGTCGGTGGCTTTGAATCTGCCGTCTTGATACAAAGATGGCAATTAAACCCGGTGGTAGTGTGCAGGTCTTTTACTTAGATTTCAGGTCGAAAAGAAAGGTTCCGGGGGCCAGAGCGGTATTTGATAGCCTTGAAAGATACTTCGTAAGTTAGTTCAATTGCTACAGGAGCAAGAATTTGCGAATATAGGGGAATAAACGTTGCAGCCCTCAGCCCCCTCTCGGTTGTGGCACGAAGAGCTATTATTAGATCGCGGGCGAAGGATTGGAGAGAACTGGAATGTTCGAGAAGAAAATGCAGGTCAGGCAACCAATCGCAGAGAGGTAAAAGCAGGAATTGTACCACGTCGGGGTCATCATGCATAGCAGGCAGGTCCCTGCCGGATTGACAGGGGGGCCTACACATCGTCACTAAGGCTGTAGGGAAGGTCACATCAACTGCAATGCGAAAGCCATATAATGAACATAAGAACTCAGAGAGGAGACAACTGTTTTGCTCAAAGTGTTCGAGAATTTGGTGTAAATAGTCATCAACACCAGCATACGAGGCAAAGTATGAATGGAGTTTTGTCGTTAGAAACTCACTACTGCCTTGCATGCACTAGAGCTTGAAAGGAATAGAAGAGGAAATCTCTCAGCCCAATAACACTGTACAAAGTTAATACTAGAAGACAATGCAAGAAGAGGCGCCTTACCTTCCCAGCCCCATTCCTTCATTATGCTGAACCAATGCAATTTGCTTATTATTGTAAACTCGACGCATTTGAGCCTCGTTCCAGGATCCATATTTCTCGTGTGGATAGTCAAGTTCTGCAAACTGGAAGATTTCGTGGACCGCCCATTTTCAAAGCCACAAAGGCAATCTTCTTCAACAGAACGACCTTCCATACCCCTGTGTTCAAAGCTGGCATTTAAGTCAGTAGCCCCAAAACTTGAGCAAGGAAGCGAAGTAGATGGTGTTTCAACCCCACAGAGGTGGCCCGGCACGCAGTGTTTCTCATGGTTGTCGCGTCTTCTCCAAACTTCCTTTGTCAACTCCACACACCGCTCCACGATTCCTGACGTATTTCCTGCAGACTGTGACTGCCACCTTTCCAGAACCCAATCTCTGTCTTCAGGTTCTGTCGTCTCGCAACCAGCCATTAACAGAGGCAAAATTTGGAATGCGATCGTGCGGGATGTGAGAGGCACTGTAGCGAGAAGGATGAGGACGTTCTGGGCCATCTCAGCGAAACCAATTCGACTGGGAAGTTCTGGTACCGCTTGATGCAGGAGAAGCAGTGTTGCCCATCTATACGCGTTTGCCGTCTGGATTAGATCCGAAGTATGGGAAGTGAGACTTTCACCTTCGATTACTCCAAGAGAGTTTATAGGGGGATTCCACTGCTCGATAGCCGCTCTCAGTGCAACGGCACGGGAGATGATGGTGAGAGAGTTGGGCTTTTCTGGTGTTCGCCACACGCGACTAACAACATCTGCCACGCGACCAATCCAAGGAAATAACGTCCCTGCAAATCCCATGAGATGGTCAATTTCAGGCCCAGAATCATTTGCAGGATTGTCTAGACTGCGAGCAGTCATGAAATCGACGTCCAGAGCCTGAATGTTGTGGCAGGTAATGCGTGCAAGGACGTCCATGTACATCCAGGTATTGGCAAGAAAGTTCAGAGCGGCTTGGTTGCGCTCCGGCACCTGAGAAGAGAGATGCATAGAGAAAGCCTTTTGGAGGAGGACTTTTGCGCCTTCGATATGCTTGATTGCAGTGGACGATCTCGGATAGCTCCAGGTTTGTGCGAATGCGAGAGCGACCGTCACAGTCAGGACCACTTCAAGACGCATGCCGCTACTGTCCCCCGCCGACAGACTCTGCATACTGCGTTCAAGGTGGCGGATACCCTGAGCACGAAAACGTGGACGATTATTGAATCCCTGAAAAAAGGTCATGGCAGCGATTGCGTGATAGAGTGCAGGATGTTCCTTGGCGAGAGGCCAGACTATGGTCCGCCATGGGTTTCCGGTTGGATCATCCTTGATGGAGAGAAGTTCGCATATTCGACGGTCGAAAAGAAGAGCTACACTCTCTGGACTATCGCTGTGTATGTGCGGTTGGTGGTAAAGAGGGAATATCCCTGTCAGCATGTCCTGCATGACTCCCCTTGAGGAATATGGCAGAGTTAGGCGAAACGACAGATTCGGAGTCTGGTAGCCAGAGCCGAAACTATGGGATCGGGGGGTCATTTCCCAACCATCGTGATATGCTGGTGTTTCCGGTTGTTGACTTGGTAAACGCAACACATCTGTGGTCTCTACTGCATCAAATGGAGGAAGAGTTGAGGACCTGGTAGCCCTTGCTCGACTGACAGGCTGCAGTGGAAACTGATCATCAAGAGCGTCGGCAGCGTTGGAACCTGAAAACAGCGCGTCGAGGTCGTCAAGCTGCCCTAGAGGGCTGGGAGATATGTCAAAGGAAACGTCGACCTCAGGGTCAGACTCCCGTATAAACCAGGGGCTCTCACTGCGAAAGTTGGGGCTAGTGATAGCCTCAGTAGTGTCGGGTGGCAGAGATTCTGAGTCAACTGGCTCGGATATCCCATACTCTGATTGAGTTTTGCGAAGTGCATCATCTTGTAGCTCGATGTTCCGCGTGGTTTCTCGCGAATCATCGGGCTTTCGAGAAATCGGAGGGCGTATGGGACGCCTTGGCGTTTCGTCGTGTGAAGAGGCGGTCGGATGTTCGGGTTTCTGGAACTCTTTCCATCTCAGATCTTTGGTGTAGCCATCGCATATGACGCTGCGACGAACGCACTGTCGACAAGATGGCTTCGCCTCATCACACTTTCTTCTTCTTGCTTTGCAAGTTGCGCACCCTGCAACCATGATGCGTTAGCATTGCTCGATATCAACCCTCGTGCCCCGCTGAGCTGTTCGGCAGGATCGAGGGAGGAGACAGAACTAACCGTTGCGACTTTTCTTGGACTTGGGCCTTGATGATGGCTCTCCATCCCTCAGTACAGGAGAGCCGCGGGGCAGCAATCGACGTGGCTGGACCAGTCTCCTCGTTGTTCTTGACGATGGGGTGATGTTTTGTGTCATAGGCCGGATGGTTTCGATAGCCAAGCAAGGCGAAGATGTCGCACTCATCCCAGATGCAGAACTGGCTGTCAGAGGCAGCGCAGTGCTTGACGAGTTACTGTCCTCCCCTCACTACGGCATCGTGATGGAAAGAAATCGAAATGGCACTGATACGGGGTTGAGAGATAGCGCTGTGAGGAGGCAAACATACCTATTTATGGCTTAGCGTGTTGTCGGTGAGGCGGCCGGCGCGTGGTAAGGAGATCACAAGCAACTACTCAATTGGGCACAAGGTCACAGCCAGCACTCAACTCAAGGTGTGCGGGCTGTCCGCATGTGATCAACTAGGCTAGAGCTAAGTTAGTCCATGGTTTCCGTGGAGATAGACTCCCGATGCTTGAGCAGTCACCCATTACAAATCCTGACCCCTTCGGCAGGCAATGAACAGAGCAAGTCGGGTCTTATCAACACATGAAGAGCGCATCTGCGGCCGTGACACGTATCAAGGCATGGATATACAACGCACAGTGCATATTATGTGGGCTACACGTAGTGTACATACAGTACGACGTACTAATCGTACGGATCTGAAGTATCATGGTCCAGTTACAGCACGGCGCCTGGAAGATCAACTCCGAACCACAATTATTGCGACCTTATCGGTGGGGAACAAGATTGTCACCTGCCCAATGCTACATATGACACGCCGCGAGTTCTCCAATTGGCTGGAAACCTGCGGATTGCATTTCCCAAAATGGACAGTTGGAGAGCATTCCCTTCGTGACCTGATTGGTTGGATCATAGTACTGGGAATAGCGCCAAACAACGCCTTTGCCGTGGTTATTATGTCCGTCATCTATTTAATGTGCAAATCTATGGCTACATTCACGTTGCCGAGTTTCAGTTCTTCTAGATCCCTTTTGAAAAGTAAACGACCTGCAGATTCTTCAAAATCCACTCCAATGGCCAACTGCTCAACAACGCTTCCCGCCTCTTGGTATACCAGCAAGGCCGTATACAGCTTAGAGAGGCGGGCTGTATTCCTCAAGGTTGGTCTTGGAGTCCAATTAACTTCTCCAATACGATTCTCACATCGTTTAGTCATGGATGCTGCTTGGTGCAGTCACCCGATGGCCGGAGGTAGGAAGAGACTACTCCTATGAACTGGCACAGATCAAGTTCCTCGTTCGGCGCGATTCTGCCGATCCGAAAAGTCTCAGGGTCTTTTCAGACCCCGAGGTATGGTGATATACCTCCATTTCCGACGATGACGGACCTATAAGTGGCTGATACACACGATAGGGCCAAGAGATGCGCAGCCACTTGACACCGACAGGGTTATTGTTCATGACCCTTTCCGACGAAACCGTCAGCTTCGAGGAATACTTCCCGGGTCTGGAGGACTTGATAGCACACGTCGACTTTACAAAGTTTCAAGTCAGGAGAACACTCAAATATCCCGGCAACTACAACTGGAAGGCCATGGTCGATGGATTTCAGGAATGTCTCCACTGTCCCTACGCACATCCGGCGTTTTCCAAGGCGTACGCGCCAACTACCTACGAGATTCGGAACAAACATAACTACTCGCAGCACTTTGTCGAGACAGACCGGCCAGATGATGGCTTGTTCCTCTACTTCTTCCCCAACTCCACGCTGAATCTGTATGCCGGCGGCATGTCATCGTTCCGCGCCTGCCCGTCCGAGGACCCTGCCCAGACGACAATGCTGTTCGACTATTACCATTGCGAACCCGATGGTTCTGAAGAGTTTGAGAACTATTTCAAGTTCGCGCGCACAGTTGGACTCGAGGACCATGACCTTTGTGAGAAGACGCAGGCGAACCTTGGAGCCGGCATTTACACAGAGGGCGTTCTCAACCCAGACAAGGAAAATGGAGTTGCGTGTAAGTCGTTCTTTTAAACTTTGGTGTTGAAATACGTACTCATAATTTGCCATTAGATTACCAAGGCCGAGTTCTGGAAATGTGTTCCGCTCAGTTCCGGGAGGAAACAGTCGGGGCCTAAACTGCTGCCACGGATGTGCCTGAGCTTGAGTAACGAGTGTCGAGATAGCGTCAAAATTGAAAGCCAAAACCGACCTCATTGTGACGATTCGCAAGATTTGGAAGTGTAGCCAGACACAAATGAAGATCCATGATGTGGAATGGTTTCATTGCATTTGCCCTCTCTCTGGATTTCCTGACTCGCCATGCCGTAGTCATTGTTTAATTATCTTGGTCATTTTTTTGAACTGCAACTATACCGTAACAGGTGGCCGATAGTACGCAATTTTGGTTAGCTATTTTTTTCAGAGATTCCGCGCAATTAGGTGATGGTGTCAGGATACTGTTAGACACCAACCCCCAGTGGAGTGATACCTCAACGCCACTGCACCCATCTTCGTTGACTTCCTTGCACCACAGAACCTAAAATAAAATTGCTAAAAAGGTTACCGAATTCAAAATCTTTCATATTCAAGTAAAGATAAATTGACTGTAGCTCCCTAGCCAGTTTGCAAAAATGACGCTGTTGATAATGCGTGACGTCGAAGATCTGGCTATCTTGGGATACGACGGGGAGGGGTCATGCGCTGTCACCGTTAGATATGTCCACCCTATCAACAGTAAAGGAATGAATTTCCATTTTGGGGTCGTGAATGCTCCCAAGTTTGTCAGGTCTTCTGATCGTCGGTTCCCCGCGTTGTTGTTCGACTCAGGGACATACTTTCCAATTTCGGCATTGATAACCGATACACGTTGGGCGGTGCTACCTTATCAACCCACGAGGATCAATCTGTTGGGCATCAGTAACATATTGGTATGTTTACTGACTCTTATATATCTGAAATTCAGTCCGAGTTCACCACTATGCCCGAGCAAGATCATCAACTCTTTATTCTACCCAGTCTACTTATTCGGAGCCGCACCTTATCAACATCATGGAGCCCATTAGCCTTCTGCCTGATACATTCTTTTGCGCATTTTTACTCTCGATTTCCTTGAACTTTTGGTTCTTGTTTGGAAAAGTCGTACCGTCATCCAAATCCGGGATCTTTACCACCCCATCACTTGCTTTAGTCACGAATAATGAAGCAACAAAGCGACGAGCGCTCCCTAAAGGATGGTGGACTGATGACTCGCGTTTCCAGCTCGAACGACGAGCCATTTTTAGCAAGGTACGATCCATTTAATCATACTTTCTCCGATCTGGCCTAATTTGGGCAGACTTGGATCTGCGTAAGCCACCGCGGTCGCTTCGTGAACCCCGGAGACTATGTCTCGTATGAGCTCGCTGGCTTCAAATTCTTCCTCATTCTGGGAAAAGACCAAATTGTGCGAACATTCCACAATGTTTGTCGCCACAGGGCATTCCCTGTGACCAGCAAACCAGCCGGATCATCGACAGTCCTAGGATGCAAGTATCATGGATGGAGCTATGACACGATAGGCCGACTTACAAAGGCGCCACATTTTGAAAAGGTCCCTGACTTTGACAAAGAACAACACAGTCTTTTCGAGATTCACACAAAGGTGGACAACTATGGTTTCGTCCATATTAACTTGAGTGCCATCGAAGGAGCAGGCGATACCGAGTTCATCGCCGCGAAGAAGATCGGAAGACCCACTGGGATCCGCCAAGATTCGCAACTCGTCCACAGTTTGGAATTTAAAGGGAAATTCAATTGGAAGGTTGCAGGTAAGTGCATTAACCACGTCTAAGCCCCAGAAGGGAAGATGTGCTAAAGAGCAACAGTCAGCGAAACCAGCAAGAACGGCGACATGATCCCAAATGGGCTTGCTAGGGATCACTCTAGCAAAGCTTTTGGTACCTTGTTCACTTTTGGCATGAGGTTCACGGGCCAGCTACACTACTTTCCACTTACTGCAGTGTACACGAAGGCTGGTAGTCCGTTCTGGTACCAGTTCACATTCTCTCCAGAGTCTACACAATTGACAACACTACGGTGCGATGTTTACTCAACCAAACACTCAAATTCTTCCAAGTTTGAGGGCATCTTGAAAGAAAATCTCCAAAGCCTCGTCACATCCAAGGTTCAAGAATACGAAAGAGTATATACAAAGCTCAGAAGCTCTGACAACAACTTTAGCGATGACAGCTGTATGTTAAGCCCGAGCCCTGAGTGAACTTCCATAACATAACGTGTAGATGATGAAGCGAGAATCGTTGATATTGTGGAAGCCCATCTACAGGAGGAGAAAATAGCGGGAAGAGATATTAAACCAGCTACAGTGCAGCAGTGTAAGAGCGCAGCGTTTACTCAAGCGGAAGGAAGTAAGTCAAGAATATCCTGAACTGTCGTGTGAGAATCTTGAATTTAATATGATTGAATAGTATGCCAGGCAATGGAGGACAAACTGGCTTGGTGATATATTGAGGTGGCAGTGTAGAATCAGCAGAATGGGAACAGGTCAGCACTGCATCGGATTGTTACATCAATTGGAATATAGATCAAGCGAGGACAATCCATGGTTTCATAAGATCAAGGGATGATCAAAAGAGAATGCAAGTACAGATGAGCTCCATAATGTCGGCATTCTGGTATTACTGATATTCCGACACCACGACGTTCATATTTGACTCCGCTTTGGAAAATTCCCTCTCGTCCATGTCCTTGCCCATTTACCAGTATAATAAAGTCTTTTGTCGAAATAGGTCTTAAAATCGATGCTGATACAGCGAAAAGTCTCCTGAATAGCAGTTGAATTGCCCACGAAGGTGAATAAAACAGAGCTTGGCGGAATGGAGCATGGTGCGGTCTGCACATTGTTGGGAATCCATTCAACTTCCGAACAACAGTTACTATCGATTTCACGCCAAGCAAGAAATAAATGACAGATGCTACTGCTTAGTGTACTTGGTGCTCATTTCATCTCTTTTGGCGTCTGATGTGAGTGAGAAGAGAGATGTACAAAATATACAGGGATTATGGTAGGAAAAGGTTGGACATAGAAGCCCAGATAGCTTCATACTACTATTCAAAAACCCCTCCTTATATCCTAGTCAATGTTGACTCAGTGATGTCTCTTAACACTCTCCGCAAACAAGATATCAACAAAGGTCAAAACGCTACTCATATCGCCGCTGTGTACCTCAACATTGCTAGAAACCTGTGCTCCGACATGCACATCCGTAACCACGCGGCCCATTGGCTGTAGCTCTATACCCACCACTGATGACCTGTTCCGTGATCCGTGGGTCCCCTCCGCAACGATGGCCTCTTGGCTCTCGCTAGTTCCTGGGTATTGGCGCTCTCCGCTTCCCAGGTCACCCTTTTCAATGTTCACCGTCACTTCCTGGAACACCAAGATGCCTCCATAAGACGGCGGTGACACTCGCGAGTCGTCGGACGATGGGTACATTCCTGACTCATCTACCGTATCAACTGATTGAGCCCGCATGCCGCTCCCAGGTGGGCACAGATTGATGGTTGAGCTTGACCGCGCTGAATCCGATGAGACCCGGCGCCTAGCAACCGTCGCCATCGACTTGTCATTCATCCGAATCGCCGCGACCGTCTTGGATCGTCGAAACGGCCACACCAATGATGCCAGTCGCGAATGACCTTCTCTCGAAAAGTCCTCAGGCGGAATGACTGACTTGACAATGGGCCCGAACTCCTGATGCACGCCTCGCGTAAATGCTTGGTGGTACTGCTCCGAAACCTGATGCATCTTCAAGACGCCCAGCGACACGAATTCGAAGTCGGGGGTTGACAGCACCGAGTGGATCGGAACCACCAGCTGCAAAGTTATCATGGCCGTCTCTGCTTGGCCCTGATCGTCGTGGCAGGGTAGACGCACAATGGTCGATGAGAGCACAGCATCTTCGAATAAAGGGTCCTTGATGGAATTCCGGAGAGTCCGAATGGCTTCCCCCAGTTGTCTCGCAAATGCCTCCGCTCGCGGGGATTCCGGCGCTATGTCGGCATCAAACAGCTGGGGAACAACGCTTGAGACGGGCATCCCTTCCAACTGCCGGAGGAAGTCTACGTGCCAGCGTTGGACGGTCTCCAACTGTAGGCCCACGGACGGAAGCAGATTTCGAGCCCCCTTGCGTACCAGCACCTCAAATCCACGAGAATTATCGACTCGGGCTCGAACAGCAAAGAAGCCCAGATGCACTCCGGATGACACTCGAGTCTCCTGGGTTGAGAACGTCGCCATACTTCGTAGTGTCGACTCGAAATCGGGTGACCGGATTTGCATGTTCGTTCGGATCGAGTCGCTAACTTGGTGCAGTTCAGCAAATCGGTAACCGGCTGATGTTAATCTGTCCGCGTCGCGATCTGTCTCAACTCGACGGACTAAAAACATTAGCGAGCCACGTCCATATCCCTGTTGCCAAGATGGGAGGCCCTTCTCTGACATGTCGATCCCGCTCTGGTCTTCGTCGGATCTGTTGTCCTCCTCCTTCTCCGGCTTGCCAGGGTTTCGGGACGATTTCCGCATCCGCGCCTGTGGTCGCTCGTAAAACGCGCCAGTTGACAGAATTTCGTCCCAGAGGAATCCCACCGAAGTGATGTCCTCATTCAGTCGCTCAGCAAGTGTCATGGCGGCAAGACAGAAAAGCTCGCGGAAGATGATGTCGTAATTGTCAATGATCTCGCCGTGTTCGTTGCTCAATTGGATCCCTGCTCCCGCATCATGATCGCGACCAGAGCGCGGTAACAGAAGCAAATGGTGTCTCATGCCTGCCAGAAGGCTTGAAATCCCACTCCAATTTCGGGATGCCTGGAACATCCAATGGAACAGTGGGTGGTCGTTGCCAAACCGTTCTTTGGCATTCTATAACAGTGAGAGTTAGGCCAACTAGATTACCGCTGGATGAAGTCACTTCTTACCTTTTCCAAGAACGAGTCTGTAACAGCAGCGCTGGGAACGAAGCCATCGGGATCAACTAGGATCCTGCCATGCTTGTCAAAGACGGCGGCCCCTAGGGTAATCTGCTGCGCCCGAAGTGCAGACTTCCTCATGTTCCGTGTCCGGAAGATGGCGGAGCCGGCGAGGATAAAACAAGCACCAAGTGACTATGAAGATCAGCCGTCATGGTCGGGGCTCCAAATCTCAAGCCGCATGTATGTAGGTACTGACCAGGCAGATAACGACAATGACTGTCGCACTCCTCGACGGCTCGTTAGTCTCAGTTTTGATGTTGACTAGTCGATATCGAGTCCCGACAGCAGCGCACCAATGCATCCCAGACACAGCGCCTGCGAGGATAAAAGCTGAGACAGTCCGCTTCCACCACGAGTTGGCCCAAACGGCTCGAAATATAAAGAACGTGGAGAGAGCGATAATGCTGGCGACCACAGCGATAATAGCGGCACCGACGACGAAAGCTGGATTGTAAGTGCAGACGTAATTCTGAATGGATCTGTTTCCAAGGTAGTGCATTCCGCAGACAGCAGCGCCACAAAGGACACCGCCGATAAGGATTCTCCACCAAGAGACCGCATCGTTCGTGCCGACAGCAACAAAGGCAGCCAGGAGTACGATAATAGGTACGAAGAAGGAGATGGCGGTAAAGCCGCTCGAGTACGCCACCTGCAACTCACGCTCTCCATTTGCCAGGTCAATGGCTCGGTTACCGATAAAGTGCTAGGGGGAGGTGAGCGAACGCCTGGATGAGCTTGATTCAGGCTACTCACCATGCACCAAATTGATATGCCACCCATCGTTATAGCCGAACTCACCAGGAGCAGACTGCTCCCGTTAGCATCGTGTTCCTGCGAGGTATTCGAGGAGAGCGACATACTGGTTGAAGATACCCATGAAGTGCGTCCGGCGGTTGATCAACTCGAGCGTCGACGCAGCCCCGACAAGACTGACGACGTAGCTAAGAGCGACGAAGCCGGCATTGTAAGTCTGGGGGACAATGTGGCCCTGGTATTGGCGGAGGAGATCCTCAGTTGACATATTGACGGAAATCCTTGGGACCAGCAACTCGGAAAGTTGCCGTCGTCTGTTCAAGTGAGGAACGACATGTGCTTCGCCTGGAGGTTCCCTGATCAGGACAAAGACGGTTCTTAATACTACAGCTCGGGTCTGGTGGAGCTTCGAAAGACAACCCACTATTCTGCTAACATGGACCGGGATCAGGCTTCGGCCTACCTGGCATTTCCCCCCTGACGCTGTGTAAACATTGGAGAGTCTAGTTGACAAGGTACTCTCTGGAGCCAAGCCATCGAGCAACTCATCGTAGTTGAGTCGTTCTTCGCCGATGGCCAATGGAGGCGTGGCCGGTGTTGGTGGCTTGGAACTTGGAGCAAAGATGGCATCAGTGCTAAGGTGTGGAACAGGGGCGTCGATACCCGCTTTCAGCTGTCACAATGTCTTAGTGTGGCACTTGGAGGTCCATACCAGCTGAACGTTGGGGTGCCGACCTGGCCTTGGGAGGAAGCTATTCCCGACTTGGAGCCGATGTCTGATGTATGGAGCGCACCAAAACACACGTGGTTGATGGGGGACTGGATCATGGCCGACGAGCCCCGACTGGCTGGAAGCCCCGCAGGATCCGATAAGCGAGGCCAACTCTGGTCTAGGGTTATGAGCTATTGCGGAACCATTCTTATAGCTGGGTCTCGGGGGGGCCGGAGGAGCCTGTGCGTAATACCGGTTGAATTCCGTTGTGGATCTTGTTGGTCGAAGACGCTGTTCGTGTATCGATGTGATAGATCTGTTCAGGCATCTAAGTAAGGGATGGGCTTGGGCTTTCAGTCGCTTGGCAGGGAGGCGCGATTGGATCCAGCTAACCGAAGTGGTAGAATGGAGCTTGTGTTTCCTGAAAAGAAAGCATACGGATACGTATACCTGCTGCTTTGCTATTAAGGCTCCTCCCTTGACGCACTCGACCCTTGCAGGGGGGAACTAGCCATTTATGGCTAATCTCATATTGTGTTGCGCTCGAGCCGAGCTTGAGACATCTCCGCAAAGTGGACAATTGCACTACTGAACGGATCGATCGGACACGCGGCCCAAGCGAGCAGCTTTGTTTCGCGAGGTGGGTACGTGAGTTGCTACTACGTGGTAGGCCAGGAGACTCCCTTGGCCACGGTGGAACCGACACAGCCGAGGTTAGGAGGGAGCGTTGGATTCATGGGTCCGGCGAAACCGCCCACGTGGATTTGAGGACCCGGGCGTGAGGTGTATTTGGGGCGTCTACTTGCTATGAATAAATGCCTACACGCTACGTTGTTTTGCCTCTTCGCTTACGTTTGATGGCCCAACCTCGCTCCATCATGGCAGGTCTGCTTGAAGGCCGAATTCTCCAAGTATTGGGCATGCTATCCTTGGCAGCTGAAGCGTAGTCTTCCAACTCGAGTTTGTGCTACCAGTTACATATCATTGCTAAATGTAGCTCACTAGACTGCGAAGTCTGATTGACTGCGAGCCTCCCCTTGTCCACCACGAAACCCCACCTAACTTTGCTCTAGATGGAGAACTCGGACAGAGATGAGAACAGGTGACGCAAGAGAAGCCAAGGAAGCCAACGCGCAAGAAAAATACACGGGACGGATGTGAAGCGAGATTATTGTCGACAAGGTCGGTGCCAAAGACCACTCAGACAGATCGACGACCATCCTACAAAGCACTCGCGCGGACATCAGCGACGAGCCAGCCCGGAAAAGATGGGGCAACCTCATCAGGGCACGCGGTATTATCCTCTTTCACCCCTCGTATTGACACTCTACAATGCACTATCGACACCGTTGAAGTGGGGGAGAAGACAGGAGGCCCGTTGGCCATCTTTACATGACCCAGCCATTGTTTCGAGCGGCCAACTTCCGTCTCATCAGCTCCGCCATCTGCGGGCGTATTTTAAGGCTGGGCATTTTTCCAACCATTACTCCGTAGCCCGATTCACTGATCAAAAGTGCCAAGCCTCCTTGGCAACTAAAGCAAGACGCCACTTTCAGGGCAGGTTGCGGGAATTCGGGAATGACTCGCAGCCGAATCTCGCCACCGCTAGGAGAATTTGCACGACCCCTGCAAGTGACCTGCCTGAAGTCTTCCGGCTCTCAGGGACTCAGTTTAGTTTATAACAGTGCCCCTTGCCATCTGCCAAAGGCACCTGCACTGACGCTTCTCAGTCTCTCATCGGACTAGCGCAGGGTTTGAGTGTGTTGGTATAAAACATGTGGTACGTATTTGGAATACAGTGAACCAAAAACTGGTCATCGTATTAATTAGCGCCTTGGTGATATTACGAGCCCAGATTCTCTGAAATGTCCGACTGTGACACCAACTGCTCTCTTTTTTACAGTCTCCTGGGTTCACCTGATCGTGCCCTCAGTATACTCTCCGCGTATTCAGCATTCTTCGAGCTACTTGCATCAGCTTCTGCTGCCCACGAAGTTACGCCATCCATCATCATTGGAATGATGGTGAACAACGTCCCCGTTGACCAACCTTCGGATTACATTCTCGTATTGCGTGTAATGGCGTCTCTACTCGAGCTGCAGAATTATCACACATGCGCGGTCTTTGCAACATGTTATGTTCATGTGAAAGACGAAAGACAAAGCCAATGCAATGGCGTGACATCATATTCATTGTTTCAGAACTCGTTGTTGTCATATCACACAACATAATGCTGCCTGCTGGGACTCCGGCTGGCATTGACGTGACTGCAATGCACACGGAGCTTTTGCGAGACAGATGAGACAGGGATGAATTCGGAATTCAAATTTTACCGCATATTATGAGCCTGTACAACGTGATAGAGTATGGTGTTGCATTTCAAACGTTCTCTTTGTCCTTTTTGTTTCAGCTTTCTCTTTCTCCAGCCACTCCAGACTCAAGACTGTTACGCATTGCCCACCAATGAATACTCTTTTGCACTTCCGTGCTCTTTTGAGTAAAGTTACGAACAAGGTATAATTTGCTCTCTCCGTATATATTCCTCCATTCCCCGTCTTCTTTCCAGGAATTGGAATCGTCCAGCAAATCGCCGGCTTTCCTCCTTTTGCTTACCGCCCCTCCAACCCGCCCCCCATCGTCCTGCTTTCCCAACAAACCAGCGTGCGGATTACGATGCCGCCCCCCACCAGTTTCCCCATGGTGCCTGGTGGGCCAGCGGGCAGGAGTTTTGAATGACCACGAGGGCACTTCGTAACCCCTCCCGACGCAGATTTGGGAAATAAACAGTAGAGGCTACTTTGCAGGTGTTTTTACTATAGTGTCTAAGAAGTATTAGGCTTTTATTCTTGTTAGATAAATAAACAGAAACAATAACTTAATGTAGCTGCTAATATTTTATATTGCGCAGTCCTAAACCTGGGTCCATGAGACATCATGAAGAATATGATTCGTAAGCTTCAGGTACGAAAACACAGATCCGAAACTCGCGAAGTCCTCAGGTACGAGGTTGATAACCTTAACTCCAAGCTCATACTGGCCCCAGTCTGGCTCGGCAAATACCTCGTGCCAGGCCTCTTCAACTTCTTTCGATAAGTAAAAGCTCCAAGTGCCCTGCCAGATGATGTTGCCGGACCTATCCGATTTCTCATATTGGAAAATGCCAGCCTCTCCGGTCTTGCAGTACCAAATCTCAAGTATCTCAAGCTTGGGCATTTTCTTTGCGGCCTTAGCTGCACTCTCGAGCAGTTCGTTGACTATAGCGCTTGAACGGGACACCAGTATATCCGATGTCACTGCAATAGTTTTCAGAAACATCCAATCAAGTTGTGGGTTGGGCGAAAAGAAGCCCCGGGCATCAATGGCGAAAGAGACAGAGAGATGCTCAAGGTGGCGGCTGGTTTCAAGCATAGCCTTGAGCAGTTTTCTATTTGATCGTGGTATTCTCATCTTCCCTGGTCGGTGGTGGTACATGGTACTGAACTCTTCATAGAAGCCGAACTGTTTTAGTGAATGCGGTAACTCATACCCAATCAATGCGGAGTCTATAGGATGTGAGTATACATGATCGTTTCAGGGGGGGTACCATACGCATATCCCGTTTTCTATCGTCTCTTCTCCGGCCGTAGCACCATCGCTCGAGGTGAATGGCTTCAACGCAAGGTATAGCGTTAAATATTTGAGAGAGAGCCTTTGCACTGATATTCCGAAAGTATCGCCGACGAATGAGGAGGCGGGTGATGACTTCCGCCTTGGGAAGATGGGGCGCATCTTGATCTTCTCTATCCAGAAGTCTGCCAGAGTCAAATTCGAGCGGCGTTGTTCCCAGGAACCTCCATTTCTGCCAGTTCCACACATCCAACCACGATGGATCAGTAGGAGGATCTTCAAAGCGTTTCAAATGCTCCAGATGTGGATCGGGAAGGGCGGCTTCAGAGAAGCCTTGCTCTAGGAATCTGGAATACGCTCTGCGGATATTTCTGTAATCGTCATGCATCCCTATCTCGAATGACGAAACAATGCCGAGTTCGACAGTGACGCGGTAGTCCCTCCAAGCGGAAAGAACCTCCCAAAGATGCCGGACTGTCTGAGTAAAAATGAGGGCATTCTCCTCGTTTGTTAGGGCGTCGGCACGAGGCTTCCTATCATCAGCATCTTCGATAGGTATCTCCAGGAGAATATGCTTGATGTAGCCTCTCCGGTAAGGACAAGCAAGGCGTGCGAAGGCTTCAATATCAGATGGATGCAGTATGAGATGGCGAAACGTTCGTTGCTCCACGATCAGTTGCCAGCGTTTGCAGACGCAAGCGCAGATAGAGAGACAAGTTCTAGAAGCGTTTGAATCATTTTGCGGTTCCATTAGCCACTCTAGGATGTAGAACTGGCTTTCTGGCGGTAGTGTATTCTGTGGTGCCATTGCGATGTGAGGGCGTGCTTTTTGGTGACAAGGGGAGAAGTAGCCTGGAGAAATGAGACTCTGTTTATATCTGGTGTCGCTAATGCACGGTTACAGGGTTCATTATTACCCGTCGAGGGAGGGGATCAGGATCTCAACATTGTTTTTGTGGCCGAACCTCTGTGGTGGTCAATCACAACGATGTAATTTTTCTAGAATGAAACCTTGCTGTGACGTGCATGAGGAAAGGTTGTGCGCACAAGGTACTGTAACTTCGACACCTTTACAGACTACAGTGCACTTCAATTCGTCATATCTTTACGGCAAAGCTAGATGTCCAAAATATGTAAGTTTAAGACAAGGTGTATTTCTGTTTTATGGTTTTACATAGCCGTGGTTTTTCGAGATTAAGCCTTTTTGGTGACCAGGCAGAGGCCCCAGGTGGTTAGCCACTACGCCGTAAGTACAGACTAAATATATTGGATAAAGCAAAAACCTCAACAGAAACTCCTTAATGCCTACCAGACAACTGGTAGTACGCCTGAACCGCTTCTCCAGCCGAGCGGTATAAGATCCCCAACTCGTTAATATTCCTTCTCTTATCGAATTTGAATCCAATTTATATATCCATATCAGTCCATTTCTTCGATATGCTAATAAAGGGTGTCGCATTATAAACTACTAGTCTTAGGAGATTCTAAGAAGGCAGTACCTTCGGAATCTCATGCACGGGTCGGATGAGGTTGGCTATGTCTAACAGAGTGATACTATGGCTACCGGAGATAATATATTTCCCAGTTGCATCCGTGTTCCCCCCGACCTTGATATGAGCCTCAGCTATATCTTTGAGGTCCACTAATAACCAGGAAATATCAAGGTAACAGATCTAATTTTTCACCGCGAGGAGGTCTGCGTTGTCGCCAGCCGCAACAGGATAAAGTCCAGGCAGGAGCCGTCCCGCAAAAATAGCGAGCTACCTACCGGAAGACGTGGGAAAGACACGCTTGACGCTTTCCACCCCGTTGACAAAGTTAAGAGCGTTTCTGGTCCGTTACAGAGCCTGTTCAACCCACTCCTTGAATCTGTTCTTGATCTGAGCTGGTACCAGGAACGGCGAGGCGATATGCTAAACGAGATAAGAAAAAGAGATTCAAACTCACAAAACGAGAGCTATGTTAATAGAAGAGCAAGCCGGGCGCAGAGCTCTCATTCCGCAACATCCGTGTTTATTCTAGGAGTATAGGGTAGGCAAAAGGACGTTAGTACTTGAGCGGAGTGTGATCAAGACGTTGGCGTTAAGCAATATCGAGCTTACTTTAGTGTTAGAAGATGACGCCGTATTACGAAACCTCTGATAGATTGATATCATGAACCTGGTCCGAGGGGGTACCAGGAAACCCGTCTCTGACCGGCCCGGTTATCCGGGCCCAAGCAATCACCAGCATCAGTATCACCTTGGACACTCATGTCCTATCAAATTGACCGTAACGGATCCACCACTTAGTGATTGTCGAAAGTACCTAGTACTATTACTGCCGGTTGTGACTGCCGGGTTCTGACGTGGGCTGTGACAGCATCCAGGAACCAGGATCTAGTAAATAAGGCTATTGACTTTTCCCCATCTAGTAATAGCCCCAGGTTCAGTCTCATAGATTAATAGAATGATGATAACGTGGCTTGTTGCCATGGACTTTGTGTCCGTTGGGGTCATTGGCTTTGGAGGCATCCAAGAAATCTCCATTGTGGGTCAGCACGACTGGAAGAGCTCGTTATCTGGAGTCTTGAAAACCTGGTCCCTTGGAAGCTTTACCATACAGCTGGAACTGGAACTTATCCAGCAATTTGCCATATGGGTTAGCTTACTTCGCTGCACCCCGGATGTTTGTGTTAGATTCTACCTTAGCTGCTATATCGGCCAGGGCTAATCCTCGGTCCTGGGAAATGGGTCTCTAGCACAAGGGCTAATGCAACTGGCTGACACTCTAGAGCCGTTTAAGCTAGTGCGTTCCATTCACCAGGCTTGGTCAAGATACTCCACTGTCATCCAGCTGCATTAGCTTTATCATGAGGTGAGTGATACTTGGTGGAAGAATGTCTGCTTAATGGGGGCTGCAAGTAGCATCTAGGTAAGATACAGAGTAGCTGCTATCCAGAAGGATTCCGATGGCTGTACCAAGCTTCCAGTACGTAATAGCTAATCAGGACGTTCAGTATGACGATGACCAGCTTCACCACTCCGTAACCTCCTCGTTCTATCCAAGCCATAACCCCTTTTAGTGTGAGAAATGGAAGGGGTCTTTGTCAGAATAGAGCCGACTTAATTACAAAGAAGGGTTGCCTATCAGGGGTTGCATGAACGGGTGAAGGCCAATGGGCACAACTGATGTAGTAGGCCAGCTGCACTTGAGTATACTTCGAGAGAGTTCGGGAATGAGAACCTAGAGAACTTGATCCCTTATCTCTGTGCAGAGATATTAATGGACTAATCCAGTCGTCGCGCGATCACTATCATACGCGGCGGTGTGAGATTTTGTTATATCCTATCTCCGGATGACCCGCTCAACAATCGCCGTACCACTTTTCGCTAACAGTGTCAAGGACTTGGTCGGTGGTTCGGTCGCCAAGATAGAAGTGGATACACGTCTATACGAGTATACAGCCTGGTAGGCAGCTAACATGTCAAGCTTGTCGCACAGATTGAATCGTACCTCTGGCCTCGATAACCACTAAACGAGTCATGGACTTTTAATCCCGTAGGTAAGAATTGGGGGTTACGCAGGAGAGATACGATATGACGTCGGAATCTCCTCCTTCAGACTAAAAGCAATGAATTTGTAATGCTATCTTTATCTATGGCTGACAGTATCACTGAATTTCAAGTTCGGTGATAACGAATTGACACAGATGCACATCTTGATGTCATTACATAATTGGGTCAAGAAGCTATACTCAGAGTGTCCTAAGAGGCATCGACTTCAAAGATAAGGTGTGAATGATATCTTGATCTGATCTGGATGCGCATGATATATAAGAATCAAAAGAACCGTTGCAATGTACATCATGCCAGTCGCCTTTCAGCATTGCCAGGACTAAATCAAGGCCAATACTCTTGCCATGTTTCGTTCACTTATTACGATGGCACTTGTTGCCTCAGCGGCGATTGCCTCGCCGCTGCAAATCCGCAGCCGCACAGATCCCAACACTGGTTTGACTTGGATCTACAAGAATTCAAGCCTGCCGAAAGTCATGCAAGTAGAATGGTCAGAAATTCACTCCGGAGTTATCTAATGTCCATGATAGGCTGTATAACACCGGCGATGGCACCATCCTCTCGGGTTCAACAAATGGGCGCTTGGACAACATCAACTACGGAGGAGGTGTTGGTGGTTTGACTCCGGAAACCCTCATTGGCAATGTCAGCGAGGTTCTCGACATTGCCCAGTTTGCAGTTCGCAACATTGGCGGAGGCGGCAGTGCCAATGCCGACTCGGACAGGTTCCTGAACATCTCGATGGATGCCCACACTCGACTGTGCACCCGTCACTCTGACATCGTCGGCGCTGTCATGATCCACGGCACAAACACGCTGGCTGAGACTGTACGTTTCTTGATAACGCTCTAACCTCTGAGATTCTCATCTAAATGATACCCAGGCTTTCGGTGTTGATCTCACCTTGAACTGCTCCAAGCCCTTTATTGCGACAGGTTCCATGCGACCCAACTCCGCTTTATCAGGTGATGGGCCTCTCAATTTCTATGACGCTGTCAGAACTGCGATTCACCCCGAGGCGCGTGATCGCGGAGCTATGATTGCGTTCAACGATCACCTGGTGTCTGTTTTCTATGGAACCAAGACCAATGGTAACACCGCCACGACCTTCCTGGCAATGGATCAAGGCTACATTGGCCAGTTCCTGGCCGGACAGCCGTACTTCTTTTACGGCGCATCTCTCCCCAAGGCTCGACATTATTTCAACCCGTTCAAACTCCATTATCCCCTTCCGAAGGTAGTGGTTCTTTACGGTCATCGTAAGTGAAAGGCAACTTGGAAGTTCAGAGATGTATACTGACCTCTCTGCAGAGGGGTTTGACGCTAACCTGTTGTACTCTGCTGTTGCGGATGGGGCCAAGTAAGTTGCATCTTTTAACGCTTCATTGTACGCGTTGACACGCTTAGGGGAATTGTCATAATGGGCGTCGGTCCTGGCGGCCTCAGTAACGCTGCTACCGAAGCCGCTAATGCACTCTCTGAGAAGGGCATTGTCACTGTCGCATCGCTCCGCCCCTTCTTCGGTGCAGTTGTTCCTAGGCCTCAAATAAGCAATATGTAAGTCAATAACTTTTCGAGTTTTGAAAGATAGTACTGGACTAACGATCCTCGCAGTATCAGCTCGGGCTTCTTGCACGGCGAGCAATCCCGCATCCAGCTTCAGCTCGCTCTTGCATCTGGCTATACCGTCAGTGGCATTCGTAAATTGTTCGAGGGGGATATCCGCAAAGCGGTTTACAACGATGCCACAGCATTTTACAACGGTACGGACTTGTAAAGTCTTGATACGAACAACAGCTTAGCACGCCTCTGATATACACAACGACTTGAGGGACAGGTCTCAGCGATCATCTTTAACAAATCGAAAGTCTTCGCTGTTAAAGAGAATTTTAATACCCATAGAACGCGTCATTGAAATAAAATAGCAGCAGGGCGCTCAGTCCTTCACAACTAGCAAATATGTGTCATTATTTCAACTCTAGAAAGGCTTGTAAGGGGCATTTAGCTTGGAAGAAACCGGAATTATGTAGTAATTGTCAGTGTCTTGTCTGTTCTGGTACTGAATGTAGTACTAAGGGTATCTCTCTATTGTTTGCAGATCTAAAATATCTAAAATACTAACATAACAACTCGGCTAGACCAATCAGCATTTACATTTTTGCGTATATATTATAGCTCTAGCCACACCAGCTATAGTACCTCAAGCTTTAAGCCTTAAAATAAATAAAATAATAAATAAAATAATAAATAAAATAATAAATAAAATAATTTTAAAGTTTAGAATTTCTAACTGCCTGTTATAATATCAAAGCCTGTATCGCAGGCAGTTACAAGCTAGTAAGACAAGTATGGTGATTTTCAATGTGAACTCCGCTCTGAATGCTGGGTCTCGTTGGCGGGAGTGTTCGCTCTTAAAATAGGGACTGACCTTTGCCTCTTACAAATCCAATCCGCCGTATCCCCAGGATTTCATCTACACCACGAAGCCCTCAATTTCGGGGAGCTATGTTCATGGTAAATTCACCAACATTAGACACCATCAGTAGCCAATTATCATGACGAGGGGCGCAAGATGACCGCCGTAGGACATATTGGTACAAGTCTGTCGATGACTAAGGCGCTGTTGAGAGTTGTTTTTCGGAAGTCGGAAAAAGCCTCATAATCCTGAGACGCGACGCGCGATGTGCTTTGCCGACGCGGGCCGCAGAAGCATGCGTCTCTGCCAGGGCTTATCGCTCTGCAGAAACAGGCTTGGTATAGACAAGGCGAATTTAGCGACTTGGCGTTTAAGCCTGCATCCGTACCTCCGCCAGGTCACTCTTTTTTCGCGTTCCCAGTTCTCTTCGTCCTCCTTGACACAAAGTCAACCGGAGTTTGGCATCAAACGGCCCCGCAAGGCTCCGCCCCTATCAACATACGAATATCGGCCGTTACCGGGTCCTAAATCGACACGTATTGCCATCCTTGAGCCAGCAGAGGGCTTCAACGAGCCAGTAAGACTGACTTTGAAACGCGTGTCACTTCAAAATCTGGGTCGAGTTCGATATGAAGCATTATCTTACGTGTGGGGACCAGTCTCGGGAGATCGACGCGTCTATTGCGATGGCAAGATCATCCACATCACCCCAAACTGCGAATCAGCTCTGCGGCATCTCCGGTTGAAGAAAAAGAAGAGGACCCTTTGGATCGATGCACTCTGCATAAACCAGAACTCCAATACGGAACGGAGTAGACAGGTGCCGTTGATGGGAGATATCTACGAATCTGCCTCACGAGTGCTCATCTGGCTTGGGCCCGGTAGCGACGAGATAGCTTCCGTCTTCCACCGGGCGACTTTTCTTAGCCCATTCATTTCCTCTCCTCTCTTCTTTCTCCGATCGTTTGGTCCAAGAGTTGGAGACCAGGTCCGGAAATGGAACCTTGTCTACTCGGTTTCCAACTGGCTTTGGCACCGGTTCTGTGCGTCACCCTACGATCCAGCTTTCCAGACTTCACGTTTGACTAACCTGATACTTTTGCAGATCACAGAAGCCTTGCTGATGCAGAGGGGATAATTCACATCAGCTGCAATGAATGGTTCTCGCGGATGTGGACTATCCAAGAACATTTACTCGCAAAACAATCGGTCCTGGTCGCTGGATACCATTACTGCTCTTGGACGGCATTTTCTTCGTATTGGATGTGGAGTCTTCGGGCGATTCACTCCCTAAGAAAGGGCTCGCTGCCAGCTTCCTTGCGCATTGCGACTTGGGTTGCCTTTAAGAATACAGCGGCAGCCAAACGAGGCCAAAGCATATCATCCGCCTCATTCGACATTTTTTCTGGCTTTGTAGAATGTGCTCGCACCCACCGAGCAAGAGATCCCCGAGACAAGGTGTATGCTTTCTTGCCCCTCATCCAAAAACTCCAGCCCAGTGTCGCTCCGTTACCTGTCAACTACTCCCTCTCGTATTCCCGTGTCTATCAAGATTTTGCAAGATACACAATTCGGCTTTCAGGCACGCTAAAGTACTTGGAAAGCCTTCCGCCACTTCGACATAAGAGCTCATTGCCATCTTGGGTCATGGATCTTCAAACCCCTGCCAAGTTTGCCATGAAGAGATGGGCAGCCAGTCAACTTGATGCCAGGGCTACTGGCGATAGCAAGGTGGATCTTCAGTTATTGGAGTATTCAAGGTCGCATGAGCTCTTGCTAAGGGGCTCCAAGGTTTCACACATCAAAGTACTTTCGACCCCAGCTCCAATGAAGCCAGAGCATGCTGATGAGCTCAAGGATTGGTTTTTCGGGTGGATTGGGGACATAGGGACAGCCGTTCGGCAAGGAAATCTCCCTTGGGCATACAACTCAGTGGAATCGGGGCTTGACGAGTTCCTTGATGGCGTAATTCGATTCGACCCGTTTCTGGGTGGCAGTGTCTTATTCTTAACGTCTTCGGGTCACGTCGGGGTCTCTAATTTTCATCTTCAGCATGGAGATCAAATCGTTCTGCTTGCAGGCTGTTCTCTGCCCACAGTTCTCAGGTCTTCAGGGAGTCAAGGGAAGATGCATTTTCTAGGAGTCTCCTTCGTCGCCGGTATTAGCCATGGAGAAGCTTGGGACCACCTCAGCACGAATGACACGGCCACAACGCGCCTCGAAACATTTACTCTAATCTAGAATGTGGACATTCATTCTTTCATAAAACGTGGATGTACATAAATTACAGTTATTCGCCCGCTCACAACGCCTCACTGCTCCTATCCAAGTCCTCTTTTGCAGCATCCTGTAGCCGTAATAAAGAGCCCATAACATATTCATATGTCAACATGGTGGCTGTGGCAGCAGGAACGCTGCGCGCCATATTGACTCCCATTCCATTGTACAGTGCCCTCCAACCCTCCTCTCGTAAAATTACCTGAAAGGTGTGAAAGACCCCTTGATATTTGGGCTGCAGTAACATGCTGTGAAGCCCTGCACTTTGCAACCGGTTGAACCCTCCGAGGCCTTCGAGAAACTCAGCGCCAGGAACTGGTCGCCTTTGAGTCTGCAGCCTAGTCCGAATCACTTCATGAGGATATGTAACACTGCTAGCGATTATCTTGGACAATACAGAAGCGGATAGAATGCCGAACCACTCAGCTGTATCGCCACCATTGGATCGAGAAGCACCCATCCCTTTCCCCGTGAATTCTATTTTCAGGTATTCATAGATGGGGAATTGGATTGCAACATGTGAGAGACCAAACAAGGAAGCTCTAAGACCAGAGTAAAATGCGGCTGAACCTTCGGTCATGTATATCTTGTAGGCGGCATCGAGTGTCGAATGGTATTGCCAGTTGGATCTATGAATCCTTCCCCTCTGAAATAAGCGACGTCCATATGGCCGGTACGCTTGTGACATAAGGCGAACTTTGATTGTCCAGATCGGATTTGTTGCTAGAGTCGACGCAGTACCGGCTGCGATGGATGAAATTATGTTCACAATATTAGGACTCGAGGACAGCTGAGCTAGATGGTCTAAGTCAGCAATTTTATCCGGAAGGTGAAGGAAGATTCCCAATATTGATAGGCACCTTCTACGAAATGAGCCGAAATTACTTACGATAAATCTGTGGCAATATGCTTTTGGACCGGTTGTAGGCTGTGAACCAGATAGCCCAGGTAGGGAGATAACCCATAACTAGAGGCCCCATTCCTCGATACATCCCCCGCAAACCCTCTCCTCTCCAGATAAGGCGCGCTGTTTTAAAGAGGCCATTGTACAATTCAGGGTGTGCTCGTGCGTGTATCTTGTTCGCCGCGCGTGTATGGATTGGCACGAGGCTTCCTTGCGCTTGAAGCCGAATCTTGATAACGTCCAAAGGGCAAGTGAAGATAGCCGAGGCAAGGCCGCTGGTGGCGCCTGAAACAGCGTTCATCTGCGCGTCACTAGCGGTAGTTGCCCATCTCTTCAACGGCGGGATGCGGGGGGATGCGGAAGACATCGGGATGCATGTTTGCAGTGGTGATATTTGAGGCACCTGAGAATATTTACTGACTATGATGCTAGTGTTTTTATGCTGCTTAGTCAGCATACCCTAGAGCAGAGTGAAAGGAACGCATCAGCTCTTCATAAGGAACCCGAAGGAGCAATATGGAACCAATCCCATGTTTTTGGATGGGATTTTATCTAGTGATATATATAATAAGGAGCATTACTATTCGCACCCGTTCAAAATGCTAATCGCATATAAGTATACAATTTACACCTAGTCTTAGTGCACCGGAATATATCCGAACTGTACGCCCGCCGTAAGGTATTTTATTCTGAAGAATTTCCAGTTTTTACTCTAAAATAAAATAAAAAATAAAATTTAAACTATAGACTTTAGAAAATAAATACTAAAAATAAATCTTATTTAATTTCTTAGGTTTACTTATAAATAGGTATATTATTAAGACTTTCGGGTAAAATTAATTGATATTCCTAAGTATGCGAGTAGTATTTTGAGTGTGCGAATAGCAATACTTATGATGAGGGTAAATTAAGTTCTTCTGCTAAATTCTGGACTTCTTGTCCTGCTATGCGTTATCAATCTGATGTACCGCTGTAGATCGATGTGACATTAACAGACCCGCACCTGGTCACATATCGGAGATCTGCATCCCAACTGGCTCAGGGTTACGATCGCACGACCTACCCTACAAAACAGAGTAGTCATCTATAAACTTCATCGATCTTAAGCGGCCATCAGTAAATACGTCCGGAGCTGCATCTACCGTACGAGAAGCTTATCTCAGACTTAGTTCAAAATCATTATCATCTGTACATGACAATTTTGTTTCCGTAACCAAACTTCCTCCAACAGAATTGATATCGCTGGAATTGGGCTGACTTGTGGTGTTTTTATTTGAGTGCTCGGTGGATTTCTAGCCAAAATGAATACAAGGGAATGCACACTACCCTCACGCGAGTGCCAGCAACGACTTGTGGCGAATATAATAATGTTCCCTGGCATATTGCCGTTGCCTTTTGGAATACACAATTTGAAAATCTAGCATCTGCAATAATAGCGTCATTCGCAATATTCAGCTCTGTCGTTGACATCGAGTTGTCCTATTCTCTTGAGATAATAAGGAGCTCAATGGTGCAAATTGGTTATCGATGGCGAATGCCAAGGGTTGTATTAACCGCGCCAACCACAACCCTGCCAGCAAATGACGTGATGGATGTATTTGGCTTGAGCCCCAAAAGTTCGCCCATTCGAACATTCCGCTTCACGGCACTTCGGTCAATATTAACCCGCAAATCATGAGGGTGCGAAATGATGCGAGAAGACGGGCGTATTATGGAAATTCTGACGTGTGCGATCGTGCTGGTTCCACCCACGAGCCTCAACCTAACCACAATTCATGAGAAATATGAGCAATATCTATTAGCTTCGGATCAAGAAAAAAAAGAAGGGACATTCTCCGGAACACCCTGGTCGAAGTCAAGATATATAGCTCAAGCTCACAGGCTCATCATAACCCGGTATATTCACAGAGCCTCGAGGTTCTAGGCAACACTACGAATCATTCGCTCAATCCTTATACATTGCACCATGCGAATGCAACTGTCTCTGTGGCCCCTTCTCGGCTCGCTTGTGGCTGCAGAAACGGGTCCATTTTTAAAAAAAGTCGGCGATGGTTCATGGGTAGTCGGCAATGACATATGGAATGTCACCCAAGGCCCTGTGTATGCCACAAAGCTGTTTTGGGAAGGTGTTCCGGGAGCTGATCTTGTTGGGTCTGCCGTTGGGCATTACATTGGATACGGTAAGTTCGGCTTTCCCTCCCTTTTCTCTTCTCCCAAAGAACACATGTCTAAATATTGTCACCAGATGGCGAGGCCAATTTGAAGTTCACCAACGCTACCATTGTAGCAAAGGGAACGCATCATATTGACGTGGCATTCCAATCGAGTCTTGGAGATCTTCATTGGGTGATTTTTGATGATCTTTCTGGCGCATACCAATATTTTGTCAATGCGGCTCTCCCGGATATTAGTATCCTTCGAACACTCTGGAGATTGTCGCCAGATTATTTCACCCATGGCCGTACCCACCTGAAGAACGAGGCTCTTCCCGATTTTAGTCTTTATCAAGACTCGGTTAAAGTACAAGACGAAACTTGGCAGCTGGCTGATGGATCATTCATTACAAAGTATGATTGGTCAAACGCAGTCAGGGACAGAGATTTCTACGGCGTGTATGGCTCAGAGGCTGGGTCCTGGTGGATTCACCCCTCAACAGAGTACTACAACAGCGACCACTATAGTCAGACCTTGACTGTCCATAGAGAAAGCAGTACTGGAGATGCTGTGCAACTCAACGTTGTTCAGGATACATCTCATTTCCGCGTTGGCCAAAAGACCACCCAACCTGTTGGCAAGGTCTGGGGTCCCTGGCTCTGGTATTTGGTAAGTATTTGTCTACAAGTCTTCGCGTATATAATCACAAGCTAATTTTGTCCAGAATAACGGCAGCATTGCAGACGTCCAGCAAAGACGTAAAGAAGAGCTCAAGCACTTCCCGTACAACTGGTTCAGCAACACTGCTTACAAGTCCAGAGGAGGCGTTCAAGGAACGCTCAGCCTCTCCGACGGTCGACCCGCCTCCTATGCTGCCGTCTATCTTGGGGATACTGACACTACTGTTCGGCCCTCGATCCAAGGCAGTAATTACTACTACACCACCTACACCAATGACAAAGGCCGGTTCTCTTTCGACGACGTGAGGACTGGTTCATATGGACTCTACGCATGGTCAGATGGTGGAAAACTTGCGGATGTGTACACCAACTTCACCAAGTCCGATGTGAAGATCACAAAAGACAAGACCTTGAACCTGGGTCAGCTGTCCTGGGAGGTTAGTGACGTATCTAAGCGCATCTGGCAGGTCGGTGAATTCGACAAGACAGCGCGAGGATTCAAAAACGGAGGTGTTCCGTACCAGCACGGCGTTACGGAAGAGAGCCCAGCCAACCTCACCTTCGTTGTCGGCGAGTCCCAGGATGCGGACTGGTACTACGCGTCGTCTGCAGTAGGGACTTGGACCATAGAGTTCCAGCTCTCAGCCGAGGAAATTGCGGCTAACAATACTGCGCTGCTGAGTGTCTCACTGGCTGGCTACTCACAGAGCGCTGCACTGGATGTCAGTGTCAACGGAGATGTGTACGACTCGTTGAGCAAGAATACCCTCACAAGTGATCCTGCCCTCTACCGCTCTGGCAAAGTCAGTGGCGAGTGGCGATTCTTCCAGTATGAGGTCAAGCCTGGCGCGTTGAAGGAGGGCCTGAACACGGTTGAGTTTGCTGTTACAAGATATACTCTTTGGCGAGGTTTCTTATGGGACAGCATTATCTTTGAATGGCAGTGATGGATATTCTGAGTTGGGAAAATTTAGAGTTGCATCATGAGATGTCTACAGAATTGAAACTTTGACTCGCTGATAACTCGGAATCCGGTGACGTCCAAGACCATGTTATAGTCTTCATCTTGTCCGAGTGGTGTCACGGAATGTGGTAGTAGGCAGTGGGCCAATAGTCGAACGGAAAGCTCATCGTCGCAGCTACTTTAGGCAAAAAAAGATAGCCAATAAAATTGGCACAAGCTGACTTCAACGAAGTGACATGAAACGCGCTACTGCCTAAAGAAATGACCGGATCCTAGGGCTTGGCGCGGCCGTGTGCGATGATGTTTGCCGAGCCAGCCTGCTCTGCGGCGAGACCATTCATCATACCAAGAACACCCAGGCAATATGTAAAGGTGATGAAGCTCATAGGCATGTCTATGGACTTAATTCTGATCTAGAAAGGAAGCATTGTACTTGTCGTCATTGGCACTGCCTTCCAATCATTCAGCTAGCCTGCGAGCCACATCAACAGGCCCTAGACAGGTGAGGAGGTAAATTGAAAGGCTGGTATCCTGAGGGGAGACGAACGGTGTCGAGGCGGAAAAGGACATGCACTCACCATTCCCACGCTCTGGTTGGAGCCAAGCAGCCGGATGTAATTACACATGCATCACGGTACACATGAGTCCGCCTTCTTGGTGCGATTCCAGGCTTGAGAGGGAGTTGGCTTGCGCAGATGAATCGCATTATCACCATCGACTCACCAGCCTAAGCGGGGGAAAGTTGAGTACAGTGAACTGGATAGACAATATTGTGGACTGGACAGCAGTGACGGCGGGAGGATTACACACTTCGAATGAGTAGCCATGATTCTGTCTTGGGGAGCACCCGGAGCCTAAATTAATTAGCAAGAGGAAACAAGAAACGACGGTGTCCTGCTCCAGTTTAAGTCGCTGCTCAATCTAAAAAGTAAAGTTTAATCAGGTCGTTACCCTCGGCTCGGCAGTTGCAATGCCTGTTCCACGGGTGTGGGGCCTAATCCTAGCGAACTTCGGAGTTGTGTAGCTGAAGGAATCAGAACTCAAGGGAAATATTGCTTCTATTCATCTTCTTCTTTTTTTTGTTGGAAACTCAAAGGCCCTTAATATTCTTCTGTTCCAGACCGAAAAGACTCAACTACCATAGGTACTTCCAAGCATACCCGGCTTCTCAATCGCTTGCATTTCTAGGTTGAGAGCTCCACCTAAATAAAGTCCGTGATAAGGACCCTAAGTTACGTAGCTCTTCGCATTTTCCGAGTTAGGCAACTGAGACAGGTTAAACTTTTACTTACACTTTGCTTACCAAGATTGACACGATGTGGGATGAGTGGGATGCGTGGGATGATTACGAAGGAGACAAGGCAAAGGCCCCCCATGCATTCAGGTCTACGTACGCTGTAATACCTACACGGACCAAGCCTTTTGCTTTCGCACCGCGAGCAAACCACTCGATATTCTCCCTGATTATTAAACGCTATTTATTGGAGGGCCTCGCCACGGACAGCTACTAATGTCCGTTTTGAACACACGTGGGTGGAATGGTCTATATAAGATAACCAAGAGTTAACATTGCTCAAATCACCGTTTTTATTTTGCACCCCAAACAATCAACCAGACCTACAATCGACCAACGACGACTTCAATAACACTTAAGATGAAGATTTCTATTTTCGCTTTGATGGCCAGCGCTCTCAGCGTTCTTGCTTCCCCACCAAAAGCATACTCAACGCAGTTGAAGCCTCCCTATTGCCCGCCTCGCCCAGTGATGGATTGGCAACGACGAATCATCCTTAACGAATTCATCCAGAAGTTTTATGTCGACTTGAACTTTACGGCCGCCTATCTTGACCACGTTTCGGAGGACTACATTCAGCATAATCCATTCGCGCTCTCGGGTCGCAACAACAGTCTGAATGCCTTGCTGTCAAGCGGCATATCTCGAAATAGTGCCAACTTCACCGTGCTCCGAACTGGAGTCGATGGGAACTTGGCATTTGCTCATGTACGCATGGATTTGGCTGGTGCACCGCAGCCAAGTGTGGCGATCGATATCCTCAGGTTCGAGGGCTCCTGCATCCAGGAGCACTGGGACTCCGTCCAGACGCGACCAGAAAATCCCGTTAACCCCTTAGCCCTGTTTTAAAGGCGTCACCCGCTTACTGGAGAGAAAGTTTTGTACATAACGGGTTCCTTTGCATGTGCTGGTACTCGAGGACTGTTGACTCTCTACAAAAAATCAGGGTACACTTACTACTCCGTTTTCTTTTTGGACAGCAATTTTTATATCGCGATGCATGTTGTGATGGTGCTGTAGAGCACGCTGGAGTTTTCATGACAGTTGGACTAGCTTACAAAGACTAGATAGTGCTGTTTAAAGTGAGTGCACTGCTCAAGAAATTGAGTGTGCATACTTTTTCTCTTCTCTACCTTCAAGAGTACAATTCTTGTCTTGCGTTGTCATCATAACCAACCTGCCATGGAAGATCAAATTGAACCTTGCACTTTTCCTTATGAAAATGGAAAGACGTCTGATGAAGTGTCTGCACTATCTCATCTTCATCTTCCTTTCCTGGATGCTACCTGGATTCATTTTTTCCCGATTTTCTTGCTGGGTCTCATACACCCGCTATCTATAGATTGGTTTGTACTGAATGCAACTCCTAATACTGAAATAGGTGCTGAACCTACTACCCATTTTTGTAAGAGCTCTACTATGGATAATATAAATTCTCGGAATCAATAATCCACATGGGATTCGCGTTGAGTGCGGTCATAAGTGTCTAGTGTCTTGGTGAAATTTGGCGTCCCATTATTTGTTGGCTCACAATGTCTTTTATGTCACACACTACAAAATCACACCAATGGGGAGTCTCAAATCCTCATTATCCATCATTGCATCCAAAGTGGGTACATCGTGTCGTCTTCCCCTCACCGCCTTCACCTTCATCAGTTCCGCCCTATCGGCTGACCCATGCTTTCAGCTTCCAATATTGGGCAGGAATTTTCAGTTCGCTTCCCTCGAATGGTCCGTAATCGCGCAAGGGCATTTGTTAGTTTCCCAGGATGCGGCTTATCGACGTTTCAACGATAACGCTCAAGGATTTTGTTGGGCAAAATATCCCGCGCTACGCCATCTTATCCCATACCTGGGGCGAAGATGAATTGCTCTTCGAAGACCTGAATCGAGGTACTCCAAAAAGAGGACTTCAGAAAGTCCTCGATACCTGCAGACAAGCCAAGCTTGACAATATTGACTACGTCTGGGTCGACACTTGCTGCATTGATCGGTCCAGCAGCGCAGAGCTCTCAGAGGCTATTAACTCCATGTTCAAGTGGTACAACAAATCGGCCGCCTGTTACGTATACATGGAAGATGTTGTACTCGCACAAGATGGATCGACCATCAACATGGTCAACTTTGATAGTAGCAGGTGGTTCACCAGAGGTTGGACGCTTCAAGAACTTATTGCGCCGCACGAGTTACAGTTTTTCGATCGCGACTGGAAGAAAATGCAAAGCAGGCATGAGCTCGCGCAGAGGCTTTCAAACATTACCGGAATCCATACGGATATACTATCACGAAGACATCGACTTGAACGCCCGGTTCTTCTTCTCCGTCGAAATAACCACAGCACAAATTGCCCTGCATGCAAGGCCTACGATGGCCTTGCCTTGTACCTAGGGAACGAGACCATTGCCACAAAGATGAAGTGGGCCGCGAACAGGGTGACGACCCGTGAAGAGGATATAGCCTACTGTCTGCTGGGATTGTTTGACATCAACATGCCCCTATTATACGGGGAGGGGAAAAACGCATTCCTGCGGCTTCAGGAAGAAATCTTAAGGAAAGCCCCTGACCAGACTATTTTGACCTGGACCGAGTCGTTCCTAAGACGCGGGAGGCAAATATCGTATTTGCCTGAACATCCATCCTCTTTCCAATTTGAATTAGGAAAAGGCACCGACGGTCGATTCGCACGAAATGACATCATCATCACACCCAGAGGCTTGGAAGTTGATGTGATGCTTGGACCTTGCGTTGTAACACGATTTCACGACAACCAAACGGAGAAACAATTCAACAAATGGTTGGCAGTCCTCAGTTGCCCTGTTGATGTGGACCATACTTCTCGAGTGGCCATTCTCGTGGTCCCAATCGACAATGAATCTCCCGCCGCAGGCTATCGACGAGAGCACAAGGAATCGCTAATAGCGTTAAAAGCTGGCGAGAGGCCTCGAGTTTTAGAAAATATTGTCCCATCGTTTCCATCCATACGTCGGCAGCCAGGCGATATGTCAGGTATGTTTATGGTGTTCTGCTTATTCTGTGTGGAAATGATGGTAAATCTTTTTGAGATTCAATTCCTAATCCTGTATGTTAGTTGATTGCAATTTCGATGAGTTTACGCCGCAGACGATTTATCTACCATCTTTGGAGCTCTCCCTCGGGTCCTTTGAAGAACGCCGACAGGTCAAGATGGTATTTCATGGATATGGCAATTGGCACTTGGAGGCCCAAGAACCTCATTTCCTCAGGGGAGAGGCAATACTTAAACCGGAGTTCCTCGTCGGAGAAAGTCTCATTGACAACATTAGAGTCGCCGGTGTCTTCTTCTTTGCCAACGATGAAACTGGATTTTTTGTCGTCTGGGGCGTCACAGGCTCAGACAGCTACGAACGCGGATTATCTAACGCTCATCAGGTGTGTTGGATTGAGCCTTGGGAATCTTTTTTTCATGGTGACCTATCTTGTTTGGCTACGGGTGATGGGATGGATGAGACTCTGCGAACTGTGCGGGAGAATTATGTCAAACAGTACACGGAACACCCGTTTGTTAAGCCTGCGTCAGAGCTGATGGGGTTGGGCTTCCACGCCAAAGCCTGCATTGAGCTTTCTGAATTTTTAGGCAGGAAATGGTACACAATTAGTGTTAAGATCGAACAGACATAACCATGCAGTACCAATTGTTCACTATTTATTTTTTCTTAACTCGGAATACCCTAACTGCGTGCTAGAGTTCTATCAATATTGTATGATAGTCGGCCTTAAGAGCAAGCCTTACTACGTGGTACTAAGCAGAGGTTCTGTTTATTTGTTTTCTTCTATCAGGGTGATCTAGGTTTTCAATATTTATACCAAATAACCTTTATGAAGAACAAGAAGCAACCATCCCACGATGTTACCACAGAGCCTTAACTATTAACGCAGTAGCTATAGTATACCCAAGTACTGGCAAACTAGCCAGGACTGCGGCCTGATTTTCGTCATCGTCAATTGACGAGTCAGATCCATCATCAGCGTCTGCGTCTTCAGACCCGCTCGAGCCACTATTTTCTCCATCCAGCTGCATGCCAAAATTCGCAGCTGTGAATGTTACGTTGCCATCGGAGAACCAGGTTTCAGAGCCAAACTCCACAATACCCAGCCACGGGTCCGTTGGTAGATCATCTGGAGTATCAAGATGGCTATGAGCCTTTTTGAGAATGAACTCGAAGAGAGGATAGAAGTCCTCATCAATCGATAGAATATCCTCGCCAGTGGAGGGCACAGCAGTGAAGACATGGGTGCCACCGGAGTTGCGCCCGTAGTACAGTGAACTAAGAAGGTGAGTATTCGTAATAAACGTCCAGGCTTAATCATGTGAGTAGTAAGGTGACATGGGAACTTACAATTCAGTGTCTCCAAGGGTCACATTAGACAGGATTGTGCCTTCCAGCCTCCCAAGCCACCATGGGTCACCTACGCTCCCCAGCCAAACCATAAACTCGATTGCAGCGTATTGAGGGTATAGGGTGGTATTGCGGTCATTATCAAGGAAGAAATCCCACGCCGCGTTGGCCTGAACCCTGTTGCTTTGCAGCGTGTCCTTCTTCTTGTCCCAAGCAGAGTTGCTAAAGGTACGTGGCAGTTCGCTCAGCGCGCCAGCCGTCATGATCCACTCAGTCGATAGGCGGATTGAGCGGATACTACTGAGGCGGATGGGGAGTTCCTCATGACCAAATCGCACGTACGGGAATGAGTGCACGTCCTGGATATCCTCGCCCCAGTTCCAGGTTGCGTCGTAGGCTGGGGTGCTGTTGTAGACAGTCATGCAGACGAAACCATCATCTGGGCTTTTGTCGTTCCACCCATTTGGATAATCTGAGGATCCAGAGTCAGCTCGAAATACTTCGTCCAACGCGGGTTTTGGATTTGGACTCACACATCAGAGAGTCGGTAAATTCACCAAGTCTGTCCTTGTCACAAATAACCGCGCCATCAGGAGACAGGGCCTGCACGGTGTTCGCCCGCAGCAACAGGAGAGCGACGCTACCCAATAACGGGCCGCTCCTCATCGCAGTTTCGATAGAGCTGTTCGCCCACTTCATTCTTGTGTGTTGTATGAGGGAAGTTTAGGGCAAATCCATAAATTCAGGGGATGATTCAACAGTTAGCACGTCTTGGCTGCTAGTCTTGGCTAATTGAACCCCACTAATGATTGATCTATGGCCACTGATTGTGCGCAAATCTACTTATCGTAATTACTCCGCTCTAATGGGGAGGTGGCCAAAAGGGTGCAAAACTTATCGGAACATGAACCTTCTTTCGATCAATGGTGTGCACGGTGATACGCGTGGGCAAAAAAAAAACCCGACTTCGTATGGATATTTTGAACAGATTAAGCTTAAATTAAGGCTGTTAGCTCATGTAGAGTCTGGAGAAGCTAGTTGTATGTACGATACAGAGGTTATATCACCCCCTCTCCCCGAGAGGGGGCCTCCAGCTCCCAGTGGAGCTTGCAATCACGTGTGCTAAAGGCAGTGTCCTGGGTAAATCTTCCTTCCTTAAAACGCCACTCTCCATTCCTGCCCCTCACATAAACATCACGCCTATACTTACCAAATTGCAAAACCTTCATTACTTCTTAACAACCAATTCTTCGCCAACATGTCCAATATGTCACTGGCCCGAAGATACAACGTCGCCTTCAAGGATCACACCGGCAAGCCAGCTTTAATGTCGTGGCGTAAATCGGTCAACGAGACTCGCCTACCTTTCCTACCCTCTTGGGTTTTCTACATGGTCAATCCAGATTTCTCATATGAAGGCTTTGACGGCTGTGCGTTCAGTTTCGGCCTTGAAAGGGGTCGTATTCGTTATACGGGTGGCAGCTTCAGATACGAGTTCTTCTTCTTACCTGGTGCTACCGCCGAAGAATGCGTCGCGCACTACCGTGGCGAGATGGATGCTCGAGGTACTATCTGGCGTCAGATCCGTAAGGTGAAGATTGCCATGAAGACAAAAAAGCAGAATGAGGGCGAGGAAGGAGCGGATGATTCAACCGATGCTTCAATTGAAGGGTCATCATCTGGTGATGAACCCCAAGATGGCGACGCAGGCGAACGACTTCCCGGTTTAATCTGGCAGAAAGATGATGAAGACTTCTCTAGCATTAACTACCGCAGCTGGCTTTTCATGTATCCGGATGCAGACGTTCAGTGGGGTGCTGATTCTGATGATCGTCAGGTCGACCTCGTTCAGTTTGACCCTATCCCCGTTGAAGTAGAGGAGGACGAAATCCTCAAATGGGATCCTATGGAACACCCAGTCCATACGGAACGGATGAGCGCTAGGGGCAGGGCTATAGGATGGGACATTGAAGAGGGGCTTGTGAGTTGGATGGATGACAGGAAAAATGCGAAGTGGGAGGTAGCAGCCAATGAAGCCATGTGCGACGCTAAAGATCTAGGTTGGGAGTCTTGGTGATGTGAAAGGGATTGAATGGGTTATTCTGTAAAGGATGATGAATAGCGAGGAATAAAGTACCACATATTAACGGAAACAATAGCTTATCTTTGAGTAGGGGGACTTCAAAGAAAATAACTAAATTGTCTTCTTACATTGTCACATTTTGGGATCATCACAATACACCTGAAACAACGTCCAGACCGGCGGCTAGGAATGCGGTCTGGGCTAGGTCTTACACCCCCGGCAGGTAAGTCCGCTGGTCTCAGCACTGGAAGCTGCCGGAGGTCGGCCTCATCTTCATCTATAAAACATATCCCTAGCCCTTTATTAGAGAGGGCATCAAGACGCTTTGCTATCACAATCGTAATCCTATCCACTCAGTGTGACATACAGAGATACGATTGCGTCGTTCTTACAGAATATAGCTATTGTTCCTACAATACACGCTCACTCAATATAAGCCTCCACCTGCCGCTACGTCCTTCCTCATTCCCTTCAAGATAAGCGTCCTAGAACGGCCCAGCGGCGCCGTTGCCCGAGATCCACAGGTCCTTGAACTGACTATGTGTCCAAGTGCTCGGCGATGCGGGATTCGCCGCATTATGCTTGAACGCTGATGCGGGGAACTTGAGTATTGTCGCCGAAATGAGTCCTCCTGGGAGTAGCACATTGTCCAACCACTTCTTACCATCACTAGTAGTCCCGAAATCTGCCTTGTAGTTTGACGTGGCCGTCGTGAGCCAAGTATCAGCCCTATTCTCGATGTTGGTCAGGACATTCTCGATGAAGTAGCAGTAAAGGTCCCGCATGCCGGCCGTCGGTTGGTTTGGACGATTAGGTATGTCCGGCTGCCCAACATTAATGCGGCCATTACCGCTCCACGGGTATTCGTCGTCGAACTGCTTGAGAACTTTCTCCATGTACTGAGACGTCGCTACGAACTTGGGCCAGACCTCGTCCCGCCGCATGTAGTAGAAGACACCTGCGTACTGTAAAGAAGTTGGTTAGCGAGCCTGTTCGTTATGTATGCACTTAAAGGCGGTGAGAAAAAGATCTTACCTTGCGGTGCGATATGCGTGTATCCTTGTTCGTCTTCATGTTGGTGGCGGGGATGGTACGTCCCTCGAACAACTTCCCTTTTCTTCCATTCACTCCTTTGTCCGTCAGAGTCAGGCCACCGGGGTTGCTATCGCCCCCAATTCCACTCATCATCTCGGCCAAAAGGTTATCTTTGCTCCAGTCAGGGTGAATGAGCACCCTATTCGGCGGTGAAATGGCATTACATCCGAATAGAACCTCTGACACCCAGTCATGCGTGGGCCTTGTATAACCAACCGGGAGGGCTGGTTGCCCTGGATCCATCAGCCAGTTGAAAAAGCGAGAAATAAGCTGTGGTTCGTAAACATGCTCAGCTTTATAGTGTACAGTGGTTAGTATCCATTCCCAACGGTGCCTATAGACACGTGTGATGCAAACTTACTTTCGAACTCGGTGGGATCGACCTGATTCACATTGAGCTTTTCCAACTTTGGTGCACAAGCTCCGGCCTTCGTTGCTGGATAACCAAACCAACGAATAATCCCGCTAACGCTCATAGCAGCTCCGCATGACTTATACGAGGGAAAGGCAAATTCATAGTCTTGCCCATTGTGCTCCCATTCGAGGGGCGGCTTATTTGTGCGCGGCTCAAGGGCACTCCTCACACGAGAAGAACGGCGAGCATTGGATTCGGCAGGACACGACTGCCCGGTGGAACGATATGGGTCGAGAAAGCATACCTCGCCGTCCCTTTTCCGTAGAGCGTCATCATCACCGCCGTCGCACTTGTCGCAAGTCGGAATGTCGTCCAAGTCAACCTCGCCTGGGCACATGAGCCCATCAATGCGCGGTATCAAGGGTCCGTATTTCAGGGCACGCTTGGATAGTTCGCGACGCGAAAATGTTGTGGATGGAGAGGATGTGCTGCCGATGTCGTCTTCGGTGAGGTTCCCATCTCGACGGAACATCTTCTTGTTCCCTGAGGTAGAGCAGGCTTCTTCTCCCCGGCCACTAGGGAAGATGGTTACGTCGTCTATGGGCATGATCATAAAGGGAGACTCAGGAAGTGCCCATGAGAACATATCAGGCGCCTCAATGGTGGCATAGAGATCGGCTCCAGCGTCAATGCCGTAGCAGAAGCTGCTCCCACTGCTGCCTGTCTGCGCTTCGGCGTGGAATGTAATATGTCCATCGGCGACTAGATTTACCGCGCATGAATCAAGAGAGACAAACTTATCGCTCCAGTCGATTCCAAATGTAATGGTGGGCTTGACGTGGGCTGACAGATGCCCGCTCAGGGAGACGCCGTACTCAAACTCCGGCTCGAGGGGCTGCGTGCCAGACTTGCTAGCAGTCTCAAACACATCGGGTTCCCAGTCTTCATCGATGGCAGGGAATGTCTGGTAGACGTTCCACTCCGCGAGCTTGACTTTGCTCTCGAACTTCACGCCGAGGGTCGCCTCCCCTTCTAGCCTGCCAAAGAGCTTGAAGTTGGGGCCAACGGTGACGATCCCTGGCACGGTGAAAGCCGCGCCAAAGGTATCTGCTCCGAACATGAGGACGTCGCCGGTATCGAATAACGCTGTCACTGCGGCGTCGACCACGAACTTGGCGTTCACCTCACCGCCGGTGCGGTAGTAGAGGTACGAGTCGGACAGTTCGATGCCGTAGTCGCCCCCTAGCGTGGCGATCAATGTCAAACCATAGTTGACGTTGAGGTCCAGCTCCATCTCAGCATACACCTCCAGCTTGGCGTCCATGTTGGGGCACGTCAGCTTCTGGTCAATGATGCTGAGAGTGAAGTCCTCGCTGTAGGTGTGCTCGAGTTCCATGAGGTTTGTGACGCCGGTGAACAAGGCCTTGAGCCAGTCGAGTGCCGTCTCGCCGAACCAACGTTTGTGGATCTCCTCCTTGGACAAGTCTCCGCCGTACACGTCGTCGCGCCACTCCTCCTCAAGCCAGCGCTTGTGACTACCTCCCATATCGTTGAGGCTCCTCTTCACAGACTTCTTTAGGGATCGCTTGGTGTCGGCTGCCTTGTCGACGATGGTGCTCCAGTACGTGTTCTCGTTGCTGTAGTCGATGCGGATCTGCGTCTTCCCAAGGTCTCGAGGCACACGCGTGAAGTCGTAGTCAAAGGTCAAGTCATATATAGTCTCGCCAAGGTCCACTCCACGACGATAGAGATGGTGCGGGAGGCTCTGGTTTACACTAGGTGCCAACTCCTGAACCACAGCATACCTGCCTGGACCGCAGCCTGCTGGCATGTCGACAATTGTACCACGGGCTCCATGACCGAGGTAGATCTTCTCGCAGTTGGAGTTTTCGCTGCGGTCTGTACACACCATCCGAACTGTATGCTCCCCGTCGGTGACAGCATCATTGCAGTCAAAGACTTCCCAGTGAGATCCGTCACGCCTGTCGAGTGTGACCTGGAGCTCCTCCGGACTCGTCATGACGACGAAGCCAAAGGCAGATGACTCCGGCGTCTCGGCGAATGGTAGATCCTCAGCACCGCCCCAAGTGTTGTCCACCTTGAGTTTCCAATCTGAGTCCGCACTGTCCTCGTCTGGTGGATCGGGGAACAGGTATTCCAAGGGAACGGGGAGGAAAGGTGAATCGCCCTCTTGCGGGTCGCAGCAGAAAGTCCTCTTCCGCTTCGACGCCCAGCCGCAATCTTCGTCCTCACCTCCGTGGGACGTAGTCAGGGCTACCTGCCAGCCCGTATCACAGTGGTTGTCGAAACAGCTGCCAGGCTTGCCGTGCCACTTGCAGTTCCGCCACTCCTGATCTTTGCTGCAACAGAACTTTTTCTTGTTGTCTCCATTGCAGTTACCGTGCTTCCAGGTCAACTCGTTCTCCGAGCCTGAATCGCACTCTTCTTTGCACTCGGTCCATCGGCAGTCTGGTTGCTTGGCTTCCGCCTCGCAGCAGAGGAACTTGCGACCATCAGTGCACACGTTGCCACCGCCAGCTTGTGTGCTGGAGGCGATGGCGACCTCGCCGTCGTGGCACTGACCGTTGCAGAGAACTCCATTACCTCTCCAGGTACTAGGTTAATGTTAGCTCACGTAAAGCCTGGCTCAGGAGTTGATGGGACTCACCACTTCTCTGGATCTGGAGCGGAGGCGAAAGGACAGCAGACGCTTGCCTTCTTCCCCTTCAAACGATCACAGTCGAACTCGTCTACTTCAATATACCCCGACTTGCAGCCAGTCGATCCGCACTCGTTGACGGTGCAATGGCCTTCCCCAAGCTCTGTCCAAGGGTCGACTGTGGAGTAATCTTTATACGCCCCGAAGCTTTCGGGATACAGCACGGCTGCCAAAGCGTCTAGCTCCTTGTTGTCAAGGTCAATTGCCCAGATGAGCAGACCACCCAGGCCTAGTCCATTGGCAAAGTCGATCTTCTGCTGGAAAGTATCATGGTCGTCGTAGGATACCCACTGATCTCCAGACCATGTGATATACTTGACCCCAGCATCCTCATCCCAGTACGGCGTCAGATCATACTTGTCGATGATATCCATGATCTCAAAGTACGCCAGAGTTCCCGAATTAGCGGTACAAGGGCCAGCGGTAGCTCCACCTAGGAAGAGGCACCCAGGGGTGTGACACGCAGGATCCGCCAGTTGGAACGACCGCCCGTAGAACCCAAGCCCAAGGTTGATCTTGGAGGGATCGACGTCATTACGCCAGAAGAGATCGAGGGCTAGGGAAATCTCTGTCAGGTTGCTGTGCGCCAGGACCTTGGAGCCTATGGGGTTGTCGGCGTCCCAGATACCGTGAAGGTCATATGACATGACGTTAACATAGTCGACAGCCTTTGCGGACGCCGTGATGTCAAAGTGGCGCATGTACCAGTAACTTGTGGGTGCAGTGAAAGAAATCTCCTTGCGCTTGCCAGACATGTTGTCAAACCCAGTACGTATCTCCTTGAACAGCTTGGTGAGGTTTTCACCATCGTCTGGCTGGCCGCCTCGGTCACCGGCACCAGGATACTCCCAGTCGATGTCAACGCCGTCAAAGCCATAGCGGTCCATGAAAGTGACGAGCTCATCAACAAACGTGACTCGTTTCGCCTTGGTGGATGAGAGATCGCTGAAAACAGGCTGCCAGATGGTGTCGTTGTCGTTGAAAGTCCAGCCACCGAGCGCAACGATGGCCTTCAGAGAAGGGTTCTTCCTCTTGAGAGCAGTAAACTCAGTGAAGGTCTCCGTGGTAAGCGTTCCGTCTTTCTCATCCTGCATCGGGACGATCTTGTACGTGTCCGGCATGATGTAGGCAAAGGAGTAGTAGATGTGCGTGAGACTGTTGACAGGAATGTCTTCCATACTCATGCCGATGCACTTTTTCTTCCAGTTCCACGCCTCGTAATATCCAATCACGCGCTTCTGGACGTCGCCTCCGGAGCCCCCTGAGCCAGGCTGGCTACAGTTACTCTGGCAGCCCTCATCCTCCTCGTCCGACTCGTCGCAGTACTCTGAGGTCATGCCGCAGAAGCCGTGTTGGCTGCAACAAACTTTGAGGGGACATTCCGTTCCAGGCTTCTCAGCGAAGCGACCACACTCAGCATGAGCGTCGCAGTTGCTCCAACACTTGTCGTTGGGCGACTCGTCATTGGTACCACAGGAATTGGGACCGTAGCCGCAAACGCCAGTCTTGGCACAGCAAGCACCGTTACTGCATGGCTTCACCTCAGAGCAGGAATAAGGATCATCGGGGTCCGCGGCCATGACGGAGACGTCTCTGGTTGCGAGAGTCGCATCGCATGTGTCGCGATCATCGAACCGAACCTTGGCGATGAGGTCTGCGGCCGTGGTCAGTTTGTCGGGAATAGGAGGGCAGATGAGCTGCTCTCCGGCATCCCGGACCTTGAGATGGGCATCATGGAGGCTCCGATGGTGGTGAAAGTGATGGGGATGACCCAGACTCGGCACAGTCTGATAGGCCAACAAGGAGAAGATGATGTTTTTGAGCGCCATGGCTGGCAGGCTGGAGCCCAAGGTGGATCGGATTGGGGTTTGCAATGATGGTGTTAAAGCCCTCGCGGGAGAGACGTAAGACCCCCGGTTTGGTCCTAAGGTCACGTCTTGGCCTCAATTCAGGGCACTGGACAGCAGGATACCTTTATACGACACATGGTCAGCAGACAGGTCTTGTCTCTGGTATGGTGTGAGGTTTACAGGATAGTGCATGTAGGATAACATTAGATGGAGCCTGACTCCACCAGATGAGAGTACGCGTAGAGCCCTGAAAAGCCCTCATGCAGCCACTATTCCTTTCTAATAAAACAAGTCTTAATCATTCGTCTGCTCTGTGTGATAGGTAACCGGCCTGGTCCATCTGTTGGTTCCAGGATAGTGATCCGTTCCTGATACAGTAGGGATCTTCAGGGACTAGCAGCGCTGCCTAGATGCCAAGGAACTACATAGTGATTCTCGGAGCGGAACGCTCCTTAAGGCCTTGTCCCTGCTACGCCGCAACCCCACAGGTACTTGATAAGTCTCATGGAGAATAGACTAAATTGCATTCCGTTGGCTCTTGGAGCTCTGATCATCAAAGAGACGTAAAAAATTGCCTATCCGTTGGCCCTAGTCTGTATGCCAAGGAGCTACTTCTGCACCGTGAAGCGGAACGTGATTCCTGATACTACGTAGAACCAACAACAATCCCCTACCTTAAAATGGGGCTAGGTGCTGCGATTGGTCGAATTGTAGACTCCGAACCCCTAGAGCTCGCATAAAAGAAGCTGGCAATCACGCTTAAGACCACGGTAACCGCGGCCCCCAAGACCAACAGCCCTCCCAAACCTAGTCTGAATTATTTGCCTCAGCCGATGAATCACGCGAACCCTGCGATCAAGTGTGATTAACGCAACTAAGCTTATTTTGTAGCCTGTAATTTTAAAATATGGGACGTGAAATGGCACGGTTGGTCAAGAGGCTGTTGCTCAGATCCACCGTGAAGAAAGAAAGGAGTTCCTCTTGCAGGGGGGAGCCATCGAGTATCCCGAAAGGATGCCGAGGCCGCAAGTCAATACTTTATTGATCATTCGATCGATACTCTTGGCTATCCCCTTGCCGCCGTCCATCTCTTGAGGTGTCCATAATTGACTCGTGCACCTTCGCGAAAGCACATTCTTTTGACTTCTCTACTGTCTCTCAATTTTCCCACACTTTTGTCTGTTCTCAAGCTTCCAGCCGCCATGCATTGGCCATTCATCCTGTCGAGTTTAGCCATCGTGGCCAGCCCGGCTAGTGCTTGGCAGTACATCTCTCCCAACGCTCTCCCGTCCGATACTCTGTCTGATAGCTGTGTGGATGCCTTGGTGGCCGATCTTTCTTGTCCATCGCAGGTATCTAGCTTTTTTGAGCGAGAACCTGTTCCGCTTGAATCTCTGGAGGAGGCATGTACCTCTGCATGTCGTGCTTCACTGGCTGAGTTTGAGGCAAGCCTGAAGACTCAATGCGGTGAGGAAGATGTAGTCGAATACGACCTGGGTGCCGGTACTGTTCACGTATCCGTTGTGGCGACGGATATCTATTATCACTTCAACAGGACCTGCATCAAGGACGGCAACAGATGGTGCAACATTTGGGCCTTTGAAAACTCTTCCGACAACGACTCGGATAACAGTGGCTCCGCAGTTGGTAAGAAAGCAAATCCCTCTTCGATATAGTTCCAAGGATGTCCTGACATACACAATAGTCACGTCTACGGCCTCCGTCGACATGTGCGACAACTGCATTATCAAGCCTTTCCAGTTTATGGCTGGCAACTCTTACTCAAACGGCTTCGCCTTGCAGGCGGATTACTCCACCCTGACCGAAAGCTGCTCCAAAACTTCCTTTCCATTGGCAACTACGGCAACCGAAGAGTAAGTGGCTGCTTAATCAAATGTATTTTTGAGAAACATATCTAAACTATAATATTAAACAGACCATCGACTACTGATCCTGTGCCAACTTGCTCGGGGGAGGAGTACACTATCCAGGCCGAGGACACTTGCCGGTCCATTTCCAAGGCCAAAGACCTTGCCACAGCCTGGATGTTGTATGACAACGACTTGCAAGCCTTCTGCGCCAGCTTCCCAGAAGCGGGCGAGAAGATATGCATTGTGAACCAGTGCAAAACGTATACTATTCAGGCTGATGATACTTGCCAGGGTATCGCCGTTGCTGCCAAGATCAGCATGGTGCAGCTTTACACATGTGAGCAGCCTTTTTTCCTTTGTCTATTTTTTTCGCATTACAGTGACACAAATCTCTAACTTTTCATCCGATTTTTGCAGGGAATCCTGTTCTCGGACCGGCTTGCAATCGCTTGTCCCTGTCTGTGGGAGATACCATCTGCCTTGAGCCTCACGGCGACGAGGAATACACAGTCCCAACTCACACAACCACCACCCCAACACCGGAGCCTACCGCGGCTCCAGTTCCCTCCAACATCGCCACCGGCACAAACAAGAACTGCGCGCAGTACTATTCCGTCCAGCCAGGTGACTACTGCAACCAGATCATCCTCAAGTTTAGCATCTCCCTCAGCGACTTCCTCTTCCTGAACCAAGGGCTCAACACAGAATGCACGAACCTCTTCGCTGAGGAGTCTTATTGCGTTTCGCCAGTCGGACCTATCAACTTGTACCCTGGCCATCCAGACTATGTTGGGCCGAGTTCGAGCATTTCCGATATTCCTTTTAGCGACCTTCCCAAGGCTACTTTCACCGCACCCGCGATCACGGGCCTGCCTACTCAGCTTCCAAGAGCTAAAGGTACGAGGAGCGATTGCGTCATCTACATGGACGGCACGGAGCTGCAGATTGACATGGGCTGGAGCTCTTCATTCTCAGCTTGCGAAGAACTGACCGAGGTGTGGGATATTTCACTCGCCGAGTTGCACAATTGGTGAGTACCGAGAAAGGCCACCATGTGTACATCCCAAACCTTTTAACAGTTGTCTAGGAACCCATCCCTCAACACAACTTCTCGGGACTGTACGTTCAGCGAGGAGTATAGCTACTGCATGGCAGCATACCTGAGAACAAACACTCGCACACCTGATCCTGATTCCGAGATTGAGCTTGAACCGGAGACTACTACTGCGGATACTGCCGAGCCAACATCCGTTGAACTTCCAATCAGAGTAAAGTCTATCATTTCTGTCCTTATAAGTGCTTTTTCTAATCTCGATAATCTCTCACTGTAGGATGGTGCGGCCGAGAATTGCAAAACCTATTATGCAGTCGTTTCGGGGCAGACGTGTCAAGAAGTCTTAGACGCTAATGGTCTGACCATTGCTGAGTTCTATGCCATGTAAGTGATGGAGTACCTCAAACACAGAAGAATGAAAACTTACCCTTGGACAGGAACACGGCTATTGGTTCTGAGTGCCATAATCTCTGGCCTGGTGAGTTCAAAGATCCCACTCCTTTTCTTTGTTCCGGTTTTATACAAGCCGATCCATGGGCTTACACTATTGGCAGAATACAGATACTGTGTTGCAGTCTAAGTATGGGACCCCAATCATAACAATCCATGATATGTGTAGTTAAGAATATTCTTGGTGCGATAAAACTTTTCACGAGACTGGTGTCCTACGTCACAGTTAAAATATCACTCCCATAAGTCTTCGGGGTACCAGATCGATATACAGTAGACGAGAGGGGTAGCTGAGGGAAGAAGAGTCTGAATGGAGGAGCGTAATAGCAAAGGTTTGGATACCAAATTTAAGTCTTTGTCAATGGCATGAATATCCATGGTTGTTTGAGGTTTCTTCTTCTAAAGTTGGTATATTGACAAAGGAAAAGGAAATATAACTAAAGTGCGCCCCGTGATTTATACAGGAAAATACTCCACTCACTTGCTTATGCCACTCACTATATACGTTCTGGGGGGAACTTCTATGCAGAACTTTCAGACCTCGAACTCTTATAATCCCCGTCTCGCTCCGAGTCTCGCATTATTACGAGTTGGATTTCGTCGTTGTTTTCCCCATACTCCACCACGTATGTCTTGTGGCATGTGATACCACGTTGATCTACCCTGTGTTGAGAGTGTTCCGCATTTGAAGTCACACTCGCTCCGGCCTGTCGGCTTCTGCTTTGGCCTCTTGAACCTTTGGAGGCGTAGTTCGCATAGTACCGCTGCGTTGTTCCAAGTACCTTGGGGAAAATGCGCACGAGGATCAATCGGAGTGTCGGCATACACGTGCAGATAATGCCGACATTGATTTCGATGGTAGACCACTTGGAAACTTCGAGAAACTCCCAGGTAGGATTTTGCGAATGTGAATCAAACGTGATAAGTGATCGCAGTCGTAGGATACTGACGACGGTGACGAAAGCACCAACGCAGAACATGATCCCCACTCCAATCTTCTTTCTCCAGTCCAGGTTTAGAGCCTTGAGCTGTGACAAAGGGATCGCCAACATCCAGACATCGAGGGCGATGCTGATACCGCTATTTGACCATGCGATTGAGTTGATGTCCATGCAGTGTCCGGTATGCTCTCCGTCCCATTTCGTCCAGAAATAGGTTACGGGCCTGCACTGGAAAACGGAAATGATGACAAAAACCGTACCGAATAGGCAGTTGAAAATGACAGTGCCCCATAAGGTTCGTCGGATGGGCCGGGCCGGAAAGATCCTCAGGTAGAAGAACAATAGGGCGAGCTTGAGGAGAGTGACCTGTAAGAAGTACAACGCCGCCATAATGTAGAAATACATGCCGAAGTTGGTGATGTTGGTGTCCGACAATGTCCAGATGTCACGGCCGAGGCCATTTGCGACGGTACCATGTACAGTAAGAACGGAACTGGGAATTCCAGCGATGATTGTTATGAGAGTAAACCAATCATCAAGCCCAAGCTCGAGGTGTTGCCATATCTTGAAGGCAAACCGTATAACGACAATGACCCCTGAGATGATTCCAAAGGTGTTGGAAAGGATCTCGTATTGAGTCGACTTGTTCCTTATTGGGGCACCACAGTTTGTCGAAGTCGTATTTTTGGTGACTGGGGCTGCATGAGCTCGGCAAATAGAGACGCATGTGGTGAACAAAACTCACAGAGGGCCTCCTTGATAGTGCAGCTTCCTGCAACACAGACCGCGACTTGCGACTGTAATGCCTCATTCGTACACATGCAAGTTTGGTTTGTGGCAGTGCATGGTGAATCAGCGATGGCGGTAGCTAGACACAGTATCTTCGCACAATCAGCATCACAATGGTGGTTTTGGATCGTGTTGGGCCAAATCATACAGCACAATCCGGGAGGGATGCTAGATCAGTTGCTGTTGACCGAGGGCCTTCACCCGAGACGCCTTTCGCCACGAGGCAAGCGGCCAGAAGGCTCCACAGAGACCGCATACTTGGGAGCAATGACGTTGGACCAGGTATGAACAAGAACAACGCTGGTCCGATGTCTTCAGACGTGATGAAGAAGAGGGTTATTTCAAGACAAAAAATACAGAAAAACTTGGAGAAAAAATGGCACGCGGAAAAGCCGGGACTAAAACAAGAAAACACGATTCAATACCCAACTTGTCGGGGCTGCCATGGTGATATTTGCCACAAACTGACACAGGGGCTCGCGTCGCAGGGTTTCAACTAAGCCTTGAGGAGGGCCACCACCATCCTCTTCGGGTCAATCTCGAGTACCGGTAGCTCCAGGGTGAACATGTGGGTGCAGTCTCTGCTCTATAGTTGATCTTGGCGGCCTTAATTGCTCAACCGAACTCCAACTGTCAATTCTCCACGGCACCCCGCCAAGGTGACATCGCATCACCAAGATACTCCGTACCGTCAAGGCCAGATCTGAAGAGGGAGCTCGGAGAAGTTCCAAGTTCCAAGCCTAGCCCAATCATCGGCCCTCGCTTCCACCGTTCACCACACTAGTCGTATCTGTACTTGGCGCAGTGGCGGTGGCCATCAAATATGCAGCAAATGCCCGGATATCACACGCAGAAAGTAGAACGAACATGGCCAATGCGCCGCCCAAGGTGACTCTCACGGCTCTGTGTTTGAATGTGGAAGCACCTGCATCGAATTATCCTCGAAAAATCTCCACTCCAGTCGCCCATCTCCGCTCCATGGTGGCTCGGCTATTGGATGCGTCTAGTTCCTCGGCAATATTCGTGCGGGGCTTTGACCAAAGATAGACTGGTGTCGAATTTTCATTTTGTGTCCGGTACACCATTACATGAAGTACCGAGTCGGACACCGGATGGATAATGCCAGGGAAACGTGGCCAATGCCTCATTTTCCTCCCCCTTGCAGCATCACATCATCTCTAGTATTTGAATCAATCATTCCGCACTCGAACCCTTGCATCTTGTTGATCTGCGGATGGAGTCTTCAACGAGGATCATGTGAAAGTCATTGTCATGGGTTCAAACTAGATGCTAAATTCCCCGGCCTAAATCCCTGATCTAGAATAGTAAAGGGGCTAGGCGCTCCTTTCATACTGTCGCGTCTTGCCTTTCATAGGTCAAACGGGCCTCAGTCCTGCTTCTCCGAAGAGTCGGGTAAATACGTAGCTTCCATTTTGGAACAGGCTCCGATCCCCGGGATTCAGCCCGAACCTGTGCCCCTTGCCCCTGTTTTCCACCAGCCGACCCCCTTGCTTGACAGGTCGTGTTTCATTCTCTGAGCTGCTTCAATTTCTACAACGTTTCCGCTACTGCAATTCACCTGGCCTGCTACTGGCTTCAGATGTGGACTGCCCACCTGTTCAGGTTTTTAATGCATAGGCAAGATGCAGCATCCCCTACTCTTTGACCTCTGGCATCGGTTTGGGGTTGCAATTCTCACCACCCACCACCCCGGCCCAAAGAAAAATTATTTCTAATCAATCTTAGCCCCGAGGCCAGGCGTCCGGGTACCTGTAAGTATAGCCGTTTACGGCATGAGAGTAAATGCAGTTAGTTTCTCTTGTATCAACAAGCATGCATGCAATCTATACCCTTGCCATACCGCTTGAAGCTAAACAGCTATATGTTTCCGACTCTATAGAGGTGAAGCCCTGGGAGGGCGCCAAATGTGGACACCCTAAGTGTTCTTCGGTAATCGAATTTGACCTTCCCAACCGACATCCTTTTAGAGAAATTCAGGTCCTTGACTCACCTGATAGAACTTCCCTTTGAGGCAGTGATCGCCGACATAAGTCGGTCCCACATCAATGCCACCGGACCTGCTCGCCACGTGCCATCAAAAACTAGCATCCAGAAAATGGGTGAAAGATCGAACACGTTTTATGGGTGTCGCTCAACATGTATCTGATGTGCTCAAATGTTCCAAGCTCATGGTGCCCCAGTCGATGCACTCAATCATTTGCATCAAATTGAGGGACCAGAATGGGCGTGGATGGCCAGAATAATTCGCATCCTTCAGGATATAAGAACCACCTATTTAAATAGATTTCAATTAAATATACAGTGTTCTACTCTTCAAACGTTTTTTTCAGGGGTCCAGCTGCCAGCGTTGGGTTGATCTACGGGACTCGGTAGGTGATTTGGTCCAGGGTAGCCGTCATTCCAAGTGAGAAGGGCAAATAAGGCGGGCTAACAATTGCAAAACAACTTCCATCTGATGGCCAGCGGCATTAGTCAGGCTAGCTAACTAATGAGCATAAATTTTATCTCATTCCCTCGATACGAAGGATATTTATGGGGGATATGGTTTCACTGTCTGAACTCGATCTTGCATTTTCCAAACGGACGCGACGAGTACTTCTCAAAACATGCATGCGAGCCGCTCTAATCCCCCCATATTGCTAAGATACACGTCTTTCAACCATGGAAATAACTCAGGCACCGCCCTCGGACGTATTGATAGACTGGGGAATAGATATGCGGACTTGAACAAGGGATTCAGCTCCTGCGAGAGCACCGGTATCGGCATTGCCCGACAATCCACTAAGCCTCATTCGACCCTTCCAGTATTTTAACCCTTGTGTTTGAAACAAGAATGTCGGTAGGAACCATCCAGTCGTCAAAAGAAAGCGCGGAGCTTGTATGAATTTGGCTATGTACCACAGATAATCACGCATTCGAACAAGGATATTTTTCACCGGCATATACAGTCTTTTGAGAGCACGATTCTTGAAAGTACCGCACTTCAAGCCAAGTTCATCTTCTCCATCCCACAGCGCTGAGAGAACCACCTGGACCCCAGACGACTGGTACAATTCCATCGGCGCGTCAATTTAATTTCGGCTGCTTACCAGTTTGGATGTGGAGACCACTTGAGCACTTTTCGTACTAATCTCAGGTATGTGATATATTATGACTTCGTCCTGTCAACTCACTTTGAGATTTCTCCGTAGATCACCTTTTGATACCAGTGTTGCTTGTGATCTTAATGATACGAAATCAAGACTGTAACAAGTTTTAGTCCACCGGATGCTTATTTGGGATTGATATGTGTTAAATGTAGGTGCATCATTGGATTAATTCAGCTTCGCCTAACATACGAGTTAATACTAGGAGCTAGCGAATATGTTTCTCAGAGGAAAACTCCCCTCAATCGTCTATAAAGAGAGCAGGGTAAGAATTCAATGAAGATTTGTCCACATGCCCCCTACCCTATGATACAGTAGTGGCAGAATAATGATGATATATTTAGCTTGGGAATAGCGTGCAAAATTTCCGGCGATCAATGATATGAAATCAATTTTTTAGTTGCAAGTGTGGCACCGTTGACGAGTCCAGTTTGAGAAGTGTCCAGTAATGATCCCAAATCCTCGAAAATAGGTCTTTCTGGCCTTGAAAAGCTCAAGGTGAAGATATTCTTCATGGGGTTCACCAAGGTGCTTCCATAGCTGCCCCTAAAATGCTGCATCTGCATCTATATCAAGTGAATCCCCAGGGACACCCAAGCAGGGTTAAGCCTAATTATACTCCTCTACTGACTGCTAGTAGTACTCTGGTGGATGTAAATTTCCGCCGAACAACCGGATCTGGTCCTCGATGTCGACGTATTTCCGTAGTCCTCTACGTCTATTGCGTCCGTCTCTGAGCCAACATCTTCATCTTCGTTGATATCGAATATGCCGTCGTCGTTTCCGGAAACATTTGACTCATCCCCACCGTCAAGTAGGCGTAATCGGTGTGTAGTGGCGCGCGGTAAGATTGTTAGAGCAAAGTTACGAGCGGCTAAAGCAAATGAGTTTCTACATTCAGCGAAGGCAACCCATTATATATGATAGAGGGTGGGTACTATTACAAAATACTTTGTAGCTCCTCAGCGGAACAGGAACTTAGGCAGCGCGTGAGTCACTCAACGTCCGGTTTAGATCCTCAGTTGGATGGGGGTTGAGGTGCAGGACGTGAAGTGTGAGATATTGTTTCGGCATGGCATAGAATGCCTTGCTTTTTGTTATTGACTGCAGCACCGAGTAGACTCCTTGGCGGTATTAGACCAAACGACCAACATAACACGCATGTGCCAGACAGGTCCGATACGCCCCGCCCACCGTCTTTCTTAACTCCCTAAACACACGAGGGAGCAAATCCCTCTCCAAAGTTGTTCAAGCAATCCTCCTCAGTCCACGCGACGGGGAGGTTAGTGCAGAGACCGACAGAGGTGACGAGAGTTCCCCCGCTCGCCACACAGAAGGAGGCAACCCCAGACGCACTCAAGTTTCGGGCCGAATTAACACATCGACAGTTAACAGCCAGTGCGGCGCTACTTGAACATGAGCGAGAATCTATATGAATGAATGTAGAGGAATACCTGAACATAGCCGAAAGGACGAAACAACGGGCAATCATTTTTACTGGATTATAGCAGTGATTTTGGTGTTGAGAAAGTGTTGAGAAAGTGGTGTGTGAACCGAGAATTCGTAAGAGTTAAACCGGATTGATTGTTGTCGAAAAGCCCCAAGGCGAGAAGAAAGGGTTTTATAAAGGGTGAGTGAGCCGAAAGGTGTGACAATTGTCTCTGACAGACCTTTATATGAGTGTGTGGCTCCTTTTATCTCACTTCAGACTCTTGTACTTTCTTGTAAAGCCAAACATAATGCCTATAATCTAAAACATTACTAATGCCCTTTGATTCTTCTAGACAATTCTCAAACGTCTGAAACTGGCTGGGGTATATTCTTTTTACCTCATTGTCGGGGGTTTCATATCTAAGCATAAAACTGAGGCCCCCAAACGTTAATAAATAAGGTTTCTGTCTCAAGCTGCGGCAAGTTGCCATTGACAATATCTCATCGCCTCCACTTACCATAAATGGCAACCAGTTCGCGCTCAAGGCTCAGTCGTCAGCGTTAGAACCTGAAGCACAATGCCTGCAATTATGGATAATGTCTTTCGTCAGCGAAATGAGCCGCGTTGAGGTAATAATGGCTAACTTGAATGAGTGAACGAGGTTATGCCGCACGAGTTAAAATATTCTTCACAAGCTCATGTGTTTACGTACCACTTACACACTCCTGCAGAATTGTTAGGTGTTGTCACTACATGCTTAGTATAAACCCCTGAAGAAGTTGGGCTACACAGATGTGTTGCTGCTAGGTTCCCGGAACATGAAACAGAATGTAACCGACTTTTGCACAGAGTTTCCAGTGAGCGAGAAAAGACAGTGCGTACTTTTTTAGGGTACCTGAAGCAACCTTCATGTTTCAGAGTCACGATAATTGTGTGATCTACACTATAGCATTCTCACTATGACACATGCCAGAACCGTGTAAACTTTATATCAACTACGATTTGTGAATTCCTACGGGATGCCAAGAGCTCTGAGACCGGAGGCGCCGATGTAGTTGGGGATTTGATCTTTCTGGCTGAACCTGCTAACATACTAGTTAGACATAGAGTTTTAGAGGTGCGGCATTTAAGAAATGACAAGTAAGGACCAACGCCTAAAGCGAACTAGCATGTCTATCCGAAGCCTGAAATTATGTCCTTTTGTATTCAACCAATGGTGGTAGGACATACGCCGTTTCAAATGTCGGAGCCGCAGTCGACGATGATAAAAGGGAGCCATATCCTAGAAGCTCAGTCTTCAAACCAACTCATAGAGTCAAAGCCGCATTCCAATCCCCCAAGACTCTTGACTCATTTCAATTCTCCTCTCAAGTCGAGTTGATCTTGACTCTTTGTACAATCTTTTCAACAAGCTACAGCTCACCACCACTCTTCTCGCCAACATGAAATTCACTGTTGCTCTCATTTTCACCACTCTGGCCACTGCCTCACCTCTGTCGGTCCGCCAAGATGACGCCCTCACCATCGTCAATGACGCACTGGACGATGCCCGCTCCGCGTCCGCCAACAGCATCATGAACACTCAAGGCGAAGGTCGCCAGCTCCTCGAGTGCGGAAGTCTGTGCACACAGTGCCGCAACGGAGCCATCACCACTGCGCTCGGAGAAGTCGCCCTTTGCGGCACGGCTGCCCTAGCGGTTGAGGTCGCCACCGCTGGCATTGCGACTATCCTTGAGGTCGCCGGTTTCGTTGCATGCGAAGCCACTGTTATCGGCACTTTGAACACGGCCGAGGCAGAATGCCAGGGTCTTGCTGATCCCTAAAGCAAGAGCAGAGTCCAGGGCTTCTCAATATATAAGTATTGAGCTAGGGAAGCATTGAGTACACAAATGCATTCGAGTATCCACATTGTTATCAAGACCCAATGAGACGCCATTCCTATTCTGTTTTTGATGAGAGGCCTGAATGGGGCAATAATATATACTAGTATACCTTTTATTAGTATAATTTAATGACTTTCATCCGTGCTGAATAACTATCCACTACTTTTTCCTATCGTCTTTTAATGTCCCCAATATATTAATTTCCCACATTTGCGTCATATATATCTCCCTTTTGGCGTTTATTAGGCTGGTTGTCTATGAAACTCTGAGCGCCAGACCTGCTACTCATACGGGAAATGAAGGTGCGTATGGGTTCGATATGAACCAGCCCACGGGGCCCCATGGGTACCCAAAAAGGAAAAAACTCTATAGGGTAGGTAGAAACTTAAAAAATAAAAATAAAATATTATAAATCATAAAAAATTAAATAAAATTAAATAATGTTATTTTATATTTTATTATATATATCTAATTGTTAATCTGCTTGGTATTTATACGGGTAGCTGCGGGTAGCAATTTAGAGCCCATCAGTACCCATGGGTATCTACAGCCCTAGTGAAAAGAACAGGCACAAAGATAGATCGTGCGAAGAATAATTCAGGTGGAAATGTGTAATCACTGTCGACGACAAGGTCGGTGAGCCACCGGGTGAAGACTCGCGCCTGCTGGAGGAGATGCTCATGCAAGAAACTGAATGACGTGGACGCCCGAAGGCGCTCTGCTAAGAGGACATTATGCTGCTGGTTATGCGTCATCCCGACACAAACGAGGCCGGGCTAGTGATGGCAATCCGGTTGATTCACCACAAGGGATCCGGTAATAAGCCCAAGTCGTGTGTGATGACCGAGCCTCCTCTCTTGGGTCCGAGTTGACAATAACAATCGAGCCAGTGCCATCTTCTTCTTCACCCCCACGAGACGATTTATTTCTGTCCGGTCACCGTGATGGTCAGCTTGGCAGTGAGTGACCAAGCATTCAAGCCCTCGGGATTGGCCAGTGCCTCGCACGTCCTTCAACTAAAGAACCGAGGCCCGTTATTTGTACAGCACTGAAGTGGAAACAGGAATGGCTCAAGCGCCCTGTGTTCCGCCAGTTTGACGGCTCGGTTGTGTCCGATAGTGATCCACTGCCCGATTACAAGCTAAGAGATGACATGGAAAGACAAACACTGGACGTTGGCTTTGAGCATGTCATTGGACCCAAAGCCCTCCGCAGGGGAGTCTCGCTTTACAACTCGCATATCAACGAAAAGGTGGAGTTCGATGTTCAATCCGTCTTGATGAACCAACCCAGATGGTCTCATTAAATTGTTTGCACATATTGGCCTTGACCACGACTCTCGTGCTTGTCGGGGCGTCCTCCCTGATGAGATATAGAGGGATATGGAACCTGATCTAGAAATTGGTGAGTTGGCAGCCGCAGAGACGAGTCGAAGAAAGGTCAGGACTGATGAAAGCGCTAGTCAATGACTATCCTGATGGCGATCTCTTGGCGGGAGATCATGTCCTGTGAAAACTCAATCGGACAGGCTTAGCGTGGTCAGAGTCCGACTTTATGTCTTGGCGATGCGGTGAAGATCTCGAAATACTTTTGAGTTTGGAGGATAGTGATTACATACTCACGGGTTAACTATTTTCCGTGTTCCCGAGACCGAGAAAAGGTGGGCCCTGCACCAGGTCATAACACACAATACGAACATTATGCATCACCCTGGTGAGACCAACTTTTACAGCTGCAGTCTTTGAAGTTGGCTGCGATATCGAATGAGTCAGCGTAGAGCTTCAAAAATGCAATCCAAAAGCCCAAAACAAACGCATTCATTACATCCAACAAGCCGGGAGCAGTTATTTTCTTCGCCAAAGGCGGATGTGGAGGTTGAAACCGGATGCCGGCTAAATTTCGCAGATGGCATGATCCGCATCCCAGTGGGGCATGCCTCTTGCCGAGATGACCGAGTAGCCCAGTCAGGGCCCACCCTTAAGGCAGGAAAAGGGGGCAACGGGAGCGTCCCCCTTCAACAAAAGAAGACACAGCGACGGATACGGAGCAGGGATTGGATTAAGCATATAGGGAGAGGATTGCAAGATCAGATCAGACACGGGGGACTGCAAAGCGGCGTCTTTTCCAGCATCGACCCGGATACGGAGATAGCGGAATACGAGCTAAGCTTAGAGATAATGTAACAGATTCCGCAGTCGAGGCCCACCCTTAAGGCGACATTCTTAAGGCGGCACCCTTAAAGGCGGCAAAAGTAACCTCGGAGGTCTCCCCTTTCGGCGAAGGAAGGCGCAGCCAAGGGGCTAGACTGCTGGAGTTAATGTGATAATAGGTCCCCCGGTCTCATGCTTTTATCAGAATGGATTGATGCCACTCGGGAAATCTCCAGCCTTTCCCACCGTCACTTCGCTGTCTTTCTCTCCCTCCTTTTGCTTTTGCACCAAATCAACCCCCCACCCGCGTCGCGTCGCGTCGGCTTCTCCAAGTTGGCATTTAGAAGCGCCTTCCAAATGGCCGCCCGACGCTTCTCGCAAAGACGCATTCTTCTTGCTGTCCCTGTGCTCACCTTCCTCAGCTTGGCCGTCGCCCTCCTCGTATTGAAGCCAGATCTACCGCCGCTGTCGTTGGATCACATCCTGCACCCTCCGCCTCCGCCTGCTTGGGAAGTCCCCGATGTCGACCCAATCATCCATGGCGTCCATGCTTCCGATTATGAGAAGACCGAACACCCGTACTCTCTCACCCCGTTCCCCGACTCCCCCTTGGACAGATCGCCGCCGAAGGACAAGAATGCGCCCTGGCTCGCCGCAGTTATTTGTACGCCCTGGGATGTCGAGCGACGCATGTTGATACGCTCTAGCTGGATGCGCATGTACAAAGAACTCCCTTTCGATGGCCGCTTCGTCCTCTCCAACCCCGGCCCGCAGTGGATGGAGACGATCAAGCTTGAGAACAGCACCTTTGGCGATTTAATTGTCCTCGATACCCTCCGAGAGGACGACTTTACCGCCAACACGGTCAAGACGCTCGGCTTCTACCACTGGCTCCTCGAGAAGAGCCCCAAGCAGTACCAGTTCGTCTCCAAGATGGATACGGACCTGTGGCTCAACGCACGTGGATTCTGGGATCGCTTCCTCTCCCCGAGGCTGACCAACGACACATCGCACCCCGTAGCGACTGTCAACAGCACCATTATCGGCCAGCTCTACTACTCTCCGCCCCACAAGGTCGTCTTCCCCCACGGTTCTATGTACACCGTCACTTGGGATATGGTTGAGCTCCTAGCCGGGCTACAGGACACCCACCACGTTATTGCCGGCGAGGATATGGCCATGGCTATGCTCATGCTCAAGGGTCGGGAGACGGCGACCGTCGTCAACATGAAGGGCAGCGAGAAGTTTGACTTTGACGAGCGCGACACACGGCCAGGCGAGGATACGGCATGGGCCGTTGGCGATACCATCCCCAGCGCCGCCGAGCACGCCCTGTACGGTGACGAGGTCATCGCTGTGCACCAGCTCAAGTCCGACGAGGCCTGGCTCAAGGTCGCCGACTGCTTCGACGAGAACGGCATCAAGGAGATGCCAGAATGGACCCCCCCGCCACCGCCGCCGCCGCCGCCGCCGATGAACGAGGAGGAGACCCGCAAGTGGCAGCAAGAGGCGGACAAGAAGAAGATGAAGTACAACAAATCACGATTCGATGCGATCCCCGCGGAATACTGGGAGTTTAAAGACGGCACCTGGTTGTGTAATGGTATCTGGAAGACACAAGTCGGCGTGGATAAGAACCCAGAGATACAGGCATAAACCGGATGTTTAGAGATGCGTGCTGGCATCGAGGTTTTGTAAAGATATCCCATGAACGTTGCGGCCTTGGATTATCACTTGACTACTAAGTGTTGGATCCATTACAGCCCATTTAATCAGTATAATAGCGTTGAATTGAGACCAAAGATGATTGTAATGATGATATTGATGGTAATAATCATGGTGGTGAGGGTCAGAATGCTGGCCAAAATCCTTCATGAATCATGACCCCTGGTACCTGTGGCCCCTCTTTTGAGGGGTTTTCCTTCTCAATCTCGCTACTAATATCGCTGATCAAACACGCCAGGCAGCAAGGCACAAACAAACCAACTGTAATCCCAGTTTCCATCAATATTATGTCATGCTGACGGATTATGGATGAGAAGGCATTTGCGGCGTGGGCGGGAGGTCGAATAACGACTCGCTTAGGATCGTAGGGAATTGTCGGATTATCCCAATTGACTAAAAAGAGCATCCCCGGTTATTTCATTACATCTTTATTGGGGTATCCGTGCATATCTAACAGAAATTCCCACCACGTACATGAGCCAATCGTTTGGTCAATCAGGCATTCCGTCGAAACTCAGTTATCTCGCCTAAGTAGCGCCCCCCCTCAAAAGCGTTGGGCGACAAATGAGAGCACCTACATTTGGACACTTCTGCGAACTTTTGCGGTTAATAGTGGAATTATGGAGATAGAGTGGAGGCGCTAACTTGGAAGAGTGCGCTGAATGTAACGGTGCTGAGAGTGGAGGTCCGAAGGGGCGGAAAGCCCAAGAAGCGCTCGTGGAAATCTTGATCTTGCTGGCGTCAGGATCGAGCTGGTGGACTGCGACGACGACGGATATGAATGCAAGCGCAGAGATGGAGAAAATATCCTTGAACGGCTCATGACCTGGTGCTTGGCAAGGACTCGTTGGATATCCAGCTTGTTCGGGAGCGAGACCGAGCTTGGCAATAATCAAGACCTTGCTCTTCAAAAGTAACGCCCTGCGCTAAAAGCACCTGGTGAGCCTTCTCCAGATTACAGACGGAGGAGCGTACTCCGTACAGAGAGCCCAATTCTAGCAGGACCAGCGCCCACTGAAGCCTTGATAATGGTGACTATTGGGTCTCCGGGGCCTGATAGTTGGTGGGGGCTCCCATTTTGGTTGAACTTGGCTTTATACACCTGTGTGACGGTATACATGACTCTCTAAACGTAAGCGCACATAGGCTCAAATAAGGCATTCTCTGATACTAAGCAGATTGACTGTCCCTGTTATTTTCTGAGTTGCCGCCAGGTTCTCGCAATCCTCCAATCGAGCCTTGTTGCTTTCTTTGCATCCCACATGGGCAAAACCAGTACTGATGAAAGCCCTGGTGTCGTTGGCATATGCTTCAAGTAGAACGAACCGCATCAGATACTACTCTTGCACGTTTACTGATGGATCTCACGGAGGTTACCCATAATAGCAGTCGTCCTGCTGGATAATGCAGTGGTGTTGATCTCAGTAAACAAGACCGTGATAACCACCAACGGCACTTGTCGATTCCTATTCGACCTGTTCGTTGGGGCCTAATAAGGGCCTTTACGTAGGTAAGTTGATTGAATGGGGCGCGTAAACTGAAGCTTCAACGGCCAGTCAAGACTTATCCCAGCCCGGGTTCTAAATATAAAACACAAGGCTTCGCACACGTGATTCTGTTGAGTTGAGCGTCTAATCTGAAACTGTAATAGCCAGTGGTGTCTCATTCCAGCCTGTGGCTTAATGCAGGTCTCATATTGATATCGTTATTAGATTGGCCGCCTGATCGAAAACTGCAATTACCAGTGGTAACTTGTCCCAGCCTGCTTTTAGAGGTCAAATATAGGGCTTCACACAGGTCAGTGGATTACACTGGGCGCTTGAGTGAAAATTGGCGGTAAGTTGTCTCAGCCCGATTCTTTGGGGCTGCATATACGTCTTAAAATAGGTAACTTACGTGGGTTTGATTGGGCGCCTGATCTAAAATAGCAAATAATAGAGTAACTTGTCCCAGCCTGATTTTGAGGCACCAAATGCGTGTCCTTATACTGGTAAGCGAATTTCATTGAGCGCCTAATCTAACATTCTCGTAAATAGCTATAACTTCTCCATTCAGGGTTTCGAATGTGCTCTGAATTCTCTTTTTGTTCTCCTTCACACTCAAATCCATCACCGTACAAATCCTTCACTAGACCTTTTTTTGTCCATTGATGATCCCATCGCTGACCGCCTCACTTCTTTCAATACTCTGACTGGTTCATTATCAATCTCGACCAATTTGGCATGGTTCCTACCAGAATGAGCCACTCCATGGCATACCAGTCCGTTAGTCAAGGAGAGATGCAGCATTCGTTCCGACCACTCTGGGCTTAAGGGCTTCTGCAAATCGTGATATTTGTTCGTCGTCCACCTTGTCGCTTCAATTTTCGTCACTTTTGGTATCATGAAAATCGATGGCTACAAGTTCCAAATCGGATCCCCCCCAACCTTGCTGAGCTTTGATTCCTCCCTTTACCAAGTACAAGTCACCGGTCTGCTGTCTTTAGCACTGGTTATCGTCCGAGTCATAGGGGGGGGGCTGTTCAGCACTGCTTGCTTGGAGGACCATCTTTGTTCTTCTTGAGAAGCGAGGGATGTCCCTAGCAGAGATGATTCGAGTAAATAATTGGCGTTTTCTGATCTTGCCGGTCATGACATCGGAAACCTCGGTGCTTTGGTCGGTACGGGCGGCTTTTGCAATGTTGTTGCTATGGCCGCAGAGCTGTGCGGCACCAGTCGCCTGTTCACCTTTATCTTGGATACCCGGTATGCGATTGCTTCCAGATTCCACAAGTTTCTCAGTTGGATCTGTCGAACAGCATGCAGATTGGGCGGCCATGTTATATGACCAGCTGCGCGCACCTATTATACTGAATGCCGCTATTAATACGGCAAACGAACCTGTCTATGCGTTCGATATGAACCAACTCGCGCTGCGCAGATATCTTGGTTCGGGCCAAAATATACCCAACGGCAGTGTGGTGGATCTTACAGTACCCTATTTTGCTGTTAATCTCAACTGGATTGATGCAACAAGCGATGATCGAACATCAAAAAGTGGAAGCTCCGAATTCACTGACGTGAACGGCTGGTTTTCGATCAGAGTCGATGGTTCTACAGCCGTTCTGAGGGATGAGCCATGGGATTCAAACACAGCCGTGTCAAACTCATCAAACCAAGCCCATATCTCCAGAGGCAAGAAGTTGGTTTCTGTTACAATTGCAACTCTGGAGGCGAATGCGACACTCCCTGATGGCTCTCGAATTACCATCAATACGACATGTCCGACTATGTCCAAGCAATTCGGAAGGCTACCAGCCGTGACCCAGTATCAAGTCCGGTTCAACAAGGATGGCAACGTATTTGCAGGTCACGACTGCTATATCTTTGCCGAAGCTACAATCACGGCCGGAAAGTATGCGGCGAAAGGCTGTAATGTCATCTCTGAGACATCGAAATCATACGCCGATTGCTCTATAGACCGTGATGATGGTGGAGCGAAAGAAGACTGGCTCACGTTGTTGTCTTTGGACTTCATGTCTAAAGTCCTTAAATATTCAGTCATGATGAACTTTACTCAGCCATGGCTCAGCAAAAGCTTGGAGGACTACACGGCTGGGATGCTAACAGTAGGGTACCATGTCGCGTGGAGTGGACTGATGGGGAAGTTGGGAAACGCAACGGAACCGGCGAAATTATTGATGGCAGAAGATATCGTTTCGGTATCTATTGGATATGAGAAGGTTTTGGTCTGGCTGGGCATGAATCTGACCCTATCAATAGCGGCAATCCTCGCATTTATTGCTCAGAGGTCTAGTGGAATGAACCACATCAACGATACTACCCTTGCCCCTTTACTAATAGATCTCACGGAGGTCACACATGACAATCGCGCTGCTGGACTATGCGGCGCTGTTGATCTCAGCAAAAAAGACCGTGAGCTTCCTAGGTTAATGTGGAAAGGGCATGGAAAGAATACTGGGAGTCAAGGAGAGGGGACACATACATCGTGCAGTCGAAGAGTTGGGTTTGTCTACAATGAAGCCACTGGGAATAGCTAGGATAATATTCGCCTGCTACTGTAATAGTTAGGTGTGATGATCTATATAGAGCTCTGAACAGTTGGTCTACAACTGGCAATAGTTACATGACATGAGTTTGTAGATTTTCCTTTATTTTTCGCAGCTAGTATTGGAATCTGGGATGTAGGAATCACACAAATCCCATAATTTCAGACTATGTTACACGAGTTCCCCTATCGACACGGAATTCATACTCCTAGTTACGGATCACAATAAATAATGTGTGGATTCAACAGCTATTGACAGAAAAGTTATATCTCCACTTGCTCCTCTATTCTGGAAGAATAATAAAGACCGCCCTAACATAACCCTTTACTCTCCCCAGCCTCAGTTATTAACTTCTAGATCCGTATAATACCATAGTTAAGCTAAGGCAGGAGTAGGAGTAGCCTGAGCCTTCTTCTTGCCCTTCTTCTTATCGTTCTTCTTGCCCTTCTTCTTGTCCTTCTTCTTGTCCTTCTTCTTGTCCTTCTTCTTGTCCTTCTTCTTATCCTTCTTACCCTTCTTCTTATCCTGCTTGGCAGCAGGTGTGGCCTCAGGAGTAGCTACAGCCTCAGCCTCTTCCCCATTCTCCGCATCTTCAATCTCATGGTTGCGAACCTCAAGAGAGGACTCGTCGTCTTCCTCGTCGTCGTCTTCCTCGTCGACTTCTTCATCGCGTTCCTGTCAACGTTGAGACCTGGTCAGAAATCCATTATTTCGGTTCGGATAGCAATTTATATACCTCGATTTCCTCATACTCAGTGATGGGTGCAGATAGAGCCGGCCCAGCTACAGCAACTAAGGCACCCTAAAGATTCCAGAACGTCAGAATGAAGCTCAGCGTAATTGAGTCATCGAGGTCACTTACGATAGTGCGAGACACGCCATTGCTGGCAGGCCCCGCGAAGCCGGACACAGCAGCAGCGGCAACCAGGCCGGTGGCAAAGAGACGAACGACAGATGTAGAATGCATTTTGGGCGTAAAGAATGGAAGGATCCGTTGAGTCTTTCGGGAATGGATGTTGATTAAAACTGAGGGGTGAAATCGGCCAGCCGAGTGAATGTTGAAGCAAAGTGAAGATTGAATGAGAGATGAAAATTCCGTTACCGACATAAAGAGGCCATACTTATACTTCTAGAGCAGCATGCAAATCGTGATCCAGTAGAAAGCGAGCTATTTCATCTGAGGTACAGGACGGTTCGGTAAGTCAATTCCGAGACGTTTGATGCTGTATGCACGGATAAAGCGGTCACGCTAGGCCGACGATGAATCAGGGAGGCGATTCACAATCGGATACCGGAATGAGTGAAGAGAAGATCAGGTTTGAGAATCGTCCTCCCTCGGCTCTTGTGTGCCGTTTTTACGAAGAGAATGTAAGAGGATAGGCTGGTTTGTGGTCCCTGGCTCTTAGCGCAGGGGATCGTTGGGCCAATTATAGGGGATTATCGTCAAGGGGAGCTGTCTGAAACTCCAGGTTCTCCATGTTGCCCGACTTGGGATATCAATTATTGGGGTAGAAAAGAGCATCGACAACCGAGCAAAATATACACCGTAATATGTATTTATTTAATGGCTTGGTCTTACGAGTGCCATTATTTAGTCTCGATAGCTGTCAAGCCCGTCATGTCTCCTATAAGTGCATAGCTGCGAGATTTAACCACAGATTATCATTCCCGAATTACGGAGTACCCTTTTGCCCTTTTGCTAAAACGGCCAAAGGGCCCCGCACGTAGAAATTAGCGCGATGACGACAGAAGCTAACCTGCAGCTTGAGCCCCTCAGGGTCCCGATCCCAAACTGGTGACTATTTGTGGAGCAATTACAGCAGAATCTGGTTCAATTAAGATGCATTCGACAAATTCAAGCCCGGAATTTCCAAGTCGATGTCATCGCGTGTGGCTTAAAGCTGAGGTGTCTGTTTGTTGTGCCTGTCGGGTTTCAGGCTTGGCGTAGATTCAAACATTCACATGTTCCCTACAAGCATCCTTGTTTCAGATGAAGCCGGTCGAGCCGACAGTTCGTAAATCCCCTGCCACGCGGCATGTCAACCCGGCGTCCTCGCACCAGCCTTGACGTCTATTGACATCCGGGGTTTCAGTCTTGGCAACTCTTGGCATCCCATGTTTCGGATCGAGCCGGTCGATCCTAACGCTCGGAACAGCTCTTAGCCGTGCACTATTATAGCAGTATTCGACACTCCCTCTTTTGAGGGTGACCCTAATTTGTTCCAATGGTCTCTCTGTTGTATCTAGCAGATGGAAATTATTATGTGTGTGAGAAGCTCTTGATATTCTTCCTGTCTGAATGAGGGTCTTTGGGTCCGGTCAGTCTTATTGACCCAGATGCTGACGATGACCTCGGATGACCTCGGACAGCGAAAGGCTCCGGATGATGTGGGGTCTTCGGCTTCAACCAGCTATTAAAAAATCAAGGAAAATTTAGGGCTAGGGCTATGTTGATAACGAAGCTACTGACGAGGCCGGTAGCGATGGACACCTATAACGAAAGAGGGAAACCGTCACAGCCGTCATAACTGCAGAAATACGATATCCCAATGCATGTGATATCCCTGATACACTGATATATGTGACACTCTCGCATCGTTATACCAACCAATGAATTCTTAATTGTGAGGGGTGCCACGTTCTCGTTGGTTGAGATATGGTCACTGATGCCCGGAGTCTTGGGAGCTGTTCGTGTCAAATTGACCATCAAGCTAAAATCATAGCGTGCGCTAATCTAGTGAATAGCTCCTTTTGATTGGGGAGGTTTTCATCCCTCTAACTCAGAGGTTAAGTAAAAGGCGAAACTACATGCGATGTGAGGAAGACAATATAGTTGATATGACACTGGTGTGCAATCTGACACCAGCTGAGCACCCCCAACCAGGATCTTGACGTGTACTAGAAGGGCGGTAGCATTGAGTAACAAATACTTGAATTGTGGATAAAACTGTGTTTTTTTGACCTTGTGCCGGCAACTTGCTCACCTTGAGGGAGCAGACAGAAGTTAGATTAGTTCCTCCTGCACATCAAGGTGTGTGTGCATGCGGTCTGCACCATCAAGGCATGCAAGCTACTTGCACCCTGTGGAAATAACACCTTGACAGATATGATTCCAGCATTTTAAAAATCTAATGTTGCATGATAACCAAATATCGAGGCTTTCTAGTCTTTGCGGGCTGGAAAACTCAAATATAGACCGATATAAAGGTTACCAGTTGCCTTAAACAGCTGGTCCTTTCTTCCTCTTTCTGGCCAACCGGTCCCATACACACCAGCATCTTAGTTCACTCAGACGCGCCCCAGCCCCGGCCGAATTAGTAGCCCAACTGACCGCAACCACTCATTCGACTACAATACGCCTCACTGTGAATCAGGCACCGCACACGCATTATCGAAATGTCTTCCGCAAATTCCCAAACGGCCACTGATACCGATACTTCAAACGCAGGACCATCGGCATCCAAGCCCACACCGTTGTCGATCCAAGAATCCGAGCAAGGCAATCCACCAGCGCACGCGGCCCGGTTTGCCTGCATTGACCTCTGTAACTTCGATTGCATCAGACTAGCCAACTTTACCGCCAGTGAGATAGCGGACGTCAATCGAGTCATCACAGAGAACTGGCATAAGGGCATGCGAAAAAGCCGTCGTTATGGCGAGTCGCGCGAGATCCAACTCTATGGCCTCTCTTGGATGGGCTCCGCAAGTGGTCATGACGAATCTCGCTTGCTGGTGCTTCGTATTCTCGAAAACCTATATAACAAGGGTTGGATGCTACAATCCGCGGTAAACATCATCAAGGAACAGAAAGGTAAAGAAAAGACTGACAGAGAAAGGACATGGCCTTTTCAAGTTCTCTTTCTCCAGGTATGGAGCATATTAAACCCAGAGGCTGACAATCCATCCAGATAGCCTCGTCTTCCGTAAACAAGTCACAGTCCCACCACCTTGCCACTGGATCACTATTTCGTTCGACTCGTATGGCAAGCTCAAGATTATCAACAGCCCACCCCCAGATCTAGTCGCTGCGGTCCTTCGACTCTTTAAACTGAAAATTCGGCAACAAGAGGTTACAGGTGATCGCCTAAAGATCAAGCTTGGGACTAGTGCTTGGGCGTCCACAGGCCCTCATGCTGTGAAAACGCAACTCAAGTTGCTTTCACTGCTTGAGACTCTGGAAAGTTGCGGCTTCTCCCTCTACGCTACCCTTGGCACGGAGAATGAGCGAGATGTTCTTATTTGTTATCGGCGGCAAGGCTGGATACAGGGAGCACCAGTCATGCATCGCTAGTATAATCTATTGCTGTTGAGTTTTTGAGGTAGTAGTTAAGAGTAGTCTGTGCTGTAAAGGAATAAATGATATAGTGCTAATCTCTCTTCTTGCATTTTAGTTGAATAAGATAAAACAATTTATAGCTTGTATATAAGTTGAATTTTTAGAAATCAGAAGAATATTAATAACAAAAGAAACAAGTAATATTATTATTTAATTAAAACTAAATATAAAATCTCGTTCTTCAAAGTACCATTTTTCCGCTACTGCATCTCGACCTTGTGTCCAGCAAGAATCTCTTAAGATGACACAAAAGTCAAGACGTAACCATCGCCAGATCAGGAGAAGCTGAGAACAGAACGCATCGTCTGAGCTCAAAGCGCGTTTTGGATCTTTTCCGTCGCCTTGTTCATGCTAACGAGCGTTCTTCGCCGCTGCTGGGACGACGTCGACTATCGCTCTTCTTGGCGAATGTCGCAGCGCCATCCATAGTGCTGCGTAATCCCCAGCAGGCTGTCTCGTATAACAACAATAGATAAATAATACAAAGACATGTTAAAGGTCATCAAATGGTCACATAGGCTATCCAACAGTAAGGGAGCAAATAAAACATATATAGCTGCTATTGCTATTGTATATACCTGAAGCTATGCAGTTTATATATAAGAAGCAATTGAGAAAATGCAGACAGCTAAGTCATCAAACCTTAATATGATAGGAACTGCGTTAAGTTAATGGCGTTGCCTCTCCTCCGCAAGTTGATATCCATAGCTTAGTAGGTATACTTAAATGCAGGGTTATGCTCCCCAAGCTCCTCAATCTCCTCCTCGCGAAGACCCTGAATCCTATGATCCTCCTTTCCGGAAGCTTTCCTCTGGTTCAAATGGCGGAACCAGGCCCAGAAGCTGAGATAAATAACCGAAGCCATAGCGATGAAGGCCATAGAAATCGCGTGTCCCTTGACGTAGCGAGGGCCGTCGACTTTCGGATACAACTGTTGCATTGGGTCAGGATATGGTGATATTCTCAGTAGGTTGATTGACTTACGAAAGGAGCGGGAATTCCAGCCATGTTGCCAATGGTTACCTGCAGACCAGTTGCAACTGTACGCTTGCCGTAACGGGGATTGTTGCTAGGAAGCCAGGCGAGGGGCAAGCCAACCACGACATATAATCCCATAGCGGCGAGGAAGCAGCCACCGTACCGAACACTTCCGGAAGAATCGCTGACGAGAATGGCGTACCCGGCAGTGCAAATGAGGCCGAAAAAGGCTGTGAAGACAGCACGTCGCTGGTATCGATCGGAAAGCCAGGCAACAACGAGGTAACTGACGGCTCCCACCGCATATACGGGAATGGTAAGAGCCTGGACTTGAGCGATGCTCCAATCTCCAAGGCCACGGATAATGGTGGGCAGGAAAGTTGAGAATCCGTAGAGAATAACATCAACTCCGAACTGGCCAAGGGCAAAGAGCCAGATCTTCCAATCCTTGAGGCCAGCGTATACGTCCTCCTTGTGCATCTCGTCACCGGACTTTGTATGCCCGACCTGCTGTCGCATGCGGAGGTTGATAAGCTCGCGTTCTTGGATGGTCAGGTAGTGCGCCGTGTCGGGCGAGTCGGCGAGCCACCACCAAATCGAGATGCCGAGGAGGATTGTAGGGATGCCCTCGATGATGAGGATCCATCGCCAGCCACTCTGGCCGCCGGCACCGTGCATGAACCCGATACCATAGGCGAGGAGACCGCCCATAGAGCCGGCAATGGCAGCGGAGACGAAGAGGAAACCGATTCGGAGGCCGTATTCGCGTTTCGTATAGAACATGGTGAGATAAATCGTCAGGCCGGGGAAGAGACCACCCTCAAGACCACCGAGGATAAGGCGACACGCGATGAGGCCAGGGTAGCTCTGCACGATGCCGGTCAGGGTCGCAACCAGACCCCAGCCGACAGTGATGAAGGCAAGCCATCGCGAGGGGGTGAACTTCTTGAGGACCAGGTTCGAAGGCAGTTCGGAGAGGACATACGTGACGAAGAGCACCGAGACGGCAATCTGATACTGGTTGCCCGCCATGCCGAGGTCCTCTTCGAGGCCGTACAGGCGCGCGTTGCCGATGTTGACGCGGTCGAGGAAGCTGAAGAGGTACAGGAGCATGACGGGCGGGATAATCCACCTGTCGAGCTTGCGGAGGAGGGCTTTTTCGGCTGCCGGGTCGATGTAAACATGACCATGGCCGGGGATGCTGTGCTGCTCTTCCACTTCCTTTGCGGAGCGGTTGTCGAGGTCCATTGTGTCGGCGATTGCCTTGGATGGCTCTGTATCGGATGCCATGGTAATTTATCTAAAAGATGTATTGAATCAAGTGCAATCGAAGGGAGCTGATGAGAAGCAAAGATGGATGGAGATGGTCGGGGTAGGACTGAAACTGACGAGACGGCCGTGGACCATTTATGCATCTCCATCACCATCCTACCCCCGGAAAACCGGGGTTGACAGCAACAGAAATTGAGGAGAGATAACCTACAGACCAGGGCGCCTACCTTAAAGTTTCACTTCTAAGTTCTAACTTCCAAGCAGGGATAGCATCAAGTCCAGTCGCTTCCGCTCTCCGCTGCCGACCGGGCGTGTTCGGGGTGGGTCCCCGTCGGTCAGGATTAAACCTCTGGTAGAGAGGCCCGGCATCTTGGCGTTGTCGGTAGATTGGCTACTCGGCGATGGGCTGACGTTAGTGGTTGCTTCAGGTACCTCAGGGCGCTCCCCTGTTCTGGCGAATCCTAGTCTAGTTCCCCAAGGACTGTTCTAGAACTCTTCTCATCATCAGAACATTGGGGAGAGACACTATCAGGAGGAGTAGTTTCTGGGGCCTAATGTCGTCCCTGCTGTCCTCTGATGCAATTTTACCGTCGTTGGACTCGTTAAAGATGGCCATATTTCGTGATATTCGTGCCAGAACCTCTGCACTATCACCTACTGCCCGGGTTCACCTGCGGCGAGCGTGAGTGCAACTATGTCGAATGACGCTTGAGGCCATGGCGCCGTCCCAGTCTTGAACGGTCTGCTTTGACCCGGCTGTTCCGGATATCGGGCACCCAGCCCGTGACAAGAATATGTCTCTAGTGATCTCGGGTTCGAGGGTGTGGTGCAACGCACAGCGAAGTTGTCCCCATCTTTCTAGCGGCCTGGCGTGTTCAACATTCCGCCGAATAGCTTCAACAGACCGTCTGGTGCGGCGTGGTGAGATGTTGACTATTTTCGAAGCATTCGGACACAGCCCTTCCCAGACCTTGTCATGACAAATGTTCGCCGTTGTGCTGCTTTGTGGTGGCAAGAATGAGGTTTGGGAAGCCCTCGCTGTGTCCGGCTTCCACTACTTCATAGAAGCGTGAGAATGGCGTTACTTGCTCGTACCCCTCGATGTACCCTAGCAGCGCGATCACTGGATGGCGTTTTTCTGATTCGGCATCCGCTGCGATGCCAACTACCGTTTCTGCCCTTTCAATCCTTGAGCTTGAAATGATCATCCCAACCGTGTTTCGAGCATCGTCCGTGTAGCTGGCATATATGACAAAGCGATGGGGACTTGACAGATGTTTCTCAGTAGGAACAGAATCCACTGTGTGGAACTAAAATCTGTGACAAACCTCCTCAAGATCCTCGAAGTTGACCCACAACAGGTCCGCCTCAAAGTCTCTAGCAAAGGGGTGGACCACGGCATCCCAGAAATCCAGGGTACCCTTCCTCGAGGACTGCCACAAGAAGGCGGTGGTCGACCCAAGCGCCAGAGAGGGGATTCGATTTGTTGGTGAGTGGCATTCCTGAACATAGCTGGCCCTGGACCTAGTCGTAAATGCTCTGGTGGATCTCGTAATCAATCGGGGTGGCCTTGTCATCGGATGTGCCTGTGTTAGTGGTGATTTTGACTTCCTCAACACCTAAGTCAAGTACATCCAAAAGTGAATAAGAGGCATGAAAAGTCTCCAAAAGCACCACTTTATTCTTGAGGAACCATCTTGGGAGTACCATTTTTAGAGGCTCTGGCTATGGTGAGCTTCGTCTTCTGACTTAACAAGCTCAGTATCCTCGTTGGGAGTCTCAGAATCTGGCGTAGTTACACCTTGCAAGACCGGTTGCGTGTCTTCTCGCTCTCTAACCTCTGGATATTCTTTATTGACAAGGTCTGCACTAATTTAACTTCTGTCTGCTCCCTCAAGGTGAGCATGTCGCTGGCACAAGGTCAAAAAAACACAGTGATAAGGTCTGCACATTCTCGCTGGGGCGTGCTCTCCGTGTTTGTAATCCCAGCGGCCTCTAGCGACGGATATTGCGACTGCTGTAGTAGCTGAATCATCTTTCTGAGCCGAGGAGTCCGGTACGAGAACTCCTCCGGCGGGTTGGGTACAGTTCAAAGCTGGCTCATCGGGAGAAGCGGCCATCTCCGAAGCCGGAGCTCTCGGCAAGCTGTTGGCGGGAGATTCTTGTCGCGACATTGTGATGTTGGGTCTGAGCGAAAAGAGTCACAGCAAGTAAGCCTAGACGTAGGATAGACTAGCTAATAGCAGCAGAAAAAAGGACTTCCGTCGATGTGAGCAGGTTTAATACCTACAGGGGCCTATTGTGCATCATTACATCTAGAGCTTCAGTAAGACCTATCCGTAAATGTCGCAACGACTGGGTACGCAATAGGCTACCGCCCAGGCTACGCCGCGATTAGGCAAAGTGCGGGAGGTAACCGACAGGGAGTGCTACGTCGTCCTCAGCTACACTGCAATTGCTGCAGAATTAGCGATGGTTTGGCCAATAGAACTTGAGCGTAAGGAAACGCTAAGCCTCAGCTGCCTCTCGGCATACTGATACACCGTGTGGCTTGGGGCTTTTATGCCCAACAATCCCTGTTGATGTTTCGAAGCATTCAAGCGCGGGGGCATCCAACCCGGCTGTGCCTTCAGCCCCCAGAAGTCCATAGCTCGATTAATTCGTTGTAGTCCAGGCCATCGCCGAGAGTTGACTACTCCGCGAAGGGCCTCTTTAGACGTGAAGCCCTCCCACGCACCCTTCAAGCCCTCCAACACGTTCGACCTTAGGTGTCATCTGCACCAGTGGCCCTCATGAACTCCAGTTTCTCCTACAAGCCACTCTCAAAGGACGGCGAGGAGATTCGCCTCCTCACATTGTCACCAATCCGCCTAGCATTCAAGCGCGAAGGTCAGGATGACTCCGCCGCCGAGCCTCTCCCTGAGTGTCAACTCGACCACTACTCCCTAAAAGACTACTTCCCTCCGTACAAGACTTGGCTCGATAGAAACGCCTGCGATGTGAAGCTGCGGCCGAGGAAGTGGAGTGCCTACGTTGAGGGATGGGCCGAGAGAAACGCACCAACCCACGCTGAACAAGAGACCTGGGCGAAGACGGCCCGGAACCGTTTCCGATGGGGCGACTATTGGGCCCTGAGCTATGTTTGGGGCGATCAATCCAAGAGAAAACCGATCCTGCTGAACGGAGTTCAGTTTTCTGTCACACAGAACTTGTATCAGGCATTATGCCGGCTGGCTGAGGAACCGCAACACGTCGTCGACGGGGCAAAGCTATGGGTAGATGCGATTTGTATCAACCAGGCCGACTTGCCCGAGAGACAAAGCGAGGTCGCTAGAATGGGTGACATCTACTCCCTCGCCCGTGGCGTCGACGTTTGGCTCGGTCTGCCCCTCTCAGAGGATCAAGGCCGAGCCATCCAGGGGTGGCAGGAGCTCTATAGCATCGACGGTGACAAGGGACCCGAGGAACTCCTACGGACTGATGTCGGTGCTGGTGGTGACATCATTCACTCCGTCGTACGGCTGTCATTTGAACCATATTGGGAGCGTGTTTGGGTTATCCAAGAGCTTGCTTTGGCATCTCGCGACTCCCTCTTCTTTTACGGCGAAGCCAGACTCAGTTTGGACGAGATGTACAGCATGATCCGCTTTGCCGGAATGTACGGCAACTGGGACGGGCACTATGCTTCGGGAAGCGCCATCCATGTGTCTTATTCTCTATCTGCCATGGCATCACTTCGCAGAGCTTCTGAACTCGTCACCCGTGCAATTCTTCCAGCCGTTCCACAACCAGATTCGTTGGTAGAAAAAAAGGATCCGCTGGTTGGTTGCCGGGAACTGCTGTCTCTTATGGCTGGTGGTAAAGCCACTGATCTACGAGACAAAGCGTACGGCATCAGGGCCCTCATGCCCAGCGGTGTCTCTGCTCGTATCTTGCCAGACTACTCCGCGACGAAGGAGGCTGTCTGGAGCAGGTTCACTAAGGCCATCATCGAGGAAAGTGACAACCTCAACATATTGGCGTCGACGAAGCTCGCAGTGTCCGACTCTCTGCCCTCTTGGGTGCTCAACCTCGACTCACCCCGGGATGGTGGCTTCAGAGACTGCTGCGCCAGCGGATCCATTAATGCTCAGTTTCGATTTTCTGAGAATTGCATGATTCTCCACTGTCAAGGGCTGCGTGTTGATACAATCAGGTCAATTGGTGCGCCGCCTAAGCTGGATAGTAAGCTGAACAAAGGAAGTACTGTCAAATTCGACTTTCCAGAGCCTCTCCGGCAGTCAGTCGAGTCTGAGAACCGGGAGCACGTCAACATTGATGACGATATCCGACTCAACATGCTAAAGGTCTTGATGGGCGACCCGTCCCTGACACTCGATGACCTGGATGGGCCTACAATATTTGACTTTCCCATGATTGACTTCATGTCTATTATGGAGAAGCTAAACTCGAGTCTCATCATGGGCGACGGAAATGAGGAGTACCAAGGAAATTATCTGAGGCAGAAAATCCTAGACGCACATGGGATGGAGGATGTAGCAACATCAACAGGCTCCATTTCTGATGATGGGCACGAAAGGGAGTTGGATAAAGACCACCATCGCGAATTTGAGGAAGATGACATCACGCCTGAAGAAACAGCACAAGAGTGGCTGGCTTACACCGTGGAGTACTGGCGACACCTAGCCATGTTCTCAATGTGGAGGCGAGCAAACGCAGGTTTCAAGGTTGGCGAGTATGAGCTGGCCGATTTTTTCCACTGGTCCTCAAACCGGCCACCTCGGGATAAGGACGGCTTCGCTGCACTAGTCGAACGTGCCGGCATCGTCAGCAGTCCTCGGACGCTGGTAATGACGGAGAAGGGCCAACTGGGTCTTGCCTCTGCCCCGGTCCAACCAAGAGATGGTATTTACGTTGTTATGGGATGTGACTGGCCTTTGGCAATGCGGGCTGGAGCAGGCGGTCTGGAAATTGTAGGAAATTGCTTTATCAATGGCTTGATGCAAGGCGAGGCAGTTTTAGAGTTGCCAGCCAAGGATTGTAATGGTATCGATTGGCTAACAATATGCTAGTTATTTAGTTATAGTAACGTATATGATAAGCAATGAGACGCTCGCCTCTATTTTCAATCTGGGTGATCGGGAATCCTGGATGAGGTGGCACATCGCACGTCGCACAAACGATGCGGCTGGCCACGGAAAACGAACACGAGGGTGTCACAGAGATAGTGGCCAACCAATGACGGGGACTTTGTGCCCATTTCCTCGCTTATCACCTCACCAATAGTCCGACGGGCGTACATACGACGGGTCTGTTCTCACGCAGAGAGGGGATATGATTCGTCTTGTGTAACATTGTGGCGTCTGCAGGCATCATCACTCCCATGGGCAGAGATTTCAAGACGTTTCAGGTGTTTTAGCAAGGCCCTGGATTCCAAGCTGAAAGAACACCGGAGTAATCAGGTGACATAACCTGTTCTCGAAGTAGTGTTGCCAGTTCTCCAAAGAGATTCTCTGCAATGTCCAAAGCGCCTGATTCATTGGATTATACGCTTTCACTTTATCCAGCCTTGTCCAGACTAACTTGTCGACAATCAGCCTACCCTAGACCGTTGCTGCCGATTTTTGATGTCTCAGAACCCCGCCTGTTGACTCTTGAGCAGCCGGCCATTCCTTCATCCATCATTGATCAACACAGGACTTGTTTGAATCCAACATCTCGTATCGGGCACCTTTCCAGCATGTTGCCCATCAGTTTCCTCTCAACCTATCAGAAGTACAAGAGGGACACAGACGTCGTGGCTACATGGCTCGTCGCAACGGCCAAGCAACGTGGATACGAAGACCCTCTCTCCACGCCAGTTGCCCTAGGCGCGGGCACTAAGACAACATCAGCGCCTCCGCCTAGTCGCTTAAAGGGCAAGGCGCGCAAAGCAGCTAAGGAGCAACAGCGGCAGCAGGCTACTCTGTCGAGCAAAGACGAGAAGGATCCGTCGTTGAATGTGAAGCATGTGCTCGCCATCCGAGACTTTGTGCCGCTGGCCGAGTTCATCGCCGATCAGATGGGAGCAACCCAGATGGAAGTCGACGATGGCCCTGCAATTCCACCATTTCTGATGACGGCCCTGGAGCGTACGATTCATGTGCGCAAGAGCTTCTCAGCGCGCCTCAGCGAGGTCGAACAGCATCGCAACGACCAGGCAGACGCCACGCACACGCATTTTGTCGACGTGTTGGAGAAGGTCTGCTTTGTCTTGCGTAAATGTACCGCTGGCCGTGGTGAAACCCTCAAGACAGCACTTCGCGATGGCGCTTCTCAGCCTGTCCGCGACGGGTCGACAAAAAGAGACAAGCCCCGAGGCTACAACATCTTTGACTTGTTGCAAGTGTTTGAACCATCTGACGACGCTTCAACCGAACCTGACGTTGTGGATCCTGCTCCGTCCTCGCTTTCTGTCGACGTCGAGTTTACGGCTGTCGACGTCAAGTACACGCCTGAATATAGCGAACACTCGGAGCCCGAGGCCGTATTCGCCTTCACAGCCCTGCTCAAAGACCTATTTAGCCTGCGCGAAGAGATCCGCGACTTGTGGGAAGACTATTCCAGCGGCAAGCTCGACTTGGCTGCTACTGCGGTTAGCGTAAACATTGCCCTGGAGCTCGCGCGCACCATGGAAGAGGAGGTGACGCCGTTGCTGGTCAAGTACGGGGGTGCCATAACCCTGCTGCCCAAAATCTTCGACGCCGTCTGCCAGTCCCTGGGTCTCGATCCCAACGAGAAGGAGCTGCCTTCTGACGACATGAACTTGGCGTGCTATGACATTGGCGCTTCGTTCCTGTGGAATATCGCCAGCTTGGTTGATGCCATTCGCGTGTCCGCGCCAGACGGCTCACAAGGGGTGACTCGTTACACCGGCAGCTTCGGGTGGTTTGACCCGCAAGCTGAAAACCTGGAGACGATGAGCAACCGCGAGCGATGGGCCCAGGACAAGGCAGCGGTACTGGAAGTTGTGCCCGATCTCAACATGCTCTACGAGCTCAAGGGCATTGAGATACACGACGAGCTGGCTCGCGGCTTCCGAACCATGTTCAGGACGCAGTATGTGCCTATATGGCTGTGCTTTGCGGTCCAAAACTACATCGACACGCTACGCTTCTTGGGACCCAAGGTCAAGAAGACCCTAGCCGAGTTTTACCATTTCAACGAGTCCGTTGTCGGCCTGCTCGACCGCGCAGCCACGGTAGAGCATAGCGGCGATGTGGACCAGGAACTCGAAGACGTGCGAAGTATGGCCACTGTCAAGAAGAACGGCGTCGACATCTTTACGGTTTTCCGCACAGCTCTGTACCACGGCAGTGGTTACGAGAGCGAACACAGGACATCGCACTTTATGCTACACAACCCAGTCTTTTGCGGCATGTGGATTCATTACGTGCGTGTCAGCATGCATAAGGCGGGCGTCCTCTATGCCGCCACGCCTGGCGCCGTCTTATACAGCGTCCAGCTGTATGCGGCGGTGCAACAGCAACAACAACAACAACAGAAAGACTCAGTTCCGGTGCAGGAATGGCCAGACATCGACAGCATCATTGCCATACAAGGACCTCGGGCCTTCTTCAACGGGCTGAAGCCACCAACATCGCTCCAGGCACATTTAAAGAACTACTTCATGAGCAGAGGCATATCGCCCGCCGACTGGCTCCCGGCTACGAAGAGACGCAAGGTCAAGAAGGGTAAGACGCCCGTGTTAACCTCGAAAGCGGATATCCGTCATCTAAAGTTCAGTGCTCCTGCCTCAATGTGGTGCGCCCTGCGGATGCAAAAGAATACCGTGGCCGGCCCAGCAAAGGCGGCTTCGACTGCCGACGTGGTGGAGGAGATCTTGAACGCGAGTGGCTGGTTCGATGCCGGCAAGGAAGAAGGCGAGGCGACGGATGATGAAGTCGAGAAGAATGAAGCTGCCGGCATTGATGAGTCTCAGGCTGAAGTTGCAGCACATGGAAATACTAGGGCCAAGACCAAGTCGGTGTCGAAACTCACCGCGTCACAGCTCGTGCGCCAATTTTCCCAAGTCATCCAGACCGAGATCCCAGACCTCACCTTCAACTACTTCGCCCTTCATGAGACAGCTCAAAGGCTGCTTCGGGAGTTGCAGGAGCAGGCAGACGACATTGGTCTGCCGCAGGTCCCAAACCCTCCGACCGACGTTGCCGACTTCGCGGGCCTGATATTCGCCACAGCGGCTGGAGAGCTGATGCCAGAGTCTGGGCAGAGCGAGGAGGTCATGGGCAGGGTGGCTGACGTGATGCGAGAGTCTTTGACGGAAGAGCTGGATGGGACTGTCATCTCGCCGGGAAGTCTTGCTCGGATGTTGACGAGTAAGCTGACTCTATAGTTTCAGTAAATGGCGAGAGTAGAGGGGATATAAGATTCAGTAGCTGGTAAGACTGGTTTTATGAAACAGTTGTCAGTCTGCGCATGATAATCAGGTAGCCTAAAGAAGTGGTGAGATGGCGAAAGACTTTGGTGCCACCCTGTTAGTCCCCAGGTTTAAAACCGACAGTTACGTGGTCAGCCATCAGCTGCCCTACTCTGCATGATTGCTAACTTCCCTAGCCAAGAAAAAAATTCTTACGAACTGGGCCGGCAAAATGTACTACCTCAGTAAAGGCCCGCCCTGCTTTAACCCTTTGCCTTGTCACGCCCCCATGTTTCTGAGAGACGACAATCACATCGTACGTACCCCAATCAAGATCCGCATTGCAAGATAATCTTCATCAATTCGTGACTAGGGGAATATAGAACCTGGTCGCTATCTTGAAGGCGTCGTGGGATACTTTTATTACCAGTTGCGAGGAGTAGTACGAAGCTTGCCACTGGAGGCTACACGCAGGAGCGTATCTCGATGAAGTGTATTTAGAAGATATAGTCAACTAGTTGATGCAGTAGATAGACATCGGAAATAACCTCACTTTCGGAAAGTAACCTACTTTTGTCCTTCACGACACCCAAAGAAGTCAACATGACACAGAACAGTGTAGATTTCTTTTTACTGCAATACTGTACTGCATGTGTATTCCTTTCTTTAACTGTTAGCCCTTCTGTTAAGAAGAGCGAACCCAGCCCTCTCCGTACCATGCGAAATTATGATAACCTGCCCGCCGACTAATTTCAAGGCCCTCTGCCCTCTCCATGATGTTAGAATGCCACCCGCTAAAAGGTAGCCTTGCCAAGGTTATTATCAAATTTGGCATTGTTGAATGGAACCACTCCAGATCCGAAATCAGTAGTCTCCAGGGCATTTTGGGCAGCAGCGGGCAACGTTTCCCAAGAAACCATTGGCTGCTGAACCCCAATGACATTTGTGAGTCCACAAGAGTGACTGAGACCATTCTTGTAGTACTTAATCAAAGGACTGGTGCCAGAGAGGGTGTATCCGGTTGAGCAGAGCCAATCTCCATGGGCAGATGGGCACACCTGGACGATATTCGACGCGCTGGTGCTGGTTCCGCTGTTCAGCCAGACAATCACGCCTTCCCAGTCGTGGCGGTGAGCACCTCCATCCTTGGGCATGTACCTATGAAAATGAGACAACTAGTTAATTTAGAGGGAATAATGTAGACTCACCAAGCATACATAACGCCGTAGTAGTTGCCATGTTGGCCGCCACGGACGTAGACCTGGCCAGTACTATTCGTGCAATCACCATTTTCGGCGCCAGCATTCTTAAGGCCACCACTGCAATATATTAGCTATTCAGATATCTCAAAATACAAATCTCATACCTTGTGTTACCCTCAGCATCCACTGCGGGATACGGAACGCAACCGCTGGTGACGTCGAGGTATGGCTTATATGCCTCATATACCTGACCAACAATACCAGTGGGAACACTCTCTGGAAATCCCACAACAGCAGTGTGTGGAATCACTGCCCGGATCCCCAAAGGGCCTGCATTGACGGCATTGACACATAGGAGTCCAAGGACCACCGGGGAAAATATTGAAAGGATAGTCATGGTTGGAAGGTTACTTCTTGGCGAGTTGTAAGGTAGAGACTTAAGGATAAGAGTGCAGGAATTAAAATAGTAGGAGAGTAGATACTTTATATATGAATCCCCGTTGCTAAAGCTTACAATATCTAGCTAGCTCGTAAAGGCAGGTGGCATATGTAGTTCGGTCAGCAAGCTTGGATAATTCGACTCAGAATCAATTGGAGAAATCCCCAGAGTCCAAAGTTCCAATCAGATAGTTTCCTGTCTACACAATGCAGCGTGTGACAATACGCGTATCTTCGGCTAATATGGTGTTTGCATTCAAGGCTGTCCTAGGCTAGCTATTGGTCCTAACACAACACGCGTATAAGAGTAAACAGGAGCTAAACTACAATATGACACCGAGTACAATTGGCCCACCTTTATCATCCAATGTATACGCTGACAATGAGAGGAATCTACAGATGTCAGGTGCCGATGTAGATAGCTCGGCGGATATAGCGGTTAAAAAGAAACGTGACGAAATGTCTGGTTATTGAGGGCTCGATCCACAGGTACCGACCACGGCAACATTGCCCAATGTAGGCACACGATAAATTAAAAGTGTCACTATGCTTATGCACAGCCGGATGCTACCCCGAAGTGGCAGAAATCCCGGTGACAAGTGCCTTAGCAACCAGGGGGCCTGTTTATAGATAAACCATATCCGAACTATCCGAACCCTTTTGTAGTAACAACATCGGTAACCACAAATCAGAGGGCATGTGTAGTCCCACGTGGGGTCTGAAACAGCCTGAAAGAGCTTAATATCTATCCTCCTCAATATACCTTTTGTACAGTGGAGTGCAAAAGGTTTAGATACCCTTCCCATACTGACCCCCCTGTATGACGCTTTGTTATGTGGCTGGTTTAGTAGATCCAGTGTTTTATGAAACAACATTCCGCCTTGCACTGGCAGGTCATTTTTATCGTGCTTATGGATCTCTGAGGAAATAAATTTGCTTGACAGGGCTCTCATCACACCATGACAATGGACAATCCTTCTCTGTGTTCCTTCTCTGTGCGAGATGAGAGACGTTGGGAAGGATACAGAGAAAGCTTTCTCGGAAACCCCATTATTCGTCTTTGTGTCTTTCAGAATACACGGTAAGCGCTTGGCGGAGATTCAGGTCTTCTGTTGATATATGGCGCTGTAGCTTTGAGCATCAGGCAGAAACAGGTCAATGCATTTCTGTCTGAGGAGGCACCCCCTTTGGAGGTGACATGTAAATATCTTGCCGAACAAATTCCCAGAAGGCCAGTTGTCCAAGGCCCTCAGACGCTCTCTTTAACTGCCACTTTGCGCCACCTGCAGCTGTCATCCCACCAACTGCTAGACTGCAGCTCCAAGCTATTTGCATCGCTCCGGACTGCTTTCTATCGCATTGGAGGCTACGGCAAAAGTGGAACGAACACTCGCTCATGAGTAGTGACTGAGACCTGTACTAGATGTGACACTTTCTTAGAGTAAATGATACTTGCTCTGAATATGATCCAATACAGCGGACTAGGTGAGGTTGATTTAGTCCCAAGTTTTTGAAGTCTAGCATTCTGATCATCGTACCATGCCCTCGACCTATTCCAGGATTGATTGCTTCTATTCAGGAATTGGATGGCGAGTCGACATCTCCGCATCTGTGCGCAAGCCTGACTTGGTTTAGTGATGCCAAGACGCAGCTGCATAGTCGCGGAATGTTATGTCGAGACAGGGCGGGTGATCTGGGGCCTCTTGCCAAGATCGTCGGCAACTAATATAGTAAAGTCAGGCCTTGGCGAACAAGGTGTTTTTAGTATTCATTCTAAGGTAGAATCTCAAACATTACAAATCCTTGAGGTGAAGGAATCTACCGTCTCTACATCACCAGATATAGGGCTTCAGCCTGAACTCAAACCGGCCGGGTCATGTTACGGTGAATTGTTTGCAGTGTTCGGATATGCAGTCTACTGCGCCAGATGTTATGTGAGGAACCCAAAGGTAATAGGATTTTGTATAACAGCCCTGTCTAATCATAGTATAGGTTTTACACCGCATAGAGTACAGCCTGTCTTACTCTTTGAATAGCTAAAAGCGAGGGGTGGACTTGTGTTAACATGCCAACTTCCCCTACATGCCAAAACTCGAACCCTAGAGCACAGGGCTCGCGTACGCGGCCTCTCGTCCCCTACTGCTCATCCTCCAGTCCTACAAGCTTGAGAGAGTCCCTCCACAACCTCCCTGCCTTCTCCGCATCATAGGCGTAGGCAGCATACGTCGGTGTGATCATCTTATCCTCTCCGCCCTTACCCGGCTCCGCCACGGCGCAGTTGACAAGGTACTTGCCGCCCTCATGCTCCCATGACTTGCCGACGGTCGCCCACACCGTCGTTGCGGCACCCTGCTCAACGCTCTTCATCAACGGATATATGTGGTCCATCCCCGCAAACGCGTCCGGGGGCATGAACCTGGTCAGGGCTGTGTGGATGATGCCCGGGTTGAGACTCGTTGCGTGCAGGTTTTGACCGCCGTAGCGGCGCTCAATCTCATTGGCCATATAGATGTTTGCCGTCTTAGACTGGCCGTAGGAGTCGTTGGGATCGTAGTCGCCGCGCTGGAAGTTGTAGTTGTCGGTGTCGTTGATGCCGTGGAGGTTATGGCCGGAGGAGGCGACATTAACAACGCGGGAGGGCAGGGCGGGCGAGGCGGCGGCGAGGAGGGCGGGCTGGAGAAGCTTGAAAAATAGGAAGTGGGAGAGGTGGTTTGTGCCGAACTGGAGCTCGTGGCCGTCGGCGGTGAAGCGAAGGTCGGGGATGGCCATGATGCCGGCGTTATTAACGAGGGCATGGATCTTAGAGGTCTTATTGAGAATGGCAGCGGCGGCAGCGCGGACGGAGGCAAGGGATTCCTGGTCCATCTGGAAAAGCTCCATGGAGGAGGGATCAAAGATGCCATCGAGAGCGGACTTGGCCTTGGCGAGGTCCCGGGCTGTAAGATAGAGGGTGGCGCCAGTGGCGGCGAGGGCGCGGACGGTTTCAATACCGATGCCGGAGGAAGTGCCGGTGATGACAATAACCTGGCCCTGGAGCTTGCCCTCGACGCCTTCGTCCTTGATGATCTGAAGAGCTGTAGGGCGAGCGTCACCCGGGCCCTCGGGCTTGACGTGGGCAGCGGCGTAGCGAGACATGTTGGTGTTGGTTTGGGATGTCGTGAGCGGTAATGAGTCACGATTTATGCAGTCTGAAAGAGGGTTGATGGGAGGGAGAAGGGCAAGATCAGTGTTGATGATCTTGAGTGACTATGAATTTAAGTTGAAGCATGACGGGGAGGTGGTCGATTTTATATAGTCTCCTCCCTCTCCGGATTGCTGCAACACCAGTGGAGCTTATTCGGGTCACTTTGCAAGACTGCATTGTAAAAAATAACTTACAAATCACGGATCACTTCAAAATAGCTCAATGGAGATAGGACATAATTCATAACTTTAACACCGCCATTTAGCGTGACGTTGACGCGCCTAGATCAAGATCAATAGATTAATAGACATACTTGGATGAGACCTCGTCTGATGACAGTATTGCCTCTTCCGGCCTAGCCTCGGCGAGTCAAACAAGCGGGCCCCGCCTCGCCCGGAGCTTTGTCGGAGCTCCGGATGCCGTGGACCTGATGACATTTTTTCCTCCTTCAGCCTAGCTTGCAGAGCTCGGCTGTTGGCTTGCTGCGTTAGCGTTAGCGTACCTTATGCGGCGTGGCGATACATCTCAGCTGTGGAATGGGGCCGAGGACCATTGGCCTAACTCTCTTCCCTCCTACTCATCACATTTCGCAGCCAGAAACACACAGAACTAGACGTCCGGCAAACCAGGACGATGGTGCATGGCGGGATTCGGCTCTCATGGGCCCAGGACGAAGCGAAACAGGCCAGTCATGGTCTCGCGCATGCCTCGGCCAACACCGAAGCCGAGACCAACAAGCAGCGCAGAAAGCTCCAGAACCGGAAGAACCAAAGAGCACATCGTGAGTCCGTCCCTTAATTCCGTATCCCTTGCTTTTATATCCCCTGATGTACTCTGTACTCAGAAGCCACACAGGACTACGGCTCAAGGATAAAAACGCGGAGACGGTTCAGGGGTCCCGCCCATTCGAGGTCAGGCGTTGGCGCGTCGACGAGCAGGACGATTGTCCCCCCCAAGACACCTCGCCGAAGCCAGCATCAGAGAGCTCAATAACCAGGCACATCTCCTCTCCCCCGCCTCGCACATATACCGGCACATCACCCTCCACAGCCGAGTGTGCTATGGTCCTCCGAGCCTCGCCAACCACCGGTTACGTCCACCCAGCCCTAGTGCTAAACCACCAGCCCTTCACCTTCCCCCTCTCCTCCGACCACCTCCTCCATCTCATCCAGTACAACGTCTTCCGTGCCTTCGTCTCCAACAAGCGCATCCTAAACACCCGGCTCACCGACCCAACCACCTGCCCCCTCAGTGGTCCCGTCTACGACGACACGACTCTCTACCCTCCTAAGCTCGACATCCCTCCGTCTCTCGCCCCTACCACCCTCCAGCAAACCTGCTACCACTCCATCTGGATCAATATCATTCCCTTCCCCCGCGTCCGCGACAACCTCATCCGGCGCGAAGGCCGCTTCGACCAATGGGAGATGATGCAGGACTTCGTCGGCGATCTCATGCGCTCCACACCGGCCCCGTGGCAACAAGGCGCGCCGGTTAGCTTCACCGTCCCCGTCCCGGAGCCCAAGCACCCCCTGCCTCTCTTATCAGGAAGTGACACAGATGAAGTCACCGCCGGGCGCAAGGGGCTCATCGTTTGGGGCGAGCCGCACGATATGCAGAGCTGGGAGGTCACCCCCGGCTTCTTCAATAAGTGGCCATGGGCAGTGGAGGGCTGCGACGAGTTGGTTGAGATTAGCAACCGCTGGAGGATGAAAAGGGGGGAAGAGCCTGTGAGGTTATCGATGTCGAGGAGCTATGTTTGAGTGGCTTTCTTCATTCTGAGAATTAGATACTCTGTAAGCAATGGTAGTTCTGTAGTGTAAATAGGAAGTTTCTTGTTCTTTAGAAGAAATTGATGTAGTGAAATATAAATTTAAATACTATTTTTAAAAGAGGATTCTGCTTTTATTGTTTCAGTTTATTATTCCAAAAAATTATGACGCCAATGTGGTCAACAGCAGAGCTCTCAATGTGCAGGATTGCGACACTCCGTTGTTTCCGCGACTTGTAGTGAAGAGGCCGATGAAGGAATCGAGAACCAGCTACAAGAGATAATCAATAACCGAGAGTTTGCCAAGTTAACAAACATGAAGTTGTCGTGCATCAATAAAATGAAGAGATAAATCCCTCCCGGGACTTTAACCCCCATTTCTCAAGAAGTCTGCGGTCGCCACCCAACCACTCCTCCAACGCCTCAATGCCGTCATAGCTTACTCGGATGAGGATACCCAATTCATCAAGGTCATCGGGCGATGCCGCCTTAATACTGTCATGGAAAGTCGACATATTAACCTCGAACCAAGGCCTTTGCCCCATTGCTTGGTGCCATTCTGCTGCTGATCTTGCTTCCCACAGGGCGACCTGCCCTGTAAAGCCCAGCTTGGCCATTCTCGCACTGGCTTGGTACCAGCCAAACCTGAAAAAGCTATAGATGCCATCGAGTAGCTCTGCAAAGACGACAGTGCGTCGGATGCTTTCGGCTTGAACCCAGTCTTTCCAGACCGAAAGAGTGAGCTGCGTACTGCCGGCACTGTTATCCCGCGGCCACTGAGTCTGTCCTTGCAAGATGCCGACCCATCTTGCAAGCGGCTCAGCGTCTCGCTCTGCCTGTGCCTGCTGTGCAACGTCGCTAGTCGAGAATAATCGCATGCACTGGTAAATAAGCATAGCCTGCACAGCAGGCAGGAGTTCAAGATTCATAGTCGAATGGGAACCGGGCGGCGTAAGAGAGATGGCTGTCTCTGTGGCCTCCACAAGCAGTTCTGCCCGCCTTGCAATCTCGGACCGGATAAGAAACAAGTTCACCGAGTTGCGCATAACGTCCAAGGAGCAGGCAGCTAAGGCATCTCGCAGCATAGGAGAGGCGTCGACATGAGTGTGGTGGATAAAGGCTGTCTGTCCTGTTTCTGCTAAAGCCCTAACCTGCAGGACTAGGCGGCCGACGGCGTACTCCGTGCGGGCTTGGAAGATGCTGCCCGTGGTTATGGGGCTGTCGCTGGCTATTTGGAAAGACGGCGTTGGGATAGTAGTGTTGTGTAGAGGTTGAGGCGCACACAAAACTGAGCCTGCATTCTCATACGATGTGTCGGGAGACTGAAGTTTGAGGTCTGGGGTGAGGAATGAGGTGGTTCTCCCTCGGCCCGTAATCTCGTCTAAGAGAGGAACCAAGGCCGGGGACACAGTGAAGGGAGTTGTTGTGAGGGGCACCAGCGAGCCGAATGTGTCATCATCATTGACATAGCTTTCTCCCAGTCCGGGCTCGTGATGGTTCCACTGAGGTGTCTCGGTTAGACCGCTTGGGTCAAGGTGATGGTCATGTCGAATCTCCTGCGGCATCCAAGAACTCGGGCTGCTACTCTGCAACACCTCTTGGGCTTCTTCTGGTGATATCCAAGCATACACACAGGTGACGCGCCTTGCAAGACAGCGCCCGCACTCCGGGAAGCCGAGGTCGCACCGCCTTTTGCCCCGGGCACAAGCGAAGCAGGATTTTCGCCTTGATGATATCATATTTCCGCGAGGCGACGTTGTGAAGCTCTGTCAAAAGCCCACAGATAGACTGACTACGGCCAAAGTAAAAGAGTCGCACTGCGAAGATTCGTGGCATTTGCTGCAAGAGGAAGGCGGTCAGTGTTGAACCCGGGAGTCCCGGCCGGCCGATGCGGGTCTAAGATGCGGAGTTCCGCACGCTAAACCTCGTCGGTACGGAAGGCCACAAGGGGCAGAGTTCCAAAATTCAACTTTTCATTTTTTTCTTACTAGGGCAACCCCAATGTGCCATTATCCTTCTGTTTAATCACATATAGGGGACGCATATCACTGTAAAGATAAAATATCCCTCAACAGGGAGAGCCCATTGCGTGACCCTAATTTAGTTAGGGTTGCTTGAGGCAAATATTACGTTCGGCCACAAACGCGGCCATTTGGGAACGAAGTTCATTCATCATCCTTCTCTTACACAATGGATACACCTTCATCCACTTCGACAGAGTATTGTCCCAAAGACCGCAGCCGTCATGTGGATATACGTACGAAGTTCCCTGGGGCCCTTTATTGCCCGCATTGCGCTCAACGGCTCCCTACGGCTTCATCATCATTTGGCCCTATTACCCCTATTTCTATCGACCTCACAGTCGATTCACCTACTTCCCAATCAACAGTCCAACGAGGCAATGCGATGACGATTCCTTCCCAACGATCCCGACCGAGACCTGATACCTATCAGAACGCTACGAACCTAGCTATTGAAAGCCGGTCAAGGAGCATCGCAGCTACAAGCCATACGGCTAAGATTGTCATCGAATTGCACGCTTCGTTTTGGTCGTGCGATGGGTATTATGACAATGTCCTTGACGGTGTTGAAACCCCAGTATACGACAAGACGGCAAACCTCGTTGGAAAGCGTACAGGAAATGTTGAGATCGTTCTCGGGGCAAAGTTCCCTTCTCATGCCGCAATGATAGAGTTCATTGTCAAGCAGTGTGACAAGAGGCTTGCAGTTAAGGAATGGAAGGTCGTTCATTCCGTAGTGACTCAAACTGCTACCTTTGGACCCGTTGAGTTCTCTGATGCCGCGTACGAAACGACCTCGTTTGCGGACCTCTTTCGTGTGGGCAATATCTCGCTTGCCCCAAAGCGCGATACGGTCCATTTGACCTTTTGGTACTTCAATGTAAAGCCTCGGCCTGATATTGAGTCACCAATGCCGTCAAGAGCCGTACGTGGTCACAAGCGAGCGATTGATCGCATACCCTCTGATCTAGAGTCAGAAGCCTCGGCGAGGAGCTCTAGCAAACGCAAAGCCTCACGTACGGTAAAGTCAGAGCGCGTATCCCCAATTAAGAAGGAATCAAAGCCACGAAAGCTATCTCGTATACCGGTAAAAGAGGAAGCTGAGACCCCCTTGGAGTTGGAGGGCAAGGATGATATTCAGGCTGAAATTCAGGTTGAGCTTTCGGGTGAAGATGACGCGGATTCGGCTACTTTTGAGGCCGTCCTTGACGATCCATTCGCGAGTGATATCGATGAACACTCGGAGGCCCAGGCTCTCTCACCTCAGAAGAGGCTTCCTGTCCGGATTGGTAGGGGAAAGAATAAGAATAGGGATTAGTTTCAGTTCAATTGCTACAATTGGTTATGCATCTAGTCGTATAGTTGGTCTCCCTCACCCCAGTCAATCTCTTCCTCCTCAATGCGTTCCAAAAGCGAAGCAGTATCGATATCGTGAGTGGCCAAATGATCACGTACGCGGTCTAGGCCACCCGTAGGCGTCTCCAATAATGCCAGCTCTGGCTGCTGCTTACTCCTAATGTACTGCCGTAAACGATCTCGTAGGAATAGATACGCTGAAAGCTTAGGTTGCTGTGGCGGATCTCTTGGCAGATCTTCCTGGCCTCTAAGAATGCGATCACAGATAGCTATTGTATCTTCTGGCAAGTAGGCATCAAGATCAATACGGTCCCCGTCGAAGATATCTTGGAGCGTTTGTAATCGATCTTGAGGGATAACCTCTGCAAAGCTCTCAACCTGCCGTGCGGTAGGCTGAAAGTAGAGGGTCCATGGCTGCCCAGGAACCACATGCGGCCTATTGCGTTGTTTGCGAATGTAGTGCGAATTCCACGTAAGTACGAAGTCGGCAAACTCAGCCCGCAGGATCGGCATGAAGAGATAGAGCATTGCAATACGGTCGGGTAGGGAGTCGTTCGAGAAATGGCCAAGTGCGGTAATTTCACCAAAATACTCCTAGATTCAGGTTAGCATAGGGTCGAACGGAGTGATAATACTACATACCCGCCAGAATTTAGCCCTACCCCTACTCAATCGAAGCCACCAGCTCTCAATCTTTTCGTTATGCGTGCTTTTGCCATAGATCCAGCAGTCTCGAAAGCGCACATCTTGTGGGATACCTTCCCGTGCGCGTACGCGGGTCTTCGAAAGGTAATAATGTGCTCCAGCCATAAGGATTGTCTCTTGGCCGCGGTCGGAACGGATGATATTTGGCATGGTTTTCCGCTGCGAGAGAACATCGAGATACTGTGCAACAACGCTTCGTGACGTACTAGAGGATATGCCCACGTAGAACCACGTAATAAACCGTGAGTAAGCGTCAATGGAGGCATAGATCTCAAAGCCCCAGGCCTTCAATTTATCGTACGCATCAAGGGACCAAATAAAGTCGGGGCCTGGAGAAGTCCATCCAGTTCGGCGATATCGCATCGTATTCCACCGTTCGGTAACACAAGTAGGGGAAAAGTCGCGAAAGCATGAGTACAGGGCTCGGCGGCTCAAGATATGATGATTTCGACGGACATATACGTAGAGTAGTGTGCGCCCGTAGGTCTCAAGCTTAGTGTGTAATTCGGACTCGTCTTCAAAGAAACGGCGCAATTCGTGAAGTCTCTCGCTAGTCATCTCAGGGGTTTGACGCCGCCAAAGGCCTAGGTCTCGCCGTATCCGTGAGAGGCCAGTCTTTGAGATCAGAAAGCCCTCAGAGTGAAGCTGCAGAAGCATAAAGTGATCGTTCAAGACCTTATCAAAGAATAGGTCTTTAATACGCTCACGTAGTTGTTCAGAGTCTTCGGTATACTGCCTCATGGAAGCATTCCAGATCTTCAGGTTGCGATATACAGTCGTACGTTGAACTTCGATGTGGAATTCGTTATTAAGGCGCTGTACGATTTGTTTGAGCGTGAGACCGTCGTCGTTTTTCCATTGTTGAATCTGAAGGCGAAATGGGGATATATCAATTGAAGGGCGACCCCTAGGCATCTTGAACCGTATGTTGCCGTACGTAGTCAAGTGTAGGCGTAGGGAAAGAGAGGAAGTCTGAGTTGAGATTGCGCGATTTAATTTTGAAAAAGGGGGTTTGTTACGTTTGTGATCGTATGGCGCCAAATTGCCTCATGCATAATATGTTTAGCCTCACTTGGTCAGACCCACAAGATTTTGAACAAAATGTCATAAGTGAAACACAAAGCATGATCAAAGAAAACTTGATTTCAGACTCTAGCTAAGAAAAGGGTATCATAGTTCACCGTACGTCCTCGTGCGCTAATATACGCGAATGTATTCTGCGTTTCCTCGTAAATCAAAAAAAAAAAAAATTCAACTCAGAGCGAAGTGACTAGGCGGACTACGGGTAAAAAAAAAAAAAAGAGTTAGTAGAGGCTCGTACATTTACGTATTGGGTCAAATACCTTAAGCCGACTTCGAAGAGGTGCCTTTCTTGTGCTTCTTGCGGTTGGTAGCTGCCTTGAAGATCTGCACAAGCTTCTGGCAGGTCTTGAGGTCAAGGTCTTCGAACGGGTCCGTATCATCACTGTCGGAATCGTCGTCGTCGTCGTCGTCGCTAACCTTGCGCTTGGTACCACGCTCTTGTGGCCAATCAGTATAGAAAATGAGAACGTATTGCAGCGTACTTACTCGTGAAGGAGCAGGCGGCGCCAGATCGGTTCCAGTCGCAATTAGCGCAGGCCGGGGTCCCCTCAGCGACAATGCATCCCTTGAGGGCCCCGTTGTTCTTCGTACACTTGTAGCAACGGTCCGTACCCTCCCGTTCGTCGCCGTACAGATGACGCAGCATAGCGTCGCAATTCTGGCCGCTGCTGAAGTTCATCACGTACGGGGTCTCCTGGAGCTTCTTCTTGTCCTTCTTGCTGCGGATCTCCAGCAGGCGTGGGGTCTAATACGGGTTAGTACGTGATCAACCAGGCTAGTACAGGCCTAAGATAAAGGACATACCTTGGTAGAGTCAACAGCTTCCTGGCCCTTGGTGGTGCTGCCCTTCAAAGCGTTCATCAGAGCCCAGATGGTGGCCTCCGGATTTGTATCGGGCTTATCGGTCTTGTACGCGAAAGTATAGGTCTCAACGTCAAGGACCTTCTTGGGCAGCAGGTTGAATGCGCGCTCGCCCATATCCTCGCGTAGGGCGTCGATCGCAGCCGTATCAGCAGCAGCAGGGGTCTCCTTGGTCTTGGGGCGGTTGCGGTTGCCTCGGGGCGCCATGATGATGTGTACCAAGCCGTATTGCGTGAGAAAGTGTGCGTACGGAATCGAATTGGGCCAGCGAGGGGAGGAAGGATCGTCAACTGGTGCTGCGTGGTTAGGTAGAAGAGATTTACGCCGCGCGAACAGTGATTTAGATGAATGACTAAGCACATGCAAGGTAAAATAATCCTACAAACGGGGCCGTACGGGGGTCCGCCCGGGGGAAAGGGGGGGGGTGACCCAATTCAAAAATCTTCAAAATTGAATTTTGGAACTCTGCCCCTTGTGGCCTTCCGTAGTCGGCGAGGATCCATTCCCAACTCGGACGTCCATATTGAAACCAAGGACTTCGACAATGGGTATAAATGAAGTGCTCGCGACGCTTTCCAAGGCAAATTTTCTGAATTATCTTCACACATCTTGCCCATTTCTCAGGATTCACTTCAACCTCATTCTCAGTCACCATGGCCACCGCTTCCGAACCCACACATGCCACTTCTGACCTCGGTAAATGGGTTGAGGATCTTTACTACCGCATCTTCTGCCACCCAGACGATGAAGTCTCGGTGAGCGCCTATGATAAAGGTGTCGCGCAGGGCTTCACTGCGAAGTAAGTCCGGTGTTGATCGGTTCCGCCTTGGTGAATGATAGTTGAACTGATCGTGTCACTAAGGATCAACCATGACCAATTCTCGCGACAAAGTTTTATTGACACCATCACCAAATTCCGTGTCCTCAATGTGACGAATATCCTGAGCACTAAGGATATCCAAACTTGGGATGCGCCGGACGGCTCCGGCGCAGGGTGTGTCGCGCAGTATGGCCGTTTCACCGACACCAACAAGGAGACTGGCGATGTTACTGAGACAACTACGTTGCTGGTGGCGAACATACAGGTGATTGATGGGCAGAGGATGCTGTCCGATTTGACAGAGGTTTTGAAAGTGTCCAAGTAAGACCTGATGTACCGAAATCATGTTTCAAGGGCATCATGCCTCCAGAGGTTTTATCTCGCATATAAATATACAGTCCTAAGCCCGACGTCCAGACTTGAATCCTCCAACCTTGACAACTGAGCTTTTAAAGACTACTAGTAGTATTGGGTAACAGCACGTGTGCGGCCAAGGTAGAATTCTTCCCTCTCTTTGATGGCAAAAGTACAGATGAGTTGATACACTATTTATCTATATGACGACTTCGGAGATAATACGAAAGAATGAAGATGACATGCCACTGCTAGCCCCCCATAGTCTGGGTTAAATTGTTTCAGCAAAAGAGGACATATGAAAGTGTAGTCAAATTTGCGACATGGCCGTGTTTTCAGTAGCCGAAATAGGATTCCACGGAAGCCGAATCAATCTGGCGCTTGGACTTAATGGACGTTTTATTTTCTAACTAGGCAGAAGCCGAGTCCTCAATCTACAGTCACCACAACGTCCGAAGCGAGCAGGATAGTCATCAATTTGATAACCAGTCCGTCCTTGTTCTAGAAATAGGCATCGTGGGTGCCGCAATCGCTTGGCTGAAAACCTAGTAACATTGACTCCTTTAAGACATAGTGTCGAAACCATGCCTAGACCTTGTCTTGGAGATCTTCGCCGGCTCGGTGCGGCGTTGCGATGTAACACGTATACCCATAAAAAAGCCCCATCTCCCACACCACAACACCGGTGATGACATCCAGGCTAGAAGGTAAACTTTTGCCTTACCCTGGCTGGAGACGACATGGTGGCTGCAGCGCAACGGCGGCTGAAGGCGCTCAATGACTACGACTATTTTTTCTCAAAAGAGCTGGCAGAAGAGGAGAAAGGGTAAAAACTTGGGCCGATAGAGGATGCTCTGCTATGCATTTACCTCCGATTATATCACGGTTGACCCTGTTCTCTGCCATGTCGCCATAAATCCTTCCGCCTCTGCCTCAATGCTAGTGGTGGTAACTGGTTTCTATTCTGGAGAGAGTTCCTCTGTCTCATGACGTTAAACTACCTATGGTCGATCCATATTTTGCCGCGGGGCATATTATATCGAAAGGGATAACCAGGTCCACCATCGGAATCTCCCACACATCCATCAGGAGTACCAGGCTCCGTACTTTTGACTACAGTGCTCCAGTCCAGCCACTCTCCACTTGAAGTTAGCACCGACCATACGTCTCCGTCTATACCAACCTTGAAAACGGACTGTTGAGGAGAATCAACATCTTCTAAGGCATCTGCGTGCAACTCATATCGCCAGTAAGTCATCTTCTGCAGATCAAACCACCAGCCCAGCTTTTCCAAGTCTTCAGTTTCAACTTCCAACATCGTAAAAGGACAATTGCCCTTGAGAGTCACTAGAGACAAGGTGCCCGGTGTTCCAACGTCTGGTATAAATACTTGCTTGATAGGCGTCTTTGAATGCTCCATTGCCTCACGGAACGCCCGAACTCGTGCGGATTGGAGTGGGTCAAGCTGAGCAGTATCGCGTTTGCTTCCTGTATTGCGATAGAAAGCAATTTCTATATCTCTGCGTAGCACCCTTTCCCGATATGGAACCATCACACGGTTGAAGTAAGCCGCGTCAGGGTTGGGCTGGAATGCATAATCCTGTCGTCTCTTGGCAATATCGTCAACAAGTGAGTTGTCCATATATGTGCGAACGTATCGAGTTTGTTGTAAAATCATCTTGCGGTAGGATTGTAGGGCCCCAGGGCCATCTGGGAGCTCCCAGGTACGGGGGGTTGGCTCCGCTCCAGACAGTGTAATATCCAGTGCATTGAGGCGGCTTGGCTGCTGCTCTCCCTTCCCAGACTGGAGTAAAGCGGTTTTTCTGGCCGCGCCTTCAAGTTGACATTGCCGTCTGACCGCACTGAGACATTCCCATTTTTGCCATACCCGTTGCAGCAGACCGTGGATAACCATACGTTCCTTATCCCCTATTATATGGCCTGGAGGCTGTGGCTGGAGCTCCTCGACTGGCTTTGGCAATATTGGTTGAGGACGAGGTTGGTGGAGCGGCATGCTACGCTTGACACGATCCTGCCTTTTTCTTCCATTGCGCGGGTCGTCGGAAAACTCATCATCGCCATCTTCAAGCTCGCGCGTACGCTTTTCCTTCTGGGCAGTTGATTTGATTGCTTCTGTAGAGCTCGCGGCGACACGTTGCCGAACGTCGGGAGGCTCTTCCCCCATTGGCTTGGCCTGACTGCCATCTGATGACATGTTGATCGATTTTCCCTCGTATTGGTACGGTCGGGTGCATCGAAGGCATAGACATGCGAGTCCCACGTATCAGAATACTTTTCAGCAGCTGCTGGTAGATGGCTCTGCAATGGGGTGTCAGATCCCGTAACTCCGTAAGTGGGATCTAACGATCCGAGTTGGACGGGAAAACGGATGATCAAATAAGGCCAAAATGGGCTGATTGAACTGATGATAAATATGGCTTTAATATGGTCGTGATGGCTGACTGATTTCTGTCATCTATCGTATCCAAGACCCGCTATCATTAGTCATCGCGGGCGGCCGCTTGGCGACTGATAGGTAGGCGCCTGGGCGTACAGTGGCATATTATTACATGGGTAACGAAACTATGTACGAAGATGACTGGAGCAATTTTGCATGTAGGCTTTCCGTGTTTTATATAGAGCTACAGTATTAATATAAGAGCGTACTATTCTTAATGTAGCAAAGCTGATGCTAAATCAAGCAGTGCTGGTACTATTCTATTGGCGCTGAAGCTCCAATAATACCAGACTAGAGGAGGCAGAATATTGCGGCTGAAAGCTTCAGAAGGAGGTATAAACTCCGACCTGTACTATATTCTCAAACCTGTAGTCTGTATCTTATACAATACTAAACCGCATTAGATAACCCATCGCGCAGTTTCGCCTCTTACTTGTCGTCTCTACGCTATGGCCACGGGCCATCACTTGATACAGGATGTGTGGGCCAAGAGATCGTTGTTGTGGTTACGTAATTCGGGCCCAAAGTCGAGTTGTCTGTGTTGGTGTCGGCCCTGAGAGCCTGTCGTGTTTGAGGGCCCATTGCTATGAGTGTGCCCACGAGGAAGAGAATTATTGTCAGAATCACCGCACCGTAACCTAGAACAGCGTTTACCCAGACCAAATCAAGGGATACAGGGGATGCGCCAACTACTGGCGGGGGCCCTCTTACTTGTCTCTATAATTCGAGACGCTCTACCCAGCGACGGGGCTGCCCATGTTGAGTTGTGGCATCACAACGTTCTCGTTGAAACGGGACGGCGCTGAACCTGGCAAAGGGGTGGGTATGATTGGGCATGGGGGGCTGGGGCATTTTGAGTCATGGGCGACAAATCTCGGCTGTATCAAGGCCGTTTCCGTGTCTCAAAGCTCTGCGAAGAGGAACGCTGCCGGTAATATCGGCGAATCCAACGTTATTGCCACGGGCGAGAGCAATTACTTGTCCCAGGAACCTGCGGGTATGTTGGACATTATTGTGTACACAGCCAGTGACTAAAAATTGCTTCTTTTTGAGTATCTGGCCTTTTTGAGAGTTGGGTGTATGTTTTCCATTATCGGGAAGACAAGATAACCTTCAATGTGGCCCCATCGCAACTTTAAACAGAGGTTTGTTGAGGGTGGGATAAGAGATGCTCACGATATTCGAGAGATATTGAAATTCAGCGGAGAAGGTAGTTTAAACATGAAATACAAACGTGCTCATGAAGGATGCAACTAAAGGCATCGTTGGCCAGGGTCGAGGCCAGGGGAGATACCGATTCGCTTCGGCCGATAAAAAATACTTGTTGCAGTCTAGATCTAGTTTAGCAATAAGATGTTTATTGGATCAGTAGGCGCAGAAAAGGACATGCATTTTCTCTGCGTCTAACATACTGGTGGTTCCTATCAGTGTGGCCGTGATGTGGCTTGCTCAGAATGGGTGAAATTCGAAATAACCGCCTCCCACAACGCGTGTGCAATCGCCCCATTCATCCCGTGGAACCGTCGCCGTGCCCAGGCCATATAAAAACTCCTCCTACATTAGTTCCCGTACTTGCCAGCTCCGCGACCCTATCAGCACTACCGGCAGCGCCTTATTTATAAGCATGACTCCCCCTCCCCTCCCCCTCCCCCGTCCTGCCCACCCTCCCGCGTCTCCTCATTCCAGTCCAGCGGAAGATTATACTTGAAGCAGCATGAAAGCAGCCCAGCCTTGATCTTTCATCGCACAACGCGTTAGCTCTCAATTGCTACTGTCTCACACTCGTCCCCATGTCGTTTATGTCGCAGTTTATCCGGCACCTCCGCGAGCCATAGTGACCTAGACGTAACATGATCCGTAGGGCGTAAAACTAGGTACCCAATTTTTGGGGGTAGCTTGTGGGCACCTTAAGCGCTGGAATTTTTTTCTCCCCAGATACCCACAGGTAGCTAAAAATAGAAGGTTGATATAGGGTAGGTAGATTTTCATGAAATGTAAAGTTTAAAAATCATATTTAAAATACGTAAAATATTTTGTGACAGATGTATAGAATGTAACTTTAAAAAATATTAAGCATATTTAATCTTTAAATTGTTGTGTAGTAATATAGGTCCGTAGCTGTATTTACAGTTGTAGTTATTTGCCACTTTATCAAACCACCAGAACCGCGTCATAACCCACGTGTCTTCCTCCGTGCCAATAACTTCCAAGTCCTGCCGCTTATAACCACGTCCTCGCAATTACTTTCACTATTATTATCTATCTCAATCTCACCCCCGACAAGATGTCTTGCCAGCCTACATCGGTCACAAAGTTCCGCTCCGGCCACGTGTTGGCAGATCTCTTGCGCTACCCCATCCATGAACACTGCTATGACTGCTCGTCGATAGACCGGCGTCGATATGAACGAGTCCGTTTATGCCTCTTTGATATCATCCAAAATGATGTGGTATCGATCCTCCCGGTTTGGCCGTATGTCGTGCACAATCATCAACTCAATCGCCTCGCCTACCTGCCGTCCTCCTTGACCAATCTGCCACGCAAAGTCCACCAGCCTAAACGGCTCATCCATGTGGGCCACGGTCACGATCCCCTCGATATCTATTCCACCCAGTACCGGCAATTCATCTTGGATTGGCGAGGGAGTCTCGATCCCGTTGGTAGGTTCAAAGTCTCCATTCAAGTTCAAAGGAAACCACAGAACAGATCTAGCCCCATAAAAAGCCGACTCTTCCTATCATGCTGTCTGACCAACTGTTCTTGGCCAACCAGTTGCCAACAACCTTCCCCAAGCATTCCGAAGCAAGAGTGCGAAATCAAACGCGTCGACTATGCCGCCCTACTGTCGACCACTTTCCTTCTCGGAGGTATTGGCGCCGCGGGCATCACGCTGTTGAGAAGCATCCATCAGGGTGGCAATACCCAGTGCCCTGATCCCAACATTGCCATTGGGAGCTGTTCGTAGGCAGAGCAGACGTTCAATTTCACTTTACAGTCATAATTAGAGTTCTGACAGGCGCCGCTCTCAAACACAGAGTCAGCGAAGACCTCTCCGACACCGAGAAAAAGCGTGTTTTGGGTGTGAATCCTCTTTGGGGACACCCAGTTCCGAGCCGACAATGGCTAAACCCATAACTTCCTCGCGACCAAGGTTAAGATCTGCGCAGTCAACCCCCCAAACACTATCTGTGATGACAACTTGAGCGTTGCTGTCCTTGCACCCCATCTTTCTTATGGCCGTAGCGCGAGCGAGGGTTCCTGGAGCCCTCACTAATGCTCACAAAGCGCAATAAATAAAATAATGATAGTTAAATACATGTAATAAAAGGCGTGCCATCCAATCCGGCTCCAGAAAACAGAGCTTCTTTTTAAGCTGCTTGCGAAATCAGGGGTTAGGTTACGTGACCAGCGGTATATCTAGCTAGCTAGCCGATTGATCCGATAGTTGGAAATGGCAGGGGAAAAAACACGGGACGGTGCGGCCAACTGGCCCAACAAGGTAAGGTGCGAAATAGTGTAAAGTGCCGACTTTGCCGGTTTGCAAGAACTTGGAAAGCCAATTGGTTTGACTTGACCCACTCACTACACAAGGGACTTTTGCACCGGCCATACAGAGGAGCCTTTCAAAAGTCTCTGCTCGCGTGGACGCTAAGGTCAGCCACAAACAGGGATCGTGCCGAAAGCGAATGTACCCAGCCAAATTCTTAGGTACCTCACCCCTCTTTCACTTTTCCTGTTTTCCCCTCATCTTGACCGCCAAAATGCGTCAAAATACCGATATTGCAACCCGGGCTCTTGTGGTCGTCTTCAAGAGCCCATCGGGCGGGAAAACAACAGCTGAAGTTGCAGAGATAACAGGTCTTTCGCCCCGTACAATCAATGACATCTACGCACGCGCTATTTCCCGCGGATTCGATCCCAACCACCGACCGATGACCCTCCATGACGAATTCCTTCGTGATGCGCACCGCTCCGGGCGTCCCAAGAAGCAGACGGACGAGGCACGAATAGAGATCATCGCCAAGGTTCGCCGCGATCGATTTGGCAGGGAAAAGACGTGTGCTGATATTGCGGGCGAACTGAGCAGCGATGGGATCGAGATCTCGGCCGTCACTGTATGGCGAATACTGAAGAAAGCTGGATTCCGAAAGACAAAGCCAACGAGGAAACCTGGATTGACGAAGAAGATGAGGGAGGCACGTCTGGCTTGGTGTCTTGAACACCAGCACTGGACCCTAGAGGACTGGAAGAATGTCATTTGGTCTGACGAGACCTCTGTTATCCTGCTCCATCGACGAGGAAGCTATCGCGTATGGCGAAAAGCCGATGAGGCATTTGTTCGAAGTTGTATCCGGGAGCGATGGAAAGATGCATCTGAATTTATGTTCTGGGGCGCCTTTTCCTATGATAAGAAGGGCCCCTGCCACTGTTGGGGTCCAGAGACTGCTGCCGAAAAGAAGGAAGCCGAAAAAATCATTAATAAAATGAATGAGGATCTTGAAGCTGTTATGCGAGAAGAGTGGGAAATTTCAAATGGAATACGACGATTACATCTACATCAACTACCCGGCCCGAAGCCAATCTGGCGATGGAATAAGAAGTCCGGAAAGCTGACGAGAGGGTCCAAGGGCGGTATTGACTGGTATCGCTATCAGAAGACAATCCTGATCCCTAAGATGTTTCCTTTTGCTTTGGAATGTACCAAGGACCGCCCGGGCACTTTGGTCCAAGAAGATAAGGCTCCTGCTCACAGCCACTATATACAGCAACAATGTTATGATGCGAATAGCATCAGCCGGCTGCTATGGTGTGGGAATTCCCCGGACCTCAATCCTATTGAGCCGGCTTGGCCATGGATAAAGAGACGGACTACAAGGAAAGGAGCCCCAAAGTCAAGGCATGAGGCAGTCAAAGCTTGGAAAGCAGCTTGGAAGGAGCTTCCGCAGGAAGCTATTCAGGCTTGGATTGAGCGCATCCCTCATCATATTAAAAAAATCATTGAGTTGGAAGGAGGAAATGAATACAAGGAAAGTCGGACACAGCGGTAGGTACATTGGGAATCCTACTATACATTTTGGGTGGGACCCTGCTCTTTCCCGTGACGCTAGTGTCCTTAGCGTGAGCAGAGACTTTTGAAAGGCTCCTCTGTAGTGTGTCTGAACTTCGCATTCTAGAGCCCAAAGGTGCTCGACATGGCGAGAAGTCAGCTGTCGCTGATCCGGCCAACAAGCTCAAAGAGGTAAGAAAGGAACTTGTGTTGGCGCCATACGGAGGAGGCCACGCCCATAATGAGACTGCGGAACATCTGTGATAATAGAAATACTACGTAGCAACTCTTGCGTTACTGTGAAGATAAGGGACTTTTGTTCATCCACCTCGATCGTGAAGGGAAAAGCCAGTCTTTTAGGGAACTTATGCAATAACTAGTCGCGCGTCGATCCGATGAAGATTGAGACTGCGTAGTATTATTGGATGATATGACGGTATTATCAGAACCCTTATCAGCCCCGTTGCTAGTAGGGGAACTATACATGTGGATGGACCTTGGACTTTTGTCGTGTGATGCACATCAAGAGAATTGATTAGATTTCCATAGTAGGATCATGGGGGAGCAAGATTGGATTGATACAAAAAACCCGTTATTCACATTTTGAGAGCCGGAAGTTCACCTAGTTTAATGTCTATAGGAATTGTCTCTAACTGCATCGATAAGGGAGTTTATAATGCGGAATAATATTTTCCTGCATTGATTAATACAGGATATGTGTCAGCAATCTAGCAGACTTTGGGCGGACAATTGGCTTAACGTTCGAATCGTAATCAGTAGACAAAGAAATATCATGTATGAGCTAATCGCAAGATCATGAATTCTTCCATACAAATATGTGAATAGCGTGCAATGCTGCTACGCATACTTAGGTGATTGACCGAAGGGGGCAACTCGCCCATATACCCTGTCAGGTCAAAACCTACTGCCCGAGGTAGATATAGGAGCTGCCTGATGCGGCAGGTGTTAGCGGCTATGCGGCTGCGAACGAGCAACTACGTGATCGCACGCCTAACGAATATCAGGATTCTAGCCAACTGATAGATTGTTCAATTCCAGTCCAACCAGATACGGCCATCAATCGCACGATGCCGTCATTCCGAGAAGAGATGTACAGAACAAGTTGTCTCCTAGAAGATCTCATATATAAATGCAGTTTCTCGTTCCTGATTTTGGGACACTTTTCAATCTTGATCATCCTCTAAAGATTTTCTATTGCACCTGATCTGATCCTCATCTCTTCTCAACAAAATGTTGTTCGCTGTCTCTCTTGCTCTGGCTGCTGCCGCCTCCGCCGTCACGGCATCGCCTGTTGAGCCTAGAACCAAAACCACTGTTCTGCCCCTGAAACACGTCTCCAACGTCAGCTCAGTCAAGAACATCGTTCAAAAAGGCCAGTCCCGCATTCAAAAGATCAACGGCAAGCACACAGCCGCCCGCGTCAAGGCTCGAGCCAGCTCTGGCTCGGTCACCAACGAGGATGTTACCTACGTCGCCCCGGTCGTGATTGGTGGTAAAACCTGGGATCTCATCGTCGACACTGGATGTAAGTTGCTTCTTTCGTATCACTTATGCCGCAACATGCTCATTGAAATCTTGCAGCTTCCAACACTTGGTGTGGTGCCTCAACCTCTTGCGAGCCAACATCAACCGGCAAGTCTACTGGCGGTACTGTCTCCGTCACCTACGGCTCTGGCTCGTTCTCTGGCAAAGAGTACACAGACAAAGTCAGCTTCGGTGGTTTATCCGTCACATCGCAGTCGATTGGCGCTGCTACCTCGGCGTCCGGCTTTTCTGGTGTCGATGGCATCATCGGCTTTGGTCCCGTTGATCTCACTGAGGGCACCGTCTCCAACGTCAATTCGGTCCCAACCTTTATGGACAACCTCTATAGCCAGGGATCCATTTCCACTGAAGTCCTCGGTGTCTATTTCAAGCCCGAGTCTGGAAGCGACACTGCTGACACCAATGGAGAGCTGACTCTCGGTGGCGTTGATACCTCCAAGTACACCGGCTCGCTCACGTACTTCTCGGCGCTCACAAGCGGCACTGCCTCTGCATACTGGGGTATCTCAATTGCCAGCTTCACCTACGGCTCGACTACCCTTGCGTCGTCCGCCACTGGTATTGTTGACACTGGCACGACCCTCATCTACATCCCAACCAGTGCCTACAACAAGTTCTTGACTGCTACTGGCGGCAAGACCGACAGTTCATCTGGCCTAGCCGTGTTCACCACAAAGCCTACTTCGAACTTTGGCATCAAGTTCGGGTCAACGACCTACACCCTTACCCCGGCCCAGTACTTGGTTCCGACTGCCCAGTACAGCTTCTATGGTCTGAGCTCTAGCAAGTACTACGCTTGGATCAACGATGGTGGCAGCTCTGGTGTGAACACCATCATTGGCCAGAAGTTCCTTGAGAACTACTACTCTGTCTATGACACCACCAACGGCCGCATCGGTTTTGCTACTGCTGCCTGATTTAGCTCATTATTCTTTTTTAGCCAGAGCTTGATATGGACATTTCTGCTGTATGTCTCGACAGCAGCAAGTAAGGGCAATTTATTGTTTCACGAATGGGAGTGGATGAAGTGGATGACTTGAGACGTGGAATGAACAAGACTTACATAACATATACTAGCTTTATGCAACTTATACACTCTTCATTGTGCCCCCTCAGTCGTGAATTAGTTGTATAGATATATATCAAATTATTAAGTCTGTTAGTTACTGACACCACAAACATCCATTACAGTGACACGGTGTTTAAGGTACTCTTAATGCTCCCCGCTCTGAATGGGGTTCGCCGAGGTGTGTGCTATAGAAGGACTTTTGCCATGCCTTCGCCCCTGCAACATATCTTCAACATTGGACCAACCATCACGTAACCTACCACCCAAACCCGTCAACTAAACGATGACTTCATCCAGTACGGATGGAGTCGGAGTTCTCAGTGTTCGAGTACACTCTCAACCCCCATAAATGGAACTACTCAACCGTCCTCTATTAAAAGGACAGCTGCTTCTCATGGCAGACTCACTATGTTATATACCACAGCTCATTCCCAAGGGTGGATGCACATCTTCAGCTCTTTCCATCTCGATATTATTCCAACGCCTTGTTGACAGCATCCGCGCCTAGACCCTGGATAAACTCACCCTGCTGGGGCGAAGTTTCCCCTCCCTGAACCATCAAGGAACTTCTTCCCAGAAGCCCACAATTCTCACAGCCACAGCTTCTCCGACCAGATTGCTGGCAAGGATATATGGGATGCTTGTTATGAAGAGGCCAGTAGCGCAGGTTCTCTGGTCATGAGGATTGACTGAACGTCAATCGGCTATAGTTCTCTGATCCTTTGCGGGGAACTGTTTTGAAAACTTACGCCCGGCAACAAGAACCTTAAACGGTAACTGGTTCTGACAAGGATGAGTAGAATTAAAAAGCAGGATGTATGTGAGTCCGAGTGGAAGTGCTGATGACCAAGTGACTGGCGTGGATTGAGAGCTGGACCGTCAATTAGCAATCAAAATGATCCTTAAGTTATAATTATAACGCATAAAATGTAAACCAATTTATGACAAGCGATTGAGTATAGTTTAAATCTAAGCTTGAATTTCTCTCCTTTGCCACTTATTAAACTTCGAAGGTGACAGACGAACGGTTATTCAACTTCGACCTGGAACAGTGTGTGTTTCTTTTATATTGACACATAATAACGACATCATGTGTCAAAATGTAAGAACGTGTAACAGCCCATTTAGGCATGTTCTACAGAAACTTCTCCCTCCTTAGCTAGAAATGAGCGCAGAGCATGGGCAGGCTCAGCCCGGCTGCGTTCGGCCTCAAGTAGAGCTACAGTTCTCTTGAAGTGCCTCGGAGGCACGTTCATTGCATAGAGTTCATCCAGCCTCTCGAAAGAAAGGCCTTTAGTCTCCGGAAACAGGTACCAGCCCCCCACACTAGCAATAAGTCCAGTAGCCAAGAAGATAAAGCCGACCTTGCCACCCAAGTTTCCAGCATCAGGGTTGATCATGTACGGGACTGTGAACTGCATAATCAGGCCCCAAAGCGAGTTGGTGATAGTAATTAAGCCCTGAGTTGCTGCTCTCAATCTCATCGTTGCGATCTCTGAAGCTAGGACAAAGCCTGTGGCACCAATAGAGAGCTGATAAATCAGCGCCCAAACGTAAAGCAAGGCCACGATGCCCCAACTTGCTTGACCCCGATTGGGGACGCACCCCAGGATCCCGATTATGAGAAGCATGAAACAGAGCATGAACTGGGGACCCACGATCAAGAATCGGCGGCCATATATCTCGGTAAGCGGAAAGGCCGCGGTGCTAGCGAGAAGCATGACCACATATAAAGCGACGGAGGCTCTAAAATAGTCTTTGATCCCAATGAGCTCGAAGAAGTATGTAGCATACCCAATGACAAACGTGGCCCCGATCATTTGCTGAGCTGAAGCAGCAAAGATGGCTGTAAAAGTACGCTTCCGGTTGGTGGTATTGAAGCATTCGGCTTCCAACTGGATGTTGACGCCTAGCAGCCTCCGCGGGGGAAGATCGTCGAGGTTACCATGTCGCTCGTTGGTGAGACGGATTTCCTCTTCAATGCGAGTGACCTCGATATTGTAGTACTCGGCTTCCTGAAACCCATAGATGCGACGAAGTGCTTTCTTCGCATCGGCATTACGGCCGCGACGGACAAGCCAGTAAGGTGACTCGGGGAAGAACGGCCAGGCTATCGTGAGAATGACTATTCACCCATTTGTTAGTAATTGTTTACAAGGATAGGACAGAAATAGGCCTTACGAGGGAAGAAGTACATGGCAACCACAGGTAGCCACCATTGCCATAACCCAGAAATATGACTGCTGCCTTGGGACATAATGACGATGGCAAACTGGCCAAAGACGATACTGGTGTTGAAGAAACAGAGAAAAAAACCACGAAGTTCGGGACGGCACGTCTCGCCAATCCAGAGCGGTGAAATAGTGAACATCATGCCGATAGCGATGCCGTTGACACCACGGCCCGCCAGGTGCATCCGCCAATCGGGGGCAAGTTGCTGGAGAAGGACCCCGGCAACTGAGATGAGAGATGCGGCAAGGATACCCCATTTGCGGCCAAACTTATCGAGAAGAGGCGCGAAAATGAAGGTAGAGACGATTTCTGCGGCTGGGGCGATGGAGTTCCAAGCCGAGAGGTAGTGAGCTGGAATCAGGTGGCTGCCATCGGGCTGGAGCACTCCAAACTTCTCTCTGAAGGCGGGTAAGGCTGCGAGCTGGCCGCCAGCAACAATGTCAAAGCCTTGCATTACAACGCCGGAGGAGATGAGTAGAGCTGATGAGGTTGTCAGTGATATGGGACGGTCCAGGTGCAGGCCAATCTGACTTACCCCAGAGGGCAAATCGCGACTGCGACTTGAGGATCTTCCATTTGTTGGCTGGATCCACAACAGAGTAGTCGACTCTATACCGGGTTAGTGGTTGATCAACGTCGCCAAGGACAGGTTGCCTACCCGTGTATCAATGTCATGTTGAAATTGAGTTGTTTTTTCCCTGCAGAACTGAATGGTCGGTGGGTCTAAACTGAGTGCAAGCTTTTGATGAAATGATAGCCTGGAGGTCAAGTAAATTTCGAACAGACACTGAACGTATTTATACACCTTAGAGTGGCAGGCTTGCCCGTTGACCGAACCCAAAGATTCGGTCTGTCGATGCGGGGTATGGGGTTGGTTGCGTGCAAATCCGGGGGGCATAACATTGTCGGTTCAATTTTAGTCAGGTCACTTCTAAAATCCAAAACGAGCCACAGCAGCGGAGTCCTGGAATGAAAGTGGAGAAGCTGAATCAAGTCTCCTTACATTGAGGCGATGGTGTGAGCGGAACTGCGCTTGAGGGCTAGCGTTGATGGCTCGTCGCGGAGCTCCTGATAGCTCCGCGAACCCTGTCTCGGCTCCATTAGTCTGTCACCAGCTGGCGTTAGTGCTCGGTCTTGACGTCAGAAGAGGCACTGCATGGGTGCTGTGGCAGACGGGTGGCTCCCCTTGAGACCTCGTCAACGTACTTTTATACGATACCGAACAATCACGGTGTTAAAACGAGTGCCCGAGGCTTCCCTTTCCAGCCGTCAAGCATCCGGACACTCAGAGCAACCCATCCTCTCCTGCAATCGATTTCGATTTTCCCAATGGCAGGGAATCTGGAACAAACGCCGCGGTCCGTTGAGAGGCCTAAGATCCATTTCTCCACTGATGGCTGGATCAACGATCCATGTGCTCCAGGCTACGACCCAAGGACAAAAACATACCATCTCTTCTACCAATGTATTTTGAACTCCTTACCGTGGAGATAATCCCTTTCGCCAGCTTGCAGCAGCTTACATAAAATCACAGGCAACCCAGCAGGATGCACATGGGGGAACATGTCCTGGGGCCACGTAGTGTCTAAGGACATGCTGATATGGTCGCCGGCCTCGACTTCGCCAATCCTCCTCCCAGACCAAATTTACGACTCTCAAGGCGTGTTTACCGGTTGTTGGATTCCTTCCACTGAGGACGCCCGTGACAAGACGTTGAGGATCGCTTACTCTTCTGTAAAGCACCTCCCCTTCCATTGGAGCACACCACCATACCCACGAGACGCAGCTGGCCTAGCAATAGCGACATCTTGTGATGGGGGAATTACATGGGAAAAGTCTCCCCGTAACCCAATATTGGCGGGGGAGCCATATGGCCTGCAAGTCACCGGGTTCCGTGATCCTTACGTGGCGCAATTGCCGGCCATCAGCGAGGCTCTGGGGACGGGTGTCACAACTTCTTATGGGCTGATCTCTGGTGGCATCCAAGACTTAGGGCCCACCACGTTCTTATACGAGATTGAAGATAATGCCGAAAAGTGGAAGTATCTGAGCCCTTTGGTCGACGTACCAGCCAGGTTCCAGCCGTCAAAGAAGTGGTGTGGTAACTATGGCGTCAACTGGGAGTGCACCAACGTCGTCACGCTGCACGCAGACTCTGAAAGCCGCAATTTTCTGATTATTGGAGCCGAGGGCGATGTTGAAAAGGCCCACGTGAAGAATTTTGATCAATCCGCAGGAGTTCCCTCGCGTACTGTGAGGGCTCAGTTGTGGATGTCGGGCGATCTCACTCGGACTGACGACGGGGCCAGGTTCCGATACGAGCGTGGGGGCTACCTCGACCACGGGACGTACTACGCTGCGAATTCGTTCTTGGACCCCGTCTCAAATCGCCGTATTGTGTATGGCTGGATCCCTGAGGAAGACATACCTTTGGAAGCTGCGAAGCGGAAGGGTTGGAACGGCTCTCTTGCCATTCCCCGTGAGATCTTTCTTCTTCGGATACCGAATGTGGAGAAGGCCCTGCACAGCAAGCTTTCAGATATATACCCATTCGAAATCAGGATCCAACCGGATGGTTCTACGACCATTTTCACTCTTGGAGTGAGGCCCATCGACGAGATGGCCCGACTCCGAGAAGCGAGTAGCCGGGTGCTCAAGCTGGAACCGGCAGTGATGTTACCTGATACAAGTGGTCTGGCACATCGGGCAATCTGCCAGACAAAGTCGGCAAGTTGGGAGCTCGAGGCAACCATTTCAATACATCCTGGGTGCGAAACTGTGGGCTTCCATCTCCGCCACAACAACGATTTGTCAATCCGTGTATCCGTTACCTTCTGTACTGTCACCGAAACCATCATCGTCGACCGCGAGGCTTCCACACCTGATACGACAATCAACAAATGCCCAGATGCCGGGCCCTTTACTCTACTGATGAAAAAAGAGACTGATGAGAACCGCGAGCTGGCAATGGAGAAGCTGCAACTACGCGTGTTTTCTGACGGAGACATTCTGGAGATCTTCGCGAATGATCGATTCGCTTTGGCTACTATGGTGTATTCGACAAGTTACAGTCAAGATAGCAGCGGGATTACTGCATTTGCAACCGGCGGCATAGGTAGTGCCGTGTTTGAAAGAGTAACAGTTTGGGATGGGCTAGATGCCAGGAATTTACCCGCCAGAGTTGACTCCCTCTCCGGTCAGAGAGACCCTTCGTGTCCTCCATAGGTAGACCTAGCTTAATCTTCATTATTTGCCTCATCAAACCAGGACTCAATCTCTGTCAGGCGATGAGCAAGGGATCTCTCCAGCAATGACAAAGATGGGCTGGCCTCCACGATTCGCCGGTCTACGGTGCTGGTGGACTTCAAGCACATGAGAAGCTGAGGCCAGTCCACTACACAACCAGCTCCAAGACAGGGTGTCCGAGCTGCTTGTATGGCAGCCATGGATGACATAAAGATGGAAGCATATAGCGTCCAGCGGTTGACAATGCAGTTACGAATGCTTATCAGCAGGCTTGGCATCAACTGAATGTATGCCTGGAAGAATCGCTTGCAGTGCTGAAGCACTTCCGAGGTGGCTACACCATCTTGAATACACTGGTAGACTGCCGGCCAGTATATTGATAACTTGCAGCAGTAATACTGGACACGTAGGAAGTTGCCCAGAGGTTCGACGAACATGGGGGTGTGGGCAGAGGCTAAAGCATCGATTTCGAGATTCTGAAAACGAACAGATTCTGGAAGATAGCCGCACCACTCATCGAGCTGTAGTTCCAACTCTAACGCGATGTTCGGAGCGTAGACAATTTCTCCCTGGGGTGTTCTGCGAATAGCGGTGTTGCAGCGGTGCAGCATGCGCCTCATGGAGATTTCGGCGAGAAAGTACGACTGCGTTTGGTCCGTCTGAGGAACGTCGGCGGATACGTTACTGCCTGGAGTAGTCGTTGAACCATGAGGCGAGCCCGTTTCGATGTCGAATTGCCACGCGCGGCGGCTGTCCGGTAGCGCGACCTGGTCGTCGTGGTCCCAAATTCCGCTTCCGATGACGTTGAAATGAATACGAAGCTCACTCTCCAGGAGCAGTACTGCCCAGTAGGCTCTTTTTAGATGCTCGTAGAGTTCGCCGTCGCCATCGCCCACGTATTTCAGGAGGTTTTGCACCTTGAACGAGGTAATCATGGCGTAGTCGTATGCCTGGTAGGGCTTGGAAAGACAGCAATGGTAGATGCTCAGAAGTACCAGACATTGAACACTCTCGATGCTCGTATCGATAAGAACTGCTGGCAAGGAGGCCATGGCGGCTTCCAGGTAGAGCTCGCTGGTGTTGTCACAACAGGATACTCCCAACTGGTGGTCCTGTTGGGCAAGAACACCAAGTGCAGCAACTAGCAGCACCATGCATGTCTCGGACCCTGGCGGCAAAGGCCCCGAGATGATGCTCAGATAGCGTTCTGAGAAGCGGGGGCGAAGTATTGGATACCAGACGTGGATATGCGTGGAGAAGGCAGCAAGGGCTGAGAGGGCTTGTTCTCGCTGAATGAGACGCACCCTCGATGAACTGTCTACCCCGACTGGCGCGGCATTCCTCTCCAGCGTCGCAAGCTCCTGCGCGAAACCAGGGCCAAGACCGAGGATGGACATCATGCACTCCGTTCCGAGCAGTTGGAAGGGCAGTTTCTCTTCGCCAGTGAAGACGTGGTTCTCCGGGATGTGCTCTAGGATACCCCCCGGGGCGACAGGGGGCAACTGGGTAGCAGGTAGGACGCTGGTGATGTAATCGAGTCGTTGGTTTATGGCAGCGAGCTCCATCTCGACTCCGTGGGCGAGTCAGCTCAGGTCGCGGGGATGCTAGAACATAGACGTACCTGGATGTAGGCGCAGGGGCTGCTTCGCTCTGTGCGTAGTGGCACTTGATGCCACGGGCGAGACAAAACCCACAGTCGGGTTTCCGACTATCGCACCTGGTCCTCCTCGCCCTGCAGGCATTGCATGCCGTCGTCGTCCTTGTCCGAGTCTTCCTCCGCGAAGTCCCCGACCGGGGCGTCGGCGAAGCGTCGGACAGAGTGGACATGTCTGGCATATCAGCTTCCATGGTGTTGTTTCCCGAGCAGTGAACGCAGTGAGGGAGGACAAAAGTCGGGCGTGTGCGTTATCTCCCCGATATGTCTTTATGGCCGTGTGAGGGACTTGATGAGCGGGGGCATTAGCACGCCACAAGGTCGCGGTGTTAGCTCCAAGTCCGCGTCGTTTAGTCACCTGTTCGTCGACTACATCCGGATGAATGGACCCGCCCGAGTACGGCGTCGTGGAGAATTAAACACCGTCCCGAAGCTTCACCAACAAGCCAATCACATTTCTCCCTGCCCCTCCAAAGTGATTTCCTTCCTCGGTGTGGCTCCCTTCATTTGCGTAGCATCCGTCTCCAGATCATCGGATTGCGGAGAGACATCCGACTTCATGACCTCTTGGCGGAACAAGTTTATACGTTTGGGCCAACAAGGGCACGAGACAGCGCATTTTCGTCTCCACGGGATGCAAAGCCGCCAGCCGGCCATCTTCGGACAGGTCCAAGATGAACATGTATATAAACCTATTTCTAAGTGAGCGTGTGTCACTGTCTCTACGACGACTCATCTCTCCAAGACCTTGATTCAACCGGGAAAACATTTCACAAGTATCACCACTACTACAACACCCAAAACATCATGAACAATTTCAGCTCCTCCCTCGGCAGCGACCTCCTCAGCAACGCTGCAAAGTTGAAAACGGCGCGCACCGCCCGCGTTTCCAGTTGGGATCACAGCGGTCTCAACGAAGATGCCTGGGTGATCCAACCAGGCGAGACGGCTGTCCTGGCGGACCTCGAGGGACCTGGCACCATCACCCACCTGTGGTTCGTCCAGACATGCCGCCGCATCATGGGCCCCGGCCTCATCCCATACTCCAAGTCCGGCGTCGCCATGATGGAGGTGCACAACGCTCTCGGCCTGAACTACGAAGTCAGCGATCCGGACTACTATCGCAAGGTGCTGATCAAGATGTACTGGGATGACTCGGAGACCCCAAACGTTTTGGCTCCCATCGGCGATTTCTTCTGCCTGGGCCACTCCATGGCAGCCAATTTCCAGTCACTCCCATTTACAGTATCCGTAAAGCCATCTGAGGAGAAGAAATTCGGCGGTGCCGCGGCGTTCAACTGTTACCTCCAGATGCCCTTCAACAAGCGCGCTCGCATCGAGGTCGAGAACCAGAACGACCAAGCTTACATTCAATACTTCTACATTGACTATGAGTTGCTCCCCGAGCCGCTCAGCAAGGACACCCTCTTCTTCCACGCGCACTGGCGCCGCGAGAACCCTACTAGCGGTTGGGCTCCTGAGAGCATCCAGACCAATAGCTTGGAAACACAGGTGCCCAATCTCGATGGTAAAGGCAACTACGTCATCTTGGAGACGGAGGGCGCTGGTCAGTACATCGGCTGCAACCAGAGCGTTGCCCACTTCCAGGGGACTTGGTGGGGTGAAGGCGACGATATGATCTTCATCGACGACGACACATGGCCCCCTTCGATGCACGGCACTGGCGGCGAAGACTACTTTAGCCAGGGTTGGGGCATGCAGAAGAACGCGTACCCCTTCTGCGGCACCATCATCCACGAGGAGGATGTGCCAAACCATCAGGTTAGCTACCGATGGCACCTTGCCGACCCTGTCCGTTTCAGCAAGAAAATCCGCGTCACCATGGAGACGGGGCATGCGAACCACCTGCGGGACGACTGGTCTACTACAGCGTACTGGTATCAGACCCTGCCTGGTCCCAAGCTCAACATCCTGCCGGCAGAGGATCGAATTCCCCGCAAGCCTGACTTCCCAGCTGGAGAGCACCCTGCACCACCACAGCTAGAGACTCTGGATCCCAAGAGAAAGGCCATGGTGGAGCAGCAGAGAGATCGGATGGATGCCTTTGTGCGGGACAGGGATGCATGGCTAGAGAGGCGGGCTCAAGACACGCGAGAGCGTGCGAAGAAGAACATTGAACATTCTAAGGATATTCGCCGACGCTTTCTCGAAGGACTTCAGGGGCAGCAGAAGAAATGAAATCAGTATTAGTGAAATTTGTAGTGAGATCTAAAGAACTGCTAGTTAACTGGTCATGGACCTCTTCACGATGACTAGGATATGTACCACAAATAAAACCCTCAAGATGGCTATAGGTTATTTAATCTGAGATATGCGGCGCTTGTGATGTTATTCGGCATAATTAAGGCCAACATACATCTGCCTAGGATCACGTTGTATCAACAAGTAACCGATCCTCGGAGAGTGTACTCTGCCTTTCTTGAGCCGGAGTTGATATGTTGTTCCAAAAATAAAGACGCCGTTTCAATTAATCTCTGCTATATCATAGGATTAACTTGTAGGTTTCATCTTGAGACTTTATATGAGACATACTTGCTAGCGCGGGATCGCACCACTACCCGAGAACAACGTGAGCCATCTCGCTTCCTCTTGGCTACGGCTGCTCCCGCCTTGCAAGAGCTCTGGAGGGTCGGGTGAGATGCTTGGCCTACGCAAAACCCTGAAGACGAGAAGGATGACGAGGATGAGCACCACAACGACGACGACGACAATAAGACCAGGGTGCGGTGCAAATACAGGTACAAGGGAAGGGTAACAACGCAAGCATCTAGACCCAAGTGTTCAAAACGCGGCTCACCCGAACAAGAATCGTCAGAAACGAACAGTCAGTCATCAGGCTCCAATTTGGATGCAGGCATGTACCTTGTGTGTCCAGGACATAATCCACTCTGGCGGTAGTTGCCTCTAAGTATTTGCAAAATCGAGGGCATCCTGGTCTTGGATGCGGGCAAGGGCTCTCTGAAGTTGTTGACGATGCACGATTGCAGCTTGCTTGGCTACTGTCTCGACTATGAGTGGACTAGAGCAATGTGCAACTGATGTTCCATCAAAGGGGTGTAGTGAGATATGGTGATGCGGGATGGAGTTCGACGGCTTGAGTGAGACCAACGCTGGGTGCGTGGTCATAAAGGCTCTAACGACGGTTGGCGCCTTAGACACTCAGGCCCATGAGCCACTGAAGCCACTTGGGCGGCTGCAATAGTTAGTCATGTCGCATTGCTCTTGTGAAAGATTAGTGTTCTATATCCGCATTTCATTTTCCTGGTGGCACAGAACAGCGCTGTTGTCTAGGCAACTATTGTATTGACGCGTTGAAGCGTGACAGGGAGATCCTAGACGTGGTGGCTGTTGAAGCCCTATACATATCTGAAAATAGCTAAAGAAGTTTGCAAGAGAGAGCGTCTAGAAAGGCATGTGTCTGCTCGCCATGAAGTTGCAGGAGTTACTGTGAGGTCCGCTTGACGAGCTTGTCCCGAAGGGTCCGAAGATAGTGCTCCCAGTGTCTCATCTCAGGCGGACTCGGTGCGTCTGTCGTGCTCGGCACTATCGTGGCTCAGTCTATGGCCATTGCTCTCAGAATCCGCCTTTTCACCGCCAACGCTCAGCACGCCTATGTGACCCGCAGCAGCCTCACGTTCCTTGAAAGTAATGGTGGGCCGCCACTTGGTGCTCTTGCGCGCGTCGCTGACTTCGTTGTATAGCTCGTCGACCTCTTCCAGTGCAAGCCCTTTCGTCTCGTAAATGAAGAAGTATACAAACGCCACGCAGACGAAACAGGCGCCAAACCAAATGAAAAAGATCTTGGACTGCAGGTTCGCGTTACCGGGCCCATAATTGACTAGATAGGGGGTAGCGTACGCGATGGCCCAGTTGAGTAGCCACTAGATGGGAGTTAGCAGGGGCTCAGTGATCCAGGGTTATTTGCCTCGTCCTGTGTCAGAAGACGAGCGAAACGGGAGGGCTTACGTTGGTTGCCGTTGTGATGGAGAGGCTCTTGGCGCGCGTGTGCAGCGGAAAGATCTCGCCAGTGACAACCCAGGCGATTGGTCCCCAGGTGGAGGCAAAGAAGAAGATATAGATGCAGATGAAGGCGATGCCAGCCTTTTGAGCCGCGACGTTATAGACAATAGTGTTACCGACACTGTCTTGGGCTGTCGTCAAAGTTCCCAGCATGGCGACAATAAACTGCGAAACGCACATACCGACGGCACCCCAGAAAAGGAGAGGGCGGCGTCCCCATTTGTCGATGGCGTATAGTCCAGGAATAGTCGATCCAACATTGACGCATGAAGTGATGACCTGAATGATGAAGGAGTCGTCCATGCCGGAATTTTTGAAGTACTGGGTGCCGTAGTAAAATATGAAATTGATACCAGTGAACTGCTGAAGGGCTTGGAGTCCCATGCCTGTCCATTGTCTCTTGGCCAACGGACCGCGGAAACAGTCAATGTAGCTCGATTTAGTCAAGTTCCGTTCGTAGTCGTGGTTCGCTTTGATTTCGCTCAGCTCTCCCAAAATCGAGGGATGATCCGGGGCAAGTCTCCGGAGCTTCGCTAGGGACTGAGCGGCCTGCTCAACCTTGTCTTTCATTATAAGGTAACGGGGAGTTTCTGGAAGCACTAGCATGCCGCCAATCAAAACGAGAGCGAAGGCGAATTGCACGGCGATCGGGATACGGTATGAGCCAGTATCATCTCGTGCCTGGGTTGCGTTATTCACCACTGCGGCAAGGAGAAGGCCGATAGTAATGGCGAACTGGTAGGCACCAACAATAGCGCCTCGGATCCATTTCGGGGCCGTCTCAGATTGATAAAGTGGAACTACACAGGATCAGTATAAAAGTAGTACAGGTTGCTGCATCAGGATGGATCGTACTCAAAGCTGAGATTAAACCGACACCGAAACCAGCCATGAATCGGCCAGCTAGGAAAAGGGGAATCGAGGTGGCTGCCGTCTGGAGAATAACGCCCAAGTTAAAGACCCAGGACGATGCGATGAGTGCCCATCGGCGACCAATATAGTCGCCGAGGAACGGCGAGGAAAGGGCGCCGAAAAAGGTGCCTGCCGAGAGAATAGAGACAATCGCTGCGGACTGGGAAGGAGAAACATCAGGGTGACCTTGAGAATCCGTGTAACCGGTCGAGAAGAGTTCTTTCCAGTGCTCCATGGCCAGGATACCGCCGATAGTGCCGGTATCATAGCTAGATCATTCCGTCAGTCAATATTATACGGCGCAGAAGGATGATCAAGATCATACCCGAAGAGAACGCCGCCGAAGGCGACAAAGGCGCCTATGGCGATAGCCGGCCAAGATTTACCGGCCTCATCTTTGGGCTTGGAGAGAGCGAGCTTCGACACGCCCATTGTGTTGGATTTTCGTGACTCTTTTATAAGCTGTGGAGTTTCGCAGTAGCGTCTTGACTGAGAGTGAGGATGTAGGAATGAGCATCATGGTGTCCCTTGGGACGTGGGTAGATAGATATAGAATCTCGTTCGCGGAGCTGGCGTTGTTGATGCTTCATCATTGTCTCTCCATGTCACGTATTTCCCGGTTGGGAACCAACATGACACGACGTAGCTTTGCGTGTTACTCGCAGTGGATACATGGTGGGGATTCCGCACAAGGGAGGTTCGGCCATGCCGATGGGCCAAGGGAAGTATTGCGTTACCCTTATCATCCCCTTTGACTAATTACAATCAGACTTGGAATCCATAATGCGGAGAAATACACTCTAGGCCCATAGCATCCTCGAAAGTAAGGGTCTAGTGTCATAGATAACGAGGCTTGGTTTAACCCCCTTCCCGAGATGGAAGGTAGAGTAGATGAGAGATTAATTCAAAGTCCCAGGATGACGAAGAGGGTCACAAAGGTAGTTGTCATTGGGCCATTGCCCTGCAGTCAGCTGTCAAAGCGCTTGAGGATGGGCTGGAATAGTTGCTAGGATAACCGGGGGGGTAAATGGTCATTGGCCACCTGCTCAGAGGGAGGCGAGCTAGAAGGAAGCGTGTCTCGCCTATTAAGCATATCGGAGACTTGAGTCATGAGCGTATTATCCGAGATGGATGGACTAGTGAATGAAAGCACATGTTTGGATTTGGGATGACAACTCGGCAAGTCTGAGTCAGGCAGTCTTGAGTTCTCTTTTTCTTCATCTTCTGTCGACCCAGCAACAGAAGGAGAGATGATCAGTTGTAGCGTAATAGAGCACACAGCTGTCCGGCAGACGGAGTTTTGCTACGGCGCATGGATTTTTACACAACCCACCTGCCCAAGGAGGATGGTAGGAAATGTGGCATCTGTCATACTCCATGAAAGGCAATGGAGAGGGTAACTCCGCTCTCTCCGGTGTGTACATCTGGTGTACATCTGGTGGTGAGAGCGGAGTAGAAGTCAGGACGGTAGACGCGGACCGGACCTTGTAGCCCGCGGTGGGACGACGTTATCGAAGTTTAGACGAGGAGGTCGCTTCTGCGGAGCTGCAGAGAAGCCATGCTAGTAGCCGCTAGAGACCTTCTAGCGGCCTTTGAGAACTACGCGAGTGCGTTCGACTCGAGCCACGTCTGTCGGGCGTCTGGAAACCGGGGTTTGTGCTTCTAGATCAGGATCAGCTGCTTCTAGAACAGCGAAAAGCCTTCTAGCGTCCTTCTCTGCAGAGTAACCCTCAAGGCCAAGCACCAATACCAAGCTTCTGCGCAATCGCCTGGGTCATCCACAGTACTATGTAGGCCTAGCTCATGGTACGACGACGTTGGCAGGGGGCTTCGATGCTACATGACACCATCTCCGATTAACTCCTGGAGACGCTGGAGATGGGGTAATTCCGAGCACGGAATATGTTTGGGTTACATCGCGTCCCCACAGTCGCGGAGTAATCGGATATATCCCGATATTCCTGGCTCTCCCTCGCTCTCTAACTGCTAAAGGCAGGTCTTGTTCTCCCCCGCACGCTCTCCGCACTCGCCTTCCCCTGCTAGGCAAGCCGTGACAATTGCGGAGACGATGTCCTCGGACCGACACGTACGACTAGGGCAAGGCACGCCAGGATCTCCATCAGCCTATGTGAACATGTGTTGCAAAGCCTCGAGCCCTTCCAAGGCCAGAGTTGGGTTGACTGCAAAATACAGGTGGATGCCTCGTTACCATAGTTAGAGAATGTTTATATATTAACTCAATGCTGCTGCTCTGGTGAATGATTGAAGTACACCAGTCCCCTTTTCTCATTGAGACCCCAAGACGTAGTTACTCCCTCTTCATCTACTCCTTGTTTGAATCTGGCGCAGCCCATAAGCAGGATGCATCTTATCCCTCTTCCACGATCGTCCCAGACGCTCGCTCTGCTGACGCTGTCTTTGTCAACCGTGTTTGCGGCTTCGGTCCCAAAACTCCCAAACTGTCACGCTCACCAATACCCGGGCCCTCGCAACCCCAGTTTCGAGACTGGCACGCTCGAAGGCTGGCAGGTCATCAGCGGAGATGCATTTGGAAGCAACTCAGTCAGCTCTGCTACGTCATATTGGGATGGTCCTTTCCATCAGGTCGGCAAGAACTTCATCTTCGGCTTGTCGCAAGCTGGCGAAGCGGCCGTCGGCCAACTCCAGTCAAGCTCATTCCGCGCCAGTTCTGTCATGAGCTTCCTCATTGGCGGCGGCTATGACCCTGCCAACCTCTACATTGGTCTCGTGCGTGAGAAGGACAACAAACTCCTTCTAAAGCAAACAGCCACCAACGATGAGGCCCTGATCCGCATTATCTGGGACACCAGCAAGTGGGCAGGGCAGATGGTGCACTTGGTTGTGCATGACAGCAGCACTTCGAACTCGTGGGGCCACATCAACATTGACGATGTCCGCGTCGGCTGTGACGCACTCGGCGATGGGAAAGGCCTCACCTTCAATGTACTCGGCGAGTCAAATCAACCGCCAGCAAGCAGCTCAGCGGCCTGCTCGCTCTTTGCCGCAGACCCCATGCGCCCTCAGTTTCATTATACTCAGTATCAGGGCTGGATCAACGATCCGGCTGGCCTCAGCCAATGGCGAGGGCACCATCACCTCTTCAGCCAGTTCAACCCGGACGCGCCACTATGGGGTCCTATGTATTGGTCTCACGCGGAGAGCGTCGATGCGGTGCATTGGCGCGAGTTGCCTGTTGCCCTATCCCCGAATAATGCAAGCGACCCCAAGGACACTTCTGGGCGCTTCACCGGCAGCGCCGTCGTCGACAAACTTCATGGCAACAAACTGCGCCTCATCTTCACTGACTATACGGACACGTCTTTTCACCCTGGAGCAGTCCAGGAGGTCGTATCCACCGCGACCAGCGCAGATGGCGTCCACTTCGACCTCGATTTGAAGAACCCTGTGATTGCTGGCCCTCCCGCGGGAGCGCCCATCTTCTTCCGAGATCCCAAAGTCTTTCGTGACCCTACAGACAACTCGTGGAAGATGGTAGTCGGCTCGAGCAACGACGTCAGCGGCAGCGTGCAGTTGTATCGCTCCACCGACCTCGTCTCCTGGTCCCACGTTGGCATCCTCTACACCGGCGATGGCAGCACCGGCACCGTGTGGGAATGTCCCAACTTCTTCCCCCTGGGTGACAAATGGGTCCTGTTCTATGGCGGAAACGCGTTAGGGTGGTACGAGACAGGCACATACAACGGTTCAGTCTTCACCAGCGAGAAGCGTGGCCTCATCGATGCCGGCCCTGACAGCTACGCCATGCAGTGGTACAAGGACGCCTCGGGCCGTGACCTGGCCATCACTTGGATGGGAAACTGGCCCACGCCAAAGTGGCCGAGCCGCGTCAACGGCTGGGCTGGATCGCAGTCTGTAACCCGGGAGCTTTTCATTCGCAACGACGGAGGCCTAGGCAGCCGTCCTATCGCTGCCCTTGACAATCTTGCAAGCGGTCCGGCGAAGAGGTTCGGGCGGCGGAGGGTCGACGATGCCGCTCTCTTTGCCGGGAGCACAAAGACGGCGAGACTGCAAGTCGCCGTGGACCTCGGCGCGACGAAGGCCTCATCAATCACCATCTCGCTGTTCAAATCCAAGGCAGAGGCAGTGCTGCTGACTTACACCACAGCTAACCGAACTCTGACGCTTGACACGAAGAATGCCGGGTACGGCCAGGCGGGAACGTGGCAAGCTGTCATCGATGGCTCGGCCAGGAACAAGCTGATGCTGGATATATTTATCGACCGTTCTAGCCTGGAGGTCTTTGCGGGCGATGGGACGGTCATGACGGCTACCGTTTGGCCAAGATATCAAGAGTCAAAGGACATCACCATTGTTGGACATGGGGGGACTGCAGCGTTTGAATCCATCAACCTAACGCCTCTTGGTTCGAGCTGGTGCTAGTGGTGGACGCATGTCTCTTTGCGAACCCCGGAGGGTAGAGAAGAGGGTGGCATGGTGGGAATGAGGTGACGGACGGAAGGCTTTCCTTTTCTCTCTGGTGACATATTTCCTGGTTCTTTACTGTATCGGTACTGCAAACTGTACATTTGTGCGCCAGGAGTTGTGGCCAATGTGGCTACGTACCCAATCTTAGGGTTACATTGTCTCCCATCTAGACCCAGACGTAGTACATTTTTACAATGACAGGTGTTCTCAGAACCATGGAGTGGCAAACTTGAAATGCCGCACATGTTCTCTACCAGCACGAATCACATCAAACGTGGGTGGCAGAGGCGCGAAACTAGTGCCCCGTACCGTACACACCCTTGGGCCCGACCAACCAACCAACCCCATGATATGATGATGATGATGATGATGATAGCACTCTACTCGCACTAACATCGATCTAGTTTGGCGGGTGCGGTGGCGTGCCCGAGCCCTAGCAGATTTAAAGCACAACCCTGCGAGGAGATGGGGTGCAAGACAAGGGTCATGAGAAGCCACTACTGTAGCTAAGCCTAAGATCACCGTCTCCACGGAACTAGGAGTCGAATGTCGAATGCGGGGTAATTAGTTGGTCCATTTGGTCTAGGGACTGCAATGATAAATCCCCCCGTCATCCACCCTGCATGGCCGCATTTTCTCGCATTCCAAGTTCCAACACCCTCCCACCTCCCTCCAAAGGCGGCGCCATGGCAAACACGCCATCACCCCATGAGTTCAAGCCGTCGAGCCCAGCGCAACTGACGCTGGAGGCATGGTCGCAGGGCTTCATGGTTGGGGCCTTGGTCATTATGGCCGGCATTACCCTCGCCAACATGCGCAGTGGAGTACTGCTCCATAAACTCATTCTGATCGAGGTCAGTGCAATCGTGTGTTCGTAGAGCATGCAAACCCGGTTGCTTACCATGGCCAAAAGCTCGTCCTGGCTGTACCCAACGGTTTCTTCACCTTCTTTGATCCTCCCGTCTGGGGCTGGTATCTTTCCTCAACTGCTGTCCTCCTCATTACATCCTGGACCATGCACAACATCATCGCATGGATAAAGAACAAGCCGTTCCTCCAGCCACGGGGCAACTTGATATACATCAGCACCATAATACTCGCCCAACCATACTGGGTACTAGAGATCTACGCGAACTTTGCTTATTATAATGACATCAACAACCGTCTTTTTATTTCCACCCGCCCGTTTGAGGCCTTGTGCCGGTAAGGTTCCCTTCCCCCACACACTTTGGTTTGCTCTCCCACTCACCCCTTCTCTTTAGCGACCCATGGTGGGTATTCACAACTGCCAACCTTTTCTGGAACATCAAATACCGCTACGAGTTCGGTTTTATTGAGATTGTCCGAGTATCTCCACGTTTCGGCATTTTACTTCTCAGCATGTGTCTGAGTCTCGTCTTCATTACCGTCGACCTTTTGTCTGTGACTCCGGTTCTAGCAATCGGCGGTATCAACCCGTTCTGGAAGTTCGCCCTTGTCTTCAAGTGCCTCACCGACACCATCATTCTTGACGACTTCAAAACGGCCTTGGACAAGCTGAGCCGGCACAAAATGAGTCAGATATATCAACTCCCCTTCAGCATTCGGAGCAGCGAACTGCGGCCTCAGGGGGCCCAGATGGATAGAAGAGTAGAAGACGCTGTATCTTGGAATGAGAGTGCTGTTATGGTATCGATCGAGCAGATTGAGAGGATTCCCAGTGATGCGGACTTGAGCATATCGACTGCGAACGGGGTTCCCTATCCCCCTCCCATTGCGTCAACTCATGAGATAATGGGCGCTGTGAAAAAAGGGAATGACGGGAAGAAAGCATCAACTGTCACACCCTTTGTTTGCATGAGATGTGCGTCAAAACTCCCAGGGCGACCTGGGACGAGAATGTGAAGTCTCACAACAGAGATCGATGAGTTGATAAGTTTGCAGTCTTGTTCTGGCAGTGCCCCTGAAAAAGAACCTTTAATATTCTCAGTCTCAGTCACACTGAGGCAGGCCCACAACTCTAAAAAACATTTGAGAACAACCGCTATAATGAATACTAATCTTGTCAATTGTCTAAGCGGCCCGATGTCATGATTCATAATCTCTCCAGTTCCCAGGCTATCTTTAAGCCAGACTAGCGCCCAACCGTATTTCCAGAACCCTCCAAGCAGGATTTAAGCACCTGGTAATGGAGAAGCCAAACCCAGTCGCGGGATCTTGAAGGTTGATCAGGGTGATAGGAGCGGGATGCTTCAATTAAACGGACCACAATCAGCACCACAGGGCAATTTTATCAATTAATCTTCCGCTGCAGATGCTGCGGAGGTTTTGATGCTGAGGAATTGAGTCAGCTCCCTCTTTCCGACTACGGAAGGTTTTATTTTGCAATCGCAATCGCAAAGGAAGTGTTCCCAAGACGAGACCAACGCGGATGGGCTCTACTTTGTACCTCGCTGATCAAGTTGAAGTCCGCTCGTAAGACCGCCCTTACGCTTGAAAGCGAACCCTTATGGCCAGAATTGATGACGGATACTTCGGGGATTAGCCTTGATTCAGAGGTGAACGGTTCATGTGCACCTGCGCGAGCGGCGTGCTTTGCATACTCGATGACCGGAACGCAGCCCTGTGTTTTTTCTCAGGCAATTCAACCACGGATTAGCCCACCCGCGCCTTAAGTTCAGGGTTCAGGATTACCACCTCCAGGGTGCATTGCCTGCGCAGCCATCATCGTCCCATACCCTCCCACTGTCCATCGATTCCCCCTCGTCCCAGAAGACTGGGCCGTTTCTATTGGCATGGAAGCTGTCAGGTTTACATCGCCGCATACGCGTTACTTCAAACAGGACCGCTTGAATTCACTTGATGCAGTCAGGTGTGAATCGCTTTGCGCGTCTTTGAGCAGGCAGGTCGACTTTAGCAGCAGGAAGGGACGGAAAACAACACCCAACTCATTAACCTTCCCTAGGGGAAATGCACAGAGAGTCGTCGCACAGGCGTCTTGGCCGGTCAGCCCGAAGCTGCACCAGATTACGCGTATGAGGTCGGATCAACCTGAGGCTTATGTCTCCTGATAGGGAAGCATCTCATGAGATTGTATATCGGGTCGGTCGCAGGAAAGTTCGCTGGCAAGGCATCAATGGGGCCTGCGGCAGACCGATATCTGAGGGAGGTTGAAGACGGAGGTTGGACAGGGAACGTAGTGATGGCAAGAAGGCTCAAATAAATCTCTCAAAAATGAAGGCAATCAATTAATAGACTCCCTAGCAGCCTCGAGCCCTTCCGGCCTCTCTGACTTCTAGGAAGAATCTCTGATGAAAGGAAAAACGATGATTTCCCCCAGTGACGGCACTGACCTCCCCTTTTAACCCCATCCGGGTCACCCTAGAGACATCCCCGCTAGCGACCAGCTAGCCCAAGTGTCCCTAACCGCCTGTCACACGACCATGAAAGACTACTCAGAGCTGAACGAAGAATAGGGGTTTATCTTACAACCCCTCTGGGCACGGTACCGGTCTGTAAATATCCGCGTATAAGAAGATTCTTGATCCTTCTGACGAGGGCTAGACTGATCCGGTCCGGAGGCCTAGCACGGTAGCGGTTAGGTTGACCACCTGATTAATTTCTTGCCAGACTCCTTAACGGGGGTCTAAAATGGCTCGCCCGTAGTTGGCTGGAAACACGCAATTAGAATCATCCTTCACTCGCCGCTGATCTTGCCCCCTCAGTATGTATTGTTCCTGCCTCAATCCTTGGGCTTTATCTCTGGTGCGGGAGCCGTTATTTTCCTCTTCAATCTCATACGCTTATTGCCGGACCGGTCTTAACATAACCGGGTGCATCAATTTGATATACCCTCCAAGCGCCTGAAAAGAGTGCTATCCCTTTGTACGTCGTGGCTAGAATAACCTACCACTAATCGACATCCTCCAAACGAACCTACGTTAGCTTATCTTGACTCAGAGTATGACACGATGGAGTTACCCACATATACCAATATACTTGTGCAGCTCATACAAAGCAATCACATCGCCTTGGTGAAGCTTAATAGGCCACAATCGGGGAACTCGTTGCAACCACAACTGCTATCCGAGTTGGGTTCTGCCTTGAAAGTGGTCAACAATCACCCGGAAGTCCGTATTATTATTCTCTCGGGCGAAGGACGGTTCTTTTGCACGGCATGGATTTAGTGCATACCGATAGCATGTCATTTGCAAAGAGCTCTGACTTTCACCAGCTGAATAGGACCCTTATCTTGTCGGAAAAGGTCATAATCGCCGCAGTTAATGGTCCTGCTGTTGGCTATAGCGTCAGCACTCCCGAATTATACGATTTAGTCTATTCCGTACCCGATGCGTATCTGTTCACGCCTTTTGTCAAACAGGGCATGGCAACAGAAGGAGCATCAAGTTTCTCGTTTCCCTTCCTTATGGGCCACCAGAGGGCTGCCGCTCTCTTTCTCGCCGGAGAACGAATCACGGCACAAGAAGCACGGGATCTCGGGCTGATCAATAAGATTTTCCCCAAGGATACCTTCTTTCCAAGCGTGATGGAGATCGCTGAGAGTCTATCACGGTCGCCTCCAGGATCACTCAAAGCGACTAAAAGATTGATGAAGGAGCCGGTATTGCAACGTTTACTTGATGTTAATAACCGCGAATATGATATTATTCATGCTGATAGGTATGGCTTTGGAGAGTACAAGGAAGCCGTCAACAAGTTTGAATTCGAACAGCAACAGAAGGCTAAGTCAAGAAGTAAAATATAGCAAATTAGTTTCCGTAGAGACGCGGAATTTGACATCGCATCTAATATCCTATATGACATACGCATCAATGATAGTGGTCATAGAGGAAGGCGTTGCAAGGACAGCCAGATCAAGGGGTGGTGGTCGCAAGAGCCTGCTGCTTGCCATTTACGCTATTCTTTGAAGGTCAGATAATCGGCCCCTTTTTGTTATCGGATGCTGAATCTCTGAATATTACCACCCCTGCCAGATCTGGCCAGTCCGATCGCCTCTCCATCCATCAGCCCGGGAACAATGCAAGTTCCAACGTGGACATAGTGATCAGCTTCCTTGCGTAAAATGACGGGATATTTTGAGCCTTGGAGAATGCAGACTTTGTCCTGCCTCGCACAACCCCATGGGGCGATTCCAAGATAATCCTTGGATATTCGAAAGATAGTGTGTTTATCTTGTCGATGCGCTACTTCAATGACAGATATCATAGCGCTTAAGATGGATGAACCCCGGTATTCACGGACAACCGAGCCTACGACATACTCCATGTATCGCTGTGGGCTTTCCATGAAGAGGGGAAGATGGTCGGGGTCTCCATAATCCGCGGAAATATAGCCGTGCTTCGATTTAGCGTCCGATTCTGGATCTAAAGCCGCTCGGAGGGTGTCGACATCTAGTGTTCTCAGGGCATCAAGCAGAGGATCAAGGCGAAGGAAGAAGATCGAATCGCTTCCCAGGTTGTCTGAAGCGTAATGGCTCACTGGGTGGATACTTGCGAGCAGTCGATACACCGCCACAATCGGATTGGTGCCAGTAAGTGAGCGGAATGTCGGCGTCATCTGACAGAAGACTTTCTTGAGTTCGTTGAATATCCTCCCATCGTTTTCGTTGATATTGACCTTGAGTTCCATTTCGTCGATGCTGATGATGGAGTCAATTTCCACCCCTAGAACATACAAGTGTTGCCCCTGAATTGTTGCACTGGGTTTGTCCGGGTAGATAATGCCTGCTCCGGCATCGAAGATAGCATCGGAATGAGTGGCAAGCCCCTGAGACAGCGGAGCGGAAAACCTTGGACACCACGACGGAAAATTGGTAGCAGTACTGTCGGACATGCCGATGCCAGAATAAGTTAGAAAGACAAGGCTTTCAGGTTGCTGTAACCGCTGGCAATGATCCAGATACGCCCGAATAAAGTCGCGGTAGACGTCCGCCACGGTGGTGGCGGGACTGTAGTCCGGTACCACGTCAAGGTTCAGGACACCAAGAAGACCGTAGATGAGGTCTTTTGGATCCGTCGACTCTAGCTTTCGCGCGATCGTGAATGCAAGGTCCCATTGATTGCTGTTCGAACCATCAACAGCCCGAGGGACATTGTCGCCTTTGTGAAAGTTTCGACGTCCTTCTGAAACCCAGGTAAGAGGAGCCCATATATCGGGAGAGCTGGTGCCGAAAAGGTTCAACCAAATCGAGCCATCTAGAAACGAGGGCTTTGGCGTCTCGGCCTTTAGGACAGCGGCTCTGAGTGCCCTCAACTGTTGACTGACACATAGGACCTTGTCGAGATGTAAATGTCGAGAGGAAGTGAAAAGGTAGACATCCTTGGGAAGGACAAGTTCCTGATATATCCATAGCCTCTTCCAGTATTCTTTCTCCATGAGGTGTATGGTGCCATTCCAACGCGTGTTCATCGTGCGGCCGTTGTCTTTATGGTCCCAACAAAGCCACGGATGAGGTCGAAGCAAGTCAAACTTAACGAGCTCGTCCACACTTAGACCGTCGACTTCGTGCGCCAGCGTGGCGAAAGTGTCCATGCCCCAGCCCAAGTAATCGTAACTCGACGCCTCAAGTCCAAGCCAGGAGAAGACAAATTTGGCCGAAGAATATATCGATCCCATCATCCGTACTTGCCTGCTGCGCTCCGAAAGGTCTGCCTGGTTGATGCAAACAGCATCAACCCAGATGCGTAGTCCAGACAGAGTAACGTCCTGGTGGATGCTAGCCCAAACGTTTTGGGAGTGGTGAAGTGCATGGGCCAGGTTGTCAGTGACGGCGATGGCTTGGCCATTGATGCTTATGCCCTCAGTTCGGGATTGATCCCCCCATACATAAGACAACGCAATAAACTGAGGGTTGATGTCTAAAGATGCCACTTCTAGGCTCCAGAGTGTGCAATTCTCCTCAAGGGAAATGACCCGAAGCAACCGTATCTCCCTCGAGTCTACTGGGAGGTGCTTGTACAGGTCTGTTGAAGACGTAGCCATGGTCTAAGGGCGAATCTGATCTGATGGGCCAAACTAAAGACTATGTTGAGCCGGAATGCTGTGGTGAATGAAGAGGGCCGTTTGAAGAGTGTCCCTAAAATCGCGCTTTGCCTTTAACAAGATAGCAGTGAGCGGTCTCGGTGTTACGTCGAATGGTACAGTTGGTGTTTAAATGGAGGAAATGGAATAGAAACTTGAATTGGTAGTCTGCAGGCTAGTCTTTTAGGAGGCGGGGCTGCAGCCGGATTATTATATAACCCGATTAGCTGGAATTTCAGAGTGCCGGAATTCTGCTGAATTAGCTGTTTATAACTATCACTGCTAGCTGCTAATAGCTGGTATAATAATAGTATGTAAATAATTATACTATATTTATTTTAATAAATTATAATATTTCTTTTAGTTATTTAAATATTATAACTTATATTAAAATTAAATAGTTATAATTAATAATAACTATATATTTTTTTAATAAGAATATTTAATATTTAAATTTACTGTATTTTTATTTCATATATTAGAGTTACTAAAATTTCAAGATACTTTTTTTAACAATAGTATATTTTAATTTTATATTTACAGTTAATTTCTACCTACTAAACAGAGCTATATATAGCCTCAGAATGCCTGAAATTATCTGAGATATGGAAATAGCATAAGTAGCGCAATTGTTAAATCCGCTCGATATTATCCAATCTCCAGCTTCATCCATCATGCATATCGCATCCCATTTCCCGTAGGAGAGAGCGTAGAGGACATACAGTACGTGCATACTATAAGCCCGTACTAGTTGAAGCCCCGATTCTCTCTCATATCACGGGGATACAGAGGATGACATTCTATGGATATTCCAATCCCAGTTGTTAGTTTGATAGTTATATAGCAATACAAACGAGTCGTGGCTCTTAGTGCTATTGTCCCTAAGAGCCTTGAGACTCGACTCGTACTTGATTAATAACTCCTTGATGGCAAGCACAGAATTGGTGTCGTCGTATCCTCCAAGGCTGGGGTGCTCACTCCTGCATGGACTTCCATTATATCGCCGAGGATCGCCATCAAAGGAAGAAAGTACTCCAAAAAGGAAGTCCCAGTAACTATGGTGTAAGGCTCCAGCTTGCGGTTTTGCAACTCCTTAAGCGGGCATGAGTCTAGAGTCTCCCAGATAGCTTCAGGCAGCGGTGCTATCATAGTCTTGTTAGAGTCTTACGCTATTTCATTCGAAGGCACTAGAGCCTACCGTACACTTCACATTTAGACTCGGGTATGGAAAGAGTGGTATTGAACGACAGTGCCAGATGCCGGTCCAAGCTGTACCAAAGCCAAAACACCCTCCGGCGTTCCTCACGATGCTCCAAGTTCACGAGCGTTGATCCCCTTTGCTCAATGTGACAGGAACAGAGTGGGTTGGAGCATGACGGCCCGAACTCTGAGCAAGCTTCGTCTTCTCGGTTTAGTCTCAAGGAGAATGCCAGTCTTGTGGCCTTGGACCACCACTTTTGGCTGTCAGACTTAAAGTCTGAGCCCGAAACTGTGATTGACAGGAGCATGAACGTCATAACATCATCGATGGCACCGGCAGGCTGGTTTGTGGCTGTTATTAGAATCGCCAGCGAGTGGGCCAGGTCGGAGTCGGACCTGTCAATCTCAGCGCGTAGGCCTCCTGAACCAACATCAGCTGACAACGAACGGACTTCATCGCTAGACTACTGACTGACCATGAACACATCTCCATCTGTCTGGATGTCTCTAAGATATAAGTGAGATAACCACGTTGTACAAGTCGTTGATAATCTTCGCTCTCGAGCTAGGAACCTGCAGGAGCGTTATATCAGCTGTGTGCGCAACACACCACATAATTGTCGTCATCAGTGCCGGTGTCGAGAGTTTCGGATTGGCAGTGTTAGTAATAGACTGCTTTCGGAAGATTCTTGTAAGGATATATGGAGAAGCATCGTGCAATAAAGCGCTCATATGGTCGGTCAAGAAGACGTCGAGCAGCTTGCATGCGACTGAGACGGGAAAAATGCCGTCTATGTGACTTACTTATATAATTTCAGCTAAAAGAATATAATATACCAGCAGCCTACTAGCTGAATGAAAAGAGAACAACTAAATGTAACATACAGATAGACTGGCGTATAAGCGGTAAGTAGCCCAAAGGGGTTTTACATAAGCGCAAATAGCTGTATCGAAACTGGATCAGGCAGCGAAGGCACCCATGCAGATAGAGTCAGCTTGATGAGGGGTATTGCGATTGCGTGTTTTCGCATCTTCCGAAAGCTGTCTTGTCAAGTTTTGAGCACACAAGCTATTTAACAATGCTGTCCCGTGCTATAGTAAGATTCGATTTGACTCCTCCTGATACCGTCGCTGACCAAAGGCCCTGTTTGCCCATCCGTAGTGCAGAGAAGCTACAAAGCAAATCCACGGGAGTCTCAATGGCGCCGCATTGCTTGCAGGGCGGCGGGCGCTCACGGTGCCAGCAACATTCTACTATCTCGAAAACCGGGACGAGTACAAGACTGTTAAGCCTTATCATATTAACCTCCCAACCCGTGCGTTTCCAGGCGGCCTGCAGTCCAACGAAGTGTCCATCCCGTACTACAATGTGCCTGTGACGGGCATGCGTGGAATGGTGGACCAGTTCCAGCTGGACCGCAATGGGTTCCAGGTCATGAATGAAGACGCACGAGGGCCCAATTCCCTTATTGACTGCGTCGAGGAGGCCGGCTACGACGACGAGCACCTGTTGCGACGGAAGGTTGGACCGGCTGTCGAGGATTTCTTGAAGCGAAAGATTCCCGAGGCTGAAGATGCAATTGCATTCTCCCACCAGGTCCGAAAGAGAGACCAGCAATTTCCAAAGCTACCCCGGGGCACAGACGCGGCAACGCCTCAGCCGGTCCAGGGAGTTCACATAGGTTAGTTCGACATTCGAGATTGGGAGCGTCTAGATGGAGATGAAACGTGCTGACACGCCTGAGCAGATATGACGCCGGACTCTGCGCGGGTGGAGATACACGATACCCTACGTAATCGAGGATACCCTGACATATCAAAAAGGAGATGGGCGATTATAAGGTTAGGAGGCTGCAACTTTTCCTGCTATCTTTTTCTTCTCTGTTCAGCTCCCTATTCCTCTGCTCTTGTCTTGGCCATTATTCGTTCCCTACTACTCCTTCTCCCTTCAAATTATTCAATTCCAATCGTAAGAAGGGACGGGAAAAGCAATTAACAACTTGCGACCGCTAATAGCATCTGGCGACCGCTTTTTGGCCCGCTCCAAGACTGGCCGCTGGCACTGATGGACTACACGTCCTTTGACAACCGCCGCGATCTGGTCGCCTCAGACAACATCTACCTGCACAAGATTCGTGAGACATTTAATGTGCTCTGGAGCGAATCGCACCAATGGTACTTTCTAGAGGACCAGCAGCCCGACGAGGTGTTTGTGTTCAAGACATTTGACAGCTACGCCCACCAGGGTCACGCGCGCGGTAAGTCATAGCCACTGCTTCTTATTGCTGAGACAACCTTGCCTGACTCGGTGCCAAACCAAGCCTGCCCGCACGCAGCGTTCCAGAACCCCCTGGCACCGGCGATGGCGCGACCGCGCTGGAGCTTCGAGTGCCTAACAGTGGTGTTGTGGCCAGAAGGGACGGCACGAAATGGTCCGTATGACGAGGCAAGTTGGGCCCACGCCGAAAGCCGATCCTTTGCATTTGCACGAGATGAAATATTCTAATCTATCAAAGGCTCTACCGTCCGAGTCGCTGTCCAAGTCGCTCAGCACGCTGCTGGCGGAGATGAGTGGAGGCACAGAGTGAATCAAATGGAGGGCATTGGAGACTGGGGGGTTTGTCCTCCTTCTACGGCTGCATCGTCTGCCGGCGTTCTTTCATCAGCCGCACCATATTCGCAAAGGGGTCCTGATGTCGATTATCCAGATAGTCAAAATCCGGGTTCGTGATGAACTTGAGTGCCTGGTCCACACAAGGGGCCGCCGTGTCTCTGGTAGCCATGCTTCGTGGCGAGTCCAGTCGTCTGGGGAGTGACATCATGATGTGGGCGCCGGCAAACCGGATGGCCTGCTGGATGTCCAGTGGGCCGCCGAGCTCGTGATACGCCTTGGCAAAGGCCTCAAGCACGGTTGCGTACGTAGAGTCGGTGCCCTCGTAGTAACTGATTAGGAATAGCTCAGCGGCGAAGTTGCCGACGTCGATGAAAGCAGGAGACATCATGACGAACTCCCAGTCAATCACACTGACGCTCGGCAGGATGCCGTTGTTCTCGAAGTTGACCAATACGCTTCCCATCCTAGTAACGCGTGAGAGAAGCAAACGACATGTCGACATCGGGGACTTGGCTTATGAGTTCAAAGGCACGAAGATGGCCTCAAAAATGAGAAAGAGAAAGATGCCGAAGAAAAGTCTGAGGAGCAAGAAAGGCAAGTACCTATCAGAAATCATACATGATACAGGTCTCGAGCTTCTCCCGCACATCCCGCTCTAATCCCTCGAGAGCCGCTAGCAGTGTCTTGCGATTGTCATCGACTGTGTACCCAGTCGCGGCGACATTCTTGAAGAAATCCGTAAACGTCTCTTCGATACTGAGCTCCTTCGCCGACGAATTAGTACCAAACAGACCATCAGCCTCTGTGTGACCAGGCCCAGCACCCCAAGCATGCAGCTGGGCAAGGAAAAGACCCAATCGGCGACCAAGGTTACTTGCGATGGGGTGTTTAGCAGGCGTCTCGGCCACATCCTCAAGGAAGACACGGAACGAGTGCTTGGCCTACTCCCAGACGATACCGGCTGCAGCATCAGTCCTCGGTGTGCAATCCTCGATGATTGTCACATGGTTTTCACGATCGTCCAGAAAGCCCTCGGGAAGTGTGGTAGAGAGGTCCTGGCCCTCTGCCGCTTCAATGGGCGCCCCGACTTCTCCTTGACTGTCGCCCGCGGGCGGATACTTGAACTCGCGCCACGGGATATGGGTAAAGAGCGAGCGCTTCGAAAGCCTGGCGTTCAGCGGAGAAGGGCACACGCGGCTCGGCAGCGGTATAAGGAGCCGAGTACTTGAGGATTGCAGTCGAGTTTCGGGAGCGGCCCACGGGATTGTCGAGGAAGAGGCGGTAGGCGAAGTTTGTGGTGCCGACCTGGATGCGGCGGACCGCGCTGCAGGCGAACGGGATGGATTGCAGGTACGCCGTGACGCCAGCCGGCTCAACCAGCGGCGACGGACGTAGCCTCACTGAGGAGCGGCTCTTGTTCGCTGCGATGAGCGTCTTCGTCACCAGGCCGTGTGGCACTAGAGGGTGGCTCCCTGATGAAGAATGAAGTACCGAAGGCGATGAGGAAGATGGCCTGGTACAGTCAGCAGGTTTATCGGGTGACATCAACACCGGGAATACGTACCGCGAGAACAACGAAAGGTAGCACAATCCACCTGCCACCTATGTCCAGCGCTTTGTCCCAGACTAGTTGGAGAAGGGGGCTTGCAATCATGTGGGCGATGGCGTCGGTGGTTGCGATCAGCGAATAAAGCTTTGCGGTCTCCTTTTCAGAGCTCACAAATGCGGTGAGCACAGCGATGATGGAAAGGCGCACGCCGAAGCCAGCAGCGTAGATGATGAGTGCTGCATGGGGGTCAAATGGTGGCCAAAGGAGAAAGCATGGGGAAAGGGCCCGGCATACCAAACACGACGACTCCGATGTTCCCAGCCGCAGCCAGCATGGCAGCACCTGCCGATGGCATGGCGCTGCTCACCCGCGCAACGTACAGGTTGACCCTGTGGGCTGACCATCCGGCCTTTTCCTCCAGCCAGGTGGTGAGAGTGGGAAGCAGTACGAGGAAGACAACGATATTCACTGCCGAAACGACGGAAAGCAGTGTTGCCGTCTGTGAGACGTTAGTCCAGTTTCAGAGCGGCGGGATAACATGTCCTAGGCCTAATTACCTCGCCAAGCTTCAGTCCAAATCGGATGGAGGTGTAAGGCAGCAGGATTTCAATCGTGTTGTTCCGAAATTGAGCTAGGAAGACGGTGATGATGCCCACGAGTATGCGCCGATCTTTGAGAAACTTGTTGTATGAGGCGAGACCGGTGCGCTCCATGGCCTTGTGTGCTTCGCCACCACCTTGGACCTCTTGCTCCTCTTCTTGGCGGGCCTTGGACAGCGTTTCGGGCATGCGGAGCAGGACGGGATAGGTGCACAGCAGTGACAAGCTACATACGAGGTAGGGCAGCCAGAGTGACTGTCGCAGGGTGGCGTAAGCAATCGGAGGACCAGCCAGATCTGTCACCAACGATGCCGCGAATACTCGATAGAAGGATTGACTCCTGTCGTCGGAGGTTAGCTGCTGGAGGTTGGCTAGAGAGCTAGCCGGCTCACCTGGTGGTCTCGGTCGACACGTCGGAAGCCATGGTCAAGCAGAGGGCAATGGCAAGATTTGGGTCGCCGCCAATGAGTCGAAACAGTGACGAGAACCAGACAACCTCAATGGGGACACGGTTCCAGAGGTGGCCTGGAGAGGGTTAAGGCGGGGGACAGCAGAAAAGCAAGCAGCCAAACAAGCAACCAAGCAAGCAGCAAGAGCAAGAACGTACAGGTAAAAAATATCCAAGCCATGCCGCCGATGATGCCCAGACAAGCAAGGCCAAAGGGGAAGCGACGGCCTTTTCTGTCGGCGAACGAGCCAAAGAAGGAGCCGAAGCAGATGACTACAAGATGATGGGAGTGAGCACGGTGGGTCAGTCAGGGCGACACGGAGAGACAGCTAGCTACCAGGTAGAGCGTCAAAGAAGCTCATGAGCCCACGGACTCGGGCGAGTTTGGCCTGAATAGGCACAAGCTTGCACATGGACTCGTCAATGTCGCCGACCGGCTCGTCATGGCGGTAGTGCTGGTGGCAGATGGCGCTCTCGAGCAGGCGGATGGTTGGAGCTCGAGGAAGATGATGAGCAGGAAGACATAGGTGAGTCGGGGCGGGTCGTCCAGGAAAGCGATTGCGCGGGCAGCCAGCTGCTTCAAGGTTGCAGAGACGGCCATTTGGAGTCGGAGATGCGAGGAGCACACCGAGAGAAGGGCGCCGGGCAGCTGAGGTTAGAGGTGCATTGCGTAGAGGGAGGCTGCTGAGGTGATCGTCGATGCCGCGCGTGCCTGAGGTACCTGACTCACTGCTTGCTCAATAAGGAGTAGCATCAATCACTGTCTTCCCAGTTAGGAAGGGTGTCTGTACGGTGGTCGATGGCAGAATGCTAGAAAAAGAATGGAAGGAACATACTGTTACGGTATACAAGGTACTTTGCCAGCTCTGTATTGTGGAGTGTTCCCTTTTGCACTGGGCGCAACAGATGCATATAAATTGGTGTGCGTCAAGTTAAGCTTCGTCTTGGCTGTGGGGTACTCCTGGGGCTTAACACTAGCGTGGCAGGGCGCTTCCTCCCTGTAAGTTAACCGCTAGGCTAGGTACTGAAGGAATTGCAGTGCTCGGCCACGGTTGCAGGCAGTATGGGGCAATATCAAGTATTGATCCCGGGTAGTTCTTGGTTCTTGCCTCCTAGCAGGCTGTTGCGCCGTGGCACGTAGCTGATGATACTATGACAACAGCCTGACTTCCTTCTCTACTCGAACTCCACCTCAGCTACGGGAACTGTGCGCATCTCGGCACTTACCAACTATGTCGGGTATTAATATGACCGTTGGCGTCCGCTGCTGCTTGTGGACCTCGGCCATCTTCCTGTTTCTCTATTGCACCCTCACCATGGGCAATTTCTGGGCCCAACCACAGCACGCCGACGCTGACGCCGACGCCGACTCCGACGCCGACAGCCCCCAGAGCGTCGTTATCCTCGGCGCCGGCATCATTGGCCTGGTTACCGCCTACAGTCTGCTCACCGAGTGGGAGACGCTCGTGCTGGCCGGCGACCCGGCTGCCCAGGCCCGTCCTCGCCCCGAAGTCGTCATTGTCGAGCCGTCGAAGCGCTGGAGTCCCGCCGCCTCAAGCCAAGCGACCGGCGGCCTCGGCGACTTTGGCTTCGCGCCTGAGACGACGCCGCTGGGCATGCTGTCGTTCCGCCTGCTTGCCGACCTCGCTCGCCAGGCCAATGGCAAAGAAGGCTATCAATTCACCCAACAGACCATCTTCCGCGTCACACCAAAGGATTTCACTGGCGTTCCCAGTCCCCCAGACACTTGGGGGCCGTCTCCGCCCGTCCATGTCCCGCTGTCGAGCCTCCCGAGCTGGTTCAAGACTGAGTCTGACTGGACCGCCCATAGACTCGCTACAGCACCTCATGGCGCTCATCTGTAGGCCTCTGCCCCTTCTTTAGGCCTCTGCCCCTTCTTTTCCACGTCGTATACACTTCCAAGGGTCGAGGTTTACTCTCATTTCCATCATCTCTTTTGCCTTCACCTGTTCAGTTCATCTATTGCTCCACTATGTCTGACTGCTCGACTGACTGCTCGACAGCGACCCCGCACAGTTTTGTGCCTTCATGTACGAGCGCTGCAAACAACTAAAAGTCCAATTCGCCTTCGGCTCCGAAGTCACCTCAGTAAGTGTGGACGAAGCCTCGCAGCGCTTCAAAAGTGTTGAGCTCCAAGAGTTGGGTGGTGCAAGCCGCACAGTCCCTTGTCAGACTCTCGTGATTGCTGCTGGACCATGGTCCGACCGTGTCTTCTCTCGCCTGTTTCCCTTGGCCCAAACCAGTGTGCCCTTCGACGTCTCCGGCTCCGCGGGTAATCACTTCCGCGTCCGCACGCCCGGATGGAAACCCTCGGACGACGAAAAGGGCAGCGAACAGGTCTTCCTTGGCAGCGTCATCCCGGGTGATCACAGCCTCGACATCACCAGCTTTCCCGGTGGCACCCTGTACATTGGTGGGTATGGAGCGATTCCAGAGCTGCTCCCAGAATACGCCGACTTCGTCAAGCCGCAGCCAACCCAGATCGAGGCTATGCTTGAGCTGACCCGCAAGTACCTTGGCCTTCCGCCCGACGAAGTGCTCGAGATATTGGACCTTGGCCGCGCCTATCGTCCGCGGGCCGTGCCAAACCACCCCATCATCACCAAGGTCGACTGGGGCTTGCTTGGCATAGAAGGCTCCACGAACAACCCATTCGAATCCCAACTCCCGATTGCTACGTCAGAAAAACCTTCAGCCGGCTGCGCATCCGTTGTAGGCGGCCTGTTCGTCAATACCGGCCACCACAGTGACGGCTTGACGCTATCGCTTGGAAGCGGTAAGGTCATGGGCGAGCTACTCCTGGGACAAGAGCCTTCAGTCGACATCTCCGGTCTCGGTTTACCGCAGAACTAGCCCCCCCCCCAATCGTACCCTTTCTGTTTCCTACGATATAAAATCTCGCATGTTACCTCTCCAGTAGGAATATGGGCAGGGCAAAGTCGCGGCAAATTAGGGTTGAACTGGGACATGATTCCTCTTGTCTCGCTCTCGATAAGCACAAGTGGTCAAATATTCTGATTCCTCTCTAAATAACCCAACACTTGTCCAAGTACTGAACCAGATTTTTATTCAATCAAAGACCGCCACGCCTTGCCACAGTACTCTGATTCTCCAGCATCCAAGTTCTCCATGGTCGTTCCGTTGGCTTAGATGTATCGTGCTTCCAAGTCAGCCAGGGCATGCCAGCCCGCTCCGCTGAAGTGTAGTTCTCTGCCTTGGGAGGCCAGAACGTCTTCCATGGCTGGGTCTTTTGTACGGTGGAGTAATGAAAAGCTTTATATTTAGTCATTGTGTAGCATTGGGTAACAAATGCTTGAATTGTGGATGAAACTGTGTTTTTTTGACCTTGTGCCGGCAACTTGCTCACCTTGAGGGAGCAGACAGAAGTTAGATTAGTTCTGGCTCCACGCTGACCTCACAACGGGTTAAAGCATCTAGTTCAGGAAAAGAAGCAAAGGAGACGAGCAACGCCAGAGCTCTGAATATTGACCTTGACAAAGGCGTAAAAACGAGCCCCGATGGCAATGATATGAGCGTAATATGGCACGAAGTGCTGAGTGCGCACCTCGTCAAGCTGCGGCCGAAAGATCGAGCGCACTGTGGGCCGATAGCTCTGAATAAGTCGCTCGACTCCAAGGCTTTGGAGGTCATGTTTGGCGATGTCCAGCGCCGCTACGAGAGGGATCTGTTCCACGCGTTTCTGTTGCGCCTCAGCCCCATCAGCGAGCAAATCCTGTCGTTCGGCAAGGCCGTAGATGTCATTGCCGGGGGTGGAGACATGATGGCGGGTGCCATCTGGGGTAGCATCATTATTCTGCTGTCGGTAAGTTGGTTCGGCCCACTTCCTAGCCACACTTGCGACTTGGCCGAACTGGGCAGCGATCAACAGGGCTAACACGAGTTTAGCTGTCTACGCGGGCGATGGCTCTGCATGCGAAAGTCCTGGACCAAATCCAGAAACTCGTGTGCTACCTCCCGCTGTTCCAGCGTTGGACGGACCCCTTCCCGGTTTCCAGCTACTCTCAGTTGCGGGACCGCATCAAACAGACTTTCTCCGAGATTCTTTCTTTCCTCGTCGAATCATCCGCTTTTGGAGGCGTCCGACGTTCAGTAACCAACCCATTTCTGTGGACAAGATAGGCATATGACCATGTTAACTCTCATCTAGTCAACACGATCAAACTCACCTTCACACGTTCTCTCGAGGATCGATTCTCGTCTTGCGAGACTAAGATGAAACGCCAGGCCGAGCACCTGGACCGTGAGGTCGGAACGGCAGGCTTGGAGGAGTCCAAGAAGCGAGACGACACCATCATGCAGCTTCTTGAGAATTCGAGACCCACTGTGTCCAGCATTTCAGGCGTACTTCCGTTCCGTTTCCTTCAGAATTGTCCAAAAAACAATAAATTATTTGGTTGCAATGAGGTACTTCAGGAGCTAGATGCTATTTTCGATGACAGCGCAAAGCGCAACCCTCCCTGCATGGCAAGCGTGGTCATCCACGGCCTCGGTGGGAGCGGGAAGTCGTCTGTAGCGAAAGAATTCATGTATCGTCAAATTGCATCCAACAGGTATCCGGTTACACTGTGGCTCTATGCTGATACTTTGTCCAAGCTTGAGACGCAGTTCATGTCTATTGTGCGACAATTGAACCTGGATACCAAGGGCAGTCCGGCACGCTATGCCGTCTTGAACTGGATTAACAAGCTGGGTTTGCAATCCACCCTTTTTTTTCACCAGCAATCAATGAGACTAACGTGCGTCTAGATGAGGACTTTTTGATCATCTACGACAATGCGGACAACCCATCTTTACTGAACTCATGCTGGCCACATTCGGTAAGAGGGTCGGTCATTATCACAAGCCGCAATCCGTCCGCACGCGAGGTCGACCTGGCTCAGAGCAGCCTCCATCTCAAGACTTTTAGCCCGGAGCAGGGATCAGCTTACATCAGGTCCACACTGCCTGATGCTCACCTTGAAAACGACGATGATCTAATCGCTATCGAGCACCTTGCCAGATATTTCGACGGACTGCCTCTTGCTTTGCGTCAAGCCAGCACGTTTATGCGGAAGAAGCACTGCTCGCCCAACCAGTTTAGACAACTCTACCAGCGCCACTTCGAAGAAATCGACGGCTATAAGATTGCAGAATACGACAAGACTTTGTCCGATGTGTGGACTCTATCTACGAGTCTTTTGTCAGATGATTCGCTAGTTCTGCTCGACTCGCTCTCGCTGCTCGACCCGGACTCCATCCCGGCCGGACTATTCGAGCTCGCAGACCTGAACCACGAGTTCGGCACGTTCCTGAAAGATGAATTGCGTGTGCTGGACGCGAGGGAAGGCCTCACGCAGCAGTCGCTGGTGGACTACGACTACCATAGCAGCAGCATGAGCATGCATCGGCTGTTTAGAGAAGTCACCTTCCGGAAACTGAAAAAAGACCATGATCGCCTCCAAAAAGTGTCCGACCTCGTGATTCGCATGATCCACAAGTTCTCGCCCGAGGTCAATCATAGCACGGTGCGCAATCCGCACATCTGGAAGCGCGTCGAGAAAACGCTCAGCCACGTCCAGAGCGTGTACGACCGGTGCATGCACGTCTTGACTGAGAGGGAAGCAGAAATGCTGCTGAGATGTCTCACCAAAATTGTCAAGTATGTCCCGCCTCAGTTGCTAGCTCCTTGTCGTGTTAACGCAGCATAGTTATGGGTACGAATCCGGCCAGTTCGACCTCGGATACGACGCATTCCATAAAGCCAGGGAAGTGCTAAAGATGGTCAAAGACTCTGATGATGAGATGTTGGCGCTGCTTTATTTCTATCAGTGTCGACTCTGTTGCGAGATGACCCGCAACGAGGAAGCTTGCGAAGCCATCCTCCTAGCCAGGGAGCATCTCGAAGAGGCTGGGAAGAGCAACGTGGACTTGCTCAAAACCACGCTATATGTGCGAATACTCAGTAACTTGGGCATCTCGCATACCGCTATCAATGAATTCGAAAAGGCGGAAAAATACCACCTCGAGGCAATCAAACATTGCAGGAAGCTAGGCATGGAGGTCGAAAGTAGTCTAGGTAACCTCCTCCAGAACTTAGGCGGCACCTACCTCTGGAGCGGACAGCTTGACAAAGCGAAAGCGATCCTCGATGAAGCGCTGGAGGCGCCCAACACCAACCGAGAAGCGGCCGAATACACCCTCGGCAACTGGATGATTAAAGCGCACAGATACGATGAAGCCATCAAGATTCACAGAGGTGTCCTTCAGGTTTACATTGGCCAGCTCGGCATGAATCACCCTGTCACTGCCGACTCGTGGCACAAGCTTGGCTGCTTGATGGCGATGCCGGAGTACTCTGGCCAGGACCTCAAAGAAGCAGAGTGAGACCTTCCAATCCAATGACGTACATGGTTTTCTTCACTGACTGTATTCATCCCGCAGGAGGTGCTTCCAGCAGACATTGGATATTTTCGAAGCGCCTGGTCTATCGCGAAGCCCAATGGCAGATATTTTCGTCGCAAGGGCAAAGTGGGGCTTATCCGGTGTGATGAAGCTGCTGGCTGAAGCAAGTAAGGAGGAGCAGGCAGTGACATTAGAAGAGGAGGCCTTGACTGTTTTACGCGAAAAGTTCGACGGGGAGCTACCAGAGGATATAACGCCATCGGATGCATTTGAGACTCTAGTTTTTTATTGGAGCAGATAACTTTTCTTCTCTATATCAGAAGCATTAGTAAATTTTGTTGGGTATGCTGTATTAAAGTAAATATTTTCCACTGTAGAGGTTGTATCTCTGTGGACCTCTCGCGAGTGGGCATGGCAACTACGAGACGCACAAATTGGTGACGCTGTGGAAACTCCTCTACTGGTCACTACAGGAACAACAGCCCAATTACTCGAACTCTATCTAGGTGGGCTGCGCCAGTTAAACCACCGGAGGGCGACAGCTTATAGCCACCAACCATTATACGAAAACCTAAAATAAGACAGGGCTCAGGATGATCGCGAAATTGCATGTAATTCTTTCTGGGTGGTGGCCGAGACTATAAGAGGGCACTGAGTCTGCAATACAATGCCAATATATTGCGCATCGACACCAAAACCAACCCCCCCCCCCCTGTCCAGAGACTTTGCAGGCCTCGGTGCGACGTCGTTCTCGTATAAGTATACCTATCCGGCCCTAGTAATTCACGAATAAAGATGGGATCTACTTCCAGCCTCGGAAAGCGGCATTCTTATGCATAATTAATTTTAACTAGTTCCCCTACTTTCACTTTATTGATAATAATTGTGAATAATCTTCTCCCGAAATGTCTACACTACGTTTGTCGTAATAGGACTTGCGATTTCTACGCCCCTTGCCTTGATAATAGCGGAAACTAAGTTTCGGTAGACGGTGATCTTAGGTGTATATTGGTATCGCTTCAAATTATCTAGATAACCTGAACTTTGTTATTTTCCGAGCTCTTTCTATAGGACAACTGTGATTATTTTAATTAGGTTCTCCTCGGCGATACAGAGATTGAGGATAAATAATTAATACCTTGACGCTTGTTTATAACCTGACGAGGGGTATATATCGTTATGACACTCTCATACTTCCTGCTCTGCAGCGCTGGATATTGAATTTTCCAAGATTTCGAATACCTACCGGCCATCAATTCGTCGAATCTCTTGTTGACTTCGAGTTTCCTTTTGCCAGATGCTAAATGTACTGTCAGCTTTTCAGCCCCAAAATGTTGATTGTTCTTGAGTTTCAGTATATGCTACTCGATTCGCAAGAGTATTCCATGGATCCCAGTCTCATCATGATCGATACGGCAATAATCGATGTATGGAAAAGAGAAAATGATACTGGTTCTCTGGAGCAAATACGAAATACGAACGGTACGACGTAGAAAGATAACCGACACTAGTATTTGTGATGCTATGACATGAACTCGATTGAGCCCGGCACTCTTTCACCGACAAGGGCGATCTGTCTTGCCGGGGTACAGTTCTGAGGTTACGGCATTTGTAGGAGGGTTTGAACAACCTGGTCGTATCCACGCCAGGAAGCTAGGAACAATAGGCACCGTCCGTTCGCGTCTACACGTGTAGTATCAGGTTGGTGATCGAGAAGTAGCTGTGTTATATCGATATGTCCCGATTTTGACGCAGAGTGTAGTGGGGTCCATCCATTATTGTTGGCGACTGTCGGATCTGCCCCTTCCTCTAGGAGTAGCTTGACCACTTCCAGACGGCCACGGTTTGAAGCCGAGTTGAGCGGATCGGTGATGACTTGAAATCTGCAAAGGAGCTGACCAACATCCAGGGCGAAGTAGAGAAGGGACTCTGTGAACTTGCGAAGAAAGCAAGTAACCGATTTTAAGTTTGGTGCGCTTGACCAAGCGGTGTCCTTCCTCCAGATGCCGGCTTCTCCTCCCGACTAACTGGCAAGCTTTATGAAGCCATTCTAGTTGATGACTTGGCGAAAGCGTTGGTCCAAATTTTACTAGATGGAAATGAGCGAAGAACCATTGAGTGCGATGAGCTGACCGAGATATGTATTAATAGCTCGTGAGGATGCCACAACAAAGAGCTTGATTTCCCTATCTGAAAAGGTGTACATTCTACAAACACGTCACTTTCCGCCTTCGGCAGCCAGTGGCTTCAAGGGCGGTTTCCAACGCATAATAGCCAGCTTCCCACATATTTCCCATGGTTAAGAAGGTCGTACCCTCCCGCGAACTTGGAGCCACTTGTCTGAAGGTTTCCATCCAATATTCTTCTGGCGAGCAGCGCACTTCTGGCACATTCGAGAGAGCTTGTGCTCCTTGCATCGATTGCAGCCTTCGTCTCGTAACTTGCCGTTTTCGAGGGCGCATGCACACTTTGTACAGTATTGGTTGCGCACGCACCTCGTACAAGGTTTTCCTAAAATACTGTCCTCGATTCTTCTAGTCCGCAACGCTTCCTCATCAGCTTCTTTCTGCAATTCCCACTCCACAAGCCATCGGTTGAGAACTTTGGATAGCATCGCTGCTCGAGTTCGACAATCCCTGTCGCCATGCTCCAACTTGGTAATGGCGCCCTGCATAGATGCGCAACACCTACTGTAATCTCCACTTGCGGCTTGCCAATTCTCTGCTCGGTTGGCCCGTTGTCTATGTAGTTCTGCCACAATTTTGGAAGAGAATGAGAAGGCCTCGGTCTCAAGTGTCCACTCTAAACGCCCAATGAGACAGGGGCCATTGGCAATGGTGTCTCGGAGAGTCTGGGCCATGCCGATAGCGAGATAAGGTGCGTCAATAACGTAATACGCGGCATAAGCGAACGCATAGTCTATGGCAACCCTTGCCGTACTGTTGTTAAGGCGCAATTCGTACGTCTGGTGCCATACATAGTCGAACTTCGCAATTAGGGTTTGCCGTGTAAGAAATGCTGTGGTGAAGAATTTGCAATAGAAAGATAACATATCGAGAATCATGACATTCTCATCTCCGATGAGAACTGAAAATGTCCTGATGGCCTTGACATATCCGATGCGTAGTACGTTTCTCAGATCCTTTGCGTCAACAGAGCTGAGCGAGCTGATGAGTCGGTGAACAGGGCTGCCGACTTGTTGTGTTATTTTGATTACCCGAAAAAGTCGGCTCATAGCATTGGCTCTAGGGATGTGACAGTCGATTCCCTGAATGCGGATGCACAGTCGCCAGAATTCGACCATAAACGCCGGGTGTCGATAATTGTCCACAGTTGCCAGATTCTGAAAGAGATTTTCCAAGGTCATCTCTGCTTTTGAATGTAGATTGGCACGAATCAGCAGCGCGACGCTGTGGCATCGGTCAGAGAGGACTCGCCAATGATAGGTTGCAGAGCATCTCTTGCGATCCGGGTCTATGAAACTTGTGACGTCCGCGGACCAGCCCTCTTTCCCCGAGTCGAACACTCCATAAATGAAGTCATCCACACTCTTTAGGACCACCTCATGATGTTCAAACTGCTTGAACTGAAGTGTTTCAGGTACTTCAATTGTCATATGCATATGCATGTCAAACTCATCGGCTGCTAGCACCAATTCTTGGACACGTTGATGAGGGGCTTTATGTACTGCCCGAGCTCTCGTTCGATCTTGTGAGCCCACTGTGTTCTTGTTTTTGGAGATACCCCATTTCTTGAAGCGTCTATTATACGCGTTCCTGTCTCTATTAACATCATGAATCGTTAGCTTCGGGCTTATGTATTAAGATTGTGAAGGGGACGGTTCTGGGATGGGTTTATTGGTCCGTGAGGATCATAGGCAGTGCGAAGACATACTGCTCCCCAAACTGGTATATCGACCACATGATATCCTTGACTAGTCGTAACTGATATCCATTGTCGTAGTAGAGTTCGGTTATCTTCTCTTTCATTTGATTCCATCTTGCATCATTCACTTTAGTCCAGATTCTAGACGTTGGTACCGGTCTCTGCCGCCTCTTGTCTTCTTCTTCGTTTTGTTTCTTGGTCTTTCGCGGAATTGGCCGAATGAATCCAATCTTGGGGTGATGAGAGAGACAGTGTACAGGACTTGAGACGATTTCTTGGGACGTCATCCTGGTGACACGACGTTTGTGGTGCCGGGTAAGGTACAGTAGCCAGTCAGCCACCAAAACGTCTTCCAATCAAGGCTCAACAAGCGTCTCATTATACTGGAATCTCAGCGATAACCCTCGGGTCATTGGCAGATTCACTAAAGTTCGGTCCATCTCTGAGCCAATAGCTGCAACGTACGTATCAACCCCGCACGCATGAGATACCGAATGGCACCAAATTATGTATGCAAACACGCACAATATTGGCTCCTTATCGACCTATCGATGAACTGGATTGTGAGTTTTAATGCAGCTGCAGGTAAGTGGGGACTTTATCTATCGGCTTACATGTACTTTCATCGATATTAAGGTATCACCAAATTCAGGCCCAATCACGAGATCTACCTCGTGGGAGTCTCTGGCCGACTCAGACGTATCGGGCTCGACTGAAAAGCTGGATTCTTTCGTCTCAACGGGTATAAAGACCACGTCTCTTCCCTCCATTCAGCCTCCATCACTCAGACATTCATATCTATTCTTTTTCAGCCTATCTTGACAATCTTCTTTCTCAGCCTCTCTTTCGTAGCGAGTGGGCTTTCAAACACCTCCAAGCCCCTTGTCATCTTCATTCCTGTCATCGAAATGACCATGACCGAGCACGTCAACATTCAGGGCTCTCAAAGCTCCATTTCTCCTGAATCAGGCTCTTTCCCGGCTACCCATACCCCCCGTGGTGAGGCTAAGCTGACCACTCCAACTGGGAATGCCCCTCCTCCAGCCCCTACACTCGTCTGTGTTCCAGACGATACCTACGATGATACCTCTGACGATGATGGTACTGAAGGACAGCTCAACATTTCAACTAGCTCGGAACGTCCAGAAGGTTGGGTCATGGGGGCATTTTCAGGTCTCAAGAGGATTGTTGCAGAAGCCAAAGGTGCAGCTTCCAAGCCTGTGGTGGACTTCATCAGGAAATAGTGAGTAATCTGACTTGTCAGTGGATCAGGATACTGACGTCCCAAGTCTCCGGGGAACAAAGCTTATCTTCGTTGTGGGACAATCCGGAACTGGAAAGTCGACCCTTCTGAGCGAGATCTCCGGCCAGCAATTGCATGTTGGAAATTCTCACAAGTCAGGTTGGTTCAAGATTGCCACCAAACTACCAAGTCCGGAATAGGAAAGCTAAATCCTGTTTCTCCAGGCACGAAGAACTATCAAGTTTGCCCAGCAATCATTGATGGCGAACAGTATCTATTTGTGGACACTGCAGGATTTGGCGCCGCTGACATCGATGACATGGCGAACTTCCATGACATCATCACATGCCTGGATGCTCTTAGCCCTTTTGTCACTGTTGCTGGTGTTCTATTTGTTTACGGCGGTAATCAGGACCGGATGATGAAAGCAGACCTAACAACGATACAGTGGGTGAAGTGTTTCTGTGGGCCAGAGTTCTACAAGAATATTACCATCGTGACCAGCAAGTGGGATTCATTGAGCGAAGACGATTTTGAGGAACATTGGGAATCCAAGCTGCCCGGTCTGTTGAATGACCCGAGCATCACCGAAGTTCTCGAACCTTCGCCTGTCGGCCCGCGGCGCTATCATGGAGGCGCGGTCTACCACCATAGCATCAAGCAAGCCAACGGCAATGACACCGGGGAACCAATCCAGCGACTATCGGTCCGAAAACGTTCCGGGGAGAGAGCAGAAGAGATCAGAGCCATGATCAGCAAGCGGTACAAGGAGGTACCAAACGTCAAGCTTCAAGTCGTCCGCGAAATGGCGTGCAAGACCCCTTGGTACGAGACAGAGGCTGCAAAGGTGTTGGAGCAGAACCCTTTGTACATTCGTCTCGATGTCAAGAGCGATCTCGCCCGGGTCTCAGTTCTCGAAACGCCCCGGAAAATGGAAGGTGCCCAGCTGGATCAACCAGAGCCAATCTCGAATAGCCCCTTACCTCCCGCTGCCTTGGAGGACAACAACACGCAAAATACGCCAAAGCAATCCACTCAAGGAAGACGTCACAAACATCCATGGTTTCAACCGTTCTTTCAATGGCTCGATGTCGCAAAGGAAGCCGCGGCTTTCTTCATGACGGGAAGACAAATCGACCAGCCCAACACTGGAAAGAACGGGGCCGAGGAAAAAAGTATGTCTTGGGTCAACTCGTGGGGAACTCTTTCGAGCTGGTGGTCGGGGCCTCCAAAGACTTCGTAAGGTAAAAATGAAGGCCTGATAGACCTACTTGGTGTGTGGCGGGATAAGTAGCTGAAGCGCTGAATTGGGCAGATTTCCTTACTTTGGCAGTCGAGAAATAATGTCTGCCTCCGCGTTTTAAATCTCTATGCTGCCTTCCTGTTATATAAGTAGTCATACGGAGAAAACTTCGACTCTTATTGATAAGCGGTGATTTCGAATGTGACTTCTTGTTGATCTCATAATTGCTAATCCAGAGGGAAATCAGCACTTAGGTTTTCAAGGCCACAACGAGTTTTCATAGTCCAATACAATTCTAACATATGATTTACTGCCTAAGGAAGGTAATAAAAACGAAGTTTAATTATTTTGAGATCTGTATTACTGTCGTGGCATGCTGTTGAATAATTGAGAACGGGGAGGACTGCAACTGCTCTTGGAGCGACAGTTGGACGTTTTCAGGAACTGGGCTATTCTCGGAATCGGGACAATTCTTCCCGCGTATTACGCTTCAGCTATCAGGTTATTATCGCTTAGGTACTTCCGTTGAGGTCATAGTGAAATCCAACTCGAGTTCAGCCTCATTTGAATGCCGCCCAAGACCGAACCAAGAGCCTCGTCTTTAAGAAAAGTGAAATTGGCTTACAGTAAACGTAGAGAAAAAGCCGGCACACAGTCCAACAAAAAGACTCTTTCTCATTCGACGCATACTCTAAAATACTACTCCCCAACTATCAGTGCCCAGGCATCTCGACCCGTGGCTCCTCCTTCGTGCGCGGTTGCAAGGTCGAAGCTATGGGGTCCGATTTGGCTCGGTTCTGGCTTCTCATGTAGAACCAACCCGCACCTGAAATGACCGCAAGTCCTGCGATCGATCCCACTACGGCGCCTGCAATCCACGCCTTGCTCTTGGACTTCTTGGGTTCGGAGGTGGGCTCGGCAGAGGCTGTCGCGCCGGTCGAGGTGGCAGATGTCGTCTCGGAGGACGTGGCTTCGGCGATGCCTCTCTCGTTGGAGGTGCTTTCGGCGAAAGTGCTGCTTGTTTCCAAGGATGCAACCGTCAGTTTACGTGTCTGCCGAGATCAGGCTTTACGGCTCGACTCACCAGACTCTGTTGACGACACCTCCAACTCTCGATACACAGTGTAGGCGCGCCACCCCTGGCGGCACTTTATATTTGTCGCCGAGGGAAGCCCGTCAGGAGAGGTTTGGAAGATGGTCATGGAAACGCAACTGAAAGTGCCGCTATTGGAGAGAGATGGCGTTAGATATCCTGGTGCACACCATGTTGGCTCGAATAGGCAATCATACCACGATGTAGACGAGCCATCGCCGAAATAGATCGTGTCGTTGGAAAATTCTGTCGCGACGACACAGGAATCGAAGTCGCTGTTGCAATCTCCTGCGAATGTCCCGGAGGTGATCCAGGATGTGGAGGCGGTCATTTTCTGAACTATCCCGCAAAAGAGGTCCCGGATAAGCCATCAAATACACAGTGAAGGGCATGGTCCGATTGTGTCAACGTACTGGAGTCAGGTGCGATGTAGTAACCGATGAACTGCGAGGAGGCGAGATCCTTCTCTCTGTCGCCAATCGTCGTCTGCGCCGCGACATATCGAGCAAGGAGGGACAAGCCGAGGGCAAGAAAGGTGAAACTGGGCAGCGTCTGCATAGTGTCTCGTTGGTGGCTTTTGGAGCCGTCTCAGAGGTAAGGCTGGATGGGATGGGATGAGCTATGGATAGATGGATCACAAAGGTTAAAGGGAGCAAGTTAGAGCTTCTGCAAAGAAGAGGGCCTTACCATGCATTTAAAGAATGACCATTCAGCTCTACCAGCTTTTTGGACCTAAAAAAGCACTCGCCGAATGGTCAGTCCGCCCCAGCGTTTACAAAGTGCAAATCCGTCTCCTGGCAGGTGATGAGAGCCATTTGCCCCGCACTTCAGTTCTCTACCCTGCCTCTCGCTCTAAGTGCCTGCTTTCTCATTTGCGGAGTAAGGCTGTCGGCAATTTAAGTAAAATAAATTAAAATATAATATAATATTTAATATATCTTTAAAAATAGCTAAGAAATAATTATTAAATAATTAAGTATTATTAATATTTAAAAAGCTAAGTAATTTAATATTATTTAGCTACTATTATTTTATTTTATAAACTTATAAATATATATTATATTATTAATTTCCTACTTTTTTTTATATTATTATTACTTATATTATAATATTTAGTTTTTTTTATAGTTTTACTTAATATTATTAAATAGATTAAAGTTATATAGTAATCTTAAATAATAAAAATAAATAATAAAAGCTATATTTAATATTAAAAGAAATAATAGCTAAATAATAAAGTTATTATCTATTAATTTTTACTTAAAGCTTTTATTTAACTTCTTTAACTTTAACTTTATTATTTATAATTAATAATCTTACTATTTATAGTTAATAATCTTAAGATAGTAATTTTATTTTAAGTAAAGAAATATAAAAGAAATTAATATCTTCTATTATTAAAAAACTAACTTTTTTTTTAATATTTATTTCTTATTTCATAATAACTAACTTTAAATATAATAACTATTTTTATATTTTATTTAAAGAATTCTTACTATTAATAATATATTTAGTTTTTTTAGCTTTACTTAATATTATTAGATAAATTAAAGTTATATAGTAATTTTAAATAGTAGAAATAAATAATAAATACTTTACCTAATATTAAAAAAAATAGTAGCTAATTAATAAAATTATTACCTATTAATCTCTACCTAAAGCTTTTATTTAACCCCTTTAATTTCAACTTTATTATCTATAATTAATAACCTTACTATCTATAGTTAATAACCTTAAGATAGTAATTTTATTCTAAGTAATAGAATATAAAAAAGATATCTCCTATTATTAAGAGACTAACTTCCCTTTTAATACTTATCCTATTATAACTAATTTTTAATATAGTAAATTTTACTTAAGTAGCTCTTTCTAGGAATAATCTATTATATCTATATTATAAATTCCAATTCTAATATAATTTCAGATTCTCTTAGAATTTAAAAGATAAATTAAAAAGATAGAAGCTAAATTTCCTCTTAAGCTTTCTTAAAAAAGAAAATCTATTTAAGTTATTACTATACTATCTATAATATCTAAATAAAAGCTAATAGATTATATTAGCTATTTTTAGATACTATTTACTTTTTAATAATAAGATTAAGATTAATAAATAAGAAAATTAAATTCTTATTTGCAATCTTATTTTATATATTTAAATTATAACAGTCAGGTCTAGCCTAAGAGTATAGAATAAGTTCAAGACATAGAATATATAATCAAGTAGATCAGAACATCATAATAAGCAATATAGATTACAGTCTGGTAATAATAGAATAATAGATTCAATGTAACCAAATATATTAATAGCTAGTGAGGCTATCCATCTATAAAAATGCTAAAAGAGTATCTATATACTAGTAGTGCCTATACGGGCTTACTAGGTAAGAGTGAGTCCGATCTTATGGCTCATCCTGGGGAAGTGAGTCGTGCGTTCGGGCTCACTTATACGGGGTGAGTTCGGGATCTGTGTCAGGTGAAAAAGTGGGTATGTTATGGTTCTGCCGGTTGTGACCGCCTGGTCTCAACCTGGGCCGTGACAAATATTACTTATATTAAAATATCGGACTTCTATAATTATAATAGCAGTAAAGCTTTTCTTACTTTATAGTAGGCTTTAAAGCTATCTTCTATATTAGCTGCTTAGTCCCAGGCCTAGCTTTTTATTTAATTAGGTTAATAGCTAGCTAGAGTAAAAGACCCTATAGTATCCCTAAGCACCTCGGATATCCGAGCTTATCCGAGGTCCTCCCTATCTAAACAGGAAGTATAACAAATAATTCTGACACAAATACTAAGATACTAGCCGACATCGTAGTTATAAATTTTCAGAAAAGAGCTATCCAGTCCGGTCCTTCGATAATACGAGCGCCGTATCTGTAACAAGCCTTGTCGCCGTCAATAGCTTATTTTCCAGCTACAAGGGGAGGCGAGGAAGCCGTTTGTAGCGTGTCAATCCAACCCCTCATCGCCATGTTCTGCTACGCAATAGCTAGTAAGTAAAGATCTGTAGCGTTATAGCAGGAAGTGGTTGAAGCGGCTTCGGGACCAATTCGTAGGTGCTTATTATTTGCGCCGGGATGCTCTCGGGCCTGTTCAAGCTTGACGCATAGCTTTTTTCTCCGTCTTATAGCGTAAACTTACAGGGTTGTCGGAATTTTAGCATTTTGCTACATTTGGTACCCTAGTGGTTCTTTGTACTAGGTAGGGATGATTGACTTGAATGAACTCTAAGCCGACTGGCTTCACAAGAAACTTCGACTTAGTTCCTGGAGACTGAATATCCACGCTAGTAGCCACCGAAGAAGATACGGCTATGGGCTGTGGTAGGACTTGGAACTGGGGTACCTTGAAATAATAGATGGACCTTAATGTGCCAGAACTGGTGTCGCTTTCGCTGCCGTTGCTGGAACTCTACGTGTCATGCTGGCCACCGCCAACCGGCATCGATTTTCTGCCTTCTCTAGTCGTACGACTGTGTTGGGACCTGTGGCTATTGAATTTGCTCTGGCTTGTACTCGGAGACGTGGGTATCCCCTTGCATCCGCGACAACTTGAGGGTTTTATCGCTGTACTCGCGGGGCTACTGGGGCTGGTTCTCAAAGATGGACTTTTGCGGCCTATTCGACTTCGAATGCTGCATCATGATTTATGAAAATAAATAAAATAGTAGAATGAGAGCGGGGAGATCTAAGAGTGCAAGGGAACATGCCAATGTTGCTTTGTACCCCCCAACACAGCCACGGAAGACTCCACGTAATCAAGGGATTCTTGCGTTGTTCCTTTTTCGCCTTTCTACTTGATACTGCTCTAAGTTGTGTGAGAGGTCACATGTAGTTTCGCCTGTACCAATCATCCTTTTCCAAGATACCGAGGCGCATCAACTGAACCAAATCGTCATAGGGCCGCTCAAACTCCGGATCAAATGTATCCACTGAAGTCCCTATGCCCGGATCAACGAAGTCCTCCAAAAAAGGATTCTCGCCGTCCCCGTATAGGAAGTCATGGGCCTCGCGACTGACACAGATGGGTTTTCCTTGAGTTGGGCACTGGTCATCGACATAAATGACGATCCCAGGCCGGTCCGCAGCAGCTCGCTCCCGCCACCCCAGCTTGCTTCGCATTTCTACAAGCAACCCCTGATAATGTCCGCTCGACCGAAGGAAGTAAAGAAAGCTGAGCTCGACCGCCCGAAGTGTTGACGGCAGCACAAGCATCAGGCTCATCAAGTCATCCTGCTTGACGAGAAAGCGCGAGAGACTAAAGTCGTGTAGATTCGCCCATAGGTCGATAGGGAAGATTGTACGCAGCGGGATAAAGTGTTCTTCGCCGCTGGCACTTGCAGATTCATAGAGGTTTTCGGGGGTCCCAAGGTTGGTTGAGAGGCTTATACGCTGCAAGTCCGGTGCTCTTTGTAGTGCTTTCTTGAGATTTCCACTGCGGAAAGAGTGCCAGCCTTCCTCATCTTGACCGCCAACAAGAAGAGATAGATCGATGCGAGAGAACCCAGGTCTGCTGAAAATTGTAACGAGGTCGCTGTACTCAGGGCTGTCTGTATCATCAAAAATACGGCAGTTTATACCGGTAAGAAGCTGGTTAGTATCGATAACAAACTCGAAGATACCAGCAGTTGGGTTCTCGCAGTGAAATCGGGCAGTCTCGCGACATATAACAGAAAACCCACGCCACTTGCTCTTTTCATCGCCTTGCCAGCTCTCTGCAAAAGGTTCATTTTCCTGCTCTTCAGCAACTGGCCAACCTCTAGGTAGATGATAGATCAGTCCGGGAGGTAGAGAGCGAATCATTGGCGTCTGGTACAGAGGTCTAACGGGGCACCCATGAGCTGCAGGCGTTACAGTGATCTTCCGCAAGTTGGGGAAACGGGGCAGACCGTACTGCAGAGCTTCCGCATCGCTGTTGGTGGCAATGACCTGATTTTGCTCATGCAGCAGGTTTTGATACAGTCTGTACGACTGTACTGGGCTAAGCCGTGCCTCAAACCGATGTGCAACTTCAATATGGCGAGGTTGCTTTACATCAAGAATGCCATACTCAGCTATCAATGAAGAATTATCCCGGAATTCTTTCAAGTACCAAGCTGGAACTCCAGATATATCGCCAATATCGGTGTTGCCTTCGTCATCATCGTGATCCTCGTCGGACCCCCAAAAGCTCTTAACCTCAGCCGGGTGAGCCAAGCGAGCATCGTCATAAATGATCTCAACAATGTTTCTTCGGAATTCTTCGTGGTTTGCGACAGCCCTGAAGACGGCCACGTTGAGTGGGTTGGGTGAGAGGAAAAGGCGGCTGAGGCGGAGTTGAACGATGTTGTGGAGATTGGTGCACGTTGAGCGGAGGCTCTTGATGTCGCTGTTCGGCAGCCTGGATAAAATGTTGTCGAGAAGCTCCCGCGGCAGATGGACGAAAGGCCCAAGTCCTGTTTGGACGCGGCCAGAAGAGCAACGCATGGCGAAAGAAGTTGGTGAGGCTCAGAAACAAAGATTACAGGAGGTGAGTGAGAGATGGAGTTTGCCAACGGGTGCAGGGACGGCAATAAATAATAAATAAGTAGCTCGATCACGTGATACATAGCGGCTTTGTGCTTTTGTGAAGATCAATACAAGAGAACGGTCTTGGCGGGCCTGCCAACGCCTTTCGGAACGAAGCTTTCGGCATGGCTTAGAGGGCACATTAGACGTCAAGAGATCTGAGCGTTAGAACAAATGAGTATAAAATACTAGGCTGGTGTCTACAGCTAAAGAAGCCTAGGTATAATAACCTAGGGCTAGGGCTACAGGCTAAGCAGGTCTATAGCTTAGACCTACAATCTGCAGATTGCAATCTCACAAACAAGCCCATCGAGAGAGCACATTGTGCCATCTCATCGAGTATCCGTGCGTCTAGGTATTACCCCGGGTCACTGCTATCTAGAGGACTTGTCTGGCGAGCCTCAAACAAGACGGGGCAGTCGTCGAAATACAACTCCTCAAGGGCATTACTACCGCTCTCCTGTCCGATCGAGGCAAACCAATTAATATGACACTCCTGACTGAAGACGTATTGTCTAAGCGCGAGCACTCGAGCTGCGGGAATTCGATGCTACCAAACTCAAGGCCCTAACCATTTAACAAGCAGCCGTGATAGCCTCTTCTACCTCCCAATACACACATAGACATTGGCCTGAAGTCCGGAGCAATCACTCTTGACAGCAGGATTCCATTCGTAAAAGTCAGCTAGGTCAATGCCGTTTGTATTGGCAATAGCCCAGCATCCATCGTCGGCCTGAACAAAGTAAAAGTCCTTGCAGTCGCTCACCATGCCATCCTGCACGGGCGAGGGTGTCGACCCGCTATTTCCGCTGGTGGTGCTGGTCGTCTTGTCGACTGTTGTCGTAGTGGCAGCGGCCTTGATACCGATGCAGACGTACACCTTGGCCTCAAGTCCGGTGCAGTCAGTCTTGACGCTTGGGTTCCATGTATAAAAGTCATTCAGCTCAATGTTGTTCGAGTTAGCAATGGCCCAGCACCCGTCGTCGGCCTGAACAAGGTAGAAATCATCACAATTAGAGACCATGTTCGACTGCACGGGGCTGGGCGTGACAACTCCTGTGGCCGTGGCCGTGGCCGTGGCCGTGGACGAGGCGCCACTGGTTAAGGTCACGCTAGAATCGTCCTCCCCTGGTGGACTGCCGTCCTCGTTGGTTGATATGCAGTAGTACGTGCCGAGGGTCAACCTAGAGCAGTCGCTCTTGATAGACGGGTTCATATGATATAAGTCATCAAACTCAAGCCAGGTGAAAGCCAGGACTGACTCGCACGAGTCGTACGAGTCCGGGGCGTACCAAGTGGTGCAGTTCTCAATCTCGCCGGCTGCACGTGGGCTGGGCGGGACATTCTCATCCGTTTCAGGGGCTGTGATTCAGTGCTGTGTATTAGCATCGGCTAGGCTGAGAGATGGAGATGGGTGTCGAGAACTGACCTGGTGTTGCGGACTCGAGGGAGACGCAGTATGATACGCTCTCCGACACGGTGCAGGGGTAGTTGTAGGAGTGTTCAGACCCGTCGGAAGTATTCTGGGCAAGCGACGGGTTCCAGAGGATGAGTTCCTGTTTCTTGTAGTCAGCGGCGGTTTCGCATTGCAAATTATTTGCAGAGCCAAGGGATTGGGGGTTCGTTATCGTCCCTTTCTGCAGGAGGGCCATGTCGTATGAGGCGGATAAGCTACCTGCCTTGTCCAGTGTAGCCGAACTTTTTTCGTACCATTTAAAGTGCGACTATCTGGCGGGCATATTTATTGATTCGGCGCCACAGTTGCTCACCTGGTATACCTTGACGACAGAACGCAGTGAGGCTAAGCGCCCAGATAAATGGCGCGCACCATCGTGGTCGTTTCTCTCCGTCGACGGAGCGATAGGGTTAGCTGATCTGAATGGCAGCACAAAAAATGGACCGCCCTTCACTTCGGAGTTTTGGAATTGCGGATGGGGAATAATCGACTACCAAATAACGCCCTTGTCCTTGGATGTACCATTTGGCCAGATCACGGATGCCCAAATGCGTGTTGGGGGCCGCATGATTCCCGTTGCAGTTGGAGCAGCCATAGACGATATCACCAGGCCGGTGTATCGGCTCGAGGTTCGTGGTGATTTGTCTGAAAACCAGTGGCGGCCAAGGTACGAACCCGGAGGCTTGAGAATTATCTTGGATAGCATGGCCTCTCAGAGCGAGCCCAGTCAACAACCGTTCATAGCGACGTGCTATGGATTCCTACCGCTCACCGTCGAAATGTGGTGGTTCCTGATGTGGCATGGCGAAGAATCAACCAATGGAAAACAGCCATGGGAATCGGGGTTTGCGTACCGTGACGTGGTGTGGGGGCTTGCTCTGGCGAGACTTGAAGAGGGACGATATCATCGAGTTGGATATATTTTATGCGAGAGTGAGCGGGACGATGAACTGGTGCCAAAGTTGAACAATATGCCGTGTGAGAACTTTACTTTCGTTTGATGATGTTATAGGCAGAAACTAAAGGGATGAAAAAAGCTTGTAATGGTTGTCTGTACAAAAGCGAGGCCGCCGTCAACAGCGGGTTTGATAATCTCGTCATCCCCGAGACGTTCCGCGACCTGCTCAATTCCGTCATCGAGAGCCACAGGTCCGCATCGACGCTGGGTGGAATGCCAACCCAACCCAAGATATCCTCGCAGATGGACTTAGTTCGGGGCAAGGGACGGGGGCTGATCATACTGCTTCACGGCCCGCCAGGGGTTGGTAAAACGAGCACTGCGGAAACCATCGCGGCGTACAGCAGGCGGCCTCTATATCCGTTGACATGCGGAGACATTGGCTTGACACCGGAACAGGTCGAGTTTAACCTAAACTATCACTTCGGTCTCGCCAGCCAGTGGGGGTGCATCATGCTGAATGACGAGGCCGACGTGTTCCTGATGAAACGAGATTGGCGGGACATTAATCGGAACGCATTGGTTTCATGTTTATTTGAATCTTCAGCTGCGCACATCTCCATCTTTCACAGAGCTAACACGACGAAACCCAGTGTTTTTGCGCGTCCTTGAGTACTACTCTGGCATTTTGCCCCTCACGACAAACAGAACCGGTGTCATTGATGAAGCCTTCAAGTCTCGGATGCATCTGTACCTCAGATACCCCTCCATCGACCTTGACTCTACCAAGAAGATCTGGGACAGGTTGCTGGACCGCATCATGCGCGACAACAAGGAAAGCGATGTCAAGATCGAGTTCGAGAGGAGCTCACTCATAGCCTATGCGGTAGAGCACCACCACGAGCACGAAAAACTAGGCGGAGGTTTATTGCCACATCCTCAGGTCCATTAGTTGAAGCCATCGCTGCCACAAGTAGGGATGTGGGTTGCGAAGTCTGGAACAATTCTACTCTCAACCCGACTGGGAGATAAATATACCCCTGATAAGAGAGCAGAATATCGATGTCTCAAAACTGAGCAGAGCCACCAGATAAGGCGAATGTTCAGTCTGACTTTATACGCGGAATTTTAAAAACCCACAACCTCACCCGGCATTGACTATAGATATAAACTTCCTTCTTTTCCTGTTCCTCACCCCCACTCTCACTATCGCTATCGCCATCGGCCTCTCTCATTTCCTGTCTCCTCTGCCCTTAATAACCAGCTCATATTATTTCCTATTCTCATTTCCTACAGGTATCTTACGTCTTAACCCGAACTGTAGGTAGTTCAAATGTTACACAAGGAAAATTTCCTTCTTGGGTACGGAAAGCCACTTGTTTGAAGACTTAATCTCCACGAGCCCACATCGCTGGTACATATTGTCCTTATGGCGTGTAACGACAAGAGCTTGGATTCTGCCATCGTACGACTTGCTCATGACAAGCAAATAACGGACCAAACCTTCTTGGCAGCCCTTGGCGTCCACTGACGCCGTTTTGGTTTGCGAGTCATCCTCAACCCCGACGTTGCCCTGCTCTTCTTCTTCCACCATATCCGGCCAGTCTCGTTTCACACAGTTAAACCGACGTACTTCGGCCTCGTTGAGAATTGAGCATGTCAGATGGAGCCGATCATGGGGCGGGGCGTTATCAAACTTGACCAAAGCCTCGCCCGCATCGCTCCCAAGGAATTCCAGTTGATCCATGTCAACCTCGCCTGTGACAGACATCCAGCTCCAGGTTGGGAGTTTTGGAATGCGTACCGACTTCCGACCTCTCCCGACGGTCCACAAAAGGCATCCTACCGGGAATGATTTCCAGACTCCAAAATAACACTGATCCACAAAGGTCTTGCTGAGAAAATCAATAACGCCTTGAACAGCAAGCGGCCTATCCTCTGCAAAGCTGAGATGGCGGAGTGTATACGCTTCCACCACTGTACGCCAAACATTTCGAGGATCATGGTCTCGGTCGTACCCAGAGTTCACACTATCATGCACAACACGTCTCGGCTGAATCCGGGTAGGGGGATACTTGACAAAAGACCTTGAGATGGGCGACGCATCCCTGCTTCTGCACCGCAGGAAGGGTTCAAGATCCCCGAATACCAGCAAGCGCGGAGGTATCAGCGCTTCCTGAAACGTCCATCCTCTCTTGTTGATAGGGAAATGGCCCGTCTGTTGTGAATGCGGAGGCACTAATGTTAATGTTCCATGACGGCGGTTGTTTGGTATTGGCACCTGTATCTCACATGAAGGGTATATTTCGCTGAACGTTGAGGTGGGCTTGAGAAACCCATCATTGACTGAGCTACTTGTCGCTGCCGCAATGCACAAGGCCGAGTCTTCATAAATCGAACACATCCGGCCGATCTCGTGCTGCTTGTCGGCATCGTCATCCTGGATGATGCACAAGGCATCTACCCAGAGAAATTCGAACCCCATGTACTGGGTTGTGAGAATAGCATCTTGAAGCGTCTGAGGCAGAGCAAGGCCATCTAAGCCGCCAGCTTGGAAGGTTTGAAGATTATTCGTCGTCAATCTGACCTGCTGTGGGCCTCCCCAGCAGTAGCTTAGGGCAACGTATTGTCCAACTTGGCCATGTTTCGGCGTGACATGGAGATGTACCTTCGGAAAAGGCCGCTCTTGTCCAATGTGAATGACTCTGGTCGGGAGGGGCTTTGGGCGCAAGGGTGGGCAATGGTCATGTTGCTCACAGTTCGCAAGCATAGCTTTGAAACCAGCCGCTGACTCTTGGGTAATCGTTGTCCCAGCGGCCGGCCGAAGCACAGTACATATGGCTAAGGGATCGTCTATTTGGTTTTGTCAGTAAGTGGAGACAATATTGGGCTTGTGGATTGAGAATATACCTGCCGACACCACTACTCGCAAGTGATTAAAAGGCTCCCACTGCATCCGTCGCTTTGAGGACTCAACTCGCAGCGCTAGACCTTCCCATTCCTTGGAAGACGTCCCAACAGCTCTGAAGAATACCAGAGACCGTGCAGCTTGGACGGCATTCCGACCGGCAAAGTTGTATGTAGATGTCGAAATAACCAAGTCGCGAAGCGCTCGAACATTATGCGACTGGCTAGAATCGCCAATAATGTTCTCGCTCCAGACGTAGCAACAGAGTCGGCAATTCTGACGGTTCTCGAATGTGTCCAGGGTCGAGTGAAAGAAGCCTGCAGATGAGAAGAGTTGTTTGAACCCTTGCTCAGAGAACATGAGACGACATTGCTGGCATAGAGCTTGCTCAGCGGAAGCCGACGTAGAGTCCATTCTTGACACTACTTTTTTAGATGACGTGTGAATGAAAAAAGGTGCATGTTCTGAAGCCCAGCCTGGTGAGTCAAGTGTAGATTGACCTTCAGGTGGCGGCATAAGGCCCGGATAAAAACAACCCTCTGATACATCAATATCTTGTCTCAAGTCAGAGATTGACCCCAAAACCCCTCACAAGAAAAAGAGGGGCAGGAGGCAACACATCAATATCATAATCTTTGGGCTCCGCTGCATTGATCCCTATTATCCCTGAGAGAATTGACCGTATCGGATCTAACATTAAGTAAATATTGATCCTGCATGCTTCATAACACTGATATAACGATATAAGGCTGGCGAATCAAACCAGCGCCAAGTCTCAAAACGACTGCGCGGCTGATAGTTGCTTACGTGGCAAATATAACGAGACGCTAAACTGATTATTTCTGTCGTTTAGTATCAAGGGTTAATTGCCTCTATTAACAAGAAATTCGCTAGCTCCGCACACTATATCTGATACTAATTATGACTGAGGCAGGTCAATTTTAACAAACTACTCTTCCCTTTCGTCTTCTATCAGTATCGACGTATATCGTAGCATGGCCCGATTAGCCATATGATCGTGGCTATCCAGGTCCGTACGAAGGATATGCGTCTCTATTTGCTCCGGCAGCTGGAATTATTCTATGCACTTTTGCTGTATCAAGGCCAGAGCGTCGCCTCCAAAAATAACACGCACGCTCCAAGTGTAGGATGAGTGGCATATAGTCGACTAAGGAGTGCACATCCATTACAGACAGCTCCTCAGCTATTAACACACTTAGTTCCCTAAAGACGCCCTCTTTGTACATTACTATATATGACAGACACCTCATTACTCAGTACGGCGTCCTGATCCACGCAATTATACACCCACGTCCGTGCCTACCCTATACGCCGAGATTAGACCCGGCCGTCACATGGCTCCTCTCCATAGAAGTTCCAACGCTATCTACTAGTAGCTAGATCACAACATGGAGACTTTGCGACCTATTACACTTACTCTATTGATAACTGTTCCTGTGGCGGAAGACAGTCACCCATGCACATCTTTTATTGCCGGAAGATACTGCCCAACAAGAAAAGACAGCCGCCAAATGCACCTAGAGCTATTATACAAGCTATTGGCAGTAGCTTTGGAGAATGCACGTAGCTGGTCGATGATACATCCTTCTTCAATCTGGTCTGCCCAACACAAAGATGGCCTACTTAGGCCCCCACGTTGCCCGCCCTCTCTTGTGTCTCCCCCCTTTTCCTTTCCCCTCTGATCTACAGTCTTACTAGAACTAGGATTAGGCCAAGCTGTTAACTAGGACTGACATTATGGGATCACATTTATGTACGGGAACATGCTTGGAAAGTCTCATTGTCAGACTCATACTTCGAGGAAACTTCAGAAGGCTGTTGGATCCACCAAGGGCGGGTTGTTGCTTACACACTTAAAATAGCACCTTTTTTTCTTACAATCTTCACATTTTCACCCAATGCTTCCAAAGTTGATAGTGCTTTTCGCGCAGATATTGTCCACAGGAACATTCTTATTGCATCTGTATCTGACGATGAGCTTTTTTTTTGAGGCTCGGCTTGGCTTGTGCTTTTCTCCAAGGACAGTTCCTGTAATTCTGTTACGTGTACTTATCAAGTTCATTGCCGCATTATCGCGTCGCATTACGTATCTCATCTTATTCCAACGTTAGGCTATCTACTCCGGACGAAGTCGTGCATCGATAACTTGTACTAAAGTGCATTAGAGACTGTTATGTGTATCTATCTGATCGGGACCGCGAGTGTCTTGGCCAAAGCCGTGTTGCCGAGCAGCAGAATCACTAATCTAGTCACCCTATAGCTCCCAAAAGTTTAGGTTCCGCAGCCCCCAGGCAGTAACAAGAGATTGGCATATGTAAAAGCCTCGGATAAACAGCTCGGCGATGCGCGGCAGTACTGGAAGAGCTGAAGAATGAGACTTAACCTAGTGAATAAAAACATTCCGTGTCTTAGAATATCACGATTACGTGGGTTCCTCAAAAAGGCGATCGGTATGAAGCTAAACGTTTTACTGTGGTATTAGGACCTCGCACTTAGTTGAACTGAATGTTCCTTGCGTCTCAGGGAATCATCGTAGGTCTTGGGATGGAAAGTAGGCTAGTCCCTGTTGAAATTGCCCCCGCACATACACCTGGTACGGAGCTTCAACTTATCTCGCCTCAATGGAGTTGTGATTCTCAGCCTATAGCTTATCTGTGGCTGACGAAGATTCTTTGTTGATAGCCAAGTTGACTAGATGCTGCTGCAGAACGACCGTATAATTCAATATCTTTAAACTGTTATGAGGTTGGGAGAAGATACAAGGTTAAGACTGCCCAAAGGGGTGGGGGGTGGGTGTTGAAAATTCAGGAGAAAGTTGCCGAGTCTAGTGCTTAATCTTGCCTCTCAGGGTACAGAGGTAGAGGTCCATTTATTGCCAAGTGCTCAGCAAAGACGACGACTCAACATCTCACGAAGAGAGTTGATCACAGAATAAGTCGATTTACTTCCATTTCCGTTTTCTCTCCCATCAGCCAAAGGATGCTGCAAGCGGCGTTTGGATGTGTCAAGAGTAAGGTTAAGGATCACAACCAGCGTAAATAACTTTCACGGTTACAACAAATTCTAAACAGCAAGCAGCATTCTGCCTAAATGATCGACAGTCTAGAGTATAAGAGGCCGACCCTCGTCAGAACTGGACCAATCCTCAAGGTTGCGGAAGGCCGAGGCCGAACAATGTTAAGGCGCAGCCTCAGAAACTATGAACCGAAGGCGTTATAAGCCAGCGGTTTTTTCGAGGAAGAAAACAATGCCACCAGTGAAGCTTCACTTGCTTATTAAAGAGATTTGGGGACAATAGACTATACCAAGCAACTCCTAATACGATAAGATAAAAGTCTCTCAACAAAGGCATAACCCTAAGTTGGATGCTATATAGCTCTTCCCCTAAAACTAACAACACATTCTTATAAATAGAAACTCTAGAAACTAGAGCTAACTACCCCTATTCCTTTTACATCCCCTAGGGTTGTGTTTAAGCACAAAGCGCACCAAGAAGTGGAATAGTACCTGCTCCATAAGGTACCGCCTCTCCAACAATAGCTCCAAGTTTCTCGACAATAGACTTGCAATCTCCACCCGACGTAATTCCAGTAAGACCATCAGTCCTGGCGTTCATCCAGCCATATTGGTTGCAGTTATTGAAGATAGCAGACTGATGAAAGTTTGGGGCCCAGCCCTGCCAAGCCTTGACAAGTGAACAGGCTCTTCCTCCACTCGGGCAGGCCACTTCTTCTGCCCAAACCTGGTTGCGTCCAGAAGCATCGGCGAGAGAAGTAGCAAGAGCATTTCGCATATCCCAGCCCGAGTACACGCCCTGTGCACTGACTGTGATATCTTTTGAGTAGATACCCGTGGCAGTGACGTACTTTGTGCTCCTGGCCCAATTGCTACCAGCATCACATCCACCTTCGTGGCACAAGTCATACACGTGGTGGAACAAGTCGTAGGGGTTGAAAGAGCCGAACTTGACAAAGTTCTTTCCGCTGGTGACAACGGTGTGCATGCCGGAGCCATGGCAGCTGTATCGCTTCTCATGGTTGGTCTTGTTGGCTTCGACGTAGTAGGGGTTGTCGAGGAGACGGTCCTCGCAGTTTCCCTCGGCGAGACATTTCTCAAGGATGGGGCCGCCGAGCCAGAAGCTGAACTCCTTCTCGGGTTCTTGGGCGGAGGTCGGCGTAGCAGCTGCGCAGGCTGCTGAGTAGAGGGCGAGGAGAACAGTTGAGACAAGCATTGTGTCGAGAAAAGGGCGGCGTGGGATTGATGAAAGAAGGAAGAGGAAACTCTAGTGGATGAGAGATGAATTATCAAGGGCGTTGTCAGATATTTATACCCAGTGCTTCACGTTGCCCGTCGTCAGCAATTCAATTGTCAGCTGTGACACATACGGGGCTGAGCATTTCGTGAGGTCTATCGTGATCCAGACAAGCCGTCAAAGCTTGATGATCCAACCTTCCTATTTCGCACAAAGCAAGAGCTGAACAATCCCCTAAAACACGCATCGTTCAATTCGTCCAGGGCCCTACATCTTTAGATGGACTAGTTCTTGGCAGGGCATATCGTTCTAGATGCTATCGACTGACAAGGACTGCCGGGGCTTCGCATTCAAGCTTAACAGAAGCTTGTGCTTAAGCTCGTATTTTTGCTTATTTTTAGTTGCCTATTTGCCGCTTGGACTCATGGCCCTATTACAGCTCTGTATTCCCGCTGTAAAGTCGGCCGACTCAAAGTGAAAACCCCTGCTCAGTGGTATGTCAGCAGCTTACTTAAGGGACTTTTGCCGAGCTTTCAAGGGTCTGTGCTGGCTGGGAGTGATATGAAAAACCCCAATTCTACGTACAAGATATGATAACGAAATTACAGGGTTTGTATTATTCTAGCTCTTTATAATTGGTGGCCGGGAGGTGTCACCGTGAACTTACTGCTGTACAAAGGACCATCAGAGTCCTGCCGCATCGTATAATTTCCCTGGCGTTTCTCCGAAAATCCACCCAGTCATCGGTGAGCCTCAGCCTCAGCACCCTTGGCCGCGTCGGTTCTAGAATCACAACAGCTCCTCCAACTTGAGCGACCCACTCTGCGAAAAAGTTTTCACCATCTGATGGTTCCAATACGGCTAGGATGATGAGGATGATAGGGATTAAAGCAGTGGAGCCCAAAGATGATGGTGTTGATGTGTGTATGTTCTAGCCTTCTAGGATGCCTCTGGCCCCCTCTTTTCCTATGACGGGTTGCTTGGTCAATCTCGCACCCTATGACTAAGACAGGATATTGATGTATCAGAGGGTTGTTCGTAGCTAGGCCCTAGTCCGGCACCCGAAGGGCCAATCCAACACCATCCTTGAGAGGTCTGCGAATACAGAAGGTGTGAAATCAGAAGGGCATTCGGTTTATAATTGGATACATTTTGGAATGGATAAGTACGATGGGCCAATGTAAACGAGCCTAATTTCCGACTTTCCGACTTTTGTGGAGCTGCAGATAATCCCTCAACATTGGTCTCACAGCTGACCATGCCAGCATCGGTCAACATGCACCAAGCGATCCATGGATCGGCGTCGCAACTGGGAAGAGGTCTGTGATGCTTCACGCGTTGAAGAGTGACTGAAAAGAGACTGGTGCATCGACAAGCCCGTTGATAAGCTCACAATCTCAAGCCACTGGAGCGAAGGTGCGACGTCCTTCTGTAACAGGCTGATGCGATGTGGGATAGATGTCCTGATGCTTACATATCGATGCCCGAAGGGGAAGATAACAAAACACGGGTCTAAAATATTCATTACTAGGAGGACATAAGCGTTGGGATGCCTGCTACCAAATAAATTCGAGGAAATACGTGAGAACGTGAGACAAGGTTCATGCTCTGAGAAATTACAATCGAGATATCAAAACACAATGCGCAGGACGCGATACGCGTTCATGAGAAGTTACTTGCACAAGGATGGGTCCGAAGAAAGCGTTAAGCCTGTGTGAGCCAATGCCAAGGAATGAATCGTTGCAGCGGAAGAAGTTTGAATTGAAGTCTGAGCAAAGGACATGTTGCATAAGGAATAGGGGCTCTTCGACGCCAGGTATAGGCGTCAGGGATCTTGAAATCTATCTGGATCTGGATCAAAGAACGACTAGAGTAGCACTAGGGACAGCGCAACCATGATAATGGGCATGCCATAACTAACGATTTTGGAAGCTCCACCAGTGACTGGGGGCACTGAGGGAGTCGGGGTAGGAGTCGGGACGCTCCCATTCTGAGGGTTAGATTTGTCGAGTGTGCAACCGGAAATGCCCAGAGAGGAGTTGACTGATATCTGAAAGATGCCCTCCTCGGACGTCGCAGACGAGACAACGACCTTGAGTGTCTCGGCCTTGGTCGTCTTGACCGACAGCACGGCCGGCTCGTTCCCACTAGGTGTCGAGTTTTTCGCCACCAAATCTCCGTTTTCGTGGCTCAATTTAACGGCAAGGTCCTGTTCGGAGAGCGACGTCACCGTGAAGACAAGTTTCTCCCCGGCGCTGGCGGAATAGGAGAAGGTAACATCCCCCGAGCCTGATAACTTGGCAATAGTGATGCTGCTCAGAAGTGGCTGCGCCGTGGAAGACGTCTTATCCAAGGCAGTAATGCCATTGCCGAGGAGCAGGTAGAGCCAAGGTTGGATATTCTCCGCCTGGTCAAATGACATGTATGTGCCCCCTGTTTGTAGAATCGCCTGCAGCAGGGTTGGTTCATGGAAAGAATCCGGCGGAGCGAGAAACCCGAAGCTGACGCGAATACCAAGGGAGCCTGCCTTGTTGATTTCATCGATGAGGGACTCGACGTCGGAGTCTTCACCGTCAGTTAAGACGACGATACCGGATCGATCTTTCGTGGTGCCGTGCCCAGACTTGGTGAGCTCTTCAACGCCTTTCGTAACGCCACTGCAACCCAGTTAGCTAACAAAAGTCTAAACTAGTACCCGGTCGTTCTGGGTGGGAAATAAAATGCTCACTCAGCGATCCAGGTGCCTCCGCTGCTATCGATTTCACTGAACGAGCTATCGGCTTTGGCAGGGTCGCCGAGCGGATAGATGACGGTTGCAGAGGAGTCGAAGCTAGATTGAGTCAGTGAAACCTGGATGTTTAGCACTCTGGCGTAGAAGAGCATGTCCTTACTCCACGACAGTGACTAGGTCGGCACTTTTGCCTCCAGAAGCTTCCGCAGAGGACACGAGCTGCCCATTGAGAGCCGTTCCAGCCGTGACTCTGAGGTTATCCGGATCATTTCCCTCCATAGAACCAGACGAGTCGAGAGCAATGGCAACCTTGCGGCCGCCATTGCTAGATGCCAGCGGGATTTTGCAAGTGTCTGTATCACGTCGGTAGTTGGCGGTGGGAAAATACGCTGCTGACAGTGGAACCGCAGCAAGAGAAACGAGGAGGGCTTGCAGCTTCATCTTGGGAGCCCAAATGTTAAATTAAAACGAGTGAATGCAAAAGATGCCAGGCAGAAGTATCTAGCGCACCGTGAGCCTTGGTGTTCAGCAGTAAACGAGTGCGGTCCTTTGTTTCTTAATCGAGTGAGAAAAAGGTAGAGTTGAAGGACCTTGGCCTGGCTTTATGTTTTACTGGTCCACCCCATCCAGGGCCACGGTACAGACGGTAGCCCACAGCATCTCAGCCTATATGCATCCAGAACAAGGAAGGGGTTCGGGTGAGGTGTGCTGTTGGCTGCTTGGCATCCAATAGGATATTCAGGATGCTAGGTAGCATGATAACAGAGCAAGGGTGACATCAGGATATTGTCATAGGCAAACACGATTCACCTTGACTTCCTGGCGTTGAACATGAAAGGCCGCATTAAAAATAACTTGAGAGCGCTCAGCCACAGTTGGACTGAAATGGCCACATCATTAGTAAACTAGAACAGGTAGCATCGATTGGCTTTCGGCAGTCACACGACAGGCTAGGTTATATTTATACTTATTTCTGGCTTCAGCTCGACGCCTCGCGGCCTCATGGTTTATCCACGGCGGTCTTGATTGGGCGGCTGAACGACAGCTGAAAAGCCACTGAGCACCGCCAAGGAAATAGTGACAGCGCAGTGAAACTGTTTATGTTCCATGATCAGCACTAAAATAGCATTGCCAAGCTAGGCTGCGTTAGTCTGTAACCAGACGAAGGAGGCAGGTCGTCCGGCTGAGATAACTTTGAAAAAGAGGTCAAGCGAGGGAGGGAAACATGTCACCTGTACAACATCAATACGGTCAACAAGACCATCGTTCTAGTTAGGGTTCTGTTAAATTGGATAAATCTAAGGCCTCTCATCGTATCTGTATTTTCCATGCGGAAGCGGCAATCTTGATGCACGGGGGACCCCGCCGAATCTGCTGCCGCACAGCAAGGCGACACTCCTCGATGCCGTCGGCGACTACGAGAGCGGCCACCCCATGGTAGGTGTCGTGCCCAGCCGATGAGGTGCCATGGCGCGCGTAAGCCCAGTCGGCGGGCATCATGCAGGCGTTACAGCTACCGCCAGTGATGCCAATAGCAGCCCCGGCGCCAAAGATGTCATGGATAGCCTCGCTGCTTCTCACCTGGGCTATGCTTCTGATTTGGCTCATGGTACCTCTATACAGAGGGCCAGAGCCAGACAAACAGCAGCCGAGTCGCTATCCACGGAGTTTTTCTTGGCCAACAAAGCAGGGGCAGATGCACTGGTGAATCTCTTGTCTAATGAATTCTTTCAGAGAGTCTGGTATGTCGTCTATCACACTCTAATCTAACTTCTGTCTGCTCCCTCAAGGTGAGCAAGTTGCCGGCACAAGGTCAAAAAAACACAGTTTTATCCACAATTCAAGCATTTGTTACCCAATGCTGCCACGATGACCAAATATCAAGCTTTTTAGCTTGGAAAAGTTAAACCTGTATGAACATATAAGTAGTCGGCTCAAGAAGCTGAGCCCTGATTCTTTCCCTCCTTCACACATCATCTCCGCCCAGCACTTGGACAGGGCCAGATCCCCTTTTATACCAAGAATCAGCTGTGTGGCGCCCCCTTCCATGTGGCTTACCGCTGGCAAGCCTCGTTTTCCCTTAAGATCCCTGATAAAATTAGATCAATTAACTCTACGTTACTCTATCTTATGCGGAATACGCCACCGTGGAATTGGCCTGTTGCGGACAGATCAAGAGAAATTTATTTACCTCCGGCTTAAGAGACTGTTGCTAGAAGTGGGATATGTGTTGTATATCTGTGATTTCCCTGCCCTCTTGATCTAGTATCTAGAGAAATGCTCCCATACTGCCCCTGGGATTAAAGCTCTGCGATTTTAACAGCTAACTTCTTTTTATATATCTTACTATCTTTAAGCCTGCAAAGAGCCGATTTAATACCTTCCAGCCCTCCCTCTATTTCCTTGGTAGGGTGATCTGTTAGCTAACTCTGGGTAAGGCTATAGCTAAATAGCCGATAAGCAAAGTAGGTAAGTATTTTCTTAATATTACTACTAGAGTGCGCTATATTTATATTAACTTCAGCCCTATCTACCTGCCTAGTGAAATATAAACCTACCTAAATACTAGCAACTAAGGGTTTTCTATCTGTTACTGCCTGAACTTCTAGCTAATTACCTAAAGCCCTAAGTAAGGGGCTATTATATTTTAATATCTTATCTTTATTAGTAGTATAGTTAAATCCATGCTATATAGGTCTCTGGCTGGCTCTGGTTATAGCAGATTGGATATTAACTACTAATTACTTATATTATTATTAATAATTAATAATACTATTACTGCACTCTAACTTAAGAAGGAAGTAAATAAGCTGGGTTAAATAGCTGGCAGTTGTAATAATTAGATGAATATTTATAGTAAGGGCGAGTTTAATAGTAAAAGTACCTATAGCTATACTGGCGCTATAGATAATAAGAGAGCCCCTGGGAATATTTAGTAAAAATTAGAATAAGGGAAGCTAAAGTGAATAGAAAAGATTATATACTGCTATAAGCTCTATTAGAGGAATTATAGATATCTAAAAGAGTATAATATATTAGTATTTAATAATAATTACTATTAGCAGTAGGATACTTACCTTCTTAAAAGTAGTACTATCTGAAATATAGAATATTATTAATACTAGAGTAATAGTATATTTAGTAAATAAGCTATAAGAGATACTAATAGAATATATAGCTGTAACTTAATTATTAATATAGAATTTGGATACTCTATCTTTAACTAACTGTATAATACCTGCTATATTATTACCTGAGTTTAGTAGCTACTATAGAAATACTAATATCTTCCAGTCCTTTAGATTTATACCTAGGCTATTAGTTAGTATAACTGGATATATTAATCCAATTTAGAGTCTAGATACTAAATATATTAATAACCTACTTAAGATAGTAATCTTAATTAGGACCTTATCTAGACCCGGAATTAAAATAGTAGTATTATAAAGATAGACTTAAAAGTTAGATACTATAAATATCTCTTTTATTACTGATATTTAGGGGGATTAAGAAAGTAATATACTAAAAGATTAACTAAAATAAGATAAGGATATAATAGAAGTATATTGCTATTTATACTGCAAATAGTAAGCTGCTTTTTATATATTATTATATAGAGTAGGCAGCTTTTATAGGTAATTATAACCTCTATCAGGCTAGTAATTATATAATATCCAGCTCTAGAGGATAAAGGTAATTCTTATAACTAGTACCTCTATATACTACAGACTTTTAAATTTTTAATTTGCTTAATAGTTTCTATAAACTACAGACTTTTAAGTAATATCTATCTTTACTACTGAATTTAAATAGTTTGAATTTACTAATAGCAATTTAATCTGCCTAAAGTAATAATAAGTATAAGGTCGGCAAATAATTCAGTTTTAAAGAAATAGATACTATAAGCTTACTATCTAATCCCTACTCTCTAGTACTCCTAGAATTTACTGGCTATACTATAACTAAAAGAAAAGAATATAGAGTTTCCAGGAAACTGAAATAGAGTTAGTACTGTATAAGTCTGGTAACTTTAGCTCAGTGGGTTCTCTAGTATAAGTTATAACTAAAGTAAGACAAGTAATAGAATAGTATTTAAGATAGCTGGGGGTATGCTAATAGAAAGAATAGAAATTAAAAATAATATTATACTATATTAGAAACTATAAGAGTTTTCTAGATATTTTAAGCTTACTATAATTAACTTAAAAATACTTTTTTAAAAATTTAAACTTAAAGCTTTAAAAACTGAAATAAAATTTAAATTAATTTAAGTTCTATTTACTTTTTTAAAATAAATAAATTATTAATATAAAATTAAAAAAATATAATTTATATAAATATATAAATAATTAATTTAAAAATTAAAATTAAAAAAATTTATATATTATTTTTTTATTAATTTTATAATTAAAATTATATTTATATTAATAAAATTATAATTAATTTATTTTATTTTATAAATTTTATTATATTATAATATATATAATAAGTAAGTTAGAAATATAAATAAGTTAGAAAAATCCTATATTATTAAGATAAAAACTTTAATAAAAATATAATAATACTTTAAATTAATTAAAACTAATTACTATTCTCTTTTTTAAAAATCTTAATTATAACCTAATAAGTTTTTATATTATAACTAGCCTTTTTATAAGTTCTATAGTATTTTTCCCTTAATATTACTAACCTCCCTTAACTACTACTTTTTAATAATTTAGCTACTACCTGTATATTAATATCTTTCTAATCTATTTTATTTCTCCTTTTATCTAGAGTTATCTTCTCTTTTTTATATAAGCAGGTTCTTTTTATTTTATATTATTTACTAAAAGTCTTATTTATCTATTAAAGGATCTAAATCTTAGATTTTAATAGAATATTTTAATATATTATTATCTTTATTTTTTTTTAAAGTAATTTAAATATCTTAAAATTAATATTAGAGAGCTGCTCTAATATTTTCTTATTTATTTTTTAAGGTATTTAAATTAAAAGCTAGTCTTAAGTATAATTTTTAGAATTTTTTAAAACTTAAAAATTAAAAAAGCTAGTTTTTTTTAATTAGTATTAGAATTTATAGCTATATATTAAGCTTTAATATAATATTTTCTAAGTTTAAAAAAATAAATTTAACTTTTTAAAAATCTCTCTTAATATTATTTCTTATTATTACAGTTTTATAAATAGTATAAAAAGCTAGGAAAAACTTAATCTTTAAAATATAAATTATAAAATATCTAATTAATTACTTAATTATTTAATTATAAGCTATT